GTTCGGAGGTCGATCAAAGTTGATTTTTACAGAATAGAACCCTATTTCGAAATCCGGGACGGAATATATCGTAAGACTGTATATCGAGGTACTCAAAGAAGTACTCGAAGGTCTTTTACCCTTCTATGCCCCTAGGACAATCTTTTGATAAGATAACGTGAAGATTTATACAATAATAGATACGAAGAAGTGGTTTAAAACCTATAGATTTTATATCATAACTTGGTCCCCGTACTTACCAAATTCAAATCCGATTAAGCCGGTTGGTAGATAGTTAAAATAGAAACTCTTTTAGCTGTTTCTACAGGCTATTAATATAGGGAGGTCTTAGATAGATTAGGCCTATTTTTTTGGTAATATTTAGTAGCTATATACGATATATTAAATTAATATAAGATAGATAAGCTAGCATTAATATAAGTAGACGCGTAGAGGCTATATATATAGTTATAGGCTATTTTATAGAATATTAAGCGAGAAAACGGTTTAGCCTTGATTAAGGATTTCTTAGTTCTAATCATAAGGATATAAATTAAATAATAGTTGTTATATAGAAGGTAAGTAGGAAATATATATTTTGACATTAGGTCGAAAAAGTGGGATAGGAAGGAATACCCGTAAGTTAATAAATATATATTAAGAATATATAGCAATAAGATGATTATAAAAGGTATTGGTTAGGTTATACTAAAAATATAGTAGTTCTTTACTATGTCTTACCTAAAAAAGAAGAATAGATATAGCTTTTATTATTTTTTATTGCGCATAATATATAAATAATTGGAATAAGAAATAACTAAATATAATAAATACAAGATAGAAATATCTACTGGGTTTCCTTATCAAGATTTAATATTAAACTATAATAGTATTAATCTAGTACTAGAAGGGTTATTAGATATCGACTACGCTACCGACCTTAATTATGGACTATATATTAAATGCCCTAATTTAGGTCATAGTAACCTAATAACGTCTATGTTTTAGCTATAGAAAACCCTAGCACTAAGTAGCTATGAAAGAAGCAATTTACCTATATAATATACTTACTTCTTAAGCAAAGAATTAGCAGTTATATTTTCTAAATCAATTGTAAGAATACAAGTAGATATATAGTATATATATTAAGAGACTAGCTAAAAACCTAAAAATCCATAAAAGAGTAGAGACGTGATACTAGTATATTATTTTCTAGGGATTACAATTATCTCTTAATATATTCAGTTACGATACGTCGGTATAAGAGAATTATCAGCTAATATACTTTTGAAGAGTCTACTGGTACCCTAATACTAGTATTCACTAGACTAGATAGGTTTACATAGAAGCTATAAGCTAATATAGGTTACCTCTTTAGCTTATAGGAGGATATTAATATTCATTTTTTAGCTTTAGTATATATAATTATTAACTGAAATTTATTATATATTAGAAGATAACAGAATAATATTAATTTAAAAGGAAGTTAATCAAAGGGGACTAATAGCAAAATAATATTTTAGGCCTAAGTATCTTTTAACATAAGAATATAGACGAAGTTCGACTAGGGGAGATAATATATATAAATAACAACTAAAAACAAAGAAACTATCTAAAAAGAAATATACTAGCAGAAAATACACGAGGGAATTAATATCTCTAAAGAAAAGCGTAGGACTATATAGTATTAAAAGGTACGATGTATAACGGGAAATAAATAGTGACGACCGGAGGTATAATTTGAGATCGTCTTTAAATAAAAAAAATCGTTTTTTAAGTCTAAGGACTCTTACTAATTAATATAAGAACCCCTTTATACACCATAAATCTTTGCCTTAAGATAATAAACAATCATAGTAGCCGTAATGAGTTATTTATAACCTATGACTAGTAGCCGTTATTAATATATAATATCATAGAATCTCACCAAAAACGTCTAAAAATAATTAAAATATAATAGTAAAAGTAGCTCTATAGATTCCTGCAGACATAATAAGCAATCGATATAGTATAACATTAATTAATTAATAGATTTAATCAGAGAAGGAGTAACTTAAAATATAAAGACTAGAAGATAATATTTAAATCGTTTTAACGTACGTTATTTCTTATAATAACAAAGTATTTATGACATTTATAAGAACTATTTCGTATTAGGTATAATTTTAACTAGAGGTTATTATAAGAAGTAAGTTCTACGGTCGGCGAGTACTTTTATAGCTAGGAAATCGTGTATAGGTTACTATTATTAAATCCATAAGTTTATGGGGTAAGAGCTTCCTTTATACGTAATTCTTTAAGGTAAAGTCTATATCGAATCGTAGTTCAATGGCCTTCCGAATAGTTGGAGATTCAAGGCTAGCCTGATAGATAGACGCCTAATAAAATTATACCTAAATAACTTAAAAAGCTCATTATTTTTCTACTTCTCTACGTTTACCGGGGAAGGATAGACTATGGGTACTCAAAGGCTATAGGAGCTATTTAAACTAGACGTTCGATTAAATTTATGAGGAAAATAATATGGTCGTAATTTATATACCTCTATACTCGTTTTACCTTTTATAGCCTCTCGATAGTAGCTATCTTACGGTATTAAATTAAGAATATAGGTCGGAAATAATTATGTTAATAGACTAGATTTTCTCGAAGCTTATCTAATTATATAAATCAAGTTATTAAATTCGAAGATTATTATAACTAGCTTCGCTATCGCCGGTTTAGTGCACTATAACCCTAATCGGGCTATCTCAAAGTTCGATATTTACGTTCGTACGCCGAACCCCCTTTAAGCTAGGGTAGCTAGTATGAGCTGAGAGTGCCTTTTAACCATGTTCAATTATAAGAATACGCTTTCCTAATAAAAGCATTATTAAACCAGCGCTTAAAAAGCCATCTAAGCCCGCTTAATTTTACGACAAATTAGTGTTTAAAATCCCATTAAATAATAATATAATCTTTGGCTATTCTCGAAAGAGAGATAAGTGACTTTCGCGCTACAAACGACTAAATACGAGACAGGGGGGTGAAAAGAGGCTATATCTATAATGTGAATACCTTTACAGGAAGTCCTTCTAGTTTTACATGCCTCTATATCAATATAAGAGCTATAGTAAGTAGTTTTAGTAAGTACCCTAGGGCCCTATCAAGGTACATAGGATACATAGTTCTCTTATAACCTATAATTATATATTCTTATAGACCCCGAATCTAGCTTAGTAATTTAAGAGCATTATAGTTAAGATAAATACCTTAAAAATTAATAGGTTTAGATATGTATGTAACTTAGTAGTGAATTGCGTTAGGTTATTTCTATGATTATGCAATTTAAACAATACATTAGCTAGAAACAACACTTTCAATAATTACTAGCCTAATCTAAGAGATATTAAGAGTAAGCTATAACGTGATTCACTACCAAGCGACCACTATAATATAATGGCTATCTCTAACAAATATAGTAGATCCTCTCTAACAAATATAGTAGATCCGATATACTATGACTTAGTATCTTAATAAGAGCAATCTATATAGAGTTTTTTTCTAGTATCCGAACACTGTTTATGAGATAACTAACTTGTCTAGGGGGTTATAATATATTTTTTTACTTGATAAATACGATTTTTTATATATATTAAAATGAGTAGGCTGAACGCTGATTGTATTTAACTCTTGTCCTCACATGACATGACTAATTCATAGGAACTAGTTAGGTTCGTTTGTTAAAAAGGTTACGATTCAAGTAGGAATGATGACCGGTACAACCGTACAATATTGATAATTTAACAATAGATTACCGAGGTGTTTAAGTCTGGAGATTCTCATTTGTGTGAGAATCTCCTTATATACCAGAAAACTCTGCCTTCAGCTAGTCCTAATTAGATTTCCCAGGTGATGAATCACTACGGTTGCCGTCATGGCTCATTCATGGCATAAACCATGGCCGGCCACCATAAATCTCAACATCGTTCACTGTTAACCAGTAACAGGCCCCAGTTATCCGGCTTCATATATCCGATTCCGAGGCGCCCGACACCCTCAGTCAGGAGATTATCCTGACATTTACAATAATTGTCTTATCATATCTTATTAGCTTATTTTGCCCTAACAGTAAATACTCCTCACCACTCTAGTAATTGGTCTCTAACTAGAATAACCTTTTCTTACTATTGTTTTATACCTTCTTCTTATATCTATCTGTATCTTAAGTTCTTGGTTGGCTATGGGCCTAGTAATAGGCGGTTATCTCTCATAGAAATATGGCGATTATGACATTAGATTTTTTTATAAAAGTACGACGACTACGTAGTCGTGCATAACACAAACCCTGTTCTTTCGTATCCTTGATTTGGCCTTGATTGCTACCTGTTACTATTTATTGCCTCATTGGTAGCGTGGATTCGAGCAGCAAATCAAGGCTCTTCTCTTCTATCAACAGTACAGGTAAGTATGGGCGAGCAACAACGGAGCGTCATCGGGACTTCTGAGGTCGGATCCTCATACAATAAATAGTAAGTACATTTTATATTCACGTACCATCAATGATGCAATACCAAATTGGCCCAAGGTAATATAAAATCAAGATACCAAATGCTACTCTGCCATCTGCAGGGAGGGGGCAGGGCTTCAACAAGTAAGTCACAGTAATCACGGCCATAGTGCGCAGTCAGCCGTCAATGCGATACCTACCTAGGTAATCTCTAAAAGAGCCCATCTAAAAATCATTTGATTCACCACAGATTACTACCGCATATTATAGTATTATGATATCATGAAGCTAACAGCAATTTAAAGTACATATGAATGTTGAAAAGCAAGGTCAAGACAAAGAACGTCACATATATACCCTACCATAAGACAATATCAGGTACACGATGACGGCCTACATTTAGACTTGAGAAGAATTCAAATTACAATACAATGACAGATATATCAAGACCACCGACAAAAGCTCAGGTGAATATCATCTAAACCAGACCTGGTTTTCCTGCCTAACAAGCAGCCATAATCGCCAAGGCCCTTCACCTGAGCAGGTTGAAGAACATAGTCACACGCTCATAGTCAACATCTGAACCGGGTGGCCCAGACTTGGGAACCCCCGTAGCCGGTCCCACGATAGCTTCCAAATCAATTCTAGTCATACCAGGATGAAGTTGAACATCATATGCAAGTGTGTTCGCATCACCAGAGGAGTGAAGCCGCTGCAGACCAACGAGCGCGACTATCTTCACCTGCCGCTGGGTAGTACTGGCTGCCAAGCGAGGCTTCACCGTGAGCAAGCTGTGCGACGCAGGAAGATTGACAGTGATATTTTGCTGCGAAATCCGCGAAGAAGGGGGTACATCTAGACGGAAACTATGCTGCAATGAGAGGGAGGCGTGTGAGACGATTTGAACGTTCTGGATCAAAGAGGTGCTTGCATCTAGGTATAAAAGTTAGCCCAAACCCAGGCCATTCACAGCGGGACCCCAACCTTGACCTGGTCGTCTCAAAAAAGAATCCGTAGGAGATGTACCGAGAGGTTGATGGAAGGAAATATGAGCTAAAATCAGGTTAGTATATTGGAAAATTCGAGTAAAGCCCGCTGATCTAGAGGCCAGCCAAAAAGCCATCAAAACAATTCACCTGAACTTGAAGAATGATGAGAGATCTCTGTTGCAGAAGCCTCCGCAAAAGTATCAGGAGAATCTTGTGAAGTTCCTGTCTCATTCTTGATTGGATTGGACATACCGCGTCCATTCGTCAAGCCCTGGTGCTGGTCTGCGCTATTCAGGGTGTTTGCTGCACTTGATTCGGGGCTCTCGACATTTCCCCGAAGGGACCTTGTTCGAGGAGACATGTTGGTATGTTGACCTATGGACTCAGTCCTGACGTGGCCTTGTTGGCGTGTCAGTAATTCTTCATCGACAGCGACACTGGATGATTGATGGTTGTTGTCCTTGAATGCAGTATCGGAAGCCTGCGCAGAAAGTTTCAAGGATAGCCTCTGCGCTGCCGGTTCTGGCATGCCTGTACCCATCTTCAATTTGATGCGAGGCATTTCGAGATTTCCATCCATCTGCAATTGGTCCGGTACAAGCTTTTTAGCCTCCGCAACCCGTTCTTTGAAATGACGCTACTCAAGTGTTAGAGAAAAGGACGTAATAAGTAATGTACAGTGCTGTAGACTTGCCTCCAAAATCCCAGCCAGGACAGAGATGTCGCTATCATCTTCATTATATTCTCTTGCATTTCGCCATATCCAGCCGACTTCCTCCTCGAAGGAGTTCCAAGTAGGATAGGCGGTTGCTCTTGATGAATTCTTTCTGCTGTCTGTCCCCCGGACTTTCTTCTGAATGCTCCTGAGAGAGACAGGGTGCTGAATAATCTCGTAATAATCCTTGTAAAGATTTCGATCTGGCTTTCCGATGAAAGGATAAGATACATCTTCGCCACTAGTGTAAGACATCAGTGTCCGCATACATATCGGATGACGGAGTGGGCCTTACTCAGAGTCCTTCAGCCGGGTTAATTCTGACATGATCTTGTCCTGCGCAGTTTGAAGGCTATCGCCCTCAAACCCAACCTCGGACTCGGCCTGCGATTCCGGGGTTTCATTCTCGTCAGCAGATGCTGGATCCGAGTCCAAATGCGACAGCGCCTGATTATTCACATCAGCACCGGTCAAATCATCATCCTGTTACATCCCAGACAGGGCCAATTAGCAAGCTAAACAGATGAGGCAAGGGGTTGACTAAGTGCGCGCGGTCAATAACAATATGATAGCCCACGCATACTGGGGTACTACCGGTCCAATTTGCCATACTGCGTGGGTATCACATTTGCCAACCAATACTCGATGGCATGGTAGGGCAAGTACTTACAGATATCTTTCGGCGCTTTGATACGCGCCTCACATCTGGTGAAGCTGCGGCAGCTGATCGCCGTTTGGAGCTCATCTCGGATTACTTATGATAGCGTTGCGAGTGGTAATAGGTCACACACTGAACATTAGAATAGAGAAGAGAGCCAAAGACACGCTTATGAGAGAGTTACAAGGAGAGATATGATACAAGGGGAGTCAATGACATAGATTCCTCGACTCGTGTGTAGACGCGTCTGATGCGATCATCCGGCTTAGTAAGGCTATCCCCAGCCGTACACCGCAGTATTTCGTGGTATTTCACAGTATGAGGCTGTATTTGAGTGTATTCACACACATATGACAGATTTCAACTCTATCAACATTGAATTTAAGAACAGAATAGAGATTTCTCTATGGAAGCCAGCTCATCACAAACCCCAGTGACTTGAACTGATCCGAGCAGAAACACATCTGATACACCGAAGATACAGTCACGTGTTTGACATCACGTGTTGCCCCTCACGTGCTGCGCGGGACAAGACACCTCAGGCAGCCAGTTGTTTCCCTTTCCCCCACTCTTCTCCCAAGTCCCGCAAAACAGTCCGGTGCTTGTTCTACACGCCTTCTTCTCTCCGCATCCTTCTCATTTTCCCCTCCTGACCCTCTCTTTAACGGTTTACCCCTCCATCCTCCAAAATTCTCTCGGGAGCTCAGTCGCTACACGCGAAAAAAAAATTGTTCAAATTGTAAGTTGTTCAGACACTCCCTCAGTATGGTAGTAGCTTGACAGTATACTGATGATGCATGTAGCTGATCGTATCCAGTCCCTCAATTTTATCCTGAAACACCAGACACCTTTTCCGATGGATATCGACTCAGCCAGGCGCAACAAGAAGCCGCGTCTCCTCTTGGAGTCTGAGCGCGAGAAATTAGACGAGTTTGTGGACTCAATTCATTATTCGGCCAGGTAAGCATATTGCCCAACTGGAGATGCAGCATTCCGCTCTAACTCTGCCGAAAAGATACAATGACGACAAATTCGAATACCGTCACGTTCAGCTTCCGAAGAACATGCTAAAGAAAATCCCTACGGACTACTTTGATAGCGCCAAGGGAACATTGAAATTGCTTTGGGAGGAGGAATGGCGCGCATTGGGTATCACACAGGTAGGTTGGATGTGAACCAGAGGACTTTGGTGTCGGACTAACAATATGCGCTTAGAGTTTGGGATGGGAGCATTATGAGGTGCATGAGCCAGAACCCCATATCTTATTGTTCAAGTTGGTACTGTCCAATTGTGCTTTAGAGTCTGTCACTGACCCGTTTATAGACGCCCTCTAAACTATCAACCACCCCTGCAACAATAATTTACTGGTTGCTGGCGTTACCTGGGACATTTGAAACCTTGAGAAGATAACTGTGTGGTCGCTTATGGCATGGAAATGCATTCGCAGTATGCTTACTAGGGTCCAAAAAAGCTTCGTAATTGAAGTTCTGGAATGAGACACCCTTTCATTTTCTCCTTTCCCATTTCATTGGAACGCTAGATCCTGGTCCTCTATGCTATCCACTAAGTACCAGCCTATTTCTCACAGACGCCTTGGCCCTTCCAGCGCTCCCCTCAAATCACGTTTCTGGTCAGCCATTCTTCCCACTGGGCGGCAGTGAAGCTGCTACTGATGCCACGTTCCTCTACTCCCTGGTCCTGGTGTCAGCACATTCAATATAATCACTTCGTTAAGCAGCCTTACATTGAAGAAAATGGTGGGCGAAACATGGACTCCCACTACTCGATCCGTCTGGTTGGTGTTAAAGAGGAAAGCAAATCACTCCAGTGGGCAGCGAGATAGATGCTTACCTTAACCATCCACTTGATGTCGTTGGTCACTTGGTTGCCCACATTCAATTGCCCATCGTCACCGGGTATCTCGCTAATCGTTAGCAAATCAAGTACTTTCTTCTCGTCTACCCCCACGTTGCCTGCAATTTTTGCCAATCGCTCGTATGTTTTATTGCGCGTTTCATTCACCACGCTGACATCGAAGAATTCAGCTTGGTGCCTGAAAAGCGCAGCACTGAAATCCCAGAATCTCTCAGGGGCGATTTTGAGAATAGCCGCACCAGCTTCATGAGTCAATGTGGATGATGGGTGCCACGGCTGTATATGTTGCCGAAATATAACCCGAAGCCGAGAGCCGTAGCGCTCAGCGATAATTGGCTTCAGCGAGTAGAACGTATTGAACATCTTGGCTGAGAACTAAGGGGAATCAGTATGATTTCCCAACCCATTTGCGTAATGTACTGACAGGGCAGACATAGTCAAGATCTATATGTTGGTACGGAGTACTTAGCTGGGTGATCTGTAATTTAGAGGGCTGACAGGTCTTACACATTTCAAGAGTATGAGGGGTCTCTTCGGATGCACCAAGTAGCTTAAGCCCAGCGAAAATAGGAGGCACAGACATTATGTTGAAGAGTTGACACGATGGATGAAAGGTGAAGACATCAGCAATGAGGGGCTACCGATTATAAATGTTCCAAACTCCCCACACGTCATCCAACATCACTTGTACTATCAAGACATTGGTTTGCTTTGATTTCGTTAAGTATGTACATAGTAAGCAGCCCCGTAGAATAGATCATCTGCGACAGAAGACACTTTATCAATGAACTTTCATGCATTTTATGTCGTTGATACATGTCGTTCAACTTCCGAGTGCACGTTGTCTCCTCATGTTCAAATCCTTTAGTGTCATCTCCACTGCTCGCCATTCACGCTTGGCTGGATCATACTCGCCCCGCACCTCAAACCTACAAAATCCATTGGGTCCCTTTAGCCCAACCGGTCCTGCAACAAAGAAAGCACCTCGACGAGCAGATCCTGGTGTTTGAGATCGCTCATTGTTCAGCCGTATGTTGAATGCCTTTGATGCCAAATACAAATCTGATCCCGGGCTGAGGTCGGGTAACGGCAACCGCTGTAAAAGAGATATGAGTGAGGATGGGTGATAATTGGAATTTTCGGTGTTGGGTGGCATATTTTCTTTAAAACCATCCGTCATAGGTGTTTGTATGTTGGATTCTTCCTGTTGACTGGTCCAGTTTCCTGTATTTTGACCAGGCATGGCGGATGGGTCATTTAAGAAATCCAGTGTGTCCAGCGGTTCTCCCTTAGATTTCCTTAGGCGGTCAAGTTGCCGTAAAAGTAACACCAGATATGCATCTCTGATTGCAAGTACCATATGGACTGGCTTCATAAAGCTTTGTAGCCTGTCACCCACATCGGGGTGCATTGGCTTAGTGACCCACGATATGCTGTTATCTTTGATTTCGAGTCTGGCTACCATCAGTGACTGATCAATACATCGTCCGGTGTTGTGAGTAAATACCCTGATCGCACATATCCCGGAGGGGCACGGTTTGGAAACTGGTGAACAAGCCAGAAACCCGTGATAGAGAGTGGCCCCCCGAGTACTTGCGACATCTGACTTTCTGCACCTTCTAGGACAATCGTTGCAAGTTCATCTAGATCCATAAGCTGGTGAAAATGGTTGGTATGCGACACATTTCGTACCTCTTAATTTTTGAAGCTTCTTTCGATCCTTAGATATTTTGACAAATGTTTGCCATTCCTGATCAGATGTGGTGTATAGCTCGCCTTTTTGTAATCTGGACCAAGCAAGCGGTATGAACAGTGCGTCCTCGTCTTCAACTCTTTTCCCGTTTTGGTTGCCATTTCCTCGAGGGGTATGGCGCGAAGTATCTTTTATTGGTTCAGGAACAGTGGATTGGCCTGCAGATTGATCTGTGGATGAGTCTGTATCATCATTATCACTGTCAAATCGGACTAGCACGAATGTGCTCCATAAGTGGAATGCGGTGCCATAAAGCAGACATTTGGAGATGAACGACCTAGGGAGTTTTACATTAGTATGACTCAAGGGTGATTCAGCCAGTAGTAGGATGAGAAAAAGCTGTTACTCACCTGATCCAAGGCCGCTTGAACTTCACATGTTGGACGCTCGGTGATGCTAGGAAGTTGGGATGAGCATGACGAGATCGAAAGCGGAACAAAGACGGGCGCGCTTCAGAGTTTCGAAACAGATACCTGAACCGGAGCATTGGGAACAGCCAGTCCAAAAAAGATTCTCACTCGAGAATCATCTCAATCTCAGAAGAAGAAAAGGTTGGATCCGTGATGCGCTGCGGGATTCCGCCGTGTCGGGATCAGTGGCTTATGTAACGTTCCCAGTCACCACCTGGACAGCAGAGGTACCTCGTTAGGCTAGCTCAAGTATGTATGCAAATATTATGCATTGATGTACCAGGTATATTCAAAGAAACTAAGCCTGAAGGTAAGGCATAGCAAAATACGTAGAGATAGAAGAAGTACACAACATTGAAACGAAGTATTGTTGACGTACGGCCACGTGATATCTTATCGGAGGGCCAGACTTCCACCAGCTAACGGACTTCTATCCTTGTTCTCCTCTACCTACGGTTATACAACAAAGGCAAATCAATTTTTTGAGAGGGATATCTTGATGTGGCTATCGCCACGCCTGCCACAATAGTCATCTTTTACCCTCCCCTAACCTCCTGACTTTCTTCAACATGCGTTGGCTATCTACCTTTCTTGCCCTGGCAGTAACAGGTGCATTGCAGGTGAATGCGTTGGAAGCTTCAATTTTCGGCCTCCCTTCGAGGGCTTCAGGAATTCACAATGCCGATATCAAGCAACAATCGCTGACTGAAGAAGAGGCCCAACTTGTTCTGGGGCTCCGCATGAAGTCGTCTGTCGCATCAGTCCTTGGAATGGTGGATACAGAAACTGTGAATCACTTGAATCAGTTTGCCAAAGCTGATACTACTCTGTTTGGAGGTGTTGGTGAAGATTTTGCCCCCGGAAGAAATGTTTACATTCTAGAGGGGGTGGATGAACGAGTTGGTAAGTGTTTAACTGCAAGTTGGCACACCTGAAGGTCATTGGCTAAATTATAGTACCTGTCTCTTCAGCCATGAGTATGCGAAAACTTCAACCGAAACATGTCCTTGTCCCTAAGATATCCTCAACATTCGTGGGGACAGACCTGATGGGATCGTTTATCGAAAGCACATATAGCGTGACTGGGGACCGTGGTCAATACTGCACATACTACGATAACGATGCTAGCAAGTCCACATCAACAAACTCCCAGGTAATTTGATCTTTATCACAGTATTTTTGATCCACTGCTAACCTTGGAATTATGTTCCGCCAGACCGCTAAAGGCTGCCTGTCCAAGGATCCTATACTTTCCCGTGGCTCTGGACTTTTTGACCAAGATTTCCTTGAACTTATTGACTCTGTGGGAACGTGGACCAGTAAGAACCGAGATCACTCTGTTTTGAAGCTTTATCTTAAGGTATTTGGCCTCCTCGAACCATTAGAGCGCAAGTTCTAAACACATCAACCACAGACCGTCTCCGATGACTCGCTTCTTTTGAACGTGAACAAAGCTCTTGAGTCATTGATTCTCCAACTGGCCCAGATTTCGTCAACCGGCGAGCGTGAAATCACACTTGTCATTTTAACTCCTGGTCTTCAGTCAAACCCGCTTGGTCACCAAGATGTGAACCAGCGTTTTGAACCCACAGGAAAGCAAGATACTTTCAAACGGTCTACTCAACCGTTACAGTCAACTTTAGCACCTGTCTGCTACGCTTCAAATTCGTCATGCGCCGAAGCCACCAACAACTGCTCTGGACACGGCTTCTGTTACCTGAAGTTTGGCTCAGGTGCCGAAGGAACCACTGGAAACTGTTATGCATGCCAATGTCAACAAAGCACTATAAGAAATAGCGATGGCACGACCAAAACAGTGCAGTGGGGTGGCTCGGCTTGCCAAAAGCGAGATATCAGCTCACCGTTCTTCCTTATTGCGAGTGTCAGTCTTCTAGTCATTGTGCTGGTCGGCAGTGCCATTGGAATGCTCTTTAGCATGGGCTCACAGGAATTGCCCAGCGTCATTAGTGCTGGTGTAGGGGCCCCCAAGACACAGATGTGAGGATGTTGAAACATGAATGACCTGGTGGAGCTTTCGTCTGAAGGCTAGTACGTTGTATTATGTGTGCCATGTTCCCCTAAATTCAAGCCAGATTTGTTATAGTTCAAGGCAGTTCAAACTGAAGCTTATATATCCAGCGAAATTGATAAAAAAGAAACTGTCAGACTCACCTGTAAGTTTTGCTACTGTTCATTTCAATATACAGTATGGAACACGCTGATTACAAGCAATCTGAGAAAATATTGCAATATTGCAACTCCACCACTGTTTATATAGACAAGAACTGACACGGAAGTACTGAGTATTGATCGCGCTACGGGTAAATGGTGTCGTAGCAAGAAATACGTTGAGAGATAGAGCGAAATATTAAATGTCCGGATACCAAAAAAGAAAATCACGAGAAGTATACGCCCCAATCCTAGTTCCCCGCCAGTAGATAAATTACACATATCATGTCATAAACAATGAAAGCTCCAGCCAACATTCCAGATGTCGTTCCAGCTTGGATAAAAACACACAGAGAAGGGTACTCCGCGCACGAACAGGGTGTGGAGTATGAAAAAAAAGGGTAGCGAATAAACGTCAGGTCGTGCCAGCTTCCAGCTGGGCAGGTGTACGTCGATCCGCAGTGATAGTCTCCGGAGATGAGGGTGCAATGTTAGGTGGCAGTTGAGGCTCTCTAGAAGAGAAGCGGGAGGAAAACTGCCGCAGACGAGCTGGGACAAATCGTGGCCAGGAAGACTGATTTGGCCGTTCTGATTCCCCGAGCTCATCCCGGCTCCGCTGCGGGCGTACTTCTCCGCGCGGTGATCTCTCTCGTTCATGCGAGGTTGTTTGAAACATTCGACCCGGCAAGATCATATGTACCCGGAACCCAGTTTCCCGACTTCGATTACGGGCAGCCCGAGGCGGTCTGAGAATTGCGTCGGCGCGGATGGAGGAGATAAAATGTCCGTGCCGATCAGTGCCGGACTGTGTCTCTGTCTGCGCACGGGGCTTAGGAACATAGTAATCGGCTTTGCACAGGGGACAACAAGCTCTTCTACTCGTCAACCAGGGGTCAACGCATGAGGCATGGAAAGCATGCCCGCACGTCAGTCCCCGGATATCGTCATCATCCTCAATGATATCCAGGCAAATGGCACAGGAATCGCCAGGGTTGGGTAAAAGGTCAGTAGGAACGGCTTTCTGGATCGGATCGCCATCATCTTCGTCTTCAATGTCCATGTGAACGCCGTCGTTAGATAAGGTACGCTCCTCCTCAGTTGTACCAGTGGCCTGATCAATTGAAGAAGTTTTCGGCACCGTGTGTATCTTCTCGTCCGACGACTGGGCTGGGTGACCAAGAGACATATCTTGGGAGATAGTTTGTGACGCGTGAGATTCAGAACATTCATGGACTTTGGATTGCGATAATGCGGGCGCGGAAATATCCACCGTTTTTGTCACAACCTCCTCGCTGTCTTTTAGGCTGGGAGGCTTGCCGCTGAGAGCAGTTATGCCTCCTTCAGTGGGAAGACCTTGGTTTGCGCGAGATGACCGCCACACTTTGTATTTGACCAGTGGAAATCGTTCGTTCACCTCATCCATTGTCATCAGCTTTTTCTCTCTCCTCCTCCGATGAGCCCGTGGCATTGCGGCTAGATCTATAGGTTCTCCAGTTTCTTCGCTGCGTAGCTGACGGTTTCGTTGGTTGTATCGAAAGCAGTACTTGACGCCAACGATAATCCTGTAATAAAAGTCAGATTCCAGAAGACGCGGAGGGCTGAGGCAAGGGGTAAAAAGGAAGCAACATACCATAGGTTTGTGAAGACGACGCCGAAGCCGAGAGCGACAAAGAACAGTAAAGGCGAGCTTGTAGCATTGTTCGAACCTGCTCCCTGGCCGCTATTTGCAGCAGTAGTAGTGGCTGCGCTAACTGAAGCCGTTGTCGTAGACATTTTGATCAGCGATAAGGAGAATCACACGATCTGGGTTGAGTAAATCCACTCAAATCTTAGCCCTCAAATCAATACTTCATGCCTCGCACCCAAAGGCCCTAGGATGTTTTTTTTTCTTCTTTTCCTTTGCGCCAAATCTCAGGATGGATTTGATTTCAACCTTTCGAATGTCGTTATAGGGGTTCGGTGTTCGAGACTTTGAAGGTTACCATGAGCGTACTTGGTAACTAAAATTGAAGACAGCCCATGGAAGATTGACCATAAGCAATACCCACCGAACTTCCTGGGAAGAGAAAATGGAAGCCTTCAATAACATATCACCTCTCAAATAAGCAGGCTAAAGGTGAGTAGGAGAGAAAAGCAAAGAGGAGAGAGGCTCGTAATGGGATGCATGCGGGGGGTCACGGGACTGGACTGTCGCTAGTACCTGTGAATGATATGAGCGGTAGCAGTATAAGAGAGGTACCAGCTACCACCTCACGTATAAAAAAAAAAAAAAGCTTGAGGGGGTGAGACAAAAGGTCTCCTGTTGAGCTAACCCAGGTTAACCCCAAGGTTTTCTATGTTCAAAACATATCTAGATTGTCAACCTCCTTTCTTCCACACCCCTTTCATCATTCACTATGGATCCAAACCCTGTGAACCCCGTGGTTTTCTTTGATATTGCCCTTGGGGGTATGTCCCTCCCCCCTTCTTTGAACCCTGTTTCTTGATCCTTACATGTTCTGCTAGGTGAATCCCTTGGGCGAGTGAAAATGGAATTGTTTGCAAACGTCACCCCACGAACAGCAGAGAATTTTCGCCAGTTTTGCACCGGGGAAAGCAAGACCCCTAAAGGCCAACCTCAAGGCTACAAGGGAAGCAAATTTCACCGAGTGGTATGTTTGGAACCCACCTGTTTCATAGACAGCAAACTAAGTGTCACAGATCAAAGACTTCATGATCCAAGGTGGGGATTTCATCAATGGCGACGGAACTGGATCCTGTACCATTTACGGCACCTCCAAATTCGCCGATGAAAACTTCACACTTACCCATGACCGAGCGGGTCTATTGAGCATGGCAGTAAGTCTTCTCTCTCCGGCTTCCAGAGTGTTGGCTGATAAGTAGTAGAACTCGGGTCCAAACACCAATGGCTGCCAGTTCTTTATCACAACTACAGCCACTCCGTTCCTGAACAACAAACATGTTGTTTTTGGCCAGGTGATTGACGGAATGGACATTGTTCATATGATTGAAAACACTCGTACGAGCAAGGAAAAGCCTAACCAAGATGTAACGATTGTGCAATGTGGAGAGATGTAAGAAAGAAAGAAAGAAAGAAAGAAAGAAGAAAGCATGAAACAGGAAGCAAAAAAAAACAACAACCAGCGTTATGTTGATGCCACAAAACAGCTAACGTTATGTACTACTATTACCTGCAATTTGACCGACTGCTAGAACCAGGCCACATGGATAGACTTGAAAAACAAAACAGGAAAATATATCAATTTCCGGTGCTAATAAGATGACTTTTCGACATTTCATAATTTGCACCCCCCTCCCTCACGCCTAGAAATTGGACTAAAGCTTGAACTTGCTCAAATAGTCTGAAGCCAGAGAAATGGCCTCCTCAACTTTGTCGGAGTTTGTACCATTTCCAATAGAAGTGGGCCCCTTTCCACCAGCCTTTCCTCCCACGGCATTAGAGACAACGGCTGCCCAGTCACTCGCCGATGCACCTTGGGTGCTCAATTCCTGGCTCTGAATTAGTATGCAGATCAAGAAAGGTAAGATTCTCGCAGAAAGATGGGTGTTGACTACTCACCTGTGAGATATAACAGCCATGCGAGACCCGACCTTGCTCAGCGTCTGCCGCCAAGAGATAAACACTTTTTCCTTGCAGCTTCGACTTGACATGGTTGATAGACTCGCTCACAGCCTTGGCGTTGGCCGAAATGGGAAGCCGAACCACGAGCCACGACTTGTCCTTGTTTTCTGGGGCTTCAAAGTAGGAGGTGATGGTATCAACTGCCTTCTTGGACTCCAGTTTTTGTTGGGCCTTTTGGCCATCGAGAACCTGCTTATTGATCTTGGCAAAGCGTTCTCTGAACTTGGCTTTCTCGACGGCGGAAATTGCAAGCTGGTTAAGGTCGACCTGAACCTGCTTGGCCTCTCGCTCCTTTTCGGCACCCAGTGGCAATGCGTTTAACCGATCGAGGCGCTTTCCAAAGTCCTGAGCAACTCGCTGGACTTCATGGGCCTCCTCTCCGGTGACGGCAATGATCCGTCGAATGCCCTTAGCGATACCGCTTTCTTCCAGAATAATCAAATCCTTGATATCGCCCGTTTTCTGGACATGGGTTCCACCACAGAATTCAATGCTAACTTCCTGCCAGCGTGGATCCTTGACATTTTGCAGAATTTGTTCCAATTCCACACCAACAGAGACAACACGAACAGGATCGGGGTAAGTCTCACCGAACACAGCTCTGACTCCAGAGATTTCCTGAGCAGTGGCGAGAGGGACTTCTTTGGAGTAGACGGTGCAGTTCTGTCGGATGTATTCAGTCGCCTTTGCCTCAACTTTCTCAAGCTCAGCGTCGGAAATTGCAGTTTTGTGTGAAAAGTCAAAGCGAAGCTTTTCAGCGGCCACAAGGGAGCCCTTCTGGTCAACGCCATCGCCTAAGATCTCCTTCAAGGCGAAGTTCAAAATGTGGGTACCAGTGTGGTTGTTTCGGATGGGCCAGCGTCTGAGCTCATCGTATTCGCAAATAACAGAATCGCCGACGGCGAATGATCCGTATTTCATAAAGCCAGTGTGAAGAACGTATCCAGCATACGACTGCACATCGCCAACTTCAAGCTCCGCTTGTCCATCAATGATAATCTTACCAGTGTCATTTTCCTGGCCACCCTGCTCGGCGTAGAAGTTTGTGCAGTCGAGAATAACACCAAGCTGCGCTCCCTCGGGGACACTGTCAGTATTATCATAGAAACTCTTGGCATGATAGATGGCCTTGACATGAGCTGTAATATTGCCTCGGCCAAATTTTGCAGAGTCGTCAGTCTTTTGGACGTCATTCATCTTTTCCAGCTTTCCTAGATCGTGGACATCAAGCTTGACGGTATTTTCGGCGGCCTTCTTTTGGCCCTTGCTAGCCTCCTTTGCCTTCAAACGGGCTTCTTCAAACTCAATGTCATCGATGCGAAGGTTACGCTCCTCGGCCATGATGCGAGTCAAGTCAACAGGGAAACCAAAGGTATCGTACAGTCTCCAAACATCGGCACCATGGAGTTTGTCGGTGCCCTTGACCTTGGCCTGCTGGGCATATTGTTCGAACTGACGCTCACCCCGGTCCAAGGTTTTAGCAAAAGATAACTCTTCCTCATCCAAGATTTCAATGACATCTTGTTGTTTGCGCTTGAGTTCGGGGAACATATCACCCAACTGGTCCACAACGGTCGGGACCAGCTTGGCAAAGAAGTTTCCAATATCAACTTGGAAGTACTTGCGGGCATAACGAGCTCCGCGACGCAGTACACGGCGAATGACATAGCCACGACCCTCGTTGTTGGGAATAACACCATCCGAGATAGCAAACATCAAGGTTCGCACGTGGTCAGCAACAACACGATAGGCAGTGTCAATGCCGTCAGTGTCGTCAGCACCAAAGTTGCCACGGTATTCGCGGGCCCCGGTGACATCTTGAATGGCCTGAAAGATGGGAGTGAAAACATCGGTATCATAGTTGGAAGACTTGTCCTGGAGAATCGACACCAGTCTCTCGAAACCCATTCCAGTGTCAACGTGTTTGTTGGGAAGAGATCGCAGAGAGCTATCAGCCTCGCGGTTGTACTGGATAAAAACGTTGTTCCAGATCTCGAGCACATTTGGGTCGTCTTCGTTGACAAGGTGAGCAGCGTTACGTCCACCGATCCGATCATAATGGACTTCACTGCAAGGGCCACAAGGGCCTTGGTCGCCCATTTCCCAGAAGTTGTCTTTCATATCACCGGGAAGAATATGGGATTCGGGAACACCAACGGACTTCCACAGCTCTTTGGCCTCCAGATCCGGTTCCAGCCCACCTGCTTCATTGCCCTCGAAGTAAGTGACATATAGACGATCGGGGTTCAGCCCGTAAACCTTGGTGAGAAGAGTCCAGGAGTATGTGATTGCTTCTTTCTTGAAGTAGTCGCCAAAACTCCAGTTGCCGAGCATCTCAAAAAACGTCTAGAAATTCGCATCAGTAAATGTGTTTTCTTTTTCAAAATAGGTTTGATATTTCCCCGGAACTCACATGGTGGTAACTGTCCTTGCCCACATCATCCAGATCCTGCACACGACCAGTCAGTATACCGACGCCACTCCATAAACCGACACAGGGACACCGACATTATGTTTACCACCGGCACGAAGACACTAAATATCCAGATCAGCCATAGTTCCCCATTGCAATCTTTGAGCGCCGTGGCAAAGCTTGAATACCTTTTGCGAGTTGGTGGCGCGCTTCAGCTTTCCAAAGTCCGACGACGGGTCAACGGTACCCAGGAAGATGGATTTAAACTGATTCATGCCAGCATTGGTAAAAAGAAGAGTCGGATCCGACAGAGGAGCGACGGGGGACGAAGGTACTGTGTGCCATTTTCGAGTCAGTCTATGTGGCGGGGGGTGGAGGGGTACTGCGAAAAAAGAACTCGCAGGTGGTTCCTACCAAAGGTGTGACCATTTTGCTTAAAATAATCCAAGAAGGTTTCTCGGACTCGCAGAGCGGTCCATTCAGAACCATCGGAGGTCATTTTGACTGGGGGGTGGTTGGTTGACAAGGAGTGAACAAAACGAGGGTAGAAGGTTCTGGGGTGGTTTCGAAAGATGTGAGTCAAGGCCTCCCCGTTCCTCACCATCCCAGAAACCCGCATTGAGCGCGCCCTTTCAAGAATGACCCCCGAGACTGTGTACTGGGGACTGTGTACGTCTTAGACCCGAGGCAGTTGATTTCTCTCCTTTTTTTACAATGGAGGAAGTCCGCGGGAAGAAGCGCCCGGCCCAATGTGATCCCGATGGCGCGCAACCGTTGACAAAGAGGTTCGGACGCTTGCGAATAGGTGAGTAGAGAGAGAGACAGAGAGAGAGAGACCACCTTTGGTCAGGTTCAAAGTTGACACATTCCTAGATAGTTTGCCAATCTCCGCACGGGCAAAAGGGGAAGACGGAAAGGAAGATATGATGCTGCTGGATGACACTCGACATACAACCTACATACACAACTTGGACCAAGAACTGGAAGGTGATTCTTCCGATGGGCTTATATTCTCGCCCCTTGCTACAAAGTTGCTTTCAGTGCCTACATCGGTTCTATCTTCCCAACCATCGGGAAAAGAGCTGGTTCTCTACACAGAACCGGCATCCCTTACAGTACCCAAGGACCGAGATAATATACGCAAAGCGATTCTGGAATCACGGGCACGAGCCAGAACCGAGAGTCAGGATGCGACTCACGAACCGAGTCCGAGTGTGAATCCAAGTCGGAACCCGAGAGAAGAGAGAGACGAACCAGACCGAAATGAGATATGTGATGCCATGGAGATTGACAACACTTAGCGATATAGCACGGAGAGGTGTACATTAGTGCATTGGGAACATAAGCGACGGAACCAACGTAGATATAGCACGTTAATACATACCCACATCCTGACAGTCAGTTGGGTCTCTCCGGGTTGGTCTATCCAGGTGGTTATACACTTGGACTCCGAGTCAATTCGTGGGAAGCCCTCGCACGTGATTCACCGCTCCCGAAAAATTTTCTGGGTTTTTGTGGCTCCGATTAAATATGCACTCGGGTTGATAAAAAATTTCCTCTTTCCCCCACCATCCCTCTCTTTCCCATTCCTCCCATTTACTATCCCCTTATTTCATAATGGCCGACATTGAGGTCTTCGACGGTGCCGTCGGTATCGATTTGGGTGAGTTTCTTGCCTCAATTATGTGAACGCACAACTAATCTATATTTTTAGGTACCACCTACTCTTGCGTTGCCAACTACGAGGGTACCAATGTCGAGATCAGTATGTTTTTTTCCCCCTCGAGAATTTTCTCCAGCTGAAAACTGACTCTGTGTGATCAGTTGCCAACGACCAGGGTAGCTACACTACCCCCTCCTTCGTCTCTTTCACCGACAAGGAGCGTCTGATTGGTGATGCCGCCAAGAACCAGGCCGCCATGAACCCGGCCAACACCATCTTCGATATCAAGTGAGTTCTTGAAATTTGGCGCCTGTTTTTCCGATTCATGCGCATTCCCCACAATTTCTGTCCTGGATTTTGGTCTGACTCGGAACAGGCGTTTGATCGGTCGCCGCTACGAGGACCCCATCGTTAAGAAGGATGTTGAGTCCTGGCCCTTCAAGGTCATCGACCAGGGTGGCAACCCCGTTGTCCAGGTCGAGTACCTCAACGAGACCAAGACCTTCTCCCCCCAGGAGATCTCCTCCATGGTCCTCATGAAGGTAAGACGAAACATGCAGTACATGTATATATAGGAAATACTTTACTAATACATCCCAACAGATGAAGGAGGTTGCCGAGGTCAAGCTCGGTAAGAAGGTTGAGAAGGCCGTTATTACCGTGCCTGCTTACTTCAACGACAACCAGCGTCAGGCTACCAAGGATGCCGGTGCCATTGCTGGTCTTAACGTTCTCCGTATCATCAACGAGCCTACCGCTGCCGCTATCGCCTACGGTCTCGGCTCCGGCAAGTCTGACAAGGAGCGCAACGTCCTCATCTACGATCTCGGTGGTGGTACCTTCGATGTGTCCCTGCTGAACATCCAGGGTGGTGTCTTCACCGTCAAGGCCACCGCTGGTGACACTCACCTTGGTGGTCAGGACTTCGACACCAACCTCCTTGAGCACTTCAAGAAGGAGTTCCAGAAGAAGACTGGCAAGGACCTCTCCGGTGATGCCCGTGCTCTCCGTCGTCTCCGTACTGCTTGCGAGCGTGCTAAGCGTACTCTGTCCAACGCCACCCAGACCACCGTTGAGATTGACTCTCTCTTCGACGGTGAGGACCTCAACTCCTCCATCACCCGTGCCCGTTTCGAGGACCTCAACGCCAAGGCCTTCTCCGGCACTCTGGACCCCGTCCAGCAGGTCCTCAAGGACTCTGGTATGCCCAAGAACAAGGTCGACGAGATCGTCCTTGTCGGTGGTTCCACCCGTATTCCCCGCATCCAGAAGCTCCTGAGCGACTTCTTCGATGGCAAGAAGCTCGAGAAGGTAAGTCATATCCCTCCTAACCGGTCAATCTCCATCAACTCACATCTCTCATAGAGCATCAACCCCGATGAGGCTGTTGCCTACGGTGCCGCCGTCCAGGCCGGTATCCTTTCCGGCAAGGCCACCTCCGCTGAGACCCAGGACCTCCTCCTTCTGGATGTTGTTCCCCTCTCTCTCGGTGTCGCCATGGAGGGCAACATCTTCGCCCCCGTCGTTAACCGCGGCCAGACCGTCCCCACCATTAAGAAGCGTACCTTCACCACTGTTGTCGACAACCAGCAGACCGTCCAGTTCCCTGTCTACCAGGGTGAGCGTACCAACTGCGCTGACAACACCTCCCTCGGAGAGTTCACCCTCGCTCCCCTCCCTCCTATGCGTGCCGGTGAGGCCGCTCTTGAGTGTGTCTTCGAGGTTGATGTCAACGGTATCTTGAAGGTTACTGCCACTGAGAAGACCTCCGGTCGCACCGCCAACATCACCATTTCCAACGCTGTCGGCAAGCTCTCCAGCGCTGAGATCGACCAGATGGTTGACGGTATGTTACTTTCATCTTATGTTCATGTTTGATTTCATACTGACCAACCCTATGTAGATGCCGCCAAGTTCAAGACCAGCGACGAGGCCTTCACCAAGAAGTTCGAGTCTCGCCAGCAGCTCGAGTCTTACATCTCCCGTGTTGAGGAGATCGTCTCCGACCCCGGCATGTCCATGAAGCTCAAGCGTGGCAACAAGGAGCGCATTGAGTCCGCTCTCAGCGACGCCATGGCCCAGCTCGAGGTTGAGGACTCCACCCCCGAGGACCTCAAGAAGAAGGAGCTCGCCCTCAAGCGCCTGATTACCAAGGCTATGGCCACACGGTAAATGCATCCATGATATACATGGGAAGACATGAACATAGACTTACGGCCAACGAATTTTCCTCTTTCCCGAGACACTACTTCTCAGGGAATCTGCACCATCTAGACCTTGGTCAGAGTTGGTCTCTGTCATGCTTTGTTTAAGCCGGGCAACTTGGGCGCAGTTTTCTTTTCTTGAAAAGTATGATTTGTTTTGTTTTTTTGTAGACGAAGGTCGCCAGTTGCAATTTAATGACATTGTGATGATTTCTTCATACTTTTCCTCGTAGTCGTAGACAACGGTGGGTGCGTTTAGGGCCAAGGCGGCGAGGGAGGAAATGCAACCGCAGAACTTCGTGCGTCCTCGCTCCAATTTCTTTCACACCAATTGCTTTCGTCATGCAACGTATTTTTTCCCAATCATGTCGCTATGGCTGTTCTCGCCTTGAAGTCGCACGCCCTTTCAACTCTCGGCCGTGTCTTTTGCCTCGGGTTCAGTGCTCAGTTCCTCTGAGCAAGCGTAATTTTGCAAACTCCGCTGCGCTGTACAAAAAGAAGGACAAGGTCAAACAGAATTCTGCTCCTGAGCCTAAGGAAACTCCTAGCCCTGCTAGCTCTGCCCAAGATCCATTCGACCTCTCTCAACTGCACAGTGGCATTTCCACAACCGTGGCTCGGCTCAAGGATGATCTATCTAAGCTTCGCGCCGGAGGGCGGTTCAATACCGCTATTCTGGAGAACTTGAAAGTCCAGCTGAGCAAGGAGTCTAAGGAATCCGTCAAGCTAGGAGACCTGGCTCAGGTTGTACCCAAGGGAGGACGGATGGTCACTCTCTTGGCCGCAGAGGAGGATGTGAGTTTCAAGGCCGACGTTCACTCAGAATCGAAACAGTGCTAATATCTTGCGCAGCACATCAAACCTTTGACTTCTGCTATCATATCCTCAAACTTATCCTTGACACCGCAGCCCGATGCCCACAACGCCCTCCAACTCAACATTCCCATTCCACCGCCCACAAAAGAGTCTCGGGACAAGAATATTCAAACTGCCAAGCAAGCATTTGACAAAGCCGCTATCTCATTGCGTGACTCTAGAGGGGCGATGCACAAACGTCTCCAGGACTTACAGAAGAAGAAATTAGCCCGACCAGATGATGTGCGCAAAGCTCATGACCAGATGGAGAAGGTCACAGACCTGGGGCATAAAGATCTCAAGGATGCATTTGAAGCGGCCAAAAAGACTTTGGAGCAGGTATAAATCTATTGGCTAGCTAAAAAAAGACAGTGTTGGTGAAATAATGACATTGTAACATGTAACATAGGTACAGCCATAATCGGGGGAAGAGATAGATGAAAAAATAAACCAAACAAAACTATATAATACAAGTCACATCGACCACTAGTCCTCGTATAGTATCAGGCACGCTTGTTGCCGCTAGAGACAAGAGATTCGAGCTTGGCCATGAATTGAGAAGTTTTCCCAGTTGTATGGTATGTGCCATTGTTCATGAGATTCCTTGTCACCTCGCTCAGTACAGCATGTCCCTCCTTCTTAGCCTCGACCACAGGGTATTTTCCCTGCACGAGTGTTTCCATCAGAATTTTGGTGTTCTCCGCAGTGATGGGGCGGAATTCAACAGTGCGAGGCTCCACAAGGTCACCCTTGCGCTGTGAGATCTGGTCTGCACGACGCTGAGCCAATCGCTTAGTCTCCTCTAGAGCCTCAGCCTTCTCGGCCTCGCTGCTGAAAAGAACATTTTGACCCTTCCAGAGGCGTCTTCCAAGCTCATGCGGCGCGACATAGCCATTGGCGTAGCGACCGCTAAGACTGACAAGCTTCTCGTAAACGGCAGCTGAGCGTGACTTCGTGTCCATTGGAATTGAAGGCCAAGTCTCCCTCAATGTAGCGTAAGTGATGCCCTGAGGCTCATAGCGAATAGGAACGGGCCGGTCTTTCAAGATGTGCTCTTGCTGAACGGCCTCAATGGCAGCCTCTTCGGCCGCGACGGACTCGGCATTGAAGGAACCTTTGTCCGAGCGCTGGATCTTTCGCGGTCCCTTAACCTTAGCAGAGGGTTTGCCTTTGCCTTTCGGGCCCTTGTTGCCGCCACGAGCGGTGCGCATTCTCGGGCTACGAATGATCTTGGGCTGGTCTCCACTGGTAGCTTTGGATGCGGCAAACGATCTGGCATCAACCACTCGGGCAGGACGAGATTGATTCTGGTTGGGACGAGCATGAGGGCCATTAGGTTGGCGAGGCTGGCGGGGGCGTGCGTCTGATGAAGGACGAGCGTTGGGCTTTGCGTCTAATATGGAATTTCAGGTTAGATATGACACTTACTTATTTACTCGGACCCTCTCTTATGACTTGTACTCACCGAATGGTTTGGTTTGATCATCAGCAGCCTGTGTCCGGGAACAGGAGAACGGCCGAACAGGCGCGTAAAGACCAAATCTCGCACGTTCACATTGCAGAGTAATCTGCCTGATCTGTGGCCGAATCATCTTGGACAGTCAATTAACCAGGTTGTGTGCCTGGAGCGTTGGGTATCGGGGTCAAAACTGTCGACGGGCTTCAAACGCGGAAATCTTGACGGATGTAATCACGTGACCCGATGCTCACCTACCTCTCCATCACCTCCGTCCTTGATTCAGCGGCATACGCTCTGACCGTCAAAATGCTTCGCCGAAAGCCAACTGCTATTGCAGTCACATCCGAGGATCTTGCTGCATTTGAGGAAGCACGACTTCGCAAATTGTCCGAGGAAAACAAGCACCCGGAGCAGCACGCCAAGGGATCCTCCAATGCGAATTTCGACCCAAGCGATGAGTTGAAGCCACTTCCAGGTGACAAGGCCAGGATCGTGCGGTCACGCGAAGAAAGAATCGGCATTGGACGACGTGGTTGATTAGCCACAACGAGACCGCTACATGACCACAATCTATTTCCATGTTGATACGAAATATCCCACCCACGATACAATGAATCGAAGACACCTGATTGCATTTGCTGTCTCTTTGGCCATGTGTTCTACCAGATAAAGTCAAAGAGACAGGACACAGAACCCTGGAGAGACGGTCCTTTCCAACATCCCGCACATGCACTATATCCTTCTTCCTATTCGGACACATAAATCGCAGCAAGGATCAGACACGGTCCCATTACAGCTCCAGATAGCGAAGACGAACTGATTGAATCGACCTCTTATCTATCCACCCTCCAGCGAGCTCTTCAATGGTTGACGCCTGACAACACCCACTGTCTTGTCCGTGCACTGTCCTATGGACTTCATAAATAGAATGCAATTGTTCGATAGACGGATGATATGAGCCAACAATTTATTAATGATCACACCCAGGCTCGCAAATCATGTTGTTAAGCGTGCAGTTTTCGTTTCTCCATCCTTCTCTTAGTCACTGATCCCCGTTGTAGATTCGATGATCCATGTCCGCCTTTTCAAAAGAGGCTGATTATGGGCGATAAGTCTCTGGGCTGTGGATACTGTTTCCTGTGCTCTATACCGAAGTATTGTACGATTTCTACACAGCGGTCCCGGCTAATAATACTTTTATCAACTTGGTCTTCTGCATAGTATGTTAAATGCCAAGATTAATCCAAACCTTGCTTGGGACAACTCATTGATTATCTTTGTTGTATGCCCTGAATTTGGTGCGATGTAGCCTAACATCCTGGTCCCCAGATACTTTTCCAGGTATAAAACATGGTCGTCCAATGACGCGGCCGGTGAGATCCTCTAGCATCTGATGTACGAACGAGAGAAAAATATATTTCACGAGGGAGAGAGGGAGGTTAAATCAACAGAAGAGATGTTCGAGTTTGGGCAAAATTGTCTGATTGAAAGTAACTTAGTGGGCCAAAAAAAAAGATGGTCGGACTAGTCTCTCGAAGTGCAAGTTCGAGGCAAAGTGTTCAGCTACAGGTGTATCATCCCCGTTGCCGCTTAGACATGTCAGAATCAACGTCAACTGAATGGTTCCATCGTCGCTTCACGCCCTGTGGGTCATACACACTAGCAACACTTTGCTGCCAATCTCGGGCCGAAAAGACGACTGGGGGTACATGGAATTGAGGTGGAGAAATAGACTGAGATGGTGTGAAAGAAGACACCTTGCTGGGTGTTTTGTACTGCATAGGGTATTGAGGGGTCACGACGTTTGGTACACCGGGTGTCGTATTGTTCATGGGCATCGGCGGAGAATTGGTGCTGACAGTAGAGGGATTCACGGAGAAAGCCATGTCCCATTGGCTATGAAAAATAGGTTAGCATAAGACAACACACATGCTTTGATGTTCAATGCCTGTACGTACGTGATGATGCGGGTCGGATCCCAGGTGTTTTCGTCGGCTAATGGGGCGTCCATTGGATGTGTTGTCGGAGGTGGATGGGCAACCATCCCGAGGGATTGTAACTGGGAAGATGTGTCGGACTTGGAGTCTTCAGCACCAGTCGAAATTGGAGGAGTTATTGGAAGCGCATGGAAACCCACTCTAGATTGGACTGTGTTTAAATGAGGATGATAGTGCGCATCCATAGGTGGACTGGGTTGATAGGGTTCCGAGGGGCTCCCATATGGGAAACTTGGTTTCAGTTCGAAAGGGCGTTGCATGTCAGCGGAAAAGGCCTGTCTCAATGAATCGATCTGCGCTTGAATCTCGGGCATGGGCCATGCTGTTGAACAGGTTTCTAGGATTCTCATATGTCGGGTGAAATATTCACGGGCATCTGCGTTGAACTCAGGATCGGGAGAGGTGATGGCAACCTGCCAAAGTCAGAACGTCCTGTGCTAGCGACAAATCAAACTTTCTATACTCACCAGGTGCAGCATGGTACAGGTCAGAATGCAGTAGATGGCAAAATTGATACCTCGCTGCATATAGAGCAGGCCTGAAAGCCCAAATCTCTGCAAAATGGCTTCTTGAAGCCGACATAGACTCTTGGCCGAAGAGTAGCACAGCGACATATGAATCCTCCATTCACCACCAGCTGCAAATGATTGCGAGGCGATTAGCTGAGGGCGATGTAATAGAATGATGGCGAGGTGACAATGAGAATGCATGTTGCCCACGAAATGAGATGGCAGCCATGGCGCAGAACCATCAGCAGGATAGTTCACCTGTAAGTCGGGAGGAAGGTTGCGAAGCCAATCTGAGAAAAGAGGATTATTCTGTACGAATTGGGCGTTGGCCCCCCAATCCTTTTGCTTCTTGATTTTGTGATAGATATCTGTGATAATGCGAATGTGATGTGCATTGCGAACAAAATACGCATATTGCCGTGAGCGATCGATCTCGTACTGGTCGAGACCTCTGATATCCAGCGTTGGACGCATATCCACTGTTTCGGGGTCGACCCCGTAGTCCGAGCGGCCTAAACTAATCAGCAAATGCCACTGTTTCTCAAGAGAAGCAATAAAAACTTACCTTGAGGTGCTCCTATCATTACCTCCACTACCATGATAGCCTGCCATACCCTAGTCTGTACCAAGCATTCAATTGGGTTGAGGCCGCAGGGTTTACCTTCGGCATGACTGCTGTAGTGCTCATGGATGTCCAAGTCTTTCGCCATTGAGACAATTGTCTTGACAGTTTGCCAAGATCGATAATAATAACCTTTCTTTGGCAAAGACTCTCTGGCCTTTAGTAGAAGCAGCAATGCTTGGATAGTACTAAGACGTGGTACATCCATAAAGCTAGTTTCATGCCCTAGAAAAGGTTAGCTTTGAGTCATATAGATTTTCAATATTGACTCACTGTTAGCCAAGGCCAGCCATTGGGCTCCCTCTGCAGGCTCATCAGACAACCGTCCTGCACAGGCAAACAGAGCCTCAAGAAGGAGTGGTGAAATGGAGCGGCGATCATGTTGCCATTGGTAGTACAGATGGGCACGAGAGATGACAGGAACATAGGGGTGTATCTCATCAAAATACACCTTGAAATAAGACATCACGTCGTCTTCTGCGGGCATAAGCTCTGGCGGAATCCGGATTGTCGCGCCCGATCCCGTACTAAGAGGTGGCAATCGCTCTTCCACCTCGTCTTGAGTAGGGACATCCGGCTCGACATGATCTGCCCGTTGCCTTCTAATATAGGGAGCTTTGAGGGTAAGTGTTAGCCACTGAATATATGGGCACCGAAAGGAAAGACAGTGTCATACCGATGCCACTTTCATCAATCCTTAGCTCTCCCAGTACATCGCTGAGATTCTCGGCGGTTGATTGATCGTTATCCACATAAATATTTCGCTCTGGTGTTCCCATTGATGAAGCATGGGCCCCGGCATACATCTGAGGCTGCTGATATGTCATCTGCGGTATGGGCATCTGTGGCGACCGAAGATCGTTGTAAAGACCCTGCTGGGGATGCGGAGCAGGGACAAATTGGGAGTACATGCTCATTTGATCATATGAAGGCATTGTTCCCATGGTAGGTTGGTTATTTTCCCTGTATGTCGGAGGTACAGGGAAGGAGTGAGAGCTCTCGGAGGCACTGGAAGGACCGCCGGTATCAAGACTAGAGTCTTGACCATCTGGGAGAAAATCTCCATCTTGGCCAATGGTGGGAGGGACACAAACCAACTTCAACCGAGTACACGCAGAGCAAGGCCACGTATTTGTCGTGGCTGCATCACATTTGATTTTTCTTTTCCGACAGCCATTGCAGGCTCGCATCACTAAATGGTATCAATATGTGAAACACGAATCCTTAGGGTCAAGCATACCCTTGAGCCTCTTGTGGCGATTGTGTTCATCAACAAATACATAATCTACCGAAAGGATTAGCGACCAAGTCGATATATAAGAGTGAATCGGAGTTTTGCTCCACTGCCATACTTTTCTGACCTTCCCTCGGAGGCCCAGCTGGGGGCACAAATGAGTAGCCCTGCATGATTGTCCGCTTGGTTCCCGACAATATGCCAAGCACAATCGCGTTTGATGTGATGGTACTAGTAATGCACACTCACGTCGAGACAATTACAGAATCGAAAACGTGTGTAGGGGATCTATCCACAAGGGCCTGCCTTGGGATCAATAAGAATGATGCGCGGAGGCAGAATAGTGTCGCAGTGAGTTGCAGTTGATGTACCGAGGCAAGGAGTAGAGTGGAACAAAGAAAAGTCGCAGAGCCCCCCGCAAACACTCAGGTGTTCTACAATTTTTTATGAGACCGAGGACCGTGGATAGAGCAGAGGAGGGCGCTCAAGCCGAGTGAGTAGATCCGATGCGAAAGGAGTCTCGTACGAAGTCGCGTTTGGCGCACCAAATGGAGACGTAACGGTGGCGCTGGCCTCGAACGTTTAGTGAATCACAGGTCAATTACTAGAACGCCATAGATCAGTAAGACTCCGAGACATGAAGAGGCGCTCGATATCAAGGCGGTCGATCGCGATCCAAAGCTCAATATCGCGAGTCCCACGACTGGACACAAGGGTAGCAGGCCAGCAGAGAAGAGAGAAATGCGACCGCTTACCAGTGACGAATGTGTATAGCAACGATTCCAAAGCCGTAGGGTTTCGAGTCAGCGGAGCATGGCGCATGGCTCAATTGACAGAGGAAGGGAGCATTAGGACGGAATGGGCAAGGTCGCAAGTGGAGTCATAGGGGGCGAATAGGCTCAAGAATGGCATTTAGCCAGGAGAAGAAGAGAAAGAAGACCGGGAAAGCTGAGGGGAGGAGGAGGAGAGAGAGAGAGAGGGTGCCAAGAGGATCCAATAGCGCCCGCGGCTGTGGATTTCCAAGGTGGAGGGGGGGCGATCCAGTATTTCCCATAGTAATAGTGTGTAGTGTACGGAATAGCGTGGTGTTCGTGCTTGGTCTTAAGTTAAGTTTAGTGATAATGTGAGAGATATTTGCTTCATCCATAGATTTTATGGTTTTTTTTATTTTATACAGGAATGCCGATTCATCCCCGTCTCTTCATAGCCTCTCTCCTTCGTAACACCCGCATTGCATGTACTGTACGGCGGTCGATGCCCGAGGCTATTCTCCACTGCGACCTTTTTCAGCCTTTAAGCCTAACAGGATATGCAGTCATACGGAAATGGACAGAAAAGCAAGGAACCAAACACTCTAATTTACCAGAGTACCACATGCAATTCGTCTGAAACAGCCTTGAAAAAGGACTCTGGATCATTCTGCGACCCTGGCTTGCAAGTGAAACTACTAGTGGAGAGGGGGAAAAGATAAAATTCCTGAACGGAGACACTTCGGACAATAGAATAAGAACTCGGCTTGTCGATCCTACCGAACCACTGGGAGTAATGTGACCGGGAGAACCGAGGATAGAGTAATTAGAATGAGCTCCTGTCTTGCTATATACTTATCGAGATCTTTATATCTCTGATCCCTTAGAAATTTATCTCTCCATAGCTAAGTACAGTACTGTAAGAAGCTCCTGGGAAATCTCGGGCAATATCAGACCACGTGAATCTGTTATCGGCTTTCGGTGCCCTTTTGCCCCTCACCACACTTCCCTCGACATCGGACCAACACAACGCAACACCGGCCAGACCACTCAAAATGGCGGAAATGCAGAATGAGAACCCCACGATCCTTAATGCGGCGGATCTCCCCACGCGGCTGAGGCCTACTGCGACTCCCAAGGGGAGGGAGTACGGCGGGATTTTCACATCGCTCCCCCTCCCCGTAGACTTCCTGGAGAGCGCCCCAACGTCAGATTCCGAGGATGACAATCTACTGGAGGAGCCCATTGACGAACAAGAAGTCTATGGTAAGCATCCTGGACCCAGAAACATGAACCCCACCTCGTTGTCTGCTCAGCGCACTCACCCTGGTCAGATCTCATCTCGTCAATCTCGGATCCGGAGCACCCTATCTCCCTCGGTGAACTAGCTGTTGTATCTCTTCCAGACATTTCAATCAAGCCAACCCTCCCGGATGTGCCGGAATCGCCTCTTCAGACCATCACGGTGCTCATCACCCCCACGATTACGCACTGTAGCTTGGCAACGGTCATTGGGCTTGGAGTCCGCGTGCGCCTCGAGCAGTCACTACCCTCACGCTTTCGAATGGATGTGCGCATCAAGGAAGGTACACACAGCACAGGCGACGAAGTGAACAAGCAACTGGCGGACAAGGAGCGAGTTGCCGCGGCCCTGGAAAACGGTGCGCTAATGGGGGTGATTGCCAAGATGATGGAGACCTGCCACTAAACCTTCGATTCCCCTATTTGTACTATTAGCCTTGCATCTTCACTAAAGTGAAACAGGGCCCACCATACCCAGTTCGTGATGATAGTTTATGACCAAAATGACCAGACTCTTAAATGACTTTGCATTGGACTGCGTATTAGAAATACAAGGCTCTACGGTAATCAAATCGAAGAAAAAAAAAGGAAAAAAAAACCTTCCTCCCCGTAAACCCGTTTTGTTGCTCAACTGTATGAGATCATGAGTCCAGAACGCCACTTTCTTTCAGTCCCTTCCAAAGCTCAGGCTCCAAGAACTTGCTGACCGTGACATCTTCAGCCAGACCCTTACGTCGCCTTGTCTTCAAGACAAAGTCACGGGCTGTAGCCATGGCGGGAGCCATCTCCAGGGGCTTCAGTTTGATATCACGGTCTAGCGGGTCACCGGGAACCACACTCCACTTGTCGAATGCCAGATTGACCATGGCCTGGCCTTGAGTGTGGATACGAAGATCGGTCTCAAAGCCAAAGGAATCAATCACTGGGATCAAGCCGCGAACAGAGTAAAGAGGCGTACCCGCAATGGGGCCATCTGACAGGACATGACCTCGTCGGCGGGACAGAACGGTGTACACGGAAGCCACAGCGTCTGCAGGTCCAGTCATTGTGCAAGAGTAGATTGGTTCCATAAGACGCGGGGACGCCATCAGGAAGGACGAGTACACAGCGCGACGGGCTGTAGGGATGATCTGGCCACCACCGCGGTAGATAGCCTGGTCAGCAAGGGACACATCTGTGAGCCTAAACTTTGTATTACGAATTGCTAAACTCCACGTTAGTGTCGCATTCACCATCCAAGCCGAAAAGAGAAACCTAAGGATCCAGGGGGAGGGGGGTGGGATAAAACTTACGCTCTTCACATAGAGGACCTTCTCGTGTACCCCAGCTGAAACCCTGAGTGATAGAGTCTCTCACAGTACCGAGAAGCTTCTTATCAACTTGGGAGGGTAATGTATCATCCTGGAGAATGTTGGGGCCCATCTCATCGGGTCCAAATGCCCAGATGCTTCGAGCTGCGAGCTTGTCCCAATCATAGTTGTCCTCGAAGTATCGAGCAACCTTCCGAATGGGGTCCTTGATGTTTACTCTGCCGCTTTCGATGTCCTCCGCAATACCATCATCCAAGGGTTCCGCAATCATGGTGATCTTGTTCTTCTTGTTCGGGGTAATGGAGTAACACATGATGGCAGAAGTTTCCACCACAGTTTCACAAAAGCGTGTAACCGGGTCAGAAACTTTGATCTCCATCTCTGAATAAAGTTTCCGAAGGTCATGTAGCACACAGTCCATGTACAGCTCGCCAGTTCCTAGAACCACATGCTCACCAGACTCTTCAACCTTGGTGGAGATGAGTGGATAGCTCTTGTTGATCTTGCGCAATCCATCCAACATCTTTGGCAGTTCCGATGGGTTGACAGGCTCAACAGCCACCTTGAAGACCGATTCGGTCATGTGCCGAATGGGACGGAAAATGTGCGCTTCTTCGTCATCGTCTAGCTTAAGGGGCACCAGCGTAGCGGTCTTGACAATAGAGTTGTCAACGCCACCCAAGAGCACCCAGTTTCCGGCGGGAACCCCGTTGGTCGAGATGTTGTAGCAAGTCTCCGCAATCCACGTATCGGAAATGGTTGCAACAACCATATCTTCCTCGTCCTCTGGTGTGTAGCCTTCACCAAGGACACGAACCTGCTGACCAGGTCGGGCTGTTCCACTCATGATTCTTCCAAAGGAGTAGAAGCTGCCAGCATCGGTACTGCTGAAAAGTTTAGTGACATGAACGATGAGGGGACCATCAGAGTTACAGGCGAGCATTGAAGCTCCGACCTTGGTGTCCACAGGCCCAGTGTAGTATCGATCCAATGCCCGCTGAGCGCCCTCCACCGGGGAAGGCACATGCTGAACGACCATGTCCACAAATCCAGTTGCAGGACCAAAGAACTGCCCGCAGACCAGATTAAGCAGCTCCTTGGCATCTGACTTAAGCTGGGATGGCTTCAAGGTGACGCCGACACTAGCCAAAGTCTTTTTCAAATCTTCGGGGCTTTCGCTCAGTGTGTGGGAGTAGAGCTTGTAGATTGGCTCCAAAACAAATTTGACGAATGAACGCTTCGAGTTCTCTTCCACTCCCTTGCGAGTGAATTTGCGACTCTTGGGGTTGAAGAAGATATCGCCCCAAAGACGGGCAGCAAAGTCTGATGAGTCCAAGCTTGGATAAGTATCGGCATACATCCGAGCAAATGACTGCAAGGTGAAGCACCAGTTCATTGAGCTGGATGCAAACGCTACATTACCCTTCTCGGGGCTCAATCGTCGTCGCTCGCCCTGACCTGGTAAAACATTCTCAATACAAGTATTGATTTCCTCAATGACATGCTTCAGCTTGAAATAAGCATCGTTAGGGGGCAGCTTGAGCTCAAGGATGAGTCGATCCATTTTGTTCACGACCAAAGTCAAGGGCAGATCTTCCAATACTGCGTGCTTGATAATTTGCTCTGCATTCGCCTGAACGCCCTCAACAACGTCCACGACCAATACAACACCATCGGCTAGGCGGATCGAAGCAGCCACCTCATCAACAAAGTTCACATGCCCGGGGGTATCAAGGAGGTTGAGCAGGTGGGATTTTCCTTTAGTGCCTTGAAGAACGAGACTCATCGGGGCCGCCTTGATCGAAAGGCCGCGTTCTCTCTCTAGGAAATGAACATCGGTATAGCGTAGTTGTTCCTCCCTTCTCCTTCCAATGCGCTTTTCCAATCGCTCCGTCAGGTCGTGTGTCTCTTTGACCAGCATATCCATGAAAGCTGTCTTTCCATGGTGTAGATGACCAACAATCGCGACATTTCGTATTTGCTCGGGGAAATTCAAGAGATCCGACATGAACTCCCGAGAGAAATGTACGGGGGAAGCTCGGTCTCTGCGATCGCAAATTTCTTCTGCTGAACGGGGGCAATGATCGGTTCCGACAACGGCTGTGCATCCTCCTCCTGGACCATAGTCTCAACATCTTCACCGTATACCTGTTGTGCGCTGGGGTAGTATTGTTTATCTTCGTGTAGGATGACCGCATTTGAAGGTCCATCTGCAGGGAAGAGACGCAAATTAGCAAGATGGCAGACTGGATGTAGACATGCACACGTACCATCAACCTCCATCAATTGTTGATCATTAACTTCGTCTTCCTCCTCATCATCAAAAGCCTCATCAAACTTGAAAGCCTGGGGCTGTACGTCTTCATGGTGCTCTTCATCGGATTCCGCATCACCGATGTAGTTACCAAACCTGGAAAGAAATTAGCCAAAAGGAATGAAGACCCAGAGCTGCAGGCATATACATACTCGTCGTAAAGGTCATCCATGGTGAATTGAAGGGAGGGTGCAAAAGTGGCACTAATCCAAGAAGAGCTCCAAAGAGTTGGCGTGATGCCGGAGAAGTTGAGGTTCTCAACTTTCACTTGGTCCGAGCGTCACCCGGAGTACTCGTGCCTACACCGTACAGCTCCTCACTCCCCCAATTCTTATAGATGCCCCTCTCCTGTCCCGTTTCTTCTCTTTTTCTTCTTCTTTTCTTCATACATCCTTGATACCCTTTGTTTTCTCATCTTCAATCTTTGCTGTCCAAAATGTCTTCTCTTCCTCCCGTCTACATCGTCTCAACTGCCCGCACTCCCGTGGGTTCGTTCCTTGGGTAAGTTTTACTCCCTGGCCTTTTTTCTTCCGCGGGCTCAATTGACGTCGTTCTTTTTGTAGCTCCCTTTCGAGCCTGACTGCTCCCCAGCTCGGTTCCCATGCAATCAAGGGTAAGGTTCACCATTCAGATACCCCTCATGTTCAAAAGTTGACAAAAGCATGCAGCTGCCGTCGACCGTGTTGAGGGCATCAATGCCTCCGATGTTGAGGAAGTCTTCTTTGGTAACGTTCTGTCTGCTGGGTAAGAGTTCTATCAACCCCATACCATGCAATTTATACTCATTTATCTTCAATTAGTGTCGGACAGAACCCCGCCAGACAATGTGCCCTCGGTGCCGGTCTTAACGACAGCACCGTCTGCACCACCGTCAACAAGGTCTGCGCCTCTGGCTTGAAGGCCATAATTCTTGGTGCTCAGACCATCATGACTGGAAACGCCGATGTTATTGTCGCTGGTGGTACCGAGTCCATGTCCAACACCCCCCACTACCTCCAGACCTTGCGTAACGGTGCCAAGTATGGCAACCAGACCCTGGTTGATGGTATCCAGAAGGATGGTTTGATGGATGCTAGCTCCCAGGAACTTATGGGTCTTGCCGCCGAGGAGTGTGCCCAGGATCACGGGTTCAATCGTTCCGACCAGGACGAGTATGCCATCCGCAGCTACCAGAAGGCTCAAGCTGCCCAGAAGGCCGGTGCTTTTGACTACGAGATTGCTCCCATCGAGATCCCTGGATTCCGTGGCAAGCCCGGTGTCACCATCTCTCAGGATGACGAGCCTAAGAACGTGAGTACCTGCCGTCTCATATTTATTAGAATTTTTGACTAACAATTGCTTTTTATATAGCTTAACCCCGACAAGCTCCGCGCCATGAAGCCCGCTTTCATTCCTGGCACCGGAACCGTCACTGCCCCCAACTCTTCCCCTCTCAACGACGGTGCCGCCGCCGTTGTCCTGGTTTCCGAGGCTAAGGTCAAGGAGCTCGGTCTCAAGCCCATTGCCAAGATCCTCGGCTGGGGTGATGCTGCTCACAAGCCCAGTAAATTCACCACTGCTCCCGCCCTGGCCATACCCAAGGCTCTCAAGCACGCCGGCGTCGCCCAGGACTCCATTGATGCCTTCGAGATCAACGAGGCATTCAGTGTTGTGGCCCTTGCCAACCTGAAGCTCCTTGGCCTCTCTGAGGAGAAGGTCAACATCCACGGTGGTGCCGTCGCCATTGGTCACCCTCTTGGTGCCAGCGGTGCCCGCATTGTTTCCACCTTGCTTGGTGTTCTGAGCGCTCAAAAGGGCAAGCTTGGCTGTGTCGGCATCTGCAACGGTGGTGGCGGTGCCAGCGCCCTTGTTCTTGAGTCCCTGTAAATGTTGAACTCTGTTAATGATAACGGAGATGTGATATGACCATCTTATCTTTGCACGATATATTAAAATTTTGATGGGTTGATCGGATTGCTTCCTTGCTGACTTCGGCGTGCAGTGCATGCGAAATCGGCAGTGCAAGACTTCCGTAACATCCCTTTTCGGCTGTATCTAGACTTCTTAATGAGATATCCTACTGGCTTTGTGTCCATCTTGCTCCATATATGTGTGCTAAAGTTTTCGAAAGGGTTCGAAAATTAATGCAGCTAACCAGCTAGGGTGTTTCACTTCTCCAGGGTTCCTAGGGCTTGATTCGTAGCTTACATGATAACTCACATAGATCCATGGATTTTGGAATTTGTTGCTAGGCCGAGGGCCTTTTGTATAAAATTTGTATGGTATCGCTCACTCGCTTCGTTAATCTATCGGACAGTATGACCAGAAACAGCCCCCCAAAACATCTACATTATTAAGCAAAAGCACCAACAAAGGCCATGAGCAGGGCACCACCAGCAACAGATATGCAGGCCTCCACACGTCGTCTACCCTTGAGGGTCTCATAACTTGACTCGCTGAGGAAATCCTCTGCCAAAAGCTCTACCAAGCCCGCAAAGAGCAAAAGGCCACTACTGATGGCATTGGTAATACCAACCATCAGCAGTCCAGTCGCACTCGCGGGATCGTAGAGATTGTGCAGAACTAAGCCGATAGCTTGGCCAATTGGGGTGGTCGTTCCATAGGCAAGTGACATCAGCCATGGCTTTGGAGAATTTGGAGCAAAAAGATCTGGAATGAGCGAAGCAATCCGAGATCCAAGGGCAAAGCCCTCGAATGTTTGGTGGAAGCTGATAGCGATCAAAAGGACGACAAACGACGTGCCAGTTGCAACGCTGAGTGCCATACCAATGAAGATGCTGTGGAACAAAATACCAGCCTCCAGAAGAAGACACTGAAGAAGTTGGCGTTGCGGGTTCTGAATTGGTAGATCCGTCTCCGTTTGTTGTCGGTGACTTTCACTTGTACGTGGCCGATGGCGACGAGACGGAGAATGAGCTGCCTGTCTATTGATTGGCTGCTGGTCATCATCTGTGTAGGCATCAAGACCATCAATATCGGAAAGATCGTCTTCTTTGCTTGCGGATGTATCGGCCACATTGAGTCTGTCAAGTTCATGCGAAGAGCCAGAAGCTCTCGCTGTCCTTGTTTTGGGGTTGTAATGCACATTATCTAGGTTAATGCTTTCTGAAGCTCGCCGAGTGTCTAGCCCCGAGTAGTCTCTGTCTATATCGTCCAGATCACTCAGAGAGCCATGGCCAACCTCACCAATGAGATTATCATACTCACTCCCATGCACATGTTTTGCACCTTTCATCGCAAAGGCCATTTCCACAAGGACAACAGCAAATACAGCGATCATTGCAACGAAACCCGCCATCGCTCGGTAGGATTTGCTCCAAAATTTGGGAAGACATGGGTCGGTCAATGACACGAAGGCCGTGGGGAGAAGGTGTACAAATGCCGTCGCAATCAGAACACCGGTTCCAAAGTGTCTCGATATAAATAGGAAGCGACGGGGGATTGGGAGACGGGGGAATCGGCGCGCAAGAACCGGAAATGAGCAAGCTGTTGCAATTTGAAGGTCAGCAATGAGTAGCTCCATGGAACGGGGTACAATAGTACATACCGAATGTGCTCAGAATAAGGATGAGGAAAAGCGCCATAACATGTAACGGGGTGTTATAGGCACCCCGCTCCTTGGAGCCACACGCCGGCGTGTCATTCGAAGCTCCATCTCGTCGAAGAATCTCTGCTTTCAGGATAGAGTCGGGAATATCAGAGAGAGCCGATATGGCACGCTTTAAGTCTATTCAAACCGACATCAGTTGTGTGCCAACCAACGCTGATTGACTGAGAAAGAAACTCACCGGAAGATACGCCATTTGCAGGCTGCCAGGATTGGGCATTCTGCATGTTGATATTGGATCGAATTTGTGGCTATGGCCGCATCCCCGATTCACTTGGATGCGGAAAGGGAGCTTTGAATTGTAGGGGATTGGAATGGGACACGCAATTGAGTCTTTCTGAGCGGAAACAACAAAAAAAGCCGCAGAGCACTACCGGGAAAAGATTAACAACACAAGCAGCATTGTTTTAGAATCAAAGTGGCCAGACTAGTGGAAGCGGCCTTCGGACACGCGCTAGAGTGAGTCTATCCATAGGCCGCCGGCCCCTCCTGCTTAGTCATGACAATGTGAACCTGGGAACCCGTGGACCTTGGAAGTTCCAAGATTCTACTCTGCGATATTCACTTTGATAGAGCAATTCAGTACATTTTCAATGTTATGTTCTGTAAAGTGTGAGATTGACTATTGTCTTCAATCATCTATTGCCCACTTTGGTCCAGCCTTTGGTACCTCTAGGTCGTGGGGAGCTTGGGATGTCTTTGTTGCCTGGATTTCTTACAGAGCTAGATCGTGTTTTTGAACTGGCAGTGGACTTTCCGTCACTCGTCTCCTCTCTGACCCCGGATTGAGAGTCAGGAGCAAGAGTTCTGGGGCTTTGTGGGAGTGATGGTTGATGGGGTTCCGTTACTGCATCGTCCCATTCTTTCTCCTCGAGCAATTCCCACTCTGCACTTACCATCTCCCCAAGAAGGTTGGACTTCAATTTGTCTACAATCTTGGTAGGAGTTGGTAGTTTCCACATGCGCATAAAGTCCACTCCTTCCGATGCTCCCAAGAATGAATGCGCCGTGCCATGGGAGTAATGGCCCAACATGGCAAAGGATTTTGGCCTTTGAATGATTGTCTTGGGCGAGTCTCTGGCCGATTTCATCTGTGATTGTGTATCTCGGCCAGCAAAGGCTCGCATCAAGGTCGAATGAGGAGCCGGTGGAGCAACCAGTAGTTGCCATAAGTTTTCACCAATATCGCACACCTCTTCCCATGAGTCTGATTGCACATTGATACCTTGGGTTCGACAAAGCCATGCAACATTCCAAGCCAGAAGCGTAGTCCCTTCCAAAAACAGGGCATATGTTGCAGGGTCTTCCTTAGCTAATCGGGGTAGTGATTTGTCGATGAAAAGCGGTCGCGGACGTGGGGTATGGGTGCGTGGATCCATCGTTCTTGAAGCTGCGGGACTTAAGGACGACTGAATATTTGCTCCATCGTGGGAATCGTGTGAGCGGTATGACGATGAAGGGGTAAATATCGTAGGCGCAGGGTAGTTTTTATGGGGTAATGTGATTTCGGCGGGAAGTCTCAACGAGAGATAATGAGAGACGATAATGACAAGGTGAGCGATGTTTGAGAAGGATGTAGATATCTGTTCTGGAGGGACACCTGTACCATTTTGTTAGTATGCTATGGGATCTAACCGCGGTGATTTCCTTACCATTCATGTCTCTCAAGTCGATGATAGAGCCGCCTCCCAACACATATATCTCTCGAGCCTGGCCCTTTTTAGGCTTCTTTCGTAGCCCATAAAGATTGGCGACTTCCCGACATAGGTAGATCCGGGACTCGGCAGTCCTGCTGTGCAGAGAGTGCCAGACATGCTCCGTTCTTTTACTGGTGTTCTGAATACCCGTAACGATTGCGTTCTCGCGATCTTCAAGCTGGTACATTGCAGATTCGGCATCTGAGCGCCTGCGGGCCAGAAGTTCTTTACGTTCCAAAATTTCAGCCTTCTTGGCCCTGATGTCTGATTTCAAAGCTTCGAGTTGCTCTGAAAGAAGCTCCCGTTTCGCCAAAGACTCGCTATGCCGGCTGCTTATCGCCTGGAGGTCCCAGTGAGGGGAGCCTATCTTTTTCGGATTCAGAGACTCTTGTTGGCTTTCAACCTGAGTGCTGGAACCAGCTGAGGTGACAGAATTCTCAATCTGCCGCCCAAAGGCTTCTTTCTCTAGAAGGACTCGTGTAGTTTCAATCCGAAGCTGATAAAGCTGGTTGCGGGCACATGTCGGGCAGTGAAGGGCAAGGCGGGAGTGAGGCGCACAAGAGCATATAGAACAGCCCATCGCAGGCCAATTTATTCGGGTTTAATCGTTCGTTAGGGGTGCAAGGCACATGTCCATATTGTATCCTAAGATGAGAATGGACGCTGTTTGAGTCGCCGTCGAGAACCATATAGTAGAGTGAGAGCGTCATCAAAGAGTTGCAGATGCCACATGACTCAAATAAAATGGCAGATATAACGAAGAGGACCGGCTTCAAGCCCAGTTCTGGTTGGCATTCTTTTGACAAAAAGACAGGAATAGGTCGGATGATGAACATCGACGTCACCTGACAGCGTGACCGCTCTGTTATCGCTTATCGGATAGCAAACAAGTGCAAACAAGTACAAACTGTTGTGTTTACGCAAGTTGATCTATTGACTTGCAATGCTTCCTTTAACGTTACACATCGGAGAACTACGCCAGAATGGCATCAACGCCCATCAGAACCAGCAAAATCCCCCGACGTGGTACTCTATCTCCAACAGTCAACCAAGAAAGTATCAGCCCTCAAGAAAATGGGAACTCCCAAAGCATAAGTCCTCATCTACCAACTGAAGCTCTGCCTGCTACTGCCCAGGATGAGGTTCCTCTTGTTTCTCAATTGACGCAGGGCCTTGGGGACTGTGATTGGGAGCAACTACAAACCAAATACTCTGATGCAATGGAAGAACATAGCCGAGTGGAAGAAAATCTTCGCCTTGAAACAGCAAAACTGCTCGAGGTAAATTGTTTGATAGCCAGATGCCTTACAGAAGCTCAGCTGACTGATTGGACAGATCTTCATGGCTTGGTCTCAAACCACTGTCTTGCAAGATGAGAACCGAGCATTGAAAAGGTATGGTTTCCATCAGCAAAGATGCCAATTGATGAAAATCTAATGTCTCAAAGATTTAAAACTCAGATGCAGCATGTTCAGCACTCGGAAGTCAGCATGGAAAACAAAAGAAAGCATTGTAAGCTTCAGAGTCTATTTTTTGTTTGAATTACCATTAATCGCTTGTGTAGACATGGAGGTTGTGAAAGCTTTCCAAAGCGCTCTTGCTCTACTTAACGAGCAGCTGAAGGTTTAAGATCATTTTTGATACCTTACAACACTCATGACCAATATTACGAAGTTATGTCATTTACTTATTCATTATTATTGAGCGCGCGTGAGCTTTACAATACTTGAGAATGAACCAACATGCAAAATATCATGGAGCATTTAATCTTTACTTTGTCTCAAGGTATGAGCAATGAACCAAATACAACTCATGATAATGAGGACAAGTGATGCTGCGCAAATTTGTCATTAGCTAGACCACTGGAAGACATAACTTTCGGTAGTTGTCTTCTGAAAAACTTGAATGATTGATTCTTTCTCAATCGTCGCAGATGATATTCAAGCCACCATAGTTGATGGGTATCATCGATAAGTTAGTCGTGTGAGCGTTCGGTCCTAGCAGCTCTGCCTGTAATGTCTTGCCAACTGGCATTGAAGCGTCTGCCAGTATTGGCCAGTAGACCTTCCTCTTCAGCCTCCTCGGCGTCTTCGTCGAGCTGCCTCTCATCCAGTTTCGGAGAGCGGAGCAAAGAGGTAACGAAAACAATCAGATACAAGCCTGTTCGGGTTGGATTTTGTGAGCAAGAAGAATTCGGGACATATCTGGCAGCAAGATTTGGTCTTACCTAGGAAAACAAATTGAGCCCAGAAGAACACGACTCCGAAGAAAGGATAATTCAAAGTGACTCGATTAAGAAAAGTGCTCACGACGCTGGGAGTACAGATCTGCTGTGCGGCTGGGTTCTTCGCTAACTCGGAGCATGGCTTAATGAGTTCTTTGTTATCGGAGCAATCCGGCTGCCCCTGGAACAAACCAGGGGCACGATCGCAGAATGTCTGCGGGCCGAACGTGGCATACTGAGGCGCAACTACCATAGAAATGGAATAGTTGAGCGCCAGGATGATCAACATCAACATGGCAGTTGCTAGAAGCAGTGCTTGGGGAGATGTGTGACCATTTCGAATTTGGAAGATCCTGATCCAGAGGAAGCGGATTCCTACCACGGCAATGCCTACAACGGAACTGCAGAAGAATAACAATACCAGCACAGTAAATATGGCATAGTCAATGGGGAAGACCTTGGCGGACTGAACAAGCGCCCAGTTGACAGGGTTAAAAATATTGACGTGTGCAAGGATATATCCACAGCGATGCTTGCAGATAGAGTTCTTTGCCTTGTCAATTGATGTCAAGAGCATTGATATCCAGGTTATGAATGCAACGAAAAGCAGCAGGATGCCTCCCAAGAGCTTGAATGGGCGGAGGATTGCACCAATTTTGTACCATACCTTCATCAACCAACTCCGCCCCTCGCCTTGGGATTCTTCAGCTAGACGTTGGCGTCGACTGAGAGTTCTCTCTTCTCGCGTTAAGGTATCTAGTTCTCGACGGTCTTTCGACGACAGAAGCTCAGGGTCCCCGGCACATCGCCCTTCGAGCTGTCGTTGCCGCTCTCGGTTTGACTCAAGTTGTTGTTCAGTACTCGCTCGCAGGGTAGCACTGGAGATCGATGGCGCGGTCTTGATCAAGCTGATTGGAAGAAGAGCCAATCCCGCTGAGGTGTATAGGACATAGAGGAATAGCCCAATAGTCATCAACAATCCCAGAGCAAAGGTCAGAGCACGCTCTCCATCTTCACAGATCTATGTCAGCTTTGCAGTCCCAATGCTAGCAGGCACAGGCACTTACGGTTCTCGGTCAGAAGGCGCCTGAAGTAATCCAGGTCCATATCACTCTTTCCCCGTGATACTGGAACGAAGAATCCTACCAGGAATAGAATCACAATGATAACGACGAAGGATAGGGTGTATTTCAGGGCACCCCAAACCCGCTGGCCCACTGTTTGCTCTCCCGCTTCCGCTGCGACCTCGTCGTATTCTTCATACCAGAAGTACGTAAATGGAATGACAAGAAGACAAAGAAGAGCATCCAGAGAGTAGAGGAGATAGTAGATGACGGTCAAGGAATAGGTGATTCTGTCGACAACATCTTGCGTTGCCCAGTCCTTCCGCTGTCCCAGCTTGGACGAGGTGGTCGATGACACCAGGGCAACATCCACTGGCAGCAAAAGCACTGTTGCCAGAAGAGAAGTGATTGAAATGATGCAAGTCAAGGTAACCGAAGGCGAGCGGTCACGAGGGGTTTGATAGACATAGATAAACACGGATGCGACGGCTAGTAGGATGGCTACTACTACCGCATATACGATCCAGATCAGTGAAGTTTGTAGAAGAGCCATGTTGAAGAGCAGTTCACAGTCTGCGCATGGATCCCAAGGTCGACATCAACCTGAAACTGACAAAAATGCAAAGCTCAAGAAAAAGGATCCGATGCTATGCTTGTGTCGTCATTGCCTACACCACGCTAACCTGGATCGGACATGGGGCTGACCGCCTAATTATGCCATGTCAATCAGCGAATCTTCAGTTTTATACTTGCCAAATGCTGGCTTTGTCAATAGTAAGAGGGGACTTTACTATTGTTGATATTGATTGATGACTTGGGGGATTGACATAACGTTAGTGCTTAGTGTAAAGTCTCATGGGATATGCACCTTTACCAAGCCAGGTCCTGCTACTTGCTACTTGATTTTTTCTTCTGGCGCCTTTAATCCGCCAAATTCTAATACACTAGAAATACGAGCACTAGAATATCCTGAATCTATCATGATCAACCTTAATATAGCCAAACAGGAAACTTGTCTACAAAGAAACCTCGTAAACAAAAGAATTGGGTACAAAGGGCGGTGAGACAAGCGGTGTCTTTTATGCCCCCCGTGCTTTTGGCGCTGCGCTCCGAAGGAGCTACAAACTTGACTCTCCCAAGACAGAGATCGATCTCGATTCTCGATCTCTTCCATTATCTTGACCAGGTTGTATTCCCTGCTCCATCTGATATAAATTGTGCTTCTGGTACTTCATTGCCCTGGATTCAACCACCTGATTCTGCAATTGCAATGTGCATCCCGAGTCATATCAGACGCACAATTTAGCTCATTGGAGATATTCACAAGGTTCCAAGCCTTTCCCAGTCGAGAGCAGATTTATTTTCCAAATGCAGTGCTATACAGAGCTTCTTCCCCCAACTGGGGTGACTCACGCCCTGGCAGCGCCTTTCATTTCAGCAACAGCCAACAACCTGCTCGTTGTTAGAACATCTCTTTTGCAGGTGTTTTCGCTAATCAAGCCTTCTGCTCAGCCACAGAAAGTTGGAACAGATGACCAAGTCTCGCAATTCTCCCAGCCAGAAACAAAGCTAGTCCTTGAGAAAGAATACCAGCTATCTGGAACAGTGACTGATCTGAGTCGAGTCAAAATCCTCAACACCAAGAGTGGTGGAGAAGCCATTTTGATTGCAGTCCGGAACGCCAAACTCAGCTTGATCCAGTGGGACCCAGAACGTTATGGGATTTCAACCATCTCCATTCATTACTACGAGCGGGATGACATGACCCGCAGTCCCTGGGTGCCCGACTTGAGCCAGTGTGGTAGCATCTTGAGTGTTGACCCTAGCAGCAGATGTGCAGTGTACAATTTCGGAATTCGCAACCTTGCGATTCTGCCTTTCCATCAGGCAGGTGATGACCTGGTGATGGATGACTATGACCCCGAGCTTGATGGAGAACGCCTAAACCCCGACTCAGAAGTTGAGAAAAACAAAGATCAGCCAGCCCACCAAACACCCTATGCCTCATCCTTTGTCTTGCCATTGACCACCTTGGACCCTTCATTGCTGCATCCCATAAGTCTTGCATTCCTTTATGAATACAGAGAGCCCACATTTGGCATTTTGTATTCACAAGTTGCTACCTCTACTGCCCTTCTTCACGAGAGAAAAGATGTGGTATTTTACTCTGTCTTCACACTAGACCTCGAACAGCGAGCATCTACCACACTCCTTTCGGTGTCTAGTCTCCCGAGTGATCTGTTCAAAGTTGTGCCAGTTCCACCCCCGGTAGGAGGCACCCTGCTCCTTGGCTCCAATGAGATCGTGCATGTGGACCAAGCTGGTAAGACCAATGCAGTGGGAGTCAATGAATTTTCAAGGCAGGTCTCTGCATTTTCAATGACAGATCAATCCGACTTATCGTTCCGCCTTGAGGGTTGTGTGGTTGAGAGACTTGGTGGTGATAGCGGTGACCTGGTCCTGGCCCTTGCGTCTGGGGACATGGCACTTATTAAATTCAAACTTGATGGACGATCAGTCTCCGGCATCACTGTTCATCGCCTTCCTTCGAATGCGGGTGGGGATATCTTGAAGTCGGGAGCCTCTTGTTCTACTTGTTTCGGCGATGGAAACATTTTCATTGGCAGCGAAGATGCAGACTCCGTGCTCCTGGAATGGTCTCATTCATCGGCTTCAATAAAGAAAGCTCGGATTGGGTCGAAGCAGGTTGATGGTGATCATGAACTTTCGGAGGATGACCAGATGGAAGACGACATTTACGACGATGACCTATATTCCTCGGCACCGGGACCTGCACAGGGCGACCATCGTGTAGGAAACGACAATTCTACACAGTATTACAACTTCCGATTAAATGATCGCCTGTTGAACATTGGGCCCCTGAGAGACATAACATTGGGCAAAGCCACTCCGGAAACCACGAAAAATCAATCGACCAGCGAAGCTGTTTCCGCTGAGCTTGAGTTAGTAGCTGCGCAAGGTTCAAACCGAGGTGGTGGCCTGGTAGTTATTAAGCGTGAAATCGACCCCTTGACTACCATGTCTCTCAAACTTGATGATGCGAATGGTGTGTGGTCGGCTATGGTTGTTCCTGGGAAAGGCGGATTGCCCAGCACTACCGATAGCCCATCTCGTCAATACGTCGTCATCTCACGTTCCACAACTTCGGACCAAGAAGTGAATGATGTATTCACGGTCGGAGATGAAGGCTTAGAGCCCTTCAAAGCCTCCGAGTTCAACCCCAACAAAGACTGTACGATTGATATCGGTTCTTTGGCGGATGGTACTCGCCTTGTCCAGGTCCTGAGGAACGAGGTCAGAAGCTATGATATGGGTAAGGTCTTCCCCGAATGTATTTGCAAGCGCCGTATAACTGATATTTAACCTTGACAGATTTGGGATTGTCGCAAATTTACCCTGTTTGGGACGAAGATACCAGCGAAGAGCGTGTGGCCGTGAGCGCGAGCTTTGCTGATCCTTATCTTGTAATTCTTCGGGATGATTCATCTGTGATGCTTCTCCAGGCGGACAGCAGCGGAGATCTGGATGAAGTTTCGCTTCCAGAAGAGGTCAGCACGTTGAAATGGCGCTCCGGCTGTCTATATCACGACCAGTCCCAGTCATTCAGTCCTGCAGATTCAACTCCCGATCGCACTACAAAAGACGAGACACTTCTTTTCTTGCTCGGCCTAGATTGCAAGCTATCAGTAAGTCACTCTGAAGACATGGATAGGAATTTGTTTGTAATGTAATCGACAGGTGTTCCGAGTTTCTGATATGAAGCTGCTCGCTGTCATCAAGGGCGTCGACTGCTTACCACCCATGCTATCCTCTGAGCCTCCTCGGCGGTCAAATAATCGGGAAACTTTGACCGAATTCGTCGTCGCAAATCTTGGTGACCGGACTAGCGCTTCGCCCTATCTGATTGTATGTATTCCATCACTGCCCCTGGCTTGTTTCGACTCTGACTGGAAATCGTAGGCTCGAACCGACAACGATGATCTCATCTTTTACAGGCCCATGTTAATGTTGTCAAACATTGATAATGAACCGTTCCGTTGCTTGCAATTCGTTCGAGAGGCAAACCACGTTCTGCCAAAGAATCTCTCAGGGGAAACTTCGCAAACAAATGATCAACGACGGAGACCTTTGCGTATCCTATCCGATATCGCAGGATTCAGCACGGTCTTCATGCCAGGGGCTTCTTCCAGCTTTGTTTTCAAAACTGCGAAGAGCTCGCCACACATATTACGCCTTCGGGGAGGCTACACACATTGGCTGAGCAGCTTTAGTTCAGCTGCCACTGGCTGTGAAAACGGGTTCATATACATTGACTCCCAGGTAAGACCCCTTGTTCCATTTCCACCGACCCTCAAACCTCTGCATTTGCTAAGTCAATGAACTACAGAATTGCGTCCGAGCTTGTCAAATGCCCCCACAAACGCAATTCGACTATTCGTGGACGTTGCGCAAGGTTGCCCTCGAGGAACAGGTTGACCACCTAGCCTATTCCACCTCTTCTGAAACATATGTATTTGCTTCAAGTCAACGCGCAGACTTCAAGCTGCCAGAAGGCGATGACTTGCACCCCGAATGGCGAAATGAAGGTTTGTATCTACTCTGCTGATCCTTTTCTATTGTGCCTTGCTAACACAACATCCAGAAATATCTTTCTGTCCGGAAGTCCCTCAGTGCAGCATCAAGGTTATCAGCCCAAAGACATGGTCTGTCATTGATAGGTAATAAGCCAGAGTCACCCGATATGGTGAGAAATAAGTACTAACATCCATCATAGTTACCTCCTAGATCCTGATGAGCAGGTGACAGCAGTGAAGAACATGAACATTGAGATCTCGGAAAATACCCACGAACGTAAGGATCTAATTGTCGTGGGAACTGCCATTGCGAAGGGCGAAGACATGCCAGCCCGCGGCAGCATCTACGTGTTCGAGGTAGTGAACGTGGTCCCGGATCCCGAAAAGCCCGAGACCGGCCGCAAACTGAAGCTTGTCGGCAAGGAATCAGTGAAAGGTGCCGTGACAGCACTATCTGGCATCGGCGGTCAAGGGTTTGTGATCGTGGCCCAGGGACAAAAGTGCATGGTCCGCGGTCTCAAAGAAGACGGCAGCCTTCTCCCTGTGGCGTTCATGGATATGCAATGCTATGTCAGTGTTGCAAAGGAGCTCAAGGGGACTGGCATGGTTCTTTTGGGTGATGCAGTGAAAGGACTCTGGTTTGCCGGCTATTCAGAGGAGCCGTACAAAATGACACTCTTCGGCAAGGACCCCCAGTACCTAGAAGTGGTAGCAGCAGACTTCCTTCCAGATGGCAACAAGCTCTATATGCTAGTTGCAGACAGCGACTGCAACCTCCACGTCTTACAATACGACCCGGAAGATCCCAAATCATCGAATGGTGACCGACTACTCAGCCGAAGCAAGTTCTACGCCGGCAACTACGCTACGTCGGTGACGCTCATGCCACGAACACCAGTATCGTCTGAGCTGATTGAATCGTCTGACGAAGACATGGACATTGACCAGACATTCCCAACCCACCAGGCCCTGATCGCCTCCCACAATGGGTCCCTGGCCCTTGTTACATCCGTTGCGGAGGAGACCTACCGCCGTCTCTCGGCGCTGCAATCCCAGCTCGTCAACACAATCGAACACCCTGCTGGACTGAACGCTCGTGCATTCCGGGCCGTCGAGAGTGACGGTGCCGCAGGCCGAGGTATGGTTGATGGAAATCTACTACGTCTCTGGCTCAACATGGGCAAGCAACGCCAAGTTGAAATTGCGGGCCGGGTCGGCGCCACGGAGTGGGAGATTCGGGCCGATTTGGAGACTATTGGTGGAGATGGATTTGGATATCTGTGATGTGAATTTATCTTCATTGTTAGAAGTATTTCAAAGCTAGTGATCACACACTATTGCGATCGAAACCATGAACAATACCATAAGTAGTTTGTTTACGCACACATGGACCGAAGAGAAACACAGATAGTCAACCCAAAATGGGAATTTAATAAATTGACTGCCACGAGAACATGTATAGCCGAAGGTCTCTCTCGTGCGAAGTCCATCATGTAAAGAGCAGCGTGATATCATAACACAATGGGATATAACCAGACCAGAACCCGCACCGAAACCAAAACCAAATTGCCTCCCCCCAAATCCAGGGATGCCATGAAATACACCCAAAGCACATATCTCAATGTCAACAGTAGAACACCTCAACACGCCACATTTCGCCATATTACAAGATTCAAATCAAAGTCAAATCCATGATCACTGATGCGGATCACCGATCTAGAGACTAGACAAAGTTTTGATCTAGAATCTTGGAATCGTATATGCCCCCATCCGATTCCACACAAGTCCCAATATCGATAACGCATCCAGGCATATATAAGCATGGAATCAACCATGCTGATGTTGTTGGGCGTCGAAGATCGGCGGGGGGAAAAAACAAGACAAGTCTAAGAAAAGCGAAAAAAAGACGGACAAACAACATGAATAGAAAAGCCAAAAGAACCCCCAAAAACCCCTCCCAGAGTGCAAATGCAGATGCAAAAAAGGAAAATACTAACGCCACCCCTGTTCCATTACCCCAGTATCGAACGAAAGAGCTTAAAAAACATCTTCTGCAGCAAAGTACCGCTTGCTGCGGCCTCGTGAGGCTACGAACTTCATCTCGGGCATGTTGGTATGGTGCACCACGTGTGGCCGGTAGACGGCGTCAACGGGAACTTGCCAGTCATCTAACCCGAGAGGGAAATATTCGTAGAGAAGATCGTTGCTTTCGTTCGGGAAGGGGAGCGAGGATGCAAATGGCTGAGGGAGGTTTGCAGTTTCCAGCAGAGGCATTGAAGAAGCCACACTCCGTGATGGGGTCTGAGAGACTGCGTGAGAAAGCTTGCGCATCTTAGCAGGCGGACCGGCATGGTCGAGACTCATAGATCGCTGGTGAGACAGCTCGGTGGCGAAGGGGGATGGCATCTTTAATGGATCGAGATGAAGATTAGGGTCGCCACTTTCTTCCTCGTCGAGTAATGACAGGTTGATTGGTGCAGCAGCAGTGCTCACACGGCGTTGTGAATCAGTCATCTGAGATAATTGCTCCGGGCTAGAGTTGGGGAAGAGGGCCTGTTGATGAGACATGACATTGTTAGATGTCGACTGCGGAATGGGTGTCCAGTCTGGCGTGGCTTGCGTCTGCTGCATGAGACTGGGCGGCGGAACTGATGTTGTTTCCGGGGAGCTGCTCTGAGCGGTGGGCTTCGACTTGGCCGGAGTCACGCTGGCACGACGCTGGACAGATTCGCTGGTAGGTGTCCGGTTGAGAGTGGAGTTTGTAGAGTTGGCCTGAGCATTCTTTCGAGATGCAGCGGCACTACCGCTTAGAGGGAGATCCTTGCGAGACTGGAAATTACGTGGACTGCGGCCACGGACAATGACAGGACCCGACTGGACCTCTGAGATAGGGATCTTCGCGCCGGTGGACAAGGTTGCAACAACCTTGAGCCGAACGACGAAATGTTGCTGCAACTCCTTTCGGCGTCCATTGTTGGCAGTCGCGACACGGAACTGTAACCGTTTCCAGGCAATAGGGAAGGTTGCAAAGTCCGAGTCCAGATCCTGGCCGGCCATGATATCCAAATTAATTGGTTGGGGCTCCTTCTCGATCTTGGCACCAGTGGTTGGATTGTTCTCCTCGAGCGCCGCGCCAGAATTGGCGGCAGCTGCAGAGGGCGTCTTCCAGGGCACCGAAATGATCTTCACAGGGTTTCCTTCGACGGATTCGGTGGCCGATACCGTGAGCTCCTGGGCGAGGATTGGAATCCGGTCACCTTGATCGGTCATAATATAGCGCATCCCCCGCGGCAACGTGACTGAGCCGGTGATTTGGAACAAGTTGCGGCGGTAGCAAGTTAACTCGGCACCTTGCTGTGGTGGGGCGTTGTCGGAAGGGGACGTTGTATACGGGGACTCCGCCAGAAAAAACATTCCGTGCAACTGAGCCGACACGGACAAACTGGCTCGGCGCATCGAGTAATCCAGCAGAGTAAAGTGATATACCGGACCCGAGAAGCTCAAGAGCTTGTTGTTGTGGTCGATCGAGGAGGAGTCCTGGGGTTGTTCCTGGGGCACCGGGTCAAAGGGAGCCACCAGATCGTTGAAAGCCTCATCGTATGGGAAGCGCTTGAGTCCATGGGAGATACTGGGAGGCACAAAAGCGAGATCATCACTATTGGATGCTGTCAATTAGCAAGGCAACCCCGTGGAGGGGGGGTGGATCCCCCTCTCGTCCCACTTGAAGAAGTACATCACCCACCTAACAAAGGTCTCGGAATCAAAAGTTGACCGGTGATCCGGTAAATCAAGACCCGGCATTGCATTCAAGTAATCGGTCCCCTGCAAATTTCCCAGTGACAGTGGGCTGGTCATATATGGTGGCATGGCCATAGTATCGAAGCCCTCCATGATGAGGACTGACACGATAAGGTACACGCAGGGTAGGAAGGGAGTAGGTATATGAGAAAAGGTCCGATAGAGAGATAGGTGGAGGAAAGAAGGCAAGTGAAAAGGGAAAGAAGCCAAGGACAGACGGAGAAGGCCCCGGGGAATGCTGCAAGCAACGTGTGGAGCGGAGAGATCTAGGGCGGGAGTGAAGGCGGAGAGGACATTTGAGAACAGAGAAGAATGGAAGTGGGTAGAGAATCGAGGGTAAGGGCTGGAGGGGAGGGAGTAGAGGGACAAGGGTAGGGAACAGAGAGTCGAGAGTAAGAGTAAAGGTAGAAAGATAGACGGAGCCGGAGGAGGAATCTCGACTTTCCAAACGATCAACGGATTCGGGGAATAGTGGAGCCGCGGTTTTTGCGGAGAACGAACGCAGCGCTGAGTCAGCCAGCACGAGACTGCCTCAGGGTGGAGGATCGGCTATCGGCTGGCCCTGAAGATCAATAGACTAGAACTAGTTCAAAGGGACTCTTTCGTACCAGAATATGCGGAATATCGGCCAATCTATGCCAACCTCTGCCAGCCTCTGTGCCAGTCTCTGTGGCTGCAGTACAATACCCCATATCCGTCTGAGTTCAGTTGCTCATATACTTAGGTTAAACGCGAATACCCACCTGCCTAATGAGGTACTACTGCTTCGGGTTGACCCTCCTGAAAACGCCACACTCTACAGATTCCTCTTCTCCAGCCTGTTTCTGTCCCCATTATCTTTGGGAATACATGGATTCGAAAATGATCATCATGGCCCGTCTGACATGCGTGCTCAAGGACCCAATCAGGGGTGGTGGTCACCAGCAAGCCCCCTCTGGACCCTCTGCGAACGGACATGCATGATTAGACCAATCTCCACCAGGTGGATCACCGGCGATGTCCGCAATACGAATCTGCAGGACTTTTAGATGTTCCGCCTCTCTTGTGGAAGGAGACACAAGAGCATTGGAACACGTGAAGTTTGGGGGAGGCAGGGGACCCTGCATTTACCCGATTTGGCCATCCCGATTTCCCCCTGAAGTAAACTCTAAGACAGTCAGCGCAAGAAAGCGCAATGCAAAAGTCTCCAAGGAACAAGAATAGATCGAAAGTCGAAACACTGAGGAATGTGGAGCCAAAGTGGTTTTTTTTTTCTCTCTAAAAAAAAAAATAATAAAATAAAAAACGGTTCTGTGTGACTGAGGGATTTAACGCAAACGGATCAAAGTTTGGCCCCGAGTTCCGGTCTTGCATATATAACGTTTATCAGATATACAAGTGGGATATGAGAAAAGCCCAAAAAAGAGAGACTGAAAAGAGTATAGAAGCAGAGTCAGAATGTAGATTATATAGAGGATCCCCTTACATATATATAATACGATCTAACTTAACGTCACATCCTCACAATGTAATGCTACCCTCAGTGGATAAGCGGAGGCCGCTAGTTCAAGTTTAGGCAACGGTCTGAACCGAGGCACTTGTCGGTTCGAAGTAATCAAATTTTAATATATGCCAGGCCCGAGTCCCCCGTGCCGAACTCTGTTTAGCCTTTCGCGTACAATATATACCCCTGGAAAGAATGGAACTGGAATTTATATTGCGTTGATTGGGCCAAATGACGCCTGTCCTACCCTCCAATATATGCAGATGATTCCTTCACCGTTGGCCCCGAACCGGTCCAAATAGAAATGAGAAAGCCAGACCCAATGCGATATGGATATCATAGAGCAAGATCAAAAGAAAAACAAAAAAAAAGAGAAAATATCAGAACAATGTCTACGATGTATGCATCATCGTCCAAGTAGCTGCGTCACAGTTGACTTCCTCGAAACTGTGAAGCATGGTAAATCCCATCATCGAGAGATTGTCAAAGTTGCCATCACCGTCGACCTACATCGTGTTAGTCCTTATACCAAATCGGGAATAGGAAAGGAAGGGTAGGGAGAGAAAAAAAAAACATACACAATCCATGACCACGGCGTTGGCACTCAACTTCCGAATCTGCTTAATGGCCAACAGGATCAAGCCCTGCATAACGGTAGAATAATCCTCTCCACAGGGGGAGATAACGGGCGAGGAGATACCTCCTACCGAAGTCTGAGTGGCGCGAAGCACAGGCATATGCTCCGCCAAGGAAGATCGCTCGTTGTAGATCACGATACTCCCGAGGATGACTCCGTCGGAGGGCCGCTTGGCCCGGATGATGCCGCAGTTAGGCGCGCCACCCAAGGCCATCCGGTAAATATCGGCAACGCCCTGTCGGGCATAAGTTTTGATGTGATCGAGGATAGCCCGGGCAAAGTCCCACCCATACACGAGGTCATAGGTGATATCAGCGCTCTGGAGCGTCGCCGTGAGTCCTTCCGGTGGCATCCATGTGGCTAAATTGCGCAGTATTACACTGCACACCGGTCGGGATAGTGCAGTGTTCCAGCCGAGATTAGCGAACCACTGCCGTAATCGCTTACGCTCAACTGGATTTACGGTCGGGATGCCAAGGTAGATACCGGGCAATCGCGAACCCAATTGAAATCGTCTCATTCCTTTGCGTTGGAGAAGGTTTCGCATCGCACGGCTGTGAAGAGAATGTCCAATTGATAATTTGCGCCGACCAGGGTCCACTATGAGACACCCAAGGACACCAGTGCCTGTTGACCGAAAGAAGTAGGTGGCACAGAAGCCATATAGTGCTTGCGTGCTACTGTTCCGAACGACAAAATGAGCTTCATCGATGTCCTCTTTTCGCAGAAGAAAGCTGCTAGATGTCACTCCTAGCAATTCTGACCGCTGACCCGGTGCACAGTCGGTACGGATGGATTCCAACAGAACCTCCAAGCCGAAGGAGTCACGATCTTCGTTCCAATTCTCGACAAGCCAGTGCTGCCGAGACTGGTGAATCTTCTGAGTGCGACCAATGGAACCAGGCAATGCAGCAGATGGAGTAAGATCACCGTACAAGACCTTAACCAGTGCTTGAAGAGCTGTTTCCGTGAAGTCGTATGTGCATATATAGGTACCGATCGAGGAGTCCATGGCAAAATCGTATGGTGAACTGACTGCCACCACGACCAATGGTTTAGCTTGGCGCTCGCCTGACGAGCTATACTGCGACTGACATATCATCGAGACATGCTTAGAAAATCCTTGCTGATATAAGTTGCGGTTGGCATCTGCTGTGACAATGACCACCGCATTTGCCCGCTGGATTAGATCCTCGTGGATTGGACGCACGCCGTTGGAAGTATATGAGGTGTGTAACACCCGACCGTTTCTCTGCCGCGATAGTGACCGTCCAAGCTCTTTAAACACGCCCTCTCCACTCAGCACCGATGAAGCCCGATCTGAAGACAGAGGATCCAGTGACGCATGTGAAGACTCCGAGACCGAGAGAGAGACCGCTGAGGTTGGGAGTGGTTTGACCAACGGTGTCAGCAGCAAAAGTTCCTCGTCTGCTTCAATGACGTTGGACAGCGGTAGCAGGTTGGTTTTGTCTCTCATCACCGTGATGGAAGAGTTGTAGGCTCGGGTGGAAAGGTTAGTATGTGAGGGTTGCATCTGTGTAAGTGAAGAAAGACCCGGAGGGTTGAGGGCCTGGTCCCACGAGGTGCAACGGGCCTTGAGATCTAAAACCCGACGCAAAGACTGTTCAATCCGTGGGCGACCAATGATCCCATTTTCAACTCCCAACTTCAGGCCATTAATGGCTTCCTGCTGGACTGGGAACGATCGACATAAGAGAATAACATCACAGCCAGCATTCTTTGCCATCACTGTGCCACCCCCTACTCCAATATTATGCGTGAGAGCTTCCATCTCTAGACATTCTGAGACGACCACGCCTTGGAACTGGAGGTCCTTTCTGAGGAGCTCGTCAACCACCTGGTCACTTAGACAGGCGTGCATCACGTTCATACCAGCAGACGATAAGGAGACCCCACCTACCATCATGGCATCGAGGCCCTGTGTGATAGCACTGCGAAAAGGCACAAGAGCGCTGAGACTGAGCTGCTCCAATGACTCTGTGATAATTGGAACATCCGTTTGAGAACCGAGAAATTCCAAATTACCGTAAGATGGAAAATGTTTCCCGCAGGTCACCAAACCGGCTTCTTGATATCCTTTCATGAACTGGACACCAAACTGAGATGCCTCTTGGGGGTCATCACCGGAGGTGCGAACGCCTAACGGCTGATTTCGCACATTGGTCAAAACATCCAATACTGGCCCTAATATCCAATTAACACCGACAGCTTTCAGCTCCTGTGCGGTTGCAACAGCCACTTCATGGGCCAGAGTTTTTGATCCAGTCGCGGCAATGCCCATAGCACTGGGAAACTGTCTGATATAAATTTCATCGTATAAACTGTTCACGCCGCCATTCTCTTGGTCCAGCGCAATCAGTAAAGGCACTGGATGACCAGCATCACGTGCGATGGTCTGTAATTCCAGAACCAATCTGGTCGCCTCCTCGGCCGCTGCAGTCGCGTCAGTAGAGGCTCAATTGAAGGCCGGACATGGCAACAAATACATTTCAGGTTTTTTGCCGATAGCAGCACAGCCCCTAAATGATAGTTTTCAATGAGCGATCGAATCTGAGGATTGACCGATGTCCCATCAAAGCCCATCATAAAGAGCTGGCCCATCTGCCTGTGACATGTTAGTATGCAATTACCCAAAGAGGAAGTAGTCTAGATGATTGGAAAAAAGGTTCCACAGCGGGCAGATACACCAAGGTCGCGATGGGGGGAGTACGGGGGGTTGCAGGATAACATGAGACCGAAACAGGAGATCGACATACCTATCTAGATCCTCCCAGCCCGGGGGCAGCATGTCCTCTTTCCGGGCCATGGCCCTGGGAAGTGGAATGCCTGTCACGGCCAAAGTACAGTTTGGGGGGAGAGAGTGGACACCGCAAACGTCAGGCTGAGGAATATGCCCAGGTGAAGCCAGGTCAGTGTCAGGCTCGGGCGTGTGCGCGTTGGGGGGTCAGGTGACTGGGTTCCCCAGAGCCGCAAAGTCGGGGAAGATAGGGAAGGTCACGGGATCCCATTTCGACATTTTGACCCATTTACGGATGTTTACGTGAAGAAGAGAGAGATGGCTAGGCCCTTTGAGTGTACCTTGGAACATGTTTATGTCCTCCATGTTTCATATCTCCGGTCCCCAGTCTCCAGTCTCCAGTCTCCCGTCTCCCTTCTTCATTCCATTCGTTCTCGACAGGAGTCATGTGACACTCACGTGCCCCTCACGTGCATACAATACGGTACGGGAACCCACTGCGACGTTGCAGGGTTGCAATCTTCTCCAGCTTTTTGCCGACTTCACCGGATGCAACCCGTGGACCTCTTGAGATGAAACCTCCCATTTTGATAATGCCCTTTTAATGCCCTTTTGATCATTCTACGTCATATCCTTCCTATCATTCCTATTGTTGGCCACATGGAGCAGATGGAACATGTGTCAATCCGGTGCCTTGATAAACATCCGGCGAATGAGGTAAATGGGGCCTATCCCGTGGCATCTTCTTGTTAAGATGCGGTACTCTGCAGACGTCAATGAACTGGCTCGACTATCTCGGGAGGGTCCCCTTCCTGTCCAATCATGGACTTGGGGGCGACAGGCGATGATACATTTGCGGCCATCAAGGACCCCGTAGTAGTAGATGGATTATACGACGTGGGAGATCTCTTTTGTCACAGTCGTACACTCTCCATCCATGTCACGTCCACTTTACTTTACTCTTTTCTTCCTTGCCTAGATAACAATATCAACTTCGACTTCAACTTCCCTTTTCTCTTTTCTTTCCTTCACTCGGAAAGCTTATCCTAACACCGAACTCGTGACGTCAAGATGTATGTGATCTCTTGATCCGTTGGGAACTTGGGCTAATTGGTTCAGGCGTGTCATCATCAGAGAAGACCCAAAGGAGGTGTCTGTGTACATCGCCGACTATATCATCAGTATGTCCAAGTTCAGCTCTCGTGCAACTCGCAGATAACTAACTGTTCAGGCCGCATCCAGTCGTTCAAGCCTACCGCCGAGCAACCTTTTGTGCTTGGCCTACCCACTGGTAGCAGTCCGGAATTCATCTACAAGATCCTCGTGCAGCGTCATCGCGCCGGCGAGATCTCATTCAAGAATGTCGTGACTTTTAACATGGTATGAGAATCACAAGTACCACCAAAGAACCACCGACTAATCCACCACAGGATGAATACGTCGGTTTGCCCCGCGACCACCCAGAGTCCTACCACAGCTTCATGTACAAGCACTTCTTCTCGCATGTGGACATCCCACCGCAGAATATCAATATCCTCGACGGCAACGCCACAGACTTGTCCGCGGAGTGTGCAGCCTTTGAAGCGCGCATTGCCCGCTACGGCGGCATCGAGCTGTTCCTAGGCGGCGTTGGACCAGACGGCCACATCGCCTTCAACGAGCCCGGCTCATCACTGACCAGCCGCACGCGCGTGAAGACTCTGGCCTACGACACCATCCTCGCCAACTCACGCTTCTTCGACAATGACACGAGCAAAGTGCCCCGCATGGCCATGACAGTGGGAATCCAGACCATCATGGATTCACGCGAAGTTGTGATCGTCGCTACTGGCGCACACAAGTCCTTCGCCCTTCAAAAGGGCCTAGAAGAAGGCGTGAACCACATGTGGACCCTGTCTGCACTGCAACTGCACCAGCACCCACTGGTCGTATGTGACCGCGACGCCACCCTGGAACTTAAAGTCAAGACCGTACGGTATTTCGAATCAATCGAACAAGCCGGTACCGATGCCCGCACCCAGGGCCCGGCTCTCGTCTATCGGCCCCGGACCTACGTCCCGGCCCCACTGCCCAGTAAGAAATCCGCCTCACAGCAACCCACCCCGGATGGGACCCCGGAGAAGGTGCCCAAGGACCTGCGCATCAACACCGAGCTGCACCGCGCCATGGATGATGATGAGCTCACTCCTGACAGCATGTCCTCGCGTCTGGTTGATTCAGCTATTGGCATTGATGGCACTCTCAAGAGTGACCTGATGTTCGACCGCATGGGTACTAGAATGACTACCCTCTAGGTGGCTCGTTTGACAATCTTATGGCATTTCCTCCCGGGGTTTCTTTTTCGGCTTTGTCTTTTCTTACGGGGAATTCGGGGTTATCTTTTGCAAAATCATATCTGCATGGCCTTTCGTCCGGTTTCGGGATATCTTGTGGAGTTTCGCGCTGTGTTTTTTTTCTCTTTTGCTTGTCATATGAATAGATACGCGGTTTTATCCATCCCATGTGTATTAGGAGACAAGTGACTTTATCAATATTTAGCTATGGGAATCCAAGCATGTATAATTTGTCAATCTGTTTTCACCTTAGTATGTGCTGTGTATGTAACTCCGAGATCCCTGCGGATGCAAGCGGTAAGTACAGTAGATATGCCTACATCCACACAATAAGAGTGCCAGTCTGTCTAATGCTCGTTTTGCAATCTGCCGATTACTATATAACTAATTTTGAGGTCGTACATACATGCATGAGATATTTACATTACAGCTTGGCAAAGACAGTGGCCACAGCACCGCTCATATCAACAAGGGTGCTCTTGTTCTGCAGCCAAGCCTCGATACCCCGGCGACCATTCTCCACACCCAGACCGCTCTTCTTCCAGCCACCAACAGCCATCTCGGCAGGGCTTTCACCCCAGGTGTTGACCCAGGTGATACCAGCCTGGAGTTGGTCAATGACACGGTGGGCCTGGTTCAGGTCCTTGGTGAAGACACCAGCGGCAAGACCAAGTTCGGTAGCGTTGGCGCGCTGCACAGCCTCCTCAACGGTGTCGTAGTACAGGATGGACATGACGGGACCGAAGATCTCCTCCTTGACAATGCGCATGGAGTCAGTACAGTCGGTGAAGATGGTAGGCTGAACCCAGAAACCGGCCTGCAGGTCCTTGGGTACAGAAGGCTTCTCCAGGCCACCACAGAGAAGGGTGGCCTTGTCCGACTCAATGCCGTGGCGGATGTAGGAGACGACCTTCTCGTAGTGGGCAGAAGAGCTGAGAGGACCGAAGTTGGTCTGCTCGTCGAAGAGCGGGCCAGCCCGCACATACTGAATCTTCTCGAGAAGGGACTTTTCGAAAGTGGTCTTCATGGCGCGCGGGACGAACACACGGGTACCGTTGGTGCAGACCTGGCCGGTGCTGTAGAAGTTCGCCATCATGGCACCGTCGACGGCACTCTCGAGATCGGCGTCTGGGCAGACGATTAAGGGGCTCTTGCCACCCAGCTCCAGAGTCACATATTTCATGTTGCCAGAGGCGCTACCGGCAACCTTCTGACCGGTGGACACCTGACCGGTGAAGGAGACCTTGGCGATCAGAGGGTGACCGGTCAGGTAGGCGCCAACGTCACCAGCGCCGTTGATCACATTGAACACACCATCGGGGAGACCAGCCTCGGTGTAGATCTGTGCCAAGGTTTGTCCATGGAGGGGGGTGAATTCACTGGGCTTGTAGATCATGGTGTTACCAGCAGCCAAGCAGGCAGCGGACTTCCAAAGAGCACTAAGGACAGGTCAGTTGCCGTTTGAGAGGAAGAAGAGCAATTGACTTACATCTGAATGGGGTAGTTCCAGGCACCGATACCGGCACATACACCAAGAGGAGCCTTCTTCGTATAGACCCATGCGTCCTCACGGAGCTGAGTAGTCTCGCCGTTAAGACCACCACCACCAATGAAGTTTGCATAGTACTCCAACACATCGGCGCCTGTTACAACATCGACAGTGCTGGTCTCGGTGAAAGCCTTACCCGAGTCAAGAGTCTCCACACGAGCGATTTCATCGTTGCGCTCGCGTAGGAGAGCCGCGGCTTTGTGAAGGATGCGAGCCCGAGCAATCAGGGGAGTCTGTGCCCATGAGGGGAATGCGCGGTCTGCGGCCGCAATGGCGGCATCGACATCGGCGTTGGAGGCGACCTGGATGTCGGCCAAGGGAGTTGCGGTGGCGGGGTTAATAGTCTGAAAGGTCTTGCCGGAGGTCGCGGCTTGGACCTTGCCACCGTAGTAGAGCTGACGGGGAGGGAATTCGAGAGACATGACTGCAATGAAGGAATGTACAATGTGTACCGTGTACCACACGAGATTCAAGAGGCAGATTGACTTCACACCGCCTTCCACTTACCTCGGAAGTGTTAGCGCAGGCCTTAAAAATCCCAGCCGAAAGTTCATACGTAAGAATCGGCGGAACAAAGTGGCTCTGCCCCTCAGCAAGTCCCCCCAATCAGCCCCCATTCAGCCCCCAATCAGCCCCAAACCAGCTTTCTTCTTCTCTGAATGGTTCAAATGTCCTTAGCCGGGACTTCCGCCCTAAGAATGGAATTGCTTGCCTTGCGCCAGTGACGCACTCCAATGACTATGATACACAAACTCATGCCACTAACATCGGAAGGGTAATCCTTTCCATCTCCTTCCTCTCCTTACTCCAAATCCTCCATACCTATTAGCATACAGATAACCACAGATACACTCATTTCCTCCGATAAGCGATGAAACACTCGGCCGTTCACAGTTAAGAGGCGGTGGGCGCATTATCTAAAGCCTCTCTCCACTTCCATGATCGCCACCACTCAGAGTCTTTTAATTCGCCGAGTCTAACGGAAAAAAATTATTCACAAAAATACGAAAAAAAAAAAAAAAGTGGAAAGGTAAAAGACGAATTTGGTGAACCGATAGAGAGAGAGAGAGAGGAGAGAGACGCGTTGGAAACCTCAGACCATATTCAATTCCCCATTCATAAACTCGATCTTCTCTTTCCATACCTCCCCTCTCCCCCCATACATACATCTCCACCATGGCTACTACTAACGAACTCTCCGCACTTGATGTCAACAGCTACGACTACATCGTCGTTGGCGGTGGTACCGCTGGTTGTGTGATCGCTGCTCGTCTGGCGGAGTACCTCCCCAACAAGCGCACGCTGGTTATTGAGGGTGGTCCCAGTGATTTCAATGATGACCGCGTCTTGAACCTGAAGGAATGGCTCAACCTTCTCGGTGGCGAGCTCGACTACGATTACGGTACCACCGAACAGCCCATGGGTATGGTCCCTTTCTGTTGTTAGACATCGAGGAATCTCGAGTCGCGAGTAAGCTGAGTCTTGCTGACATCCCCGCAGGTAACAGTCATATCCGTCACTCCCGCGCGAAGGTCCTCGGTGGTTGTTCCTCCCACAACACTCTGATCTCCTTCCGTCCGTTCGAGTATGATTGCCAGAACTGGGTGGCCAAGGGCTGCAAGGGCTGGGATTTTGAGACCTTCACCCGCATCATTGACAACCTGCGCAACACCTTCCAGCCGGTGCACGCCCGTCACCGCAACCAGCTGTGCAAGGACTGGATCCAGGCCTGCTCCAGTGCCATGAACATCCCCGTCATTGAGAACTTCAATGCCGATATTCGCAAGAATGGCGAGCTGACCGAGGGTGTTGGCTTCTTCAACGTCTCTTACAACCCTGACAACGGCCGCCGCAGCAGTGCCAGTGTCGCCTACATTCACCCCATTCTGCGCGGGGAAGAGAAACGTCCCAACCTGACTATTCTCACCAACGCTTGGGTTTCCAAGGTCAACGTCGAGGGCGATGCCGTGACCGGTGTTGACGTGACTCTGCAGTCTGGTGCCAAGCACACCCTGCGTGCGAAGAAGGAGACTGTCTTGTGTGCTGGTGCCGTCGACACCCCTCGTCTGATGATGCTCTCTGGTCTCGGTCCCAAGGAGCAGCTTTCCGAGCTGGGCATTCCCGTTGTCAAGGATCTCCCCGGTGTTGGTGAGAACCTGATTGACCACCCTGAGACTATCATCATGTGGGAGCTCGAGCGCCCCGTCGACCACAACATGACTACCATGGACTCGGACGCTGGTATTTTCTTGCGCCGCGAGCTTCCCAACGCCGCTGGATTCGACGGCCGCGCTGCCGACGTGATGATGCACTGCTACCAGATCCCCTTCACTCTCAACACTGCTCGTCTGGGCTACGACGAGCCCGTTCACGCCTTCTGCATGACCCCCAACATCCCCCGCCCCCGTTCGCGTGGTCGTCTTTACCTGACCTCTGCCGACCCCTCCGTGAAGCCCGCGCTGGATTTCCGCTACTTCACCGATGCCGAGGGCTACGACGCCGCCACTATCGTCGCCGGTTTCAAGGCTGCCCGTAAGATCGCTCAGGAGTCTCCCTTCAAAGAGTGGATCAAGCGTGAGGTCGCCCCTGGCCCCAAGGCACAGACCGATGAGGAGCTATCCGAGTACGGCCGTCGTGCCGCCCACACCGTGTACCACCCCGCTGGTACCACCAAGATGGGTAACGTTGCCGAGGATCCCCTCGCCGTTGTCGACCACAAGCTCAAGGTTCGCGGCCTCAAGGGTGTCCGTATCGCAGATGCTGGTGTCTTCCCCGATATGCCCACTGTCAACCCTATGTTGACCGTTTTGGCCATTGGCGAGCGTGCGGCTGAGATGATCGCCGAGGAGGCCGGCTGGGCCCGCAACCAGCCCCGTCTGTAAATGCACATGCAGTACATGTGTCGATGTGAGATGCCTGTAAAAGTATTCTATGTTTTGATTTTGGTTTCATTTTTTTGCATACAAGCGAGCGGCGCATCCACATGGATCCGCTGCACCCGGTCTGCGAGACGGACCTGACATTTTTGATTCCTTGATATTTACCATGACATCTAGTAAATGAATTGATCTTTAGTTTTCTCTTTGGATGATGATAATAAGATAAATATTGTAAACAGACTAGCAAACATGAGAGGTATTCAAGATCGTGGTAGATCTAAGATCATGCGTTTGTTCTATGCTCATGCAAATGACAGCCTAACGCCTATAACCAGCCCGAGATATCGAAACAAAAACAGAAATAAAAAACACAATTGTCCTCAAATCACCTTGTCGGTATCATGAATCTTAGCACCAAGCTTCCAGACCTGATCAACAGTCAAAGTAGGACCAGCGAACGGATCATCATTCTCACCCAGCACCACCAAATCCGCATCGGCACCACTATCCAGTGTGCCCTTCACACCCTGCAAGCCAAGCAGACGAGCAGGAGTTGCAGTAACAGCATTGATAGCAGCAGCAGTAGAAGCTCCAGACCAACGACGGAAATTGTTCACACACTCAATCAACGTCGCCGAAGACCCAGCAATCTTATCCGATCCCTCAAGCGTCAAGCGCGCACCAGTCTTTACAATCCTCTCCCCATTCGTCCACTCATAAGTACCATCCGGCAACCCACAAAGCCGCATAGCATCAGTGACAAGAACCAGCCCCTCCGGGTGCGCATTGTACGCAATCTTGATCGACGTAGGATGCAAATGGATGCCATCGGCAATGACACCATAAAACGGCCTCCTGCGCTCACTTTGACCAAGCAAGCCAAAGATACCAGGGTCTCGGTGGTAGAACGACCGCATGGCATTGAAGAGGTGAGTGATCATGCGTGCACCCTGGTGGGTAGCTTGCACAGCCTGCTCGAATGTGACGTCTGAGTGGCCGACGGCAAAGATAATATCCTTCTTGGTGATTTCGGGGATTTGAGACATCATGTCGCCAACTTCTGGGGCAGCTGTGATCATCTTGATAGGATTTGAACCCTGCATATTGTCCGCGCCATAGCAGTGCATGATGTCCTGAAGGGTTTGCGCTGCACGCAAGACCTCTTTCTTGTGGATGCCGTTGCGGCCAGGACTGATGAATGGTCCTTCGGCGTGAGCACCGAGAGATTCAGCACCGTCTTGGGGTTGATGTTTTCCTGCTGTTGGACCGAGGGAGGGGAGGACCTGCGTCACTATCAGTATGTTGATCGAGGTTGTATAGATGGAGTGTTGCTTACCTTCCAGTAAACCTCGGGGGTTGAGCTAACGAGTGTCGGCAAGTAGGAGGTGACACCGGTACGGGCGAGACCACGGTTCACCATGCGCAGACCTTCATCATATTCCTCCTTTGTGTCACATGGAACAGAGAAGTCGAAGCCGTGAGCACCGTTGAGTTGGACGTCGATCATGCCCGGGGCCACAATGCGGCCACCGAGATCAATAATCTCGTCTGGGGAAAGGTGCAGCTCATAGAAGGCTTCTTGGTCCTTGAGGATCTTTCCGGTTAGGGAATCAATCCAGAGATCTTGTTCGACCAAAGATGAGCCGCGCACCAAGCGGCAGTTGGTGAACTTGGTGATACGAGGGGAAGAGGTAGTTTTCCCCGGCATGATGTCAGAGATCAAAGACTGGGTCAGGTCAGGTCAAGTCAAGTCCGAACGAAGACGGGAAAACAGAGCATATAAAGAAGGGAAGCTGCTGATGATGTAACTGTGTAGTGACATTCGGCATGCCGATGTTGTATTTGGTATTGTCACGTCCTGTCACACTCTGTCACGGGATTCCCCGCATGCAACTCTCCGCATGCGGGCCCAAATGCGACCGGCAGAGTCGCATTCACTGTGGAACTCGATTCTCTTTCTCTTTCTTCTCTTTCTCTTACTTTTCTCTGATGACTCTCTCTTTTCTTCTCTACGTCCCCTGGTTCGCTCCCATCGACGGTCTCTTCTCCAGATTGCTCCATCTTGACCCTCTTGGTCCCCCCCCCGCAAACCCCCGACACTGATCGGCTCAATAGTGTCACATCGAATAATTATGGAGTCTTGATAAGACCATCGTGTGATTCGGTTATGACTATTATCTTCAGCTTTATAAAAAAAAACCATACTCTTGACTTAACTCAAACTTCACTCCTCCCATTGTCTATCTCATATCCCATTTTCGCCTGAAATTTTCACGTGGAGCCAACTCACATTCCACACTCCCCCCCCCCTTGTTCCCTTTTGTTATTTATCTTCACCCCCTGTAGATCTGTTCCTGTTCCTTCAACCATGGCGAAGGAACAGAAGCAGGAGATGACGCAGTATGATTCTGCGAGGGCTCCGGATCCCGAGTCTGGCGTGGATCAGGCGGTGTTGGGCCCAGCGTGGATGTACAAGCCACTCTTCAAATTGGGTAAATGGGAGGCTCCGTACTTTGCTTCGCCAGAGTTCCAGCTCTATCTGGTGTCATTTGTCTGCTTCCTGTGTCCGGGCATGTTCAATGCCGTCAGTGGTCTCGGTGGCGGTGGCCAGGTCAACGCGACCGATGTGAACAACTCCAACACCGCGTTGTATAGTACCTTTGCTGTCGTGGGCTTCTTCGCCGGCTCCATCGCCAATCGAATCGGTCTGCGATTAACCCTGTCGATGGGTGGCTTGGGCTACTTCCTCTACGTGGCCTCGCTTCTCTCCTACAATATCAACCAGAACTCCGGCTTCCTGATCTTCGCAGGAGCTTTCCTCGGTGTCTGTGCGGGTCTCCTGTGGTGTGCACAGGGTGCGGTGATGCTGAGTTACCCCCAAGAACATGAAAAGGGCAAATATATTGCGGTGTTCTGGGTGATCTTTAATCTGGGAGGTGTCATTGGCAGCTTGGTACGTGCAATTGATCGATATTTCCCAGGAGATGCAAGAGGCTAACAATTTTAGGTCCCCCTCGGCCAAAATATGCACTCCACAGCCGGCAGCGTCAACAATGGCACCTACATTGCTTTCCTGGTCCTCATGGCCATCGGCTTCGTTCTCTGCTGGTGTCTCGCGGACTGCAAGTATATCAAGCGCAAGGATGGTTCCCGTGTGATTGTGATCAAGAATCCAACCTGGAAGTCCGAATTTTTGGGATTGTGGGAGACTCTAGTCAACGACTCATATATTATCCTCATGTTCCCCATGTTCCTGGCCAGTAATTGGTTCTACGGATATCACTTCAACTCCGTCAACCTGGCCTACTTTAACGTTCGCACCCGCGCCCTGAACAGTCTTCTCTACTGGCTCATGCAGATGGTGGGCGCTTTCATCTTCGGTCAGTTACTGGATCTCAAGTGTCTCACGCGTCCCTGGCGCGCCAAGCTCAACTTCGGTATTCTCCTGGCTGTCACAATGGGTATCTGGGGAGGTGGATATGCCTTCCAGAAGGGATACACTCGCGAGAGTGGTGCTATTGAGACCGATTTCACCGACAGTGGCTATATTGGACCTATGTTCTTGTATATGTTCTATGGATTCTACGATGCTGCTTTCCAGACCTGTACCTACTGGTACATGGGCTCTTTGTCCAACAACGCTCGCAAGTTGGCCAACTTTGCCGGTTTCTACAAGGGTATCCAGTCGGCTGGTGCCGCTGGCATGTGGAGGTGAGTAATCCACGTCTCTATTTATTGATCCCAACTAACATCCTCTAGCCTGGATGCAAAGAAAACCGCCTATATGACCGAGTTTGCTTCCTGTTGGGGTCTGCTCGTCGGCAGCATGCTGTTTGCCTCCCCTGTGATCTTCTTCAAGATCAAGGAAAGCACCGCTGTCGAAGATGACCTACGTTTCTCCGACGAAACAGCCAACGACGTCCTCGGCACTACCACTGAGCTCTCCGATTTCGAGAAGCCTCAAACAGAGACTCATACCCCCACTGAGACGCTCCACGATTCCAACGACGAGCCTACCCCTAAAGCCTGATGGGAGCAATCCCTTGTGTACCACCACGGTCATTAGAATTATAATTCCCATGCTCTTCTGTATCTTACAACAGGTGTGACGATATTTGCATTCACGAGGCGTGCTATTTCTATACTTGCGAGGCTCGCCTCTAAATATGCAATGATGTTCAATGTCGATCACTTACTTTTTCAAATTCTTGTACATTATTTTGACAAGTTCCCTAGGGCCGGTGCCATTTGGGATTTTCTGGCTAGTATAGCTTTTGGTTTAACGTTATCGTTGTCAGGGATTTGAGTTGAGTTATGAGATTATATTGGCCTTGTAAGCTATACATTCCAATGACTTCATATTTCAGAAATATCGTCAATCATCAACCAGGCATGAATATACACGTATCAAACATGCATGCCATAATTCTCCTCTACAACTATCCCACCCGTCTATATCAACTCCGCCTTGGTAGCCGATGGCAAAGGCACAGAAGACTGCGTATGAGTAGCCACTGCATCCCCCTCAGTCCCGAACCCATCCTTCAACTTCCGCACACCATCAGGCAACTCCCACCCAAACAGCGTCCGATTGAACAACTGCAAGGCAGCAACAGGCTGATAATAAGGCACCTCATGGCCAGCTTCATAAACCCTAGTAAAGGAAAAGTTCCCAAACTCCCTCGTCTCACCGTACTCGACACCGTCAACGGTAAAAGGCGCATAACCGGCCTTCTTGAACTGCTTACTATGCTTGTACTTCGCAGCCAGGGAGATAGCCTGCCCACCAAACCAGTTACAGATATAGTCGGCATCGCCGTAGATGAGAGCCACGCGGACTGGTTTTGAGAGAATGTCCTCTAGGTCTTCGAGGAAATTCGGCCAGACAAAGTCGCCTGTTTGCTGGAAAGCGTAGTAGATCTCGTTGTTGGACTGTGTGTAATTTATGTCGACGCCTATGGCGTTTAGGACGGTGTCTTTGGCGAGGTAGGATGAATAGTAGCTTTCTGGGGTTGGGTCGTCGTATGGATGGCGGATATCATAGACGCCTCTGTTTCCAAAGGAGTAATAAGGGCCCTCTGTATTCAGGCTGGTAAGTATGTATGGGTTATGGTTGATGTCTATGGATAGAGAAACCAGGATGGTGTTTGGAGGGAGAAGGGCTGGAAGGGCTCGGTTGGGTACTCACCAACATTGTCGCGACACATGTTTGTTGCTTCTGTGCAGATAGAGAAATCTGCTAGGGAGGTGCGGTTTGTCTGTTTGCAGTAGGCTATTTGGTCTTGGCAGCCGTTTGGCATTCCGTTGGCGAATTTCATGTAATTGTACACTGTGTCGTTGACCTTGATGTGGGTCAGCTCTTGTATTTGAATATATCTGATGGAAGACTGGTGAACTCACAGACTTGATACCGTAAGTGTTGTTCACGGCAAACTCAGGATAGTGAGGAGCTTGGATGCCCTCGTCGATGATTCCGTTTATAATGCCGAGGGTGTTGAAGTCGAGTTGGATACCCTGTTGGGTACCGTTTTTGATCTTCTCGTTTTCTTTGTAGAAGTGATCGAAGAACTGTTTTGTTAGTCAAAGATCCAAAATGGGTGGAAGATTGGCTTACGGCAGGGCCATAGTGTCTAGAGAGGTTAGAGGCAATCAAGACACATGCAACGTGGAAGGGAGACTCACCCTCCATAGCTTTCAGTCCACAGATTGAAACTCTTCGACTTGATTTTTGAGTCCAGCTTTGGGAGAGCACCCAGGAATCCCTGCAGGACTTCCCAGGTAGCGATCGCAGCGAGATTGGTAGTATCAATCTTGGTAGCATTAATGACCGGATAACGACCATCAACGCCTGCAAAGTCTGCATCTTCAAATACCCCAGTCACGGGGTTAAGTGTACCAGGAGCCTTTTCAGCATATGAGAAGCCTGCTAATTGTCAGCCAAAACCTTCAAGGAGAAATGCAACATGTCGAAATAAAACTGACCAACACCAAGCGGCTGAGACAGGAACAGCATATTCGAAACCTCATTCCACGAGTGAGGGTTAATCTCGGACTCAGACTCATTATTAATACGACAAGGGCCCAATTCCTCAAATAACCCAATGAGAGAATCACTTCCAGGGCCACCATTCAACCACAACGTAATCGGGGCATTTTTCGGATCATGGCGAGCCTCGAAGAACCAGAAGAATGTATGCTCTGTCGGCGAGAGGTCAACATAGCCCGAATAAGACTTGACACCGGGTGTTGTCTCGCAAACACCCTCTTTCCCGGGTTCCTTGTAGCGAATCGTCACATTATTGGCCGTCTTGATTGTCTTCACCCCAGTCGGCTCCTTGGGTAACTGGCGACGAGTAATTGCTTCATAGACAGGATTCTGTGGCACGGCCGACACAAGAGGCAGTAACAATGGGATCCAGGTTGAGACACGCATGGCTGAAGAAGTAAACCCTCTATCTGGGAATGGCTATTCCAGGAATCACCTGAGGATACAAGGGACAAGCGGGGGGTACTTATAGTACTTGCGCCTGCCCCCTAGCCGAGAGGGGGGGAAGAGATTAGTCTGCATCGGAGTCGAGAAGGAAGATAACCGGCAGCATGCGAGTCGGCTGTTCGCAATCGGCGCCCAAGATTTCCTCAGAGGGTCTGGTATGATCGGTATAAACAGGGGGCCTAATCGCCTAATCAGGTACTCCGTTGGAGCTCCGGGGAAGGTCACATCATACTAGCGGGGATAGGCTTAACGGAGGGCTGGCCAAGAGTTGTCGCTGTCCCTGGGCTTGGAGGCTGGGTGAGGGGAAGATCGACAGATTGCATGCCAAGAACTGTAGGCTTCAGTATTTGCATGATTATTAATTCTGCCTTGAAAAATCCGAGAAATGATATGGAAGGAGAGTGGGAAGTGGGAAGCGGGAGAAGTATGCATTCAGCATTCAGCATTCAGCAACAAGCAATACGTTATAACGCTATGTTGAGTCTGTGGCGTCGACCCTAACCCTTAATTCACGGCCAGGGAAAAGTCCCATAAGTCCCTTGTCTACCATAGAGAATCTGCAACTCCCCACTGGAATCAATATAGTAAATAGCACCCGTCTTCTCATGTCCAGTCCAAGCATCTGCATGCATGAATGCATCATTCCACGTGAACCGATTCGCACTCCCCTGACAATTATACAAGCTGTTGATAACGACTTGATTGGTGATCAGATCAACCCCCCAAACAACAGCATAGATATTGATACTGGAGCCACCGATAGGGGTAGTAGGACCGACACTTAGGGCGTCAGGGCTCAGATCGAGAGAGCCTGGAGAGAGTGTATAAGTTCCAGCCCCTTCATAACTGATCCAAACGCGCCATTCGCTGTCGCAAGTGAACAGCAAAGACACACTGGGGATTTGGCCGAACCAAGTATCAGTTGACGGGAATGGGTTGGTGAAGGGACCGAAGAGGGAGTCGGTGTCGATGACAATGTCGCTGCCTGAGTAGAGATTTGCTTGCGCTACTGTGGTTTGATTGGTGTCGCCTATGCTGAACCTTTTGATAGCGAGCGTTGTGCATTGGGGAGTTGATGTGACGATTGGTTCAGTAGAACTGGTGAGGCTGGTACTGGTGACAATCACTGTGCTGATGGAGGTGGCAGTGGCAGTCACTGTGGTAGTATAATCCGTAGCAATCTGGCAAGAATCGCGTGGGATTAAGCCAGGACTGTCTTCATTCACTGGTAGTGCATTTGCCAGTCCTGTTAGGCTGGCGAGTGCGAGTATGAAGAGTTGAACCATGGCAGAGAGGAACTGTCAATGTGATGAGACTTGGCTGAGCAGTGGTTCAGATGTTACATGGCAGGTCCGATATTTGTATTCAGCAGGACCATATTCCGTAACTATGGTGTTAGGTATTCTTTTGCAAATGGATGAAAAAGCCGATCCATTCCATTGGATTGCGATGTCCACGTCTGGCTTCAGCTCGCCATGTCTGCCCTAGAGCCCTGTCGGCTCTAAAGTCGCCTATTTTGACCATAAGCTCATCTTGACAGAGGATTTGCGTAATTGATTTCACGTTGGTGCATTGAGAGTCATGGATATGTTTCAGTCCGCGGGTGCTGTGACGATTTGAGGATGTGAAAGGACTTGGGTTATGAGTATATATTTAACGTGGCACTCAAGAAGCAAAGATGGCACCAAAGAGACACTATACTCCAAGCTGCTGCCCGACAGTAGCTCCTCCCTCAGCTATATTGATAGAATAGACAGTATGACACAGACTAGCATGGATACGTCCACTATTCCCTATTCAGGCAGTGATATAGAGTGATGGATACGCAAGTCGTGCATTAGGCCCGGCCACACCGAGAACATGCTCCTAGAAGCGAGGTTGGTCTTCCAATAGCCTCATTCTGATCCTTGCCATAGGATTGTGGACCATGTCACTCGACTCTTCACGAACTATAAGAATGGAGAATGGAGAAGATCAACCTTCGGCCCAAAGCCGAGAGGGTGCCACCACATCTCCGAGAGGGGCATTCCGCTCTTCAAGCGTAATAATTTTAAGCGAAAGCAAATTGCTTGCCTCGACGCTAGTGGAGAGTCCATCGCCCGACGCCACACGCGTGGAAGTATAGGCCGAGATGGCTGCCTCAGGCAGCAATGGAACCTGTGATTTAGCATGAACATCGTAATAAAGGCATTGTCAAATAGTGTCTCAGTAGTCGAGAGTTAGTCGCGATTAGTTTGTCATGGAAGAGCCGACCTTCGGGGATATACTGAGCTAGCAATATAGGGGATGTTCGCGTTCAGGTACGCGGGCTAGAACCGCATATCATTTCCTACTGTAAATCCTCGAGTAAAATTCAGAGGGGTTTTTTTTAGAACGAGGCTCAGGAACTCGATAAAGTTAAGCATAGCAAAACATGGTCGAACGGAGGGTCTCGGCATTTGTCTACTGGGAGCCGTAAGGGTAGGCAATACCTCCCCATTCATTGATTTCCCTCCAAATATTGTCAGTCGAGAGGTAAGGACCGTAATCAAATCACGTACATGCAAGGTGAAGCCCTAACCAGTGCCTCGTAATTCATGTCTTAAGCTGTTTCATGCGGAAGAACCCATTCCCCGAGTCCAAGGTCTCAGACCCGGAGATCGTCCAGCCTTTCCACGCGGGATCGGATTCATTTCCACCTTGGAGATGAGGCGATTCTATGATTTGTCCGTTTGATCCGGGTGGGAAATGTGCCAACAAAGACAGCCCCTGTCTCCACTGTGTAATCAAAAGTCTGACCCCGTTGAAATCTCCCAAATGAAAGGAAATTGTACTGGCCAAATGAACCATCTGGGCCTAATCGCCGAGATTCGCTGTTCTTTGTCTATAGACCATACGATTGGAAATTCTTCCTTTCTTTCCCAGTTCCAATACAGTGTTTCCAATTCCCGAATTCCAATTTCCAATTCCACAGCTTGGTTTGTGTCAGAACCCGAGGGGTACGTTTGGTTCGATCCACAGCCCCGGTGTTTCTCCTTCACATCCCAAAATTAACCCTAACCTTGCATCGCCAGCCATTTCTTGCTTTTGCTTTTGCTTCATCATGACCCAAGCCTCTTCAGGCTGGTTCCCGTGATTTGACTGTTTATATTCGGCCCGTCCCTGCGGATACGGGCTTGAACTTAGCCTAACGGTCGCGACCAGGAAGTGCAATTCTTACATCGGCGGATATTGTCCTGCTCTAGAACAACACCACCCGCAACCATGGCGTCTGGGCTTGGAACTCCTGTTCGCGCCCATAGTAGTGCAAGTGCAAGAAAGCGTCCAGAGTCAACACTACCTCCGGTCATTGAGGACGAGCCTAGTCCGTATCCCACGCATCCAATTGCTCAGCTCCAAGGTCCATTTGAAGAATCCATTGTGGAAACGACCAATGGCTCGGCAAAGGAATATGTCGTTGAATTGGACGCGCAGACCCGGCGGCGCGATCTTTTGGAGAATGACGACTATGAGCGTCTCTGTGGGAGGAAATGGCGCCAAAGAGACTTGGAAAGGTTGGAAACCAATTGGATTGGATATGAGCAGGAGCTAACCCGTACAGATATCATCCATTCTGGAAATTGATCTCCCAAATGGTCTTTGGAGTTCATCTTCTTGGCAAGAAACTCGCCAAATCGGAAGTTTCAGTCATGAAAATTCTCCAGACTCACGTCGACGAGCTAGATGGCTTCTTGCAGAGGACCACGGAGGATTTTATGATCATTCGATTGGATGTTCGCACCCGGATTCAATATCTCAGTTTGCCTTTGAGTAACCTAGATGTCTTTGATGAGATGCTTCAAGATCGAGCTTTCCGACTCTCAGTGGTGTCTTATAACGATCAGATCGAACATTCCATCTACAGATTCACCTTGGCCATCACAGATGCCCTCAAAGATCTTCAAAAGGCCAAGGAGGCCATGGGTGCCCTTTGGTTCTACTTTCGAGAACTTGCGGACGAGGGTTGCTTCGAGGCCGACAGCCTCAGCGCCTTTCGCCAGACCATGATGGACAACATGGAGGGCTGGATTGTGGCCATCTCCAAGCTTCGTCGACGTGGCACTGCCCTTCAGAAAGCACTGAGTCAGTTGGGTCTTGCAACTACAGAAATGCAACGCCGCGTAGGTGTAGCAAGCAGAAAGGATGTGGTGAGTTGCCAAAACTTCCAAGCGGCATACCTTGTACTAATTTGAACAGCGGTCCTTTGTTGAACAAAGTAAAAAGATTGCAAGGCGAAGCAAGTCAGTCAGACAGAGACTCTTTGAAAGAGAGAGTCCTGTACCGGAGAAACCTCTCCCTCGCGATCCATTATCCAAATCACGGCGGACATCTTCCAAGAGTCCACCCGCCACACCCCAAGAACAACCCAAGACTCCCGCAAATCCAAATCAGAGCGATGGTTTGCGACGCAAGCTTCTCAGTCGGGCCAAATCATGCAGTGCTCTTATAGGAGAAGCCCGCGCTGGCGCCGGCGACGCACCACCACCTCTTCCATCAACACCGTCCACCCCCGGACTACTAAAACGAAAGCTTTCCAAACAATTCTTACCCAAACGATCTGCCAGCGAAAAGATCGACCTCAAGCAAACCAGACCCAAGACCGCCCCGTCACAACCATCAAGGCCATCACGAACTCTTTCAATAGAGCAACTACGAGCCTTCTGCACAACTCCACGACCAGTAACCCGACAATCCATGGTCAAATCACCCACACAAGCACGACAAGAGACCCACAACAAGCTCACTAGCAGCCGAGAGAGCATGAAAGACCAAATCTCCCAATTCCTGAAAAGCGACCGCGTGGTCGAGGCCTGGGATAACGTATCCAAAAACGCGTCCTGCTGTGCACGGCCACTCGCAAAGACCAAGGAATGGCCCAGCAGCATCTTCCGCACCAAGTCGTCTACTACTCTACAAAATCAAGGCCAGAATGACCTCTCCGGGCCGGACCTGGAAAGGCAGATGTCATGGGTACAGGAGACCTTTGATGTCCTGCCTACGCACTCCTTCAAACCGAAACCCGATATTTCACCCCGAATTCACGTCATGTCTGTGCAGATGACCCTGGATGAGGAGGCTAATGTATCCCATGGCCGAGAGCCGAGTTTAGATATGAGGAGTGAGAGTGGTTCGATCACGGCGTTGCCGGCTGTGCCGGCTCCGCCGGTTCCTATTGCACCGGTATGCACCGAAATATGTGATCTCTGATTAAGTGAATTACTGACTGACATGTATAGATTAATTTGGAGCATCGGACACGGTTGGTGGAGTGTGAGGCTTGAACATTTTTTTTTATACTACATCACCACTTGAACCTCGGCTCGAGTCCCAGGCAATTTATAGAGCTTTTAACTACATATATCCATTACATATATTACCTTTATACCCATTTCCACCGTTCCCAGAGCAAAGTCAAATACAAATACTCGAATGCACCGCCTTTTTTGCCTCTCAGCCCTGCGCCCCGTCGATCGAAAGTGGAACACTGCGCCACGCGCTGCGCCTACTACTATTTTTTTACACTTGCAGTACTTAGCTCGTCTATTCAGCAATTCCATGTGGGTTTATTCAGCGATTTTATTCAGCGACTGTATACTGCCATTCTACATTTCTGCTATAATCCTTTTGTACTCAATACTTGATTCCCAAGCCAAACCGGTGCGAGTGGACAGGTCTCCGGTACTACTGTAGCCTAGTGCCAAGCCCCACCCACCGCCCAGCCCCTACGATTACGTCGGACATCTCAGGACAAGCGATCTTCTGCTTCACTTCTCTCTTCCTTCACCCCCTTCCTCATGGCGATCATTTACCCCCGATACAACTGGTAAGTTGTCAGATATTTTCTCCGGTAGCATGGACTAACAGTAATCCAGCTATGATGGCTATGATGGCTGCTACTCTACCTGGGACTCCTGGGGCCGCTGGGTGGCATTCGCCGTGATCGTCGGTGTTGCTTTCCTTCTCTTCTTCGGTTTTGCGTAAGTTGGACAGGAATCCTCTCCAGAATTCCCCACGCGCAAGCTCAAGAGCTAACAAGATCCAGATGCTTCAACGCACGCCGTCGCAGAACCCATGGTCAGCGCCCTATGACCGGCACAGGATGGATGGCGCCTCCCCCGGGACCTCCTCCGCCAAACCAGCCCGTCTACCAGCCTCCTTACGGCGACCCCTACTATCAACAGAATGCGCCTCCCCAATACAGCGCCAACCCGCAGAACTATGGCTACTTCGGGGCCCAGAACGGACCACCACAAGAGCATGGAATTGAAATGCAACCCCCACCACACGCCTACAATGGCCAACAGCCCTACTCGCCTCCAGCCGGCCCGCCCCCAAATGCGAGCAAGGTCTAGACGTTAGACACTGAACCAGAGCCTTGATGAGTATGGCTTTAAAGTCTGATTTGCATTTCCTCAGTACACTGAAACCTAATGTTTTACGGCGTTAACCGGATGGTGCGATGCATGGACTTTTCTTCTTTGATATGAACGGATACCCGTATGGGTGGATTGCTTTTTGTTTCTCGTTTGCTGTTGATGCCTTTTTTTTCGGTTCTGATCCCACATCAAAAGACAGCTGGGCGCGGGCGAATGTCTCTGAAAGAATGGGACTCGACTAAATAATTCTGTGTTCTCGTACATTGTTCACATCTCTATTCTAATGACATATCTTGAATGGCCAGTCCTGGGTCAAATCATACTAATAAACTAGTTTGAAAGTAGATTGGATCTCTGTCGATCATTGTGCAGGGGGTTGAGAAGCCATGCAAGCTGTAAGCGCAATGTTAAAGTAAGACCCTGCTATTCAATCAATGTTCCTCACTTCCACTCAGACGTGAATATCCTCAAATCAATTCAATTCGAGGTGGGTTTATGCCTGGGGCACCTACTCCGCCCTATATCGCGCTCCACCCTACAATTTCCTCCAACAAACCCGCAATGGACATCGACGACATTCTCGCCTCGGTCGATCGCGGCCCAGGCGCCAGCCCCGAGTCAGCAGCGCTGGACCACCAGCTCCTGACGCGCTTCTGGGTCGCCGAACGCGCCGTCTCGGAAGTTCTACCATGGCCGGCACCACTGATGGAGCGCATGATGGACCGGGTTCGGATGCAGGTAAGCAGCGCGCAACAAACCCCCAAGAGCCAAACAACCCTAACCAGACTGAATCCCCCGCAGATCGAAGCAATTGAAGACCTGGCCGCCTCCTCCGGCGACACAGCCATGCAAAGCACAACAACGCACAACCCCAACCTCAACCTCCGCCTCTCAATCCTCCAAACAGACCTCGCACGCACGCAATACATCATCCGCAGTCTACTACGGGCGCGGCTCGCAAAGATCACAAAATACAGCATGCACTACCTCGTCCAGCTAGCCTCGCGCAACAAAAACCCCCTCTCGCAATCCCAATCCCAGTCCCAATCCCAATCAACAGCCGCCAACGCTCAACCCGAAGATTCCGTGCCTGATATTTCCTCGCTGGATGATCTGGCGCCGCTGTCTGAGCCGGAGGCTGCATTTTTGCATTCGCATCAGACGCTGTTGGCGGGCCATTATGCGGGGTCGTTTATGGGTGCATTTCCGAGACAATTGAGGCGGTTGGATGACAATGCTGGGGGGACGAGCATGATTCAGGGACCAGAGGTTCGGGAGGTTGTTTTTGTTCGGTGCTTGGGTGTTGAGGTTCCTGTTGTTGTTGGAGGGGAGGAGGATGGGGGGGATTATGGGGTTACGATGCGGATGGGGGATGTTTGGGTTGTGAGGTGGGAGGGAGTGAAGGATGCTTGGGGGAGGGGGGAGGTTGAGTTGTTGTGAAGGGGGTTGGAAATTTGGATTCGTTTTTGATAGCGGCATTGGCATTCTTGCACTTGGGCTGGCGTTGTGTGTTTTCTGTTATGGGTGATGGGTTATATACTCGGTACTCGGTTGAGGCTTTGTTCTATGTTCATATATGCTATGGTTTTGGTTGTGGAATCTCAGCACAGTCTTACTGAGATGTATGCCCGGAGTGGCCAGGTCTATTTCTAAACTAACAGGCTAACAGCCAAAACGAAGGATAATAAAAAGCAAAGTACATGACATGCATGATCTTTGACAAGATCAGTGCTTTCTTTTCCACTCTTCTCCTCGGAGACGCCAGTCGCTAAACGCAAAGCAAAACACAAAGAACCCTAACAGCAACCGCCAATATGCCGAGAACTGGATCATAAGATCATGAGAACATAAAGCAAGTAAACCAAAGCCATTGCCATGGGATCAATTCACGCAATATAACCATAAGTAGGTGGCTCCTCGGAAATGCGCTCCAGATATTCACGGTCAATCAAACTCTCAATACGACGCTTAATCATGTGAACATCGGGGATGAAACGAGAATTCAACTGAGAAATGACCTCTGTCATTAATTGTTGATGCGTGAGGTTTTTCCGTTGTCTAGAAACTGTTAGTGTATACATCATGGAAGGATAAGAAAACAGGAACATACTTCATGATACGCACGATAGCGGCCTCAATGGTACCGCCGCGTTCCTCGCTCATCTTCTCCTCGGTTTCCTTGCGCTGGTCCACGTTCTCGACCTTATTCGCGCCACCGCTGACAACACCAATGCGCACCTTCACGAATGGGCTGTGGAATTCGTGATTAAAGAAGAAGCGATCTGTAGGTTGGACATTCTTGCTCATTGGATCCTTTTTCAAGACTCGAGTCTTGGGAGCAACGGCCAGCGATTGCAGGTTTCGGATTAAGTCGTGGTCGGGGATTTGGGTGCGGGTTTGAATTTCTTCGTAAGTTAGCGGCTCACCATCTGGTGTATCGTTGAACAGCATAAGGATAACCATGGCATATGTCGAAACGTTGAGCTCGTAGCGCTGGACTTTGCCATTGGGTCGTTTGAAGGTGGCTCGGATGTCACCAGTGCCCATACTGCCTTGCCAGGACAGCTTGCGGCCGTTGTGTTTGCCGAGGTAGAATCGCTCGAAACTTTGGATGAGGGAGGAGATTTCCTTCGGGTAGAGGCAGGGTAGTTGAACTATTCCATCTTTCGTGCTCGCCATGATGTCCATTGGCCACATGTTGCTGGTGAGAACATTGACCTCCAGATCCACGGGCTTCTGGTCGGGATCCCCCGTTTTTAATACGTGATCTTTGTAGTTGGCACTCAGGTCTTCGGAAATTGTCATGTCCTTGAACATGGATTCAATGCGCTGGGTAAATTGATTGCCGACTTCCATCTTCATTTTGGAAATCATCTGTCTCTCCGCATCCATGCTGGCAGCGCGCTTCATCAAAAGACGACGTGACAAATGCTTCTTGTAATAAGTTTCGAAGAGGTCCTTGTCTTTGATATAGCGCAGTAGCGTAATGCCATTGTCAAGTAGAGAATCCACCTCGCTCTCTGTCTTTCCCTTGATGCCCTTCTTCAGGTTCTCGTCAAAAAATAGGGAAAGGAACTCGGAGCTGCGAGTGTTCATGTTGATGAAATCCGAAAAACTGCCCATGATCGAACTCTCAAGGCCTTGGTCAGACAGGAACGCCTTTTCCCAGACCTCGTCGAATTTCCGTTTGAGGCCCAAGATCTCATCAACCCAGCGAATTGCGGACTCTGTTTGCTGGTTCACGGGCCTTTGCTTTTCTGTTGTTTTCTCTTTTTTATCGCTCTTTTCGTCCTTCTGGGCAGCAGGAGCCGGGGTTGGCGGAACAGGTTTTGACGAAGCGTTGATATCCTTACCCATCTCCACGATCCTCTTGTTGACTTCCTTGACCAGGGCTTCCTTTTTGGGGTCAACTCTTGCGTTCAGTGAGTAAACATCGCGCAATGCATCGAGCTGGTTGTGGTCGAGCATGTGTCGTACACCGGTTCCTTCAAGCTTGACGACTTCTGTGATGTTGGTGCGAATCAAGTGCTCATCTAGCAGGTCAAGAATTTTTGTCTGTGTTGAAATAGCCAGAGTATACTGGCATCGCTCTTGTTCTTCGACAATGCGCTGGATTGTGATTCGACAGAAAGTGGCAGCATCACCGATCTCCAATAATCGGCGTCCTTCGGCTTGGTAGAAATCCTTGCTTGTATCAAGGAAAGCTGGTTCGAAAATTGTGAGATAAAGCTTTGTACTTTCATCCTCTGTGATGGTTTCGTAGAGACCCTCCATCATTTGGATGCAGTGTCTGATTAATGGACGCTCAATGATGTGACCAGAGCGTTCCAGCTGGATCATGAACAAAATGGTGGATTCCAGCATTTCAATGACCTGCAGATTAGAGTCGGGGCGAACAGAAGACCGAAGAATATGGTCACGGAACAGTGCCATGCAGACAACATAGATGGAAGGCCTGGTGTGAGAGGCTAAGATCATGCGGTCCTGGAGGATTATTAGATCAAGTCGCGAATTGAACCCGGTTATTCCTACATACCATGTACATCAGAACATCTGTAACCATGCCCATGCATAGTTGATGATCTTCCCAAGCATCTTTGAGCGCGGCCAAGAACTTCTCGCCCGCCTCTCGCCTCTCGTTGGATTGGTCTGGCGCGTCTGCTGAGTTGTGCATTCTAACGAGAATTGGAGAAATAGACCCAGTAATAAGCTTTTGTACGTTGTTCTGAAGCCATTGCTGCTCTAGTTCCTTGACCTTGTCGTGAAGTTCTTCACCCCGCATCATCAAAGCGATCTTGTATGCATGACGGTAGAGCTCTTCGAACGCCAGCGTTGAGGCATTTTTTGTATTAATTTCGGTCAATGACGATGAGAGAACGGACCAGATCGCGTCGAAAGATTCAGGCTTCGCTGCTGAGGTTCCCTAATGTGATCTATAGTCAGTGAATAGTTTCAAATTGCACCCCGCATTCACTTACCCCCCTTTTGGGAGCTCTAATTTTGTGGCGAGCTCTCATAGACATTTTTCAAGCTTTCAAGAACAATGAAAAAGGGAAGAGTGACGGATGTGTAGACAAATTTTGGCAACGAAATGCGTTGGAGAACAACTCTCCGCGGAGGCCGGTGCGGGAAAACTATATCCCGAGCTCTTATCGTGATCTTTATCTACACGGGGAACCGGGGCAATATATTATCCGGGCGTTGTTGGACATCGTCATCACCGCTCGAGTCTTTCAACCGTTCGTCTTTAAACATTCACATCAACCACGATTTATCTGCGCCTCGCCATCGGCATTGATATTTCAATTTCGCTATCAAAATGCGCTCTTTTACCTCGGGCTTTCGCCCATTGAAGACTTTCGTATCCCAAGCTCAATCCTACACCTCCATCGCGCGCGCACCCTCATCGCGTTTCCTCTCGACTCAAATTTCTCACCCACGCTCTGCCCTCCCTTCCCTTACTCGCTCTCAGCAACGCATTCTTACCCACACTCAGCTCCGCGCCAACTCAAGCGCCGCTCGTCCCCTCACTGCTGCAGCGCCCAGCCAGACAGAAACAGACGCCGAACGCGAGGCACAGAATGCAGAGCGACGGAAGAACGAAGAAGCCTATCGCATTACCTTCACTTGCAAACCTTGCGGTCATCGCTCTGAGCACCGCATGTCAAAGCAGGGCTACCACCGGGGAACGGTCTTGATTCAATGTCCCGGTTGTCATTCGCGTCATGTCATGAGTGATCATCTCGGCGTCTTCTTTGATAAGAAGACCACTCTGGAGGACTTGCTAAAAGAGAAAGGTCAAGCTCTGACGCATGGCCATACCGATGGTAACCTGGAGTTCTGGGATGATGGATCCGTGAAGAGCTTTAACTCGGAAGGCAACAATCAAATTGGGTCTCCTGAGGAAAAGTCTTGATTCAATTCGAGTGAGATTTTTTATGCATGGGTACTTGGTTAAAAATGTTCGGTGCATATAATGGTGTCGGTTTATCAGATGTTCGTCCGTTTGGATGAGCTTTTTTGTACATTACAGTAAGATGTTGAATCTCCACTTACAGCATGGCAGGGCCCAAGCAACGATGAGAAGGTGATTAGACTTGGGTTTATGTACATTAGAAAGAAAAAATTATTCACCTTGTCAACACATGTATTTAATCAGCAGCACATATTTCTGATGTAGAGCTACCTACATATGTCAAAAACAGATCTGTACAGAAGAATCAACTTGTTCTGAGGTATATACAATGCAAGTATAATAAAACAATCCACCAACGCCCACTTTTTTATATGCCAGTAAAACATTCATGAGACATGCAATCCACATGTAAATGCCAAAATTTCTACCACCCGCGTCTCTTACCACGATGCTCCATGGCCTTCTCACGACGCTTGTCCTTCTTCCGCTCATTCTTCTTGACCTTCTCGCGTCCATGACGCTCGGGATCAGCAACAGCATCGATGCGACGCTTGACCCGTCTTCCTTCACGACGTTCCTTAATAGCCTCCTGGACCTTGGACATCTCGTCAATGTATTCGGTGGTACCGAGCTTCTTCTGCAGAAGATCCAAGACCTCGTGGCAGTTGGAGACAAGGGACTTGTAGGTGTTCTGGAAGGTCTCATCCGACGAGCGTGGTGCCGGAATAGATGAGTCAGTCAGATGCTGCAGGGGGATGAGAATGACACGGATGGAAGGCTTGATATGCTCAGCATCAAGGTGGCGGATCAGCGCAGCAAGGAGCGTGATAGAGGCTGTCTTGGGAGTGAGAGCATTTGCCCTGTTGGACAGCATTTCACGGCGCAGCAGAGATGAGATCTGCTTGAAGATGTAATGGGTGGCAGATCTTGGGGATTCAACAGTCTCTTTCTTTGTCTCGCCCTCGGCGTCACTGCCAGCCTCATCTTCATCTTCGTCCTCGGATTCAACATCATCGCCTCCCATCTTTGGAAGCTCTAGTCCGTTCTGGGCACAGCAACGGCCCATAAAGACAAGGTTGCGTACGCTCTGCATGGCCAGATCTTCGGTGATGCCTGGAGTACGCAGACTGCGCAAACCAGCACGAAGAAGTTGGAGCATAGCAGGCTTGTCAAGAGCAAGACCAGAGCTTCCAACCAGAGGAATCGAAGCGTAGCCTTCGGCAGCATTTGTCTTGGCCAAGTCGGCCATCCACATACCAATAAGGTTTGCGGCGCAGGTCTTCACCCAAGCGTGGGGGAAGAACAGGGCTTCCTGGATAGCCGCCCAGATGGTAGCACATAGCGGGCTCAGAGCAAGCGAGGAAACTGTCTTGGTAAGCTTCGTGAAAAGCTGCAGGGCAAAGTAAAGAGCCTCCCAGTTGCCATTTTCGTGATCCTCAAGGACAGGCTGCATCAATTCTGGCAGAATTCCAATAACGAAACGAGCCTGCTTATCCTTCTCGGTCTCCTCGGCTTCGAAGTAGATCCGCATGGCCTGCAATCCAATGCTGCAAAGGGCCATATTGTTGGTCTGCTCCAACCACGAATGAAGGGGCGTGAGGATGGTCTTCATCTGCTCCTGATCTGCGCGGTTGAAGAACTCTCCCAGCAAGGTACCTGCCAGCTCTCTGCATTCCGGCGATTCGTCGTTCGCCATAGCGAGAACAATGGGTAGGAAGAAAGTGCTGATGATATCTTGGGCCAATTCCGGGCCAGTCTTGGAGAGGAGCATATGCATAGCCTCCATGACTGACTGGCGTCCAGACTGGTGCTTATATTCCAGATTCTTTGCGAAGAAGCTGAGCTGCTTGGTCCATCGGTTCTTCGCCTGTGGGTATTCGATCAGGAAATGAACGTAGGTGCCTCGGGCAAGGTCTCGAGCAGAACGAGTCTGGTTCGTCACCATCATGGTTGCAATGTTGTCCATAAGCTCGTACATCTCTGTTACGACAAGCTTCCGGGACATGACTGCTCTGATGAAGTTGAACGTCACACCTTGGCGATCTGGTTGTTCAATATCAGCCTTCAGCCGGTGAAGCAGGTAAGCAAGGTGTCCATCGCGAAGCTTGGTATCTTTGCGTTCACGGAGCATTGAGGAGATCAGCTTCAAAGAGGCTTGGGCTGCCTCGGAGTTGGTGCTAGGAGATTCCTTGACCAATTTGACAGCTTCCGTGAAATAGACATTTGCGTTCTCGTCGAGTTCGGGCAGAGGAAGCTTGATGATGGTAGACAGCAAACGAAGAGCCGAGACCTTGACTTCCTCTTGAGCTTGGACAAGCGAGTCACCAATGATGGGGATAAACCCGGACAGGTTGGAAGCCGTCAACAGCGAGTTAAATTTGTTAAGGGTCGCACGAAGGACATCAAGCGCGAATCGAGTCAGCTTGTATACGTGAGAGGATGTCGTGCCCCGATGCTCGCCTCGCTTAGCTCCTTGCAACCTGACCAAGAACCGTTCCTCGGAACGAGACTTTGGTGCAGGCGCAGCCTCAGTCGGGGCACTGTCGCGGTAGGACTCCTTGATGACTTCGTAGCAGAAGACCAACAGATCGCGACTCTCAGCATCCGGGTTTCTCAAAAGACCAATGCCAATTCTCCGCATGAGCTCATCCAGCTTCTTAACAATGGTGGAGTTGAGCTTCTCACGAAGGAGTGCTTGTAGAGGACGAACCAAGTTTGAAAGCTGGCTGATTGTGGAGATCTTTGCAAGAAGTTCCATGGAGTCGTAGCTCTTGCTGCTCTTCACCTCCTGCATCTTGCTAGTATATCCCTCAGCATCCTTTTCTTGCCCGACAGTACCGAAGGTATCATCCATGACGACGGCGACCAGGTCTGTCAGGCAACCATCTAAATCACCTTGTTCGAACACATCTGTGGTGTGCACGAGCATGGAGTGAACAGTGAATGAGAGCACGTGGAGCTGGTAGCCTCGAGCGAGAACATTGCGCAGCTCCTTCAGGATATAACCGAAATAGACTGGACCCAGAAGGAGAGCAATCTCATTGAGCGTTTTGCGAGCGGTGTCACGGGAATCCTGTGCTTTACTCTTAAGAGTGGTGCATACATCGAGCAGAACGGGCGGCAAACGGATGGTCATATCCTCCTCGGGCAGGATCTTGAGAAGTTTGACAGTAGTAACCGCAGCAGGCAGGCGCAAACTCATTTCGGTTTCTTGCTTGTGGTGAATAAACTTGGTCAAGAAGGGAATGAAGTTTGTCGTCAGCTCCGATGCAACCTTGGCAAGAGAAGGAACAGTCTTAGCAAGGGTGCACAAAGGCTGCTCGACAATGTCCATCTTCTCAGCACTCTCACTTGTCTCCTCCTGCGATCCCTTCTTCCGGCTCATTGCGCTGGACAGAGCATCTGACATACGGCCCAGCAGCCTGAGAATGTTCTTCTCCTTTTCGGGCTTACTTGCCATGTAGCTGCGGTATCTCCGGAAGTTGGCACGGAATTGGTTCCAGTCCAGCCATTCTGACAGTGCTCCGATAGTGGCAACACCTTCAGCAATCAAATTGTGAGCATTCTCATCGGCGGCATCTTCGAAGACGAAGTGCTCAATGAGGGGAATGAAGATAGTGCCCAGGTTTGAGGCTTGAATGCTGCCGTTAGCGGCATCTGTGGCAAGTCGACGCAATGCACGCTGTCTGCGGTGCTGCTGGATGTGAAGAATGTTGGTAAAGAAAGAGGCTTCTTCATCATCACCGACAAGGAGGACATGCATATCTTGCACTGACGGTCTGGTAGGGTTCAGCTTAACGAAGTATCCAATGACTGCGACAACCTCGGAGCGAATAAGCTCAGACTTTTGCCGGATACCGTATTGCAAGGAAGGGAAGAGAACATCATTAATTAGAGATTCGAACGCCGCGTCTGGTTCATTGGCCGTCCGGTCAATGAATCGTCTCAGACTGAAAGAAGCGCTGGATCGGATGGCAAGCTCGTCTTCATCCCTGACATAGAACAGCATGTTGTAAAGAAGAGGTCTCCACTGCTTCGCACTGTAGCTGTTGTATTGCTCCTCGTTGACTTTCCGGAAAGCCTGCAGGCGTCGTTCATAGTCGGGTTCAAGTCTCCTTGTCGAGCGAGAGTTTAGGTCGGCACATAATTCGGCAACTTCCTTGAGCTCCTCATCGTGGGTTGCAAGAGCAGCAAAGACCCTAGACAAAACTTCTCTGTTCGCATCATCCTTGAAGTAGTCGAACATGGAGCATACCGCCTCGAAGACTTGCTGACCAAGCTCGACATCTTCTTTGGTATCCCACAAGGGTAAGAAGTGCTCGAGAATCTTCAACAAACCAGACTTGGTTCTTGGGCTCACACGATCTGGGGGTTGGCGGAGAAGATAGGTAGTGATGCTGATGAGACTGGACGTCTCTTGAGAAGATTCAACACAAGGGGCGATGAGAGAAAGCGCGTTGACACCCGAGTAAAGAACAGGCTTGGAGGGGCCTCTCTTAAGGACGCGGCCAATATGCTGCAGAGCGTGTTCCAGGTAGGGGGAAAGAACCTCCGATTTGATCTGCTCCGCAGGGAAGTCGGACATCTCTTCATTTTCTTGCAGTTTCTTTCCAGTGGAGGTCTCGACCAATGGCACAAGAATTTCATCCAGAACGAAGTTCTTGACCTCATCTCGTGATGACTCTACCCCGAGACAGTCGATCACCTTGGTCAGAACTTTGTCGTTGTGCTGAACCAAGTAGAATGTCGACCGTGGGAAAGAGGCCCAAGTATGGAACAGCCGTAGCAGTCCTGAAACACCCTGAGCAGTCTCGATAGGGAACTGATCCAGTCTGCTGTTGATCACCTCATTGAAGATAATGCGGACATACGGGGTCCAGTCGCGGTTTGAGGCAATTGAGAAGACCAGATTAAGACATCTAATAGACTCAGAGCGAATGTTTTGGAGCACAGTCAAGAAGCGCTCCTCTGGACGATTACTGCCTTCGCTGTAAAGAGATCGGCATGCTCGCACCAAACAATAAACAACCACGTTCATGGTTTGGGGGGCATATGCGATCATGCGTGTTTGAAGAGTCTCAAACACGGTGTCAATCATCTTGAGCAGACCCAACTGTCTTCTCGGGCTTGTAAACTCTTGCTCGAAGATGCTCGGGTCTTCGATGATGTTCGCATCTCCAAGTTGGCCAAAGGCGAGTTGCATGAAGAGGCCGAAGTCATGCTCAGAGAGGTGTGAGATAGTACGAAGAATGGTCTTTCGTCTGCCGGTTTGGCCGGCTTGGCCAGAACCACCGGCCTTGGAAATCATTCGACCGTACAGTAGTCGAAGGAGCACAGGAAGGAGGACTTCGCGGTGAGACTCTTCAATAAGGCTGTTGTCGTTGCCAACGTGTACAAATGCTGCAAGCTCATCCTTGAACCTAGACTCGTCCAAAATGTTGAGTAAGTTCTCCTGGTATGGAGTAACACTCTTATCCTTCCAGGTGAACAGAACCTTGAGTGCTGATTTCTGGAGTTCGGAGTTTCCGTGACACAGCAATCCCAAGACAGCCTTGTGGACTTCCTCGGTCCTATACAAGACTCTAGGGTTGAGGAACTGCGCAAACAAAGCGAGCATAGACAGACGATCCTTGAATCCCCAGCGAACTTGCTCTTCGCCAGTTTCGGCATCGGTCTTCGCCTCACTAGCCTGAGGGACGTCATCCTGGTCATCACGCAATGCCCATGTGAGGAACAAGGGCACAATTTGACGGGAGCGCTTTTCAGCCACGCCGGGGGCGGCATTGAGGACACGCAAAGCATGAGTCCGTGGGCAGGTAGGAAGGACAGCTGCAATGGTGTGGTCTTCGTTGAATTGTTGGGATAGGACGGAGTATGGATCCTCTGTGCTCTTCATATTCGCAGCGAGAACCTTTTCAACCTTGAAAACGTTGGAACACTGGAAGTGACTGGCGACGTAAGAGCTTTCATCGTCATCTGGGGCATCGGGAGCTTCAGAATCACGCTCATGCAACCACTGGATAGACAAGTCAGATACAATCTTCTCTCCCTCAGGGTGCTCGCTGATAGACTTGAGAGCTGCAGCAGAGTCATCCCACAAGGGAGCCAACTTCTTTGAGAATAATCCAAAGCAGAAATATGGGATCAAAGTAGTCATCCATTTGCGAGACATTGTTTGGGGATAGAGAATGGCAAGTTTTCGGATATGCATGGAGATGACTCTGACACTGTCCATGGTTAACGGGCTTTCTTCAACTTCGATGGCCAGCTCCACGGGGGAGGGATCGTCCTTGTTGACGCGAACGATCAATTCGCGCAAAATCTGGAGAGATACTAAGCGTAGCCTGTGAGACGGACTAGCCAGGTTGACAATGAGGTCTTGAGCAAAGTCCTCTAGTGTAGAGTGCTCTAGATCTGCAGACTCTGGCAGGGAAGAGATGAAAGAGAGAGCACCCTCCAGGAAAACTGGAAGGCGAGAGAATTTAGTAGCAGTCGCAATGATCTGTCCCCAAATGCTCAAGTCAAGCTCTCCAACTTGTTTGGCGAGGTCGACATACGTTTTAAAGCCTTGGCCGAGGAAGAAGACCAGACCGTTGGTTTGCCCTTCCTTGCCTTCAGTCGCGCCATCCTGGAGAGCTGACAAAAGGTTGCTGTGAAGCTTGGAAACCATCTTCGATATCGTGGCAGAGCTTGAAAACAGAGAAATTGCTGATGGAAGCTTGACCAGTGAGTTCAAAAAGGCCTCATCCGTTGTGGGATATTCCAGCGAGGCATTGACGCGGGCTTTGAATGCATCAGGGCATGAGATATAGCCAGGCTTAGAGCTATCTGGTGAGATACACCCAGATTGGCTCAGGCGAAGCAGGGCGGAACAAGTCTCCCACTCGCGGTCTTGCCATGATGAATTGATGAACTTTTGGAGTGGCGAAATAAGCAAGCTCTGGAATCGCTCAGAGCCCCACTCTGAGAATGTTGTACAGAAAAAGAGGAAATATTTTGAGAGAGGACCTGTGGACACCAGGTCCACGATAGAGCGCAGGTATGGGAGCAGCTCGTCCATAGGGGAATTTTGCAGGGCATATGCAACACTGGTAAGGAGCACTGATATCGTTTCAGAAGGAACATCAGAGGATGACACCTGCTGAAGCAGAGATACCTGGATCTGGTGAACCGTCTTCCAGTTCTGAATTCTGACACCCTTACGGGTTCCCACAAGCAAAAACATTAAACGACAGCACTCGGAAATATTGGGATTCGGTGTGGACTTTGAGCGTTCCTCGATGTAGACTTTGACTGTTTCAAGGACAGGGCCGAAGGTATCGGGGGTTGTGTGGTGGACAAGGCTGACAGCCACACCACAGACAACTTCTGCTGGCACATTGTTGGCTTGACTGGGTGGGATCTTAGACAGGATACAATCGAGGATGTCCATTCCATTGGAGTGAAGTCCGTTGTTGACTCCTCTAATGGCGTCGGAAAACATGTTCATCAAGCCGTCTTTATAACTCGTGGTGTCCATGCCGTCGTCCGCAGTCTTCGAGATATCATCAAATAGATATGAAACGGCGATCTCAAGGGGCGCTTTGTTCTTGTAGTAGACAAGACCGGCCTTGCGAATCAAGAAAGACATTGACTCGGCTGCGAACCTCGCAACGAATGGTTTCTGTCGCTCTTTGCCGAGGTATGGAGTCATGATACCGAGAAGCTGTCGCAGGTCCGGTACCAACAGGCGAGACAGGAACTTGAAGATCCATGCTAGACAGGTGAAGCTCCACTCCACCACCTCAATGTCCGCATGTGTCGCTGCAATAGATGAAACGAGAGTAACCGCTGTCGCAAAATGTTTCTCGAATTTGACACCCAAGTCCCGAGCAAATTGCGCAACCAGGCTCAACAGTGGTTCCAAGGAGTGTTCGTCTCTCTTCTCAATGAACTCCACCAGTAGAGCCATAATCTTTTCTTCATGGTAGACGACCTGGGCAAAGCTTTCAGAAAGAGGGTTGACACGCCGTACGAATTGTGAAAAGTTGTCTGAAAGGTTCATCTCAAACCAGTGGTCGAGTGCCGACCGGAAATATGAGGCTGTTTCGTCATCTTCGCCGAAACTGGCGCGGCGCACGCGGTGGATCGGGTCGATTTTGAGCTTCGTGATGCGCGATGAGAAGCCCTCGAATCGATGTGATTTTGTGGTTTCGGTGCCCTTCTTCACCCGGCCAACAGGCCTGGGTTTTGAGCCTGTTCCCACCATCTTGACGGGTCTGGGCAGCACTGTGGGTGTGAGAGATACTGATCAACTTTTTTGCATCTTATCCGTATCGAATACAAAAAAGTTCATCGGCGCGGGGATTATTTGTTCCGGCGCGGAATCCCAATTTGGTCACGTGTCGTACAAGATGGCCCAAGCTCCTACGCAGGATGTTCGAGTCGCGAGTTGTTCGACTAGTTCAGTTGAGTGGAAGTATATGATTATCCGTTTTGTTAGGTTGGACTTGAATCTGTACAATCATTCCTTCTCTGTCGCCTCTTTCATCTTTATTCGCCTCGCAACATTCTTCTAGACCAAGCCCCAACTTACCACCCGCCGTTAAAATGGCATCCAAGGTGTATGTATAACTGTATCGGATGATTATCAGTGGCTAACATAGAGTGTAGTGTTGTCATTGGCAGCGTGAATGGCCAGCTAAGTGCTGCTTTCACTAAGCTTGCCAAGTTACAGCCGAAGCAAAATTTCTCTTTTGCGATCATTGTCGGAGACCTCTTCGGTGACTGCTCGACCGAGTCCGAGCTTGATGAGATCACTGGCTTACTCCAGGGCAACACAATTGTGCCATTGCCCACTTACTTCACTGTAGGCAACCGACCACTTCCCACTCGGGTGATTGAAAAGATTCAGGCCGATGATGAAGTGTGTCCCAACTTGTTCTTCCTTGGAAAGCGCGGAACACTCAAGACAACAGAGGGTGTTCGAATTGTCGCTCTTGGTGGAACCTTTGAAGAAAAGGAAGGACGTGCCCCTGAGAGCAATGCTGTTGGTAAATTCCAGTCGACATACAACGAAGCTGATGCTCGTGCACTGTTTGGCCTCCACCGCACCGATATCCTCATTACCAACCAGTGGCCAAAGGATGTCCGACTAGGATCTAGCCAGAAAGTTGCGGGAGATGAAAGTGGCGTGCCATCTGAGTTGCAATGCATTGCCGACGTGTGCAACACCTTGAAGCCCCGTTATCACTTTTCTCGCTCGGACACTGGTTTCTTTGAGCGGGAGCCGTTCTTTTACATGCCTGCAGAAGAAGGAGATGGATACCAAACAACCCGCTTTCTATCATTGCCATCATACGGCTCAAGAAAGGACGCACTATACGCCTTTAACCTTGACCCATCAGTGGCACCTGCAATCAGTATTCCCGTTGGCTGCACCATCTGTCCATGGTCAGCTGTACAAACAAAACGCAAGAATCTGCCCAGTCAGCATGAATCATACCAGCGGTTCTCCCAGCCTGATGGAGAAAGAGACCCAGAGCATAGGCGCCGGCACAAGAAGAACCGTGCTCCACCACCAGGTCCAGAGCAGTGCTTCTTCTGCCTCTCAAACCCGAATATCGCTACTCAACTTATCACCTCCATCGGCAATGACAGTTACATTACAACGGCCAAGGGACCTCTTCCGAAACCCGACTTCTTCTCGTCCCTGGGTTTCCCAGGCCACATGCTCATAATCCCATTCGAACACAGCCCAACAATCGACTTAATCTTCGACCCCGAAACTCGAGCCTCAACCTATACGGAAATGCAAAAATACCGCGAATCGCTCCACCAAATGCTAAACGAAAAATCCGGCGGCAAGCTCGGCGCCGTAACTTGGGAAGTCAGTCGCTCAGGCGGAATCCACACGCACTGGCAATTCCTCCCAATGCCAGTAGAAAAGATCCGCGGCCGTCTCGTCGAAGCAGCCTTCCAAGCCGAAGCAGCAAACCTCAAATACGATAAATTCAAAACAATCCCAGGCCCCGACGAAATCGACAACCACGGCATGAACGATTTCTTCCGTGCATTCATCTGGACGCCTTCACGCAGCGAAGAAGACCAAGCCGGCGAAGGCGAGGGCGATATGTGGTCCAAGCCTGGTCACAAGGGCGTGTACAAGACACCATCCGGCGAAGAGAAGATTACCATGTTGCCAATCCAGCCTCAGAACAGATTCGATCTTCAGTTCGGTCGACGTGTCATGGGCAAGCTTCTTTTGCTAGATGAGCGACTTGATTGGAGGAATTGCACGCAGACAGAAGAGGAGGAAACCAAGGATGCAGAGGCGTTCAAGGAGGCGTTCAAGAAACACGACTTTACTATGGAGATGGAGGAGGCAAGCTAGCTACCTAGTCTATGGCCGATTGCGAGCATGGGCTTTACAGGGACTACCTGCGAGGAACTGGACAGGTTCTTTTGAATCATCTAATGGAATGTGACATGAGTGAATGTGAAGCTCGGGTGTTACCGATTCACTCGCTCCACGAGTCTAAGATACCTCAAGGCACGTGTAGCACATCCCTTGGCATTTTCGAACAAACTCAGAATTACAGAGGTAGATCTAGTATACCTCCAAGAACTCTCTGGTGCTCTTCTTTTTAAAATGACAGATCTTTATATACTATCTAGGTAACCCCGATGAGTCTTGTTTCATTGTCAAAATCATTCACTATGCTATGTGCTCTAGCCAGCATGGAATGCTAGAAGTAGTGAGAAACAGGGAGAAACAAAAGCCAGTCCGACAGGAAATACACAAGACAGGCCAGCTGAGCATGCACTGTACAAAGTAGAGGTAGTCATGGTAGCGTCGGAAAAACAGAATGAATGGAAGTATCACATAAGCTGAGGAGGGATCCATGATCACAACAGTGACAGTAAGACATAAAGTTTGACAAAAAGGGGAAGAAGAAGAAATTTTCATTTCCAAGCCGATTTCAAGCTTGAAGTGTATGTATGTACGAAGAAAAAAGGCACAGGAGCCTGAAAATGGTATCAAAAAAGAAAAAGAAAAAGAATCATGCAAAGAAAGAAGAGAACTGTTCAAACGAAGACAAAATCCTAGACTCAGAAGTTGTGCGAAGCATTAGGCTTAGGCCCACTCTGCAACAAACTAGGAGGTCTCATAGATTCCGGCTCGGGGGCAGGCTGTGCGGATAGGGCATGGGGGTTATAAGGGGCGTACTCCGAAGGCGAAGGAGCAGGGAAAGAAGGAGGCGGGGAAGCAGACGAGGGAGAGAAAGCCCTGTACGCGGAAGGAGGCTGAGAGGTATAGGTAGGCGGATACTGGCTCGAGCCGAAAGAGGGCTGGCGCGTAAAGCCCGAAGGAGCGGCGCCTGCGCCGTGATCCATTTCCGCAGAGGGAGTGAAGGACATTGGCACGGGGCTGTAGTTTGTGTGGGGTTTGTAGGCGGCCACAGGGGAGGGAGATGTGACGGCGTGGTATTGGTTGGCGCCGTAGTTGGACTGGTCGTCGTAGGACTGTTGGTAGGGATTGTGGATTGGCGGTCCTGCGGGCGATGTCAGGCCTGGTGAGCGTCGTCCGTAGGGATCTTGTGTAGCAGCCAACGCTGTGGCTACGCCTGGTGAGCGGCGGCCATATGGGTCTTGGCTTGCGGCGAGTGCTACTGCTGGGCCGGGGGACCTTCTAGCGTATGGATCCAGAGGCCCACCGGGAGATGTCACACCAGGAGAACGACGCCCATATGGATCCTGGGTCGCAGCCAAAGCAGCCGCGGGGGCGGGCGAGCGTCGCGCATAGGGATCCGTAGGTCCAAAGCCTCTGTAGGCTCCAGCGGCCATGGACGGATTCGGCGAGTAATCCGAGTAAGCAACACCGGGGGTTCCAGCGCCCTTTCTGTCTGGAAGGTTCAAAGGCTCCATTTCAACGTCATCATGGTGATTCGGGTCTTCGACATGCTTGTTGACGGCGCCCGCCCAAGTAGGCATCTCAGGCAGAGCATCATCATTGGCGGTGGCGACCGTAGCAGAGGGAGACTTGGGCGCATCGAATCGTGCAGTTTGTTGTGCGCCGCGATAGGAAGGTGGAGCAGGAGGTGCTTTGTAGACGGGGTTCGCGTCCGGCAGCGGAGGCTGGTGATATGCAGGGGAATCGAAGTGCTTTGGTTGCTTGGGTTGCTTATTTCTGCGCCTGCCGGATGGACAGCAGCAGCTACAGCAACACTTGCAGCATTGGTAGCCGCAGCATGCGCAATTGATCACGCATGCCAAAACAGCGAAAAGGATCACGGATCCGACGATGATAGCGGCGATAACGGGCCATCTGCGTGGGAAAATTAGTATGCTAATTGATGCGCGTGTGCGCCTGCAATATAGGATGTTTCCGATGTACTCACTTGCAGTAAGTCTTGGACATACATTTGTCCCAGCTGGAAAATGTCGAGGGTACCGATTCAAGGTCGCTAGCGGTGTCTCGGGCCCATAACGGGATATTTGCGGGACTCATCTTGGCAATAAGATGGGGGAAGCGCTAAGCTGGAAGGAATCATTCGATTGTCGACAGTTACGGTGTAAGTACACTCCACTATTGTCCTTGAAATACTCTGAACGTCCTCGTCGCAGCAATGCAATTCGATGTCGCGGAGATACAGTTGGTGCTCCGGTGTCAAGAGAGGGGCGCGCGAATCCGATTCCGGTCAAAGATGCGAAATACGAAGATGGACTGTGAGCGAAGGAAGGAGTGTAAATAGCTGATCAAATCCTGGAGAGTGAACAGGCAGCAAGGTACGAAAATAGAAGCGAATAAAAGAGTGACTGGGATGCTCCACGAGCTAAGGAACGGTGTCTCGTAACGAGCAGTTGTCTCAGACAACCACCTTGATCATCACACACAAGAACACCGTTAAGTGTCACGAAAGAGAGGATGAGAAGAGAGAAAAGAGGAAAAGCTGAAACGTCAAGGGGAGCCGAGTAAGGGTTGAGCCAAAACCCCATAGTCTCCCCCCGCCTCCGCCTATCACATTCCCGTGCGAGGGTTGAAACGCCAATCTTCATTTGATATATCCACCGTTTGTCGATCTTCAATTCCGAGACTTCAGGATTACGATCAACCTACTATTACGAAGACTCAAGCTAGAAGGAACGTGAAAGTTGAATGAGTTTTTTTCATTGTTCACAAAAGGAAATCAAACATTTGTAGCTGGAGTCTCCGCTGATTACCCTTTCCAGACACATTAAATCTCACAAGGGGAAACTCCAGAGAGAATATCCCGCAATAAACAGGCAAATTCTCATATGTACAGCTGCAGAGCCGCGGTCATGCATATTATGCCAATTTCCTCCTCTTGGCCCAAATGACACAGTTCAAGGGGGCGATATTAGCAGTGGAAGATGCGTTGAAATACGAATGCTTCATGCAAGGACTTCGTAAGGCGTTGGACCGGATAATATACCAGAGTCGAACGAGATACAAGGCGGCGCAGCGAGGAACGGGGGATGTTCCGTGATAAAGGTGGAAGGCTGTACAGAGAAGGGCCAAATGGTGGATTAAAGGACGTTATCGTGTAAAGAGAATGTGCGTTGAGAAAAGGAGATGCCAAAAGCAGGGCAAATGTGTCGATGTGAATCATCGTGGGGGTATTGTTTTCGCTGAAAAGCCCCGTTGTAGTTCGATAAATGGAATCTGGCGTTGATAGGCCGATGTCTTCATGTGCGAGTTCGAGAGATGAGGTCGTGATGTGACATAGGAAAAGTGACACTCGGGGTCGAACGGTTCATGGGTATCGATTGCCCGGAGTCGATCGTGGGCAATGGTCATAGAGAATGGCGACAAATTGGTCGTCCATGAAAAGGAAATGATGAGAGTGGACCGATTGTAGTAGGTGGTCATGCAAGGAGAGGACGATACCGATAGCTGATATCAATGAGTTGAAGAAAGAAGTGGCAGGGCGGAGTAGCCAGCGCCAGTACCGAAAGAGATGAGAGAGAAAAGTGTAAAGAATCGAAAAAAGGGCTGAATGAAAAAAAGCCGCCGTAAAGCATCAAACACCACGCTCCAATGACAAGACGAAAAGATCAAATGCAGAGAGCGCCATCGAAAGACGGGCGTTTTGGTTTAGTATGAAAGCATCCGGCGACCAGGTGTCCGTTGGGGCACAGGGCTTGCGGAGAAGGGGGACGACCCAAGAAATCGCTCGCGCTGACTGTCAAATCGACAGCGTCCAGTAGGGCTATCCTCCATTTGGGGTGACTGTTCACCAAAGGCGAATGTCTGAGCGCGATTCAACTTGGAGCGCTGCTTGACCTTACCAAGGCCACGCTCACAAGCAAACTCGTGCTCCTTATCGCTCATTTCCACATAGTTTTGCGGGAAGCAGAATGAGCGGTGGTCGGCAAAGAATGAGCTATAACCACCATCCAGAATGTACATATCAGGGTAAGTCAGGTTGGGGTATGTATCGACATTGATGGCACGATCATGGTGACGCAGATACTTGGCCATGATGGGAGCTCTGTGCGCGGAGTATTCGCAGTGCAAGACCAAAGCTGTACGGGCCCTTGGGGCACTGAAGAGCTCACCGGCGAGCTTATCCTTGTCGTTATAGTTCAAGGCACCATTGATATGACCACCATCATATTCATATTCGAAGCGGCAGTCGATAACCAGGATGTTATCAAAGTGTTCATTGAACTTTCCATCCATGAGCTCCAGAAGTGTGCTCTTTTCGATACGAGGCAATGAGTCCGCACGATCCTCAGGGATGAAGTGAGGCAGCTTCATGCTGGGCGGGCTCGAGATGTCACTGACTGCCTGCAGTGGTGTATTTGTTGCTACCTTGGCCTCTTTATCGGCGATCACATCAGCTGGGTGCTCAAACATACTCAATGACCTCCGGCACTGCTTGCGGGGGCGCATCAAGGGATGAGACGGCTTGCGAATTGAACTGGGAGCAGGGGAGCCGCTGCTACGGGCATGAGCGAATGGTGGACGCAAACGAGGCGGTGCCAAGTTAGTCGACGAGTTGTTCCGGGACAAAGGGCGCTCATGGGGAGGAGAGTCTCCGAACATATCTTCCAACGAGGTCGATGTACTGAGCGAGGTCTTGGCTCCAGTGCCAAACCTGAAGGGAGGAGCCTTGCTCTCTGGTGCTGGTCGGGACATTCCGAGCTGGAAAGACTGAGCCTTGCTCCTGGCAAGACTGGGACGCAGGAAAGCGGGCCGCTTTCGCTCGGGTTGGCATAATGGAGACTCAATGGGAGATGCCTGTAGGGGACTGGGAGCCGGCGACATAACTGGCGATTCCATATGACCGCAGTCCGGGGTAGGCGAGTGTACTTCCAACTCTGCAGTTACAATGAAGGCTGGTTTATGCGGGAGAGGGGACATTTCCATCACGTCCATGGCCGGGGCGGGTGAAGAATCGAGTGGAGGAGTGGTCATAACATCATCTATATAGTATCAGCAATTGTAGTTCGATGTCTGCGGGAAGATTCCGTACCGTGACGATTGGCCTGGCTCAGCATGTTGGCTGTGAACAAAGACCGGCGTGGTGTCGCTAATTGCGGACTAAATATAGAGTCAACATGTCTTCGTTCCTTTGATCTGAGACAAAGACAAAAGTGAAGAACCAACCTTTGATCAATATGAAAGTTTTGCGACAGGTCAGCTGCCAAACTCGCTGTGGGGGAAGATCCCCGAACTGGTTTCATATTGAAGTAGTCCGCACTGGACCTCTTCATAGACAGGTCCTTGAAGTTGAAAGGATTGCCACCAAAGCCAGCCATTGGACCAAGCGAATATCCATTTGCAGCTTCTGACCTAAAGCAATGGCCGAACATGACTGACGGTGGCTGCATGGCAGCCAGAGGAGAGGAGTGTTCCATGACGCAAACTGCAACCGGTCCAGTTCCAACGTTGTACAGTTGGAATGGTCCCAATTTCTACCCAGCACTGAGCCTACAATGAGGTCCCGGGAAGAAAAAAAATGTAGTGTTCCTGCACGCACGTCTCCACGTTTGCAATTTCTCGTTATGGGTCCCCACGATCCCCGTGACAACCGATCTCAAAAAAATACACCCAGAAGTCCCAGACCCTCCACCGAGAGAGTCTTGTATTGTGTTGAATGGACGAAGCTATAGGGCCATGGCAAGCGGACAAATAGAGGAGGGGTCGTAGCTGCAGGAGGGGGAGGGATATCGGAGAAGATGTCGAAGATGTCGGGACAGGTAGAGAGGTCGCGATCAAAGAGATAACAAGGTAGTTTCGCCCCGAGATGTCCACCAAGAACAGGAATGTGTCGACAAGAAGTATGAGAAAGAGAAGAAAAAGGTGGCACAAAGCGGTTTGAAGAAAGAACTGAAGCTGAAGGGATGGGCTTGTTGCAATGGGCAACGCAGGTGGGGAGGAAGAGTATAGGTTTGGTAATACTGCGGCTCCGTACGGTACGTGAGATTACTTGGAGTAATTTAATGCATTTCCAGTTACCAGATTTACCACGTTATGAGGGTGTTTAATTGCTGAAGCAGGGGCATAGGGTTGTGTATGGTAATTACACAGGTCTGCATAGTCGACCCTTTAGGTAATTCCTTAGATTTTCCCGATATTCTTTTTGGAATCGAATTAATTCAAGATCTACTAGTACTGCGGTATGCAATGGCCCCAGAGACAGTAAGTGATAGGCAGCTCTAGGGGCCAAATATTGCCGGTCTGGTTGCCCGGACTCCCTTGCCGCAGCAACCCAGCGCCTATCACAGTTGACCTCTTTTCCCATTCTTAGTGCATCCGTACTGTACAAGACTGAACTGTGTATAGCAGGGATTAGCCTTGGCACCATGTGTCTCGGGCTATACCTGCTAGCTGACTCTAACCCCCTGGCCTATAGTATGGGGAAAGCTCAAGGAGTCTGCAGATGTCTTCAATGCTCATTCTACCGTTGCTAGAGGAGATTCCCTGTGCGGTAATTTCGGTGGTTCCTGTGGTTCCTGTGGCTCGTGTATCCGGAGCTGTCCATACTGGTCTATTCCGTGTATCTTCCATGGGTCTTCTCCACTGCGTATCAAAGAAAAGTTTTTCGGTTTCAAACATCCCGTGTGCGCAACCGCAGCTGAAAAAACGGAGATCGGGTCTAAGAAAGCGCTAAGCAAGATCCCCACTTAGTGTTCGGAAAAAATAGAGCCTTGATGCAAGTGATGTACGCAAGGGTTGAATGGTAACGCACAACGTTGGTGCTTCGACGTCACCCATGAGATACCCCAGAGTGCAGTACAACCCTGACCAAGTATGCAGTCTGGAGTTATGGAGTGTTTGGAGTCGGAGTATGAGCCATGGAAGATGAAGTGTGCGAGACTCGCTGATCTCTCTCAGCCCGCCAGGATCACATTCATCTCGGAAAAGTATACCGAGGTGCTGATTGGCCTTGCCATCTCGATCTCGTCATCTCCCAGATTGTCCGGTTCCCTGCGAATTGCTTCAATATCGGAACGTAGTATTGAGCAAGGAATGAAAGGTTATCTTTCATTCTTCCTCTCAGAATCGCTCTCAATCTTCCCATACCCGTGCCCTTACATGCCCACACCCGCATTTTTGCTGATCAAGGGTCCGCCAGGAGGACCAATGTCGCGCATCCCTTCCAAACCCCTTGTAGAGGTTTAAGGTATTAATTGCTTATCTAGGGTAGTCTATTGAAACTCTCCCTCTGCCCGCGAACTTGACTTGACCTCTTCTTCCTCCTTTCGCGTTGTACCCATGACAATGGCAACAATGCTCATGAATGAACTAGTGGAAAGTCTGATATCATCAACGCGACGATGTGATGACGATATCATTGGTCAACTGCAGCAATGTACAGTACTGTATAATGCCTAATGGTCTGGATTTCACGCGACAATCCCGTTCTTACCGAATGGTAAGATCCTTGCCCATCTCGAGCTTAACGAACAGGTTCGGATATCTTGATCCTCTTTACTATGGGGTATCAAACGCGACGTTCGTCAGAAAGCGCGCAAAAAAAGAGCTCAATTTGCCACCGGCGGCTCTAATCTTTCACTAGTCACTAGAGTCGGCTTTGCTTGTCCACTCGTAATACCCGGCGTTACTACGCCTTCGGCTTCAATACCCCACGTCTTTGTGTACATGTATCAGCTTTTGAAACACCGAGAGCACAAGGATACCCACGTTCCCGAACTGCCCGAGACGCAATGCGCAATGGCCGCATCTGCATCTGAAGGCCTTTGTTTACTATCCTCTGGCGGTGTGCACCTCCACGTCGACACTACTCAAGAGCTCTTATATTGGGTCTACGTCATATTCAAAGCTCTTCAGCTAATTGTGCACCGTGCACTTCACAAACCTGATGTTGATACTCGATTATGACGTTGAACACTCAATTGGCACTCTCGACTCTCGGGGTCGCCCCAGTACTAAACAGTCTCGTCAAAGTCCCCGGAGCCGACCCCATCTATTTTCAGGCTTCAGATATAGGCTCGGTCTGACATGCTATCGGTCGCTCCGATCTGCGCCACATGAATATTCAAGTGGGGGCCAGTTCTGTAATGATGTGATCCGTCAGCTCTCAGCCATGTGCGGACCAGTCGTGTGTCGTTTCGAGCCGACTATCCTGCGGGGTTATCACATCTCCGACTCGTGTCGCTGATACCTGCATATCCTGTTCTCTGATTCTAGGCCTTCCCCTCTTTGTCTCAGACCCAATGGTGATGTCAATCACCCTGATTGTTGACGGGCGCGTGTTTGAGCTTTGAGGGTAAACAAACCACACGAAGCTAATGCGATATCCCGTGACCATGACATCAAGATTGGAACAAGATTCTGACCTTCCCCCCCCCTCCCCTCCCCAATTTTACATTTCATCTTACATGGATCTGTGCTTTCTCTCGGTATTGGTATTGTGAGTACACGAAATACCCATACCTTGTCTTTCCAGATTTGTCAATTGCTCCCGGGGCCGATCTGCGGCGCTATTGACCTCCGGGGCTGCCACTATGCGACAGACCACACCATGGCTTCGTGCCTGTCAGCCTCTTGACTAGCCCCTCAAAGCGTGGTGCTATCAATTCTTAGTGACGCCCCAAGCCCCCAATCTGGAAGCTGATGACCCTCCGTCGCACAGCTCCGATCTCCTCGGCTGGACACAGCACATTTAGCCGCTAGACTGGTTCCCTGCCAGTCGCTTTATTGCAGAGCCGAAGAATATAGTAAACATAGTGTCGCATAAATCACAATTAGTCTCCATCTTCTCAATTGACCCAGGGCTGATTCCCCTCAATTGGCGCTAAACGCAAGCTCCAGTCCCCCGTACAGTAGGCGTATCAACCCCCGAACAGCTTCAGCACTCCACTATGATAAGGTTAATAGAAGCGTAATGTACATCACCTCTGTCCAACTCATAAAAAAGAAATATTCAGGCAACTGAAGCCCAGCCCCTGAACCATACAGTAACTCGACCTGTATAGACCAAGCGAAACGGTTGCCCGGCCATCAACTCCACCCAAGCCTCGGAACTCCATATAGTATTCCTCCGGCCCCATCAGCATACATATACCACCTGCGCATGCCCACGAAATCCATTCCCACATGCGACATGCGACATGTAACTTAAAGAACCCATCTCAAACTAAAAAGCCATGCAGATCCACAGCAGATCCCCCATCCATCCAAAATCCACAAATCCACACCACACCCGCACCCGCATCGACAGTCGGAAACTGCGAGTGCATATACACATCAATTCTGACACAGAGTATACATCTAATGTTTCTTTCCTTTTTCCATATCAACCCAATGGCAGTTTCAATCCACCCACGCCTTCAAGCCTGGTAGCCTAATAGCCTGATGCATACTCCCTATACACTACACCTCGGACCGATGCATCCACCAGGCGTGGGGCACGCACAACCGCACCATTCAATTCTGAGCCCTGGATCCTCCGACATATAATTCCGGCCTTGTCCCGGTTGCACTTGACAACAGGACGCACTTTTTTGGCTAGTTTGTGCTCTGGACGGCCTTTTTGTTTTATTGCGGGATGGAGTTGTCTCGTTTTTTGGATCCGTCTTACCCCTGAATCAGTCTGGACATTCTATGGGGCCTTCGTGTGGATTCTTACGGGTGTGTTTTTTTGAGTTGGCTTTGACAGCTTCGAATACTGCGTGGCTTGGGAGGTTATTGTAATTGTAAGTATGCTTTTTGGGTGTCTTTTTTGAGTCTTTGGGTTTGAGTCTTTGACGCATGTTTGAGGGGGTTTATTGTAAGTTTGGGTTGCTATTGAGATGGATCTTTTGCTTTTGTTTGACATGTTTGGGAGGTGTCTTGTGAGAGATGGGAGGTAAGTTTCTCTGGGTTTGATGTGGTCTGGTGGTTGTAGAATTAGGTGGTTCTGGAGAAGTTTCTGTGGACTGAAGTGAAGGCCCTGGATATATACTTCCACCAAATGTCTGCTTCTTTGCGTCACCACACCCAACGGGCTCAACAGGAACAGATAGAAGCCAGCTAATATATAGATCTACACATACTTTACAGATTTATTCCAATAGAGGAGCATCAAGTCCTTCTTTTCCGCTTCTGCAGTTCAACTCGACTTCGTCTCCAAATCCTTATCGGCTTATCGCTCCACGCTAGTCCCAAATAGGCTACAGCCCGAATTTTTCTCGACTCCAACGGCCGCAAGGAGGAACAACGAACGTGCTCTCATACTCAAAATCAAGGCCTGAGAGAGGGCATTCCGACAACTGGTCGCACATAAATATCCCTCTCAATATACAACTCTCACAATGGCTCCCAAGCGCCGTCGCGAAGGCTACAACATCGACGTGAAGCTCGTGGAGCTCTACGAAGACCTCGCCAGCGAAAAGGACGATATCAGACTCAAGGCCGCCCAAGGCCTTGTCTCAGAGTTCACTCCGGACAAAACCCCCGCCGATGAACAGATTCAGAAGGTTCTGCGGAGACTCTTCCGCGGTCTCTGCAGTAGCCGCAAAGCTGCGCGTATTGGTTTCTCAATCGCCTTGACAGAGATCCTCACCCAAGTCTTCTCGACACCAAGGGAGACATCGCGATTTGGGTTCTCGGATGCTTTGAGTCTCTGGGAGAACCAGTCCAACTCAACCGGCAGCGAGTCGGGTCAGGTTAGTGGTGGCCATTGAAACTCTCTGCGGAATGTCGCATACTAATTGTAATATCTTTTCACGAAATAGGAACAACGCGACCACCATTTCGGACGTCTATTCGGTGCCGAAGCTATTATCAAATCCGGCGTTCTATTCCAGTCCACCGTGCCTTTTGAGCAATGGACCCAGGTCCTTGATCTGATTTTCGAGCTTGCTCAGAAGAAGCCCTGGATCCGGGAAGAGTGCGGATGGATCATTTACCAGTGTGTCTACGATTTGGCCTCGCGCAAAATGGATACCAAGTACATCGAGTCTGCATTGGAACGCCTGTGCTCGTACGAGATCGCCCGGTCGCCTGAGGGTATTGCTATCTGGTTGGCGGCGAAAGATCTGTTCCCCAAGGCTAGCTTCCCGAGCAAGGTCTGGAAGCACGATGACCCGCTCGATACAAAGGAGCGCAGTAGTCTATCTAAGATCATGAAGGAGTCGGGTGCCGCCAACAGCGAGAGCGAGAACAAGAATGCTGCAAAGTCGTCTGGTGTCTGGAACTCCAAGCTTCATTTTGCTTGGGATGCTGTTCTTTCTCGGACCAGCCTTGAGAAGGAAGAGAAGTCCAAGAAAGCTCGCATGAGCTTTGCTGACTTCTGGACTGAGGTTGTGGACAGTGAGTACCCCTTCCAGTGGTTAAAAATGCCCAGGAACATAAACTGACTAGCTTTTTGTAGATGGACTTTTTGCTTCTGCTTCCTCGGATGAGCGCAAGTACTGGGGTTTCCTGCTCTTCGTCCGGATCATCAACGATGGTGGTCCCCAGCAGGCTTCTCACGTCTTTACTAAGAATCTCATGCGCTGCATGACCAACCAAATGGCCGTTGAAGACCGATACTTGCACCGCATGGCTGTCAAGGCCGCTAAGGCAATCCAAGCTCGTGTGTCTAAGGAGCCTGAGTTCGCGGCCGTCGCAATCCAAGGTTTGATGGGAACCAGTGGCACATTGAACTTCGACCAAGCAACCAAGACCAAGACTGTTGAGAAGATCGTGGCCGAGGCCAACTACGAGGCATTGGAAGAGATTGTCCCCTTCTTCGAGAAACTCATTCAGAAGCCTGGAACTACCGACGAGAAGACCGCTGCTTCCAACCGTCAATTCGTCGCTGGTCTCCTTCTCTCTATTGTGCGCTCCAAGGCATCTGCCACCGAAGATGATGCGGAGGACCTCCAGGCTAGCCTTGAGCAACTTCTTTCTATTTTCGTGCGTTTCGCATACTTCATGGATACCGGCAAGGGATCTACCGCTCCCGAGCCTCCCCTTTCCCAAGCCACCCAGGAGCTGCTGCGCAACCGCATCAACTCTTGCTTGAACAGTCTTATTTCCAACCAGAAGTTTGCCGCTACTCTTCCATACGTGGTTGTGAAACAGATCCGCGATGCTGCCAAGTCTGGCGAGCATGGCAAATTTATCATTGATATCGATGATAAGCTCCAAGACTCCGTGAAGGCTGCGTTCAAGTCTCTAAAGAAGCTTTCTGGCAAGGTAAGACGATTCCTGTGGTTATCTATTTTCGCTATAATCCCTTATACTGACTATCTTTTAGGAGAAGAAGGAGAAAGGCATGGCTGCTTTCAAGCTGCTCTACTCCATGACGATTATGCAGGTCTACAACGGTGACGCCGATGCAGTTTCCATGCTTGATGAGTTGGAATTCTGCTCCACAAAGTTCCTTGGCGACAAGGAGAACAAGAAGCAAGACACCGGCGATGCCTCGGATGCGCTTGTAGAGATCCTGCTCAGTTTCGCTTCCAAGCAATCACAGCTGTTCCGCCGTATGAGCGAGCAGGTGTTTAGTGCATTTGCTAACCAGATCACTGAGAACGGATTAGAGTCCTTGATTTCGGTTTGTGAACCCGCCCCCGACTACGCTAAAATATGCATTGTCTAACTTGATATAGATCCTGGAAGCCAAGGAGAGTCTGGCTGGTCAGCAAGAAATGTTCGAAGAGCAAGATGAATCCGGCGAGGAAGAAGGCGAAGAAGGCTCCGACGCAGAGATGATGGACATCGACGATCTCGACAGCGACGTCGAAGTCGTTGAGGCGGAGGAAGGCTCAGAAGATGAAGATGAAGAAGAGGAAGAGGAAGCAAACGAAGACGATGCCCTAGAGGTCGCCGCCTTCGAAGCCAAGCTCGCCGCAGCCCTAGGCACACACCGAGCGGACGAAGACCTCAATGCCGCCGAATCCGACTCAGACGCCGACATGAACGACGATGAGATGGATGAACTAGACGACAAACTAGTGCAAGTATTCCGTGCGCGTCGCCAAGAAACCTCGCACCGCAAAGACAAGAAGGACGCGCGCGAAAATATGGTCAACTTCAAAAACCGCGTGCTGGACCTCCTCGAAATCTTCGTCAAGAAGAGCCACTCTCGCCTCCTTACCCTCGACATTCTCCTCCCCCTTCTCCGCCTCTCCCGCCGCTCAACCGTCAAGCAAATCGCCACCAAGGCAAACAACGTCCTGCGCGAATACACCAAGGTCTGCAAGGGCAATACCCTCCCCAAGATCGAAGACGAGGCCGAGACCGAGGCACTGTGGGAGCTTCTCCGCTCTGTGCACAAGGAGGCTGGACACAGTGGGCCCATGGGCCATGCTACAGCCTGTAGCCAGGCTTCTCTGCTTGTTGTTAAGATTCTCGTTGCGCAGGATAAGGGCGCCATCGAGGGTGTTGTGGATGTCTATGCTCAGACGCGCAAGGATCAACTTGTTAGCGCCAAGTGTCATGTGCAGCCATCTTTCTTCTCGGAGTGGAACAACTGGTGTGTTTCTGCTAGTAAGCAGATGAAGTGAGGGAGGTATATTTGAATTGGATGGAGGAAAGAAGGGGTCTTGTATAAATGAGGATGATTCTTTGATGTTGATGTTGATGTTGATATTAACATGATTTTTGTATGTAAAAGCTGGATGAATCACTTTTTATGTTTATTCTTCTCTCTCTTTACCTCTCTTTTTGCTAAACGTTACAGTAGTGAAGCATACTGACTATCCCTCTAAATTTGAAAGGTTCATCCGCCCTTGCATTCCCGTCATTCCTGGCTTGCCTTACATGACCTGCACATACCTATACGTACCATACCAATGTAATCTAAGCTTTGCTACTGTCTTTGAAGCATTTAAGGGAAAAAATAGGAATAACGAAACTGACGAGGTATTCCGGTCTATTTGATGTGGCTTGGTTGGAACTGGCTAGAAATATACATATGTTTTCAGAGATCAATTATCACTTGCCAAGAAAAGGATATAGAGAGTGCAAAGAGTCCATCATTGTACTTACTGCCTTTAAGATTGCATTGATATCCTTGAACTGGAAGATGGAGGTCCAAAAGAAGGCAACGCGTGTTAACAATCACATGACTGACTAGCCCTAAATATAAGGGCTTTAACCTTCCAGGCATCTGACTCTAATATTCCATTCCACCTTATATAGCTGTCTAGAAGCCTGACCAAGTTATCAGTATAATTCAGTCGAACATCGTCCCAAAATAACATTAAGTTGCTTGGCATAACTCAAATATCACTGGATTCCAGCACATCTAGACATTTAGAGAACACAGGCTGTCATATGATAACCACGATCAACCGGCCTGAGATTTGCAGACTTTGACCTTTTATTTCCTACTATTCAGCAGACCCACGAAACAAATATGTAATGATGTTTCAGTTGAGACCAGATATCACGCAAAACATAGTCGGATTACGCCTTAGCACGCAACAGAATCATTCGGCTTCAATTGACCGAAACCCCAAAAGAACATCTGACAAGATACATAAGCCTATCTAGAATGAAAGTGTATCCAAAGCCAATGTACAGCAAATGAGGGCAGATATTGCGTAAGATGCGCCGTGGTATTGCAATACGCCCAGATAAGCTAAAAAAGCCCAGCCCGGCTAAGGGATTAATCCCTCTTCACCACTTGATTTCTTGTCAAGATATGAGATTTGTCAGTGGGGAAAAAGCAGAGGCTTGGTGACGCGATCGCTAGGATTGCTGAGCACATCCTTTTCGCAGCGTATAAGACAACCAACACTAGCATCAGAATGTCGATATCTCACTCTTTCTGGTCTCTGTGTGCACTATCTCTATGAGTGAGCACCCATAATCTAAAATGGGGAACGCAGGAGATCATGGCCAAGTGGCGATATCGTCTATCAACAGAGACATCGAGAATGTCTCCGATAACTCCTCCAATGAAAGCGCCGTGAAACCGACAAAGTCATGGAAAGGCTACCTGTGGGATACATGGGACCTTCCTCCTAAACAGCGATGGCTTCTTTTCAAAGTCGATGCATTTGTTCTCACATTCGCTTCTATTGGATACTTTCTCAAGAACATCGACCAATCGAATGTCAACAATGCTTTTCTTAGTGGCATGGAAGAGGACCTGCAGATGTTTGGCAATCAACTTGTTACCAGTAAGCTTAAGGTTCTTATATGCAGCATCTCTGTTCTTAAATGATAACCAATGGTACTACTCCAGGTACATCTATCTGGACTGTCGGATACGTTATTGGTCAGATCCCTTCCAATCTTCTTCTCACTAGAATATCTCCACGCTGGGTTATTCCTTCACTCGAGGTAGGATGGGGTATTGCAACCATCTGCACATCAAGTGTGAAGTCTTATCGAGCGCTTTATGCTCTCCGCTTCCTAGTCGGTTTCTTCGAGTATGTTCCCGTAGGAAGCCAAAAAAAAGAATCTTCTGACAGTCAATATAGATCCGGCTTCTACCCAGGCATCCACTACCTTCTAGGATCATGGTATACCCCCCGAGAAATCGGAAAGCGGGCCATGGTCTTCTGGCTAGCTGGCTCTGTTGGCTCGTTATTCAGCGGCTTCTTACAGGCAGCTGCTTATAACAATCTGAATGGGACACATGGTTATGCAGGTTGTATGTAGCCCCTTCATTTTTACCCAGCAACAATACACAAGCAACTAACTAACAATAGGGCGCTGGCTCTTCATCATCGACGGAATTATCACGCTCCCACTCGCGGTCGCAGGCTATTTCTTCTTTCCTAATCTTCCTCAAGGCGGAAAGAAGACATGGTGGATAAGTGAGGAGGAGCATGTCATTTCTTTGGAGAGGATGCAGCACATCGGCCGTGCTGGAAAGCAGCCCTGGACGAAAGCCAAGGCTAAGAAGATTCTTCTAAGTTGGCATACCTACCTTCTTCGTAAGTCACAATACCCTCACTGGTTTTTGGGATGAGTTCAAACTAACCATCAAACAGCTCTCTTGTATATTGTCTGGAACAATGGTATACCCCAGGCTGGAATGGGATATTGGCTCAAGAGCTTCAATGCCAAACCTGCCCCGGTTCCAGGGACACATTACTCTATCGCGCAGATTAACAATTGTGAGTTGTGATTATTGCTCAAGCTGTAACGAATCAGAAAGACTAACAAGATATCAAGTACCACTTCCCACGACTGGTATCTTCATTGTTGTGGCGATGGTCTGGGGCTGGCTCTCGGATGGGCCTTGTCGAGGTGCTCGCTGGCCATTCATCTATGCTGGTGCTGTTATTACCGTAAGTGAATTATGACTTTTTCTCCAAAAATCGCTAACGGATCTGTTCATCAAAAGCTTCTCTTTAGTATTCTCTTACTCAAGGTACCCTTATACTCGGATATCAAGGGCCGAACGGCTGTATATTGGCTGAGCAATATTGGGGTATGTCGAGTCTCTGAATCCATAATATGACATTGTCTAACAAACAATATAGATGGGTGCAGGTCCTCTAATTCTCAGCTGGATCAACGAGATATGCTCCGATGACACAGAAAAGCGAGCGTTGCTCGTTGCAATGGCGAACGATCTTGCTTATGTCGTGCAGGCTGTTGTAGGTGTCTCAAAATCCAAATGAAGAGATTGATACTGACAAGCATCGCAGGCTCCCAATTTCGTGTGGAAAACTACTGCATTCCCAAGAGCTGCGAAGGGATACACCTGGTCGATTGTGCTCCAAATTTTACTCAGTAAGTCGGCTTATAAATACCATATACGAGATCTTCTAACAAATGTCTAGTTGTCGTTACGGCTACGATTCAGTTACTTCTATGGAGGGACAGAAAAAAGGCAGCTAGGGCAGACCGGACGATACCCGCCGTGGATCCCGTTGATCCATCCTCAACAGAGGATGAGGAGAATCCTGGTAAAGGCATAGGACCATCCCAGGTCAAGTTTGTGGGTCAGTATTAGCGCTACGAGTTATATAAGTGGAATAGTAGTCATATAGTTCAGACTGGTAATATTCACGATACAGTGTACCTCATATCTACACATGCTAAGCATCTACCATAACATACCCAGATGCAGTAGAAATTTGATAAAAATGTATTAACACACCTGCTTCTCCCCAGCTTAAAACCATATCCAAGTAAGAGTCAAGACAATCAGAGTCAGACGGCGATACTCATTGTCTGATCAACGCTATACCTGATTAGAACACAAAAAAGAACATTGTAGATAGAGCTTTTATCTATCAATCTCATGGATGGAATGATTGCCGAGATGGTATGCTAGATTCTGATCCTTGTCAGGCGTCGACTTCAGTGTTGGGCTCTCTTTACAAGTTTCTTTTGGTATGACAAGCAAACATAAACGGACTAGGTGTCCCTGAGAGTAGCTGATAACTAAAGGGCTCAAAATTAGCTTGATGATCGTCTTTGATATTTAACTTTGACAAGATCAGGTGAGTCGCGCAACTCCAGAGCAAGGACATGGTATTTCAGTTGGCTAGATATCAGATTTGTGACAGCAAATCATAATGGGTCAGACTCAGAATGGTCACTAGAGCGCACCCTAGGACAACTTTGACTTGACAAAAGCTATGGCCTGTGATCCGTACTCGGCTCCATAGCCCTGGTGGGTTGCGGCATTACTTCCATTGCAGCAATACGGATCGGCAGCATCGCAATACGATTGAATCTTACTCGCCGATGGGCATGAGAATCCTGCGGGGCGTGCATCGAACTAAAATAAACCATCAGCTACAGTTCTCAAAAACAAAGTGAGAGAAAAAATACTTACACCACCTGCAGCACAAGTTCCAACCTCATACGATAAGCCAGCTTTGAACAGCGGGTCACCCATGAAAATAGCTGCTTTGATCATATTGACAGCAGACGATGACAGCGGGATGGCAGTGTTAGTGTAGCCCTGGTTAGGGACACCACCGCCGCATAATGCAGCGTCCATAATTTCACCACCCTATAGCAGACAAGCCAAGTCAGAAAACGGCAATGGTGTTCTTCTTATATGAGAGGGGTTCCGCTTACCTGGGAGTATCCGACGAGAACAAGCTTTGTCTGAGGGCATTGCGAATTGTAGGAGTTCACAGCCGAGGCGACTGCTTGAATACCTTGAGCAACTGAACTGGAATAGCTCACGCTTCCACAAGAGGATTGCCCACCACATGCCGGATAGCTGATCGCCTCGGATGTGGAGCCCGAATAGGCACTCAGGATGCCATTGACAACGGTGATAGACGAGCCATATCCTGGAGATACAGAGGTCTCACGAGCACCAAATACATGAACACCAGGGCAGGTTATACGTTTCTCAATATCAACCTCCAGTGGAACAGCGAGACTGCTGCTGAAAAGAAGGGACAGCGCGACAAGATTGAAAATCATGATGGTAATGAGAATCTCAGTGCAATGTTTTATCCTGATGGGTCTGTGTCGAAGCGAATGCAATTTTCAGAAGGACTCGAAGGACTATTTAAAGAAATGTCGAGTTCGTGAAGTTGAACGTGGATCCTTGTTTCCGCGTTACGTTTTGATCAGACCAAAAGATAGCTTCCTCTCGCCCGAAGACAACGCTGTGCCTAATCTCAAAAGAAAGTATGAAGTCTTGAAGAAACGTATAGGAGAATGTGTCAAATTTAACCGGGAAGTGATTGAAACGTCAGAATTAGCCTGAAACGGTTGACGTTTCGGCGCGGGCCAGCGAGAATGTCTTAGCATAAGTGGTCGGTATGCTTCAGGCTATTCTTTCTGAATCTTTAGGCGATACATATCTAGCCTTCATCCCGGAACTTCCCCGCATTACTTGCAGTAATTCATTTGCAGATCCTCCCGATCAACGAGCTGAGAGTTTTCGGTCCGGCTGATCTAGTGGGAATTGGGGAATCTTCGTTGGGGTGTCAAACTAACCATCCTCTTCTCAAGAACTATTCAAGCGAGGCATGAGTCTTTACGGACACAACGAAAATACCGACTAAATAGAAGGATATTTGCACGTTAAAGGACATGCTCTTCGCGATAACATACGGTGTGTACAGCTCTTACTGGTTTGAAAAGTCGCAGGGGCCATGACAAAAGACTAGTTTTGTAGCCGAACTCTAAGCTCAACAATTGCCTAAATACATGTGCAGCATTCTGTCATAAGTCAACTTAGCTTAAACTATATGCGCTACTCTCTAAGTGGGGAAAGTTTCAGCCTGCAACAGGATGTTTTCTGAAGAATGACCCCTTGGCGAATTATGAATTGTAATTCGGCTTCATCTTGCTGAGATAATATCATGCAGGGCTCTAAATTCCATGCCACCGAAGTGGTGATGAAGACTTCCCCGCGTCATTAGATTGGTCAGGATGCAGGAGTGGCATGCTGAGTCTCCGTGCACATATGGCCTCTCAGGACCTGGTGAGACAAGTCAAAACAAGCTATCCGTACATTTCAAGTCTTTGGCCTCATTTCCATCAATGCAACACAGGACAGGGGTCCCGTTTCCCTGAAACCCACTTACATTTGAGACGCCAAGAACAATCTAGACCAATACCGGTGCGGCTTTGGGGCTGATGAAGCTTGAAAACATCCATGATGTACGGGTTATAGCGTCTGACGCCAAGATATCCGGGTTCGGGATAAAGCAGCACTTTCTGTGAAGGAAGCAAGTAATCCACAATGTGGCTAGTAAGTAATGGCATTCCTCTTGGCACATGAGGACTTGTTCCAAGAACCGCAAGTTGCTTGGCTTCATTATAAGGGATATCAACTTCTACGTTCCTATCATATCATTGACCAGATATTTCCAGCCTGAGGTACTATATCTCGATCTTTTGTCTCTACTTCTAAATTACAGAAGCAACCGACAATAAGTATTTTGCAAGCATGATTCTTGATTTAGCTAGTCATGTATCCGCTGGAACTATTGGATCTCGTCAAGCGTCTATCAGCATCAATGGCAAGTGCAAGGCTCACGGGAAGAAATATCTGGGCAATATTAGCGACCAAGGTATGTTGACTAAGAATGACAAGAACCCAGCCATAGTCATGGCCGATTTGGTCAATTGAGTCCCGGAAAAGCGCATGAAGGGGTATGTTACTGGGCGTAAGTGAGCTCGCCATACCACAATGAATCTCCAAAGGCTCACTTGAAATCCAGCCTCCCAGCGACCATCTTCATTGGGGCAGACTATCTGGTATGATAACGTCATACTCTGATGACTCGGTACAAAGGTAAAATGTACGCTTGAATAAGTCTTGAAGTGCATCCTCATATATCCCTAGACGCAACTCTTGGTTCTACTGACCAACATCAGGATGTTCTCAATGGGACTTTTCACGAGGATGGGACCCTGCAACAAAGCGTTTTCTATAACATCATCGGTGAGGACTACGGATCGCTTTCGAAGCGGCCCGTGCCGCCGACCCAGATTTCATCCATCAAATTAGGGCCTGGCGTGTATATTGCTGGAATGGCAATAAAACCCTGTTTCAATTGTCTCGATGACCTTTTTGGCGAGTTGATGAATCGCGCCTTGTGACTAAGTACGCGCGACAGCAGTCACCCGTTTGTGAGACCTGATTAATGGGCGATAGCTGGTGGAGTGATCAGGGCAAATTGGCTACTCTATTCGCGTCGGGAAAGAAATCCATGAAATAGTCAGTTCAACCTGTTACTCTTCTGTGGGTGCCATGTGCAATTTTCATTCGCTCAGAGCCATGCATGTATTCAGTCTAGCTGCATCCTCTTTTGACCTTGGGCAGCATAAAAGACGACTGTCAATGTGCCGCAGCCTGCTTGTGGCCACCTTGGGAGAGTTCAAATTCAATATTTATCTTTCACTAAATATGTGCCAATAGAATCCGAGAATCGACCGTTCGAACAACAGCATTGCCGGCAACGCCGGGTACGGCAAAGCTTATCCTTTGTTTACCGCTTTTTTTGCCGACTGTCACCGGCAACCCGGTTCCTGGCTTTAGATTTCAGGCTGACAGCACACACTTGACTTCTTTAAAGATGGATCGCTACGTGGTTGCGCCCTTCTGGGGACCCCAGACCTCCTACCTGAAGTATGTTATGTCTCTCCTTCAAGTTCTACAGTACTGACTCTCTCTAGTTTCTGCGAAGAGGTACATCCCACATCCCTGTCACACGTCATCGTTCTAGAAAGGTCCACTAATTGACCTGAAAGGATTATGTAGTGACACGATTCATAGCGGAGTTTATAAATACTCTCAGCAGCTTCGTTTTTAGTGAGTACACTGAATCTATATCTTCCGAGTCTTGTTAACCATTTGTTTAGTACTTTACGGTATCTATGGACTCAGACAGCTGGCCCAGAGGAAGCAGTCTGGTGGCCTGCGATCAATCTCATACTACGGATTGATTGGAGTGGGCGTCTGCTCAGGCGGATACCATATGACTCTCAAATATCACACGCAGATGTGTAGGTGTTGTCCCATTCCTGTGATCTTGATTCACCAATGGTCCCCTCTAACTCCAAGACTCAGCCGATGAATTGTCCATGCATCTTCTCACCACGCCTCTTCTGTATCGCATTCTTACGTTCAAGGCCAGTCCACAACGTACCAGGCTAGTTGGAGCGATCCTTCTGACCCTCTTCACATTGGTGATGGTGATTCATATCGTCATGGACGAATTTATCCTTCACGCCGTGAGTTTCGGCATCGCAGTCTACCTGATTGCGACCGAAAGCTTGAAGATTATCCCTCAACAAGTTCCAGATCTCGTGATTAGGAAGAAGATTCGCAACATTGCATCTTTTGGTTCCTGTAAGTTCCGCCTACTTCCAGGAAATCCTTGCCCGCTTTGATACAACAATCATGGAATCTCTAACACATTTAGTCTCCTTCGCCTTCGGTTATATTGTGTGGCTAATTGACGATTGGGCCTGTGGAATTTTGACTGAGACTCGACACTTCGTTGGTATGCCTCTTGCATTCTTCACTGAATTGCATGGCTGGTATGTTCCTCACTGTTGGTCATTTACTTAATAGGCCTGTTTTGCTAACCAAGAAAATCAGGTGGCATATCTTCACCGCAATCGGCGGCTATGTTGCGGTCGCAATCATCGACTTGGTCACGGCTGGTCAGGTTCATGACGACCCCACAAACGATCTTGCTTGGCCCATCGGTGCCGCAACACGAGCCTTTGAGTCTCTAAACTTGTCCAAGAAACAGATCTGAATAGTAGCCTTGGAAGCCGTTCGAGATTGTTACTCCAATCATTCCTCGAGTGTTGTTCCTAGACTGATTGCTAGATGTTGGGATAGCAGTGATACCTTCTATATGTATATAACAATATAAATTGGGCGGTATTGTCTATATCAAAGCCCTATTCAGTTGATAACCTCAACATCAGTGTCGGTGTCTTGTTAAAATAACGGTCGAGTATACACTACGAGGATCAATCATATGACAACAAAACATTGTTTATGATAACAACACATTGTTCATCCGCTTGTATTATGGCCATTAGTACGTGCATTAATTAGTCCACTATACTGGGCGCTTAAGCAGAGCCCAACAGATAAAACTCGACATCATTGGATGCCCGGGGTCACTTGAAACAATGGGCCCCTTGGCATCTGCGCGCAGCCTTACTAGCAGAAAACGCAGCGCTTGCGCAAACCACCATGTAGATAAGTGCTTGGTCCCTCCACGGGGGCGGTGCTCGTAGGGATCCTTTTTCAATAGGCGCTCTCCGGTTTCTAGCGAAGAGTTTCGCGAGATTATAGGTCTTTTCAGCCCGGTTTGAGCTGTAGACAAAACATTGTGATTCAGCCCGATTCTTTGGCCTATTGAGACCAGTAGTGAATTTACAGCAGCTACTATCTTGTTGGCTATTGATTGGTTATTGGCAATGCTTGCCGAAAGTGAATATCTCATCGCTCAACAAAGCATACAGGATGCATACCAGAAGCATGAGGACCAAAAGCACAAAATCCAGAAGCAAGAAAAGCAGAGATTCTGCAGTGGGGAGCACATCTTATTAAGTCTCCAACTTCTCTTGCTTCTAGTACCTTTGACGCTCAGCATTCTGCTGCTATACGGCGATATCGCTGCCTGGCTCTTGCCGGGGACTCTCTACAACATGGTGAATAAATGGCGCTCCTCTGTTCAAACAGCAGTTCAAGTCATTTCTGCTGCTCTGGCTGCTATCGAAGTCTTTGCACTTTGTCGCTTGATCAATCTGGCCACCCGAATCTTTTTTACAAAAGCCCCTATGTCACTAGATATGCTTGGATTTTGGTCCGCCATATCAACACCGACAGTTAACTGGAGCCACCCGGTCTGGATGATAATCATTACTTTCCTCTTCAGCAACCTTCATACTTCTTTCTCGGCCGTCTGGGCTGGTGCTCTCACTCCAGTAGACACCTTGGGGGTCCACAACACCACTGTCCAAATCCCTGACTGGTCCAATATCACCCTCATTAAGGAATACCCAAGTCAGATTGACTCATCAGGCCCATCTATTCGGAACACCAAAGGCTACTTTACGTACTCAGTTGGCATGGGCCTTCTTGGATCTCTACTTGCTTCAGCGAATTCAGCCTCAACGGTCGATGGCAGCATTCGCAACCACAACAAACTTGATAACACACGATACAATTACCATGGCCGATCGTACGGAGCAGGTGCAAGCGCTGGTCTCAATGATCAGTCTGTTCTCAGCATCCCCCATGCAGTCAATTATACGTACACCGAGGTCGCTCTCGCATCTTCGGTTTCCTGCATCTACAACAGTAGCTCGGATTTCGGTCTGCAATCGCAGAGTGACACCAATGCTTATCCTGCAACAGGATATCTCCCAGACAGTACCAGCGGCGAGTACTCCACATACATTGGCTATGGCAAAAGCGCAATCGTCGCGATTGGCGTGGCGGCTCAACCTATCTCATGGACAACCCCAACGCGATATATGGCTATAGCAGCGGGTGACGCGTATGAAAATCTCAATCAAGTCCAGTGTGCTGTGAGCTTTAGCCCGACGCGATTCAATGTCTCTGTAGACGTGACCAACCGCCGAATTACTGTCCAGAAGTCGCTTTCTGAAACAGCAAAAATCCCCAACATCGACCCTCGGGGCAACTTGACCCATGTTTTAATGCGTCAACTGGAACTGATATCCAATGATCAGACGAGTTTCTATCGCTCGACCGTTGGAGATGCCTTCAACGCTAGTATTAGCGATTACCGGACTTCACTCAAAACCAACGAGACCACAAATAGGACGTCAGAGTTCCAAATTACTATGAAAGGCGTTGAAAATGCCGTTATTTCCTACATTGATGACATGCTCGTTGCGTATGCATCCGCTCAACTACAAGTCGGGGGATTCACAACTTCCACGCCGACCGTGGTCCATGTTGACGCTCTGCGTATTGGGTCGCGAGGCTATATCATTGCAAGTGCATGCATCACTCTCGCGATTATACTGCTAGTCGTTGCTGAAGCCATCCGTATGCGAGGTTGGAGGGCACTCCCGGCCTTCGACTACCTAGATACTCCAATACTAGTCATTAGAGCTTCCAAAGGAGTCCGTGGGACTACTCAAAGCGCTCAAAATGGGGGACACAAGCCATTGGATCGAGTCCTGGTTGTGTGGAAGGGAGAGGCGCTTGACGACGTAGGATTAATTTCTGTCGGGACTCCTCGCAAGGGAAGTAAAAGGCTTTTGTCTGGTTAATTCCTTGGACTGTTGACTCTATAACTTATACTGTACTTGACCACTCAACAAATTTCAACATAGATTTCAGCTCAATTATTTTGGTTATAAGTATGTATACGCAAGCAAGCAAGCTGTCTTGACTTGTGTGGGTGTTTTTTTTGCGCCTCTGCATAGGAAGGCCTTCATCGCAAGGTCATTCAACAGCTTGAATGGGTTCTGTCTACGCGCGTCACCTGCCGAAATGGCATGATTGGACTTTGGCTTTGCTCATTGCGAGATAATATAATAGTTATCGATTTCTTGTCTACAGTTTTAGCAGACTTGGATATCCACGTTTCTTCTACTGGCTTTGCTAAATGAATCCGGACTAAATCTCTCTCTATCATAGCCTGGCTGCTCTTTTTCGATCTCTTTTCAGTAATTCCTCAATTCCGTCCGGTCCTTTCCAGATGGTATTCAACTGACCTCCCGAGTTGTTGGTAGCAATGTTAATTGGAATTTGTTTTGTCCAGCTCATCAAGCGCTCATAAATATTTCCATCTCTACACCCCAAAGCACTGCAGAGACTTGCGTCGGTAAAGTCCCAGGCATCAGTCAATGCAATCAGATCGGGATGAAGCTCTGTCAATAATTCATCGATATTGTCACGCATTTTAGTCAATTGAGACAAATTTATTGACCCATCTTCGGCAAAGGATGTTGCAATGAAGGATGAGGTTGGGTTTGTGATTGTTGTTAGGGCAAATAGAAGGCAGAGCCTGGAAAGAACGGGTGATAGACTGGGTTCTTCCGTGCAGATAGCTGCAGTGTGCTCTTTGAAGTACTGAAGAACAAGATATTCCGTAAAGGCATGCGCGGCTGATAATATAGGCATCATGCTTTTGTTCCATGCATCTGCTTCATGGGGCTTGTTCAAGTTGCTCTGGAATAGACGATATGCAGTAACAAGAAGCCGGCGTGCTCGATGGAGAAAGATAGACAAAAGGGTTGATACGTCTTTGAGCTGTTCTTCTGGGGTTTCTCGGAATCCCATTTCAGGGCAATCATCGCGAAGGTAAGTGTCTATTCCATCCATGAAAGCTTCCATCTCTGGAGCTTTTCTCTCGCCTGCAATATGTGTTTCAAGTTGCTTGAAAAGGTATCGTCCCAACTGCTGCCACAAGACGAAGTTTTCGCCCTCGAATGTAACAGATGCGGACACCGCACAGAGAATTTCCGGTAAACCAGAGAGTGCGACATACCCGTGGCCACCACACATCTGTCGTGCGTCTTCAGCTCCAGCACTAGCTACCGACGACGACCAAGCCTTAAGGCCACTGACCAAGGCATGGGTGAAGGGGAGACGCCCTGAAAATTCATGTCCATTGGACTGGTTCTGAAGGAGGGATTGATATTGTTGGTCAAAACTCTTCGACGCAAAGAGGATAGCATATGCCCGTGCAACTAGGACAAACAGTCGATAGTGCTGACTTTTATACCACAATATAGAGGTTTCTGTATCATTCTCATTTCCAACAGTACCATACCCCTGCTCTCGTACAACTGAATAACGAGCTGTGATCGTCACAGCTTGTGCCAGTGCAAAGCTAACACACCGCACGATTATACCCCGATGGTGAAGCATGATAAAGTAAGTCTTCCCTAGTAAGCTTTTTTTGTCTGCAATTCTTTGAACAAATGAGCCGTCCGGATTAACATGGACATGGGCACTCAGCAGGCTATCTCGTGGAATACGCAGCTGATCGAATCTAGCGTACCCATTGCACGTCCCGTTATATGACATTTTCATGCCTTGATCGCCCAGCTCGACTCCCTCCACAGGACTGTAATCTTCCAGTGAGCGGATTTGCACTAGAAACATATGTATTCCATGGTCGGCAACTGGGTTCCCAGCAATCAACCGAGCCACCACAATGGTATGAGAGCAACTAAGGCCCAATCCACCGGGCCAAAACTTTGTCGAAGTTGTCGTGGGAGAATGCAACCTAAACCCATGAAATTCGGCATCAAAGGTGGCTGTAGTCTCTATACCTCGCACGAAGGTACCATGGCCAAGCTCTGTCTGGGCAAATGCACCATTGATTTTAAGCTCGTCAACCAGGGGTAGCCAGTATTTCTGTTGCTCGGCTGTGCCATGCAGCTCGATGCTTTTGCGAAACATGAGCAGGTTGAGGCCGAAAGGCGAAGCATTGGCCATCTGATACCGTTCGGTAAGATTGCTGAACAGTCTATGGTTGTAGTCAAGCATGTCATCCATGATAGCTCGGGCACGACGCAAACCCTCGAGGTAAAGCCCTTCGCGGTCGAGATCTTCATAAACGCGGGGGAGTCGCATTGTATCTTGCAGATCAAGGCAGGACTCCACGCGTGAGAATGCCGCTCTTTTGGATTTTACTGCTTCTTCGCTGGGGGATGTAAGGATTCACTCATTGAATTTGATCGGATCTGTACATTACCCATCATAAATAACGTTTGTTAATTTGTTCACGTCGAAGGTTGCTGATCGCCTAGCTTGATCCATCAAGATCATTTGTCTATTTGGTAGTAACATGTTGAAGCGACACTGGTGCGATCGTTGAAATTTCAAGTGAAGGATGGCAGGCTCGGAAAACTGCAGTAGTGCAGTGCCTTTGAAAGAATCAAAAGAAATTGGGCATAGATTCTCAATAATTTGTCAAAGCCCCCTCATCTCTTTGCCCACGCTGGCTGCTGACCAACAAACGAGCCAGTGGCTTATATGCCGTGCTCAGGTGATGGACGGCTGAGTTGTTTGGGGGTCATTAGCCAGCATTGGTCGCTTATTCTTACTCGGGAAAGTGGTTTGAGATCGATTCTAGCTATTTTATCATCGCCAAGGCTCTATATCATGCAGTGTCACCCCCTAGGCAAGATCTGTTCTGATCCAAAAGTACTGCTTATGGTAAGCATATGGCTTGTATTATTTCACTGCCTTTGTCGAATATTCCATCCTAGATTCAGAGTGAGATTCAACCTGAAGCGAGAAACTATTAGTGTCAACTTTTTTATGCTCAACATATCAAGCTTTTCTCAAGGCCAATCCTGGAGCTTAGCGCTCGGGGCTACAACTCTACTATGGTTCTCATATCAAAGAGCTATATAGGTACATCGATGTCCCTTAGGTCTCTCTTTCGAACCATTCTAATCTCTATGAGCTGCAATCCACCGAGCATGGAAGGTAAGTCGATGGAATCAAACTGCTTGCATGTACGGATCAGTGGCTGACTGCATCAACTTCACTTTCCTATGGGTGAATCAGCAAGGCAAGTGATCCGAGCACACGATCGACATCAGGATGGATTACACTTTCAATCAGGTTATGACAATTCTGATATTCCTCATAGGCCATGTTATAGTAGGTTTCATATCAAAAAAGATAACTTCATGAACTAGGAATTCTACTTCTCGGGTTTCTAGAGGGCGGATTATTGTCGCTGGCTTTTCGTCTTGCAATGCTCGTGAAGGATCAGAGTAATTTCCCTTTCCGTGTTAGCTTTGCAGACAGTACACGGGTATACTAGGATCGGTCTTATAAGCCTTGCTTCCATTGAAATGTTACTGAGTTTAATTTTCGGTATCAACCATGACTGTACTCCGTTTATATATATAGACACGGTTAAGGCAAACACCCAACATAAATGTACCCAACGGCGTTTAAACTCAATACAGGTTGAGACACAACCTGGTATAAGACGATAGATACCCATAAAACGCAAATGAACTGTTAAAATCAAAGACACTGGCAGCGAAATGGTACAACCGAGAGGTAAGCGAACTATTAGCTATGATTATATCTCCAATACTGCCATACTATTCCAAGCTTCTCTCATGTGGTGTAGGGGTTTAGCATCGCTCGTTTTCAAATGGTTTACCATTGATCCGTGCAGACCGGGGTTCGAATCCCCGCATGAGAGCATTTCTTTTTGTCTTTTTGGCATAACTTTAATCTATCTCTTTCCTTCTAACATTCTACATTATGTATTTTATTTTACCTTATCATTTGTTTTTCATTCTCTGCTTGAAAACGAAAAGTCCAATTGGTTTTTTTTGGGAATGCAACATAATGTCAAGTATGGAGAGTTTTCTTGGTAGGCCTAGTTCATGACCGAAAGCAATAATAATCATCTCCCTCATAATGTTCAAATATGAGATTCCTTCATCAAACCTTCTCATGTGGTGTAGGGGTTTAGCATCGCTCGTTTTCAAATAGTTCACTATTGATCCGTGCAGACCGGGGTTCGAATCCCCGCATGAGAGCATTCTTTTTGCTTTTTGAACTTTTTTGGCCCTTTATCTACACCATCTTATTTCTAATTTATTGTGGCAGGAATATTTTTTTCTCTCTTTTATTTCATGGCCTTAGGTAGGCAAATTTTGCAGCCGGGCTTTCTTATTGAGAATATTCAGTACCTGTCCTCGATATGCTGTAACCCTGGTCCTTATATCTCCCTCTTCTCAGTTCCCACCAATCAAATATCTCATATGGTGTAGGGGTTTAGCATCGCTCGTTTTCAAATAGTTCACTATTGATCCGTGCAGACCGGGGTTCGAATCCCCGTATGAGAGCACATCTTTTTGTGTTTTTGTCATATGTTCCCACTATCCACTATCACCAGTTACATCCACTTTTTTATTTCATCATTACAATCCTCCTCGATCTTCATAAAAACCTCCACAGTATTATGTTATTCTATTTGCGTTAACGTTACGGGAAACTTCGCATACTGTATGCATTAATTTTTCCCGATCTCTGATTCGTCTTGGTGCCAGGTACTGTACCTAAAGTACGGCGCGCGAGTAAGACCCACAACGCATATATGAACAGTGGACCTGGTGGATCTATAATGGCAAACTCTGCTTCAAATTCCATCCAACATCCGATATGGTGTAGTGGCTAACATCGTCGTCTCTCACACGACAGCCGGGGGTTCGATTCCCCCTATCGGAGTTTCCTTTTTGTTTTTTTCGTTTTGTTTCTGGAGTCAACATATAGTTGGCTTGCATATTTCGCCTACATACTGTAGTCAGGTGGTTAGGCTTCTTTTCTTTTTTGTTGCGAAGCACGAGAGACTAGATTATTTTGAATAGAGATTGTTAGATAGATTTCTCTTATTTTCTCTTGCTTACATTGACGTACTGATCCAAATGGGTAAAGTATATTGGACGTTTCAATGGAAGTAGAGATAGAGCAAATCTTTTGATAAGGTACAAGGCTGAGTGTCGCACGGCTATCAACTTGAAGGCATAGCCTGGAGTAGGACAGGTAGAGCTTGCTACTTCATTGTCTTGAGGTACAGATTAAAATCACAACAACAATTCATTACTTATCAAAAACACTGAGGAAAATTGATTACATGAAATGCTACATGTAGTTTGCTAGCTGGGCTAGTCTAAATCAAAAAAAGTGGTACATAGTAGGGGGTAAGAGGATATCGGAATCAAGGGAGATCAAGTCTAGAAGTGGATGGGCTTGGAGTAGGTGGCCATGGCAGCCTCCTTGAAGGCCTCGGAGAGGGTAGGGTGAGCGTGACATGTGCGGGCAATGTCTTCGCTGGAGGCACCGTACTCGATGGCAAGGGTAGCCTCAGCGATCATCTCACCGGCACCGGGTCCGATGATGTGGACACCGAGAATGCGGTCGGTCTCGGCATCGGCAATGAACTTGACAACACCCTCAGTGTCGAGGTTGGTCTTGGCACGGGAGTTGGCGCTGAAGGGGAAGGTACCGACGTTGTACTTGACGCCGGAAGCCTTGATCTCGGCCTCGTTCTGACCAACCCAGGCGACCTCGGGGTGGGTGTACATAACGCTGGGGATGGCAGCGTAGTTGACGTGGCCGTAGCCCTTCTTGATGTACTCAACGACAGCGACGGCCTCCTCCTCGGCCTTGTGGGCGAGCATGGGGCCGAAGGTGCAGTCACCGACGACACGGACATGGGGGACCTTGGTGCGGTACTCCTGGTCAATGACGAGACGGCCACGGTCATCCTTCTCAATGCCGACGTTCTCGAGGTTCAGGCCCTCGGTGTAGGGGCGGCGACCAATGGCGACGAGGACAACATCAGCGTCGAGGGTCTCCTCCTTACCACCCTTGGCGGACTCAACCTGCAAGGAGACGGTAGCACCGCTGTCGTCACCCTTCATGACCTTGGTGCCGGTCTTGAACTTGATACCCTGCTTTCCAAGGATCTTCTGGGCCTGCTTGGCGATCTCGGCATCCATACCGGGACCACCGATCTGGCCAAGGAACTCGACAACGGTGACCTCAGCACCGAGACGGGACCAGACGGAAGCCTAATACCAGGAAGAAAAAAAGTCAATTCGTGTTCAACTTGAAGCAGTTACTGTCGTGGGAACCTACCATCTCGAGACCGATAATACCACCACCAATGACGACCATCTTCTTGGGGACCTCGGTGAGGGCGAGAGCACCAGTGCTGGTGATGATGCGCTTCTCATCGATGTTGAGACCGGGGAAAGGAGTGGCCTCGGAACCGGTGGCAATGAGGATGTTCTTGCCGCGGATGGTCTGCTCACCACCGTCGTTGAGAGCGACCTTGATGGTGTTGGCGTCAACGAAAGAACCGGCACCCTTGACGTAGTCGACACCGTTCTTCTTGAGGAGGAACTCGACACCCTTGGTCAGGCCGCTGACGGACTCGTCCTTGGCCTTGAGCATCTGAGTGAGGTTGAGCTTGACATCGCCGACCTCAATACCGCGCTTTTTCGTGTCGTGGAGAATCTGGTGGTAGAGGTGGGAGTTGTTGAGCAGGGACTTGGAGGGAATACAGCCGACGTTCAAGCAGGTACCGCCGAGGGTTCCGCGCTTCTCGATACAAGCAGTCTGTCACGGTGTTCAGTTGGTAAGTGGATCGCAATGATTGGGTCGAATCGAGAGCCAATAAGCTCAGGGGTATTGTTTTGCGCACCTTCAGACCCTCTTGACCGGCCTTGATAGCAGCGACGTAGCCAGCGACACCACCGCCGATGATGACGAGGTCGTGGTCACCTATTGCCCGGCAACCCGGTAATCAGCAATCGCATCCGGGAAGGGCAGGAAATCGCTCCGAGGACGCCGTGATGGCAGCCTGAGCATGAACTCACCAGCTTCAGATGCATAACCACGCTTTGAGCCACGGACGAGGAGCATGGGGGTGGCAATGAAAGAAGAAGGAACAGCCTTGGGGCCGGCGTTGCGGAGGGCAGCCCGCGGCGAAGCCCGGGGGAGGACGGCGCGGAACATGACGAAAGAGAAATAAACGGACGTGACGAGCTAGACAGACAATTAATCCTCCAGACCAACGAATTGGAGGTGTTGAGATGCGTGAAGAGGTGGTTTTGAGGTACGGGAAAGAAAGGACTGAGCTTTGCGGTATTTTGAGGTTTCGCCGTACTCTCTTATGTAAGCCGGTCGGGTTGACTCGGTTGACTTAACCGGCAAGACCAGACCTTTGTTTTGGACGGAGGGGGAGATGGAAAGACTTACAGATGTAATGCGATGTAAATCCAGCAGAAGAAATGCAAAGCAGAGTGAAGGGGGATCTCAGAAGCCTATACTCAACGCCAAAAGCGGCGGGAACCCAACAGTTCTTTCCCGTATTCCGGGGCAAACCTAGGCCGGTTTACGGACTAATTCATAGTGCTTAAGCATATCATTCCATGATTATGGCTTTCTCCACAGCCTGACCCCAGTCTATTCCGCGGGGATTCGATTCTTCTCGGTTCGCTTACAAGCGGGTTACTGTTGGCCTTGCAAGGTGGCTGTTCTGCCATCCGTCACTGCTGTATATCCGCATTTGCGCTATTGACGTGGCAAAGAAGTAAACCAGAAAGTGAATAGTATTCTCAAGATCCAATATCGCCATCTAGCCCTGGTCACGAGACAGTTTCTCTTCCTCCTTCTTCATTCTTTTCTGCCGCCATTTTATCCCATGATGTGCAGTAAGCCACAAGCAAGGCGAAAAAGCAATTGAAATTAGCGCCAGAGTGGTATAAGCCCAACCATTCCCCATTGCAGAAACCATAGGGCTAATTGCAGCCGAAGCCGCTGCGCCGAGCTCACAACGGAAAAGATTGTTAGCCGCAGTGGCAGTGGCAGATTTGCCAGGCCACAGATCAACCATCAGTGCATTCAGCACTTGATTTGTGCCAATGATTGCCCATCCTATGATGAAAAGGAGGATGACAGGGCCTGCCAAGTTGACTTTGTGGCCCAGCATCCAACCGTATGCGAGGATTCCTAGATTGCTGATGTAGTAAAGTGGCAGCGCGACTTCCAGTCTTGCCCTTTCGATGTTGAAGTTGCTGATGTCTGCACGTACGTTCTTCATAACAGAGAGACCTGCTTTCTTTGCGTGTCGTCGATAGTTCCAGTCAACTATTTTCCCAGTCGTAAATGCCGAGACGATGCCGCCTCCCCCAATGGGAAGATACATCAGGGAAGCTTTGATGTCGCTGAAGTGATACAGGGCGTGGAAGGAGGTTGAAGCTCCGGTGATGACGGCGTAAAATCCGGCGAAAAGTAGTCCTGTTGTAAGCAATATTACCGAAGTTTCAATATCCAGGACGACCTTCATAGTCGGAAGGGGAGATGGGAATCGAAGAGAGTAATTCCTCCGCAGCTCGGCTTCCTTCTCTGGGTCCGGCAAGAGACCATTCCGCTTGCGCTTTCTATACCGAATCGTATCTGAAAGTGAATTGTTCAACGGAGGCGGTGGGATGGAGCCATCTCCAACGACCTTCCTACATGTCTCAGGTAAAAACAGCACGAGTAAAAGAAAGAAGACCCCTCCGAGGATGAGAAGGAACCAGAAAATCCAATGCCAATTTGTGTACTGACTGAAAAGACCTCCGACGATAGGTGATAGGGATGGACCCAGCATACTTCCGATTGAAGCAAAGGCGATGTATGAGCCACGCTCCGAGGATGTGATCATGTCTCCAACCAAACCATTTGCCATTGCCACAGTACCACTGCTGCCAGCACTCTGCAAACATCGAAGAATAAGAAGCACAGCATAGCTATTCTGGAGAGCTAGACCGAGGTTGGCGGCGAGATATACAGTAAAGCAGATGATGTACGCAGGACGACGGCCAGCTGTATCTGAGAAAGCAGCGATAAGCATGGGGGCCACACCCTGCATAATCTTCAAATAAGACGATTAGCCAGTTTATTCCCAACGCAGCTTCAAGCCCAATTACCAGGTATGTAGTAACAGTCAAGTTAATTTGAGATGTCGAGATGTGCAAGGCATGCGCGATAGTGGTCAGTGCGGGCAGGTAGATACTCGACGACAAAGGCGAGAAAAAGCTAGCCAAAGAGCCCATAGCCACAATGCCTCGTTTCTGGCCCACGGTAAACTGCGAGTAGGCTTCGGGTTCGAGGTATGTACCCGGCTGGTCGACGGCTTCCTGCTTGTCGCCAGCGTTCTCATTAGCAACCCTTCCTGACATTTTCGCTGTCTCCATGTTGAGTCAGTGACACATCGGAATATTGACCATGTGGAATGATCCTGGAAATAGGCGAGGATTGAAATAACCCTGTTGTTCAAGGCTTCGGGTTCCGGGACCGGGATGGGATTAGAGTTGGATGAGCGTATCGCATCCCGGTACAGGCATTGGCCCAATTAGGCAGTTTCCTGAGCCTCATATTCATGCTTGGCTGTCTGGCTTTGAGATTGTGTTCAAATTTCGGGGAGCACAGAAGTAAATGCCAAGGGATGGAAAGAAGAGATGCCAGGATTGGGTGCATGACACCCTGTTGTCTCTAGAGGTACAAGAGCTTGTCCCAAGGGGCACATCCCACTTCTAGAATATAAGTTGATGATTGGAAAGCCGGCACGGGCTGCTCAGGCAACTCCTGATGTCAACTGGACGAGTCTGAAATGAAATTGCGCGTATTTAAGCTCAAATCCCAGTATAGTCTACCATGGACTGATTAACTTCAGCCCATAACTCATACTCGTCGACGTTAAGTATAGTGGATATAAGATCCCTCCATTTTAGATCTAACGCTTGCCACCGCAAACAAAATAATTCTCTTACCGATATACTATAGCCAGCTGCGCCCTAGTCTATGATTCCGGTCACGACATCACCGCTCGCAATAATATTGGCTTGGTGTAAATCACTATATGTGAGCACCTTTGTTTCATACTGGTCACCCGATACGAGGATTCTCTTAACTAGAGACTCATCTCTCTTCGTGAGCGGCGTATTAGGTCTAGAATTACGAAGAGCCTCTACCACACCTTAGTCAAATTCTTTTCTTGTCGAGAAAGGTCCATAGTGATGGAGCTCTACATCCCACGAATATTGGAAGAGAGTATCTCCGCATAAATCACCATCAATAGATCCGAAGAGCGGCCCTTCAATTTGACGCCACTCCCGAATAAAACCATCAAGTTGTCGAACAATGGAATTTTTGGCATCCTGGGTCAAATCTTTCCAGCATTGTTCCAGAGGAATACCAGGGATTTTAGCCATCAAAATGAATCCGATATCAGTGATTGTGTAAGCATTAAGACTTTAAAGACATAGTGCCTCTGCTTCTCCCATCTGAACCGTAGATCCCACTTTCAATATAGTTAATGCGTTGATCTCTAGGATTTTGCAGCCTCCCATACTATGCGGACATGGGTCTTTGGCACTTAGGATTTCTTCGAGTGTGACAATAGAAGAAGGCTGGGAGTTCATCGAGAGAGCAAAGCAAATGTCGATATTAGATGAGAGAGCATAAGGAATGTAGTTGAACAAGTCCCATTTTGAGGGCTATCAATTAGTTAGAAAATTCACTTTGAAGGATGCACGTACTGCCGGAATCCTGATCCATTTTGAGGCAAATTTCAATTTGAGCCTCAGGCGGAAGACTGATATCGACGTCAAGTTGGGAACAAAATGGCTTGAAAATTTTGAACATCGGAGAATTTCCAACGTCTACACTTTGACTTTTGTCGACAGTTACAACAGCATCTTATCACGCTTCAACTCTGGGGTTCTGATGTCACCGAATTTGGAGTCTGGGGAATCCCCCACACCCGCGAGAATCTTCACCCGTTTAGCCTAACCGGCCTAAGAGAGACATGCAAAGCCAGGTCGAACGCCGAAATCCCCGCAGAAAGTCCTCCCCGGAGTGGAACCGAGGTGTCTGCCAATAAAATCCAGGGTTACCATTGGGCTCAAGCCCCCTTTGGCCCAAATGTGCCGCTCTCGTGTGATTTCGGATTGCCGATTCCAGGGGGAGAAAAGCCCCCGCCGTGACACTAAGGGCGCCCTGAATTCGGCCTACTCGCCGTAATCCCCGATGAGTCGGCGAGACCACAGTTCTGGCTGTGTCCCGCCGGGATGTAACCGTATCGGAGGTGTCGTTCCCTACTTTTCTGGGGTTTCTGTGGGCCGATCCCCGTGGGAAAAAGTGACGCTTTCTGCCTCGGACTCGCGCCGACCCTGCGATCAGATATAAATACTGCGGGTCGCCATTTTGGACTGGCGATTTCCGGTTTTTCTTGTGCTCGCTTCTGAATTGCCAGTCTGGGCCTTTTCATACATCCCCTTTCCGGACTATAAGACTTCCAAAGACGGGTGTTTCTTGCTTGACCACTTTTTCCTGCTATTATTCCCGGCCCTACTATCAGTCGGCCCTCTGTGATGCGCCCAGTCTACAATCATTATTGAATCACCCTCGAAATATAAGCAAGATGGACAGAATTCCGTCATGGAATGTTGTCCATAAGCTGGAGAAGCGTCAGCTTCTCATTGGCATCAACTGTGTCGCTGCACTATCTATTCTGTTTTTCGGTTATGACCAGGGTATGATGTCCGGCGTGAACAACGCTAAAGACTACATTGACCTGATGGGCTTTGGTCATACTGAGGTGGTAAATGGTGAAGTGACACCGGTGGTCACGAATTCTCTGCTACAGGGTGGAATTGTTTCAGTGTACTATCTCGGAACTCTTGTCGGTGCCTTATTTGGTGGTTGGATTGGTGACCGCATGGGTCGTATCAAGACGATTGCTATTGGAGCTGCTTGGGCCGTTTTGGGTGCGGCTCTGCAGTGCTCTGCTCAAAACCATGTTTGGATGATTTGTGGTAAGTGATTCAAGACTGGATGGGAAAGAATAGAACCTGATATCGGCAGCTCGGTTGATTAATGGAATCGGAACTGGTATTCTGAATGCTATCGTCCCGGTTTGGGCTACCGAGACAGCTGAACACACTTCTCGGGGTCAATTTATTGCTATTGAATTTACACTGAACATCTTCGGTGTTGTTTTGGCCTACTGGCTTGAGTTGTACGTGCTACTCTATCTCTCCTGGGAGAATTTTGTCTAACACCCAACAGTGGTCTTTCTTTCATCGACAACGGAGAATCCGCATTCCGCTGGAGATTCCCCATCGCATTCCAAATCGTCTTCTTGCTGCTCCTCTTCTCTGTCGTCTGGTTCTTCCCCGAGTCTCCTCGATGGCTCGTTAAGGTTGGCCGAGAGGACGAGGCTCGCTACATCCTCCAGCGTTTGCGTGGATCTAGCGGCGAAGACCTCCTCCGCGCAGAGGCCGAGTTCCAGGATATTCTCAGTATCGCTGAGATGGAAAAAACCGTTGTTCACGGCAACTCGTATCTGTCCATGCTCTTTGGCTACAAGTCCGGTGATCTTCACATCGGACGTCGCGTGCAGCTGGTCGTTTGGTTGCAGATTATGCAGGAATGGGTTGGAATCGCCGGTGTCACCGTTTATGCCCCGACTATCTTCAGCATTGCTGGATTCGACTCGACGAAGAGTCAGTGGATCAGTGGATTGAATAATGTGTTCTACATGGTATGTCTTAAGAACAAGTAGAAGATGAACCAGGACTAACAAAAGGTTACAGTTTGCTACTCTGGTTTGTGTCTTTACCCTGGACCGTATCGGCCGCCGATGGACTTTGTATTGGGGGTCTGTGGTCCAGGGCATTGCAATGTTCCTCGCAGGTGGATTTTCTCGACTTGCCATTGACGCGAAAGCGGCTGATCAAATGGGCAAAGCATCCTCGTATGGTGCAGCCGCGGCTTCGATGATCTTCATCTTCACCTCCACATTCGGTGCTACATGGTTGACCGTGCCTTGGGTTTACCCCGCAGAGATCTTCCCTCTAGCTGTTCGCGCCCGAGGTAATGCCTTTGGTGTCGTGGGATGGAGTATTGGAAACGGATGGCTGGTAAGTGGTCACCTGAAGCTCGGTATATCCCCTGAAGCAGACAAACTAACGCGGACAACCACAGACTCTCCTATGCCCCGTCATGTTCAATGCCATCGGCGAAAAGACCCTCTATGTCTTTGCCGCTAGCAATGTGATCACGATCCCCATGGTCTGGGCTTTCTACCCCGAGAGTAACCAGCGCACACTCGAAGACATGGATCTCCTCTTTGCGGCAAAGACACCCTGGAGCTGGGACGCAGAGGCTAACTTTGCGCGCCTCAAGGCTGAGAACCCGGGCATGGTCCAGGCGCTCAGTCGCAAGGGTAGTGTCGTGGACCCGGAGACTGGTAAGCATCTTTCCATTGGCGCTGCTGCTGCAACTGCGGCTGCCAAGATGGATGATAGCACCACTGCAGCTGAGCACGTAGATCGCGCTTAAACTCTGGTTAGATGTGGTGTATTTTCATTATTTTATTTACGAGACACGGCATGAAGCCATCGATGGTTAGATGATTCACGTATATTTCCATCTCAGTGATCTGATTGGTCACTTCTGGCACACCCGTTCATTTGAACTTTATAACACTTCGAATGTTCTTCTTTCTTCTCTTTCTTCTTAAATATCTAAGCAATAGTAAAATACGACCAGGAAAAACCCCATCATTCAAGCCTATCAGCGTGGTAAGTGTCAAGTTCGACGCGTCCTACCGCGTCACCCTATGACCTCCTTCCCAGCTAATTACAAATCCAGCCAAACCAACACCAAGCCAACAGGGCCACCAAAACAAGCTCCTACAGCTGAACAACCAAAGCTGAGACTCCCAAAAAACAATTCTATCAAGTAGCAGCAGAAATGGCAGTCACCCCCGCATCACAAACTGCTCGCCCATCATCATCGCCATCACCCTCACCATCATCAGCATCATCTTCAGCCCAAACAAAAATAAAAAAAGCAACCCAAGAACCCCCCAAACCAAGCCCACTCACACAAAAAAATACCTGCACAGAATATCCCTCCACCCAACCTTAACCCCCTTCCGCCGTCGTGTTTACCGCACCCTCCTCTCTGTCCCGCCAGGCCGCTGGACAACCTACTCAGCCATGGCCAAGTATCTCGGGTCCAGTGCGCGCGCAGTAGGAAATGCAATGCGGACTAATCCATTTGCACCAGAGGTCCCCTGTCATCGCGTTGTGGCTGCTGATGGGCGGTTGGGTGGGTATAAGGGAGAGTGGAAGGTTGATGGGCATAAGGCTTCTGGGTCTTTTTCCGAGGAAAAGATGATCAGGTTGAAGGAGGAGGGGGTGGAGTTAGTTGATGGCAAGGTTGTTGGAGTTTGTTTTTCTGATTTTGTTGATTTTGGGAAGTGAATTTGTTTATGAAGTTTACAATAGGGTGTTTGGGGAGTTTATTCTTCAGCGGTTGAATTGGCTATGTGGTGTTTCTTGTATATGATTATCTTGCAAAAAAAAGTGACGGCTTTTATTGGTGATTCTGTTACAGGACTTTCTGTCTATGTTAGCTCTTCAATCGAAAATAATAATAGTTACAGTACTGTAGTCCTGTCCTGACCGTCTTGAAAGGCTGACTCAAACGCCGTCATAGAATTGAAACCAAACCATTGTCTCGGTTCGAGCGAGTAAAACTCATGATCGAAATAGCACGATATTGCATACAACAACTCGGATGAGTTTCCAAACTCCTTGACGCCATGCTAGCAGGTAATTTCCGACGGATTCCGATTGCTGACGCTCTTCATACACTTGCTATGATTGACATGCAGCCTGGGCTTCAAGCGTGGTTTCTGCATAGCAACTTACATTATCTTATAACCTGACCTATAGGGTTAAGTTCCAGGCACGAGTTCTCGGATCAGGCTCCCCCGTGAATCTTTGAGTTTCAACCAGCCACGATGTGTCTGGGGAGCGCGAGTATCATGTCGTATAACCCAGATCCTGGAGCTGTCTATGTGCAATTTGAAGGTGATATTTTTGAGGATAACACAGCTTTAGTGGCAACTCTTTTATGAACGCTTCATGTTGATATCTGCTAGTATGAAACGAAGCTCGCTGTACAAGCTGTGCTATCTTGTCTTCGCAGCTACAAGCATCAAAGCTGGCCTATTACCTCCTCAGAAAGAGCCACTAGCTCTGGTGTCTCTGCCCAAATCTCAAATTCAGTCAGTACCCAGCCAGGAAAATCCAACATTCAAAGCCTGCACAGGGAACACGCCAACAACCAGACAACAATGGTGCGAATACAACATCTACACTGACTACACAATAACAACACCAGACACCGGTGTCACACGCGAATTCTGGTTAGAGATAAACCAAGCAACACTGGCACCAGACGGACGACCCAGATGGGCACTCACCATCAATGGCTCATTGCCAGGTCCAACAATTGAAGCAGACTGGGGCGACACAGTGATAATTCACCTCCGAAACAGTCTCCCAGTCACGATTCAAAACGGAACAAGCCTGCACATCCACGGGCTCAGACAGCACTATACAAACCCCATGGATGGTGTCGTCTCTGTCACACAGTGCCCCATTGCCCCGGGAAATACCATGACTTATAAATGGCGAGCAGAGCAATACGGCACGACATGGTATCATTCACACATTGGACTTCAAACATGGGAAGGCGTTTTCGGTTCTGTCATTATCAATGGGCCTGCTAGTAGTGACTACGATGAGGATGTGGATGCTCTTCTGCTTTCCGACTGGGATATCAACACGGTCGATCAGCTTTGGACTGTAGCCGAGGCGGGTGTGTCTCCAAAACTGGATAATGGGCTTATCAATGGTGTCAACGTCTTTGGAGACGACGATGATCCAGCCCAGATGGGACATCGCTTCAATACTACGTTCATTCGGGGAAAATCATATCGGCTTCGTGTGACGAACACGGCTTGCGATACTCAATTCAAATTCAGTATTGACCATCATACGCTGACGGTGATTGCTGCGGATTTTGTTCCTATTCAACCGTACAATACGACAGTGATCAGCATTGCAATTGGTAGGTAGACACTCCCCCGTCCCATCCTTCCAGAGTACCAAAAACAAAACCATGCAGTCTAACAACACCACATCATCTCACCATTGATAACTTACAGGACAGCGGTACGACATAATAGTCCAAGAAAACCAAGCCAAAACAGCAGACTCATTCTGGCTACGCGGAGTTCCCCAACTCTCCTGCTCATCCATCAACCAAGACCAATCAAACAACATCCACGGAATAATCTACTACAACACCATCTCAGCACCACACTCACCTGCAAGCCTACCAAACACAACAGCCTACCAGATCCCCGACACATGCGAAGACGAACCCCCATCAAACCTCATCCCCCTCATCTCAACCCCCCTCAACCTAACAACCCCTACCCAATTCTACAACGAAACCCTACCCGTATCGAAATCCCTCAACACAAACTCAGTTTGGAGATGGTTCCTAAATGGCACATCCATGCAGGGGAACTGGTCCCACCCAACCCTCCTCCAACTAAGCAACACAGACCCCAACAACCGCGACCAATGGAACACAAACGACGACAAAACAGCACTCCTCGCCCTCCCAAAACCAGACACATGGGTCCTCGTCATCATAGAAACGACCATGGCAGCCCCTCATCCAATCCACCTACACGGACATGATTTCCTGGTAGTTGCACAGGGAGCAGGGGACTGGGAATGGCCCCCGACACGGACGGACTCGGGCCCTGAAATGGGGAATAGAAATGGAAGTGGAAATGATAATGGAAACACATGGTATCATGCTGCAGGGTCCCTCCCCAAGCGCGATACGGCGCTCCTACCTGCGCTTGGACATCTCGTGCTGGCGTTTCGGTCAGATAATCCTGGGGCTTGGTTGATGCATTGTCATATTGGGTGGCATCTGGAGGAAGGATTTGCGTTGCAGTTTGTTGAGAGGGGGTCTGAGGTTTGGGATTTGTTTCATGGGGATGGGGCTAGGAATGGGGGTTTGAGCCGGGATTTGGATTCAGATCTGGATTGGAGGGATTATGCGCGATCTAGCGAGGAGAATTGTGCTGCTTGGGATCAGTATGATCGCCGGGATCCGATCTGGGAGGATGGGGCTGCTATTTAGAATTTACTGTAGGGGAGGGTGTGGGATTGGCGTTGGATTGATATGCAGTTAAGGTATACCACTGTAGTAGTGTACGGTTAAGTTGACTGATACGGGATCAGAGCCAATTGCATCCTGTTTGATATCAATTGGGCTCAGGCTTGTAGGGTGTGATGATCTACAGTGCGGTGATCGCGTCGGCGTTTCAAAGCATGCGGTGGTGTCTCGTGTTTCGACCTTTTAGGGAGTAGTGCAGGGTTACAGATACTTCAAGGATGAGATAGGAGAGAATTAGATCTGCAATTGATCCTTGTCACTTTATATTTTAACTTTGTTTGTTGGGTATCACTTAGGCCCGGACCCCAGGATCCGAACTAGCCAAAGCATGCTTTCGTCGCCAAAGATGCCACTTTTGCGAGTGTGCTCTAGAACCATGGCTGCAATGCAGTCCTGCAAGTACTTTGCTAGCGTGCAATCGATAATACAGTATCTACTCCTGCAGGTACCTCAGGAAAAAACACTAAGGGAATTCTTGCAGATCCTCAGCCCGAAAAGGGGAACAGAAAAATGGAATGGCGCAAAGGCAAAAAAGTGGCCCAGTAAACAAATTGAGAAAGTGAAACGTAATCCTAGTGGAATTGGGTTGAAAAACTTGCACGAAACCCCTAGTTGTGTGTGGATAATAATCGTCATCGTTGATATTCATTCATAATAGAGCCCAAGAAGGCAATATCTCATCTAACGCTGTACCCGTCCAAAGAAAAGCCAGGAGCCGATAGCTCACAAAAAGCATCAAGTCAACCAAAGAAAGAAATAAAAAATAAACCACCAGAAAAAAGGTGGCCAGGAAAAGAAGGCGCAAGTCTTCTATACAGGACGCGATGCAGAGCCGGAATGCAATATAGTTAGTGTAAGCGAACATGTCGATGAATCAACCAAGAAGAATCCAAAGAGAATCTAAAAGCAAAGTCGTAATTTCGTAAAGCGAAAAGCAGACGGGCGCAAAAGCAAAGCAACACAGACGATCATGAGATCTCCTTCGCAGCGCGCTTGCAGCCACCCCGCTTGGGGACGTTCATGTGGTGATACGAGCGGAGGTGCTCGACCAGATGATCCTGACGCGGGAAGCCATTGCTGCCCTTGCGCGAGCAGTGATCAACAGGACAATTGCGGAAGACAGGATAGTGAACGCTGGACTGGTGGCGCTTCAAGTCTGCGAAGCGAGTGAAGGCTTTGCCGCAGTCGTCGCATCCGAATGGCTTGGCAGGTCTACGAAGAAAAAGGATGTTAGCTGTGCGATTCTCGTGGAATGTATACAGGAGACATGGGAAAGTGTATAGACTTACTTGGAAGCGGGGGCTGGTGAGTCCGAACCCGATTCATATTCGAAGCCGCTGACGCTGACGGGGTAGCTGGGCAGGGCGATCTCCTCGCCGGGGAAATTGAAGCTATTGCTTGCACAGCTGCTGGCGCAGCTGGATGCGCTCTGGGGCATGGTCTGGCGCTCAAAGACAGGAAATTCGTGTGTGGGTTGGTAGTAGGGTGAGCTGGTGATGTTGTATACATCTGGAGCGGCGACCTCTTGCATAGGGAAGGGACTCATGGGATCGAGATCGCAGAGGGAATCGTAGACGGGTTGAGACCCGTAGAAGAAAAAGTCCATGCCGCCTGGAGAGGAGGAGTAGGAGGAGTAAGAGTCTGGGTAGTAGGGGGATTGCATGTCAAGAGAGGGATCCGAGAAAGCTGAAAGAGCCCGGTGGTTGGAAGGAATTGGTATGCCAGCCTTTTTTCAAGACACAGGAAAGTCAGCAATCTAGAATACTATGCACGTCAAGCTTCGCCTACCATTATGAGACGCCGGTGGAAATCCTGTTGAGTATTGGAAATCTTAAAAGTGGCTGTTTGGGGGCGGAATATGTACTCCGTATACAAGTGTACGAGGAAAATGTTTCTCAAAGAGTACCGTGCCCATCCTTTTATGTTTCTACGTGACCTAAATATCAGGCCTTTTAGCCCAAGACGCCAACACGGGACAAGTGTGCGCTTGGCCCTCTGTGAATGGCCGTGGGAATGGCTTCTAGAAGACCTCTCGAAGCAGAGTGGACGAAAGCACACAGCCTCCCCGCCCATTTTGCTGCGGGAATTTCAGTCTAACGGGAAGACATTCTACGGTGCTTCTAGCGGCCCCTTAAGCCGCTTTGTTTGGACGATGATTGGGGGCCAAGAGGAGGACAGTCTCATGTCTCAGCCAATACAGCCTCGCGATAAGCTGCAAGATCAGGGAAGCGGTCAGCCTGTGCAGACAGACCTGCATCTGCCCCCTCATCGCTGGCAGGGTGATTTCTGATTTGTGGACCAGGTTTCTGTGTGTTTTCTAGCGTGGTTCTAGCGTCTTTTCGCGGTCTGACGGCATAGAGGTGCTTAGCCCCTACTGGCGTCATCAGACATTAGCCGCATGTTTGCTGTTTCATGTTGGCAAAGGTGGTCGAGTCCTGGCGGACGGATACGAGGGGAGCATTGGATCGAGGTCGAGTCCATGTCCAACGTGGGCAATTCGAGGTCATACCCTCGCAGCTGGCCCTGTTCATGCTGATGTTCGTGTTTGTGTTCATTTGACGTATCCCACTCGGGACTCTTGTGCCGAGTAGGGATCCACGCAGCCTTGCGAACTTGATCTCTCCAATCCGGGGTCGCAGATCGACGCAAATGATATAATGCGGTCGCACAGCCCCTGGCTCGTTTTTCTAGAAAATCCCGCACTCTAGCGTCTTGGCTGCCTGGAAGTGGAATATGGCTGGGGAAAGGTGAAGCGATTCGTCACATGTCTACTAAAGTAGTGCCGGGGATGATTCCGGGCGTACAGTAAGTACACTATACAGCACATGCATACCAAGGAATCAAAGTAATCAAAAGGGAGGAAAGTGAATGACTCTCGGACCTCGTCCTTTGTTCTTCGTGGCTTCTGTGCATCTGATCACGGGATACGGAAGACCGGACCCCCGGTTCCGAGCAAGGCAGACTGCATAACCTGTTTATTGGTGTACAATCGACTACTCTCTCATATTACATATGCTTCAATCAAACATCCTTGAGAATCAAAACTCCCCCCTGCCGTGTTCATTGCACTCATTGCCCAATCCACCCAGGTAAACAGAACTAACAGAACATAACAGTAATCCATTCAACACAATCCTCCCCCCCTGCCCAGGTCCCCCTCCCTCCAGTCTCCCAGTCTAATCATTACCCAGAGGCAAATTCAAATCCAGGTCCTACCCGAGGAACCTCACAGGGGTTTCTTGTAAGAAGATCGCGTTATAACTCGTCCTCAAGGTATTTGTACACAAACTTGAAATCAGCCTTGCGCCGATTCATCCTGTGCATGTTCGTAAGCGTGAAGTTCCTGTAATAGACGCTGGGATGGCCGAAAGGTCCGAACTAACCATGTGCTCTCGTAATCGAAGAATCGATAGGTGCCTTGTTCAAATTCCTCGGTGATGTTTTTGGGCTCTTCGTGACGCTGGAACCACGTTTGGTACTGTTTGTGGAAGCGCCAACTTTGGTTGCGGAGGGCCTTGGCAGCGAGGTATTGCTGGTAGGTGCCTTGACGGTAGTAGAAGAGGTAGAAGAGCGTGTCGGTGTCAATTCTGCCCGTGTCATACAGCCGGGGATCATCGAATATGGAGAGGGGTTCCTGTGGGTAGTAGAGGGGTGTGCTGTAGGGGTTCTGGGGCTTGTAGTGACGAGGCTTTTCAGCATCTCCTGCTTCCGGGCAGGTGGTCAATGATGCTGCCAGTAGGCGTTGCACTGACGGCGAAGGGTTTGCCGTTGCTCGCGCCTTAGTCACATCAAATGATTGAACGAGATCTTGCAAACCTGGAGGCAGATGATAGATCGACTCCTCAATATCTGTGCTTTCGGTTTCAGTCTTGCCATTTGTGGTTGCGCTCTTATCTGCGGGAGTGGGCGATGAAACACTTGAGGCTGCTGCAGTGGCCGGTGTCTTGGATCGAACAAAGCTGATTTCGTCAGGAGCAGTGATTGGGGTCATTATTGGCTTGACAACAGGCTGTTCGGGCGCCACAATGGGTGAGGCAGTAGAAGAGGGCTTGGATATAGGCATGGCCACGGAAAGGGCTGGGCTGAGACCCGGCGGTGGGGGAAGAGGCAAGATGCCAACACCACTTTTATCGCTGGCAGCTGCAGCGGCCGCAGCGGAGGCGTACTTGAGAGTCTCACCTGGCGGACGGGTAGGGAGCGGTGCGGGCTTCATGCCCGGAGTGGCACTGGATGAAGCGGAGGGGTGAAGGGTAGCAAGGACAGGCAACGGCGACTTCATTTGTGTTGATGGTCGTCGCGGTGCTGGGGTCTCAGGCTTAGCTTTGGGTTTCGGTTCAGGTTCATCGTCGTGAATGGATTGAGCATCCTGTGAGGACACGCGATCACCATCTCCGCCCATGCCGAACTGTGCCTCAACGTCTTCGATGTTTAGATCGTCATAGAGAGTCTCGTCTTCACCGGAATAATCTAGACTACCTCCTTCTTCAACATAGTATTTGATACTCTCCTTCAGGTCTTGCACAGCTCCGACTTCGAGGTTACCATTTTGTAACGAACGATTGAGGAACTCCAGCTTGTTCACGTGCCACTTATGTCGTTCTGTAACATGCGCAACATCAGCCATTCGGTCTGCCTTTTTTGTGTCCTTCTTGCCCTTCTTCATTTGTGCGTGGAGGGTTTCTTCTTCGGCTTCCAGGGCTTCGATCTTGAGTTGGAGTTCGTCGACCATCCCCGAGAGGAACTCGGAACACTCGACTCTCTCCTTCTCCTTCGGATCGAGTCGCGATGCTGCTGATAGACCTTCCTTCGAATAGGCTTTCGTCTTCATCTCCTTTTCGACTGCCTTGAATTGTTCCATGCACTGATAGGTGGTTAGCTATACCGACCCAAGAAGGGTCCGCATTGAACCTCAACACGATACTTACCACTTCAATAGCCTTCCGCTGCTCAATGAGCGGAGCTTTGTCCTTGACTTCATTGCCAGCTGCCCATGATTTGATCTGATCACGGAACCTTTGGAGCTTCTTGATCTCGCGCTTCAGGTTGTCTTCGAGCTTATCCCGTTGCGTGGGATTTGTGGCTAGGCGGATCTTCTCGTAGATACCCTCAAACGTCTGGATACCTTCTGACACTTTTTTGAAGGTCTTGTCGATTTCTTGTTGCGTCTTACGTGACGCCATTATGGATTCGGTGGGAGCGGACTGCGTCTCCAGGCGGGATTTTGATGCGGTAAAAGCGGACGGATTGGCTGTTTGCACTCCCCACAGTTGGGAGATTGCAATCAAATTAATTGGGATCAGGAACAGACTCAAAGTCGTAGACGCAGACAATGAAGGGCTAACACTGGATCGCAGAATGCCTCTCCGCGCTGGGGTGGAAAGCTTCGTGGTTGCAGAATCCGGAAGGCGGTGAGGGGCGGAGGGGAGAGGCGAGGGAGGAAACGCGGGATTCCTCCAAACACAACTTGAGGCAACACCTGCATTTCTTTCTTTTGGGACGAGTCACACGCTACGAGTCATACCTTTGGGCTTTTGCAGTTGTCTAGCTAGGCACAGCATTGTGCTCCCCACGTTATTTCTCGGTGCGCCCCAGATTCTCCGCAATATACCCACTACCTGCACTCTCAGACTGACATTGCCCATTTATCTAGTCCCTACAGTTTCCCTTTCCTCATTTTGCACCATGAAAGGTTGGAGTCTTCCAACTTCATCTACAATAGCACGCTGACTCCCCGCCTAGTCGTGATACAAAGAGTTAAATCGGCGTCGGTCAGTGTCGATTCAGAGCTAGTCTCCTCTATTGGCAAGGGTCTGCTAGTATTTGCTGGCATTGGTCAGGATGATACCGAGAAGGAAGCAGAGAACCTGGTGAATAAGGTGTTGAAAGCCAAATTCTGGCCAGACGAGAATGGGTCACAGGTGCGGCACTACAACTATAATGCATGAGTGGCAAATTAACACTTGTCGCAGTGGAAGCGCAATGTTCAAGAAATTGAGGGAGAAGTACTCTGTGGTATGTGAGAAGAATTCCATTGTATGAAAGCCTACTAACGTTAATGTCTGCTTTAGTTTCCCAATTCACCCTCTATGCCAAGATGAATAAAGGCAACAAGCCTAGTTTTCACGATGCAGCCACACCCGACACAGCGCGAAAGGTCTATGATCACTTTTACGACAAGATGCGTGAAACCTACATCCCAGACCGGGTAAAAAACGGCGTCTTCCAGGCCATGATGGAGGTCGAACTGAAGAATGACGGGCCGGTGGGTGTAGACTACCGCAGTGAAGATGCGGCGGTACATTTTGCCTTCCTGGCTCCAATCCTCGCCGCTATGGGATCCATACTGACAAGGATATCATACAGGTCACCATCGAAATCAACACCAACCTGCCCAAGAAGGAGCCCAAGGAGCCAAAAAACAATAAAAAGCCCGAAGAAGAGGAGGAGATCAAGCAGACGTTTGAATTTCAAATTCCAGCTGAACTCCTGGAATAAGCGGGAATAAACCAAAAAATAGACATAGAAGTATATAATGAGTATAGTTGATACCCCCCAATGAAGACATCCATGACTCGAGAGGTGCAGCGGCTATGGAAGCTTCCTGAACCACCAAAACCATCTCCCCCACAACGCGCCTCACATCTTCCTCCTCCACCAATTTTCCTCAACTTACTTTCCTCCGTATTCTTCTCCACCTTTGCTTTCTTCAACTCCCCCGCCATGGCATCTCAGCGTACGTCTGCCGGATCCACCGATCTACCCGGATGGGTTGCAGTACTGACCGCAAGCTAGGTTCCCGTGTCTTTTTTGACATTAAAGTCGGCGACAATAAGCTCGGCCGAGTGGCATTCGAGCTTGTGAGTTTCTCAGATTTCTGTTCGAGTCGAACCCGCAGCTAACATGGGGCGTCGCGCAGTTCAACGATGGTACGATATGATTTTCGCGCTCACCAATTCGACAACCCGAAAAACTAACAGGTTCAACAGTGGTCCCCAAGACCGCGGACAACTTCAGATCCCTGTGCACTGGTGAGAAGGGCATTGGTACTCAGGGCAAAGAATTGACCTACAAAGGCATGTCTCCGATACCCCGCCATTGAGCATGGGCTAACCGCGCAACCCCGACAAAGGCTCAATTTTCCACCGTGTGATTAAGCAGTTCATGATCCAGGGTGGTGATTTCACCGCATTCAACGGCACCGGTGGCGAGTCGATCTACGGCGAGAAATTCCCCGACGAGAACTTCGACCTGAAGCATGACCGTCCATTCCTCCTCTCCATGGCCAACTCCGGCCCCGGCACCAACGGCAGCCAGTTCTTCGTGACCACCGTTCCTACCCCTCATCTCGATGGCAAGCACGTCGTGTTTGGTGAGGTGATCAACGGCAAGAGTCTTATTCGCAAGATCGAGAACATGAACACCCAGTCCGACAAGCCCATGACCGATGTGACCGTGGAGGACTGTGGTGAGCTGTCCGGAGAGGACTACGAGAACGCGACCAAGCGTGTTCAAGATGTCACAGGCGACCCATACGAGGACTTCACCGATGACCACCAAGGCGAAGAGCTTTCCGCCCCGCTCTGCTTCAAGATTGCTTCTGACCTGAAGGGATTCGGAAACACCGCATTCAAGAGTGGAGATCTGAACCTCGGCCTTGACAAGTATCAGAAGGGTCTGCGCTATCTCAACGAATTCCCCGAGCCCGCTGAGAACGATCCCAAGGAATTGAACGTGCAGATGAAGGCTCTGCGATTCACCCTGCACTCCAACTCCTCCCTGCTCGCAAACAAGCTCCAGAAGTTCCGTCAAGCTCAAAGCTGGGCTTCTTATGCGCTCGAGGTCAGCGATGCTGCCCAAGCCAAGGATGCTGACAAGGCCAAGGCCTACTTCCGCCGTGCTGTTGCCCACGAGGGTCTGAAGGAAGAGGATGCCGCGCTCAAGGATCTTCTGGCGGCTGAGAAGCTTGCTCCTACTGATGCCGGTATCATCAACGAGATCGCCAAGGTGAAGAAGACCGTCAAGGATCGCGAAGCCAAGGATAAGGCTGCTGCCAAGAAGTTCTTCTCTTAAGATTCTGCTTATGGCTCAAATTCTTTTCCTTTGTTCTATCATGATTCACGACGTGGTCTCCATGTGTCCCCAATGACCCAAGATGTATGACATAACATCCAAACCCTTGGCAACAAACTTGACTGTTAAACACCTTTGGTGTAGTCTTCTGCGTGATCCTATTCGTGTTCTGTGCGCAGCTGGCAACAACAATGGCAATGGAAGCCCGTGCCATGGTGGCTGTTTATCTAGCTCAGTTTACCTGCCAACAAAGACATATTCATTGCTAAGTTAAGATCTAAAGTAGCTCATAAAGATGTAACTTATCCTAGAGTATTCATTTCCAAGTGGGACAATGTTGATAAGATTAAACATTGGAAAGACCAGCTGACAAGTTATCCTAATCTACGTGGAGAAGCCCCTAGCTACAGTGGTGGGAAGGTCCAGACGACACGCTAACCTTGCAGGCTTACAAAGATACGGGTCTTAGCTTGGATAATTGGATGTTGATTTGATATTGATCGCTTCCCACTCTCACACGTCTCACCCAAAGTTACGTCCTTCCACTAGAACAAGATGGCTGACCTGAAACCCGATTCACCAATCATCATCATAGGTGCTGGTACATGGGGATGTTCAACTGCCCTTCACCTGGCTCGCCGAGGATACAATAAAGTGAAAGTACTGGACCCTCACCCAGTACCATCCCCCATTGCTGCGGGGAACGATATCAACAAGATCATGGAGCACAAGGAACTCAAATGTAAGGATTCTTGGAAGAACAAAGACGAGACAGGCAGAAAGACATACTTAAAAACCCCCGCCAGCCTCAAATCCTGATGCCCAAAGCATAGCCTTTGCAACATGCACCAGAGCAGCACTGAATGGATGGAAGAACGATGCAGTCTTTCAACCATACTTCCACGAGACTGGCTTCATTGTCTCTGGACATACACCAGCTCTAATTGAGCACATCAAAAACGAAGAAGTCGACCGATCCGAAGGCGACTGGGTAGCCTTGGAAACAGCCGAGGACTTCCGTCAAACGATGCCACCAGACATTCTAACAGGAGAGTTCCCAGGCTGGAAAGGGTGGATAAGCCGATCTGGCGCAGGGTGGATTCATGCTCGGAAGGCAATGGTATCTGCATACAACAAGGCAGAGAGTCTAGGCGTGGAATTTGTCACCGGTTCTCCGCAAGGCAAGGTTGAGCGCCTGATCTACGAGCACGGAGATGTGGTCGGAGCCCAAACAGCAGATGGGCAGAGGCACTTTGCAGAGCATACAATTCTGGCAGCTGGTGCTGGAAGTGATCGACTGCTAGATTTCAAGAAGCAGCTACGTCCAACTGCTTGGACTTTGAGCCATATCCGTATGACACCCGAAGAAGCGAAGAAGTATCGGAATCTCCCAGTCTTGTTCAACATTGCAAAGGGGTTCTTTATGGAGCCCGATGAAGAGATGCATGAGCTGAAGATCTGCGATGAGCATCCCGGGTACTGTAACTTTGTGGCGGATCCTGATCATTACGGCGAGAAGAGGAGTATACCATTTGTAAAAGAGCAGATTCCCCTTGAGGCTGAGGCTAGAGCTAGGGATTTCTTACGTGATACTATGCCACATCTTGCCGATCGACCTTTCTCTTTTGCTCGTATCTGCTGGGATGCGGATACCGTCGACCGGGCATTTTTGATTGACAGACACCCTGAGTATTCCTCGCTTGTGGTTGCTGTTGGTGGGTCTGGAAATGGTGCCATGCAGATGCCTGCGATTGGTGGTTTTATTGCCGATGTGCTGGAAGGGAAGTTACAACAAGAGTTGAAGGATGTTGTTCGATGGAGGCCGGAAATTGCTATTGATCGTGATTGGAAGTCTACCCAGAATCGATTTGGCGGGTCTGGGAAGATGATGGACTTCCAGGATGTTAAGGTAAATGAGTGGACACATGTTGGAAGATAGAGGGTCAACTATAAACAAATTACATTCGGTGATTTAAGTGACTGGCGAGAGACGGACACTATTCCGATGAAGGGCCTCCGTGATATTCAATTACTTGCTCACAAAAGCGCAAACACCCATGTCCTTCTTGACAACATCAGCCTCGGGCCGAATATCAAAATCAAAGATATCCATCGGCAGAGAAAGCGTAGTACAAGCATTGGGAATGTCCACAATACCAGCAATATGACCTTGAACAGGCGCACAGCTGAGCAGCAAATACACCTGATAATCGCTATATCCAAAGCGTCGAAGATACTCAATCACCCGCAGACAAGTCTGTCTGTAGGCGACAGTCGCATCCAAGTAGTGCTGCTTGCCATTTTCGTCAACTGAGAACCCTTCAAAGGTGAGATATCTTCCAGGGCCGAATTGTGGCTCCACAGGCCCGGCATTGAAAATGGGCGACTTCATGTCCAGCTTCGCCATGCCGTTCTTGATCACCGAGAACTTGAGAGTGATGATACCAGCCATTTCAATAGCTCCACAGAATGAAATCTCGCCATCACCTTGCGAGAAATGCAGATCTCCAACAGAGAATTTGGCGCCTGGGACGTGGACGGGTAGGTAGACCTTGGATCCACGGGATAGGTTCTTGATGTCACAGTTACCTCCATGCTCGGGCCGACCCTAGATCGATTAGTACACATGCTGACTTGATTGCCCTTCAGAGCGAAGGCTTACTGGGATAGTGCGGGCTCCCTCTTTGGCAATTTTGGCCTTGACATCATCCGAAGCACTTCCGGCATGGGTATTCGTAACCAGAGGCGGCTGGGCAACAATGCGATCAGTAATTGTATTGGCAGCAATCAGCTCACCCTCTCGACGATTCCATTCAGCCAGAACCTCCGCCGAAGGAGCGCATCCCATGATTCCAGGATGGATAAGTCCTGCAAAGCGAACGTGAGGAATGTGCCGAGAGGAGCAGAAGATGCCTTCAAAGTCCCAAATTGCCTTTGCGCTAAGATTGAAATTAGAAAGAATCGTATCAGCAAACATGAGGGAGAATTTACGCCTCTGGATAAAGCTCATCCAAGAATCCTCCTCCGTTCTGCTTGTGAAAAACACCCGTGAATCCCCAGGGCTGTTCCTCAAATGGTTGGACATCTTGAATCTCGACGACCAAAACATCGCCAGGCTCGGCGGTCTCAATATCGAATGGACCTGATAGGTAATGGATGTGGGTAAGGTCTACGTTCTTGATATCGTCTGCGGAGTCGTTGTTTCCGATTTGTCCGCCAGTCCAATCGAGACATTCGATCTTGACAACTTCGTTGGTTGCAATCTTCCCGCAGGCAGGGACTAGATGCAGAGTACTTGTGTTAGTATATATACGTTGGGCGCGACGGGGTTATTGAGTTCGTCTGCCTACCGTCAGGGTGCCATCTGTTCTATCATTTGGTTAGCAATGTTTCTCATGTGAGGATCTGAACTCAAGAGCTTACATGCAAGCCAGGCTGCTCACTTGCCGGCTTATCGAGATCGACCTTGAGAGCAGTTCGGATTCCTTTGATACCCATGGTGGTAGTGTGCAATAATGTTATGTGAAGTGTTGATGATGTTCCCTGAGGGCGTCAATTATATCCCCTCACGATAACACTTTACCCCGCAGATGGATTTGTATACTGCAAAGGTATGAAAAATACGGAGGGAAGTAGGGGCTTATCACTTTATCTCGCATATCCCCGGAAACTGATAGGCTAGTTCCTATTGGCGCGTGGGTGAGCAGATTCAGATATGGTGGATTTGATGCCTATTTGTGACATGAAGTAATATTCACTCCTTCGTATGCTCTGTCGCTCTGAAATACACAAGATCTATGAAACATCTCGAGACCATGCTAAATTTTGGAGCACACCCTCAGGTTTGTGCTTCGATGCCTTAAGACATCTTCTGTGTAGGCGCATTGCCATCTTGACGCTTGTCCAATTCTACATTGAGCTTGTCAAGATTGTCAAGAGACAAGCGCAGGAAGTCATGCTTGTTCTTCCAGGTAACTTGGCTCTCGGCAAAGTCCTGACTTTCCGCAGGAGATGGAGGAGGGTCTGTGATCTTGGTGACAAGGTATGCTGTGGAGGCCTCGGCAATGCCATACATCAGCACACCAATGAATGGGGTACGCAAGGCAACTGTAAAGGCAAAGGCGAAGCCGAATAGGACACCTTCTCGGTCCCGGAACCACCGACGCTTTTGCTCGGGAGTGAACGTGATACGAGAAAAGTATGGCTCGAGCTAAACACAGTTAGAGCAGTCTCATGCAGGGATTGTAGAATATGATCAGACTTACAAGTTCTCTCATCAAACTCCGTGAAGCAAAGTAGGTGTGAAGGAACATGATAATGTACTGCTTGGGAAGGAACAAGCCGGCAGCAAAGATCACAGCAGCAGGTTGGGTACCGATATGGCTGCGCAAACTGTAGAAACTTGCCGCGGGCATCACGAAGCGACCGATAATGATGACCATGGAAAGTAGGTAAAGCCCAAGTCCAATACCGATCTTCTTTGCGTAGCGGTTGAAGAATGCCATAAGGGCTTTAGAGAGCGGCTGAGAATGGCTCGAACTTCCTTTGGCAGAGTGCTGTACCAAATTGGGATAATACATGGCACGCAATGTATCGGGATTCTCAGACTTGTGCTTTTGGATGTAGGTGACGTCCACCCATTGGATCGACTGCATGAAGCTGTTCAAACGATAAGCTTCCAAGATAAATAGATCCACGGCGCTTAGAACTCACATTTCATCCAGCGTGGGTGTCACGTATCGCATCAGAGTCATGAGCAAGAATGGCACCTGAAGGACAGACTTGTTCATGAAATCCAAGCCATTAAGAAGCTTATCATCCCAAGCAACATGCTCGAGATTGACTACCCATGATAGCAAGTAGATCGAGAATTTCACACTGATAATCTTAAAATTAAGTTAGAGATCTGTCTTCAAGATATGAATGGTGGGACATACCGGAATTTGAATGATCAATTGGATAACGATGCCAACTCCAATAGCAATGGCTGCTTGGCGGAAATGATCATATTTGAAAAGCTCTGGGTTACCCAGTGCACGAACAGCTAGAAGCTCTCGTTAGCAGATGCACAATTGTACATTGTTCCAATGATCATTCCGAGCAAAGTGATGAGAGGGGGCTGGATAGGTCTATTGCGAGCTCCTTGCGAGACTTGGCAACACTTGCCGAAGCTATACACACATGGCATGAAGCCGAGCATGTCAGACGGTTACTCTCGAGGGTTGAAAGGAAACTGAGACGCTGAAAACACAAAGCAGAGAAACATACTTCCCACCACAGTGAGCTGGAAGCCGCGGATCACGGCATTAGGCTCGAAATTCGACATCCTTGTCTTTCAAGACCCTGAAAGAACCTTCCAATTCCACTGCAACAAAAAGTCACCAAACAAGGAGCATTCCTGAAGTGAAACGGAAAATAGCAGTGGAGGGCCAGGCATCCATTTGAAGCTGCGTCATGGTCACCTGATAGTCATGCCTGAGGCATACTTGCATCTCCCCGCAGGCGCGACACAGCCTCAGATAAGTCCAACTGCATATACCCTGGCTCCTTTGTACAAATATGTCCCTTTAATATCTCCATATATCCACTCCTTCTGATCGTATCCATGAACCATGCCTGAGTCCCCAGAGCCCTTAGGCCAGATACACTCTCTTCGTCGCTCCCTCACCCTTCCCACCAAGTTAAACCCTCACGCGCAACGACGCTCGAGCGTCCCGAACACCCCCGAAAATGTAATATTTTACCATCCGTCTGCGAAAATCGTGCACTTCGCTCCCAGGGCGCTCGCCCCTATTCCGTCTAGCTCATCGCCATCCGACTTTGACTACCCTGTTGACACTATCGAAACACTCCCCTGGCGCTCCGCTACGGAGCGAACGGTCGCAACAGCGCCACTGAGACTAGAGAAGGTCCATGGTTCAACGGCTTTCCTGAAATGCGGAAATGTTGTCCATGCAATTTTGAAGAACTCCCAGTGTTGGTGTGTTGACGGTGTATCGAAGTTTGTTTTGCGCATTCGCCCTCTTACATATTATCGCATCGAGATTCCATACGAAACAGAAAATGATCAGAGTCTGGTCGGAGAACTGAGAACCGCGCTGCCGACAGTGCTTCGATATGAGGTTACACCATGTCCTTTCAAGCGCGCATTCACTGTTGAACTCCCCAGCGATGTGATGGCACCTCGGCGCAAGAAGGCTTGGCGGCCAAAGGACCTGCCCAAACACCAGAAAGAGAGTGTACCGACTATTATTGAGTCCTCGCAGGAAACGTCATCCCCTTCCTCAATCAGATCGGAATGGATTGATTCAGCGAGCACTGGAGACGACACCGATGGCAACCTTACAGACGACAGTGGATTCAACTCGCACAAGGCTAGTAGCACAATTTTGGAGACCGTCACCGATGATCAAGAATTGTCCCGTGTTGATATGCTGGATCCTCCCCGAGTATCTCGGCCTTCTAGGCGCTCGGTGACTGAGACGCCGCAAACTTTCACCAGTCTGCTTGCAAAATTCGAGGCTACATCAGCTTCAGAAGATGAAATCAACACCGAGTCCAGTCTTGAGGTTACACCGCAGCCAGACAGTGAACCAGGGCTTGTTTTTGCCTACGCTGAACCCGAATCTCAATCCACAGGGGAAGCTGAAGCATCTGTTTCAGAAGCAAAAACTTTGCCTACAGTAGAACCCGAGGCTGAGGATAAATCCAACATCGCGCAAGCACCTACGCACTCTGAGGATCTCGAGCCTGATAGCGTGTTGCTTGTTGAATCTACAGTCGACCCCGAAGCGGTATTGGCAGTCAAACCAACTGTCGCAGTCGAAATCCAAGCCAATGCTGCAGACACCCAAGATGTTGATCATGATGTTTCTTTCGCCTCCAGTCCCGAGTCGTTCCACTCAATTGAGCCTGCTTCGCCTGATTCAGTCTCCACTCGGCCTACATCCGCTGGAGGTCATGATGGCTCAGAGCCAAGCGATATGTTCGACTGGCCAAGTGCGAAGGAAACAATCACCGACCTGGAATTTGCGGATTCAAGTCCTTCTAAGAAACCACGGTCTCTGGTGAGCGACACATTGCCAAGTGACACATCGAATGCCAACGCAGTATCTACCCAGCGTTTACTCGACCGCCCAATCAGATCCGGTTCTCCAGAGCGCTTCCCAGATGCATTCTCAGATACCAAGATGTCAGACCCCATCCGCTCACGGCCTGCCACTCAGGTCTCTGCTCCTAATCCCGATTTCGACCACATGAGTGTCGAGTTCCGCCGTCGGGCCAAGGCTACCAGAGAACGTGATGTCTCGCCTATGCCTCCCTCATCGGCGTTATACCGACCAACACATGGCGACGATGCCACATCATTCCTTTCCAAAGCTCTCACTCTAGTCTTGGTCCCGCCAGTCCACTTATTTATCATTCTTATTCACATTGCCGCGCGTATTGTCATCAACCCAAACACCAACAATACTCTACGTGAACCCTCACCTAATACTCGGCAAACCGGCAACGAGTCGCCTCCTGTGGATGATTTCAGTTTCCCGTTGAAGCCTCAGGTATCCTCAGAGTCTGAGATCGCTGAGATCACCCGGAAACTGGACCCCTGGGACTTGGACTAGTCGGTTTGCCGCACCCCTTCTTTCTTCATCTCATTTCGGATCATCAAACCCCCCTTCTTGACATTATTACAATTTCCCCTATGCCCATTTTAATGCTTAACCCTTTGTATTCTTCCCTTGACACACCTACACACTTGATTCTAATGCTTTTCTTATGAATATTTGATACTGACTCGGACGACACATGGGTGGACATAACTGGCATGGATTGTATTCTATTTAACTATTTGTACTCTAGCGTTGCATGCACTGGAGGAATCGCGGGTCATGTTACGAAGAATTAATTGACACATTTATTGTATACTGTTTTGAGATCGTTTTCATGAGACAACTATATCAAACTATTTTTCGCGCAAGCATCTGTAGCTATGCCAGACCCTGACTCTGAGTGATGTATACAAGTTAAACGTATATATCAAAACGGCTTTAGATGCCAAGAGCTATTCATTTCTTTCTCAGTCCTGTAAGACTCATATAGACAAAGACAGCGCTCGTGCAAAACAAGTGCAGGGGAATATGTACACTTGAGAATAAGGCTCGTATCAGACGAGGGGAAAAAAGAGAACAAGGACAGGCCAATACCACCATCAAACGCCAGCAAATGCATGAGAAAACGAAGCCATCAGCACATCGCGTGCCATGTCCGAATCGAGTACACCGACGACTTCATTCGAACAAAACACAGACCAGACAAGCAGTTTTATGCTTTGATAGCCTTGGAAGCACCACCCTTAGTCTTCGCCTTCTTAGCTCTGCGATCACGCTTCTTTAACCCGCTCATGCCTGCCTTGCAGACCTCGGCATATCGGGCGTAGAATGCCTCCAGATCATCTGGGGTGACGACTGTAGAGAGCTTGATCTTTGTAGCCTTCGAAGCGGACTTGGTAATCTTGCCGTCTTTGCTTGTAGTTTTAGGGTTTGGCGCATTGGTGTTTCCGTCTGTGGCGCGAATGAGGATGGATGGTTGAGCGTTTGTAGTCGTAGCACCGGGGACATCGATTAGGGGTTTTTGAGTAAGGTATACAGAGCCATGGGCCTGGGAGGAGGTCTTGGAAAGGAGGTCGGTAAGGGATGAGAAGAACTAGCGGTGACTGGTGTTAGCGATACATAGCTAAGGAGATTGGTGGTGTTGATAGCATGTGCGGGAAGCGTGGTGGTCGTGAAAGACATTAAGAAGAATAATTACCTCATCGTGGGATGTATGTGGCGCCATATTGAGATAGTATTATTCGATGCGCACGGAGATAGACCGATCTGAAAGCTGGAGCAGATGATCGATATGCAATTGACAGCTGGGAACAACCTCGCAGTGGGGGAGAAACTCCGCTGTGGGCGCCGGTTCTCCGCCTTTGGCGTTCGTGCGGCAGAAAAGTGAAAAAGTTGTCGACCGCCTGGTTGTACCTGATATCGGGGTCCACCGTTTACTTTCTTTTTGAAGCAGACAGTTCATTATAATTTGCCAAGATGCCGCGCGCTAGGCATAATACAACTTCTTTGCCTCGGCATCTACGATCTGAGCTAGGAATCCGCGACACCTATGGCGAAAAGAAGCGTCGCCTTAACGGACCAGCTTCGCGCAAAGAACGCCGCCAGAATGAGCGGACGCAGAAAAAAGGACGCCATGCAGCACCTCAGAATAAAAAGAGCTTCCAGCGACATGAGCAGCCGGTTCAGAATAAGAATGAGGAGGAGGATTTCGACCTAGACTCGGACGACATGGATATCGATGAACCACGCAGTGCGCCGCAGCCCAAGCTAAAGACCAAGGACGCAGCCCAGAAACCCAAGTCGATTATGAAGAAGACGCCAGCACCACAAGAAGCCGAGTCGGAATCCGAGTCAGAGTTGGAAATTGACTTAGACGAGGATGACGATGACGATGAGGATGAGGATGAGGATGACGACGAGGAGGAAGACGAAGACGACGAAAGCGAAGACGCCTCCGAAGACGAGTCTGAAGAACCAGTGCTATCTGAGACTCATGTCCCTGCAGGTGTCAAGTCCAAGCTTGCGCAGGATGATGCCGAAATCGCCGCATTGGAGAAGAAGCTTGGCCTCAAGAGGGGCAAGACTTCCAAGGCATTCGAGGAAGATGGGCTTGACGACCTTCTCGGTGACCTGGGTGGCGGCGGTGGTGGTGACGAATCAGAGGACGAGAGTCGCAAGCGCAAACGGGAAGCCGACGACTGGCTACAGAGCAAGAGACAAAAAGCCAAGGCATTGCAAGCACAAGCCGCGGCAAAGGATAGCGAGGAGGACAGCGAAGAGGATGTCGACTTGGACGACGAAATCTTTGGAAGCGAAGACGACGAAGAGGCTGCTGATGGCAGCGACTTTGATGGATTTGATGACCAAGAGAAGAAAGAGCCTAAGAAGAAGGAAAATCCTTATGTCGCTCCGGTTACGAAACCAGAAGCTTCGGCTCAAAAATACATTCCTCCTTCATTACGAGCGCGCGCCGACCCAGAGAGCGAGTCTCTTACTCGGCTGAAGCGCCAAGCCCAAGGACAGTTGAACAAGTTGTCTGAGGCCAATATGATTTCAATTGTCGCTGAGTTCGAAAAGCTTTACCGTGACTACCCGCGTCAGCATGTCACTTCAACATTGCTTGAGTTGCTGATGGGTATGATCTGTGAAAGGGCTGCTCTGTCGGATACTTTCCTCATTCTGCACGCCGGTTTCATTGCAGCATTGTACAAGCTCCTAGGTATGGACTTTGGTGCAGAGATCATCCAAAAGATCGTTGAAACTCTCGATGCCAATGGTGATGAACGAGGAACCTTCCAAGGAAAGGAAACTTCCAATTTGATCTCCCTTCTCTCGCAACTTTACAACTTCCACGTCATTGGATCCGCATTGATGTTCGATTATATTCGCATTTACCTGCAGGAAATCACGGAAAACAACACGGAACTCCTGCTCAAGGTTATCCGGAGTAAGTTATCAAGTACTCCAGAACTATGAACAATACTAACATGTTTCCAGATTCTGGTCCACAGCTCCGACAAGACGACCCATCCTCACTCAAGGATATTGTTTTGCTCATCCAGCCCGCAGTAGCAAAGGCCGGCGAGGACAAGCTATCTGTCCGAACAAAGTTCATGATCGACACCATCACAGACTTGAAGAACAACCGCGTCAAGTCCTCAGCAGCAGCCGGTGCAAGCATCACCACGGAGCACATCACGAAAATGCGCAAGATTCTAGGATCTCTCAACAATTCCCGGGTGATCCGTGCATCGGAACCTATCAACATCTCTCGCGACGACATCCACAACTCAGCGAAGAAGGGAAAATGGTGGCTAGTCGGCGCAAGCTGGAAAGAAGACCCCCTCGTAGCGGCCCAGCAAGAAATTGCCGGTCTACCAACGAACCACAGCCACGTCCAAGATGACGAAAGCGAAGGCGAACCCGACTACGGCAACCTCGCCAGAGCACACCGCATGAATACCGACATTCGTCGATCCATCTTCGTTGCCATCATGTCCGCCACAGATTTCCAAGACGCCCACGTCCGGCTAATGAAACTCCGCCTGAAGCGTGCCCAGGAATTCGAAATCCCCCGTGTTCTGCTGCACTGCGCTATGGAGGAACAAGCCCACAACCCATACTACACGCTGATCGCTCGCCGGATCTGCGGCGACATGGGTCGACGCATCAAGATGTCCTTCATGTTCGCCCTGTGGAACATCTTCAAGCGAATGGGCGAGCGAGGCGACATGGACGACGACGAGGACGATAGCTTCGATCCCGACGACGAGGAGAACGGCGTTCCCATGAAAGCTGTGGTCAACCTGGCCAAGATGTACAGCAGCCTCATTGCTGACGGTAGCTTGACTTTGGGAATTCTCAAGACCCTCAATTTCGCATACCTACAGCCGAAGACCAAGACCTTTGTGGAAATCCTGATCATCACTCTCATTCAGCAGTCTCAAAAGTCGAAGAAGAAGAAGTCCAAGAGCTCCAAGGTGGACGAAGCACCCAAGGACGAGCAGGCCTTGATGCAGATTTTCTTGCGTGTCAAGGAGACACCGCATATCGGCAAGGGTATTATCTTCTTTATCAGGAAGGTCGTTGCCAAGACTGATATTGTTTCTGATGAGGAGATGAAGCTTGTTCGGTGGGGTTGCGATGTGGCTGTTGACGCTCTCAAGGCCGTGTCGGATTAAAAATCGTATATAGACCGTGTGCCGTTGCAAGTAGATAGAATATACCCAATTTTTATGCTACCTCTTTTCTTTTCTAATTTGTCGATGGTAAGAACTATTTCCGGTTATAAGTGTCTACTCATGCAGTTGAGTATACAGAATATGACAGGCTCAGATTATTCGAATATAAGTGTTGCAGTGCTAACATCAGATATCATGAAACATAATGTAGCATGGAATAAGAAAATGATATACAAAAATAGAAATATCAATGAGCCCCTTATATACACCAGGAAACGGAATGATCACTCAGATATCTGGACGAGATCCCATTCCATAACCACAAGCCACCGCTCTTTCGCGACATCACAGCTCTCACTCGCAGTTGGCTCGTTCTGCGACGTAGAAGCAGCCAGATCTGGAAGCTGTGCATTTTCCAAGGAAGAGCCAAGCTCGAGATACCAGTTTAGCCCGCTATGAATACCGACAAGGTCACCCTCTTGTAGACGCAGTGCCCTGGCAATATCAGAATGAGGCGGTTTGGACCGTGGGGGACCCATAAGCATAATTCTGATGGATTCATCCTGAGCCTCGCCTTGCAAAGAATGGCCAGCAAGTACTGTTGCCTGCAGAAAAGCCAGAGGGCCACAGCTATTAAGTGTAGAGTGCCCAGCATCATCCACGCGAACAGCAACGGAGTATTTTTCCAAGACCCCAGAAGCACCTATTTCCTGGGCAGAGGGGGCTTTAGGAGTCTGAGGGTATGGCAATGAGTCACGTTTCGTGCCCATTTCCAAAACCCAGCTCCGTACTTCCGCGGCCATTCCGCCAGGTGTATAATTGGATGCACCACCGCGCTGTCTACCACGTCGACGTAGCGTGCGAGAAGAAGGGGAGAACGGTGCAGGTATATCCTCCGCTTCTCGATTTGGAGATGGCGAGCGAGGCAAAAGAAACACTGGCTTCCGTCTTTCAGGCGCCGATGTCTCTTGCGTGCTTGTTTGGAATCTTGGCGCAGACTGACTGCTGGGCGGCTTCGCAGTAGACGAAAGCATGAAGCGGGGACGCCCCCGGAACGGCGTTTGTGTGTTCGCTGGTGTTGATATGCCTGGCGCGACTGGACGTGCATTTGGTGCCGGCGTGCTTTGCACATCGTTATCCGGGTCGGCGAAGTCCGGTCCAGTGTCATTAGTGATGGGTTTAGCTGCTTGATTATATTCTATTGGCGAAGAAGACATCGCATGGTATTCTGTCTGCGTCATCGACGGCAGGGGTGTGGTTGCCTCCACCCGGCGCCGTTTATTCTCACGAGTCGTGGCAAAGAGCGCGTCAAACTCGGCATCGAGAATGCCTGGGGTCTGGGACTGCGCGGGTGGGCTACTAGCAATTGCATCGTCTGGAAGCTCAACCACAGTTGTGCTTCTAGGACCTTGGCTGGGAATAATCCGAGTATCATCCGAGTCCTCAATCACGTTGCGCAGGTGATGTGAGCGCGAAGCGTTGCTTTGGGACGCAGGTGGTTGGCGCGTGAAGTTCGGCGTTGATGGGGGTTCATCTTCATCATCTATCACGTCCAGATCATTGACATTATCTTGTGTTGTAGGCTGAGATAGTACGAATCGCGGCGTTGGGGCGAATTGGGGACCGACATTGCGGCGCGCGGATGGATTGCGACGGGACAGGCGGAATGGCGATGGAGTCTAAGCTCAATGAATAAGCTTAGGAATTGACAGCGCGCGACATAAACCTACTGCTGGAAAAGGCATTTATCTGCGATATGAAACCGAGAAGAGCCGCATGGCGCTACTCGTTGGTGTTGGAGTTCGAGGTGGAGTTGCAGTGGGCGTGGAGATCATCACGTCCATTCCAACTATGAGAACAAATTCACAGTTGACTCAACATTTACACAAAATATGTTATGAAATGATATACATAATGTAATATTTACTAAAATCCATCATGGACACAAAGTATACGCGTAAAATCGTAACTATTTAACTTCTATGCAAGTTTAGCCTGGCGAGGAGCACCGTCCCTGTATACAAGAAGATGTTTAGCATCATGATCTTAACAGATGAGGATATCTCCCAGCCAACGGCCCAAAAATTCATAACTATACATGAAAGCATACACCAAGATTCAAAAGCAAAACACGCCAAACAAAATCACGAAGAGACGAAGAGACGCTTACATCTGTGAGAAGTATTCGTTAAAGTTATCAGCTGCGACCTTGGTGCAGTCGAAGCCGTAGATCTCACGCTGGACATCGGCATCTGCCCACTTATCCGGTACGGGACCCTTGCCAGCACGAAGAGCCGCGAATTGCTTATCACGCTCCTCCTTGGCAGCACCGGCCCCCAAGTGGAGGGCACGACCAGAGGCAGTAGCCATCTCGACCAGAGCCTCGGCACGGCTCTTGCGAACCTTTTCGTATACCCGCAGGGCCTTGTTGATGGACTCTGGGGTGGTATCAGGGAGCTTGGCGAGAACAACACCGAGAACGGCACCGTCCTCGATAGCTTGCGCCGCACCTTGAGCCAGATGAGGCAAGGTAGGGTGGCAAGCATCACCGAGGAGAGCGACAGAGTCGTGCACCCAGGTGGGGAGAGGTTCGTGGACGCGCAGCTTCCATTCGCAGACTTCGCCTTCGGGAACATAGTTCAGCATGCGCTGGACCATCGGGCAGAAGTCGGAGAAGACGCCCATCATGGCGGGCTTGGAGCCCTTGGTGGTGTAGGTGGCGTTGGTGGCGGCAGCGAAATTGGTGTCGGGCTGGGTAGTGGAGAGGTTGTAGATGGTGTTGTTGGAGACGGCATAGGCAATGATATGACGCTTAGCGCCAATCCAGCGGGTCACCCGGTTGCTGTTAATCAGAGCCAGAAGCTCTGGGTCGTCCTTGATCTGGTCCTTGTGGATCATGATGCGGTAGGCTGCTTGCTGGGTGTCCTGGACACCGACATCGACGCCCAATCGCTTCAGCATCTCCACGCGGGTTACACTCTTGATGCCATCGGCGGCGAGAAGTACATCACATTCCACCTTGAACGGAGCGGCACCCTCAGCGCGAGGGTTAGCTGTGAATGATGGGCGAGGACCGAAAGAGTCCACATTGTCTGCATTGATTCCAAAGTGGAACTTGATTGAGGAGTGCTTCTTGCAGCCCTCATACAGGCCGTTTGCAAGTGATGCACGGTGGCCAACCATGTGCTTATATCCGTAGGTCTCTTCAATATAGCGCAAATCCACATAGGCGTGTTCATTATCCGTGGCGCCCTCTGCAGTCTGTATTAGATCACTGGATCCTTCTCTGTCGACCGACATTCCACATACCTCTGACTGATGTTTCTTCAATATTCACAGCTTCGGCCTCAATGCCCTTCCAGACACCCAGTCCGTCCAACACGCGGGCCATGTTCGGCGCCAATTGAATGCCCGCGCCCACAAAGCCGAGGTCGCTGGCATTTTCATAGACATCAATGTTCTTAAAGCCCTGCTGAGCCAGTGCCAGAGCGGAAGTCAATCCGCCCATGCCTGCGCCCAGAATGGCGATCTGCAAATCTTGAGGTTCTTTCGTCATGGTATCGGTATATGCGGAGAATATATAAGAAGCAGCAACAATATAATATAGTCTCGAAGAGGAACAAAAGCAAGAATATGTCCAAGGCGAAGAGACGGGCCAAGCAACTTAAATGAATATCGACGGCCGAGCTATACGGACCTTTTTTGCCTTTCCTCGCAATGGTGGCGGAGTAAATCTTTGCCGCTTCTCCCACATTTTCCCCACACACGCCTGGAGAGTCTCTGCCAGGCGCATGTCGGGCTTTGTTTCTGCTTGGTTCTGCTAGTTTTCTGCTGGTTACCTGCTGGGACTTTATCCGGTCCAATTCGGGCTCGGTGATATGGAGAAATTCTTAACAACTAACTTCTAATGCCCATTCTCGGACCCAATCAGCACGGGATTGAGAGACCCTGTCGTCTGCCCTAACATCTGCCGATATAATCGACCACGGACTTGACTATGCAATGGCCTAGTAACATTAATCGTATTATGTGTTCATAGTCTTCTCCCCGCCCCCATTCCCCACATTTTCCACTCCGGATTTGCCTCCCGGTCAAACCGACAACCTGGAAATTTGGTGAAATCCAACTGCCGCCAAACTTGGATTACGTGGAGAATGACATAAGACAGCAGATCTGTTTGGTTGCCTGAGGATTCGGGCTCTGATTGGAAACCCTTCATTGTTGCTTGTGTTTGACATGTCCATATTTCGATGAACAGAGAGTTGGAACACCAGATAAACAGAAGATTCATATTGCATTATAATAATCTAGTGCCCACGAGTATTTGATTTGGAACCCTGTGTACCTGAAGAAGTACGAGCATCGCAGTGAATCCCTCTACCGCGTCAATGACCGCGCGGTCTGATGGAAGCCGTCCATTTAATATGAAATAACTCGACACCTTCTGTGGCGAGTAGGCCCTAGACTACCGCCTCATGCTCGTCAACTGGCGCGGAAAACGGCAGAGCCCTCTCATTCCGATCGCCGAGCTCTAGGCCAATTCCATTTGATGGAAGCAGCAGCCTCACTACTGTTACAGTACATGCCCATTCTCTGCCGTCGAAACAAACGGGGTGCAGTTCCATTTATATGTGGCCTTGGGATTTGGCCCATATACTAACATAAGCCCCTCCTAAAAATAAAAGCATGGAAGCAGTACACTGTAGAAACGTGCTGCATTTGCGGGAACAAGAGCACTTATATTTGATGCCTGTTCTAGCTCATGTGCAATTGCTTAAAGAACATCACTTGGAAAAGAGCTAGATGCATTCTTGTAGACAAGGATCGGCAATTAGAAAACGAGGGTCCTTTGGGCCCACCAATAGAAGTCGCACCTAGTGCCTAGTGCTTAAGTTAACGTGGGAGTTGTGACCATACTCAGGATAGATTAGTGTCTCTTGCCAAGGAATGATCGAAGTCATCAACTGAGATTTAACATCAGCAAGCTGAGCAAGAATCAAAGTCTAGGCCCATGATATTATCCTTGTTTTAGAGAACCTCCATATCACTATCACTATCAAGTGATAAGATATGATCATATTCGAATTTTCGGCTCATTTAGTCTTAGACAAAGGGGGAGCAATTATTGACATGGCTGCTCTTGCATTTATTTTCATTAACAATATCAATTCCATGTGGCCGCAGTCCAAAAACTGGTAACTTTTCAGCCTCTTCCATGGTTACTTCTCTCTCTTCCTAAAATCTTTATCAGAATTAAGCTGGTGTCCGTGATTGCTTCTCAATCGTTCCTTGTGTGGCCATGATCTCTCTTCTCGCGCTTTGAGGCCATTCACACACGAATCGACCACGGCAATCAGCTTAGCTCCGAACAGGGGCAAGCAACGGCCAATTTGAATTACTCCAAAGTCGAAGGAATTGAAAAAAAAATTCTTCAGATTTAATTTTACAGTTTTTGTTTATTCGCTACTGTTCGCGTTATTCCCGGTCCCCTCTAAATCCGATGAGTTGCACAAACACATTTTATGGCCAAATGTCTGCAGAGAGTAATTCACCTCTCGGAGAAAAGAAAATAAAAAGAGATTCGCCAACTGTAAAAGTTCGCTGACTGTGAACCCATGCAATATTGCGTTCACAGTCAACGCTCGATCAGGCCACCACGTTCAAAACATCACAGTTGAGCAAGAGAACAGCAGGCAGCAGAAAACACATCGCACTAAACCCAAGAAAAAACAAGCAACACTCACTAAACATAGCTAATCTTCTAGTGTCGGCTGAAAATACCAGAAATCGCCTGGTGCGAGTATAAAACCCGATGACGCGTCAGCGCCACGCACCGAGCCCTAAGCGCTTATGAACCCGATTATCTCCTTTCAAGATCAGATAAAAGAAAATCCCAGCGTGATCAGAGCAAGCCACCTGATCAGCGATCCCAACCACCATTCGAGGGATAACCTCTCGCAACCGAAAACCATGCGACCACCACTCACCCTCCTGCCGCTATACAGCCTCCTCAGCCTGACCAGCGGGCTCGCAAGCGAAGACAACCCACCTCTCAAAAATGCCAACCACATTTTCAACGCCATCCAGGACTCGATGCGCCAGTGGGGTTCATCCCTGCATCACAACGGTGTCTCGTTCTTCCTAGCAACAGTGCCCGAAGGCACGCAGTTCTACCACGGGACGTCCAAATCCAGCCCTGTCAACGGAACAGAATGGCTGGCCTTTGAGCCGGAGCATGCAATGGTCTTTGCCAGGCCAAGACGGGGCGGACCTCCACCTGGTGGACCGCCGCCGGGCGACGATCGGGACGATCCCGAGAGACCCGAAGGTCGGCATGGCGAGCTGCGCAAGCGGGAGCATCGCGGGCCTGACGGGAAACAGCCTGAGGCGTGGGCTGATCGGTTTGGCGAGGATGGGGAGGGTGGCGATGCTGGATATCTGCATACTTATGCTGCTGCTAAGGATTTGCGGCTTCTGTATGTTGATGGTATGTCTGCTGCCAAGACTTCGAAGGGGACGCTGGATTCTCAGGATATTCTGCTGTTTAATGGGTCGGTGGGTGAGAGGCCTGGTGGTGGTCCTCCTGGGGAGAATGATCGTGCTCGCTTGGCTTGTGAGATGGCTGAGACGGAGTGGGGTGGTCGCATTGATGGCTTGCTTCGTATGGAGGCTGGCTTTGAGATTATCCTGTGTGCCTTTGAGAGGGATCTTACTCCTTTGCGTATCACGCAGGTTAAGCCCCGGGCTAAGAATGAGTTTGGTCCTAAGGGAGGTCACAAGCACGGTGGCCGTGAGGGCCGCAAGCAGCAGGAGGAGGAGGGTGATGGTGATGATCACGGAAAGCGACGTGGACCTGATCGTCCTCCCCATGGTGGTCGCGAGGGCCACAAGCAGGAGGAGGGTGATGGCGATGATCATGGGAAGCGACGTGGACCTGGCGGTCCTCCCCACGGCGGTCCTGGCCACGGACCCGAGTCGTCCAGCTGGATGCGTGCCGTCACGGCGCGATACCACGGGATTGGCGGGAACAGGGTCTCATTGAACTACGATCACTTCGTCACGGCGTTCTCCTACGATGTGGAACTGTTCCAGGATGGATCGCGTCTTCCTCGCTTGGATAAGCTTTCCAGCTCGGAGTTGGATACCATCAGAAGCCATGTCACGACACTGATCACGACTCATGATGCAACTGAGAAGTCCCGAGACTGGCAGGTCATTGCTGATATGGTCGTTACTCGGTACAGCAAGGACCTGTCGTACTTTGTATCGGGTAAAATCAGTTCTCTGGAGACCCTGCAAGCCGAGATTGAACGGGTGATGTCTCCATACATCGACTTCACTGACCGGAGCGACGTTGTCGAAGCGCAAAGATGCGCCACGCAATTCCTACCGCCTCATTCGTTGGACTCGGAGGGTCTTGCGGCACATGCCGTGTACAGTGTTGCCCATAGTATCTGCTCCAAGTTGCTGGAGGCCGGTAAAGGAAAGGACCTTGAGTCCGCCGTGCAGATTCTCCGGGATCTTGTTGATTACCTTGACTGGGCAACTTGGAAGGAGTGCCGTGGATGTGCGGCAGACCAACTCTGTGTTGTGCCCATTTGGCCTATGGGTACAGTGAAAGACTATGAAAGTCCTAGCTGTAAAGATGCGTCAAACCCTTATGATCAAGATGGGGAGAGTTATTGGGGAAGAATGCGCCACTAAGCCAAGCCAAGCACGGCAATTTACTACGTCTACCACTGAGGTCAACACCGAAGACTAGTTCGAATGACCCTTTTTCTATTCTGCGCGGCCCGACGGCGGTGACAGACGTACCAGAGCACCGAGCGTCCGTTGGGTAGCACCTTTTTACCTTTTTATCTAATACTACTATTTGGCGAGAAATCTTGTGTGGACATAGTTGGTAGAAATTAAGACATATCAAACATTTATCCAGGGTATATAAGATATACAGCTAAGCATCGTAATGCTCCGAAGGTGTATGTAAAAAGGTGACAATCGTGTCCGTAATTGTTGCACGTGCCTCTTGAAGCAAAGAAGGGCCATGGGGAAAAGTGAAAGGTGAATAGCAGAATGTAACGACTAGTACCCATCAAGGGTCAACCATATACTAAAAGATGATCCCTTAGACGGCGGGAACGACAGAGCCAACGACAGTTCCGAGGCCACCCAGGCCGAGGGTGGAGAGAAGACCCTCGACAGCAGAGTCGACCTGGACAAGGAGGACAGAAGCAAAGTCCTGGGCGTGGACAGCAATGAAGCTAACGCCGGGGATCTGAGGAACCTGGCTCTTGAGACCAGAAAGGGAGGTAGAAGTAGCGACGACGTTACCAATGGGACCATCCTGGAGCGAGGTGAGATCAAGGCCGCCGAGGAGTCCAAGGACGGTAGGCTCAACCTGAACGAGGAGGTTCTGACCGCCAACAAGACCGTTCAAGTCAGTGATGGAGAGGGCATCGGAGATGGGATCACGCTTGACGTTGCCAGTGACAGACTCAAGACCACCAACAATGGAACCAATCAGACTGCCGACCTGACCAAGACCAACGCTGTCAAGCAGGTCAACGAGCTTCTGGGTGAGCTGGATAAGAGCGACGTTTCCGTTCTCGAGAACGGCGGTGATTTGGCCGAGACCAGCACCGTTACCGCCGTTAAGCTGTCCGACGCTCTCGGCAGTCTCGACGATCTGGCCCACGGGCTGCTGGAGCTCGCTGAGGGGAAGCTTTCCCAAGAGGCTCTGGAGCTCGTTCTCGGCCAGCATCTTGACCTGAGAGGTGCCGGCCTGGTTGAGAACGCTCAAGATCTGGCCGGCGCCAAAGGAGCCGCTGTTGGTCATACCGGAGACAGCACTGCTCGGGGTCGGAGTAGCAGTGGGGGTAGCACCGGAGCAAATGGGGATCATCGACACAACAGGGAGAGGGATTCCGGAGGGAATGACACCGGAGGGCAGACACGATGGAATGCCTGAGGGGATAGCAGAGAGGACTTTAGTCGGGAGAGCGACGGCAGTCGATGCCAAAAGGGCAGCAGTGAAGGCGAAGGTCTTCATCTTGACAATTGATTAAGGAGTGACTGAAGTTCAAAGACTTGGTAAGAAAGAGTGGACGGTAGAAACCGAGTGTAAGGAATGACAAGAGAAAGAATTCTTGAGAACTTCGAGTATCATGCGCAGCAGCCCCATGTTATATACTAGGGCTGTTCCCAGGAGATCTGCACTGGTAACGGCTTCATCCCGTTTGCTTTGTCGTCGTGAGCAGACCAACTCCTGAATTAGCAAGACAGCAGAGGGGCTTCCCGTGGTGTCAGAAATACTAGCGTTATGGGGAATCGTGGTGGAATAGGAATCCTGCGGTACCAAGGGCGATATCAGCTTCACGCTGAGTGGTTGGGAAAAACACCGCCATGCAGTTGGGTATAGCGTCCAGCCCATAGCGCATCATAAGCTTCATGGGACGCCCTTCCTCATTAACATCCCTGCAGATCATTTCTACTGCTCACAAGAAAGCCGGGGAACACGTTCCACCAGGCTCGGCCAAGGCCGAAAAACTTGGTCCACTTGCATGTCGACGTTATCTCTAATCAGAGCTCGTTCATGAGAGAATTGACTAAGGCCCAGCGGGTCTCAAACATGCCCATGTGTGTGTCAATTGGGTTCGACATGCTCATCGTCGGATTATCGCAGGTCGTAAGGGTCCTGAGCAAAAGTACGAGAACACAACCCTAACGCCGTTGTAGCGAACAAAAACCGAGATCGCCAGGCCTGTCATAAAGTTTGCCCTTAAGTTGGCCAATGGCGATCAAACCCCTGATCCAAAGACTGCACCGATCTGCAGTCTAACCACTCGAAGAATATTAGGAAGAACGTTAAGCTCACCGAACAGGAGCCGTTGATGCTGATTGCAATCTTAGTTCTCCACCTTGGGCAGGTCTCGTCAAACAGCATCGTCGCGGGTGGGTCGTTTAGCCTTCTCTAACTTCCTATTCTGGAGTGGCTTCTGTGTTGGCCTCAACCTGACGGCCTTTTGTCGTGAATAGAACGAGAACCGAGCGGTAATGATATCATGGTGCTGTGATGCACCGGCTGATAGGGCCTTCAGGGGCGACCAGGGGTAACGGCATTTCAGGGCCGACGTCATTCAGTCTCACAAGCAACTCATTGATGCTAGAAAGGGGTTGATTATTTGAGCTGTCATGGTCAATTCAATACACTCGAGTGAAGGCGAAAGCTGAGATGTGGAGGTTCGGAATGGTCCTGGGATGGGTCTGGGGAACATTCAGGGGTAAACTATACTTGTCCGCCACAAACATCTGTGGCATTTGTGGCGTTGCTTGTGCCGTTCACTTGACGTTAATTGGAACGTGCTGTTCTTCTTTGCAAGGCTAAGTTCGTAGAGCGAAAGTCAAATCCTCACTAGTGAGCTAAACCTGAGTGAAGTGATCCTTTGGGCCGGGGAAGGCCTGACAGGACAATGCTAGAAAATGGAAATGATTGACTTCCAAGGTTGCATTCGGTGTGAATTGGTGCCAAACTAATTTTGAACTTTCGATAGTCAGTTTTTCGAAGTTCATTGTCAGATGAGGATTGGAAGTCGGAGGCCTCGGCCCTGATTTGTATAGTATACCCAGCTCCACTCAGCTTGAATGTCGAGGAAGCCCAATAAACAGATCGGACTTGTTCAATAAATGGAAATGAGGGACCGTGATAGATTAAATATTCAAACGAGATAAAAATTTTGATGCAATTCTTTACAGTTCTATCATGATATACAGAGAACAGAGTTGGGGTATCTATGAAAATCGAAACCTGTCGAATAGTCATATCCTTGACAACCAGTCACAAAAGGTCATCAGACTGAGTAGCTCACTCATCGAAGAGCGATAACTTAACAAGCCAGAATTCTGGCAGCGGCGGCTTCGGCAACAACCATGATGGTGGTCTGAATGTTACCAGTAGGGAGATCGGGGTGAATACTGCCATCAACGACGAACTGGTAACGCAAAAGGGGTTAGCAGGAATTCAAGATTGTGTATTGAGTGACTTACCAAGTTGTCAGTTCCGTACACCTTGGTGTTGAGGTCCACGACGGAAGAGCCACCCTTACGACCATCATCATTACCAAGCTTGGCAGTAGTGGTGTAGTGGTTACCAGGGCTCAGGGCGTTGATAATAGCAGAGACATTGGTGTTGGTAACAAGCTCGAAGCCGGTGGCAGGGTTGGTGATTTCGCGAACCATCTTGGCGACAAAGGTTTGGGCAGCCTTCTTGTCGGAAGAGGTCTGGAGGTAGGGCGACTTCTCAATGACGGTGTTTCCGCTGGCATCAAGTCCCAGTACACCAGAAGAGGTGAGACCATGAGTCAGGTAAGAGGTGATGGTGACGACACCTTCATCGGTAGGGGCACAAGAACCCTGGTAGTACTGGGTGTGGCCGTCGATCTCTTCGGAAGTGAAGAAGATCATGCGGTGCTTACCCTGGGTCAGGACACCGCTGTGCTTGTTGTAGAGGGAGATATCGCGAGTATCGGAGCCGTTGAGAACACCGTCATAGTCGACCAGGCCGAAGGAGGCATTGGCGTTAAAGGTAATAGGGAAAATGGGGTGGTCCTTGAGGCCGACACCAACGGGGAGATCGATCCACTGGCGCTTGGGGGGAACAGTGACACCGTTGCTCTTGGCAGTCTCAATCTGGGCAGCGTGGCCGATACCAGAGTTCCACAGCACACGGGGGGTAGACAGAGCACCGGCGGCCAGTACCACACGACCGTGGGGAGTAATAGAGATGATCTCGGTCTCGCCTGAGGCAGTTTGAACTTCGACGCCGGTCACATGGCTGCCGGAGCGGACCAGACGGATAACCTTGGTCTGGAGGGCGAGCTGGAAGTTCTTGAGCTTCTCAGCTTCTGGGAGGTAAGTGCGGACAGGACCAGCGCGCATCTGGTTCTTCAAGTTCCAAGCAGGGTGACTGAAGACTTCGTGCTTCTCATCTGGCTGAGCACTCATGTCGACAGACTTCCAGCCAAGACCACCAAGGAACTTGGACAGAACGTTGTAGAGCACTTGATCGTAACGCTTACCATCAGCAGAGGGGAGGAGGGTGCCTGGGTTGCGCTTGTAGAGACGCTCGGAAGCGGGCTTGACATCGTTCCACTTCCAGCCCTTAGGCCACTTATCATCAAAGTCGTGAGCAGGAGGGTGAACGAAGACCATGTAGTTGACAGTCACACCACCGCCAAGAACACAGGCAGCGTTGCCACCGGTATCGGTGCACATATACTCTTCCCAGAGATCGAGGGAACCAATGTCAGCTGAAAGACCCGGCAGGTCAATGGGGGTGACTGAGTGGTTCCATGGGAGAGTCTCGTTGGCGCCAGTAGCCACAGTAGGGCCGACACCACGTTCAAGAAGGAGGACCTTCTTGCCAGCCTGAGCAAACTTCTCAGCGCTGATGATACCGGCAGGTCCACCACCGACGACAATGTAGTCATAAGTCTGGTTCTGGAAGACAGAAGCTGAAGCCAGTCCCGAGAAAATGGAGAGGGCAGCGGCCAAAGGGCCTGCCTGGAAGATTCTCATATTGAAGTATAAAAAGTGAGATCTCAATGATTTGCCGAGATGTCAATCTCCAGGGGAAAGGGCCTTTTTAACAGTCCCATAGCCTCAATGCCGTCACACTCCGGTCCAGCACCCATTCCCACAAAATTGCCTCGGACTCCACGCGGGTTGTCATGGCTCGACACAGCAATTTCGTCTAGAATCACTCATCGGGACTAGCGCGATCAGATAAGAATGTTACTCGCTGAGCCGCCCTTTTCCCGTCTTTCTCGGGACGACACTTCAGATCTCATATGACTGCGTGTGAGTATTTATCCGGAATATCTTAAGGCTTCTGTTCTGTTCTTGTTCTGCTTTTCCTTCTCGATGTTGAGGACATCGATACAGCTTCAGAAAGCGAAATTGTTTCAAAGTGGCATTTGTCAGAAAAGTCCGCAATTTGGGACTCCACTTGAACCATTCACGCCAAGTGCGGAATGTTTGCGCCGAAGGTTCCAAACCCCCTAATGTGTTTCAAACCTCACTTTATTTCCGGCAAAGCGTTTTACCCATTTTTATTAGGGGTCAATTGCAGCTGAAGGTGTTCCAGAACCTGGCTTTATCACATTCCTGGACGCGGCGTTGAAAAATCGATTAGAGTATCTGTCTAGCCAAGCCACTGTTCCACCTAGAGGCCTGGGCGTGAAAACCTTGAAACATTGAAACGGCCAAGAGAGTACAATGGACCCTTACCAAGCAGAATACAACTTTACTGTAAGCAGCCCAATTCCGGGTCCACATTAGACAATCATTCATTTCCTTGCTCACACGACACACGACCAGAACAGTACTTGGTAGCTATGGTTCAGTCGGCACACATCTAGTCTATCCCCACCTGCTTACTGTATCCCATTTTTCATCGAGAATCCGGTAAAATCTCGCTGTTTGTCAGAAATGACAAACCCTTATAGTGGAGTTTGGCGGATTTGAGCGGAGCTATCAATTTCCTTCTGGAGGTTTATCGGCAAATATCCTAGAACAATCAATCTTCCGAGGCCGTAGAGCTACCAGGGGAGACTTGTCTTGTTTCAGCAACAATGTGGACGACACCCCCTTGAACAAGCCGAACTTGGAAAATCTTCCATATCGTAACTTATTCATAACAGGGAGTCCTTCCTGCCTTCGGACAAAACCCTGACGCCACTAGATTGGGGTCCCGAGGAAGCCACGGATCAAGATCGCGGCTGGCCGTAGACTTTGGGCTGAGCGGCCCATCCGAAAGTATCCTACTCCATAGCTCACGGACGTTGATAGCGACCCATACCTGTACAGATTCATGGAAGATATCTTGGCAATTGGATCCCAAGCAAGGTGGATTGGGTATGTCGAGCCTACCTTGCTAGTCTCAAATTATGCAGAACATGTATTCCCCGTTATGAAGCATTAAAATAAAGCGTTGAAATATGGAATCGGACAAGATGTGCTCGCCGGCTAACTTCACCTGAACGTTCTCGACCATCGGCAAGAGTCCGTGAGAGACAGGGCTGGCAGATAAGTGCCACCCGTTATGTTATTGTCTCCTGAAACACATCCTCAAATCTCCCATGGTCTGCAACAACTTGACTGGAGATCTTAATATTTCCCACGATTCATGCTAATTCTGTCAGTTTCAGATCCATTTCGGCAATCAAATGTCGCACCAATGTCAGTGCTGCCACAGAGTACCTGTTCTTGGGCTATCCAGACATCGACAAAGCTAATACACAAATGCACCGCCAATAGAAAGTTCGAATACCACCATGTAAACCACTGTGCTATGCGATGTAGTCCCTGCGGACGAGGTAAAAGATGACGCGGGGGAATCCAGAGTGGAGCCTGCAGAGCGTTGCAATGACGAAACCCAAACAAAACAACCCAACTTACTCTAATCTCACTATGAAACCAACACTCCGAAATACACATCCGCGCACCCTCCTCTTAACCCTCGACGCCTTCGGCACCCTTTTCCATCCGCGCTTCCCCGTCCCCAACCAGTACGCGGTGGTCGCGCATCACTACGGACTGTCCCGCACAGCCATAACCCCGGACCGAGTCAAGACCGCATTCAAGGCTGTCTTCCAGGCACAAACCCGACAATACCCCAATTACGGACGCGCAGATGTACTGCGGGGCCAATACGGCGGCCCTCGACAATGGTGGGAAGAGGTGATCAAGGGAAGTTTCGCGCGCGCGATAATTGGGGACAATGAAGAGACCCGAGTGACGCAAAGGGGCCGGACAGACAAGACAAGCGATGCTGCAGAGCATGTCATTCTCCCTCCTGGGCTGGTCGATAGTCTACTGGATCGGTTCGCCGGGTCCGAGGGCTATCTACTGTACGATGACGTGACGCCTTTCTTCCGTCGCCTGCGCGAACTGCGGACGAGTGGGAAGAGTCCATTTGAACAAATCATCATTGGTGTTATTTCAAACTCGGATGATCGCGTTCCTGCTGTGCTCAAGTCTTTGGGTCTGCAAGTAGGTGATATGCGCGCTGACCAAGATCGTTCCAGTATGGAGCTTCCTGGGTTTGAGGAGCGCGAAGGAATGCAAGCGGTGACAGACGAGCAACGTGCACCCGATGTGGACCTCGTTATTACGAGCTATGAGGCTGGTGCCGAGAAGCCTGATCGAAGGATATTTGATGTTGCAAAGCGACAGGCTCAATTGCTTGCGAGTTCGGAGATAAACCCCGAGACTGACATGCTCTGTGTGCATGTGGGTGATGATTACGCGAAGGATTACTGTGCTGCTAGAGATGCAGGCTGGGAGAGCTACCTTCTTCCTCGAGATGCCTCTCAGAAGAAGTCCGATGACAAAAGGTCACTTAACTCTTTGGCAGAGCTGATCGATCAACTGGAGAGGTCTTGAAATTACCGCCGATGGATGGCCTCTGAATTCAAGCTTGATTCATACGATACACTATCATTTACGCCCCACGGAGCCGAGAATATAAACTTGCGGGGGCTGCATCATATGGTCTGCAAGTGGCCCCGACCTAAATAAAGATAGAGATACCGTGGCGTGTGGTACATGAGCTTCTTTCTGAAATTTTACTTGTTGTCATCTTACTCCGCAGGTATTGCTTCCTGTGAAGGCATAAAAAAACAGGTCCATCCTGCTATTTCTTGAAAAGAACAAAAGTAGACCTTCCACATGGTGCAGTCGATATGATTCTCCAATCGTACTATTGCTCTAAACACCCACAGCCTCCATCTTCGTTAGTGGCACAACCCGCGTGACCGTCACAGCAGTAGGTATGGCTGCATGGAGAGGGGCATTGTTGACAAGCTATAAGCATTCAACCAGTAAGCGATTGAAAACAAAGAAAATGATATCCGAGATAACAGCCACCGGGTGTAATCTTACTTCCATTGCCGCGTTTCTCAAAAGGATGCGGAGAGTACAGCCTCACAACATTAGGGCTCGACTTCATGGCAACTGTGATAGTAACAGCAGTGTCAGCTGACCCTGTTGTCTTCTTTCGATTCATCCTAGGCGTAATTGACCGGTGATATACCTCCTTTGGTAGCATGATCAAGACTAGAGCCGGCAACATAGGACCCTGTCACACAGAGGAGCATGAGAAGCTTCATGACTGTGGAGTACATGATGATTATTCTGTTTTGATGGCGAGAGTCTCAGGAGCTGTTCGTGAGTATGAAAGATTGGTCTCGCTCGGTAGGACAGAAGAGGACATCCAAGACTTCGAGGACCGACGCTATTCCGTAGGCTCTAGTACAAGCCGTCAACGAGATATGGGATCTACATTCCATGTACATGGCACCGCTCCATTTATGGCTTAGCTTAAATGTCACTCGGCGTTTCTCAGCGAGAGGCTTGACGCTTCGAGCGTGTTCTACTAAATCGATCTTTTAAAGGAATGAACTGAATGGGATGTGGATGGCTGGGCATGCAGGGAAATACGGGGTCATTTTGGGTAGATGGGTACGTAGAGTTGGCATATTCAAAAGGCAATCCAGCTATACAACAGAGCCTATGGAAGAAAATAATAGGTAAGGGAATTCGGACAGAATTGATTGAGTTTCTTCTCGGGAAGCTAGTCCCTAACTACTTGACAATGACTTACAGCTCACTGGATCTGCGTCTTCATTACCACCATGACATTCTAGTGGTCACCCAGTTCTGGGAATGATCAACACTCTGCAGAGGCCTTGATTCAATCAGGAATGCCTCAATACGAGATCCACATACTCGACCCCAATAGGGTTTCCTTGCTCAAGTATACCCCGACTACAGTAATGTTAGACTGCATGAGTCCTATGCGACTTAGGCTGAAAGTTCGCTGATACAAATCCCTTGCAGCAAAGTATTGCAGAGGCTATTTGGCACGACTGGTATCCCCAGAAACAAAACAAGACTGACTAGAAAATGTATTGGTTATCACCTCCATTAAGCGGAGGATATATAACCTCGTCAATGTTTAGAACCAATCTGCAAAATGTGGTGTGTTGAGTGCCGAGTATACACTTCCTAAACCGGCAATTCTAACCGCAAGCGCTGCCTATCAACGCGACTGCCGATTCGACTAGACGATTTCTCTCACTAAATCGCGTAAACAATTTTATATCCGGAGATCTTTCCATCTCTGTGTTCCTGAAATCCATCAGACACAGATTCCAGCCCTTGAAGCACTCGAGGATGACTGGGCTTCAATGTTCCCTTCTCCAACCACGAAGGAAGCTGCTGGAACAACTCAGCGGACAGCTCATGGTCTTCTTGAGATGCCTGCACATATTCCGTTAGTTAATTCTAAGGTAGATCCCACTTTACAATTCAATCACTTACCGGCCACTTGAAAGGCCCAAATGCATGGTCTTTCAAAAAAGCAGTCCACACCAACACATCAGTAACGCGAGTACCAGTCGACACCTTCTCAGTATTTGCTTTCCCTGGTCGGACAGTGCACAAGGTACCCGCACCCCCAAAAGCCGCCGAGGCAAGCAACGACGAGTCGGCATTACCAATCGTATCGAAAGCATGCTTAAGCGTCGGAGCCACCAGTTTCACACTATCGACAACATCCTCACTTCTATAATCAAAGACATATCTGGCGCCATATGAGCGCACCAGATCTGCATGTTTCGGACTACAAGTGGTAACAACCTCGAGTCCGTACATAGCCGCCAATTGAATGGCGTACAGACCGACGCTTGCTGCAACGAGCCAGCCAGTTAGCATACACAAAAAAGTCCACTCAAAGCCAAAACACGACTTACAACTCCCGCCCCAGATCAAAACACTAGTCCCTCTCTCCTGCTGCCGATCGATAGCTAAACAACCCTGGGACCACAATGCTAGCCAGGCAGTAGCCGCAGCAAGAGGAACGGTACTTGCGTGCTCGCGCGAGATCGAGTCTGGGATTGGATACGAGATTCTCTCATCGGCCAGGGCATATTGTGAGTATGCACCGAGGCCCTTGGTTTCGCCTGTGGTGAAGGTTCTCTGATTAGAGATTATATCGAATCTTGCATTGTATTAGAAGGGTACTCACCACCCCAAATAAGTCCTGCTATCACTTCACCCTTTGCGTATCGCGTGACAGAAGCTCCGAGGTCGACGACTTCGCCAACAAAATCACACCCTAGGACGACTCCGTCGCCGAAGGCGTTGCTGTCGAATGATTGGACTTGACCTGGTCAGCCGTTGCTTCTTGTTTTGGGGTTGCTGGTATATAGTGCAGTAGAATTCACGAAGGGCGAGCCGAGACTATACCGTCTGTTGGATTCTGTGCCACATGCGAGATCTTAACGAGAACTTGATGCTCAGCTGGACATGGGCGAGGGATATCCTCCCTGGATAGGCGTGGAGACAGGTCGGACACGCGGACGACAATCGATGTCATTTTACTGTTGGTTGCCATGATGCGAGAGATTTAGCAGAAGAGATGAAATATACAGGAACAACTCAATCCCATCGTCATGTAACTATAGGATCTCGAGGGGGCTCGAGTCCCCTCGCTTACCAATAAATGACGTTGGTCAACAAGTCCACCTGGGCAAGACAAGCAAGTGGAAGCGCCTCGCCCCACAGTCAACACGCTTAGATATACTTCAAATGCTTGCATTGTCATGGTTATGTAAGGCTTCAAAGAAAATAATCCATCCCATAATCGTCAGAAACCCAAATAAGCGCCAAATTCATGTACAAGCCAGACACCTCATTAAACATTGCATGATACAATCAGTTCATCTACCCTAATCCCATTGACCCTTGCCCAAAGCACCAAGCCCACCGCCAGTATGCTTGTTCAACAACTTAGCGATATTGGACCCACCGCTGCGCTGCTTAATGCGTAGCTCCTTCTCACGCTCACGCTCACGCGCAGCCGTGTACGAGTTGACAGCACCGCCCTTCTTCGGACCAGAGGCTGCAGCCTTAGGAACACGGTTGGAGGTGGAGGTGGAGTTGCTGGAAGATGACGAGCCGGTGGTGACATGACGTAAGAGCTGAGGAGGACGGAATCCAATGGGATTTTCGCCGTTGCCGGTTGAGAATGCCATCTTGCCGTTTCCAGATCCGGAGGAGGTTGTTGCGGAGTTGGATGATGCTTGACGGAGCAGGGCGAGGCGATCGACGACCACTCCGCGTGTTCGGCGTGGGTGGCTGGGTTTGGCGAAGGTTGTGTCCGATTGTTGGTCTTCTGAGTGTCCTTCTTCGGCACCGGATGGGTCTTCGCTTTCTTCTTCGTAGTCGGCCTCTCCGTCATCGAGAGAAGCATCCTCGTGGAAGGAATCGTATTCGGGGGTTTCAGTGAGGAATGATAGAGTCTCTCGGATCTCGGCCAGGGACGCCGGCTTCTTGGACATTGCGCTGGCAGGAGTGCGACGGAGGTTTGGAGGGGGTCGGTTGGTGGAATCTTCTGCTGATGGTTCAAGGGGGCGCTTGCGCTTCGTTCCCTCGGTTGAGGGAGCCTCGGGTGCAGTATTTTGGGATGCTTCTGCCTGAGAGCCGGCCTCTTCCTCCTCAAGGAAATCGATATTGAAGTCATCATCCATCTCGCGATCCTCAACAGCCTTGAAGAATGCCGCCTTCTTGGGATTTTCAGCAATCTCGCCGATTTTCTCGTCCGCGAGAAGGGCACGACGCATCTTGGCAAATTCACGTTGTTTCTCACGGCGGCGTGCCAAGTGCTCATCGTCTGAGTCGTCAAGATCGAAATCATCATCGGCATTCTTGCGGCGACGTAGAGCTCCAGTGGTGATGTCTCTCATGAGCTTGGCAACGTCTTTCTCGTCACGTTTGCGATCGTGGACACTATCAGCTTGTTAGCACTGCAATGATCGAATAGGTACCTAAGATAAACATACGCGTTGAGGGCGGCGAGCTGCTTCTCGTCAACTACTTCACCACTGTTGTCGTTGATCATCTGGCGATCAATGGCATTCTCTTCGCCATCACTGTCATCACTGTGACCTCCAAGGCCTGCATATTCATCCTCAGACTCCTCGGCAGCCTCATCCACAATGTCCTTCGCCTTGCTGTTCTTCTTGTTATATTCAGGGGCAGACTTCTTTTTCGTAACCTTGTCTTTCTTCAGGACATCGAAGGCATTGGCATTGATCTCAAAGTCACCCTCAGGCTCAGCTTCCTCAACTTGAGAAAGCTCAGTGGCGCGACCTCGTCGCAGCATCTTGCGCTTTCGCTCCGCAATAGGCGACTGGCTTTGATTCACGAGAACCGTATCAACAGTCGACGCAGGAGGAGTATCTCTCCATCTTTTCGCAGGATCAAACGGCGAGAAGACAAATCCTTCGTCTTGGGTTGGGTCGGGTAGTTGAGAATATTCCTGGAAATGGTATGGAGCAGGTGACTCTGATACACGAGTAACGTTTTGCGAGTAACCCTCCATGATGTCCTTGTTAGATGGATGTTCCTGGCTGTCAGGTACAAGAACCTCCGACTCTTCCTTTCGTAGCTGGGGCGTAGGCCGACCCGGATCAGGCAAGGAGAAGGGGATGGTAGCGGATCCCAGTTGACTGTCGACACCATTGCCATCGAGCGTAGAGGCAAAGGCCTGGGTAAGACCGAGAGACATATCACCAGGTGTTCCAAGACCAGGGAATACCGGTCGTTCAGCGGACTGAGGGACATGGCTTGGTGCTCTCACAGGAGTCGATGGCACTAGAGGTTGATCTTCCTCATCTTCGTCATCGCTGATCACTCGTGTTCGGCGCTTGCGTCTGGCAGAAGTTCGAATCTCCTTTTCAGCGTCTGAGGGTCGATCTTCGCTTTCTTCATCAGCAGACTCATTGTCTTCGTCTGCCTCATGCTCGAAAAGCCCGGCCTTGCCATCCACGCTCGCGGTCTCCTCCTCGTCTTCATCCTCATCATCGCCTTCACCGTATGCTTCTTCATCTGATCCGGAAAGCTGATAGTCGTCATCCTCATCCTCATCGTCGTCGTCATTCTGACCATTCTTCTTCTTAGCAGCTTTCTCAAGACGAGCAATTTCATCTGCCTCTTTGCGGGCCTTTTCCACAAGATTTTCCATATCATCCTCCATGGCTGCACGTTCCTCGGCGGTCTCAATAATAACACCCTTAGCACGGAGTTCTTCGATTCGCTCACGGCGCTCCCTGGCTGCTTGCTGTCGAGCTCTATACAAAAGGTTCGCCGAAAGCTCTGCGTTGTTCATTGTGGCTCGGTTGCGCGAGGGAGACGTCAAGTGTGCCAATGCCTTCAGCCTAGTTGTACCAGGGTCTTCTTGCATCTTGCGAGAAGGGAGATTTTCGAATGCTGCAATACGGCGACACTTGCCAGGGGAAGTCACCACTTCCAGATCGCTGTCAGAATCATCATCATTATCATTGGTGTTCGCAGCAACTGCTTGTCGCGAAAGCAGCACGCGAATAGGCGGCTGAGTGAGAGGGCGAGAGACTTTCTTTTCATTGACTGCTTCGGATGTAGAACGAGAAGTTTGTTTGGCTTCCGGTTCTTGCGGTTGTACGGCATCAGTCTTTTCAGCTACCAACTCATCCACAGTAGGCAGATCCTGGCCCTCGTCCATGTCGACATCGGTGGCTTGTGTTTGAGCTTCGGAACCAGAAGCAGTCGTTTTGATCGCATTGGCTCCACCAGCAATTGGAGAAGTATGCGGTGTATCTTTGAGTTTGAGTAAATCTCCATCAGATGAGTTCTGCGAGCCGGAAGTCGATGATGGGTTTGCGGCAGGTTGCTCGGTTGCTGGGGGATCAGGTTGCATGAAATTGAATCTTGCAAAGAGACTCTCCTTTGTGATCTTCTTCTTTGTCTTAGCCTGATGAGCCAGCTGCATATTACGGCTCATCCGCTGGGTCTCCTGTCTCATCTCATCCAAAGCCTTCTTACTCGCCTTGCGAGGCTGACGAGCCTTCTGAGATAGCTTATGAGCAGAGCCAGGGTCATCAGCACCACTTTCCTCACCAGAGAGAACCTCCGAACCGAAGTGTTCCATCACTGCTTTCCGAGCAGCAGCTTTCTTCTCCGCCTCGGCTTTCTCTCGCTCTTCTCGCTCCTTGCGTTTCTGGGCGACAAGCGAAAGGAATCGGGCATTACCCTTGGGCTTAAACTCGGCACCAGTGTCATTGTCATCGCTGTGGGCGGGGTCGTCACGCGGCTCAGCGGGAGAAGACACAAAGAGGGGAGATTCGGATCTTAGTCGAGGAGGAGTTTGGCTGGTTTCATTATCGGATTCTGGGTATTTAGATCTGGTGTTGTTCTTTTCCCTCGGTCCAGCCGTAGGGACATCATCCTCATTCGATTCTTCGTCGGGTGTGGGGTCTGCCTGCTGCGGCTTCTGCGCCTGTTTTCTCTCAGAATGCAGAGCCTTAGACACGCGAGCGAATGCGGACTGCGCTTCATTGGAGGTAGGCGACTTCGTGGTATTACCCTGCATGCGGGCAGCCATTCGGCCCTTGGGACGAGCGACTTCTTCTTCGCTACTCGAACCTTCAGATTCGTGTGTTTGACCATGGTGGTGTGCCTTTGTTGATGTGCGATCACGCCCTAGAGCAAGTATTGGCGCAGCAGAGGTCGACCCGGCATTTTGGGTATCATCTTCTGAATCACTGTCAAATTCAGCCAACATCGCCTTGATCTTTTGGCCGGGTGTAATAATATTCGGCGAACCGCCCGGGGACGCGGAACGCGTCGAGCGTGGTGTGGACGGCGAGGACATGTTGTGAATATTCTCGTATTTCAGTGGGAATATTGGAGAAGCACAGTCATGATCGGATTAATTGGGCGAGAGGAGTGGTATTCCAAGGTCCAGATCACAGTGCAGTGGAGGTTCAAGGGCGCATAGTCTGGACGCGATGCGCGTACTTCGCGTTGCTAGGCCCCACACGTGATTGTTATCTCTTATCGTGCTTTTTCACTTTAGATCCGTGGACGACCTCGGGAAACACTACTGGCGGCGATGTTTCTTTTACGGTAGAGTAAATGTGGGTATTCCATTTGTGAATGCTGATGTTGCAATATACCAGCTCCCTCAAAGGGCACCGGCCCATCCACACTCTTACTGACCATAAAAACGATGATTGTGTTGCTCGTGATGCATTCCCAAAAGTCTCATAATACAAGAATGAATGCTATTTTCTGAAATGACGCCGTAAAATCATCCACCGACTCCGCAAATATTGCCAAAGAAAAAGTTAGGGGGATAAGTTAAAAAAAATAATGTCACAGCATAATTTTGGCCTTGCGCCAATGACCACCAGCGGGCCCTGCAGAGTGTACAGTGGGTTCGAAGAGAGCCACGTTACCAGATAATCTGTAAAACAATCCCTAGCGAGCCTGTTCGGGGAGCAGAGATGAAGACATAAAGAAAAGTGAGATCTCCAGAATAGGAACCTCAGATCTCGATGTCGATGTCCATATCAAGCGCCGCGATGTTCTCATCATCGTTGTTGCGGTGACTGATCATGAAACCAGTCTTGGGCTTCTTAGGTGTAATACCAGAAGGTGTGCCCACTGCAGAACTGCCGTTACTAATTTTGAGGGTATCCTTGACTTCATCTTTGGGAGTAGCATCGGTAGAAGGAGTAGTTTGGCTGGGTACACTGAGATCGTGATGGGTCTTGGCGACTGTTCGCACACGCATGAACGGATCGGCGGGGGCTTCACCACGGGCGACAGCGGCTGCGGACTTGCGAGCGGCCTTGCGCTCCTCAATCTGGGCACGGCGTACATTCTCATAGTTGAGCTTTTGGTTACGAATGTTGATCTGGTGGACACGCTCGGCTTCCATCGGCTTCGTATCGACCTCTTTCTTAGTGAGAGTCGTTCCCCAAGACAGAGTAGGATTCAGGATAACATCCAGTTCTTTCTCGAGCCGCTCAGCATCTTCGATGTTTCCATTGGCTTTGGCGAATTTCAAGTCACGTTCAATATCGGCACGTTTGAGAATGTTCCACTTTGAGTCGAATGCACCCTGGCGTTGCAGCTTCTGATTCAACTCATCTTTGGTAAACTGGTGGTTGATAAGACGGTTGATGTCAGTGACCTTGGAAGCCAGCTTGCCTTGGGTAGCCAACTTGATGTCTTCGACTGCCAAAGTCTTGCGGTAACGCGTGTACTCGTTCTAGGGCATTGTTAGTGCAATTCAGTATTGGGTCAATATTGAACAAACCTCGGTGAAGGAAGAATCAGAGCAAGCAATAAAAGGGAACTCCTTTATAGCCTTGCCATGCGCTAGCTTGGCATATTGATCGGTGACAAAGGGACGACCATTGGATCCTTCAATGGCATAAGGTTTTCCCTGAGCAAAGCCTGGAAATATTGTCAGTTTAATGGCTTAACAAATGGCCAGGGTGTCTTACCAGTAATCAAGCACATGCGATATTCGTTCTGACCAGTTTCTGCATGCGGGCCAATATTGACCCGAGCATAACAGCCAAGCATGGCACTTTCAAATCCAGGGTAGAAGCAGACCTGAGCGAAGTTGCTGCGACCAACACGAGCACGTTGGATGTCACGAAGCTCAGCAGGCGGGTCGTCCTTAGGCAGAGAAGGAGAACGACCAACACGATCATCCAATTCAAGATCACTCTCAGCATCGGCATCTTCGTCAGACCCCTCAGAGCCCATGGAACGCGAACGGCGGCGAGATTGAGTAGGATCCCGACGGCGGAGTTCATCCCGCTTGCCCTTCTGCTCACGTTGACGCTTGTAGGCTTCAATGGCTCCAGAGGTTTCTCCAACTTTGCGGCCACCAAGAGTGGTCTTTTGGCGAGAGCTCTTGCGCTGGGGGTCATCTAGACCGGCGGAACCAGCCTTTCGTTTGGCCTTTTTGGCGGCACGGGCTTCATCACGGGAGCGGGATGCTAACAAACGCCGGAGAGCGAGATCCTGGTTATGGCGATCGACTTGCTGGGCACGCTCGGACAAGGTTTCCTCGCGCTGAATTTCTGGCATTGCCATGATATCTTTCTTATCCTGGGCTGAATAGTACAGCTTGTCGTACGGGAATATAGGGCGATCCTCATCATCTTGATCGGATTTCTCGGACTCCGACTCTGACTCGGACATGGGAGCAGACTGAAGAGAGTGACGGGAGCCAGTATCGGAACTATATGGTAGGCCCACGGATTAATGACGAATGTCAAGAAGCAGGTTGAGGGGCAGTTCTCACATTTCACCTTCCGATTCATCCTTCATGGGCTTCCGTGCCCGGCGGGATGCCGGCTTAGCAGTTCCTTTGCGAGCCATTCCTGCTGGTGAATGATCTCTGTCGGCGTGTGATGAAGCAGAGTGCGCCGGCGACTTGGGTGGTGGTGAGGTTTCCTCCTCAGAGTCACCCGCCAAAGCGAGCAACTCAGCATCCAAATCGTCCGCCATTGTGAATAGTCTTCCAATCGACTAATCCCAGATAATCGTTGGTTTCCAAAATTTCCTTACTCAAACAAAGATTCACACTCTAGAATCAAAGGAGTATTCCCCTATTGATCTATCCCTCCTGAAGAGAGTCGACACCTAAGTGACGAAGAAGTTGCAGTGGGAGACCGTCCAAATGAGATCCAAAACACTTCGCACTTGGCGATAGATGATCCAAAATTGGCAAAAAAACTCTGCACTAGTTGAAGCGAAGATAGTGCAGATTGTCTGGCAAGCGCATAAGTGTTTGTCGCAACTTGGCATGAATTCATGACGTTCCGCGCCAGTCTCGCTAACGCGCTAGCGAAGGCGGTCAACGCGGCCTCGGAGCTTCGTCCCTCGTGATAGCCTCATGATAGCAATCCAACACAAATTTCGATGGCGTCTCTACCGATTCTGCGCAATTGCGCCTTGAAGAAGTGCCACCAGCCCATGCGCACAGCACCACCAGTTTTCCTCGACTTCCTTGCTCCATCAACGGTCAAATACAGCCAATGTCGCCACGCCTCCACCACCGCCGGCACCACTGGTGCGTCCAAGCCTCGCTATGTACTCAGCAAAGAACAACGCGAGTTCATGGATAGTGCACTTCGAGTCAATCAGGCAGGCGAGCTCGCTGCGACTCTGATCTACACTGCTCAAACGCCCCAGATTGTCCGTTCATACCCGCACCTGCGGCCTTTGATGAAACACATGTATGACCAAGAAGCTGGGCACCTCAAAACATTCAATGGACTCGTTGCCAAGCACCAAGTCCGACCAACCGCTATGTATCCGGCGTGGGAGGTAGCTGCCACTTTCTTAGGGTGGTCCACTGCGGCACTAGGTCGCGAAGCTGCGATGGCATGCACCGAAGCTGTCGAAACTGAGATTGGATCTCACTACAATGACCAAGTGAGGGAAATTCTGTCTTGGGAGGCGGATGCTGAGAGACGGGGGGAGGAGCTGGATGAGGAGCTAAAGGATATGCTGGCCACATTCCGGAGGATTCGTGACGAGGAGCTAGAACATCTTGACCATGCTGTTGCCAATGACTCTAAGGAAGCCAAGCCGTATGATCCGCTTGTGGATGTAATCCGTTTCGGTTGCAGGGCTGCTATCAAGATCAGCGAAAAGATCTAATTCTCGATGGGAGTGCTCACATGGCGGGTCAATTGTGAACTAGCCATATGTTTACCTTGTTCGCGTTCAGCACTCAATGTACAATATCAATTATATTCTGACCATTGAAGTCATGAAAAAGAAAAAGAACTCGTGTAATCATATCTTCTATTTTAATACCAAGTTTCCACTTGAGTTCATCTATGAACACTGCTCGCCCAGGAAGCAGGGTATCAACAAAACAGCACCGTCTTCTCTATACATGTGCTTGACTTATGCAGCCCAGACGAGTAAAGCTCGACCGTTACTCGGAACTGGCGGGCTTCTGCTCCAAATAATCGACGAAGTTTTGAGAGAATCGCACGACCTGCTGGTAGACCTCCTCAAACCCATTGGCACCGCCATAGTAGGGGTCTTGCACGACCTCACCACCACCAACACGGTCATTCAGCTTTCCAGCCTTGCCGAAATCACCAAACATGCGCACCTCCGCAACCTTCGTATCCTCTTTGTATTCGCCGATGGCAGCATCGACGTGCGAGCGAGTACTCTGAGCACCCGACTTGGAAGAAGACTTGCGTTGCAAAGCCGCAACGACCAACTCCCGCTCATGCAACAGCTCGCGCAAGTTGGACTTGTCCATGGCAAGGAGGTAATCGAAGGTGAGGAAGTCCTCGCGAGTGACCTTCCGTGCAGCATGGTCATAGTTGGTGATCTTGTGGCGGCGCAGAGTGGACATGGTGCGGGAGTCGGGGGGCTCAAGGCTGTGGTAGGCGGCAGTGCCGGCTGAGTCGATCTCCCCAATCAAGGCATGGGACGCGGCGAAGTTGCGGAAGACACCTTCTGCCATTGGAGAACGACCTATATAAGGATTAGGATGTCGTCATCGCGGGGGAAGGCTGAGGCTGTACGTACAGATATTGCCCAGGCAGACAAATAGGACATTTGCCGGGCGTTCGTTGGACTGGGCGGTCATTATGTAGGGGTAATATGATAACCTAGGGTCTAGTCTAGGGGTAGTAGGCAGCAATGGAATATATTCACGGCTCAAAGAGTGAGTGCACGTTCGGGGACTTATCGATAGGCCCTAAGACCCCCACCGAGGCATTACGTCGCCACAGGGCAAGTAAGGTACAGGGACAGGTAAAGGAACTGTATGAGATGCAGCTTGCCGGACGCTAGGGCTATTTTAGGAACAGGCAGCTACTTTATCTTTATTTCTGTAGCTTAGTGAACATGAACAATAGCTTACTTAGCCTTATATTCCATCCATGGATATCATTCGTATATTTTTCTTGTCTAAAAAAAGAAAAAAAAAACGAGCGAGCCACATCCTCTCTGACTAAGCAAGCCAAGTGGGTACAGCCACTGCCAAGACTGTGGCTCGGGCGGTGTTGGCCCAGTAACAAAACACGCCCGACATTCATCGGCGGAGAATCCTCTGCCACCCGTGGCTCGCATGTTTCAGGTATCTCTGGTTGAATGAACTGCATTCTCATTGGGGCTTTTATTCCGAATTCCTTCATATCACTCGTGGTCCTTTCGCTTGCAGTATAGTACAATCTTCGTGGGAATACAATACAATCCACAGGGCAGTGCGGAGCCCAGCACAGACGTTGTGATTCGTTCCATCTCCACCGTCATCACCGGGATCGACTGGGGCGTCGTAAACACCAAACAGACGGGACCACCCAGATTTATTCCTGCTTCTCATTTTCGCAACCTATACTGCTTCCTCCTAGCCAAATTTCGCAAGCCCCTACTTGAAACAGCGCCGAGAGTCCGTGTCTGTCAAGTCAGACTAGTCATATCTCACTCTGTGACGCTCACGATTCCACTTAGCGCTCCTGGCGCAATCTCCAAGGCCCCTGCAACGAACGTCGGGGTAACATAATTTCGCTGAGCTCAATCCCGAGGCTCGCTAGCCCACCATGGCTTACAATCGTGTCACAGAAGGTTAGTGCTTGTCTTAGGGCCCTATTGTTTCTCCTTCTTCCCATACTGCTTGCGCATGCTTTGTCCACCTGAAACCAGTCTCAGATCAGTGCTGGTCGTTGATCATATGTTTCTGTGGGACTTGCGCTATCAAGCTCTTACATTTCAACCTTCGTTGAGCATCTCCTGTCCCAGTACTGACAATGGCGCACCCAGACCCGTTTGGGGACGAGCATCGCTCGCCCATACTGCACCCATCCCACGTCACTGGCTACACTAATCGCACCCCTTCGCCGGTGCGAGCACATGAGGGCTACCAGCTATCGGACAATCCATATGCTCCTCCGGCGCACCTGCCAATGCCATCTAGCGATCGCCTAGCTGAGCAACCCACTGTGAGTTTTGCGCGCAATGATTGGTATCTGGCTGGAACTGACTGTTTTTTTTCCCAAACAGTATTCAGTCGAGAATGTTTACAACTCTTACGGCCACCACGATGCCTATGATGCGCACCGTCCTTACCCCGGTCATGAGTACTCAGTGGACCCCGAAGCCCACCACGATGCCTACTATACCCAACCTTATGAGCCTACACACACCCCTCATGACGATTATGATCTTGGCCAGTATCCAGAGGGAGGCCACAATACATTTGATGACATACAGGAACCTATGCTTCACCCGAACGACAATCCATTTGGGCAAGAATCGTACAACGACGAGTTCCATGACGAAATTCAACCAACACCGAGCCCGCAACCTATTCGCCGCTGGAAAACAGTGAAAGAAGTCCAGCTATTCAACGGCAACCTCGTTCTTGATTGCCCTATCGCCCCGAAACTGCTAAGCCAAATTCCGCACGCAGAGCCTCCTGGTCGTGACGAGTTTACGCACATGCGATACTCGGCCGCAACTTGCGATCCTGCTGATTTCTTTGAAGAACGATTTACCCTGCGCCAAAAGCTTTTCGCAAAACCTCGTCACACTGAGCTGTTCATTGTGGTGACCATGTACAACGAGGACGACTTCTTGTTTGCCCGGACCATGTCCGGCGTTTTCAAGAACATCGATCACATGTGCTCACGCACAAGCAGCAAGACCTGGGGCAAGGATGCATGGAAGAAAATCGTGGTCTGTGTTATCAGTGATGGTCGTGCCAAGATCAACCCGCGAACTCGCGCCGTTTTAGCGGCTCTGGGTGTGTATCAGGATGGAATCGCCAAGCAGCAAGTCAACGGCAAGGACGTGACAGCCCATATTTACGAATACACTACCCAAGTCGGCTTGGAAGTCAAGGGCACTCAGGTGCATCTTAAGCCCAGATCGGGACCTCCTGTGCAGATGATCTTCTGTTTGAAGGAAAAGAACCAGAAGAAGATCAACTCCCACAGATGGTTCTTCCAGGCCTTTGGTCGCGTCTTGGATCCCAACATTTGTGTTCTTCTCGATGCGGGTACCAAGCCCGGCAGAGATTCCATCTACCACCTCTGGAAGGCCTTTGACGTCGAGCCCATGTGCGGTGGTGCATGTGGTGAGATCAAGGTCATGTTGTCTCACGGCAAGAAATTGCTGAACCCTCTGGTCGCCGGTCAAAACTTCGAGTACAAGTTGAGCAACATTCTGGACAAGCCGCTAGAGTCTTCCTTCGGTTTCATTACCGTGTTGCCCGGTGCGTTCTCTGCTTACCGCTTTGTCGCTCTGCAAAACGACAAGAACGGGCAGGGTCCTCTGGAACGGTACTTCCTTGGTGAGAAAATGCACGGTGCCAATGCCGGTATTTTCACAGCCAACATGTACCTGGCTGAGGATCGTATTCTGTGCTTCGAAATCGTCTCCAAGCGCAAGTGCAGATGGCTGCTTCAGTACGTCAAGTCCTCGACTGGAGAGACTGACGTTCCTGACCGCATGGCTGAGTTCATCTTGCAACGTCGTCGTTGGCTAAACGGTAGTTTCTTCGCTGCTGTCTACGCTATTGCCCACTTCTATCAAATTTTCCGCAGTGACCACAGTTTCATGCGAAAGTTCATGCTGATGATTGAATTCATCTACCAAACCATTGCGATGATCTTTGCTTGGTTCGGTATTGGTAACTTCTTCTTGGTCTTCCACATCTTGACAACATACCTCGGATCAGACGATCTATTAGGCACTGCTGGTAAGGTTCTTGGTATTGTTTTCGAATGGCTCTACTTGGCAACTCTTGTGACATGTTTCGTTCTGGCTCTTGGTAATCGACCAGGTGGATCGAACAAGTTCTATATGACCATGGTTTACTTCTGGATCGTGATTATGATTTACCTTGCATTTGCTGCTGTCTTTGTCACTGTGAAATCTATCCAGACAGAAGTTGCCTCGAACAGCTTCACAGTTTCACAATTGTTCACGAACAAGACGTTCTTCTCGATCATCGTCTCACTCGGATCGACTTATGTGATGTGGTTCATTGCCTCCTTCATCTTCCTGGACCCATGGCACATGTTCACCAGTGTAAGTCTCCAGTTAACCCCTCACTAATCCCTTATCACCTTACTAACCCGTTTCCAGTTCATCCAATACATCCTACTCACTCCGACTTATATCAACGTCCTCAACATTTACGCCTTCTGTAACACCCACGACATCACCTGGGGTACCAAGGGAGACGACAAGGCCGAGAAACTGCCCTCAGCCCACCTCAAGCCCGGCGGCAAAGTCGACGTCAACATCCCCCAAGACGACGGTGATTTGAACGCACAATACGAAGCTGAAGTTGCCAAGTTCGCCATGAAGCCCCCCAAGGAGGTCCAGGTCATCTCCGAAGAAGAGAAGCAGGCCGATTACTACAAGGGTTTCCGTAGTGCTGTCGTCCTCGCCTGGGTATTCTGCAACTTCGCCCTTGGCGCCGTTGTCCTGAGCGCCGCCGGTCTAGAAACCTTCGACAACACATCTAGCTCTAGTGATAGCGAGGATGCCACGCAGACCGAGCGCTCCATGATCTACATGGAGGTTGTTCTATGGAGTGTTGCTGGACTGTCGTTGTTCAAGTTTATTGGTGCGATGTGGTATCTGGTAGTCCGGATGGTGAGTTACTCTTTTCTCTGCTGTTTTCAATTATGCTAACTGTCTTTCCCTTCTAAGTTCCGCGGTGTCTGATTTAGCGATCTTCAACCTAACGATTGTTTTCTGCTCTTTCTTGTGCTTTACAGCAAATACCATGCTATGCAATGTCTTCATATATCCACTGCTTTTGACTCGCATTCACAGTTATCGTTGTTGGAGAGTTGGATTTTGGAATCGATCTTGACCACGGCTGGCCCGGTCTGGTCTGTAACGAGGATCTGAAAATGGGAATGGGACAAATGTAACATGTGTGATGACCTCCCCTGCGATGTGTTTGATATTTGTTTTTTTGTGTGTTTTTTTTCTTTTTGTCTTGTGCTGCTCTTGGGTTTCGTGTATTTTATCCTGTAGATATGGGGTTCTGCTTTATTATTTTTTACTCATTCTGGTGTTGATGATAGATGAATACGAGATGTCCTATGAACTGAAGCCTTGAGTCTTGATCGTAGAAGATAGTGTAATTTGCCATCATAAGTCAAGCTTCGTTCGTAAATGATACTGAATACAAGAACGAGGCCATGGTGGCATTTCAATCTACTGATATATACGCAGAACGAGGCAACCAGAGATGCGAACCCAGGATAAACAGGAATATATTTTAGCTAAGTAGATGTTTGGACATCACAACTATGGATACCAAGAAAATGGCAACTTACAATAACAAGATCAAGTCTACAAGAATCAGGAAGCCTGATTCTTCGAATGAACACACAATGCAATACCTCCAAGTACCAAGCCCATGCCCAACCAAGTCTCCTTCGCAATCACCTTGCGCTCAACATACCACTCTCCAAGCACAGTGAAAAGGAAAGCGCTCGAGTTTGCAAGAGGGACAGTGAGAGAGAGCTCTGTAAAATAAAAAAAAGGAAGATCATTAGCAAAGCTAGTCTCGAAGATGCCAGCGACAGCCGGCAAATGCAGGTTTCAGATAGACATACCATGCTTTCCAACAAGAAGGAAGAACCAAATACTGCCAGTCAGGTTGATGACCAACGGAATGGCGTAAGCCGGAGTGCGGAGGAGGTTGACAACAGTCCAGAAAATCGAGACAACCTTAGTGCGCAACCATGACTGCTTCGGGCCGGATTCGCGTTGCCATGCGGGCGTGGGCAGATCATCATGGTCGGCCTCTCCTCTCGGCTCGGTATCCTGGATTGAACCCTGAGTTTCATCGCCCTGCTGACCTGCGACAGGGTCCTGCGGCTTGCGCGATTGGCCGTTTTGACTTGTGCTGCGTCTCCGCAATCCATCTTCGTCACCATCGTTGTACCCTTCCAACTCTCCCTGAGGAAGCAGCTCCTGCTCCTCACCCGCATCCGTGAAACCAGTCAGTGGCGAGTCTTGTGTTCGTGATCTGCCGCGCTCGGACGGGTTGGAGTTGTTGGCCTGCTTCTCCTGTCGTGCGTTGAAGTCTGCCGCGGCGCGTCGGATAAAGGGGGTTGTGAAGCCCCATGCGACTCCGACAAGGAGAAAGGACAGCACATAGCTGTAGACAGAGGGAGCAGGCTCGATCGGGATACTGGCGTCTGGATCCATGGTGTGGTTTGCTTGGAGGTAAGGGCAAGGTTGCGTTGCACTGCAGTGCAGATGAGGTGTGGTCCGTGCACGTGCCGATAAGGTTCCCGGATCTATGTGGCGGGTCCACGTTCTTTTGTCGACGTTCCTCATGTTAGCATAGAAGACGAAGCTCAAGGTGACTGGGCAAGGGAGAAATGGAAATGAAAATAGGGAATGGAATCAGACGAGGTGCAGCAAGCTCGATCAAGCTTGGAGGAAAGGACGATGACAAGGTTATTGAAAGTCCCGTCAATGAAGTAGAGTGTCTCAGAACAGTGGTCAAACCCGATCCTTCAATCCGGCTTACTAGGCCCTCCTGAAGGGTATCGGCGCGCTCGATGGATGCGAAGAATCACCCAGTAGTCACACAAAGGATCATCCACGCATCATCTAAAGCTGAATCATCATAGACAGAAAGGAGGAAATAAAACAAGCTCACGCCCACATCAGAGTGTCGAGTCAGCTGTCCAGAGGTGTTCAACCGATTGAATGTTGCTTAAGCCCAGGTAAAGTAGTGTAAGAACTGAGCCCACTGTGTCCTCGCCAAACACAACGTCTGGGAGCCTCGACCCCGACCTCCTCAAACGGTCGCCCGTGCAGGAGTACCCCTGACTGACCACTGTGTTGCCCACACCCACTGTATTGCCCACGCCCACATCAGAGTGTCGAGTCAGCTGTCCAGAGGTGTTCAACCGATTGAATGTTGCTTAAGCCCAGGTAAAGTAGTGTAAGAACTGAGCCCACTGTGTCCTCGCCAAACACAACGTCTGGGAGCCTCGACCCCGACCTCCTCAAACGGTCGCCCGTGCAGGAGTACCTCTGACTGACCACTGTGTTGCCCACGCCCACTGAGTTTTCCACGCCCACAGTCGTCCAGGTGAGTCCGGGTGTGTCGATGTTGTCGATGTTGTCGTCCTCCACTAAACAATCACGGATGTCGATGCCCCCAAAGTAAATAGTTTCTCAGTCGAAGTAAGTGTCGAAGTGAGTGTCGAATGTGTGTCGATGTTGTCGTCCTCCACTAACCAATGCCCGTCGATGTGTCGGCGTGTGTCGAGTATGTGTCGAGTATGTGTCGATGTTGTCGTCCTCCACTAGATAATCACAGATGTCGATGCCCCCAAAGTAAAAGATTTCTCAGTCGAAATGAGTGTCGAAGGTGTGTCGAATGTGTGTCGAGAAGTCGTCCTCCACTAAACAACAACAGATGCCGATGCCCCCAAAGTAAATAATGTCTCAGTCGAAGTGAGCGTCGAGTGAGTGTCGAGTGAGTGTCGAGTGAGTGTCGAGTGAGTGTCGAGTGTGTCGAGTGTGTGTCGAAGTGAGTGTCGTGGAAGGGGGAAAAAGAAAGAGAAAGAGAAGTTCGGAGGAGAAGTTGGCATTTATATACCCAGAGGGCATTTCCTAATCGGGACAAATCAACAAGACAACGACGACGACGAGGGCCTCTCATTGGCCGATTCCTTCCTATTGTTCTCTTATTGATCCTATTGTTCTCTGATTAATCCTATTGTTCTCTCATTTCCCCAAAATTACTCAATTTCCCCTGTTGTCCTCTCATTCGTTCAAATTACTCAATTTCCCCTATTGATCCTATTGATCCTATTGTTCACCTGGGTTCTCATTGGTCGCTTATTGTCTTTTGATAAAGCTTATTTTTCTCAATAAGAAATGTCTCACAATGTCCTTATTGAGGATTTCCAGCCTCCCATGTGATGGTCCTCACTTCTGCATGACACTTCTTGAGGGTATTGGGTGGTTTTTATCCTCAATCTCCTGCTGGGTGTTCTTACCCATAACCCCCTGACATTTGTCTAGAGTCTCACGCTTTACTCCTAGCTGAATGTGATACAGATTGAAGATCCATGTAATGTGACGAGACCCTCTGTACTTGGTGCCTTGGGACCTCGTACTCGAGAGAGCACGACGTGCTCTTCTCGTCCTCTCTTGCTTCAAGCTTCTTGTCTCTGCATATCATGTATCCTGGCTGCATCATTAATGGTAGACTGCGATAGTCTTGTTCCTCAAAGCCATGGACTCATGACAGCTCTGCTCTGGGCAATCTTCAGTATTTCTGCGCCATATCAACCACCAGGTAGGCTAGACAGATGCAACGCCATCTGACCATGACATCCATCATTAAGTTCCTAGCAAAAGTCCAGTCAAGCTTCCAGTCTCTTGAAAGTGGCATGTATGCATTACAGCATATCTCATGCCGCCCCAACTCACAGAGGTAAAGTATAACAACCTACACAGTATGATAATTGAGCCTCACATGAACTAACCTTAGTCCTAACATAACAAAGCTTGTTTCTTTCAAGATATCATAATCCCGAGACGCTCGGACTTGAGACGGAATTATATACAAATCCACCCAATCACCGCTCATGGAAGACGGGACAGCCCGAAAGCCTCAACCCCACCAAAAGTCGTACATCACAAACGACGTGGCTGAGAATTGAAGTGTTGGTTGGTCAACATACTGTATCTCATATATCGTATAACCGACTAAGCTGCGATAACATTTTCGTCATTCACGCCCCATTCCCGCCACCTTATTGAATGATTGGTCTCAACCAAGACCTGTATCCATAGAACCAACAAGCTTTGTAAAGTCCATTGGTCCGCAACATAACCCGAGATCTCTCGTCTCCGATCACCACGGCAATATCCCCCCAAGCCGGAAGAAGCACCGGACTAAACGGCATTGCAATATCAAAAGAGCGCTTAGTCCGATTATTACCGGATACAAATACCACAGGAAGCCCGTCGTGTACCTATACCATTCACACCAGGAGATCCAAAGTCTCTCCCCCACACAAGCTTAATCGAATCGCGTCACCTGCACCCGTACCTGCATCTTCGCCGTGACTCGCACCACCCAAGGCTTGAGTCCACACACACCCCATCCTGATACACAATCAAGCAGATCCAAGCAGCAGCAGCAACAGCAACAATGTCAATCCAATCGCACCCCAAGCTCGCCAACCTAGACCTCATCCAAACGACATTCAAAAAAGTCGGAGATCACGAAATCCGAACAGACATCCTCATCCCACAGACACCATTCGACGGCCAAAGACCCGTTATCCTCCACTTCCACGGCGGTGGCCTGGTACCATCCCACTCCCACTCCCGCTCCCACTCCCCGATCGAAGCATAAAGAACACCAAGCTAACAAGCAAATAAAACCCAGGTAATGGGCGACTCTCTCTTCATGGACTTCTGGCCGTGGTGGCTCTCAGACCTAGCCCTACAAGAGAACGCCATAATCATCAGCCCCAACTACCGCCTCCTACCCAGCTGCACAAGCAGCGAAATAAGCAGCGACATAGAAGATTTCTGGAAATGGGTGAACAGCGCGTCCCTGCCGACCCTCCTCTCCGCACACACGACCCCGACGACAGCGGACCTCTCACGCGTATTGGTCTTTGGCGAGTCGGCAGGTGGCCTGATCAGTTTGAATCTTGCGCTGGCGCACGCGGACGAGATCCGCGCTTGTGCGGCGGCGTATCCGATGGTTGATCCGTGTTCGGAAGCGTTTGTTCAGCCGAGGGCGGAGGGGCCGTTTGGGACTATGATTCCTGTGGGCCGGGTGGAGGAGATGTTGGATGGGTTTATTGCTGGGGCTGTGGAGTCGTCTGTTGTTGATCATGGGAGGTTGGAGTTTATGCTGGGGGCTGCTACGCATGGGGTTCTTGGAAGGCTTTATGAGAGGGGAGTGGAGGGGTTGGAGAGGGAGGTGAGGTTCCCTGGTGTTAGGATTGAGAGGGTGGGGACGAGACTGCCTTCTGGTGGTATTGCTATTATTCATGGGCGGCAGGATAGTGTTGTTCCTGTTGGGGATGTGGAGAGGTTTGTTGTGCGTGCTCGGGAGGTGTTTGGGGATGAGAGGATTGTGTTTACTGTTATGGAGGGAGAGCATGGGTTTGATACTGGGTTGAGGTTGGAAGAGGGTTGGTTGCGGGAGACTTTCAAGGTTGCGATTCAACATTGGTTAGCTTAGATTGATTGGATTTTATTAATCATTGGGGACATTTTATTTTTTGGATTCAAATGCTTTGCTGGTAAGAATGAACTTAGTCCTGGTTCCTTATCAAGAGGGTATGGAGTCACCCTGTTATGTTGGGGCGGTGTTCTCTTTATGTAGGAGCTGCGGAGGCTCTTTGGTTGATATTTGATGGACTTCATTGGTTGACGAAGTGTTATATTCCAGCTACAGTATTCTAGTACATGACTATACTGGCATATAAAGGGTCATTCTGGATACCAATTATCATGGCTCTTCTACTTCACAGTGCCATTTTGTGTTTATGGTCATCTCCAGCAAATCGTTCAGATGATAATAAGAATGAACTTATCGCGTCTGTGAAACATGAGCCTAATCACTCGGTGTAGCTCTCTTGGAAATTCTCATCTTTGGAGTGACTGTCTTCCAGTCAGTCTCTTCTCTTCGTATGAGACTTATAGCCTTTAGTAAAAGAATCGACGAGGAAAGGTCCTCCACCTTACATCACGGGACAATCGGTCTACATTGTCTCGCAAACTCGAAGCGGTCATCCCCAATCCCTACATGTAGGCCATAATCACCACTGTACACAGGGTAGGTCACGATGACCAATGTCCTACATGTCCTTCATGTCTGATTCTAAACCATTGCCAGAGATATTTATTATGCGCCTGTTAGCTCTTCCCGCTCTCTATTACGCGCCGAAACGACCTCCAACTACAGTAGTTGTCGTTGATATTCTTTGTATAGATCAAGCCGGATGATCATCAACAAAATGACGACTGAAACAAAGCAGCCCGCGAGATTGTTCGAGACCGCCAGAGACCTCCATCTCTCCCCCATCACATGTCTACAGTACTGTACCTCGACACGACCCCTTGACTATCCATGAATAATGACAGGAACCCTCGGCACGCGAAAATGAGAGCAAAATGGCGAAATCGACGCAAACAGGAGAGGCCACGTCAGAGAACAACAAATAACAAATGAGCGGTATACTCCCTTGGAGAGACCCAATAATGAATGCAGACCCCATGCCGAGCTCTGACCGTACCATTCGCCGAGTCACGAGTCCAAGTCCTGCCTCAGCCCTGCGCAATAAACCACGCCAATCTGATCAATCACGGAGGTTCGGGCCCAGCCACCAATCACCACCGCCGACCAGCTCGACCGGAATTAGAATCCCCACGTGGGCGGTCGAGATTTGCAGGTGTACAGTCATCAACCTGTCTGGCCTGCCGAGTCATCCCATGATTTGGCAAAAAGCGTTGGGATAGGAGGGCTCGGATGCGTGGTGGGGACGCCGACCCACCTGGCCATGATGCAATTGCTGCAAAGTCTGTTCATTGTGGCGCCGAACGACGCAATTGTGCGAATGTATGCCGAGAGGAGTGGTTTCGGCTTGATCAGTTGATCGTCGTTGGTTATTTCTGGAGGGTGTTGGGGCTGGTGGGATTCGGCTACGGATTGCCACTTTGCCACTGTGTTCTGTGTTCTGTGTTCCTGATGGGGTTCCTAATAATAGATGATGGGACTATCGACCATTATTGGAATCCGACCGACGACTACTGTCTACGATACAGCACTGTCTACACTTGTCTACTGTACTGTCCAGACTCAAAAGTTGGAGCAACACTAGCAGAATGCGGGGGAACCCCACTGACAAATGCCTCATCACGGGGAAAAGTCTTCACGAGTCACAACAGCGGATTCCAACCCCAAAACGTAAAAGTTGTCCCAGTCGGTCAAGTGACTTGCGCGATATTACCTAACAGCCCGGTTTGCATCGGCCTAGTCCTTGCCTAAACCAGACGAGGCTTCCATTCACGATCCAACAGTCGAGAACGCAACTCCACCTGTTACGTGATTTTACGTGATGCCACCGGTCCGAGGGTGCCGATTGCCCCTTTCACGAGATGGATCACCGATCACGTTGGAGTCTGGAACCAGGGATGGACAATTTCTGAAAGGGAGGAAAAATATGAAAATATGAAATGAAAAAAGATGGTCGACATAGCGTCATAATGATCTACAGCCTCCCCCACAAATTCTTATAAAGCCTCTTTCCCCGGACTTGAGAACCGAGTATCTAACCAGCCAATTCTCGACTCGATAACCACGGGTACCTTATTCCATACTATTCCAGACTATTCCCTACCATTCCATTCCAATTCTATTCCAATTCATTCCAATTCCAAGTCATTCACCAAAAAAATGTAAGTAATGACGCCTCATCCCTGTCATATAAAAACCAAACCAAAAGACACCCACTAACTAACAAAACCAGTCAATGACCCAAACCCAACAACCCGCCTTCAAAATGACTTTCCAAACCACCCAGAACACCTCCCCCTGGAAGTGCGACTCATGCGGTCTGCCCGGCGTCCGCGTCTCAACAGGCTCCGCCCGCAACAGTCCCGCACACTACAAGTGCGTGCCCTGCAATCGCTCTCTGGGCCTCTGCCCCTGCACAACGCCCGGCGCCTACACCACATCCACATGTCCCTGCAGCCAGAGCGACGCCGGCTCACCGGGTCTCGACGAGGTGCCGCGCGGAGTCTCGATGCTGGCGCCGCGGAAGGGCTCGCTGAACCCTCACAACCCGGATACCGGCTTCGATGAGGACTGGGAGGCTAACTGCAAGCCTGGGTATATGGTTTCGCGATTCAAGGCTGAGGGTCATGAGTTGTTGTGGCATTGATTTGCTTTTGATCTGAATTTGGCTTTGATCCATGATTGACTCTTGGATCTGCATTTGGACTGTGTTGCGTGGATTTTATCTTTTTTTGGGGGCCATATAGCGTGCCATTGTTTTAATTTATCTTGTGTTTTTTGCTTTACATTGTTGTTGCCTGAAGGGTGACACGCTGGGATTTCGTTTCCAGTAACTTAAAAGTTACTCTCGTCATAATGAGATGTTTGGTCTTTGGACTGCTTATTCTATTTTTGGACTATGACCTTTTTATAAAGTAGATTGACTGTAGGTTTACTGTAGAAATATGGTTGGTTCTACTGGGAATCATTTTGATATTGTGTATATGGGAAGATGGGTTTACCGACAGATGGAAAGTAGAAGGATCTGAATAAGTTAAATGATGAAATGATGAAATGTACATGTCAAACAGCAGATTGAAAATGAACCTTGGAACCGAGGTTGCCAAACAAGAAGCCTGGAACTTCAGGCACCGACGCCATGTCAGAAGTTTATAAGTTGACATATCTTAAGACCAAATGTTGAGACTAGTATTGGGGTTTAAAAGAAAGCATCATGTTGATAATAGCAGTGGTATATGTATAGTCTATAATTATCCAATATTGTATCTATATACGCATGTCAAGTAGTATGTCTAGACAATGCAAATCAAAAGCAGCATGTAGAAATGACTGCAAGAGACCACCCAAAAACACCTAAAGCACAAAAAAAGCGACCAAAAGAATATAACAACAAAGAAAGAAAAAGGTAGATCAAAAGAGAGTGACGAGAGCTTAGTTAGCACTCTTGCCCTTCTTGCCAGGAATGAGCTTCTGGAAGGAAGCCTTCATATCAGCGGAATTCCAGCGCTTGACACGAACAAGGTAATACATGACAACAGCCATGAACACATTGAAGGCAATGAACGCCCACATGATACCGAAGTTGCGCCATCTCTGGGAATAGTAGATACCGGAGGTAGACAGGTACTGGTCGGCAACGGTCAGGGAGCAGTAGCTGCAATCGCTGGTAGCATCAGGGTTGAGCAGCTGACCACCAGCGACGTTGATGTACTTCTGCATATACTGGATGCAAGTCTGGCCGGAAGGAGGGCTGAAAGTGGAGGTCTCGGCGGCGGAGCAGACGACCTGGCGGTCGTGGAGCTGGGCACCAGCCATACCCCCGACCCAGTATGTGAAGGGCGAGGCGCGGTACATGAAGATCCAGAAGCCGGGGAATGCGTCGGGGGGCTGCATGACACCGCAGAAAGTCAGGGACATGGCGAAGAGGAGGACGACGACGGCGCTGGCGGTTTGTTCGTCGGGGAGACCGGCGATGACCATGTGCGTGAAGGTGCTGGCATAGATGAAGAAGACGATGCAGAAGAGGAGGACTGTGCCTTGGGTTGCGGAATCCGGGATGCCGACTACGGCGTAGAAGTAGCAGGCGTAGGTGAGCACGCCCATCACGATCATGTAGGGGATTTCGACGACCATGTTGGCGATGAGGAAGGCTTTCCAGGAGTAGGATTTGCTGGGGCGTTCGCGGCCTTCGTAGAGGGAGCGTTGGGTCACGAATACTGGCATGATCTGCTGCGACAGAGACGAGAAGATGGTACAGATCATGAAGAGGGAGTAGATGATTGTTTGCATTCCCTGGAGGGAAGACTTTGCTTGGTAGAAGGAGAAACCGATGAAGAGGCCGGAGGCGACACCGAGACCCCACTTGGACAGGACGTAGGAGGGCATGCGCCAGTATTGCTGGAAGACGCGGAAGGTGACGAGGTAGAGCTGGAACCAGAAAGGCATGGCGAATTCAGAGTGGGCAGACTTGTCGTCCGAAGGGTCTGTCTTGCCCTTCTTTTCTTCGTGGATGCGATCGATCTCGGTTTGGATTCCCTTGCATTCCTCGCTCTGCTTCCACACGTCGAACCAATCTTGGCCCTGGGGGTTCTTGCCGGCGTTGACGATACCCAGCATGTACTCGGCGGGGTTCTCGTCGTCTGCACACTTGCGTGCGCCCTTGGCCTCAAAGTAGTCGAGCATGGTGGCGGAGTTTTCTCCAACGGGACCGAAGTAGACAGTCTTACCACCGCGGGCAAGGAACAAGAGCTGATCGAATTGCTGGAAGAGCATGGCACTGGGTTGATGGATGGTGCAGAGAACAGCCTGGCCGTGCTCAGCAAGCTTGCGAAGGAAAGAACAGATAGCCCAAGAGCTCTGAGAGTCGAGACCACTAGAAGAAACGTTAGCCATTAGAAAATCACAGCAGAATGCACATCGAGGTAACTTACCTGGTAGGCTCATCCAAGAAGAGAAGCAGCTTGGGCTTCGCAGCCAATTCAACACCGATAGTCAACAGCTTGCGCTGCTCGACATTCAAACCCTCACCGGGAACACCAACGATAGCCTCGGCGAACTCCTCCATCTTCAACATACGGATAACATCCTCGACGTAGTCGTGCTTTTCCTTGATCGAGACTGAAGCAGGCTGGCGCAGCATGGCGCTGAAACGAAGAGATTCACGCACAGTAGATGTGTCAAGGTGAAGATCCTGCTGCTGGACGTAGCCAGTCTTGCGCTGGAAACTGTCATCAAGTCCATTACCGTTGACAAACATATCACCGGTGATAACACCCATGGAAGTTCGGTGAGCCAAGACATCGAGCAAAGTGGTCTTACCGGCACCACTGACACCCATCAGGGCAGTCAGAGTTCCGGGCTTGACCCATCCAGAAACATTATCCAAAAGTCGACGGGGTTCACCCTTGATCTCGATATCGTAGGACACATCGCGCCAGGTGAAGACGTCAGTCTGGGGCTGAATAGCGCCCATACCCTTATCATCGGAGGTGGTCGTGCGCTCAGCAATAACACCTTCCTTGGAGTTCTCGACATCAGATCCGTTGCTCTGCATGCTGGGAGGAGCGTGGCCACGGCGGAAGACAAGAGCCTCGGCGGTGCTTGTGGTGGCGGAGTTCAATTCGCAAGCGACAAAGTAGATGATCATGAAACCGACCAAGAACGCGATCAGGATACCGAAGTTTCGCCAGACGTGACTGTAGCTATAAGAGTAGTTCAGCTGGATGTAGCGGTCACCATTGACGGTCAACGAGCCGGGCTCCGAGCCAGCAGCCGAGCAACTGAATGCACTGCCCGACAAGTCGGCATAGGAGGGAACGAAGGCCGAGCAAGGGAATTCGTGGCCGTGGAATTCGTTTGCGATCAGGATCTCGAAGGCGTAGTAGATAGGGTTGAGGTAGTGGATCCATTCGAACCATGGGTGCATGGACGGAACGGGGAGGACGAAACCGGTGTAGACAACCAGAGCGAGAATCATAACTCCTGCCAAACCCATTGCCTGCGAGATTGTTTTGGTGACAGCTGCCAATGTGCGGAAGACTGCGCTCATAACAAAGGTGATAACGAACGTGATCAGGAAGTAGAGGAAGAAGTTACCAGCCTCGCGTCTCAAACCAGACAGGAAGTACAGGATGATGTTGAACACAACAGCAAGGGCAAACTTGACTGGAATGTCACTAAGAACACCGGCAATGGCTTCCGTGGCGGGGTGATAAAAGGCGAATGAGTTGTGTTTCTCGACGATAGGGCGTTGGGAGTAAAGATTGTTGATTTCGGACATGGCTGTGAGAGCGTTGAGGAGAACGGCAAAGAACAAGGTGGCACCCTTCGACGTGAAGCCGGCGGTTGCATCCGTTGTCCCGTAGAAGACAGAACCAATAATGAGGGCCATGATGATGTTTGTGACAATGACAGAAACTGTCGAGGCGGCGTCGTTCCAAAGTCGTTGATACGCCCGAACGGTGTTGAGCTTGATCTGCATGGGAACACTGATAATATAAGGAGACTTGGGCCGAGTGTGGTTAGCCTGGGCACCACGCTTGCGTTCCTGGAGCTGAGCAGCGGCAGGCGCATCATGGCCCACGGGGTTCTTTGATTCATAATCGGCGATCTGGGCCTGCAGTTGGTTAAATTGAGGAGATTTCAACCACGCGGCTTCGAACTCCTGAGGCGTGCGAGGAACGCGGTTTTCCATGCCAGGCTTGGCCTGGCGCTCTTGGGGGTTGGTGATCGATGTAAGGAAGTCTCCAGTGGTCTGGCGAGCCGGGCAAACCCAGCCCTGTTCCTCAAAGTAGGATTTGGCACCAGCAGCAGGTCCAAAGTAGACCTGGTGGCCTTCATATAGGACGATCACCTTATCAAAGATGTCATAGATGCTCTGACTGGCTTGGTAGGCGGCGACTGCGTGAGTGGATCCGGTGATATCAGAAGACAGACGCAGAGCTTCGACGAACTTCAATGCGGTGGCCGAGTCCAAACCACGGGTGGAGTTGTCCCAAGCTGCGATTGGAGCATGGGCGACAGCCATCTCTGCAATACTGACACGCTTGCGCTCTCCACCTGAGACACCACGGATAAAGTCGTCTCCGACGCGTGTGTTGTAGGTGTGAGAGAGTCCAAAGACTGCCATGGTAATCTGAGCCACATAACGAGCGTGTTCCGCCCGGGACATGCCCTCGAATCGATGGGCGGGAGTTCTGGTTGAGGCGGCGAACTCTAGGGTTTGACCCACGGTCAGATGGGGGAAGTGTCGATCAACCTGTAGTGACGTGCATTAGCCGATATGCCTTGAAATGTGAAAATGTGGGGACCAGATATGTACCTCTTGGTTGTATACCAGTTCGCCCTTGAATTCCTTGATCATGCGCGACTGGGGAATTCCATTATAGTGGATTTCACTCTCCGAATCCTTCTGCAGACCATGCAGCTCTCCAGTAATGGACTTCAGGAGGGTACTGCAACCAGCACCGGGACGACCCAGAACGAGCAATAGCTCGCCACTCTTCATGAGGCCGTTGAAATCTTTCAGAATTCGCCTTTGAGGCGACTTGTTGCCACGAAACAGCTGGGGAATACGCAGTGGAGCGGACAACGTGGATGAAACCGTATCTTGGTATTGCAACGCAGCACCAGATCCATAGATGTTGAGGTTTTTGAAAATCACGTCCGAGGTGTGTCCCTGGGAGCCATCACGGCTGAGATCTTTGAAAGCAAGCTTGAGCCACTTTCGCAAGTCGAAATTACCGGATTGAGGATCAAGGGTGGAATCTTGTTGGGCAAGGGCGGTTAAGGTGTCGCCTCCCCAGGTCGATTGGCGGCGAGATCGTTGCGTGGCGATTTTGGTGAGAGTCTCTACATCGACCTCATTGATAAGAGTCATAGGGTTGTCCTCCGTTTCGACCGAGTGATTGCCTGTGTTAGGGGGAGATCCCTCATGTTTCTCCTTCAGCTCAAACGAGCTTGTATCCGATGCCATGATGAGGCAGGGGAATGAAAGCTAGAGGGAGGGGAGTGATAAGCGATCAAGTTTGAAACGAAAGATTTTCTCTCACCCTGAGGGGGAGCAAAACAATATTTAAATGTCTGACTGCATATTTGGTCTGGCCGTTTCGGGATGTCAGCTCCCCCTTTGTGCAGGTGGGTCCGGAGACGGATGAACTGAACTATTCACGATTATTGGACCGAGCCGACACACAGTGGAGCGATGATTCATCACTTCTCACATCGGACTGGCGTTCAGGCCCCTTTCAGGCCCTTTTCAGGCCAACATGTGCTCTTTTCCAACGGTTCCAAGTGCAAAAACTTAATGTTCGGCCCGCCCGATATCCCCGCTGAGTCAGCGGCTCTCGATCCCGACCGGGCGGAACACCAAAGATCCGAGATTTATGTTTGCATAAGCTCCAGATCTGTCATCTATGCCGGGGCCATGATCGACCGGCTTGACTTTAGCTTGCGAGGGCTTGCGAGGACCATCCCGTGCCGACTTCAATTGACCTTGATTAACCTCGTTACTTTTTGAAAATAAAAGAAGGAAAGGATCAGCTAACTCATACGCTACTGTCACTTTCTATGACCAAACATTATTTGTTCCAATGAATCTTTTCTCGGTTGAAAATTCGGTCGAATATGGTCCGGCCAGACCTCTCGGCTCGGGCTCTCAGTTCCCGCTGCCGTAGGGTGTTGGCTCCACCCACGTCACGGATTTTAATTCTCTTAAACCCGCTCGGACGCTTTAGTCCGCCCAAAATAAACTTAGGGCTCGAAAGATCCGATCCGATCCAGAAGACTAGCGTCTCGTGGCTAGTGAAGCCTAGTGACACTACTGTATACTGTACATGTACATCCCACTCCACTTTATCCAGGGGCTGCACTTCCTCTTTAATCGGGTTATCCCCCTTTCGTGCACTCTTTCATAACGTTAATGTCAGCTCCTTTGCTTACCTACACCATAATCTTGATCAGTCTTCCTTGGCGCATGGATACACTCGTCAGCGGCAACTTGTATCCATACAATCCCTGCTCGGTGGTAACTTAATGGAGGGCCTAATCGTCCACCGATTCGGCCGGTTCATATTGCCATCTTTATGTGAAACCTGTTCGCATCCTGTCCCATTATTCTTTCTTGGCAGCACGCAAGGTGGCCTAGAGTCGCTAAATCTTCAAAATGTTTCATTGGATATCCCGCTGAGTAAGTAAACATAACTCCGGGGTCCCGACTTATATTATTTCTTATGTCATTACTCTATATCGAAATTGTTCTAACCTCGCTATGGCCGTAACAGGATATTGAGTGCTTTCCGACCGTTCAATATTCAATAACTGATACGCCTTAGCCCCTCCAAGCTGTCTGGAGCGGCCACATAAGTGAGACATCATGTATTGCACCTAACGCAGGGTCCAAAAAGCGTCTCTGAAGATCACCACAAACATAACACGTAAGGTACGGTGGATATAATGATCAATTCACGTTCTATCTAGGCAGCATATTATTATTGTTTCAACTTCGGATTCACCGCACTCCGAAAGATTTATTCTTGTGGAGTGTGGAATGGAGTTGAGGGTTAGGGAAGATGAGGGACTGAACCTTGGGGAAACACATGGTAGGTCTTGGCGTTTTGGGGAAGCCAAGAGTGAGGGGCTGCATCAAGTGAAGCATCTTTCGAATGACGAATTTTTTTATATCGCATTCTATTATGGAAAATTCCAGGCAATCCTCGATTTCCCCCTTGGTCAACCCCAATGGATCTTTTCATTTTCCAAGATTGGAACCTGAGATCCATGTCTAAGGTGGGCTAGCGAATGGCTTATGTGATCATTTGGGGAAGAAATTGCATCAACCCTGGGGCCATTAACGTTACCACGTCACGTCCCTACTAACACCGCGATAATGGGTAGAGGGAGACCCAAATCGCAGGTGGCTCCATGCCGCTTTTGCAATAAAGAATTCAAGCGCTTGGAGCACCTAACGAGACACGAACGTATTCGTCCGTATCCCCAATCCCCCTTGGCTATACTTGTATACTAACCTAGACGTAGATACTCGTGAGAAGCCATTTATTTGTCATTGTGGTCGCCCTTTCTCTAGACAGTAAGATTCAGCCTGTCGAGCTTGGCTTGCATGGTTAATTTTTTTTCTTATAGGGATCTTTTAAATCGCCACGAACGACTGTGCCACTCGCCCGCTAGTATTGAAGAGCCGACTACGGCGAATGATGCTACAACACACCCTCAGCTAGACAATAACACCCCCAATGTTCAAATGCGGGATATGGAAGAATTTATATCAACCCCACATGCAAATTTTGGGGACACTCCGATATATCATACAGGTGTGGAGTTCCAAAACGCAAATCTGCTCTCGCCTGAACCCTATGCTCCTGTTGGTACTTCTCATATTGACGATTCCCAATTCCAAATGGGCGTCGGTCTTGGATTAACAGGTGAGCTGGATCCTTGGAACGCTGATGTGTTTTCCTTCGACAATGTCGTCCCGTCTCATTTCCTGGACACCGATATCTCACTTTGCGATCTTTTTCAACAGTTCCCCCAACAAGACCAGCCGGCAGCTCAAGCAGATCTTCAACCAACTGCAGACCAAGTTGGGCTCACATTGCCTAAGGCAGTCCAGTTTTCCACGCCCGTAGAGACATCGGACTCTCAAAACCCACCACTTCCACCACGGTTTCCATCAGCCAATGACCTACTGCACAATAGCAACCTTGATGCAGGGTCAGACACCGTGGGATACCCTTGGATTCTGTCATCTGCGGCGTACAGGCAGATTGTGGAAAAGGTGGCGCAGAGCAAATCAATTTTACCCGACTTCAAACTTCCGTCTAAATTTACTCTCATTCGTTACCTTGAAGGATACTTTTGTGGCTTCCATGACCACTTACCTTTTCTTCATCCAGTCACATTTGATCCGGGAAATATTGAGCTTCAGCTATTTCTTGCGCTTACCGCGTGCGGGGCATTATACCGCTTTGAACACGCAAAGGCCTACGAACTGTACGATGCTGCTCGATGTCTCGTGGACCGAAGCTTTTCCAATTGTCGGCGCCACACCATGGGAAGCATGACAGTCGGGTCCCCTGCGATGGATAGAAGCAGAAACCCGTATACCTCATCAAAAACTTCACATGCATCCCAATCCCAGTCAGCTGGAAGTTCCACCAATAATACCGAGCAAGAGGCGCAATCACGCTTACAAAGAGCCCAGACACTCATCGTTCTTATGGCCATGAGCGCCTGGGGAGAGCAACCACTTATCCAAGATAGCCTGGCAATGGGAAGTCAGCTTGCCGTGCTTGTACGGGAACTTGGGATCAGCCAGCCCGATGATATGAGTGATATGGATCTGACCTGGAAAACCTGGGCTACACACCAGCAACGCAGGCGTACCTTACTCGTCGCCTATATCCTATTCAATCTCCATAGCATTGCTTACAATGTTCCCCCACTGATTCCTTATCAAGAAGTGGCACTCTGTCTGCCATCCTGCGAGGCAGAGTGGAAAGTTAGATCCCAGTCAAGCTGGCAACAGTATCGATCTGGGTATTTTTACCGGGAGCACGCTTTTGGTACAACATTGGATCGTCTACTCCAGGGCCGCAGTGTTTCAGATAATGGCGCCATCTCAGCTTTCTCAAACTATGTGCTCATACACGGACTCGTCCAGAAAATCAACCTCGAGCACCAAACCGCATGTTGCATACTCTCTGACGGTCCCTCGATGCGCCCAAAGCTACTGAAATCAATGGAGACAGCATTGCGATCTTGGCAATCATCCTGGGAGGCCACCTACGAATCGACGCTCGACCCTTGCTCACCCAAAGGGCCCCTGGGGTTCAATGCAACCGCATTGCTACGACTAGCGCATATCAGACTGAATGCCAACCTAGGACCCTGCCGTGACCTCATCTCCGGCAACCCCGCACGAATCCAGCAAATATTCACCAGCACCGACATAATCCGTCTCGCCCGGTCTCCGTCATTAGACCGGGCTGTCTTGCAGTGCATCCACGCTCTCAGCATTCCGGTCCGCGTCGGCATCCCCTATTTGGTACAGACCAAAACGCTACACTGGAGCATTCAACATTCAATATGCAGTCTTGAATGTGCGTTCCTCTTGACTAGATGGCTGCAAGAAATCGCCAAGGCTGTTGGTGTCGATGGAATGGCAGCGTTGCGCGGGGATGAGCAGAAGCTGCTTGCTATGATAACCAGTCTGATTCAAGAAACACATCTTCAAGAGACGTTGGAATATCGTGAGAATCTTTCAACGCGGATTGATCGTCTCGCGGCTTCAACTGCGCGGCTTTGGGCGGAAATTTCTAGTGCTACCCATGTTTTCAATATCGTGCATCGTATTGGGGTCGCCTTGTCTGCTGTTGCTGATGTTCTCGAGTCGAGGCTCCCCCCGCCCTGTCTACCTAATACCCCGTAGCTTCGCTGACAATTATGTCTCACTACCATCAGATTACAGACTGTATATAAGTGAGGGATACTGTATACTCAAGTACGAATCAAGAATTAATAATGAGATGCACTCGCGAATTTTGCGGTCGTAGCTCAATCCGATTGGGTAGAAACTATATATACCTGAAATGCAGATTCTGTACAGGCAATTTTTAGTTCAGTGATAACAGCAACCGGCATTGTGAACGGTTCAACGAATGAACAGAGACCAGCTGATGTTAATAGTTAGACCTTAAATAATCAAATCATAAACTGAGAGGTGAGATATTGGAATCTGCGTACTTCGGGCGAACACTTGAACACGATTAGTCACATTTGGGGTAAAAATTCGAAATGTCAAGACACATCTAAGACCTCTGAATTTCCACCCCTCACGAGAACGAGCAACTTCCAGAGTGCAATTGACGTCAAGAATGACATGGAACGTAGAATATCATTTGGAGTAGAAATTAATCCATCGAGCTTATAAAGATAGAGTTATACCGATTGTATCCCATTCGAATATTCCAATCAACTCTACAATAACCTCTCTCTTTACGAAAAGAAATGTCTATGCAAAACGTCATCCGACTCACTTCCCAGGGCTCCTGGGAGAACCTTGCCCACTTCAAAGAGTCCATTCCATCAGCCGGCAAAAACGAAGTGCTCATTGCCGTCAAAAGTGTGGCGCTAAACTTCCGCGACATCGCCGTCGCAACAGGCAAATACCCGTTCCCAGTCAAGGACAACGTCGTTCCCTGTTCGGATGCTGCCGGCGACATTGTCGAAACAGGCGAGGGAGTCTCTGGGTTCACACGCGGTGATCGGGTCATTGTTGCCTTCGACCCTACTACGTTGTACGGGCCGATCAAGAATTGGGGCAACGGGCTGGGTGGACCCGTCGACGGTGTTTTGAGGGAATATATCGCAGTTCCTGCCCAGGCTGTCGTGAAGATTCCTGCAAACTCCACTCTCAGCTATGCTCAATGGGCCAGTGTTGTTTGCACGGGCACCACGGCCTGGAACTCACTGTATGGGAATAACCCCTTGAAGCCGGGACAGACTGTTTTGTTCCAAGGTATGTTGATGATTTTTGTCGTCATTTTAAACAAAGACCAGAAGCTGATATTATATCCTAGGTACTGGTGGCGTGTCTATCACCGGTCTGATGTTGGCAAAGGCTGCAGGTGCCAAGACTATCATCACATCTTCTTCTGACGAGAAGCTCAAGCTTGTGAAGGCTCAGTATCATGTTGACTACACTATCAACTACAAGACAACCCCTGACTGGGCAGCCGAGGCTCAGAGAATCACCAATGGAGAGGGCGTCGACTTCATTCTCGAGAATGGTGGCTCGGGAACTATTAAGCAATCCCTTGACGCTATTGCTTATGGCGGTGTTATTTCCGTGATTGGTTTCCTCTCTGCTGCGAAGCAAGAGGAGATGCCTGATGTTGCTGGTCTTGCCTTGGCCAAGGGCGCTGTTGTCCGCGGTATTATGGTTGGCTCCAAGCAACAATTGGAAGATGTGACTCGGTTCATTGGCACACAGAATCTTTCTGTGGCGGTAGAGAAGACTTTCAAGTTTGATCGCGATCAGGTGGTTGAGGCCTTGAACTATCTTGCCAGTGGTCAGCACATCGGTAAAGTCTGCATTGATTTTTGAATGCGCAGCCCCGTGATTTGTTTAGATAAAGTGGTCTGTGCAGTTGTCTTGTTCAATCAAGCTGTTTCATATGCTTTGAAATTGAATATTCTCATTTTGCACTATCAAACGTCCGTTAGAAGCAAATTTCTGAATATTGGCACGGTCAAGATTAACATCAATTTATATTTACGAAGCACTTGTAGTAACGGTATGGTGAGTTCTCAGATAAATTCCAGATAGACTGGACCAACACGAACGTGATGATAGCATTGGTTGCTCAGCCACCGAGGCAAGTGCTATAAAAACCTTGGAAGAGGCGCAAGTCCAAACAGGATTCGTGCGGGGTTCGGGAGCCTCCGATCTGGATAAACAAAGCTTGGCTCCCAACGTCTTCCCACGACATCTCCCCGACCATGGCGGTGCAATCCCTACGAGAGATCAATGCATACAACCTACGCACCTTTAAACATCATTATGTGTCCGAGATCTCAGGCTCGCTCGGCGACCTGGGTACGTTCTTACCCATCGCCATCGCCCTAGCGGCGAACGGCACCATCTCTCTCGCCAGCACACTGGTCTTCTCAGGCATCTTCAATATTCTCACCGGCCTATTCTTTGGAATCCCACTGCCCGTTCAGCCCATGAAAGCCATCGCCGCCGTGGCGATCGCGCTCCATTTCCCGAACGGTGCGATCGCAGCAGCCGGTATCTTCGTTGGCGCCTGTATCTTCGTCTTCAGCATAACAGGCATTTTACAATGGTTCGCCGATGTCATTCCCATCCCTGTCGTGAAAGGTATTCAGGTTGGCGCCGGGCTGTCTCTGATCATTGCCGCCTGCGGTAACATGCTCCACCCGTTAGGGTGGATCGGTCCCTCGTGGGCAGACAACCGTCTATGGGCGATCGCGGTTTTTGTGGCGCTGGTTACGACAAATGTCTTCCGCCGAGTTCCCTTCGCGCTGGCTGTATTCATCCTTGGTCTGGTGTTTGCTATTATTCGTACCGCGCAGGCGGGACATCTGCCCGGCTTCGAGATCTGGCATCCTTCCGGTATGAGACCAACCCAGTGGGAATGGGCTACCGGCTCTTTGAATGCCGGTGTTGGTCAAATTCCATTGACGACGTTGAACTCCATTGTGGCGGTTGTTCATCTCGCTCATGACTTGCTGCCGAACGTGCGCACTCCATCTATCACCCATGTTGGGCTTAGTGTTGCCGGTATGAATCTCCTGGGCTGTTGGTTCGGTGCGATGCCCGTGTGCCACGGGTCTGGTGGACTGGCGGCGCAGTATCGGTTCGGTGCACGTTCCGGTGCTAGCGTCATATTCCTTGGTGTGCTGAAGCTCATTATTGGTTTCCTATTTGGTGAGACGCTGGTTGACCTTCTGAGACGATTCCCTGCGGCCTTCCTTGGTGTCATGGTCATTGCTGCTGGCGTGGAGTTGCTTAGTGTAGGAGAAAGTCTGAACACTACCGGTGCCCGAGATCTCAACCAAGCTGGGCATGGTCTTTTGGGAGGTGCTGAGCAGCATCTGGGTCCCATTCTCACAGATGAGGAGCGAAATCGTCGCTGGACTATCATGATGGTCACAGTAGGCATGTTGGTCGGATTCAAGAATGATGCAATTGGGTTTATTGCTGGAATCCTTTGCCACTGTGCCTATGAGCTTCCTGGGTGGTGGGAAAGGATACGAAGCCGCTGGTCTGAAGGCAGCCTACGCCTGCGCGACTAATCGCTTTGAACAAACATCGACGAACCAACGCACGTCATTCATATTTGTATTTTCGCCTTGTAGAGCAGGCCTCTTCGGCATTTGTCCATTCAAAAGAGAATTGCTGCCTATATTCTCTAGCATGCGGGTATCTCTCTCTCCACACTGCATCTTCGAGGCTTTCTTAGCTGCATATCTCATACATTTCATGAAGACAAATTAGGATTCAGAAGGGTCAATTTTGAAGGGTTTTATTGCACATTATTTGAGATCTCAATCACAACAGGTGATCATATTTGGTTTTTAAGTTTATAAGAATCTATTCACGCCTTTATCATCCCACCCAGTTCTAAATAACATTATGCACGTCAAAACCAGACTTTCTTGGCATGCGTGCCCCAGTACTAGGATCTTCAAACTGCCTCGACTCGGCGTTCCGGGCTCCCCTTCCAATGGTCCTCCGATGCTGGCCAGTAACATGATCAACGTCAAACTCTCCAAGCTGATCATAAGCATCAATCATCGGATCATAAACACGACTATCCCGCGGCTGAACAGCGATATAAAAATCATCCCCATCCCCATCAAGCAACTGTGCCGCAGCCCCACCAGCAAGGATAGGCCCCGAATGCGAAACAAGACCAGGTGTCGGCGTCGGCGTATCATCCTCCTCCTCTAGATCCATGATTCGCCGCACGCCGCCAGCAGATGTACCCCCAGACCCCGAACCAGAGGTAGAGCCTGCATTCACAGGCTCCGGCAACGCCAGCTGTTCCTGGCCGGTACTATCATACCGCCGTTCCTCGATCATAGCTGGCTGACCGAGGTCCTGGTGCGCCGTACGAACGATGGTTGTGCCGTCGGTCTCGGTGTGCGAGGTTGTTGAATAGCGATGACCGGTTGTGGCCTGGCCGTCGTTGCCGTTGGTTGTGGAACTGTAGTAGTATGAGGAACTTGTGAAAGAGTCGGACATCTTGGTGGATTGCTGCACTGGGTGGAATGTGCGAGATAAAGAGTTTGATCTGCTCCACTTCCTCTAAAAAACTGTGTTGACTGGAGAGGGTGAATCAGGTTGTATGTTTATGTATTGCTGGTATAGTTCAAGTTCTTGAGTTGTACTTTGCTTTATGCAGATGCGAAGCCGGCGCTGCATGGATATTGTTTCATATAAGCCCAGTAGGTAAATCCTGGCATTCAATCTCCATTTCTTGTTTTATTTCGATATATTTATACAGTTCCTGGTTGTTGTTTCGTGGCAAGCTCTACTCGCCGCTTGCATCATTGCCTCTTGTGGCGACGACCTTGATTGGAGTCTGAAGAAGGCGAGAACCATCGGAGACCCCGTCAGTCGAACTTCCGGGACTCGAGCAGTACCCCAGAGTCTACAAACGAATCAAAAAGCCAGCTGAATGGACATGGCCCAGCTCGACAGCTTTTATAGATCTGGACGCACGGGCCCCAACCAATCAACGCGATATCAAAATCGCTTATCATCTCATCCCCGCTCGTCCCCTCACTTCTCTGTTTTCCAGAGCTTTCCTCTCCTCCCCTGAACCCCGGAACTAAATCATCTGGGAACCATTTTCGAAGCGCAAAATGCCCGGCCTCACCGAATCCCAGGTCGCCTCCTTTCGCAAAAATGGCTACCTAGTACTCCCAGACTACCTAAGCGCAGACGAAACGAACAACCTAATAAACGAGACAAACAACCTCCTCGCCACCTTCCCACTGGAATCCCACCCCCTAACCCAATTCACAACCGGCGATGGCGAAGACGAAAGCGCCAACCACGTCGGTGACGACTACTTCCTAACATCCGGCGACAAAATCCGCTTCTTCTTCGAGCCTGATGCCTTCAGCACAGAGCCAGACCCCCTAACCGGCCGCCCAGCCCTCATGAAGCCCAAAAACCTAGCAGTTAACAAAATTGGACATTCACTGCATACCCTCTCGCCGCCTTTCAAAGCTGTTTCGCTCAACGAGCGCAACGCAGCTGTTGCAAAGTCTCTAGGATTCAGCGATCCGCGTGTCTTGCAGTCCATGGCGATCCTGAAACAGCCTTCTATTGGTGGCGCGGTGCCTTCGCATCGGGATTCAGAGTTTCTCTATACCAATCCGCCATCCGCGGTTGGGTGGTGGTATGCCTTGCAAGATGCCAGTCCGAAGAATGGGACGCTGGGCATGTATAAGGGCTCGCATACCGGGGCCAAGGGGGGCCATATTAAGCGGCGGTTTGTGAGGAGTGCTAATGGGGGTACTGAGTTTATTGAGAATGAGGGCCCTTCGTTGCCGAGGGGGTCGGAGGAGGAGGGTGTTTCTCAGCCTTCGGATGAGGATCTGGAGATTCTGGATATCAAGGCTGGGTCTCTGGTGCTTATTCATGGGAATGTGCTGCATAAGAGTGAGAAGAATACTAGTGACAGGAGTCGGTATGCTTATACCTTCCATGTTATTGAGGGCGCCGACGGGTGGGAGTATGATGAACGGAATTGGTTGCAGCCGCCTGCTGAGGGCTTTTCGAAGTTGGAGAGTTAAGTTCGATTAGAGTATGGGTTTGAGGGAGAAGTGGGTTTATACATGGTCATTGAATGCTTGTAAATAGTGTCGACTTTTTTTATTCTATGCAAATCCTGTACAAAATTTGAATGGCCCGCCATGTACACCGAGTGTGTAAATCCCAGATACCCCGAACTCCAAGTTGTGATGGTCGGAACAGATCAGGTCGCCTTTAGCATGTCGAGCATTCCCTTTGTTTGCCATGCTTGCTGGGCCATCTCGACCTCACCGCGCACTCTGGTATGCAGACGCTGCACCATCTTGTCGACTTGTGTTGACTGGCCCAGGTTGCCAGAGTAGATATCCAGGAGGTTCATAGCGACCTCGACGCTGAGGCTGACAAAACGGGGCTCGCGGATGCTCTTGTGAATCCACTGGAGAACGGGCTGGAGAGTGACCTCGTCACGGTCCTTTAGCGAAGCACGCAGAGCAGAGCGGTGGCGCAAAGCAGTGAGACATGTGAGAATGGAGGTGGTGTCGCCAGAGGCAAGAACGGTGTCCAGCGCAGTTGAGTAGCGCGCCTTGCGGAGGTCGTGGTCCCATGGCTGTTCTCTCTTGCGCTTCTTGCTGTCCTGGCCTTCAATAACGATTTCCACGCCTTCTCCGACGAAGTCACGTCCACGCAGACGCTTCTCCCATCCAGAACCGCGAGTCTTCTTGTTCTTCTTCGCGACTTCTCGGTCGTGCTCCTCCAGCTTACCCTCCAACAAGGCAGCCATTTCCTTTCGGCGCTCCTTCTCCTTGGCCTTTTGTTGACCGGACAGACGGGTCTTGATAGAAAGCAAGCCTGACTGCATACCAACAGCAATGTGCTTGTCCTCATACTCGGTTCCAGAGGTGATGGCACGCAGAGAGAGAATAGGCGAAGGATACTTAGAGCCAGAGACGGGGTTCCACCCCGTGGTCTCGAAGACTTTCATGTGTCCATCAAGCGCACCACTGAGCAAACGCTCACCATTAGAAGCCAGCGCCAGAGCAGTGACGGTCTTCTGGTGACTCTGAATCATGTGCAATGGCTTACCAGCCACGATATCCAGCACAGCAATCTTGTTATCAGCTGCGGCAAGAACAGTGGTGCCCGAGGGCATGGGTAGGACGCTCTCGATTGGCGCACCCATCTTGAACGTCATGGCGGCACGGCTTGCGACGCGAGGATCCCACAAGCGTACAGTGCGATCATAAGAACCAGTGACAACAAGACCAGAAGAAGCCATTGAGCCGGGCATGAAAGCACCACTGCGCACGTAATCGCTGTGGCCGATAAAGGTGCGCGCACTGCCCTGCGAGGGCAAGTCCCACAGACGGACAGTACGGTCGTCACTGGCTGTGAGGACGGATGTAGGGTCGCTGGGCGAGAACTTGGTCACCCACACGGGCTGCTTGTGTTCCTTCCATGTCTTCAGGATGGCGCGCGACTTGACATCGAAAACTTGCACGGCACCTGTATCGTCACCGGTCACCAAGACACGGCCGTCGGGGCGGACGTCGGTACCGCGCACGGTATCATCAAAGCGGGTGATTGTCCGTAAAAGTTTGCGGGTGCGAATGGAGTAGATTTGGACTCGGGCACCCGTTGTCACGGTGAAGACATCGGGCGGTTGTGTAAGAGATGGGAAGGCCGCGCTGGAGGAGGGGACAGCGGGCTGAGTAACGAGGTTGACTGGACCATTGGCCGGCGAGGGAATCAACAAGGGATTCTTGAAGGTGCGCCAGTATTGCTGTTCCGGCGTTAATTGCGTCGAGGGTAGCGAGGCGAGCTTGACCTGCTGCAGAGGCAGGACGGGGGCTGCCATGGTGGCAGTGGGTATCAAAGGACAGTCGAACGAAGAGGATTAGATTTCAGGTGATTAGGTTGAGCAATTAATGGTGCAGCTGGGCGGCCGACGAATATCGTGTTATCGTGAAGTTCATGAAGACCATCTTTTTTCTGCCGATCAAAAAAGTTCGTCTGGCCCAATCGGGAATGGTGGCGGTAGCTGTTGTGGCCTGAGGCTTCAAGTCTGGCGGTGTCAGCCTCAGGCCGCAAGGCAGAAATATCATCCCCGTTCTCCCCATTCCTTAAACCTTGCGAGTATACATGGAAAACATAAGCGAGCGCGGGCATTTGAAGATACGGTAAATCCCGATCCGATATGACCACTCATATCAGAATTTGCAAAAGATAACAAACTGAATGCTTGATCCTAGACATTCCATCTCCAGCACATTCACCTCATGGGCTGTTGGGAGAACAAAAGTGATATATCGTTCATAGTTTTCCAGCCTTCTTAGTCTTTGCACAAGTCTGGACTCTCTTACAGTATTTCAAGTGCCACTAGCTCACTCGTGCATAGGGTCTATGTGATATAGCCTAGCTGACAATTCACACGGCCCATTCCAGGATACTCCGGATATCCATATCCACAACGTGCTATCGTGGAGATCGGCTAATACAAAAAGGTATATACTGCAAATCCCCGGCAAGGACATTTCCCACTATCCACCCTCGCACAGCCGAGATCAGTGCCGTTTCTGCCTTGTTAATAATAGAAACCTTGGGGGCTAAACAGTATGATGGAATGGGGCAGTGAGGTACTGTAGGCAACATCGTATTAAGTCATACGATATACAATATGGAGCAGGGGATAAGTATCATAAAACAATACTGTCTCAGTAATGATTGACCATGTATGAGATTCAGTGGATATGCAATAAACAGTAAGACGTATACACCTGTAGGTTCTGGTTCAATCACTGGTCGCTATGGCGATGCGGTGGGGGGAAGCAGATCCATCGGGGTGCAGCTTAACCCTAAAGGTGGGGGAGCCGCGACAACTTGACAGAACCTCACAGCTGAAACCGGATTCCTAAAGTACTGTAGATTGTCTATGACGATCTGATCTGGACCTGATCGCCAATCGTAGTGTTTTGTCTGTCCCACTTCAGGAATGCAAGTATCGGAGGTGGCTGGGGAGCTGAGATCCACACCAATGCCTGACAGGGGTTGGGTGATACAGGATTGAGTTATACTATTCTTCATGGTCGATGAGTGGTGATGCTCACTAAGATATCAGGAGTGTAGGCAACAAGCAAGTGAAGCAATAGACGAGGTTGTTCGAAGGAAGTTCATTGTTGATGTTGGTCACGTATGGTAAAGTCTGGTAAAATGTTGATAAAATACCCGAGTCCAGGCACAGGCGCCAGGGGTTGCAGCCAATGACTGGCCCGATCTGATACACCCCAGCCACCTCCAATACTGTAGACATTCCATTGTGTTTTCTTCTTCTTTTCTTCTTCTCTTTCGCACTTGAGACAGGCTTGAGTCTTTCTAACACTTGGGACTCAATCGCCATGTCGACCAAACTCACCCATACCAAGGTTAACCATGCCGCCGGCATTTTCGCCGATATCTCGGTCGATGGCCCTATCATTGGTACCCTGGTTGCTATCATTGATCGCGCCAAGAACCTGCCGAACCGCAAGACCATGGGAAAGCAGAACCCGTATTGTGCTGCACGGTTGGGCAAAGAAGCCAAAAAAACACAAACAGACCTGCGGGGAGGGCAAACCCCTCGATGGTAAGCTACGATACAAACGGTGGAGGGGATGTGAGCTGACATCATTGTTTAGGGACTCGGAACTCCGATTCACCGTTTACGAATCCCCAGATTACTTCAAATTGAAAGTCTCGGTGTTCAACGACGATAAGAAGACTGATATGATCGGAGAAACCTGGATTGATTTGCATAACTTGGTCATCCCTGGTGGAAGCCAGAACGACCACTGGCACCCGTTGCAGTGCCGCGGGAAATACGCTGGAGATATTCGAATTGAAATGACCTACTACGACACACGAGAGCAAGATGAGGCCGTGCTGGAACGCAGACAAGAAGCAGCAGACAAAATCCAGGGCAAGGTTCCCAGCGCACCCAGCAACACTGGATTATCTGGCCCTCGGCAGTTGAAGGACGTCAAGCGTCGTCCCCTACCTAGTGGTCCACCTGGAGCACCAGCTCCAGCACCAGTACGACCAGCGCCGGTTGAGCACGTTCACTCTGCGCCTCCACCCCTTCAGCACCCAGCTCCGTCTAGACCGGCAATTCCTGAACATGCAAACTCCATGCCTGTTCCTCCAGAGCCCCTTTCATTTGCCCCCAGAACAGCACCCGTGGAGCCTGTATATGAAGAGCCCTTGTATCGTGCACCATCCCCTGTGCCCCCTCCATCTCGAGGTGGATACGAGGCTGTTGATCCTTATCAGCAAGAGTGGGAAGAGCAAGCTATGGTGCCTGTTTCACGAAGAAATACTCATGAGATCGCATATCCTGTCCAGGAAATGCCCGACAACCAATACGAGCCTCGTCCTCTGCAACCGCGGAGCCAGTCTAATTATGATCAGCCACCCTCTCGAGACTACCGGCTAGCTAGACAAGAACCGGTGTACGAGGCAGATATGCGAGGCAGAATGTACAGCCGCGGACACCAAGATCACTATATGGATGACCCCCGCCATAACCCAGATCCTGCTTCCTATGGGCCTGCGGTACATGCGTACGAGCTGCCAGCTCAAGAATTTCCCAGATCGGCTTCCTTTTCGGGCCCGGTGGATGACCCCAGATACCATCAGCACATTGTTAGGCCCCTTCAACTAATGGGTCGTCCTGAAAATCATCCCGAATATGCAACAATGCAACCCCGAGTTGAGGATGAAGATGAGGATGGAATGATGCCACCTCCACCGCCGCTCCACCGATCTCGAGAGCCGCAAACTCAAATGCGCACTCCCAGAACTTCAGCACACACGTACATGCCTTACACGCCTAAGCACCCTTCTTCTAGGCCACCAGCCACCAACTTGCCAACGTCAATGTCTACGCCATCTCATATAATGGCACATGCTGCAGCCGTGCCAGCAAGCTTGGTCGCTGGCTATGAACCAGAAGATGCATCCGAGAGAGCAGCTTTTGAAAGGTCGATTCGGAGACGCAGCTCGCACTGGGACGATGAGATGATGATTTCCGATGCTCCTGCCTCGGTTCCTGTCACAGCACCAGTTCTCTACGAAGCTCCCATCCATCCTCTGAGAACATCCCCTCGGCCTGTTGCCGAAAGACCAACCTCGAGCAGAGGAGGAACTGGATCTGTGAGCCCCGATATGCGCGCAGTCACCCGGAAGTCCGTCAGTCCACGGCCGCCATCCTCAGATAGCCGTGGGGGTTCATCAATTCCCTTCTCCCCTGACTCCTACAGCACCCTCAATCACCATACATCTCGTCCTTCTAGCAGAGATCCTTCACCAGGCTACGATTCACCCGCGCACTCTAGGAATTCTCTGGTACGCGCCAAGAGCGAGCCTCCTCGAGACGCTGATCAACCAATTATCGGAGACGACGGCCGCGAGATCGACCCATCAGACCATCTCCCAACCGATACCTGGGCCCCAGAGCCAGAAAGGAAAAACCGCAAGCCAGAGGTCATCATTCGATTCAAGCACTCAGCCCGCCCGACGTCACGAGGAAACGAGTCAACAACTTCACGGGTAGCAGGCCCACCCCGTGTAGGCTTCAGAGCCGAAACCAGCTACGACCGCTCCCCGAAGAAGTACACCCCAACCCATGTCCACGCCAGCCCAGGCTCAATGGTCCGCACTCCGCCACGGGCGGACTATACACACGGACGATCCGACAGTTACACAGACAGTCGCGGCTACAACACCCCAACCTCAACAGATCGTCCTCGCTCCTCTCGCGGTTCAGTCTCTCCATCGCCTAGCGCTCGCTCTCCACTCTACGATTACAACACCGGACCGGTGATCCCTTCCAAGGTTCCAATCACCCATGGTAGTCCCAGCTACCCAGTGATGTCCGGCAATCCCAACGGCCGCATGGACGCCTTGAGTCGCGAGCTTAGTACGATCGATATCGGTTCTTGTAGCCCTGCTCGTGGAGCTGTTCGCAAATACGTTCCTCGAGCATCAGCGTCTATGGGCTACGCCAGCTAAACTTTTCTCTGCTTTTGTTTTCCTGCCCTGATTGCACGTTATGACTGATGTACTTATGTACTGCGATGTGGATCCTGAGTTATATCCTGGTTACAGCTTTCCCCGGCTGTTTATTTTATTTTATTTTAGTTCTTTCTGATTGCATTGGTTTTTGTTCTCGATATCCGGCAAAAATGGCGTTTGGTTTCGGGTCTGGTGGGTCTGGGTATTGAGGCTTTTACATTTTGGTCATGTACACATAACGGAATAGCCGATGATACCTTACGAAAATCAATCTTGATTTCATTGTTACCTTAATGGACTGCGCTGTAGGGCTGCTAATCTGGTAGATTATTCACGCTATTCTCAGATGGCTTGGGGGCTACTTATTAGCTGACCTTGTGACTTTCAAGGATGAATCCATGTGCCCATATAAAGTAGAGCTCCGTGTGGGGCCGCACGTTTCAGTAAATGAGTGGAGCCTGTCTACTATAACGTCATGTCAACTTTCAGGACTCCGTGTTAACTCCTTGCCCCGACAATCTAGCGGTAAGATGCAAAACGTAGAAGCAACAGCAGACAGCTTACAGTGATGATGCAGATGCAATCTCAGCACTTGCTCACTATTGTCAGGAAGGGCCAATTTTTCTCTCCTTATTGCGTTTCGCTGACAAGTCTCATGCTGATGCACAGAGCGCAAGTGGAGCCCTAATTTCCTAATCGGGACTACAGACACATTATCTCAACAATTTTAAGCATGGCCGGTGAATCTCCCCCCTGAAGTGGCGTATCAAAGAAGTCTAATTTTCGGTATTTCTGTATCAGGATGTTGCCGTAAAATCCAAGGCCAGGTCAATTTCTACTGTTGTCGCTGCCGTGAGGGTTGTACTGTCCTTTTCAGTTTTCATCGAGGTTTGGGATTTGCTATTGTAACCATCTGTGAACATTATTAACGGATTAGTCTTTGATTATATCTCTAGCTTGGGTCAATTTTCTGGTTCCATGGCTTTCAACTTTGCACTTTCTTATATCAGTTCATCGATCAACTTGGAAGATCTCTAATGGGCAGTTCGCGAATACCGCCTTTTCTTTATTGTTAGCTTGTTCGATAATTTATCTTCTTTTTCATGTACTTTAATGTCAAGAGACTACGGAGACGATGTAGACACTTCATTTATAACCTCTGCTGTTTTGGCCGAATCGTGACTGATATCATACTCTTCCACTGTTTACTCAAGCTGTCCGTCTGTTCAAGTATCTTTACTCACCCCTCAGTGGTAGTTTCAACTCCAGTTTCTCTACTGCGATGCCTCATAGGCTGAGTAGAGACGGTGAAGGAACAAGACACTTACAATTCAATGTGCCGTTTTCAAGCTCACATTCAAGCCTAAGCCTCGTAGCTCGCAGGCAAGTTCCCTCTCAGATCCCTCGCCTTGAGCAAACGCGCCTTGAGAAAGTGAAAGCAAACACCATCCAATATAAAAAACCTATCTCGTTTCTAATTCCTCTTCCTCCTCTCCTGTCCTCGTCATCCTTTATCCACATCCTTCCTATTCTTTGGGCTTCCATTACTGTATGAGACCCCTTCATCATCAGATATCTTCACATCATTGTCTAACATTCGGCATTCAACACAGATGCATCCAGCTCGTCGGACCACCTCGGGTCCTGGAGGTCCTGACAGTCCACAGGACAGACAGACTCAAGAGAAAAACGGGTACGTATTCCAGATATCAAGAACCTCATATATCTCATCACTTTTCATAACGATTATCTCTCACGTTTATCACCTATCTCAATCCATCGTGATATGGATCTGAACACAGCATCTCATGCTGTTACGGATTATGGCTTCAATACTTGACCCCCCAACCCCCGATTACACATGATATCTGATACTGGATTTCTTGAGAGATTTCCTCTTCCTCTTTGTCCTCATCTTCATCTTCATCCTCATTGTCGCTCACACATCTGAGTATCTTTTACCCCACGCTCTTGAGTGACTCTTCATTGGGATGTCTTCCCTTTACTCTATCCTCACACAGAAGCCACTACCGTGCTGATCTGAATATCATCTGCTAACACCTTATGCTCAGTATTACGGGGTTCACTTCGATTAACGCAACCCCCATTGGACCTATGCTCCAGCAAAGGGGGTACGCTCACATGCTTTCTGCATTCGACTTCTAGTTTACTCTTACTGTCGATGCGTTTGAATACCATCACAGTCTGGAGATCATCTACTAACATCATCTTTCCACTCAGGAATCTTGACGCCACTTTGCAAGATACCGATTTCGTGACAGAGGAAACTGAGTATGCATATCTGCTTTACCTGGTTATTCTATTTCTTAGACTAACACTTTGATTTTAGACATGCACGTCTCGCTGCCCTCACTACAGCTGAGCCGCTAGATGAAATTCGGTATGTGAAGCTCCTTTTACTTCGTTATCTTCCTTTGCCTTCGACCTGGCTTTCTGTTCACCTATCGGCATACATACGAAGGAGGGTTCAAGGTGATCAAAATACTGCACAAATATGCACACTCGAAGCCTTTGCAGCTTTATGGGTCTCTCAAACAAGACTCATGGATATACCTTGACTTCACGAGAGTCAGTATAAGGGATATTTCTGTCGCTTTTGGCATTTCTTCGTCAGCATGCTATACATCTTGCCATTAACCCTTGGAGTTAATGAATTTCTCTCGTGTCTCCTTCTATTATGATATGATATGATTGAACAGATCTTACTAACGATTCTCATCCACCCCAGAACTGCTCCATTTGAGCCTTACAGCACCCTTGATTGTCCGCGGAGAATAGAGCTGTAAGAATACAAACCAACATCATGCCTCTCCCTATCTCATTCTCCACTATTGGATTTGTTACTTTTTCCTCACTTTCAACACCCTCACTTGGGTTGTGACAGAAAAAGGTTCCTTGAATGAACTTGGCTAACTCATTTCACTTATATAGCCTCAACGCACCCTTTCCTGAATCATTTGGTCTTGATGAAATCTCCAAGCACAAGACCGACTCCCAGTCTCTCCCTCGTTCTGTCTTATCACCTCTCCCAGGATACCCGACTTTGAGTTCTTGTTCTCAGCCAGGTTCTGATCAGCCCCCTTATGCTACAGCACACACCACTCGAAGCAGATATGACCCAGCACGTGGAGCGGCATCCAGAGCAAACAACGACCGCCTCAATCCATACGATCGTCGATACCGCTCCAGGGAGGATCAGCCTCCTGCAAGAGCTCGCAGCAGAAGTCCCGATACCAAATCCATGACCCTATGGGGAGAAGATTCCCACCGGCATCCCCTGCCGAACTCCGGGGATGACAATGACCAGCTGCAATCTGGCAGATTGAAGAGCTGTGGGCTAGGAAAGGAGCTTGTGGAGTGGAAAAAGGAAGAAGAGCAAAAGGATCCGGCGTGCGAATTCTCGGCCCCGTGTCGAATGGGACCTTCGCCGGACGGAATGCATTGGCGCAAAGTCGTTTCTCATGTCTTCGGTCGAAACAAGGCATCGACAAAGCTTTTTCCTCAAGATGTCTGGGTACACTACTGTCGAAAGCACTACCAGCGTGCTCGGTACCGCGCAGATCAATGGCCCTTCACCCAGTGCGATCTCCTTCTCGAGTCCTTGAATAGGATGGAGAGATGGGGCGGAGTTGAGAATTTCCAGTTGATCCTCCGCCGCAGAGAGCAGCTTCGGGTTGAGAGCGAGCCAGCCGTCAATGGAGACGAGCCTCACCGAGGAAGAACACCCCGTATCTCCGCAAGCAGAAAGGAAGCGCGCACGCCTCGTGCTTTGGTGGCCTCCCAGCGGAGCCGCAAGCACCCAACCGCGATCAATGCACCTGTTCCTCTGTGGCTTCGCGGGCTGGTTGGGAAATCGAAGTCATTTGAAAATATTCGGGAGCTGATCGAGCATGTCCGTTCATACCTCGGTGAACTTCGGAGAGAGGAAAGGGAAGATCAAATGGCACTTACCATGAGCCCCAGTCTATCTCTGAGTCCTCGCCACGCCGCAGGGAAGGCTCGGAAGCGAAACGGGAAACCAAATGGGGTGAAGAATAATCAAAGATTACAAACGAGCCGTGTTCGCTTCCCTGATGTCGAGATTCTGCCTACTTTCAAGCCTTGGGTTATGGAGGCTGACCTGCGTCAACGAACACTCTGCAAGCAGGAAGCGAAATCAGAGAGGCAAACCCCACGGCGTTCTGGAAATCCACGTCAGGTTGAGATCGATGATTCTCATGACACTGAGAATAGTCTGATCGCTCCTGCTGGCGTTAACCTTTTGAATTCTCTTGTTTCGAGTTCGCCACTATCAGAACACACCACCTATGCTCCAGTTGGAATGGAGCCCTCGACGTCTACCACTGAGCTGGACCAGCTATCTTATGATCAAACACAGCCCCGTATTGAGATACTAGGCAGGAACAGTGGAAACTTAGAGAGCGAGCACTGCCGGGGTCGGAGAGCCTACATCGAGTCACTGAACAGAGTCTCCGGTCAGGGATATGTGAAAAAGACTCACGAGAGGAAGCGCTAGGAGTGTTATCCGACTGCAGCATGGCTTATTGGCTAGTGAAGGACGCAGATTGCGATACCTTGAACGCTGCTAAACCTCAACATGATATTTTCTTGGTTTTGTTTATGTTCTATCTTTCGTGGTTTTCTTATTTTGGGGTTCGTTCTCTCACGTCGATGGTGTCATTGGATGTTGAAGAGATGCGGAGCGACTGGCTCGCCGGCGAACGACCTTGTTGTTGTGTTGCCAGGATGTTCGAGATGTAATGTCCTGTTGTTTTCCCAAGTGATCTTGCCCCTTGCCCAATTCGCGGCCTTACACAATCAACAAGTCCTCCAAGGGTTTGTTTGCCTGGTATCTCGGCGCTTACTGGACATGGGCTTCGACCAGATATTGCCAGCCATGGTTTGTTTTGCCTTTGTTTTTGTTTTTGTTTTGGCTATGTTATCTTATTCCTGGTACGAAGTCACGGTAGTCCGATTGCTGTTTTGAACATCCACAAAAGGAAGCAGGACGGAAAGACTTGGTCTTTGTGGCTGTTGGTAATGGGTCTCTTGGACATCAGATACAGAAGACATCAAACTTCTGTTGCCACGTTTGGCAAGCGAGTGCTTCGTCAGGGCTTTGCGGAAACAAAAAGAGATCATGTTGAACCCCGATCAAAATATTGAAGATAGGAGGCAGGGGGTATGACTCGGCGACTTTCATTTCTGCTGCTGATGATTTTACTGGTGATAGATAACTTGAACGGTTGTTGCTACGATTGGCCTTCAGAGATTTCACATATGAATCTTGGAGTCGATGTCAAGAGATGCTGTTTGGTAGATCGTCATCTGTTGCTAGAGATGTAGTCATAGCCTTCTCCGCTGTTCCGTGTTGAGTTCCGTGTGCAAGTAGCCTAGAATATCTTGTATGCAAAACCCGTGTTCTTAGTAATCTGTTTCGGCTATGTGTAAGTTGAATGTACGCCAGTCATGTATTCTACTATGATATAAAGAGAGATAAAACGAATATAATCAAGCCCGATAATCAACATATACTCCGTACAAGCTATAAGTTATCATGAGCTCACCCAGCATCAAACAGACCTAGACCACGCTTGCTAGAAAAAAAAAAGACAACAACCGAATGCAGCAGAACCCAAAAAGAAGCACTATGCAAGCGCAACCACCCTCACTCAACAATGAAAAGGCAGTATGGACATGGAAAAGATTAATATATGTATGTATCATGATCGTTTTGTGTATGAACAAGAGCCGAGGCCAGATTCCCATCCCTATCCCTCCATGATAGCTGATAAATGATAGTAATAGTCAAGCCTAAGTTTAACTTGCCACAGCTAGCTGGGCCACGAGATCAGACGCTACGTCCAGGAAGGGGTAAGGGCTGGTGAATTCCTTCTCCTTGTTCATGAACCGCTTGCTGATGGGGTGCCAGTCTGTGTCACCGTTGGCGCGGATGACGTTCTGGTAGCCGTCACATTTAAAGTCGACCATGTAGTTGTTTTCTTCGAGTTGGTACAATTGAATGTCGATGAAGACCCAGACACCATAGGTGATGTTGGGGAGCCCGCTTTGTTGGTTGGCTGAGGAGGCTCCGGATGCGAGGCCGCTGTCTGGGGCGGATGACACGTGGGATTCTTTGCTCTTGTCGTCTGTTGAGGCAGGGATGTTGAAGCGACGGCGCAATTCTTCTAGGTCGCTGCGGCTGTTGTAGACGCTCGTGGATGCACCTGGAGCCTTGATACCTTCTTTAAGAAGGCGTGCGCGGATGAACCAAGGATCCTTCGGGATATAGTAGTCGGAGGGGAGGTCGGGATATTTGCTCTGCAGGGGTTTGGGCTTATCGGGGGAAGGAGTTGCATCAGGGCCAATGTTTGTGCCTGATTCGACGGGCTCAATGTCCCAAAGTCCACCTTGGGCGGCAATTGCCCGGTACAAGTACAGCATAGCCTCATAGGGCTGGTTCCGGGATCGAATACCAAATTGCCACTTACGGCTTCTCTTGGGCTGTTTTTCAAGGGGTTGGCCAATCGGGGGTTCGAAGCGCAGCTTGTCCAGATCAACTACACTCCGTGAATGGGGCTTCAATGCCCGGACTGTGGCAGCCTGCTCTTCAGCTGACATATCCCGGTAAGCAGCACCCTGGCCATCTTGATCAAGATGGGCCGCTTCTTGAAGCCGTTGCTCAAGCATTTCGTGACGAGCTCTTTGCTCTCTCTCACGTTGTTCCATGAGCTGGTCATGAACATATGGCAAGCTAGTGGGGAGGATTCGAACATGGCTGATGCGTTCTTCCTCAGTATCTGTGGGTTGAGCATCCTCCGATGGCTTGCGACGAGAGACACTTTGGGTTCTGTTGACGACAGCAGCGGGAGTCGCCTGCGTTCGAGGAGCAGGTGTGCGTTCTGCAGAAGAAGGCGCAGCGCCTCTCTGCTGAGGGACATTTTGAGCTAACAAATTATCTTCCGTAGGGGCTTTTACACTTGTATTAGCCAGAGGTCTTGGGGGAAAGGGTAGGAAACTCACAATTGGTCTGCATCATCTCATTCTCAACAACGATGGAGAACGCATCCTTAATTGCGCTGGGCTCGGGGTGTCGCAGCGCTTCTTCAATATCCTCTCGGCCATAACCCATGCTTCGCTCAAGCTTTGAGACTGCGATACGATGGATCTTATGCTGGACCGGCGCTGGCTTGGCGGGGTCGAGCTTGCCATTATCAACCTTCTTGGGATCCACACCTGGCGCGATGAACTCCTCGGGTGGCGGTTGCAAGTAGGGAGGGAGGCCCTTAGTGAACCAAGGGTCCTGTCGGATCTCGGGGATGGTAATTCGGTGAACAGGGTGAACCTGGAGCATTGCCCGGATCAAGCGGGCTGCTCCAGATGAGATATATCCAGGAATGTGGAAAGTACCCGCCGCGATCTTCTTGAAGAGAGCAGGGATATAGTCATCATCAAAGGGCAATCGGCCGACCAACAACACATAGAGGATAACACCACAACTCCATACATCCACCTCGGGTCCCGCGTAAAGCTTGCCAGAGATGACCTCCGGGGCCGCGTAGTTTGGACTACCGCAACTGGTCTTCAGGAAATTTCCATCTGTCATAATATTACTCAATCCAAAATCCGCGATCTTTACGTTCTTCTGGCTGTCGATCAGCAGGTTCTCAGGCTTCAGGTCACGATGGACAATTTTGTGTCGATGACAGTATTCCACGGCACAGATGATTTGTTGGAAGAACTTCCGGGCCTCATCATCACCACACCTTCCCTTGCGCACCAGGTAATCGAACAACTCGCGCTCGGCGTATTCCAGCACCATCACAATATCGGTCTTGGTAGCAATCACGGTATACCTGTTCGGAAGCTATGGGTCAGTCATATGAAACCACAATGGCACTTGGATCGCGGGGGTTCGTACAATTTGATAATGTGAGGGTGTCGGAGCAATTGCAAGTACTGGATCTCGCGCTCCACGCGACCAACCATGTCTCGGGAGAGTAGCTTGCGTCGTGAGATGATCTTGAGAGCCACTTGCCGGCCACTTGGCTGGTGAATGGCGAGCTTCACCTTGCCAAAGGACCCCTCACCGAGGATCTTCACGGTCTGGTACTGGTCGAGGCGCTGCATGTCCCGCGTGGTGGAGGGGGACTGTGTCGGATCCTCAATCCTGCCGGTCGGCCTCGATGGTGGGGGCATTGCCATCGCTGAGGGATTGGAAGGTGCCCTTGGAGAACGACTACGGTCGGCAGGGCCAAGGGGGATGGCGAGGTCTTCCTCATCGAAAGCGGCGGCCATGGTAGAGATATGACAACGTGACGTGATTGATTTTCCGGTTCGGCCGCTGCTGACTGTACGGGGGGAGAGTGGGTTGTTTTTCTGGCTTTCTATTTTTGCCCTCAAAACATTGCCCGACGCCAATCAGTTGGGTAGTCTTCTCTCCACAGCAGAACCGAGGGAGGGAACTGGATGTCTGGCGGGGGTAGTGAAATGGAGGGGTTGATGAGGATGGAGGATGAAGGGTGAAGGATGAAGAAGATGAAGAGAGCGACAGGGAAGATGGATGATCTCAAACAAGCAACGTGCTCAATGAGGTCTCGAGCCACGACAGACAGCTGGGCAAGTCTGGGGAGTCCAGTCTGCCCCTTACTAAGCTACTCCTCTCCACCTGAGAATCTCACGATGTTCCTCACGTGGGCGTACACTTAGCCCCTCCCAACTTTGGGGTTTTGGACTTTTTTCATATTGAGTGTTTTCTGATTGAATATTCCAAGGACTCTCTTGCTTTGTATTTTTCAAATCCAATTACTATTTTCATACTTTACCTTGGTGTCCACTGCTATCTGCCAAAACAGAGAAAAGATATACAAAGGGACGGATATATATGTATCGCTTTCGATTAGCCCAGGACCTCAACATCCACATCTTATCAATAGCCCTAATGCACCTTTACACCTTATTTCTGATCACCCGTTGGTCTGTGTTATCCACTAGCCAAATCTAAGAGCTTTGAATTTTTTTAGTTCAAGAAAATTTCCTTGCCGAGGCTCCGAATGCAACTGTGTGTCATGGCGAGTGGGTCAAGACCCTGATGAATGTGGCTGAAAGTCAATTGATTGAGAATGTTCAGATTCATTCATCTTCTCAGGTGCTTAGAGCTAGTATAAAGCAGAGTATCATGCGTTGGAATTGAAGCAATTCCACCTCCTGTCCCACTCTACATGCATACGCCTCAGTCAGCCCTAGTGCTCATCAAGTGGGCTATGCACGAGCACAGCCTGTGACCCCCCAAACATGAAGAGAGATCATAATATGCTCATCGACATAAATCCAGCAGTATTGCAACTGCAAGAGATACATCATAGTATGCTACAAAGCCCACAGGTACCTGTCTCACCATAGTCAACAGTATGACCGGGGAAGTACCCCGATGCCTGAGTCATATTGCGGCTTAGAGCGATCAAGCGGGGGGTCGGGGTCTCAAAGGGGTTTAGCGTGAAGTCGGGGACCCCGAAGAGGAAAGGCGCTCTGACAGCCCAGCGCATACATAGAATCAACGGTTGCCTCAGGTCGGTTTCTCACCTTCTGCGGAAGCCAATATACACCCTATTCCCCCTATACAGTCTCAGGCTTCTTCGTCTCTTCTCCCCTCCCAGACCTCAGATCTGTCTCTCGGCTTAACTCTTGCCGACCCTTACTCCCACCGCTGTCCCTCTTTGACACTCCACTTTTTTTCAATTTTTAGATACCCCCAGTGATACCCATTTTATTCGTGATTTTGTTAGTTATGGCTTTCGTTGGAGATCTTTTCTTCCCTCAGATGGATGCAACCCCCACCGAGTGGGTTGACTTTGATCAATTCCTTGACCTTCCTGCCGGGTACGAGGAGGTGTCGCCCTCGGACACTACCATCTCCCCCCAGGACTTGGCTCTGCCCTACGCAGATGATCAGAGCTTCATGTTTACTCCTTCTCCCTCTCGAGCTCCGCAAACCAACTGGACAGGTGCGACCAACTACCACCTGCCCCAGGAGGATGTGATGGGCTACTCGATGGATGGAGGATACATGCCCGACCCCGCTGCGCCTTTGTTTGACGATGCTTCCTTCTCGGGGTACAACCCATATGACAGCAGCATGGCATTCCGAAGTCTGGTGGAGGCGCAGGCTGCAGCAGATCCTCGCGTCGCTTCTATCAAGGAGAAGCGCCGTGAAGCAGCAATCGCATTACACCTCCAGCGCCTATGTGATGCCACCGCTCTTGATCTAGACATGTCATCGGACTCCAATACTAGCTTTTCGTCCCCAAGCTGGTCCGACTACATGCGCGAAAGTACATCCCCCCAACCCGCGCGCCCCAGCCGGGAAAACACATCTGCCCCCGAGGCATCTCCTCCAGGGGCCATGGAGATGATCCTGGACCTCAACATGAACGCTACTGCCAACGTTCCGAAAAAGCAAAAGCCTCGTTCTCAGGCACAGAAAGAGAACTACATCAAGGCTCGGAAGTATGGTGCTTGTGAGAAGCACAAGAAGCAACACAAGCGAGTAAGTGATACCCAATTCATTGACCCTTCTCTCCTGGAACTCTATTGAGCAATGCGCTGATATTCGAACAGTGCAACTGCCTTGAGAAGGCCGCTGCCATTGCTGGAGTCACTGACGTACCGATGAATGCCGCGTTCCAAGAAAGGCCGAGGCAGCCAATGCTTCACGCGCCAGTCCTTCCCGAGGCGCGCTATTCGGGAGCTGTGGGACACGATCCGTTACTCAGTTCACCTCAGGCACTCCCGACGGTCAAGGCTATTAGGAAGCCGGCAAGCACTTCTGCGGGACATGATCCGTCTATGAGACTACCGGTTGAGACCCCATCCACCGCAGGATGTCTCCAAACGGCCAAGGTACCAAAGAGCACCCTGCCTGCACAAAATATCGCGACATCTTGTTCGAAGAATACTCCGCCGGGACACGATACAGTTCTTGTATCTGGCAAGCCAACGTCCAAGACTTCATCGGGTCACGATATCATTCTAGTGACGGGAAAGACCGTTGCGAAGAATATTTCACCGGGACACGACAGAGTTGTTGGATCTGGAAACCAACATTTCCAGAACTCATCGGGACACGACGTTGTTCTCAACTCGGGAAAGAGTGCTCAGCAGAGCACATCATCGGGACACGATATCGTTCTCCGAGACGAGACGAAATCAAGTTCCTCCCCGACGTCACGGTCAAACCGCGTGTCTCGTGGCAAGTCGAGCTTCAGGTGGCGTGTATCGACGCTCGCGTCGATTGGTGGTTTGACCACCTCCCTGGCGAACTACAACGGGTGTCGTCCAACCCATCAACCCCTGGCCAGGTCAGTCATCCTTCACTGGATGTACGTCCCAGGGTCACTCGGTCATCTCGTCCCGTGGAAAATGCTTCTGTCTCTTCGACAAACGTACCAGGTACACTTCAAGAACCGATTCCAATGGCTGTTGCCAGAACACCAAGGTTCAGCCAATCTCCACTGGGATCTCGAAACTCTGGAGTTATGAGCGTGCATGGGCACAATGGCCAACAAGCTGGTTCCGACAAGAACGAGGCATTGCGGAGTTTATCCTCACTTGTCTCTGGCGGGTTGCAATCAGTATCAAGGGATCGACTGCCCGCGCCGTCTCGGCGCGGTGCTACCGATCTATTTGGTAATGGTTTCTCTCGTGTTCCATCTTTCATTGGCAATGGCGGGTTCGCTATTGCCACGATCTTCGGAAACAGTCTTGCTCGGCCGCTTTGCGACACTACTGGAGGTGTCTCTTACAACATAGGTCTCGCGCTTTCTGGTCTTCGAAACTTGTCAGGTGTCTGGCAATTGCCGGAATCCTTGGCATTGTGCTCGGAGAACTTGGTTGACAAGTGTCTATCTTTCTCTGGTAGACTGCTGATGTCTGCTAAGAAAGGCTTGCATCAGCTAGGTTTGCGAACCGTGGGGTTCGTATAAAGGAAAGCGTAAGCTTTTGAGCGCCTACACGCTCAAGCTCGATGCAGATGAAGCTCCGTTGCGGAGCTCAGGTTGGTCGATGAAAAGAATGATGGACCAAGAACCATGATATCATTGTTGGTATAAGAAATACGTCTAAAGTAGACTTGCTCAATGGGATTGAAATTACCCCAGATCATAAAATTACGAATTTATTTATAATTAAAAGTCCCGTCCCCATTCACTAGTCCATCGTATGCAGCAGTAAACCAGGCTGGTCCCGCCAAGCTCAGCCCCACGTTGAGCCCTAAAGCTTCCGTCCCAACATCTCTTTCTTCTCCAACCACCATGTCAGAATCAAAGTACAGTTACACCACAGTTCCAGGTTATTTCCTGCAGGATGACCCGTCCACTGACCCAGCCACCTTCGACTATGTAAGTAAACCCACGCCAATTACATTAGATATCAGCCCGGTGGAGCCAGGCGATGACGTCCCCCAAACACCCAACACCAATATCCTCAATCTAATGCACCCAACCAGGCCAAAGCAGACTTCGGCCTGATCGCCAAGTCCTACGACACAGAAAAAGAATCAGAAAACACCCCAAGTAGCCAATGGCAATCCTTCGCCGAACACATCAAAACCCTCAACGCCAACCCCCACCAAAAATACAAAGTCCTCTTCCTAGGACGACACGGCGAAGGCGTCCACAACGTCGCCGAGACTCGCTATGGCACGAAAGCATGGGATGTACGTAACGACCTTGAATTGACCCTTGAGCCCAGTAAAACTTTGATTACTAACCCCGTTTAGGAACACTGGTCCCTCCTAGACGGAGACGAGCACGGAAGCTGGGTCGACGCCCGCCTTACCGAGAAGGGAATCGACCAAGCAAAGACCGCCCACGCTGCTTGGACCGAGCAGATCAAGAAAGGCGTTCCAGCGCCGCAGACTTACTATGTTAGTCCCTTGAACAGGTGTCTGGCTACGGCCCAGGTCACCTTTGCCGGTTTGCCTATTCCTGGCACGGAGCCGTTCAAGCCTATCGTCAAGGAGGTTGGTCATCTACTCCCCTGTTACTCTGTTATTCTCCGAGCATTCCACAGTACAAATCCATGTCTATGGATGGTATACTGTATATGTTATGCTATGCTATGCTATGCTATAACGTTACAACAATATCTGACTCTAACCCAGCTCCTCCGCGAAACAATGGGCCAACACACCTGTGACAAGCGGTCTCCTGCAACATCTATCAAATCCGAATACCCAGAATACAGCCTAGAAACAGGTTTCACGGAAACGGATGAACTCTGGGACGCGAAGACCCGCGAATCAGACGAAGACCGTGACGCTCGACTGCGTCGGTTCCTGGACGATGTCTTCGACTCCGATGACAATATCTTCGTTTCTATGACTGCCCACTCTGGTGCTATCAGTAGTATCTTGCAGGTTGTTGGGCATCGCCGGTTCCCGCTTGCAACTGGGGGTGTTATTCCTGTTGTTGTTGCTGCCGAGAAAGAGACGGTGCAGTCTACGCCTACGCCTGCGGCTGCGTCTGCGCCTGGCTCTGCGCGCGATCCTGAGATGATGAGGACTTCTATGGCTACGCTTATGGCTTTGCTTGAACGGGCTGATGGGGATGGGCGGTTGTCTAAGTTGATGAGTGCGGTTTCGGGGGGACGGGCGACGAAGGAGGAGATGGAGGAGTTTACGGCTATTGTTAATAAGCAGGCTTTTCCAAATGAAGGGAAATGAAGTAGACAGTGAATAGAGAGATAAATCTATCTGGGAGTGAGATTGAAAGTATTGATGGGAAATTTATTCAGTATTGTACATGGGTCACTCGGCTTCGGAATGATGCGAAGTCGCGAGCGACTTTCTCTGTCCCAAAATGCATAGTTCTCGCCGAATTGGCTAATGGCAAGACAAATGAAACCAGATGGTTCGACGGCGTAACCCGAAGAGCTAGATATAAATAATACAAACGCCAAAGTATCACAATTTACCAGCTGTAGTACTGGTTCTGGGTGGGAATCTTGCGATCCGGCAGTTGAGTCCAGAGCTGGTCGCGGCGAGCACGCTGGGCCTTGGCGTCGCGGTCCTCCCATTCGCGGATGCGAGTCTTCTCCTCCTTCAACAGGACAGAGATACCTGTGGTAGGGGGACGCATCATGTTAATCTGACCACGGGCACGGTGGTCCATCTCACGTCCGTACGGGCCACGGTTAACCCAGGCCTCCTGAATGTAGATATCGGTGGGCTTCTCGATCTTCTTGCGTTCGCCGCTCTTGAGGATGACGGTAAGGGGCTTGGACTCCTTTGCGTCATCGATACCCATACCGGAGCGGACAATGGCGACGTTCTTGGCGTGTTCGAGGTGTCCCAAGACATCCTGGGCGGCCTTCTTCTTGCTGAAGCGCATCTGGAGAATAGCCTCGTCGATGTTCTTGCCGGCGATCTGTCGGGCCAGAGGACCCAGCTTCTTCACTGACGTCTTGAAGAAAACGGATTTGGAGAGCGATTCGCGCTCGGTGCGCTTGATCTGGACATGCTTTGGTAGACGACCTCGCTTGCGGATCTCGCGGACGGCCATTTTTCTCTCCCAACTCAACTGGGTGTTGGGATCTGGCTGGAGTCCTCGTTGCATAATGTTGTTATCGCGTGGAGATTTAGTTTCTTGAGCTCCTTGTCCCCTGGAGGGCATTTGGCCCTTGGACGGTTGGAAGTCAGATCCGAAGATCGATTTGGCGCCTAGTGAACTTTCATCCTTCTTGGGGGCTGCGGGTCGCTGGGTGACTTGAGCTGTTGGCACGCCACCACCGATCATGTTCCTCATGTTGGACCACCATCCACCTGAGGGTTTGTCGGCATTGGAATCCGCGGAACGGATGGGGGTTGAGGCTAGTGTTCGTCGGGGCACGAAGGTGACACCGGTCCGGGCTACTAGAGAGAGAAAAGAACAAAGGTCAGCAAAGAGAACGAACCAATTGAGCCCATAACATACCTGTCCGGACCATCCCTGAAGAATAAAGTGCCATGGCTGTGTTGGGTTGTTGATGCAGAGAGTCCGGGAAAAAAGATGAAGTTCCCTGCACTTGTGGTCTGTGCGGGATGCCGCAGCCTGAGGCACACCCAGTATGATCGATCAGAATAGCGTCAAAGAGGCAACTTGCGACTTGGGGGGAAGAGGCAAGAGAACACTGAGAACTGCCTGCTCTACAACTTGGACTTTAGACGCGGACAGCTTGCGCTCTTCTTTTGCGCATCGTCACTATTTCTCTTCCTAACCCATCTCCACAGTATCCACTAGCCCTCATCCTCAGTTCTTCGCTCTCTTTTTTGTCTTTCTCCTTCATCCCTCTCCCCTTCCCAGGCCATCTAGCCTGCGGTTCACATTCTTCGCTCCTATTTGAGATCTCTCTACGCTCTCAGATCTCGCTTCGCGCTCTTGTCCCTCGGCTCGGCCATTCCCCGTTCCTTTCAGAACGCCCATTCCTTTGGACCTTGGATTTCTCGACCTACCATCGCCAGATCAACACCGCGAAAGAAAAGCTTGAGTTCGTCGCGCAACCTGCGTCGTGTAAATATCCTACGTCACTTGCATTCAGAATTACGAGGAGGGGGACCTGGACACAACTTGCGCTGGTCGATGCAGGAATGGACGTGTTGTTGAGGAACTTCAAGACTGTCGTATGATCTGGATCTCTGCTACTTCCAGCACTATCCGTGGATATTCGACGGTGACAAACCTTTCTGGTACTTTTGTCCTTAACCGCTCAACTCGAGTGATCTAGCTCCATCCTCCCACCAACATGGACATCAATTTCCTCCTCTCGTCGGACTCGAATCCGAAGTCTGGAAATTCGACGCCCGCACCCGCTCCCACTTCGAACGCAGCGCCCGCTGCAGGTCCTTCCCCCACAAGGCTCTCCAAAGAGCTCGTTCGGGCCCGAGACGGAAGGAAAAGACGTCGTCGCCCCTCGCGCAACAGGTATACGCCCCTTCTGGGATCCCAGAATCTTCGCCTACAGATGGCGCTGCTTCGGCTGGAACCAAGACAGGTGGTGGAAATGGCACATCGCCTGTGACCGATGGTCCACCGTCGAGACAAGCCTCTACACCTGGGATGGACACTTTGGCCGACCTGGCCTCAATGCAGCACCACCAACCGCAGCGTCCGAACGCTGCTAGCGCGCTGCGAAACACCCAATCTTACGAGCACCAGCTCTCTCCGTCGACTATTCACCCCCATGTAAACTCCGTCAACCACAATACCCCTACCTCCCGAATCTCCTTCGATATCGCCATGTCAGACGGACGGGATCCCTCGAAAAGGACCTACGCCGCGACTTCTCTCGAACCTGAAGCGCAGCGGTTGGCGACCGAATTATTCCAACAAATTTCCTTGAACCCCCACACGCACGATGCGCACGTGCGATTCATCGGACTGCTGCATGCAGGATTTGTTAATCACGTTTACCCGCCGAATAATCCTGATGTACATGGCGACCCACGGCGCTACGACTTGCTGAACGATTTGAAGACAGCCCGCGAAGAGATGGACAAGCTTTTCGCTATGGGAGAAGATCTCTGGGCTGAATGGATTCAAGATGAGAGTATGCTTGCTCATGATGTTGACGGTCGGATTGCTGTTATGGAACTGTGCCAGCGATCGGTGGAAGAGGAATTTGGCAGCACAAAACTCTGGAATATCTACGGCGAATGGGTGCTTTATCTGTACCACTCCGCCCATGGCGAGGCTAGCTCCAGTCAATGGACTGAGGAAGATCGGACAATTGGCCGCGAGGTGTTTACCTGGCAGTCAGTCCTGCAAGTATGGCAGAGAGGTGCAGATGCTACCAGGTGGAAAATCAACGACAGTCACTTGGTGTGGGACCGCCTGCTCGATCTGTATGCCCAGGATATTGCCCGCACTCCTTCGCAGGAGAAGATCAATCGCCTTCGAGGACTTTACGATGTCCGTCTTCAGACCCCGCATGCTACTTGGGACCAGACTTTCCAGAAATTCTCAGGCTTTGTTTCGAGCTATTGCAACGCCAATTATGAGGAAATCATGTCGGAAACGGTGGCTCGGGCTGCGGAGCCAAAGACCCTTTACAACTCACGCGAGGAATTTGAACTTCGCTTAGCCAAGGTGCAAGAGTCTGGTGATCGTGCCCTTGAGTGGACTGTCTACTCGGAGTACATTGAATGGGAATTGACTCGTGATCGACGAAAGCGAGGAGAATTCAGTTTCGACCTCGTCAATGCTATCTACCAGCGCGCCGTCCTTCACTACCCTACCGATGTGTCTCTTTGGGAAGACTATGTCATGTTCCTCATCGGTGAATCGCTGAACCGTCGTACTTCTACCACAGCCATCGCGACTATTGATCGTGCGACCCGCCATTGTCCCTGGTCCGGAAACCTCTGGTCTCAGTATCTACTGAGCTCGGAGAGAGAAAACCTGCCGTTCCAAATCATCGCTGACATCAAACACAAGGCCACTAGCACTGGACTCCTCGACGCCGGTGGGCTGGAAGAGGTTCTGAAGGTCCATGTCACTTGGTGTAGTTACCTTCGCCGACGTGCCTTCTTTTCGGAATCTACGGACGAGGATTTGGATGTCGCCGAAGTTGGTATCCGCTCGGCCATCGAGAGCGTACAAGAACTTGGCGAAAAGAAGTACGGCCCTGCGTACCAGGGCGATCCCCTCTTTCGCCTGGAGCGGATTTACATTCGTTTTTCCAGTGAAAGCGGTAGCTGGGACACTGCGCGTGAGACCTTCAAGGGCCTTGTGGCCCGCCGTGGTAGCAGCTATGAATTCTGGCTTGCTTATTACGGATGGGAACTCATTTGCTGGAGCAAGTTCGTTCAAGGAGAAGCAACAGTTGATGCTGCGCGCCGGACTCCCAACCCGAGCTACGCTACTGCCGTTTTGAAGAAAGCGCTCAAGCGAACCGATCTTGATTGGCCGGACAAGATTGTCCAGACTTATATTACTCACTGCGAGGATTACGAGGACTCGGACGAGCTACAGATGGCTGTTATTGAGACCCGGAAAGCAATGAGAGCTGTCACTGCTCGCCGAGAACGTGAGGCACAGGAGCAAGCGGCATTGGCCCAGCAGCAGCAACAACAGCAGTGGGAGGCCGCCATGGATGCCGCTCCTTCTCATGAGAAGAGAAAGCGCGACGATGCGGAGGACATGCCAACAAGTAAAAAGGCTCGCAATGAAGAAGTCAGTGTCAAGGAAGAACCGAAAGAAGAGAGCCCTGCCGTTCTCCAACGGGACCGAGAGCACGCTACTGTGATTGTGAAGAATCTACCCCGCGACACTACCGAGCATCAGGTTCGACAATTCTTTCGTCATGTGAGTTGCCTATTCCACCTGAAGTTTTGGATATCTGCTGACTATAGGTATAGATCGGTACTATCAACGGTGTTCGATTGCTAAAGGGAGACGACAAGAACTCCGAGGTTGCGATCATCGAGTTCGAAACCAAGGACGAGGCTCTTACTGCCGTGACCCGTGATCAAAAACGCTTCAACGACACCGAAAATATCATTGACGTACAGATTGGAGCGGACACGACGTTATGGGTCACCAACTTTGCTTCCACTGCGGATGAAGAGCACATCCGCAACCTCTTCTCCAAGGTATGTACCTTTTGTGTGGTTCTATCATATCTTTACTAACTCATGACTAGTATGGTGAAGTGATTGACGTTAGGTTACCCTCCTTGAAATTCGATACCAGCCGTCGCTTCTGCTATGTGCAGTTTGCCACTTCAGCTGCGGCCCATCACGCTACAGAGCTTAATGGAATGCCGAATGAGAAAGGCAGGAAGCTCGTCGTCAAGATCTCTAACCCCACAGAGAAAGCTGCTCGCAGCGGTGCGAGATACGATGGCAGAGAACTCTACATTGTTAATATTGACTGGAAGGCCAGCGATCAAGATCTGAAGGAGGCATTCACTCAGTATGGCACCATTGAAAAGGTCCACATTGAGCGCAAGCCCGACGGTGGCAGCAAGGGCTTTGGCTCCATTGTATTCTCATCTAAAGACGAAGCTAATGATGCCCTCGCAATGCATGAGAAAATGTTTATGACGCGTCCCCTTCGTGTCCAACTTGCTCAAGCTGGTGGCCCGGCCAAGCGCACCACCAACACCACCATCTCTCAAGTTGCTACAGCGGGATCACCCCAGGACCAGGCCAACGGAACAGGCCCAGGTGAACTGGAAGTACCGGTCGGTGAGCATGGCCAGCGCACAATTGCCTTGATGAACGTCCCCGACACCGTGAATGAAGATCGCATCCGCGCCCTTGTCGAGCCGTTCGGCCACTTGGTCAAAATATCTCTGCGGCCGGACCATCAAGGTGCTGTGGTGGAATTTGTCGACACTCACGACGCTGGTAAAGCCGCGCTGGCGCTTGAAGGAAAAGAAATTGCCCCTGGACGCCCGCTGCATGTGGGCAGAGTTTATGAGCTGAAGCAACAACATGCCGAGAAAAAGACCAGCAAGGTCACCTCGCTCAAACACGAAGCTCCAACGAAGAAGATCAGCCTCCAGCCTGCTGGACCGATCAAACGCCCCCAGCAGCCTGGCGCGCGCGGAGGCCGAAAAGGTGGCCTCGGACAGAAACGATTCACCGCAGCTCCCAGTGAAAAGCAGCCTCCTGCGCCGGCGACTTCGGACAAGATGGACACCACTACGGATGGTGACAGCAAGCCCAAAAAGAGCAACGATGATTTCCGCGCTATGCTTCAAGGAGGCCGCCCGGAATGAAGTGCAAGTGCAATGACAGTTCCTGGCGCAATTGTTTTATCTTTACTCTTTTTGATACGGCATGTATCTGGCTGGCGTTTTATGATTTCCGGTGATCTTGATGCTTCGCTCAAGACCCGCATGTTCTCATTCGGATCGGCCTTTTGCGCCATGCCATGACCTATTCTTTCTCCCTCATTTTTTTCCATTGTGGCACCATGCCGTCGTGTACATTATGACTGTATTTTGCTCTAGTTTTAATGATGATGTCTTATCCGAAGGGTTGTCTCCGACGCCCAAAGAGTGATACTCTATTCCACAGCACCGACATCGGTATGTAATCGTAGCTTCTGTAAGATTGGCGGTAACAAATGACTCTCTAATTCTTCAGTGAGACAAAAAGCTTGAAAGTGTACCACCACTGCATACAAAACGGCCATCCGATTGGATCCTACACATGCAGCGATCGTCATAGCGCATGGACATCTGCCTTGATTTGGCTTGCGGGGAAGCCAAGTACATGTCGAACGATTCAAGTGAAATTATATCCCGCATTGCACTACACTATTGGACTATTGGACTATTGTTGTATGGTAGTATCGCCGTACTATATTGCAGGGTGGTTCCTAATCCGTATAACCTCGTGATCTCTAGCGGTGAGCTTATCGGCCCGCATCTGAGCCCCCGGACTTTCTTGCAATACCACCATAGCCCCCTCCTTTGTTTCTCTCCTCCAACTACTCGCATTCCTGGTCTTCTCCTCTATATCACCTGCATACGTCCGTCCGATGCGCAGGCCGCTATCGCACGAACTACTCCCTACATCCATACAATCACTTTCAACTCGAATCCAGGCAGACAAGGGTAGGCAGCCATGGATTTCAACTTAGTGCCTCGCGGCACGGATCGAAATTACACCGGCTTTTTTACAAAGACTATTGTCTACTCGGCGACACTTGTTATCTTCCTTGCCTGTGAGTTGCTGTCCAATACTCCGATCAGGACCTGAGATCAGTCTGGGCTGTGTCTGGGCCAGATGTGCCATGATCTAATGCTAACCAAACCCGGCGACTAGCATTCGGTCTCACACTTTCCTCGATCATCGTTCCGAAATGGGTTAGCTATCACAGTGAAAAGGTATCTTTCCATCCAGTCGCAGTCGCAGTCTCATAGACTTGTGCTTCAAGCCTAAGCTCTAAGCTTGAGTATCAAAGTTCCAGGCTAACAGTTGATCTGCTCCACCCAGCCCGCCCACCATTACTCCTACGGTCTCCACCGCCGATGCTCCTCGCTCACAGATACCTGCGAAAGCTTCCCTCAACGCGAAGACTGCCACGGCGAAGACAGATACTTCTGTTCCATGTGGCGGTCTGTCGGGTTCCTGATGTCCTTTGCTGTTGTGTTGGAGGGCATTAGCATTGTCGCATACCTGGTCATTCTCTCTGGTGGGAAACGGCTACGCGAGAACGGATGGGGGATTCTAAGTTTGCTGGTTTTGGCATCTGTTGTTGTGCAGGCGGCTAGTATGTCGATCGTGGTATGTTGACTTGGTTCTTCGTTGATAAATTTTGTTGGTGGGATCGAGGCTGACTGTTCCTGTCTACAGGCATATCTCTTCGATAACGAGGATCGATTTTTCGTCGGCTGGAAGCTGGACCAGTCTTGGATCTTTTGCACTGTCAGTTGGTGTATTGGCCTTTTCTGCGCAGGCGCGGTTATTGTGGCTGCCAAGGTCCTTCCTTCTGAAGGTGGATATGAGTTGATCCCTGACCATGATGAGCTGAGGAATTCTTAAATGCTGCTCTTGAGTATTAATATATGGCGAGGTTTACGCGTACACGGATGATGAACAGGGCAGGTTGTTATGCTGTCATATGCCATATATAGGCTGTTTTATTTGGTTCTTTCTTCTTTCGTTCGGATATGTTTTTGGCGTTTGGGATGGATATGTCGTTTTCTACTCGGGAATATGCTACAACTAATCGAATGACGGACAAAATTATGTCTTTGTTTCTATGGACATCTCTGATGTATCTACCACCCTGCATATCATTCCGGATCATTCAATCAATCATATCTTCGTGTATCGTTTTGGTGACCTTATAGACAACAATACACCATCAGCCAGGCACACCACTCTAGAAAAAAGTAAAACAAAAAGTAACACCCACACGCAGCAGATGACACAAAACAGCCCCAATCTCAAAAACTATACATCACGGCCAGATCAAGAAATAGCAACCTTGGCTTTGACCTACCAAACAATCTCTTTCCCATTCAACCCTTCAACAGCAGGAATCAAAGGCCGTAACGCGTATCCATAATCACCGCCATTAGGCGTCCTCAACAGCGTATGAATATGGAACTTCTTCGGCTCCTCATTATTCAAGAAAACCCCAGAATGATGATCAAACTCCACAAGAATAACCGGGCTCTGGATGCGATAATAGAACGGATCTTCATCGCCAAATCCACCAATCCAACAGAAATACGTCTCCTCCTCATGAGCCCGAATCTGCTCAATCTTCAACGCCCGCGATTTCGCAGGCAGATACAGCAAATACTGCTCCAGAATCCCATACATTAGACCCTTCTGCTCGTCGCTAAAAGTCGACGCCAGAATGCCCTCGTATGGCACTTCCCGGTTATCCCGATACGCGCCACACAAGTGTCGCTGGTCATCCTTGTTCCAGCGACCCGGCGGCATAGCTGGATCCTTCATGAGCGCAAAGACCCGAGCCGAGGATTGCAACTCGGCCGAAAGAGACTGCATCAGCTGCAGGCCGAGCTTTTCCTCGAGCTGCATGATGCGCGTGCCGGCATGCGGGCCGGCGTCAATCTCGTTCGGCTCTGCGCCGGTGAACCACGGCGAGGCGATGATCTGGCCCTTGTACAGGAAGATGTTGAGACACAGGTGGTGGCCGTAGAATGACCAGCCCCAGGGCCTGGTTGTGGAGGGTTTGCCGAAGAGGACAAAGTTGTAGCTGAATTCGTTCATCACGCGGGTGGAGTTGACCAGCTCGCCGAGGAAGTGGTTGATGCGCATGGCGCTGACGGCCTTGTCGTAGCCTTCGGGCGAGAGCGTGGTCTTGAGGACGGTCATTACTGCGTCGCGGATTTGAGGGGTGACTTCGTCCAGGCGGATTCCTTTGTGGGCGAGTAGGAATTCGGGATTGGACCATGTGCGCCAGTGGGGGGAGTCGATGTGGTAGTTTATGGCTTCTTTTTGGGAGTCGGTTAGTTGGGCTGTGACTGCGTTGGTTGCGTCGACGATTTGTTGGATGGGCACTTCTTCGTCTTGGAGCGTGAATAGATCTGGGCGGACGGTTCCTGGGGGTTCTGTTAGACTTCTTGTATATGATATATAATGTAATATGGTATTGAAGCAGCAATTGTACTTACCATCCGTAGTAACACCCTTGAACGGCTCCTGCAATAGATCCAACCAATGCATGTACAGCGCATGCAGCCAGGGCGGCTGATGTCCTGTCTTGAAATCATGGGCATATTCGTGTGCATCTTGCTGGCACATCACCTCGAAGCGCTTCAGGCTGAGGTCTGGTAGATACTGGCGGTACTCGCCCGTGGGCTTTTCCAAGGTTGCCTGGTTCGCCATATTGATAAATTAAAGTTGATCACACGAAATCGTCGGAATCTGGGGAATTGACTTGAAGAGAAAGCAAGACCCAACAGCTATTATAGCTTGCGACAACCCCACAGCTGTGAGGCGACGAGACATCCCCACGCTTGTGGGGATTGTGGGAAATTTCTTATCCGTTCGGTTTCGGTGGCAAGCTGGACGTTGGCCAATCCGGATGCTCCGGAAAGGCATTTATCAGGTTCCTGGTCTCATGGAAACACTGCATGTTCTTCGTGTGGGATTGGAGGACATTTCACGGGAGCTGTGGTCGAGTGGGCATAGGGAACGGGGAAATAGCTCATGGCAGTGAGTTGGGCTTCAAGTGCCTTTCTTCCCCGCCACATCGCCAACGGTCCGCCATCCACTAACGCATCCTTTTATAACTTGGTCTCGGCAAGAATATATGAATCTAATATAAACTAGAATTTTTAGATAGAATCGTTCTTGGACTCGGATCTTCCGGTCACGGATTGTCCGCCCTCGGATTCTCCCCCGCATCCCAAATATTCCGAGAAAAAAAAGAAACAGCTTTAAGTCCCCAGACCCCCGCGATCTTCTTCTACTTTGACACATCACATCTCATATACTTCATATCATGTCACTACAATTCACAAACCAACCTCCTGCATCGCGGGTCCCATATGCCATCCCTCAATTGGAGGGAGAGCGCATCACTATCCCCGGCAGCAAAGGTGTTTTCCGCATCTTGACCTCTGCAAAGCAAACCGGTGGATTGATGGCCGTGTTCACAAGCGGTGCTGTTCTTTCCGATGCCCCCGGCTTCCACTACCACGACCACGCACACGATGTATTCTTGGTGACAAAGGGCTTCTTGAAGCTCTATAATGGAGACCAGTGCCGGATTATGGGTCCGGGTGACTTTGCCTATGTTCCTCCGGTATGTAAACCATCAACACCATTTAGGCTCATGCTAACCTCCAGCGCAGAAAATTGTTCACATGCCCGATATGATTGGCCCCCATACTGAGCTTCAAGGCTTGATCACTCCCGGTGACTGGGTCGACTTCTTCCGTCATGTGTCAGAGCCCTATGAAGGAGTCCTCGTTCCCGAGAATGATAACCGTGATTTGAAATCTCTTCTGATTCCCAAGGTCATGGCCGCTAAGGGCCAGTTCGATGTTGTTTTCCAGCCTCACCATGTGCCACCCCCGGTATCTGAGTGGACGAAAGAAGATGAGAAGTTACCCGAGGGTCCAGCGGGATACTTCCTGCGCGCGAATACCGGTCCTAAGTGGATGCTCGGAGGTGTAATGTCTCGTCCCTTTGTCACTACAACTCAGAGTTCTGGGGTGTGTGCCATCTCCAGCATTGAGTCTTCCAAGGATTACGACAACACTGTGTTCTCCAAATATATGACTTTCCCCACGGTGGATCACTGCTTCCTAATTATGGAGGGTGCGCTCCGGGTCAAGTTGCAAGGTGCTGATGATGCTGTCTTCCGTGAGGGTGAGACTGTTGTTATTCCTGCTGGACAGGCATTCTCCCTCGTCTTTGAGAGCAAGTTTGTCAAGTTCCACTCTTTCAGTGATGGCGATGGTATTGAGTCACTGATTCACGCTGCTGGCAAGCCATTTGAGGGCGCCGTGCTGCCCGACCAGGCACCAGAATATGAACAGTCTGAAGTGGATTCAGCAGCAGCACGGTTGAATGTGCAATTTTAGCCGAGACCATTTTGATCTGTTAGACTGTATAAGTTATAAGTTATAAGTTAGTCGAATATAGCGTTGCCACCTCCCAACCTCAACAATTTCCGACTAGAACATGCAATTCCACCTTCAAATCTGAACTCTTTTCTCTCTTTCTCTCGCCCCCACCAACCGATTAGCCCCAAATTGGCCTCTTTCACCCCGCATCAAACGATTGGTCCCCGGATTTCAGTTTGGCTTGCATTTCCCCCCATGCGTCACGTGAAGCTCATTCTCCCCGGAAATCCCGGCCACTTCCAATTATCCTCTTCGACTCCACTGTAACCTCGACATACATCACATTGTTTCCTGATGTCTAGATGATGCAAAATACACAGTCTCCGCTTCCCCTGGCCGAGGAGCAGTCTGCGAAGCGCGCCAAGAGGCCCCGCGCTGCGCAGGCGTGCGACCGATGCAGACTGAAGAAGTATAAGTGCGATGAGCAATATCCCTGCTTGCATTGTAAAAGTGGGTTTCATGCGAACCCAGCAAGGATTGCACCTTACTCATTTTTATAGAAAGCGACCTTGTTTGCGTCTACCAGGGCAATTATCGCGAGCGCGAAAGCAGTCGCTCCGCAACGTGAGTGTTCTGCCCGGACCATATTCCTTTGAGTGGACCCTGAGATCATACCCATATCGCGCAAAACTACTGGACACTAACAACCCGACAGCTATGTTGTCGACCTCGAGAAGAAGGTCGAAGAACTGACATCAAGACTTCGTGCGGTGGAGGGCGGCTCAGTCGTCATATCGGGAACTTCGCCCGCCGCGCCCAAGATCCCTGGTCAAAACCAACCAGACGGAGCCGAAACAACTCCATGCTCTATGCCCCGTAATGGATCCACGCCCCGGGAATTAGCCAAAGTCAACGAGGCACGAGAGCAATCCACGGAGAGTGCAGAAGACGAGCTGAATGAGTTCAATCACCACACGAACGGCGTCGAATTCCACGGCAGTACCTCCTCCGCGGCGATTCTAGGCCATCTGAAAAAGTCGCGCGAGCCTAAGAGTCATGAAGAGCCGTATCCACGTGCGGCTGATTACTCGCTCATCTCGACACTGCACAATCCCAGCTTTTCGCCTTCTTGCACCGCTGGACCGGGGCAGATGCTGTCGATTGAACAGCAGAATTACTATTTCGATCAAGCTCATATTTTTATGAATGGTTATTTTGAGAATATCCATTTCATTCACCCGCTTATTGATAAGGAGGATTTCCTTTTACGCGCTAATGACCTTTGGTTTAATCGATCGCGCGCCCCTGAGCCTAGTTTTGTTGCGTTATACTTGAGTATTCTGTCGTTTGGGTCTCTGGTGCGAGTTTGGGATGAAGGGACCCTGGCTGGCCTGGGGCGTTTTGAATGGAGTCGGAAGCTGTTTGCTGAGGCGCAGGTTTACTTGAATCATCTGAAGTTTTCGAATGATATCGAGACGGTTCAGTGTCTCTACATTATGGTATGTTCTTACCTCGGAGTCTGAACCTGGAGCTTACCCGAAATCAGGCCAAAGTCTGTCAGAATGAGCTAAATCCTAACCGTGAGTTGTCAACGTGCATCATCATTGTCAAAATGTTAATATGGATCCAGTCGCCTATATGTATCTTGGTCTGGCTGTGCGTACGTGTCTTTCCGCTGGTTTTAATCGGGAAGTCCCGTGTCCAGGGGATAACGTGCAACGTGCCGGTTGGATATCGAAGACCTGGTGGTAAGTTGCGACACCTCATTGTTTGATCTGCTATTGACCATGTTTGTTTGATAGGGGTCTCTTCTCTCTAGAAATGTCAGTCTGCATAATACTAAATTTCTCATTAAGCTATACTTACGCAAAGCAGTGAAATGAGCTTCTCAGTCGGACGACCCGATACTCTCGGAATGGATGAATATCACAACCGCGCCATTCCAGAGCGGGATGACTCTGAGTTCGCCATCATCCCATGGATGATTGACTTTGCGCAGATTATCCGACGTGTATCCGTCCAGATTTACCATTCCCGCATCTCATTGCAAGAGAAATTACAACTTGCCCTTCAAATAGAGATGGAAATGGATCGATGGCTTGCACGACTGCCTGAAAAGATTAAGCCAGATATTGCTGGTTACAGAATGTCCCGCAGTGCTCTGCGTGATCCGAAGTGGGCACGGAGACAACGGCTTGTTCTTGGAATTCGTGAGTCTATGCCGCTAGCAACTCTTGGCTCTCTTTAACATTTGTTTCAGGGTACTATAATGTCAAAATGCTGCTCTTCAGACCCTTCTTGAGCCATTTCACTCGCAAACTAAGACATCCGCCAAACGAATTGGACCAGACAATCGACAAATGTCTGGATGCTGCCATGAAGACTATTCAGGTGATTCACGATATCTATCGAGTCCACACTTTCTTCCGATGCTGGTATGATATCTCCTTAAATGTATGAATTCCCACTAACTTCACCAAGGTGGTACAACACAACCTACGTAATGTTCGCCACATCCACCCTCCTCCTTCCTATGTCCAAACTAGGCATGAGCAACGAAACAATGCCGCTCCTTCGCTCAGTAGAAATGGGGGTGGAAATTCTCGAAGCAATGGACGAGTCTGTGGTAGCTCGCAAATCAGTAGAGATCATCAGACAATACATCAGGGATTTCAAGGCTTCCGCTGGCCCTCAACCAACAGCAGGGACGGCAGTGGGCGATCAAATCCCCGTTTCCGCCGAACCAAGCCACGGGTCTGGATTTGAAGTGCCCGTATGTTTTAATGCCACCCTTTCCTCGTTATTGATCGACATATCTGACTATGATATAGGAATGGGCCTACGGCTTCGGTTTCCCAGATTACTCATTCGAGGGTATTGCCCGTCTCTTCGATGATATCGGAGGTCTACCAATGTTGGACGGGTAATCCATTTCTTATCACGACACTTGTTGTTGCTATATTCTATGGCCAATCGTTATTTATTTGTATATATTTACAACTTGTTGTGTTATATCAAGCACTCACACTTTGCTGAAACAATCTGGATATGAAAATTCAACAAAACACAATAGATGAGAACGACACCTTTATAAAATCAAACAAGAAGATGAACGACGCGAAGACGGCGAAGCAAAAACATCCGGGTTCTTCGAAACGGCTGTTTCAACCTCTTTGATGGCATCGTATCCATACAACCAAGGCTGAACCTCGGGACATGTCCTAAAGCAGAAATGTATCAGTCATTATTCTTCCATAGCCTAAATTTAAGTAAGACGAAATCAAACTCACCATCGACTCGGGAAAGCACCCTTAATTTCCTTCCCTAATTGTGAAAGGAAAACTTCATCGCGCTTCTCTTGTTCTGGGCCATTTTCCATGTGGAAGTCGTGTCTCTGTTGGTCTGTCAGTTTTTCTTGCTTCCCATGAACATTGATTGGACAGAGATATTTGTCTTCAGTACCTGCTTGAATGTCTCTTTGACGATGGATTCTCCTCGTGATTTACGCATACTCTCGTACAGTCGCAGGATGCGCGGGAGCTGGGTCTTGTCTGTCATGTGGCCTAGGAGTAGGCCGAGGACTGCGCCGTCTTCAAGGGAGGAGTTTGCGCCTTGGGCTAGATATGGAAGCATGGGATGGCAGGCGTCTCCGCTTTTGATTTGTTAGTGCTTCACGTTCGTTTGATGTATGAGATAGGATGACTTACATGAAAACCAGGTTGGAGGTATCATTGACCCAGTGTTCCATTTCACCGTCTGCGATGGTTAGATTCAATTTTCCCAATCATATCAAAGACGAGGATATTCTCACGATGCATCAGCTTCCACTTATCCACTGTGGTAACATATTCCAAGAATCGATTCAAACTGCCCCATCATCAGCAAAAAAAGCCACCCATAAAACCAAAAACACACTCACATCGGATCCCACCCCACAAACAGCTCCCTCATCTCCTCCACCGACCCAGCCTGTCTCGAAACCCCCGGAGGCAGATTATCCGGCACAAGCAACACAATATTAAACATCTTGCCACCACGCAGCGAATAAGCCACAGCATGAGCACCAGGCCCAGCCCAGAAATGAACCTCAGGCTTCTCAACCAGGGCCCTCAACTCAGGGTCCGAGATCTGATCCGCACTCAACACAATCCGATACGCCAGATCCCCCGTAGGAAGCGGCTCATCTTTCTTCCCGACAAACGCCTCCCGACACCTCGACCAAAGGCCATCGGCGGCGATGACCAAATCACCCGTATACACGTCGCCGGCCAGGGTGCGCACACTGGTGGTCTCGAAATCGATCTTGTCGACCTTCTGGCTCATGTGGAATGTGCAGCCGAGGTTCTGTGCGCGCGCGAACAGCGCCTGCTGGAGATCGACGCGGTGGAGGTCCACGAAGGGGGCATTGTTATACTTGGCGCGGATGTTCTTGTCGAAGTTGTCTTCGTGGGCGAGCACTTGCCCCGTGTACTTGTGCACTGTTAGCTTTGTGGGCTCGGCGGCCGCATCCCACAGGGACTGTGGGAGCTGCCAGTACTTTAGTAGTAGGGAGGCATTGGGTGTGATTTGGAGGCCGGCGCCGACTTCTGCTAGTTCTTTGGCTTGCTCGATTACTGTCACCAAATGGCCGGACAGGGCGGCGGATATGGCGGTTGCTATGCCGCTGAGTCCGGCGCCTACGATTATTATGTTGAGGCGGGCTTCTGGGGGGACCTGTTGGGGGTGAGCGGGGTGTTTTTTTTGTTTTTTCTTGTTTGGTTTGGTTTTGCGGGGAGGTTGACGGACCATGTTTGCGGATTCTGGGGACTCGTGAAAAGAACAACTTCAAAGATCTTGAAAGAGAAATCGCGAAGAAGGTCCAGATGCAGGCATTTTCTATCCCTTCAGCTTTCTCCAGGTCCGGAATCACCGGGGGTCACATTTCCCCACGGCTCGGGGCCGGGAAAGCCGAGGTGGTTTAAACCCGACCCTCGGGTTTTCCTGCTTGTTGCCTGCTTCTTTTTGGTTTTGGCTGTCTTTTTTGGGTTCGAATTCGGCTTGGATTGTCCACGTGAGAGCTTGTTTGCGACGGTTGGATTTCTGGGGTTTCGGCACATTCCGAGTTTGACGTCTGGGGAAGTGGACTGTCTCTCTGCCCTAATCGGCACTTGGATTCCAGACCTCTCCGACATCTGGAATGACAAGCACTTCATAATCAATCTGTATGTGGCTTCATCCATCACTTTTATGGTCTAGGTTTTGGGCGTTGTCTATTCGTGTTGTTAGGGCGAGTGGGTTGACCACTGGTGGAAACCACCCAGAATCCAAAGTTATAGAAATGCTGGGAGACTTGCCTCTGGTTGGATTTGCCACTATGGACTATTTCTCGCATAGGAAACGCAATCTCCAAGCCATCCGCGCCCATTCGCCTGTGGCATCGCTTAAGAAGAGCAAACGAATGTGGACCCGACTCGCATCCGAATGCCCTCCACTTTCCACGGACTACCCGAGATGCGCCAAAAGAAGCCCAACAACTCCTTTCCCCAGCCTATCTGCGTCGTGTCTGAGTGGATATGCGGGGAAAGAGGCGTTTTAGTTCTTACTCTTCGGTGAGTTTTTGCCCGTGCTGGTGACTCGCTCTTTCAGTTAGAGCTCCCACACTTCCGACTTTATTTTAGGGGGAACGGTCTACTATATGTATCTCGATCTTTCCCTGGTCTCCTAGTGTCCTATATTCCTCAATCAGTTCGGCCCCACGTTTTTATTCACTCATACTTGGCCTTGTAGGCTATATCTTAGTCATGTCTATTGACCCTAGGGTATGTGTCCACTTCATGCACTGGTGGCATGATAGCTATCAGAGGATGATCGTGCACAGCGGCTAAAACCTTTGCAGCTATTCCCTAAGCGGGTGACCTATAGCGCCCTGCTGACAGTCAATGTCTTCGTTTTCATGGGTAATATGTATTCCGTGAGTGAGCCCTTTGATCTGCAGTATGGCCTGATAGTTGTGCCGATTCCAGTGTACTGACATGGGTTCAGTCCGGCATTGCAACGGGCTTCGAGTCCTTAGCTGCCGAGTTCCATACACCCTTTGCTACGCTTGCGGATCTGATCGCTTATTCTGTTCTGGCTATGGGACTGTCCAATCTGGTTTGGATGCCTCTGGCTCTGACTTTCGGCAAGCGGCCCATCGTCATTATCTCCATGGCGATGTTCTTGGGTGGTATTATCTGGAGTTGTGTTGCCAAGGACTATAACAGTCTAATGGCCTCGCGAGTCTTTGCTAGTTTCGGTATTTATTGTTCTATTCCTTGAAAGATGAGTTAGGGTTAACAAGTAGTAGGATATGGCTCCATTGAGTCTCTTGGTCCCAGCATTCTCGCTGGTATGTATTTCCGTCCAAGCCCATCACCCTTGAAATATCAACTAACGCACTACAGACCTATTCTACGAACGAAATTACTCCAGCGCCATGGCCGTGTACGCTGCCTTCCTCTCCGGTGGATCGCAGATCGGACCGGTCATCGCTGGTTATCTGATCGAATCCAAGGGCTGGAGATGGTTCTTCATCCTTTGCGCTATCATCGCCGCTGTCAACCTCGTTGCCACAATTTTCCTGCTCCCAGAGACCCTTTACGAAGTGGAACAAGAGCCTGAAATCATCAACGACATCGAGAAAGACGCTAGCAGCCATGTCGAGACAGTTACCCGAACGGAGACCCGTACCGAGACTCGCGTCAAGATGGACTACTCTGCATACTGGAGCGACCTTTGGTCATTCACCCTATCCAAGGAAGCAAAAGAAAGGGGCATCATCAAAAACATCCTCTATCTCTTCATTCTTCCCTTCCCAATGCTCCTCGTCCCAGGAGTTCTCGCCGCATCAGTGATGTACGGCGTCGTGCTCGGAGCGTAAGTCCCTATTCCACCCCATCCCATCCCATCCCATCCCATCCAACGAAAAGAACAACAGTCTAACACCCACCCAGCGTCGTCATAATCTCAACAATAGCCCCAGACCTCTTCGCGCCCCCACCATACCTCTTCTCCTCCGCCGACCTGGGCCTCTTCACATTCAGCAGCTTCGTCGGCATAGTAGTAGCCTGGCCAATTGCCGGCCCGCTAACCGATCGTCTCTCCCGCTGGCTCCGCAACCGAAATAACGGAATCCACAAGCCAGAACACCGTCTCCCAGCCCTCATCCTCCCATTCCTCATCTGCCCCATCGGCCTCGTCGTCTTCGGGTACACAGTCGCGCGCCAACAGCATTATATCCGGCCCGCTGTGGGCTCTGCTATCTGTGCTGCGGGTCTCACGCTCGTGCCGTCTGTCATGCTGTCCTATGTTGTTGATTCGTATCCGAGGACTAGTGGCGAGGCGTTGGTGCTAGTTAATGCTTCGAAGAATGTTGTTGCGTTTGGGCTTACCAAGGGCGCTTATTCTTGGATGACTATGCAGGGCATTGATAAGATGCTTTATGAATTTGCGGCGGTTGAGTGGGCTGTGCTGTTTTTGGCGTTGCCGTTGTATATCTTTGGTCCTCGGATTCGGCGCCGGACGCAGAAGTTTTTCTAGTTGTGTTTCTTTGGGTTGTTTTAATTAGGTTTTTGGATCTACCTGTATCTATCAAATATTGATTCTGTTAAAATGGTCTGGTGTTTCTTCGTTGGAGATCATGATTTCTTCTTAGATCTACGCCTTTTAAAAATTACGGATAGCCTGCCCCGTTATATTTTCTCTTAATGGAATTCACATTGGAATTTTACCGTCTGTGTGGTATTAACCATGTCTTAGATTCAAAAATAGTCAGTTTGCTAATGATGGTTATTAAAAGAGTTCTTGCTCCAGTAGCAATGTTTTGAATGGAGAAAGTAAGAGGATGGGTCGTAGAAAAGGGGCTCTTATTTATAAAAGATGAAAAAGAGGCTGATTGAGAGGAGCCGCTGGTTGGCTGGAACGAAGACCCAGGGTACATGCCCATGAATATTGTTTGTCTATGACAACAGATGCATGCATATTAACCCAAATGCCCAGCTCGTGTCATAGAATCATTGGTTCTAGAAAATATACCATGTCTCAATTTCATATCATACACTTGCCTGATTTGCAGATCTCACTTGGGGCAAAGTTATGTTGCTGCCCAAGCCCAGGGCGACCAGACAAAATCCAGACTGCTATTATGCCAGCACTCGAAGTATCTGCGGAGAAGTATCGAATAATGAAAACAGCGAGTGAAATAGCCATGAATGAACCATAAATCTAGGGTCGAGAACTTCCATAGATAACATGATCTCAGCTGGTGTCTTGATAACCTTCGGTATAAATGGTGGCCAGGCCAACAAGGACGCCTTAACGCCTAGTTTGAGATCAATTAAAGCTATCTGATGCTCTTTCTAGAGTTTTGCCAGATGACTAAAGTTTCGTTAATTCAGTTGTTACTGCCGTATGCATGTTTTACGGTTGCCTTCAGAATGCTATTTTCTTACTACCTTTTTCTACTTCAAGTCTGCTCTCCCACCTAGAACTTACACCCTATCTTTCTTTCCTTCCCGACTCTACCATGACTCGTTTTCACTCAAACATATGCATGAATATCTTTTGATTTGTTTGTATACGATAATAGTCAAGATCAGTTATCGGTTTCATGGTTATGTCCGATCCCCGTGGCTTTAGACCTCAATATACGTCACCGGAAGTTTTTCTCTGCACGCAAGCGCGAAACCAAACAGAGCTCGCGTGTTACACTGCCTAATTAGACTGGATTTTACTCTTATTGGCCAGACCCGTGAGGCTCGGCGCTTGCGCTTAACGGGCGAGTACCTAATTGCTGCCACAGTATACGTCCATAAGGGGATATGCGTGCATTTGTCTTAAGCAACGACATCAACAGCTAATCTGTGGCTTATTATATCAATTCTATGAATGTTTGTTTCAATAACATCTTGTAACAAGTTGTAGACTGACGAATTGCCCTCCCTGCAGGCCAATATAGGTGATAGGTTAGTGGTCACGATGGCTTGATTGGTCGGTTATGGCTCCATGGTTCGCCTATGGATGTTCAAGCATCTTGCTCTCATTCTCTATATTTCCAGTTGGTACTTATCTCTTATAATTGCTAGGGGAAGTTGCTTTGTAATTGGAATAGAGTAGTCGATCATTTTAAGAATCGGTATGAGGCTACAAATGTCTAGCATGCAGTGCCTAGTCCAAACAGAAAACAACGAGACAATAAAGAGATATACAGAATAGACAAAACCCAGAAAATTTATAAATCTTGATCCGGAACTTCCTTTCCCTGTTCTCTCAACAAATAAAATGAATGCATGTACAAAAAGTAAATAAGTGCGGTCCATGGAAAATAACAAAAAACCATAATGACAACAGGAAATATGACAGATACAGTTCAGACGGAAATGATAGGAGGAGAGAAGAGAATAAAGAATAAAAAAACTAGACAACGTCAAATCCAACGGGCAGGGCAGTCCAGGGATGTATAAACCATGATACCCAAACAAGACCTAACCAAGCACCTCTTCATTACCATATGTAGTTCATCCGAAACACTGAATCCCCCTTCCAAATCACGGATTCCTCGGTGGTTTAGAATTGGTATTCGTCTCAACACGCCCACAACTCGTCCCACCACGACCCCACGATCTCCCCACGCGCGGATCAGGGTGTGAAGGATAGGAAGTCGATGAACTGTGACTCAGGGAACCAGGCGACGATGGGGCCGAGGAGCCGGGTGTCCCTGTGCTGGTCGATGCAGGTGTGGGGTTTACTGTTGCTCTGGCTGCTGCGGCCGCGGCTGCTGGGTTGCATTGGGCGCAGATGAAGATGTTGAAGCCCCGGCCGTTGCAGCTCGTGCAGATCGAGCCTCTTCGGTTTTATTAGTTCTGCATGTTTTTTTTTTTTTTCTTTTCGAGGCGTGGGATACATACCGTGGTGCATTTCCTGCGCAGCTTTTGCATGTCAGTACTGTGCGTCCACCAATGCAAGAGATGTGTTGTGGGTCGAGGTTAAGGAGGGAGGTTGTTGAGCTGGCCATTTTCAGAGGATTTATTGGTCTTCTTGGTAATAGTGTAAGGAGGAGTCAGTTATGAATAGGATGGAAAGTATTGATATGCAGAATTTGTGTAGTGTGGTTGGAAACTGAGGCTTTGTCTTTCCAATCTTTGTCTTGTGTCTTTTTTCCTTCTTTGGTCTCAAAGAGTCATCAAAACAGAGAAAGAAAGCAAATATGTTATACCACAACACAAGAAGTCATGAAGCAATAGAACAATATAATATCGGTCAGAAATATCGGCGATCAGACAAAGACAAAATCCCGTCTGGCCCAGAGCATAATGCAAAGCCGGAAACCAGACACAGCGACATCTGGAATCCTTATACTCCGCACCGCCAGAAAAAAAGGATTAAAAAGACAGAGTAGTGGCACGAAGTGTCCCGAGAGTTCCAAATGTTACATATGCAGCAAGGCTTGCGGCAATCAGGATCGAGGTATCGGATGATCAGCAGGACAAGTGTCGCGCACCTGGAATGATGATATGTGATAGGATGAAGTAACCACCACCCGACCCCAGGTACTTATGAGTACACTAGCCAGGAAAAGACAAGGGAAGTAGTGTCTATCCAAGATTTGCATACAGGGACGGACCAATTGTGTCCCAGGGACATGGTTCGGTCATCTTCGGACAAGTTACATATTTCCAGAAAATGAATGGCCAATTGTATGTACAGCAGTAGATCTGGCATCAACCTATGAAAGGGACGAGAGGCACAGAAAACGTCCTCGGCTTGGTTGTATTATCAAGCCCCGCCTCGCATCTGAGAGAGAGGCGTATGTGGCTATTGAGCTAATGGATGCCAAGGGACGCTTGCTGCATGGATGCAGGGTTGTATGAAACAGGAGCTGGTGGGGGGAGGGGAAGGGGCTTTTTTTTCTTTTTACTTTTCTCATACAGTATATCGATGTACCAAGGAGTTGGATCAATAATGTGTACATTCCACTTGACTGGGTCTACAATACAAATTTTTCGGGCTACGTTGGCAAAAGGGCTAGGTTGCGTTGTATTGCAACGGTGCCCTGGTGGGTTCTATGAACGGATGTTCTGCCAAAAGGAGGAAAGTATTTGATGCTGTGCAACAGAGTGGAGTGGCTCTAGCAGGTCTGGCAAATGGATGGTCAATTAGTATTGGTCAGAGTGTCGTTCATGTGCCTATTACAGCGGAAAAGATGTCCCAGGAGCATGGCCGCCACCATACTGTGGACTTGTGTCACAAACTCACCGGTATGCGCCGCGGGTCGGTGAGTTCTGACTGCGTGAAAATGCAGTATACATCCGGTGTCTCACTAAGATGACTCGGTCCAGGGGACTTCACTGAGCGCTCGGTTGCGGGTCTTGGATGTGAAAACTCCAACCACGGATGGTTGCATCAGACCATGCGATCCTGATCTGATCTCCGAATATCTATACGGGATGTCATGTTGGCCATGTTGTTGTGGGTCTCGCTCGGATGAAATCGTGAGAATCCACGCAGTGGGCCTCGTAAGTATTCTTGCGTAAGAACAGAAGAGTAAGAGGATTGAGGTGAGATTGGCTTTCCATTCCAACCGAAAAAGGGTGAAGGATTATGCATGGAATTTGCTGACAGGTAATTTGGACCGTCAGATGGTCATCTGCGCAACTGCAACTCGCTTAAGAAACACTACATCAGCTCGAGTCGGTGTCAATAGTTTGGTGTTCATCGTTCTCCACAAGCCACAATTGCACGGATCCGCAAGCCATATATCAAAGGCACGGGCAAGATGCAGGCTGACGATATACGACGGAGGTAATGCACTGATCGGCCGAGTTCGTATATCACACTGATTATCGAAGTCACTTCATGTCATCCGATAAGCAGGAATACGCAAGACCGGAGCGGGCGGATTTGCAGACCTGACAAGCGTTGCATGCGTTGTCTACATCAAGGACTGGAAAAGAGAGAGAGGGAAAAAGGACTGCAAGTGGGAAGTGAGGTGAAAAGAAACCCCTGTGAGAGGTGTTGGTCAACCAATCGTGATAAATATCTCAAAATCGAAATCTGGAAACTTAGCCAATAACACTAATGAATTATTTTATCTGAGCTCCGAAGCGCCGTGGATGCAACATAGCCTCAAGCAGGTTACCGTCGAATGGGTCCATAGTGGGAGGAGCTGCATGGACAGGGGTCCACAGAGAACAAAAAAGAAAAAAAGCAAAGGCGATCAAACCCCTTTCAATCGGGAGAAAGAGAGAGAAAAGAGAGCAGGGTAGTCAATTCTGGCGTTTAGCCATCTAACGTCGAGGCCATTGTACTGTATGATCTGACAAGCGCTTCATGCCGAATTGTTCCTCCATCTGCATATTGGTCACATGTACAGTAGACTGGACGTGGAAATGACACGCATCCTACTGTAAATTTCGGCTGTTGTTCGACGCACATCGCACTGCGCAGTGAATGACAGGTGTATTTGCTTAACCAAATTAGAGCTGAAGCAGCCCGGCAATCTGCGTCCGTGAAGCCTGTGAGCTGTTAATACTCGGATATCCAAATAGGCAGAAGGGCAAAAGGGCAGAATAGCAATACAGTAAGCACATGTGTCCAACAGTCGGACTGAGAAACAAAGAGGGGCGAGGAGATGAGGATTTCTGCAGCCAGCCACCTCTATCACGCGCTCCAGGATTCGAACATGGACTGGAGTCAAGGGTGTTGACGGCAAGGCTAAAGAAGGCTGAGACTTCCGAGGTGGGTTTTGTCCCGGAACTACGTCGATCTCTGTCAAGTGTCACTTCTTGAACGAAATCCCGAAATACACCGAAAGAAACACAAAGGGTTGGAAGTCAGCTGACATGAATTTGTTGGATGCCTGCAGCCCCAATTGCCATTGTCGATGCACGAGACTGGTCACTTTGGAGTTGGAAATGTTCCTAGAGGCTGATCAGAAATATCAGAGAGGTGCGTATGAGACGCGGTGGTAACTCGGCCGAAAGCAAGGTTGGCCATGGATTGAGAAAGCAAGGCAATAGAATATTTCACGTCAACACAAAATCCTTTCAGTCGGCAAAAGATCAGCTGTAGAAAAGACTATACCAGATGAAGCGAGTGCACATAAAGTCCGGCGTAATGATATCACCGGTTGATTTTGAAATGAGACTACCCAAAGTTGGTACCTGGCAGAGTGGCACGGTAAAACACGCGTGGAAATATAATCGATTACAAGAAGAAGACTTAAATAAAGCATTCGCGTTCTCACTCATTACAGCCTGCATAGCTATCACATTGAAAGAGAAAAGATAACGCGCGTTGATACCTGGCGGCAGTGCCAGTAATCACCGATCACCGCACCTGACTTGATTCATGCTCGTTGTGAGAAATTCAAGGCGAAAAAAAAAAAGTAGAGAGGGGGAGAGAGAATTGGTCAGCCTATCCGAAACGCCCAGTTGTCGAGGCTCCCGTGAGCGTGACACTGTAATCAGATCCCGCTGCTACTTGCGTGGAGTCCCTGGATAACAATAGCAAGATAGAAAAAGAAATAAAGCAAAAAGGACAGTACAACCATGCACCCAGCAAAACAGCAGCGCCTCCCAGGAGGGTAATCTTCGTGAAATCGTAGGAACCATACCGAGATTTGGGACCTCGGTATTAAATCATAAAACCGGAAAAGCATTAGGGGAAATTGCAAACAATAAGTAAAAGCAACGTTGTAGTGTTTAGTGGAAGTAGTCAGGAGGGAGAGCAGCCAACATGGCAATAGTACCCAGGCCACCCAGAAGAGCACCGACGACAGCAGTAGCAGCATGGCTAGCCAGACTCCTGGAAGGAGCTGAGTGTGTGGATTTGACCCGCTTTGCCGGCGGCTCATTCTCCGAAAGAGCGGAGGCAATAGCATCTTGGACTTCGGCAGAGGCAATGGTGTTGAGATCAGTGCCCTGGCTGTATGACGCCAAGAGATTAGGGCACTGTGCATCTTGAGAGAAGCACTCCATATCATTGGGGGTAGATTCCATCTGTGTAGCATTCCGCTTCAAGTTCTTCTGGGGAGAGCAGAATGGTCCATCGTCGTAGGACATCGCTTCCTTCGAAGCTGGGTGCCACGGGGCCAACAGAGGGTAAGGAGAGTAGTTTATGGAGGGACCACATGTGGGGCGCTCCATAAACGGATCCAATTGCACCTGGGAGAGTGTGCCCTGGCAGGAGGTTGGAAGCTCATCAGAGACAGCACAAATAGGGAAGCGAGCGGCAGGGTCAATCATTGCAGGTGAAGCCGATGTGATCAGTGTTCCCGTTTCTGGCTGATCCTCATCCATGCATGATAGGTCCGGCATGTCCGAAGAAGCAGGCGGGTAGCCCAATGGTTGGTCGGTAGCTTCGGTATCATTGACAGTTGTTGCCGCTGGTCGCACTGAGCATGCAGACGTAGGAGTTGGTAGTGACGCTCCGGGATGGTTGTTTCCTTGGTAGAAGCTGGGCATGAAAGATGCGACGTCAATGAACCTCGTCAGTCGGTTGATATAGGCCTCCTCGGGGCAAGTGTCGCTCTGAACTTCATCCTCGGAATCGGATTCACTTTCCCCTTCATCCCATTCATTTGCGGCGGAGAGTTGGTTCTCATCATCATATTCGCTTGCGGAGCCTTGGTCCTCAGATCCATCGTCTTCGCTTGAGCTCTCGTCGTTTGAATCACCGGAGTCGTACTCTGAGTCATCCTCATCGTCTTCATCGTACAGTTCCTGAGCGAAAAATGTCGCCAAAGGCGAAGAAAATTCGTTTATGTCACCCTCTTGCGAGGCCTTGGAGTCACTCGACGCATCGAAGCCATCGGAAGGGTCAGAGACAGACTCGTCCCCGTCCCTGGTCCCGATATTCAAGTCTCCTTCGTCCCCCACCTCATCCGAGTCCAATGATTCATCATCAGAGGGCAGGTCCTCACAGAAGTTTGAGTCCCAGTAAGGGGCCTTTTCGTAATATTGGCCACCGATCATTTGAGGTTCCCATTCTCTCACAATCCAGTATTTGTGACAATCGTCAACATCGCCCTCGGTGCGGAGTTCGGCTTTGGTTGCTTCGCTCAGAAGCTCCCATGGCTTTTCAACAATCCACCACCAATCACTCATCCGGAGATCATTTTCTTCATCTCCGTCGAGGATCCAGAATCTGCGCTTGTCAACAAACCAATATCTGAGAGCGGGACCAGGCACGCGGTGATAGGTCGTGTCAGATTCCTCGTCTGCGTTGAATTCCCAAGGCATCTCAGTTCCATTCCATGGCTGGAAGTCGGAGGAATCGTCAACCATGTAGGATGATTTGGCAATGGAACAGCGGCGGGCGGAGTGGATGATTTTGTTGACATGATCCACGTCGGGAATCTTATCAGATACACCCCAGGCCATATCAGCGAGCCGCATAAACAATGGTTTCATCATGGACCAATCGCTGAATTCGCTTTCAACGAGCTTTTGGTAACAGGATGGAGGGAAAGTCTCCATTTTAGTATTATGGAACCCGATGGCTTCTTCATCCTGTTCAGCAATCTCTTGATGCAACTTCACGGGTTCTTCCGTGCGTTCCATGCTGTAGGCAATGGTAGCAGCCTGTTCACGCGTGATGTTTTCAACGGTGTCAGATATGTCGGCTGGCGAGATGGATTTCGTCGATTGATCAGCCTGGCTTGGAGAAGCCTCGGGTATATCGAATTTCACTGGCTCTGTCACCTCTTTTGGACGCTCACTCACTGAGGAGACGGGAGATACTTGCTCGTTCTGGGGGTTGACAGAATCCCAAATCTGAGCAATAGAATTCTTCGAGTCGTCACTATCAATCATGGCATCCTCAGGCTCGTCGACATCGCTGTAGTCTTCGGGAACGGAGAAAGTGTTGGTTGAAGCGGTGACTTGTGGTTTGATTGTTATGGCGTCGGAATTCTCAACCATGACCGGCGGGGGTGACCAGTTGATACAGCAGCGAACTTCAAGAGCCTCAAAAACTTCTATGAAATGTCAGTCTGTAGTAACGTTAAGCTTGAACATGGCCACCTACCTTGACCGCGGTCAACATCAACTCCAAATCTGAGAATATCTCCATTCAGCAGCGGAGTCTCCACATGAGCCACAAGCTTATCGTCATTGAGGAATGTTCCGTGAGTCGAGCCGCAGTCGACAATGTAGACGTTCTGTACAGTGCTTCAGTAAGACTGCAGCGAGGGGTATATCAAAAGGCCAAGGTTCAAGCTTACCTTGACATCGACCGAGATACTCAACAGAGCATGGTCGCGGGACATCACTCGGGAGTCAAACCATCCGTTATCGTCGGCGGGGGCACGCTTTCTGGCTTCACGTTTCGAAGCACGTCCGATAAGAACCGGCTCGTCATCGTCGAATAGGTTGAGGGTACGACAGGGATGGGAGTCATCCCAGAACGGGGTAAACGTCACGGAGACTGTAGATAAAGCAAGTCGTCAACCAGGCGGGAACTAGATTTAGCGGGGCTCGTATACATACCCTGTGGGTCTGGCATGACGGAGTACCAAGCGGCAGATCACTAGTTGCGGGGCGTCCGGATTTGGGGTGAAATGAAGTCGAAGGAGGCGATACTGTGTACTGCTGAAGGTGGAACTGGGATAAGGTAGTTGGGTCAGGTAGATGTCCAAGAAGAAAGGTGCCTGATGTCAGGTGGGGAGATGTCGAGATAAGCTTACCTGAGATCCGGGTTACACGTGCCTCCAAAAGTATCAAAGGCGAAGAGGTTCAGTTTCTGAGAACAAAGAACAACGATCAAGGATTAAAAATCAAAGAGGTGAAGATGATGTAGTTGTTGAGTGAAGGAGGTGAGGGGTAGTTCTGGAGGTGATGTAGGTGCCCTGCTGACCAAGGGTTCACATTCGGCCACCTCGGAGCTGCAGTTCCCAGACTTATCAAGCTAGCGGTGATGAGGCTATTTAGATGCTCAAACCCCTGTCACTTGCACATGAGATTCAAAAAATGGGCAAAAATGAGGCTCATTCCAAACCTAAGCTTCATGTAGAAACTGTATAATTCAGTGGCATTCTATAGCTTACCCAAAGTTCCTCGTATAAGTTTCGTAGACTTCATAGGGCTGAAACGTTGTCCTAGATAGACATCAAATGAAGTTATACTGAATAGTCTCTCATTCTCCTCTATGGTACACAAATTACTACATGTTCACCCAATGCACTGGCTCCGAAGCTTCAGTTTTCCAGCCGATCCCCCGATCCGCATATACCCAGTGCCAAAACAGAAAGAGAAAAAGAAAAACCAAACGGCCGGGGAATATATCAACCGATAGTAAATACACGCATGTAAAAGGTGGCCGGGAATCTGAAAAGACCGGGGAGGAATCGAAGGCACATATGGCCCGAAGGTCAGGTTCAGGTGAAGAATCAAAAGAAACGAACAGGGAGGGGAGGTTTGACGTAAAGTCAGCGCTTTTACATGCCGGGACCGCCCATGGCGCCCATGGTGTTCAGACGGGCTGCCAGCTGGGGGTACTTCTCCTGGACCTCCAGCTGGGTGCGAGTAGCCTCGGCGTAGGAGATGGCGTTGATGATCTCGGCCTCGGTGCGAGCCAGCTCAGCGGCGCGCTCAAAGTACTTCAGAGCCTGGGAGACCTTGCCCTGCTGGAGAAGCAGCTGGGCCATGGTTCCGACGGCGATGTCACATTCGGGATCGACTGTTAAGACGTTAGCATACGGACTTAGAGTAGATTAACTGAGAGACTCACTAATCAGAGCCTTCTGGCAGAGGTTCTCAGCCTCTTGGAAGTCCTGCTTCCACTGGAACAGGGCAAGAGCCTTGTTAATCAGGGGCAAGACGTTGATACCCATGGGCTTGCTCTGCTTCTCCATCTCGACAGCCTTGTCGAACTTTTCGATGGCCTCGGAGTAGTTCTGCTGGTCGAGCAGAAGCTCACCATAGTAGTTGTACACATCGGGTACCTCCTCGAAGTTCTTGACTGTGCGGCGGAAAGTGGCCATCGCTGAGGCAACGGAGCCCATCTTATATTGTGTCACACCGAGTTGGATATGAGAGTAGATAAAGGAGCGGTCGAGGTCAATCGACTTCTGGTAGTCCTTGGCGGCCTCGGCAAGCTCAGTGAGGATGAAGTGCAGCTGGGCACGGTGGTAGTAGATATCGGGGTCGTCCTTGTTGTGGGTGATGGCAAGCTCGAAGTCATCGGCGGCGGCATCCTTGTTTCCTATGAGGTATCAGTATGGCTATGTAAATTACCAAGGTACCTTTTGACACTTACCAAGCTCGAGATGCAAGCTGGCGCGCTTGATGTAGCTCTGAACCAGAGAGGGTGACAGCTCAACACTCTTGTTCAGGTCAACAAGAGCACCGGGGGCGTTGCCGCCGAGGTAGGTGAAAGTGGCTCTCATGTTGAGGGCCAAGCCTTCAAAGTCACCAAGTTCGCCGAGCTCGAGGGCCTTTTCGAAGGCAGCAGCGGCCTCTTCGTAGCCATCAGCGGTCTTCTTGGCCATGGCGACGAGACCCTTGCGCAGCTGACCCTTACCAGACTCCTCGCTCAACTCAACAGACTCCTCAAGACCCTCGGGCAGGACCTGGGGACGGAAACTCTGGAGGTAGTTGGAAACGAAGGTAGCGCTGGGTAGCTTCTTGGTGCGGGCCTCGAGGATAGCCTGGCTCTTCTTCTCGGCGACCTTCTTCAACAGGCGCTCGAGGGAGTTGCGGCTGACATCGTTGGAGAAGGCATCGATGATGCAGCTGGCAGTGAAGTCAAGAAGAGCCTCGCTGAACTTTCCGAGGTGCTCGTAGGCAATGGCTCTCCGGTTAAGAGCCTTGACGTATTCGCTGTCCATGGCGAGAGCGGCACTGGTGTCCTCGACGACCTTGTCCCAGTCAGATTGGACGTTGTAGCAGGCGGCACGGTTGGAGTAGAAGACGGGGTCGGGCTTGCAGAGAATGGCCTTGCTGTAAAGGTCAATGGCGTTGGGATAGTCCTTAGCTCCGTAAGCCTTGTTACCGGCGGCCTTCAGCTTGCCGGCGTAGGCGTTGCGGGTCTTGATTGTGTGTTAGTGACATGCCATCAATCGAAGCGATTCACAAAACTCACCTCTTCGGACAACTGGCCAACGGTAGCCTCATCAACCTCGGGGAGCTCCTCGGCGGACTCCTCGGTCTTCTTGGCAGACTCTGGAAATGCGTCAGTCATGCGACCACCGTATTTGAAGCGAAATACACCTACCATCAGAGACAGTCTTGGCCTTCTTCTCCTCTTCGGCCTTCTTCTTCTCTTTCCGACGCTGGTTCTTGCTCTTCTTGGGGACGGAGGGAGTGGACTTGCTGGAGTCGTTCAGGTAGTAGACGACACCCGCGCCGGTCACGACAACGGCAACACCGGCAATGGTATAGACAACGGCCTTGTTCTCGGAGACCCAGTTGGTGATGCGATCCCAGACCGATGCTGATGAAGACTCGGTGAGCTTCGATGTATCAAGCACCACATTCTGGGCGGGTGTGGGTAATGGTGACTCGCTCGACATGATGTGTAATGGAACCGGGCAAAGCGACCGACGCTGCTAGTTCTTTCTGAAGACAGATATCAGTATTGAATAATTGACGCGCGAGTCGAGATGAAAGGGAGGGACTAACCGGATCTGAAGGAGGATAGAGACAGGAGTGATGAAGCTTGACGAAAAGTCGAGAGTTCCATCAACCCGCACCGGCCAATCACGCATCCGATTTCTCCACAACCGGAGCGAACGGGCTGGCGTCATTGCTCCGGGCACTTTTTTTTTAAACTTGACAACTATGATCGTGTTGATTTCTAAGAAATCAAGTTGTCATCATGACCAGCGCTTCTTCAAGCAAGAAACCTCCTTTCGAGATCTTCTCTTCTGTACGCTTTGATACAGATCTGCCAGACGTGGCCTGTCGCTTTGCACAATGCTATCCCACACCCCATCACTCGCCCTATTACCTCCTCGCCTACCACCAGGACCGTTTGATAGCAGCAGCGCGTCATTTTCAGATGGAAAAGGCACTAGCATGGTTGCAACAGGATCTCAAAAGTTTTGAGCTATTTCTCGACGCGTCAATCCCAAACCGAAGCAAACCGTGGAGACTTCGAATCGTAGTAAACAACAATGGAAACTGCACAGTGGATGTGAACCCAACAGCAGCAATCGACCTCATGGGTTTGCTCATTCCCACTTTACACACAGCCCCAACAGTGCCTGTGTGGAAGGTTTACGTTGATACAGAATGCATCGTTCCTTCGGGCTTTACAACTCACAAAACCACCGCACGAGATGACTACACAGCTGCCCGACTCAGGGCCGGGATCAAATCACCAGCAGAAACATCCGAAGTTCTGCTTGTGAACCCCAACAACGAGATCATGGAGGGCAGCATCACTACGGTGTATTTCCAACGGGATCACATGTGGATCACACCTCCATTAAGCAGCGGCGGTAATGCAGGCACAACGCGGAGATATGCCATGTCTCGAGGGTTCTGTGTGGAACAAATTATCAGACGTAACGAGCTTGTGGATGGGGAGCTGTGTTGGTTGAGCAACGGGGTAAGGGGTTTTATGCAAGGCCAAGTGGTGTTGACATAGCTGGACAACAGGTCCTTGCCGCAGATTATGAGTGCATGACTACTATCGATATTGAAAGGTATCGGTAAATTTATGAAAGGCTATGAAATCACATTTATCTTTTCGCAACCGAATGCTCCGCTCAATGCCACCCAGATTTATTTCTTGGCCTTCTCAACCACGATCGGGCTGGGGTTACCCTTCCACTCCAAAGGACGAGGACGCATGTACTCAGCCATGATCTCATCCGTGACCTGGGCGCGACGATCCTGGAACCCTTGGACGTACTGCTGAATCTCGGCGATACACTTTTGCTTGATCTCGCCTGTCATCATCTCGCCACTCTCGTAGTCGCTCCGGATCTTCTCCAGCGCCTGATCGTCTTCCAGGAAGAAGGTCAAGTACTGGAAGGGAACGTCGACCTTGCTGTTTCCACCCAGCTCGCGCTGCTTCTCAGCAGTATCTTGGCCACCGGAGAAAGCGTGCTTGTTGATCTTGTTCTTGATCTTGTTTGGGGTGTCGTTCATGAAGATAGCAGAGCTGTCAATACTGGCAGACATCTTTGATCCAGGACCCTGGAGGGCGGGAAGGAAGATCGAGTGGATCAGAGAGGGCTTCTTGTACTTCATCTTCTCGGCGTGTTCACGGCATTGGCGGAAATAAGGGTCCTGATCAATGGCGCAGGGAATCAAGCAGGGAATGGAAGCGACCTTCTTGGTCTCGGTGCCGAAGATATGAGGGAAACTGGTAGCAAACGCTGAGGCAGACTGAGTGGCACAAAAGTGGAACTCGCCAATGTTGTTGCTGTCGTTGAAGCCGAAGGTGCCCTTAACCTGGTTGATGGTGATTCTCTTGGCCATCCTGCACATGTTCTCGTAGAAAGCGCCGCCAATGAACTCGAAGTCGCTGAAAATGAAAGTCTTCTTCATGTCGAAACCAACAGCAATGATGTCCTTCGCGTTCGCCTTTGTGTATCGCTTGGAGTCTTCAATATCGATCTTCTGGGAGTGCATGTACTTTTCGTCGTCGGTCATCATGATCACGAGGGGGCAGTCAAATACATCCTGGAGCCACCTATTTGAATTCATTAGCTTCTCCCTATTTCCTTCAACTGGTGAGGCGCTCATACTTGGTGAATTCGAATGGCACTGTGTGTCCCACGTGCATGCTGTCACTGCTAGGTCCACGGCCAGTGTAGAGGAAGAATGGCTCGCCCTTCTCATGGCGATCGAGGATCTTGGTCAAGTCACGGTGACTGAACACAATACCGCGGCGCATGAAACGGTGTGGCCGGTGTCCGGTAACCTTCTCAAAACGCTCCAATAGCGCAGCGTTAATGGGTGTGGCGCCAAACTCGCGGGTGAGCTTCTCATAGTCGACAGGCAGGAGTTTTCCAGACTCATCGACACCACCGGAGACATCAAAGGGCGTCACGATTTGACCGACGGCCTTGGTCTCCGGGGCCTTTTCGGCAAGGCTCAAATCATTGATGGCTGGAGGGGCTGCTTCGGTCGCCATGTTGTGCGGTTTATGGTGAAGTCTAACAATAATTCGATTAGTATATCTGAATTTCCAGGCAATTGCAAGAGACAACAGCCAGTACTCACTCTATGTGGTTGGAGAAATGAATTTCTTTCTGTTGCCCCTCTCCAATATCGGGATGAGTCAGAATTTCCGCTATCAATGGGGGCTGTGATTGGTGGGATGTGTGTAGTATATTAACCCCGCGAAGCATTGTATTCAATCTATCCTCACTTGTTGATTTCACAGAATTCTTTATTGAGATGAGCGTCTAGATGTGCCAATATTTAATTTTATGGTTCAACGTGAAAATTTCTAATGCTTAGACGCTTATACTTGACCCGAGGTATGTAATTTGTATATTAAAAAAACTTGCAAAGCCGAATACTTTCCAACTGGCAGTGATTATTTCCACCCCCAAATCGTTTTCAACTTGGCTTCGGTACTGGTAGGCGGCCAGTAATTGATATCTCGAATAGTATGAACCACAACATCCATCAAAGCTTTCTGCTCTGTTAGATCAGAAAATCGGTCCCCACATATAGTAATTGCAATACAAGCAGCAAGGAATGCAGTCGGGGATTGACGATTTGACAATGCTATACCACAAATTTCCAAAACAATTGACCTGAGCCGAGAATCCAAAGAGGCCACAGCACTTCGCTGTCCTGGGCCCACTCGGACAATAGTTGGATCGTAAGCCGTCAGCAAAATATTGATGAGACCAATATTCTGCTCGGCGACTATATGACAGTCGTCCAAGTACCACCTGCGTGGAAATATCTCGCATTTCTCCTTATTGGGCTCTGCAGAGAATATTGGGAGGAAAGATACAGGTCTGTTATCAAGCCACTGGTTGTAAAGACGTACCAGTTCTTCAAAACGTACGGAACTTTGCTGGGCTTGTTCATCGTAGCAATATTGAACAATGTGGGCGCATATTATAAGCAGCCTGTTTACCAGAACATGATCCGGTGCAATGTCCCCGGAAAGATAGCTTTCACAGATTCCAAGTGGTAAACGAAAGGGTCGCTGTTGGGAAAAGGCCATATGAAATTCTTGACGAAACCCAACCCAGAATGCAGCAGAGCGAACTCCTGTTGATGAGAGTGCTAAGGGAGCTTGGGCTTCGATGAAGACTTGGAGTCCTCGGACGGCTGTGTCGGTGGAAAAGTCAAAGGCAAATGGGTCTAGGATAGCAGGTTAAGCTTTCATAACACAAAGTCAAAGTATGAAGTATATCACGTACTGTCAAGCTCTTCATAAAACCGAAGGATCACAACTGCTGCCAACAAATTCTCATCCATAATTGCGTCGGATTCACCAGCGAGTAGTCGTAGATGAGCAATGCATCGACTGTGATAATCCAATACTGCCTCTTCACTTATGATCAAGTCCTGTTCCAGACTCAATTTGACTATCATTTCTTTTTGTCGGGTTATCGATAGAGTGGTGAAATGCCTTGCCGATGCAGATAATATAGCATTCAAAAGAGGTGCACATGTTCGTGTTCGCTGAGGAATGATCAAACCAAAATGTCGTTCGGGGTCACATAGATCGAACTACAGACTCATTAGTTCTAGTGTAATGAGAGCATTCGTGTGGTCAATATTACCCATTTGGCGAGCTCTTCGACAAAGTACCTCAGTAGGAACGCCTCACCTAGGCTTACTTGTGGAGTGATTATACTTTGAGAGTCCCGCTGTAAGTTTGGTAAGTGCTATTGGACGTTGAGTTAGTGCTTTTCAGAACTCAGATGTGACGAGATGGACAGTGGACTAATGTAACGTACAATAGGACTCAATCTGCTTGATAAGCTCGGTTGATTAACAACATATTGGGATGGTTTATCGTGATCATTCTCCATGCTTGATGATAATATATTGGAGTTCACCGCCGTGGAGCCCTCTCCGGTAGTAGGTTGAGATAGATTCTCTGTTTGGGTTCCTGTGAATTTGGGAGTCTCGTCGATGTATTGGAAAACGGTAGCTCCTAATGAAAGTTAGGTCTAAAGGGGCTGTTGCGTCATTGTATAGATTGACCTTTGTCTCGTGACGCTGCGACGGTTGAGTGGTTATAGAATTGGCGCTTCGCTTTTTGGCGGATACAATCTCGTCCGGACTTCTGACATCTCGAACATTTCGGAGTGTTATCGTCACCTATACGTTTGTGAGAATGGCTTTAACGTGATTTGTCCAAGTCGAAGTGTGAGAGTTTACATTTCAAGTGATTGCCTATCAAATAAAACAGTCAGACATGAACAACCATAATATGTATTGTTTGGTAGCGTACTCCGGCAAGCATCACTGGGTAAACCTAATCAACAAACTAGTACTTATGTTTAAAGTCAGGATTGAAAGAAACCTACCAGGGTCTTGACCTCGATGCCATCCCACATCTATAACATGGAATCTCGTTGAAAGTTGACAAGTGCAAACGCGGCGGATAAGTGGGGATGGAATTGGAATGTAGTCAGCTGACCTCACTAGGAAGACAGCGATAACTTTTTACATACATAGGCTCAATTATAAATTAACATGTATGGTAGCTGAATATATACCTGTTATATGTTGGTTGATATGCGATGTATTTCGGAAGTCAGCATTGAATGCGTCGGTCGTTGATGTGGGATGTTAATGAAGACTTGAACGGTTAGAAATATCAAGTTAAGGAGTGGATGGTGAGCAAAAATCAATTGGCTTTTTGAAAGCATAAATTCATCAACATGAAAAATATCAAGATGCAAAAAAGAAATGACAAGAGTGGGATTCGAACCCACGCCTACAAACGTAGATCAGGAAACTGCCGAAACAGTGGGAGTTAAGGTGGACCTTAACCTGACGCCTTAGACCAACTCGGCCATCTTGCCTGTTCGATGAAAAACGTAACCCTCTTTGACTACATATTGTCACAATAATCTTCATCTGAAAAATATCCATGTCTGCCTAGAAACTATCTTCACGAGTCATTTCAACAAGTCTCTATGTTGCTCCATTATTTATGCCCAAAAAATAGGATTGATTCTTTTATATAATTGTCTCGCTGGAATTCGTTTAGATTGTGTAATCCACCCTCAGTTCTTGGCTTTGAGATGGATATCTTTCAATGGATCTTTTCCCTAACTGATGGCCGGTAAAATTTTCAAGGTTCCCAGACATTGACTGGGATGAAATTTGAGCTGAGCGCCGAGCTACGGACCAAGTACGCTAAATTAGGGCATTTTTACAGTTTCGAAAGATCTTGGCACACCCAACAGCATTAGCGCACTGGTAATATATTCTTTGGATTAGGTTTATCTCCAATGCCGAGAATATCAAGGGGTATTAAAAAAAAATCCACAATGGCCCCCAAAGTTGAAATGACGACGGGGAAGGGGGAAAATGGTCCAAACGGACGAGACCTTTCGGCCTGAGGAACAAGGTGCCATTGTTAAGTTAAGTTAGTTACATCGGATGAGACATCCAGAGTAGCCTCTTTTCTATCTTTCCTTTCTCCAGACTATTGCTAAGCTTTTCACAAAGACCCATCGGATTTTATAGGACGTTTAGGAGTGTAGGTGTGATAGCGCAGTTATATTCGGTATTTAAACAGCTTTCAATTTAGTATACTCATACGCAAGGCAAAAAGGAACTTGCTAACTTGTCAGTCGATTCAAGTTAACGGAATTTCGACCAACCATCCGTTAGCCAAGCCAAAATATAAGCCTCTAATTGTGAATTATTCGCCCGCCCCTTCTTGGAAGTACTCTGCAAGTCCTCGACTGATTGCGGACCCTTCCATCAATGACAAAGTACAACCAACGTAGCCATCTGGGCGCACAACCACCAATCCTCCAAGCTGCGGGTCAACCCCCATCTTAGCATGCACAGAGCCTTTCAACGCAGAGTATTTTCCATACAGTTCATCGTCCGCGTAGACATGATATCTGCACTGAGAAAAAAACTCTGGAAGCGCCGTTGAAATGTCAATAGATTCTCTGAAGGCATTGAAAACAATACAGAAAGAGAAGAACGGAGAGTGAGGATTATGCCGGCCATCAAATGAAGCGTCAATGGCTGGATGTCGAAATCGCGAGAAAAACGGGGATTCTTCAAATCCCCGAGCGAAATCTAGCATCGCTTGTCGTGTTCGAGCTGGTTCTCCAGCAAAAATGTAGATACGATAGCTGCCATTGAAGGGGATATCTTGCTCAAGGTAAGTGACATGCGCATCAATGACGCGTGTCACTGTTGCATGAGGGAAAATAGATCCCGGTGCGAGTTTGATTCCTGGTGGACTGAACACGGACATAGTCGAATTTTCAGGATATCTGGGTCCCCAGTTCAAGATGTTGTTTGGATAGCGGACACCGTATCCACTAACAAGAGTCAGGGTAGATTTGTGTTTGTTGATAAAATCCATCCTTCGATTATTTAATTCGCTTTTTTCTTCTCCGTTCGAGCATGGAGACTGCTCACAAAAGAGATCTGCATACCCGGCATCAAAATTGATCAGCGCATTTGCGACTAATTTGCGCTCTCCCTCATAGGTTTGTAGTATGCGTCGGTCGAGAAAGGCACACTCCACAAGGTGTAGTTTCCACGCCAAGTTATGGGCATCTGCCATTCCATAATTCATCCCCTGGCCAGCTTTGGGCTAAATTTCTTAACTTGAGGCTGCGTCAATGAAGAGAAGGGCTGTGTGCTTACACTGTGGGTGTGGCATGCATCGCCACCAATGAAGATTTGCTCATTCATGGAGTATTTGCTGGCTACTGCTTGGCCAATATGGTAAGACGAATACCAGTCCACTCTTTCCCATTCCATCCAGTAAGGTCTAAAGATCTGCTGGGCTGCTTGCTTGATTTGAGTCACGGTAGATGACATACGCGGCTCTTCAAGAGGCGGGAAAATTTGAACGTAAATTCTCACTACATTTTGCCCATGAGGAATGATCATCGCTGAACCACTGGAAGAATGCACGGTACATTTCATCTAAAGCCGATTAGCGAACAATCTCAGTTTTGAGCCATTCGAAAGAGATGGAAATGATCAATTACCAGTATGTCTGGGAAATTTGTCTTGACGACACCATCGATCACACTCCACATTTGCTGAGGAGAGGGTCTTTCCTTCATTTCAATCCCAAGTTTCTCACGGACCATGCTTCTTGCTCCATCGGCACCAAAGATATACTTGGTTTTGATGCTGGAACGTTGTGTTCCATGGGCATCAACCAACCGCACCTCAATGGGATATTGTGTATCCTTGCTATCCCCAAAGCTGTCAATCGACCATGGTCGATCAACCTTCAGCCCCTTTTGCTTAAGATCATCTAGAAAGATGCTCTCAATGCGCCCCTGGTGCAGTATAGTGGAGAATGGATACCTTGTATCAATCGATTCTGGGAAGCTCCTCCATGTGCTCGTTCTCTCGATCGACTCCTGGCTTTGGCCCATTGGGTTCCAGAATGCGGTTTCATATATTCTACCAGGATTCTCAGACATAATATTTCGTTTCAATCCCAAGTTTTGCAATATATCCAGAGTCCGCGGCTGAATACCATCTGCGCGGCCGGTTTTTGTGGGCTCGGCTCGATCATCGATGTGTTTGATCTTATATTTACCCAGGCGCAACATGCACGCTGTAAACATCAGGCCTGTTGGACCTGCCCCAATGACGACAATATCATAATTTTCAGCCATTTTATCCCTGAATTCCATTTACGAGATGTATTGACCTCGAATAAATGGACCACAGAAAATTGATATTTGAAAATTTTGAGCTTGGTGGGATCACGGCCCGCTGGAATCTTCATTCTAAGAGCTTCCTTCAAGAAGAATCCAGCCACTGCACACCGCTTCTACCCTTGCTAGTGACCTCATGCTCCGAAAGGATGTGTTTCCGGTTATAGTGAGCTCCTTGCATCTCTTAGGTGGAGCGTGTAATGCATGTCATTCTTCAGTAATTGGGTTGCAAGATAAGAGATGGTGCCGAAACTATGACACAATGTTGTATATTAAACAGGTTTGTTACAAAATCTAGAAGGCCCGAAGGCAAGGGTTGATCGGTTTACATGTAAAGTTCATCATCTTCTTTCCACGCACTGTATGTCACAGCGGCGTTGAGGTATAATAAACATGCCATTGTGCAATCAGTTTTCTTACTTACTTTAGTGATTATCCTTGTGAGAGCAGACCATTGAATTTCATCGTCTTCGATATGACGCTCACTGACCTCGTTGCTCTCAACCCAAACTATACTGGGTTTGACTCAATCACTTGGTATGTGGGGAACGCTCTTCAAGCTTCATCATTTTTCGTTACCCGCTTCGGATTTCAAGTGATCGCCTATCGCGGGCCCGAAACTGGCTCACATTTGATATCCGCGTATGTACTATCGAATGGCAGCGCAGTAATGCTGTTCATGGCACCTATTCGTGGCCTTGGAGACACCAAAGATGCGAGGGCATCTAAGGAGGATGATCAACTTCTCAGGGAAATCCACACTCATTTGACAAAGCATGGGGATGGAGTCAAGGACATTGCTTTTGGGGTTAGCAACGTCCATCAAGTTTGGCAGTATGCTGTTGCAAACGGTGCTAAGTCCATTCAAAGCCCCCGGGTGCTAGTAGAACCTGACCTTGGTGAGGTCTGCTGCGCCATAATCGGCACTTACGGCGATACCACCCATTCTCTCATTGATCGCAGTCGGTACAAAGGGGTTTTTCAACCAGGATTTCGTCCAGTTACGCTATCAGATCCAGTGAATGATATACTACCGGCGGTGGAGTTTATTGATATCGATCACTGCGTAGGCAATCAGCCATGGGGTGGACTGGAGACGACCGTCAAATTGTATGTATACACCGCAACAGTTCCCCATGTAAAAATGAAACGGGAAAAAACTGACTTGATATCAGTTATGAACAAGCACTAGATTTCCGTCGGTATTGGACAGTCGACGATAGGGAGATGTGCTCGGAATACTCGGCGATGCGTTCTGTCGTTGTGGCATCGCCAAATGAAGTGATCAAGATGCCCCTGAACGAGCCGGCAGTGGGCAAGAAAAAGTCACAAATCGAAGAGTGAGTCTCATCTATCTCACAATCCTAGAACCATCCATTCATTTGTGAGATTTATCAGATTCGTCGACTATTACAATGGAGCTGGCTGTCAACATATCGCCTTTAGCACCAAAGATATCGTTGAAACGGTCAACCATCTTGCGAAACGAGGTGTACACTTTTTAAAAGTTCCAGAGTCATACTATGTTACCCTGCGCCAACGACTGCAAGGGAAACATGCCAAGGTAGCAGAGCAGCTCAACATTCTTCAAAAGTCGAACATCTTGGTAGACTTTGACGAAGGTGGCTACCTGTTGCAAATTTTTGCCAAGCATGTGTTGGACCGCCCGACTGTGTTCATTGAAATCATCCAGAGGGAAAACTTCGATGGTTTTGGGGCAGGGAATTTCAAGAGCCTGTTCACAGCCTTTGAGCAGGAACAGGCATCCAGGGGAAACCTATGAACGCATCATTGTATGCCCCCCAATTTGCTATCAACCTCGTATGTTCACTTAAAGCTTACTATAACTGCTTTCACAAAACTATTTTTGTTAGAGTAGACAAATATATGTGAATGTTTCACGCGTTGGGCTGAATTTTTTTAGATAACCAGCTTAAGCTACTACTTTTATCTTCTCTCTGTATATATCAGCTACAGCTTTTTTACCGGATTTTAGAGTGTCTGTTCAGCTTTCTGCTATCATAAAATACACGCGCTATTTGAATCGTAGCAACAATTCTAGTCTAGAGAAAGTATCTTGTCAAAAGAACGTGATTGTGCATGGACCAAAGCCTGCATCACCATGAAACTCAAAACACACAGGGTATAAATCTCTTAGTCCGAACAGAATAGGCATCCCAGGAATCTTTGAATGTTTCACGCAGAAGCTTCTCCTCCTCCGGCACTCGTATGGAAGCACATATTGGAACCAAGATCAAGTTCAAAATGAAGTGAATGACTGCCAGATACGGGATTTTGAGCAAGACACTTGGCCAAAAGCAAGCAACAGCTCCATCGGGCCGCATAAACAAAAAAGTCATTGCTATGTTGTTTACCGCATGGGATGAGTACGACGGATGCCGAACGTAACCATAGATGCCAGTCGTGACCAATTGACTCGGAGTACTCAGATTATATGTGAAGTTTGAGCCCAGCTGAGAATATGCGGATATGCGAATCTTGCCGGAGACCACGATGAGAAGCATTAGGGTAGTGGTATACCAATTCCAGGTGAAGAGCGTTTGACTGACATGATCCCTCGGAATAAATGATGGTTGCCGCTGGGACGAGTAGAGCGCGGCGAGAAGCGCATGGAGAGAAGCCCAAAAAAATATATAAAGCCGGTACAATGACCAAAATCGCATGATCCCCAGTCGGCTGAGGGTGTCACTAGCTTTGACATTTTTTGCCAACGGTACTGGTCTGGTCTGGCATTGGTAGCTGTAGTAGCCGCTGACCAAGAGACCAAGTGGGAAAAAGATAGAACCCAGGCTAGACATCGCGATATATTGAATTGCAAATGAATCTTAGGCCGGGACGTGTGGATCGAAAGGTTCACTGGTATACTTATCAGTCTCGATGAACGCTTTAAGCCCTTGATTCGAATCGGATATGAAATTGACGGTCAAAGCTTCGCATGAGCGAAAAATAGTCAGACCCTTCAGCGATTCGGGAAATCAAGGGGAGTGGAGCGCAATCTAAGAACGTAATAGCGGTATCAAGCATGGCCTTTCTATGATAGGATCTCATGGATAACATTATGCACGTACTACATAAAATGCACAGTATTTGGTCAGATCTCCTTGCTTGATCGATGGTGCTACCTAAGAAACGTCCAGGTGTATATGTGACGTGTACGTAAGTATGTTCAGCTGACCTTTGGCGAATTCCAGACACTGAATCCTTTGCTGCTCTTGCAACTACCATTATACCTTGCTTTGCTTGGCAGGGGGACATTCTTGGGCACATTTTTCATAGTAAAGATCGCTTACGAAGTGCGCATCCGCAGGTAAAGTGGAAGTTGGATATGCAAGGAGAAACGGGTCTTCATCACAGTCATCATCATATCATGCCTATCGATGAATGGAATAGAGAATAATACCCACCAAAATTTATCCTGATCAAGACTACCTGCGGCGTGTGCGGACGACTGCAACTACAAATCACCATGCACAATGATGCTGAAGATTTGGGGTTCCGAGGAGAAGAAGTCACCGAAGACTGTGAACCGACCATCTACTTCCACAACATCTTTCAGGAATGCCTTTTCGTATTGACTGCGACCATGGCCGTAGGCCAAACATCATTCTTTACAGGTCTAGTCACAGTAATCACGGCGTCTATTGGGCATGAACTCGATATGAGCTCGACCGAAATTACTTGGATCAGTGCCGGAATGGCGTAAGTAACCTAGTCTCCCAGTTTTACTTGGCGATAGGATATTAAACTCCGCAACAGGCTTACCAGTGGAGCGTTTCTCCTACCCTGTGGAAAAATTGCCGATGTCTTTGGTCGAAAGAGAATATTTACGACAGCCTTGGCCGGGTTTTCGGCAGCATTATTAGTCTCTGGCTTTGCGAAATCCCCAGTCTTTATGGACATATTTTCGGGTATTTTAGGTTTATTTGCTGCAGTCGCAGTACCTCCAGCGGTTGGAACTTTGGGAACCATTTATGAAAAGCCTTCTAAAAGGAAGAACCGAGCGTTTGCGTGCTTCAGCGCTGGAAATCCTCTTGGATTCGTGGGGGGAATGCTCATCTCGGGTATTGCTGCTGAAGTTGCCAATTGGAGAGTATCATTCTGGACCTTGTCTGTTCTGTATGCTGCTTTCACCGTCCTCGCAATATGGACAATGCCTGGTGACCCCATTCTCGTCCATTTGTCGCTAGGGAATTTTTGGAAAAGATGTGATCCTCTCGGCATGCTCCTTTCTGTGACTGGAATTGCATTTCTATCAGCATCATTATCGTGAGTTTTTAATCATGGAAATGAATCGTATATTTTTCAATTTGTTGATTCCAGCAGTTTGGCGGGAGACGCACCACGTGGCTGGAGAGAACCCTACGTCCTAAGCCTTCTCATTCTAGGCATCGCTCTCATCTCTATTTTTCTGTGGTGGCAGTCCATTTACTCTATACCTCTAATGCCTTTACACGTGTGGAAAAATCGAACTTTCTCCTTAGCAAGCACACCCTCTGCCCTAACTGCCTGTGGCGTTTTGACTGACTCTTCCTAGCTTGTGGCAACTTTGTCACTTGGATACACTGGATTTGCCGCCTCTCAATTTTGGATGGCTTTGTATATGCAGAGAGTTCAGAAGCTTTCCTCACTCGAGATTACAGTTCGACTGTTACCATTGGCCATCAATGGTCTTTTTGTCAACGTCATATGCGGACTGATATTACACAAAGTTAGCAGCAAGCTATTGATGATCATTGCCTCCTTGGCTTACACGACATCTTTTCTCATTATGAGTTTCACGGACGATAATAGCTCTTACTGGGGCTTTTACTTCCCCCCATGGTTTTAATGGTTATCGGTGCAGATATTCAATTCAACATAGCAAATGTAAGACTACCTCCACAATGGCTATCAATCCTGAATGCTGAAGTCAGTGAGCGCAGATGTACGTAATGTCTTCATTTTCTTCCTTGGATCAGTCCTTGGCCGGGAGCATCTTCAACGCCATCACGAAACTTTGCACTGCTCTCGGTCTGGGTATTACGACCACCATTTACGAGTCCATGTCAGATGGCCAATCTGAAAGCCCGATCAGACCTTACTTGGGGACATACTGGTTTGCAGCTGGACTGGCTGGGGCCTCGATATTACTTTTGCCATTTCTGAATTTGGGAACCCAAGGTGGGGAAGTGGTTGAAGCCCAGGAAGCAAGAAATGACCATATTTGAGAGGCGTAAGCGCCAGCCATTGTATACATATCTTTGTATATGCGCTTCATCCCACCTGACAAGTACTTCAATTTTATCCTGCCTTTACAAAAGTCAGCAAGAGAAGGCTATTGATAGCCTGGGAACCCAAAAATATGCTTTCGGGTATATTATGTTAGCAGTCACAATATCCACAGGGGAATTGTAACTGTTATTTCCTATATAATGGATGATCATAGAAGGAAAAATGCGAATGTTCAAGTCCAGAGGGTATACTGAACCTTATATCTGCTAGAAAACCTTAAGCTAAACCTTAACTTGTCCGATTCCTAGATAATAAATCAAGCATGGTAGCCGGCTATTAGCCGATTCAAAGTATAGGCTATAGCTAGGAGCTATGATTTTTAATACACCCCCTTATTATTGAAAGTATTTGAATCTACCATTATAATAAATGGATATAACTAGTCCCATTAAACGATCAGGTTGAACCTTAAACTATACCGAATAGTCTCAAATTGAGGCTTAGTAATAGCTTCGTTATACCATGGGCGACATTAATGATATTTAGGACGTAGTCTAACGTGGTTTTACCTTGCTTGAATCTCAATATATCAAGACCTCAAGAAATACCTCGTTAAGCTATCTATAGGGATTACCGACTTACTATCACTTAAAATACGCAGTGAAGGGGGGATCCTACAGGGGATCCCGACTCTACCTGTCCGCTGCGAACAGGTCGGCCACTAGGGGTAGTAGGACTAAAGGAAAGGAGAGCACATGGGGGTGGATCAGAAGAGAACTTGTGTCTGTCTTGCTCTACTGTGCGTAGAGAGGCCTCAAATACATCACAAATGCTGAATTACTCATAGACCGCTACTTCATGCAGTAAGCAGTTCCCCTATCATAGTAGTTATCAGTATATGAATACTAACCAGAGAAAGATGAAATCAGATCATATCCATAAAAATAGGACAAGAATATGAAAGAATATATAAAAAGGAAGAAAAACACATATCTAAGCGCGAATCTTATTTTTGAACCTGCGCCACCACCAGGCCATCTACGGCCACCGAATCAATTGCAAGTTATATCTAACTCCCTTGCGTATCTTTTGGCACCGGTTTGATACCCGTACGACCATGGTTGCGCCCGGGAGCTAGTGGCCTGCCCTATTAGGGGGGTCCGAGAAAACTCTGCGTATGAAAACAACACCTCCGAACGCGTACTAGCAATTAACCACGATGCCTAGATGATTCTAAGCTTCGTCAAAAACGACGGTAAGGTCTAGCCCGTGATACTAGAATTCGTTAAGAATAGACTTCCGCAGAACCCAGTACTGGGTCGAATCCTTCAACCCAGAACCCAACCCAGCACTGGGTTGGGTCGAAACCTCATAACCCGGACCCAACCCGGACCCAGTACTGGGGCCCCAGTAAACCCAACAATAACCCAGTTGGACCCAACTTTGGCATAAATCCTGGCATAAACCTGCTTAGTTATCTAAATAGAATACCGTTTTTTTTTCATGTTTTGCTTCATACCCAAGAATTCTACTCTTCTCACCAAGAAGCCGCTTGAAATCTTAAGAAATCTCTATATAAATAGCATGAATCTATCTCTTTCACTATCAAAAACTCCTCAAGATGCTATATTTCATATAGAGTATAGTACATAGGTGTTTGGGAAGATCTACCCTGCTGAAGTTGTAGAAATATATGTTCAATATATTTAAACCTAGTATGTATTTTCTTATAGATGTTAAGAGTACAAAAGATGTAATCATTTCTTCATTTGTGGATAATATTAATTGATCAAATGATCAAGTAGGTTCTCTTATTTATCTTTACATCGTGGAATTGACATTTAAACCATACTGTGTGTCGAAATGCCTAGTCTTAGCCCTTTGGAGTCCCTATAGGATGAAATATTTTGAAGGATCTACATAAAACTGGGGTGGGAATTGGGTATTTGCTGGTTTTTGACTGGGTTATTGCTGGGTTACTAGGTCAGACCTATATATCATGAGCTTAATAGGCCAATCGGAGGAGTATAGTCATCTAGCCGGGTATAGTTCGTTTGATCTATCAACTACTAAATTCACTAACAAGTTTCTAATATATTCATGATCTCTGATTCCTCCCTTACTTGATCATTTAACTTAATACTAATCTATCATTATGTCTTAAAGCCAGTTTTCAGACTTCGTATCGTCATTTTATAGGGAATTTAGTGATTCATAAGTGCTTACTCCCCCCGTAAGTATATAGACCCAAGAACCCTAGGAATCTCGTATCCTCCGATTAGGTGATCTGACTCCTACGCCGGTCCCTTCTTCCCTTACGCGCGTTGGCTCCGACCGTAGGAAGATATTTCTTCTTTACGACAAGATGGTTCATTCGGAATGGGTAGACTGGTGGCTAGGAACTGAATATAGCTCGAAAAGCAAGATTAATTGGGACTTAAGACGCTATACAGAGGTCTAGGATAGTTACCACTAGGTCGCTCAAATCATCGATAGGGTACCAAAGGTTATGTGCAAACGTTGTGGCAAGATCTTAGAGCATCCTTATTCTACTAGCCTAGGTAGTATAGGGAGCAGAGTGCAGTACTATAGTATATCAACGATCATAAAGTATCTTAGGACAGCTAGATATATACGCTCGGATAATAAGAAGAATTCGGGGATCACAAAGGTTCTATAGACTAAGGTAAAGTATAGCCCCTAGCTCTATAAGTCTATAGTTTTACTGATTAATAGCGATTCGACTTCCTAGGCAGAAAGTTCAGCTACGCCCTTCTTATGCCAAGAATAGGAAGAAGATATTCTTCAGTTCCTTACCCTTAACCGCCTGCCATTCAATCTAGTCGAATATATATCATTCAAACGTCTCTTCCACAAAGCTCGCTCTACCCCAGCCATTTTGCCATTCCCTTCCGCCGATACTATACGTCGCCGACTCGGGAGTATAGTCAAAGATCGATAGCAGCGTATCCTTCGCACGCTACCCCCTCGCTCTAAGATATCCATTGCGCTTGACTGCTAGACGTCTCCTTTCTCGTAGGCATTTATAGCTATTACCGGCTATTTTATTAACGCCGATTGGGTTTATCGCGAGGTGCTTCTTAGGTTTAAACCGGTTTCTGGTTCATATACCGGTGATAACCTTAGTGGTATTCTTTTAGAAACCCTCGTAGAGCATGAAATTACGGATAGGGTCTTTGGATTAACAACGGATAATACGTCGAATAACAAGACGTTGGCTACTGCTCTTTAGTAAGCGTTACTAGATAGAGTTTTTATTACCCGAATCCTATGCCTTGCCCACGTTATTCAGCTTAGTCTAAACTAGCTTCTTTCTCGGATCAAGGTAGGTCCCACAAATGACTTGACTGAGATAAAGTGGATAGAGAAGCAGTCAAACCTCGCCCGGCAAAATGCGAAGCAACAGTCTGATTTATATCAGATCTCTTCCACATTAAACAAGATCCGCTTTCTTGCAGTTTATATTAATACGAGTCCTTAGCGCCGAGAGACATTCTATGGACTTTAGATAACCGATATCAAGATTGTGTTACGCACTTGCTTCCGGGTCGTCGCTATGTTAGAAGATTCCCTGGGTTATACTTGCCTGGTTGCTGACTTCCAACCTCAACGATCTGTCTCTCAACCGTACCGTTGCCTAACAGGCCTTATACGGGCTAAGTCCTTTCGAGGGTATCGAGGAGCGATGCCAAGTAGAGCGCCGAGTTAGTCTATACCGAGATATAGGCCTTCCCGTGGTGTTGTCAAGTTATAATCAAGTTATACGAGTCACAAAGGTTTCTAAATAGTAGACACAAGTAACAATGTTGGATTGAACACGAAGAACTAAACTAGATACATGAGGTCCTATATATATCCCGAGTTCTTCCTATAGATGAGTAGAAAGTAGAACAGTAGAACTGTTCTACTCGACGACTGTCGACTGTTCTACTACTTGCATGATCACGTGATGATCGTGTCATTGGTTATTGCGGTAATCACGGAGACGGTGAGTCGGGGGCCGAAAGTGGCCTTTCTCTTACCGTCACTCAGCGTTGTGGTGTAATCTAGGTGATGGTAAATCAAGGGCCGAAAAAGGCGCCTGCCTTGTTCGTCCAATCGCATCTCCCTGCTCGCTTGTCACGTGATCCGGTGGGTCGGTCGATCGACTGGTTCATGACCGCCCATCAACAAGTTGCGGCCCCATATTGATTGGTGCCTGGCATGTCCGTAACACTATAAAGGTATCTCCGTGGATCACGCTATATAGTTGATTTTGGACCGAATATACCGGGCATAGGGACTAGGTGTTACGGACATACCAGGCACCAATCAGTATGGGACCGCAACTTGTTGATGGGCGGTCATGGACCAGTCGATCAACCAACCCACCAGGATCACGTGACGAACAGTCAGGAAGGTTACACCACAACGCTAGGTGCCGATAGGGCCACTTACGGCCCCCTCAGCACAAACACATATTCTCCCCCATAAGAATATTGGAATTACGTCAGCCTAACCACGTGATCATGCAAGTAGTAGATGGGTATGGTGGTTTACGAGTAGATCCTGCCAAGGCGCATCTACCAGTCTACCATCTACCATTCTACCAAGGAAGAACTAGGGATATATAGGACCTCATGTATCTAGTTTAGTTCTTCGTGTTCAATCATCCATTGTTACTTGTGTCTACCTTTGGAAACCTTCGTGACTCGTACAACTTAGTTATCACTTGACAACACTACGATCTAAGCCAATACTTCGGTATAGACTTGATCGGCGCTCTACTTGGCATCGCTCCTCGATACCCTCTCAAAAGGACTTAGCCCGTATAAGGCCTGTTAGGCAACGGTACGGTTGAGAGACAGATCGTTGAGGTTGGAAGTCAGCAACCAGGCAAGTATAATCCAGCAAGTCTTCTAACATAGCGACGACCCGGAAGCAAGTGCGTAACACTAGGTAAGAAGGTAAGCATATTATTGCTAGACGTGGCCGGCGCCTACGATAACGTGTCCTATAAACGCCTTATTAGCAATATAAGGCGTATAGGCCTTAGTTAGATTGCCGACTAGGTATCTGCCTTCCTCACTAGCCGCAGTATAAGAATACGGCTCCCTAGCTACCTTAGTGAGGCATTCCCGACGCCTACGGGTATTCCCTAAGGATCTCCGATCTCTCCGATCCTATTCCTACTATTTAACACCCCTCTTATTAAGGGGTATTCATTCGAGCTATGGTACGGATCTATAGAGACATTTGGCTAGGTAGATGATACTTATATTCTGGCTATCTTAAATAGCTACGAAGAAAACGTCTAGCTTATTAAGAAAGCTCTCGAGAGAGCTAATAAATAGGCTAGGCGTTATACGGCAAGATTTATACCCGATAAGTTCGAATTAATCTATTTTAGTAACCCCAAAGACATAGGCACGTAATAGGAATAGAAACGGAAAACCAAAGTGTAGAAAAGGAAAACAACTATATAGAAATAGACTCCTCCTCTACCTCTACCTCCTTTACCCCTACCGCTACCGAGTATCTAGGATATCCCTGATAACCCCTACGGCCACGACCTAATGCTAGTGACTATGCCTGGCCACGAATCCGTCATAATCTAGCCATCCTAATATACTAAATATCTCGGTATCTAGCTCGACAAATATCTCAGTTTCGACGTATACCGAAAGAAGCTAATAGGCAAAGCGTTAGGTAGCCTAGAAGCCCTACGAGGTATCTCTAGGTCCACGTAGGGCGTATCACTAATATCTATACGTAAGCTCTACCAAGCTATTATTATCCCTTAGGCTCTCTAGGGTATCTCTGCCTAGTACTACCCGGCAGCGAGAACCATACTAGCCTAGGAGATAAAGAGGCTTAAGAATAAAGTGGTCAAACTGTAGAAGCGTGCGGTAGTGCTGATTAGCGGAGCTTTTAAAAGTATATCCGCGGCAGCGCTAGACATTGAGCTATTTCTACTACTAATAAGGCTTCGACTTAAGTAAAGTATCGAAGAATACGCTATTCGTATTCTTACCGGCCCCCGCTAGGCCTATCCTCTCTCGGCATTAATGGCTAGGAAGCCGAGGGAGAGAGCCCTAGGGGGGTAGTCACCCCTAGAAGCGCTAGTCTAGAAGAAAGGACCAATCAAACTTAATAAATCGGAGATATAGGAGGAAAAGGCGGCTTTTATGATACCCCCCTAGGTAAAACGGGTCTCCTACGTCATTGAGCCCGCCGAGGCGGCATTAGCCACCTATAAATCAACTATCTAACGGAAGAGAATCTAGGGTATTAAGAAGCTTATCAATACCGATACGACCAATCAAATAACACTAATATATACCGATGGCAGTGGCTTCGAAGGCCACATCGGAGCCGCCGCCATCAACCTATATGACGGGGACACCTTACTCTCCGACCGTGCCTATCTCAGTACGGAGGCGCAATCAACTATATACGCTACGGAGCTTAGCGGGATACAGATAGCACTAGCAAGGACTAGAGAAGACAACAAGGAACACACGGCTCGAGAAGTGATTCTTTTCTTAGACAGCTAGGCTGCTATCTAGGTAGTCCAAAACCCCCAGCGACCGTCGGGCCAGTACGTCCTTAGACACATTTATGAACACGTACGGGCCCTTCGGTCCGGATAATAAGAACGATATTAGACTAATATCACCCTCCGCTAGATCCCTACACACGTTAGTGTACCGGGTAACGAGGCTACAGATAGTAGCGCGAAATACGCGGCTCTCCAACTTACGGGAGGTGCGACCGGCGAGGGGATCGGAGCGGATAAACCCACTATCCGGCTCGCAGCGGCTGCCAAGCGTACGGTTCGAGCGCGTATTTAGGACCGGTAGGAAAAGCAGTGGGTAAGCGAGAGGACTACTCAGCCGACCAAGCGCTTGGTTATTCGGCCGAATAAGAAGGTATTAAGGTTATACGAAGGTCTCTCAAAGCCGAGATCCTCGATCTTGATACAAATAAGGTCGATGCGTATTGCGCTTCGACACTTCCTATTTAAGATCAAGGAATCGGAATCAGACCGATGCCCTTACGGAGAGGGTTCTTAGACCCCAAAACACGTCTTACTTTAACGTGAGACGTACGGGGATCTCCGCAAACGGCTTTTTAACCAGCTCCACGGAGCTAGGGTAAAAGCCATAGATTATGACTAGCTAGTTAATAACCCGTAGGCCACCCGCTACGTGGCCAAATTCATACACCGAACCGGTCTCCTTGCTTAGTTCCAACACGCTGAGTTTGACGCCGATGACGACCAAGAAGACCGAGAGGTTAGGGAGCAGAGTCCCGAAGACGCTAGGTACTCACCAATGCTTGCGCCTACGGCTAAGGGTGGAGAGACTACGTCCCTCAGCGCGCTATTCGACTATACGGTGCCGAATTGGACTAAAACTCTTCGGTCAGGACCAATCTAAACAGCAATTGAGGCTGAAGTGAGGATAGACGGGGCCTGTTTACGGCGATGCAGGAATTGAGATAGAGAGATGGGGGGTTGGAAAGGCAGATGGTGCATCTACGGTCGTTCTTTGTACCTGATACCTTCGGCACTAGGTCTTTCTTATGTTTTGGGTATGGGATTTGTATCTATGTCGAGCTAGTACCCAGTCTCTCTTTTGAGGACCAGCTCTCTTTCTGCGTTGTTGTCAGGCGTACGGAAGTTCTTGCTTCAACTGGATAGAAGCGCCTGCATAGCCATTACGATACTAGTTAGGCTGCATCAGGTTAATTGAACTTTGATTGATTGATTGATTGATATAAAAAGGAATTGATAGAAGAAGAGTGATATCTGAACAATGCTTCAGACTTGAGTACCTTTTTGGAGCAGGACTGCAAACCAAAGTTGACTAGAGGAGAGAATGTATACAAAAATCTCATGCTAAGAAACTGTATAAGAGCTATAAATAAAGCAAACTTACAAAAAGTCACCACGAGGGAATAGAGATTTCCATGAAAAGTCTAAACTACATGAAATCATAAAAGACTTCTGGAAACGTCTGTCTATGACTTCAAGATATAGCAACTAATTGGCAATTTTTGCTACGGATTACTACGGATATGACGTTTGTTGATGAGAGAGTTAATCAGAGAAGGAATACCTTACAGAGAGAAATAATTCCCTACCAAAGATGATTACAAATTTCACTATCAATCTGCAATTTCTAAACCTCTTCCAGTTCTTACGTAGTTATTGTCTTTCATTTACATAATTCTTACCCCTTTTACTTAATCTTCAGTAAGACATACGACTAGATAAGATAATTATAGGATGATATAGTTTTATTCGTAGGCTAGCAACCCATATTCGGATAATTTATCGTCACATCAATGGATAAGCTTAATAGCCGAATAATCATGACTGAGTAAGTAGCCACCAAGTAATTTCTCAGACACCTCATAGATGAAAATACTGCAATTCATTTGGGACAACAACTTAAGCTCAGTAAACATGAAAGAGAGCTTCTATTTCTTTCTTTCCTCTCTCTTCCCTCCTATCTCATCTAGCAATGTATGCAGTCTAGTGCTCTCTTCTCTTGTTTCTTCTGCTAGAACGACAAAACATCTCGCAATGGGAAGCACATAAAAATATCCAGAAATTTCTAAACAAAAAAAAAATTCAAATCAGGTCGTCGCAGTTGTCACATACTTTCCACAATCAGTTTCTCGATAGACTTATCGTCGATTCGAAGTCCAAGCCTCTTAGCAATTATTCGCCCACATTCCACTCTGTCACCCACAGGAGATGGCCCACCAAACATTGAAAGATTGCAAAACCTGATAGTCTCCTCATACACCTGTAACAGGGGCTTGGAATAGTCAGGTATAATGTAAGAATTTGGGCCATCAGAAGCTATGGCCATAAACGAGTAAATTATATCGCGAGGCTCAGTGCATTCCAGCTTGTTTATTATGGCATTCAGTAACAGAGTAGGAAGGAGCAACACGGACGGAAGATATTTTGACGGCCCCGGTTTGAGTAAAGATTTGCTTATCAGAATGCTTTTGACCATGTGCAGTGCATGTGGGTCCGGACAGAGTTGCAACTCTGGGTATATAAGACGGCATGTATCAAGAAATCGATTTCCTGATAGGATCTGAGAGCCGCATTGGAGGGTGAATGTGCATGCAAAGTATAGCTCTTGCCAAATCCAGACGCGGCGCCAGATGGTGCAGCTGTAGAGCTTTTTCAGACATGACAATGAGAGCCGGCCAGTTGAAAGGGTTTCAGTGGCTATCTTTCTCAAATCCTTTGCAACACTTTTGGATGTGCCAAGCCACAGCACCACCTGTCGTGCTGACTGGTATATTTGACTCATCATCTGGACCTGGTGTCCACGCTCGCGGAGGTCTTTCTGATTGATACAGAATTGATCAATCCATAAGACACGATCATTTGTTGGCGACCGGAGATGGCAGAGAGCGTTATAAATATTATTCCGCACTGAGATCTTGTATCCATTCAGAAAGATTGTTCGCTTCCAGTCAGTGGACGATCCCCATTCATAGGACAAAGCTTCATAGTTTGCAGGTGATCCTAATTTAACATGGGCTAGATGGCATTTGACTGGATCCGACATTCCACCTTTTGCCAGAGTGACCACCCGAATTTCGTTTGCATGTTGTAGAGGCGTATAAGAGAATGATGTTGACCGCGTTTGTGTTGAAATAGAACTCATAATGGCAAATGTCTTTTCAATAAGATGGATCAGCTTACCGTACTGCCATCCTCCTTGAAGGAACAATGGATTCACTAAATACTAGAGCATTGTCTCGGTTACGCCCTCAGACTGACTCGAGGCACGGGATAAGTAGCGGCAAAAAACGAAGCTCAATTGGTTGGAACTCAAGGAGACCCAGCAACCGGGCGTCAACCCATGCGTGGGTCATGGAACAAACCAATCATAGTTCACCCATGCCAACTACTGTACAGTACTTTTACGGCGTCATTTCTTTTTTTTTTTAATTGCCAATGATTGTTCCCCGGTTAACTGGGAGCTACTGCACTTCTACCCAGCAGCTTCATCTTCGATGGACACGAATTGTTTGAAGTTTTGATTAATAAACCCCGTATCTGCCTGCATCCTGCCGCGCGCCTCACGACCCTGCTATTAGGACATCATTTGAAACCCCTGATCATGACTCGTGAGAAATAGTCCATCGCAACTGTCCAAAGCCCAGGAATAGATGATCTTGCAAGTCTTGCGAGATTATTGAACGATGTCAACATTCCGTCCGCGCTCTGGGGCGTGAATGCTGCTGGCTGCTACGGAGGAGGCCTTTGCCCTTTGGTTTGTCGTCGAGATCACAGATAAGAGATTGACACAGGAATGGCTGACAGAAAACCAGGATATAGAGATCGTTATCAATGAAGCTGATCAAGCACAAACCTTTGAGTTGTTACGTTCTCATGGATGCCGCGCATCGCAGCCCCTGCCTGACCACCCTGGGTCAAACGACTTTGAAACATGGCGCGAGTTGGCTGTGCATCATAAGTACCAAGATCGGCGTCGCGTACGTCTTTGCACGACAATCTATGAGCTCCCCACAACTGGAGACGCATTCATCAATTCTTTCCTTCCATTTATAATGGTACACTCAGCCGAATCAGTGGGGTTGCCAGCAATTCCGCGCATATCAGGGATTGAACACTGTCCCAAAAGTGATATCGAGGGACTAACTCAAACAGACGAACCAAGCCCTCAAGAGGAAAAGGCCAATCAGGATTAAATTTAACTCAGCTGTCTTCCTTATTACATCTTAGGCTCCGAGGAATCTCACTCGAGTCTTCTAGTGCCCGAGTTTAGCTGTCTTGTGCAGTTCAACATGCATGTGATTTTGCAACTTGCCGACAAATTACCTAGTTGGGGTCAACATATGGCCGAGCTTTCAGAGTTGCTTCGGTCAGGTGGTTGTGCCATAGGTCTCGAATCATTACATGAGACTGTGAAGCCTTCACAGGTGTAATTTGCGCGGTGGATTCAATTGGAACTGAAAGGGGAGAGTAACCGAGAAGACTTGCACAGTAATCGAAACGAATACTACCATGCTCGTTGAGACACATAAAGGAACTGGTGGTAGGAGGTAAGAAAATACCATTCATTTCATTGATTCCGTGAATCGCCGTAGTACTGAAGTAATGTTCAGGATCTTGGTAGTTGCCAGACTCGAGCCAAATTTGCTGTTGTGTCCCACGGATGTCTGCAAGTGGTACATAATTGTGTTTTGTCTCTGCGTAGCGATCTAATTGACATCTTCATTTGCAGATATCAAAGACTTAAAACTGGTATGCCACGATCTTGACAGTCAATGTATGATATTTGGGTCAATTCTCATATGAAAGCATTCCTTAAGTTAAGGATTCACCATACGTTATCGGGAAGTTACAGGATAACCCTGAAGCCCGTCTCATTCATTGGCCTTCAAGGCTCTTGGGTCACCGAGTATCGATCGTTATTTTCTTAAAATTGCTCCCATAACCCGCACCCAGTGATATGTACAGACCCTTTTTATATTAACACTATATACTTGGTTTGATATACAAAATCAAGATACGTATCTTGAATATCACATAAGTTCATGACGCATCCTGCTAGAACCTGGTACCTCCTGTACATCCCTACCCGACTGCAGCTCTTTCAGATCGCGAGAATCCATCTCATTCATGTAAGTTGTATTTGTCTCATTGAAAGATGTCACCGCAGAATCATGCTGTTCCACAAGAGCCTTCTGCGAATTTGTGGCTCTTCTTCGGCGAGTGACGCACAGCCAAGCAAGTATTCCAATGAACCCCAGGACGCCAATAGCACATCCTATGCCGATCCCGGCCTTTGCACCAACCGAAAGACTGGAGCTAGATTCTGATTGATTGCTCGAATCATTCGATGGTAAAAGTGTCCAGTACCCATCCCAGCTGGTTTCCCATGAGTTTTCCGAAGCTTGTACTGTATCGTCATTGACTTCAATGGCTTGCTGGTTGCCAGTTCCAATCGATGGGCCAGGCGCTTGGGCTAAAAACCATCTCCCGGATCCATTCCCCTCATGCCAATTGACACCAATGAAAGCTGCTTGGAGAAACGCTCTTCCGAGGGTATAAGCGTCAGATGGGTAGCATGGGAAATAGGTCGTGTTTTGCTCAACTAAAGGCTCTTGAAGAGTGAGTTTCAAGAGCTGGAATGGAACCTTGATGGAGATATTTTGGTCGTTCCTTGCGTTTTTCTCAAAGGTAAATGACAAATATGCCGGCGAAGAAGTAATATTCTGGTACGTGTCGTCATCTGTGTTCCAAAAATAGAGGTTCAAATCTTCGTTGTATGTGACTGGAAGATTGGATGCCACTGCGTCACATGTCTCCTTTGGAAGGTAAAGGTATGGGAGTACAGGATCGATTTCCACAGACTGACTTCGACTGGTGGTGCTGTCTCCCCATCTGAACAGCCCGGATTGGTTTTGGAATTGGAATGGCGAGCCGCCGGTCGCAACTCCTATCCCAATATCCTCGAGGGAAATTTTCAGAAGGCCAAGGTTATTCGTGGGATCAACCTGTTGAGAGCTGACCTCGTTCAGCACACGACTCTGATCATATCCGCCAAGCATCAACGAGCCTGGGATATCAGGCTCCACGGATCCAATATGCATTCCCCATGAGTACGAGGGGATACTCAGAGTCGAAGACTCATTCCAATATTCCCAGGCGGTGACCATATTGAATGTATTACCTTGGACGACATGAGTCGGTTTCGTTCCTCCTAGCGACAATGTCCCCAACGTAACCGGATATTGCGTTCCATTGTCTCCCTTGTATGTCTGATAAGCATCATATACAGATACCATGGAGACATTCGGCACTGCATGTCCATTTTGTAAGCGGAGTGTGTCGGCCAGGATTCCTTCCTTGACGTGTCCGACACCACCCCATACGTTCACACCTGCGCTGCTTTGATCTGATAACCAAGTCATATCACTTATGTCGCCTGGCGAGTTTAATGTAACGGCGGTGTCTGATGCACTGATATTGAAGAGACCACCTCGTTCGGCATAGCAGGTGGTCGAAGAATCATCTGAGCAGACAGTGTCGATGAGGATTGTGCTTGCCCAACGAGCGCCGGGATATAAATCGACCGCCTGTTTAGTTGAGCCCAGCTCAACTGACACGGCATGCCATGGGCCATCCGGGCCATATGTTTGATCAGACCACTCGACAGTCCAAGGCGAACTACTTGCATGCGCGACGGTCGTGGTAACCACCAGCAAGTGGATGAAGTACCCCATTTCTGAGGGAACCGTGTACAAAATGTTGCTTTGCAGCGTGGATAGAGATGAAAGGGGGAGAATAGATTATTATTGTCGCAAACCGTAGCAACAGGGACATGTTGGGGGCCAAATTTGGTGAGGGCGCTTAGGATTGTATCCACAAGACATGCATGAACCAACAAATCAGTAACTTGATAATCCTTGCAAGCGCCATCACAGTTCAGGGTGAGGTACCCCTGCAGCAAGCTCGCTTAATGGTGAGACGTACTAAATCACAAGGGTCGTAGAACAGCAACGTGGGCTTTGTGCTTCTCGGGCATTGCGGTAGAACCTTCGAAGTGTTTATCGACATCCTGTTGAGAGCCTATCTATAATACTTTATCGGTATTAGTTGGTCTCCCTTAGGGGCTATGGGCTGCTTCTCGTCATAAGATATTCCCGGCTTCCCGTTTGATTTGCTCCTAGCAGGGTCTACAATTAAGCGAACGGCAAATCATTAATGGACGTCTGTCTATTCACCCCCCCCCTTGCGATAACGCTGTCATTTAATTAATATAATCACCACCTGTGCCCCCCTAATTTGAAGTCTAGCATTCAGTGTTTTTAATTCCCGTCAAATAACACGGGCTCGTACGGCTTGATTAGATATTCACGAGTAATAGCCCTGGAGACTAGATTAAAGTATCGCATGGTACAGTATAAGTACGTATATCAACTCTGAACCAAGTGCGATCAGTGAAATTAGAGAAATCACGTAAGTATCAAAGCTGAAATCTGGTCAGATATGCTTGTATGGATTAAATGGAAGCATCACCCCTTTCCAAGTACATCCCTTTGGGGTTTCATAGCATCAATTCTACGGTGTAATTTCAATTCATTTCAGGACCAAGAAACCATAAGAAGTCCAGTCAGTGTTTGTCTTCTCTGGTTTATGTCATTCCTACTTATTGAACTCGCGTTTTCTAACCGTTGCCTGTACGCTCTCTGGGTATACGACCCAGAAGTACGGATTGGACTTCTGTCGGGCCTCGACAAGATCAATCTAAACCATAAGTATGGACCATTGAATTTGCCGTTAGGGAACTCACATCGTAGTTCATGAAGAGTGCTGTGACAAACTTCTTGATTTCAAAAAGGGCGACGTGCTGGCCCAGACAACCTCGTGTCCCGGCCCCGAACTGGGACAATCAGACATTGAACGTACCAGGGAAGCGGGCGTAGCCTGACTTACACTAAGTAGACTGGCTTCAAGCTTTCTGATATGTGATGGCTCGCCTTCCAACCAACGACGGGGACGCCACTGATCCGCATCATCACCCCATGTCGGCTTATAGCGGTTAGTAATATATGGACTCATGCCCACCACGGTGCCTCCAGGGTAAAATCCGCAGATTGTGGCACCATCTGCTGGAACGACTCGCTCAAGAGGCATAGCGAATGGAGAGTCAAGCCAGAGTGACTATTTGATACAGGCGTCTACGCTGGCTTGACCCAACCCCTTTAACTGACTGCATGTGAGCTCCGGAGTCCTCGAGTAACATGAACGAGCATAGGGCGTGATTGACTTCTTGTCTCTCTGCTACTGCAGGCCCCACTACTGGATCTTCCTACCATAGTAAAGTTTCTGCATTTTACGCTTTTCAGAGCTCATAGATCTGCGAGCCACTTCTGCGCGGGAATAGCAACCGTGATAAAGCTCTTGTTAGAAGGCAAAACCCCCATTTTCTTGCAGCTCAGACTGCATTGGCCTAGAATTTTCCAAGGTTGTAAAAAATGTCTTTGTATGGCATTTGAAGTGCCATGCGACGATGCGCTAGATTAATAGGTGAAGAGACCATAGAAGCTAAGGAACCATGGAAGGCAGGGATGCAGGAAGGTATGCCAAATCGGACTTTCGGTCGCCGTATTTGTCCTATGAATACGACTCCAACAGCTCATAATAACCTGTTAACAGATTGCCTCATGCAAGGAAGCCCATTTGTCTCCTTTAGACTTATTTCCACACATAATAACGCCCAAATAACATAGGAAACGCAAAGAAGCAGGATCTAGTCCCAGTCCTCGTGGCAATACTGACTCGCTTCATATGACCAAAATATCTGACCAGACAGTTATTATGCAGTGGGTTACATTCTAAAGTCCTTCGCCGACTTTTACAGTGTCAATATGACCTTGGTTCACCAGGCGACCAAATGAGTGCATCAGATTTGACGCATCTCGTCGAATCACAAACCTTTCCCAAGTTACTGCATGGCGAACTTTAGTCGCTGCTACATACTGCATACCGATCGTATAACTTAGTTGTCCATCGCCCAATAAAGTTCAACGCTATTCCTCGTCGGTAATAGTCCATGTCAGACCCAATTTTGACGTTTTAGCCAAAGGTCCATAGAAGCTGCGAGGAATTCACCTGCTTTGTGTAACAACATGACTCAACGTCTAGTCTCAGAGGGACAGGGTTTAGCGCCAGAATTCCCCATTGCATGAATCATGATCTGTTTAGACTAGCCGATCTACCAACACAGGGAGTCCTGCAGCCTGATCATATGCATGATTGAACATTTAAGATTTTTGCTAACCTGAGATTGGTGTGGACGAATACAAATTGACGAATTTTATGAAGGCGATGAGCATTCCGGAGATTGGCAATAGCTACCTCGTCATGTAAGCAGAATGTCTAGCCCTGAGATATTTTTTGACTGGCTGCTCACATCTATGTACGCCTACGGAACGGCGATGGATACCTTTACATGGCAAAAATCTCTGGGCCATTCAGACAAGGTCCGGTCTGTTACATTCTCCTCTAATGGCCGACTCCTGGCTTCAAGCTCAGATGATAAGACAGTCAGGCTCTGGGACACTGCCACAGGCGCGCTGCAGCAGAGTTTGGGTGTTCAAGGGCTGGTCACCAACCTGGAATTTGTCCAAGATGATTTAAATCTGAGCACCAATCTGGGATACCTTAAAACACAGTCCGAGTGTTATGATCACACCTCCCATTTATCTCAAGGGAATGCCGGGATATGCATTCTGAATCGTCAGTGGATAACCCTTCACCGCAGAAAGGTACTGTGGCTTCCTCCTCAATATCGGCCTTGGTGTTCAGCGATTAACGGGACTACACTTGCCTTGGGACACGAATCTGGGCGAGTTTCATTCATAGGATTTTGTGATATTGTACGTCAGTAGTGTTCTATCTTCACTCCAGAGAATGTCGGTAGCAACCCACCGTCATTCGTGTTCTCTAGAGGGGATTCTCGACTTCTCAATACCTTTGTTTTTGACACCACGTACTGGCATGACAAGACACTACAAATTGTACGATTCTCCCAAGCTCTCTGTTCGGAAGGGTCTTCTTTTTGAAAAATTTTCGAAATATATACAAAGCAGGTGTATGAATAGTCTGCAGGTACTCCCAGGCTGTAAGCAAGATGACGTAAGCCGTTGTTTGCACAGCCTGGTGACGAGTAGGCCCTCAAACTGTTACTTGGACATAAGAGTGGCAAGGGAAATTGACACCTTGTCAGATTCTCGAGCCCCGTGTCTTGTTCTCGTGTTTGACTTGTTTGCATCACTATGGAAAATTTTAGTTACCTTGCATCCCTAATCCAGTTACAAGACAGAGCAACGTCTTATAATTAGGGTAACAGTCTTGATACCGATGTAGGAATATTGATATTCCGGATTTAATACTAATATAGACTAGGGGTCTTGGCATTACGGTTAGAGAAACAAAGAAAGAGTGTAGGTGGTGGCACCAGTTTCGAGACGCACTGTAAGACTGCCTTCACATAAGACTGCCATCACACCGCTCCTGTTATAATATACCTAAGATACAAATTAGCTCAAGGGTCCTTAAATGCTGCTTCCTTGTCCCTAGTCTCTTTGATCTCGCTTCGCCACTCGGTTGAGCGAAAATTCGACTACCCCCGAATCCCCTATGTCAACGCCCACTATGTCAACGCATCTCAAGCGATCTTATCCAGCTCCATCATGCTACACTGCTTGAACCAAGTAGCTAAAAGTCTGTTGAGATACCGATATATCTCATCAAACTTTAAGATACAAATAGCATAATTCTAAGATCTACTCAATTTTAGGCAGTGATGATTACGCAAAGTATGACTAGCTACCTAGTCTCGATATTTTACTCACTATGACGAGCTTCGGAGTACATTACTCCTGAATTATACTGTTCCGCACTCCGACGGACGTCCGTTGAAATACTGAGCCTAAAAGAAAGAAAGAAATTCATATATGAGCACCCTGACATGGTCTTTGATATGATCTTGCTAACTTTGCCCGGTCACCGTCTACAGTCTATTTATCTGATTTGGTGATATTGCTTGCTTGTTTATTTTATCATGGAAACCAGCACTACTTCCACGACTAGCTTACCAACCACACATGGAGCTCGGCCAGTGAATCCTGACCTCAATCCCATTGCTATAGCAGCTAGAGGGAACGAGATCACAGGACTAGAGATATTCCAACAGACTTCAGACGATTTCACAATAACCAGAGTGGAAGAACTTATTGCCAAAATGAACGCAGATCAACCCACTGGCGGTATAGATATGGCGTATGGGGAAAAGGACGCACATCGTCTCCGCTTTTGGAAGACCGAACCACCTAAAGCTCCGGTTATCGTTTTTGTACATGGCGGTAGTTGGCGATCTGGAACCTATTTGGACTCTATAGGTTCCGCCAAGGTCGATCATTTGACTAGCCAGGGCTATGCATTCTCCACTGTCAACTATTCGCTTATCCCCTCCGTCAAGGTGGAAGAGCAAGTGCAGGAAGTAGCCAACGCGGTGGGCTACCTTGTCAAGAACGCGCCTAGACTTGGTATTGATCCTGAACGGGTCATTCTTATGGGGCATAGTTCTGGTGCGCACGTTGTTACTCTGCTAGGAACCGACTCAAAGTACCTAGAGCAGGCAGGAACTGGTGTTCATGTTGTGAAAGGCGTCATTTCCCTGGACGGCTCGAACTATAATGCACTGGCCGAGATCACCGATAGTCCTGGGCCGATAGCGGAAAACGCGATTTATGGGCTTGGCAGTGATCCAGAACGACTACGCGCTATGTCACCTACTTACCATGCCCGCGCACCTAATGCGCATACTTTCCTGCTTCTTCATGTCCACAGACATGGTGACATTCGCCAGGCAGTTGAGTTAGCCGCTGCACTCAACGCTGCAGGTACTGAAACTGTTCTCCATGTGTTTGAAGGCCAGAGCTTTGAAGGTCACATGCAAATGCTGCTTCGGCTTGGGGATCCAACTTATCCGGCGACATCTGTCATGAATGACTGGCTCAAGATTCATGTTCCAGTTAATTAGAATATCAAGAGAGAGAGTTCATGTTATATTTGGCTCAATGTCTCTTACAGCCCATCCCCGGGAGACCAAATCTTGTACCAACGAGTATCGATTCCCTCAGAACCCTTCTCATAGAACCTCAAATCTGTACTCAACCGAATTTGACCCTGCGAATTCTCGTTGCGCCCGCTAGCATGAATACTATAAGGATCATGAAAAACAACATCGCCTGCTTCATAATTGGTAACAAGCCATTTATGCTCACCATATGCAGAATGCATAGCCTGGAATTCCTGAGGAGAATTTGAGATCATTCCTCCATCTAACATATTAACGTTAAATGCAGAAATACGCTGCTCAGGTGTGAAATCCGCGGCGCGGTTCGTATAGTCTTCTTCAATTGCGCGGCCTAATGGTAGGGAGTTTTCTAGGTAGCAGAGGCCACCTCCATCGACCGAGATGTCGCCTGTAGAGTTGAGAATTAATCGTTGCTTTTTTCGAGATACTGGAGATAGAACATCATAGAACAGATGGAGAAAGTCTTACCAATTGGTACCCAAGCAGTCAGAAAGAATCCTTCGCCACCTCTCAAGAATAACTTATCGTAATGGATTCCTGTGCCCTTCCCAAGTGGCACATTGTGACGCAACATCGTGCGATCGAGGATACGATGCTCCTTCCATCCCATAAGATCTCGAATAAACTTTGTCAAGGCGGGATGTTCGACGAACGCACGGTACTCGGGCTCCTTGTGGGCATCGACGAGAATCTTTTCCTCGACCGGGTCACTGGGTAGACCTTGACCACCAATACCCTTATGTTCATCTGGGTGAGATGATGAATTGAATATGCCATCCCTTGGAGAGGAACCCGGTTCCAAGAGAGATGTGTTGGAGTATTGTTTGAAATAGCTGAAGTATTCGTTAGTCTCTGCTCTTCTGGATGTAATGAAAATAGTAAACCCACTGTTCTCTAGCATCCAGTACATCTTCCCGTGGAATAACACCTTTGACGAAAAGATATCCATCGGCTTTCAACCGCTCTCTCATCTCACTGACTGGCACTGAAACTGATGTAGGCTTCAGGAATCCAATCTTATCCGTTGAGATGCGGCCGCCATTCTGTGCAAGGCCTTCTGGTAGACACTCGCTGACAGTACCGCCGAAGATAGGAGGTGTAATGTTATTTGGGGACTGGACAGCAGCCGTCATTGTGCTTACAGCCCAATAACGATTTTACCAGGAGTTGAGAAGTGAAAAACGGGACTCTTCATGGCTTGCCATTTTATAAGCGGCCCTGACTGGGGCATTCTGACAACAAACCACCACGGGTTGCTTTTCTATGCGTGGAGAGTTCCATATACGCTGAAGAGATCATATACCCCTCATCGAATCGCCGACCAATTGAATGTGGTGCCGATGAAGGCCGAGCGTTGATCAGATGCGTTTGACATTGGCTGTGCTGTAATTGGTTGGAATTTAGTCAAGTTGACCCTCTTTCGGCTCTCACCGGATGACGCTAAACTGTACTTAGCATAAAACTCGCCGAACTAGGACTAATTAGTATCAATGTCGGCGACGCTAACCATATTCGAGTACACCCTCTGGACCTGGCTACACAATCCATCATCCCGTGATACTATTTCAGTACATGAATTGCATATTTGAAGGTTGTTTCCACCCCCGAAACACAATTCGAACCTTCAACAACTTATCTGTATAACAAGCATAGTTGTCCTTCATGATTCTAAGCAAATCAAAAACGACATTCCGCTCAGCATCCCTCTGAAGACATTCCTCACATAGAGTTTCTCTCATAAGAGCCTCAAGAAACGTAGTTGGCGAGTCATGACTACTCAAAGCAGTCACAATTAACTTTTGGACGTTCAATCGGAACTGTTTCACGGATGTATTTCGGCACGAAGTGTATCCAAGACCCAGTTTGGGTCGTCTGAGATCAAAGGCCAACAGAAGGATTCCCGAAGCCCAGCGCACATAGACCCTGTTACGCAGCAATTATCTCCGTACCAGATTTCGGGGATACTGTAGACGTTTGAGAAGGAGGGGGGCTGGCAGTACAGGGGCTCGAAAATGGATGGGAGGGTTCGCTTGAATAGTGTTTTTTTTTTTTTTTGAAGGTGTCCCATTGGGACTTTCTTGGGAGGTAGAGTGAGTCTTTCTGCTGCTTCCAAAGCGAAATTGGAAGATATCTGCGCAGAATACGACTAGTCCTTTTGACCGCATGACGTCGTTTGTGAGTGTGAAGCTACAGTAGCTGTCCTAGCAGTCCAGTGAAGTCTGGAGGTGACGTTGTGGCATAGAGATGCAGAACATTATTTGGTGGAGGTCGAGTAGGAAGATGATTTCACCTAGATGATCAGGGTAATAACTTGGGTTATTTGTTAGGGATGAAGATAGAGAATTGACCCCCTTGTGTAAGTGAAAGTCAGATATAGTTGATGAGGTTCTTAATTCGTGTCCACCTGTGCGTCAAAGAATAATTTGAATATTTCCAAGAATACTCCCTGGTCACAATCGTTTTCTCGTAGTGATGCATCCATTTCCTCATCTTTGTGAAGGATGATAGCTGCCGCCAATAACTCCTGGTTTTGAACTTGCCCCAGATCTGTGCTGACTTCAATCAAGTGTTTGATGCATTTATTGTGGAAATACACCGCAGTATCCTCCGTGAGATCGGGCATTCTATGTTCCACTCCTTGATGCCATCTGCATTTCTGTTCTGGGGGAATCGGTATAAAGGATGCACTGAGAAGGTTGCATTCAAGAGTGGCGAAGAGATGGTGTCTTGTTGAGGGGCCAAAGTTGCAAAGTAACGCTTCTGTACGCATAGGTCAAAACTTCTAGCAGCTTTCTCGGCGAAGTATCGAAGTAGGACTGAAAAGAGTCGATTCGGATTGACTAGTTGTTTTTAAAAAAGCATTAACGAGGCCATCAAAAGCCAGTGATAGAGAACATGACTATAAGATACATGAAATTACTCCAGTAACTTATCTGTAAATTGCCCGGTGTATGAGTATTAACTCCATATCGAGATTAGTGGGTGGACAGCGATCGAACTGAATGAAACATCATCGGATAGAAAGGATTCCAAAGCCCTATTTCCCCTATTTTCCGCTGTCTGTACCTATGAATGTCAGCTCAATTGCCGTATTCAAACCCTCAAAAAAATCATCATCTCTAGGAGCAATAGGGAATCCAGGAGACAGAAGCACCTCCGCCTCGGCATACTCTATCGGCCTTTCAGACTCAGAGCAATAGCCATCATCTTCCGAACCCCAATAGCCGTCGCCAATTGAATCAGACTCGGCCTCGTGCTATTGTATCACCAAGGGCAAGTTTACCTTTGTCTAGCGTCAGTAGCCGTGGCAGTCACCGAGGATCCCAATAGATGCCTGCTGCTTACATCTTGCGTGCAGCCTTGTCTTATATTTCGGAAATACAAATGCTCTGGTCGCGACTTATCAAGCTCAAATCACCTCTGTCGGTATGTTGTTTGCAGATCGTCTCGTGTTAGGTACCACTTCGGTAACACTTGCTCCAAGCTCAATTTCGCTTGTACTAAGTCGTTGAAACCTTCTTGATATGGCTAGGTCCGGGGATAGTCGTGCACTTCAGAAGCCGCCCTATATGATTCTGTCAGTTGCTTGACGATTTTGAGTGGGTATTATACATCGACGATGATGACAGGCGCTATCTTCACGACGTTTGATAACAGGGCTTTTCATTTGGCAAAGTGTCCGTTCGAGGTATACGTTTGCCGGAATATCAGTCAATGAAATCTTAAATTATTGAAAAGAGACATCGAAATAGCGGCGAATACTTCCTCTTTGCCTTGTATCGGACGTGGGGGGACGCTAAGGTTTGCGGGGGTGACCATGCCCCGTAAGGAGAAATGTTGCCCGAACCAGGCGGTTAAGCGATCATCCATGTACTGATCATTTATAGCCATGTTTAGGGGCTACGGCGGTCTCAACGTCACTACAGTTACAATATTTCCGAGTTATTCAATATGCGAACATGTATGATAGTTACATAATAGTAAACGGGAAATGTAAATGTGTCATATATTGTCATAAAGCTCATTCAGAGTATGGCCATTCAAGTTATGGTACATGAGACCAAAAACCAATAAGAGAAACCGTTAGTGTCCAGCAGCAACAGGCTTCTCCATAGTCTTCATCCTCTCCTCAATAATCTCCTTCCTCTCCTTTCTCAATTCGCGAGCATACTTCACACCAAATCCATGCTCAAAGACTTCTTTAACTTCTTCCAAAACAAGACCCGAAACCTCAGGATAGAAGAAGTAAAGCCAGATATAGCCAACGCCACAAATAGCAGCAAAGAATCCAAATGCCCCAGACGGCGTCCACGCCTTCATCATAGACAGGAACGTACTGGAGATGATGACATTGGATCCCCAGTTCGAGCAAGTCAACCACATAGTTCCGATAGCGCGGACTTCAAGTGGGAAGAAGTCGGTGCTCATCCACGCCGTATTTCCGACGGACACACCGTAGAAGACAACGAACCAGATGATAAACACAAGAACGACAATGGCAGCGCTGGAAACTCCCTCGCCGGTAACCTCCATCGTATCTAGGTCGACGGGAATCCATAAGAAAGCGACAGCGACGGCAATCATGCCGACAGACATTCCCCACACAGTAGAAAGGAGCAACTTCCTACGACCCATGCCATCGACCATCATCATATTGACGAAAGTCATGATGAAGTTGGTGCCAGCAACAACGAGACCAACAGCAGTAGGGTTGTCGAATCCGACCAGGGCAAAGAGGGTGGAAGAATAGTACATAAGGGCATTGAATCCAGAAAGCTGAGAGATAACCATCAACCCACACGCACTAATCAAAGCGCGCAGGTTACTCGGGACAGTGTGGAGCTGTTTAATCTTGGAGAACCTTGAGCCACTCTCGTTGATTTCGCGGGCCTGGTCACAGGCCGAACAGATAGAGAGAAGTACTGCATCAATCTGATCCTCAGTGGCCTTGCTGTAAATCTTCCGAAGAACAAGTCTGGCTTCGGCGTTGCGACCATTGTATGCTAAGTGACGGGGCGACTCGGGACAGAAGGGCATCAGAACACCGAGGACAATGGCAGGCACAGCGCCTAGTCCGACCATGTATCGCCATCCGTTGGGAACACTTGCAAAGGCAGCACCGATTGCGTACGAAATGACCTGGCCGCCGGTGATGGACATGTTGTTCAGACCGATGAGTTTGCCACGGGCTTTGGCGGGTGCGATTTCGGCGACGTATAGGGGTAGCACCATTGCACCACAGCCGACGCCAAACCCGACGACCAAGCGGCCGACGGCCATTTGAGCGACTGTGTAGGCTGCACCTTGGATGACGGCACCGGCGATGAAAAGGACGCAGCCGAGGTAGATTGCCATTTTGCGGCCGAACTATTTATTTATGATTAGCTTCAGGCTCATAGAGACCCGGTGATTTGGAGTATGATACATACCTTGTCTGCGGTATTTCCAGCAAATATAGCACCGACAAACGCTCCTCCGGAGCAAAGAGCAGTAATCATCTCCTTCTCGTTACTCGTCACCGGCCTATTGTTGAGAGAGTCGCCCAAGTATACCAGCACACCAGAAATGATACCAGTATCATATCCAAAGAGGAGACCAGCCATGGAGGCGGTTAGGGCTGCAAGCCACACGAACCAACTGACTGGTAAGCTGTCGATGCTAGTCGCGATATTGTCCACGCTAGCGTCAATCTGCTCAATATGAGCACTTTCCATATCGATCTTGACATCGTCGACGTTTTCTGAGCCACTATCGTTCTTCTTGTCATCTTCCTGACTGGGTTTGCTGCGAGGCCACATAGTGGAAGGGAAGCGTATAGATCAAGATATAATGTGATATGGTAAAAGAAAACTGATGTCGCTCTGTAAGCGAACTTCAATTGACTCTGCTAGAAAAAGCAGATTACTTACCCCGAATGGCAAGTGTGGATTTATATATGTGTCCACACTGTCACATACGTCAATACAAACCCCAGATCTGCTGTAGTGCGGGGATCTGGGGAAATTCCCGCACACTTTAAGATTCGCGCTAGGAAGAGTCGATCTTACCTTCTCTTGTCCAGCTCGCCGCGCCTTGCCTTTTCCCGCAGTTTCTCTTGGTTTCGGCTTGTCGGGATTCGATTTCCTTGTTTCGGCTGAGAGGGAAAATGGTTTCCTCGTTATGGGTACCCCCAACTATCTATTGAATTTCTTGCCACCAATTGCATTGCCCCTATTTCTCTCGCTTTAACTTACCCTGGCCTAATCAGAGGCCGACTTTTGAGAATGAGGCTTGGTGTGACTGGGTAACCGTGTCTCACTTTGCTCCATGTACGCCCGGTCTGAGTCTGGATACTGTAGTCAATCTAGGGTTATCTCGGGGGTTGACAGATAAGCCGAGGAATTCGTAACAAGGTGAATTAGAAGACACCCGACTGGCTAAGAAAATGGTCGACCTGAGGTGACATTTGGCGATGATATGACTCGGTGAATTAGTATTATCGTGCTATGCGCTGCAATTGATATCATTACTGGGCATTTGCATTAGACACCGGTAGACCCCCACCCAGCATCCATACATGTATTCCAAGCGTGGTAGATCTTCAGTAAACTCATTTTGGTTCAGGTTAATGACGCTCTTCACGGGATCTCGCCGAGAGCGAGTCCAGCCGTCCCGACCCCAGTCCCGAAACGGACGCTGACCGGCTTTAGGGCACAAAACGACATGCCGACTCCCCTTACATTGTACCAGCACTTCTTAAGCCACTCTCGTGCAGAGTACCGCACACCCATAGCACAAAGAGCACAGATATGATTAAATTCCCGGAACAAAAGTCTAGACTCTATGAGTCCTCACATAACTGATGCCTCGAATATTCAACCTCCTTATCACAAGAATGCCAGCCCCCTTACTTCATTCAACACATGGAGCCCGTGCCGCCAGGTAGAAAGAAGCCGATAGTTCCCGAGATGCCTCGTGCATGGCTGAGAATGGAAATGCAAGCCGTTCATCTCACCGAAACCTCAGAATGCCATCCCGACTACTAGTTGCATCATCGAATATGGCCAACCCCGCATTTGGTAGATCACGGGGCGTACAGTGGACCAAAGGTGATGGAGACCTCCTCAATACCGGAGATGCAGACGCTAACGATGCGTCTGATATCGTTGAGAAATTATGTGGCCTGGCTCGGTCCCCCGGCTATTCGATTATCAGTCCGGGTTGAGGCGAATCTACTCCGTAGTCTGGGAGGAATGTCTACATGAGGGGTCTGTGGGTTGTGTGGGTGACTACCTGGCTGAGAATCAGTCTTGGATTTTAGTTCGTTTTATCTGATTATGTGGGACTGTTGCTGATCGATGGGTATTGCCCCAGGGTGAGTTGATGGATTTGAGGGTGGGGGTGGTTGGTTGGATATGTGTGGGAGGTATACACTAAGGAGAGGTGACGTTAACTTGATTTATCATGCAAGTTTGCTATTTTCTAGACAACTTCTTCAACGTTTCAGTTAGGGTCGAGAAGACATTGATATTCATATTTTGAAGACAATTGCTAATGTACAATTCTCACCCTCAACGCGGGTGAACAGGCTCATCACCAATTTCCTCCATCTTATCCTCAAGCATCTTGGTCATACGTTTAACAACATCCCCATAGCCAGCATCATGATAACAATTGAACAGCTCAAGCGGGTCAAGCTCACAATCAAACAACTCCCACTCCTTCTCCTCACCACCGGGCCTCGTCCCCTCAATCCCAAAGTCCTCATTATACCAATAAATCAACTTATACCGCTGATCCCGCACACCGTAGTGAGCATACGCATCATGGATAAAATCGCGATGCATCCAGTACCGATGGTACGCGACCTGCTGCCAATCCGCCGGCGTCTGCTGCTTCAACAGAGACCGGAAACTGACACCCTGCATATACGTCGGCAACCGCAGATGGGCAAAATCCAGGAACGTAGGCGCGAAATCAACATTGCAAATTATATCGTCGCACACTGATCCGGCTGTGATCTCTGCCGGGTAGCGGATCAGGAAGGGCATTTGGAAACTCTCCTCGTACATGAATCGTTTATCGAACCAGCCGTGCTCGCCGAGGAAGAAGCCTTGGTCGGAGGTGTAGATGACGATCGTGTTCTCCGCTAGGCCCTCTTCATCGAGGAAGTCAAGCATGCGGCCGACGTTGTCGTCGATGCTCTGGATGGTGCGGAGGTAGCGTTGCATGTAGCGCTGGAATTTGAATTCGGCGAGTTCTTGCGCCGTCTTAAAGGTGAAGACTGTGCCGTCTTCTTTGTCGATGAGTTTCATCCTCGTCACGTCTTCCGGTGCCGGAATCTTGCGGTCCTGGAACCACCATCGATCGATCATTTTCTCGCCAACTTCGAGTCCGCCGTCTGGCTGGACGAGACCGAGGTCGAAGTACGTGAGGTCCTCGGCGACACGCATCTTGGCGACTTTCGCTGCCTGCGCGCGGTTTTTGTAATCGTCTGTAAATGTATCCGGCAGCCGGATTGGATCTTTGTATAGATCGCGGTGCTTAGGGTGGCATTCCCAACTGCGGTGCGGCGCTTTGTGATGGCACATCATGAAGAAGGGCTTATTGGGATCTCGCTCCTTGATCCAACTCAGACTTTTGTCTGTGATAATGTCGGTAGCGTATCCGCGCTCGCGCTTCGTCCCTTCCGGTCCGATGAATTCCGGGTCGTGGTATTCGCCTTGGCCCGGGACGACGCTCCAATAGTCGAATCCTGTGGGCTCGTGTTCTTCGCCTTCGCCTAGGTGCCATTTACCGACCATAGCTGTTTGATAGCCGCCTGTTCGGAGGGCTTTGGCTACATTTGGGTTGTGCTTGTTGATCTTGGAGTCAAGGGTCATCACTCCGTTGACGTGGTTGTGTGTTCCAGTTAGGATTGCGGCGCGGGATGGAGTGCAGATGCTGTTGGTTACGTAGCAGTGGTTGAACTTCATGCCCTCGTTGGCGAGTCGATCGAGATTCGGGGTGTCATTGATGCCTGCTCCATAACACGAGATTGATTTCGAGGCATGGTCATCGGCCATGATGAACAGGATGTTCGGGCGGCTTGGGGACGCCATGGTTTCTTCCGGTAGTCAGTTCCAACTTCTGAATCTTCCTAGTAACCAAGGTTCCCTGGGATATTCAACTGAATTGAAGTGTCGATACGTATGTCAGGGGGGTTTGCGGACTTTAATACCTCGGCGCGGTCCTCTGATATGAGGGGATGGTCCACTGCAGCCCCTCCTGGCGCGAAACGCCTTTTTCATCTCTCATTCGTCATGACCTTCTGCCAATGAAGATGTATGAAAGGGTCGCTTAAGGAGCAAGAATTGCGCAAGAGAATACTACCCCCACAGACCCACTTGACTATACGGCAGTCGGCGGCAGTCGGTCTTTCATGACATTGGACAATGCGAGAGTATAAATTAAGCTAAGATCCACTTCTTCAGAAGCTGTATATTTGCGCGGTTCAAGAATCAGTCCAAGGTACCAAGATCAATGATCAATTGGGATTGTTATTGCGAACGTGGCTATTATACATCTATCAACAGACCAGGTCATTCATACCCATCATCCACAAACCCAGCCTGTCGTACCAAACTATGAATCGCCAAATGACCATGTCGGTGGAAAGCTTGATCAAACGGTGGAGATGGGCTACATAGTTCCCGGTATATCGACTCAGGCTCAGTATCTACAGCGTGCGCCAGCCTTCGCAAATCCAAGACAATCTGTTTCGTACTCGGCCAAGACGAAAAGTAAGTCTCGGTGACAGCGACCGCTGTATGTGCCCTTGCAATGGCATCGCTCATTTCCATCGACACATTCAAATCAGGTGAAGATGGAAGAAAGAGTGTCAATCGTGTGGCGTGGTATGCACAAATGGCAATGGCGAACGGCAGTATCAAGGTAGATGGGAGCCTATGCAAATCCGAAAGTATCTGATTGATGCGGTCGACATGCTCTTGGCATTGACGAACGGCATGTTCTCGGATACTGATATCCATCGCTCCGATGATGATTTTTGGCGCGGCTTCTGGGTAGCCGGGGAGAAAGAGTCGGTAGAGATCGCAGTGGCATTGGTGCCAGGAGATGGAGATTTGAAGGAAGCGGGCAAACCAACGGTCGTCTTGCAAGGCTATCAATTCGGCTGAAGAATTGATATGATATCCAAACGACAGCTCAACGTCAGCCTGCACTCGCCATAGGTCCTTCTGGATTTCCTGGACTAGCCCGCTCAGGTGTGCGAGAGGCTGTTCTGATAACGCCAATTGTCTAGTCAAGCGCATGATGTCTTTTTGGATTTTGGAAATGCGAATGCATACACCCAGTAAGCTGATTGGTGACGCTGAGTCCTTTCCTGGATGGGCCAATATCGAGGTTTCTGCATGCATCGAATACCCTGCTGAGAATGTATCTTCTCGACACGGAAGGCGCTGATAAATGATAGCGTGTGGTATTGTCTCATATTCTGGTAGTCCCACGGAAAATTGACCGTCAATAGCTGTCAAAGCCCAAAGAACTCGCCGGCGAGTTTCTTGGGCAATAAAACTCAACTCGAGCCTCTCATAGTTGAGACGTAATGCAGTTGCTGCCCGTGCAGCCAAGCCTGTCAACATGTAAGCTCTCGAGAAGCGACCTGTTTGGATATGATAATGCGTAATCAAAATCAAGGCTTGGAGTTTTATGGTAGATGGCCTTTCCAAATGGTCCAAGATAATTTTCTCTGCTTTTTCGAGCATGGACGGACTCTCATTTAACGGTTGACCTTTTCTTGATAATAATAATTTTGTTATAGCCACCATAGCTAGGCCAAGAGATTCGTCCAAGCTGTTGTTTTGACTCTGCTCTTGAATTGTCGGTTCGTGGAGAAAAGAGTATGAAGGCAACGGATAAATTTGCCTGAAATAATCATTCACATTCTGAGTTAGTTCCTTACGAGGGACGATTGAAAGCAGCCTATACCTGTTAGAGACTTAAGATTGATAGCACAGCCAGGAAGACCTACAAGTTTTCATTCTGACGTGAATTGAGACTGACTGCCATATCTGATGACACCTCAACCTCTTGAGCCATCAACTGAGTAGACTCTCTGGTCGTTGGATATCGACATCGACGCTGCCTGCGAATGCAATTTGCACATTCTGGGCTCTCCCCCGAGCACCGCGACTTCTGCCGACGACATTCCGTACAAGCATGATTTCCTCGTCGCCGCTCTGGTGGATTATCCTTTATCGGATTATACCTGGAAGCTACTGCGCCTTCTTTCGAGAAAGAACATGCAAACTCCAATCGGGCACAATTCTCACAAGTTCCTGGGCGACGATCACAGCGGACCTGCTTCCTTTAGCTCGGTTCTGGCCCGTTGGCTACGTAAACTTACCTTTCGACATCGACACTGAAAGCATGGGGTACGCTGCAGCCTCATGTAGAACTGTATGATCGGGTTGGAGTTGTGTAGATGAAAAAGGGATCGAACGTGGAGGGGGCGGGTTCGGCTCCACTTCGATTGCACCATCGCTCATCTTCAAATTGGACATTTTCTCTCTTGATGGAAAGCAGGAAAGAAATTCACAAATATCACATCTTCGAGTATGTGGCTGCTTAATAATTTGATAAAGCTGGAGTTGACTTAACGTGGGCGGAATCTTCCAACCAAAACCTTGTCGCTATTTACTGTATGCTATTCTTGAGCGCTGGAGACTGGCCAAGCCTTCCTTGTTTTTATCACATATGGTGACCGAGAACTCATATTCGGCTCTGACGTGAGAGCGGAAAAAATGAACTAGGGTACTTGTGGCGTACTGTATCCCTAGATGTAAGCCTAAACAAGGGAGGTTACAGTTGCCTTTCCTCGATCATATCGGTTATACGAAGTACAGCGGTGTGCTCTCCCAGAACCATCTACCCCCCGAGTACCTTATCTATGAGAGTTATTAGGTAGGTTCTATCCCTTGCATCATAGATACTGACCCAAGCAATATCTTTTGTGAACAGTCACTTGTGATATAGTGCATTGGGATATCACACTTCTATCATGTTGATACAATCCCTTGCAATTATCCAAGCGCCATCAAGGGACACTAGTGGATCGGTAGATTACACGCGATGTATAGCTGTTTGCCTGGATATTGGCTCGGGCCTTTTTAAGGTTGCCCACGTGTTGGTTAGGTTCCAGGACATCAATGCGTGGCTATGCACTTCGGGACAAGACAGGACACGCGTGGAAACCCCTTGCAGGTGTGAGTCTTCTTACGATAAACTTTTTAATGGAATGTTACGAGCAGAGACAATGATGCATCTATGTGGAACGAGGAGGAAACATAAGTCGATATTAGTGGTGGACTATAGTCAGGCGACCAATAGCTCATTCAAAGTAACATCTGGTTGTCCATAGCCAAGGAATTGGCATGAATAATTCATTCATCATTGGTGTAGTACGAACACAAGGGAATTTGCGCTACATTGGCGCTTAGATCACCACGCGAGTTATTTCCCGAACCCTATACTCCGGAGGTAAGTTAACTTATCATTTCCCATGTCACTGAGTCACCCCTGTCTGACGTGTATGAAGAAGTATGAGTTAGATCATAAATCCCCTCATATTATAGACTCAAAACCCCTGTAATTATAAATCAGTTTCTTGCCGTACCCAGCCCATTTACCAACTGCTGACTGGAAATGAGATACGGGCAAGATGGCCCCAATGTCTTTGGAAATTGCCGCATCTTACTGTAGACCGTGTCTCTCTCCCTTAGCTGTTCATATCTAAATCGTTTGCCTGCATGCTCTTCCCGGGCACATCTGACAAATTACTGCAGCTTGGCTTTCTGACCAGCCACATTGAAAGACCAGCCAATACGGGCTGATCGGCACCATCATCTGACTCTTTAATTGCGGGATTCTAGGCTGACGCCACTGTCGGGTCAGCCGCTGGTGACTACTAAGGTTACGCCCCCGAATCCTTTATATTTGAGGCCTTCCGTCGGTGGCGGGCGCTTTGTGGCGCTTGGGCCGTAAAACTCTTGATCTGCCCTTTTGCCTGGAATTGAATCAAGTTTCCCTTGCCTAACAGACGCGGGGTACTCCAGATACAAAATCACACAATATTATTGAATGAGAAATGCATAGGGTTTACTCCGCGTGGGTCTATGTGGGCCCATATGGCAAATGGCAAATATGTAGTATGCCAACTTGATCAGGCAAGACCGCCAAAACAGCCAAATCGGCCTCCCCGTTGACGGCCCAGGCGGGGCGTTCAAGCCTTGGCCTAACGCAATTCTTCCCCCGCACAAAGGTCGATGCTGCCCCTACGGATCGTCGACTTCTTTTCAATATGCGTTTGTATACAAACAGACTACAATAAGCTTCAAACGCACAATTCCCATTAGAACTAGACCAGTAACACCTACCCTCGGAACTCTCCAGAATAAGCCCGGGGGCTGAAAGAGTGCTATGTCCCCTTCCGAGGCGTCTAGCGCTGACCAGCCTAACCCTAATTAGCCCTCAAAGAACAAGCCAAGGGTGCTAAAGCGCGACAGGGTTGCTTTCGGTTGTTTCGGCGTTTTGGTCTACCCCACGGGGGTGCAGATCGTCTTTATATGCGGGATAGGTGCCAATTTAATTTTCCCTCTCTCTCCGCAAAAAAGCGCTCTAAGGTGATTCTTTTGGGGGACAAAGAATTTGTACTTCCCCGTCCCCTCTTCTTACTCTCACTTTTCTGCACGCTCTCATCATGGACGGAAAGGATAACAAGAGTGTCCTCTCTCACGAGGAGGATGTCGCCATCTCAGCTCCCGAGCTTGTTAAGGATCATGCTGCTCTTGCGCCTGAGGTTGCTCAGGAGAAGGCTGATCTTGCCCCGGAGCTCGTTGAGCCGGCTGGTCGTGCGCAGAAATCCGGTGCTATGAATATCATAGAGAATCCTCTTGTGGTATGTATTTCACTGTTTTGTTCTTCACCATGCTTGATTCTGAATGGAGTACCCCCTGAGCGTATGTGCTGATTGTCTTCATTCCTATAGCGTGTTTCCAAGGAGCAAGCCATCGCTGATGCCCGCGCCTACGCCGAATCCCACAATATGTCCGAGCACGCCGATCTCTTCGGCCGCGCCGCTCTGGTCGCCCGAGACCCTAAAGGCTTTGATTTATTGACAGAGTTGGACGAGCAGGAGCGCACTGCTCTCGCATACGAAAGAGATCACAAATGGCATGGTCCTTACATGCTTTGGTATTCTATCGCTCTATGTGCTATTGGAGCGGCTACTCAAGGATGGGATCAGACTGGAGCCAACGGAGCCAATTTGTCATTCCCTCAGGAGTTTGGCATTGCTGGTAAAGGCAGAGATGAATGGATTGTGGGAATTGTGAACTCCATCATTTTCTTGACCGCCGGTCTGGTGTGAGTATAGAGAGACATCTCCCACCCATTTTGAGTTTCAAGGCTGACATTGTATACTATACAGCGGTGCGTTTATTGTCGATCCTCTTAACCACTACTTGGGCCGAAGGGGCGAGATTTTCGTCACTGCGCTCTGTCTCACTGCGACCCCAATTGGCTCCGCTTTTGCGAAATCGTGGCAGGGGCTGTTTGCTGCGCGCTTTGTTATGGGCATCGGTATTGGCGCGAAGAACGCAACTGTGCCTATCTATTCTGCCGAGATGGCTCCAGCTCGAATTCGCGGTGCGCTTGTTATGTTCTGGCAACTTTGGGTTGTAGCTGGTAAGTATCTTCTCGATTGTCTTCTTGGGGGGAATTTATCACTAATAATGACCGCAGGTATTTTCCTGGGTTTCGCTGCCAACGTTATTGTCAAAGATACTGGTGACATCGCCTGGCGTCTCCAACTCGGCTCAGCGTTCATTCCATCATTCATTCTGGGACTTGGTATTTTCTTCTGCCCTGAGTCCCCTCGTTGGCTTATGAAACACGGGAGACATGCTGAAGCATTCCACTCTATGAACCGCTTGCGAGCCCATTCAATCATTGCTGCAAGGGATTACTATTACTCGTACATCATTTACCAGGAAGAACTCAAAGAGGCTCGAGGTGCTGGATATTTCTCCCGTATGTGGGATTGCTTTGCTGTGCCTAGAATTAGGCGTGCGAACTACGGTGCTTCGACTGTCATGATCGCTCAGCAGATGTGCGGTATCAACAGTATGTACCACTCTATCTTTCGCCGTCTGGCAGTACTGATCTGTTATAGTTATTTCTTTCTACAGTTCAAGCATATTTGAGAACGTTGGTTACACTGCCACTCAGGCTTTGTATGCGTCTCTTGGTTACGGTGCTATTCAAGTTGTCTTTACGATCCCGACATTGTTCCTCATTGACACCAAGGGTCGACGAACATTGACTCTGATTGTGAGCAGCTCCTTCTACTCTCAAACATACGATTGATTGAACTAACCTCTTATGTTTGGCAGACATTCCCTCTCATGTGCATTTTCCTACTTGCAGCCGGCCTCTCCCTTTTGAAGACAGACGGTAGCCAGGGAGCCAGAATTGGACCGGTTGTCCTGTAAGTTTCAATCTGGGACTATCTAAACTTTTGCTTTGGCTGACAAATTTGCTTGATAGGTTCGTCTACCTGTTCACTATCGCTTACTCTCTTGGTGAAGGTCCAGTCGCTTTCCAGTACTCCGCCGAGGTTTTCCCTACTATCCAGCGTGAGCAAGGAATGGCTTGGGCCGTTTGCATCAACAACACTTTCGGTAAGCATTAACAAGGTTAATGGTGGTCAAACTCCTCTAACTTTCTTCTTAGCCGGTATTCTCGGGTTGACGTTCCCTCGGATGACAACCGTCATGACCCCGACGGGTGCTTGTAAGTGGAAGCTATCGAATTCATATCGCCCTATAGTGTATCAACTCTAACCAAAACATCACAGTCGGCTTCTACGCCGGACTCAACCTGATCGCTTGGTTTATGATTTTCTGCTTCGTTAGAGAAACCAAGCAACTGACTCTCGAAGAATTGGATCGTATGTGGACATCACCCAGTCAATCAATCGAGATCTGGCTAAATACTAATATCTCCCACAGAGGTCTTCTCAGTTCCCACCAAGAAATTCATCCACTACGAATTGACCGTGTGGCTTCCTTGGTTCATCAAGCACTACATTTTCCGCCAGAATATCCCGAGACCCCCTCCTATTATCGCCACTGCTGAGGAAGCTTTGGCAGAGAAGCGTTCCTAGAAACACTTAATAATGGGTTGGGCAGAATTTGTTGTTAGTGAGACTTTTGATGATTTCATGATGCTTTATGGGAGCGAGTGTGGCAGATCGACATACTAGAGCTTGCCTTTAGGGTACTGTTCAGAGATTTGTCCCTGCCTTGGGATATCTATCGCTAATTTAATCTATCTCTTCTTTTGGTAACATGTTTACACGGTCCTCCTGAGGTATAGGTAATATGTGGTTGACCCATCGTTCTGCTTCACTCCACTTAATTATAAAGAATACCACCTAGCAAGCGAGTATACGATATCACATGTAAGATGCTGTAGCATCTGCAAGTCTGCCTAAGATCAACATGCGAAATGGCGGGGTTCAGCCAATCCCATAGATCAGAAACCCATGGACGAAGATTTTCGGTTAGACCTCGGGTAGGCTTACATCACCATTAGCTATTGCGGGCCGATCATTCGCCAATCCCGTGATGCACGTGACATTCATGTGATCTGGAGCATCTGATTCCCGGATTAACAATCACCCGTGCCCACTTTTACCTCCGCCTTCCAGAGCGAAAAGTGTTGGATCAGGCGACTCCCTACCCTTCTTGTTTTCTCATGAATCCATGAATCGAATGCCATCATGAAGTTCTTCGAAAACAAGTTCACCTACGACTATTCCTTTCCTGCCGTTTCTCTCGCCTACTTCCTCCGCTACCCTAACCCCTACTCGCGCCATGTCCTCACAACTGATGTTATCGATCGATACGTCGACCCAAACACCCAGCGTCTTCACACTATCCGCATCCACCTGAAGAAATCCAAGGTCCCTTCGGGTATCCTTAAGCTACTACCAAAGGGAATGGGCGGCTCCGACAACTCCGGCCAGAGCTACATCCTCGAAAAGACCGTCGTGGACCCCAAAGAAGGCTGGATGGAGACCGAGTCGCGCAATATGGAGTGGACTGGTATCCTCAGCGTGGTCGAGAAGCAACACTACCAGCGATTATCCTCCGAAGACCGTCTCGCCCTGGATGGCTTGGCTGTTGACAAGATCTCCGAGCAGACCACGGTCAAGACCACTGTGACCTTCATCTCCAGACTCGGCCAGGGCAAGCTCCTCGGACGCAAGAAGCAAGACACAGTCGGCTACCCCGCTGATACCGAAGAAGAAGCTCCTCGCAAGGGATTCTTCTCTTCCTTGTCCACTGCTGGTATCCAGCGCACTATCGAACTCATCGGACTCAACCGCACCCGCGAGGCCGTGCTGAAGAGCAAAGAGGGCATGAACATCGTTCTCGAGCGACTCCGCAGTGGTGGTGTCGTTGGTGTTCTGGAGGGGATGCGTCAGGACCGCGAGGCCGCCTTCGGGCCCGAAGGTCCATGGAAGCGCGTCTGGCTCCAGGGTAATGGCAAGGATCGTTCCATCGAAAATGACGGCAAATAAATTTCTATCTGCTGTCCTGTTCATTTATCTTTGGGTTGCAATTGCCCATCACATTGCATTCTGTTTTCAAGCGTGGAGTTTGGTTTGGCGCTACGATATTGACACTCTCCCTCCATATCTTTTTGTCTGTTGATATTTGAAGATACTGTATATCTTCCTTCTTTGCATGGAGCTTTGCCTCTGGGTTTTTTATGCTTGAGCATATGCGGGGGATCACTTTCATTGTACTATATGCATCATTCTTGTTATTTTTATCTCTCTTATGAGCTTTATTAACTACTTTCTTCTTTCAATTGACTCCTATTCTCTGAAATATGTACTGTCAGGCCTGTATATCTACTCCCTCCAGGCAACACGGACCATATCATCAATCGGCAGTGGACCAGATACGTACCTTCACATTGACACAGCGTCTTCCATACGGGATGCCCACAGGCAACGTTCTTTAGTCTGATATTCAAGGCAAGTAGGTCATATCTCGCTGTCGACCTTGAACTCGACCTGTTTATACACCCAACATGAACTCCGTTTCCATTTCCTAAAATTCACTCTCTAGTTCCTCAGCAACCATTTCTTTAGACCCCACTAGGTTCTTATCCTAAATATCATTGTAGTACTGCCTTATTCGAAATCAGATTCTCCCGCATACACCCGTAGATCATTTCCCGGAACCTCGGAGGATGTGACGCTTGGAGTTCTCAGTCAAGATGTAAGACCGATGCCATACATAATACAAAAGCAAGGGATAACGCCCATGTCCTAACAACCACTTAATCTATCGCATTGAAACTCATGCTGTTGTCCTTTGTAAACAGGAATCTATTTTTGGGAAGAAAGATCTGCAGCATCTTCTCATATAAGCAAAGTCGGAGGTTCCCGCAAAATCGGTCGTACAGACGATCAGACCATACTTCTTTTTTGATATGGCAGTCTCGATGTGAATAGTCGGTGTCACAGTGCAGAGGTGATATATATGGCTCTGTGTCTATCATTCTCTTGATTTCTTATATGAGTCTGGGCACTTGAATGCAGGCTTTCGTAGGAGAGTGAGTCTAGTGGCTCAGACATGCAAGTAACTTATACTGTATAGCAGCACGACAAATGATATGATACATTAACAAAAACCGCCTTCTCTTCTGCTACTGTAAGGCTCTAGTGGAACCACGAGGTGATTGGATGCTTGAGAATTCTGATATGCCTTTGAATCAATTATGCACTGCTATCGATACCTCGATTCAACCAAATGACCACCTGCGCCCCATCCCTTCATAACAACATATGCTTGCTCTCCTCACCACAAGTAGCGAATTAAACCAAAAATAGTAACATAATTCCATAACGAGAGATTCCTTCTATCCCATCCCAAATCACCAACAACGCCGGGATATCAGCTCCATCAAATTGAAGCAGATGATCCCAGCCACAATCTCCGACCAGAGCGGACTGAGCGTGAAATCTTTTTGGTCAGATTTAGCCTATTCCCAATTCTTTTGAATGTCAATAAATTCACACTGCAGTTCTGGGGTGATGTCATTATACAAAAATCTACGGCGCTGTTGCTGTCATCATGAAAAGGACAGAGATAATGGAACAGCAGAACCTAGCCAGATAGTATCAGACCTCCACAGGCCCGATATTCCCAATCTGGAAATGGAGCATGGGGCACCTTAGGTTGAGGGTATCACCGCCCATGGGTGGGAGCAGGCTAGTCCGGAGAGGCTCCATCCAGGGGAAATGATAGGCTACAGTACGGTCCGTATTGTCTGGGAGATTGCACTTGGCTGCTAGGCGACGAGCATGGGATGAGTGCAGGTGCATGTACATACAAGTACATGATACATATGCGTGTGCGTGTAATGCCAAGTTGTTGATAGGGCGGTTTTAGCGTGGCATAAATCTCTAGAGTACAGTACGAAGTGTTTGGGTGACTGTATTGTGAAGTTCAGTGCACGTCCCGGCTGTTTCTGTCCAAGCCGAACTTACAAACAGTAACTAGTTAGTTAACGTTAGTTCTCTTATCTTAGTCACCGTTACTCCGTAGAGAACACCGCATTATCTTCAGCAGGCCGGTTGTACGGGACCAGAGAACCTGTTCCATGTCACTCTCTGCCTGGACAGGCTTAGTGTACGCTAGAGGGTCAAGGCTACAGGCGGGCGTATAATATATGTACAACGCTAGTCAGGCTAGCGACCGACTAGCGGATAACCGGCTACAGGGTAAGAGCCAAGGGATACAGATAGTACACCACTAGAACTAAGGAGTACAGATTGAACAAGGAAAGTGGAAAGAGGCATGTCCCATTTTTGTGTCACGGGGTCGCATTCCACGGATGTCCAACGTGCCAAAGCCCGAGGCATATTCCAAATCATGGTCCATGTAATCAAATTGCTGCCAAGACTGGTCAGGGTCATCAGAGTTGAGTGGATTGAGGCGCCGCGATACACATATTGGCACGCTAGAGGCGTAGCCGAATCCGCCAAGGACCCTTGGCCCACTGTTGAAACAGGCCAATTGGGGTGTCTGAGACCCTGTGGCGGAACGAGTCTGCGCAGAAGACCGACTTACGTCAGATCCAATTCCACCGGTATGAGTGGATCAGAGAGGACTTTTATCAGTTAGTTTGTGTCAGGGCTGGTCATACTGGGACGTGGAAGTGCAAAAATCAAGAGGTGTGACTGGTATTGGTACTGTATTGGGAAGGGTGCCCTGAAAATTAGGTGTAATTTATTTGACTTTCCCAGATCACAGGTTCCCGTTGAGGTACTGCTGTTGATGTTGATAGAGACGTTCACGATGATAGATGAGGTCATGCAAATCATTTCAATGGGAGATCAACACTTTCAACAAAAGGAGCAAGGATCTGAACACTTTATACACAGGAGAAGCAGTGCTGGACCCTGTTTGGCGCACCCCTGTGATCTCCGTCAATTCTTGCCCGTTTGGGTTGCTATGCGGGGGCCTCTAGGGAGAATGTTCAGGTACTTGGGGGGAACCTGGCACTAGCGGGTAAGTGGCACCCTGCAGCCAGTACCCAGCAGGTACCTGCCTGGTTTTGAGGAATGCTCGGAGAAACAACTTCGGAATTGTCTTCCCTTTTCTCTCTACTCTCGCTCTTTCTCTTTCAACTCTTTCTCCATTGGTGCTGGTAACCAACAAATTAACGGAGCTCTTTTTTCTTTCTTCTTTCTCAGATGATGAACTTGCAACCTACTGGTTCTCGCTCATCCCTACCTTGAGGGCCTCCGCGGTCGCTCTCTTTGGTGACTTATTTTGGAAACTTCCGATCAACATGGCTTCCCACAGACTTTGGGCGACATCGCCCCTCTTGCTGATCGTCGTGCTACTGCAAACCGTCTCGGCTCAGTTCTGCTCTTTTTGGAATAATGGCTGCATCGACTCCCTCGCTCAGACAGCCATCCGCTTCGACCTCGAACCACTCTTCCCGGATCCTGTCACGCTATATTATGGATTTGACGCAAGTGTCTCGGGCAAGGGTGAAGGCCCCATGACCAAGACCGCGTTTTGGTTGGGATATCAGAATAATGTCAACAGGGAGGCTGTTGACTCAAATCGGACGTCGGAGATCGGGATGCGCATCGGAAATCTGACAGGCACGCCGTCAGGTACAAATAATGGATGTGATGGGATCTGGGGACCTGATTGCTCGTCGGAGTTGAAGGGGGTTTTGCAGCGATCTATGTATCATCTGGCTCTGTCGGGTGATTATTATTCCAAGCCGTTGGAGGTTGCTCTCAATCAAATGTTGATGAAACCGCCGCCGCTTCCCTCTTGTCCGCCGCCTGTTCTCGATGTGGCATCTATTCCTGTGCAGGGTATGTTCGATTCTTGATTCTATTTTGTGCACGTCATGCTCACCCCGCGCTAGATTTCGCCAAAGAACGTGTCCCCGATCAGAATGTTACCTTGATGCCACCTGGCTCTGGAGCCGCCCCTTGGCAGGTCTGGTATATTGATGGCATGAACGCCCGTCAACAAGCTAACCAGGTCGCTGTTGGAATCATTAGTCGCGGGCCTTCATATAACAGCGCACCGCCCGACAGCCCTGACGATATCATGGTCGAGCTGGTTTGTCTCCAGGCACCCTCGAGCGGATCATCAAAGAGTGGTCATGATTAGTTGGCGCCAGAAGGGTGGCCTTTGGTCATCTTTGGTCCTTTTTTTCCTTTATCATCTTTAGTCCCGGTCGGCATTGGTGCTGCACATCTGGCGCCTAGCCGTCGAGACACTCGGTTTCTTCCATCAGTTTTGAGTCGTGTACACCTGCTGGAATTAGACTGGTTAGCCGAAGGCTTTGCCATGTTTCTCCAATGCTGTCTACGTCATGTTACCTCGGATCTTACGGAACTGGTACGCGTTCGGCAATCACTTGTTGATCAACATGGATCATCAGACCCGACTACCTATTTGATCCATGTATGGGGACTCTAACAGACTTGTGATTTGTACATTCTTCGATACAGAAGACACCTCCATGGCACTCTTTCTGTGAGTATGCCTCTACCATCGTCGCCAAAAGAAGCGCACGATGGTGCAGCCCTTCAAAGGGTCGGCAAGGCCATATCACCTGGCTCTAAATTCCCAGGCCCCCGAAAGTCCTCAAGGACATCGGCCTGCTCATTCAACAGATGTCGGTCCGTCTGAATGCCAATCTTCGCCAACCCACGCCACCTCTTCATATCGTCCGGATTCCGCTTGTCACCGTGGACATCCTTGGCATCCTCCCAATGGCCCTTGAAGAATACCAACAACGTGGCAGTCTCCCTGTTTGGGATATATTATACCAGTGAAAAGATGGTCCCGGTCTCTTTGAGCCAGTCTTACTGCTCCAGCTCGCCCGACCGAATACATTGGTACTCGGCTGTTTGGAAGTTCTTCCTTCCAGCCATTGGCTCGCCGTGAATCAAATAGTTGATTCGGTCGGCGTCCTCAAATCACACTTCATACCGCCATTTCTCTGCATTGCCGTTGCTGTCTTGCGCGTCATAGTTGTAAATCAAATGGCGGTCATGCAAGTCACTGTCCAAGGTTGACCCTCTACAGGATGGGTGGACGGGCATTTTGATTGTGTGGTAGCTGAAATGAACCCACAAAGGCGTTTTGATAGATGTACTGGAGTTTTCGGTTTTCTTTTTGAGTTGTCTTCTTGTTTTGTGTTTTTCATATACCAAATGTTTCACAGCGCTCCATCACCTCTTATATATCCATCCAAATCTACATCTACATTTGCATCTTCCTATATTCCACAATAATCTCCATTCATCAATCATCATCCCTTCTCTTGCCTCATGTCCTCAAACTTTCAGCATGGATTTCCCAATCCGTACAGGACGACATTTCGTGTAACCTGCCCCCCTGCGTCTGCACCCCAGGTACTTGTACGCCAACCATCTTATCACACACATAAAATAAACTTATATTCCTCTTCCAAGGCTTTTCCTACAGCAATCACGTTAAGCACATGTAGTGCGCCTGTTTTTGGTTGTTGATCACTCAAATCGAGTTATACATTCGATCATACTATATTGATATTGTCTGAGCGTTCCCGCTATACAAAGTGGTGATATCATGGCTCCATGCTGCAGAGACTACGAGCCAGGCATAAAAGGACTTGATGGTCTTTTGGTATTTGTTCGAGATTTTGTTGTTGATGCCACTTTCAGTATGTATTCGGGTAACAAGAAACTATGCAGTAAACCTGAGTGTGCATACATACTCGTATATGAATATAAACCTACTTCAGTATGTATTCGGGTAACAGGAAACTATGCAGTAAACCTGAGTGTGCATACATACTCGTATATGAATATAAACCTACATGATAACTTATAGCAGAAAGAATATTGCCGGTTCAATATAAGAAAAAGCTCCAGGATCGACATCAATACTACAGACTAATCAAGTGTCTTCCCCCATCTCGCCCCACTATATTGGCCCAACAACCAACACCCTCCTATCTCTCTTTCGCCAACCACAATGACAATAGAACGGAAACTCAACGCAACAGCGCAGCTCTCCTTGGCCCAAAGGTCAGCTATAGTCTCTGCCCACAAGAAAGGCGCCACGCAAGTCCAGCTAGCCGAAGAGTTCGGCTGCACGCGCAAGACCATCTACAATACGCTCAAGCGCTATTCCGATGGCGAGAAACTCGAGAATCGTGAGAAAGCAGGCCGTCCCCCTATTCTGAGTGAGCGTACTTGCAATTACATCTATTTACAGGCACGTCGGCATCCGAATTGGACGCTTGAAGAGCTCAGTGCTTCTATCGCTGAGCATCCGTCTATTTCCACTGTACGCCGCATTCTGAGGCGATTTGAGCCTGCTAAACGCGTGAATCGGAAGAGTGCGTAGATATACTATGTTTTCTGGCAATATTGCGTGCTTGGAAATATAGAACGGATGGATAGTTGGGTTTATTGTTTAGGTGATGATATTGCTTCTTTTTGATAAATGCTTCTTTTCGGGCGGCTAACTGGGACCAGGCGACTTTTTCCACTGGAGTGGAACTCTTACGTTTAGTTCTTGTCCAGGGATAGTGTTAGATTCGCTATGATTCTTGCGGTGTCGGAATTAGCATCGTTCTTATATTCTGCGGCTTTCTTCGCCTCGGGGGCTTTCTTGGCTGCTTGTATATCTCCTTGTCTTCCAGATATTCACTTTTGTTTACCCTGTACCTCAATTATAGCTGTGCTTATAGCTGTAATCAACGCCGCAACAACTTGACTGTGGTCTGTAGCGTTGAAAGTGCTGATGAAGGGCCTTGGTGTTGCTATATATATATTTGACCCTCTGCCATTCTTTTCAACAAAGATAATAAAAATGGATTAAAATGATAGAAAATTCCTTTATATTTTAGTTTGAGAGTTTTTGGAATCATATCTCATACAAAAACCACGAAAGTGGCTCGTAAATCAGGTACATTAACGTAAGTAGTCCCCAGTTGGACAGTCCTCAATTTGACGGTGCACAACCCTTGATTGGAGGTGTACGACCAACAGATCGACCTAGGTAGCCAAGGTCGGGCTGACAAATGGTATTTTGATCTTAGTGCATAATTCTGATGGATTATTCATTGAACGAGTTCCATAACTCAGATGGTCAGAGCGTGGTGCTAATAATGCCAACGTGAAGGGGGCTTTTTGTTCCGGATGCATAATCTAACATCACCACTTTTTTTCTTCTTACTTCTCACTCAAATTTCTTTCTCTTGTTTATTATTTCCATCGAGTCTATACTAGAATGATTGTACTACATTCTGAGATGTTCATTGTGGTACAAAATTTGCTGTGTGCCTGATCCCTCTATATACTAGACAGAAAATGAGTGGAACTGTCGATCAACCGTAATGAGGGGAACTACACTGTAGACAGCCCTATGACCACACTCATAGACACTGCTATAAGGAGCTGTGCGAGGTCTTGTTTCTTAAAATCCCCGAGCATGTCAAAATCAAGGCACATTCCAATGAATTCTCTTAAAATGCAGAGTCTTCAAATCATTTTGTCATTGACTAGACTGCAACGTTCCTCCCAGTTTCCAATAAGCAGCCGCTCCAACCCGAATGCATGACGTAGCCGAGTTTAGCTTTTAGCTTTCGCTTTTTTACATATCGTCACCGTTTTCCGAAGCTTCCGACTTATAACTTGCTATCCCTAGCTTTCTTGCCTTTTGCTTCACTACCCTGCTTCCAAATCCAATCTATCCCACTACTAAACCAACTCAACATCACAATATGGCGCTGAGAGGAGTGCAGTTGGGCCTGCGAGCCTGGGAGGTAAGCTTCATAGCTCGAACGCGACCGATCACAGCTCTAACAAGCTCCAGTTCCTATGGTCTCTCCTCATCATGGCCCTCATCGGTAACATGATCGCCGATGCGTTCGCGGGCAACCCCGCCACGGTGAACTACTCGATCTTCGTATCGGTATTCTCTATGTTCTCCTTGTTCTATCTGATCCCGGCTTCGTTTAACCCCGACTGGGCACTCCACCCGATCATCATGATCGTCGTTGACGCGCTGAACTGCGTCTTCTTCTTCTGCGCGGCTATTGCTCTAGCTGCCAAGCTCGAGTGCCACTCTTGCAATAACCAAGTGCGTATACTAGTTATTAGGAAAATAGTTTTCACATGCTGACTCCGTTACTAGGACTACCTGCTGAGCAACGAGATCACCAACGGTGCTCACAACATGACCAAGCGCTGCCGCGAGGCCCAGGCCTCGGTTGCTTTCCTCTGGTTCGGCTGGGCTGGCTACATGGCCTCGGTCGTCGTCTCGGTCTTCATGTCTCGTGCTTCGACTGTCAACTTGCGCAGCCGGACTGGTAGCCGTCGTGGTGGTGCTGGACCTAGCATGGCCCAGGTCTAAGCTGGTTCACTGCACTACATGTATTGGATAGCAGATAAGATGCGTTGAGCTACGAGCCGTTGGTGCTCTGTCTGAATTGCTCTGTGCTATCTGGTAGAATGGGACTTCTGGTAATGGTAACGGATACGGTAAATGGCGTCGCGATGGTGGGTTGGGTTTTGATGAAGGCTTGGTTGTACGATCTACGAGTTCAAGCATCGGTCCTTTGTGCTTCATGACTGGCATGATTTGAAACATGGAATGTTCCTTCATCTCTCTCTGTCCTTTTTGGAGGACTTGGTAATTGATGTGTTATTACTCATTTCATTAATAATATTTGTGTTTTGGTTGGGTCGCCTCGGGCGTTCGCGCTGGCGTTGACTGAGATTTTGATCTTTCGAATGATGTCAGACTGTTATGCTGCATCAGTTGGTCTTATGAGTACACTTATTTGATTAATTGAAGATCTCGTGCAGTTTGATACCTGGGCTTCCCTGTTTCGTTAGGTGTTAGTCGCTCATCTATACAGTTCCATAAGCAGACTTGATTGTTTAGACAAACAGAAATGCCCGTGGAGTAAGTGAGTTGTTTTGTATTTTTATAGATGTCTTATTTCGAGTGCCCTGTTCCTCATCGAGATAGTAATTCCCGGTATCAGACAGGACAGGGGGTATTGAGCCAAAGTTGCGCTATTTAGGATTGTCGAGTCCAAAGTAGTAATCTGGGAATATTATATTGAATCAGAAATTGCCCAAACCAACCTCATGCCTGCCCTATTCTGCTCTGTTCTATAAAAGGGAAACTATAGCTAACCAAACCATGAACCCGATAACTTACAGTAGTCATATATCGAGCTTACCTCATTAGGTAGTGTGAGTGCCGTCATGAGGCGAGGGGTTGAGTCATTCGAGCCCCGTGCGCAAAGGACACGGAATCAGAGATGACAACAGAGATCACTAGCTATCTTCATTCTATTCTATCCTTGAATCCAATTTATTGCATCTTGTTGTTCTGGAGCTAGGGCTCAGCGGGGCAAATCTCCCCTCCGCTCCACGCTCCACCCCAAAGAATTTCTAGCCGTGACACCTTTCCCCCTTCTTTTCACATCACCCATCAACATGCCTGTCCAGTGAGATCCATCCAGCTCTGCAATTTGCTTCTACTGACCCCTGCCAGCTATCTCATCCTACTCTCCCGACAGGGTAAAGTGGTACGTTCTCGTCGCCCACCCAACTAACACCTGGCCCAAAACTAACTGACGCAACCTCGCAGCGCCTCGCAAAGTGGTTCACTACTCTCTCTCCCAAGGAGAAGGCCAAGATCATCAAAGATGTGACTCAACTTGTGCTATCCCGCCGGACGCGGATGTGCAATTTCCTCGAATACAAAGGTGGCTTTCTCCGCACGCGCAACCCCTTTCCTTCTTCCGCTGACCAGGACTGTTCTGCCAGACTCGAAAGTCGTTTACCGCCGTTATGCCTCCCTTTTCTTCATCGCGGGCTGTGCCTCGACCGACAACGAACTGATCACCTTGGAAGTGGTGCACCGATACGTGGAGCAGATGGACAAATACTACGGCAATGTCTGCGAGCTGGACATTATCTTCAACTTTCAAAAGGCATACTTCATTCTGGATGAGTTATTGATAGCGGGAGAAATGCAAGAGACCAGCAAGAAGAATGTTCTTCGCTGTATCAGCCAGCAAGACAGTCTGGAAGATATGGAGGTAAGTTGGCCAATCCCTATTCCCTCCCCAAGGCCACGATGTAGTACTCTGCCTCTGATGTCAGAGACCGAGTGCTACACTGTGACCCAGCCATGGCCATGGTTTGCAGCCGGGCTAACCTTCCCCAGGTTGAGGAAGATGTGGTTACCAAGATCATGTAGAGCCAAGCAGGTTCTTGCTCAGTTACATAGGCGCGCTTATACTAATCAATACAACGTGTTTTCAGGACTCAGATGATATCTCCCAGAACTTACACCGCGTTGGCCTCTGAGAGTTGGAAGCCCAAACGATCCATGGTTTCGCTGCCCGTGAGGTCAGTGCGGACTCTCACTGGCCAGCCAACACGTGACGATCGGAATCCCCCTCCCAGACTTCCCAGTTCATGTTGCTTCCCCTCTGATTCCTTTGATCCTTGCTCCTTGCTCTTCTCTTCATTGTTGCTTTTCCTTTTGAAAGAGTCTGGTCTAGTTGGTGTAGTTCAGATTTCCCCTTGTTCTTGCTTCCCCCCCAACTCCTGTTTGCGGTTATCTCCGACTATCACATCATCTCCACCCTGCGCCCACCGCCATCGTGTTATCACCTCACATCGGCGCTTCTTCATCTCTTCAGCTCGCCTTGAGATTATTTGATTCTCCAATCTCTTGGAATCCCCTGACTCTCACTCCAAGACACGTCATCCCAGGCTTATCGCCTTATCTCGGGTTCTCCACTACCCCAGTCCAAGATGAAGGTGTGTCATGATCAGTCGATCCCAGTCCATGTGGTATCTTGCTAACATGATACGCTTCAGTTCCTTCCTCTACCTGAGTTTGAGGATGTCACAAGTTCTCTGAACTTCGATACCGCCGACTGTCACATCGTTGGTGGGTGCGACATCTACACGACCAAGGCAGCACGCTCCGATCGGAAACTCTACAACCACATCGAACAATCGCTCGAGGCGCAATATGAATCCGTCCTGCGGTTTTCTGCTTCCTTGTCACCGCCCAACGCACATGACGCCGCCGAGACACTCAACCTATCCCGATCCAGTCCGTTCGGCCCCCTGAGCGACCATTCGAGCCGACGCACGTTTGCCTATTTGATTGCCACATTGAACGCAAGCCATCCGGATTACGACTTTTCTCATGTGCTCAGACCGACTGATTTCCGACGCGAGCGGAATCTAAAGCGCGTCATGAACACGGTCGATTCAACTCTCCTCAACCTGCGACCGCGCGAGAATGTCGACCTATCCCCTTCATCCCCCGCCACGCTTTCCGGCTCATACACCGCAGGCTCATCTTCCGCATGGGGCCCTCGTGTATGGAAGACGATAGACGAGCACATGTCTCTGAAGGAATGCTCAATTTACTCCTATTCTCCCGAAGAAGATCCGTCCGACGCCGATGACGGAGCAATTTGGAGTCTACACTTCTTTTTCTTCAACCCGCTTCGCAAGCGCGTCTGCTACATGTATCTACGCGCGATTCCAATCCTCAGCCATACACCCGATGAGATGATGACTACGCCATCCGGCAAGCGGACCTACGACGACGGATACCTTACACCGGATCTTAGTTCCAGCAAGCGCGCCCGGTTCTGGTTTGGAGACCGTGCGAGATCAACTCTCATTGCCAGTGACAGCGACGATGAGATGGATCGCACTGAGCCCACTCGACCTATGGACGAATATGACCATTACGTGCTGAGTGATGATGATGACCATGTGCCCGCTCGTCGGGGTACGGTCCGCGCCATGAGTGAGGAAATTGCAGATTCTATGGAGGTATAAGAGTTACGCTTTTATATTCTGCTTCGCTGCTGGTTTTCGCTGCTGGTTTTCGCTGCTGGTTTTCGCTGCTGGTTTTCGCTGCTGGTTTTCGCTGCTGGTCTTCGCTGCTGGTCTCCGCTACTGGTTTTCGTTTCTTGGTTGTCTTCTTCCCCCCCCCCCCCGTTGATCGGATTGAGTTTTGAGCTGGTGGCGTTGGGATGATATCTTCTCTATTGGTTTTCGGCGCAATCAACTTGCATGTTTTCCTTATTGAGGGTGTTAATATGATACATGTTGACATGATGGCCCCTCGACCTTTACTTGGATTGTGTCCATACTACCTAATATCATCCACGTTAATTATTATTGGGATGAATTTTACTTTCTTTTTCTTCTATATATCAACAATGCTGTGCTGTGTGCAATGATTCTAATTCCACTATGTAAGCAAGAGGCGACACTCGACTCATGGGATGCCCATGACTCAATCGATACCAAAATAGAAACCTCTCTACTCAGCCCAGCTCCACAGACTCAGTCCCAATCAAGCAGAAGCAGCGCAGGACCGGACTCCACTCTCAGGCGCGTTACAGTCCTGCAACTGCAAAGGCACCGCGTATACCGGCAGATCTTAGTTTACAGTTCAGAAACACCCAGTATTTACATGGAGTCTTCAATTGGACTTTAACTGTGTGAAACGAACAAACAGCAAGTTTAAGTGTTATGTTTGTTTATACCTGTAAGAATATCGAGCACATAACCCGAAATAAATAAAGCCTGTAGCTATACTATTCTCATAGAATAGTCCACCGGGAAATCTATGCGCCTGTCTTCATGTCGACGTCCTCATCGCAGTCTCTATACTTTGACATTGTCGATGCCTGACGTAGATCGGACAGGTGGCCCGTGCGCCCAATTGGGGAAAGCTGTCCATTCTCTCCCTTCCGCTCCATCCACACTCCCCGATTGATTTCATTACGATTAAGCATTCCATCATGGCCGACGACGAGGAGCGCATCAAGGCAGAGAAGCTGGCGGCAGCCAAGAAGAAGGTAAGTTCCCCGCATGAGAGACAGTTGTGTCAGTGTTTAATCAGACCAATGTTTGCAGGTGGCCCAGATGCAAAAGAAAAAGAAGAAGGCCAGCAAGACATCCACTGCTGGACTAGAGACACCAAAAGAAGCAGAGGCCTCTACTGAAGCCACCACCGAAGCAACCACTGAAGCCGAGCCTATAGAAGAAGCCGCGGCCACCGCAGAAACACCATCACAAGTCGAAACCCCCGCAGCCGCTGAGCAGCCAGAGGAATCACAGTCACCACAAGAACAGCCGGAGGCCGATGCGCCGGCTGAATCGCCCATCGAACCCATGCCTCCAGCGCCGACATCTCCCGGCTCAGACGCGGAGCCACTACCAATCCGCCTCGACACCCCGCGCGCAAACCATGGCCGACAGCCCTCCTTGTCAATCCAGTCCAAGATGCGGTCTTCCTCGTTCCGCAAGACTTCCGTTTCCCAGGGCAGCGTGTCCCCCTCCCCACCTGCAACACTCAAGTCCCCCGCAGGGTCATTACCGCCCCTGACCGGAGATGGGGAGTCGGTTCACGAAGTATTCCGCAAACAATCCACGAAAATCGAAGAACTTGAGAAGGAGAACAAACGACTGGAGAAGGATCTCTCGGATGCAACTTCGCGCTGGCGCAAGACCGAGGAGCAAGTGGAGGATCTGCGCGAGGCTTGTGTTGATGGTGCGGAGTTGAGGGAGAAGTTAAAGAAGGCCGAGGAGCAGGTTGCTAGCATTGATGCTCTGGTACGTTCGTTTATGGTCTATGTCTGGGATTAGTACTGACTGTATTGAATAGAATGAGGAGATTCTCTCTCTCCAGCGACAAAACTCACAGCTCCAGACGCGGCAGCATCGCAATGCCAGTGCTACTTCGGAGTCGCCGCCGGCCGACCTTGCTCGCCAGTTGGAGTCCAAGTCCGCTACGATTGAAGCTATGGAATTGGAAATTTCCAATCTGCGCGCTCAGGTCACTTCCCAGACATCTTCGAACGACGAACATGAAACCAAGGTTGCTGCGTTGGAAGAGAAGGTCTCGAAAGCCCAGACAGACCTTGATAAGTCTCACAGCGAATTGGAACACACCAAGCAGGCTTTGACGCGAGCTACCGAGAAAGCAGCCAAAGAAGGCGTCGACAAGACCTCCACCGATACATTGATTCGGAATCTCCAGCGTGAGATCGAAGAACACAAGACCGAAAAGGCCGAGTCAGAAAAGAAGACTGAGGCCCTGGACAAGAAACTCCAGGCAATGGCCAACCTCCACAAAGAAACCGAGGCTCGACACCAGACCCGCCAACGCGAGAGCGAAAAATCAGAGAAGGAAATTGCCGTCATGCGCAAGAAACTCGCCAGCATCGAAAACGAGAATCTCAGACTCCGCGAGGAGCGTGACCGCGTACGCACCCGCGAGACAAGCGGCGGCGCCGACGACGAAGCCCTGGATGAGCTAGAAGACGAAGAACGTCAGCGTCTCGAACGTCGCATCCGCGAGCTAGAAGGCGAAGTCTTCGATCTGCGCCGCGGCGTCTGGCAAGAGAAGCGCCACGAACTATCCGAACACTACCCAGAAGACGGACCCAGCGTCGGCGCCGGTGATGCAGCCAATGCATTCGACGACGTTGACCTTGTCGGTGGACGACCGGACCATGCCCGTCGCCGCAGCATGGGCCAGCAACAGCACTCTTCCTTCTCGACTGTTCTCTCTAGCGGCTTCGCAGCCTTCACTGGAGCCGGCGGAAACTGCGCCCGCGCTTCATCGTCTAACCCATCTCACCCACCCGGAACACGTGGCAGTCTCGAGCTTGTCTCGGAAGAAAACCTGGATGATGAATTCGACGAGGATGCGTTTGCCCGCGCACAAGCCGAAGAAGAAGCCCGCAAGCGCGTCGAGTGGATGCGCAATATCAAGAGTAAGCTGCGTGACTGGAATGGGTGGAGATTGGACCTTGTTGACAGTCGGGCTGGTGCTGAAGGTGCTGGTGTCGGCATGGGTGAGATCTTTGAGGTTTGAGCATGGCATCTCTTGTTTCATCGTTACTTTGACATGGCGAGCGGGATAGGATGGGATGTACGATCTGTTTTTATATACCACGAGACTGGGCTCGACTTTACTGTAGTTGGTCCTCTCGAACAAATGAATGATTATGCAAAGAACAGAAAAGCAGAGTAGAGCAAAGCAAAGTCAAGTAAAACAGAACAGAGCAGAACAGAACTCCTTATGCAAAGACTGTGTTGTAGGATATCTCATGAACACCAATATAAAAGCAGATGCAACAACTATGAAAACAGGAAACCCAAGAATCAACCTAACACGCTCACCAAGTCCAATGCACTCCACTCAACACGAGCCGCCAACAACGAACTCAATCAGAAGCAGACTTCCCCGTCAAATAACCCTCCATAGACCGACCCCTCCTCCGGCCCCAGACCTCTCCAGCCCAGGACGAAATCTGGTAAATCCACCCACCAGTAACGAGAACCCCAGAAACAGTATTAATCAACCTGATCAGCAGCGCCAAGAACCCCGTGCGCTCCTCACTAACCAGCAAAAGGATCGGTTCAATATTGTACTTGAAGAAGATGCCCGGGACGACCATGGGCGACTCGGGGATCGCGCCGCTCTGGCTGGTCGCCGCGTATTGGTTCGTGAAGACGGTGTTGCGGCCGGAACGGGCTGCAGCTGACATCGGAGACCGGGTGTAGGCATCTAGCGCGCCTTTGCCTCTGCTGTAGAGGGTTGGGACGACGGACAGGAAGTATTGGAACTTGTAGTAGTGCGAGTCGCTTTCGGCGATTGTTTTGTCCAATGGGTTGTGCAGGGTTGGGTAGTGCGGGCCGAAGGAGAGCTCCGTGATCATGTGGGAGAAGTTGAAGGCTGTTGTTGGAATGGCAGTGTTAGCTATCAATATTTCGAGACAATAGTAATGGCAGAGGGTGCAAGGTGCAGGGTGAAGGGTAGAGGGTAAAAGAGCAAACATACTCGAATGATCCAGATGCGCCCCGGCATCACGATATCCATGTCCTCGCGCTGTGATATGGAAATCACCCTGGACCTTGTTCCCTTCCAGACTCCCGTAAATGCGACAAGCATTGGGCACATCGCCCCTCCGCATGCGCGGGCCCTTGGGGAACTTGCGCCAGGGATTGTGACGCACTTCGCCGAGGACATGTCGCACGTGAGAGTCGGCCTCCTGCTCCTCGAGCCGGTCGTTCTCCTCGTGAGACAGAGTCTGGTACTCGTGGGCGCCGGCGTAGGTCTCGTAGTTGCGTTTCGCCATCCACAGGTCCCAGTTCGTGTCGTCGCGTTTGAGGAGCTCGCCGGCGAGAATGCGGTCACCTGCTGCGTCTTGGATGTTGACGCGGAGGGCGTCGCAGGGCATGTCGACGACTATGTCGAGGTTTAGTTGGAGTTCGTGCGAGACGCCTTTTTCAACGCTGAATTGTTGGTGTTCGGTGCCGCGCCACCATATTTTTAATTCGGTGATGCTGAAGAGCGTGCAGACTAGTAGGATTACGACGGTCCATACGCCTCCGCTGCGGGTTGGGGTTGTGTAGGATGATTTGGTTTTGGCTGGTTGGTTAGCTTGAGGATCAATCAGAGTGGGCTGTGTGTATTTACTCACGGAAAGCGTCAAAGGTCTTTAGACCTGCCAGATTGGACTTCTCTCCGAAGGCATCTTCGTCGAGGCCTTTTTCAAAGCCATTCATTGTTAATTGTTACAATTGTTGGTGAGAAGAGTTGGAGAAGTGGAGTAAATAAGATAACAATGAGGCCAAGTCGCCCGATTGCGCGTTCCGTACCTGCATGCTTGGCATTCGAGTATAACACTTGGACTATTTTACTCTTGCTATATAATGTTAAGTATATTTACTACGTCTTGGATAGAGACAGGGAAAAGCACAGTCGAATCGGACACTCATTAATTCAAAAGCATCTAGCCAACACATAACGTCAATTGCTCTACAGGAGCATGCTTTGCTCTTGAAGGGATGCAAAGATAACAATGTACAACAGGCATCGGCCTGGATGGGATCATCAGCTATAAACGGAACGAAGGGAAATGCATAAGCAAGGATAAGGTATAAGCAATGGACTTTCACAAGGTCATCATAGGCGCAATGCAAATGCAGTCACAAAAAAAGGGGGGTATTAACATGAATCATGCATCTCAAGGGTTCCTCCGAAACCAGATAGACAAATGCTGACACAAACCACCCGATGCAAGTTCAATAGAAGGGGAAAAAGGCGTAAAAAACAAAACAAAAGTTATTATTACAGAGAATTCATAAACAGACATGCAAAGAAATCATTTCCTCTGTCAGCTGGTCAGCATCCCGTTCGACTCTTTCGTTGCCTGGCCTAACTCACTAGGCTTGTCACAGCCGCCGCAGTAGCAAGGTCGGGTTTTCCACTGATACTCCGGGCAGAGACACGGGGAAGTGCAGAGCTCGCGGCAGTGGTGTTGTGGGACGCTCGCTTGGCGGGGCTGGACGGGGGACCATTGATGGTCGAGTGGCGTTTCCCGCTGCTGCCTTTGACAGGGGAAGTGCCAGAGACATCACGAGAGCGCGTGAAAGTCCCTGTCTTCAGTGTGCCTGGAGGCTCAGGGAGTGGGCGACTCGAGGACGTCGCTCCTCGCTTGGAGGGCGAGTTGGATGCGTAAATACGAGGCCGAGGCGCAGGTTTGACTCCAGTAAGGAACTCGTGCTTCAGTGCATCGTGGGGCGAAAGTCGGCGAGCCGGGTCCCAGCGGAGACAGCGAGTGATGAAGTCAAGGAAAGCCTCATCGTCACACTTCAGTGCCTGCCGAAGTTCCTTAGAGCTTGGCCGACGCCGACGTCCCTTGGAAGACACAGTCAAGCGTGGTTTGCCCAGAGAGTCAAAGAACAGCTTCTTGCGAGAGCTCTTCTCGATCAAATGTTTCTCAGGAGGACCAAAGACTTCCATGATGCAGGCAAGCTGCTCTTGCTCATTCTCTCCAGGGAAGATGGGATAGCCAGTGAACAGCTCAGCTAAAATACAACCCAAACTCCACATATCAATAGGCATGCCGTAAGACATTCCAAGGATAACCTCGGGGGAGCGATAGAAACGACTCTGAATGTAGGTATATACCTTTTCATTCTCAAAGCAACTTGAACCAAAGTCGATGACACGAATTTCCGAGTTCATTGGGTGAACGAGAAGGACGTTCTCGGGCTTCAAATCACAATGAATCACCTTCTTCGCGTGCAAAAGAACAAGACTGCTCAGCATTTGCTTGGTAAACACACGGATCAGTTTCAACGAGAAGCCTCGGAATTCGTGTGCTTTGATGAACTCGTAGAGGTTCATGCCAAGCAGTTCTGTGGAGATGCAGAGATGACCACGGAAGTAGAAGCTTTGAGTGAAGTTGACCACGCTGTGCTTCCCATTGGGATCCCACTCTTTCAATTTTTGAAGGAGGTTGACCTCAATAAGAGCTTGCTGGTGGAACCGCTTCTTGTTACGAATAATCTTGATCGCAACAAGGGCGCCAGTCTTGTGATCGACACATCGCACGACTTGGCCAAAGCTGCCCTTACCCAAAACATCCACAACCTCGTAACGGTAAGCTAAATGGTCACCCATTACAATGTTATAATCCCCACGGTCATCATCATATCCGAAGTTTGCCGCACCAGAGTGGAGATCCCCAACATGTTTCTTGGCGGTTTGAGTACCACAAAAGAAGATATCACGATAATCAATGATCTCGCCTCGTTCAAAGATGTTGAGATTTGCCATTTTCAAAGCCTGGGCTGGACTGACACGATCTTTTGGACCGGCTTTACGGCGCAAGTCATCCAGTACTCGTGCTGCCTTTTCAAAGTCTTTGCGTTTAGAGCCAAGGCGCTTCATCTCCTCATCAGCAATCACCACATCTGTATCAACACTCGTGTCGGTGGACCGAGGAGCAGCTGCAGCTGCAGCGCTGGATCGGGCATTGCTAATCATCTTATGTACCGGAGAGATATAAGTGCTTGTCGCACGCTTTTGAGGGCGATCGCTGCCGCCAGACTCATTCGAAGGACTCGGTCCCAGCTGAAGACTCTTCTCACTGCTGACACTGGGTTTCCGAGCAGCCGGGTTTGTCGCACTCGAGACAGAAGACTGGCGCCTAGGGTTGAGATAAGACGGTTTGAGACTGGGGCTTGTCGAGCTGGCCGAAGACAAATTGTTCCACGTCGCGGACGCCGGGAGTTTCGGTGGCGGCATGTGGTTGAACTTGGTTGGGTCAGAGTCAGGTTCGGACGTTTTCTGTGTCCGCGAGTTGCTGCGAATACGGGCAACTTTGAGACGATCACGAAGCGAAGAGCTAGACGCAGTTATGCTTTCGGGCTCAGAAGGTGTTGATATCTGACTGAGTCGTTCCGGCGCAGGGGTGAACATGGCACTCTGAGTTTGAGGCCGGGGTCCATTCAATTTGTGCGTTTGCACCCGATTCGAGTAATCGCCACTAGCCTGTTGGCGAAGATGGTTGAGGTCGGCACCGCTCTTTGGCAGCGTGTACGAGGCATATGGAGAGATATTACGTGTTGAACTTGGCGTTTCAAAAGATTCAAACGCGCTGGTACTACTAGACGCTCGCAAAGCAGCAGTTGATGAGCTGACAGCAAAGTGGGAGGTGCTGCTTCGAGCTTGAGTGAGAGGCACGTGCTCATCTTCGTCGCGATAACTCCAGAAATTTGCTTTGGACGCTGTCATCGGAGTGCTGGGCGTCTTCGACAGGACCTGGTTGGAGGGAGTGTGGGTTTTTCGGTCGTCAGTGTCTCTATCCTTCAGTGCATCAATCTTGGCTGCCATAGGCGTGCCCAAAGGCAACAAATTCAAAGGCGGGAGTTTCAAAGGCTGCAAACCCTTTCTTCCACCTAGAACGGTCGAAGTCCGTGATCGTGAGTCGGGCGTTTTTGTCACATTACCAGTCGAATTGTCGGGTTGCTCCACTTCCGCGGTCTTCGGTGCAGACTGCGCATCAGAGTCTGACTCCCGGGTAATATCCAGCTGACCAAGATCCGTCGTAATACTAGACTTTCTTGGGACCGGGAAAACAGGCGCATCCAATTCCCCTTTTGGTGATTCGTAGGCCTTCGGAATTGCTGGCACAGGTGGCACTTCTTCTCCGTTTGAGCTTGATTGCTCTGTTCGCGGTTTTGGTGTAGGAAGCCGCGAGGAGGAAAAGTTCTGTGAGAGACGATTTTGGAGAGAGCTACCAGAGTTTCGTGCCGAGTTATAACTAGTGCTCGAGGAGACTGACAAACCTGAACTGTACGACTTGCGATTTGGATCGGGCGTAGTTCGGTTTGAGGAAGGTGTGACACTCTTTCTTGGGATTTGAGATGGTGATTGGGTCGAAGATAGTGGGCGAACGGGAAGTGGCTCTGTCTGAGTAGGTGGTGTATGTGGCATGGGAGGAGCAGGGGGTGCCATTGACATTCGCTTCATCCGTCGTGCATCAGTAGGGCTAATGGTACGAGCACCAAGTCCTGTTGCATGGGACGGCATAGCGGAAGCACGCTTGTTGGTCGAAGAAGGTGTTGTAGCCGCTGCACCGGCAGGATTCTTGATTGGGGTTCTCACGGCATTAGTGGAGGATGATCGCGAGTGGTCAACAGCCCCGGACGCGGTCAAAAATGGTCCAGGAGGTTCCCGCGGGCTGGGCTGGAAGGACTTCGCCTTCAAGTTTCGAACGGATGTTGGGACCTTGGTTTCATCGAGATTAGTTTCTGGCAGCCGAGGACGCAGGAAGTTCGAATCCGTTCGTGTCGTAGTGTCAGTACTGAACTTGCGGGCACTTAGACTTGCGCGTCTTGCCGATGAATTTGTAGGAGCAAATGCGCCCGAACTGATCGACTTGCGTGAGCCCCGCGAAGCAGTGTTAATCCCACCAGCTGGCTGGGCTAAACTCTGACGGCGAGCGCGAGTGTTGGCAGTGGATGCTGTTAACCCTGCGTTGGTAGGGACCTGGCCATTCGGACGCTGTACTTCACTCTTTCGACGAGCAGAAGCATTTCGTGTGCGATCCGATACGTTGCTATAAGTGTGGTCTGCCCAGGGATTTACCCCGAGGCCAGCCGCGTGATTCTCTGCACCCCCGTGCCCAGGCATAGGAAAGTGGTTCAAGCTGGGTTCGCCCATGATGCTATTGTGAAAGTCGTCAAAGTTGACAGGCGATAAGAAATCCATGTTGTCTGGGGGTGTCTGATTGGCGTCTAATTTCGCAAGGTTACCAACACTGGTAGATCGAAGGTTCAAGCCTTTAGTTGAGTCGTTCGTAGAGTCAATTGAAGATGTTCCAGAATGTGCGTATGAACCAGTTGGTTTGCTGGTTGGGGGTTGTTAGCCAGAAGATCGCCGCGAACGAAGACCCTGATTATGAGGACAGGACGTGGAGAATACATACCTCCACCGTGAAGCCTCTTGCGGTCGCGGGCCTTGTGGGACCTTTTGGTCTCGAATTGAAAGTCTTCTCCTGCCAATCCCACCTGTGCGCGGACCAGCAACCCCTTTTGAATATTGGGCGTCAAAATCGGTGGATGAATTCGAAGGGAAATTGGTCGAAGCGGACTTTTGCAGGCGTCTGCGGGCCGGTGCCTCTGCTGTTCAAGATGGTCAGCCTCCAGCTGCACCTCGTGGGGCATTGTCACATACCTCCAGACCCTGAATCATCATTTCTTGAGGCATAAGATGCTTGTGACTGCTCTGCCCGCGCTTGACCCCTCCCCGTGATTTGCGGTTTTGCCGACATTGTTCGTAAATCCATGTATTCTCCGGTGTAAAAGGAGGATCGTCAACTCGTTGAAGAAAAACAAGAACTGGACCGTGCCAGGGAGTCGCAATTGCATTCAGGAGAAGTGCGAGGTCTCAATAAACAGAATAGGGGAGAAATTTGAGCACCGTCGCGCGACTCGGACAACAGTTACCGGTCCATCGCGAGGAGACAAAAGAAAAGGCAGTCCCAGGGTAAGTTCTTTTTGATCCGAACCTGGTACGAAATAATTTTTGGGGAGCTTCGAGGGTTGCTGGGGCAAGTCCAAGGCGGTGGAAAAAGAGACAATGGGGGGGGGGGAAGAGGGTTAAAGAACAAAACAAAAGGCCAACGTCTTAGCAATACTTTTTTCTATACAAAAAAAGACAGAAGTAACAGAAAGAAAGGAAAGATCCAAGACCAGAGATCTGTTTCAAAGGAAAGAAACCAAAACCTCACAGACAAAGCTTCAAACTGCAGTCCCCTGATGCAAACAGTGCTTATGTCAGCTCCCCCAGATCGGCACCTTCACATGGACAAAGAAACCCGTGGACGAATAGCCGGATCTTTGCTTCTCTTCTCTTCCTCCCTTTGGCATGTCTGTGAGTCTCAACTGCCATGGATGAATTCAGCCCGACACCCCGGGATGAGTCACGGTCATCGTCTTCAAATTTGAAGAACGAGAGGCCGGGTTCGCCTGACAGCACCCACTCGAGATCGTCGTCCATGTCTAAAAACTCCCTTCAAGATCGTTTATTTACAAAGTATGTTTTACATGGCTATACTTCTTTTTCTCTCTTTACTATATTTGGTAACATTAAGAAACGAGTACTGACGACCATAGGCTCCTCCAACAAGTCATTCCGAAAGACGATGATGAGGATGAAACCGACTCAGGAGACAAGGCCTATGCGTCGTCCCCTAAGAAACCGGCCTTTAGTTTGCCGGTAATGGCGAACAATTTCCGTCGTTTCAATGCCAGGTGAGACTGACACGGATCCAGATATCCACCGTTACTAAACCTGCTATAGAATCGGCGTGGTATTTCTATTCCAGTGCCAGGTTGAGCGAGTGCTTACATGGGAAACACCAACTCATACCCTCTCACTTCTTTTTGTCTATTCTTTCATATGCTTGGATCCTCGCCTACTATTGATTCTGCCCTTGGTGGTGCTCTTACTGTTCATCATGGTACCTGCCTTTGTGACTCGTCATCCACCACCTCCAAACACCTCCACTTCGAGTACTACTCCGTACTATTCTTATGATGGACCTGCGCTGGCACCGGCAAGGACCATCAAACCAGCACCAGAGACCTCCAAGGACTTTTTACGGAACATGCGAGATCTGCAGAACGTCATGGCCGATTTCTCAGACGTGCACGATGCAACTGTCTCTGTAGTTGCACCATTAACGAATTTTTCGAATGAGAAGCTCTCATCGGCTCTTTTCTTGGGCTGCACAGTGGCTACTGTGATATTGTTCATCAGTGCTCCTCTCTTACCCGTGAAACTCGTCCTACTAGTCGGCGGCAATGCGGCAATTCTATCAATTCATCCAACTGTCCGGCAATTCTTTGGGGACCTGATGCAAGACATGGCTGGCGATTTCTTGGATACGGACTCTACCCCAGACGACGAGAGAGCCTCAGATAGGTTTGGTTCAATGCCCGCGAACCCGACGGCGGCAATGTCTTCCCTGGAAAAGCTTGCGGATATTTCGTTAGACACGGACCCGGAGGAGCGTGAGGTAGAAATCTTTGAACTGCAGCACCGGGCCGCAGGAACGTCGGAATCTGGATGGGAGAGTTTCTTGTTCAGTCACGCGCCATATGATCCACTCTCGCCCTCTCGCATTGCCGGGGATCGTCCACGTGGATGTCGATTCTTTGAGGATGTTCGAGCCCCATCTGGTTGGAACTGGAAGAGTAAAAAGTGGGAGCTTGACCTAGACTGCCGCGAATGGGTTGTGGAGCGTATGATCACTGGGGTCGGTTTTGAAGTTCCTGGTGTGACTGCGGAAGGAAATGCGATTGTCGATGAAGTTGGTGGTTGGGTTTGGGACTTGCCCCCTGCCCGTTCACTGGATACAGACGATGAGCTCCCGCTAGCTTACGGGGATCTACCAATGGACTCTCCCACACCAAAAGAGAAAAAGAAGTCTTCCAAGAACAAGGATAAGGAAAAGAACAAGTCCTCTGGCCGGGATTGGGAAGAAGGAACCCCTGCATCCTTTGGCGTTGGAGAATGGAGACGACGCCGATGGGTACGAGTAGTACAACGAATCAGCCTTCCGCCGGCGGGAGTTCTCACATACTCAACATTGTCATCGCTGAACCGCAACTAATCAGAACTACGAGATAATGAAATCACTCAGAAGTGGCAGCTCAGCCTGCCGTCCATTACTGAACAAATATATATACTGCTTGGTACATTCACGTCCACACACATTCACACACATCCATGTAGATAGGCACTTTTGACAAATGAACCCCGAATAAACAAGAATATAACGCCAGACTCGCCCAACCCGGATGCACAGAATAAAAAATATAAAGATACAAGCCCGATTAAGCCTGAGTCTTCTTCCACTTGTTAATCCTCCTCCGCAGATCACCCTCACTCTGCTGCATGGGGTTGAGCTTGCGGTCCCGAGCCATAGCAATGAAGTTATCGCCGTGCTTCTCGATCAAACGCAGAACCCACTCCTCCTCACGTTTGCTCTGGTGCCGAGGCTTCTTGGCCCGAACACTCTTGCCCTCCTGATCAGCCTGGCGCTCAAGCTGCTGCACAACAATGGAGTCGGTCAGGGGGTTGCTCTCGATCTCGCCGTCGGAGATGTCGTTCAGAGGGTCGTTGAGGGGGTTCTTGCGGGAGTGCTGGCGACCTGCAACCCGGATGCTGTCGACGTCGTCGTGGATGACACGCAGAATCTTGCCAGTCTCGGGGTCACGCTCGACCTTTGTCTCGCCGAGGGTGAGTTTGCCTGCAGCCTCCTTGGCGCTGCCTTTGATGTGGAGCGAGTTCTGGTTCTCGGGGAATTCCTCTTCGTTGCCGGGAAGACGTTCGCGGCCACCGGACGAGGCGTTCAGCTTGTGCATCAAACCAAGGCGCTGGTAATTTTGTGTCAGGGTCAGGTTGCGATCCCTTGAGGAAAGGTTAGTATCAATCTGCGATGGTTACGACAGGAGCAGCGCATACCAGTTGTCGGCGATGATCTGATTGCCCAGGACATTGATCTTCTTGTGGCCGCTCTTGAGGCGGTTATCCTTGGCGCGGGCCTTGGAGCGCCCGGAGCGGGCCTTCTTCTTTTGCAAAACCTTTCCCATTGTGAATGTGGTGTTGAATGCTGAGTTCTGTTGATAATAAAATCAAGCGTTATCGAAACTTTTTTTCTGAGTTTGCAAGTCTTGGCATGTTTGCCCAGGGTCCCGCGATAAGTGGTCCGACCACCGATAAAGCGGATCTGTTGTACTCCGGTGTTTTGTCCTCCTGTCACTCTCCCCAGACTTACTCGCAATGGCTTCTCGGTTCTTTCCATCGCGCCGAACGGGTCTTGCTATCTTTGCAGGATGTGTCTTGTTCTCGGCCTTGGCTGCAGCTAATGCTGGTCCCGGAGATCTCTCCGTGAGCCAGATTGAAGACCAATTGCAGGTATATTACTCTGTCTTTTGTGCAACTAGCTTCCAGCCGACACAGAAACTGACCTTATACAGAGCTGCCCGTTAGTTGAATCACTCAACGAACACAAGCGTGCCACCCGCCCGGAAACTACCAGCCTGACCTCGAAGATCTTCGCTGTTCTCTTCCCCAGCAGTCCTGCCATCAATGCGCTTTTGGCAACCTTGTATATCTCTGGCCCTCCTAGTGTGTTTCCCATTTATCAAGCTATTCGTCAAGCTTGTAACATAATTGGCTGACTAGATCTGCGACAGACTTCCTGCTGGCACTATGCCCACCCAACATCGACCCCTCCTCTCTGTCCGTCATGGTCGCTTTCGCCGTCGGCGGCCTGCTTGGTGACACCCTCTTTCACCTTTTGCCAGAGATCTTTGTCGGTGAGGCCTCCCCCGATCATGTCAGCTTTGTCATGGTTGAGCCGAACAAGAACCTCCTACTCGGCCTCGGCATTATGGTCGGTTTCTTCACTTTCGTAGCAATGGACAAGACCCTGCGCATTGCAACAGGCGGCGAAGCTCACGACCATGCTCACGGCCACACTCACGCTGAGGTATCTGCCGCAACTACCACAAGCGCCGATTCCAAGAGCAAGTCCAATGGGGAGCTGAAGCAGCGCAAGTCGACTGCCAAGGATTCTACTCCCTCGTCTGATGCCACCTCAGAGAAAGAGATCAACCCTAGCGTCAAGCTCGGTGGATACTTGAATCTCATTGCTGATTTCACTCACAACATCACCGACGGTCTTGCCCTCTCGTCCTCATTCTATGCCTCGCCAACGATCGGCGCAACCACCACAGTGGCCGTTTTCTTCCACGAAATTCCCCACGAAGTTGGTGACTTTGCCCTGCTTATACAGTCCGGTTTCTCCAAGCGCAAGGCCATGGGTGCCCAGTTTGTCACTGCTATTGGAGCCTTCTTGGGAACCATTATCGGAATTGCCGTGCAGGAATTCGGTGGCAACGGAACCATCTTGGATGATGGCTCTGCCGTTGGACTCATGGGAACTAGTCTTACCTGGGGTGACATGCTTCTTCCTTTCACTGCTGGTACTTTCCTGTACGTCGGCACTGTGGCTGTCATTCCTGAGTTGCTTGAGACCGGCAAGGACAAGGGTGTTGAAGTGCGGAAGACTATCACCCAATTTTTGGCTGTTGCTTTGGGTGCGGGTATCATGCTTGCGTAAGTTTTGACTATTTCATTGATCTAGTGAGTGCTGGCTGACGATCTTTTAGCATTTCTTGGGATTAAATACCTGACTAAAATGAGCGATACTGACCTGCCGGTATGCCCTGGCATATTACATATTAATCAAATATGATAGGTAAATCTTGACCTGACAATAAGGGGAATATTGAATATGAAAATGAATCAGAAAGTAGTGTTTTGAGCTAGTACAAGTATGCTACATTACGAGAGCAAGCTTTAAGTTCAAGCTCTACCACTATATTGAAGCTAAACAAACAGAGGTGACTGTAAGCTCTACATTAAACATGTAGCATAGAAAGGCAAAGACCCTAACGTGCTCCCGGGCCAATTCAGTCGGAACATCCTTTTAGGCTCCCCTTAGGGTAAGGCTATATAGCAAAAGAGCCGTTAGAGAGACAATAATCAATCAAACTGACCCGGTAACTTGAGTCCAAGTCAATCACTCACTCAACTGTGCTCAACCAATCCCACTGCTTCTTATCACAGCCTCGTTGCTCCACGCTATATTCTACACCAACCCTCTTCAAGCGTCACAATTCATAATAATGCTACCCTTGAAAGAAGTCTCATCCTCATTGAACTCAGCACTCGAGAATCTCCAGACGCTACCAAGGTAAAACTCACGTCTTGAGGAATATATATAGTACTGATTGCATACATGAAACTTGAAATATATAAAGAAGAGAGAATGAAAACGATTTAAATAAGGACTTAAAATGCAGTGACAAGGCTGATAGAAGATGGGGCTTCTGATATGATATCCCAAGTGTTACAGAGGACCTCTGAATGTCGGAATTGCAGAAATTTCTCGATTTCCTTTTAGATAAAGTTTACATTCTTTCTCCTGGAAAGGGCAAAATGAAAGCTCACATATCCTCATTATAGTAATCATTGATTAACATAAGGAATAGATCACATGTTCCGAGATTTGAACCATTATCCTCACTATGCTTTGTGATGAAGTTGTTTCAGTAACCATTGAAACAGCAAAAGTTCATTCTATCTTCTCCATTCCCCCCACTATTCAGAATCATTTATTCCTCCATCCTCCCAGTGTTCTTTTACATCTTGTGGGCTCGAGCTTGGTCTAGATCAGTCGGTGGGTTTGAGGGTTCAGTCGAGCCTGTTTCCGATGTTTCACATCTGTAATTCCCCCCTGATTGATCAGTTGATGGTCAGATCCTTCTAGTATCTGATAATGACCTGACCTTTGCCGCTGCCAAAACAAGACAATTACTGGGCGATTATTGGGTAACCAGGCTGTGCTTCTTTCGGTGCATAAGCAATCTGCTTCTAGTCCACAGGTGAAGGACATTTAAGCGGCATGATCCTGATAGAAAATGACGCAGTCAACAAATGCCTGAAGATTAGGGACGATCCTCCAAGGGGGTATAGAGTCAGATCATGTCTCATTCCAGAATCACATCTGAGATCATGAGAATCTCGTCACATGTGAGAATGAGAGAACCTCGATAGGGATAGCGCATGAGACCGAAAAGAGGATGAGCTTATAGGAAAGTATTTACTAAAGCCATAATGAATGCTGGAAAGGGTGAATGTGGAGGAGGAATCAGAAAAGGAAGAAATATCTCTTTTATGCCGAGATGATTGGGCCATCTGATGCTAAAGATGAGACCTTCTACGGGGGGGCCTAAACACGTATCCCCCTTGACCTCAACCTCATACTTTATTAAGCTTATTCGATGGCTCGACCAAGATCTGCATTTTCACATCCATAGTTAAATTTACTGTCTATTTGCATTTAGGTTGGGCTTCATGGCAGTATCAAAATGTGCCATAGACTGCGATCTTGTACTCACACATATATCACCTAAAAAAAAGTTTAAGGCTTCAACAAACCGCGGGTGTACGCCCCCAAAGGCGAACGCAATCTTCGATCTGCAAAGTAAACATTGAGTCCGAATACCGACTGAAATCAGGATTCAGCATTAGCTTGCTGTTGAGAAACAATTGACTGGGCAATCATAGTTCGACACAACAATCAGACCCATAAGCAACGGAATTTAACACTGGATAATGTCCAAGACCAAAAGGGTCACGGAGTCAGATAGCCAGATTGCCAACGAGAGAGTTTCTTCTGCTAGCCGCCCAATTGAGTAAATAGCTCATCCACAGCCGAGAGACGAGCACGTCAAAGACCCGAGGCACACAACACACAATCCACGGCTAACATCTCACCAGCAAACACTCAATCACAATACCGTCAGGGTGGCGTGTTTTGGGCATCACCAGCAGCCAAGATGGGCAGCACACTCCACCCAAGCTCCGCCCACCACCAATCTCATGCGATATCAGGCAAATCTCGGAATTGACTTCAAACGCTAATGCAGCAGAGATAAAGCAGCTTCCATATCTTCCACCTCACTATCTCACTACAGTATAGAGAATACGGGGGAAAATACACCCACCCACCCACCGTACAGTACGAGCAGCCCTAACCCACCAATCCACCCATCCCGAGGTAACCTATAACGTTAATTTAGTACTGTACATGCACATGTACATGTACATGTACGCTCCAGCACAGATAAGCAGCCCTGCCAGCAGACAATACAATATAGTACAGTACAGTACATGTCCAATAGCCCAGACATATCCTATCCATAATCTCTCCGATATTGCATATAAGTTAACGGTACGGAGTACAGCACACAGTCCATGTACAGTATTGACCCACGGCATATCAGCCTTAGCATACACCATTTACCCCGCCCACCTGCATAACGCATCAGTCTCACCTTATCTCACCCCTACGCACCCTCTCAGCCCGAAACATGCTGCGACAAGCCGCCGCTAAAGACGCTTTATTTGACGAGTACATGAAGCCACATGCGACAGAGCGCAGAACACCCCGCTTTGTCGAGCCCTTGGATACAGTATTGGTTTCAGGAATGCGCCGAGGCGAGAAGTGTCTGGCTGGAGGGGGCGCGGATGGGTGGGTCTTGGTGATTACTCTTTGCAGAGTCAGTGATAAGTTAGTGTGTGTGTGTGGAATACTGTGTGGGTAGGAGGTCAGGATTTACAGTATTGTGAGCTTTGGAAGAGAGTTTGTGGATCGAGTACTTTATCGCCGCTCTGGTTTGAATGGATTTGAAATCACATTCGCTAGTCAGAGCTGCATGCTTTATTGGCGGTGGGTTTGTCTGAGGACTTCTTGCTCCCGTATGTTGCAGTCGAGTATGATGCACACTTAAAATAGGACTATGGTCTCACTGTGTATTAGAGAATAACTTCAATAAAGTGAAAGCTGTTGGAGATGTTGCTTGGAATTAGATTTCCGGAGTATATGGCTCGTAACTTTGGCCTTCTCCGATGTGGTACAGGGAATAAGTCCGAGAGTCTCCAGAGACCGAATTCTACAGTACAGTAACAGTCTGCAGGGGGAAAGCCGAAACCTACAACTACAGTATATGTCAGGCTGTTCTTCCAATCATAGGAGCATTGGGGGAAATCCAAGACACAGTCTGACTGATTTGGCTGATTTGGCTGATTTGGGGATGATTTCCAACTGACCTAACGGTGTGTTGGATGATAGGGGGCATATGCAGCTTGGTCTCCGATGATGAAACCACCAGCCCATTCTGCAGCTAACCTCTTTCAGCAGCATAGATTACTTGTTGCTTTTTCTACTTTTTCTGCTTTTCCTTTGCTGTTTGTTGGATTCAGCCCGTGACTGTAGCGGGGTCATCACATCCTTCCGCTGTGACTATCCGGCTCATCCGACACGTACAGTGATGTACACCCTGGACTCTATCCTTTTCTAGGCAGTTCGATGTCTAGATCTACCACTATATCCTATTCTGCAGCCTACCAGATGTGGCCCTGGGTCAGGGGTGGGAGCTTGGACAATCCAAGACATGTACGTAGCAGCAGGAGGGTGTATAGAGTCATTCCCCAAGGGAGATTTCACCCGCTTGCCCACAGCCAGTCAGCATGAATGAGGGGGGGTTCCACGCGTGGTGATAGGTGTCGGGTGACGGCGACGGCCCTTGCAGCATAGCTGATTTCCCTGTAGATTGGCTTTCCAACGACGCAGCCTGAGTGACCTGAGGACTCGGAAACTGACTCAAAAACGTGAAATTTCGATGACCAGGTGCCTCGCATGACCCCGATCGCGAGGGGATCATCTCTCGGATGGTAGATGTGAAGAACGAGTATATAAGACCTGGAAGCCTGGTCACCGGGTTATTGCGCGTGGGGAACGCGGGTTTCACAGGTGCCTAGACTCTTTATAAGGAGACGTCGGCAAAGGGTGAAGGGGAAAATTTTCCACCAAATTTCCATGTCCAAGTTCTGATCGGCCCCCACTGCAAACGGCACATTCGTCATTGGGGAAATTGGAAATCGGAATATTTTGACGGTCTACTTTTGCGCAAGGTATGTGAAGAAGTGTATTTTCTATTGTCTATGTTGGCTGGATCTAGGATCACTCTCAATCTCGAGTGTGCTGTTCCATTTCTCTCGGTTGTTCTATATAACTCATGGCCCTAACATGACTATGAAGCGCAGTGCCACAGTGGGACTCCCCGCAAGTGTCCTGCGGGTGCTTAATGCACACTAACGGGTCACAGATGAGAAAACACTCAGAATCCCCTTTTTCCTTTTCTTTTTCTTCTTCGTCTCGCTCTTCTTCCTCTCTCTATCCATCATCTCGCAGTTCTCTCTCCCGTAAGTCAATGCTCCATGTTCTACACCATCCTGTTCCTACCCGTGTCTATCTATAAAAACGGATGTGTTTTCCACTCCGCTACCATTGGTCTACCCCCTGTTGACCTATGGACAATTCCCCCCCTCGGTGACATAATTTGTCGGCTATCGCGAGACTCACATACCCAAGACACGTGTGACATTCCTATTCCCATGCTAATCCGGTTGCAGGCCAATCACCGGACTCCGACCGGCCCTCAACATTCCGACCAAGAGAGCATCTGGAGAGTCTGATCGTAAAGCACGGTTACCCCACTCCCGTGTCGCTCTCATCCCTAAGGGATTTGACGGCCACTTCATCTACTTATACTCCCCCTTCGCCCCGTCGTCCATACCATCCGGATTCTCTTCCAATCGACGCTTTCGATTCGCTTTCTCTGTCCTCAGCCACCAGACCCATTCCCATTCCAAGACGACCAAGTCTAGCGTACGAAGAAGACTTGCCTGTCACACCACTGACCGGCCGTTTCGATCACGACGACTACTTTGACGATTGGGAACGCGCGTCACAATCCGCCAGATCCCGGCATATCCCTTCGCCGATCCGGTCCAACCGTACCGGCCGTTATACTTCCAGGCCAACACCACCCAGGACAAGCATGAGGTCTGATAGTTCGCCCTTTTATTCCCCGGTTGCTTCTCCAGTCATGTCACCGCGACGCTCAACGTCCCCCCAAGCCCCTCGTTCTCGAACCCAGAACACAGCCAAGCCAAAGCCCATGCCGGGCTTCCATCTTGGCGCCTTGCCCCGATTTCATCCTGCTGTTTATCAGCCCAATGCCACTACTTCACTTGGGGAGCCGGCATCTCCGCGGCAATCCCGACAGCCCACTTACCGCACCTCTGCCAGCTCACGAGGAGACGTGATGTGGCAGTACCGCGAGTTTATGGAGAATACCCATCAAGGTCCCTCAGCGCCCCGCCTGGATCCGCTGGTCAGTCCTGGCCCCGTCACTCCGCTGGCGTTGGAGGCCGGCGACTACCTCACCAGCGGCTCGTTGAACAACACTTCTGAGCGGACCCCGCGAGATGTGCCCAAGAATTCAGGACCTCCTGCCGAGCTGGTTGAGAAATTGATTGCGTTTGAAGAGAAGGCCCGCAAGGCCCGCAAGGCTGCCAAGGGCCGATGAGCCAGTTCCACCCTCTCACCTCTCACCTCTCACCGCTTCTGCATCAAAATGGTGTTCTGTCTTTGATTTTTTATTTTCTGTTTCATTCTCAGTGGGATTCATGCATGAGACCCATATTTTCTGTTTCTGCTGTTTTTCGGTGTTTGGGTACCAACATGGGCTGCGAAACTCATACAAGACTGCCGATCCAGCATACATGGGATTGATCTTATTGATTTACGTGCGATCATTGTTTAAACTGTCAACGTCTGCTTTAGCTCACGTTGATCTTGCATCACGATATTATGTATCTGCAAATATTATACCCCGCCCCAGTCCTTCTTTGGACTAGCTTTTCTCAATCGAATGATCATCTCTCATCTATACTCCATGGCGCGGTGGACCTCAATAGTCCCTGTAATCTACACCTATCAAAGAAACCAATATTGATGTCTCGGGTAACGAAATAACCTTCCGAGGGCCCAAACACAAAGATCAACCAGCCAACCCCAGATATACTCTAAACTCCACCAAAACTAGGGCTGTCGTCCAAGCATCGCGTTGAAGCCTGAGGCACCATCCCCGGAGCTGCCCCAACACTCCCCGAGAGGAATCTGCGGGGCCCAAAAGAATCATAAAACATTGAACATCTCCCCCTTCCACACCGAAATCCCTCTCAATTACTCTATACAAACCTTATCCCCATCTCTTATACCCCAGAAAATCCCCCATCCCCTCCCCCAAAGAGAGACACCGACACCAAACTCGAACCCCGGACTCCCTATCCTTATCGGCATCCGTCGCCACTTCCAGCTACAGTAGATCGCCGCGCGCACAAGCACCCCATTCGCAAAGCCTCCCACACCGACACATTAGCACATTGGCACATTGGCACATTGGCACACCCGGCACCCGAGATCGCAGATCTACCACATTCACTATGTCATCGGCGCCGGCGCCTTTGCCCGTTTCAACGCCACCCAAAACGGCGGATACCGCGCCTGTTAATGCACAGACGTCAAAGTCGAATTACAAGGGGTTCGTCGCGGGTGTGTTTTCCGGTATTGCGAAGCTGAGTGGTATGTACTGTACTCTTTTTGCCTCTTTCATTTGCTTGGCTTGCACGTTCTGTTCTGCTTGGGCTTGCGCTGACCGCTGTGGTTGTTTGCTTTTTTTTAGTTGGTCATCCGTACGTATTTCTTTTACTATGCGCGTCATCACCCACCCCGGATTTACACTGTCGCCCTTCTTTGACGGGGATGGGGCTGTGAATGGGACTGGGGCTTGGATTGTTGGGATAGTTGGTTAACCTCTTCGCGTGCAGATTCGATACTGTCAAGGTTCGACTACAAACGAGTAAGGATGCTCAGTTCCGCGGTCCGCTCGACTGTACTCTGCAGACGGTGCGGAAGGAGGGCGTGAAGGGCTTGTATAAGGGTGCTACGCCGCCGCTGGTCGGATGGATGGCCATGGACTCTATGTGAGTGGTTCCCCCAACTTTGAACTGGTGTCGCGTGTTGCATGCTGCTCCCGCGAGCAACGCGCAATGCTATGGCCGCGAGTATGGCTTGCATGGATGGCAGCTGACGCTCTGAACTACAGCATGCTAGGCTCTTTGACATTGTATCGCCGGTTACTTCTCGAAAACGTCTTTTCCAAGCCTCATCTTCGCCCTTACCTTCCCTTCTGCGGCTCCCAGCCTGATCTTGCCACGCTCCCGAGTTTTGGACATGGAATTGCTGGTATCATGGCCGGTACGACGGTCAGCTTTATTGCTGCTCCTGTTGAACATATAAAGGCTCGACTGCAAGTTCAGTATGCTGCGGATAAGTCGCAGCGCATGTATAGTGGGCCGATTGATTGCATTCGCAAGATGGTACGTCCACCGAAAGCTGATGCCGATTCATAAAGGTGCTAACGATTGATCAGCATCGCACACATGGCATCCGTGGTATCTACCGCGGCCTCTGGGCCACAGTCTTCTTCCGCAGCTTCTTCTTCTGTTGGTGGGGATCCTACGATGTCCTGACGCGCCATTTCAAGCAAAACACCTCACTGTCTGCGCCGGCAATCAATTTCTGGGCCGGTGGTATCTCGGCCCAGATCTTTTGGCTGTTTTCTTACCCTTCAGACGTTGTCAAGCAGCGTCTCATGGTTGACCCGATGGGTGGGGCGTTGAACGACGGCGAGCGCCGCTTCCGCGGGTGGAAGGATGCTGCCAGGGCAGTCTGGCGTGAACGTGGGTGGAAGGGGTATTGGCGGGGCTTTGTGCCGTGCTTCCTCAGGGCGTTCCCGGCGAATGCGATGGCTTTGGTTGCATTCGAGGGTATAATGCGCACCTTGCCCTAATCTTACTATGACGCGCCATTGAGCGTGAATATGATATTGTACATACTTTAGAGATCTCTATTATTTAGACCTATATTACCCCCATGCCTCTTTTTCTCATGAATGGGTGTTCTGGAAAAGTCATTTTCCATACAGGAGCTGCGATAGGTGGGTCGTGATGCTCAGGAATGCCTCCTTGACAGGCCGCATTCGGCGATGCAGGCCGGGACCCTCACTCCGGTATCCCGCGATAACACGTAGAGAATAGAAAGTCCGATCGAGTCGCGATTTGCAATTGGGCCATGCGCACGTTGAGATGAGATAGTGGAGTGACATGAGATCCCACGTCTTGTTCCGGAACAGAGAATAAATCTAATCTCCCGGACAACTTTTCTTCCATTTCTCCCCCCTTCAAGGATCAGAGAATAGACCGACTATCCTCAGTTTCTCATCTCGGAGGAATACCTTGGTACCTGAATGCCTGAGGCTACCCGGTGACCTCCAACGGTGTCACGAACTCACCATCCGACGACACTCGACAAAACCCGCAGACCACACCCAAACGGCCATGGCCGTCGCACGCTCGATGCGCCGCACGAGCCCGATCAGCCTCCTGCTAGCAGCCCTGATAGCATTCGGCTTCATCTGCTTCATGCTGACTCCCTCGACACCCGCAGCCACATCGTCATCCGCATCCTCACAACAACGACAAGAAAACGCCGCGGAACACCCCCTCTCCCCACCCACGAAACCATTCTTCAAATCCCAAGCTGTCCGCAGCGATGGCCACAAAGCCGCGCCCCCAGTCGTCCACTACAACCTCAACAGCCTGACCAGCACGGCCAATTCCGTCGCCAACGGCGAGCGGGTCCTGATCCTCACCCCGCTAGCCCGCTTTTACCAAGAATACTGGGATAACCTGGAGAAAATGAGCTATCCCCATGAATTGATCTCGCTGGGATTCATCGCGCCCAAAACGAAAGAGGGCAATGCCGCCGTCGCCGCCTTGGAGAAAGCCATCGCGAAAACCCAATCCGGCCCCATTGACTCTCGATTCGCGAGCATCAGTATCCTCCGCCAAGATTTCGAACCCCCACTCACATCCCAGGACGAAAAAGAGCGCCATAAGCTTAGCGCGCAGAAGGAGCGTCGGGAGTCGATGAGTCGCGCGAGGAACAGTCTCGTCTTCACGACCCTCGGCCCGGCCACGTCCTGGGTTCTCTGGCTGGACGCGGATATCGTGGAAACGCCCGCGTCGCTCATCCAGGACCTGACCAGCTTCGACCAGCCCGTCATCGTGCCGAACTGTTTCCAGCGGTACTACGATTCCTCGAAGCGGAAGTGGGATATCCGGCCTTATGACTTTAATTCGTGGGTTGATAGTGAACGGGCGCAGAATCTTGCGTCGCAGATGGGCCCCGATGAGATCCTTTTGGAGGGTTATGCTGAGATCCCGACTTATCGCACTTTGATGGCTCACTTGCCTGATTTTAAGAAGCTTGATCCTAAAAAGATGCTTGCGTTGGATGGCGTTGGGGGTACGGCACTGCTTGTCAAGGCGGATGTGCATCGTGATGGGGCTATGTTCCCTGCTTTTCCTTTCTTCCATCTTGTTGAGACGGAGGGTTTTGCGAAGATGGCTAAGAGGTTGGGGTACGAGGTGATTGGGTTACCGGATTATTTCGTATGTTTTTCCTCTTCTACTTGCTCTTGTCGTTTGATGAATGGGCTTGCTGACACGGTGCTTTCTAGGTTTATCACTATAACGAGTAAGATGATGGTCGAGAGCTTCCGTCCGGTTCATGATGTCCTCACTCTATTCTTCTGCATTTATCTCGCGCTGTGCGCTTCTCGTCCTCTCACCTTGTCTCACTTTTTTTTCTCGTTCTTTTTCATTCTTCTCAAGCTGTGACGAGACCTCATTAGCAACATCTTGGCGTTCGTGCTTCATCGGGGCTTGGTTATCTATCTTATTTCATACGTGCTACTTTTGTTTCTTCTCAATGTGCCCAGACTGTCATTGCATTCTCTTAGCAAAAAACATGACTGGGAATCAGTTTGGCGAGGGGAGTTACCTGTCACTTGAGTTCTATGGGGGCGTTGCTGGCTGTTGAATCTTGTTCATTTTTTTTGGGTTCTAATGTGGCGTATTGTACTGCCATCTCAAATACATTACTCTTCCTGTTCGAGTTCAACCACAACGATAAATCCTGAGAATCTAAACCCTCAACACGGAGACTGCGACTATATTGTATTGCGTACGTCAACCCGGAAAGTAGGGCTTAGGGCCCCGGAAAGCTCATCTTCCGGGACAACACGTGAGCAGAATACAGGGATTTGTATTGCGGCTCACTCGATAGGCCAATGCAGATATACTGTACAGACATACTCAAGTTGACATACAGTACATGCAACTACTGCAATCTAATCTAGATCCAACTTGACGATATCAAGATATCCATCCGGCTATATGGGTATCAAATGTTTCCAGATACTATCTCCTCTCACCCCAATCGCTGTAATTCACACCCCAAGCAATCAATACCCGCGTAACCGCAATACCACTCGGCAACGCCAACTTCCTTGAGTGGTCCGACTTCCTCAGTCCCGCTCGTTCCCCAGAAAATAGTGGCGCCAAGTTGACTTCTATGAAAACCAACGTGTCCAACAGAGACGGAAGACGGGTAATATGCCACCCGTCGCCTAAATTACTTCCAAATGACGGAGTATTTAAACCAGTAAAGCCCAATCTCCAAATGTAAACCTCCAATCCAACAATCCAATCTAATCCAATTCCAACTCCCCTCTTCCTCTCACTTCACAAACCCCCAACCGACCCCCAAAAACCAACACCCAAACCCAACCAAAAATGACCACAACCAACCTCACCGGCAAAACCTGCCTGGTCACCGGCGCAGGGGGCGGTCTAGGCAAAGCAATCGCAACGCAATTCCTAGAAGCAGGCGCCAACGTCGTCATCTGCGATATTAACGAGACTCGTCTCCAAGAGACATCAGCGGAGCTATCACCCAAGGGCCCACTGAAAGCCATCAAGACGGATATCACCAACACGGGCGAAGTAGAAACCCTCTTCGAGACAGCCATTGGCGCATTCGGCAAGATCGATGTCCTGGTCAACAACGCCGGTATCATGGACCACTTTGACCCAATCGGGGATCTGGACATGGAGCTCTGGGACCGTGTCATTGCGCTTAACTTGACTGCGCCGGCTCTGCTGAGTAAACTTGCTGTGCGCAATATGCTTCAGCAGGAGACTGTCGATGGACGGATTATCAATATTGTTTCTGTTGCTGGGAAGGCTGGGTGGGCTAGTGGTATGTATCTGAACTCATGGTCCTAGTTTTGGTTTCATTGGGGTCGAGGAGCTGAATGCTGATGGTGATTGTGATAGGCGCTGCTTATACGGCTAGCAAGCATGGTCTTGTTGGCTTGACGAAGAACACGGCTGCTTTCTACGGTACTAAGGGTATCAAGTGTAATGCGTTGATGATGGGTGGTATGCATACGAATATTGTTGATGCGTTCAAGACGGGTATGCATACCGAGGGGTATCAGAAGATGGCGTCGATTTTGGAGTCTATTCAGACGCCCCCTGTGGATGTGGATGAGGTTGCTGGGTTCTGTGTTAATTTGACTTATGGCAAGGGAGCTGGGCAGATTAATGGCGCTACTATTGCTATTGATAATGGGTGGACATCTGTTGTTGGATGAGTGGGAACCTTAGAAAGGATAAGTTATATCTTGGTACATATGTACTGTAACTTAGTCGCCTTTGACTTTCTACATAGCGGTCAATGTGTATTTATTGAGAAACGCAACATTCCGGAAGAATCAAAATCTCTCTGATGCCGAGTACCCCCCTCGTCTCGTCTACTTCTAGTTCACCAACGGATTTGGCTGAGGAGGCGCTCCCTCCCACCTCTCCACGCCCTCAGGAATGTCAATAATGGCCTCCTGACACCAGATGTGAACGGCAGACTTCATCAAGTCTTTACCAAGGTCTTCCAAGCAGCCGCCCTTGACATTGGTAATAGCAGAGAAATGAGGCTGTTCACCCGGTGCAGGCACGAAATCCCGGAAACGATGGAAGAGCCGTGAACCACAGCCCTTGCAGAAAACACACTCCATTTCACGGCCCTTGAGTGTGATCCGGGTGTAGCTGCTCACCAGCCCTGATGTTGAGGCTGGGAGCTCGAAGTAGGGGAATGTTGCTGTGATGCCAAAGGCTGAAGAGCTTTGGTGTTGGCATTCTGTGCAGTGGCAAATCCATAGTTTTAGGGGTTTGTCTGTTGGGGCTGTAAATTGGACCTTGGAGCATTGGCAGCGTGCTTTCATTCCCATTTTTATGTTTGGTGGGGGTTGGAGGAGAGTGGTGACTGGGGATGAGGTTAAAGTATTAAGGTTGGTGGGGTAAGAGGCAATGCGTTGGAAGGCGAATGCAGATCTCGTGACCATCAAGTCAAGCGAGGAATTGAGAGCGTCGATTATCAGATGTGAGGCAATTGGACAAATTGTTGGATTTCTCGGAGGCTTGAAAACATCGGACTGGGCTCGCTTTCTTGATTGCGCGACCCCAGTTATACTGCAACCACCAGCTACCATTACTTCTTTCAATGATCTACTAAAAAGCCTTGTACATTCACGATCTTGATAATAATACAAGTGCAACCCCAATGCACAGTCCTAATCATATATCCACCCCAGGTACGGCCAACCAAAGCATACCTAAGCTCCAAGTAAAGTCAAGTCACATCAAAACCATCTCAAAACCCAACAGAAACCTCCACCCCCCTCAAAGTCCGATGCGTCTCAAAACCAACCTGCCCAACACAATCCCCATACTCATAAGCATCCTTCAGAGCCCCAACCCTCCCCGGCGAAACCGGTTTCCCAAAAGTGACCGCGCTCCTCGGCAAGTCCGCACAGGAATGCCCACCCGCAGCATTCCAAGGATAATACTCCACGAAGCCCATCTGATCACCCACAATGCCACCAGACCCCCCAGGCAGCGTGTAAGAGCCAACACGAGTCTCATTCCCGCTGATCACATCAACCAAAGTCCCGGTCCAGGTCGTGCCAGCTGTATTATTCACATGGAGCAAATACGCATGCGCGTACGAGCCTTCAATGTCGATTGCGCAGCTGACCCCTGCGCCGCCATCTGCGCCGTCGCTGCAGTTCGGGTCTGTGGAGGTTGTTCCGGCTATGAAGCTGGAGAAGGCAGCGTGGAGTTGGGGTTTGGAGTTCTTGGTCGGGCGTGGCTGGAGCCCTGTGTAGCCTACGTCTTTTTGGTTGGCGAAGTTGTATTGTTGCGCGAAGTAGTAGCCGCTTTCGTGGGTTGCATTGGCGATGTTCATTGGGAAGGTTATTTCGGGAAGCGGTTGGCTGCTGTTGCTCATGCTCCAGCTGATACCGACTAGGGCTTGGGTTGGTTGGAGGAGGAGAGTGAGGGCTGGGAGAGTTGTGTGGGAGAGTTTCATTTTGGTGGTTTTCTTTTTTTTTCAATTGGTCCTTTTGATGGATGGTTTGTATAGAGCTTTGGGTGGGCTGTTGTTGTGCTTCTTATAGTATTGAATTGCGTTGGGGTTACATTCGTATTCATAGATCTACATATTCGGGTGCGTTGTCAAGATGAAACATGGCGGCGTTTCAGTATATCTGCTGATCTACAAATCTGCCATCGGTTGTATAGTAGGATTTACTTAACCAAACTTTGATCGGAAATACAAAGTTTGAAATGAAATTGCTCATTTTGGCGAGCAAGTCGGAATATGAATGTCTTCCGATATTGGATAGATCCACGCCTTGCGAAAGGTTGATTTTGCGATTTGAAACACTTTGAGCAGTAAATAGTGTAACAATTTGTCATGTCAATTTGTATGAAAGGAATTGATATAATACTTTATTCACACATACTAAGACTCTTCGGTCATATAACGTAGTAAAAGTTTCCCTGCATTTTACATTGTTACCAGATCCCTTCTATCGTGCTTTTCCTTATAACATGATAACTTACCTAGAATAAAGCTGATATTAGCCATAGTTACTGGAGTTTGGCATCCATAGTATGCAATATCCGAGACTATAAGAATTATAATTGATAATGCGTCCTTAAACGGGATAAAGCCCGCCGCAATAGCCCGTTCGTTCAACGACGCGCAGAGTATACTTTACGATATAATTCAACCTAAACAAAATTGATATATTCATAGATAGTCATTAATTGGCCTTTTCCTGGCTGGAATCATCTCGAGCCCCAATCCGGTCTTTGAGAGCTGGAAAACAAATTGAGAAATTGAGCCAGAAATTCCATCAATACTAGCAACGCTGGGTATTGTAGTAACATAGCCGCCGCGTTCTGAGCTTGATCTGTGGCTGTCAATTCTCGGACAGGTTCAGTTGGGGGCTTCTCTGATTGTTGGTCCATGCCTCCATTCAATTGTCTGACTGCGCTTTTTAACCCCGAGCTACTGACACCACCGGTGCCAACTAGCCTTGTAACCATCGGCTCATCAACCAGAGTTGTGGAAGATGAATCCGAGACAGCGATCGGCTCACTGCACGGATCTATTGGAGCAGAAAGTAGCGGGTAGCTCTCATTTCCTTCGTTGACACTCTCGGGAGTAATGTTGATTGATGCATTCTCAAAAGTGACAGGTAATGTGGCCGGAACCTGCACAGGAATCCGCTTGTGATTCTCCATCTCCAATGAGCTCTCTAATCCCTTAGCAATAGCATCCAACGGGCGGTCAGGAGCGTTGGGACGAATAAGAGTCTCGCTGGTGCCCTGACGTTTCTTATCAGGTGGAGGAAATCGAAGATTACGCATAGAGTTCCTTATGCGATGACGGGTACTCTGTAAGCGACCCTCAATCTGAACTCGCATGAGAAACGGCTGGTACTTGTGCTGGAAAGCAAACCCAGTGTTAATGACGCTGCTGTGCGCCTTGCGGCCATCGAGCTCATTCTCGCACAACTCCCACTTCAGAGTGCGGTATAATGCGTCTGTGGCCTTGCGGTTGCCCGTAAATGACCAGCGACTATCGTAGACAAATGCTCTCTCGGATTCCAGACCTATGCCGCCGCCACCGTTGCCGAGGAAAGTGAATTGCGGGTTCAAGTGAAGCGTCTCTCTGGAGAAAATGCTGGTCGCTTCACCGACAAGGCCCTTCGGGCCGAAGTATTTTGTGATATGTAGTTGAGAAAGGCCAGAGTCTTTCTGTTGGTACGGTGAATTCGGAGGAAGATCTTCTAAAGTGACCAGAACAGTGGCACTAGCTAGGCGACAACCATATGGTTGATTGAATGATAAATCCATGTATACAATGCCGGCGGGGGAGGTTTCATCTCCTAGGTAGCCCCATTTCGATTTTGAGACCCGAAGTTGACAGTCCACATGGACTTTGCCCAGATCGCGGGAGCAAAGACTGGCGTCGTCGAGATTATCGAGTTCCTGATAAGTGCGCGCAAAGCGTCGCGAATGGGCCGGAGTCGATCGAGGTGGGATCAAGGACATGGTCATGTTGGGGAGATTACTGTAGAGCCTTTGAGTAGATCACTCACTTGGCCTTCTCCCTGGTCGGACTGGGGCAATGTGGAAACTGTGAAGCAAACAGCCTATAAGTTGTATAATAACAGACTAGTTCGTGCTTTGAAGGTAGTCGAACTAGTCTGATTGGATCAAAGCACGAGGCTATGCAAAGCCCCCTCTCCAGCTGAATATCCCCTGTTCTGTACACGTAGGACCTGCTGAACGGATTTCATTGGGTGATCATGGACCAGGTCAGCCCAGAGCATAGTTTTCGCATTCCTCCAAATCTTCATCGCGTACCAGATAGCCATTCTCTCATGGAAATCTTCAACTCCTCGTTCGGAAGTGCTCGACCAGGCCAGACACGCCTTTCAACCCAAGAGAATGCTCTCCCACGGAACAAAAGCAGCAGGAACCTTGAGGTTTCTGCGTTCGACGAGTTTAGGAATTTCCGCGAGGACCCAGAAAGGTCTATGGTCGCCCTTAGACCAATGTCTAACACGATGAAGGACGGATATCATCATATGACCACACCAGTGATACACAATACCATCACAGAGTCAGAATACCCCGCGGCCGAGCGTCCAGCAGCTTTGCAGCAGCCACGGCAGGGGATCAATTGGGAGGACGCCCAGAACATCTGGACTCCGTCTACAAAGCACGATATGACGATGCATTTCGAGATGGAAATCGTGGATGATATCGAATCTAGAATTGAAGAATTCTCCAAGTTGAAAAGACTGGGTGACTTTCGTACGGCCGAGCAATTCTATCGTGATTTTCTAGAGCCCCTGTCGGACACATATGTCATTGCAAACGAGTACGCCGACATGCTTATTGAGCAAGGAGCGTATGAGAAGCTAAACCAGTATATGAGAACGAAACAAGGGCTTTTTAATAAAGCACCGGTCTTCAACTCCTACTATCCAAGATCGGAAGCGGATATTTTGAGGGCCAACCTGTTGCTCATGGCTGCATTATCTGCCGCCAAAACACGCAATGAATTGAAAGAAGCATACGAAAAAGTGATATCCATGTACGCAAATTTGCCAAAGGAGCTTGACACAAATATGTTGAGTTCTTCAGAAGTAAAATTCTCAAGCTGTGGGGTCGCAGAGTATATATGCTTACCTGTATTAGCTCCAAATAGCGCTATCTGCGCTCAAGATTTTATCTCTAACTGGGCATGAGACGAATCTGCTTTACGAGCTCAAAATAAATAGCCTCTCCAAATGTTGCTACAACATGTACAAGAAGCTTGTGGTCCACGATCGGATATGGGACGCAAGAGACATGATTGTTGGGATGGTAGCCATCAACGGGCCAACCCATGCATGGCGACGGATCTTTGACGCTGATATCTATTCGCGGGACGCATTTTCCCGGATTCTTGAGGATTGGAACATGCAGCAGTACGATGAATCAACATATCTGGCTATTCTTGACGTTCTAATCAGCGTGGCCAGAGCTTTGTGCTCCTTGGCTGCCTCCGAGCCCAATGAATCAGGTCTTCAGGCCGCAGATCAGTGCTTGCAGTCTGCGCGTGGAATTGCAGATTGCCTGAAGGGGAATAACCAGGACCTGATGAAATCTCGCTCTTACATGCGCTTGGTGCTGGTTGAAGAGGAACTGCGAAGGAAAGTCGCATCAGGTGACCCTCTCTGCAGTCACCTTGGCACATTTCCAGGGCTGGCTGGTTGGACGGGTCTTACCCCAATTTATGTACCATTGAAACAAGAAAACCCAATGTGGTGTCCAGCGAAAGATCAAGCCGGAATTCATTCCTCGACGATGTTGGAATCCACGCTCCAGGCTGCCCACGAGCAGGAGGATTACGCGACAGAGGCCTTGTTACTTGGAGAAATGATAGTTCGTGCGTCAGAGGCGCCAATAGAGCGATACAAGCAGCTCAGCCACCTCCAAAAGAATATCCAGGGCGATACGCTCGGGTATCGACAGACTTGTCTGTCAAAGTTCCTGGTTGCGCAAACAGATCACGCTCGGAAAGAGTTGCTAGATGAGTTAATAGTGTTGCGTACAAGCCTCGAGGCCGGTTTCAAGTTCTCACTTAGCGATTGGTGTGCTTTCAGAATTGAAAAGACTCTCTGTGACTCTTTGGGGAATTCTTTTACAGACCTCCGAGCCGATAGGGAACCGTCCTTCTCCTCACATATTCCACAAAGCATCAAGGACACGATAGTGAATTTAGGCCTCGGTAATATTTATGGCCTTGAATTTAAACCCAAATTTGGCGGGCGAGGTCGCCGAGTCTATCCAGAAAGTCCAGAAAGTCCGGAAAGTGGCGAGCATACTGATTGGGACAGCTATTCCTCCGGATATCCGTTGCTTGCGCCTCATATGCCTAAGGTGCCTCCGCCTCATCTGGTACGTGAAGCTAGTAATGTGATCATCCGGGAGCCATCAAGCCATGATCGTCGACCAGTACGTTTCGCAGAACTGCACAGTGACGGCGAAACATACCAACCTTTTCAATCTCCTGACACCGCCAATTCGAAGCCACAGGAACGTTCCCGTAGTGGACCACCTCAAGAAGAAGAAGAAGTTGATGACAATGAAGAAGAAGAAGAAGAAGAAGCAATTTCACCGAAGTTACAAAACTCAGGTGAGATGGGAGGCCCCTTACCCAGAACTCCCCTCTAACATTTGTTTAGCGAAGATAGTGACACTAGAAGATCTTGGTCCTGACTAATAGGACTGAGATACTCTTGAATCGCGAGAAGAAAATAATAAAAAGCCCGTTGTACGGCTGGTCAGGCTGACGAGGAGAGAGAAGACCTAAGCTATGAGATGGCAGGTACATCCTTAAGTTCCGATACACAGCCCAAGGCATCAAACCTTTGAAAGCAGATGGCCTAGTGAATGGAGGATATTTTCATAACTATGACCACAATTTAGTCTACTCTGCATGCTCGATCTGCCGGATTGCATTCACTGTTTTGTCACTTGAGCCCGGCATATAATTTCCAGCCTTTTTATCGCCCTCTGGAGATTTCCACGTTGCAGTTCTCCTGATACTAATCTTATTTTCAACGCCCAATGTTTCCTTCCCAATTAGATGCATTTGAAGAAAAAGTCATTTTTTAGAGCCGAAATCCACCAATTTAGATCCCCAACTTCAGCTGCTGACTGAGAATCATTTGCACCACGGAGTCCCTGTGGCAACCAGAAATTTCATTTTCAGCTGTTATCTTGTGCGGAAGAGACTTCGATTTAACTTTCTATCCATGCTGGCTAGATCGATGTCTAGAGTTGTAGAGTTGTGCCGACTTGATAGAACTTAAGAACTACATTGTACTCGGATGCCTTTCTCCGTATCGTACAACAGACAAAAAGCTCCTTTGACACTCCCACCATGCCATAGCTCACCGGCCATGGACTATCGAAGAGAATGAGCCACGCATTCCGGGCATTGCTCAAGGTTGTTTCACCAGGGCGTTAAGGTCGATGCCCTGATAGGTCCGAGAACGATAGCGTCTGCGAAAAGCAAGACCGACCATACTATAGCGTCCACCTTACGTTCATCGGCTTGGTCTCTCCTACAGTACTTCCCCAGATACTTCCAGCAGAATCAAAGAATAAAAGCTTGTTTGCCTCGACAAGACCCGCTCTTGACCGTGTATCCTCGCCGACCTGTTGAGCACCTCCGACAGGCCCCCACTCTCATTGCAGCCACAACCGAGCAAACCGAGAATCTACCCACCGCTGTGAACTCCATACGAGAGAGCCATGTACGATTTCAATCTAGACATGAATTCTATGCTGCCGAATCGCAGGCTTGAGGCGCCGGAGGACAGGTATCCGCTCTCGCTATCGCCATTTCGGCCTGTGCGCTACGCCGATCCAGAGCCCCGGACGAGACGGGAATTATCCCACGCTGACGTGCTGGGAACTGAAAATGACCCTTTTCGGCAGCATCGCAAGGTCATCGAAGAAAGAAAACGGGATGAAGCTCTTAGCATTTTATCAAAAATGCAGGATGAGGAAATGAGAAATAACAAAGCGAAAAGTAATCTACAGTCTAAGCTGAGGACTGAAAGGCGTCCACTGCAAAGGCTCATGTTTGACGACGACAGCATTCAGATTGAACGACAAGTTCGAGAGAATATTGAGGCTGAACTTGGGATGACGTTGAATCAAGCTAAGACTATTATTCAAAGAGTCCGACAAGAGCGAGACCGCGGAGGGAACGGGGATGAAAGGAAAGAAGGCCAGAATTCTGTTGAAACACGATTTGAGACCTAGACAGATTCATGGGATGAGGTGAATACTTCTGATTTAACTCAGTACCGAACTTGCTGCCGTTTTGAAGTTTGTAGGGGGCTTGTTTTGAGGATACCCAGAAGATATCGGGTTCACTTGAATGTCCTCAGACGTGGAACCATGGTATGAAGTACTCTTAAATCCCTTTGCCGGCTCTGTTTAGTACTTGGCGGTTTCTAGTGAATAATGCCACAGGTCAAGAATAACCGTAAAGTCAGACGCACTGGGTTGGCAGTGGCCCGCTACCTTGTCTCCAGGAGCGGCTCTGTCAAGATAGCTCATCCAAGTCATTCCAGAACATCTCTACCTAATGAGGCCATACATTGACAATGCACATTGCGGTAGCAAAGCTGGCTCCGATAAAACCTATATGCTAGCCACCACTGTTGGACAAGAGCTACTCTCGAAGTCCAGCACCAATGACCTTATCCACCCGAAAGAGAAAGCGGTTCACAATATAAGAAATTCAGGAGAAAAGCTAGACGTCAGTTCCTTCACAAAGAGCTGATTATCACAATTAATTTAGCTGCTCAAATCAAACTCATTGACCCACATAAGCTGTTTGACATGGACGAAAATCGCATCTCCACCCGAGAACAAAAACCGTTCCTAGATGCGTCAAGTTTCAGATCAAGCTAAGCGACATTGCTTCCGCAACATGCCCCTGAGCAGGGGAGATATTGGCCTAGCCCCCGCATTTAGCAACTCCCAGATGCCGATCCTGCGTTTCATAGTTCTAGCCGATCTGGGTCTGTCTCATCTATATTGAACAATAGTTCTGTTTGAGATATACCGAGTAGTCGCTCGCTTGGATAATACTAAAAGCGCAGTATTTACAGCAGAAGCACAATCTCATTATACAATAAACTTGTATACACACCCCTATAATAGACAAATGAAAAGCGAAATCTCCAAAATCGACCCAAAAGAAAGCCACCATGTTCCTCCAGAAGCTCATCCTACTCCTAGCCACAGCAGTGGCCTGCATCCAAGCATGCGCATGCGCCATACCAACGCCCTCAACCCTCTCAGCGACATCAGTGTCAATATCAATATCAACATCAACAGCAACATCATCAATATCATCATCACCAACCCCCACCCCAAAAACAGCCCAAAAATGGACTCACCCCGGCGTAGTCCTCAGCAACGCCCAACTAAAGCACATCCGCCAAAACCTCCAAAACACCACCAAACCCTACAAAAAGGCCTACTCAGCCCTCCTCACCGACCACAAAATGACACCCGTGCGCACCCCTTCACCACCAAGCATCATAGAATGCGGCCCGTACTCGCAGCCAGACGTAGGCTGCACAGCCGAGCGCGACGACGCACTGCAGGCATACGGGAATGCCTTGGCGTGGGCGATTAGTGGGAATGCGAGCTATGCGCGACAGGCGATTGCGCTGATGGATGGGTATGCGGGGACGGTGAGGGGGCATAATAATTCCAATGCGAGGTTGCAGGCTGGCTGGGTTGGGTCTGTTTGGGCGAGGGCTGGGGAGTTGGTTAGGTATGCTGGGGATGGGAGTGGGAGTGGGAGTGGGTGGACGGAGGATGGAATTGAGAGGTTTGGGACGATGTTGAGGGATGTTTATTTGCCTTTGACTGTTAATGGGAGTGACTATGACGTTGGGAATTGGGAGCTTGGTGAGTGATTTGATATCCCCTCTGTAGTGCTCTGTGCGTACAAGGGTGGCATTGGGTACGGGCTGATTGGGCTGGATTTGATAGCGATGAACGAGGCGACGATTGGGATGGCTGTGTTCTTGGAGGATGCTGAGAGTTACCAGCATGCAATGCGACTGTTTAAGGCTCGTGTTCCGGCGACGATTTACATGACTGGTGATGGGGAGTATCCCATCGTGGCGCGAGGAGAGGGCTCGTCTGCCGATGCAATCGTGGAGTATTGGTTTGGTCAGGATGTGTTCAGGGAGGATGGACAGGCTCAGGAGACGTGTCGGGATCTAGAGCATACTGGATACTCGCTGGCATCTATTTCGCATATTGCAGAGACTGCCCGGATCCAAGGCGAGGATCTGTACAAGACCGATATTGGAAAGCGGCTTCGCTATGGTCTGGAATTCCAGGCTATGTATTCCAATGGGGAAGAGGTGCCTTCTTGGCTTTGCGGAGGGAAGTTGGACCTGACTCTTGGGCCTGTGACCGAGGTTGGGTTTAATGCCCTGTCGTTCAGGATGGGGATTGATATGCCCGAGACACAAAACTGGACGTTGGCGAAGCGACCTGTCGGGACTAATGGATTGTTTGTGGCATTTGAGTCGTTGACACATGCCCAGAATCCATTTTGAGCAAAGAATACTGCGTGGGAGGCCTTTATTTTTGAGAAATTGTAAGTATACATGAAAAGAGATATACCCAAGGACCTGTGGCAGTAGCAGGCCCCGGTATAGAAACAAATTGCGAAACTTTTGCGCGCAAAAGAACCAACAGCAAAATTCACAGTCCCAAGAAACGACTTTTATCCAAGACTCTATCTTCCATAACCATTATGGATTGTGTTTTTAACCTTTACCAATCGCAGTTCTCTCCAAGGAAGTTGGCCAGCTGCTCAAGGTACTTTTGGTCTTCGTCGTCAAAGCCGTTAGGCTCGGTGCAGTCGATGTCAATGATAGCGACAGTCTGCAGAAACACCAAAGTTAGCCAACAATGATCTGCAACCCAAAATTACATCAGCGGGTATAGAACGAACCTCTCCCCGAACCTTGATCGGCACAACAATCTCACTTCGGCTCTCGGCATCGCATGCAATGTGCCCAGGGAACTCGAGCACGTCAGGCACAACAACAGTCTCACCCTTGGCGGCCGCGGTACCGCACACACCTCTCCCGAAGCGAATCTCCTGGCAAGCGGGCTTACCCATGAAGGGTCCTAGGAGCAGAATCTGGTTCTCCGACGAGGAGTATGTGGTCGAGATGGTCACGCCGCCTGAGCCGGGCGCGCCTGGAAGAGGCGGGGAGGAAACGGGCGAAGCCAGGGCGGGGAATTTGTCATCGCGAATGTAGAATCCGGCCCAGTTGACGGAGGAGGAGGGCGCTGGGAGGGAGGCGTAGGCGTGCCAGAGGAGCGATGCGACGTTGGAGAGGTTGCTGGTGGTGGGTTAGCGGGGGTTTGTCTTGTGGGTGGTCGCATTGCATGCGGAGGGATCGAGCGTCACTCACCTGACCCAGTTCCGTTGGCCGTCCAATAGACCTTGTGTTTGGTCCAGGAGTTGTGTGTAGACGTCGGCCTTGGTGAGGCCTGGCGCGAAGTAGGAGGAGTCGGCGTGAGGCTGTTTGCGACGGAGTTAGCCTGGATTCAAGGGCGAGTAATGCAAGGCCGGAGACACAACCCCCAGCCTGGAGACACAATCCTCAGTCCGGGAAAACTGAAGCCATCTGACGTACCATGATTAATTATAGCTGTGTGGGAGGAGGAGAGTTGAGATGCGCCCAGGTATAAAAATGAGGCGTTTAGGCGGGGCCCAAGCCGAGCCGAACTTTCCAGGTTTGTTTCCTTTGTAATCAACGCTCATCACAGAGCAGTGGCAGATTCCTTTTGCTTCTGCGAGATCCTTCTTATATTCAAATGTCGGAATGTGGAGGACTGCAAAACATGGTTATCTCAACGGGTGGCTTCCCACCTCCCGACTCTTTCTCGTCAACTGTGCGGGGGTTGAACTCTATGGCCTCAATTACTCCGAGAACCAGATGTCGGGAGAATATCTGAGACTGGAACCTCCTCCTCATCTTTGACTGGCTGATGCAAGAGTGGAATGAAATGTGGCAGTCTGGTCCTAAACACCTTATGTACCTGGTGCTTCTCGATCAGACCGCAGATGATCTGGTGGACCTCCACACGAATCAAAGACCGAACTCGAGACATGGATCGCTTCCTGATTTGGAAATGGGTGTGTCGCAATGGACGGCCTGCCTCCAATGCCCGCGTCCCCTTAATCCAGCAGTCGGCATAGTTCACAGACCCAGATGGCTCCTGGACATGAACCTCATCCGGGGTAATGCGAACCACAGGACCTGGGTAATGGTCAGATTGGAGTTTACATGGTACCATGGCAGTATACTAACCGTATTTCTGGTGCATCTGGTGGATCTCATTTTCGAAGAAGCCAGGGCCCCAGGCTGAAAAGTAGATCTCATAGAGCCCCGTCGCAGCAGCAAGACGAGGACCCGGAAATCGACGGAGTGAATGGAACTGAAGACGATAAATGATCATGACCAAGTTATAGGCCACGGCACTGCCGAACAAGAACCAGGCGAGCATGATGACTATGAATGCAGTCCGCAGATGGAGTAGATTGGAGACTCTGGGGTATACTTGCACGCCCGACTACCTTAATTTAAAGAAGAAAAAAAAAGAACGACTGGAGATGAATCTAACCTCTCACCCTAAACCCTGTGTGCCCAGCCCCACGAACAAGCCCCGACTGGCCCTATACATGCACGATGCATTGCATAAACTTTCAAAAGCACGAACTCCCCATGTCTCCAGCATCGCCGATCTCTCCAGGAACATTCAGTATTCGTCGCCAGGTCCCAATTTCCCGGTAAGTTAGCGACACAATCTTTCCAGCGTTTCACGACCTCCTGCCAGTGATCGAAAATAGACACGAATCTGGTCGGGGAATCAGCATGATTGGATACATGGTACATCATACCGCTTTCTCTTGGGCCCGACTACACCGACAATGAGATTTAGTGTTGATCTAGTGTTGTCAGTGGGGGGAGTACGCAGTGCTGATTTGGCGCGGCTGGGGGTGTGGGGGGAGTGATCGCAGATCCAGACCGCCAGTTATGTCCACGGGTGTGCTGGATCCCTGTCGCTTGGTGATCTGTCGACTGTGCTCAGAGGTCCATCGAAGCGAGGGAATGGCGGTGGGCGTCATCTTGCATATCTTGCATAATACTCGGCTCTGCCTGTTCTAGGGCACTCGACAGTACGTCCAATTTCCTTATCTTAGCCGTCGCTTCGATGAGGACGCTCAGAGTCAGGCTCGGTCTGTGGCTAAATGAGCACTGTGCCTCACAATACTGTTATTTCGAGACTTAACTTTTGATGGCCTTCATCTCTCACCATGCCCCTTTTTCTTGGGGTTCTCGATCTTTCAATATCGTTCTCTCCTGAAAACAAATGTACTTGAGCACGATGACGCACACATGGAAGACACGGAGCTCATCTATCTTGAAGCGGCGCAGTACACAGTAGAAAATATTTTCTTTATTTCGAGTTACTGAATTGTAAACTGACCCTACATCCCTGCTCTGAGCCGCTATCTTGTATAGATTTCCCTGTTTTCTACGATTCAGCGATTTTGACTTTTTTGGGCATCATGTTGTGATCTTATCCAGCTATGAGGAGAAGCCTCTTCGTTGCACAAAATGATAAGATCATCAAAGAGAAGCGCCGAAAATAACTGGCCGAGAGCTGCCATGTGTGTGGCGCTCATGCAAAGGAGGATGTCATCCTAGATAAAGACGAAAGGAAGCCTATGACCAAGGGAATATACTTCCATGCGTTGAATCTTTCGATGAAGTGAGTCACCGTACATTTTGATGAGGAATCCCTATCGAATCTGGCTTGCTGTAAATCCGCTGAAGAGCAAGGCGTCGAGGGCTATACAACCAGGTGACAATTCGGCTCGACACTTAGGGCCGCGTCGTGTCACACTTAGGTCATGTAACTCGTAATTTGGAACATTCAATTAAAGTTAACTATCGTGCCTATAAGACGAGGCTCGACTAGCCCGGTTCAGGGATCTTCGCTGGATATTAACTTATGTTCTAAGTGGCGAAGTATCGTATTAGGTAGTTACGCAGGTTTTATGTCATAAACCCTAGTTTGTAGGTGGTTCAAAATTATAAGACTATGCTTAGTCTGGGAGTTTAAGTAGACAATCTATTAAAAGCGTATTTAAAAATGATGATATTGTGACAAGAATTGACTAAATACTGATCCCTAGAATCAGCGTAGAATCTGCTAACTTATCCAACCACTAATCTTATATAAGTTAAAATCTAAACACCCGGGCAAAACCTATCAGCCTAAGGCAGGTCTTACAACAGGGACTACTAGACCAGCTCCTATCAATTGGCTATGGTAGGCCCAGTCGTCAGGCTCCCAACTGGCCCTAGGGTTTCATTATTTACCGCACTGTTTATACCCTGGAATCAGATAAAGTATGGACCTCTTGCCTCGGCAAGATTACCCGTTATATTAATTGGGGGGATCGATTACGTCGATGCAGAGCGGTACGTGGGCCAAGATCCTTTCCCGAAACTATTATCAAGGAGACGCATAAGAGAATCATTTATGATGATCAAGAGCGCTGGGATGGGACGTCATGGGACCAGATCCGTGTGGATTTCAATGCATATTTCAAATCACTGGGGTTGAAGTCGGCCATGACGTACCCCAATTACGGCATGTCTTGTTCTTGATGGAAAGTGCTTGCAATTTATTATGCAGGCATCCGATAACCCTGCGGATCAACGGAGTGTTGATAATATTAGCATGCGTAGCAGGATGGGATTCATGGGCATGATTGATCTACTTACATTGAGGGTAGCAGCTATTGCACGAAACCTGTATTACGGATTCATGAGAGTGCCAATAAACAGTCTATATGAGCTGGCGGCTCGTCAGCTTACTTGCTTCCCTTGGATAAAATTTGTTCGTCGATTTTCGGTCCAGGGAAGGTTTTTGTTACAATGGAAGCGGTGGATATGAGGATAATGAATGGGTTTTATTTTACAAAAAGGGTTTGGATATTACTGGGAACGTAGGAAGGTAGAGAACGATATATAAATAGTTAAGATTTTTATAGACATGTGCCTAATAGATATTTCTAGATTATAACTTAGTAGTAGATAGTCTTTTATATCCTATAATGTTTTCATTGGAAAGCGAGTCAGTGAAAGAGCAGTACAGCAAGCTAACCAAGCCTGGTTTGAAGGGAATCGAAAAATAGACTACATGGTATGAGCTACCCCAATTGGAATGATGGAATTAATCGCTGACCTAGAATCCAGGTTCAGGATCGGTATTAAGTTAATAAGTCAACGGACATTGCTCATATATTTGGAATCTGTTCATTATATTGATGTTGCCCATCGATCAGCTTAACAATATTAGGTCAAATCTCTTAGTCTATGTACATTAAGAGAAAGGCGTCCTTCACCCTAAACTCGTAATTCTTTTTACACATGCTACTGTATGGGAATATGGACCTGTGAATTATTGTTTGTGGCTAATTCTGCCCTTCCCGGTTTAGCGCCAATAAACCCTCAACCTCTATAATAGCCTTGACCTCGGCCTTTTGACCTCCTGTCTCATCCCCTGCCATCAACTCGTCTCTCTTGCAGTCATCGCCCCTTTCATTCGCTCTGGACCCAACCACTACAGAGTGGCTTTCCGCTTGACGCACTGATTTTTTCGTTTTACTGGAGACTGCTTTCGAGACACATTGTTTGATGTGACTGGACCTTCCCAGTATGGAATATGTTTCTCCAATCTCTTCCAGACGAAAGTCTCCTACGAATTTTATCTTTTCTGCCATCTCACACTGATGCAGCAGCGCTGTCTCTACAATGCCACCGTTGGCATCGGCTTTGTGACATGACCAATCGGCGCAAATACCGCCGCTTAAAACTCCGAGAGCCCTTGGACTTGGCAGTAGCTTTCAAAATACTTCGATCGATCCTTAAAACCCCTCGCTATGGGGGTTACGTTCGCTATATAGAGCTGAACCGATCCCCATCACTAGATTATGGGTCTGTGCAGTCATATACAGTCAAACCGCCGCAACGGTCCCTCCGACCAAAGGACCAGGTTCGCCTGGCTGCGGCGATCAAGCGGGCTGGATTTTGTTCCCCGGAAGAACAAGAGAAGATGCTCAATATCTTACTACAGAATCCGGCTAGTATGGAGTACCTCCCCTTTCCTCAAGACTTCCCCCCCCCTCTTCCTCTATTCGATTCTAATTTTGCTTAGCCATAATGACCCACGAGCTCCGTTCCTCGCCCAGGCGTTGGCAGCATTACTGGTCAGCGTTTCGCCACTATTGGAATCGTTGAGTTTCTGCCCTCTCGGCCAGGAACCCTCGCAAATCCCAAAAAAAACCGCCCAAGCCAATGGAGCTCCACTTCGAAAAAGTGATTATTTCTTTAAGCATTTCTTAGACCGGGCGAATAGTATCCCGTTGGAGACCCTGCCGTTCCTGCATCATATTCGCCGGGTTCGATTTCTTGTCGATTCCGACACAAAAGTCCATCGCTGGTACTATTACCAGCCCTATGATCTATACGGCAGTCTCAGCCTAGTACGCCGACTTCCAGCAGTAGAATCCATCCGAGTCGACGCGGTTACGAGCACGGAGAGGCCCAGTATTGAGCCCCCGCCCCGATCCGCCAATTATACCAGCATTACCATTCGGAACTCCAATGTAGATTACCACTATCTAGTGCGGATAATTGAGTCAGCCAGACGACTGGAAGAGTTTACGTATGCGGTCGGTGGCCGAGGCTCGATGGATGGCATGCTAAGCATGTTCAGTCCAGATCACGTCTTCCGGGCGCTCCTCTTGCACGCCGATTCTTTGATCACTCTGGATTTGGATGTCGAGGCTGAAACCCCACTGGAGGTGACATTCGACCCCAGTCTCGGTTCTCTGCATCAACCCGCCTATCAGCAGGAAGTCGGAACGGTCCAGCGGGAGCAGGGCTCGCCTTGCTCTCTTCGTGGGCTTACGAATTTGAGGGAACTGAGTATCGGAATTCATACCCTCTACTACCTGTCACGAGGAGTCGGTGCCGACCAGGTCGATGATGCAGCATTTTCTCTCGTTGATTATCTCCCGGTTAATTTGGAAACGCTTTGCATCTATGGGTACGAAAAGGGGATGAAATCACAGGTTAGGGATCTTCCGGACTGCGTGTTTGATAGGCAATTGGAGAATCTACTCGCTGAGAAGCGTGAGAAACTGCCCCGATTGTCATATATCGAGGGCATTGATGAATTGATCGAAAACGCGACCACCGTCAAACAGCCAACGATCAACGATGAGGATCTGTGGGAGAGAGAGACGGATGATGAATGGACTGATCATGAATATGATTAGGTAGTATGAATGGAACCCCGAGAGGGATAATGTACGACAGGGTCAGCCGTTCATCTTGGACACTTCAAGGGCCAGCGCCCTCATCGAAGCAAAAAATAAACCCGCGTCCCTGGTGCTTAATTCAATTTCAAGATGTAACAAACTGTCATTTCCAATGTAAATTCCACATATGTTCAATAAATACATTGGTAGACATATGGCGGTACCAAATACAAGATATAATTAAGTTATACAAAAGTGTCCATAAAAGAACCAATCAACTTTTCTTCTCACTCGCAGAAGCATCTGCACCAGCGACCTCCTGCGCAGAATTCTCACCACTAATGAACCGCACACTACCAGGACCAGAAAATTGTTTCCGGCCTGTAGTCAGCCAGGTGATAAGACTGATGACGCCAATAACGCCAACAGCAGCACTGGTATAATTCATAGATTGCGGATCAACCGGATTCGTGCCTGGGAAGTTGAACGTAATCGCGGCAAACAGAAGGAACACTAGTCCAATGATATTGAGAGCGATGGAGACCGGCACGGAAAACGAGTATGGGCCGTCGAGTTTGGTCACATGGCCTGAGAAGTATCCGGCCAGACGACTGATGAGAGCCATTGCGTATGATAAATCTGAGGAGGGATGGGGAATTAATTGGAGGCGTGAAGGGAGAGAGAAGAGTGTAACTTACAGAAACCTTCTGTTGAGATAGCAATGACGGTTTGGAACCCGGTGGTTGTGCCAAACTCGATAGCACCGAGCGCAAGCTGCACTGCAAGAGTGAGGAGGACGGCATTGACAGGAACGTGAGTCTTGTTTTCGACCTTGCTGAAGAACTTGGAGAAAGGAAGACCGTTATCTCTGGCAAAAGCATACGCAGCACGCGATCCCTCCGCGAGAATGTTGTTTCCAGCCACAATGACAATGACCGAGATCAAAGTTGACAAGATGACTGTAGCGGCTTTGTTGCCTGTTGAGTCATAGATGATCTGGATAACAGGGACGCCGGTGCTCGTGCCGGCTGTGGACTCGATATCGCCAATGCAGAAGCAAAGCGAGACTAGGAAAATGAATCCGGTAACAGCACCCAGTACCACAGCCAGAACAATAGCTTTGGGGGCCTCTTTGGACGCCGATTTCATTTCCTCGGTCATGTGTGACGGCGCGTCATAGCAGCACATGCCGAAGCAGGCCTGTAAGACACCGATGATGGCAGCCATGCCGGTTCCAAAGCCAGTTCCATTCTGGAAGTCTTGGAATACAAAGGATGCCGGCTGCTTGTGGTCGTTTGTGGCGAGGATTGTGGCTGTAACTATAACGAAGGATGCGACGTTCCAGATCAAAATGGCTTTCGAGATTCGGTGCAGTAAATGTGAGCCCCAGAGATTGACGGCTGCCGAGAGGAGTGCGACGAGGTAGGCGACTAGAACGGTTTGCCATCTTTGGATCTCGTATTCGGGGAATACGAGGTTGGCCATTCCGAGTACGAAATTTGAGGCAATCGAGTTATTGGTGGCTCCCATGGCCAGTAGACCTGAATAGGTATTAGCATGCGTGACGAGGAAACAGTTTAGGACTCAATACCAATCAGCATGAACCATCCAGTCACGTAGGATAGACCCCGAGCTATACTGGGAGGGGCCAGCGCCGCAACCCAGGAGTATTGACCCCCGGCCACAGGATACATCGAGCACATCTCTGCCATTGGAATAGCAACGGCCAGCGTTAGAAGACTAACGCCGATGAAACTGAAGATCATAACAGGAGGGCCACCGGAGGTCACGCCGACGATAAGTACACCACTCAGTGCGGTCCATCTTCAGATATTGTCAATACAATGCAGATCCGATATGCAGGAGTGATCCGATACTCACGATGTCACCACACTGAAACTAAATCCAATCATACTCACGAGACCAAACGATCTCTTGAGCTCTTCAGCGACAGTCAGCGGCTGGTCCTGTCCGAGCAGTATCCTGGACAGACTCACCTTGCTCATATCCCAAGTTCTCAAGACGGGCATCTTCCTGTGGCGTGCCCTGGAACACCTTCGGGTCATCCTCTATAGTCGACATGGTGTGTCACGAACAATGATCAAGACCAAGCAAATAGTGCCGGCCTTTGGGGTAGACGAAACATCTTATAGCCCTCGGAAACAACCGCTCTCCCCCATACTTCACCCCGGAGTGGCCCAGCGTGATAAGATAGATGTTCTGTTAGGGTTTCCCTATTGAGAAGGTCTGCGCGATGGCTGTGGGGCGCGCAACCAACAAACCAAACGATTCGTCTTTGCGGGGAGAGAAGCAATTGAGATAAGACTGGGCGCAATTCCAGGAGATTGGTTTGTCATATGAGCTCGTATCGCTCAGTTATTTTATCGCTGGATTGATAATGTTCATGACACTCCAGATACTCGCGTTTTGTGTCGGCCCGGTGCCGTATAAGGCCGGTGGCTTGGGCCCTACGCCATGTTCGTGCCGAGACTTAGTGTTCTCTGTACCAAATTCTAGATTCTCTTTCTGTTTCCTGTGCGTTGAGACACCTTGTAGGATTTAAAACTTGATGGTTGACCCGGAGCTCACTCAAAAGATAGGATTTGAATAGTGGCTCATAACTACTGGAGATGTAGACTGGCAGCTGCCTATCAAGTTACTCGTGGTCGTCTTCCCTCTGTGACACATGCAATAGAATAACCTTATTTGCCACATTCTTCTCTGGGCATAGCTTGTCATGCACAATCTCGGGAGCCCCGTCTGGAACCAGATCCTGGAAAGTGTCCCACGTACCCTTAAGGCATGTTGGAACGACCCGAGGAACTTCCAGAATCTAGTGTTAGTAAATAGTGGATCTCAGAACGGTGCTATGTTTCGGAGATCGGAGGAGTCTATGACTCTTTAAGGACTTGCACTGTTGACATGGAGACCCCCCTTCTTGAGACACCGTAAGTGGCCCTATCGCACGGTCTCTCTTGTCTCAGTGGTTGGTTTACAGTCTTGAAATCCCGTCACAGGAATCCCGTTGTAGTAATGGATTCCACATTCTGTACACACACATGTGCACATTTGTTATGTGTTAGACTTGTGCAGAGTACTGACTTAAGTCTCTATTTAGTGGGTGGTAGAGAAAAAAAGAGAACATACAGCTTTTAAGGAAATCGTGCGTCGGATTCTGAATGCCAACTATCAAAAGAAAGAATCTTTTGCTAGTGATATTGATACCCTCTGATGCGCGTGGATTAGGGTTTTGTTATGGAATAGTTGCATGTGACCAGGTAGTTGTATCGTTAATCAGGGAGGCAGCTGAGATGCCAGTTTTGTTTCAAGTACCATAATAGGAAGCGCTGGGAGGTGGTTATAGAGACCGAATGTATATTCAAGGAAGAAGAATATTCGTATAACCGAAAAGGACGTTCCGTTAATCGATATGATAGCCATGCCTTGAGAGTAAATAGATCCAAAGCTAAGATATGAGTTCATACAACTCGAGATCAAATAACAGTTCGAGTAAGAAAATCAATCAAAGGAACTTGCCGAAGCACTCTATCAGCCGTAGAGGGAACATGTCATGATCTATTGACATGGTAAGATGGTCATGAGGAAGGAAAGCAGACATGATTCTGCCAGGAATCGGGGCTTGGTTAAAAAAAAAGAAAAAAAGCAGAAGCAAAAGATAGATAGACATAATGTGAGCCGAACGCCAAACAAATCTTGTGACGCTGATAGTGACAGATGGGAAGGAATAAGAATGTAGATGATCCCGAGGAAAAAGAATAATAAAGGTATAGAGCAAACAAGGAACCGGAAATCGCTAACATGCACTTGGAGATCACATATGGAGCAAGCTCATTTGTCGACGCATGGGGTTGGGCGACAATGCGTCTCCGTCTTCGCTGGGACCGATACCGCTATCTGTACCGCCGACGCCGGCGTCTGTATCGATATCCCATTGTTCGTCTTCGTTGGATTCAGGACTGAGGTCGTCGTCGCCGCCATCCCAGCCTTTTTGGATTGCGCCACGGGTGTTCCAGCGTAGAGCGCGTTGGACGCTTGTGAACCATTCGTTGTTGTTGGAGACGACTGTGGGGAAGGGGTACTGGCTTGCTTCGACGGTGACATAGTCGCCTTGGCGGAGCTCGACGCGACCTTTGCCGTCGAAGGAGCAGTACGCAGTTGAGCGGGAGGTGTTGGGGACTGCGATGCGGAGGAGATGGGAGTCTGAGAGGACCATTGGGCGGAAGGAAAGGGTGTGGGGGCAGATGGGTGTGAGGAGGATGCCGGGGATGGAAGGGTGCATAAGAGAGCCGCCAGCTGAGAGAGAGTATGCGGTTGAGCCGGTCGGGGTGGAGAAGATACAGCCGTCTGCTTGGACGACGGTGAGAAGGTCGTCATCGGCATAAAGCTCCAGATTCGAGACGTAGGGAGATGGGCCGCGGTCGATGACCAGCTCGTTCAAGACTTCGAACTGCTCGCCTTCCTCGACCGCACCGGCCTCTGCGCCTTTGCTCCGATCTTTCCGGTACACAGTGCATGTAAATCGCATGCGGAGATTGACTCGCATGCCAACATCGCCCATGACACCATTTAATTGTGATTTATAATTGGAGAATTCGAAGTTTGTCAGGAAGCCCAGGCTCCCCAATGAGAAGCACAGCACAGGTGGTACCACCCGCTGGAAGAGCCACGAAGTGAAAAGAACGGTCCCGTCGCCACCGAGTGTCAAGACGAGGTCAAACTTATCGGGCGAAGTCCAGCACAGATCAGGGGTCCAGTAATGGAGCATCTGCGCAAACATGGGGTCTTTCTGTAAGAGCCCCGGTGCATCAAAGCGCTTCGAATTCCGCAGCTTCGCGTCCACATAGACATTGACACCCTGTTTGTTCCCATATCTTGGCGTTGAAAGCAACCACTCGGTGACTTCCCGGGTCAAGTGCACCAAGCTATTATCCCGAGCCTTGGTGACAATCATGATGTTTCGCACAGCGCGTTTGATGGGCCGGCGCTGTAATTGCTTGGACACCTCACGCACTCCGGTTGCCGTCTGCACTAGCCGTGAATGGGACAGCCACTCGTCATCAGCAATTTCCTCCAGCACTTTCTTGATGTTGACGGCGTCGTCAAACCGCTGGTGGAAATAACATGGCGACTGCAATACTAGTCGCGCGCTTGCCGGCGATCGATCGAGGTATCCGCTTAATTGTAGGTTGGAAAGGGCTGTGGAGAGATTTTGAGAGGCATTGCTGCCGCGGCGCTGTCGCTCATCGAAAGGCGGGGAAGCCTGGGTGGATTTGTTCATCACATTCGACCACGAATTCGCCGACATGGCGTTTGAATTCTTGCTGAACGAGGATCGCGAGGCCAGGGCTTTGAGGATGGTCTGTCGCGGGATGCAATCGGTGGAGAGGGCTTTTGTGGACCGAGGCCGAGAAATGGCCTTTTGGAGGGGTCGTAGCGTCAGAGGCAGCGACAAGCCTTCCTCTTGGATCTCCGTCTTGGGTGAAGGTGTGGGAGGAATGTCTTGTTCGGTATGGGTAGAGGGTTCTATGTGAAGGGCATAGTCGCGGAGGAGTGCTGCAGGGGAGCACGAAAGAGATGAACTGTCAGACCGAGGGATATCGCGGCTCGCCATAAGAAAGGTCAGAAAATAATCCAGACTCGGATGTAACGGGGATTGCGGATCCGACGTCTTGAGATCTGTCGTGGGTCAGCGATGGTTTCTAGCGTCTTCCACTGACGGATAAATTGGGAAGAGAAAATGAGAGGAATGAGAGGAAGTCATTGGAGAAAGATAAAGTTCCCCGACAAAGAGAGACCCGTGGAATTAATCCCTTTCCCGCAATAGTCGATCTCTCACTGGATCCATGGGAGGATGCATGCTACGCTCAGATGCTGACGTCTATAATTATCTTCTCTACAGTACGGATATTGGAGAGTGTTGCATAGTGACTGCATGTCGATAGTGGCTGGATTTGGTTTTTTGTCCACTGGACACTTCTATGGAGTCTTGATGCCCCGTAAATCGCTCACTTACGATCTGACATTCCCTGATTTTCATTCACCGCTTCATTCCTCAACTCTACGTAACCGAGGGGTGGTTCCCCCAGGGGTTCACCATGCTCTTTTCGGATCACACAGGTCCGGGGAGCCCAAACAAGCCTCTGCAGGGCTGTCGCTTGTGCTAGGCAAAGCGTGTGTTGTACATGCAGCGACAGTCAGGTGATGGTGCCTCGATCGAGTGTCATGCTCAGGCACCTTGAGGGTGAGACTGTCGCACCCCCCAGTCGAGTGGGAAAGGTGGCATCCCTGGGGAGGATGTGGGTGGAAAGTAAGGAACCAGGTGTGACAGCAGCTCAGGAGGATTGTAGCCTCGGCCCATATCACTTCTAACTCTCCGCGTTGCGGTGCTCAGATCGAGTCAAGCTTGTAGACGTAGTCACTGTAGATCTGGTCTTCCACTGCCTCCCGAATGAAGCCAATTCCGCTGCCGTCCTTGCCTTCGCTCATGTCCACGTCACCATCGGAGCCCGTGGAGGAACCCTGACAGATGGTGAGAGCGTTTTGGTGGGCTAGCTCCCAAGTGTCAAAGTCGAACCGCCCTTGGCTTTCGTTGAGGAGAAGGTGACCCTTGGAGGAGATCGCAAAGACGTGGAGAGACACGGCGGCTTTGGCAGCAGCGGGGGAGGGGTCGCGCACGATGTCACCGGACTTGGTTACACCGAGAAGAGTCGCGGAAAAGGTCATCGAAAGAGGGACTGAGGCCGAGATCATGGAGAGCAAACCAGCGTGCAAAAGTGCCGGGAGGATGGTGAGATACTATATAGGTCAGTCGAACCGAACAGCGCATCGTAAAGAGAAGTCAGCTACTCACAGCGTCACCGCGCTCGATGTTTTCACCACCGACGATGGCCAGGGTGAGGACAACACCACGACGAGGGAATCCTTTCTCGCGGCCCAGAACCACCTTGCCCAACACAGAGCGCAGAATTCCTTCGACATATCTTTCTCCAACACCCGCGGTGGTAGTACCCGGTTTGACAAAGACCTCCACAGTTGCCTCCTCAGGCTTCAATGCGTCACGGCGTCCTGGAAGCTCGACTGGGGCATTGACGGCACCCAGGATGTTGTAACCGGTGGCGGGGCATTTGTATGACGCGGAGCCATCGGCACGGTGTAATTGCGAGAGAGATGCTGTTGGGCCGACCATCTTGAATAGGTAATGGGTGAAGAGAGAAGCTGTTGTTCTGGCTGTTCTGGCTGTTCTGTTTGAAGAGATGAAGCTTCCCGCAATTTTTTATCACTGGACCGATTTGATTGGCTGTTGAGGGTTGGACTTGGGTTGGTCCACATTGGAGATTCTACTATGCGATCTACTCTGGACGGCCATGGCTGTTTTGTTCTTTTGTTCATTTCTCTTCTTCTTCTCTTCTGCACTTCTGCTCACTTCCACATCTCGCCCTTCATCCGGAAGCACCCAACTGAATCGGGTTATCAGGCTAAACCCCGCTGACGATTCCTATAGGTCGCCCCCGATAAATGGACGTGTCAGTACCAAGATGCCGAGCTCTTGGAATGCCCAGCCTGGCTGTGCTAATTCAGGTTTGGTACACCTGCGATAGAGAAGCGATGCTTTCGCCAGTGGGATTCCCTCGGAACAAGGAATATCGCCTATGAGTATCAAAGTACTGGGCTCCGCGAAACCGTCGCCGGCGTCCCCAGGAATAGAACGCCACGATGGCCGAGAACCCAATGAAGTGTGGCTTATCCCCGGACTCGCAGACCATCCAATCCCACTAGAGAATCCCCGCGTCCCAAGATCTAAGTGGTCTACAAACCGGGATCGCAAGCAGCTATCGCCAAGGGCCTTAGGAGCCAAGAGTGCACTTGTATGGGTTGCCCCAATGAAATCGCTGCCTCGCGAGATGATTACACCCCCTCACTGGGCGTATCCGCTCCTTCGGTTTGACATGAAGTAGGCCATGTGCCAATGTTGGGGACCAGTTGCCTACAAAAGCTACGCCCAAAAGCCACTTCCACCTTCTACCGGCCTCTTTCTTATCTTTGTCTCCTGCCTTTGAAGTCCGTTCCTCTTCCCAGGGTATAGTCATCAGGGTATCAGAAGCAATATTAGATTCAGAGCATCTACCTCGTTCCCACTTCTCCCACTTCCCTTCTCTCCTATTGAATGGGCGTGACCGTAGATTCTACTCTCGATGTCGAGGAATCGACGGAGCCTCCTATATGTGGTTATACGGAACCCAGCTCCAAGCCCAATGTCGCCAACTCCCTAGATACTAGGTCTTGTGCTACCGACGAGAAATATATCTCGTATACGACTGATCATCCCGCCGTCGATCTACCATCTTGTAAAGAAGAACCTGGCCAGAACGCCCATCTCATAGATTCAACTGAGCTCGCTACACTCCTCGGGACTGATCTTCAGTATGTTGGCTTGCCATCTATGAATATGAACACTGTTAACAAAGCAAACAGAAATGGCATCTCTTGCTCAGAAGCGGCCTCCCGCCTCGAGCGCGATGGTCCGAATACCGTGCGTGAAATGGAGAGTGTCTCCGTCTGGGGGATACTGCTAAGGCAGGTTTCCAACAGCCTGACACTAGTGAGTACCTCAGCATAGCATATTGCCATCGAAAACAATCAATGCTGAAATATACCAAGGTCCTCCTAATCACCATGGCTCTATCCTTCGGAATAGATGATTACATTGAAGGCGGTGTTATCACTGCAGTGATTCTTCTCAACATAATTGTTGGGTAAGAAGCCCAAGTCTTGCTATAAAGGAGTGACCGAACTAATAAATCCGCCATAGATTTATCCAAGACTACAGAGCCGAAAAGACAATCCTCTCACTCCATCGTCTCTCCGCGCCAATATGCAAAGTAATCCGAGACGGTCGAATCGCCTCCGTGAAAGCCGAATCCCTCGTCGTGGGAGATATCGTCCAACTAGCAGTCGGCGACATCGTCCCCGCCGATATCCGCCTATTCGACGGCATGAATGCCTCAATGGACGAGGCACTTCTGACCGGCGAATCACTTCCAATCCTCAAAACTCCCCATCTCACTCTTGCTGCGCGTGATATCCCCATCGGCGATCGTACCAACATGGCCTATTCGGGCTGTAGTACCACTCAAGGTCGAGCATTGGGAATCGTCACTGCGATAGGCATGGACACCGAAGTTGGAAAGATTGCTCAGTTGCTACAGACCAAATCTGATCTCGGGGACTCGGGTCCTCTTCTTCGCGTGTGGAAACGGGTGAAGCATTCCGTCATGAACATCCTGGGCTTGGTTGGCACGCCCTTGCAAGTAAAGCTGAGCAAATTTGCACTTCTTCTTTTTGCACTGGCGATCTTGTTGGCCATCATCGTTTTCTCGGTCAATTTATGGGATGTCCAAGGCGAAGTCCTTATATACGGCATTTGTGTTGCTGTGGCTGTCATCCCGGAATCATTGATTGCTGTTCTTACTATCACCATTGCCGTTGGTACAAAAGCTATGGCAAGAGGAAATGTCATTGTGCGCAAACTCCAATGTCTCGAGGCAGTGGGGGGCGTCACGAACATCTGCTCTGACAAGACTGGCACTTTAACCCAGGGCAAGATGATTGCGCGCTCGGCTTGGATTCCTGGTGCTGGGACTTTGACTGTGAGCCAGACGACGGATCCATTTGATCCGACTAGTGGAGTTGTGCAGTTGGATGAGATCGATTGGAGCTCTACTCGGCCCATTGAGGATCATCCTGCTTTGCATACCTTCCTGCGAGCAATTTCTCTATGCAATCTTTCTACTGTGCACCATGATAACAAGGTGTGGAGTGCAGTTGGTGAACCTACGGAGATTGCGCTTCATGTCCTGGCTTTGCGGTTTAATTTTGGGAAAAGTTCCATTATGACCAGCCGGCAGCTTCAATTGAATACAGAATATCCATTTGATTCGGCTATCAAAAAGATGACTGTTGTTTACAATAACTCTCGGAATCAGACCATGGAAGTCTACACCAAGGGAGCGCCGGAGACTATCATCCCCCATCTAAAGATTGATGAACATGGAAGACAGACAATCCGAGACACAGCCGATCGAATGGCAGGAGAGGGTCTTCGTGTCCTGTGTATCGCCTACAAAACCGTCCCCGCAGACCAACTCTCTGAAGTTTCTACCAGACCTGCAGCCGAGTCGACCCTCCAATTCGGCGGTCTAGTCGGACTCTATGATCCCCCGCGAGTCGAAACAGCCGCAGCAGTACGCCGATGCCAAATGGCCGGAATCACCGTACACATGCTGACAGGTGATCACATCAAAACAGCAACAGCCATCGCCTCTGAAGTCGGAATTCTCGATCGTGTCACAGCTGCCGTAAAAAAAAGCAGACTGGTTATGGCCGCAGACGAATTCGATAAACTGAGCGATGACGAGATCGATGCTATCGAAGACCTGCCCTTGGTTATTGCCCGTTGTAGCCCTGCCACCAAGGTTCGAATGGTAGATGCCATGCATCGCCGTCAGGCATTCTGTGTTATGACCGGTGACGGAGTCAATGACTCCCCTGCACTTAAACGTGCAGATGTTGGTATCGCCATGGGGAAGAACGGAAGTGATGTTGCCAAGGAGGCGGCCGATATGGTCTTGACAGATGATAACTTTTCGTCTATTGTCAAGGCTGTTGAGGAGGGCAGGCGACTGTTTGATAACATCCAAAAGTTCCTCATGCACCTGCTCATCTCGAACATTGCTCAGGTCATCCTCCTTCTGATCGCGCTCGCTTTCAAAGATAAAGGCGGAGACTCGGTCTTCCCTTTATCTCCACTCGAGATCCTCTGGGCTAATCTGGTCACATCTTCGTTCCTGGCTGTAGGTCTCGGTCTGGAAGAAGCCCAGCCTGATATCATGTACAGACCACCCCACGACCTTCGAATTGGCGTTTTCACTCGCGAACTGATCGTCGATAAAATGATCTACGGAACGTTCATGGGAACCTTGTGCCTTGTTGCGTTTGTCTGTGTGATATACGCCGCCGGAACGGGCACTTCATCTCTAGGAGATGGGTGTAACGCGGGCTATAACCCAACCTGCGACAGTGTGTTCCGCGCTCGGGCAACTACATATGCAACGCTTACCTTCCTCCTGCTCGTCACAGCCTGGGAAGTAAAGCACTTTTCTCGATCTCTGTTCAACATGGATCCAATTCGATATCCCAAAACATTCTCCGTCTTCCCTACAGTCTGGAATAACAGATTCCTGTTCTGGGCCGTGATGGCTGGGTTTGTCATTGCATTTCCTGTCATCTATATCCCGGTCATCAACCAGCTTGTCTTCAAGCACCAGGCTATCACATGGGAGTGGGGTGTTGTCTTTGGATGCACGCTTGTGTACTTGATCCTTGTTGAGGGCTGGAAGGCTGTTAAGAGGGCTTTCAGTATTGGAAGTGGGAAGAATGCTACCCTTACTTTGGAAGATGCCGAGATGCGAGCTGGTCTAGCTACTTTGACGCCGCTCTCGCTGAGTGCGAATGCTAGTGTTGAGTTAAAGTAATGGTGGATGGTGATCAATGGCCGGCTGTTTCAACATTATGTTGGTCATGACATTTGACTTCGGGGCTTTCAACATGCCCATGCTTCCGTTTATCTCGTTTGCTATTTATATAAGTCCAGAATGAAAATAAATGCTTTGCTTGAACAAAAGGAATTACTATTCCAACAACTTTTAGCCTGTAGCTCTCGGGTACTATAGCTCGACTTCGGGATGGATGTGGCGCCTGCTTACGAAGCGTGTCCGTTGTGCCCGCAAAGGGAACCAATAGCAAACTTTAGTCTCGACATATTCCTCGACTTGCACGATAACATTTCACGCCCATCACCTAAGATCGGATGACAATTGATGGCCAGAATGCCGTCCGATAGGTCCAAGCCAGTAACATTACGCAGATCCTGCCAAGCTTGCGTGAAAGGCAAACGGCGCTGCGATCAAGGCTGGCCCCGTTGCAGCAGATGCGCCACCAAAGGAGCTGACTGTGAATACATCAACGCACCTCTTTCGGTGAAAAATAGCCGCAGATTATCAGCAGGGCGCAACGTGGGCCCAAAACGGGCAGTGGCCAATATGCCCCCTACGCCTCAAATCCACGCACCACTACGACTGGAGATTGCGAAAGAATATGACCCAAACATCGTCCAATTTCTGGTAGCAGGACTTCGTGGCCTTCCAGTGGAATTTGCAACAAGTCGAAAGACCTTGTTTATCCACCCTGGTCTCTATACAAGTGGTCTCCCTACCGCGGTTCGCGAGGTTCACAATATCTGCAAATTAAACATGTTTCACGATCGCAATGGAGAAACCAGCTTTACTCTGCTTTCAATACTTCGACAACAATCTATAGAACTCTGTCGCCGATTGAACCATACAGCCAATTTCGAGGAGCTCCTAGGCTGTTCACAGGCTTTGGTTTTGATTCAGTGCATTCTAGCCCTCAATCGAAATGGCAACTCCGATGCATACTCAGAAGCGACTAGCACAATGCTAGCAGGAATTGCGGGGAAATTGTGGCAACAGGCACCGATTCAACTTCCGCAAACGCTCAGTTTGCGACATGCATGGCTTCTCGCTGAGAGTGTTCGTCGTACAATTATCGTTTGTTTCATGCTACGCAGCGCATATTCGTTGAACACGAGAAACTACTCGGTTCGGACTCCGTTTGTGGATTCCCTGCCATTTGACCTCCGGACCAACTTGTGGGACGACGATTCCCCAACCTCGTGGGAGCACGTGCTGTTGCAGTCTGATGCCTCGATGGTCTCATTGCATGAGTGGTCGGACGGCATGGCAGCGGGTCGCGTCCATGAAATCTCACATTTCAGCGAGCTGATCTTGGCAGCTTGTAAGGGGCAGGCTGTTTCAACCATTCCTTCCCCGCCATTGAGCACTTATATTGATGGTTGAGATGCATGACGAATCTAAAATGACGCACATTCGATATTACTTTTGTATCAGATTGTTGCTCCAATTGTGGTAATTATTCAACGTGATCCCAAATACAAACATCCTCACCGCAAGAATTGCTTCAACAACCCAGAGAGCAATTCCGTCATATCACGATACAACTCCTGCCTCTTTACCTCAAAGGCATTGAAAATGTCTCCCGCAGACCCAACGGGAATCTGCTCCTCGCCCTTCTCCAACCGACCCCAGACTTCATCCACGAACTCCTGCAACGGCATTCCAATAAGATGCCCGTCCTTCAAATCAGGCTGGTGCTTGGCATCGTGCAGCTCAGTCTGCACAGCAGGAGGGTATATCTCCAAAATCTTGACATTACCAGGTCCATCCTGCAATTGCGTACGCAGCGCGAGGATGAAATGGTGCAGAGCAGCCTTTGAAGCCCCATAATTCGGGCATCGCATCATTGGCACAAGTGCCATTTGGGATGTTGTGAATGCAATTGCGGTTTGGGATTCAAGGCTTTGCACGTGTGGGAGGAAGGCTTTGGTCAAGCGTACGGCGGAGGTGTAGTTTGTGACCAATTCTTGGTCGAAGATGTCCAGGTCTACGCTCTCCGGCTTGGAGAAATCGAACGGTCGTTGGATTCCCGAATTCACAAAGATGCAATCCAGATCTGGGTTCTCGGATATGATCTCTGATGCAAATTTGGGGATCTTTAGCATTTGAATGTCGATTAGTTGATTTGAGCCTGACTATGGCTTGATATTGGTGAACTCACCTGTTCGAGCTGCATGACATCGAAAGTCTTCGCAGATACCTTGTCACTTCCGTATTTTTTGACAATTTCATCGAGGTTCTCCTGTCTACGACCGGAGACAATCAATTTAGATCCATTCTGAACGACCTTGTCGGCGAGAGTCTTGCCAATCCCGGAGGTGGCGCCGATGATAAGGACCTTCTTGTAACTAAAAGGCATTGTAGTGCGTTACGCCTGGAAGCAACAGATGAAACGAAAGCAGAATACCCTCTGCTCTACCAGATCACCAAGACTTATATACTGCAAAACCACGAACTGAAAAAAGCACATTATGTCATGCAAGCTTTCCAGGGCTGCGGAGACTAAACCTAAAACAGCCAACCCTGAGAATGGCGAGTCGGCGGCAATCTAAGCTTATCAGGTGCCGGGTTCCGCGCCACTGGTGGAGGTTAAACCCAAAGCGGCAAGGCCCGTCTGTTCCAAGATTGAAATTGGTGTTTATTCATCACGATGTTCTTCGTTGGTGTTTTGCCGAGGCATAACTTAGGTAGAATAGCGAATTACTAATTTAAATTCTTGATTTGAAATCAAACTGGGCTCTTACACCTGCCCAGGGTTTGATATCGTTTCTCGTGCAGGGACGCGAGGCCTCCGAGCCGAGCAAGATCGCGCGGCTGGTTTGATATTCAGGGATCACGCCCACAGTAGCTGCCTGGGAATTTAGGTCTGAACAAATGGATTCAGGTGTATGATTTACCATAGTCAATGGTCAATGTAGTACAAAGTGGGGGACCTCGATTGTTTATTCGAGGACATGTCGTACAAGCTACGGGTTATAGTGGCTGAGCATTGTTTTAAATTTTCATGAGGATAGTATTTGGAATTGTTAAACTGGGTTTCATAAGAAAGACGGAAAGTAGCGTCTCATCTAAGGAGTCTCAGAGACGTTGTAGACCAGCTTCTCGCCGCTGACCTTGTCCTCCTTGAGCAGCCTCAATCCATCCATTACACCGACCAAGCCATTGGGTCCAACCTTGGGAGGGTGAACCTTGACCTTGCCCTGAGCAAGCAGGCTCTCGGCAATGGGAGCGAACTTCTCGGCGTGAGCTCTGTCCTCCAGGTTGGCGGGAATGGACATGCTGCCGAACTTGAAAGCCTCGCCAAGGGTGGTGTAAGCCAAAGTGGCACGGTCATTGACGTTCTCACGCGCGATCTTAACCATGAGGAGAGCGCTGTACTCGCCACCCTCGGTGGACAGGGCATTGTCACAGAATGCAGCGCTGGCCTCGAGGGCAATACAGTCGAAGACGTACTTGAGCTTGTTGTCGGTGGCCTTGCGGATCTCAGCAGCGGCATTGGCGTCATTGTAGTCATAGACCTCGTCGGCGCCAAGGCTGCGGACCAGATCGAAGTTGCGGGGCGAGCAAGTGGTCAGAACCTTGTAGCCGGACAGCTTGGCAAATTGGATGGCCAGGGTTCCGGTCGCGGTTGATCCACCGTAGATCAGGATAGGGGTGTTATCCTTGATGGGCTCGGTGGGCAGGGCGAGCTTCAGGCTCTGGTAGAGAGCCTGGCCGACAGTGCTGATACCCACGCCAATGGTGGCAGCTTCTTGGAAGCTCATGTTTTCGGGGATCTTCCACTGCAAATCGCCCTTGACGGCGATGTACTCGGCGAAGGTACCGTCTTCGGGTTGGACGGCGTTACCGCCGTGTGCAAATCCGCACACGCGGTCTCCCTTGGCAAATTTCTTGGTCACGTTCTTTCCAACGGACTCGACGATGCCGGAGTAATCACATCCAGACAGGACACCTGGAGGGGAAAGATAGGCAATGTGCTTCCAGTCGGTGGGGTTCAAGCCCACACTGACGGTCTTAACGATCATGTAGTCATCACGAAGTTGGGGGATGGGACGGTCGGTGACGAGACCCTCCTTTCCTTGTTCAACGACGACAATTGCTTTCTGAGTAGACATCTTGAAATGGTATATAGTGAATGAATCAATTGGCGGAAGGTACCTGTTAAATAGTTGAAAGCGGTGATTACAAATTCTTCATGACGTTCAATGACGGTTTGTTCGGGAGGTCCCACTCGTTCCAATTATTGCGCCGACTCCGTTTCTTGCCTCGGCTTTCTCGCTGTGGTGCAGAGTCTGCACTGCCTCGCCCTCATGAAACAATAATCAACCGTGAGACGGTTCCACACGAGTCATGTTCCTGGCATGGGTCAATCGGCCCGAATCCTACTTCCGCTGCTTGGCGGCTTCTTCGGGTCGCTCGTCCTTCCAGATAGAGGCCTCATTGTGGCTGATGAAGGGCCAAGGCAGCAATATATCCCAGGAATAGGCTCATGTCTTGATACAGGCGGTCATGCGCAGACCAGGTTGAAATCAGGAATATCAGGCATCGTCGTAGCGGACATGCAAAGCATACTGGAGGACTCAATTAATGACGAGCAGACCTGTGCATCTATTAGCAACAACCAAAAAAAGGGTGTCCAATGATCAACAAATACCAGCCTTGATTGGGCGCCAGATCGGCAGCTGTCAACTTTACATCAAGTGGACTCTATCCATACATGAAAAGAGGTCGGAGATGGAGGATGTTCACAAGGTCGAATTATCAGCAAAAACGAGAGTTTGCCCAGGCTCACCTTGCATCGCAGTAAGCGCCGGGGTCACGGGGTCCAGGCATAATGCTCCCCCGCCATCCCTTCCTCTCACCTCTCTTCCATAAATCCACAATGAAGGTCCTCTGTCTTCACGGGAAAGGCACAAGTGGAAGCATTTTCCGCTCCCAGATCTGTTAGCTCCCGCTCAACCCCACAAGCCGCCACAAAGCACTAACCCACGCCAGCCTCGTTCCGCACCAGATTGCCCGAAGAATCCATTGAATTCGACTTTATCGACGGTCCATTTGAGTGCCCTCCAGCACCAGGCATTGACCTATTTTACAGCCCACCTTACTACTCCTTCTGGGAGCGTGATGATGTCGACTCCGTTCGCGCTGCCTATACCTGGCTGACCGAATACATCGCCAAGAACGGCCCTTACGATCTGGCGTTGATGTTCTCCCAAGGATGTGTCCTGGGCTCTACTGCTCTCCTCCTTCACCAAGAAGAGACGCCCCACCTCCCACCGCCCTTCAAAGCGGCGGTTTTCATATGTGGGGGCGCGTCCTTGATCATGCTGGAGGAGCTGGGCTTCCATATATCCGCTGAGGCGCGAGAGCGCGATGCTGCTTCTCGAACTGCTCTGGCCTCGCAGGCTGGCTCTTCGGCTGTCTTGGCTCAGGGCTCGAAGCGCTGGACTGGTCTTGATTCTTTGGATAGTGGATTGTCCGAGGAGGAACTGCGCGATGAGATTACGAGTCCCTTGCGTATTAGTATCCCCACTGCGCATATATACGGTGCTAAAGATCCTCGGTTTGTCGCTGGTGTGCATCTTTCTGGTATCTGTGATTCGGAGAAGCGCCGCACTTACGATCATGGTGGTGGGCATGAGATTCCGCGGACTGGAGTTGTCAGTGATAAGATCGCGGAGATTTTCCAATGGGCGGCTGCGCAAGGAGGTGCTTGATACTGAGCATTCCTTTAGATTGGGTCATAGATTCTGGAATAGATAAATATACAGAGTCAATGCATATTTGGTTTTTTAGTCACGCATAGCGCAAATATAAACACAGAGAAAGACTGTTGGTATCAGGATCCCACACGCTTATATTTCCAGTGTGATCCTCTTCCATTAGCGGTGAGGATGCAATGAACAGCCACGTGGCCAATTTTAGTCAATATGAGCTGTCAGTTCGAGTGTTGCAGAAATACTGTAGAGTACTCACGGTAGTCTACTAGCAGGGCTTACAATGCCGAGTTTATGCATGTATCCACATGTTGGGAAGCAGAATGCTATGCAACGTCGCCTTGCTTGTAGAGTATAATCATTACTCGCTATAATCTATCCGAATTCTTCTTTGGGTTCTCGAAGTGAGAAATAGCTGGTTTGAGCCTTGTTGCAGGCTGATTATCCGCGAGATTCAATTCATGAGTCCGTCCAAATCGCTATACAAAGCATCATTTAAGACGTCAAGATTGAATGAAGTATATATCAAGGTACCGGGATGAGGCTGCATATGGAATTTGGTCCAGAGATGTCGCTTGGAAACAGGAAATGTCGCAATGGAGATGTCGCAATGGAAAGAAGGGTCGAAAAAGAATCCTCGAGAGTCGCTTTGGTCAAGTTTGCCGCTTGTGGAGAATATATATTGGAAAATCGCAGGGGCACCAAAACCGCGGGACGAGAATCCAGGATTCGTTCACCGTTCCTCCAAAAGAAGCGGGACATACAAACCAGCACTTGTTAGTTCTCGTCATCGTCATTCTGGAACTCAACCCAGGTCTTCATCTTAGTTCGCACGTGCTCGCCATACACAACGAAGCCCTCGTCTTCAGTCACAGACCGAACCAAGCAATTTTCTCCAGGCTCGAAGAAGAATGGAACACTGATACGCCCAAGAGTTGCACAATCCCCCTGTTTCCCAGTGACAGAAGTAGCAGAAGAACTTTTGGCCGGCGCGCGAACACGGTGCATAGTGGCGACAAATCGACCGCCAGAAACCTTTGCCATCAAATCGCCGATGTTGACGACAAGGGATTCGGGAATGTACGGAGCAGAAACCCAGTCCCCAGAAGAGTTTTGCACTTCCAGGCCACCGGTGGAATCTTGATGCAGAAGTGTCAAGATACCGCTGTCCGTGTGAGGGGTGCAGCTGAGCTTCACTTTTTCCGCAGAACCTGATCCTGATCCTGACCCCGAGGCGGCGGATGCCACAGCCGGGTAATGCAAGAGACGGAGGGTGCTTAGAGAGTCATTGAGATACGGCGCGAAAAAGTTCGATGGTTTACCCAGCGATACAGCTAAGAGGGAAAGCAATTTCGAAGCCAGACTCTGCAGCTCGATATACAACTTTTCGAGATCGGGTCGTTCTAGGAATACATCCTCATCTGGCCACACATTCGCCTCGCTGAGGTTGAATTTCGAAGAAGGTGCCACGCTCGATTGAGTCCGAATTGGCTCTGCAGGGCCCATTTCAAACCCTTCCTTCAAATTGTCAGATGCGAGCTCCGGCTGAGTGGGGAAATATCTATACACATCTGTTAGTGTGCAAGAATTACAAACTGAGCAACAACAGCTAGGATATTAACCCTCGATATGTGTTCTTATGTTCCCGATGGAATGAACGCTTCGCCAATTTCATCTTCTCTTCCTCTGATAGAGCAAAGAACTTTCGCGACAGGTCGAACACATCTTCATGCTTATAGCTCAGAGGGACATTCGTTAGATAGGCAAAGCCAGTCGTAGCAAAAACATCGTATAACCGTTGACTTAGCATCGCTTCCTCTTCCGGCGATGCACCCGAGGGCGATCCAAGGGGCCCGACGTCGACGACAGGCAAGGAAGAGAACGTAGTAGTCATTTTCGAACGCTTGAATGAAGATCGAAACGAATTCGATCGAGATCCATGCGCATACAGGGGTCCCTGCGTCTTTTGTACCTAGGGTTATTCTCGCTAATAGGATCCCCGCATTTCGCCGATCTAGTAAGGGGTCGTGTGCCGTGTGCTTCGCAAGCGTATTCTGCGGAATGCTGCTTGCAATTCCCGGCTGAGCTGGAAACCTGCCGCTGGTTGGATTTGATGGGAGCCTTGTTCTTCAAGTTTCTTATAAGCAACTGAAATTTCTTGAGAAAGTTGTAGTCGTGGGCTGTTTTTTTTCTTGCTATACGTCATGGTACCTGGTTCTATGTGCCGGCAACTTGGGCGGAGCCCCTAAAGTGGCGTCAGTCCGGGCTTGACATGCCATTTAAGTGGGCGGCTGTATCCGATGAATATCCTACATTTCTTTGTGCGGATTTACCGAGTTGGCTATGTGCAGAAGCTCTTTTCTCTCCAGATAGAGCTTTGCATATTCCAGTTAACCGGTACTGTAGCTCACTGAGGTTAATCATCACTTGCGTTGACTAACAGCCCTGGAGTACTACACTACTTTATGTTCTACACTTAAGCGGCTCATGCTTCTATTTACCAGTTCGTTCGAATACATTTGAGAAGCAGTAACCAAGCTTCATATCTACCTTATATAATGCCGTCGGTATATTCGTGGAAAATGTATTCAAGGCAGTTTAAGAGTTTGATGCATAAATATTCGTTCTTGACAAGCCAAGGAGGGCCTGATGTGTATCTAAAAGGTCCTACGTGGATGACCAGACGGATCCGGGCGCCAGGAGATGTCAATATCCTCCTCGTCCGAGCTTTCCTCATAGCCCTTGGTGGTATTGGGCTTTGCGTGGCGAAGTCGATCGCCGCCGAAGGCTCTGCTGCGCTCAATGGCTGTCTTGTAATCCTGGGCTGCAAGATAGAGTATTGAACGTCTCCAACTCTAAGTAAGATGGCTTACTTGTTCTTTCGTCTATGTCATTCGAGCCTGGCTCGATGGGATCCTGGATTCCTTGGCCATTGACGCCCTCATCTAAGATGTGCTTTCCAGACATGGACTTTGTGTTCTGCATTTCCCACCGATCTGCCATGTCGGAGGAGAACAAAGTTAAATAAAGATGGTGTTTTGATCAAATAAGGTGAAGAATCAATGGACTGCTTTGGAGACGATTACTGCATACTTATATGGCCAGAGTTCAACGTCACCATGATCGTCGATGACATGACCGGGGATTCAAACGCCCCTAGCACTCAGATATTGGCTTAGGGTTTTAGTACCCCTTAGCCTGCGGTGGAGTATGCTCATCCCAAGCAGCTCTTACTGCAGCATTGTTCCAGGTATCTAGAATCTCGTCAAAACCGTGATTGGAAGATGTATTTAAAACGACGTACCTTGAGTGATAGAAGCCCTTTTTTCATAGGGCCTTGGCGTATAAGCCGCGGTTGAAGATGAAGTGAGCACAACCTGCTTAACCGTAGACCGTTTCGAGGCGGCTTTCAAAAAGTTCAGCGTTGCCTCGACAGCATGTGTGATCATTACACTTGGATCGGGGTTCATCGATACGTCAGCCGCCCATGAGATATCAGAAAGTGTTTGTCGTTATCGATTCTTCACAAATCTTGCACGTACAACATGGATGATCCCTAAGGTCCCATCAACCGCCTGATCACATTCCATCTCATTAGCTAGGTCCGAAAGAACGAATGACTCAAATTTTCCTTCGCCATATCTCTTATTGAAGAGCTCGTTCAGCCATGGCTTGGGCTCGCGAACAGTGCCAAGGACCAAGTAGCCTAACATTAATAGCTGGTCGATCACATGAGATCCGATGAAGCCGTTTGCTCCAGTGACCAGGGTTTTTGACCCGCTAGGGATACTATATTCGATATCAGGCATCATATTGGACAACAGAAGAGCATCCGGATGCAAGATTGGTATCGAATTTGAAAAAGGGGTCACTTCCCGAAAAAATCGGTTGAGTTGCAGAATATCCTTGGTAATCTCGGCGTTCAACCTCAGTCCGTTTTCGTTCTGATAACTAACCTAATGGGTTTCTTATTAAGCTCGGTGTTGAAATGAGGCCCGAGGAAGACTGATGATGTAACACTAGAGATAGGTCTCATTCTTTCACGATCGTCCATAATTGCGCCCGAGGTACTACCGTGTGCACAGGATTTTTGGTTGACAACTTTTTCCCTGCTATATCTATCTCACCACTCAACTTACCCGCTACTCTACATATAGTCGCCTCTCCTTCGAGAAGCGCCCCGCCGGATCACAAACAACACCAACCTTACCCATTCCAAGGCTACATTATCTTCACCACCGCCAACGTCTAAATTCAATTTATCTACAATGCCAGCTGTTCTCATTACAGGTGCGACAGGAAACCAAGGAGGCTCCCTCATCAGAAGTCTCGTTGCCAGAAAGTCCCCTCTGGAGATTTTGGCCGTCACTCGCAATGCTCAGTCTTCGTCTGCCCAAAAATTGATCAAGTTGTCATCGAACATCAAACTGGTGGAGGGAAACCTGGACGATCCCGCAGTACTTTTTAAAAGTGCTCGTCAAGTGACACAATCTCATATCTGGGGAGTCTACAGTGTTCAGGTATGGGTGCCATCTCGAATCTCAGAGGCTTTTCGCTAATTCAACAACTATCAAAGGTTGCCATTGGAAATGGCGCACTAGAGGAGGCACAGGGAAAATCCCTTGTTGACGAGGCGCTGAAGCAAAATGTTCAATTCTTCGTGTACAGCTCAGTGGATCGCGGGGGCGACGCTTCTTACAACACTGCGACCAGAGTTCCGCACTTCATCAACAAGTACAACATCGAACATCACCTTGTCGAAAAGTGCGAAGACACCGACATGAAGTGGTTCATTCTCCGACCCTCCGCCTTTATGGAGAATCTCGTTCCAGGATTCTTCGGAAAAGTCTTCGCAACTAGTTTCAAGATGGCACTCAAGGGCAAGCCTTTGCAGACGATCGCGGCCAGTGATATCGGATTCTTTGGAGCAGAAGCCTTCATGCGCCCTGAGAAATATCAGAACCAGGCCCTCTCACTCGCTGGTGATGAGTTGACATACGATCAGTTTGCTGAGATCTTCCAGCGGAAGACGGGTCAACCGATTCCTTCGACGTATCGGTTACTATGCTCTGTCTTCATGGCCTCTATGAAAGATATGGGCTACATGTTCAAGTGGTTCCATGATGGCGGCTACAAGGCGAACATTCCCGAGCTGAAGAAGATCCACCCGGGATTGAAAGATTTTGGGACATGGCTTGAAAAGGACAGTGGATTTGCGAAAAAGTGAGAAATCTGTACCAGTGAGCTATACCTGGGTTGATGTGTAAGCTCTGACACTTTGTCATGTATAACGTTACATTTTAATATCGTTTGTCGTCCTCCTTTTCTAAAGCTCAATCAAACTACATCATCGCACTTGGGACTTGCCGAAAGAGACACCCAAGACCGAGGGGATCGACTACAAATATTTTGGTTGGTAGACGCAATCAAGAACAAACATGACCATTTCGGTTGTCCGCCAAAATCCTCCTGCTGATGATATCTCTACTTTAAGTGGCTAAAAGAGCTAAGCCGGTAGGATGTATCGGCGGAAATGGACTTCTCACTTAAAGCATCAGGTATCTAGTCCTTATAACCCGCTAATCTCTACCATCCCTACTATGCTCCTTACTATTCTCGTCACTGATCTTATTGCTTTAGCTATAGGATGAGCTAATCAGGCAATCAGTCAAAAATACGTGTAATAGCTAAGGGAGGAAGACAGAAAGGTTTAAAAAGGTATGGAGAAATCGCCAACTCTGCCTGTCAAATTGTTCACTCTCTTACCATTAGTTTGGTTCGCTTTAGGTTTACCCTAACTTCCGACATACTACGCAATAGGCTGTTTCATCATAGAAGGCTTGAGGGATATGTCTTTTGTATATATCCCGTTGTAAATTGAAATTGCAGACACGCGGAAACGATTCTTCTCCTTTGCTGCGATTGATTTCTCATACCATGTGCAAATGCCAGTCGATCGTTGGATGGCAGAACGCTAGATACACATATCTCAATACCAAAGTCCAATTCTAGATACTGTACACTAGCGAGAAGTCGACCTTACTCAAACTCGTGGGTGGCGGAGAAACACGCTTATAAAAAGAGGAATCTCCCGAATGCATGAAATGAATTTTGGAGCCAATGGAAGAAAGATAGACGTTGTATATTTGTCGATGACCCAATTGCATTTCTCAATTCAGAGTGCAACTCAATAATGTCTGTAGCTACTAGATGTAGCCTGACGCTTACGAAAATCGGTGGTGGAGCGGCCAATGTATTAGACAGAGACCGTCATGCTGGAAAGTCGATGGATGGGGTGAGAAGCTTCCACAGAAGACTAGATGATTCATTTTACTAAATTGATATTAGTACAAAAATGGGGAGATGAAGATTACTAAAGAAGTACAGTAAGCACAATGATCATACACTTCCCATTTTGTGTATCAATATTCAAACAGTCTGTTATATGCGTAGACGACAAGTCGCAATGGTGGTATTGAAAATTGAACAGGATTTTGGACATACGCCTGCCCAAAGTTTGAACTCCTGTCCAGTCTCCTATACTCAGCTTAGTTGAATTCAACAAGGTTACGTGTTGAAGAATCCATATTTCCGGTCTGCGCTTATGAAGGCTTACTGAGCTCGGTATTTATCTGAATGCCGAGCTCGGATCGAGTCTAATCCCGAGAATTAAGTTGGCTTCTCGGAATGCGAAGCACCGACCGTTTGGAGTAAGTACAGGATATAAAGTGTCGACGCAAGCAACTCCAGCTGCCACGAAAACACTGCAAAGCTATCTCAAAACTCATTTCGCCTTTCTCGATTCAATCGTATCAATCGTATCAATCACCATGGCCAGCGTCATTCGGAAGATAGCTATCATCGGAGTATGTTACCATGCGCACCCGAATTACACTCGATCAGTATCGCTAACCACGAACGTTTAGGCCACCGGCAACCTTGGCTCACGCATATCAAGCACGCTGAAAGCTGTCGGGCATGAAATCACTGTTGTCCAGCGCAAGGACTCGAGAAAGCCTGCGCCGGAGGGCCTGAAGAGTGTCAAGGTGGATTACCTGAACAAAGAGGAGTTGGTGTCGACTTTCAAGGGCCAAGATGTTGTTCTCAGGTACGTAGTTGTTTCCTTTCTGCCACTTGTGATAGGAATCTAAGCCTACTCAAATGCTTTCAGCGCTGTCCCTTTCCCCATGCTCGACTCTGAGAAAATCGTCATCGATGCCTGCATTGCTGCGTCTGTCAAGCGCTATATGCCCTCTGAGTACACGACCATGCTCGAGTCTCCACTGGCTAAGAACCTCCCCATTGCCAAGGAGAAGTTCCTAATCCGCCAATACCTCACCTCCGTCATGGCCGACACCTCTGGCCCCACCACCTGGACCTCCGTCAACAACGGCGCCTTCTTCGACATGGCCCTTCCGTACGGAGTCCTTGGCCCCAACCCTATGTCTAAGAAGGCCGTGTTCCATGATGGAGGTGACAAGAAGATTGCCGTCTCGACACTGTCTGATATCGCAACCGCTGTTGCCAAACTCCTCGGCACTGACAGCATCTTTGAGGCTGCCGCTAACCAGCCTGTCTATATTTGCTCGGCTAGAATCACGGAGCGCCGCCTTACTGAGCTAGTTTCGGAAGTCACTGGAATTGACTTTGGCACTCCCGAACAAGTACTTGTCAAGAAGCTGATTGAGGAGTCGGACGAGCGACTGAAGCAGGGAGACAAGTCTGCCATCATCAACTACTACTTCCAGATGATGTACGGCGAGGGTTACAAGGGTGGGGATTTCATGGAGTTCAACTGGAACGACCGACTGGGCCTGCGGATCATGTCTGATGAGGAGCTGAAGGACACCATTCGCCAGAACCTGAAGTAAGCAACATATTAGCTTCCCAAGGTATTCGTGCACTGTCTTTCAGTTCGCATATTTACTGTACCTGTATCTTCATTGCGGGGCCATAAAATACTCAATGGCTTCACGCTGCATTAAAGCGACGCCTCTCGTATATTCTGCAGGTTTATAATGAAATAGAAGAATGCGAGTAAGGTAAGATTCTATGTAGGAGTGGCTACATTACACCACAACGCTAGGTGCCGGTAAAGGCCACTTTCGACCTCCTATTCGCCGTTCTAAGGATTACGTATTTTAAGTGCTAGTAAATCCGCTATTACTAAAGAAGGATCTCCTAGATATCTCTTAAAATCCCACTATATCGAGACTTATTATTACTAGGTCCGTGAGAAAGTGAAAGAAGGTAAGATTCTACTAGAATATATTCTAGAAATTATTAATATCGCCGACGACCTTATAAAGGCACTTCCTAAGCTAAAATTCGATACCTTTTTATAAAGGATTAGCTCTTAAGAGTTCTTTACTTATCTATCTAGATTCCTCGCCTTCAATATAGTAGATTTGAATACTTTAGATAATAAGGGGGTATGTTAAGATTTATAGTGGCCGGCCATAGTTTATACCATAAATAAGCTATGACGGTAACCAGATTAATTTATTACCTAGGAAATCTGATTAGGACCAGCTTAAGGCAGAGTTTTCTGGTATATAAGGAGATCCTCACATAAAAGAGAATCTCTAGACTCAAACAACTCGGTAATCAATTGAAAAGATTATCTATATTGTACCTTCTTCCCCGTCATCATTCTTTACTTATATCGTGACTTTCAATAAGGTTTAGAAGGTAAGATTCTCGAAGCGCTTCCTAGATTTCTACTAGTATATAGGCTCCGCTCTTATAGATAAAAATTTAGAGAGCGGAACTAATATAGTTCTTTATAGCTCCCTGCGTAAAACTAACGTATTTATTCTACGTACTACCCTACTGGTGCCCACGGGCTCAGATCCTCATTGACTCAGCCTCTTCCACCCTGATCACCTGCCAGGTGCGAAACATGCATGCATGGACACCTCCACACAATGTGGCTGCTGGAACAGTGTGTACTGTACTGTACTGTACAGTACAGTAGCCTCATTGCCTATTTATGGCACAGGTCATAGCCAGCAGCCATAAATCTCCGCATTCATTAAATCGGCCTTTGATCTCGGCGATTGACGCCTATGTGAAGATAGAGCTTCATAGATCTGCGTTTGTGGCGGTCGCCACAAGTAAGCGGCAAATAAATCGATCAGCATAAAGCTTTGTCCTCGCATGTACATATGACCTTAATTCAAGATCGGCATGAAACATGAAATATCTGTAAATAAGAGTTTTAGCCTCGGTTTTCAACAAAATTTCCGGCGTTTGACGAATTCGGGACTTGATCTACCCCACTTTCACGAACTGTATGTAATCGACACATCACAGAACTTATAAGGCCCAACCTCTTCATCAGTCTCAACCCATTTCCAACCCTTCGGTATAACCCCAAAACGTCATTATGAATGGAACAATTTCTGCTGTCCCAGCCAGTGACGAATACTACGACCTTGGCACATTTGGTCACAAGATAACTACAAGCAGCGCCGATGCTCAGACTTGGTTTAATCGTGGCTTGACCTGGGTCTATTCCTTTAATCATGTGGAAGGTGCTTACTGCTTCGAGCAAGCCATTTCACATGATCCCGCTTGTGCGATGGCATACTGGGGCCTCGCTTATGCGGTTGGCCCGAACTACAACAAGCCCTGGGAGAAGTTCGACCAGGGTGACCTCCACACCTGCGTTAAACGAGGATTCGCTGCCTCCCGAGAGGCTAAGAAACATGCAGTAAATGCGAATGATGTTGAAAAGGCCCTGATCGAAGCCATCCAATTCCGGTTTCCAAGCAACGAGCCCGTCAAGGACTACCCAGCAGTCAACAAAGGCTATGCTGCCGCTATGAAGCCTGTGTATGACGCCTTCGGGCGCGATCTCAATATTGCAACTCTTTATGCCGATGCATTGATGAACATGAACCCCTGGGCACTGTGGAATCTCTTTACTGGCCAAGCAAACCCCAAAGCTCCCACCATGGAAGTGAAAGCCGTGCTCGAGCGGGCACTTGCTCAGAAAGAGGACGGGGCGTACTACAATCCCGGTCTGCTTCATCTTTACATTCACTATATTGAAATGTCGCCTACCCCGGAACTAGGAATCAATCCGGCCGATCAATTGCGGGATCTCATCCCCGACGCAGGTCACGTCCGTCATATGCCCACGCACCTGGACATCCTGATCGGTGACTGGAGGCGATCCATTTCTTCAAACTACAAGTCCACTCTGGCTGATGACAAATTTTTTCATAAGAATGGTGCAAAGAATTTCTATACTTTCTACCGCATGCACAACTACCACTCCTTGATTTATGCGGCTATGTTTGCCGGCCAATCTCAAACTGCCCTCGACGCAGTCACTCGCATGGAGGCCACATTGCCCGAGGAAGTCCTTCGGATCGAATCACCTCCCATGGCGGACTGGCTAGAACAGTTTGTTCCTACTCGCTTGCATGTAATGGTTCGCTTTGGAATGTGGGAGGAGCTCAAGCAAAAAGAGCTACCCAAGGACCAGGAACTTTATGCAGGTACTACAGCAACTACGCATTATGCAAGAGGCTTAGCTTTTGCCGCCACTGGCGACGTGGCCACCGCCAAGAAGGAGCAGGAATTGTTCCGCAAGGCGTATGGACGGGTCCCTAAATCGCGTCTCTCCTACAATAGTACCATTGTCGACGTGCTCAAGGTAGCCGAGGCAATGCTGGAGGGAGAAATCCAATACCGCTGTGCCAACTTTGACGCCGCATTCGCTTCTCTCCGCACTGCGATCGATATTGAAGATAAGCTGCCCTACGCGGAGCCTTGGTCGTGGATGCAGCCCGTCCGACACGCGTATGCCGCCTTGCTGATGGAGCAAGGCCACCTCGAAAAAGCGGCGCAGACGTATCGTGCGGATCTAGGCTTCGATAAGTCTGTTATCCGGCCTCGTCGGCACCCTAATAATGTCTGGTCACTCCAAGGATATCACGAGAGCCTAATTCGCTTGGGTAGAATGGATGAGGCGGCGGTGATTGAGCCTTCGGTTAAGCTAGCTGTTGCCGTCGCGGATATCCCGATCAAGGCGTCTTGTTTCTGTCGCTTGGACAACTCCCATGCGCCTCAGGTTCTCACTGGAGGCTCTGCTGAGGGTAATTGCTGCTGATGTATTGACTTCTGCTTTCTGCTTGTCAAAACTTCACTTCACTTGACTGAATCATCCATCCCAGTTTGATAGCACCACCAGGAAACTTATATCTGTACCTAAGACTGAAAGCATATTTCAAGGCGTCCAGGGACGCCATATACTTGAAGTGAATCAAAACTCACAAGCCTATCTTCAGGAGCCGTTAGTCTGCCTGTTGCACGAAGGGTTAGGTCTGGACTACCGAATCCATGTATCGATACAATTGGGCTTCTCCAATAGCCCAATTCGGAATAGTAGCCCGCAACCCGGTACGAGCCGTCAACGGCTAATTCTAATATTTGGCCAGGCGAGCCTATTAAAAATTAGACTGTTTCGGAGTCTGTAAAACCGTGCTCTTTGGAGCTGTAATCTGTGCCCTCTGCTATGTTTTGCTGGCTCGCGTATTTGAGAGGTCTTACTTATACTAACACGGTGCCCAAGACTGTCCGACTCGCTTCCCAGCCAGTGTATAGAGCATGTAAAACATGTGGTATGTCTTGTTTCAGGCTCGCTGTCCGATAAATTGCTACCTTGAAATGCCAGATGGGTCTGTGGAACCGTATTCCTTTTGGTAGCAAAAGCAGAAACCGGACACATCATGTCTGAATACCAAATATTATGTATGCCAGCAACTGCTACTCAATATTCGTACTTCAGTAGCAGGATGGCCTCGCCTGCTTCTAAAAAGAAAAAAAGGCCTGGAACATCATAGCAGGCTTATCTCTAGGTGGCGGCTTCAACGCCTGTGACTCTCTTGCAATTCCAAATACTTCCGTACTTAGTGCCAACCAACGAAGATTGTGATGAAACAAACCTATCAAGTTGTCCAAATCCCACCATTATCAACGTATCCGGCCACAAATGTTACCCTGAAGACGCTAGGACCACGGTGCTATTTGGAATCATGAAAGCCCCGAAACAATGGATCGCACATGGGGTTCCAAGCCCAGTGTAGCGGTGGTATCACTATCAGACCCAGATATGCTGTAGCAGTAACGTTATTCAATAGAGCAAGAGGAGAAATACAAAGTTTCCGTACTGATACTTGCATACTTTGATGCGGTCTTCATATGAGGCTCTCGCGGACAAATTCACGCCACTAAAGCACATTCCTCCTGGATCTAGAGTTTGGAAATCCAAAAGTAGCTTTCGGCTCTCATCAATAAGTACCAGAAAGCCTGGGGTGAAGAGAGTTTTGGCTGTTCCGACGTTGCAGTAAATAGGTATTTTGACAACATGAAGCCTCTAATATGACAGATCAGCAACATCATCTTCGGCAACAGATTTCGGCTTCTAAGGATATACCGACTTGGATTGGCCTCTTTTTCTGAAATTGACTCAAAGCTAATGCGTTAACGCTCGGGTGATTCATCGTACCTGGCATGGTATGCCGTGCTACACTATTTCGTGCCTCTGTCCAAATATAGGTTGAAAGGGAACGGGGATGATTTAATTCGCCTATGAATAACATGATTTATGTGATTCATATATCAAAATGACACGCGTGGTGATTGAGTAGGGTCTGTCAGCACATACCAGCTGTGCACTATCTGATCATGGAGTCTCGGGGATAATACTGAACTATCCGGGCAGTTGTAAAAGGTCCCAAAGCATACCAGTGTCTTTCTTAGTCTCGGTCAAATGGTACTCTGGCTTATCAGGATGATAGAATCGATGCCTGTGAAACGACATTGCTATCTTGGCTTGCCCAAGGTCGACTGCTCTATCAGAGACGTCATCTCCTAACCAAATCATATGATAAAAAGCCTATGTCAGTCTTTTGACAGCAACCTGTCGGCATGCTCTTTCAGTATTAGCAGGTCTCGTCGGGGAGGTCGTAACCTTATTGCAGATCAGCAATTCACCAATTTGGTCATTTCCCTGCTGCACGTGGTAACTTGTGACATTCAACTAGACAAAAAGTGACGAATAGAAGCTCATTCTCGTATGAGCCAACTACCGAATCTCTTCCCGATGCAGCACGGTGTGATCAGGATACACGCCTCCCACATAGAAACCTATCACCAGGACCCTGGGTCCTTACCGGTACGCAATTATATTAAATACAGTAACTGTCTCTTCACAATAGTGACCAAAGGTAGCAGCTTAACCAAGTATTATTACAGAATGATGGGCTGCAAACTGAAGTAAAAATCAGCTTGGGTGATTTTGAAAGTGTCTATAGAAGAGGATTAAATGTAATTTGGGTTGTCCTAGGATAAGGACTACAGTGATAGGGTTGGTAGCCTCGCCGAAACCTTTGATGAGAACCTTGGAAGCCAAATATGAAGTTTATCTGCCGATATCAGAGTCAGTTTAGCTTCATGTCGCCTCAACATTATAAATATCAGCATCGAACACCCGTCTTATTGGTTTGCGTAAAGTTTTCCCTTTCTTGAGGCACAAAGAGCTGTAAGCATCAACCCTGCATCTCACATTGATCACCTTACTATGACATCAGCATCACGCCAACAACCTGGGCTGGTAAGTTCATGCATGGTTCCTAGGCTGCTTACCCCTTGTGGTCGTCCAATCTTACCGTGATAGGCTTGTGAGGAATGTCGCAAAAGAAAGCTGCGATGTGATAGGCAGCAGCCTCGATGCGATCAATGTGAAGACTCGGGAGCTATCTGTTATGTGAATCAGGATCGGTCTCCACGGGGTCCCAAAAGAGGACATCTGAAAGCTCTACGCAGTCGTATTGGTACGTGACTCGCCTACACCTTACCTTGTCTGCACTCAAATGACTGACATCCTACCCAGCAACACTTGAAAGCATGGTTAATCGTGACCAGCTCAGTTATGATCTCAACGCACAATACACGCCCAAGGCTGAAGTGGGCCAGTTCCCTACGCCACCAGGGAGCACTTCTGATGGCACGAGAGAGTGCCGCAGTTTGTCTCGATCCGTGGAAGAAACACCACCAAGCAATGCGTCCTGCGCACCATCTATAGCTCTAGAGCTTGAGATATCAGGCATAATTGAGGCAGATTTGTACCTTACATTCTCTCCGAGACTGATACTCGCTAACAGCTGTACAGAGACCAACTCTACTTTGATAGAGTGCACCCTGTCGCCCCTATGCTGCACCAAGGTCGCTACCTGGCCTGGTCACAACAATGCCAGAAGATAGAGCCTTACGCCGGCCTGCAAGCTGCGATGTGGGCATTAGCTGCAGCTGCAACAGCACATCTGCAACACATGCGGGACTCACTGTATCTCTGTGCTCGTTCCAAGCTGGAGGCGCTCGATAGCCAAATCGAATATGCAAGCTCCGCTTCTTTACAGTCTGCACAAGGATGGCTCTTGCTTACTCACTATGAGTTCCGGTACATGAATTACAGCCGAGCATGGATCACAGCCGGACGAGCCTTTCGAATCATTCAACTGATGAAGCTGCATGAGCTTGACCGCTACCATACAACGGCCCTCGATCTAGCATTTACCGAGCCCTGGGCCGAGGTCGAGGAGAAAAGACGAACGTTTTGGCTGGCATATTGTCTAGATCGGTTTCTCAATATCTCAGACCAATGGCCTCTAACCCTACATGAAGACCCCGTGAGAGCGCAACACCCAATACCCTTCCCCGATGTCTCAAGCCATGCTAACACCAGCTCTAGATCTGGATATTCCTTCCAGCCCCAGAATCCGATTTCCAGCACGGCAGACCAGTTCTCATGGGATCCATATCCGATGCGATTGAAACATCCGGTCAAAACGCACTACCACCCTTCGCCGAGGCAGTTGTCCTAACAACACTATGCTGGCACGGTGTCAGTCTGAAAAGAACTCCACCAGCAACCAAACCCCCCGGCCTGGACCCTGGCATCGATCTCTGGGAGCACCACCACAGACTGTATCAAGTAGCCCAGCAACGGCTCATGCTCCTCTCCCTGCCACCGTGCTCACTAGAACTGCTAGACCCAATGCGTCTATTCGTGAACATGCTAGCAAACTCAGCGATAATCTGGTTCTACGGCATGATGGAAGTTTTCCGAGGAATTTCCAATGATCAAAGTATCCTTGTTCCTCTCTACTCGGCATACGAAGTGGCCAGTCTCGCAAAGCCGCTTATCCGATCCGGCTTTTTCACGGTGAGTATGACCTCTTCCCTGCAGGTCCCTTTGTGGCTGGTTCACATCTCACATGCGTTAAACATCCAGGCACATGCATTTTCCCCGATGTTGCTCTTTCTCGCGGCGAAGTTTCTCCAGACACATGGAGATCAGCTGGGTTTAAGTGGCTCCGTGGCGGAGGATCAGTATAATAGACTGGATGAGCTGAAAAGAGCGCTGATGGTGTTGCAAAATGGGAATAATTTGGCTATGAACTATTTGGATCTGCTTGAGTCGGATTGGTTTGATAGGTTGGGTGGCTTTGTTTCTGTGCAGGGGGATCTTTCAGGGGGGAACGGAGCAGCAGGGGTCACCTTGTGTTTTGGATATAATGAATCTCTTTTGAGTGATGCTGGGCGTTGGTGAATGGCCCTGATGTGAGGGTTACTATGGTTGTGCCCCGATTTGAGTTATTATCATCGAGTTACTAGTTCACTGCGAAATACCCATTTGCTTTTTCTACAGTGAGCTTGCAGGAGCACATGTCAGCTTTACTTTCCTATAGCTTGAGAACTGACGGAAATTTTGTTGTTTTCCATATCAAGTGAATTAAAAGGATAAGAATAATGCCTGAAACTGACAGGTTATTGAAAAAGGTAATACAGGCCAGCAATAGCAAGTCGATCCCTTAATCTTCCCTGTCTCTCGTCGGTGAAGGACCCATATCTGTCATTATTATTTCCTTCCACCCCCATATCATTCCATCATTCAGGCATATTGATCATGATCGTAGTCCGTATCTCATATCACCATTTGCTCATTTCCCAGTCACTCGGACTGTCGGTTGTGTGCGAGTTGCTCATTGCTTAAAGCGAGACAACAACCTTCTGAGCAGAGAGGCCCTTCTTGTGAGCGTCGAGAGCAGCCTGGACTTGCTCAAGACCACGGCCGGCAACGACGGGCTTCGGGACGAGGCGGTATCTGCCGTTGGCCAGTGCAGTAGGCAAGAAGTCGTTGTAGATCACAGTGCCGACTTCGTTGTGAACAAGGGAGCTGCTGAAAACGGGCTTGACGAGAACACCGCAGCGAATAGACTTGATGGTGATAGAGATATTCCACCAGGCGAGAGCGAGCATGAACAAGAAGAAGTGCCAGACAGTGGCGGGCGGCTTCTCTGGGAATGGAACGCTGACTTGAACGACCAGCTTGGAGCCCTCTGACTTGGCGAGGATTTCCATGCAAGCTTCAGTGGATTCATTGCCGATTGCAATAGCACCGACGGCTCTCTTGGTACGGAGGATGTGGAGGATGTCCGCGACGGCAGACTTGCTCTTGTAATCGAAGACGTGGGAAGCGCCCAGGGCTTGGACATACTCGAAGTTGGCGGGAGAGGCAGTAGCGATAACACCATAGCCTGCAGCTGCAGCCAGCTGAATAGCGTTGCTTCCGACGCTGGTAGATGCTCCCCAAACAATCAAGGTGTAGACAGTCGACTTTGGGAGAAGACCCAAGGCGCTGGGGTGGTTCAGGGACAAGAAGTCAGTCTGGAACATGGCACTCGCAGCAGTAGACAAGCCAAGAGGGAGGACACAGGCCTCCTCGTAGCAGACACCGTCAGGAATACGCGAGGCCAGTTTGGCATGCACGACAGTGTACTCCTGGTAGGCACCGTGAGAAGACTTGTTGATGGTGGGATCCATGGAGATTGCGTGCGCCAGGACGCGGTCTCCCAGATTGAAGCCAGTGACACCTTCACCAATATCAACAACTTTGCCAGCGACGTTATTTCCCATGATGAAGGGATATTTGATCCAGTTCAAGATGAGACCACCCAAGACTTGCTTGGACCACTCGAGCGAGTTCACAGCGATGGCGCCGTTCTTCACCACGAGCTCGTTCTCGCCGGCAGGAGTGTAAGGAGCCGACTTCACTTGGAGGGGACGCTTGCCGTGGGCAGGGAGCCAAGCAGCTTGGTTGGGAGGATAATCCATGATTGAAGGAAGAGTTGACGATCAGTAGAAACAAATCGGGTTGGAGATGGTGAAGAAAGGAAATAAACAAGGCGTTCGAAGATGAATGGGCTGAATGCTTGGATTGTTCACGCACGTGCCATATTCGAAGCCCTAAGCGTTTTCGGCATCGATATTGGGGGCAACTTCGTCTTCGCTTCCTCACTCGCACCTTCCATTGGATTTCACTTTGATCAAATGCACGGGGCTTATCATCAACCCCAACATACCACCTCAAGCTTTGCTAGCAAACTTGATCATGTAGTATGTGATCTGGATAATATCACAACTGAACTGTATCTTCAGCCAAATCCAGATGTCAGCTGCATGCTTATACCTTTTCTGTCTTGAAATCCACGTTTGCCATCTATAAACCCAGCAAAGGTTTTAGCATGATACATATATGCTGGGTCGTACAATGCATGCGAATTTTGAAAGGAAGATGCATATCAAGGCTGATGAGGATGCCCTGGAGTAATCGAATAAGGAAGAGACATTCGTTCCATTTCAGGAAACCGGGAAATCGAAGTTGCTGTTTATGCTATTTATGGATAGCTTGGCACCAAAATTGAGCAAAACGAAGGTTGTCGGAATATGTTGTACCGGGGTCGTCAATAGCCCTTGAAGTGATGATATCCCACTGCATATCCCATTTGTATCGAATGCTGTCAAGGCAATTCGGGCCAAGTGTGTAGATTTAGGCGTTTGGTTTGTCTTGAATGCTGCGATGATTTAGGACTCGGGGTCTCATGGAGATTTCTTGGGCGATAATGCCATAGTGAAGCAAATCCGTTGCAGTTCATTCGTTGCCGACAGAAGTGCTGATAGGGTCCGTTCAACTGTCACTGCGCTAGAATATCTGGGACAATGAGAAAGCTGCCCATGCCTCAAATTCAGGCTCTGCCATATTGGGTATAGACTCCACGTCCAATCCAGGTTCATTAGTGGCCGAGATGGTATTTGTCGACTTTTCGGCCTGTAAAGTTGAGCCCAGGGATAGATCTAGGCTTTTGTGAAGATCAATGAGAGCTTGTATAGCGATTGGCATTCGTTCCTTCAATTGACCTTGCCCTGCGTCAATATCACCGGCCGCTTCATTGTCGGGCGAAGACCCAGGGGATTGGTATTGTGCCACAACGAGACGTATATAATCATCAAGACACGATTGAGCTTTCGGGACCTCGCTTGATGTACGCGATTGTTGGAGATATGTCAGTGTAAGAAGTGCACATTGCAGGGGCCCATATTGGCCCTCCCAGTACCACGTATAGTATGAAAGTGCTGGGGTATCGTGAAGCCACTTAAAAACGCGCAAATATGCGATGCAAAGATGCACAATTCTGAAAGCTTAGTCAATGGTCTTGTGCTGTAAATAATAGTCGCATAAATAAGATCAATGTATACCTGGTCCATAGCTTTTTGGAGTTCAAGTCTTTTTCGACAGGAGAAACCAACACCGGCTTGTGTAATAAGATTGCTGTTTCAAGTTGCATTAATGTCAGCATCGCGCGGGCCCATCTTGTAAAGTCTGTGGGCTGGCTGGTCGCTTCCACTACTGTCCGTGTCGATATGCGGCCGATGAGGGTGTCAAGTGTTTGTTCAAGTTGTTTCGCATCCATGGCAAGATCAGAAAGCTTGTTCGTGGTCATATCTCGTGAGCTTTGTAGGTGAGAAATGATATTCGATTGCAATCGAGTGCTTTCGGATCGACCAATGGTGAATACTGATGGAAGGTCCAAGACTTCAGAGTTCATGACAGCTCCGTCAATATTTTCACATGCAACTCCGCTGGCTCCATCGATAGTATCACTTCCACAGCAAAGCGGAAGGCCAGTAGAAACGCTCGACTGCAGATCGAGCCAGACTATATGCCACCAAATCCGACGCCTCGTTTCTTGTTCCTTGTGGTTGAGGGCAGACCACGTTGCTTCACGGTGAAGCCCCATACTTTGAGCAATCCGCACGGTAGTGCTTATAGAAATGGACTGTTCCATGGAATCATAGGAATGACCAATGAATGGTCCTATTAACAGTGTCGAGACAAGAGTGTTCATTGTCGGATGCTCTAGATGACGAGATTGAGAAAGACTGGCAGTATAGTTGGTCTTGAGCTGCTGCAAAATCGTATCTTTATATTCATTTCGAAGCTGAGCGCTGTCCCAGTGAGTATCCGATGCGGTTGATGCACCACAATAAAGAATCGCAAACAGTAAGCAGAAAAACGTCGGGTCATCAATGAACTTTTGGGATGGCAGTGACTCGTCATTTTTTTCGCACCAGTTCCAGAAGTCATCGTAATCTTTTTGCAGGGTGCACCGGTCCACGAGAGGGCAAATGGGCCACACTGCGATGAAGAATACCTCAAGTAGGGCATCGCTAATCGGTCTGGCTGGCAAACTCTTCAGTAGACTAAACATCCTTGCAGCAGAAGCATATGAGTCGATTTCATGCGTAGAATGATGGCTCTTGAAAAGATTATTGGTTTGGGGTTCCTATAGATGCGCAATCGTGGTCAGTCTCCGGCAATTCCAGCCCACGTACAATTTTAGGGCTTTACCTTTCCAGCGATAGATCCCCAAAAGGCTCGTCCAATAAATCGGGAATGGCCATTTCGCTCGAAGGTCAAGTGGTCTTTGCATATTGGAACCGGTCTTTGCGCAGAGGATGACTCTGAAGTAGTAAAAGGGTTGAAATTAGATTTCGGTACAATCTTTTTGTTTTTCGAAGTCTGATCGGTATGAATCGAAGTTGCCCCTCGATTTGCGGGATAGGCTGATCGAAGATCAAGGGGCGAAGCATTCGGGGACTCCACTTCAGACCCTGGTGTTCCCAGTATCCCTGGAGCTTGCGCCCCAGGCCATACTCCCGTTTCTGATCCAGAATGATGATTGGTGGGTCTTTCATTGGACTGATAGCTCTGATCATCCAACGATGCATGTTGAACCCGGCCAGTAAGCTCGTCGCGTACCCCCGTGTTGTACACACAGATCTCGTTCATTCGCGTGCAGTTGGCACAGTGTGGGTGCTCACGACCACAGCGAACTTTGCGTCGACGACATACAACACAGCTGAGAGCCAGTCTGGGTCGTTTGATGGGTTGCTGATTCATGGGGAGATGTTCACGCTTGTTGGGTTCGTACAATGGAAACAAAGAGACGAGGCCCGGGACGCTAGACCTAATCGGGAGCCGATATTCGCCACCCACCACATTAACGTCTTCCGATGAAAGTTGAGAAAGGCAGGAGAGTATGAGATGAGTTTTTTTGTGATGAGTTTAATTTGATTTGCTTTAGAAATTCAAGGGGTTATGCAGAAAGTTGTATTTGCAACTACAAGCAACGAAAACTGCAATTCTGCCTTTGATACATAGCATCGAACATACCGGACGGGTTCGAATCCTGTCACTGCCACAAATTTTACCCTATATGCACTTGCCGAAGGCATTCTATGCTCCGGTAGAGCTAGCCAGGACCTGGATGGCAGGATCCGGAGCAGAGGTGGCTTACTCGGACAGCGTAAAGGACAGTTCGGGAAAACTGTCACTATATAGCCCGTTAGCTAACCTATCAGTACTAGTTGTCAAACTCGGCCCGCTAAAGCTAGCATGTACACTTTGTTGTAGCTATACGTATGCAACAGTTCGTTGTGATTTAACAAGGGCACGTCCCAAATTCCGGGGGACGCCCCGGATGGTCACAAAGATAAAAATATAACAAATAAACAAGCGACCAGATGGCCACTGGCATTTTCAACTAATTACAGGCTGAATTTGGTGTTGGGGAAAATGATGTGTACAACTAAAAGCTCTGAGTGTATCGACTTGCCGCACGCGTATTGGGGCTCCAACGAGTGTACTGTATGAACCATCATCACCATCCTATCTTTCATGAGTAGTAGTACTTTGCGATACTGATAATCTACAGCTTACACGGTATTCTTTACCTAATAAAAGAAGGTTTACACGCCCTACAGTCATGAACGTTAACTAATAGAGTGAAGGTGGTCTTCCAAACCCTAACCACGTGATACAAGAAGAGAGCATATAACTAGCATCCAACCAATGAATCAAAGTTCAATCAATATGTTGCAGTCCAAATGGCATCATAATTGCTATATATCAATATTTCCATCAAGTTGAAGCAAACACTCGTTTCAAATGCCTCATCAAGCCCAATACAGAAGATGAGCTGGTTGCCGAGCAGAGAGAGGGTACCAGCTCTACATGTTACCAAATTCCGTTCCCCAAAGCAAAGATAAGCTCAGTGTCGTATACAACTGAATGCAAGAAGATTGCACAGACGCGCTGTCTTTCTCCTGTCCTCATGCCCTGCCGCCTTTGGACTATCTCAAGACTGATCTAGGCCTGAAATCATTTGACCAAGTTATAAGTTAAGAGAAGTATGAAGAACCGTTTCATATGCTATGTGGCCTTCTGTGTGACCTAAAATCTTCATCAGGTCCTACTGTGACTACTTCCTCCAGATAAGATACCCCTATGGGTCAAAATCTCTTGAGAGAAGTCTCTTATTTTCTGCCTTCCAAGTGACCCTCACTCTTAAAGAGGTAGCTAAAAATAATCTCTTGGGGGCATCATTTCATGTTACCACTTCTAAGATACTCTACATAGCTCTGTCATAGACACAAAGTCAGTCTCACATCCTGGTATCACTCCCATTGAATGTCTCTGGTGATATAATCCGACATATCTGTAGTACGCTCTTGTTTGTCCCACAAAGGGACCATAGCCTCTAAACGGAAGAATCAGAGATATAGCAATAGAGGTAGTGTATTGCTCGAAATAGGAATGGAGAGATAACAAAGAGCGAGAAGCCCTTTTTTATGGTAAACGGGCTTAGGCTGATCACACGACATTACCCGGTGTTTCAACACCAACCTTGACAAGGATCAACTAAAGGATCCCCTCCTTCCTCAACCCCCCTACTTTTCCTGCCAAGGAGGGGTCCTTCTTCTTTAGAAACTCCATAAAGTTATCCATCATAGCAGTCTTAGTGGTATTCCACTCCTTCCATGGCGCAACCTGACTCGGCACTGTGGGCCCCGTATAAATCTTCAGCGGATGATCCAGTGTCTGCTGCCAAAGATACTCAAGTCCCACAGACGGCGGCGCTAGCATGGCATAGAGCTCGTTCCAGACTAGGTTGGCCAGAATGCGCGTCTGGCCCGAGTATTTCGAGCCTTTATCCTGAGATTCTTCCTTGGCCGTCCCGTCTGCACTTGCGTCTGCAGTGGCACTATTATCAAAGTCTGCGTCGACAGCCAGGACATTGCCTTGGAAGTCACCGTTGAGGAGGTCTTTGTTTTCTCTGTAAGAGGCGTAAAGTTGTTCGTCGATGTATGAGCCTACGCCCATGGGATCGGCGACAAGGAAGAATGATGGTACTATTTTCTCTTTCCACTCGTCAGAGGACCGGATCTGTTGGAAGTGTCTGTAAGCAGTGTTAGTTTCTTGCTCGTGTGAATCTTGGGATAGAGAGTTGAGGGCTGTCGAACCTCCTTGCTGCTGTGACCGGTTCCATTGAATCGAAGCCTAGTTCCTTGCTGTCGAACCAATGCAGTTTGAGAAGTGGCTTGATTTCGTCGGCGCGCTGGACATCATCGCCCCATGCCGAAAACTGTGCTTCCAAGTCCCGCCGGATGCCTTCCCACTGCTCATCGGAGAACTTGTCTACTGCGCGGTAGATGGCTAATCCGATGCTCACGTCCTGTCTCTCCTCTGGGGGCACGCTCAAGTTCGCCTCCTGCTCCACAAAGAGTTTCTGGATCCAGGGCTGTACAGGTGGCTGCGGTGATGGCACACGGCCGCGAATCTTTTGACGCAGTTCATCCTGTACCACTGTGCTGATAGAAAGGCGCTCGCGACGGGCCGCGTCACTCTGCGTCGCGCTTAGGCCTTGGACCTTAGCAGCCTCGTTCTGAGCCTCGATACATTGGGTGAGTCGCTCAAGCAGGAGCTGAGAGAAGCCGTAGCTTTTGTCTTGGCTCGCTAGGTCGGGATTGTGTAGCCCAGCAACGATCTCGGAGGGTGGATTGTAGCCGTTGTACCCATCCATGGATATCCAAATGTTGAAATCTGCCATTGACACAACGGAAATGAGATCAGACCATCGCTCTGTGATCAGTTCCATTTCTGGGGATTCCAACTTGTCAGCTGGGATCGCAGTGAAGCTGTCCAATAACTGTTCGCGTAATTCGGTAACGCGGGCCAGGATCCAGGAATGGGCGGTGCTGGTCATGACTTCGTACTGAGCGCGAATGAATTGCTCCCAAAGCGCAGTAAGATTAACCTCGGGAGAAAGGCTGTCTTGGGCCTTGCGCAGTGCATTCAAGGCGTTCTGCGTTTCTCTGAGGTCACCGGATATTTTGTTGAAGGTGTCGCACATGCTAGTCCGGCACTGAGGAATATTGAGATACTCAAAGACAGAAATCACAGAGGTCAGGTATTCGTGCGCGATCGTGAAGTGGTCCAGGTTGTTGAGATCTTTTTCGCGCCATCGCGATGCAGGCACGGGAGCGAGGCCTCCCCAGAGGCGATTTTTGAGAAAGTGAATATTGTTTCCAATATTGCACAGCCCGCTCAACCCCTCGGGTTCCAAGATGCGACCCATCACTTTGACTACAGTGGGAGTGTCTTCTTTGTTGAACGGCGCAGCCGCCCATTGTGTACTCGGGGCGACGAGCAGATGTAATTCAGCCTGGTTCAGTAAAGCTAAATCGGTCTTCTTCCCGTTTGGCAAGATACCATACACTGCGAATTCGAGAAAATTCACAATAGCTTGCGGCGCAATCAAGGCGTCCACTGATTAGGTTAGTGAGATGACAGTGACGCAATGACAGTAGAGCCATACCAAGTGTGAAGTCCTGCCTCATCCAATGTTTTTCCGTAAGGCTTGATCCCTTGTAATTTATAGGCTCATGACTAGGACTTGTCGCATTGGCCGATGAGCCAGAATCTGTATGGGCATATCGCGCGATATTGACCTGTTTTACGCGGCAGATCCCACGCGCGAAGTTCCCGGTGCGATATGCCACCAAGCCAGCATGAGGATTGGCTCTCGCAACGCGAGTTATCGTGCGGGGAGATAATTTAGCGAAAATCTGGCGGTTAACCTGTGGCAGGCTTCGGGAAAACCTGGCGGCCATTGTGCGTATGATCAGCTTAGGCTTGGAGATTGAAGATGGCGATCTTGGCAGAAAAGCTCGGGTGCGGGAGTTCGGCCATAAATATTGGAACCCCTGGAGCCCCCTTTTTAGCAACAGAAACAGAAGGCTAAGATTGGTGCTAGCCGGTCAAAGCTAGCCATGTCTTTTTCGTTTTGGCTATATGAATTTCGAGTTTCACAATTCTTGTGTCTATGGCAAATCTTCGACTATATATTTGGACCTAAAAATTAGATATTACGGCTCTCGTCGTATGCATATTACCGTTCTACTTCTAGCTGCTCACTTTAAGTCGGAGTTCATTGACGTTCTCCTTTGGTAATGCCCTTGGTAAATTCCCAGTGAAATGGGCGAATTTGGATTATGCCATAAAGAACAATCAGATAACTTTTTGTCTAACTTGGTATGGTCAGTGATGATTGAAGATCGCGCATTGTAGGGTCTTACAAGCGCTATATGATGAGAGATGATGAAGCATATAGTCAAGTTAGATAGCTTTAGATGTTGATGCAAACGAGGCAAGCTTCCCTTGCTCCACACAATGTTGAGATGATCATTGAATGTCCTGTAGCCACCCATATCGCGAGACCGTTGGGCTGGAAAGGGGACGAAAGCTCAATGAGACTACTTGTCAGACTATGTGTTCTGGGAGTCCTAAATCCAACCCTTCTTGTCCTTTTTCTAAGTCCATTCTTTGTCAGACCTGTCATGTGAGATTGGGGTAGATCTTGAAACTCGTCAAAGTGGTGGGTGCTTTCATGAAGAGTCAGTAGCCAAGCTTCCTAGGGTTGATATTGAAAGAAGCCGCTTTCGGTAAGTTCCGAGATGTAAAGATAGACAGATCCAACAAAGAGTATTAAAAAATATCCTCCCCCATGTTGACCTTCAATTGCAACCACATTCCTTTGTTGGCGGTGGCGGAGGACTCATCTCGACTTGGTCTACCCAATTATCTGACCTGCTATAATAAAGAATGGACGCCTTCCTGCTGTTCCTTGAACCTCAGACTCGGAGTCTTGCGTTTCATAAACCCTCACCCATGTCCTGGATCAATGAATAATCGATACCCTGGTGCCTCTCGTGGTAGGGGAACGTCTCTCACGGCTCTCTGTGAGACTATTTAAAGGCCTCAGATATATCAGTGAGTTGATCGCCTGTCGAGTAATCTACACCAAATGAAGTCTTCCCAGAGCGTCATGTTTCTCGCGCTATGCAGCCTGTTCTTGATCCAGGCAGCAATTGCATTGTCTGTAGAACAGCCTCGGGTGAACACTATCCATACCGAAAGATATTCATTGCAATATTCTATTGTCACCCCGAGCTTGATTGACCGTCGTGATGCTGGCAACTCCAATCCTATATGCGCCTCCTACATCGTGAGGGAGGGTGATACGTGTGCCAGCATTGCCGCAAACTGCGGCATCACTACCGACTTGCTCACCACTTACAACAAGGGCGTGGACTGCACCAAGAGCGCCGGAAAGCCGATGTGCTGTTCCACAGGAGGAACTCCAGTTCCACCGCGAGAATTTGGAGGTGTCTGCTACTCGTATACCATTCGAGGCGAAGATACCTGCGATCGAATTGCAAAGGCATACGGCATCACTGTTGCCAATATCGAGGCCTGGAACAAAGAAACATGGGCCTGGTATGGGTGTGGTGACCTTCAGATTGGTGGCAAGATCTGTCTCACGGAGAAGGGTGTCCCTCCAATGCCGGTTTCAATTCCTGGTGCTGTCTGTGGTCCGCAAGTACCTGGGACTGCCAGTCCTAGCCAGTGGGACAAGCTTTCCTCGTTGAACCCCTGTCCCTCAGCTCAATGCGTGAGTCTTGATAGTGCCTTTCTCTGAGATTACCGCTGACAGTGACGAAGTGTGATAGAAAAGGACAGTGTGGTACTGGCGCAAACTTTTGCAGCGCAACTAGCTCGACCACATCGAAAGCCGGCGGAGCCACCTCTCACAAAACGCAGGCTGGTGAGCCTACAGGTAAAACAATAACCTCATATACCACAGTGAGATCCACTGAAATAATAAGTTTAAACTCAGCACCCGGCACTAATTCAGCTCAGTCTTCGAGTAGCACGAAAGCCACCAGTTCCAGCTCAACCAAGTCTACAGCTACTGCCATTACGAGCAGCTCCAGTTCGACGACCAGTTCAAGCAATACTCTTGTCAGTAGGGCAAGCAAGACCTCAAGTGGTATCGTAACGGTGGAATCGGGATGGATGCTGCTGATGTACATGGAAAAGGGCTGCAATGGGGATTATGTGACCCTGCAAGGCCATAACAAGAATCTTGCTGATTCCGACTGCCTCGTGATACATGGTGGCCTCAGCACCAACATTACAGATGAGGGTGTTTCATGTCGTTACTGGGTGCAGGAAGGGTTGAACTGGAAGAGCTGTGACGAGAGTCCCAAAACACGGCCTGCATCATGGAAAATGATCAATGGTCTCTGTACGGTGGTTGATAATGACAAATGTGACAACTACCACTCTATTGGCCAAACATATGGCTGGCGAGGAAAGGGAGGCCCTTGTCAGAACGGGGGTAGGAGAGGGGACCCTGAGTCGTTCAACTCTATGCAGTGCTATGTGGGCTAGTAAGATGAAAGCGGAAGATTGTTCCCTACGTAGGATATCAGATAGGCAAATATATCATTCCATTCGTCTCAAATTGAAGTCTTTTCAATAGCGCAAGGAGTATGCAAAGGAATAGGCAGCCGAGTGGCGATACGAGGTTTTCCGCTTGAGCCTCATCTCAGCCCCCAAAGCCTCCCATAAAATCCCAAGTTTTCCCCCCAAATCTCTTTTGTTTGGTTTTGTTTACTTTTTTCCTCTTTCAAAATGGGTCTCCGTAATCAGGAAGTTCCCGCGTCATCGTCGCATTCGCTCCATTCTTTGGATGACGCGCCGCCACCTTACAGCGATGATCTCGAGTCCTTCCCCGTTCCGCCTGTCCCGCCGGCCCCTAACCAGCGTCACATTGAGCCCCTCCGTCTGATCGACTCTGCCTACGTCCTTCCAGGCGGAACCGACATTAGACCATATGACAAAATCGCCTTGACACTCGCGCCGAACCTGTCGACTAACAGCGATGAGCTCTTCCAGGCCCTCAAGAAACAGATCAAGCTGCCGTTACGCCCTCTCTTCTACGTGAAAGGCTCCCACACCGAGTCAAGCAACAATGGAAAGAAGGACAAGAACAGCAACACCGTGACCGACTTCGAGTTCAAGCTGGATCTCGCCGAGACCATGCTTACCGGTTGGGAGGGCCGGCCGATGGCGATAAACTGGATGGAGGTCGAGATCGTCACAGATGAGGACCAGAAGCCGGCCTACCGCGGAGGCATCTGGCGCTCGCGCACATACAAGCCCCCCAAGACGCGCCAGGCCATCGCTCTCGGTGATGACACCAATGCCCTCCTTGGCGAAGACGCCAACGCCGACGGATCGTTGAACAAGCTTCAAAGCGCCCTGAAACTATGGTGCGAGCGGTTCTGCCAGGATGCTGCACCCGTGAAATCGTACGCTCATCGCCTATTCTCTTCCTAAGGCTCCCTCACTGACCAGTCTGATTAATTGCAGGTTCACCCTCCACCGCCAACTCAATGGCTTCAACTCGAATGCCCTGCGCAACGTCCTCTCCTCCCACATTCGTGAACTCAACTACCGTGGCTCCCTCGACTTCTCTTTCTCCACTGCCCACAGCTCTGTAACAATCTACTCTCCTCACTGGATCAACCGAGTCCGCGCAAACCGCTACGCCTGGTGGATTATCGTGATTCTGCAGCTCTGGATAATCACCTGGCCCATCATCTTCTTCATGGAGAAGCGCTATGAAGTCGCTCACGTAAAATGGCACGCATCTCTCGTGCCCGAAACCGAGTCTGCGTTGATCAAATGCTACGCTCAAGGCCGTGATGAGTCTGCTCTGGGCGAGTACTGGGCGCCTGCTGTGAAGCAGGCTGCTTGGAGTCGCCGACGTGGTGGAGGTGATGTTCTGACCAGGATGGATGCTGAGCGTGTGCAGGGTTATTCTATGCAGCAGTTGCTTGGCATGCGTACTGATACTTCCGATTCTGAGCGGGAGCGTAGAGAGCGTGTGAGCAATGGTACCGGTGGATTCGTTGATAATGTCGTGGGGCTGGTCCGCGGTGTTAGTGAGGCTGGGCAGGATTGGAGGATGTCCATGGGATGGGGTGCTAACTCTTAGGCTTGCTGTTCTGGGAGCTTCCTATATGATCTAGCCCTGGAGGTGTTTCGATCAGACTTACAAGCTCATCGAGGGAATCGCGGGCGACTTCAGCAGGACTGCAGTCTAACACCCTCAAATCCTGCATCAGACTTACTGATCTCTTCTTTTATAATTATTGTTATAGTCATAAGCACATGTCGAATTCTATGTCTTTTCAAAAATTGCTCTTTCCATGTAGAATGCGATCAAAGTCTAGACCATGTCGTCACGCTTCATCTGCAAGCTCTAAACCCCCTTCCAAGGTTAGTATCAAATTAGGGTTCGTCTCCCGAACTAAATATCGGAGCCTGAGCCACCCCAAGATATTGCACATTTGACATTCATCTCATCTTCAGCCTTGCTACAAATCTCGATCAAACAGCTCCTTTTCAGCCCAACATGGCTATCTTCTACGACCTCACCTCCCGCGGCCTCGAAATCTCGACCAGTCACTGCCTTGCGGACGATGACATCGTTCAGACTGCGACCTGTGTCATACAGTCCTTGCTTCTCATAATACTAATTCACATCCTCCTTACTTTGGCAGTACTGTTGATAGACACAATCATCCAACGACTCGGCCCATTGTTCCTATCACTGGTTCTCGATACGTGCGTGGGACTAGAAGCACGCTGCGACGATCTGAACTTGACATGGATTGCATGGCTGCTCAACATATTCTCCAAGATATTCACTACTGCAGATGACAGAAAGCAACAAAAGGAGCTAATCAAGGAAAAGAAGTCTGTTTTATCCAAATATGACGCTCACGAACGGCGATACGACTACCTGGTCCAAACACTCCACCACCTGGAAACGCAAGCAGCACTTGAAATCCTGACTGTAGCCCAAATCCAAGCCACCTGCAACCTGGCATTCGAGTTGTCGGCTTTCCGGTATGCGGTTACGGATACAGTGAGTGAGTTCCGACGACTTGGCTTTCATCGTCGGAATGGAGCGTGGATACGTGCTGATCGACGGGCCGATGACCCTATTCGGCGGACTGCCGGTCTATGTATGAGACTGGGTGGTTGCTGTGCTTATGATTGTGGCTGTTGTCATAATGTACGAGATGTCGTCTCCCTCGGTGGGACGATGTTGTGGCATTGTACCGATCAATGTCGATGTTGTGACAGACGACAACAGAAGATGGTCTGGTCAAACATAGAAAGAGAAAAAAGCGCTAGATTTGATTCCGTCAGTCGATGGGAATGAGTGCTTGTGGTTTGGTGCTGCTATTTTGGCAAGCTAACTCTTTTGCTTTGTTTATGGCTGTCTCGCTTTGTACGAGGCCTTTGCTTCGACGGCGAGTATTTCTGGGCCGATATATATAACTTATAGTCCTTTTTTTTGGTTTTATTTTTGGGCTTCTCTGTCATTTGCTTCAATTTGCTTTGTTCCCACAATTGCATTTCTATGGTTCCTTGATTTGGAGAACTGCCACTCAATGCTACATGGCTTCCCTTGTCGATGCTATTTCCTTTATCCTTCGTCTACAAGAGCTTCATTCGTATCTGGTATCTAGAGACTATTTTTGCAATCCGACCTCTTTATCATTGCTATATTCAAATCGAGAGATGGTATTTTTGTCCCATTGTTGGCTATAGCCCAACCGCGGTTTATTGTCTTTTCCTTCCTTTGTATACCGATATAGCACTTCCTCGATACAAGACCAGGGTCTTCTTTTGGAGATATAAAACCATTCAGATGTCTATACATTATTTCATCTTCAGCACCTCAAGCTTCTTTACTATATACTACAACTCCCGATATATTCTTATATACTTGCAACCATGACTGCCACTGGAACACGGACCAAAACGGCTCAAAGATTGAGCACAAAGAATCGAACAACGGACGGAAGGATTCGAAAGGCGGGCGGAGCTGGCCATAGAAGAGTAGCTGGGGCAAATACGAACCCGACTAACACTGGCCCTGCCGCAATCGCTGCCCAATACAGTCAGGAAGGAGCCGATTACATGCAGTGGATGAAAGAGGTAAATAATGCGAACTGTAGGGTCCCATGTCCTATCAATCGATCAACCACTCAATGGAACAATCTCTTTAATCAAATTAATCCAGCACAACAATGGCAACAAGTGTCGTCAGGAACCGAAGGACCCAACGCCTGCGTGATTAACACACCCAAGGCTCGAAACCGGGACATACCAAAGAATGCCAATAGTTATATCAGACGACATATCAATCATACGTCCACTGGAGGCCAAGATAATTATGAGCACTCGATGTCGGACGGTGTCATTTTCACCCTGGACGCCATGCGAGATAGATCGGCGAACTCTCCCTATTGGTCCGAGGTTGCTTTGGCGCAGTATCAGAGAGATTTTAGTCTTGGGGACCTGAAGTATATCTATATCGTCGATTGTACGGAACCCCAGACGTTGAACTTCATCCGGCAAGCGCTCTATCCTGGGCTTGATCGCCGGGTAGATAGTTCGGCTGTCCTCGCTGTGTATCCCGATTCTCTTTATTTTAATGCGCTTATGGGCGTTGTTTGGGGGAAGTCTGTCGGGGCGCTTGTTCTTGGGGCCTGGAATCGAGGCACGCATACAATTCACAAAATTCTGGTTTGGCAAATCGCTGGGCACTTCCATCTAAGGTTTGATATTCATATTCCATATAATCTTGTTCTGCGGCGCAAAGGCTGAAGTGCAGAAGCCGGCTTCAAACCCTGAAACGAAGAAGTTGGCTTCAAAACTTGACTTGACGAAATAGTCGGCGCGGGTCAGATACTACATTCTTTCCCTTCTGCTACGTCCTACGCAGCTTATACTATAGGTCCCAGTAGTGGATTTGGTTCAGATTAGGGGGAGGGGGGTTGCCCTTATGGTGGATAACTGATGATATTTCCTTGTTTATATGTTCCGATAGATTGTCGATTTAGATGAGCAATTTTATTTCAATATTTTCAATCCATAAGTTTCAGCACTGCATAACAATCTCTCTGGGGGTTTGCACATCTCGAACTTGACAAGATTCAATTACTGATTTGAGGAAATCAATATGTAGTAAAAAGAGAGTGAATTAGGAGAGGCCTTGGAAACGAACGAAGGAAAGGATATTAACATCAATTCCACGGTGTGTATTGTGTAAACATATAATATAAGCCAAGGTGCTCAGCAAGTGAGTGGGCCAGATGATCATATACCTTTACAACCGACGTTTTTAACGGGTGAGTGTGTGTACGTCTTGGTTGTTAAGAATTATGGGTGCTGCCATGGCCCATGCCATGCAGGTGGCAGTGGACAACTGCCACGATTGCCCATCATCTGAGAATCGGGTTAGGTTTAGCTTGAGGAGGATTTAAGTATAAATGAGGTTCTCTATACATTGGTGAATCTCCAGGCTTAGATATCCTTAATCACTTTTCTCCTGCAAATCGCATACACATCAATCATCATTATTCCCTACAGATGTCGTAACTTTTAACAGTGATAAATGAGAATAAGTAGTTTCTGTGAAAAGACCGAGGATTCGATCACTCAACCAGAAAGCAACGCTACTGAGCAGGCTCAGGCGTATTGCTCAGTTGAACTGAATATCCAGCTAGGTTGACTCGGATTATCTCGGTATACGGTATGTCTACAAAACTAATGACAAACTGTAACATAATAGCATATGATCAGATTTCACCATTCACATACGATCTATTACATCAATAAATGCAAGCTAAGAGCAGTGTATGTCCCATTGAACACTAGGCGTAGATATAAAAGGCCTGCTGTACACCAAAGTAAATCATCTCGCCGTCCCAAAATTTGCCAAGCACACACGAGGTATCACCTCGTGTGCAAAAAAAGAAATAGCCAAAAGAAAAATTGAAAAATAAAGATACAAGTCAACCAAGAAAGCGACCAAGACGAAGAAACCCCAAAGTCACAGGTGGAGAAGCATTACAGGAACAGGAAGCCAGCGCCGAACAGAGTCGACAGGACAGTCACAGCGCCGACAGCAACGGGGGCGAAGGAAACCTGCATGGGCTTCAGGTTGGCGGCGGCACCCTCGGAGCTGGTGGAGCTGGCGGCGCTGCCACCGGCGGTGGCAGAGGCGACGGAGCCAGAGCCGGCGCTGGCAGTGCCAGAAGAGGCAGTGCCGGAGTTCTGGGAGCCCTTTCCACTGAAGCCAACACCCTTGCCGGCACCGTCGGTCAGGTACTTCTTGGCGGGGGAGGGCATGGCGGGGAGAGCATCGGTGTCGACGTCCCAGTTGGGGGCGTTCTTGACTGGGCAGCCGGAAGCACCACCGGTGGAGTTGTAGTTGCCGTCGCCGGTGGGGTTGTCGGTCTTGTCAAAGGCGGACTTGAGAGCGTCGTAGTCGTCGAGGGTCTTGACGTCGTCACCGGAGATCTTGACGAGTCCGTACTTGTTGCCGGCCTCGCTGTACTCGTAGACGAGACCACCGGAGTAGACGCCGGTCATCTTGGTGGAGTAGAGGGCGGAGACCTCCTCGAACTTGCGGGTGTTGGTGTTGCAGCCGTACTCGGAGAGGAAGAGGGGGAGACCGTAGCCGGTGAAGTTCTTGACCTTCTGGTCCCAGCCGGAGGTGGTGAAGGAAGAGGGGTCACACCAGGAGTAGTCGTTGAAGGCGAAGAAGTCGGAGCGCTCGTCATCGGTACCGCAGTTCATGTACTCGGCCATCTCGAGACGGTTGGTGTCGACATCGGCGGCGGAGTAGCCGACGGGGACCTCACGGAGCTTCTGGGCACGGAGGTAGGTACGCATGTCACGGGTGACGGCCTTGACGTAGGGAGCGGCCTTGGAGGAGGGGCCGTCGTTGATGACCTCGTTACCGGAGAAGAAGGCCAGGGTGTTGTCGTACTTGGCGAACTTGTCCATGGTCGCGAAGATGTACTGCAGGTAGACATCGTTGTAGGACTGCTTGGGCTCGGCACGGTTCAGGGAGTACTTGGGGGTGTTGACGTCCAGAACCAGGTAGATGCCGGCATCGGCGAGAGCGGTCATGCACTCGTCGTGGTCGGCGGAGTTGTCCACGGAGTAGACACGAATGGTGTTGAGACCGAGGTCCTTGAAGTTCTTAATGTCACGCTTGCAGGCGGTGGCATCGGCGATGGGGTCGGCAAGATCGGAGGAACCACCGGGCTGGTAGTCGACACCACGAATGTAGAAGCGGTCATCACCCTTGAAGAAGGCATTACCCTTCACTGTGATGGGGGTGATCTTGCTGTCACGCTTCATGTTGGTCGCGGCACCGAGAACGGTGGACGCGCCCATCGTCAGGGCAGTAGCCACAGAAACCTTCATAATGTTTGAGAAATGTGGGAACTGGGGGAAATGTGGAAATAAGGAAAATTGAATCTTCAGTATAAACGAGAGTCTGAAGGATTGAAAGATTGGAATTAAAGAGAGTAATGAACGACCGACGTGGAAAACGAGAGTGAAAGAAGAAAAGGTCAGGAACGTAGGGATGAAGGGGTTATAGCCCAAGGGTACAGGCCAAGGGTGTCTGGCAGGATCACTGGGCTGTGCTCCGCCAAGTTATTGGCTCTCATCCGACGATCAGACTGCAAGGGTGCAGTGGAGTCCTGCTGTGGGGGTTTTGGTACCCTGAAATGTTTAGGGGTTTTAGGGCAGTTATTGTGGCTGGTCTTAGACCGTGGCCGACGGGAACTGGTCTCATCCTGGCCTGGGACGTTAACGGGATATAACGTTCTTCTATACTTCACGACTGTATCTCACACGACAATTGCATCCCCTGGGAATATTTATCCCACATCGTCACAGAAGACCCTCAGGTAAACAAACCCTTGTGCCTATCCCCAGTGGACCCTCGCTTGGCGATGACGCGCCCCCTGTCTGGGCAGGGGATGAATCGGCCGATCCCAGGGGTCTCCAGGGCTCGACGGTAACTTATAGGGGTCTTACGGGTCTGACACAGGCCAGTCAGATTCTAGAATCCTGGGGTGATTTAATATCCTCCATTGGCTGAAACACCTCGTTATGCTCCACTTTCTCGGCTCACTTTGTGTTCTATACTTAGGCTGAGACAGGCGTCTGCCATATGCACCAATCACATGGAAAGTGTTTTGAAACCCATGGGAATACAGTACACAATTGAATGGACAACATTAACGTTAAATTTATAGGGCATTGAGTGACAAGTATGATCATGATCAAAATAAGGGTCCATCGATAATTACACTACTCCAGACGGACCCTTCAGATCATCACGAGAGATCCCCCTGGAATGACCTCATACTGTTTCAGTATCGCCCATTGTTTTGCGATATCCCAGCAATGACTTGAAATCCATCCAGAGGCCGGATGAAATCCCACGTAATGCTCCGAAACTCTCGACAACCGGCCATACCACACAAATCAAGACACTGATCCAGATCCAGATGAAGGAAACAACAACCCAGCCAGTAAAAAAGGACTTGGTATAAACGTAACTGCTCCCAAACAAAGCAAAGGGAACTAAGATCACAGCACCAAAGAAGAACACCCCATTGGCAGTCAGCGCGATTCGCTCTCCTCTTTTCACAAGAACTGGATCCATTGGTTCCACGTCATGAGACTCAAGGTAGTCAACAAGCTCATTCCTAGTGGCTGCAGCAGGTGAGACAACCTCACTCGAGACCGGAGGTGGGGTACTCTTCTCATCGATCGAGGGTGTGTGATCCTTGTCTGAAGCAGCTTGTCCAATGCCAGTCCCCGATGTAGGATTTCCATCCTGGACAGGCACCGCAACACCGGCCAGAGCCTGCGCATTTGGATCCGCATGCTTTCCGGGGAAGACAAAGGTCAGGACGACAGCCATGATGAATCCAACGCCAAAGGAAGCCAAGTTCCCGGCCAGGGCGTTTGTCGTGTCGCCCGTTGTCGCGACGTTGATCGCCCCGGACCGTTTGTAGGTTGTGACGAACCAGACGGTGATACCGCAGATGAAGCCGATCCAGGGCGCTGCAACGGCTGCGACCGTTGACATTGGCTCCCAGAGTAGGATCATTCCGACGGGTAATGCCGCGCCGCCGACGATAACGCCCAGAACGGTGAGAACCCATGTCAAGCTGATTCCTGCGGCGTTGAGGATGCAGCAGAAGACGGCGAGGACGATGGCGTATAGCACTATACCCCAATGGCTGACTCGGACTAGTGCTTCGGAGCTAGTGTTGGGGCGGAAGTAGGTTTTGTAGACGTCGAATGTCAACAGAGAAGAGACTGCGATCAATTCAGCGCTTGTAGAGCTGGTAACGGCCATGAAGAGGAGGATGAGCATCAAGACTGCTCCTCCCTTCCCCAACAATGCAATCGCTGTTGCTGGTGCTGAGAGACCCGATTCGACTTGGGCTGTTGTCAATGCATTTGGATAAGTCGGGAAACTAGGATCGCCTGTGAGAGCAGCGCATCCAAGGCCCATGATTGTCGCGAAGCCGAAGGGAATTCCTGGAACAAACAGGTTAGCATTTACATTGTGATGCTGGGTTGAAACCACTGAAGAGCCAACATACCATACCAAGCAAGTCCACCAAAGATATAAGCCTTGACGGAAGTCTCAGGCTTGGAGGCAATAGCCCGCTGCCAATAAGCCTGATCCAGCCAAACAGTAGTAAAACTCGAAACAAACAGATCAAAAGCAAAGATCAACCCCCCAACCGACCTAAAAGTCAAATACGAGCCCTCGACATTGCGGTCAATAGGCATCTTCTCCGACGCCTCCTGCAGCAACTCATACAGTCTCGCCGGACTTCCGACAACATCACTAGTCGTGATCGTCAAAAATCCAAACACCAGAATCGCCACAAACAGAATAACCGTATGTGTATAATCCGCAATAAACGTCGACCTCAACCCTCCAGCAATAACATACGCCGCAACCACAGCCGGGATCAAAAACGTCGCCGCATAAACATTCATACCAGTCAGCGCATCGACAACCTGCGCCCCACCCAGAACCAGACAAGCCCCAACCAGCATATTAGTCGCAAGGCCATGGTACAGATACGTGATGTGGGCGATGCGCCCATGCCGCGCCAGCACAATCTCAGGCATGGTATGAGCGCCGGGGGCCTTGGATTTGATTTTGATGGCGATCAAGCCGAACATGAGGATCTGGAGGGTGCCCATGGCGCCGTACCACATGGGTCCGCAGACGCCGTAGTTGTACGCGAACGTCGAGCTGGTCAGGAGTGTGGCGGACCATGTCCAGGAGGAGACGATGCCGGCGCTGATCAGGCCTGGTTTTACGGAGCGCGATGCGGTGTTGAATTCCTCCGCGGAGTGTGTTGAGAACGTGGTGTAGCGGTTTTGGAGCCAGGTCAGGCCGAGCATGAATAAAGCGAAGATCCCGCCGATGCCTATTACTATGCCGTAGCCTGCTCCTGGGGGCAGCACCTGGAGTTCGGAGCCCATTCTGTTTGGGTGGAATTTGGGTTCTGGTCGATGGTGCGTTGGGGGCCCTGTTGGGTTGGAGGTGGGCTTTGGTTGTTGCTGCGTGTTGTGCGCTCCATTATTTATATATGTTTCCTTATCGAAGGCTGGAAGGAATGTTCTATACTCCTCTCTTCACTCATTTGGATGGGATCGCCATGATAGCAGGTTACCCCAATTGATAAACCTATCATTGTTGGGGTCATTTGGAGGCGATAAGCAGGGATGGAGTCACGAATTAGAGTACTGTTTGCATCTGAAGGTCTGGAGATAAGCAGTAGATGCATCTGTGGATTCTCCCTGGGCTCTATCCCCGCAGGGCGAGTGTAGACTGCTCCAAATGCTACGGGGAATATCGGCAGGGACTCGGACAGAACAGCGAAATAAGCAACAGCGTTTTCGTTGGACTATAGTTATACAAAGCTTGCAGTAGGGTGTGACTCCGAATCAAAAACCGAGCCAATCAAAGCCGCATCTTAATCAGTGCGTCGCTTCTCCAATTTATTCGTCCCATGCACCCAGTCTAGCAGTCCCACAGTCCCATAGTTTAAATTGAACTTCTCGTGGTGGAGGTCATGCATCTTGGCTTTGTTGTGGAAGAAATCGTATCCACTGTGGACGGTGGCCGTATTGAAGAGCTCCCAAGCTAGGAAGATCCAAAATGTCAACACATGGCTGTGCAGGAATTGCGGTGGCAACGAGATGGGCAATGCATTGGCGAAGATTTGCTCGAGCGGGTGGGCAAATTGAGCAGCCAGTGCGATGGGAGCGGTGAAGCGGTGATGCTTCTTGTGGATGCGCACGTAGAGGAATGGGATATGCAGCAGTCGGTGGCTGTAGTAGAAAAGTACTTCGCGCATTAACAGGCTGAGGACGACGTCGCGTGCGAGCTCTAGGATGCTTGGCAATGATGCTTCGATGCGGTACGAGGGCTTTGAGCCTGCTTGACTGGATAGGTGTATCATTCCTATATGGAGTACAGACGAGAGGATCTGGTTCTGTGTTACGACGCTCAAGCAGCGGAGTATCTCGCGCCGGGTTGGTTGCTTGGGCGCTGGTTGGATCTTATGGCGTTCTGAGAAGGATGGTGCCATTACATCCAAGAAGAGGTAGCACAGAGATGGTATCCAGAATGCGACAACTTGGACAAGTAGCGTGCCCAGAAACTCGATTTTCTGGGGTGAGTAGTTGTTCACAATGTGGACCCAGAGAGCCGAGGCTCGTGGTAGCACCTCGTCCAGTGAGGAATGAAGCGCCTCCATGGCAGATGTTTAGCTCGGATTTAGTATATGAAATCTTGGACTGATATTCGATCTGAATACAAACTCTGGATGGGATTTATATATCCCCCCAAATCCGCTCAGTCCCCGCAGTGGCTATGGCTCGGCTACCCATTCGGGCTACCTGTTCGGACTACCAGTTCTGGCTACCTGTTCGATCCCATGTGAACGAAACCTTAATTCCCGTGTGATCGACTATGAGGCCATGAAGATATCTTCGTGTCAAGTGCGAGTTGAAGTTGAATAGAACACAGTCGATGAGGTTTAATCCCGTTAACGGGCCGGAAACGGGACCAAAGTAATAAATAGGAAGGCACACTGGTCGCCTCGCTTTCTCGTTTTTGACTTGTGCAATATTCTTAGCCCTCATCCTCAATACCTAAATTTCAAGGTAAGCGTCCCACAGACAAGACAGTAGCTCAGTTTATAAACTAATCTCAACCCAGATGTCGAGCTACATCGAATACACTCTAAGCTGGCTCTTCGCCAACGCCAAAGGCCGCGATGCCAAGCTCTTCTCCAAAAGCCCAGCATTCTCCCAATTCCCCAAACCAACCCTCAACCTCGAATGTCAAGAAGTAGGCTCCTCAGGATCCAACCTGGACGTGGAGCACTCCGCAGACGGGGTGGGCCGTTTCCCGACGCTAAACTGGCCAACGGCATCACCCGAGATCAAACAGTATCTGTTGATCAACGAGGATCCAGATGCGCCACTGCCGAATCCCATCATCCACGGTATCTACTATGGAATCCCTGCATCTGTAACGACCATATCCGCCGAGGATATCGAGCCTACCACAGAAGATGGAGTTCTTAAAGGTGGGTTCCGATATGGCAAGAATCGCAGGGGGAATGTCTACATTCCTCCTCGGCCGTTACTCGGTCATGGACCCCATCGGTACTTTTTCACCCTGGTTGCTCTGACCGAGCCGGTTGATCCTGCTAGGTTGAGTGCTTACCCCACTGTTGATGAGATGGCGCGGGAGATCGATGGAAAGGTTGCTGCATGGGGCGAGTGGGTTGGTGTGTACGAGAGGAAGTGGAAATGATTTCATCTTCGTTGGGGTTTGATCTTGCTCTTGATGGGGCTACAGGGGTCTTTTGTTAGTTTCTTCCTGGTGTTGTTTGTCCCATGTTGGGAATTGGTACTTTTGCACTCATATTCGTGCTAGAGGCGTTTAATATCATCCACTTGTGTGGTACATTGCCTTGCCTTGCCTTGCTCACTTTCTCTGAATACATAGTTGAGGCTGTTTCTCCTGTTATAACTTACTAGTATTGGCATGAGAAGGTTACGCTAAGCTTTCGGTGGTGTTCATCCAAGCATCAACACCTGCTGACTAGTAAGTCTTAAAACCTGTCGTGTGACAATTTAGTATGACTTGATTTGACTAGATATGACTTGCATGCATACATAAGAGCTACAGTAAAGCCATGTGTGTCTCAGTCCAACTATAAACATCGCCCGACGACACTGGAAAATGACCAGGTTTGACGGGAATATCCCGACAAAAACGCGGAACCTGGAAAAACGAAAGGAACATATTCTCTGAACTACTGAAAACATGAGTAGGTAATTTTACCGAGGACATGTCCTTCTCTTCTCCGATCAAATATGCTGCCAAGCACGTAGCTCGACCCCCTAATGCACCCAAGCCCAAGACCGTTACTGCACAGCGAGTCCAGAACCAGAGGCCCACGACAAATGAGACGAAAATGCTCATCCCAATCAAGAACGGAAAAATTTTGGATTTTCACTCTCAAGCATGACACAAACTGCTGTAAAGCCCCTGTTGCATACCGGACTTTTATACTTCACGCCATATTGATCCCTGCATGGTGACAGCTCACACCCACACCCGTGGACGGGACCAGGGCCCGCTTAGTTCGTATTGTTCCTGGTTTCTCTTGATCTTCGGGCGTGGGTTGGTGGGATCGATGGCTGAACCTTGAAGCTATATCCATTTAGTTACAGATCATACAAGGGGTGCGCAAGTTCGTTCTGTTTATCTGGTCCGAGAATTGAGCACTATAAAGGAAGGCCTGGGTCTGGGGGTAAAATGCAGACTGGAATATTTTATTCTGCGATTGCTTTTGGGTTGTGGGCTTGTCAAATAACGATTGACAGCATGGTTGCTTTTTCTTCTTTGCTTTTGGCTCTTGCGGTGGGCTCAGTTGGTGCTTCGTTATTGCCGCATAAGTTGGACTCGTGTGGACCGATCAACCAAGCGACTAGAAAAGAATGGTTGGTGTGCCGGATTCTGCTGTGTGGTTGGCACAATTACTGACATCGAATAGGGGCCAGTTGACGCCTGCCGAGCGCATTGAATATACCGACGCCGTACTCTGTATGCAAAAGCAACCTCAGCATCTCCCGAGAGAGGATTTCCCCGGCGTTCGGAATCGGTTCGATGATTTTGTGGCGTATGTTAGCTCGAGTTTATACTTCCCTCCCTTGCGTACTCACATGGACTCTAGAACCCACATCAACTACACCCTCAACGTCCATTACAGCGGTCTGTTTCTGCCATGGCACCGACACTTCCTCTGGCTCTGGGAGACAGCTCTCCGCGATGAGTGCGGATACAATGGACAACTCCCGTTAGTCAATCCCTTTCCGCCCGCCAAACTAACAACTAAAAACTAACAACTAACAACGTCAGGTACTGGAACTGGCCGCACTGGGCCAACAACCTCGCCGCCAGTCCCCTCTTCGACTGTAGCGACAGCTCCCTCTCCGGCGACGGCGAATACAACCCCGACGAAGTAAGCATCCAAGGTGGCAGCGTAACCCTGCCCAGGGGGAGCGGCGGCGGCTGTGTCCGCTGCGGGCCCTTCAAAGACATGGAACTCCACCTGGGTCCATTTTCCAGGAATCTTGCCTCGTTCACTGAAATCCCAGCTCCGGCATTTGAGTATAACCCGCGCTGCTTCAACCGAAGCCTCAACAACTTCGTCAGCACCAACTACAACAACGAAACCATCGTTGACAGACTGCTCGCCTCGACCGACATCGTCGACTTCCAGACTGTCATGGACCACTGGCCCGCCAACGCCGAGGGTGTTCTCGGCGTCCACGGCGGCGGCCATTTCAGTCTAGGCTCAACACTCCAAGATCTTTTCGCTTCACCACAGGATCCGGCTTTTATGTTGCATCATGGCATGATTGACCGGTTGTGGAGTCAGTGGCAGGCTCGGGATGAACGGCATCGCCGGTTCGCTTTAAATGGCACTAGTACTATCCTCAACCCGCCCGAAGGAATCCGGGTCACCTTGGATATGGACATGGAGTTCGGAATTTTGGATCGGCCGCGGTCGGTTCGTGATGCCATGGACCCGACCAGAGCTGGGTACTGTTATTCGTATACTTGAGCTTCTCATAGGGTGTAGCGGAGTCCAGCATTACCGTACGGAGTACTCCGCACATTGAAGATAGTCTTACCTAGTAGTCTTACCAGGGACATTATTTGGTGTGAGCCCCTCAAAAGTCAATAAAAACAATAGTTGACGACACGACTTCTATTTCTATTCTGGTGCTATTTTCAGTGAGACCAAGCCAATGGGGCTTGTGGATCCCGACACGAACTATCAGCAAAGTTTTCTGCGCAACAAGTGAACAACTGCATGTAACGCCTTACCACCTTGTGCTTATTCGGGTGTAATATCAGTTGGAATTGGCGTGTGTGTGTGTGTGTGTGAAAAGGTGAAAATGTGAAATTCCAAGGCAGCCAAGTAAGAGAGAGCAACGGTCCAAGACAATCCATCCATGGAAGCTAAAAAAGCCCACTCCGAGCGCTAAACAGGTGTTTATCGCTAGTGTTGAAAAAAGCCGAAAACAAGTAATCGACTTGGGGTTGCTCCTTCTGCTTTTCTGCTGCTGAATCGGGATATCGCAGCTTTGTTTATCTTTTCACTCTGCTCTGCTCTCTTTCCTTCTCTACTCTTCATCTTTCTCTCTCCTCTCCCATCTCTCATCTCCCATCCTCCCCCATCTCCCCCCATCTCAATCTCACCTCATCTCACTCCCCCAATCTCCAAATCGCCCTCTGCTTATCAGTCATGTTGCGTTTCAACTTTTTGCAATTCTTCTTCGTGACGCTGCTCGTCCTGTCTGCTGTCTTTGCAGCTGACCAGATCGAGGACGTTACTCCCCGTGAGTCTCTCCAGGAAGCGCTTGCCGACATCAAGGCCGCCTCGTTCCACGATGCTTTGCATGCTCTCTCCGCCAAGTTTCGCCATGGAATTTTCCCGACTGACCTCCACGCCGCCGAGGCGCTTCAAGACGAAGAACCTGCCATTGCTACTTTGATCCGTCTTGCCAAGCGTCAGACCAATGCCACTGCCAGTCCTGAGGCTACCACCTCTGTTGTTGTCGCCACCACCAGTCAGGCAGTCGAGCCCACCACTTCTGAGGCCAACCCCACCACTTCGGCTTCTACCACGGAGCCCACCACTAGTGTCGACAACACGACTAGTGCGGCAGCTACCACCGCTGTGCAGCCAACCACTTCGGCTAGCTCCAGCTCCAGCTCTAGCTCTAGCACTTCAACTCGCTCGACCTCCAACGACACCACCCTCACTACTGAGTCGACTACCAGTGCCTCTGTTCCTTCAACTACCCAGAGTGCTCAGACTACCCACTCGACTACTACCAGTGTTCCATCTACTCTGACCACTGCGGCAAGCACTTCGTCCAGCTCATCCAGCTCATCCAGCTCGTCTAGCACCACCAGCCAAGACACTACCACCACTGCCGCCCACACGACTCAGAACACCAGCTCTTACACCTCCACTTACAAGAGCACCACTACCATGCCCAATGGCAGTGTGAGCACCATCACCTCCATCACCGTCATTCACCCCACTGCAACTGGCTCTTCTGAGAGCAGTGGCAGCACCGCCCGCCCCGGTCTGCAGACCGGTGGTGCCTCGCTGACTGCCGGTCTGACTCGTGAGGTGATCGCCATCATCGGTGGTGCCATCATGGTCGCCATGGCACTGTAATTGTTCTCAATTTGATCTTCACCCGCCATTTGCATTTTTATCCATTTTACCGGCGTTTTCCAGCAACATCGCATCGGCTCTGCATTTCTTATGACGATTGTCATCCAACCATTCATTAGCACGACCCGTTACGACCAACCATGCCCCTCCTTCATTATTACAAGCGTTCTCGATGGGCGGCGTCATTTCAGCCATGGGGCATCTGATTCCCAATGTGGGACATTTACAGCGGACAGCACTCGCTAATATTTCATGTGATTAGTCTTTAGCCATCTTCACTGAAGATAATGCAAAAAGTGCTTCAATATATTCTTCCCCTCGTAATTGTAGATGTATCGGGAAAAAAATGTCGGAGATATGTAAGATGTAGATGATCGGAATGTGCAGAGGGGTATGGTATGCGCAATCAAATCTAACCAAAAGCAAGCCAAAGAAACAAGAAACAAGATCAAAATCACAAAACAATCACATAAGTCCGGTATAAAAAAAGCAATCCCCACAGACAAATCATCGCCCAAGATTCCCCGCCCCCTTCCACCTCTCCTCCCCAGTCCAATATCTCACAACACTCTCCCAAGCCGCAAGATCCCCATCCCTTAATAAAGCAGCAACATCAACATTGAGTGGTGAATCAGGCTGTGGATCAGTCAACAACTGTTGAATGGCTGTCAAAGTTGTCGAAAGCGTATACACCGGACTCCAATGCTCCGTCGTCAACAGCGTCAGACAGATCTCGCCTGTGCTGAAAGAGATGTTCGGGTGCGATATGCGCGTCGTGAAGTGGATTGTTGGGGGAGAGAGAGGGTAGTTGGATGGGATTGCGATCTTGAGGTGCCAGAGGCCATCTGGGGTTTGTTAGTGAGGGTCGGTCGGTCGGGGGTGGATGAGTGTGAAGCAGAAGCAGAAGCAGAGGCCGAGGCCGAGGGGGGATTGGAGATGGAATGTGGCGGTAGATCCAGCGGAGGAACTAATTGATTGGGAAGATGTGTGATTGAGTGCGATTCGACATACCTTCATACGGCGTCCCATTCACGCCCTTCAGCACTGCTTCCCAGCGTAGTAGGTCCTCATCGTCGACAGGGCCGAGGTGGAGAAGTGCCTCGTTTGGGGATTTGCTGTAGTCCTTCAGCTCGCGAATGAGTCGCTGTGTCGTGTTACTTGATGGTCCCGACATTGTGAATGGATAAGCGTGTATGAACGAGAAAGTGTAGAGACAAGACGATCGCGGGAGTTCGAGTTGGAGTTGGCGTGAGACGGTCTGCGCCGAGGCTGGGGTTCCGCTATTGCTAATCCACTCCATGTGAACCCGCGATCGTCGCTCCTCTCTACTGTACCCCCGAACACTTCGCGTTGTTCCTTCGATCCTGATAATGCGCACTTCTCGTGCCTCCAAAGACACCGCAAAGGTCTTGCAGGCTCTTTCGCCCCCTGCGCGACGCCAGACGCGCGGTTCTGATCGAAAGGCCAGCGTCTTGAGCGCTTTTGCCTACGGTGCCAATTCGACTGACAATGCGCCTGCTGTCCCGACCGTCAAATCTGAGACTACCTCCGTCCCTCCCAGTCTGTCTGCCGCTCGCAGCGACGATGAATCTTCCCTTTCCTCGGTCGATACGGCGGATATCGAAGACCTCCTTGAACCCCCCTTGAAACGTCGGAAGCGCAACGCAAGCCCTGCCACTACATCAACTACAAAAAAGAGTCCTCGGACACCCCGCAAGACTATCGTGAAGGATGAGCCTGATCAGAAACCCGCACCGAAACCGAGAGCACGTCGCTTGCCGGCGAGGAAAACTCGCGATGCCGACGGTTCCGTGAAGATCGAGCCACCGTCCAATTGGGAGATCATGTATGACACCGTCAAGAAGATGAGGGAGGATAATCCGACTGCGCCGGTCGATACAATGGGCTGTGCAGAGCTACACTGGCGTGCATCTGCACCCCAGGATCAACGATTCCAGACTCTCATTGCGCTGATGCTCTCGTCCCAGACGAAAGATACTGTCACTGCAGTTGCGATGCAACGACTGCACACAGAGCTAGGATCGGATTCCAATGCTGCGGCTACAGACTTGAAGCAGGAAATCGCAGAACAAGACGTCAAGATCAAGCTCGAAGACAATCCTGACCCACCTAAATGGACTATCGCAAACCAGACGAAAGACAGCACTTTGAATCTGACCAATATATTGGCCGTCTCGCCAGAACGACTGAACGAACTCATTCGCACAGTCGGCTTCCACAACAACAAAACTAAATATATCAAAGCTACCGCCCTCCTTCTTCGCGATAATCACAATGGTGACATCCCGTCCACGCCAGAAGGACTCATGGCCCTCCCCGGCGTCGGCCCCAAAATGGCTTACCTCTGTCTCAGTGCTGCGTGGGGTAAGCACGAGGGTATCGGGGTTGATGTGCACGTCCACCGCATTACCAATCTATGGGGCTGGAATAAGACGAAAACGCCCGAGGAGACGCGAATGGCTTTACAGTCCTGGCTGCCACATGAGAAGTGGCATGAGATTAACAAGTTGCTTGTAGGGCTTGGGCAGACGGCGTGTCTGCCGGTCAAGCGTAGATGTGGTGACTGCTATCTTTTCGGAAAGGGCCTTTGTATGAGCGAAGTGAAAGGGTCTAAGCCAACTCCTGGAGCTAAAAGAGAGCTCGGAGATGAAGATGGACCAAAGGTCAAGATTGAAGCTGTTTAGCTTAGCTGTGTACTTACGAGCCTAGACCCCAGATCTACAGGAATGGCATCTACTATAATACTACCCTTAGCTGCATCTTGACCGTCCGAGACGTAGCTCACATTACCATTGGTGCTCAGTGTGTCTCAAACCACCGCCTCCTCTGCACGGCAGGTGCGCATCTTCTCAGTGTCGATTCCCTCATCCGGCTTAGCGTTGTTTACGTCTATATATACGGCCCGTTGGCTTTCCTTTCTCTTCTTCTTTTCTTCCTTCTTCATCGTGTTTCCTCTGATATCTCTAAATCTCTGAATATTCACGCTCAAGAATATGAGTATTTCAAATGCTCTCTTCCTTCGGGGGTGACCATTTGTTCAATCGTCTTCGGACATTGAGAGGGATAAGTTTTTTGCTCTCTCCCTTCGTGGGATCTTTATTTTTCATCACTCTTTGGGCCAGTGGCTCGAGCTTGGAGAAGAGTTCTTTGGATGGGTGTCTTGTGCTTTCACGTTTCGTCGTTCACCTTTTGTCGTTCACCTTTTGTCGTTCACCTTTTGTCGTTCACCTTTTGTCGTTCACCTTTTGTCGTTCACTTTTCATCTTGTCCCTCTCCTCTCTTACCTCTTACCGTTCTTCTTACCCTTCCTCTTTTGTAGACCCTTTGCCTTTGTAGATTTCTACGTGCTACACCTCTCACCTTTCGTAAGTCTCTATATCATGTTAGGCTATGTCATGTATCTCAACTTATGTATGCAACACCCCTCGCTCCCTCTCCCCCAAATTATATTCCACTAAGCATCTCCCCCTTTATATCAGCTATTGGCTTTATAAACCAAGTGGAATTTATTGATTCCAATCGAAAACCAGCATCTCTAGAGAGAAAAAAACGTTGACCAGACCAGATCTATACAGCTGACTAACCAAATGATATCATCGGACATAAGCTTCTTCGAGCTTCATTAACCCCGTCCCTCCAGCACGCCCACCACAAAACACCTCCACGAACAAACCACCAACACGGGACAACCACTCATTCAAGTCCCAATCCAAATCGAAAGAATCACAGCGCTTTACCCTCCAATACCAGAATAAAAACAGCACAACCACCCAAAATGCCACCAGCAACCGCAATCCCAATCCCCCACTTCGCAGAAACACAGCTAGCCCTCCTCCTCGCCGAACACGACGCCGAAGTCTCAACCTCAAAGCTAGCCAGCACAGCCGCCTCTGTCTCCCCCCAGACACGCCGAACTCTCCAAGCAACCGGCTCCGCGCTCACAGGGCTCGTCCTCTCGCAATGCCGGACCGGTCTTGGCGGCCGTGTCGTCGGCGAGTTCACGCCCGATCCGGCGATTACGTCGGAAGAGTCCCGAGCTTCGGATGGGACGCCTAGGTTCTCTGCGCATGGATTGAGGGTCGGGGATGTTGTTCGCGTCAATGATGTTGCTGCTGGGGGGAAGAAGGGTGCCGGTGGGAAGGATGGGAAGGACAAGGACAAGGATGGGAAGGGGGGAGAAGGGTGGTCCTGAGGGTGTTGTTACCAGGACGAGTGATCGGGCTGTCTGGATTGCGTTTGGACAGCAGGGTGGTGGGGCACGGTCGAAGGAGGACGATGAGGCTGTTGAGGAGCTGTGGGGGAAGAAGTTGTGGGCGTATGTTCTTGTTCTGAATCTTTCAGTTGGCCGTCTGGTCTGCGTGCAGGTGCTGACTTTCGTGGCAGGATCAAGCTTGCCAATGATGTTACGTATAGACGGTATGCGATTGTCTGGAGATTCGCGTGTGGGGATGTTTACGTTTACTGACTTTCTGTTTCTGCAGGATGAGGCAGACGATGGAGAAGATGGTCAAGATGACGGAGTCTGATTATTCGCATTTCATGCGTGTTGCTTTTGGTCATATAACTCCCCTCCGGCCGGATGAAGAGAAGGCTGGCCCTGTTGAATTCATTGATCCGACCTTGAACGATTCTCAGAGGGATGCTATTCGATTTGCGCTGGCTTCGCAGGATATTGCTCTTATTCATGGTCCACCTGGGACTGGAAAGACGCATACTTTGATTGAGCTGATTTTACAGCTGGTTCAGCGGAAGAAGCGCATTCTCGTGTGTGGTCCATCCAATGTTTCTGTGGATAACATCGTCGAGCGCTTGGCTCCGAAGAAGGTCCCTGTTGTTCGCATTGGGCATCCGGCTCGTCTACTTCCTTCTGTTCTGGAACATTCTCTCGAGGTTCTGACGCAGACATCTGATGCTGCGAGCATTGTCAAAGATATTCGAAAAGAGATTGATGAAAAGCAAGCTAGCATTCGGAAGACACGCTCTGGTCGCGAGCGACGGGGAATTTACGATGACCTCAAGCAGCTCCGAAAGGAGTTCAGGGAGCGCGAGTCTAAATGCGTGGATAACCTTGTTCGCGAGAGTAGCGTTGTTCTGGCAACTCTTCATGGAGCAGGTGGCCATCAGCTCAAGAATCAAAAGTTTGATGTCGTGATCATTGATGAGGCGAGTCAAGCGTTGGAAGCACAATGCTGGATCTCGCTTTTGGGTGCAGAGAAAGTGGTCCTTGCAGGTGATCATTTGCAGCTTCCCCCGACTGTCAAGTCCACTGGTCAGAAATCCAAGGAAGCAAAACCTAACGGCAAGATTGAGGATTCACCGGATAAAGAGTTGTTGAAAGGCGTCTCCCTGGAACGGACACTGTTCGATCGTCTACTGGCGCTACATGGCCCTGGTATCAAACGCATGTTGACTACACAATATCGAATGCATGAGAAGATCATGCGCTTCCCATCCGATGAACTTTACGAGGGGAAGCTGATCGCAGGGGAGGCGGTCAAAGCCCGATTGCTGATAGATCTGCCCTACGAGGTACAAGGCACAGACGACACACAAGAACCGTTGGTTTTCTGGGACACGCAAGGCGGTGATTTCCCCGAGAAGGCGGAAGATGACGAGATGGGCAAGAAGGGTTTGCTTGGCGACAGCAAGAGCAATGAGATGGAAGCATTGGTCGTTGCCCGACATGTGGACAATCTGGTTGATGCAGGCATCAGGCCCGAGAGCATTGCTGTCATTACCCCTTACAACGGCCAATTGGCTCTCTTATCGCGCATGCTGCGTGAGAAATACCCAGGCATTGAACTTGGCAGCGTGGACGGATTTCAGGGTCGGGAGAAAGAAGCCGTGGTGGTCAGCCTAGTGCGCAGCAATGAGCAGCACGAAGTGGGCTTCCTCGGCGAGAAGCGACGGCTGAACGGTGAGTCCGGTCGTGTACCTGCAGAGAACCAAAACGGGAACTAACGAGGGTGCAGTGGCTATGACGCGACCCAAGCGACATCTATGTATCTGCGGAGATTCAGAGACGATCAGCCAGTAAGTACCTCATGCGCGCTGCGCCATTGACTTTGATGCTTGATACTGATCGACATGCTACAGTGGAAGCAGCTTCCTCAAACACTGGATGGACTTTCTCGAGGAAAACGCCGATCTACGCTACCCCGACGCCAGCGACATCCTAGAATAGACCGGCTATTATGGCCCCTCAGCAGGGCCTCGGAGGGCCCTCTGCGTTCCAGAAACTCCCCACTTTAGATTTACTCGATTTACTCGATTTTGTTGATCGATTAGATGTGGCGCCATGCAAGGACCCCCCCCCCCCCAAAAAGAACATCGTAGATCTCGCTTGAATACCCGAACTCAGCTAGGGCTTAGCACACCGTCTCAACTCGAAACCATACCCGTGCGAGACATGCAAAGCGAGGGATATCCCCCGGCTGATCATTGGACTCTTCTCTCTCTTACAATCTTGGAGATTTGGGGGCCGATGATCTTATCCGACCGATTGGCCCAGCACATACAGTAGGCAATACGGGTGCCACTTGGCTGGCGAGTTGCCCGACTCTTGTCTGTGCGCCTGTGTTTCAGGGCCAAAGATGAAGCCATACCCAAAGCTCAAGCCGCTGCCAGCTGCCAATACCATTGCAATCTCGAGCGGGTCTTCTGCTTCCAAGCCGTTCGCTGGCCCGGCTCCACTTGGTCTCGAAGCCAACGCGATATTCATTTGGAATCCCGACGATCCTGCAGTCTGATTCGACTTCTGCATTTCTGCTGCAGTTTAGGGTTGGGCCGGAAAAGCAACTTGCCAACTACTGTGCTAGCGCTGTGTTCAAAGCGCCATATGCTATCTTAAGGTCGAAGGCCGCACAAAAAGGCCTCCACCTTTCTTTCCATCCACTTTCACTGCCCTGATTGTGACTGTGGGGATAGCTTAAGCTGCAGCTCTTCCCCTTTCTTGTTTCATCTTCTTTTCCGACATTCGTTTTACTCGCCCCCCCTTTTTCGACTTTCTTTGATTTGGCAAACGCATTGTGTAGCCTTTGCCATTATGAGCACTATATTCTTTGTATGGTCGCGTTTGGTGTATCCGCTTTCTTGCTTCTTCGACTAATATGCGTTTGATATAGCTTTCTTGCCCAGTCCCACGAGCCGACTAAATTCCCCAGTCTTTCTTCGAATCGATTCCCGCTGAGCGGCCCTTTGCATTTGATGCCCTATACCCTTCGGTTTTCTTTTTCTTGACACTCGCTCACACTCATTGGCATTCGACTCTTTCTTTGCGACTTCTTGCGACGATATATACCCCCCATGTGCCCGTGACGGATTCAAATTTTAATGATCATCAAATTGGAAATCGCACAAAATCCTATACTTTCAGTCCTCGTCGCGTGAGAGCCTCCGTACCACAATCGCAGACATGTCGAGAAACGCTGCACGATCAATTGCTAGCGCTGGAAGCGAGTCAGTCGGGAGTGGGAGTCTGCGACAACAATCGTCGCCCGCGCGCGGAGAGCGTCCGGTCTCGAATCCGGCCTCTCACAATGGAGATAATTATGACACGGCCTTGCCCTCAATGGAATTTCACCCTCCGCCGACAATGACACATCGCAGAACGGGGAGCACCTTGAAAACAGTCATGCGGAAGATCTTTAACCGGAAACGACAGAGCCAAACCGATGGGGTAGAAGAAATGCCCTATGAATCGGCTTTTTCAAGGCCGCCAGTCAGGAGGGCTGGGCCTACTGGTCCTGGCACGAGGCGGCCATTCTTGGCTGTTCCTCCTCCTTTGAACTTGGCCTCAAATCGGAGTAGTCCGCTTTCTGCAGAGAATCTTCAGCTCGCAGAGACGCATCTCTCCCCGCTGTCTCCACTCTCTCCGGCCTCCTTGGGCGGCTCCTTGGCGGGTGGTATACCACCGCGCCGGCGACGTGCGACTCTTCCTAGTGTTGTCTTTTCCGATGATGAGTCTCGCTTTGCGGTGGCTTCCGCTATATCCGATCCCCATGATGATAGATCAGTTGCACCGGAACAGCGAAGACATAGTTTGCTTTCGAATAGAATATCAAGGAGCGTCGAGGCTTTGCGCGAACTCAGTGAACGACCGCCCCCAGTACCCGCTTGGTCACCACCGCCACCACCAGTCGATGCTTGGCCCCCGCGCACAACATCTGCTCCCGGCTCAACTGCTCAATCAAGATCACCTCAGGAGGAAAGCTCCAACAGCGGGCAGTCTACAAGACCGTCGACTGGCACAACCGTAACCAGCGTGGCTCGCGAATCCGTCGCTCCTTCGTTGACTGGCTCTGATCTACGCCCTGAGCCAGTTGTTATTCCGCCAAATGTGGCTAGCTTTGTCGGCTCTATGCAACAGGACGACAGTGTCACTCTAGACCAGCGTCTGACCACCCTAGAGGTGAAGATGATTGACCTAGAATTCGCAATTGCAAGAATGCAAACATCTCCCCAAGACAGTCCCATGGACAAGACTTCCCGTCCAAGACTTCCCCAGCATGCAGATTCCTATCCACCCCAGACACGCAAGGTTTCCCCGGGCCTGCGGTCTCCAGCAGACAGCACTGACTCTGCAAGTCCTCTCCCTACCATTGACTACCGACCTTCGAGCACGAGTACAATCCGCCAGGACACCTTGAACTCGCGAACCCTCCGCCCCGCCCCATCCGCAACATCCCTATCAGACTACCAAGGCGTCTCAATCGAGCAATACAGCACCCTAGTCACGCTCCTCCGGCGCGAACAAACCGCGCGCAGGAATCTAGAAAGCCAAGTCAGCGGCCTGAGAGACGACATCCGCCACCTACAGCGCGCAGCCCTGGAGTCCATCCAAGCAGGAACAATGCAGCCCGCACATGCAATCGGATCAGAGGACTTCATCCGCTTCCGCCGCGCCCTCGACGACTCAGGAACATCCACACCCCTCCGTCCAGACGACAAACAATCCACAATAGACAGCGACCCCGACTGGGACCGATCGGAGCTCTACTCCCGCGACGACCCATTCGCACAGCCCAAATGGGAGCGTCAGCGGATTGTACCAGCCCCCATGATTTAACCTTCTCCTTATTTTCTTCTTCTACAATACCTTTTTTTTCCCTTTCTCGCGCACCGGACTGTGCTATTAACCACACCGGGCTGCCAATATCTTTTACCCCATAGCCATGCCACCTGCCTTCCTTTGCATTGTTAATGGCATCCATTTACGCGACCGGATCGCGGCTCCACCCTGAGTACCATTTTAAGAATATACTGTACTGTCCTTGTCTGTGCCAGACGTGCATGTCCTGAGACTTGCCCATTAAGCTCACTCCGCGTGGACAAGTGATTGTGATGACTGGCGCTATTCGAACCACTCTTCCAATTTAATATCAATAATTCTCCATCCAGATCCACCATTTAAATTAGAAACATTGGGATTTTCATACATATTCCAAATCGAATTCCAAATCAAATTCTAGTGCCGCAAATCTCCGTAACTTAGCCCCTTATCAACATCTCGGCAAAGAAAAGACGAAAGAAGCAAACGTCCCGCGCTAGATATGCAGATCAGCGCCACCGCGGGGAGACTAACAAACGTCCCAATTATACAGTAAAGTACAATCATTGCACAGTCAGCAGCAGCTATCTTACCCCTCGATCTAGCCTGCTTGGATGTGGAATCCGGCGCTCCAAGCCGGTCTTAACTTATACTGTACTGTAGTACTGTATAGATATCCAGTCGCAGTGCAACGCCCAATAAACCCAAATCCAATCAAACCCCCGCAACTCGGCAACAGGGACAGGGAATCCTGCAGAGACAAGCACTACTGTGACTTGACTTGACTTGTACTGTAGTACTTTATAAACTTAACGTTAACGTTAACTTAAGACATAAACAACCCTAACACCAACTTCCAATCCCAATTCCAAAATCACCCCCCATTCCCACCTATACCTATACCTATACCAATATCAATACAACAAACCATGCCCCCAAAACCAACAATAACAATAATCGGCAGCGGAATCAGCGGCCTAGCCCTAGCAACCGGCCTCTTGCGCCGCGGCATCCCCATCATGATGTACGAAGCAGCGCCCTCATTCAGCGAAATCGGACTGGGGCTCTCTCTCGGCCCAGCCGCGCACCGCGCCATGCCCCTCATTGACCCGGCCATCCGCGCCATCTACGACAGTCTCGTGACGACGCACGCCGACAGTCCGGGCTACGAGGCATTCCGCGAGACGTGGTTTGAGTTTGTGTGGGCGGGCGGCGAGCGGGATGGGGGTTTGTTGATGGATTTGAAGGCTTTGCCTTCTGGACAGACGGCGGTGCGGAGGGCGGACTTTTTGAGGGAGCTTGTTGGGTTGATTCCGGAGGATATTGTTAGCTTTGGGAGGAGGGTTGTTGGGGTTGAGGAGGGAAAGGATGGGGATGGGGAGGGGGTTAGGTTGGTGTTTCAGGATGGGAGTGTTGAGAGTGCGGATGTGGTGGTTGGCTGTGATGGGATTCGGTCGGTGGTTAAGGAGGCTATGTTGGGTGGTGAGGAGGGGATGGTCAAGCCCGTTTATAGCGGTATGTATGGCTATCGGGCTGTGCTTGATATGGGGGATATGGTGGACGCGGTTGGGGAGAGGAGGGCGAGGGTTTCGACGCTTTATATTGGGGAGGGGGGGGTATGCTATTTCGTATCCGATTATGAGGGCTCAGAAGGTGAATGTTGGGTTTTATGTGCTGAGTCCTGAGTGGGAGGGGGAGGGCTGGGTGCGTCCGGCTAAGAGGGAGGATATGGAGAGAGATGCGAAGGGGATGGGGAGGTTGGTGCAGGCGCTTGTTGGGGTATGTTTTGGTCGTTCTGAATTTTGGATGCTGGGAGACTGACTGGGGCTTTTTAGCGTATGCCGGATGCGTCTCAGTGGGCGATTTTTGAACATCCTCATATATCAACATATACTCGGTCTCGCATCGCTATTATGGGGGATGCGGCGCATGCGTCGACGCCGCATCAAGGTGCTGGAGCTGGCCAGGCTATTGAGGATGCACATGTGCTTGCGGAACTGTTGGGCGATTCTCGAGTGAATTCCGTGCCGGATATCATGGCGGCTTTCAGGGCGTATGATGAGATTCGAAGACCTCGCAGTCAGAGAGTCGTTACTACGAGCAAGGAAAACGCCTATCTGTTTTCATTGTGTTTCGATGGAGTCGGTGATGATGCGGAAAAGTTGAAAGAAATCCTCAAAGAGCGATCTCGATGGCTTTGGGATTTGGATGTTGAAGATCAAGTTGAGCGAGCAAGGGAAAGAATGACTGCTTATTTGCCGGCTCGGTAAAGGGTGAGTTAGTCAAATTATAATATCCGTAACATTGTCTGCGATTTTATAGTTACGGGGCAGAAGCAGCAGTCAAGCATATGGTTTCGAAGTGCGCAGTAAATCTTCAATTCTCGTTGTACAATCGTAATTTGCCCATAAATCCGTTACACATAATTTCACATCATATAATATACACAGGAGTCTCTCCCGAATCCTTCCACAGAGGAGAGGCGTTGGTCATTCGTCTGCCGGCAGGACGGTGATCGAGTACTCGCTCGAGTTCAACGAAGATAGACTGCGTCGTTTCGAAGTTCGATCCTGGTCGAAATAGTCTTCGTACTGTTTGAGCTCGCTCGGGCTCAGCAGTCCAGTCTGGGCAGACGATTTCGGATTGATATGTTGAGCCCCGGGGTTGGGAAACCTAGCATGGCAGGTCTGGATACGCAATGGGGCTTGCGGACGTTTGATATCAAACGGCACGGAGGACGAGTCCCTTCTATCCCCGTAGCTATTGAGTGGGCCTTGAAGATGTGACGGCGATAGATAGGACGAGCGACATGGCGAGGAACAGAACAGATGTCCCGAGGTCTTTGCATTGCACGCTGGACACTTTTCAAATAAGGACGACATCTTTGCAATGTTGATGATCCAGGTAGGAAATCAAGAAAGTATAAGAAGTATAGCGGTGGGATGCATTTGGTCTGGGAAATGATAAGCCTAGATCCTGGTCATGATCGGTTTAAATGTTTTCGATCTACCAGCCAGCATGCTGCTGGGGGATCGATCGAAGGCGATCGGAGCCGAGTCAAGGCCGGTACCACGAATTGCGGCGAGTCGATGACAATAACTCGACTCGAAGCGGAATGTCAGTTTGTCGGTTCCCTGGTTGCAACACGAGTGGCAACCGAACGGACATGCCAAACTCTAACCTAACTTGCCAAGAAGAAAAAGAAATGAAAAAAATATCCACGAAGCAAAAAGAAATGCCCTCGTCCAGGTTCGAACTGGAGACCTTCGGATGTCAATCTTGTTACCAAGAATGTCATAAGAAAGGAAATATGAGACCGACGTCATAACCAACTAGACCACGAAGGCTGGTAGATGAGGTGTTGCGCGTCCGTTGCTCTCATCAAGTCAACAGCTCCTAGGAGCCCCAGGCTGCTATTCAGCAGCTGAGCGCAAATAATTGACAAGGGGATATCATCACATTGCCTTTGTCTGGATGGTCCGAATCTAATACGCAGAATGAACTGGATATACAAACTAGAGTTATACTATCAAAACCTAATGGAACAATTTGCCAACCAATGACCCGTCCCATTCCACTAGAATACGCAATTTGCCTTCAAGGTAGACAGTAAACCAAAATATCACTTGATATCCGCAAATACGTCAACCGATTCACGCCAGGATGGTTGATTTGCCTCTGACAAAACAGGAAGGTAGTCAGAGTCCCTATGTAATCCAATCCAGTTCAACCGATAACCCCATCAAGACTAGAGTGAGGCTGAATGGGGCCCCGAATGTCATGGTGGGGATGAGCAGGGATTCGCGGCTATGATTGGGCTCGGTCAACCCTGGAAGGGTCTATTCGCGTCTAGCTAGCTGTCATCCCCTTCAATTCGTATTGGAAGTCGACACCAAGCCGTTTATTGGCTGTTGTCTCTTCCGAGTCGGTTCCAATCATTGCTCTGGCTGGCAGATCCGTGTCGGCCGCGCTGGGCTTACGCCAGCAACCAGGCCAGTACAGTAATGGTTACGGGTAGGACTTGGTGGGTGCGAATCTGATTTGTGGAATTGATCTACAGCTTTGTTCGCCCATATCAATCCCATATCAATTGGTACACATTGGGTTGGCGTGAGGCTCGTGGGTGAGTCTGAGGGCTGCGCTTGGGCTTCAGCCACTTGGACGCCTGAATTTATGGAATTATACAAAAGCCTCTAGGTGTAGTAGCCTCGAAGAACGCAAAAAGCAAAAACAAAAGCAGAGCAAAGGAAACAACTATTGAACGGCCGACATGTCTCGTAAGGTGGATCAACTGCCGATGCCGGCAGCGGTGCGCAAGATGAAGGTTATTGTAGCCAGTCCTAGTCGGTAGGAGCGATTCTCCGCCCATTGTTGCATCATACTAATCACCATTGGTTAGGTCTGGAACGCTGGGTCTCTACCAAGCAATGAAGATTCTGGGGTTCAAGACCTATCATTTCTACGAATGTATTGCCGTGAACGGCGTGCCCCACATGCAGGCTTTCACAGAGGGCTTGATAGCCCAGTTCAATCGAATAGCTGGAGTGAAGAAGTTTACCAAGAAGGATTTCGATAGATGGCTTGGGGACTATGACGTGAGAAGACATTCTTTCCTAGTCAGGATTGGGCTGATACCGTGCAGTGTCTTATCGAGGTTCCCAGCTACCTGGGCATGGATCTGATCCAAGCATATCTGCAGGATCCAGATGTGAAGTTTATTCTCACTGAACGAGACCCAGACAAGTGGGTGACCTCTGTCAACAATACAGCCGGGGGTGTGGCCCAAATGGGACAACACTTTCCATTCTCCATCCTCAAATACTTTGATACCACCATCTATGAATTTCTGGGTCTGAATGAGCTTGTTTATAAGGCTTTGTCGGGGTGCACAGAGCTCAATGGACCGGACAACCGCGAGAACCTTCGCCAGTACTACGTGGACTAGTATGTATCTTGACCGCTGATGGATTTCCTCTGAGCTGACCACTCGTCTAGTATCAAACTGGCAAAGGCGACAATTCCCGCCGATCGTCTGTGTCTGATTCAACTCGAGGACGGTCTTGATTGGGAAAGTATTTGTCCTTTCCTAGGCCTTCCTATTCCAGAGGAGCCATACCCCGATCGCAATGAGCCTGAGAAGTTCCAGGCTTTGGTTCAAGACTTCCTGCAGCCGAAGATCATAGCTTCCATCATGAGGCTCAGCGCCGTGGCTATTCCTATCGTCGGCGTTCTTGGCTGGGCTGCTGTTCGATATGCGCCCTCCTTTGTGGCTTGAATGAAATATCAGCAAAACATCAGCATCTAGAGTACGCAATCAAGACATTTATTTTCTAACTATCTCTGTTCAACAGAAGAGACTAAACGACCCAACCTCCAAATAGAAGTATAGCCGACCCTCGCGCTGCATCGCCCGCTCCGTGCATGTATCACCCCACCGAGGGAGCTAGTAACCCCTCAATGGAATTAGCAACTAAGCAGGCTTCGGTATCAGCTCCATTTTATTCGAACCTCGGGTTTCGCCGTGAAACTACTGCAGAAAGTCCACATAAACTCCTGCGCCCCCGTTTTCTCTCCATCCCCAACCATGGCGACCTTTCAAATTTCAGACGATTCCTTGAACCTCCAAGACAAAGTTGTCTTGATTACAGGTACTGTCAGTTCTATACTATGCGACAATTTACCCACTGACCAGAACAGGCGGCGCCTCTGGAATCGGCAAGGCCACCGTGGACCTGTGTCTCCAGCACGGCGCCACTGTCATTGCCAGCGACATCAACCCTCCACAAGAGATCAAAGAAACCGACAAATTCAAGTTCGTGACTGTCGACGTGACCTCATGGGAAAGTCTGCGCGACGCCTTCGTCCAAGCCGAGAAATGGTTCGGTCGAATCGACCACGTATTTGCCAACGCCGGCGTGGCAACCACGACCAATTTCCTAGAAGCCAAGCTGGACGAGCACGGCGAACTGCTCCCACCTAGCATGCGCACCATCAACGTCAACCTCGTCGGCGTTCTCAACACTGTCTATCTGGCGGCGCACTATATTCAGAAACACTCCGATCACCGTGCCGCCGGCGAGCTGGGCAGTATAGTTGTCACTGCGTCGACCTCGTCTTTCCAGAATTTCAGTGCGGGCGACTACACGATTACCAAACACGGTGTTCTGGGCATCATCCACGGACTCGAGCATCAGATTGAGGGGAAGGTGCGGCTGAACGCCGTAGCCCCGTCTTGGACTGCCACTGGGATGATCCCGTCGGCGTTTATTGAGTCTCTTGGGGTGGGGGTTCAAGCGCCGGAGGTTGTGGCTAAGAGCGTGGCTCTGTTGTTTGCTGACCAGCAGCGTCACGCCGAGGTGATTTACAGCTGGGATGGGAAATATCAGGAGGTCAATAAGGCCAAGGGGGGTTTGTTGGATGCTTCGGATGCTCTGTTGGAGAATGCGTCCAATGAGGAAACGGTTATGAGACAACTGAGGGATTTAATTAAGCAGAAGCAGGGTTTGGACTGATGTACGTGTCTGTCTCGGGCTTGGACGGGAGTATATCCAGTCAAACATATGCTTTTTTTATCTTTTCCGTTATGCAGCGAACATATCTTCTCCGCATCTTCTGTACTTCTGTGCTTCCTCCTGCATACGCCACTTGTGTCTTTCGACCTCGGAGCTTAGGGTTCCCCGCCTTCTCCGCATCTTGGCCTCGCATGATTCGTGAGAGTTCTCTGTATAAAGTCGCCCTCGACAGATATGACTCTCCTGTACGGACACCGTCCACTACAATCTCAACGGACCCTGCTACACGCAATCAACCCATTGCATCATGGCAGGATTCCAACTTCAATATCCATCGGACCGCGAACTGACTGGCGGCGATCTGCTAGCTCAATCCCTAAAACAAGCCCATGTCGAGGTGGCCTTTGGGCTCCACGGCGGACACCTCGATGCATTTCTCATGGGATGCGAGTCCATCGGCATCCGCCTCGTAGACACTAGACATGAAACCGTCGCCGTGCAGGCCGCCGAGGGATATTCCCGGATCAGCATGAAGCTAGGCGTATGCTTTGTGACCGCCAACAGCGGGTCAGCTCTGTCTCTCATTCCTAGATCTAGTGATGAGGGCTCTCTGACGGGCTAGTATATAGTTTTTCCAACGGTATTCCCGGACTGGCCACGGCATACAGCGATCGAAGCCCCGTCCTCTGTATTACATCGTCTCCGCCGCTGCGGGACACAGAGACCAACTCCCTGCAAGGCTCTATTGATCAAATCGTGGCTGCAAGGCCATTTACGAAATTCGCTCATAGAGTCGTCGTCCCGGAAGAATGTCCACGGATTGTCGCGCATGCAATTCGCGTTGCGCAATCCGGCGCTCCTGGTAGATATATAACTGACATGCCGAATCAGACATTCCAAACACTGACAAACAGGAACTAGGACCTGTTCTACTTGATTTCCCCATCGACGTGCTGTTCTCCCCAGTACATACTAAGCTGATACAGTGGGGGTCAATCGCCTCGCCGCCCATATATCGCCCTGGTCCTCACGAAGAAGCAATCAAGGCAGCTGTCGAGCTCGTAGCTATTTCCAAGCGGCCGGTCATCATAGCTGGAACCGGTGCAAAGCATCCTCATGTGAGTTTTCTCCATAAGCTAACATTACTTACTTGTCGATAACTTATTCCAATCACCGCTCAGACAAGAGAAGTCCTCAATCAATTCGCCGAAACATGCAACATCCCCATCTTCAACACGTCCAAATATGCCTCCTTCACCACTCCATCGACCATGCTGAGCAAATGCACCGCCGGAGCCCTCGCCAAACTACCACTCCTCCAGCTTTCCACGCCCGACCTCATCATCCTCCTCGGCGCCCGAACAGGAATGTTCCTCGGCGGACGAAGCGGCGCCATAATCCCCAACGAGGGCTGCAAACTGCTACACGTCGACTGCGACGGAAGCGAAATCGGCCGCTCCCTTCCCGTCGATCTGGGCATTATCTCAGATGTCGATGCATTCGTGCACACGATGAACAAGCAGGTCACAGACGCGTTCCAGAGCGTCGTCGACAAGCATTGGGTGCAGTCGGTTCTCAGTCTTGACTCTCTGGAGTCCCCGTTCGAGAAGGAGCCTACAGCGAACGAGTCGGGGGTTCTTCACCCATACCATGCAATGAAGGAGGTCATGTCTTCCATCGAGCCGGGAAGTATAATCGTCCTCGACGGCGGCGAGGCGTCCGCTTGGGCGGCTGATCTTGCCTTGCTTGCCCGCCCCAGTACTGTCCTTACCTCTACGGGGTATCTTGGGTTTCTGGGTACTGGGTTTGGATACTCGCTAGGCTGTGCTATCGCGGATCCAGATCGGAAAGTCGTCAACGTTCAAGGGGACGGGTCCTCTGGGTTCCATTTGATGGAGCTCGATACGTTCAAGAGGTTCAATCTGGATATCATCACTGTTGTTTTGAACAACTCGAGTTGGGGCATGAGCTCAAACGGTCAGGATATTGTCTACGGGCTCGCCAATCCGGCTCGTCCCGTTAGCTCTCTCAGCCCTGCAACGGAGTATGACGTTGTAGCCCAGGGACTGCAGAATGCAGCGGCAAAGGTCGCGCGGTTTTCGGAGATTAAAGATACTGTTGTCGATCTCCAGTGTCGGCCTGGTCCTGCTCTTCTGAATCTGATTGTGGACCGGAAGCCTGTTCATCCTATCACTACTGCTATGGTTGGGTTGACGGATGACCCTCACTCGGTCATCGTGCCGTATTATGACAATATCCCGCGGGCGTACTATCATACCCCATAGCTAAGTTATATCTCCCGTGGTACTCGCCATTATCTATCTTATCTTGTAGAGTTGTTGAAATTCTTATGCATTCATGAAAGGGTATTAAAATATACACATAAGATATAACCCCGAAACACAAAAAGACCGACCTGGAATCAATCCCACTACCCCATCCGTGGGTAGTACAACCAAGAAAGTATAAGGTATCAAAACATAAACCATGAAGAGAAACAAGAAAACCCGAGATCGGCAGACCCGTGTCTGGAGTAACAACGATCGAACTTGTACATGCCCGAGCCCACCACACTAGAAACGAAACCGGAGTCCAATCTAGCGCTTAAGAACTCCCCGACAAATCAAGTCCGGCTTCCTTCAGCGCCTGGTAAACATTCAGGTTGACAGTCAACTTGTTCGCCGCAAGCGCCTCGGTGAAGTATTCCAGGTTCTTGCCGTGGTACACACTGGAGTTGCCGGTGATTGTGAAGGGGACGATGCCGTCTTTGTAGGGGTTGCTTGTGGAGGCGAACATGGTTAGGATGGCGGCTTGGTCCACGTTTGCTAGCATGGGGATGGTGTTGTTTCCGGGTTTCAGGACTAGGTCGTTGATGTAGGTCTGGCCCATTGCTTTGCCGTTGACGGCTAGGTTGAGGGTTAGGTTTCCCTGTTTTGTATCAGTATACTATATCAAAAGGAGAGTTGAGTCGAATAAATCGATTTTTTTGAACGCAGACATACCATGGAAATGGTCATGACAGACGGGTTAGGAATGTAAACAGTTCCGTTCATGTTGTAGCCATTCACAGAGGGAATCAGGATATGGAAATCGGGAACAGCAAAGCCCTCGAGTTTATTCAGTCCTGTAAGATATATCACAAGCATGTCAGCCAATCACCTCCATCAACTTCAAACCCAAGGCCCGAGAACTACTGTAGGCAAACTCACCCTTCATAACAACAGTCTTGTTATAGGTAACCGTAGTCTTGGGCAGAGCACCCTGTTTCAATCCCGGAGTTCCATAGATATTCAACTCAACCTGCTCGTTCAACATCACAGCCGTAGCATAATCCCCAAAGGCGGCAGTGTCGCTCAGATCAACCATCTGGTCCACGTGGATTTGAACACCATCAACGGATTTGACACCAGGCACGCGAACAGTCGTGAACGGAGCCGCTGCGCCGGCGAGGGAGACTGCCGCGTCGAACTCGTAGATGTGGGGGTGATACGGACTCTTCGAGCCGAGCACTTGGGTCTGGTTGAGCTGGAAGGAATCGGGTGTTGGGTTGCTGATGACCATCTCTGTTATATTGAGGGTTGAGTCGTTGACTGCATCTTGAGCGATCTTGGGATAGGCGACGTAGACGCTGAATTGGTTAGTTCTTCTTCTTCTTCTTTTTTCTTGTCTTTTTTGTATTGTATTATGGGATGGCAGAGGTCAAGGCCACGAGACAAGCATTGGGTTTACTTACACTGGGAGCGAGATCACCAATACGCAAATCACAAAGAAGATCAGATGCGCCCACCAGAATCGCTTGAAGTGTGCGCCGACTCGTGCGCCAAAGGATTGCTTCGGAGCGACAATTCCTGGAACGTTCTCGGATTCTTCTACGACATGGCCCTTGGTGATGGACATTTTGGCGAGACCTGGGATTTGGAGTCACGATGTGAAAGAAGAGTCAATTGTCAACAAGATGTTGAGTCTGACTCGGACGCTTTTACCAAGTCACGCCAGGACGGAACAGAAGAGAAACGAAAAGAGTCCAAAAAGAGTGAAAATAAGAAAAGAGAGCAGAGAAGTAAAGTACAATCTTATACTAAATGGGGCTGCAAGTCCGGAGTAGTTAAAAAGCAAGCCGAGAACACTAGGGATTATCACATGTGTAATCTCAACTTTGGAACAAAGGGGAAGGTGGCGGTTCTTTTGATCGAGTAATAGATTAATCCATAGATGCAGTTCCTGGGGGACACCGGAGTTCCGAGAGAAACTGGGGAACTGAGACCTGGAGAAACTGGAGCAAATGGAGACAATGGGGCCCCAAATCTGGAGGATCGACGACCGATTCTCGATATGTTTCAGAAATGAATTCTATCAAGGGATCACTGTTGAGCATTTGAAACGCAAATGGGCCGAGGTGAAGTTGAGACGAGAATGTGCCTTTAGACACCTCCAAATGAACTAGTTGATTGGGCGTTGTGCAACAGCGCATTTTCGCAGTTGGATGGTTGCACCGGCTCAGGAAGGCCTGCATGAAGTCGGGTCTTATTGGCTGCTGGTGAAACTAGCAGCTTCCACGGCGCATGCCAAGCAGGGAGGCGACCCTAATCTGCAAGGATGGAGGCCCGTCTGGGGGCTGGGGGAAATGAACTGGCCGGACCTGTGGCGTTTCCTCTGAGGGCGCCAGTGTGCTTTGGGGAAGTGTCAAGCCCATTTGTTGCCCTCTAAGCACCTTTGGGGACAATTCCCCGGTGCCGAGCCAGGGTTAACGAGGGGTCCAAGTCCGGGGTCAGCTGAGACGGTCTTGGGTTCGTGATATTTCAAAGTTTCTTTTCTATACATTCTGCATGTGAAGATTGTTGCTAATGCCAATGGGCTATACGAGGGTCAAGATATCTTAATTCTGGCATGAGTTCATGGGTCGCGCTAGTAGCGCCAGCCGAAAGAGAAGTAAATAACCATGGGATCCAAAAGGGGAAGAGAGAAGAGAAAGGGGGGGATCAAGCCCGCCAGTAGATATGGCCAAGAAAAAGATAGAAAAAAAAATCAAACAGTGAAAAGGAAACAAAATGATGGGGAGAAATAAGGGTATCCACAAAGAATTGAAGTATTAAGCCTGCGAGACAGAGGAACGGAATTCATTTCCAGTTCAACACGCTCGAAATCAGCTGCCCAGGCGGCTCTGGTAAAATGGCAAGATGCAAAGGTGAAAATGACAAAATAAATATAAGAGAAAGGAATGTGAGAAACGAAAGATTGAAAAGGCTGGCGAAGGGGAAAAGAAAGGAAAACGGCTCAAAACGCTCCAAGCACTTGACAAGATGCAAGATGCAAGATGGATCGTTGCTGCACAACAGCTGTAACGATTGAAGCACAAAAGAAAGAAAAGGATAGAGCCACAGACAAGCTATGCCTCTGGAACTATAGACTTCTTCCGCTGGAAGATACTGCGAGTACGTGACTTGCTCCGTGGCTTCTTCTCCTTCTCGCTGCTGGCATTTCGGCCACGGGAGCGGGAGTTGCCATCGGCCTCAGCCATGTATTTGTCTTTGTAGATCCTGAAACAATGTTAGTGAAATCCCAAAATGAAGGATTGTGCTTCCTGAACATACCAGCTGTTTCCAACCATGCTCATACCCTTGGACTCGGCCTGACGGTAGAACCGCGCGGCCTTCTTCATGTCCTTCTTACAGCCAACACCTTCCGCATAACAGAATCCAGCTTCGGCCATGGCATCAACATCACCCCACTGACCGGCAATCTCGAAACAGCGCAGAGCAAGGGACTTGTCCTGCTCAATACCCCACCCGTTCAGATAACTGACACCCAGCTCGTAAATGCTCAAAGCAAATTGAGCCCGGTATGCTTTCTGCAGCTCCTTCGCCTTGGAAGCGCCAGGAGCATCAGGATCAGCGAGCATTTCCAATCCAACGGAATCGACGGCTTTGCGTAACCACCGTACACCCTCCTGCTCATTGGACCGCATGCCCCAGCCATGCCGGCAGGCCAGCGCGTAAAGCAGCATTCCCGTCGGATGATTCTGTTTCGCGGCAACTCGCAGGTGATATGTCGATTCACTCAATGATCCCCTCTCGTGACATTCGATGCCCTTGGCAACGTGATCATCGGCTGTGAGACCAGAGGCTGTTACCTGGGCGGTAGCAGTCTGAGGTCGCATGGTGCTAGCGGAATCGGCAGACGAGACGGTTTCATCTTTCTCGTTGGTCGTTGATCGGGCTGTTTCAGTAGAGGGCCGGGGCACTGTCGTCTCTGGCTTTTTCTCTGGGGTTTTCTGTGTCTTCTTTTCTACTGAAGTAGGGACAGGCGGAGGTGGTGGAATATGTTCATGCTTGGGCGTTTGAGGCTGAGGCGTATTTGAGGCAGGGACTTCATGCATAGAATGAGGCTTAGGTGAGTGGTCGAATCGAGGGCGTGGAGAAGGTGAAGGCGTCCGTGCCGTTCGGGGTGGTTCCTCAGAATTGCGAGGAGGTGTCTTCTCAAACAATGGCTCTGCCCACTCAAAATGAGGAGTTTGTAAGCCTGCGAACACCACCGAATCTCTCGAAAGTCCACGTCCACGGGGAAGCGAATAACTAGCATATGTGTAGGACGACACAGCAGAAAGCGGATCGCCGTCACAAGGGGGCACTTTGCCTGCTTCTTCAGTCGCTAATGGCAGGAGAATCGGAGCGGGCTTGCTACGACGCTGCATCTGGTTGGGTTGGTGAGCAATGGTGGGCTCAGAACCCGTTGAAGCTCCAGGGGCAGATTGGGCGGACAAGCTCGTGCTAGACCGACTGAGCGGACGGGAGAAGTTGAAAGACGGGCGTGGCAGATGGTGATTTCCGGTATTCGAGGTTTCGGAGCTCATCGAGGGTGATCGAGGGTGTGGTCTGGTGGGGTATGTTGACATGGGGGAATACGGCAATGATACCGCACTTCCAGATGACATCTTGCGAGGCTTGGAGAACGTCGACCCGCCGTTCGAGCTGCTGTAGTCGTCATCGGAGCTCTCGGTTTGTGCAACTTTCGTAGTGCTAGTTGATCGCGAGTGCGGCGACACAGGTGGTGCCAAGGTCCGGGGGATGTGCAGGCGCGATCCGGAGTCGGTCGACGAGCCTCGAGGTTCCGTCAAAGCAACACCAACAGGCGCGTCCTCTGCTCCACTCGCCAGCGACGCAACCTCCTCTGGGGATTCCGCACGAGGCATCTCAAACACCTGCGGGCTCGACTGAAGCATTGATGTCCGGGGCGTCATGGTGTCATCCTCCCAAATACTCGCCTCGGTGCTCGCATTTGAAACCGAACTGAAGCGCGGGTGTTCGGAGATGGGTCGGTACTTGGGCTCCTCGAATTCGGGGAGGCCTTTCTGCGTAGGTTTGCGGGTAAGCTCGGTGGTAGGCTGACCCGTCAGGTCGCCGTGGCGTTCAGTGGATGATTTGGAACGGTAGAAGCCCGGGCGGCCTTGTGAAAGCGATCGAGCCACACTCGATGGTGGCAGTCGGCTCATGCGTCGGTCTCCACGGCGAGACTCGTCGAGCTGTCGGGCCAGAAATCGACCCTGTGCGGCGAAGGCATCGAGGGGGGAGAGGGCAGGCGGCACTTCACCGTCGAAGTGCGCAACCCGCGGCGAGGGCATGCCACTCCGCAGGGTGTCGTGCGATGCGGAGCGACATTCGCTCAGTTTCCCACGCAAGTCCATGATGACGGGAGGGGGAGGGGCCGGGTATCTTATCCGTCACGGTGTTCAGATCATTCCAGAGGATAATGATAACAAAGGGGGGGGGAGTGAAAGGCGAAGGTTAAGGAATGACAGCCCTAGAGGTGGAAAGGAGAGAAAGAGAGAGGGAGAAAAACGGAAGGCCCTGACGATCACAATGGAACATGACAACGTAAATAGAGCGCCCCGTGCAAAGCTCCACTGGGTCTCGACGTTCAAGGGATCTCAGGGGAAGTTGACCACTTCAGGGGGACTGCCAAGCATTGTAACGCCATCCGAGGACTGCATTGTATTGGATTGGCTATTGAGTCTTCGTAACTAACGTTATTGATTGATATGGACGATGGACTACTGTACCTCCGTGCTGCATTGGTGAAGTGATTTTTGTTTATTTGACCCGCAATCTTCTAGAATCTGGTCTCCCCACACGGGTTTCATGGTCCTCTTGTCGTGGCCTATAGGAGACTTCATCATGTCTTGGGTCTACTGTACGGTGCATGTCCAATTACAATAGTTGAACTGTCGATATGTTGAGAATTAGGCAGCATATGTAGACAACAAAATAATCAGGAGATTGGGGGGGGGGAAGTACAGTATATCGGGGACCGTGGGGAATGACTGACAGTGTTCTACTGTACTGTAGGTGTTCACCCAATACCCACCCTTGAAGGACTCCTATGTCATCGGGGCCTGGTTGCACTGTATCTGAATCATCTTCCCAGTGAGGGTACACACTAACTTAACTGCTACCGTTTGCTGATCAGCCCCAAGATCCCCACCGTGTTTCATGCTACAACGCTGGCCTGAATATTGTTCCCAAGATGCAGATCATCAGATGGTTGACCTACATGGGTAAAAAGTGCAATTGGACCAGACTTGTTGTAGATCCTGGTGTCAGCCTAGAGCTATTCATAGGACATGGGGTTGTTAAAGTGATAGCCGGGAGTACGAATCTTGTCCGGGACTGCCAAGCCAGATATGCCGTGCCTGCTGGATCCATCGACGATCTGCAGATGACGTGAGTCTCTCCAGTATGACATGATAACGTGATCCAGTATCATGTGCCCCAGGACTACGGAGTAGACAGTTATAAGTTAAGTTACGTGTGCTCGACAACGACATGCAGATATAAATAAACCTGTCTGCCTCAGGCCAGTCGGGAACTCGACCATGGAATACTCCTCCATGTGTCCACGGGCGCCAGGATCCCCAACCAATCACGTCCTCAGCAGTGGAGTAGCGTTTCCGTTCTTAATTTGGGTTTGCAGAAGCTCGTTTTTTTTTTGCTTATTCTTCTTCTGCTTCTGGGTCTCTCCTCATATCTCTGCATGAATGGACCCCTCGGTCATCAATCTATGCATCTAAAGTCCACAGTTTGAAATGACTGGTCAATACACTTATCTACCGCACACATGACCCCAACAGCCCTATAGAGGTCCAAACGCGCTGATCATCGGACAATCCAAGATCCCGATCTTCCCTCCAGCACAACCACAAGCAATGCCAGGACGACCGCCTAAAGCCTAGAGCGAGCCAATTCCGACACTTGTCTCTGTTTCAATCACCACTGCACTCATTCGGTATATATCGCCGAAGCCAGTGGGGGCCAAATGGACCTAAGACCAAGGCTAGGAGCTAAGTTCATGCACCAGCTGTGGTCGTCGTAATGGAGCCCTACGACAGGCCGAGCTTGCCTTCACTCAGAGCTGCAGTGCAACCCATCCCCTCACCTAAACCCGAAAAAGTGATAGTTCCCAGCGGATATCATAACGTAGTCATGTAGACCGGATCCGGCACAACCGAGTACTATACGAGAGAAAAAAAAAAGAACAGAAAAAAAAGAAACAAAAAAAAAGATAGCAAAATTTTACCTGTTCGTTGCTCATCTACTGTAAATGTATCTTTTTGCTTCCTCTGTGGCTGTAACCAGCAAGCAGTAGGCATCAGCAACCCCCAGCTCCTGGACACTCGCCATGCGTCGCATCCAACTCACAAAGCTCTTTGGAGCGGATGCCCCTCATGATGACAACCACCACTTTGAGACATCATGGCTGCTCCCCCCAACGCTACTTGCCTGTCTGCGCGGCCTGATCTCCCTCTACATTTTCACCACCATCTTCACCATCTGGGGCTGGTACGGCTCCCACGATGAACGCTATGCGATCGGCCAAAGCTTCAGCTTCTTCACTTGGCTGACATACTGGGGTCTGGGATTCTATATGCTCTTCGCGGCGATCCATACAGCTTGTTATGCGCGGACGGGCCGCTCGGTCCTCTTCGATCGCTGGCCGAGAGCTTGTCGCGTGCTCCATGCCCTGTTGTATGCGACGATCACCGTCTACCCGTTCCTCGTGACTATTGTTTTCTGGGTGATCATTTACTCATCGCCGTGGTATAAGGTTACCTTTACCGGCTGGCAGAATGTACGTGCTATGATTTTTTTTCTTTCTTTTCTTTCTGTTGTGTCCTCTGGATATCCCCCGAGGAAATATGATCTTGGATCTCTCCGAAACTCGCCCGCATTGCTAACTTACATGTTTCCCCACCCTACACCTGGGCATGTAACTGAACTTACATTCCACAGAACAACACTCATACTGACACGTCCGTTTCTCTATCAGATCTCCCAACATGGCCTGAACTCCTTCTATGCTCTCCTTGAAATCTTCCTGCCGGCCACAGCACCACACCCTCTAATCACAATTCCGTTCTTAATTCTGTTTCTCCTCTTCTACCTCTGTGTGGCCTACATCACCCACTATACCCAAGGCTTCTACCCGTACTCATTCCTTGACGTCGGCGATCACGGCCAGAAGAGCGGTCTTGTGACTGGATACTGTTTCGGTGTTCTAGCCGCCATATTGGTCATCTTCTTTATTGTCTATGGACTAATGCATTTGCGTCGCTGGTTGACGCATGGGAAGATCAAGCGTGCGAAGCGGGATGCGCTTCGTCGAGGCGATGGGTTTGGGAGTGCTGGTATGACCGGGGCTGGGGAGGAGGTTGTTGAGACCAAGGAGGTTCCTGTTTAAAAGGTGCTGTTTGACCTTGAGGACAGAACCTTGGAAGGTTGATGATGGGTCGGGTCACGGTGGCTTGTGCAGATAGTTGAGCTGTCTGATCATTGTTCCCTTTTTTACTAACTTACCCTTAACTTTTAACTGCTGACTATGACAATGAGTTCTGACTTACGTCGATATGCCATAATGAGAATAATCAAGTCAATATCAGAATCAAATTCTGTGGAATTGTCATTAAGAGCGAAGAGTATTTTCAAATATTTATTTACAGAATAGATTAAGCAAGCGAGTGCTTTTTGTAGATGGGAGAAGGGAGAAGGGAGCCGGGGGGCCGAAGGGGAAATATCCCAATCTGGCAGACCATGCTTAGACTCTTTCCCAGCTGGTTTCACTGCCGCTGCCACTCGGGCTGTGTGATCCCATTGGGCTGCCGCTGCGGTACCCCATCATGAGGGCCACAAGGCCGCCAGGAACCCAGTTGCCGATAAGGCTGTACGACCGCGCTCCACGTCCCACGTACTTGACGGTTCTCTTGGACTTTTGCTGGCCGAACATACCCCGAGTCCTGGGTTCTAGAGCGTCTAGAATGGCGTAGTGGAGGTTCCGAGCGGGAGAGCCACGGATGGCACTGGGACCGGCAGATGCGACGGGTCGTTGTTCAACACTGGACAAGTATTGCGAGCCGTAGAGGGCTCGCTGTTGTGTGCTCCATGCGAGAACTTCTGTTCCTGCGACTTGGCTCTGGCCGTGTCGGTAGGTAGGGCCCAGATCGATATTTCCAAGTCGCAATTCGACAACATCGACGTTACCCTGCTCGAGGAGGCGGAGTTCCTGACGGAGTGAGGCTGCAAAGCCGGACATTGCTCGGCTTGTGGCTACCTCAGGTCCGGCGAAGGGTGCAGAGAGGGATGATGAAATGGAGGGGTAGGCGAAAACAACAGTCTTGCTGTTGCTACGAAGTGTGAGAAGAGGAAGGAAGGCCTGCACGGTGAGGATGGGCGAGAGGATACGGGTGTTGACAGTGTCGGCCCAGGATGACGGTGGAATAGTTGCGACTGGGCCTGCGCTGTAGTTGGTCGAGGGCACGATGATCAAGCCGCTCAGCTGGCAAGTGTGAGGAGGCACTCCGGCGGTAGGCGACTGAGGCTGGGTGATCAAAGAACGGAGACCGTTCAACGAGGGGTGGACTTCGGATGGCAATGGAGGTGACTGTTCAAGTTCGTTAGTCACTTTCTGGTACAATCTTGCGGCTCAATCTTACAGTAGTGAGATCCAACCACAAAGGCTTGATATCAACACGATTCTCGGACTGAACAATATGTTCTTCGTCCGCGGAAGAAACAGTCACGTATACAATATAGCCACGACGTTCCAACTCCATGGCGATGGCTCTAGTCATCGGCTCATGCGGCGATCCAGCGACGACTATCATCACTGTTAGTATTCACGTGCCTCGAAATTGGTACCGACGTATGACACATACCAACAATTTCCTTTCTACCACCGTTACTGGCTCTCTTTGCCTTTCTCCGCTTTCCATGAAGCTTCTTGCTACCATAGTACATAACAACGCCAGTGCCGACAAAAGCGAGGATGGCGGCCGTCCATGCGCGATTCCGAGAAATCCAGTTTTGTACCCGGTCCGTCAGGCCTTGCGGGGCGCGCACGCGTTGGGAAGCGCGAGATGGACGAACAGCTGGGGGTAGCCATGATTGCTGGGCGATGGTATCTTTGATCAAGCTTGCAGCGTGGTCGACTTGTCGGTCGATCGAGTCGGCGACTTCGAGGGAGTATCGCCTTACGTCATGGGGTATAGACGAGAGCTAAGGAAACCGAAAATGAGCGCTGTTTTTCCAGGTAGTCTCGGTTGAATCAAGTACTCACGTAGTCAAAGAAAAACTGATCGTCGCTTGTCATGTTGGTTGTTTGGCGCAGAGAATGAAAAAGAAAAGCGAAGTTGATAAGATCGAGGCCGATAAGTATTCTTGGCGCTATCTGGTCACATGAGCCGAATCTATAAGAGCTCAATGGAATTATTGTTTTCCATCGTCTGCAATATTTGGTTACTCATACTTGTGTGTCGTGAATCAATGCTTTAGATTGGTATGGGGAATATATTGAAGTTTTGGCTTTAGTGGAACAAGATTCTATAACATTGTCATTTAATATATCTGCTGGATCAGGTGAATAGAATAGTTCGCATCAGGTACTTTGCAATATTTTCTCCACTTCATACGCAGAAAAAGGTATTTATCTGAATATTCCATCACCATCCGCTCTTTAAATCCCCGTAACTGACAGATGAGCAGGGGAAATAGGACGAGCAAGCACAGACACGTGATATGCATACAACCTGATATATCAGGCGTCGATAGAAGCCTTGCTTTGATTATCAATGCGAAGGAAGATGAGCCTCGAACCATCCGCCAGGGCTGTCATTCTCGGTGCTGACACACCTGGTCATATATATCACTTCCAATCCATGTTTTGATGCGAAATTCTTCTGGTCAGGATATTCAAGTATGCTATCCTAACGGAGGCAGTGACATCTGACCTCCCGTCAATTACCTCCAACAACACCCTTTGTCGGACGTCTGCAGTATCTAGAAATAAGACCTGCAACATGCGAGAACTTGATCCTTTAATATCTGAGTACCGTCATGAAAAGAAACGCCCCCGCGAGTCGGAGGCACTCTTCATACTGCGCAAAGTCGCGTCCTTGGTCAAACCGATCATGCGACAGCGCGCCTGGAGAGTGGGTGCGCTATGTGAATTCTATCCCCAACAGCGAAATCTGCTAGGATTGAATGTAAACAGCGGCCAGAAGGTCTGCCTGAGACTACGGTATCCATCTGACCAGAATCAATTTCTCCCCATCGAAGAGGTTGTGGATACGATGCTTCATGAGTAAGTGATACTATAGTTTGATATCTCAAAGTCTCCGGACTAATTACAGACAGACTCTGCCACAATGTAATTGGCCCTCACAACCAGCAGTTTCATGCACTTTGGAACCAACTTCGCGACGAACATGAGGAACTCATCAGAAAAGGTTACACTGGAGAAGGCTTCCTATCTCAAGGAAAGCGCCTCGGTGGTCAAAGAATACCATTGGACGAAGCTCGACGTCAGGCTCGTGCTGCTGCTGAGCAGCGAAGAGTACTCGCCAAAAATTCCGGGAAGAAGCTCGGCGGTGCCCCCGTTATGCGGGGAACGGACATACGCAAGCTCCGTGCTGATGCTGCCCAGAGACGCACTGAAGTCACCGCGGGTTGCGCTTCCGGCACTGATAGAAGCACAGAGCTTGCTGAAGAGGCATCTAGGAATGGATTCAGGACCCAGGCCGAGGAGGACGACGCAAACGAGCGGGCTATCATGGAGGCATTCATTGAACTGATACAAGAAGAAGAACGAGAAAAGCATGGTTCTTCATATATTCCACCCAGTCAAGAGCACCCAGCTGGACCTAGAACGGAATCTTCACCGCCGCCTGCTGGGACCAATACTCCACCTGCTACTTCTGATACCCTACCTGTACTACCACATAAAGCTCCAGCCGCTGGCCAGACCAAAGCGTCGAATTCAAAAGCGGACAATAGCTCATACGACAGACCTTGGACCTGTCCAACGTGCACCCTTGAAAATCCTTCCAACTTCCTATGCTGTGATGTCTGCGCAGCAGAACGCCCACCTCCGATCAATACCCAGCCAAAACATGGATCCAGCCCAGGCAGTATCAACACAAGAGGGAATACTCCTAATCAATCTTCGCGGTCGGTTTCACAGGGTTCAATAAAACGATCTTTACCTTCTGATCAAGCAGATGATGACACGAAGAACCCTAAAAATGCATTTGCCTTCAAAAACCGCACCTACGCGAAGGATTCCCTCAAAAGCCTGGATCAAGGTGTCAATAAGAAACCGCTTGGATGGGTTTGTACTTCATGCGGCAGCTTTATGGAAACACAGTGGTGGACATGTTCCTGCTGTGGAACCATGAAGCCATCTTCCTGAATCGGTCTAGGGAGTTTACGTTCTATGTTACACACAATCATGCCTTGATAAAGAATCACCGATGAAAACCAATCTTATTAAAATACAAAGGCCGAAGCTTCCTTTCTCCTCTATCTACCTGCCAATCTCTATAGAAACGCAACACGTGACCATGACAAAGCATAAATAGCTCCACCCAAATTTCTTCCACAATTTTCCTCCAACCTCCGACCCAACCTCTTTTCTTTCTCCAACACCCAATTCCAGTGTGGACAACCGATCAACAATGTCACTGATCTGTTATCCATACTGGAACAAATAGCAACAGGTATGTATCTGACAACACTCTCGACAGCGCCGCAATCGAGACAAAGAAAAGAAACACAAGCATCGCACCACAAAGACTCTTATATGATGAGATATTTTCTCAAGAACCGGATTTTTTTAGGAAGAGCCGGAAGAGGTATGACGGGAAAAACCCGTTGTCGATGCTTAGAATGGTTCTTCTGAAAGAGTCTTTGATGCTTGCTTTTCTAATCTCGATTATTGTCGCTGGTGGAGAGCTGTATCATTGCCGTGGATCATTTGCTAATGACTTCCATTACAGATTTTATACTTTATCATGATCGACTGGATATACGCGTGCCAAATAAATATTAATTCAATGGACCTTGATTCCCAAGATGATTTCCCTACAAACTCGTAGTTCCAACGCCTCGTCCTTTAGGCAGGATATCGTCCTGTCAGTAATCATCGTAATAGTAATAACCTTCCGAATGCATGGAATGGTATGCTGTTTTGTCAATGTCATGATGAGATTGCAGCACAATAAAAACTTCGTTGTGCTGCATTGATCTTCTTTTTACGTGACTAGACGGGTGTGCTCCTTGAATCCTAGACAAATACATTTGAAGCAAATCTATGCTGCTCTGAAATCGATCTATGATACATCCCTTGATATTCTCTTGAAACTCCCAAGGATATAAAACTTTTGTATGGCAACCAGATAGAGAAGACCCTCCAATGTAAGGTCGAAAATGAATAAACAACGCCAATTGACATGCTTTACACAACCAATTATATCCCAGCCTAGACCTAGGCCACACTAACAAACTGGCGCTTCTTGCCGGTTCCCTTGTGGGTTTGCTGGTCCTCCCAAGTCTCTTCGTCAATGTAGTCCGATGTGCCCTGCTCACGGATCTGGTTTCCAATGAACTGCAGCGCGGACAGGTTGAAGCCCATCTCGTCCTTTTGGCGGGCAAGGACACGGCGCAGCGATACACGGATGCTGTCCAGCATTGGGCGCATCATCTTGCTCACTACAATCTGGCGGTGGTGTGTCTTCAGGATGAAGAAGAGCACGCGGCAGGTGAGAGGAACGTTCCATTCGCGATCAGCCCAGATGTTGAGGAAGGTGAAGAGGTTGGGGAGAGCGGAGAAGGGGAGGACCAGGAGGGCGTCCTGAAGTGCGGCAGCGGGGATCTTTTGCACTGTGTTTAGGACGTGCTGCTCAGCGGAGACGTTGTTCAGGGCCAAGTAGACTGGGTTACGGTCTGGGGCGGCAGCGTTGGGATTGGCAGCCTTGATTAGGCGCCATTCGCGTACGACTTCGAGATCCTCGATACCAAGTTCCAGAGCCTCCATGATCTTTTCTCCGGCCATGAGGGTACCGGTGGTTTGCTTTCCGGCGTCAACGGCCTCGGGCTTCTCGCCATCTTCGCCGTCCTCGTCTTGCTCGAGAGATGCGGTGAGGGTGCTGTCATATTGCTCTTCCATTTCCTTCTCGCGCTCTTCCTCCAGGAAGAGTGGCTCGTCTGTTTGTTGCCAGATGCGGAGACTCTTGTCGTGACTGGCACTGACGATGAAGTCACCGGTGCGACTCATGGCGAGGGCCCAGATCTCGCCGTGGTGACCGACAAGACGCTGGATTTGCTCGAACTTGTCACCGTCCCAGTACTTGATCTGTCGGTCCTTGCTTGCACTGAAGAAGTTGTGACCGTTTCCGTCCTTGTTGTGAGGAACAAAGGCGACTGACATAATGCTGTCCTCGTGAGCGAAGAGGGCCTTGTGGCAGTCACCAAAGTCCAGACCCCAAATTCGGACAGTCTTATCAGCTGAGCAGGTCACAATTAGCTTCGTGTCGTAAGAAATATCCATGTTCAAAACAGGAAGTTTGTGTCCATAAAGGTTGAGGAAGAGCTTCAACGAATCGACGAAGAAGACCTTCACGGTGTTGTCAAGCAGCGACACCGCCAAAAGACGAGCGTCGGGGGAGAAGCGGAGGTTGAGAATATCGTCATTGACTTTCAGGGTTCTTGTGTGTGACAGCTTCAGACGTGGTGTGGTGCGCTTCGTTCCAGGAATCTCTTCCTGAACCACCTTGAATTCCCAAAACTTGGCGGTTTTGTCTGCACTTCCACTGACCATCGACTTTCCGTCAGGGTGAACGTGAAGTGACCAGACAGGACCGTCATGTGCCTTGATAGTATCTAGCAATGTCGAGGATGCAATATCGAATACCTCTAGATCTCCGTTCTTGTTGCCGACGACCACGATCTTATCACCAGGAAGGAAGGCAGAGCAAAGGGAATATCCACACTCAAGAGTTCGTAGGCAGCTCTCAGTTTGAACGTTCCAGATCTTGAGGGTGCCGTTTGAGGCAGAAGCAAGCATACGGTCATCAGAGCTCAAAGCGATTGAGCGAATATCGGTTCTATGACCAGGTATATCAACGGCCAGACTCCGAGTGTATTCGGAGTCTTCGCTATCGGTGTTCTTCTTGTTTGCAGGGACAACGTTGTACGCCTCAAGCTGGTTATTCGTCGTAGCGGCCAGGAGATTCAAGCCGGTTGATTTGTTGAGCATCCAGTCGAAGGAGCGAACCTTTCCACCGGTCCGCACAATAACGTGGGGAACAAAGACCTCAGTCACAGGAGCATTAGCGATATCGTCGGCCTTGTCAGCCTCCTGATCTTTGTCGTTCTGCTCAGCCTGCTGGGCATCCTTCTCCTTTCTTCTCTTCTTCTTCCGTGCCATGCTCTTTTGTATTTCTGACGGGGAGCGGATTCGCCAGATCTCGATTGACTTTTCGGAGCCGTGGATTCCAATGTAGTCTGAGCGGGGGTGGAAGCGTATGCCAATTGTGCGGTCCTTGCCGTTTCGGTAGAAGGTTCCTCGATCAGAAAGGATTTTGCGACCATCTGCGCCAACCTTTTCCTTAGAGATCTCCACCATGGCCGCCTCATCAATCGACCAGACCTTCAATTCACCATCATTGCCTGCTGTGATACATCCACCCTGATCAGGTGAAAGACCCAAACTCCAACACTCACCATTTGACTGCGCCACATGTGTCTCGATGCAGTGCTGCGAGGCCAGATCCCACACCTTGATCAGCGCATCCTTGCCGGTGGTCAAAAGGAAACCCGCGTGGTCACCCATGCCAGAAGCAGTGAGCAAATCGGCCGAAGGGAACAAGAAGTGCAACGAGGTAATCTGATCCGTATGTCCACGGAGCTTGAATAGACCGGTCTCCGTGATCAGATCCCAGACAATGATGTCCGTATCCTTGGAGCCACTGGCGAGGCGCACACCTGCATTGTCGAAGACCAGCTGTGTAATGGCGGATTTGTGACCGTTGAAAGAGATGAGGACGGTGGCGGTTCGCGAATCCCAAAGACGAATACTTCCGTCGTCGTAACTGAGATAATATTGGTGTTAGAGAGAATGCGATCCGGGATAGGCCAATTGGAGGAGGACTTACCCGACTGCAAAGATATCCTCATCGGTCTTGCTCTGCGTGACAACACTGACCTGCGCTCTGCAAGCAGAGTCGCGCCATCTTCCCAAAAGTTCTCCCTTCTTCACATCCCAGCAGAGAACTTCCTCACTGGCACCGACAATGGCCCGTCCTGCACCAGTTTGACGTGCAGCACCGGTCTTTTCCTCTTTGGCCCAAATCGCATTGGAAGACGCCGAGGCGACGAGCCCGAACGTATTCGAGTGCTCGAATTTGCTGCAGAAATGTTAGCTCTTAGAACAGACTATTCAAACGTCCGAAAACTGCACGTACAAGTATGATTTCACCATCGTTGGGGGTGGATGGGAAAATTTTTGGGATCTCCGACTGCTATCGATAGGATAAAAATAATACGGGCGGCGACAGCGACCGCTCCGGCTCCCCCACCGCCCATGACGATCGCGGCACCTCGACAACAGCCACTCTTACCCTACACTTCAAGCCATTGTTCTCCCCGTCATGCTTCTTTTAGATTATCAAAACGTTTTGATCCAGTCCCTCCTGACGGAGCGGTTCTCTGAGTACGAATTGCCCTCCCCCCGCACCTCTCCCGCGCATTGTATACACCTCGCATCAGGCCCCCAACTAACAAGTTTACTGCAGCGCACCCCCCGTTTCCATTGACCAAGTGGTCTCCGACTTCGACGGAGTGACGTTCCATCTCAGCACACCTGAGTCTAAGACAAAGATCCTCATCTCGATCCACGTGAAATGCTTCAAGGAGCTGGTTCAATACGGAGCCCAGGAGGTTCTGGAAAGAGAATATGGTTCCTATATCGTGTCCCCCGAGCCGGGTTATGACTTCTCAGTACAAATCGATCTCGAGAACCTCCCCGCGGAAGAGGAAGCCCGGAATGACCTGATCATGAAGCTTGCCCTCCTGAAGCGCAACGCAATGGCCGCACCATTCGAGAGAGCCTTTGACGAATTCAACAAGCTTGCCGAGGAGGCTTCCCAATACACATCCGAGTCAGCACCAGCCGGAATTCAAGAGGGTGGTGAGGTCATGGCGATCCACTACCGTGAGGAGGAGGCTATTTACATCAAGGCCAACTTCGACCGTGTTACTGTGATCTTCAGCACTGTGTTCCGGGAAGAGACAGATCGAATCTTTGGAAAGGTGTTCCTCCAGGTACGTTGAGCGTTCCATTATCCGAAAATTCAAAGAAACATGTACTCACAGCTCCCAGGAATTCGTTGATGCTCGGCGACGTGTCTTGACGCTACAGAATGCCCCTCAGGTTCTCTTCCGCAATGACCCCCCTCTGGAACTGGCTGGTGTGCCTGGTATTAAGGGTGCTGGCGAAGGCGAAGTCAGCTATGTCACTTTTGGTGAGGCATCCACCGTGATATCTTCCCCGAGTCCCTGCTAACACAGCTTGCAGTCTTGTTCCCCCGTCACTTGACTCCCCATCGCCGCTATGACAACATCTCCCACATCCAGACCTTCCGTGACTACTTCCACTATCACATCAAAGCCTCGAAGGTAAATTCCCACGTGCTTACTGCAGGTGATAAAGACCCGATGACTAATCACACACCTCAGGCCTACATCCACACCCGTATGAGGAAGCGCACAGCAGACTTCCTGCAAGGTAAATCTCACCGCTCGCATCTACTCTGGATAATTGCTAATGTTCATCAGTCCTTAACCGAGCCAGACCCGAGAACGAGGATCGTGAGCGAAAGACGGCTAGTGGTCGTACTTTCCGGGTGCAGGCTTAGACCTGTGCAGTTGATATTCGTTTGAGAAGTCCCTTTTTGTATAGGCCAATTTAGCCAATTTTATCGCTCTACACTAGCCTGATTATTGAACTTGAATACTCTGTGCGGTAGATTCCCATGTTCCTCGGCCTGAACCTTGACTTTTCCTAACACAGATATGCATGAACTACGGAACATGCAGATGCAGACAAAGGATGTACCTTGGACACGAGGTAATCTGAAGAAAACATCAGCATGAATGGCTCCATTCACTGACATTGAATCCTGTTCAAAGCTATTGTGTATACACAATTGTTGGACTGTATCTGGTCAGAATAGGAAATCTAGAAGATCAATCGAAGCCTCTCAGCATTGTGCATAGACTTTCACCCATGCGTGTCCTGTTTGGCACTTGCCTACCACTCAAGTAGTCAACACTCCCATCCATAGTCTTTGCCTAAAGTGAGCGGAAGGTACTGTCTGCGCGCCATTCGTGGGGGCATGGACCCTCTTTCCCTGTTTGGGCCATAGACCTCAGAGTGAAAGTAGTGAAATTTCCCTTTTTGTTTCTCTTCTTCTTTTCCTATCTGTTCCTATCCGTTCTAACTTTTGTTTACATGATGGCACCAGATGGAAAGTGGGATACGGCTCTCGCTAAGCTGGGGTTGAAGCGCAAACCCAAGATATCGGATCCTATTCCTAAGGACGATGTCTTCAGCGTGACCGGATCACATCTGTGCGTTAGGAAGAACAAGCCTCATAATTTGCACGTTACACCTCCCCTCAAGTCCCCAACAGGCTCATCCTCAGACACTTTTCGCACCCCCACCAGCTCGAGTTCCATTTCGGGATCTTGGGCGCCTCTTACTCCCTTAACCCCCACCAGCTTTGACTCCGTCGTTCGATACAGTCTGGACCCTGTGAAGATGGCTACTGGCTTTGCCCAAGCTCGTCTTGCAACATTTCTCTCCGATGACCAGGATCGTGTTGCTACTCATGATAAGTGGTCCAAGGAGTGCCTGGATAGCCATCTTCTGGCCAGCATGGCGATGATGGATGAAATTGTGGATCAAGTCACACCCCAGAACGTCGTGCAGTCTAGGCTTCGTGTTGAAGATATCAGGGATGGTTTCTTCAGATATGCGGACGCGCTCGGACATGAAGCGGATCTTCTGAGGCAGTGTGAGGCCAACGGCACCAAGCCACTGAGCAAACATCTCCCCATATCATACCCAGCCGAGACATTCAATTCCCCAAAGACTCGTCCCACTGGCATTATCATGGACCCACAGGTCGAATTGCTGCCCCCTCCATGGAGATACTCTAAAAACCCCAAGCCTTTTGAACATCAACCAGATACCTCCCTGCACCGCCCAGAGCAGCAAACCGACGATATCTATGCCGGCATGGAGCCCAAGATAATGAAGAAACAGATTAGTGGTCTTGTCAACAGTGACACTTTCGCCCTGCCTTTCAAGACAAGTGACGTCGGTGTTCAAACCACACTGTCTCGCTCTAGCAAGGATACAGAGGCCTTAACGAAGCAACAGAGTCAATATTTCGAAAAGAACTCAATCATCTCGCAGCATCAGAAAGTCCATCACTATCCCCCCAAAAGCCCATCCAGCTCGAACAACGAGCCAAAGACTCTGAAGCAGCAACTGAGTCGGTATTTCGGGAAGGACTCGGTCAACTCGAAGCGGCAGACAGCTAATCACTGTCTCCCAACAAGCCCATCCATCTCGAACCACGAACCAAAGACTTTGAAGTCACTGCCCTCGCAGGAGGAGATAAGCCGCTTTTCCGGTTCAAGCGCCTATTCTGTTAGGGCATCGGGCGATCAGGCTCAGCAGTTGAGCGACTCATCTATGCAGGCCCAGGAACCCAAGAAGCTTCCAACTGGTTCCACCAAATATGAAGCCATTGGCTTGAAGAAAACCCCGTTTGAAGATTTTGACCCGGAATTTATCAAAGCTTTGAATCTTTCTGCTGTTCTTCCAGTCGACAAAACACTGCCCGCGCACGAGGAGTCACTTGACTTAACAGCCAATGATTTCGTGGTAAGCGACTAAATCAAACGAACTGACTTTGTTTCATAACTGTTAATCTTGAAACTAATCAACACTCTCTTCTAGCCTTCGCTTCAGGGCTCTGGTCCCCGTACCTACACCGTTAGCAGCAATGAATGGATCATGGCTCAATCGATCCCTTCGCCACTATCTCCTACAAAGGTTGTGGCTCATGGACTAAACAGTGTTGATGAGATGATTCACCGAGGTGTGGTCATGCGCATATTCATAAAGCTTTACACTACGGCAAAGCTCATGCAGACTATTCTGTTGGGCTACGGCGTTGAGGTATTTCAGGAAGCCCTTTCTCTCGCTCAGCCCCAAAGACTAACATTCATTCTTCACCCGTTCTAGATGGGCGAATCATCAAATGGTTTGATGTTCTGGATCAAACGCAGCGAGGAGAACATTAAATGTCACAAAATCACCGTTTTGATTGACATCGTTGAAAATCTTTACTATGTTCTCTATGCTCGAATCGTCATTGAACTCGCCAATATTGAACTTTGTTCCCTGGCCGAAGACGAAAACGCAGAGAGACGAGCTCATAGCCGAGCTTTCCTTCTGCCATCGGCTGAACATCTTTACCGTATCGTACTTGCGTTCAAGGACGTGATGGACTCCCGACAGATTTGCGCAATGCTTCGGAAAGACGTTGTTGAGAACTACCAGAGACAATTCATCAAATCTGCAACTGAGATCATCAGAAAGAAAGGAGAGGCCCTCTATGATCGGTTTGGCTATCGACGTTACGTGCTCGGGATTCTGTTGAACAAAGAAGGGAGCTATTATCAGAAGTGGAGCTCCCTTATTCCATTCTTTGATAGAATTGCTCCCAGCCTTATTGTGCTATTGTCCGACAAGTATCGAACTGTAGATCAAGTCACCGTACTACCCGAGGACATTACCTACGACGACTTGCCTTTTATCGAACAAGGTCAACTGGGACCGGTCACCTGGGCAGATGAAACACTCAAGGACAACCGTGACGTTTCGTTGGCAAGATTGAATCACATTTGTATCGGAGAACAACGCCGCCGAAGCTCCCTCTTCCGACCTTACTGGTTGACCAAAGAGCACAAGTGCATCTGTCTATCCACCTGTCGCTGTTGTGATGAATGCACTGCGGATATTAGTCGTCACTGTCCTTGCGCCGAGAGACATGTACGATTTATGACAGTCATCCGTACTCCCAACTACAACAAAGGTGTCTTCCTTGCTCGTGCTAACACTGTTGCCCGCATGAGCTTTTACGGCCTGAGCTTTTTGAAACATGATGTTTCTGATCAGGTCATCATGGAAGAACTAGAGACTGGATTTGAGATGGTTGAAGTTCTCATCTCCCAGGAGCGTTGCGAACCGGTCCGACCAACCTTGAGAAACACAATTCTTTTTTCCAAAGATTGATTGCTTCACCATCACGCTCGAATCATGGTTCATGATTTACGCTGCACAGACTGAAAGTTATGAAATTCTACGAATGACATGAAGAAACGAACTTATCTTCCACACCAGCGTCTACACGAAAACAACAAAAAGCAAAAAAAAAAGAACCCACTGTGATTACGAGGGCAGTTCATGAGGCAGACATGTGGATAATTAACTTACAAAGGGGTCTTGCTACGAAAGACTAACGCAGCTTATTATGTAGGCACACGTATTCTGACTAGCTTCAATTAAATTGAAACAGTTTAACCCCGTATATTCTTCTCCTGTTCATTCTAACTTCGTTCCATATTTGTTCACATGAGTTTCGAGGTATTCAACTTGGGACTTAGGGCTGCGGTTGCAAGTTACCAAATACAGTTTAGCGCATAATGACTTTGTACTGTAGTATGAGATCAGCAATTCTCATGTCCCTCGCTAAGTTAATACCTTCACCGATCTAATTTGATATTTTACCTTATCTCGAATGGCCTTGTTTTTGTCGCCGTTGAATTTGATACCTCTGCCGACAAGAAGTTCTTGGATCTGTTCTCTGTTCAATAAAAGTACTTTTCTAGTCATCAGGTAGGGGACCCCTGCCAAGCAATATCGGTGGGAATGCTAGCATTGATTCTGCAGGTTCCAGAACGATTTCTGGAGATCTCCTTTTTCTCAGGTCAAGTTTCTCAGGAATCGAGGGTGACATGCCAGGAATCGTCGCATCCTAGGCAATGCATAAAGACCAGCCTGGAACCTCTCTTTTCTGAGCTATTCATTCCCAACTACTGTACAGACATGTGGGGTGATATGTTGGATCTGAAGTATTGAATCCCGAATGACTTCGGCCAAATTTATTCTTTGCTCGTATCCTGCAAGCTTGTGGTGAGATGTCGAAGGACCTATTGGCGAGCTAGAATACGGAGTCGAATCAATCCTACTTGCGCAAGGGCTGATACATTATTTGGCTGAATTTTAGGATATGGAATTGATTTTTTTATTAGTGGCACAATCCGTAACTTGAAACGAAAACGAGTGTACTACAATCGCACGTCGAAGAAAGCGAAGAATGCTTCATGTTTGTTCAATACTTAACTTACCGTTAGAGTGAATGTTCCCTATCATACAAGTTCGATAGCCCCTATTGTACACCAGCATTGCTCCTAGATATCCCAGCGTGAGATAAGGGGAAGTTGACTACTCCAGGAGTATACTCAATAGTTCGGTATACACTAAAGCGACCCACAGATCTATGGAGACTAGAAGGTGCCGATCAGAACCTTATGAACTAGGGTACGGGGTAGAGTTGATGAAAATAGTAATCATAGTCATTTATAGTTAATAATAGTCGTGTAGAATGACTTCTAGTCAGCCCTATAGATCATATGTAGGCTGTTTAGATCCCCAGTACAATAAATACGCGGAATGTGACGGCCAACTCCGATGATCAGAGATACTCCGTAGGGCCAGGAACAGTCGGCGGCGCAGACCAGTGAAAATTGGAGATACCACGATCGGCCCCGGTGAGCGTCAGAACACCAATTTGACCAATTTGACCGACTTTTTTCTCTCTTTCCCCCCATGACTTAACAGATCCTTCTGAGCTGAGTCATGGTGACCAAGGCATCACCTTGGACGTCTATCAGCAAGTGGATCGCGAACATAAGGCCGAGCACGGCACGGCCATACCACGCGGCAGTGTGGCCCTCCTACGGCATCACCACCCCCGTCGCTCAGCAGGTCCGAAAATCGCCATTTAGATTCGAGACCGGATATGCTCTGTGTGCGAAACGACCCCCACGGCCATTTCCCCCGCCGTTCCTGTCTCCACCGTCCACATCCTTTTCCGATCCCTTGACCACTCAACTGAGCCAGGATAAGAGATTATCCGTCAAGGGCGAGCTAGTCCGGGGTCTAAACAACGGAGACGATGCCATCCTGGTCTCGGAAAACTTCCTAGGCGTCGACGATGGCGTCGGCGCTTGGGCCACGAGACCCCATGGCCATGCTGCGTGAGTGATCCCCCTGGTTGGATATTGGATGTTGGATGAGCGCTGACTTGGGTTACAGTCTCTGGTCGAGACTCCTGCTACACTTCTGGGCTCTCGAGGTCGAGGGTAACATTGATAAGAGCACCAGCTGTCTCGACCCGGTCGGATACTTGCAATCTGCATACGAAGAGACGATTCGCGCGACAACATCTCCTACACATTGGCAAGGAACGACCACCTCGGCAACCGCTATTCTACACTGGACGAATGAGAAGGATGGCACACAGAATCCACTGTTATACGTGACGAATCTCGGCGACTGCAAGATCCTCGTGATCCGGCCAAGCGAGGAGAAAGTCATATTTCGAACCGCGGAGCAATGGCACTGGTTCGACTGTCCCATGCAACTCGGAACGAACAGCGTCGACACACCGAGGAAAGATGCGGTATTATCAAAGGTTGCGATAGAGGAAGACGATGTCGTTCTGGCCCTGTCTGACGGTGTGATGGACAATCTCTGGGAACACGAGGTATTGAAAGTCATCACCGACAGCATCAACAAGTGGGACCTGGGACATGCTGTGGCTGCGGAGGTGGCCCAGAATCCTGGACTGTCCGATGAACGGAATGTATACGTCGCCCGGGAGTTGCTCCATGCTGCTCTGGCCATTGCCCGGGATCCTTTCGCGGAGAGCCCGTTTATGGAGAAGGCCGTGGATGAGGGACTTGCTATTGAAGGAGGTAAGATCTATCCTTGGTCTTAGAACATTCTTATTCTTTTACTAATCCTGAACAGGCAAAATGGACGATATATCCGTTGTGGTAGCTTCCTGCAAGAAAAGAGTGGGATGAGATGCAATCAGCATCATGAACACATCCTTCTATATCATATCGCACGATTCTGAGATGCAGTGACTGTGCCATGCTTGGAAGTCAGGTCTCATCGTTACCAAACTTTGAACAACGCAACCCAGCTACTGAATCCAGCTCCGATGCCATATCTTCCGACCATGCCAAGAAAGTCTCGAGACACAGCGCAGTTTGAGCGACTGCTGCCCACGACCGGGACTGACGCACTTACTGCTCTCGTGGCCGTCTTTCACCCGAAGAATTGAAGTTATCAACCGCCAGTCTCTTTTTCAAGCCATGAATCGCGGTGAGGCAAAGACTCATTCAACCCTGCCTGCCAGAGGGCCCTCGTTCGCAATGAGAGCTGCACAGCAATTACTATGAAAATAGTAAAGGTGTATCAGTCAGTCTGCAATCTGCTGGAAGGCCATACCTCTCTGTTGCCTTCTCATGAAATGGAAATTCCATATCCATGCACATTATTCAATCAGATTATCATGGCAAGAGCTGGCTCTCCATGGTCATGAATTAGATTTGCCTTGATCAAGCGACGTCTTGGTCCATCAACACAAGAATAATATTTATGTCTTAATGTCTCTTTAATGAACAAAGATCCCATAATAAATTGGCCTTGTAAGACTTCAGTAGATAAACTAGACACTTGAACGAAGGGAAGTACAGGGTACATCGATTTGATAGCGAAGCCCCACTCAGAGCAAGTACTGGGTACTGTTCTCTGCACAGACCACAACACCGCCTTGGGTCGCCGCCCGGCAAAATGAAAAAAGTTTCGGTCGACGCCAGAAGCTCATACTCGACACCTCAAATTACCAATATCTTGACCTTCAACTTTCACAATGAGGGCCAAACGTTCTAAGAAGTATCGCAAGCTTATGCACCAATATGAGCTCGCTTTTGGGTTCCGCGAGGCCTACCAGGTACTGGGTATGTCGATCTCGATACTCTTTTCCGATGTACAGTACTAACCTGCGCTTGAACAGTGGACTCGAACTTCCTTCGCGCCACAGATTCATTTAAGATGGATTTGATTCCTGCACTTGAGCGGACTGTGCAAGGCAAAGTTAAGCCCCGTTAGTTCAGCCAAACCCGCTCCTCCATTTCAAAGAAGCATCTCAACTAACCAACCCCAGTATTGACGAAATGTTCACTCGCCGCTATCATGGCCGCGCAACCCATCAACCCGAAAACAGAAAAGCCTTACAGACCGTTGTTCCTCCCCCCGCCAACAGAACTTCCACTCCGCCACTGCACCCACAATGCGGAGCACACACCAATCGACGAGATTGAATGCCTCCTCTCTCTGCTGTCCCCCAACGCAGACTCAAAGAAGAACAAGGAGCACTACATCCTCGCGAGTGCAGACCCAATTCTGAAGAAGCGAAACTCCAACGACGAGCCGCGGAAATACAAGCGCGAAGACGAGCGCAAAGAAGAAGAGGCCATGCGCCGTTCTCGAGCTTTGCGTTTTAAAGCCCGCTCCATCCCCGGTGTGCCTATCATCTACGTCAAACGCTCCGTCATGGTTCTCGAGCCTATGAGTGGCTCCTCCGAGACGGTCCGTGATGGCGTGGAACGAGTTAAGTTCCGCGCTGGATTGGACGCTGATCCTATGCTTGGCAAACGCAAGCGCGACGGAGAGGGTGAAGGCGAGGGCGAAGAATCGGCCGAACCTAAGAAGAAGCGTGGTCCTAAGGTTAAGGGTCCCAACCCGCTTAGTATGAAGAAGCCCAAGAAGAGAACGGATGAGTCTGCCCCGACACCGAAGAAGAAGGTCGATGCGGATGCTACTGAGCAGCCTGATGGTGATGAGTCTGCTGCTAAGCCGAAGCGAAAGCGCCGTCACAATAAGGGTGCTTGGCAAGAAGATGAGCAGCCTGTTGAGTCAAATGATGCGCCTGCTGCTATGGAGGTTGATGCTTGATTCGATCTTTACGGCTTAGACTCATGATGCTGGTTATCATTATGCATTCCATCTTTCTTTCATCCCGGGCACGGCGTTCTTCATGGATGGGTTATATCTAAAAGTCCAGCTGGTGTAGACTAGCTATGTACATCCAATATCATTTGCATTAACGTTACCTTGAAAACTCAAAGCTCAACTGCTTGTTAGTTCAAACATAACCAAACGACGTAATACAGTAGAAGAGAGATTGATCATATGTACAGTTACATTTTCGAATATCGTACAAACTATCCATCTGACTGGATATAATGGGAGAACAGAACAAGGCACGTTCTGGACTTTCTCACAGAACGGCCAAAAAGCAAACCAAAACTCCAGTTCCAAGCATAATGCCATATATCACCCAGTCGCATCTATTTCTGAGCGCCAGCATTTGTGGCAGTCCCAGTGGCAGCGGTAGCAGCGACATTAGAGGGACCCTGATCGAGCTCTCTCTCCTTGGCCCAGATAGCCTCGATACGCTTGCGGTTTCCGCGGGCTTCGTCTCGGTTGCGCTTTGCGCGCTCGAAGCGCTCGCCGGAAAGACATTTGTTCACGTCGCGCTTGATATCATTACAGCTTCCAATGGCCTTGTGAAGAAATCCCTTTGCATGGCATTCGTCGAGGGCAGTCATGATCTCCTCGCAGTCTGAAGTTCATCAATTAGTACCGGTATTCGGAGACTTCACGGAATGGAGAGAGTTCAACGTACTGACGTTGTAAGGGGTGTGCAGGTGGGAATGCATGATTGCAGTAGTATTATGTGACTTGACACGGCAAATAATCAATCTCGAGAAATAATCAAGCAATACCAGCAATCGTACGATCAATCACCGACAAGCAAACGGCGTCTGCAAATTGCCCGGGCGGTAGATTGATCGGCCAATTTCTGCCGGGCGGACAGCCCCTCTCACCGATAAAAAAATATCGGCGATAAAAAAAAGTTGTAAGGTGATCGTTTTTTTAGGCAACGCTTTCATTATGTCTTCTATGATCACGACTACGGCGTGGGTGCGACGTGGTGTCGCTGCCCAGTTCCCCACCAAATATGAGATTGACGAGGCGGAAATGGGCCGGATATCTAAGCTTGCGCGCATGCAGCTTGAAGAGGCGAAGGAAGGTCTGAGCGCTGCTCAAGATGAGCCTATGGATGAGGATGGAAAGGATGGTGCTGCTGAAGTTATGGATGATGACAGCGAGAAGAAGACCAAGGAGAGTGCTGAGTGAGTTGCTCGTATCTTGAAGCTTTCAAGCTCAAGATTGGCATGTGCTAATTCTATAATAGTGACGACGATGTTCTCAAGGAATTCGACATGGACCACTATGACAGCGATGAGAAGGATGAGGATGGAGAGAAGATCACCATGTTCGGCAATGTTCAATCGCTGGCTTACCACCAGCCCAACGAGGCCGATCCTTACCTCGTGGTGCCCGAGGATGAGGATGACGACGAACGCGAGGAGTTGCAGATCTTGCCTGTCGACAACCTCCTCTTGGCCGGAAAGGTCGAGGATGAAGTTGCCCACCTTGAGGTCTATGTCTACGAAGACCGCGCCGACAACCTCTACGTTCACCACGATATCATGCTTCCCGGCATTCCTCTCTGCCTTGAGTGGCTCGACATTCCCGTGGGCAACAACCCCGAAAACCGCACGCAAGGAAACTTTGTCGCTGTCGGAACCATGGAGCCCGATATTGAGATCTGGGATCTGGACGTCGTGGACTGCATGTACCCTAACGCCATCCTCGGCCAGGGCGGCCAGGACGCCGAAAAGGCCAAGAAGAAGCAGAAGAAGAAGGCCAAGGCTAATGATGAGTACCACATCGACTCTGTCCTGGCGCTGGCCGCCAACCGATCTCACCGCAACTTGCTCGCCTCCGCCTCCGCCGACAAGACCGTCAAGCTCTGGGATCTCAACACCACAACCTGCGCCAAGTCCTACTCGCACCACACGGACAAGGTCTGCTCACTAGACTGGCACCCAATCGAGTCCACCATCCTCCTCAGCGGCAGTTACGACCGCACAGTGGTGGCAGCCGACATGCGTGCCCCAGACTCCCGAGCCCGCTGGGGCGTCGACGCCGACGTGGAGGCTGTCCGCTGGGACCCCCACGACCCCAATTTCTTCTACGTCACTACTGACGCCGGCATGGTCTACCGCTACGACATGCGCAACGTGCCCGCCAGCACAGCCGAGTCCAAGCCCGTCTGGAGCTTGCAAGCGCACGACTCCTCCGTCTCCTCCTTCGACATCAACCCCAACATTCCCGGCTTCCTCGTCACTGGTTCAACAGACAAGACCGTCAAGCTCTGGAACGTTGAGAACGACCGCCCCAACATGGTTGTTACGCGCAAGGTCGATGTCGGCAAGGTCTTCTCTACTGCCTTTGCTCCCGACAAAGAAGTCGGCTTCCGCGTTGCTGTTGCCGGTAGCCAGGGTAACGTGCAGGTGTGGGATGCCTCGACCAACGGCGCTGTGCGCCGTGCGTTCGTGTCTCGCATGCCTGAGTTCGCTGGTGAGGTCGAGGAGCGCATGGTTGGTATCACTGCCGATGATGAGGAGTCTGACGATGAGGGTGAAGAGGAGGCTGATGAGGGTGCGCCTCGTGGTGGTGATGGCTGGGAGTCGATGGATGAAGACTAGATGGACACTGATACCCTTGGATCATGTTGTTTATGCGTCAAAAAAATAGATTCGTTAGGTTTTGCATGTTAATGACCTCTTTTGTTATGAAGTAACTATCACTATGAGAACAATGTCAATAGTCAATCTGTTCAAAGGGTGCATCTTACAGTTCCAACTGCAGTAATGTGTTGAGGCTTCCATAAAATGTAGGACTGAGCTTGGTCTTCAGGGCTGCCGTATGGTCTACTTTTCTTCCCTTCTTCTTCTTCAAAATTGCCAATGCCATGCATAACCCAAAGCGTACTTATACACTGCAGTCAGTGTAGTGCAACTGCCTTGTAGCTTGTGGGCAAATCAAATCCGGAATCTTTGAGCCGATCTTCTTATAATCAATAGGTTAATATCTTCTTCTAGTTCATCTCTGTATAGCGTGAAAAGAAAGGCTTGCTATGAAAAAAGAATGTATTTCCCCCATTTTCCCATTAATATTCTAAAAGAACACAACTTCTATGTCCACTTCAATTCCCAAAACGCCGTATCCATGCTATGCTGAGACTCAAACAACCTCCTGGGCATGCACATAAGTGGTCAAATCCAACAAACGGTTAGAGTATCCCCATTCGTTATCATACCATGCCATGATCTTGAAGAACTGCAACAAGTTAGTAAAAACTATATAGTAGACACTCAAGAAACAATGACTTACCTGAGGGTTCAATTCCATGCATGAAGGGGCATCGATGATGGCGCTGAAGGGACTGCCATTGTAGTCACTGCTGACCAGCTCGTCGTCGGCAACCTTGAGAACGCCGGCCATCTCCATCTTGGAAGCTCGTCGGAAGGCGGAGATGACCTCGGCCAGCGAGGTTGGCTTCTCGGTGCTGAATGTAAGATCGATCATTGAGACGTTGGGGCTGAGAGGTTTGATATTAGTTCTTGTTTTCAAAGTCTAATCGTTTGGAGGTTGACTCACGTTGGGACACGGATCGAGACACCAGTCACCTTGCCCTTCAAGCCGGGGAGAACGGCAGCGACAGCCTTGGCTGCACCAGTGGTTGTGGGGATAATGTTATTGAAGACACCACGACCTGATATGAAGTATTAGCTCAATGCCTTGAAGTTAAGATCTACCAAGCCTCTTACCCAGTCGCTTGTTCTTCTTGCTATATCCATCCAAGACTTGCTGTGACCTCGTTGCGGCATGGATAGTAGTCAAGAAGCCTTGTGTAAGGCCGAAAGATGCATCAAGAACCTTCAAGACAGGAGTCACACAGTTGGTAGTGCAGCTAGCGTTTGACACAACGCGGCATTCTTCATTGGGAGTATAGGAGTCCTCGTTGACACCGTAGACAAAGGTAGGCGAGTCGGAGCTAGGAGCAGAGATGAGGACACGCTTGGCCTGGCCGTGAGTGACATGGTCGAGGGCGAGATCACGCTTGGTGAATTTGCCTGTGCATTCAAGGACGTAGTCGACTCCCAGGGCGGCCCAGTTGAGCTTCTTCAGGTCCCGTTCGGATGTGAGGGCGATGTGCTTGCCGTTGATTGAGATGAGGTTATCGGAGAGGGCGTGAATAGGGGTCTTCTCGTCCAGACTGCCCATTGAGGAGTCGTAGCGGACAAGGTAAATGAGGTCTTCGACAGTGACGCATGTGTGGTTGATTGCGACGACTTGGATGTCGGAGCGGACTAGGGCTGCGCGGAGCACGTTGCGACCTGTATATCTTCATTAGGAGGGACTTCCTTTTGAGATTTGAAGCCGTTTTCTGTTTCACTAACCGATACGACCGAAGCCATTGATTCCAACCTTGCAGGCAGGGAATGCCTGGACCTGGCTATGGGCAACGTCATCGATTGAGGGAGCCATATGGTAGGGTTATGGTAGGGTTATGACTGAATATAGAGAAATAGAAGAAGTAAAAATAGGTTGATGCTCTGCTCTGTGTGAGAGTAGCTTAAAGTATTTCATTAGCAAGTCCAGCGAGGACCAATATCTATAAGTATAGTTCCAGCCCTAACCTCATCCCCCACGGTTTCAAGGATATCAACCCGGAGCCACCCGTCACACGGATAATGAACCGGCTTCCAACATGACCGCCTACTTGATAACGAGTTATTTATTCCAATTCATTGACTCTCACCCATCTAGAACAAACCGACATCTCCGGGCGACTCTGCCGTCATCGGATCCCGTGGCTATGGGACCAGGGGACAGCCAATCACAGTCAACCTTTCCGCCGAAAATCCCGTGTCCACGATCCGATGGCAGCAGAAGTGACTAAACCCGTGACGCTAGGGCCCAAGAACAAGTTTGCCGCGGTGTTGTTGGGGCTTTGGACTCCGGGGTAAAGTCCCGATAGACGGAGGAATGTGCTTTCTCTGCTATTCGCGGGGCTGGCTATATTTGCACGAAAAGCAATGGAGCCAATCATGGCTGTCGATTCGCTTGGTTTCAAGCTATCATTCTAACGCCGAAATTTGTGGAGTATCATGGGCAATTGCTGGTTTCTGATTTGCGGGTGAGGCCGGCATTCTCGTTCTCCGTATCGGCATTCCGATGGGCGTTGGAGACACGCTTCCGATTGCGCCGAACTATGACCAACCGATTATTTGTATTGGTTTATTGCATGCGAGTTTCCGATTTCTCACGGTGTCGTGAGTCTAAGCCGAGAGTATCGGGCAAATCGGTAGTTGCTTCATGCTGTCTTGGTTCTTCCCGAGGTATAGTTCAGTTAACTTATATCCGAATCGTTTCTATAACTTCGCTTGGAAAAACCGGCAATAACAACGGGGTTTTTGACAGCCTTGAAGACATACCATAAACATATTTGACTATAGACTTCTGACCTATCACGTTAATATCTGACTAGTAAACATATATTGTTGGAGCAGGCATTTCAAAAGCCACATGCTAATATAAAATACCCCAGTACTGACGGACATTCTCTTCCATTCCAACAGAGCATGACTGTCTCTTCTCATAAATTCCAGCAGCCAGCCATGCCATAAGAATGACAGGACAATAAAAAGATGGAATCAATAAAGCAATTATCCATCATCGGTCCTAGGAAAGTCCCACGAAGCACTGCTTTACATTGTGTAGTGACCTCGAATGTTAACTCAATACTAGAGACTTCTGACCTCATAGCCTTATCATTGGGATATGAATCATTGAGTACAGCAAGGTTGACAGTGGCCTTCTCTGTCCGGTTGATGCAAACCAACCAAGGGGTAATTCCGACAAGAACAAGAACATGAAACCGATAATCACCAAATGCACAGACATTGAAACCTGCAAGAATTCACTGATGATAGTAGCCATCTTGATCCGAGAAATATTGTCTGCTGACGACCAAGAAAATCAGACAAGACGGAACTTGAGAGTGTACCGATGAGAGTACCGGGAAAGAAGAAGTAATACCGTTTTCTGGCGTTAGAATTGTGTGCTTTGCAGCACTCTCCGGGTGAGGAAAGTTCAAGAAGCAGTCGTAAACTAACTGTAAATAGTTGAAAGAGGTCTCTGTAGAACTGGCTAAGCGGACTTGTACACCCCCAAAACACACGAGAGGGTTACAGACACGAGACGAGACATCAGCTGTGGTTATGCGTTGTTCAGCGCAGTGTAAATCGCTCACTTGATAGGCGATATAAATGATGTGAATGGCTCGTAACATCAGGGAATGTGAGGCTCAATTGAGGCTTACTTTATGCTTAACTTACACTTTTTCCTCTGAACTAGGGAACGGAAACCTCATGTCAGGCCAAGCCTTATGAGTTAGCTGCGTGGAAAATTTGCTTGGCGGTAATATCAGGCCGACAAATTCTCTCTTTTGTGATACTATGCACTAAGAAAGATCTTTTGGTCTCAAATGAGTTGTAGCTTGACTCATTCTAACGTTGTTCATATTCATTTCACGTTCCAATTTTTTGTCAAATCCATCAGACTTTATTTGCTGGCTGCAAGCTTCTGGATTTCAGCAACCACAGCATCAGTGACTTGCTTAGTCGTAGCATTGCCACCCAAATCGCGAGTAAGAACGCCCTGCTCGCAAACGTTCTCGACACAGTCCAAGAGCTTCTTGGAAGCGTCCTCCTCGCCGAGCCAGGCAAGCATCTCAGCGGCAGTCCAGAAGGTAGCGACAGGGTTGGAGATACCCATGCCGGTGATATCAAAGGCAGAGCCATGAATAGGCTCGAACATACTGGGGTACTCCCGAGTAGGGTCGAGGTTGGAGGTAGGAGCAATGCCAATGGAACCAGCCAAGGAGGCAGCAAGGTCAGACAGGATATCAGCGTGCTAGATAATTGTGAGTCGGGACCAGATCGGATTATCTTCTTATTGCATCACTTACCAGGTTGGTAGCCACAATAGTATCCAGACTCTCGGGCTTCAGAACCATACGAGTAGTCATGGCATCAACAAGCATCTTGTCAACGGTAACATCAGGGAAGTCAACAGCAACGGCCTTGGCGACCTCATCCCAGAGAACCATTCCGTTGCGCTGGGCATTGCTCTTGGTGACCACGGTCAAAAGCTTACGAGGGCGCTTCTGGGCAGTCTCAAAGGCAAAGCGCATGATTCTCTCTACGCCGTGGCGGGAGAAGATCGAAACCTCGGTGGCGACTTCCCAGGGCTTGCCAGCGTGTGAGCGACCACCCTGACCGGCGTACTCTCCCTCGCTGTTCTCGCGAATGATCACCCAGTCAAGATCGTTCGGACCGCACTTTCGCAACGGAGACTCAGTACCACGGAATACGCGGGTTGGGCGCACGTTAGCATACTGCTGGAAAGGCTGGCAAATGGCCAGACGGAGACCCCACAGGGAAATGTGATCAGGGACGTCTTTTGTAAGTTAGAACTATATTTCCTATGGAATAGCGGTTTGTGCTTACCAGGAGCGCCGACAGCGCCGAAGAAAATGGCGTCGTGTTTCTTCAGTTCTTCGAGTCCACCATCGGGGATGTATTTTCCGGTCTTCTTGTAAGTCTCGGAGCTCCAGTCGTAGTTCTTAAAGTCCAGCTTGAAGGTCTTGAGGGTATCGGTCAAGGCATTTAGGGCAGTAATGCCAGCATTGATGACCTCCGGTCCGATTCCATCAGCAGGGATAGAAGCGATGCTATATGTCTTTTGGCTAGTAGCTGAGGGAGACATGGTGACTTTTGATGTTCTTGTCCGGTTTGGGGTGTTGACAGGAATGGATGAAGTCAGCGCGTTCAGCGGATCTTAAAGGAATTCGACTTTTGCCCTAAGCAATTAGGAATCCACATCAAATCTACCCAGAGCCTATCGCATGATCTCTCAGAGCTCATCCAACTTGATCGCGGGGTGCGGAGATTGACTTGTCCGGTTGTTGTGTGTCGGGGTTCCATATTCCGGGTGATCTGCCGGACAAAGACATGTCCGGCCAACCCTAACTATGGCCACAACTGTCGACTCGGTCGAGGTGTCCATCATGCGAATGCATCATAGAAACTTGATCCATATGAAACCCGGAAGAGCTTACTCGTTCCATGTACAAGACGTCTACTACAACAGTCATCCCAGTCAAGAATCCAAGTGAGACTTGAGTAGCAAGTTCTTCAAAATGCCTGTCTCCCAGGAAATGATTGGAGGTATTGTGGACAATCTCGTACCGTACATCGACCGCCATATCCAAGCTCGGTCTACCACTTCAATAAAAACACCTTTCATTTTCGGCCTGACAGGCCTCCAAGGAAGTGGCAAATCGACATGGACCAATACTTTTGTGAAACAACTAAACCACAAACACAAATATAACACGATCAGCATCTCACTTGATGATCTTTATCTTGACCATGGCAATCTCGTCAAGCTCCGCCTTGCCAACCCAGACAACAAACTGGTTCAAACCCGCGGCCAACCTGGAACGCACGATATGGAACTTGCGCGTTCTTTCTTCGATAGTTTGAACAGCGACTGTGAAGTTATCATTCCATTGTTCGACAAGAGCAAATTCAACGGAGAAGGTGGAAGGGCACCAAAAGAGAAGTGGCAATGTGTTCCGGCCGGAACGCAGATTGATGTTGTGATATTTGAAGGGTGGTGTGTTGGGTTCCAGCCTCTGGATGAGGCTATCATCCGACAAAAATGGGAGAGAGAATTTCAACAAGAAGAAACAACCGATTTTCCAGTCAAAACATTGAAGGACCATGCGCTTGGGCACTTGCTAGAAGCAAATGAGAAGCTGCGTCAATACTGCGATCAATTTTTGGGACAGCAACATTTGGACTTTCTTCTCCATTTGGATACCTCAAGCCTGGGCAATGTGTACAAATGGAGACTACAGCAGGAACATGATCTTTTTCAGCGGACGGGGGAGAGTATGACGAATGAGGAGGTCGTTCAATTTGTCAGAGGGTATATGTCAGCGTATGAGCTCTATCTGGAGCAGATGCAGGATCAGTTGCGACGAGGATTCTTCGATGACAAGACCAAAGGTCGAGTGCGAGTTCTATTGGATCAAGACAGAAACATAGAAGACTATATTGAGTATAGTCGTGAAATTTAGTATTTTCAAAGAATTTTACACAATCGGTTAATTTGCATGGTTTCCTCGTCTTGAAAAATTGTCAAGAATCACAGGAAGTTGTTGTGGATCATCCAAGGACCGTCGGCAACACTCCATAAGTCGTTCATCAACATTGATGAGGTCAACGGCAAGGAGTCTTGGCCCGCAAAACTCGTGTTGAAGACACCAATGTTGTCCGTTGTGTTTCCAAATATGAGCCCAGCTGACGACTGCCCATTGAAGTTGTTTCCAGTAGGGTCCATCATCTCAGGGAAGTTGCCCATATTGACTGATGGCGAAACGATAGCCGAATCATAATTGTCTACTGCGGGGGAACCCGCAGTCGAGCGAATAGTAGAGCCAAAGGGTTGAATTCCCACGGAAGTCGGCTGCTCTTGATATGTATTCTTCTGTAAGTTCTGAGAACGGACCGGCGTGATACTTATATCCCCAGTGCCGTTGGTTCTATCCTGAATTGGCGAAAGTCGGGACATTCTTCTGTCAATGAGATTTCCCGGTGGGGCAGATCCTTCAGCTCCATTTGAGGTTGAAGCAATCTTGAATTGTACACCTGTAGGCATCTGTGTCAAGGCAGACTCCATCCCTTTGATGGCCTCAATGCAGGTTTCAGGCCAGCTACTACCGCGCAATGACAAGTTCTCCAAAATGGCAATCCCCATTCTGGCGTACTTGATAGCGGTAGGTGCGGCAAATTCTTCTTCAGATGCTGCATACATCAGAATCAGACATGCCATCCAAGTGGACCATGTAAAGCACGGCCAGGAGAGTGGAGATTCAGATGGAGAGGATATGTGTTTTTTCAAAGCTGCAACTATTGATCGTGATGAGGCAATGCACGTTTGTAATGCGTTTTTATAATCAGCACTTGGCTTTTCGGCAGCTAAAAGAGGCCGATTGAGTGAGATGATAGCTTCGTGCCGTAGGACTATCAAAAGCAAGCGATGATAGGGTTGCAAGAGTACTTCTTGTTCGATGCATGTTTCTGCAGGCTCTTCAATCGGGTTTGCATCATCATAGACTTCGTTCCACCATTTTGAGAGCTCTCCAGAAACGTGGGCTGCCTCGGCCTGACTGGCATGACTGTGCAGAATAGACTTGTTGCGAAGCTCCACAATCAAACCTCGTACCCGTGAAAACTTTGCAAGATGACATACTAGGCGTAGTCTGGGATCATCTATTTTTCTAGGAACGTTTGACGCGTGTCGCTCAGTGCCTGGGTAACAGACATCGATGTCGTCATCTCTAATGCTGAGAGGGATCCCAAGAGCTTGGGACAAATACCTCTCTAGGGAGTAGATTGACCAAAATAGCCGGCATCTAATGTCCACCTCTTGATTGGTGAAGCATGAAAATCGCCCTGGACAGCGATGCAACCCAAGGTGAAATGCAGTTCGAGTGATAACTCCTCCGACACGCGAAGCGGCATTGAGGCGGAGAAGTGAAGTGAGAGCAAGTTGAGCTGTGAATGCGGCTTGCAGTAATGAAAGTGTAGTAGGCTCTTCAAGTAAGCTTTGTACTTCATGCATAACATGAGGTATAGTGTGAAAGACCAAGACTGAAGGAATGGTACCTAACTTGGACCCTAATACTGTTGTTTGCCGATTATCACCGAGGGATATGGAAATGATAGATCGAAGAATCAACATATCCAGTCGACTGATTGATTCCACTCCCTTTTGGCTCACAGTCTCCATGATTTTCAAGACTGTGGGAGCATGCAGACAAGGGAAAATTGGATGCCAATTCTCAAAATAGCTGCGCGTCCACTTGATGAGGTCATTGAAATCAAATGAGGCATTCAGCGCAAAGTCCAATTCATCATGAGTCCACAGATCATCTGACCTGTGAACATTTCCTGCATTTTGCCGTAGACGGTCGTCCTCGCCTGGGACGGAGGTTCGGTCACGGGTTCGTGTCTGATCCAAATCTGCGGATCGGCGAGCAAAAGCATTGTAAACGTGCCGAATGAAGTGAATTCCACTCGAACTTCCAATAAATGTAGCAGACCCATCATTCTGAGACTCTCTCATGAATCCGATCTCACGAGGCGATGGGCCTGAAGTACCCGTAGCGGATGTGCGCTTGCGTCTCTTGGCTGCACGAGACGGGTATGGCCAATCTGTTTCATTTTCTTCAAATCGAGTGCTTGCAGACGAAGGAGAGGCCATATCTACTCGATCACATATTGTGAGATTGAGGCATTTGGCATGTCAACTTTCCCCAGCTCCCGATGATCCTAGGGACGGTGGGATTTTAGTCAGATATTACGTCAGCTCCCCAATTGCCTCGGGGTGGATCTATAGAATTACTGTGCTTCTACAAATGTCTTTTAATCATCTATACAACGATGTTGAAAGCTCTGTAACTTCCTCTACAGCCATTAATCTTACTGAAGTGTCTATAATGTGCCCTTCAGGCGTGTGCCATTCCTCTTTCAAGTAGCACAGCCCTTTTCAACATCCTAGGATTTGGCCAGCTCAGCATTGTGCCTATTTTCGTAGGATATTCCGACAAGTGTACTCTTTGGTAATTTGTTGGTGTATTAAGTCCCCAAGCACTAGAGTCAAACTTATCACCAGTGTTATACTGTGACCATCTAAATCTCGTTTATCCCTCATACGGGTCACACTCGAAAACAGTGGGCAAACTCCTTATATTTATTGAAATTTCTTATTCACTGACCTAGATTTGGTGACTCTAGCTCTCGAAAAAAAGCCTAACTTGAACAGTCAATTAGCCAAAGATTTTGACCCTACCAATGACCCTTTTTCTTCTTTTCTATCGATGCACCGCACAAGGTGTACAATAACAGTCACAGGTGAACCAACCCCCGCTAGACCTTGTAGTGTGACCCTCAAAATGTCAGTATATCATACACTTTCTCTTGCAGTCTTTTTACCTGATGCAGTATATTTTTCTTAAGTCTTCACCCTACAGCCTCATGGTCATCCTCCCAGTCTTTGTATGGCACGCACATGCCTTATTTCACCCCAGCAGAACGCAATAAAGGATACTTGATTTGATCATCTTTCAAAGTGTGAGCTTGAGATACTTAGCCCGGATGGTCACAGGGATATAGTCATCGGATCACTAAAGTGACGGATATCAAAGTCTCGTATGATCAACGGTCAGAAGCACTACCACCACCAACTCGACAGGGTGAGCTTTGATTAAAGCTATACCAAATATAGGTTTGTAGTGAAAATCAATACAATAGATACTTGTCGATGTATTCAACCAGATTAAAGGCGGAGAGCCCATTTCATGCGGCGTCACGTGCATATCGGACATTTTCAACTCCGAAAATTTCAACCGTCATACATATCAGCCAGATCTATCAAGATGGCTTGGCTGGTCTGGTATTCTGCATGAATTTCGGAGATCTCACTGCGTTATGCATGACACGACTTTATATTAAGTAATGAGTCAATCGCGATCGAAGCGGGCTAAAACGTCCGAGGTTATTGTGCCAGGTGAGACCTGAATATCTCCATATTCAAAACATGAGTTACTGACTTAGGATATACGCACTCAGAGGAAGAGGCCCTCAATTCAATTTCCTGTGAAACATGTAGACAGCGGAAATGCAAAGTAAGTGGAATGTCTAGTTATACTCAAATTAGTGCTAATTGGAACAGTGTGATCGAAACCTGTAAGATGGTTAATGTCAATATCAAAAATGACATGGATCATATCTAATTTACATTGTCATCAAGGCCGTTTTGTTCTCAATGTGAAGGCGACCCGTCTAGATGTGTTTACCCAGAGAGTGGCAAGAGGTGAAATGCCCAATGCACGCAGGTACCCATAGAAAACTGACCTGTTGATCTAGAGGCTTGCCACTGGGATATCTGAACCAACTCGAGCAGAGGTTAACAGAAACTGAGTCCGCACTATACGGGGCTCTTGCAGCCCTCCGATCTATGGAATCAACAGCTGTACCAGTCTCGACAAAAGCCGACACAGCGCCAAAACACAAAGCAGCGCGCATGGAAGAATGGTCTCAACTCCCACTTCGAGAGTGGTCGGACGTGGAACGATGGATGACGGTGATGTCGGACCGATTCAGCATCAAGCAGCCAAGAGAGATGATCCCCGAGACATCAAGGGGCAGTTACGCAATACCGATGACTCCTACTCATGATGAAACACGCACTTTAGGGGTATCTGATGAGCCGCATTCGAGGACTATCCCGTCTGCATGGCCACCTGGGGGCAGCAGGTTCAATACAGGGAGTCCGTATGGTTCTAATCAGCTACGCCCCGGGATGATGGCTTCCCCGGCTTATTATGGGCAGGTCGCGGTTGAGTCGGAGGTCCTGCCGTCTCCCCCGGCTGGAAGTTCCCGACATGAAGTGGATGATGCTGTCGGTGTTTCTGTTGTGGATCATGCAAATGCAGGAGCTGGTGTGGATTCAGGATCGACAATGGCTGAAGAGCTGTCACACAAGAATCCGAATTTGTATTTCTAAATTGATCAGTTCAAAGTGGTCTGTAAAGTATAGTAGAGACATATCTAGCTCGGACACTTTATCTGTAACGGAGTCACGGGTCACGGGCCACTTTGGCCTCAGGAATCATTAGTCAGGTCTCACGTGAAATCCCAAGGAGAACATCTTGTCACATTGCTCACTTCTCACTCTTGGATAGGTTTATTTTCAGCTCAAGGCGCCAGTTTCACGCACTATATGCAGAATAGAGTACAGGGTTCCTGTAAAGAGCCCTGGCGGGGCTCGAGCGCATCACTCCACAAGCCTTTGTCCGGTGGAGTCCGAGATGAGGTTTTAATCACCACTCCACTAAGTCCACCGAGTCCACCGAGTCCACCGCGCTCCGCCCAGATAACGATCCCACTGATTCTGTGAATTTCAGTTGGACTCTCTTCAGCTGGATTTCTGCACACAAGCAATCCCCTGGTGCATTTCTTCTGTCCTTGATTGGATATGCGGCAGTCCCTGGATTCTTACCAACGGGCCACGGAGCTTCGCTCTACGCATGGAACGAGTCTAACTGGCTAGTGAAACGCCCGTGCCATCAGACTAGGGGGCCCGGACCTGCAATTGATTGTTTCAGTCAAATTCTACACGGAAAAATAATTGCATCACACAATGAGGGATGGCATTCACGTGGGTAAAAAGATCCCTGAAGGGTCATCTGCAGTACAGAAAGGACTGCACACGTCAATATCTAGGGTCTGACGACCTTCACGCCTGATCAGGACCTAGAGTGCCCCTCCATACCCAGGGCCATCCAGGGTTGACCACGTCTGGGCCCTGACCGTTCGGACGGATGGCCACAGGGACTCAAAAATAAGAAGCAAATCAGCGTAGAGAACATACCGTAAAAAGAGGCAAAGTGTAAAAGTCTGGATGAACCACTGGAAGAACTCTGGACCCCCAATCCGCGATCTCTGTTGGGCTCCATCGGCCTACAGTTGGTTCTCGGAGTGGCCAAACGTGTTAAGCGCCCGACCCCCCCCCCCGTCACTTTCAGTTCGTAAGGGACCCCCTTCTTCTTCTTCCTCCAACCTCTCATTTTTAGTTCCTTCATTCTCTCCTTTCCTGCTGGTCCTTGATAATCTGTGATCTGTGATCACTCCTGTCTATCGACCTAGCGCCTGGTTGTGCGCTCCATTCCTTTTAGCCCACAAAGTAGGCTACACTCCCCTCCCATTTTGCTGCGCAAAATTACGAGAGCTCGACATTCATTAGAAACAACTCAGTTTCACTTCTGTACAGTTGTTGGAATAGAATTTCACCATCTGACACCAGACACATTCCTGGAGTTGATCCTCCATTCCTTCCATCCCGCGATCGTCTACCACGCGAAACAGTATCCGATCACAAAGACGCCTAAAATAAGATTACGCGACACCTTCAAAATCTATTCTGACTTGACGATCTACCGTCTCCCTCTAACCACTTTTCTGCCATCATGTCGAACCTCACGAGAGCATTCACCCGGCGCAATAAGCGCCCGGAGGTATCTGCGCCCATGCCGTATCGTGCTGAAGGCCATGTGCGACTGAATTCGGGAGCTATCAAGCGTGGAAATATTTCTGGCCCAGTTCAGCTGTTGTCCACCACCAACATGCTCGCCTACAATGCCCCAGATCTTCACTCGGCCGTTTCTACGTCTTCGTCGTCTTCGTTGCGCTCTGACTCGGACGCTGTTTCCCCGCAGAGCTACGCTTCGTCTATGACTTCGCCCGACGTCTCTCCATACGAGAGCTTTCCCGTTGAGGCGAATCCTATGGCATCTTATTTCCCGAAACGCTCAGCTACCGTGACCAGTCACCCGCGTTCCTCGACCTCATCCTCTCAGTCAAATACGGATGCCCCGGTGATTCCCAAGCGTGCTTTGTCTCACACAAAGCGTTCTCATCAGGAGCTCGCTCGCAACCGTTCCGTCTCGAGGATGTCTCCACCTCCTTTGAACGCCCCACGTAGCAACCCTGCTGTTCGGGCATCCCAAGACTTCTTCCAGCCTGAGCCGCATCCATTCAGCAAAGAGCTGGAGCAAGTGAACGAGGTTGCCGAGGAATTCGGTGGGTTGAATCTTCTAGATGATGAAGAGCGCATTTTGTATGATAAGGGGCTCAAGAAGTTCTCTGTCGAAGATTATCTTGTGGAGATTGAAGACCTCTATGGCAGCATTTTTGAGGACAAGCCTGGACCTTTGCACACTACAACTTGGTTCTAACTTATCCCTAATACTGCCTGCCCCGGTTGATCCGGGGTAATCGACACGAGATTGCAGCCAGCAAAGAACTGGATCTTCTTTGCTGGGTCTGCCGCGACGACCAACTATTATTCTCTCTCTTTGACGACTATTCCCCTTGTTTTGCACGATACCATGGGAGGACCCTTCTGCTACGCGTTCGGTCTTCATTCTATCCCTTCTGCCTCTGCCATTGTTTTGTTTCTCCCGTCTTTGGCAGTCTCTATATCTCTCAGTCCTCCGACGTGACTGGTGAGATTCATATCTAGATTGTTTCAGGTTCTATTCGGTTTTTTTCAAATCATACATGTTAATAGAACTCCGATAAAAGCTTGCAGATCTCTCCTTCCTGCATTGTAGAGTTTGTGGCTTGTTCAATCGCTAGGTCCGAAAGTAGTCTCATAAGCAATATCTAGACAAGCCTTTTGAAGGCCATTGTCTAGAAACACTCAATTGCGTATACTTGCACGCGACGCGCGATGAGAACATGATGATGTAAGCCAATATTACCAAAAGGGGATTAGCGTAGGGCTCACCGACACGGTCACGGGTTCACGGGTGCTCCGCAGGCTCCACAGCGAATGAAGGAAAAATTTCGCTTTTGCTCTACTACAACAGACCTGGCCACTTCGACCGTTCTGTCTGCATCTGATTTCATCTCCTCCAAGCGACTGGAAAACCTCCAGAGGTGCAGACAGATGTTTTCCCTTTTTTCCCGCTTCAACCTGTAGCATAAACGTCAAGTTTGAGACGTGAGAGGTCGTGTGCTTGGACCACGCTTCGATAAGCTCAAGTCCCGACATTGAATCAACGTCGACAGTGTTCTGTGTTCAGAGAGCAGAGCAGCAAATGTCGACCTATTTCTATCTCTAGAATCTGTTATCGTTCAACACCCGGTCATGGTCTCCCTTGCCGCCACGACTTCACGCAACCCGGCGCTACCGCCGAACCCTGCAGGCCCTCGAGCGAAAATGATCCCTAATTCCTCTCCCGTTCCTATCCTCAAAACATCCAAGTCGACTCGTCCAATGGCTGGCACAAAACGCAAAATGAGTGATGCCGACCTCGCTCTCTCCCCCTCTTCATCCCAAGGCGATGACGTTACAGAAGAGCTCCCCCACAAGAAGCGTCCACGCGTTCAATTTGACCAGGATGTGAAGCTGCACGATGCTTCTGGGCCGGATACTTCGTCGGAGAAGAGCCTAGCCTTTGTGCGGGAGGAAGTACGCAGTGCTATCCACCGCCATGTTACAATGTCAGAAAGCGAGGGCTACGACCGAATCAAGGGAATCTTCACCGCCGACCCCAAGAAACAGGGCGATGACACCGTGCTTGCATATGACTTGCCAACACACTTGTCTTTGAAGAACCACCTCCTCGGTCTTCTGTCCCATGTCGCCTCCCTCGACCGCTCATGTAGCGGACTCGTACACGCCATCATCAACAGCGAGTGGCTCGGTCGTGATGAATCGTACGTGAAGCTCTACATACGGTTCATGGGCAATCTGGCTGCTGCCCAGGGTACCTACCTTGGTCCCGTCTTGAAGATGCTTGCCACCAGCCTCGGAACTATCCCTCGAGGACTTGGTCGACTCCCCGGGTACGCTGTTGTCTCGCCATCTGAAATTTACACTCGTGTCCACATGGCACTTCGTCACCTGCTACGACTCATTCCAGCTGCGAGTGGATCGCTGTCTCCGATATTGTCTTCGCAGTTCCCCTTCGACTCGGACCCCGCTAGTGCCAACGTTGCCTACACACGTAACCTTGTCCAAATCATCAATTACACTCCTGAATTGCAATCGGACATCCTAGCTTTGATTACCGAAAAGATGGTCAAGGTCGATGTTCAGATACAAGTGGACATGGAAGACTTCGAGGAGGAGGTTGGCGACGAGCTTATTCACGACATTGATGACGACGAAGTCGACGATGATAATGAGTCCGTCGCAAGCGACGATTCAGAGGAAAATGACACACAGGGAACGAAGAAAATCAAAGATAACATCCTGAAGGTGGATGGAATGATCGACATTCTCTTCGAATACTTCGCTCCTCCTTTCACATCTGGCAGTCTGGATGACAAGGAGAACGCCTTGGACCTACTCCTTAGCCATTTCCAGAGCATTATCCTCCCAACATATCGATCTCGCCACACTCAGTTCCTCTTGTTCCATTTCTCTCAAACCTCGCCTGTACTCGTCGATCGTTTCGCCTCGACCTTTGTGCAACTAATCTTCAACAAGCTGCAACCTGGTATTCTGCGTCAGTCCGCAGCTGCATACCTTGCTAGCTTTGTCGCTCGTGGCGCTCACATTTCTGGCGATGTCGTTCGTGATGTCTTTGACCTTCTTCTTACCCACCTGAACAGTCTGCGCATTGATTACGAAGGTAGCTGCCGCGGCCCTGATCTTCGGCGTTACGGACCATTCTACTCTACCGCCCAAGCCCTGCTGTATATCTTCTGCTTCCGCTGGCGTGACCTGACAACTGCCGCCATTGACGGCGACACCGCAGACCAAGTAGACGAACTTGAGCCAGGCCAGATTCAATTCCCTCCCAACATCAAAGAGTTCCTCCACAAGTCCATTTACTCGCGTCTGAACCCTCTCAAGGTGTGCTCTCCGGCCATCGTGTCCGAGTTCGCCCGCATCGCCCACCACTTCCAATTCCTCTACGTCTATCCCCTCCTCGAAACCAACAAGCGTATCCGCATCACAGCATTCCGAAGCATCTCCACCCTCGCAGACTCCCGCTTCAGCCAAGTTGGGCGTGAGATCCGCGCAGGCGATAACAGTGGCTATCAACTCGACGCCTACTTCCCCTTCGACCCCTACCAGCTACCCCGCAGCCGACGCTGGCTGGAAGGCGACTACGTCGAATGGCGCGGTATCCCCGGTCTGGACGAGGCCAATGACTCAGACAGCGGTGCCGACGAGGAATCCGATGAAGACAGTGAAGACGCAACAGAGACAGACGAGGAGTAAACCAATCTTCAAATGTCCTGTCTTCATGTCTAAAGTCATCATGTTTTGATCTTGATCTTTGATTCGATTTTCTGTTACTTGAGCGCGGCGTCCGGATTTCCAGCCCATTTTCGTGGTTTTGTTTCTTTTTTATTTTCACCGTCTTTCTCCCCAATTTCTTCCGCATAGAAAAAAAGTTCCGATACCTTGTTCCTCTCTTATGACTGATGACATTGTGCTTCGTTGCGGGACTTTCGTGGATCCTTGAGGTCTTTGATCCTATGTGTACTACTATAGTGCAGCTTGTTTCTACCAAGTCAAAAGAAAAAAAAAGGGAAATTATCACATTCAATCTTTGTCTTTATGTATATGGGTGTTTGGTAGGCCATACTGTAGCGGCTGGCAACTTCTACCAATGTTGCACGTACAAACTCCGTTTCTACTCCCCCACTAGACATTCAACCAGTCTCAACCTCTATCCTAGCTCATTCAACTCGGAACATAATATCACACTTAGACATATACCCTCCGCCGGTCATTGACAGACAATGAAAACGCAGCATCACACAAGCAGCCATAAACATCAGGTCCACAACCTTGCACGCGATATCTGCATCAGGAACGAGAACTCCAATTTGACAAAGAAAGCATAGTCACTGCTTATCTCTCTGCAGCCACGAACGTGCCATTCTTCGTCGGTATAGATGTTGACGGTGTCTGCTCACTTCGATGTCCCTCTGGCGACGGATCAAATGCCACCGGATGATGGTTCTTCGGTACATCCATTCTAGAGGAGATAGTGAAAAGTATGAAGAATATGCATGTCAATATGAAGATTGTCGATATTGAAAATATGTGGAATGCGGAGATGTGTTTCGACAACATGATTTTATGGACTGTAGATGACTGACTTCAGGGGTAAAAAATACAGTCACCGTACTTGGAGGAAGAACTTTTGTTCGCTGGGCTTGGCGGGTTGCCAAGGAGCTATTTTGAGATGACTTGTAAGCTGGCTAGGCTGCTGTTCACTTATTCAGAGGTAGTTGCTTACCTGACGTGGAATGGGATTCACTTTGTACTGGTGAATAGATGCTGGTGGTGGCATGTCTGGAGTCTACTTTTGAGGAAGGAATCCTATTGTGCTTTTCAGTAACTTGAAGGATATTCATTCAGTTGGATACTGTAAGCCACCTCCAAAGCGCTTTTGTAGGGCTAGAGTTTGGCCCTGATTTGGGTTAGTCGGCTCACACGTGAATGGGCCGGGAGTGCTGGCCAATAGGCAGGGATCCCGCCAACCTTGCGCCAGGTGGAAGTGGTTGCAGAGTCCGCTTCTGGGCCCACTCGACACCATCCCTGCATGTTGTCCGCATGCTGTCCGCATGTTGTCCGCACGTAGTCGTATGCGTAGCAAATTAGTAAAACCCTTTGCTCCAGCATATGTTGCTCGGGAATACAGTAATCACGAAGTGTGAGTTGATTGATAAAAGTAAGGATACAATAAGACTAAATCAATGCTATTTATGTTCAGCTAACGCCGTGAATGCCAAATTCCCAAACGCCGAGGTTGGCGCTATTGCAGTGCTAAGATAGAAACAGGAAAATGGAAGACAGAAAGAGAGTAAGAAAGTAGTACAGGCGTAGCAATCACCGATCGAAGATAGCCTTCATGTCGGCGCAGGCATCACGGTAGAGAACATCCACGCTGTTCTGGTCCCGCCATGGATTGGGTGACTTGTCCCACGCATGCTTGGCCTTCTCGATAAGCATGGCCCGAACGCGTTTCCCAAGGCCTTCAAGGCGACGCACGAATTGTTGGCCCTCCTTCATAAGCATGTCCCACTCGCAGATGAACAAAAAGACATCACGGGGGAGGGCCTCTGCTAGAACTTGATCGGTGGCACGCACAGGAGACGCATAAGGTGAAGCACGATCCTCCAGGTTGGGCAGATAAGCCTCATCAAAGAGGGTGGTAAAGAAGGCAGGGAGCGTCTTGTTCGGCATGAGACTCATCGCGCGGCGATGGTCCCGTGATTCCTGGAAGTCCAGAATAGGGTACCAGCAGAACAATGCAACGATGTGAAGATCACTGATCTGGTTGATGAGGTTCTGGGTTGATTCTGCGCGGCCCAGGTTTTCCTTGATCTCGGATGATATCCGGCTACGCAACCTCAACGGCACGGTGACTGCCAGGTTTCCGCCGGCTGAGAACCCGCTCAGCGCCACTCGACTCACGTCCAAGCCCAGTTCGGTGGCATGTGCTGCTAGATAGAGTAGACCTTCGACACCGTCGTCCACTGCGGCGGGGAAAGGGTGCTCCGGTGCCCGCCGGTAGCTCACACTGACAACCACCGCCCCGACATTATCCAGGATCACCTTGATCCAGCGGGAGTCATCAGTGGCACAGCCGAGGGTGAAACCGCCACCGTGGAAGTTGACGGCAACTGGGTATCGATGACCTAAGCGTCGTTGTTCATGGTAGTCGGGTGGACAGTAAAAGTGGAGGACGATCGAGTTTCCATGGCTGTCGGAGGTCACGCTGCGAGTGAAGGACGGTCGCGGTGGGCTAGTCGGACCGATATCGTGTAGGAACATTCCAATGCGCATCAGAAAGCGCCAGAAGACAGCCTGGACATACAGCCACCATCGGGATTGGGCCATGGTGCGTTCTGGCATGCGCTTGGGGACTCCGGAAGACCCGGAAGATGACGAGTTGATTAGAGGAGGGGAAGATGAAAATGGCGAGAAGAAGAAATGAACAGGAAAAAGACGCAAGTCAAGGACCGAAGAAAAAGGAAGTGAGGTTAAGAATCAGATGTTGAGATAAAGAAGCGCAGTCCGAGGCCGAGACAAAACGTCTCCATACCAAGAAATCAAGTTATCAGGGGGGTGATGTCATGGTCTGTTTTCAGGGCCAAGAGGGGGTTTATTTAATTCTTCTGCTGCTTAAATATTTTCGATTCTTCAATTCTTTATCACTTCTTATATTGTGGAATTTCTTACATCTCTCGGATTACTCTGTTCCTCGTTCTTCCGGGCTGCTTACTGTTAAGCTCCTTCCCAGGGTTCCAGCCATATCCCACCCCCACCTCACTTCTTGAACCCTTCCTTTCCTTCTCATGTCCTAAGAATTGTGTTCCAAGATGTCCATCAAACGTGCTCTCTCCAAGGCCATTAGAGGGCATATTGGCCCTGAGGATGACAATAGCTCCGGCTCCAACATCCGTACTGCCCTCACTCCCAAGATCCGTACTTCTACAAACCGCTCCAGCTCCCCCACCGCGTCCCCGCGCCGCAGCATTCTCGGCAACTTCCTACGCGATCGGAATGATTATGTCTCTTCTTCAGAGGACCTCTCTGATGACTCTTCCAGTGGTGTCTTGAGCAAGAACCAGCAAAAGCGGCTGGTCCGTCAACACCGGCGCAGTGAGCGCAGCCGTCTCAGTGAGGAGATGTTCTCTGAAACCGATCACCGCCGTAAGGAAGAAGAGATCGCCAAAGCAGCGGCCGATGAGACGGCTGATATGAAGGCTCGCTATGGCGAGCTTCCCTTGATGCAGTCCGCCGACCGTCCTCGGGAAGTACGGACTGCGATAGATGATATCACCGTCGCCATGGTGGGGCAACCGGTCTTCTTCACAGCTCGGCTTCATGTGGTACGTCGTATGAGTGCCAAGCTGGTTTTCCTGGTCTTCCGTCAGCAGCTGGGTACTTTCCAGGGTGTTCTGCATGAACGCCCGGGGGTCTCATCCATTGCCATGATCCAATGGGTGGAGCATCTCCGCGTGGGGTCTTTTGTCACAGTCCGCGGTACAGTGCAAAAGCCCGAGGTCCCGGTCCTGGGCTGCTCCATTCATGATGTCGAGCTGTCCATTGACTCTGTCCATCTTCTCGTTCATCGCGAGGAGCCTGTCCCCTTCAGCGTTTACGAGGCTGAGATCCGAACTACCGAGGAAGATAAGGTTGAGGGTCGTCGGAACCATATCCCTGACCGGACGCGTTTGGCAAACCGAATTCTCGACCTTCGCACAGCAACCTCCCAATCTATCTTCCGTATTCAGTCGGCCACTTGCAATCTGTTCCGCACCGCCCTGGACGACCGTGAATTTATTGAAATTCATACCCCCAAGTTACAAGGTGCTGCCACTGAATCTGGAGCCAGTGTCTTCCAGGTCAACTACTTCGGTCGCCCTGCATTCTTGGCCCAGTCACCCCAATTGGCAAAGCAGATGGCTATTGCTGCCGATTTCGGTCGTGTTTATGAGATTGGTGCCGTCTTCCGTGCCGAGAACTCCAACACTCACCGTCATCTGACAGAGTATACTGGCTTGGATCTTGAGATGGCAATCAATGAGCATTACCATGAGATGCTTGAGACCCTTGATGCTGTCATCAAGAACATTTTGAAAGGTATCTATTCCAAGTACCGCCGCGAGGTGGAGCTTGTCAAGCACCAGTTCCCTTCAGAGGACATTGTATGGCTGGAGGAAACGCCCATCATTCGCTTCACCGACGGTATTAAGATGCTGAATGACTCGGGCTGGCGGAGTGAGGAAGGTGAATTGCTACCTTTGGATGAGGATTTGGCCACTCGTGATGAGATTCATCTCGGTGAGCTTGTCAAGGAGAAGTATGGCACCGATTATTACGTACTTGACAAGTTCCCCCGTGATGCACGTCCATTCTATACGATGCCGGACGCTGAAGATGACAAATTCACCAACTCGTTCGACATGTTCATCCGCGGTCAGGAAATTGTCTCGGGTGGTCAACGTATCCATGATCCTCACATGCTCGAGGAAAACATGCGCCGCGCTGGTATCAACCCCGAGGATATGGAGGAATATCTCGAGGGCTTCCGATGGGGTGCTCCCCCTCACGCCGGTGCCGGTGTTGGTCTCGAGCGAATTGTCATGCTGATCCTGAAGCTGGGCAACATCCGTCTTACATCGCTATTCCACCGTGATCCTAAGAGCTTGCCAGAGAAACACGTTGGAGAGAAGCTTCGTCACCCTGAATCGTCAACAGTTGAGCCACCATGGCAACGCGAGCACAAGGCCCGTGTGGCTTCCGATGTTAGCGAGCTGCAGCCGCTGGTTGAGTTGATTGCCAATTACGGTGATGCCACGTCCACCTCTTGGCTCGATGATCGGTTCAAGATCTGGCGTGACATGGCCACTGGTGCGGCCGTCGCCTATGTTCCCAGCTCCAGCAACTTTGCGGTCATTCCCGGCAACCCAGCCTGTGACCCCAAGCAATACACACGCACCATCACTCAATTCCTGCAGTGGATGCGCCGTGAAACCAAGTACAAGCCTGTTTGGATTCTCTGCTCACCAGAAGTTGAGACCATTTTGGGTGAGCGTCTTGGCTGGCGCAGTCTGTCATGTATTGCTGAGGAGCGCGTTGACCCCTCCCGCAACCAGGCTGCCTCTGACGGCGAGATCTCTCGCAAGCTCCGTCGCGCCGAAAATGAGGGCATCAAAATTGTGTCCTTCAACCAGGGTGAGATGGTCCCAGAAGACGTCCGCACAAAGATCGATGCTCGCATCAGCGAATGGTTGGCCAACCGCAAGGGAACTCAAGTCCATCTGTCCGAGATTCGCCCATGGTGTGATTCCGAGCACCGCTGGTACTTCTACGCCCAGGACAAGGAAGGCACTATCTGTGCCTTTGTCGCATTGGCTATGCTGTCTCCATCCCATGGCATGCAAGTGAAGTACAGTCTGGACTTCCCCGGTGCCCCCAACGGTGTTATTGAGTACATCGTCACCCACGCCATCCAAACCGCTGCCAAGAGTGGTGTCAAGGGCCTCACCTTTGGCGCTGGCGCCACCTCCCAGCTCATTCCCGGCCACAATATGCATGGTACCAAGGTCAAGATGCTGGAGCACACCTACGAAGCCCTCGCTAAGCAATTCCACCTTGTTCGCAAGAGTGAATTCCGCGCTAAGCTTGGTGCCACCGAGGACCCGCTGTACATTTCCTACCCTGCTCACGGTCTTGGATCTAAGGGTATCCGTGCTATTCTGAACTTCTTCGAGGATTAATCCACCACTACAGCCTTCAAAATTATGATTTGATGAGTTATATTGGTCTAATCTTTTTAATCTAGATTTCAGTGACTATGGACATACTGCCACATACTGTTATCTATGACGACCAGACGTGGGACCACGCTTAGAGTAAAGAAGGGGAAGAGCTGGCTGGTCTACGGCGTTGATTATAATGTTTTTGCTTTGGTTTTTCTCTCTCCATACACGCTGCCCATACTTGTTTTTTTTTTTTTGCTCCCCCCTTCATGAATCATGTATCCCCATCTTTGTATGTTTGATTTCTTGTTCTGGCGATTGGCATTTTCTTCGTTATGCAAGCTAAATTTACCAATGATGTCTCATATTCCCTACCTTTCGATATGGGTACCAATCATCTAAGAATTTGCGCTCGGTAAACAAAACATTCATGCCCCCAATCAACGCTCCGAGTCCAGTTTCTCTCAATAATTTCAAATCCCCCTCGTACTCAGTACAGTAAATTATTTCCATGCCACCGATCTCAGTCATACTTATTTTGAAAAGAAAATCATACATAGGTAACAGATCCAGCAACCAATCCAAGATACACAAAATATAATACAGTTTCCAATCAATCCATCCATGCACTCAATGAACCTATTTCTTCTTCATATCTTCAAGAACACTCTGCCCACGCGCATCCTCCACAACTCGCCCAACCTCCCCAGCAACCCACCTAGAAACAACAACAGCAAGCAAAGCAACTGCCAAAATCCACAACGCAGTTGGCACAAGCGACCGCGGGAAAACATTCATCAAGAACGGATCGAGAATCACATCAACCGCCACAGCCGGCACATCCCGCATCAACGCCGCATCCGTACTGAAGTAGTCCGCTGCAGCATGGATTCTCAAAAACAGCACTGAGTCTGTTGTTGGCGACGCGTCGAGCGGGTCAGTTCCGCCTTTTTTGCTGCTGTGCGGGAGGGGGAGGGCGTGTCTTTGGATGCTGTTGGATTGTAGATCGTTGTCAAGGGCTGCTAGGCGGGCGTTGGTGTAGATGCTTAGGGAGCTAATGAGGGCTTTGTTGGAGATTGTTTGGGGGAGGGGGTATGTTGATAGGGTGAATGATGTTGGTTGCTGGATTTGTTAGTTTTTGTCTTTTTTTTTTCATTTTTTGTTCTTATTGCTAGTTTCTGGTATTCGGTGGTCCATGGTCTTTAATCCATGGTTCATGGTTCATATATGATGTATCATAATGCCAGGATTGGGGAAAGGGGTGAGGGGATGGTTCTTACAGTCGCTAGCCAACAAACCCGCACCTCATATCGCTGGCCAGGATTCAAGTTCTCTAGGAAAAACCAGGATTCCACGCCGTTTGGTGCATCTGTTGTTGGGAACGATGCATTGAGACGGGTGCGCACTATGGGGTTTTGAGGTGATAGCCGCTCTAGACCTAGGTCGTCGAGGTCCGGCTGCTCTGAGGGAATGGTTGTTTCTGGGGGAGCCAGAAAGATGGTTTTTTCCACATTTGCTTGAGCTATTTCTGCAAAAAGGAATAATAGCAAGCCCAAGGTGAGGAATTGGAGCATGGTGATAGCTCTGCTGTGCAGGTTGCAGATTGCAGGGTTGAAGACGATGTAGTTTTCTTGACTCTTTATTCACTGCTCATGCACATTGTTATTTTTTTTATGAAAAAAAAAGAATAGACTGAATCAATGTTAGCAATGTACTGTATTCTTTTAGGGTGTGGGTATTCTGTCTGTACCGGTATTGGGTTATAACAGTGTTGCTTATCAGGTTAGTGATGAACGTTGTCCAGGATGTGCGGTGTGGATCCCGCTTGACCGAGTATTTGGTGTGGGCAACTTGGCACCGTATGAGGTCTCACACTTCAGAAATTATGCCAATCAAAAACCCGTAGTTCTTTATTCGGGCCTTGATCAGTCAACGAGGTCATAAATCGACGATACCCTGAGCCCATCACGTGGCCTCACGGGACCAAGTGAGGCGGTGAGGCCGGCCAGAGAGCAGGCGGGCCTCAGCCAATCAGAAGAGCCGACGCGACCCAACGAACGGATCAACAATGAACTTCCCCCCTGTACAGCACAGACGCTCCTCCTCCACAACATTTCTGTCGACTTGTGTTTTCCTTTCGACATCTTCTCGTCCATTCCTCCATTCTTCAGGTATTCAACCCCCTCTATCTTCCTCCCTTCCCCCCCGCCCCCTTCTTTGACTGACCCCTCTGAATCAGACCACCGCGTTTGTTGTTTTGGGTTCCCCTCTCCTGATTTTTTAGCTTCAAAATACCCACAGAATCACAATGCGTGAGATTATCAGTTTGAACGGTATGTCGACATCTTCCATCATCCCTGCTCTCTGTTTATATGGATGTTTTCGATGGAACGACGCGCTAACATTATTCTTTCCACACAGTCGGCCAGGCCGGTTGCCAGATCGCCAACTCCTGCTGGGAGGTAAATATCCACAATTGACCGACAAATTTCGAGGATACTAACACCCGTCGTTTTCTAGCTGTACTGTCTGGAGCACGGTATCCAGGTATGTTGGAATGCAAATCAAACTCGTGGGGGGCGCCCAATGTCGTCTCGGGCAGCCGTACCCCTATTTTCTTGAGGAGACACTAACCATGTTGATAGCCCGATGGATTCCTCACTGAGGAGCGCAAGAAGGCCGACCCCGACCACGGCTTCAGCACTTTCTTCTCTGAGACTGGTATGAAAATTGATTTTTTTTCCCATGTTCCCCCGCCTGGGAAATCTTGTTCCTAACTTCCCCCACTAGGCCAGGGCAAGTACGTTCCCCGTACCATCTACGCCGATCTCGAGCCCAACGTCGTCGATGAGGTCCGCACCGGTACCTACCGTTCTCTCTTCCACCCTGAGCAGATGATCACTGGCAAGGAGGATGCTTCCAACAACTACGCCCGTGGACACTACACCGTTGGTAAGGAGATGATCGATGAGGTTCTCGACCGTGTTCGTCGTGTTGCCGACTCCTGTGCCGGTCTTCAGGGATTCCTCGTCTTCCACTCCTTCGGTGGTGGTACCGGTTCCGGATTCGGTGCTCTCCTCATGGAGCGTCTGTCCGTCGACTACGGCAAGAAGTCCAAGCTGGAGTTCTGTGTCTACCCCGCCCCCCAGAACGCTACCGCCGTTGTTGAGCCCTACAACTCCATCCTGACCACTCACACCACCCTGGAGCACTCTGACTGCTCCTTCATGGTCGACAACGAGGCTATCTACGATATCTGCCGCCGTAACCTCGGCATTGAGCGCCCCAGCTACGAGAACCTGAACCGCCTGATCGCTCAGGTCGTTTCCTCCATCACTGCTTCCCTGCGCTTCGACGGTTCCCTCAACGTCGATCTGAACGAGTTCCAGACCAACTTGGTTCCTTACCCTCGTATCCACTTCCCCCTGGTTGCCTACTCTCCTATCATCTCCTCCGACAAGGCCGCTCACGAGGCCCACTCGGTCACCGAGATCACCTCCAACTGCTTCGAGCCTCACAACCAGATGGTCAAGTGTGACCCCCGCAACGGCAAGTACATGGCCACCTGCCTGCTCTACCGTGGTGATGTCGTCCCCAAGGACGCCCACGCCGCTGTTGCCACTCTCAAGACCAAGCGCACCATCCAATTCGTCGACTGGTGCCCTACTGGATTCAAGCTCGGTATCTGCTACCAGCCTCCCCAGCAGGTCCCCAACGGCGACCTTGCCAACCTCAGCCGTGCTGTGTACGTTTTTGTCCTGATATTTTTCTTCCTTAATGCTAACCCATACATAGCTGCATGCTGTCCAACACTACCGCTATCGCCGAGGCCTGGTCCGCTCTCGACCACAAGTTCGACCTCATGTACTCCAAGCGTGCCTTCGTCCACTGGTACGTTGGTGAGGGTATGGAGGAGGGTGAGTTCTCCGAGGCCCGTGAGGATCTCGCTGCTCTCGAGCGTGACTACGAGGAGGTCGCCTCCGACTCCATCGAGGGTGAGGAGGAGCTGGAGCCCGAGTACTAGATTAGGGATGTTGTGTGACCGACTTAGTGGCTCTTGGCTATTTGACTTGTACGCGTTGGTTTGGGGACCAATGCCAGGTCTTTAAGTTTGGTCTTCTTCCCGCGTCTATCGGGCTTCTTGCAAATAGATGGGAACATAAGTTTTGCTGCCAATGATTTTCTGGCTTTGTTGTTCGATATATCTTTAATATCCCTGAAGCAGCGATGAAATTTCCCCCGTTCCATCCTCGTAGCGGGATTTTGCGATTGTACTTACTTTGGTATCCTCGACGTTCTTTCAATGTAATATCCGTATCAACTTTCACCGTTAATCAGGTTCAACCAATCCCGGTCTTGGTTGATCCGACAGCTTCCTCGTATTGGTTCCTCCCTGAGCTTCTATGTTTGATAGTTGTCTTCGAAATGTCGCCAATTGAGTTGTATAATTTGTATATTTGTCTGATCTCAGATGGTGTTCTATAGTTGATAAGTTAATATTTGTGCAACTGACATGTGTCGACGGATCTTATATTGTTTCTAGAGCCATCCCCTGGACACGACAACATCTGATATTTTAGTAAGTGCGTCTAGTATGACATGTTGGATTGGTATATAATAAATAATTAGCATTCTGTATCAATTGCAAATGATTCTAAGGTAATCAACCCCGTCATGGTTCATACTGGTTGTCGATGTGCTGCCGTGTATGAGATCTATAACTTATCCCAGATCTGTACTAAGTTTCCCACTCGCTTACGTATATATGATGGATGTCAGTTAGTTTACTGAATCTTTTGCTTAAATCGGCCATATAAATCATATACGTACATACAGTCTTGCCATATTCCGATATTGGGCTACTGTCTCCAAAGAGGTTGGGTCGAGCAGATATATAGATGTGCGTCATGCACAGCAGATCGGGGCAATCACCAACTTGGCAGAATAACATAAAGTCTCGCATTCAAATAGCGAGCTTTGCAAATTAAAGGGATTGAGCTTCAGAAAAGACAATCCCAACATAAACCCTAATAATCCCCACTAGAAGCACCGATACTATGGCAGTCAACCCTGGAATGGGCGCTAAAGCAACTGACCGCCTTTGGGACCCCAGGAACCCTCCTTACGACATCGACTCCAGCCACTCTCTCCCCATTCTTTCTGAAGTCTATTTTTCTCCTTGGAGCTTGGGATTTATCTATATCCGCCATCCTCACCCTCACAGCACTCGCGCTTAGTTCATGTCCCATCACATCTACTAAGCTGACGGTACCCCGTGTCTCCTTGACCTCCAGGCCCCCAACGATAGTGAACACATTGGAAGGAGGGGAGTTAAGCTCCTCCTAGGACACAGCAATGGCTGACACTTGTGAGTACTCTCCCAAAAGCCCTGCCAGACCCTCAAACAATAGCAATAGAGCTTCGGCGCAGCTCAGGAGAAGTCCCGCCAGCCTCCGTCATAGCTAACCCACCCCCCCCCCCCATCCCCTTCATACACACGCTCTTTGTGCGCAACACCGCGGTTCTGACTTATCTGCTAGCACAACGGCACCCGAACCTCAATCTGACGCCAGAGGAAAAGCGAGTCTTCTATCAGCTTTTCCAGGCGGCAGACACGACCAACCTCGGCGTTATCACTGGCGAAATCGCCGTTGCATTCTTTGAGAAGACGCATCTCTCGCCGGATACACTCGGATTGGTATGTGGCCGATAAAGGGGTCGTTGGACCTCAGAATGAGCTTCGTCGCTAATTGAATTGCGTGCAGATATGGCAAATTGCGGACAAAGAGAACAGGGGTCTCCTGACCCCGTCTGGCTTTGGTATTGTTCTACGACTCATTGGTCATGCGCAAGCTGGTCGGGCTCCTTCTGATGAATTGGCTTTGCAATGTGAGTAATGTATATCTCCTGGAGAAGTGAATAAAGTACTGATTCTGGACTTGTTGTATAGCTGGTCCTTTGCCGCGCTTTGATGGGATCGTCGTCGATCCTGCAGCCCCGGTCCCCGAATCTGGCACCATCAGCCCTCCGCCCGGTTCTGGCACGCCAATTAGAGTTCCGCCTTTGCAGCCGGATGATGCCAACAAGTTCGTCTCGCTGTTTGAGAAGTCAGATGTCAACAATGGCTTGATTTCAGGTACGTTGTTCTTCAATATTGGGAACATCGCGCTTTTTTAACACATTTGTTGCTTATTTTAGGCGAAATCGCGAAGCAGATCTTCGAGCGCGCCCGTCTTCCGAATGAGGTTCTTGGTCGTATCTGGTTCTTGTCGGACACCAAGCAGCGCGGCGCATTAGATGCCACCGAGTTCACTATTGCCATGCACCTCCTGACTTCATACAAATCTGGCGTCCTGCGCGGCATACCCGCGACCTTGCCACCCGGTCTATACGAAGCCGCATCTCGTCGAGGACCTGCTCGCGGGTCTTTTGGCGCACGGCCCGAGGTTCCTCCCGTCCCGGCCATTCCCAAACAGTTCACGGGTCCCCAGCGAACTGCAAGCCCTATGAGCGCAAACAACCGTCCACAGTTTGGTGGCATCTCCGCACAGGCTACCGGAAATGACTGGCTGATCACTCCTCAGGAGAAGGCTCACTTCGATACCATCTTCGAGACCGTCGACACAGGCAAAGTAGGAACGATTACTGGCGATCAAGCTGTTGGTTTCTTCATGAAGGCTCAACTGCCCGAAGAAACTCTTGCTCAGATTTGGGACCTTGCGGATATCGACGCAGACGGTCAGCTGAGTCGGGAGGAGTTTGCCGTGGCTATGTACTTTGTCAGAATGCAGCGTAGTGGCAAGGAGCAGCTTCCCCAAGTTGTCCCACCTGCTTTAATTCCACCAAACATGCGCCGCCAGGCACCGGTGCCAGCACCCATGGCAGCCCCTACTCCTCCCCCGGCACCTACACCAGCAGTTCGATCTGCCGCCGATGACTTGTTTGGTCTTGATTCGCCTGTGCAGCCCTTTGCTCAGCCTCAGATGCCCCAGTCTACTGGAGGCTCCAACCCAGCGTTCCACACTCCTGGCTCGCCTGGATCTAGAGCGTCCCCTCAGATTGCTTCAAACACGTTCAAGCCTTTCATTCCTAGTTCTTCTTTCGGCCAGAGCTTGCAACCGCAGATGACCGGTGCATCTGCAGGCACACCCACAATCCGATCGCCCCCACCTCCATCGGATGATCTCCTTGGCGACAATGATCCCGAGGAGTCAAACAAGCTGAACCAGGAGACCACTGAACTCGCGAACCTGTCAAACCAGATTGGTACTCTCGCCAAGGAAATGCACAACGTACAGGAGAAGCGAACTTCTGCCGAGCAGAGCATTACCCAATCTTCCCAGCAGAAGCGCGACTTTGAGGCACGTCTTGCCCAAGCGCGGTCGATGTATGAGCAAGAAGTCACTAACTTCAAGGCACTCGAGGAGCGCCTCAAGGCTTCCAAGGCTGAGACTGAGAAGTTGCAGCAGCAATATGCACTCATCGAGGGCAGCCGCCAGGACTTGCACAACCAATATACCAGCGTTTCTACCGCCTTAGCTTCTGATCAGCAGGAGAATACTAACCTAAAGGAGAAAATTCGCCAGGCTAATGCAGAGGTTGCACAGCTGAAACCTGCGCTGGAGAAGGCTCGCTCTGACGCCCGTCAGCAGAAGGGTCTGGTTGCGATCAACAAGAAGCAGTTGTCTACCATCGAGGGCGAACGAGACAAGATCCAGGGTGAAATCGATGAAGTTGGAAGGGAAACCCCTCTGTCTGTTCAGGATGTGACCCCGGCCCCCAGCGTGCCCGAGGTTGCCAGTCCTGCTGTTTCGACCACAAGCCAGAACACAAACCCATTCTTCCGACGAACAGATAGTGCAAGTGAACAGGCACGCTCGCCCAGCGTTTCTAACGACCAGCAGAAGGCCTTCGACAGCCTCTTTGGTCAGACATTCGCACCCTCCGCTGCTGGACCACCGCCCACTTCATTCCGCTCCGAGTCGCCACTGGCTACAGCCAAGTCACCCGTGACTTCCGGTGTGCCTACTCCATCCGTGTCTCCGCCTCCCGGAGCTCTGCCCGGATCATTCCCCGGTGGCTTGTCTGAGCCCCCACCCCCGAGCCAGTCTCGGCAGCTCACCCCGAACTTCCTTCCCTTCAACGACAACCAGTCCATGACTTCATCGACTATGGTCTCTCCTCCCGGCAGTCGCTTCGGCGGCGGCCCTGAGGCATCTGGATTTGGTACTCCTTCTCAGGCCACCAGTGACCAGGGTGCTCCGTCTGTGGCAGAATCTAGTGACTATAGCCGTGCACCCAACTCAACTGTCGAAGGAACTCCAGCTCGCTCTCCATTCGAAGAGCTACCGGATGCCCCAAGCTTCCCCGAGGTCCCTGTAGCATCGACTGAACAACCCGAGACTGCCACATCTCCTACCACCGAGGGCCAAGCTCAGGGTACTAAGGATTTGAGTTTCGATGAGCTGTTTGGAAGCAAGGCTCACAAGCGGTCCGAGTCTCAACAAGGGAATGACTTCGAGGAAGCGTTTGCTTCTATGAAGCAAGCTCCTGGAGCTGAGAAGACGAACGGCGCCGCTTCAGCTGGCCCGTCCGAGTTCCCCCCGATCCAGGAACTTCACCACGATGACGAGGAAGATGAAAGCTCTGACGACGAGGGTCCCCTAGGGTTTGATGATAACTTCACCCCTGCTGTGGCTAAGAAGGAGACCCAGCAGGACTCTATCGATGCCGCCCAGCTGGCTGCTTTCCCCACACCTGGCGCCTCTGTTCCCTCGTCCCAGCCTCCAAGCGCCGAAGCTCAGCAGAGCCCCCCAGGCTATGAGACGCCCAAGGAAGACAATGTTCACCTTCCCCCTCAGTTTGATGGTCTTCTGCCTGAGCGTACTAATCCTACTGCTTTCCCTGACGCGCCCCATTCAGTTGACCACACCACTGGAGCACCGGTTGTCGCCCCTGAGTCCGCACACGACGTTCCAGCAGAGACTGTCATCCCAGCTGGTGGAGCTAAGGTGGGAGGACCAGACTTTGATGCCGCTTTTGCCGCAATGAACCTCGCACCTGCAACTGAAGCAGACGATGATGATGACGATGAGCCGGAAACTCACGCCAAGAACACAAATGACTTTGATTTCTCCTTTGACTCCCCAGCTCAGAAGCATTCCACCGGCTCCGGTGATCTTGGACCGTCCGGTTCATCCGACTTTTTCTCCTTTGACGGCAACGTCCATGCCTCAACCACTCAGCCCGCCGCCTCGCCAGCTGGAGGTGATGCCAAGCCTGCTGCGCACGAGTGGGACGCGCTCTTCGCACCACTTGAAAACGCCAAGCCCTCTACCGGCGAAGAACCCAGCGAGGAGAAGTCCAAGTCGCCCGGATGGGCCCTCAATACCGACTCTGGCGAGGATGACCTGATTCTCCAGCGCCTGACCGGCATGGGCTTCACCCGCGATGAATCTCTCGATGCCCTTGAAAAGTATGACTACAACCTTGACAAGGTCAGTACCCTTCCTCATCTTCCATGAATGTACACTGCTAACTGTATCCCAGGCTGCGGACCACTTGACCTCGAGAACTTGATCATGACCCCCCTTCTCATTTCTTTCCTACTGCACATATCTCACCCACATACTCTGCTTTCCCACAGTCTTTCATGAGCCCCTCCTCCCCCTGAACTGATCCACCAGCGAGGGCTCTCTTGCATCGATGTTTTCTTTTTGTCTCCAGCGTCGTGTATATCGCCTCGTCTCTTTCCTGTCTACATTGGATCTTTGGATCTGTCCCGAAGCAAGGATTTCCCGTGTATTACCTGTTTAGTGTAGTTAACGATAATCCATAATTGAGTTTACAGTCTTTAGCAGTCTCTTATTATACTTTCATCGGGGACCTCAGTTCTTTTAAGCCCCTGCCTATCACTTCATAGCACACAATAAATACTTTTGACCCCAGTTGTACAAATGGGGTCCCAAGTATGTATAAACTGCCATGATAACCTCTCTCCCCATACATATGTACAGTGATTGCTTCTTACAATCTGATCGGGCCCAGGATCGGAGATAAAAAAGAAAGAGAATCGAGGTCGAAGCCGGGGATATGCTCATCTCTCGGACTTACTTCTTCCAGCTGGATTTCCTCTTTCAGAACATCCCGAGCCCTGCCAAGACCATCTATAGATCTTCGTCGAGTATAAAGCCTCTTGGGGGGATTCTCACCTGGCATGGATGAATTAACCAGAAGTTGAACGCTCTCGATAATTCCCACCTCGATATACCGGATTCAACATGACCGACGCAGAAAAAGCATTGGAATCGAACGGGTCCGAACCAACAGAGGTGCCAACCAAGCCCTCTTTTCCAGAAGGAGGTCTCAAAGGATGGCTTGCAGTGCTGGGGGGATGGTGTGTGATGTTTAATACCTTTGGATATATCAATGCCTTTGGGTAAGTCCCAGTCTGCCACCACGCTCGCCGAGAAGTGCATTATACCAACACCACAACCACAACGCCAGAATCTACGAATCATACTACAAAGCCACATTCCTGCACAACCAAAGCGAATCAAGCATTGCATGGATCGGCTCCCTGCAAGCCTTCTTCATGTTCTCCGGCGGCCTGATCTCTGGCCCGATGATGGATCGGTATGGACCCACGGTATGTATGTCCTCAAACCGATAGACTGCCATAAGTTCTACCAACCTGCAAACCATCCAAGCTAACACCAACCCAGCCCATTCTCATTCCATGCTCCACACTCTTCATCGCCTCCGTCATGCTCACCTCCCTCTGCACCAACTACTACCAGTTCCTCCTCGCGCAGGGCGTTCTCGGCGGCCTCACAAACGGCCTGACCTACACACCCGCCGTGACAGCCATCAACCAATACTTTTTCCAGAAAAGACCCCTGGCCATGGGCATTGCCTCGAGTGGATCGTCCCTCGCAGGCGTCATCTTCCCCATTGCCCTGAACCGCATGCTCCACAACTCCCCCCTTGGCTTCGGATGGTCTGTTCGGTGTCTGGGGTTCCTCATGCTGGCATTGAGTCTGATCTCCTGTGCTGTGATTACTTCCAATGCGCCTCCCCGGAAGAGCGGCGCTCCCTTCTTGCTGGTGGCTTGGAAACAGCCGCAGTATTCCTTGCAGATTCTTGGGCTGTTCTTGGTGTTTTGGGGTCTTTTTGTGCCGTTCTTTTATGTCCCGGGCTATGCGGTGTCGATTGGTCTCTCGGTTGACATGTCCTTCTATCTGATTGCTATTCTCAATGCCGGATCGCTCTTTGGTCGTCTTTCTGGGGGCGCTTTGGCGAATCTGGTCGGCCGGTTTAATACTCTGACGGGGGCCTCGCTGATCTGTGCGGTGTTGATCTTTTGCTGGTTGAGCGTCTCTTCTCAGGGTGGTCTGGTTGTTTTCTCGGTCTTGTTTGGCTTCTTTTCTGGAACGGTCATTGGCTTGTTCCCGGCTACTATTGCTATGACTGCGAGTCGGCCTAATGAGATTGGCTCCTATATGGGAATGGCCCTGGGCGTGCTGAGTCTTTCTACGCTTACGGGCACGCCTATTTCCGGAGCGATGATTAATAGCTATGGGTCATATCAGCCTGCTATCATTTTTGCCGGCGTGGCGACGATGTTGGGGGGCGCTATTGTGTTCGGGGCTCGGGCCGTTTCTGCAGGCAAAATTGCGTAAAAGGGGGAGTCGAGGGGATTCAAGGTGGACTTTGCGTAATAATAGAGTGATTTAGGGCGAAGATCCTGTTATGTTAGCCGAGGGTCTGTTCGTACGTGGTGTTCAGTAGGCAACTTCATTTCCTATACTTCCCGAGGTCCGTTTCTTTTTTTTTTTTTTCATAATTTTGCCAGGAAGATCTGACGGAAATACCTCAATCTCACACCTTAAAACTCAAAATGCGCGGGTTCAACAGGCATCTCTCTATAATACGCTGCTGCCTGAAACCAGGGACTCCCATGTCTTCTCCATCGGACCCTGGGGGAAATTCTCAGCCAATCGGCGCTTCGTAAGTTCCGCCAAGCTTCGAGCAAAAGGCTTGGTGTAGTTAATTTTATATTCAATTGAGCCATTTCTGCATATGCCATTTGGGGGAATTCCAAAGAAAAAGAGAAAAAGGAAAGCAATTCGTAACTGTCAGACCTAACGTGTCACTGGGCGTTTGGAGGCAAAAGCTGAGCAGACTGTGAAACACGGCTTATACTTCGGACTCTTGACTCGGCTCTCGACCTCAACTCTCACTTCTCATTTCTCTTCTCTCTTCTCTCATTTCTCGCCTTCTCACCATTGGCAAATCTCACTCATTGAATATTGTCTCTCTATTGTCACTCACTCTCTCGTCTGTCTCTCACTCTCTCTCTATGTCGAGATTCGTACCATCATCCGGCCAGTAACCAACGCAAAGAAAACGAAAACATGCAGCACGAACCCCGAACGCACCATGTCGCCCTCAAAGAAAAGATATTAGGCCCAATCTCCATCCTGGCGCCATTCTCAGCCCTCATCATCTCCGTGGCACTCGTCATCTTCTTCCTAATCCGCTTCTATATCCTGGAGAACTTCCTCATCCGCCGCGCCTACGGGGCAATCTTCACAGAAATGAGCGAGCTCAACCGCCGAGGTTTCGTCAACCACCACATTGCTGGCGTCACCAAAATCGTCATCCTCATCGTGGCCGCATACCCCTTCATCTGCGTCACCTTTGGCAAAGCTACGTTTCAGACGGCCTATGCCCCGGGCTCGGTGGTCACAATGGGCGATATCCTCGTCGTGGTGGCGCAGATGCTGATTGCCATGTATATCTTTGAATTGCTCTACCGGGTGAAACTATCCCCCGTCGCGGTGATGCACCATGTCGGGACCATCCTGATCGGGCAGTCGGCTGTTGCTATCAGTTTGAAGTCGCTTCGGGAACCGGATGCTGATATTGAGTTCGTTCTTTGTACTGTCTGGGGTATGGCTGCATATGCTTCTTCGTTTGGTTTTTTTTTGGAATTAAAGTTGACCGTCGCTTCCTTCTGCTTAGGTGCCTTCGATATCATCTCTGAATTCTTCCCTCACGTCGCGATCATTCTCTACCGCGTCTTTCCAAAACGACACCATTTCCTCAGTCGGGTCTTTCTCCTTTCTTGCTTTTCGACGGCGGTCGGTACAACCTGTGAGACTGTGGTCACTATGTGGCTGTTTGGTTCGCTGTGGAGTCGATGGAGACTTGCTTTCAAGGTTGTTACACCACTTCTGCATATTGCCTTTTCGGCGGCGCAGATTCATGGCAGTCTTGTTTTTTGGCGCATGTACTGCAGACAAAAAAAATACTTGAAGGACCAGTCCGATGAGATTGACGTCGGAAAGGATCTGGAGAGGGAGCTGTCGGAGGTTGTGAAACCCGGCGAAGGTAGCAAGAAGTTTGGTATCGCAGGTCCCAATGATTCAATGGAGATTTTTCAGATCGACTCTGTTACTCCTATGGTGCGACCCGCATGATATAACACTTGAGAGCGTCGGAGCTCCGTTGTATTTGTTTCTGTTTCTCACATAGTTCTCTATCTTTATTTTGATACTTGGTTATCTAGGCATTGTATTATAGAAGGCAACTTCAATTGATATTCTACTTGAATCAGCTTTCGATATCTATACTGCTATGGCACTTACGACTTGATCTATAGTAAAACCCAATCTGTGGCTTGGACCGAAAGAATGTCCCAGGTATAGCAGCAGTAAAAAACTTTTGCCAAACACCAACAAGACCGGACAAAGATATCCACAATAGTAGAGAAAAGAAGATAATGCTTGTGTTGCTGTTTGAGCGCTAAGAGTAACTTCAAGACTAAGAATACTGGTAACATATGCAAAATCCCTTATACCACAGGGGTTGTCGGTTTGCACCATCCATCCATTCCCCTTCCTGTACCGAATACCATATACTTTCTTGATATCATTGTCCATGTTAAAATGCGTCAACGACAAGCATGTCACAAGTCGTCATCATGAGTATTGATCAATGACCTTGCTTCTCCCCCACTTCCTTTCCGTTCTCATTAAGCAGACTTTTCGTGATTGTTGGCCATACGTTGCATGGCGAGACCTTTACATTGTTAGTTCTTCAAAGGTAAGGACTTGGGATTCTTTGGCTTCAACGTACCAAAGTCTTCCCAGGAACGATCCTTCCCCTTGCTGCGGAGACTGCGGCCATGCATGAGGTTGTCAAACTTATCAGAATTGTGCAGTAAAACATAAACCATTGCATTAACAGCAGCTACCCCGAAGGCTAGGATCCAGACTCGCAGGATCGTCAGTCCCGATGTTGGTGTACCGAAAGCGCCGAAGCGAGCCATCAGAGACCCGGTCACATCGACAACCAGCACAGCACCAGTAAGATGCATCGAGGGTAAATTACTGAACATCGATCCAGTTAGGCGAGTAACTAGGATGAGCCAGCTTTGGGTTAGGGTTATCTCCAGGAAGATGACCTCATCCCGCGAGCCCCAGCCTTGAATCACACCACCCTCGTCACCATGCAGCAACATAGTACCAAGGGTAACCCAGGTTCCGGCAGCAAGTATAACACCAAGAATGATTGATTCTCCCCACAGCCTTGGTTGGTTCCATTTTACTGGGAGCTGAGAATATGAGGCATTGTCATACGCAATGGCCAGAGTCGCAATGTCTGCAAATATTGCGAGAAGGACAATCAATCGTAGATCGAGAGTCTCATTCATAATCACAATCCAGAGCCCGAGAAACAACTCTAGATGTATTGACAAGGCGATACGGTAAACAACATATGCGTACATTCGGTGAAAGATTTGGCGAGAGGTTTTGATGGCATCAATGATTGCAGACAGGCCAGGTGCCAGGAACACAATATCAGCAGCAGAGCGAGCCGCATCAGAGGCACCTTCAACGGCAATACCCGTGTCTGCCTTTTTAAGCGAGGCTGCATCATTGACACCGTCACCGGTCATCGCGACAAGGTATCCACGACGCTGAAGAATTTCTACCACGCTGTATTTATGCTGTGGGAAGACCTCTGCAAATCCGTCCGCAGCTTCAACAAAATCGTTGACCTCCGAGCCAGGCATTTCGCCGGCGCCGGTGATGCCCAGGCGCTCAGCATTGTAAATGTTAGTTCCCAGACCAAGTTTGCGAGCTGTTTCACGAGCAATGCCAACTGCATCTCCAGTGAGCATCTTGATGGAAAGACCCAAACTTTGGGCCTCAGATATCGTTTTAGCCGTGTCATGGCGAGGCGGGTCAGAGCAGGGCATGATACCAAGAATTTCCCAGTTCTTGTCACTTCGCTTGCGAGCCACACCCAAAGCACGAAATCCTTTATCAGCAAACTCTGTAACCTTTGCCTTGTATTCATCGATGAAAGGTTGACACAAGACAGTTTCTGCCTGCACAGTTCGCAAGATTGTCATCGGTGCTCCTTTGACACAGATCATTCGTTCCCCTTCATGATTCTCGACAAGTGCAGTCACCTTTTTTGAAACAGGATCGAATGGGATAAACTCAATGGTTCTATACATAGGGATCTGAGACTTCGCTAACGGATAGTTGCGTAGACCTCTGAGAAACACCTTGTCAATGGCATCGATTCCGCCGGATTTTCGAGTTGCTGCTAGACATGCAGTCAACATGAGCTCCTCTGTTGTCATCCCAGTCACTGTATATGGCTCCCCAAGGGTCAGTTTGTTCCGAGTGAGGGTTCCTGTTTTGTCGGAACAAAGGATTTCAACGCCTGCTAGCGACTCAATAGCCGACAACTTTTGCACAATTGCCATGCGATTCGCTAGATATGCTGCCCCAACGGCCATTGTGGTGGTGACCACCACAGGAAGACCGACGGGTACTCCGATCACGGTGATTGCAAGGGTAAACTCTAAGATCTGCACAATGCCGTTGGAACGATAATAGCTGGCAATCCAGATCACAAGGAGTGCAAGAATAACGAAAATCAGAAGGATGTGCGCCATTCCGTTCAAGACCTGGGTGAAGTGTCCCACATTGTTTGAAGCCTTGTTGACCAGGGCAGCTGCCGTCCCGACATATGTATGGTCACCGGTGGCAGTTACAATCATCAAACCAGTCCCACGTTTGACGGTAGATGAAGCATAGCAAACATCGCCTTTGTGTTTATCGACCGCAAGAGATTCTCCCGTGATGCTAGATTGATCAACCTGGAGATAAGCGTTTTGAGATTCGAATTTACCGTCGGCGGGAATGATCGTACCCTAAAGTAAGTATCAGTAATTAACCATTGTCATCTTGATACTTATAGACTCACATCTTTCACTTGGATGACATCCCCGACAACGACTTCCGCGGAAGTAATCTCTACCAGATTGCCATTTCGAACAACCTGGGCTCTGAGAGCAAGATTATTCTTAAGAGCATCAACGATATTGCCTGCATGGTACTCTTGAATGAATCCGACAGCGGCGTTGAGAACAAGCAGGCCGCAAATGATGCCAAAGTCGATCCAGTCCTGCAAGCCACAAGCAAGTATGACGGCAGCCTATGACAAAAAAAATAATCAGCATGTGCTTCCCGATCGTGACATATCGGACAAGAGTTGCTTACCTCCATGACCCATTGAACTGGGCCCATGAAAAAGGACAAAAACTTGAGAATATGGTTTCTCTTGGCTTCTTTCATGACGTTCCACCCATATTTCTTACGTCGAACAATCACCTCCTCGTCATTAAGACCATCTTCGAGACTGGTACCGAGCCAGGACTGAGGGAGTTCGCTGACATGGCCAGCATGAATTGAAGCCGCATCCGGGTCGGGCTCTTTACCATCTTCAGCATCAAGCTCGTCAATGAGGATGCCCAATGACTGTTCGGTCTCTGGATGATCCACCTGGTCCTGGTCAAAGACACTTGAGTTCTCGGTTGGAATGGGCTTTTCCTTTGAGAAAATACTACCAAGGGCGTCTGCGTGTTTGGGGATGTCAAAGGGGCGGTCATGAAAACTGTCATGATTATTGAGGTCTTCGATCTTGTCTTCTTCGCCATGGAAGCTCTCCGCCAGGTTGCTATGGAGCGCCCAGTTGCGAGGATCCGACGGGTCAACCGAAGGCCTAGGCATGCCGGGCGAGCTGTTTCAAATGCAGAAATCAAGTTAGCGACTAGGAATAAGAATAACCAGCTGAAGCCCGTAGACAAGAATCTTTGAAAAACAAACGATCTATGATCACAGCGTACACTTCTTTTGTGAGGTTGGATGCTGCTTTGCTTGATTCGTGGTGTCCCCGGTGATGGAGATCAACCCAAGACAGGAGGAGAATCAACTCAGATCAGACTGGCATGAGTCTTCCGTTGACCGGATATTGAAAAATCGAATGAATGCTTCAGTAAAGATGAGATGGTTGAAGGATGGGGGGGGGGGGGAGAGAGAAGCTAAGTTGAGAGCGAAATCGAAGGAGCGATGGAAGATACGGCACCAGAACGGCGGCCTCGAACGGCAGTTTCGATTCCTATGAGACTCGTAGACATTGTTACTGATTATATTGCTTGATATATTGACAGTTCACTTACTGTTCTATGATAAGGATCAAGGATCAACCTCTCTCCAGATTTCAGTCGAGTGCCCGGGGGAATAATCAGTACAGACTCCAAGAAGCTGGGATCCGAACAGGGCGACAGCGAGAAAAACAAATCGTGACTTCCTTTAACTCGCAATAAGAGCAGGTTTGAAAAGTCTACAGATCTGTAAACAGCATAAGATATGCTTTTTCATTTTGCTTCCAAGGATTGAGGTCGTCGACAGCAAACAAGCTCAAGCAGAGAGACTGAGCCTAAGAGAGACACTAATCGCTAGATCTAAATAGCCCAATATATACGTACTCCCAATACATAAACCCTTTTCGTACACTTAGATCCTGGACTAGCAACCTGGTGGCAAGTCCGCCAGTTAGGGCACAGGAGTATAGAATGGGCGCCTGAGGCGGAAGCTGACGTAATATCTTCACGTCACCTCAAAGCCTTCGTTGGATGAATTTGCATGTTTTGGTATTCATGGATTCTTCTACAATTTGGTGATTGGATCAATTCACCTGTTGTGATCCTGCTCTCTAGACTGTTTACGAAAGGTGCAAAGGAAGTCTGTTGATCATTGCAGCATCTCACTGGCATAAAACCTCCATGGCCGCCTCGTACATTATCCTTCCATTCTTACCTGCATCGTGACATAGCCTTGCGCTCCTTAATTTCTGCCTCTTGATCAAAGTATAATGGCGCCTCAAATTCCTGGCTTCTATTATGGTGAGTTGAACTTTGAGTCGTCACTTCCCTAGTTACTTTCCATCAAAAGTGAGGCTACGATCTCGGTTCCCATAACAAGTGCATTTCTTTTCTCCCTTCGGGCTGTTTTATTCCTTTTTATCCACCGAAACATATTATTGCATCCTGTCCAATCCTTTCCGCAATGGCCCAACGCTCACTATTCTGGTTTCTAGATGAGGATAAGAAGAAGTATTTCCAAGTCCAGCCTGACCATGTCGCGAAGCCTGGTGCACAATACTCTGCCAAAGTGCTCAAGCGCAAGGCTAGTGACCAGATAGTAGATCCCCCTGCTCCTCTTGATCTTTCAATCTGCTAACTGGGATGGCAGAGACGTGAACGAAAGGAAGAACTTGCCCAACGCACTGCCAATGAGACGGTTACCAGAGGCGCCGCATTGGCGCAGCCTTTGATTACCGTTCATCGAGAGATCGGGCTTGAGATGCCTGGTGGTGCAATGCGTGAAAAGTATTCTCGTCTCCAAGCCAGCCAGCTGCATCGAGAGGAACTGCACAAGTTCGAACCATGGCCGAAGGCAAATAACATCAGACAGATTGTGCGCAACCCACGCTCGGGTACTTTGATTGCCAGTGAGTTATCTTGATAACTCTTGGCTTTCACATCACTGATACAGTCTCCAAGGCATGGCTCGCGGACAGGAGTCTTCGGTTTCGTAAGCGAATCAGATTCAATGTGCAGATCATGTTTGATACTGACCATCATGCAGGGTATGCTTCCCAGATACCGAAGACGAACAGTGGTCGTACAATCACACGATGGAGCGTCTTCTCTTCAAGGAGCCTTACAGGGTCAGTCAACCGGGTCTCAATGGAAGATTCAATTTTACTGATAGCATGTTCAGCTTGCCTCAATGTCTCTCAGTCCCACTGACTGTTTGCTGTATGCATTACCAATCCCGAGTCCATAGGATCAAGACCACCATCTAACATCCCTAGGGCAACAATGGACGACGGCCCAGATGGCGCATGCTTCTTCTCTATGCATTGGCTTCCTGCTCCAGATAACGATGGTGGATACAATTGGCCAACAAGTACGTTTACTCCCCCCAAACTCGTACATAAATGCCAAACTAACAAAAATCGCCAAGTCGCTCAACCCACTCGTATTGTGCCTGATCACCCAATGACTTTCTGGGACACTGCAGCTTGCCCTACAACAACAGACCCCACCTTTGCCATTGCCGCTTCAGAGGGCCTCCACACCATCCATGGCGGCAAGAACGGCTGGCTTGTGAAGAAGCACGAAATTGACACTGGACCAGGATTACCCGGCAAGAAGAAATACCGATGGTCCGAAATGAACAGCGTTTGTTCCGTTGAATGGCTAAACCAAGATGTGATAATGTCAGGTCGAAAGAACGGCGCCATTCTCTTCAATGATCTACGCACCGGCTCAAGCACGAACCATTTCCAGCACTCCGACTCGGCAATGAAGATTCGAAAAGTGGACGACTGGCGCTTTGTCGTCGCTGGGCCTCGCTATGTATGTTTTTCTCTCGATCTTCCGTTGTCTTTTGCTAAATCAGACATCATATATTTTACATTGAATGTTGACTGACAACCCATAGCTACACATGTTTGACCTACGCTATGCCCCCAATGGTGGCATAGGTATCAAGCGACACAAGAATCCACTGGTAGCCAACGCGGACGCTACCCGGCCATACCTGATGTTCCCTGATTACTTGCCCTTGTCCATGCCATCCCTGGATGTCAGCGCTGGTCTGGGTCTTCTTGCCAACCGTATGTCCTCCTGGAACCTATCTCAATCACTATTCTCTTGTATCTAGAGACATAGCTTACTTAATCTTGTTTTAGCTTCCCCTGACAACACCGTCCAACTCTTCTCTCTACGGACTGGGCGACAGGTTCCCTCTCCCCTCAGCCAGCACACGTACGGGTCTGCTCCGAGCTGTGTGAGCTTTGAAGCTGGTAACGATACGCCATTGTGGAAGGGACCTGAGACTTTGAGTATGCTGGTCGGCATTGACGGCGTGGTGGATCAGTGGAGTTGGTAGTGTGCATGGCGTACAATATGCTGGTTTGTCTTTTGGCGCGTGTGCGATTTGATTTGCAACTTACATTATCGGATTTCTGTCTCTTTCAATATTTTCCTGGCAATTTCTTAATACTTGATCTTCTCTTATTTCGTTAGACCTTGACTTTGATGACTAGAGGACAAGCCTCTTTGGGTTTGGCGCTTATGGTTATGCGCAAGCAAAGGTTTATCTTGCATCTCATTTCTTACTTTTCAAACAAGTTAGCATATTTCAAGTACCGAGATACGTGCAATCCGTATTGAGTTCTCCCTCGAACTAAATATTCACTTGGATCTGACGTCATAAGAAACTGCAGCCGATTTAAGCCCTAGAGGCGGATTGATCGACAGACTCTACGGATTTTATAAAGGATATCGGAATTAAATGATAAGCATGGGTATAGATTGAGATCCCAGTAAAAGAAAAATGCAGCGCAAGGTGATATAACATGATGCAATGAACAAAATAGAATACTCCGCGGAAAAATGCACAAACAAATCTAGCAACTCAATCCAATCCACCAGCAAGCCACTCTCCAACCTCAACACCAATGCCCTTGGCAAGCTCACCGACCCAATCCCCAGAGACATTGACAGTCCACTTTTCACCTGCGTCAGCAGTCGTATTTCCACTACTACTAGCAGCACCATTGTGCCCAGCAGAAGGGACAACAAGACGTAAACGACGCAGCGTAGCCAGCTCAGCGTAAATACGATCCGCGACTGCTGCAACGCGGAGAGGCGTGGCTGGTGGATTTGGGTCGATGGCGTGGTAGATAGCTAGAAGGCGTTCTAAGGGGAATGGGCGGGCTGTGAGGATTGTCGAGGGGCCCGTTATACCGCCGCCACCTGTAGCGGATGTTTTGGCTGAGGAGGTTGCGAAGGCGGATGAGAGAGTTGACTTTGTGATGCGAGTTTTTGTGCGCTTGCCTTTTCCTCGCTTGCTTGGGGTTGAGGGGTCGTCGTTTGCTGCCTGTCTTTCTTCTGCTTGGGCTTGAGAGAGGACTTTCAGGCGGCGGCGATGATGGGCACGTTTGTTTCGGGCTGAGAGGGAGGATGAGGAAAACTTGGAGAAGAAGATTGTGTCAAGGCGCTGGGGAGTGTGGGAGGCTAGGTATGCGGATGTGAGGATGAGGGTTGAAAAGTAGGGGAGGGATGGGAGGGCCGAGGGCATCATGGTGACATTTGACAATGGAGTCCGTTTTATGATGGACGTTGTTGTCTCTTCGGGCACAATGCGGTGCACCAGCGCTGACTCGCCCTGGTGTCGGAAGATTGATCGGTTCTTGACCAGCAATCTAGAGAAATCCCACTCCGTGTTTCCGCCGGGAGGTGCTTCTCCGTTCACCACAGGCGCAACAAACTTCGGCCATAGTCTCTCGCAAATAGATTTGAAGTTTGGAATAGAGCCCGCCGTCGGCCCAACTAGGGAGTCATAGACCGTAGAAACGAAATATGGATATATCCGAGGAGAAGTCTCTTCAGGAAGGCCATCAACGACCGGCGCGTTGGAAGTGAGGATGATATCAATGGCCTCCTTGCGCGTATATGGAGGAAAGCTGATATGCGGAACAGCTGCACTTTGAAGAAAAAGCGGCCGCGGTGTCGAGCTTAGGACTAGAACGACACAGAGAGAAGGAATCTATGACATAGCAAAGGTTAGTCGCAATATTTCACCCGAAGAACAACAGCTCGAAGCAAACGGTATACTCACAATCTCCCCAAGCCGTGCTAGCGCGGACAACAAGGTATGTGGCGCTTCTCGTTGTCTATCGATCTCATCCAAAACCAAGACGAATTTCTTGGAGTGATCGGAAGCCCGCGCTGCCAAACACTCTTCGAGAAGGACTGCCAAGCCACTGACATGCTCGCAACGTCCCTTGCCAGCTTTCTCCCACTCTTCTTTCTGGCCCAAGGCCTCAAGTGTATTCCATATAATCTTTGTCAGAAGGTGTCGCCCTGTAATACATTCCGAGCTGCGGATAATGGCGTGCGGCACTTCAAGGGTAGACAGAACGCCATGGAGGATAGTCGATTTGCACGTCGCGGAGATACCGTGAACTACAACCGTGGGAGGACTAGGCACATGAGGCTATTCATAATGACAGTAAAAGTTAGTACTTGTCATTTTCAATGGCTTCAGTGAGATGGCGGAGCTCTCGCGGGCTTGCTCTTGTACACTCACGCTGAAAAGACTGGCAAGCTGGCGTGTCTGCACCTCACGGCAGGGCCACTGAGAGCCCAACGATCGGACAACCTCAATTGGAAGCATGAAGGATCAGGTCGTCCTGCTTCCAACGTTGTAGGATGATCCAATGTGAAATGAAGGTCGTAAGTCGAAGCTCTAATTGAAAGGGCGGCTCCTTTGTCGACACGTGACCACGCGTTCGCGCCGAAACCACCGCGCAAATTGGCAAAAAAGTACATTTATGTAGGAAACATTTTAAGGGTCTACGTTGGAGAATAAAATATGTAGAAACCGAATTCGCTTCCTAGCGCTAGAATACATGCAGAATGTGTGTGCAGGAACATGCATCCAGACAGGTACAGGTAGTTGACAGGCCCATCCGATACTGAAATCAAGTAAACTGACCGCAAATAACGAACTGATCAATGAACGAAGGCACTGAGGCCCTTTCCATCAATGATTGGTGCAGAATACTGAATGATGAACCGATGAAAAGTAACGAGCACAACACAATGCAGTTGGAAGAAAAAGAAAAGCGCAAAAGTACAGCGATAAGCAAGGTAAAAAAATAAGTAGAAAATCACAATGGGGAAGCGAAGATGATAATAATGAGGGGGGGAAAAGCGTAGCTCAGTCCATCAGGGAATCATGACCACATCGTGCTAGATCGTCCATAAGGACAATCCAAAACTATTGGCAGAAACACAAAGGCCGGAGCTAAACACTGGAACAAACAAAGGAAACGTGAAGTACAAGCGGGGGAAAGAAAAAGGAGCATGTAAGGGGGCAAGACTTCAAAGTCTTCATGCTGGGTCGCTTCATGAAATGCAATATGCAACATGGACAGACGCAATGATCATGACACATTGCTTCATACGTCGATGCAGGAAAACGCAAGTGAAAAATCACAGGCAAATGATCAATGCATATGCAGTTTGGCCCAGTCTGATGACAGCGTTGTAAAAGTAACCGTAAAATCGTGAAAAAAAATTTCGTCGCATCGTCTCACTATGGGTACACTTGGGTCGAAGACATGCATTAATTGGGCTGATCAGGCCCAACTAGATGTATGTAAAAAGCTGACTCTGCGAGCCGATATTGACAGATGGCTGCGAGCTTGGAGCGGAGTAAACAGAAGAGCTCTCACTTTGTCCAGAGGGTGTGTTGGAGACCGAACTCTGGGAAGAGTGGGGGACATAAGTCTGAGAGCTGTATCCGCTGGACGAGGTAGGAGAATGAATGCCGGAGGATTGACCACTCTGTTGGTACATGAAAGGCTTCTGGAGTAAGGACTTAGGGATTTGGGAGGTGTTATCCATCTCATTGGGGGTCACATGGCCGCTGGTGGCAGTGCTGCTGTTGCTGCTTCGACTAGCGGTAGTGTCGGCAGCCATGATCTTACCAGCAATGCGGCGGCCATGGGGGGTCTGGCGAATAGACGGAAGAATAGGGCGGACGGCCTCAACAATGCGGTTGCGAGTATCCGCATCGCAGAAGTCCATGGCAGTCTGCACAACGTAGTTTGCAAAAGAATCACGCAGCATCTTCTCAAGCTCATTACCCCGAAGAATCTCGTCAATCATCTGGCGCTTCATGAAATTGTCGGCAGTCCGAAGACATTTCTCAATCACGTTAGAACTGAATTTCTGCTTTGACAGCTGAGGAATGTTTCCTCCAAAGGTCTGACAAAGAGGGTTGGTGAACTGAGACTCAGCCAAATCCAGAATGTATTGCACAACGTAGTTTCCGAATGGATCCTGGATCAGGGTGAAGGAGTTCGACGTGATTTGAGAAATCAGACGCGCCTTTTGGTGACCAGAAGCATGGTCAATGCAACGCTGGAGAACACAGCATCCATGACGGTGAGTACCAACGACCACACAGTTTCCACCAACGGCTTCGTAGATGAATTCAGCATCTTCGGGGGAAAGGCGGTTGAGACATTTCTGGATGACGTGGTTTCCATTGAGATCCTGCACAAGTTCCACAACATCCCGTTGCAAAGCGTGAATGACTGTCTGAGTCTGTTGAGCGGTCGAGATAAATTCGATCATCTTCTGCAATGCACGGGTTCCATGCTGGTTAAGAGCAATCTTCACCAGCTGGGGAGCGGCAAAATCAATCAAAGCAGTACGCTGTTCATCATTGGAATATTCCAAGAGCTTTTGACACAGATAGTTGCCAAAGGGATCTAAAAGAAATTGATTAGCCTTCATCGATAAAGTTATAGGGCAGGATAAAATTCATACCAGTCATGAGTTCAATGACGTGCATATACGTCTCACTGAAAATAAGCTGCACGTGTTCCGGGTTACGTTCCTCTAATTTGCGCTGCAGGTAACGGCAGCCATGTTGGTCCTTGCACAAGCTGTACAACTCACCCTGGTAATGCTCCAAGGGGAAATTGCCAAATCGTGTAAGCTGACTCGTGTCATTCTCCTGGCGACGTGTAGCCATGCCACCCCGAGCAGAATTCTCAGAAAAGCGGAATCCAGAAGCAGGATAGGCAGAAAATCCATTGTAATTGGCGGAAACGCTGGACATGTGGCCTGCGGGGTGACTCTGGGGGGCATAAGGTTGCATTGCATAACCATAAGCCGGGACCTGGAAAGGCAGAGCCATTGGAGCGACCGGGCCAGGGACATTGGGGTTGGAAACAGCCGACGTAAGCTGAGGTCCAAAAGGAGCAGCACTGGCTTGCAGGGTTGTCTGAGATGTCGCACTGTTCTGGAGCTTGGTGTCATCTGCTTCTGGGGAGTCTTTGCCCTGGCGATTGTTCACTGCACCAAGAGGAATTCGCCCCATGCTTGCGTTGTGGTGATGCATGTGGTCCGCATGGTTGTTCGGAGGGGTGACAGCTTTGCCATTTCCATTACCCTTCATGGTAGGCAAGTCGTTAGTCGAGTATGAGGATTGAGGCATTGGGCGACTGGACGGAACAGGAGTCGCGGTCTCATCATGAAGTTCATCCTGGAAAGACATGTTGCTTCCCAGGGAGTGCCGAGCGACATGACGTGGCGCATGGGATGAACTTCTGTGGTCATCATTGACTGGGCTGCTAAGTTGATCCATACGCATCAAGCCTGAGATGTTCTGCGGCATACTCTGATGAGACGAACGGTGCCGATTGTGGTTGGCGTAGGACTCAGGTCCAGGAGTGCGCGAGTTGGCAAGATCAAGGGCATCCGGGTTAGCGGACAGCTGGATTGAATGTTAGAGCGTTCTTGAATTGACTACTGACAGAAACTTACATAGTTCGAACCACCACGACGGGACAAAGTAGGAAATTTATCATCCGTCTCAGTCAACTTGATGTAACTCTTGATATCTGGGGTAGACAAGCGATCGACATCCTTAAGGGGACCGTGTGACCTTTCCTCGTCGCTGGGGAAAAGGTATTTGGCGGCGGCAAAGGAGTCGATACCAGAACTGTTGTTAAAGCCGGAAACGTTGGGCCGCATTTGAGCATTCAGGTTACTCGATGGCAGCGAATAGCGATGACTTAAGCAGTTGTTAGTTCAATAGGCATGAAATGGGGCTAGATATGCAATGCCACTCACGAAGGGGCCGGACGGAACGGCGAAGAGGGCTCAGCGAGGAAATCGTCCTTCTCAGAGTTGCGACGGGAGCCTGGAACAGAGTGACCAGCAAAACGGTCGACCGACTGGTGTGCAGAGTGAGATGGGCCTTGAGGAGACGTCAGGTTGGAGGGAGCGAATGCGCTAAAGAAACCAGGTGAAGAGGTGACACTGGAAGTAGAGAAGCGCGCAGGGCGGTTGAAAGCATTGGACATGGTGCTTTCGCGGTACTCTGGCGGAGTTGTTGGCTCACTTGATGGACCAGTCATTCCAGCTTTGGCCAGATCGCGAGCAAGCTTGTCCATCTCAAGCTTCTCCTTCTCATGCTGCAGGTCCAACATCCTCATATCTTCTTCGAATCTGCGTTTCTGTTCGCGCATGTATTCCAGATGTTGACGTTTCTTTTCAAACTGCTGGAGAAGTCAGATCAATATTTATCTTGAGAGAAGTTACCATGAAAAAAGCAAGTGGAAGGATGTCTTGTGTATGGTGGTTTGTGGTTTGTGTTTTTTCTCGATTGAGAGAGGTGTACGATGTGAGAAAACTTTGTTGGAAGTTCAAGACACATGCCGTTCAAGACTCCATGGACTGATTCGTTGACCATTCAGACGCCTTCGTTCCACAGATCTCTTTGCATATCTGAACAAAATTCAAATACTGATGCCCGTGGAATGAGTCTTTGTGTCCGAGGACATATGTCAGGGTGGTTGATCAGGCCTTCGACAAGGACGTCTTCGGTAATGTCTTGAACGATCTCAACAAAATAGGAAAGCCACCCCCAACCGTCAAACCCGTCGGTCAAGATCGCACAATCCACATTCCCCGCTCCAACATTGGAAAAAACAAAACCAGAGCCAGGATCGTGGTGGGAGTAACGATAAGACAAGAGATGGGAATGGGGATGGGGATGGTGCCAGGGATAGAAATGGGGCCGCAATCTCGCACCTGAGTAAGGACAAAAGCCATGCCTTCGAGATGTAACGCAGAAAAATTAAGAGATGGATCAGGGTAAAGGCTCAGTGGTTAGAGGTATCGACTGCGAGGCACGGTCCAAGAGCAGCTCCTGTGCAAACAGGAGCTCACTTGAAGCGCGGGGCAGAAATCGATATACCCAAATCCGCTTGAGGCCTAGAGGCAACAATATGGTATTGTGATATGAGAGTTGGAATGTAGATAGAAATGAGAAAAGATAGTCGGTGCAAAGATGTGACGGATGAAGATGCAGAGGGAAAGATGAAAGAGGATGAGAAGGAGAAAGAGAGAGGCGAGGGACAAGCGAGAGAAGAGCAAATGAGAAGAGCACGTGCGAGGGACGTTGTGCAGGAAATTCGAATTTCTTGGTGTTGAGAAGAAGAAGGCTCAACCCTTCTCATCTCACAGCTCAGATGCTGCTCATCAATGGTTTCTTTACAAGAACTCTCTCGATATCACCTCCAGAAGGCTTGTGAGAATGATGCTACAGCCAGCCAGCCTTTCTCACAGCTCGAATGCTGCTCAAAAAAGCATTGCTGGCGCTGACAGCCTCATGAATCTCATCAGCAGGGCCGCGACAAAGCAGGATAAGAAGCCTGTTTATCATGCCATGCCATGTTTTCGTTTCTCATGGCTCCTAAGCCATTCATAGAAATATGACCTGCAGTAGCAATCTTGAGTCCGCAAGCCGCTACTAACAAGCCATAACCAGTGGTGCTCACGACCAAAATGCCGATCAGCGCATCCCAGTCCCAAACCAAATCCCCCAAATCAATGCTCTTCAATTCAAGGCACGTGAAATATCGCTAACAGAGATAGAAGCTCACCGAAGACAACAGATCTAAAGGATCTTGTGCAGGACCCTGACTTGGGCCCTGATTCAAATAATTCCATGACGAAAACTTGCTCGAATCGGTGGTGAAGCGACGCTGCAGATTGGCACGAACGTCACCCGCCGGTCGAGATGAGAAGCCCGGTACAAAGTTCGAATGACCCGGGGAGAGCGAGCTATATCCGGGGAACGCAGATTCCGAAGGCGGGGATCGGGGAGAAGGGAATCGCAGCTCGTCGAGGCGCTCACTAAGCCCGTGTTTGAAGGCCATCGTGGGCAAGGGCCGAATTGTCCAAACTACACCTCCGCCGGTCCAGTCAGCATACGGGGGCGTTTTGAAACTAGGTGGAGAGAGGGGGAGGGTTTCGAGAGCTTTTCTGAGAAGCAGCTATCACGACCAGCCCCGGATATTGTGACGACAAGCTGCAGCGGGTGGCAGGGAAATGTCCGAGTTATGGAGGGGAGGGGGAACCAGGGCTGGCGGTGTGCTTCGTTCGGTCTCAAGTAAGGGGAACTTGAGAGAGGGGCTGAGGGGAGGAGATGATCTGCGCGAAACGGATCCGACTCACACAATCAACGCCTCGAGAGAAAAATCAGGTCGGCGATGGAATTCCTATGCGAACACAGGTGCCGGGCATCTAAGAGAGGTTTCGGGGAGGCAAACACGTCGGCACTGCAGACGCGATCAGGACAAGGACTCAGGAGCGGAGGTCGATGCTTATGGTGAACAGGAACGAGAAGCGACTTACCAAGCACGAAACGAATGTTGATATACACCAAAAAGAAGAGCAAACTGTTGTACAAGGGGAGTTGGGAAGGAGAGGGGGGGAAAAGGGCTGGGAGTCCAGAGCAGAGCGGGGAGATCCTTTTTTGGCTGATGTGCCCTTTTCTTTTTTTTTTGCCCTTTTTCCTCTTTTTTTTTGCTCATTTGATTACTGATTTTCCCATTTTCTTTCTATTTTTTTCTTTTCTCTATACTACCCAGGTGGTTGGCTATACCTATTCTATTCACCTCCAAAGGGAGGAATTGATTTGGGGGCTCAATTCCTCCCTTCCCGACACAATATATAGAACCGCTATCACCGGTGTCTACGGAGCATCATTCGACCACAGCAGATGATCAACATTGACAAAGTTACTCGGATATTGTTCGAGCCTGGAGTCTGATTGGTACAGGGCTGGCTATTGTACGACTTGAACGCATTTTGTTCTGGGAAGAGCCTTGAGTATGGGGGAGGGACATAGGACAGCTCGAAGTGTCTGGCTACCAATGGTCAATTGGAAGATGGGCTGGGGATGGAGAGGGCTGAGGCCTCTCGCGCAAGGGGGAAGACCTTCAATGCGCTGTACAGAGCGTGGCATCTGCAGCAACAAGTGGAGAAGTGCCCGAGGATGTGACAGCGGATCGCCCTCTAAGGAGGTTAGGCGCCTATGTTCCTGGATTAGCAGATGGAAGTGTAGATTGTGTAGATTGTGTAGATTGGGAGAGTATAGTGTCATTTGGGTAGTTCTAGTAAGTCAACTGATGGCGTTCCCCTGACTCTTGGTTCGCGACGGGCTTCTTTGTCTGATCCATGGGTCTATTGATCAAACTGATTGGGTCTATAGAGGTCCTGAAACTGATACTCCCCTATTCGGTGATTCCATTCTCCTATTCTACTGTATTCTCGGATTTCCCTATTGTTCCTTCTACAACTTCAGCTATTATTCTATTCCCTTCTGCACTCTTGACTCATCCCCCCACCTCGGCTGATAAGGGCTCTCACCCTCAGACAAGCGGTGTAAATGGCAGCGCTGATCGTATCGCTTGGAGCCCCTGATCCACCGAATGACGAGCATGCGAACCCCAGTCAATCATTACGGGGATCTTGTAGCCACTTTTCCTACCCCTCCTCTTTTCTAGAATTCCGATCTGAGCAGGGAACTTGATACGGTCTGTGCTGGCTCGTACAGTAGTATACACACTACTGTCTCTCCCCAAAGTGATACATCCAAATCCCCCATAACTACTAGTATGCATTCATCTTCATTCTGTCGAGAGTAGAATCCACTTGACGCCCAAATCCCCAAATTTTAATTACCGCCCTTCTTTCATGCCCAACGCCTGACGCCCCCGAAGCAATTGACTGGCTGCCCCGATAGACTTGCGATCCACAGCATCTCACTGGTCAATGATCCTTATTTGAGCCCATTATGATTATCCGCCCCAAAGTACGCAAATGATATGAAACTAGCCCCCTCACAACCCCGGCCCTGCAACTACTCGGGCAATGGACCTTCTAGACTACCCCCCCCCCCAGTCTCTTCGCCTCGCCATAACAGTATAGCCTCTGATCTCCTCGATTATGTGCGTCGCACTGGAAATGATAAATTCCGTTCTACCACGTGTACAGTTCCATTTCCATTTCCTTTTCGCCCTACTGTAACTCAACAATCTGACACTTGTATTCGCATGTCGGATAAATATTTCCGCCTTTCCTGGCGGAGTATTTGGCCTTCGGTGGCAATTTCAAAGTTGCGGTCAACCCTAGCCCTTTGCCACAGACATCATCAATAGCTCGATGCTGAATCGCTGGACTCGTGTACCGCGTCCGACCACCGTGATGCTGAGTGCCACAAGTGTAGTGTGACTGTGCTATATTGAATGCTTCAAGAGCGATCAATACTGTACAGTACATGTACCCTTGTCAAGACCTAGGCTGTGCTAACAATAGTACCAAGTTAGTGCTTTCTAAATATACCTGTACATGGCCACCTCTCTGATCCTGGGGTTGTTTATAGATCAAATCAGAATGTTAATTCTGGATGCTTATGGGCAATCTTCTGGTGCCTCCTCTGCAAGTTCATCTCTCAACTGACGGAATCACACTTACAGGTCTAATAGCCCGACAATGTAGCTTCTTTGCTGTGTGCGGTAGATATGACTTGTATCTTGAAATAATACGTAACCAGTAAGAAGCGACATCATTCAGCCATTCTTAAAAGGCTTGATCTGCTTTTTCTGTTTTGATGGGCTTACTGTAAACGTATGTGATCAAATGACGTCAAAGCAAAGACTAGTGAACTGAGGAGTAACTCGATATGATCGTTCATGATGATTTCAAACTTGACAAAACAGAGACCATCATTTATCTCTTTCCAACCCGAATATGCAATCATAGAATATTTCTGACATTTCTTTAATGCATCTACAATCACCTGACTTGAGATGTGCGACATCCCTTCTCCCTGGTATCTTTTGACGACAAACCACCTTGAACACGCTCAAGTCTACTCCAGAATCATTACACTATCTCTTCTATAAGTTGCCATTGCCTAAAGCTGTTCTTTCTGTCTTAGACTATGTCCTCATCGCTTCGGCGATCTTGGCTCGGGCGGAAATAGAACCTTTCAATTTCTCCAAATCAAACTTCGTTCGCATACCTAAATCGTACAAAATTGAAGAAGAGGCTATCTCAGACTTTATTGTCTCACAATGTCACCCAATTCAAACTGGAGAAGTCATCCAGGAGCGGTATCAAGTCATCGGCAACTTGGGATTTGGATCTACCTCAAGTGCGTGGCTTGCCAGAGAATTGGAGTGAGATCGCTCATGAATTTTGATGATCGCTTGTCGCGGATACTTAAACATGAAGGTTATAGTCCCAGGCCTCATGTCATGCTCAAAACATTCTCCAGGCTTCCTCCGTGGGCCAGCAAGTGGATGACGAGTTCAATATCTATAGACGCACAGAGCAATCATCAACTATCCATCCCGATTGCGACTTCATAAGAACATTACTTGATATATTTTACATCAACGGACCTCACGACAAGCATCGATGCCTTGTGCATCTCCCGTTATGGGAGAGCGGTTTAGCCTTCTTCGGCCGCAACTCAGTAAAGAGGCTACCCTCAAGGATTATTGTAGTCGTTCTTCATCGCCTTTTTCTAGCATTGGATTATCTTCATACAGAGTGCCAGATCACACACACTGGTTTGCATCCCGGCATGTCTCCCCTACTTCTATGGCCCACTTACTCTTTTCCCTATCCGATATCAAGGCCGATAATATATCGTGTTCGATTTCGAGGATGATTCATTTTTCACTGACTTTGCGGAGTTCGAGCTTCAACACCCCGTTCTGGGAAAGGCGACGGACACAGGCGGAAGAACAATCCATATGTCCAGACGTCGGGGACCCAGTCCTTTGCGATTTCGGTTCGGTCATGTTTGGCAGTCAGTACCACACAGAATCTGTTCTGCACAGGTTCTATCGAGCACCGGACCTGGTTTTAGGAGTTACATGGACATAAAGCGCCGATATATGAAATGTGAGGTGCATGGCAAGATAAGCAGCCTAATTATGGTGCGAAACTTGCTAATAGTTCTTATAGATTTGGGATATATACGAAAGCGGTTCCTTCTTTACGGGCCAAGACCCCGAATTCAAGACATACTGGAGTCGAGCACATCTTGCCGAGATGATCAATCTTCGTAGTCCCCCGCCTTCCAGCTTTCTGACCCAAGAGGAGCTAAGAGAGAGAATCTTTCCAGATGAAGGCAAGCAAGTTTCTTATTTTTAGCTGGTAAGCTCTGGCATACTATTCCACTGACTAGATGACTTTGGATGGTTTCCTCACTCCAGATTTGTTGACGGATCGGGTTTTGCTTGAGGAAAGGAAAATCATTCTCGAGGGGACAATGGAGAGAGAATCTCCTTTACGCTTCATGCGTAAGATATTGCAGTGGGAATCCAGCAAGCGTAGCTCCGCCAAGGAGCTATCGGAGGATGAATGAGTACACAGCCATGAATGAATATACCTACATCAAGGAGTGAACTAATACGGCAGTTCGCCAATACTTCGTTCCTTGTCTTCTCGAATATTCCTACGTGGAATACCTTAGTGCGTCCTTGAGAGCCAAGAAAAGCTACAATAATCCCACACAGCTTTGGAACCAACAAGTTGATCCTCTTATCATAGACATGACATGGATTATGATAAATGACTGTCATGCCTGGAATGCATTATCCGGTAGAACTGGCAACGAGGCATTCTAGTCAAGCATCTTGATTATATTGAGAATTTCAGGTATCAGCGGGCTCAAAGAGGAAGCTATCTCGTGGATGCATGCATAACTGGAGCCGTACGCACATGTACATGCATGCGCAAAGACCCACTTACTGTACAAGACCATGTCAATGAACAGGTCTCAGCAACCTTGCAGATGTTAGTAGAAACTAATAATGCTCAACAGAAGTTGGTTTATTACAAGTCATTCTTTGAAGCAGCGGTCTACGGATAGTGCAGTTGGTGTTGATCCGATGTCTTGGGTTTCTCGGAGTTAAGAAGCGGTTACTCCGGTTCTTCGTAATGCGTCTGTCACTTGACTTGCGTTCCGTTTGCTGTAGTTGAATGACAGTTTGATACAGAGTATCCTTCTTTCTGTTGTCAAGCCATTGCGCTTCAGTTTGCAGAGTGTTTCTGACATTATTCAATACTCACATCTACCCGTGGATGAAGACTTATGTTCACAGCACACTTCAGGTCAACATTCCCATGCGATATAGCCAAATAATTCGAAATTGACAGCAGAGAGATACTTAATGGCAAAGTTCATATTAAAGCCTTAGGCTTGACAACCGCTTGCCAAAATGAATCATGCTACAACTCTCAAATTGTGCAAATCAGAACCGCCAAGTATGAAATTCTGCCTCAGGCCGCATCAAGCTCCGGCCCGCAGCTTAATAAGCAATCTCCAAATTACTCAAATCTTTCCCCTCCATGAGAAACCACCTCGTGAGCTCCGGTCCAGTCATTTGTGTGGTTTGATTCAGTTTTGTACCTGGAATCAACTTCCCTGCACATAAACTGTCTATTCAAAATGCCGCCGCGCAAGAGGACGCAGCCGTCAGCGGCCAGCCAGCCGCGACGACCCTCAGAGGTAACAAAACTTTTTTTCGAGTCGCAAGTCTCCAACCTCCGACCAATGTACTGACTATTTTGGCGCCCCGTTAGGCTGGAAATGCATCGGCAACCGATCCCACAAAAAGAAAGCGCCCGTCTGTGTCCAAGCCGGTTCCTGAGCCTCCCAGGCAGCCAGAGCCAGAGTCGGATCCAAACGCTCCCAAGTTCAAGCCGAGGGATCCATTCGATGCGCTGTTAGAACCATTTTACTACAACAAGGGTCTGACTGATCCAATTGATACCGCAAGAGATAAATGGAACCTGCTTCCTGCCTTCCTCAAGGTCAAAGGATTGGTGAAGCAGCACATTGACTCCTACAATTATTTTGTAGAGGTACAACTGAAGAAGATCGTCGAGTCGAGCTCCACTATCCGTAGTGATATCGACCACAATTTCTACATCAAGTTCACCGACATCTACGTTGGCTCGCCTCGACGAGCCGATGAGCAAGGCGATGGTGGTCTGGAATTCGAGTCAACGATCACGCCCCAAGAGTGCAGATTGCGAGACACTACATACGCTGCGCCTATTCTAGTCGACTTCGAGTATGTTCGTGGTCGCCAAAGGGTTATCCGACGAGGAGTTTCCATCGGAAGAATGCCAGTCATGCTCCGCAGTTCCAAGTGTGTCTTGGCGAACAAGACTCCTGCTCACATGAGTGTTCTCAATGAATGTCCTCTGGATCCCGGTGGTTACTTCGTCGTCAATGGAACAGAGAAAGTCATTCTTGTACAGGAGCAACTGAGCAAGAATCGAATCATCGTTGAAACCGACCCTAAGAAGGAAATTGTTCAGGCCTCGGTTACTAGGTATGTACTTGATCGAGCTCATTTAGTCGAGTGCCCCCGCTAACCTCTTATAGTTCTTCCAATGAGCGTAAGTCTAAGAGTTATATCGTCTTGAAGAAAGGCAGACTTTACGTCAAGCACAATGTTCTGAATGAAGACATCCCCATCGTGATTCTCTTGAAGGCTATGGGTATCCACACCGATAAGGAGATGATGCAAATGGTCACTGGTGACGACAGTCTCTACCAGGATGATTTCGCCATCAACTTTGAGGAGGCAATCAACGTCGGTATCCACACTCAACAGCAAGCCCTTGAATGGATTGGCTGTCGGATCAAGATCAACCGCAAACAAAGCGCCTATCGCCGTACCCATGTTCAAGAAGCAGTCGAAGCCATCGCATCTGTTATCATCTCTCACATTGAGGTTCATGACATGAACTTCCGCCCCAAGGCTATCTACGTCGCCCACATGGCTCGTCGTGTTCTCATGGCCAAGAATGACCCTGCTTTGGTGGATGACCGTGACTACTTGGGTAACAAGCGACTAGAACTAGCTGGACAGATGTTGGCTCTGCTGTTTGAAGATTTGTTCAAGAAGTTCTGCTTCGATATTAAGATGAATATTGACAAGGTCCTGAACAAGCGCAACCGAGCTGAGCAGTTCGACGCCTGGAGTGTCGTGACGATGCATGGAAATCACATCACTCAGGGCATGAACCGAGCCATCTCAACCGGTAATTGGAGTTTGAAGCGTTTCCGCATGGAGCGGGCAGGTGTCACCCACGTTCTTAGTCGTCTGAGTTACATTGCTGCTCTCGGTATGATGACTCGTATTTCCAGTCAGTTCGAAAAGACCCGAAAGGTCTCTGGTCCTCGTGCTTTGCAACCATCCCAATTCGGCATGCTTTGCCCTGCAGATACTCCCGAAGGAGAGGCTTGTGGTTTGGTCAAGAACTTGGCTCTCATGACGCACATTACTACGAACGACGAAGAAGGACCTGTACGAAATCTGATGTTCATGCTGGGCGTTGAGGACATCGCCAGTGTGGGTGGACAACAGCTCTATGCCAAGGGTGCTTACACTATCTCCATCAACGGTACACCCACTGCTTTGACCAGACGGCCCAAGTCCTTCCTCAACGCTTTCCGAAGACTGCGCCGCATGGGTCGTGTTTCAGAATTCGTCAGTATTTACATCAACCACCATCAACGCGCTGTCCACGTGGCCACCGACGATGGAAGAATTTGCAGACCGCTTATCGTCGTGGAGAATGGCAAATCTCGTGTCCTGAAGCACCACCTTGAGAAGCTGCGTGATGGCAAGATGGAGTTTGATGACTTCCTTGCCCAAGGTCTCGTTGAGTATCTCGATGTGAACGAAGAGAACGACTCTTACATTTCGATCTATGAGAAGGACCTCTCAAACACTCACACCCATCTCGAAATCGAACCTTTCACCGTCCTCGGAGCTGTCGCTGGCTTGATTCCTTACCCCCATCACAACCAGTCTCCTCGTAACACCTACCAATGTGCCATGGGTAAACAAGCAATCGGTGCGATTGCTTCAAATCAGTTCCAACGAATTGATTCCGTCCTGTATCTCATGGTCTACCCCCAGAAGCCAATGGTCAAGTCACGAACCATCGAGCTGACCAAGTACGATCAACTGCCTGCTGGCCAGAACGCAACTGTTGCAGTGATGTCTTACTCCGGATACGATATTGAGGATGCTCTGGTTTTGAACAAGGGCTCAGTGGACCGTGGCTTCGGACGTTGCCAGGTCTTCCGCAAGTACGTCACCAACCTGAAGAGTTACTCCAACGGCTCAAAGGACGACCTGCGCCCACCAGAATACGAAAACGGTGCTCCAATTCGCAAGCACGCGCTCCTCGAACACGACGGTCTAGCCGCTGTCGGTGAGCAGGTCAACGCCGGCGAAACTTACGTCAATAAGGTCACACCCAAGGTCCAAAACTCGTCGGGCATCACGGGCTCCGACGCTGGCAGGAATGAGTACATCAACGCATCGATGACCTACAAGCTCCCAGATCCCGCCTACATCGATAAGGTCCTGGTCTCAGCCACAGAGGGTGAAACCCAACTCATCAAGGTTCTCACCCGCCAAACTCGTCGTCCCGAAGTCGGCGACAAGTTCTCCTCTCGTCACGGTCAAAAGGGTGTCGTCGGTATCATCGCCGATCAAGCCGACATGCCCTTCAGCGACCAAGGCATCAACCCAGACATTATCATGAACCCCCACGGTTTCCCCTCTCGAATGACAGTCGGAAAGATGCTGGAACTTGTCGCTGGCAAGGCAGGTGTTCTCTCCGGCCAACATGGCTACGGCACCTGTTTCGGCGGCAGCCCCGTCGAAGAAATGTCCCAGATCCTCATCGACAAGGGTTTCAGTTACGGCGGTAAAGACTACCTTACCTCCGGTATCACCGGCGAGGCACTCCCCTTCTACGTCTTCACCGGTCCAATCTACTATCAGAAACTCAAGCACATGGTTCAAGACAAGATGCACTCTCGTGCCCGTGGTCCGCGCGCTACCCTGACCCGCCAGCCCACCGAGGGTCGTTCCCGTGATGGTGGTCTCCGTCTCGGTGAGATGGAGCGTGATTGCCTGATTGCGTACGGTACCAGTCAGCTGCTCCTTGAGCGGTTGATGATCTCGTCTGATCGCCACGAGGTGGACGTCTGTGAGAACTGTGGCTTTATGGGTTACTTGAACTGGTGTCCTGGCTGCAAGTCTTCTCGCTCTGTTGTCAAGATGGTTATTCCTTATGCTGCTAAGCTGCTTATTCAGGAGTTGATGAGTATGAATGTCACGGCTCGTCTGAAGCTTGATGATGAGTTCCCTGAGATGAAGGGCCGTTAAGCTTTTGAACGCGGTGGACTTTGGATGGTGTTTGGGATATTGAAAATGGGTCATGTGTGCATATACTTAACTCGGTCTTATGAATGAATGGCATAGCGCGGCGATTTTAATGTTATTCTTGCTGAACCCTCTTTCTCTATCGTAGGCCTATTACTTCATCTAATCGGCATTAAGCACGTAATGAACAGTTCATGACTGGATATATATGAAACTAATTCCGGATATCATCTATAGACTTACCAGCTCTTAAGATATATGCCGTTCACCCGTTACAATCCTTATTTACCTTATCCTAATAGAGTCCTAACGGTATGTACCTACGCCTTAATCTATTGATAGGCCTAAGCTACTTCTACTCTAATAGGAAGATAATAATAGAAAGGGAAGCACCCATAGGCGTAAAGAGGAAGTTGGTTACTCCATTTGATAGAAGTTATTCGATCACCGACAGTGGCCTTACTGGAAATGCTACTGTTTCTGGCAGGGTAAGGTAACAATCATGCAAATGTGATATGAGATACTTTACAGTTTCATAACAGTATTCTCGCTTATTATTGATATAATATCACTTAGCGCTTAATCTCAATGTATGGTAATTGTGTATGGTCCTCACTAGGTCGCCGCGCTACGGATCCTAATACCGCATGAGAACAGATAAACCACGAGATTCATTTTCGAACAATTGTTCAACACTTAGTATTGAAGGGAAAACAATGAGACAACAGAAATCTAACGAAACAGAAAAGCCCATTTTTAAAGCGACAAAACACTAGATTCAAAAGCCACATGCTGATACCGCGTAAACTCCATAATCTCATGCAAGAATTTACCCCGATGCTCCAAAGCCTCATCCAAACTAAGCGGCATATTCCCCTTATTCTTCCTATTGTCAAGGGCCAGCTTAGACATCGAAGCCTTCAGCTCCTCATCCGATGACTGCAAATTCATAGTCCAATCGATGCGCTGTGGCGGAACATTGGCGGTGGAAATAATGCGAATATTAGGATCGATCAGGAAGAATACCACGGCGCGTCCGTGTCCAGGCTTCGTCTTGTCTTTCAGCTCGAACCGAGTGAATTTGTGCTGAATGGTGCAAGGATACATGATTGTTCGGCCGGGAATGGCGCGGATCACGCCCGGGCATTGAATGGCCGGCTCGCCGTTCTCCAGCCCAAAGACTTGACGCAGCCAGATGAAGTCATTCGGGTCATGCTCGACTTCCGACAGTGTGTCTGTCTCAGCAATATTGCGGAACTCCATTGTAGCGTCTTCGATGTTATCGTGCTCGTAGGTGAGGAAGGCCGAGGCGCAGATATGTTCGTTCTGTGGCTCTGTTGTTAGCACCGGATGTATTTGTGGTGTTGGAGTGGACTGGAAATTGGCTTTCTTTACTTACCATTTGACCCTCGACGTGCCAGTCTGTTTCAAATGTTGGATCTTCGGGGGTGAGATCACAGCCAAGTAGACGAGTCACCACCTGCAGTCCCCGGTCTTTGTAGTCGCGGACAAGATCAACGCCTCGTTCAATGCGAACAGGAGTTGGGAGATCCTCAGGCAGCTTGTCCATCATCCAGGGAGGAACAGCCCAGGGAATAAACTTCTCTGCGTCGGGTTGAATAGCGCGGAGATTTTCCATTTTCCATTTCTCGTTTCGGTCGTCAAACTCGCTTTGTGCTTCCCGAGGACCCATCTGGGGTGCCTGTGCCGCAAGCTCCTTGGAAATGGGATAATATTCCGCCTTGTGGTATTCAATTCGGGCACGGGCGTGGAGCTGGTCTTTCAGGGGGGTCAGTGTTGCGTTCCATTGAGGGATGATGTTGTTGAAACACTCCTCAAGGAGTTTGTAGATGTTGCGGTGCTTTACCGGGTGAAGATTGTTGATATAAGTAGCTATGTGCCACCGGCCATCTTCACGATATTCCCAGTCTGTGGGGAGGATCTGGTAGTTGCGGCTGTAAGGGTGGACTTTGATATCTGCCCGGGAGAGGACTCGCCAGGCGATATCCTCTCTGGTGATCCCAGTCTCCCGGGGGACGGGGATGATTTCGCCCTGACCAGCGTGCTCGATTGCGTTCTCGAGTGTAATCGTCTTGTCCGTAAGAATGCGACTCTTGCCATAGACAAGCGGGTACAGCGCCATGGCGATAAAGTCTCGCTGTTTGCTCAAGAATCCGAAATGATAGAATTTCAACTCTGGCTGGTCGTATTCCAGAGCTCTGATCTGGGTGCTAAGATTTGCAATGAGCGATTTAGACAAGTTCGTATCAGACTTGGTGACATCGCCATTGTACAGAGCAACAACGTCTGTCGTTTCGTAAATCATCGCTTTGAACTCTAGCTCGTCGATTATCCATTCTGCCATGCGTAGCGTGATGTCTCTACCGCATTCCATGGCATCCCTTTTCCACTTCTCCTGGATAGTGGGATCAAAGACCTGTACTTGTTTAGCAGGACAGAGCCAGCAAGCAGCAAGTGTATGAGATACCCACCTTTTTCCACCACTCAGGGATATCAGTCAAATCTTCCAGGAAACCTAGCATAGCAATCTCACGCAGAGTCAAAACAGGCAGACTGCAGAACATGTTAGCATGGTCAATCTTTGAAAGCTCCTCAACTCACTCTACATAGCCGGCTTCGATGTCCCTATCGTCTAACGCAGATGGAAACAGACTCCGACTATGAACACCATAGATGTTCTTCTCGCTTGGAGCATAGTCCAATGGACGACCAAATCCTGGAAGTTTAAGACGACAGTCTTGGAGTTTCGAGGAACTGAGAAAGGCCGCCTCGTTGGCCTTGTGTTGGAACATTGCTGAGGTAGGTGAACAAGGCTTATATATATTCCCGTCCCAGAACAATAAGCTCTCAAACTGTATAGCTCACAATATGACAGACACAAGTACCAGCAAGGATATCGGTAGTTAGGATGAAAACACAGAATAAAAAGTATGAAAAGCAGCCTTTAATGATGCATGGGTGTCGTTTTCATCTCACGACTGACGAAGGAACAACGGAACTCCTTTCCGACCTTTCAGTTGATCTGTGCCAGATTTAAAGTCGTGGGTGCCATGGGCGTGTCTTTGGAATACAGTCATGGTGATCTATAATCTAAGGGCCCAGGGATCATGGCATTAGAAAACCTTGCATGGAGTCCAACGGTATTGCCCTAAGAATCGAACATATCTATTACAACCGTTCAAAGAGCTGATTGGAATGGGTTGAAATGGATGAAAAGGTCTCGGGCGAGAAAATAAAAAGGATCAAAGCAGACCCAACGGTCTCAAGTGATCTTTAATGATAGTCCAATACCGATCTGGATCAGTCTTCATATGGGCAACATGAGCCGAGCCCTTGAAGAATTCACGACGAACCACCCAACCTTGCGTCTCCGCCTCCACAGCATGAGATTCTGTATCTTTCCAGTCAACCAACTCATCCGCATCGGAGTAAATGTAACAGCGAGTGAGAGACTTCTCCGGGTTAGCCGCCCGCATCAAAGAGGTATCATTGATGACCCTGCGAGCCAGGGAGATCGGGTCCGGAGAAACAGATAAGTACTGAACCAGCTTGATGAAAACCAAAAAAGCAAAAAGCATTGCTTTTCCCAGACAGTGCAAGATCCACATTTTCGGAAGCGCATAAGAGAAAGCCCTCAGTCCAGATCGCAAGGTCGACTTTCCCGGTGCACTATCCAAAATCATAGCAGAGATGGGCAGCGGTGATCCGGTAGCTTCTTTCCAGGCTTGGAGTAGATGGGTGATATTGGTCAATCCTCCATTCGAGAACATGTGCACGTAGACCGGATTCTCAGGGGTTACCAAGGTGCGCATTGCTTCCACGGCCGGTACCATGCGGGCCTGCTGGCCCTGAGATGAGCGAAGCATGAAGTCATTGGAGGAACTGCGGATAAAGACGATTCGAGCTGTTGGTAGCAAGCGTCTGTATTCGATCACATATTTGGCCAGGGCACGTGGGGGTGCATTCATCCAGAATGCAAGGAGTATGACTGGTCGAATGGATTGGTTTGTTTCTGGGTCTTGGATATAGACCGAGGGAGCCAATTTGGCAAATGAAGCCAAGGGATCGACTGTAGCCATGATGTTCCAGTATGTCTTTTGATGCGAGCAAACCTTGAACGCAAATACGGCGGAGTGGGGGGATCCCCAGATTTGCCAAGAAGGCACTAGTTGAAGTATGAAGTATGAAGATCTTGAAGGAGTCAAGTTGACTTCAACTGACAACGAACTGAAGCGAGGTGGGCTCAAGGGAAATTCTTGGTCGTGTTTGCTGAGACATATCGGCCATGAGAAGATTCTCAGAAATTCCTGTCCCTGGTTTGAGGACGTGGCAGACTATCCATGTCATGCTCATTCACAAGACATTCGGGGCCATGGCACTCCGGACTCTCTGTAATCTAGCAAACCAGCTCAATAGCTGCCGATGAAATGGCATTGAGAAAGGATGGGGATTCTACTCTTTGGGCCGAGTGGAAATTGTGCATAGAGCCGCCCTCAAAGGTAAGACTTTACAACCCGGATACAATTGGCAAGACAACCATGAGATACGCATAATACATAACGTTACGGATACAAAAGACACGAGGATAAAGCGGTGTGTTAGAAAGGTCATTGTATGTAGTCGTGAGAGAACGCCGAAAAGACACACCCCCTCAAAACGCCAGGATCTTGCTGTATCGTAAACGAGATCACCGCCGCAGAATCTAGATTGCTCTCCCTGGATGGACGTCCGCGGATATGATCGTGGGGTTCATACGTTGCCGAAATTAGCGCAAGGTTCGACCCTTGGAGCTCTTGCTGCTTTCTTTGCCCTTGGAGCTCCCAGCCTCACTCCCTGACGTAGGAGTCTCGGAGCCAAGATCCTTTCGTTTACCCCGCAATGTCTGACCGAGTCCTTGGAATTTGGGTTGGTCCTCTTGGACAACCATACCATTCTCATCACGCTTCTTGACAGGTTTGATGGTGTAACCGAAGAAGAGCTGGTTGGGCGGGAGTCGAAGAGGCTGCGGGCCGTTGAGTATCCGTGCCGGGGGAGGATGTTGTGGATTGGAAGCACCGGGAGTAGGAGTCGAAGGGTTGGGGGTTGGGGCTTTACTGCCTTTCTTTGCATTGAGACGCTGGCCCCCGGACAGGAAATTGGAGGATGCTGCGCGGGCACCTGCTGCTGCCTCGGTGGCTTCGGGAGCAATGGCGGTGTAGTTGATTGATTGTGCCATAGTGCCATGAGGGTGCATCAATCCACCGGGTGGAAGCTTTCCACCGATCACGCTACCTGGTGTGCTTGTTCCACTGGTCTTCTGTGGTTCTTCATATCCTACCGGAGCGGCGAAATCGACCTCCAAATCCGTCTCTAGAACAGACACTGCATTCTTGGATCCGGATGGTTTTGTCTCTAGCACGGCCATTTCGTACACTTGATCGTTGTATCCGAAAGTGAAGACATCGCCTTTGGTAAGACATGAGAAATTGCGAAAGGCGTTTTCGAGGACGGCCTTCGGGTCACTGATATCGAGGAACGAGGTGGATTGTGCTTGAAGCTTAATAAATTGTCCCGGGGGAAGGTCGGTGGATTTGATCTGGAGAAGGTCGCCAGGTTCCAGCAGTAATGTTTGCATCAGCTGTAGAGGACGAGCCTTAGTATGAGGTAGAGTCCATGAGGGGTTGTGCCTCACTCACCCAGAACGGCAAATAAATCTTTCCTTCCTCAGCAATAAATTCCAAGACACCAGCATGTGTCATTCTCTCCTTTGCCCCATTGTGAAGCTCGAACATCATCGGGTAGGTAATGTGGAGACGAGTAAGCTTGTCCAATGCGCTTGGAGGCATGATGACCTTGCCGCCATGATTCACATTCTCCCTTTCAGGACCAGGGAGCATGGCCACAGGATAGCAGCGGTAGTATTCATCGAAGCGGCGAGCTGCTGCGCCGGGACGCATGATGCCGGCACCTAGGACTCCGTCCATAGGGTCGTCGGACCAGTAGTCAGGTCGGAACTGAAGTTGTTAGAAGTGACAAAAAAGTAAGAGGGTGTCAAAAGCTACGAAGCTCACCATGGTAAAGAATATGTTCGAGGTGTAATGAACAAAGTGCCGGTTAGTTGACGGCGCTCCAGTGACGCAAGTTCGCTCCGCTACGATTTTCCGCTCCGACCCCAGACCCGGAAATCACCTTTGCGAACGCCGTGCGACGGAGCTTCCTTTGCACCTCTTTCTGTGCAAATAACATATTCTGCACATCATGTCTGGCTCACTACCACACCACAAACGCGCCGGTGAGGATTTGGACCACTCTCAGTACAATGCCGCCGGCGAGGAAGCTTCAGACAACAAAAAGCCACGCTTCGACCTACGCAACCCCTCATCCCTGGCTGCGGATGCCCAAGAAGATGATGCCATCCTAGACGCCGATGAAATTGGCCGGCGTGGCCAGCAAATACGACGCAAAGCGGTCAATCTCGACGGGTACGACTCGGACAGCGACAACGAAGGTTTCTCTGGCCGCGGGGAAGAAAAATCAAAGCGCAAAGAAGAGAAGCAAGATGCTGACGATGACGATATGTTTGCCGAGCTTCAAGAAGACTTCGGTGAGGAGGAAGTGGACGGTGACGAAGTCTTGAACAAAAACAAGAAGAACGTTCGTTTCCTGCGGGATGACGAGATTGAGGGACAGGTTGCTTCTTCAAAGGGTGGAGGGGCTCTCAATGTGGATCTGAGCAAGGGCGCAGATCAAATGCCCGACGACAACGAGTCCAGTGACAGCGAAGTCGGAGAGGAAGAACGCGCGCGGGTCGACGAAGATGTCGATGAGGAACTTGGCGCTGGCGCGAAGAAAAAGCATGCGCCTCTACTTGATGCCTTCAACATGCAAAATGAACAGGAGGAAGGTCGGTTCGACGACCAAGGCAACTATGTTCGCAAGGCAGCAGATGCAGACGCAAAATACGACAACTGGCTGAATGACGTATCGAAGAAAGATATCAGAGCAGCTAAAGCGGCAGCCGAAAAGCGCGAGGAAGAACGCAAAGAAAAAGATCGAATGGACGACAGCATCTTGACATCGGATGTCCTTAAGACTATTATCACACATCTTGATCGTGGTGAAACGACACTTGAAGCATTGGCCCGACTAGGCAAAGGCCTTCACCGGAAACCTAAGTGGCAAAACAAGAAGAACAAGAAAAAGGATGTGACTGAAGATACTGAAATGGCGGACGAAAACCCCGAAGAAGTGGCCCGAAAGCAGGCCATTGATGCTATCACTGGCGCCGCCGATATCTTGATGGGCCGAGGCCAGGTCGACATCTATGACACCGAACGTGAAATGCTTACTCGTCAATACCGCAATGAGACCGGGGAACAATGGGTTGAGCCTCCCTCCAAATCAGGAAATGGAGAGACAGAGCAAGGGCCCGCCATGTGGGAGTATCGCTGGTCTGACGCTCGAGACGGAGGCGAAGCCCATGGCCCATATGATAGCGCTATGATGGACGCATGGAACAGTGCAGGCTACTTTGGCGAAGGCGTCGAGTTCCGCAGAGTCGGCGATGCAGGGCCGTGGAGCAACAGTGTTACCTTTGTCTGAATATGATCATCTACACAAGCCAGTTTAGTCTGGCTACTTGTACGAACAAATACCTTGAAATGAAATAAGTATTAATGTCAGGACCCTCAAAAGAGGGCCTTAGTTCAATTCCGCAGGCCAAATCACCTCAACAAGCGCCAGTCCTATCATACATCGTTTGATGTGACAAATGAAAGCAAGAAACAAGTAAATCGAAATCCAGTGTAGTTTTTTACCGAACAGTCCCAACACATACCGCACATGTTTATGAAACGTTGTCATCGCATTATTACGACAGTTCCATGGCATCGCCATTAGCACCGGTATTGAAGCTGACATTGCCCTCGTCGCTGATAAAGCGCTGCTCATATTGGTTAACGAACTTCACGCTGCGAGCCGGGTCGTAAAACAAGCGGAAGCTACGCTGCACGTCATCGACGCTGACCTCCTTCGCCTTGCGCTTTTGAGTCAAAAGGTGCGAGGTAGTAATGATGTTGCTGGCATAGCGCAAGTTCGACTCCTGTCCGATCTTGGTGAGAAGGGCTAGAGCATCAGGCGAAATATCGATTTCTTCCTCCTGGGCCCTGATAGCAAGAATTTGACGGATCTCGTCGCCCGAGTACATCTGTGTGCTGACAATGACCACCCGGTCGAGGAAGTCAAGGGGCAGACCGTGAGGTGAGGTGTATGTAGTTCCACGAATACGTGCCTGGCCGCGGTTGCTAGCCATGATGACGATAGGTGCCAACTCCGCCTCAAGGGCACGGTTAACGTATGAGTAGCACTCAATATCGAGCATGTGGACCTCGTCAATGAACAGGACACCGGGGATAATCTCGGCCTTGCCCTCTTCCTTCCATTCAGCCACCTTTGTGTTGATTTGGTCCCGAACTTCGCTCCGAATCTCGCCCGTGTCGCCGGAGAAGAGGGCCAGGAAGCCTTGTGAACGCGAGTTGATGACATCGATCTCGTGGAGGCTGACGGTGTGGACGATCTCCTTGCGAACCTGAAGCTCGCCTTCGGGGCACTGTACAAATTTGGTGTCGGCACCCATGGCATCGTAATCACGAGAGCGGGCGTATGAGCGGCCGAGCTTGGTAATCTTGCCTGAAGACTTATCGATCGAAATCACATCTCCTGCCATGACCCGTTCCTTGGTCATGGAATCAATCATCTTTGTTCCCATGTCGTAAATCGTTTCCATATCAGTGGTCTTGATTGTGAGCTTTCCTTGTTTATTACCCTGTAGAAGTCAGTATTCAATGTCAATAATGCCCTGGAAATGCTTCTTACCCCGGTGACGCTTCGGTCAATCTGGATCTCCACAACTTCACCCTCGATAATTTCACTCTCTTCTTTAATGCGCACGCCAATGGACTTGCGGAACGCCTGGGTCAAAGCTTCCGTCTTGGACATTTCCATCGAGAAGATTTCGGAGGAAGCGAGCATGGTGAAGGGTACATCTGGTCCAAGGGACTGTGCCATTCCCATCGCAATTGCAGTCTTTCCTGTGCTAGGAGGTCCCGCAATCAGAACCGCGCGACCAGCAATCTTGCCTTCCTTAACCATCTGCAAAATCACCGCCGCAGCCTTCCGGGCTTTTTCCTGGCCCACAAGACCTTGCGACGACGTGCGAGGCTGCAAAGTATCCGAATCAACACCGAGACCTCTGATATGCGAATGGGCGGCGATGAGGTTCAATCCCCGGAGCTCCTTGCTCTCTGCGACGGTGGAGATTGGCTGTTTTGAAGTTAGCAGCTGCAGAGATATCATTGTAGAATTGTAACTTACAACAGCCATTTTGGTAAATTTCCGGGGCAAAACCTTTCTCTGACGGCAAAGCTTTGTTGGGATAAATGCGATAAAGCTCCAGAAAAGCAAGAGAAGAGAGAGAGGCAGGGCAGATCACAGAACGGAGTGATCGGTTACCGCCCGGCAGAATTATTTGCCAAAGAGTAAGCGGATAACTTCCAACAACAAATCAGCATAGCAACCTTTGGTTCTTTTGAACCCGGTATAAGCGCGGCGCACTCACTGTTTGTTTTCTCACGCGCATTGTCCCTCAGGCCTGTTTGAACTTCACTTTCAACCAATTTCGACTGTCACGAAAACCCCCACTTCTCTCATAACGAGACGACGTCACCCTGATCGACGCGTCTTTATGCCTTGACCTTTGCTCCTCATCCTTATATTTACAGTCGAAAGCAAATTGCGCCAAACAAACTGCCTAAAGTCAAAGTTCTGGGTCGGGAAGGCCCCGCGATCGAACTGTCAAGTCCAAACGCCCGCCTTGAATTGCGATAAGGATGCGCATGCTCTATGAACTTCAATTTAGCGAACATGGCGAACAGAATGGACCCCGACCCGCCGCGGTATAGAGGTGATACAGTTTCCAGGCCAGCTTATGATAGCTACCGGCCAAGTCAGCCCTCACACCCATCACACGCCCCAACGAGAGATCCCCGCACGAGGCCGATGTCAAGACCGACGTCGCGACCACCGCCTTCCGCCTCACTTCCCCCCAACGATTGCCTCAAAAACCACTGGAAGAATCTTCCTCGGCTGGTCCGTCGAGGGCTTCTCCGATCGCTGTAAATCGTACCGCTCCCTCTTCGCCAATCACAACCAAAGCCCCTGCTCCAAATCGGCTCACGCATGAGAATCCTCCCGCAAGTTCTCGGGCGGCTATATCGCTATTGGATGTGATCAATTCTGTGATCAAAGCTGAGCAATGTCAACAAGAAATATACAGACTCGAGAAGGAGATGCCGACCCTTGAACGGAATCTTCAAAAAGCCAAACAGTCCCAAGTCTTTGCTGGTACAATCACTTTGTATCAGCAGCAGCTAGGCACAGCAAAGGATGAGTTGTCGAAGCAGACTACTTTGTTCGATCAACATCGGTCAGTGTCAAGCAAAGCCGAAAAGATATTACTCAGTCAGTGGTCTCAGCCACAGTCTCAGCCTGGGATCAACCCGATGTCAGAGAAGATGGAGAATATGGAGTCACAAATACAGGAATTAAAGACCCAAGCGACGCGACCTTCCTCCACATCAAGTATTTCGGATGATAAAATAAAGGCAATCAACCACAACTTTTCAAAGATTCGGGAATGTGAAGCCTCGACAAAAATTCTTGTCACTAACATTGAAGGGAGATTAAAAAACATCGAAGCAGGAGTGCCAGCAACCAAAAGCAAGTCTGAAGCCCCCGCTGGAACGATAGATATTCGTGTCCAAAAGCTAGAAAAATCGATACAAGCGCACTCTCTTCGACTAGGGAATATCGATTTTTCGAATGCAAAATCCAATAAAGATTTTGGGGTGGACATATCCAGACTTCAGGGTCAAGTCTCCCGCCTTCAAAGTGACACTTCTAGACTTCAGGACGATGTTTCTACGGTCGATTCAGTCAACTCTAAGCTTCAAAGAAATGTATCTGTCCTCGAAAGAAATGACTCCAGGCGTGACAGCGACCTAGAAATGGTCGACAAGAAACTCCAAGACAAACTCACTGTCGTGAACAACGAACTCAAGAGAGCCAACAACGAGCTGAGCGGACGGGTGTTTCCCCTTGAGCGTGCAGTGACACTTCTCAAATCCCAACCACGCTCCACCAGCGGCGGCCCACCTTCTGAAGTGGCTGAGGCTTCCTCATCTTTCACGAACCACAGGTTGTCTTTATTGGAGCAAGAAATTCAGGCATTAGCAGCCTCCATCCAGCTGCAAGAAACCAGAATACAAGGAATTATGTCAATCCACGAAAATGCACAAGACGAGTACTTTGCAGAGTTGGAGAAATTGAAAAACTCCATCGACTCGCTAGAAACCGGCCATTATAAGAGCAAGCAAGTTGCACCTGAACTGAATTCGGCAGAGCTGGAGACCTTGAAAAACTCAATTGATTCACTAAAAAACGACCACGAAAAGACGAGACAAAATGTGACTGAGATTGACCGCCGAAGCGATGGTCTGATGGCCAGTCAGGAAGGCAGTCGTGCAATCTTGCTCCAGGGCATTTCGAAGCTTCAAACCAAGATTGATGATGATCGCACTGCTTACGTACTGGCAATCGAAGCACTGGAAACAAACGTGGACAATCTTCGCAGTTCTTCTGCGAACTCTATCGAGGGAATTGAGCAAAAGCTGGAAAGCACTCGCAGTGATTTGACGTCGTCTGTTGTTGTGGTACGAACTGATATTAACAGTTGCTCAGCGACAGTGAATCAGCTCAGGGATGACCTCTCTGAAGCCTCAAAGCGTCTAGCAACAATGATTCCGGCTTTCGAGGAAGTAAAAAAATGCAACGATGTTGTCACCGGTCATACCGTTTCCCTCCGATCGCTTGAGGGGCGATATAAAAACATCCTTACCGGGGACTTGGTCACCCGCATGTCGCATGCTATCCTTGAAATGAGTCCTTTGGCCACCCTCGAACAAAAAGTTCAAATGCATGTGACTGAGACAAAAAACAAAATTGCTACCCTCGCTGAAACCATGACCCAGTTGCAGCAAGTACCGCAATTGTCTTCTGTAGACAAGCATGCACTGGCAACGGTCCCACAAATAGTTGTGAAAGTGAAATCCCTTTTGCAGCGTGTTGATACAATGCAAGCAGCCATCGACAAGCTGTCTACTCTTTCACCTGACACAACGGATTTACGGCTGCAATCGCAATCTTCCCTCTCCCCCGAGGACAAAAATGCGCTGGCAGAGTGTATCAAGGTTTCGGAGGATCTCTCAAAACGTGTCGATCTCATGGAGAGCACTGGTTTGCAAAAGCTGCTGCAGGAAATGAGTCGTTTGTCAAATCAGGTCGCAGCCAACGAGGAACTGATCTATAGTGTCGATGCCAAATTTGATGACCTGAACCCCACAGAGCCATATGCAGAGCTCATTCAATCCGTGGAAAAGATTGATCCGTTGATTGCCAAGGTTGAAGACCATATCTTGCAATTGGAACAGGTCAAAAATAATGTTGCCGATTTCAACCGAGCAGAGGCCGCGCGGTCGAATGCCGGTTTACAAGATTTCACAGATGTGCATGCACGGCTATCAGACCTGGAAAGTAATTGTCCAAGTTCCGAAGCCATTCAAGGTCTGCTCGCAAAGGTGGAAGGCTTCAAATTACGCGATTATATGCTTGAGCACCGTATGGCGGAGCTGGGATCCAAGGCTGACGGAATAAGAGACCAGCTGGCAGACCTCACAACCACTAAGAATCTTGCAGAGGCAGTGAGAGACGAACTGGATTTCCTTGCCCCTAGAGTTGTAGCGCTTGAGAACCAAGACCAAACCGAAGACGAAGGCATCAAATTGACAGATCAGCAAATCAAACAGTTACGGGAACGATTGGCCGGAGAGCCGATCCATACGATGCTGATTCGTCTTCGAAAAGTCGAAGACGAGGTGAAAAAGGTCCTAAGCAGTTCTGAGGTGCGCATTCTCGGGGCATCAAGGACCAGCACCTCCACCCCAACTCAAGTTACCAAAAGCTCCGTAGGGAATCATATACCAACCACTCCAGCTCATGTCCATAAGGATGGAACACGTCCTGTTCAACTGGCTGGAACCCCGGCCAGATCGACTCCAAAGCCCGGTCTATCATCTGGAGCGTCAAGCAGTTCGAAGAGTCAACCTTCGTCGTTGAAAAAGCCCCCACACCAGCAAGTACAGTCCTTGAAAGGGGTCACCGGGCGTCATTCTATCGAAGCGCCACCAGAGAATGAAAGAAGTACACCGTCTTCATCTACCGGTGCGTCGCCAGAACCTGGTTCTTCTTCTCTCAATAAGAAGTTGAGGAAGGAGTTGAAGGCCAAGAGGAAGGCGGAAAGAGAGGCAGAAAGAGAAACGAGAGAAAGCAGAGAAGGCTCGTCGAAGCCGAAGCCGAAAAAGATCAAGACCGAGAATGAATCCTAGGTTAGGGGTTTGTCTTTGATTTTTCACCTTCACTCAACTCCGCTGTGGATATAGGGTTCCAGAGCAGGAATCAACTTGGCATACTCTCACACGCCTGACGACTTCATCTATTTCTTTGTCGAAGATACCATTATATAGCCTAGAGCACCCTGGGCCTAACCTTATCACTAAGCTATTGCATGTACATTTACACACCTATCTTTCTAGATCAATCAAGTTTATACCCAATACGCCTGTTTAGATCTTTTCCAAAAAATTCACCACAGCTGTTTACCATTTTAGCAAATATTCAACATAGGCTGGAGTCTTCGGAAGCTTACCTTGCCTGAAAGCTTCAGGGTTCTCAGAAATGAGCCAGTGGCCAGCTTCCACGTCGGCGATTTCTGCATTGGGGAAAAACTTCTTAATGGCCGGCACGGTGTCCTCGGAAACGTACTTGGATCGAGTGCCACGGACGAACAGTGTCGGGCCATTGTATTGCAGGTTTTCCGATGCCTGGAAGGGGAAATCGGCCATGTTGTCGAGAGAGCGGCCAATGACTGATAGTGGCACACGGAACTTGAGCGTGTTGTCTTCTTCCGAGCGAACTAAGTTGGTGAGAAGAAATTGGCGGATAGGGAGAGACTGGAAATCATTAGCACTGATTATTTACCGTATATTGCATGGCTGCTAGTTTACAGCCCCGGGCTTTATCAAAGAGAATAGCCTTACCTCTTCGTAGTCTTCGAGAATCTTGTTGGCATCAGATTGCTTGGAGACTTTGGCGGCCTCAACCTTCTGCATGCCACGGACATACTTGGGGAAGTCGCTCTTCAATGCGGCATTTACAGGAGCATTGTCCACAGGGATCAAAGCCGAAACGCGGTCGGGGGACTGGAGGGCGACAGCCATTGCAGCTTTGGCCCCCCTTTTTTTTGTTAGCATTGAGGACAAAATGGCCCGAAGTGCTGAACTTGTTGGGAAGACGAAGCAATGTCACGTACATAGAGTGTCCAATCAGGACACACTTGTCCAGCTTCTGCTGCTGGATAAACTCCTGTACGTCGTCGGCCATGACGCTATAGTTGTGTTCCGCAGCATGGAAAGACTGTCCATGATTCCTCAAGTCCTATTTTAACATGATTAGCATATATTCATCATGCCTTTCTTGTCCTCCCGAGACAGGAAGACTTCCACGGGAAACTCACCAGGGCAAAGATCTGACATTTCAGATCCCGTGCCAAAGCTCTAGAATACATTTCAGAAACTGTCTCATTCAAAAGCAAGCAGAGTCATCACACACTTCCCAATGCTTCGGTTATTCTGCTTCGATCCAAATAGCCCGTGGAGAATTAGGATCGGGTTTCGGACGGCTTGGCCGCTTTCCGGGCCAAATACTTGGTATGCCAGCTCCGACTGCAGCACTCGGGCCGTAGAAAAGGCCCGAAGCCCCGAGAGACCTCGCGCAGCTGTTCGAACGGAGAACATGATCTCGGGAATTGGAATGGATCAAGGAGTGTGGTTGATATCGCGATGAAGATCGGGAAAACAGTCCGCGATGACTAATCGGGTTGGCGTTTCCGCGGCTGTCAAAGGCCGTTGGGGCTGGACAGCTTAGGTGCACTGTTGGAACATTTGGCAATCTTTGATGGAAGGCCTTTGGAGCTGGCAAGTCTGGTATGACTCTGCTTGGGTCTCGTATTCAATTTGGATATGTGTTGATCTCTCTTCTTTTGTTCAGCTTGGCAGCGATGATCTGATCTAGACCACTGCCAAGCCTGCAATTGATGTGAGCCATTGGGAAAAACGGAGAAAACATACTTCAAAAGGCTTAACTTGAAGCCTATCATGTCCGATTACAAATCCACATCTATCCGGGGGACGAGGCGGGGTGCGTTGACTGCGAACAATGACTTCATCTCACTTGGTAACCTTGTATCCTTATGAGATCCCTGGAAAGGCTGTCCATTATAAAGCTCATGCTATTCCCCCATCATTTGAACTGAGCATAGTCAGTACCAAGAGAAATATCCACCATGGCTGATCAACCACAGCCATACAAGATCTCCATTTCCGATGACAGCCTCAAGGACCTTCAGCAACGTCTGGCACTTGCTAAACTGCCAAGCCAGCTGGAATCGTCAGATGGAGATCCTTGGAGCGCTGGAACTCCTGTCAATGAGATGCAACGTTTGGTTGAATACTGGAAGAATGGCTTTGACTGGCGCAAGGCAGAGGCCAAGTTGAACGAACTGCCCCAGTATCGAACGCAAATCGATGTCGAGGGGTTTGGTAGCTTAGACATTCACTGTGAGCTGCTTCATTCATGAGGGCCATTTATGGGCAAATGCTCACAGCAGATTCTCATCCTGCAGATGTCCATCAAATCAGCCCAAGCAGGAACGCGATCCCGCTGCTATTCAGTCATGGATGTTAGTGCAGTCCTACCATTTCCCATATTCAATGTCAGCAAATCGTATTTTAACACAAACCATAGGGCCAGGATCATTCATTGAGGTTTCCAAGCTTCTCCCGTTGTTGAACGGAGATGAAACTAACCCCGCATTCAATGTGGTGGCACCATCTTTGCCCAACTTTGGCTTCTCGTCAGGAGTGACTCGCCGCGGGTTTGGACTGGCGCAGTATGCTGAAGTTCTACACAAGCTCATGATAAAGCTTGGCTATGATCAGTATGGTAAGGCCCCGCAGACAAACAATTTTGCCGAAATCTATTAGCCCCATACCTACTAAAATGCAAACAGTAACTCAAGGAGGAGACTGGGGATTCTGGATCACAAGAGCTATAGGCCTCCTTTATCCAGAGCACTGCAAAGCCTCTCATATCAACATGGTGCTAGCCAAGCCCCCTCGATTCACAGATAACCCATGGCTAGCTCTGCGGCACTCACTGCTACCATACAGTGAACGCGAGACCAAAGGATTCGAACGATCTGCATGGTTCGACCGGTCAGGATTTGGATACAATCTCCTGCAAAGGACCAAGCCGCAGACAATTGGTGCCGCGCTCGAAGATAGTCCCGTTGCTCTACTATCCTGGATCTACGAGAAACTTCATGACTGGACAGATTCATACCCATGGACGGATGATGAAATCTTAACTTGGATTTCGATCTATTGGTTCTCGAATGCGGGTCCGGCCGCTAGTGTTCGCATTTACTATGAGACTATGCATACTGGGTGGGCTAACGGCGGTTCATATGAGAAATTGATTGAATCTATTCCGCATGTGAAGCTGGGTATTGCCCACCTTCCACGGGAGATCTCCGTTGTGCCACTGACTTGGGCTGCTGGGTTGGGGTCGGTTGTTCTACAGAGTGAGCATGCCGATGGTGGTCATTTTGCTGCTTGGGAGGTTCCTAAAGCCATCGTTCAGGACTTGCGGGCTATGTTCCGCAAAGATGGTCCATGTTATCGAGTTGTTGCAGGACAAGATGGCTATTAGTCTGGGATTGTCAATGGAAATGTATTGGACATCTTTAGCCCGTGTTCTAGGAGGTGGGACTACAACAGATAATAGAGGATACGAATGCAAGGCAGTGTTCACAAGGGCTTAACGGTATCACAGGACCGTAGAACCCAGTCATCAATCATCGATTGAACCATAAAATGGTATGCATATATACATCAATCATCTAGCTCCAGCATCTAGCTGTCCAGCAGCACGGGAACCTTCTCACACAAATATTCAACAATAGCATCAGGGCCACGCTCCACCTGCAAGCCCTCGGGGATAGCGTGCAGCTTGATATCCGGACGAACAGACTTGGCAATGGCGTGAATCTGCTGAGCCTCCTCGGCGCTCCACATGGAGGCACTGAACTATTCGCGCCGTTAGCATCTCCAGACACTCGGTAATCCCGACAATAAGCATAAACATACCAGGACCTCGGGATTGTGCTGCTTGACCTTGGCCTCGACTTCGTCGATCTCTGTACGGGACAGTTAGTGAATGGCCCTAAGATCATCCGATTTGCGCGTAATGCTTACTTTCGCAGTTGTCCACGTGGATGATAGTGTATCGGTCGCTCAATGCCTCGGCAACGCGGCCGATGAGGCGCTTCGCGCGCTCGGGGGCAGTGTTGACAGTGACGAGGTGGAAGGGACCCTTAGGAGCAGACATTGTGAGATATGATATGGTATGAGGGCCAGACGAGCGATCTCCGAGGGGTTTTATTCAGGGCTTCCCTCGCCACATCCCCACAAAATGTGGGAGTTGCCCCTCCGGCTTTTCCAACGGGCCAGAAATACTCCGCGATCGGCCTAAACTCCGACTCCAACTTATATTGTCTGGACCATCTGGGGTTTCCTCCTCTTCATCTCAATTAAACATGTCGAAAATCGCCGCTTCTTTTTCGCGTGAGTGCGCTGGATCTTTTGATGCATGCTGATTCTAACAACGAACAGGCCTGGTGCGCTTCGTTCCCAAGTCGAACCCCTCCAAGATCTTGATCGGCGAGCCCGTCGACCCCAAGTTGGATGTTGGTCTTGCGCTCTATCAGGGACACGAAGTTTCCGTGCGCCCGTTCTCTGGCAGCTCCGTCTTGAGCCCAGGCAAGGTCACCGAGGCGACTGAGACCATTGATCGCATTCTGTCCCCTCTGGCGCAGGCCGAGGTTGGAACTATTCGTTGCGTTGGCTTGAACGTGAGTCGCAATATCTACCCAGCACAAAAGACCAAGATTCTAATGCGTGCGCTAGTACGTCTCTCACGCCAAGGAGATGGCCCTTCCAATCCCTGAGGTCCCGACATTGTTCATGAAGCCCTCCAGCTCTCTGGCCGATCCCTGGCCTGCGCCAACTGTTCTGCCCAAGATCACACAGCAGGACAACACCGGCGACTACGAGTCAGAGATGGTCATTGTCATTGGCCGTGATGCCAAGGATGTGCCCGAGTCCGAGGCCCTGGACTATGTCCTTGGTTACACAGCTGCCAACGACGTTTCAAGTCGAACTTTCCAGATGAACCAGAGCCAGTGGTCTTTCTCCAAGGGCTTTGATGGCGCATGCCCAATTGGTATGTCCCTTTCTTATACGATTGATTTCGAAACCCATTCGCTGACTCAAACCCCTTAGGGCCTGTCCTTGTCTCTGCTGCTCTCATCCCCGATGCTAGCAAGCTCCACATTCGCGGCCTCAAGAGCGGCCGCGTTATGCAGGATTGCCCTCTGACGTACGTTCACACTTCTATCACAGTTCTGATAAGAGAAATGCTAATATTCGCCTTCGTCGCAGTGATCTCATCTTCAGCGTCCCCCAGCTGATCAGCTTCCTCTCCCAGGGCACTACCCTGCCCGCCGGTACTATCATTCTGACTGGCACTCCTCCTGGCGTTGGTGCGGCCAAGAACCCCAAGGAGTTCATCAAGGCCGGCGACGAGTTCGCCGTCGAGCTTCTTCCTCACGTCGGAACGCTCATCAACAAGATTGAGCACCAGTAACGAATCCATAATAAATAAATTGAATATGAGCCCTTGATGCAATGATCTATTTTCTATGTACAGATCCTAAAATACTAAAAATAAGAGCGTCATACTATCTCACAACTGCTATAACAATCCATCCTTATCACAATCAACGTATCTACGAAATAGCTGCCATCTTAGCTCGGTGATAATAGCCAAAACCGGTATAAGGCCGCGTTCACCCACAATTCCCACACCCTTTAGAAACCCGTGCATGATCACCAGACCTGGACCGCGGGGACCCCTAACTGAGTACCACGCAAGGGGGTATATTCTTTCAAACGATGACTGTCAAAATGGCATCTTGAGCATACCAGGGAGCTTTGGCCAATCACCGAGCTCGACGGGATATGACTTTTCCCCTTGGCGGAATATGTCTATCCCGCTTTTTACTTCTTGGCATTTTAGTCGGTTTGGGTAGGGATGCGATCAGCTCGAAAATGGCTGTGTACTATAGGAGGGATATACATTTATTGGTTAAAAAAAGCCTGCTGATTGGGTTTTCTTCAATTGGTACTGCCCAATTGTGACAAAAGATATGTAAAGTGTCAGAGTTGATATAGATATCTATGGGAATAGCTTCATTCTATGCTGTATACCGTAGCTGAATACTTAGCATTCTCTCCAAGCAGTACAATAAGCGTATGCTCAACGGACTAAAACACTTAGCCCACAATCGCAAGCCGAAGTCATGACCCGGTGGTTGCATGAGAACCCGCGATGGCTCCATTTCAGCGCTAAAGGATAAGGCCGGGTCGGCGTCCCGAACTCTCTCCCGGAGAACTTCCGTTAGGAGTAGATTTTGATTTCTTAAAAGTCGGACTGCGGCCTTTTTCTTTCGTTGGTTCTTTTTTGCATATTTTCCTGATCGCTTTCTTCCTTTTGTTACTTTCGTTCTAAAATTGTTGATCGGGCTTCTCTCACGTGGTCTTGATGAGGCTCAATCAGAGTTTTATACTCATGCATTGAGGCCGAGAGGCGTTTTTAACAATGACCACTCGTCTATATTGCTCGATGCATGATCTTTTTGCTGACTACGAAGTCATCTATTTCTTCACTTGTCAATGGTGTTGAAAAAGAAATGCTCAATGTTCATGGGTTAATCTATATACAATCCCGAAAGGACAACGCCGTGCCCGAAGCCGAGTCTAGTTTAACGCACCGAAACCCGAACCCGAACAATCTATCAACCGATCGTCTCAAAGTCGAAACAAGAAAACAACATCGCTTCATGTATAAATAACCAACAACGAAATACCGATCTTTGCCGATTCCGATTCCGCTATCTATTCATCGCTACGCCAGACCCGACCACGCCAGTGCAGACAGATAGTGGGAATGACACTGACGACAACAATCATCGCCGCACCAATACCAGCACTGGCAGCAATGCCAACAGTCTCGAACATAGGAGAGAACCTACACGATGGTTAGCCACGCTGCCACAATACAAATCCACACGATCGGAAGGGCGAAATACATACCAGAACGGACCCAAGAATCCCCAGATCTGGCGCACAAACGTGACAAAGACACCAACGCTAGCTGCCTCATGCGGGAAGCAGTCGATAGCATAGGTGATCATGACAGTCGTCACAAGCTGGTTACCGACAGCGCTAATTGCGGTACCAATGATGGGAGCCACAGTCCAATGACCGGTCTTGGCCTCCTGCGTGCAAACAAGGAAGACAATCAGGCCGATGATAGTCAGCGCGAAACCGAAGTAGCTGAGCCAGAGACGGAACTCGGGCTCGGCCTTGCGGTTGATGCGAAGGGCGCGACGGCTCATCCAGAAATCGGAGAGGACACCGCCCATTTGCTCGCCGATTACGGAGCCGATGATTACACCCAGGAACTGGAGGCCTAGTTGCTCGGCATTAAGCTCGAACTTTTCTTGCAGCAGTTGGGGCACCTCGACTGTTGTGAGGATGCTGCCGAAGAGGAAGATCATTGCATATGCGCAGGTTGGGATGAGGATGGAAGGGTGGCGGGCCATTGTTAGTGGTCTCACGAACTCATACCATGTAAATGGTGTTGGGTCGATGCGTCGTAGGGATAGGTATTCGATCTTCAAGGCTGATTCCTTGCTGTCGATGCCGCTGCCTAGGTAGCGGGTCTCTGGGCCGAAGAAGAGATACAGGATGAACTGGCCGCCGTTGATCTTTCAAGTGTTAGCTAACGAACAGTGCAGCGTTTCTATGTGTGAATTACTCACCATTGCGAGGATCCAGTAGATCCAGTGGTATCCGGCCCGGTAGGTGACGAAACCGAAGATGAAAGGACCGATGGGGACACCCAAGGTGATCATCAGGGTCCACACACCCATGTAACGGGCGCGGTCTTTCTTAAAAGTCGTTTCCATCACGACTGCACTGCCGATGGCAGAAGCAGGAGAGATGAAGAAGGCAACCAGGGCACGACACGCTGCCAGAGAGGCATAGGTGGTGCTCTTCGCACAACCAATATTACAAACAAGACTGCAGATGAGAGAAAGGAGGAAGATGGGCCGGCGTCCAAACCGGTTGGACAACGGCTTCCAGAAGAGGGGAGCACCTCCAAGGATGGCAATTTGCAGAGAAGTCAAGTAACTGGCGTTTTGCAACCCAACGCCGAGTTCTTCAGCAATTGTGGAATAAGCAGGGATGATGGCAGCGGCGGTAAATGTGCCCATACAAGCGTGGAAGGCCACAAGGACCAAGTTCATCATTTTCTATACATTGATGCATCAGTCTCTGCATGATAGGGATTTTCTTTTGAATCTCTCGATGGACGAATCTGAGATCTCGTAACTGGGAATCAGGGACTTACCTTCCATTCAGGCCAATTGAGAGGATCAGCTGCGCCCATTCCAGGAATGGGGTCGAGTTCTAATGTCCCATGGCGTTCGATCAGATAATCACGATGGGCCTTGGGAAGACGAGCAGCCACCGACTCCCCGTAGGTCGCTGTCCTTTCATGTCCAGCACTCTCTACAAGGTCAATATCGGTCTTGCCTCCAGCATCTTCGACCTGGCCCCGGTCATCTCGACGAGACGAGGACGGTTGCAATTCGAAAGAAGTCATGTTGATGGCTTCCCCCGATCAAAATAGGGATCAAATAAACAGGAAATGCCCCGGCACGCTTGAATATATGGTCAATGGAATGGGAAAGTGGCGAGTTGCAGGTTTGCCAATATAGTCCAAGGGGTGTGTGTTGAGATATACACCAAGTCCACTGCAGTGTAAGGGATGAAACGGAAGGTGACGAGGAATGATGCAGACACGGGGATCTCTTCCAAACGAAGGTAAAAATCCCCTCCCCCGGTGAGTGTGCACAGCCAAGCCGCTAAAGCCACGCAAAATACCCCAGGGTACATCTCCGAGAGACCCGGCTCCGGCTTCGTGGAGAATATGCGGAGGCTGCCCCCACGGGACATCCGGACTGGCTCGGCGAGTCACAATGCGGCGAGTTGCAATGCCTTGTCAGACACACTAGTTGAGTCCACCATGGCACTTGAGCACGGCTAACCGACCGGGCTTGCCACTGCTAAACGGCATCCGACCCGAGCCAAGTACCGAAAAACTCTAGGTTTGACGTCTTGGCGGAGCCTGTTCGGAGGCTGCGAACTCCATATATTCTCGCATTGTCCACCGAGGTTCGTGAATTTGTGCCCGGATTTCTCATTTTGCCACCGGGATGTCATCCGTTCCTGGGGTAGCCGCTCTTCGTCGGTACTTTCTGTGTACCTGCAAGCCGCGCAAACGGGTGTGGATCTACTATCTTTGGTTTGGGCTTTCGCTTTGCGTCTAGTTCCGAAGACAAGAAATTTTGCCGAGTGCAAGTCACGAGGTTTCAATCACGAGTCTGTCAAGAATGACTCCAGGAACACGTGAAGTCATGGGACTCAAGGCCAAACTGTCATTCTGGGGACGCGTAACAGAACTAACCAGTTTAGTGGCCAACATTATAGTCTTACGGGCACCTCCGCTTGAATTGGATCGGCTCAACGTCGGCTAATTGATTGCAAATCCGATAAACGTACGGAGTAGAGTGGGCTATACACATGTAGTTGCATGCAGTGGCATGTAGTGGGCACCTCCCAGGCAAGTTCCATCCGCTTCGACGTAAGGATCTGTGTATCTTGGGCATTTAGTCCTACAATTCCCCTCTCTCCCTGGCAAGTGGAGTACGGGTACCCATCGAATGCTATACACACAGCCTCGGGTGTATTTCCACGTACACGGGAAATCCCATGCCAAACTTCTTGTGACATAACAAATTTAGCTAATGCTCTAACTTGACTGTTTCTTTCAATTCACGTTGGATCTATAGTTTCAACATGTAAGTTTATCTTAATCTGCAAGGAGACGAGTAAGAATATGACTGCCCAGGTGCATATCCCAACAATGCCACTCTCCTCCAAAGGTTATTTCCGGTGCTCGCATAAGCAGTCGCCACACCCCACAATTGCCTCTCCACAATTTGTTGCTTCTTCCTTACAACAAAGATGGCGTCGATAGCAATGACACCTCCGCCAGCAGGAATCAAGAAGCTGGTGTGTCGAGTCTGTCAGAAGGGCTTCTCAAAGGCTGAACATTTGAGGGTATGTTCATGTTAAATACGCAGACTTCCCCACGCAAGAGGGGCCTCGGTGCCAAGTGATGCCAAAGCTAATGCGCACCTGCAGAGACATGAGCGATGTCGTATGTGACCCGGTCTAATTATACCCGAAGCCGGATTCAGTCCCGACTCGAGCTTGAGAATCAATATCCATTTGGCTAACTGAGAGATCTAGATACGGGCTCTAAACCGTATGTCTGCAGGGAGTGTCGCAGACCCTTTGCCCGACAAGATGCCCTTACTAGGCACGAGAAGCTCCATGCTCGACCGCTGAATGCAAAACATGCCCCTTCGCCGCCTTTATCTGCTGAGCTGCAGCCACCGTCAATAGATCCTCTTGGGTCTTGGGATACGAACAGCGCTGCTACTAATGATCCTGCCTCAACCTCGGCCACCAGTCAGTCATGGGACGAGGTTCCTTCAGAACATGACATGCATAATGTAGCGTCCGAGCTGGACTTTGCGTTGGTCTGGCCTGATTCGGAGAATCTATTTCAAAGCTTGATGTCATCGGACACGACCGATCAATGGCAGATGCCCCTTGGGACCTTGCCATTTCCACCGGTCGTACAGGATATCAATGGAATGAACTTTGGCTCACCCAGTTCATTTGATGACAGAAGTTCTTCTGTTGGCACAATCCCCTCCGGGGGTGGGCACCAGGCAGTACGGGATATTACTGAAATGGTGACTAGTTCGGTAAGTCGACTCCATCTTCTAGCTATTGAAGATGCCACACCATGTGGATCAATCAAATGGGACACTAGGAATATAGAACTCACAACAATTTTCAGTCATCAAGCGTCACCGCTGCTGTCAAAGCTACATCCGTTACTTCGGTTTTCCTTGACGAATGCCTGCACATGTTTTTTGTCCGGTTCATCCCAACCTTTCCAATCCTGCACCGCGCTACATTCGTGTTTCGAGAATGCACGCATGCACTCTTACTGAACGCTATCGCCATTGGGTCTTTATACCTTGGTCCGAAAGACTCGGTAGCCAAAGGCGAAGCATTGTGGCGTTTAGCACACACGGCCGTTGCAACATCCTGGCAGTCCCTCATCACACACAGTGGTCCATATGACGCCTGCAAGGGCGTCCAATTGATGATCACTGCTTTACTAGGCCAGATCTATGGAGCGTTATCCAAGAATAGAGCGATCCGAACAACGAGCCAGGTCTTTCGCCCATTGGGATTCTTCTGGGCACGACACTGCGGCATGTACGACAGTCCACCCTACTCCATGGATAACCTGCCATCTTTGGATGCCTCCATGGAGGAGAAAGAACACCAGTGGCGGATTTGGTCTGCTCGCGAGATTCAACAACGCGCCCTGTTAGCGTACTATGTCTTAGATGGCCTTGTCGCTCAAATGTCCGGCGATGGAGCTTCCGCTCGTCATGTGGCCAACTCACTGAGTTTACCTAGCAGCGAAGAGGCATTCGATGCCGCCACTGCCGATGAGTGGCTCGCTCATTTGCACAGCCAAACACCGGACCAGACCTCGTTCAGAGTGATTTTCCGCTCGCTGTTTCCGCCAGTCGGCAGCTTCCGTCCCTTGGACTACCACTTCTCTGCCGTTGCTTTGCGGGTAGTTCTTGAAGGGCTCCAATCATTGATCTCCGACAGTGACGATAACGAACTGGCCGTTGGTGTACCCGGCCAATCCGATGTCCGACGTGCCCTCGCTCAAGTTCACGAAACAATCTCCATGAGCATACACTTCACAGCAGCCGAGAGACTAGAGCTACTTCTGCGCTGGCATACAGTCTGCCTAGACACAATGATCAACTCAACCGTGCTATCCCGGCACGTCTGCTCCCGCTACAATATCCCACAACACGTCTCCGGCGGCTGCCGAACCGTTCACCCGGGTTTCGATCTCACCCAATGGGCCAATTCCGAAGATGCGCGCCGAGCCGTACTCCACGCCGTCGCTATCCAAGATATCGTCGAGCAACTCCCTCGAGGCCGTGCCCATGTGGTGCACATGCCGAGCTCGTTGTTCGCAGCCGCCACAATCTACGTGGCTATGTCGCTCGCCAGTGTCTCCACTGTGAATTTGCCTCGTAATATCGTGTGGCAGGATGCTTTGCTATCTCATGCCGACCTTAATCTAGGCCCGGAGGACATGCGACCCCGATCTGGCTCAGAGACAAGGCGGTTTGTTGAGAGCGACCGTGGCGCTGAGGTGCTTGTAACTGGGGCCAAAAGGAATTTACTGTACGAGCTTAACTCTATGCAGAAGCTCTTCCGTTGCTTGTCTTCGCAATGGGGGATTGCGCATGATATGGAGGATATTGTTGCGCAGTGGATTCAGCTGTGCCATTAGTCGAGATCGAGCTGGACTCGATCTCTGGGAATTTCAATTGTTTTTTTTCGGTCAAGGATGGCGTTATTGTGGATATTTGGGAAATGTTTCTGTATCAAGTATTGATTCTGACTCGCCGTTGATTGAACTGGAATCGTTAAGTTTTGAAGTCCAAGAAGTGTAGTCAATTTAGCCTTCCAACCAACATCATGCACGTCACTTCTTTGCTGCATGCAAGCGCTCACCTCTCCATCAAACCCACAAATCTTCGATACCCATCAACAGAATAAATAGCTGCATGTAGAAAGAATAGGGTTGACTGACCTGTGCATGGATAGACCCTTGATCTCAGTCACGTGGCAAACGCGAAATCCACGCGTCGCCAGGCGCGTCCAGAACACTTCCACCGGCATCCAGCCTAACCCACACTACATACCTTCTTCCAGGCCCGAGACCCCAAGCCAATAATATTCTCCACAGATTGTGGGTCCAGCCCCGATCGCAACATCAAATTGCAGACTTTATGTGTAGGCTCAAAAGCAGCATCTCATGACTCCACACGAAAGACCAAACCCGGTCTGGCTTTAAGGGCAGATGCCACCGTCGCAAATTCAAGTTCCGCCACTGGGCCTTGCAACAGTACGAGGGGCTTTGCTTTCCGATGTTAAAGCCCCCCGTGCTGGGCCAGGAACGCGTGGTAAGGAGTTAACTGCGGCCCAAGAAACTGTCTTGTGGAGTCTGTATTTGCAGCATAAGCTCTTTCCTTTTGACAATAAGCTGCCTGCCAAGAGGTTTTGGTGTGATCTTGCGAAGAAGTTTCAAGAGCAGACTCAGCGTTCGTATTCGTGGTTGTCTGCTAAACGACGGATCGTTGCGTTGTTGAGAACTCGTGGAATTCAGGTGGAATGGTGTGCTGAGCCGCCGAGGGTATCGGTACTGGGGCCTGGATCTCGGGAGGCTGCTGTGCAGTGTGGTAGAGGGTCGGCCGATGACGACGGTGGGGAGTTGAGTTCGGCACCTGGGCCTGGATTTGAATCTGCTCGCAAAAAGAATGGTAGCCAGGATACCCTGGACTTGTCCCAGAAACCGACGATCAACCCCAGATTGGAAAACATTCAGAGCTCCAATCGGAAGTCCGAGACTGTGTCGGCACCTGACAACCGGACTGGATCTATTCGTGAAGAGAATGGCGATGTTGATGATTCGCACTTTTCACGGCGATCGACGTTCAATCAGAGACTGAAACAGCTCCAGGGGTCCCAGGTCAAACAATCAGTCGCATCTATGCCCGAGCAAAAGACAGTTGCTGTTAGTAACTGGCTTAAAAAAAACCACTCAACATCCCTCCCAGACAAGGATGCCGATAGTGATGATGCAGAGCCACTTAGCTCTAAGAGCCCTTGTCCGAAGCAAACCAGACCGACCAAAGTCACCAAATCCCGAGCGAGATCGCGATCTCCCCTCTTTGACAAACATCCCGTTTATCGCAGCCGATCGCCGCGTTCATATGAAAAGACAGAACAGGCTCCCAAACGAAAGGACCACTCAAGTTCAGCCCAGGCCTCACGAAGTGAACTGAGAAAGCGGCGGCCATTTGCCAATGATTTCCTAGAGTGTACTCACCTGGTGTCTCAAACGGGCAGTCCCGAAACACCGCGAAACGCAAACAGTGAGCAGCCTGATACTCTCGATTCAACCTCGTCGGATGATGAAAATGACCTGCCGGAAACGCCAGTTCGGATTCCGAGAAGGCTCCGTGATGCTCAATGAAATTGAGAGGGTGCTTTGGCGATTGTTTTCGGTGGCTGCATGTCCTATTCTCCTTTTTCTGTTCCTTTGTTTTGATACCCCCGAACCCAAGGCCATGTTCCTTTCTATTTGGTTCCCCAGTGATGCTTTAATGTCTTGTTTGTTTTTATATCATGATCCCAACCACTCGCTACTATCAACCCTTTTATCGAAACCACTCATTCCACCCTAGTGAAATCAGGTGGGTGAGTAGGTCTCACAGGTGTAAATCCAAAGAACAGTCATTTTGGTATCTGGAAAACAAGTTTTCTAAGGTGGTAAAATGAAAAGATTTCAGTGGTGTCAACACGCATATAATGTTCCAACTGATGGCTATAACTAGCAATAGTAATGCGTCTAGTCAGTTCTGCTTGGGGTGGGCGGATGTCGAATGATGAAGCCATGTCTCGACTTTCTGTTTAGAGGTCTCGACCTGGGTGCGATCTATCTGCTGGTCCAATTTTTACACCGTCTTCGTGACAGTGCATGATGCTATGAATTTACCTCTTGCGAATGTGCTCTGGGCAGTATGGTCATAAAAAAGAATAGTGACGACAGGGAAATATATTTGAGGACTGGGAAAGTTAGGACACAATACTGAGCCAAGTATTGTTTCTCTCACTAGATGAAAGAACAAAAGGTTGCAAGAACCATTTTGAAAGATAAAGGAAGAACAAATAAACCTTTTGGAGCTTGCCACGGTATTTCATCTGGCGTTTGTTTACATGTTGCCTAATCGGGAAGTTTCTCGAAATCACGTTACGGTGGCTGCCCGGGCGGTAGCCAGGAAAAGTAAATGAACACGTGATTCACATTTTACTTTCATGCTTTGAATTCAGTAAGGTGTCCCAGGTATTGTTTCCGTGATGAAAATACTGTTTATTCTCTTTGAAATACATAGGAGAATGATGAGACTCGCCAGATCTCATGTGTAGAAAAGCTTAACCTAAAAGTAAAATGTGAAAATTACATACATGCAAGCCGTGAGTTTTGAAGTGCGATCAGAGTTCGTCAACAGTCACATCAGCGCCGATAATTCAGTTTCCCCAAGCTTGGCTCATATTCTTCTCGTTCTGCTGGCTCACGGAGCGAGCGAACTGGCGACCAAGCCGGTTCTGAACACCCAGAGAAGTGTTTCCCATGAAGCTGGTGAACAGCTGGCTGTTATTACCAGCTGAAGGCAGTCCCAAGCCATATTCCTGGCGCCGCTGCCACTGAGGACTAGTGCGAGGATTTTCCCTGTGGGAAAGATGACGGACATGGTGTCTTTTGCCTGCATTTTGGTAGGCCTCTGTACCCCATGCAGGAAGTCTTTCTGCACGAGACTCTTTGTCCCGATTGTCAGATCTTTCTGTCCAGCTGCCCTGCCCACCCCAGCCATGTTTTGTGTCTCGTGTAGGAAATTTGCCTCCTGTATCTTCAGAATCCAAAGAGAGATCGATAACGTCAATTTGCTGAACCTCTGATTTATCGTCATTGGCGACACGATCGGTCTTTCGCTTCTTGCAGAGAACAGGCCTGTCAACAGAAAGAGCGTCAATGAAGGTTTTCTGGCGACAAAGGTGTTTCTTGGCGTCATTCAAAGTTTCCAGGGAAGCAACCATGCTGTCCTCGTTCTGGGTGTTTTCACAGATCCAGGCACGCTTATTCTGAGATGGGCTCTCATGATTATCTCGCATCAAAATCTTGTTTTTGTCTCGCATAATGATCCTCTCTTCATTCCGCCTCATGATTCTCTCTCTGTGAATGGCGAACATGGTCTCCCCGATGCGGCGGGATTTGTTCATTTTGTTTTGTATGCTACGTGCAGTTGCACTTCCTCCGTAGAGTTCGGCAATCAGTTCGAAGTCTAGCTTTTGTTTGTGATGTCAGCCAACGAAGATAGTTTAGGCTTGACTGCAGGCGTAGACTTACCTGTATTTCTGGTTGAGCAGCTAGGATAGCTCCCATTAGGCGGGTATTTTCAACCATGGTGGCCGTGAAAGAATAAGAGGATCAGTCATAAGGTCATGAGAGTGATGAAGAAAGAAAGAAGGTTGGGCGATGTGAAGTGCCCATGGACTTTAGAGAGGTTACAAGTAACGGATTACTGACGGTAAAGGAAGGAAAGACACTCAAGATTTGGAAAACCAGCGTGTATTTTGACTTGTGTGTCCCTGAGTTATTAGATATTGATATTTGGTAAAGTCATCTTTTTGCCATGATATGATACGTGTGGTGTGCTACTCGTCCAACTAGGATGTGACTTGGTAAGATGCCAGTAGAAAATCTCCATTTTTTACAGTACAAGTTGTGTCCTGTCTGATCCTTCGTTGCATGGAGATCTTTTTCAAAATCTCCTATAGGAATTCAATTCAAATCCGTACACATTTTCACCTGAGAAAGTTGTTGGCTGTGGTTTGGTGCACAGGTGTCGTCGATGTAAGGTGATTGCGTTTTGCCAAATGTGGCCTAGTGTCAACACCACGTGGCGCGCGTGACAACCACCAACCCTAAATCTCACGATATTCACCAGTTCTAGAATGTCACACTAAGCTTGATAATTCATCCTGAACCATTTCATCAGTATAGACTCAAATAGCTTCAGACTATAATGAACATTGTATATCGCTCAGAGGCTGTCTACACGTGAATGGTGCAAGATGCTCGTAATCGTTTTAGTATAACGCGTATTTGAAAACGAAATGAAAGCTTCCAGTCACATTGTCGAAGACAAACGATAGCTGTAATCTAAATTCTATAAATTCAGTCTTCTTTCTCCCTTTCTTTCTCCACAACTTTTCTACCATCCACAACGTTCCATCACCCACGGAGCATATCACCATCCCAAACATACCCAACCCACACTTTCCATACAAACAACATGCCTCCCAAGATCAAGTGGGACGCAGCTGCGGACCAGCTGGTAAGTGATATTTCCCTCTCCGACACGTCAGAGTCCATCGCAAACCGAGGCTAATCAAACGTGACCCAAACCAGCTGCTGGCAAAGATCCTTGAGACTCACGAGCTGACAGTTGACTGTGCTCACGTCGCTGAAGCCTGGCGTAAGTAATTTTTCTGATTCTCAACTGACAAGCATTTGGGAGCATTATTAACACTATCTTAGCCGGTGAACCCGAGTCTAAGCCAACCGCCCGCGCCATCAGGGAGCGAATTTCTAGAATTCGCGACCTTGCTAGGAATACCACTACTGGCCTTGCTGGATCTCAGAGCCCTAGTTTGGTTCGCAAGCCTGCTACTCCCCGAAAGCCCACCAGTGCCGGCAAGAGAACCAAGGCCAGTGGCGATGGCAGCCCCTCCCGCAAGCGCAAGCGCATTGTGAAGGAGGAAGAGTCTGTCACCGAGGACATCGCGGAGTATGTTGACGAGGAAAAGGATTTGACCGCCTCTTCCGTTGCTGGAGAGTTGAGCTTCGGGGCCGAGGATCTGTGAATCCATGGGGCCTTGGATGGACCAAGTGTCCGGAGCATGCATGAAGCATCCCAGTATGGGGATGAGACCTCATGCACATAATATTCATTGAAAGGGGGCTCACCCCAGATACAATATCAAGATCGACTGAATCAATAAATGATTGAAAAGTGAATTAAAATGTTGCTGATTAGTATTGTAATGGCTAAGCATGCAATTCTATCCAGCTGAAGCAAGGTAGTATATGACGCCCAGTAGTGATGCAACAGTGATCTTGATGTTTGAATTTGATAAAAGTGATGCAAACTCTGAATGCAAGGATGTCACTAAGCTGGCAGTCCGTTTATCAAAATGAGGTCTCTGTCCTGAGCGGATTTTAAACTGAGACTGTACCTCTTTTTTAAAGATAATTTAGACCTACGTGATGGTTCACAGGTTTAGGAAGAAGAACAAGAAATCGAGATGAAACTATGCTGCGTGCAATGCCATAAAGGCCAATTTGACCAGGCTTGACGCTGTATCCTAAATCCTCCACCAGATGGTACCCCCCATTGTACATAGTTTCATGATTGTTTCTCCCATTCCATTTCTCGATTCTACCAGCTTCCTCCTCCGATAGCTTCTAGGACCATTAAAGAGCGTTTGTTTTGGCAACTGGGTAGGTATCATGAGGAAACCGTTCACACTTGGAAGAGCTCGTCGTTGACCTATCTGCTACCAGGCATGTTCTTCATGGACCTTTATTCACAGATTAGTCTTCTCCATCGTTATTAGCTGTACAGATAAGACATTCATACTCATCAGAATCGAATCCATCAGTCTCATCCTCAGCCTTGAGCTTGAGCTTGAGTACAATCTTGCCCTGACCGTCTGTGGTGTGCTGCTCCTTGTTCTCGTCATCAGGATTTGGATCCTTCGACTTGGTGGGAGTAGACTTGGCTACACGCTTGACCTTGGCGGCGGGAGATGCAGCAGCTGCAGGAGTAGCAGAGTCGGCGGTACCAGCACTCAGCTCCTCATCAGCGATTCGCTTCTTGATGCGAGCGAGGCGGTGTCGCACCGCGCTAACGGTGCAGCCTAACATTATTAAATTGTCAGTGTCTGTTTGGACTTCACAAAGCCGGATTGGAATTCCAGCAGATGGTCCAGGAAATGCAACAATATTTCTCATGAGGAAACTGTTTGTGTAATGATAGCAAATGAATTTTTTTGTAGTGACTCCCATCATGCTGGTTGGACTTTTGTAAAGCATTCACCAAGGCCCAACTCATCGGCATAGGGACCACAGTTACAAAGTTGTGTATGCGAGAGGAGAAACGGCCTCGGTATTTGTGTAAAGGTGCGAAGATGTGACGGAAATCGACAGGAAACGTCCACATGTGCGGAATAACTCACCATCACCCACATATTGGGCTACAGCGGCATGGTCAATCCCTGGAGGGGCCTGCAGCATGATGCCAGTAAGAAGCTATTCTGAGTGTCAGCACTTGAACAAATCGGACTGAGATTTGAGCCGGAAATGTTGACGGAGAAGGGGTTAAAGCATGCATCGAATTATCTTAAAGAAACAGGAAAGAACTGCAGCTGAAGCTGATGGAAAGGGAGCGTGATTGGAAAAGAGCACGGCATAAAGAGTGTAAGATGGGTAGGGAGCCGATGAAAGCGGCAGGAATGAAGTCAAAGAAGGGCACTTGTTTATACCTTGAGATCAGCCTTGTCATTCCAGACGATAGGCATGATGAAAGTAAATGATACTGATTTCGTAGATGCGGTTATCGAAGAGGATCAAGAGTTCTCGCGATGTACGATAATAACGAGCGCGCGATAAGTTGAAGTACTTGAATAAGTGGAGTTGTGACGACGAGAAGAGGAAAAGCGGATGAGAAGAGGGCCCTTTTATATTCACCCTGTACAACTACACACATATCCTTGATTCACGGTCTCGTACGGCATTTTACGGTTTTTTGTGATGGTTGGTTGTTTGATTGATATTGGATTAGTTACTGGGGTAATTTCCATCACAGAAAGCGCATAGCAAAAATGTCAAGCCCGTTACAGAAGATAAGAATATGGTAGCAAGGCGTGGACATGATGATAGAAATGAAGACCGAAGTACTCAGAGGTCGCATGACATCTTGTCATCGGCCTCAGTCGCGAGACCAGCCTCATCCTGATACTGCATCTTGCTCTTGGGGAGAGTGGCATCGTCCAGAGGCTCGTCCTTGACTTTCAAGTCCTTTCTTGGAGATTCAGCCTCAGAGTTGTTAGTCTCCATTTGATCAGTCGCATATCCCCGGTCAAACTCAAGAGGATCAGTTATGGTAAGGCGTCGGGTCTTAGAGGGACGTTCAGCTTGGGTGGCCTTTGAATTGGCCCGCTTTGCTTTGGGGCCCTTTTCCTTCTTGGCGGGCGAGGCGTTGGGGGTACTGTTGGTGGAAGACACGCGCATCTTCAACTGGCGGATATGCTCACGAATTGATGCAGCTTTTGTGCCTGTTAGTTTGATTTTTAAATTAGTACTGCAGTAGCTCTCAGAACAAGAACGACGTCAGAGAGTGAGGCTTTAGGGGTACATGAGGTGTGCACGGCATGAGTGATTTCAGTGTTTCAAATCCTTGAAAGTACTCACCATCATCCATGCTCTTAGAGACAGCCTCGTAGTCGAGCTTGGGTTGGTTGGCCATAATGGCAAGCAAGAGCTAGGTCAAGGGGGTCACATGTCAGCTAAGTATATCTGACTGGAAGGGGCTCGTTTCTGCTGCCTTTCCGATTCAAATGTGTCGACTCACCTTCTTGTGCCGCTCATCATCCCAGACTGCCTGAGGCATCTTGAGATTGGTGGAAGAAAGTTGAACGTTGGGTTAAAGTAAGGAGTTGAACGTTGAGAGAAGTTGGGGGAGGAAAGAAGAAACAAAGAAACCGAAAAAAAAGTTGATACTTAAGCTGACGAGTGTGCCGCTGGCAAAGTGAAGTGAGCGCAAGCTTCAAACACACTTTGGTCAAGCAAGGCTCATTCTTTTCAACTGAGAGCTATTTTCTAAACAATCGAGATGGTTATTGTTTAACGACCCAGAAATTCTGCAAATAAATGGACCCCACTAGACGTTTTTGGATTAATTGTGTCGTGATAATCATATCGAGCACTTCCAAGGTTACATCATGCATGGCTAAATAGCCAGCGAGCTTGATTCGACTCGCAAGCGGTTTTAAACAGGTCCGCACGGGCCAATACGAAGCCCTAGGGCACCAAAGTTTGAAGTGGCCAGGATAGTTGGCCTATGAATGTATACTAGGAATTTCAATCGATAGTGACAACAATATCATAAGAAAACCCAAACGATATAGGTTGATCAACGATTGAGTTGTGAACGAAGTAAATACAACTCAAACCCGGAAATCTATACTGAAGAAAATGAAACCCACAGAAAGAGAGATCCACAGGATCCATTCATGCCAGCAATGAAAAGAGAAAACAGAACATGGAAATGTATCTAAGGCGGGCCAGAGTTGGGCGGTGTCGATGTCCAAGGCCCACTCACAAACTGGCTCTCAAATGGACCTTGTCGGGTGGTCACTGATGCATGACCTGACTGGGCATAGGGCATTTGGTGTGCCGTTTCAGCAAAGCTGGTAGCTCCACCAGTATATCCAAATTGTTGTTGTGAAATATAACCGTTTGAATCGACGTGGCGCAGCGGGTTCTGATATTGAGCCATGTTCCCTTGGTGTCCCTGCTGGCTTGGATGATTTATGTCGGGCCCTGGGTGGTTTCGTAGCATGTGTTGCTGCTGATATTGAGCTTGCGCATGCTGTAATGGCGAAAACCCCTGTAATGCAGGATCGCTAGAAGCGTGTTGCGTTTGAGATCGAGAGACGGGGTATTTGTGGCTTGACATAACTTGATCCGTCATTGACGGAGGTGAATGACCAGGAAAGCCGTTCATGTGTGCCTGTGACGGTTGCCCTTCCCCAGTGAGGGGTGAAACCGAGGAATGAGACGGAAACTCTCTCGGTTTTTGATCCGCAGCATTGTAAGAGGAATATGACCCAAAGAATGGTCGGGAAAGGGTTGACGAGTGGGCATTCATTGGAATGTGATCACCGGTACCATTTATGTGGTTAAGTTGTGGCTCCGGTTGCCATTGCGGCTGAGAGATTGCTCTGTTAGCCATTTGCCCTTGAGGTGTCTGGCTCGCTTTCCACGACGGATTTTGTGGGCCCGAAGAACCCCCTTGGAAGGGCTCCGGATGGTACCCTTGTCCGAAGCCTGGGTATCCCTGAATTGAAGAGGAATTTCCCCAGGCTGTCCCAGGTATACCTTGGTTCAAGTGTTGGGGATGTCCAGGCATTGAATAGAAAGCGGACTCGGCACCGTTCATTTGGGCTGCATGGCCGTACTGCAGGGGTATCTGCAGAAACATCAGTTCTCATGCAAGTTAGAGCAGTGGAACTTGAACATACTGAGCCATATCCACCATCGTTGCCGGTATTATGTTGCGAATATGCTCCGGGTATGTGCTGACCGGTGTGATTCGAATACGGACCTAGGACTCCTGCAGACCCATGCATAGGGTTTTCTGACCCCCCATACATCGGGGAATGACCAGAGCTCTATCCCACCATCAGTGCCATTCTTGCAATGTTTATGCAGACATAATGAGCGATTCCCTACGGAAACTCTCGCACTGTCCGCCGCAGAACGATTTAAGCCCGCCGTTGTATCTCCAGTCTCCACTGCCCGCAAGCTGTTGCCAATTTTATTCGAGATCGGCGCTTGTGAAGACCCTGGCCCGGGTATCGGTGTCGTTGATGGCGTGAGGAGGACGGGTTCGGTTGGAATATCCCATTGCGACTTGCCCGTTGTTCGCTGGACGAAATACCATTTTCGCTGGACGCCCTCCCACTGGGCGAGCCTATTGGATTGTCAGGTCGCAAGAAAGACCGCTCTTGGGTCGACTTACCATCCTTCTGGCAGTCGAGGCGGTGGAGAGGACGGGCCTGCTGTGTCCGCGGGGGCCTCGGGCGCCATGGCCGAACCCAGTCAGAATGGGGTCAAGGTCGTGATAAATAATCTCAAGACATCCAAAAAAAGGCCAATAGAAAGGATGAACCGAATATACCAACAGAGGGTGAACAGGAGTGAGGTTGAGAGAGAACTTGTGGATAGGACAGTCCTGTGGGGCTTGGCTAGGTTGATCGTCGTGCACAGACCGGGTCACGTCTCGAGTATAAGAAGGTTTGATCCTCAATTTCATCTTCAGCAGGACAATCCTCCAACATATTCCTACAAAACAAATTACATACATGATATCAAAAGTAGCGGATAAATCAATATGACCCCATTGCTCCTGTTTATCCCGTCCCATTCCTTTTCCAGCCAAGAAGCAGTACCAGCGCCTATAAAGTGATCCGAGACAAAATTGTTATACTCCATGGAAGACATACAAGATAGAAAAAATGTATCGATGATCACCATGCATGTCCAGCGACAGGTTCAAAGTCATCACCTGCCCAATCCTCGTCACCACTTAGCTCATCATCCAGGAAATCGTTCTCATTGTATTGCATTTCAGTGGGACGCTGGTTGTCAATACGAATGTTGACAATGTCGCACATTCCCTGCGACTGCGGCAGTGGTTCATCATCATCGAGTTCCACTTCCCAGGATTTCTGCGCCAGACGAACACTCTGGCGTTTGGACGATAGTCCACTTTCGGCTGTACTCGGACGTGAATCAGACGCTTCCTCGGCCTCTGTTGGTGCATTCGTCTCGGCGATAGTGGGCAGAAGTGTTCGCTTTCGGAGAGAGCGGAGGTTAGGGTCTGGTGGTGGGCTTCGACGGAGGAAGGTTTTCTCAAGCTGGCCAATCCATCTCTCACGGAAGGTTGCGCGGTCACGCCATCCAATTTTCAAAATCGCGCTTATAGCCAATCGTCGCAAGTCGCGGAGCTTGGGTGCCGCGTTCACTAATGATGTGAAAAATACCTCGGCGGCCGCATCGTTCCATTTGCGCAGTTGGGTCAGTTCAATTTCCTGAAGTGTTTCTGGCCATGTGGGCACTTCGGATTGGGCAAGTAGCTCATTGAATTGAGGCTCAACATCATGGTAGCTAGACACGTCATGTATTGAGATGTCCATCTTGAAAAATACAAGACTTGGGCATAACTGTGCTAGATCTTGGATGAAAGACATGCTGAGATATCTGTTGTGACTGAGGCTCAGCTCTCGAAGATTTGCGCCATGTGAAGAAAGGAATGTTGCAACATCTTGAGATGTTATTCGTTCACAATTGTTCAAAGTGAGCGAGCGAATGGTAGGAGGTAGCTTTGTCAGTATTTCTCCATTGGCCAAAGAGCTTTCAATGATTTCCAGTTTTTCGATCTCTGGAAGTAAGTTGACAGCTCGGATCAGGGCTGTTGCTTTGGGAGAAGGTTGTTCTTCCCCGTCAGTATCATCGAAGTGAAGAAGTTTGAGCTCTCTCAAGCCCCTGAAGGCGGGTTTCATATGATGCGCACTCATGAACTGGAGAAGTTCGCCTGTTTCCATAAAGCGAGAGTTCCATTCAAAGCTACGAAGAAGAATCTCACGGTGGAGTACTGCAAAGATGGATTCAGGATAGGTCCATTTGGACGGCCCTATATTCCAAGTAGGCATTCCAACGGTGAAATCGTCCCGGTGGTAAAGACGCAGACCATGCAGCTGAGGTGTCCTCTCAAGCAAGCTGGAAAGGTCGAAGTAGCCAAGAGTAGGTCCACTTTTGTATTGAAGAACCGGTTCTACCTCAACATGCAGCTCCTTGATCTTGCTGGAGTAATTCATGGACAATGATTCTTGGGGTTGAGAAACCAAGTGGAGCAGCGTATGGGCCTTGTAAGCAGGCAAAAGTGGAGGAGAGTAATAAAGCGCAGCGAGCGCAGGCTCATGAAAGCTGCGACAAAGAAGGGCCATGCTGACTAGCCACTTAACTGAGTCGTTGCGAGAGGAACGCCCTTCGTCGAGTAATGGATGCGATGCGCGCAGGAAGATATCGAGAAGGATGTGGTAGGGGAGTGTTTGCCAAGGAGGTACAATGCCTGACCCAAAAAAGATCGCATCACTTATATCTATCTTGGGGCGCTTGCTCAAAGGCTTCCCCACTTGACCGCGATTCCGTTTCCCAGTTTTCTTGACCGGCTTGGGTTTGGGAGCTGCGCGTTGAGGCCGAGGGGGCCGAGGGTTGGATGCAGGCCCGCGAACTGTTGGTTCGACAGCGGGTGTAATCAACACTGCATCCATCTCTTGATTATCAGGCTCATCGGGCTCATCGGGCTCATCGAAGCCATCCGTTGACTCTTCGCGATAGGATTTTGGCATTCGAGTTGTACGCGAACGTAAAGACAATGACTCTCGGCGTGATGCCGCATGTCCTTCGTCATGCGATGAGCTTTCCTCATGATAGGACTGTACCTGAGTGCGATTCGATCGAACCGGGCGAGTGGATCTCGAGGACGCCATGGCGCATGCAGTGGGGTCTCTTTGAGTGTGTGGAGAGCTTGTCAGAATACACTCAATAGTTTCGGTTTTGCCACTAGACAGCTCGCGAAGACAAAGTCAGAAAGGGCTCAGTCAAGCGAATATACAACATCTAATGGTATACTCGGCTCAACGCGCATATATGTGGAGGAATCAAGGACTCACTGTATGACTCTCACAGGGCCGCGCTAGTATGATATAGTTGCCAGCGAGGATGAAGGCCACATTAATAGCGCAACAACGCGGGTCAGGAGGCCTGTGGAGAAGAATCTGGCGACAACAATGGCATGTATGCTGTCGATATCAATCGACAGCAATGATGAACCGGATCGAGCCGGTTTGTTCACAGGAGTCGATGATAATGCTTATCGATAAGCCTTACGCTAACCGCTTTGGGAGATCAGCCTAAACCTCCGAGTCTCTTTGTCGCGGCACAACTTTCCATTCAATGACTTGCATTCTTGGACATCTCGGTTGCTCGACTGTTCTCGATCTTTTGCCCAGCTGGCTTTCGTTGCGCATCTCACCAGCATACCGGGACCCTATCACGCTGATAACGAGAGGGAAATTAGATGAATCGGCTTCCCAAACGCCAAATTTTGGATTGCATGGGTTTGAAAGCTATACCCACGCCATAGAAGTGAACTATAGCCATTAGTTCACAATGGGCTCGCTCTCTTTCGGGAAATTCTCGCCGTTGATCCGATGCGGTCCACGTGACCCTCTGAGGCAGCAACCCCGCCCTCAGGCCATAACGCTAGTCCTGACTAGGGAACACTAGATGGCCCCAAAATAGAACTCAGCTTGAGCTTTAAGGATGGGCGCTTCCAGCCACCTCGAGGGGAAACCTCCTGGATCCTGCAGAGTTGCCTTACTCCTTTGTCTCAGCTATATACATCCACTTTCTAGACTGATCATGACGACGTGCTGTGCAAGATTCTCATGATATTGCGTCTTACACGTCCAGCCCAGCCCTGCAATTGAAGGAGCTCCGTGATCTTGGGTCCCACAGCTTCACATGGAAACCCCATTTCCGGTGGGGATGGACTCGGGGGATCGCTCAAGTCGTGAGCTTGGAGGTCCGCATATGGTTGTCCAGCAATATGCGCGATATCCCCCGACCTTGGAATCAACCCTCCAGAGTGGCTCCTCTTTAGGGAGTGCTCGCAGTCAACTAGATGTCAACAATTCCCCTCCATTGCAGCGAAGAGAAACACCGAGAAGTTTACAATCGTCGCCGAGGGGCATGCGATCTGCAATTCCCCAATCATCAACTACTCGCTCAGGGCCATCTATGTCTCCACCAGTATTTGGGCCCCAACGGCATCAACCGACCAAGGATCCTGCTGATCATGCTGATACCCGTGTTCTTCCATCGCAAAATGTCACTGATGAAACCATCGATGATGCATATGTCATGTTTATCCTGTATTGCAATCCCAATGTTCCATCAACCGTCGACACATCAGAGCTAAGGAAAACCTTTCGTACCCCACCGCGAAGTGACGGTAAAAGTTTCAGCGTCTTTGCACTTTTTGAACTTATTCGCAAGAAGGAGAACGGTGAACTGAAAACATGGATTGAGCTCGCAATTCAATTGGGTGTTGAGCCCCCCTCCATGGAAAAAAAGCAGAGTACACAGAAAGTTCAACAGTACTCTGTTCGGCTCAAGGTAAGCGTTCTTTCAAATTCCAATGTACATATTCGCTAATGTTCTCAGCGTTGGATGCGTGCTATGCATGTTGACGGTTTTTTCAACTATTGTTTGAATCTACATCATCCATATTACACCAATCTCCCGCCTTCTGGTCCTTTTGTTAGTGATTCTCGCGATGGCGTACCACTAGAGGAGGATCTCGCACTCAGAGCACTTGTACCACAGTGGAAGCCAAAACGAGGAAGAAAAAGGGCCGAAGATAGGGAACTAGAGGAGGACAAAGCAGCAAAGCGACCTTCGCTTGATACAACAGTGGGCGCTCTCCAACATGGTAGCTTTCCGGCCCATTCTGTTACATTCCCGCAAAGCGCAATTCCATTCAGTGCATTTCCCGATGACATGGAATCCAATGACCCATGGATCACGGCTGCCTCCTCTTTCCAAGGCGGAGTGTCAGCTCAAGGAACAGATCAGTCTAACCAAGATATCCGCTGGAGACTGCCAGATCGAGAAGCATCACCAGCAAACTATCCTCAATCAGCCATCATTCCGAGAAGCCACCTACCATCCGATGTTCTCATGTCTGCTGAGCCTCGATCTGCTATGACTCCATTGACGGGCGAGAAGGCGCGCACAAGGAGACGACACGGACCGGCAGTTTCATCCGCTTGGCCGAGTAGCAGTGGTATATCTGCCGGAAAAGGTAGAGGCAGGCCCCCCAACAAAGGCCCAACTTCGGGCTCCTTCTCTACCTTTCAGGTCAATCCCAGTCGTGAAGCATCGCACATCCCGAATTCTGGTACTCACACTTCTCCCCCTGCACTTGATTCAAACTCTTCCCAGCCTTTTGAAACTCCTCCTTATAATCAAACACCGACTCCTATTACACAAGGAAGGCCCAGCAAACTTCAATTACAAGTTCCCTTACATTCAGGGGCACCAGTACGACTTGCGACTCCTCCGAGATTGGTAGTCAATGGTGTCAATGGCGCAGTTATTTCAGGAGCTGAAGCAGCTAATGGTCGCCAACAGCATCACACCATGGAAAATACGAATACGGGTACTATAAGTCGAATGTCTTCGTCGGGCGACCCTAACAATACAAATACCGCCTCTAGTCCTGCCATGGACGATATAGTTCGCGCGCTCTCAGCCGAACTCATACATGCCAGACTGATCGGAAGGGGACTTCCACTTACCCACGATGAGACTGAAACCCTGGCCTCGGCGATGGTGATCAATCTGTCTACGATGTACTCACATAGTCAAATTGACATACATCCCTCGATCATGGCCTTCCACCTTGGCGTCGGACACCACTTTGGTTTCCCTGGTAGTAGTCCAGGCTCCATGGTGGTGAGGATAGAACATACCACGCCAAACCCAGATGGAAGTCGCGACCCAGCTGAAATCAACTATTCCATCTCCCACGACCACAAGACCTCAGGCCATTTCTCGATGCAGATCACACTTGGAAACCTTACCGACTTGGAAAGTACAAGCCTGACTTCAGGTCATCACTCGATCGACAATAGCAACATCGTGACGAACTCTAATCTAGACGAAGATGATGATCTCGGTTATCCTGTGTCCGAGGCGACCTGGAAGCAGCGCTACTTGAAGCTTCGGGCTCAAATGCAGAAAAAGGACAAGGCTTTGTCCAACTACAAGCGAAAGATTGTCGAGTCCGTCATGGCAGACATCTGAAGCTACGCAATAGACACCCAGATGGGCTTCTCTTATTTTGTTTTTGTCGTTTATGATATCCATATCCTGCATTGTCGCTTTTTCTTTCATCCTGCTCTCGAATCAAGGCAGAACCTGGGGCATCTGCAATCCTGATGGGTCAGGTATCCATTCACTTTCTTCACTAGAACGATACCGGGCCACACTCCACATATCAGCCGCTTAACAGGCTACTTGCTACAATGTGATAGTTAAATCACTTCGGCGATAGGCCTTTGAGATATGGTGCGAGTTCAATTCCACGCTCGCTTGCATTCATGGACGGGATTTGCTGTTTTCTGTTGGTTTTTTTTCAAAATCTCGAGTTCCTGGTGTTCAGATCGTCATACGTTCTTCTATTTGGTCTATCCCTATGTCACACCTCGTCAGTTTGGCTCGGGTTAGAAAGTTTAGAAGTTGGAAGCTGTCTTTCATGTCTAGGATACCCCGTTGATATTCGCGCGTGCTGTGTTTTTATATTGCTGGCTCATGGTCAGAATTATCCTAAAACCCAACCTTATTGAGTGGGTATAAATGATCAAATAGTGAATTAAGAAGATCACGTCACATTCTGCTACCTGATACAAGGATGGAGTACACTTGAGAACGGCTCAGATTCTCTCAAAAAGGAAATGCAAGGAAACAAGAAGTAAAAAGCAAGACTCTGGCTTGTATGCCATTGTCAGAGATGAAACCGTGTACACCATAGGAACACAACGTCTAATACCCCTTGAGTCTTCTATACCCTAGGCCTCATGAGCCCGGGTTGTCTCAATTTTGACCTCCGACATCTGCTGCTGTGTTGGTGTTGGCTCTGCTGATTGGCATGGTTGGAGCCTAGACCCATCACTTGCAGGATAAACAGATATATCAACAGAACTATCAATGGGTGGTTGGGCGGTATGTTGGAAGCTATAGCAAGATGTGTCGTTGAGCTGGTGACCAGCCATATTTTGAACGATGTGTTGCGCATTTGATTGGATGGGCCTCTGATCAGCTAGCTGAATGACGTTCGGGGTGTTTTGTTGAGAAGAGTGCAGGACTTGGGGCTGGATGGGCGGCGTAGGCTGTTTGACAATAGTTTGATCCGGTGTCTGAGTGAGTTGCTGGACTGGGGACTGAACGGGTTGAACAGAATGAACGGCTTCCTGAACAGCTTGTGCCGGAGGTGCTTGGTTGAGTGTCTCAACAGGCTGCTCATCGGGCGTTGGGCTGGGCTTTCGAACGAGATTCTGTACGGCTTTATCGCCCCCTTTGTTGACAACGACTTCAACGGGGTCTTTGATAGGGGTTTGAGCCAGATTCTCAGCTGCAGGTGGAATCGGTTGTGAATTGATATCCACGCTCTGTTGCACGATGTGGAAGTTGTCATCAGCCACGGGCTGAGGTTGGCCCTGAGCGGATGGATCGACGTGGGGGCTAGTCGGGCTGTTGTCAGGTTCCTGACGTGAATATTGAATCTGGTACTCAAAGGCGTTTTGGACCTGGTGGTGGTAAGTGGTAGGGTCGACGTGAGGACCGGCCATTCCTTGAAGGACGTGAGCAGAATGTTGATCGTGGTGGTCAGCAAAAGATTCATCAACGTCTTCCATGGGATGATCAACCTGTTGTATAGGCATGTTGTTGAACTGGTCGCTCAGACCAATATCTCCCGTTTTATTGGACTGCTCCTCTTCGACTTTCGCGTTCTCTCCCCTGTCATGAAAGGATGGCTGCTGTTCCCAGCTGGGGAGTGGGACAAAGTTCGCCATGGGCGATTGCGTTCCAAATTGAAGTGGCAGGTTGTTGACCTGCTCGCCAAAATTCAAGGTTCCTGCTTCTGTCTGACTATCATCTTCAACTTTCACGGTCTGAAGATCCTGATAAGAGGACTCCTGTGGCGCCCAATTTGTGGTTGGACTGAAGCTGGCCCCGGACATTAGTCCATAGGGGTGGCTGGTTAGAATCTCAGGAGACTGGTATGGGTTCATAAATGATGTCCCTTGGTTGGCGAGTGGCAGACCAGACGGGATTGTAGACGCATGTTGGAACCCCCTTGAGGCAAAATTCTGTGGCAGGTAAGAATACGACTGTGTACCGCTTCCAGGCATTGACTGAGGATAATTGGTGAAGTCTTGCATGCCTGGGTTTCCCTGGGTTGTCAATTCGCTTTTGAAGAATGGGTTGCTGTGTAAGAATGGCTCCATGGACTCCATTTTGGGTGTCATGAATGGGTTCGCTGGGAGACCCGTGTGCATGCCAACAGGAGGGTCTACTGTTTTGCCTTTCTTGGGCTTCTTCTTCTGCCTAGGCACTCCTGAAACTCCTTCCATTTGCTGTCGGAAACGGGAATATCGCATGCGAGCAGCATGGCCATTGGATATCTCGAGGTCAGAGGCAACATGATTCCAATTGACCTGTCACTTGAAGATTAGAACTTTTCTCGGATACGAAAGTTACATGAAGCTCACCGACTTCAGGTCCAACTGCTTGATGATAGTGTAGAGGAATTTAGCGGTTGGGTGGTCGGTTTCCAGAACCTTGTGACGCTGTCCCATCTTTGTGGCCAAAGTCAGTGATTGAAGAATGTTAGGAAAGTGGACTGATGATGGATGAACACTACATCCAATATATAACGAACTAGAGAGGTATTAAAGTTTTGAGTATGCAGAATGTTTGTTGAATACATTAATGGTCTCACCTACTCCATCAAAGTAGCCACAGCATATATAATGAATGAGCCTCATGTCTTCAATAATACATATAACTTATGACATGGTTTGTGTTCTTGGCTACGGCAGCCTGCTTTAGTCTTTGTGTAGCTGTAGTGGGATATCACAGCTAAGCATTTCATTGATTAATATGTAAAAAGAACAAAGATGACACTAGAGTCTCCTTTCTTTTGTAGTACATTGTTTGGAGCTCTATAAGATTGAGCAATTCGAGATGAATCTTCCCAAGTTTGTATCCTGATTAGTAATTTTTTTTGATATCATGTGACACCGTGAAGGAAGAAAAAGAAAACACCATGGAAAACACGCAATCGCGGAATTACTTGTACTCTTTAGACCTCATTTTTCCAGAGGATTAACTGTTGGTCAGTCTTGATGCGCGGAACAAGGAGTGCTCTGAGTTGTTCAGTAAGGAGAGGCTCCACCAATGCGGCCCCACATATTAACCTATTTATGCCAAGAAATGCCACAACGTTTCCACATACACTTTGAATACGTTGTGAGAATGAATGCTTACGAGGAGAATACAATAGACTTTTGGAAGTCTGCCTTACTTGGTATTGGAGGGTTGCTGGTTTGACCCCGTTCTGTCCAACACATGTATTCAAATACCTTCAGTCTGCAAGATATCAGATTGTAATTGACCAAGTATCAGAATGCCCTATCTAGTGCACATGGATTGAGCCATGAGAGAAGAAGAAGTCTTGAATACTGAGGGAGGAAAAAGCGGAATGGCAGCCTGAGGGGGAAGGGGATGGAGTGGATGGGAATAGAGTCGATGGGAAGGAAAGACGGGGATGGGAAACAAAGGTGGAAGCAGGAGTGAAGGCGTAGGGGAGTGAAAGACCTGAATGGAAAAGAAACATGAGAATGGGAGGATAAATCTGCCTGAAGCCTCAAGGGTAGGAAAAACACCCTATATCATGGCAATAAAGAAAGAAATATTATCTCTCGCCCCGTGTGGCTCAACGGTATAAGTCATGACCACTCTAGAAGACGTTTCCAAGATGAGTAACAATCATGCAGCTGGAGTGAGGACTGGCTGCGGTTCGAACCTGGAAGGAGGCTAATAATTTACCTCGGTAATGAAGTCTATGTCTAGCATCCCGGGGTCCGGTGCGAAAACATCTTCCAAACTGCAGTCGGCTTAGCTTCTCCAGCAGGTAATTGGAAGGCGTTCGTCCCCCAATAACACCAAGAGAGAGAGGACCCCCCATTTTTTTTGCTTTCCTTTTTGGTGTTTGGGTGAGGTTATTCACATCTCTTTGATCTGATGTTGTGGGCTTTGTCTGGACAAGTGCCTCTATTTCTGCCTAAGGGTTCAGGTTGTTCCGTGTGATTGCCTGTTTGTAGTCTTAGTATCATTCATTTCTATCTTGTATGTTCTTTCTATTGGATGTGTTTCCATCCATTTCATTTGGGCCCATGCTTCAAGATTTGTCCCACGAGGTGCTGAGCTGATGCATCAGCCAACTCTCTATTCATTGTCCAACATGAATGTCCAATTCCATGTTTTCTCTTTTCTCCCAAATCTCCTAAGCCTGATAATTCTGGTCATTTCTCATCTCAATCTACGAAGCATCGGGCAAGGAAATGATTATCTCCCAAGAGCGTATCCCATACTACAATATCAACTCCACACCTTAAGCCCCAAGCCCCTTGATCTAGCAAGCACTGCTCTATCACACCACCAAAGGTCTGTCACTAGACTAGATGCTAGGGTATCAAATAATTGCCAGTGTCACATTTTTTCAGTCTCGGGGTTGCTGATCTAGTCCATGAAAATATGCTACATAAACCATCCGGTATCCAACGAAGCATGAGGCTAATAGTTGTTTCAAAGCAATTATATATCTTATCTAGGAATAGTCAACAATGATGTGAAGGAGTAATAACAATCTTCAATGTGATCTTCATCTTGCATGGATATTTGACAGGTGAGGCTGACACGGGTAGATGGCGATCACCCGTGTGGGACCGCAACGGGCAAGCGTGGATGAGCCAAGAGGATAGGTCCTTGTTGTCTCGGTTCTCAACAGGCCTCCTGTTGCTTCAATGTCAGGAGATTTGAGAGAGTCAAAAAGCGAAGGCAACTACCTGGGAAGCAAGCAACACGAAATTGGCTTTACGTCACTGACCAGTCACGTGATATACGACAGTGATCGATTAACCATGTTAAGATGAGGTTTGAATATGGAAAGGGCATATGGGCTGTCATTGGTCGTTTAAACTCACAGAGTTATCATATCCACTGTGGAGTGATATTGTCGGAGATTGGCGATAGTTGAGCGGTGTCAGCTCGGGAGTTGACAGATCACATTAGTATCTTTCCCCTCTCTCCCTCTCTCTCTCCGTCTCTCTCTTACTTCCCTTGTCTCACGTCTCATCTCTCCTCTTATTCTATGCGCTAATCACTCCAGTGCGGGGGCACATATCTCCAAGCCAATCGGCTCTCGATCAGCCGCAATAACCCACCATCCTGGGCCGATCATTGGGCAGCGCTATCCCCCGGTCTTGTCGTGACATCTAGCGGTCTGGCGTCTTTCCTCAGTGCGATCATGCAGCCAGCTGGAAAAGGGTGGCTTGCCAAGGTGTGAACCGTGCCAGACCGGATGACAATATACACCCAAGGGGTTGGCATCCGAGTAGATGGCCCGCGTCTGGTACCTCTGCAATGGCTCAGGCAAGGCTTGGCTATATCCTTCCCTTTGGCGGTGTTCATTGCAGTACTATACCTGCGCCACATACGTACCCGGGCAGGTACTGACATGAGCTTTGGCCATGGCCTCTCTTTCTGTTTGGCTTGGTGGTTCAGCTAATGCATGACTCCCCACCGAAGACCTGCCATTTGAGCTGAATCGATGTGGATGAACCCTTGCATATACCCTTCGTACAGTATGTGATAGCGATGGTCCAATCAGCTCCCTTGACGCGCTAGCCCAGCACTCCCGTTCAATTTATCCGGCAGTTACCATGCTTTCGGGACTTGCCATCGCACATGGATGTCCAGGGGACACTGCAAGGGGCTGGCCAGATTTCCAGGAGAACAGGATGCACCCCTGGCTCATAGCCCCAACGACCAGAGTGAGGCAGGCTCCTGTTAGTTCACTCCAAGCGGTCGGGTTCGGGTTGTGATAGCAAGTGGCCACCTTGTATCAGATCTTTTCTCCGCATGATAGCTGTTGTTTCATTGTGCTGACCCCTGTCGATGTTGTTTTCACCTCACGGTTCGTGTCAGGTCCCCAGTCCGAGAACCAAATCTGGCGAGTTTAGGGTCAAACATGGGCCGACAGCTTCTGGTTCGGGCCCTGACGATGATCCTAGGTTGTAAGATGAAGGGAACAGATCTACAGTAACAGTGGATAGATCATAGTATCAAAGTATGATCAGTGAAAATGATAATTGAGTAGATCAAGATCCTGTAGATTATTCCTCACGCCCAGATACTCTTCACCACTTGGAACAATTCAATATTTCTTCATAGTCAAGGCCGCTAAATGACCGGAAATGGACATCCGCCACGCCCGGTTGCGGGTTGAGAGTTACATCCCGAGCGTCTGGGAAGGTTTTCCTGCGGCAGATCTTTGCAGTCGAGAATTAAATAGTCAACGTCACTTCTTCTTTTCTTCTTTTCTCCCATACTTCGTCCTTTTGGCGCACTAACTTCCGGGCTTGAATCGATCCGTGGAATTTCAGCCAATCTCCCGCACTTTTGACGGCGTCATCGTGCGGTTCACCCAAAGACTTTCACTTTCCCAGCACTTTCAACCTCTCTGTCGCACTTTCCAACTCTTGCGGAATTCCATCACTTCCATTCTCCCTGTCACGCGGGCGCGTTCTCCTCGAGTCCGCATCTCCCCCTCGACACCGACGCCACCGACATTTTTTTCTGCCGGAGTCGATGCTCCAGTGACGTCTGAAACCCGCGGGGTCGCATGTCACTACACCCCCGCTACAAAGAAGATCTGATCTACAAAGACGTCAACCTGGGTTGATTTCTATCTGGTACCATGTACGCCGTCGAGGATAGACATCATCCCGTTCCGCCGCCTCTGTCAATGGATCGCATCTCTGCTCCGACCGGAACTCCCTACCCGTCCAACCCGCTACGGTCCGATCAACTAGGATCCGTGTCACAGAGGCATGAGGGTCGGATCTACTCATTACAAGTGGTGCAGCAGCCGATTCGAGCTCGCATGTGTGGTTTTGGCGACAAGGTGGGTGCCATTTCCGCATTCCTCGCCCCGGCGTGGACTAACGATTTGCAGGACCGGCGACCGATCACCCCTCCCCCATGCATTCGTCTGATTGTGCGGGATGAGTTCACGGACAAAGAAATCGATATCAAGTGCGTGTTTCGGATGGACTTTGGATCATAGCGTGCTAATTGCCCTTTTCAGTGAAATCGATACCTCCTTCTACGTCCTCACCGTCGACCTATGGAATGTCGACGGTACCAACGAAGTCAACCTCGTGAAGCACTCCGCCACCTCTCCCTCAATCTCTACCGCCATGTCATCCTCCTACCCTCCCCCGCCGCAGAGCATGTCGCCGACCTACCCCGCCACCTACAACCAGGCCCCCTACAACTACCCCCAGATGGGCAACTACTACGGTGGCCAGCAGGTGGCATACCAAAATCAATACGGTCAGCCAGTGACCTACCCACAATACTACGCCGGCAGCCAGATGCCCGCCTCCATGTCTCCCGCCGCGCAACCCGTGTCGGGAGGGCCCGGTGGAATGTTCACTCGCAATCTGATCGGTAGTCTGAGCGCCAGTGCTTTCCGGTTGACAGACCCGGATAACAAGATCGGGGTGTGGTTTATTCTGCAAGACTTGAGTGTGCGGACCGAAGGAACTTTCCGGTAAGGACCCTCGGACGAATTGAGACCAGAGAAATTGCTAACACATTCAGTCTGAAAATGAGCTTCGTCAACGTTGGCACACCATCAACGGAATCCACAAACGGCGCGCCTGTGATCAACCATGGAACGGCACCAGTGTTGGCTTCCGTTTTCTCCGAACCGTTCCAAGTCTTCTCCGCCAAGAAATTCCCCGGCGTCATCGAAAGCACCCAACTCAGCAAATGCTTTGCGCTGCAAGGAATCAAGATCCCCATTCGCAAGGACGGAGTGAAAGGACCCCGTGGCCGAGGCGGCGATGGAGACGACGATGACGAAGGCGACTATTAAAGGGCGGTACCTGATCCGTAATTGAGTCCATCTCTCGCGCCGAGTGGGTGACTTTGGATCAATGTATCAGCTCCATTTCCTATTCTCTTTCCTTTCCTCTTATATCCTTTATCGGGCCAATGAATCAAGACGTGTGGTAAAAACGGGGGGGCGTGTTGGCTTAACGGTAACGGTGTTTGGGCCTCTTTCTCCTACCGGTGCTGGGGGTTTTCTGCCTTGGATTGTTTCTTCTATGTTTGTCTTTTGCCTATGGTTTTATGTCTTCCCCTTATGTTCTCTGTCTTTTCTTCCCCTTTTCTTCTCTTCCTCTTCCCTTCTTCCCTTCTATTATTTCTCTTTTGCTTTCTTGGCCCCTGGCCATGTCTATTCATACCTCGGCGGCAAATGGTCCGCACGTACATATTCTTTTCTTCTTTATTCTTCTATTCGCTGTCGAAGCAGATCAAATTGAATGGCTTGTCATTCTTTGGTTATGTTTTCGGTTTCTTGTTTTTCGGGCTGGTGGTTTGCCCGGTCTAGAAAAAAGTTGTTACTCTAATATATGGGATTTTCTTTCTCTCTCTTCTCTGCCTGTGGGTAGAGCTCAGCCTAACCAAGCCATTATCCCTGGTTGTCTGGGTATCCAGTCTATATAAGTCCCTTCAATCGTACTCGAACAAACCACAGTCTACGAACAACCCAACCCCAACTCTGTCCTACGCTCATCGTATCAAATGCATCAAACCAAGGCAATCCCATGTCACCACTCCCACCCCCTTCACACCACATTCCCCTGCCGACATCATACCTGTACATGTCACACCGTGCCTGACATCCACACCCCGAATTGTCCCCCCACATCCTCTTTATAGGCAACAGTAACCAGAACGGTAAAACGGTCGCGTAGGACAACGTGGGACGGACGTACAACAGATGAGGTCATTCAGGCAATTGGAGGGACGTGGGTGGTTTGATGGGTGAGCCTGCACTCCTATACTGTATACAGTAGATCATTCCAAACAGAATCGAATGTTCGACTTCCTTCTCTTGGCAAACACTGTTCCTCGTGGATGGCCAGGGGCTGTCTTGGCGTGGGATCGGGAAACCGGCACGTACCGTACGTCCTGGATCCTGCATTTAGTATTCCTGTGTTGTATGATGCATGACAGTGGGAAACCTGCATTGATTCTTCGCGGGTCGGGAGTTGCATCTGGAGCTACAGTACAGTAGAACGGTGATGTCGCTGTCGAGATGGGGACTTTGCGAGAGACTGCAGTGGTATAGCACTCCTGATATTGAGTCTCTTGGCAGAAAACACGTCATAGGTGGGTTGACGGTCAATGGACTGTGTTTGCCGACTATTCTTAGTTGCATCTGCGGAGATGGAGTGCATTCCGTGGATATGCGCCACTATTCACAGGGAGGGTTGAACATGCACAGCGTTACAGTCGAGAGGAAGATAGGCCAATCTGCCCAGATTCTAGTTTAGATGTCTCTCTTTTGAGTCTTAACTGTTTGCCCCTTCGCCGTGCAAAGAGTACACGAAAGCACCGTGGAAGCAGCAAATCGAAGTATGAACACCCTTGTGGGGCAAAGTGAGACAGGGATACGATGATCTTCACCTCCGAACCTCTTTGCACCTCGTTTACAATAGGATCCTCCGCATCTTGGCAAGCCACCGAAGAAGAGCATGGGCTGTTGAATAGAGGTGAGCCTATCACGTCCTGCAACGCCCGTCATTCTGTCTCACAATTTAGCCTTAAGCGAACCTAGCCCGAACGACACCGTAGCATAGAACTCGAGATAATATTAGATCTTGAAGACATGCAGGACATGCAACTCCATGTCTCAAATTGCACTCTATTCACATATTTCGCCCCCAATCGGAATGTGACCACTCGGTCTCTCCGGAGAAAGCCGCCAGTCTATGAACTGTGGGAACGAGTGGAAGCCTTCCCAGGGTCAGAACTACACTTGCATGTGTCTGCGTTGATCTCTCTATAAAAGGACTTCCAGTCCACCTCAGATCCCCTCGATCAATTACAAGCACAACTCCTCCCAGCATCACCCTCCATCTATCAATTCTCTCTTCCTCTCATCCACCCATCCACCACTATCACTATCACCACCACGATCAATCCACCAAAATGAAGTTCACCCTCCCAGCCCTCGCCCTGCCCCTACTCGCCAGCGCAGCCCCAGCACCCGCAGCAAACCCTCCATTCACGGTAATGGCTGCCCGCTCCGCCAGCCCAATCCACTTCCTGCAACTCAACGCCGCAGGCCAAAAGTTCTACCTGGGCGGCTCAACAGCCAGCTACTGTCCCAGCCAGGTCAACGCCTGCCCAGCCGGGAACCAAACCGTCTTCGCGCCCGGCGGCACCAGCATGGACACCATGGTCCCCGGCGGCCAGCAGGTCTACATCGACCCTACTGGCGCATTGAGCTTCACTCAGGCCCACTCTGCCAATATCCCCGCTGGCTCGTCTTACGGCCCCTTTGCTTATGAGGCGGGTGAGCCGTGGTCGCATTATTCCTACCAGGGTTGGGGCGCGAGTGGCTTTATGGCGTGTCCCACGGAGGATAGCCGTTGGCAGGTGTTCGGCGCGCTGGCTAATGCCACTGTTCCTAAGGGAGATGTTGGCGAGTGTCTTGGTTTCTCGGCTATGGCTATTACTTATGAGGGGGATATTCCTGCTTGGCAGTATATCTAGACCTTTGTCTGGGTGTTATCAGTTGTGTGTTTCTTAGCTTGAGGCGGATACCTTTTTTGTGCTGCTTGATTAGTTTGATTGTTTTTTTTTTTTTGTTTTTTCTTTTGCTTTTTCTCGTTGATATCTAGTGAAGTGGTGAATTGAATCTTTGGCCTATGTCCGAATTGTTTTATATGTGGTGATTTGGGTAAAATATTGAATTATAGCCTGCATTGCACCAGTCCTGATTCGATTCCGGTTCAGAAACGAGAGCTTCTCTATGCACGGAAGAAGTGCTAAATCTGACGTTTGCTTAGGGAACCGCGCTCTCCATGGGGGAATTGATAATATACGTCTATAACGATAATCTTAGACGGGAGCTTTGATCCCATGACTGAAGCTCTAGGGAAAGGCTAACCATAGCTGTCTGAAAGCTACGAGCGTGATACTTCTAAGTGATACTGGATTTAGGTTTGTGTTTGATGGCGTCGGTGGCTGTAGGGGCGAAGGGTAACACTTGTCTTACAAGCTTGGCCTGGGCAACGTTAAATGCCGAGGTATCAAAGGAGTCGACTCGAACCTATACTAGCATGTAAACTATGATACACCGCAGTGCAACGTCTACATAGAGCACTCCATGGATCAAATGTTCATTAAGCTCCTAAATACATAAAAAAAGTCCTTTTGTACTGCCCCAGGCAGTGATAGAACAGGGTTCATCAAAACGCAAAACATACTTTAAGCATCATCTAACTTCTATGCTTATCCACCTCGCAGAATCTAGATTGAGCCAAAGGCAAGCTTGTCAGACTGCAACGGTCTGATCTGCCCAGGGTTCACGGATGTCTTGCATTAAGGCAAGTATCCGTCGCTGGACCGGGGCCATGGGAGCTTCAAGGGATGTGAAGCAAACTTCACTGGAAGCGTCGGCCCTCGGGTTTAGGTTCCCCGGGTCCGAGATATATCGGACTGCTGGCATCGGTGTCTTAATGCAGTTGTGATTCACTCCAACTTCAGTGGGACAATCCTATCCATATCAGATCGAGTGTGGAAAGCGTTTGGCAGGTTGATGTCAAGTCGCTTAGTCTAGTTTCTCCAGATCTTGATGGCCTTGTCTTTACCTCCACTGCCGATCTTCTGTCCGTCGGGACTCCAATCGACAGCGAAAACTTCGTCTTTGTGACCAGGCAGATCCATTGACAGCTTGCCAGTGCGCACATTCCAGATCTTCAGAGTGGTATCCTTGGACGATGACACCAGCATGCGCGAGTCTGCTGAGAAGCAACATTGGTAAACGGCTCCCACGTGGCCGCGGAAAGTGTTGATAAACCTATATAAATTAGCTTATGTCAATTGTCATTGGGAAAGAGATACTCACTTTCCATCACGGCCGTTCCATAGCTTGACGTGGTTGTCGAATCCAGCCGAGGCAATGTAGGCCATGTCTGGGGAGAAGGTAACGTGGTTTACCTCCTTCTGGTGACCCAGCATCCGAGTAACGGGCTTGTTAGAAGACGATGGCTCCCACAGGTACATGGTAAAGTCATCACTTGCCGACACCAAACGCTCCACAATCTTGTTGTTCACTGTTGCCGCCTCCTCGAATCTCTTCTTAGCAGCAGCGATCTTCTCAGCCTCGGACGCAGGGACCTTGCCAGTGTGGTCGTGGTAAGCAGTGCGGAGAGCAAAGTCAGTGGACAGGGCAAGATGATTGATACGGTGAGCATGCGCGGATAGAGTCTGCAGGAGTGTGCCATCCTTCGGGTTCCAGATCTTGATGGTCTTATCGTGAGACGCAGTGTAGATCTTTCCAGTACCACCCCACTTCACGCAAGTGACGGACGACTTGTGGCCAGTAAGCACATGGTCAATGACTCTTGACACAACATCCCAGACCCGGACAGTCGAGTCCTTAGAGGCAGATGCAAGACGCGGGCGTCCAGATTCCTGTACATGGTAAGGCTCCCACGCCAAATTGGTGATCCACTTCGCATGGCCCTTGAGCGGTCCACCGAGCGCCTGGCCCTTCTTCGCATCCCAGAAACGAACAGTGTTGTCCATGCTTCCGGTCGCGATCATCGCACCATTCGGCGAGTATGCAACGGCAAGCACCCAACTGGTGTGGCCCTTGAGGGTATGCAGCGGCACTCCCATATCGCAGTCCCAAATACGGGCGGTTGAGTCTCCACTACCGGAGACCATGTTGGAGGATGAGACTGGGGAAAAGGATGTGGCTAGGATGGCTTCGCCGTGCCCCGCGATGGAGGCGGCGCATCGCGAGACTGCTCTCACTCGGAAGACGGCTTGAGGTGTGAAATATAGAGAGACTGTGTCTTCAGTTGTCTTAATTCCGGGCTGAAGGAGTGAGTGATAGATGTCGGAGAGAATGTCAATTGTCTCGCCCTCTTTTTCGGATTGGTGGGTGAACCGGTATGGTACTCGGCCTTCGTCGTCCTGTAATCATTGTCAGAAAAACATCAATTGCGATCGTGGGGCCAACTTTTATTCTCACATTTCCTTGTAATGTGTTCAACAGAGTCTCCAGGTTCTTGACGTTCGCATCGGCGACTGGGACGGAGACCGCAGGCCCGGTGGCATTTCCAGTTGCTTGGTCGTAGAACTGTACACGAACACTACCCAAGTCGGACGGAATACCCTGAATCTCTTGCTGCTCACGAGCCTTCTCTGCCTGAGCAACCTTTTGGCGCTTGCTGGGGGGAGGATAGAGAGTGGCCATTTTGTCGTTTGGGTTTTGCTGAGGAGAGAAATTTTGAGGGAAAATATCTTTATCTTATCGCGTATCACTTCTCCACTACAACTACTCACAGCTTCACCATGTCGGTCTATTCGGACTCACAGGTGTCGCTGAGTACTCTTGCTCCAACTTCTAGAGCTGGCAGCAGACGTTTAACAGGGAGACCAACTACCACAGCCACCAGTGTCGCTTCGCAAGATCTCATCTGCGCCGTCAGTGAATCGCGGGGCGTCTCATCGACTGTCGGTCTCGCATTTGTCAATCTTGCCACAGCTGAAGCAGTTCTCTGTCAAATATGTGATAGTCAAACCTATGTGAATACAATTATCAAGATCGGTGTTTTCGAGCCCAGTGAAATCCTGTTCATGAACACGGCCAAAGAGTCCAAGCTTCGATATATCATCCAAGAGAATTTACCCGATCCAATATTTACTTTTCTTGACCGTCGATGCTGGTCCGAGAAAACGGGCCATGAATATGTGGACCGATTGGCTTTTCCAGAAGAAGTTGATTCGCTCAAGGTGACCCTGGGAGGGAATTATTTCGCAGCGTGTTGCTTTGCTGCCGTAGGATCGCTTCTTTTTTTCCCCGGGGGAGTTACTGACATAGGACTTAGGTTCTCAAATATGTCGAGATTGAACTCCAGCGATCTTTCACATCGCATTCGCTACGCATCCGATTCGAGCCATCACAAGGGTCCATGACTATTGACTTGGCGACTATCGTGTCTCTCGAACTCATCCAGAACTTGCAGAATGCGAAGTCGCGAGAAAGTTTGTACGGACTATTGAATGAGACGCTGACACCTATGGGAGCGAGACTACTCCGAGCTAGTATCTTGCAGCCTTCAACTGAACGAGTGAAATTGACTGCCAGATACAATGCTGTGGAAGATTTATCGACCAAAGAGGATATGTTTGTGTCTGTGAGACAAGCTCTTAAAGGATTTATCGATGCAGACAAGGTATTGACTGCTGTAAGTTCTGAGCTCTGTATTCAAGCTTGGGGTTAAAAGAATCCAGATCATCCTCGTTCCCACCAAGCGGACAATGCAATACATCGAACAGTCTGTCAACTATGTCATCATGCTCAAGACCTTTGTGTCTGCGATCAAGAACATCTTCCAGGCGCTTGCGACAGCACAAAGTGATTTGCTGCTGACTATACGAGAAGTACTACAAGCTCTCGAGTATATTGGGCCCATGCTAATCCTTTTTAGCTTTGTGCTCCGGAAGGTCACCATGCCATTGAGGAGCTCATGGACACCACATTGAATGATCATGTTACATACCAATCAAAGCCACTTGATTTGCGAAATCAGCGCATCTATTGTGTTAAGGTTAAACTCATATAGATACGGTTTGATACCGCCCAGCTGACACACTCTAGGCCGGTGTCAATAGTCTGCTCGACGTTGCTAGGCAGACCTACAAGGAGGCAAACGCCGATGCCACTGAGCTTGTCAAGAACTTGTCAGGTAATTTGAGAGTCTGTTTGCTCATACATTTCTCTAACAAGATCCAGACCAATGTGATATTGTTCTCGATTTGAAATATGATACTGCCCGCCAGTACTACATCTCCATGCCTGCGGCAGAACCAGGTCCTTTACCCGATGTCTTCATCAACGTCTATCGCAAGCGAAACCGTGTTGAGTGCCAAACGCTGGACTTGGTCAAAATCAATCAAAAGATCACTGATGCTCACAGTGAAGTGATTAATATGAGTGATCGTACAATCCAGGATCTCCTTCGTGACGTGTGCGATCAAGTATCTGGACTTTTTCGAGTCAGCGAGGCAATAGCAATGCTAGATATGCTAGCATCATTTGCCCAACTAGCAACAAGTCACGAATACATCAGACCAGAGCTAACAGACACTCTCGCTATCAAGTCAGGACGCCATCCAATTAGAGAACAGATTCATTCGAGCAAATTCATCCCGAACGACGCATATGCAACCCCACAAACTCGTTTCCAGATCGTTACAGGATGCAACATGAGCGGCAAATCCACTTACATTCGTTCCCTAGCTCTAACGACAATCATGGCCCAGATCGGTTGCTTCGTACCCGCCCAATACGCTTCTTTCCCAATATCCCACCAGCTTTTCGCTCGCGTCGCAAATTCCGACGACCTTGATGCAAACGTCTCCACATTTGCAGCGGAGATGCGTGAAATGGCTTTCATCCTACGAAATATACAACCACGAAGCATGGTAATCATCGATGAACTAGGCAGAGGAACCAGCACAACAGACGGACTCGCCATCGCAGTCGCCCTAGCTGAAGCTCTCATCTCTAGCAACGCCCTCGTCTGGTACGTCACCCATTTCCACGACCTAGCACAGATTCTCGCCGACAGAGCCGGTGTCATAAACCTCCATCTCGCAGCAGATATCGCCTCAGATACCTCCAAAATGACCATGCAGTACCGCATCGCTGAGGGTCCCTTTCCTGATCGACGATATGGTTTAGTTCTCGCAAAGCTCACTGACCTCCCACCTGCTGTTCTGACAAAAGCACAGTCCGTTTCCGAGGAAGTAGATCAGCTTGCTCTGCGCCGAAACAGTTCATCTCGCGCAGTGGCCATTGCTCAAAAACGGAAATTGCTTCTTTCACTGCGGGAATAATTGTTTCTCGCCCGTGATGGGACTATGGATGATGCTGCTCTTCACTCTGTCTTAATCAAACTTCAAGATGACTTTGTCCTGCGCATGGCTGCTATTAACGAAGAAATGGCGATGTACCCCGAACCTGATACCGTATTAGATCCCGATGCTCACCCTGGGCATGCCTCTGATGTTTCAGCCCATTCTCTTGAAGCTCAAGTGTTCAGTCTCGGAGAGAACCATGAGACAGAAGGTACTCATGTATCCGAACCCATCATCATTGACTCTGGGTCTGAGCTTCTGTCTGACTCTTACCCTGCCGATGACGATGGCGATGACAATGATAGTGTTGTGCTTGTTTCAGCACACTTCAGCTAGGGTCTATGGTGGGTTGACATGACTCCCGAGGTCCTGTGCCTTCTCAACTTTCTAGCTTATATAATTGTATTTTATGACCTCGGGGGGATCGAACTGGAGAAGGAAAAGGCTCAGGTCGGTCGTTTCAGTTCTCAGATATGATATTACTCTTAGAGCGCGAATCTCACTGCAGTGTATTAGTTTTTCTCCCCTGTCCGTATCTATCCCACGTTCAGTTGTAACCAAATGTGTGTATCAAGATCGTTGAAAATAAAAAGTACTTCCATAAAATATTGTATCTGCAATCGCTAGGTACAGCAACAAGGGGAACTCTAACATATTTTTTAACATGAGATTAGTACGCTGAAAGATTGCACTCTCAAGGATATCAGCATCAACAAGACATATCGGAGCAAAGTATGATATGCCTCTTCAAAGTCAATCGAGGTAAATTATCCGAAGTGGAACAAGGTCTGCTTTCCCTTGTTCTTCTTGCCCTTCTTGCCAGAGCTTGACTCCTGATCAAGATTTGGCTCAGCAGGGGTGGAAGTTCCAGAGCTGTTTCCGGAACCCCATGCACTGGGAGCGGGACCACGGTTGTCGTTCCAGCGGACCGTACCGCGGGTCTTGCCGGCCATCAGGACGTTTGGCTTGGCTGCTGGTGGGAGGGATGGGAAGGCATCACCGCGGGGGGCAGGAGCAGAAACAGGAGCACGGCTGGAAGAGGGGGTCGTGGAGGAAGGACGGCTGACCGGGCTTGGCATGGAAGGACGAGAGAATGAAGGCGCGGGTGCGGCTGCAGCCCAAGGGGTAGCGGATGATGCTTTTGAGCGGCGAGAAGAGGAGCCAGCTGCGGCAGAAAGAGGAGGGAATGGGTTTGAGGGAGCGGTTGGAAGAGCACCGCTTCGGCCGACTGCAGAACGGGAAGATTGGGCGGTGGATGACTTCAGGCGAAGTACTCGTTTTCCGCCAGTGCTGACGGTGGCTGGGGACATGCCAGGAAGAAGACCCCCAGGACCAGGAAGGGCCGGGTAGTCCTCGTTGATGGCACGCCAGTCGTTCCAGGCTCGAAGGAGACCGGAACGCTTCGATTCGTCCTCGTAGATGTCGGCTAGTTCCTTGACAAGTTTCCCCAGCTCTGTGCTGGATGTGTCGAACAATGAAAAGAAGGCATCGATGAGCTCTGTTGCTGAGATGGAAGAAGTACGGTAGTTTGATACTCTCTGGCGGAACTCGCCCATCTTGGTGGCATCGTTACGAAGGAGGTTGGAGGCACGCTCAATTACGGCCCCGTGGCGCAGGCGACGAGTTTCATCTAATGAACTGACCGGAGCTGGCGTGGCAGAGATGTTGAGATTTTCGAATTGAGCAGTAGGGAGAGGAGTAGAGCGGGAGGCGGGAGGAGCTTGCACGGGGGTCGCAGCGGCGGACCGCTCGGGTGCGCGCACAGGCTGAGTATCCTCCCGGGTGAGCTGACCACCAAAGGTGCGGGTCGAGACGGATTGTGAGCTTTGGATAGCCATCTGGCGCTGGTATGCGATTTCAGCTCGGGTCATTGGCTGAGCGCTGGATGCCGGCAATGGCTCAGCATTGGGGTCACGGCCTCGGCCGGCACCCCGACGTTGACGGCCCTGTTGGTATGGAGTGCGCATGTTATCGAACTCGGCCAAATCAACCATTCTGGCGTCTCTGCGAACGTCCTTGGAAAGTCCGTTGGGATGTGCCTCAAGTTGGTGACCCTTCAGATCCATCTGAGACTCGAATACGACGAACTTCTTTTCAAGGCATTCCTGGTCCAGACAGATGAAATGATCTTTTTGGAAATGGTTCTCAAGCGCGTTGTAGTCGACGTAGTATTGTTGCTGGCGGTGGGAAGAGCGTCGGTCACAAATGTGGCAACGTTCGTGCTTGTCACGACAATGGGTGTAAAGCTCGTCGTCACCATAGAAGCGCTGACGACAGAAACCACACTCGGGGTGTCCCTTGAAACCACTTTGATCTATGGCACCTGGCTTATCGTCTCCGGACTTCTCGTGTCTACGCAACTCGGCTGGTGTGAACAATTCATGCTCGTGAGTAAACACCTTCTTGTTCCGTGTACAGAGGTCACTGTTCCACATCGTCAGCTGCCGGTCCCACATCGCATCGCTTTGCGAGGTTAACTTACCACATCGCCTTCCCATGCTTGTTCTTTACGTGACGGTGGAGATCCGGCCAGCCCAGACAAGCCACGTCACAGTCCTCGTCCGGGCAGTTATACCGCAACAAGAGCACCGTATCCTCGAATATCTCGTCGTTCTCATATTGGATACCAAGATTTTCATCTGTTCGAGCAAAGTCTTTCTTCTGGAAGTCCTCAAATCGCCGTACCGGATCATCTGTGAAGACTATGAAATTCGATTCGGTCTGTTATGTGCATCAGTAAATGCACAATACGTTCAAGGGCTCGCTCCAATATGGATCGCCCGGAAAGCTCGCTTTTGGTGTGACCGTACCCGACAATGAGCGCAAGCTTTGTTCTTGTATAGTGCCCGCAGCCGAAGCGCACAGATGTGACAGGTCCGATGGTTGCAAGGAGAGACGGAGGTATGCTCAACGGGAGAGGCGCAAATGAAGCAAACTTCTCCATCATCTGCATCATCGGTTGCTGCGACGACTGGTTTCTTCGCCTTTATCGTAGCTTTCGATGTGGACTGCGTGTCATCATTCTGGGCCTGGTCGGCACTGGGATTCTGTCTGCCACGTCCACCTTCGGCGCCGCCGCGACCGCTACCACGAGTGCGAGGCTTGGATGTTCTTCCAGTGCCATCACCATTCCGTTGTGAATCTCGGCCGGAGGTTGCTGCCCCTCCGCGGCCACGGCGACGACCGCCGCGGCTTTGACTGGACTCTGGAGGAGGAGGCTGGCTGTCGGCCATTGTGGAGAGGGAAACCGGGGTAAAAGTCACAAGAGAAGCCGCGAATTGGCGACAATTGCACGGTAGCCGGAGAGCTTGACGTTGCGTATCGTGGTGGTGGGGGAAGAGTCGGAAAAAAGTGATGTCGCTGACTGATCCCGCATGCCGCATGGATTGGATGAGGCATTGTGTGCCTCACACCTCCTGCTCAACATAAACAAGGTCGCATCGCTATGGCTTAGTGAAACCCGAGTGAAATCAGTCTACGCAAGCATTTACATGCTTAAGACAGTGTCCCTCTTTTCCCAGGCATATACTGGTACTGGCCAACAATAGCATTTTGCCAGCAGTTTGGAAATTTAAAGCGCCGGGGGCCATGCCCAATTAGGGTTTTGTACAGAGTAGGAAGAATATTATATTACGGGGATCGGGATCAAGAACTGAGGATGAGGACCTTTGAGACTATGAATGCATCCAGAAACGCTACACCAACGCCCGCTGGAGAGCACAAGCAAGTCAAATAACATAAATGGCGACAGGAATTGCTAAAGTACTGCTGAAAAAATAACCACGCCAGCATCCACATGCATTGGAAAAAGAATGATAAGCCAAGGAGAATCGTTAGGCGACAGGTCTTGGATTGGAGCCTGTTCTTCCATGATCAAAGTCATCTCTGACAAGGGACTATTCGTCAGGGTTATACAGATTCTGGTTCAAAATTTTGGTCATGGTGAACATATGAACTCGGTCCTGTTTGAATACAGCACGCATGGCATCATCACATCGAATTTGACGACGATCACTGGGGTCTTGGAGCTCATTCTCACGAATGTACTGCCAGACCTTTTTGACGGTTTGTGGCCGCGAAAGCTGGACTGATATCAGTAATGCAAACATAGTGTAAAAGTAGGCTAGGCTTACTGTGATTTCTCCCAAGAGCGCAGAGAGAGGTTCGGAAAGGTTCAACGGTTTCTATGAGTGTCAGAATGCTGCAGGTTGTGACACTTGAAAGACATGAACATACATGGAATCCAGTATTCCGATTAACTTCCTTCTTTTCTTTGGCCTCTGAGCCCGATCCAATATCTGAATCATCTTCTGCTTTGACCCTGGTTGAGGTCTTTGCCTTCTTGGTCTTCTTCTTAGGAGCCGCCGCCCGTCGAGTGTTTCCTCCTCGAGTTGGTCGCGCGCGTGAGTTCTCCTCGGCTTGGAGCCGTGCTGCAAACATCGCATCCGCGTCAACATCATCCGACTTGTGTTTCTTAGCTGGCGGGGATGCGCTGGCAGGCTCGGAGGTAATGTCGCTAGAAGCTTGGCGCTTCACGGGGGAAGACGAAGGGGGCGGGGAAGGCACTGCAGCAGAGGCTGAATCACCATCGCGCTGGCCATTGCTTGTAGTGGTTTCCTCGGGCGACCCGACGCCATTCCGCTCGGCGAATCGGTCGAACCGCTCCATAATGAGCTGCTTGATCTCCGTCTTTGTATATGTTAGCAACAGTGCTTTACCACAAGCCACCAATGGCCCAAATACACCCTGGCGCAACATGTCGCGGGGATTGACCGACCTTCTGCGGAGTAAGATCATAGCCGACGGCTTCCTGGAGACCTTTGCGAATCCGCTTCTCGGAGATGGTATTGAGATCACTCTCGGCCAAGATCGTATCGATGATTTCGGTGTATTTGTCGCGCATTTCGGATGATACTATTGCGCATACGGACGGGTCAGTTTGGAGGTTCTTTGAAGAATCGGCAGTTGGCACCGGGGTAACGCCGAGGCCGTTAGCTTACACGACATCTTGTAGTAGATCACAAAGAGGATACAACAGGGATAGATGTAAGCTTGGCTGGTCGGAGCGCGCAATTGAGGGCTTCAGTAAATGTCTAGGTTAATATGGTGGTCGGGAGAGAGCTGTCGCCGATCGGAGTTGTCAGGTGGGCTATACTCGAGTCGCACTGGCGCTTAAGATCAGCGGGGCATTGAATCATACCAACACAAATGAAAGCCAAAAAGACAGCAGGCAAGGATAGAATTTAGCCGCAGTCCACAGAGTTATGGTCAAACAAAGACAGTAGCAATATATAGAGAAGCGCAAACAGCTGGTGAGGACTAACTATCATGATGCCCAGGTGATCCCGGGGAAATGACTAAGCGTCTGCTGACTCAGATCTGAGTCAGCCCATGGAGCCCGGCTCGCACAAAGAATTGGCCGCCCGCCAGATTTGTGCTGCCCGAAAATCCATCAGGACGGATTCCACCGATCTTACTCTGTTCCGACTATAGACGCCTTCGGTACACCCAGCATGGCGCCCAGTTTCGATACACTATCCGAGCAGGACCTCCACGAGGAAGAGGAGGAGGAGATTGATTTCTCCGGTGAGTACAGGATTTCTTTGTGTTTGTGTGCCCCTCTCTAATGCGTCGTCTAGATCTCAAGGCGCAATATGAAGTGAAGGTTGAGGAGGGTTTGGACACATTTATTTGCATCGATGGCCTCCCAGTCGTCCCCGAGGACAGCCGACAGAAGCTCGTCAAGTTCCTTTTGAGAAAACTCAACTCCGTCGGTAGCACTTCCGAAGATGCTGTGTTCATGCCCGTCAACGACAAGAAGATGACCGAAGGGTGCGTATTGGGTATTATTCGCATTTAGGAGGACTATTGTTAATTTTTGGAGGAAATAGTTTCGCCTTCGTCGAATACGAGACCCCCGAGCAGGCAGTCGCTGCCGTCAAGCAACTCCACGGCGTTCCCCTCGATAAGAAGCACACTCTGGCCGTGAACAAGTTGATGGATATTGAGCGCTATGGTCGTGAAGGTCGCATTGATGAGGAGTATCAGGCCCCCGCTCCGGAGCCTTTCAAGGAGAAGGAGCACCTGCGCTCGTGGATGGGAGATGCCAACGCCCGTGATCAGTTCGTCCTTTACCGCAACGACAAGGTCGGTGTCTTCTGGAATAACAAGTCCAACCCGCCAGAGAACGTTGTCGACCGCCTTAACTGGACCCAACTTTTCGTCCAATGGTCCCCCAAGGGAACCTTCCTTGCCTCCGTCCATCCCCAGGGTGTCCAACTTTGGGGTGGTGCCTCCTTCTCCAAGCAAAAGCAGTTCCCTCACCCTTACGTTCAGTTGATTGAGTTCTCCCCGCTCGAGGGCTACTTGACGACGTGGTCCGCACGCCCCATTCAGGTCGAGGAAGGCCACCCTCTACTGACCTTCGAGGAGGATGGAAAGAACATCATTGTCTGGGATATCGAAACCGGCAAGCCTCTCCGCTCATTTGTCTCGCACGACTTGGCCGCCCCTGCTGCCATTGAGGGCGATGTTGCCCCCAAGAAGAAGGTCCAGTGGCCCGCTTTCAAGTGGTCCGCCGACGAGAAGTACGTTGCTCGTATGCTCCAGGGCCAGTCCATCTCCATCTACGAACTCCCCAACATGAACCTCCTGGGCCGCACATCTGTGAAGATCGAGGGTGTCATGGACTTTGAGTGGTCCCCGGCCACCGTCACCCGCGAAGGTATCAAGCAGTACGAACAATTGATGTGCTTCTGGACTCCCGAAATCGGCAGCAACCCCGCTCGTGTCGGTATGATGAGCGTTCCTTCCAAGGAGGTCGTCCGTACCCGTAACCTGTTCAATGTTTCCGATGTCAAGCTGCACTGGCAATCCCAGGGTGCCTACGTCTGTGTCAAGGTCGACCGTCACTCCAAGTCGAAGAAGTCCATGGCTACTAACTTGGAGATTTTCCGTGTTCGCGAGAAGGGTGTTCCCGTGGAGGTTGTCGACAGTCTGAAGGACACCGTTATTAACTTCGCCTGGGAGCCCAATGGATCCCGTTTCGTCGCCATTACCAACGGCGAGGCCGCAGCTGGTGCCGCCGTCCTCCCCAAGACATCCGTCTCATTCTTCGCCCCTGAGAAGAAGGGCCACCCCGGTGGTAACTTCAAGCTGGTGCGCACTATTGAGAAGAAGACCAGCAACGGTATCTACTGGTCCCCCAAGGGTCGTTTCGTTATTGTCGCTACCGTCCACTCCCAGACCAGCTTCGATATGGACTTCTGGGACATGGACTTCGAGGGTGAAAAGGTCGAGGCCGAGAAGGACCTCGCCGCCAACCTTCAGCTCATGAAGACTATTGAGCACTACGGTGTCACCGACATTGACTGGGACTCAACTGGTCGTTACGTTGTCTCCAGCGCCAGTGTCTGGACTCACTCTGTAAGATTCACCCACTCACGCTATTTACAACCTGATGCTAACTACATGATAGATGGAGAACGGTTGGAACATGCACACCTTCTCCGGTACTACCCTCTCAGAGAACCCTACCGAGAAGTTCAAGCAGTTCAGCTGGCGCCCGCGCCCCGCCACTCTCCTCAGCAAGGAGGAGCAAAAGCAAGTGCGCAAGAACCTCCGCGAGTACTCAAAGGAATTCGACGAGGAGGACAAATACGCCGTCGACATCGCCAACACCGCCGTTGTCGAGACCCGCAAGCGTGTGCTCAACGAGTGGGTCGCCTGGCTCCGTCGCGAGAAGGAGCTCATGGCCGAGGAGAAGGAGGCCTTTGGTCTCCCCGAGGATGCCGACACACCCAAGGCCGCTGTCGACGCTCCCGAAAATGTCGAAGACCAAGGCGATACCGTGGTCGAGGAGATGGTGGAAGAGATTATCGAAGAGACCGAGGAGGTCATTGTTTAATGAATCCGTCTTTTCCATTCTCGCAAATAATGTGTTTCCTTTTGTTCCTCTTTTCCCCCTGTTTCGCTGCTGGCGTTTCGCTGTGCCTAAACCCAGCCTTCTGTCCCCTTGTGTTTCTTTTAGGTTCCCTGGGCAAGCCCAGTGAGGATCGGGACATTCCAAAATTCAATAGATCGAGCGGTGCGCCTCCCGATGAAATGTGCAATGTGGATAAGCATGAGAGATGGCTACGAAACCAGTTCCTAGCAAAGTTCATTGTATTTTCTCTCAGCTACATCATAAACATTCTCATGTATAAAGCCCCATCCCAATCCCCACCGTCCCCAGAGCAACAAGCGTCATCCCCAGCTTCGAGTCAAGTCCGAACCGGATCGCTCCACCAGTGGGCTGACCCTGACTACCCCCAGTAGTAGAAGTAGCCGCATTCTGCGACGGAGACGTATCGGCAGCACTAGTTGTCGTGGAAGAAGCCGACGTAGAAGTAGAGGTAGAAGCAGGCCCATCCCTCATCGGCGGCATAACGTTCTTCTTGAAATACGAATCATGCTCCCCAACCACATTGCCCGCAGGCGTATACTCGCAAACAACATACCACCCTTGAGCGCGCGGGCTTTCCTTTTCACCTCGCGCAGCCATATTCACCCCAAGTATGTCGTTCGAATCCCACTCTCCAGCCTCACTCCCATTGCCATCGGCCCCATCATCTCGCTTGTCGTTGTCATGCGTATACCCACAGTTCACAGCCGCACACCCTACTTGCGTCGTCGCCTTCCACACAAGCTGCGTGAAATGTCCGGTCTCCTCTGTGAACCCGGTTGGTTTGCCGAAGTTGTACATGGCGCCCTCGTCGCCCCAGGCAATGACTGCTGCGGAGGCATTTCCATAGCCGTAGGCTAGATTCTCGCCGTATGGGCCATCCTGTGATATCAAATTAGTTGATATACTTTTTTTTGGATGGTTGGATGAGAGGTGGGATAGGGTACGCACCGAATGCTTCCATACACAAGCATCTGCCCAGTTCTTTGAATACTCGGCGAGAGTATCATTCCACTGGAGTGGATTTGCATCGTGCGAGGCACGGTACTCATTTGTCGTTTCTAGCACTGCGTCCTTGAATTTGCTGAGGGATGTGTAGGATGCTGGTGTTGGTGCTGTTGGGGTTGCGTGTGCTGTTTTTGTTGCTCGAACTGTTACCCAAACTGTTTCTTCTTCGGCGTTGGCGGTTTGTATTGAGAATAGGATGAATAGGAGGAGGATGGCCAGCCATCGGGTTGGAGGGAAGGGTTTTGGTTGGGACATTTGGTGTGGTGGTGATATTGATCTGACCCTTGAGATTTGAAGGTGGTATATTTGAAGCTGAGGGTATCTATCGCATCTTTTTTGAATCCTGTGGGCAGAGAAGAAAGCTGCAGGTCGTGATCTGAATCTGACTCTGGGGTAGGTCGTGTCTTAAGCTGAGACGAAACGCCGGGAATGGGAGACAATAATTGTCTTTTCTGTAGACTATTTTTTCCCAATTGTCGGGCCTGTATTGGGACTTCAATGACGATTTGTTGAATACAAATCTGAACCGTGGCCCCAGGGGATATCTAGACTTTCGTCAGGTACATCATCTCCACGGATCGGACTTCGTATCTGCATCGATCGGGAAATAAAATATAGAGCTTTAAAAGACATTTCTATTTCCGAGCAGAAAATGCAACCTGACTGAATGACTGGATTGCAAAGTCTGGACGTCGTTTCAGGTGCAGCGCGATGTTCCAGCAGCCGCCGTAGTTGACGTCAGATGTTACTTAGGGCTGCAGATAGTCCCAAAACAGCCACCTTGACTTCGTTGACTCTTGTGTTAGATATTTCATTGGTTAGTGCTGCTAAATCATGAGATATTTGCTGAATATAATTTTTACACTCAAAGCAACCCCAAGGTAAGTGTCTTCATGTAAGCCACAACAAGCTATACGCTATGCAATCAATCCCGTCTCCTCCCTGGGTATCTAGAAATCCATCTACATCACACTGCACCCAATGCCATACATGGCTCGTTCCACATTCCTCTTGACCTGGTACCAATCGGCCCGGCGCTCCGCGAATTCATAAACCTCCTCCACGCGCCAGATTCCATGGAACCGCTCAGCATCAGCGATGAGAGTGGCCAGTTCTTTCGCGTGACCTGGATCAACCAGGTAAATTTGTACAAGTTCACGGAACGCTGTGAAATACAGCAGCAGCTCATTGTTTCTCAAGGTCTGGATATACTTGAAGTAGTGGTTCATGTCGCTAAGCCTGGTTAGATCATTGGCGAAGATGAGAGAGGGGGACACATACCTGATCAGCTTCAGTGAGCCCTCGACACTGACGCGCTGTCGCTTGAGGTGCTTACAAAGAGCTGTAAAGAGACGCAGTCCGACTTCTTGGTTGAACACATCAAGCGTGCTCTTGTCGGTGCTTCCCACGAGCATCTGCGTATGCGATGATACTACGTCTACTACGGCCGACGCGACTTCACTCACACCGATATCCATGGTCTGCCGGTGGGGGTCGGCGGAAACACCGGGATTGAAATCGGTGGCTAGCTGCCGTGTTGCCAGGATGTAGTCCACTTCTTCCATGAGGACGTCGATACCCTTGTTCAGGCCAGCCGCGACCCGTTCGTCGAGCATCTGTTCAAATTTCTTCTTCTCTTTTACGGCTGGGTCTAGGAAGTCGTTTCGATCGGTGAGTCTGGTGCCGATCAACTCCTGCTCGTAAAATACATCCATCATCTGCAAGATGAGGTCACCGACGTTGACCAGCTCCAAGAAGGTTACGAGAGGCTCGACTCCGGATTGGTCTCGTTCCCCTTGTTCCCGAGGTCGGTAGTTGGAGAGATGGCTGACTGCTTTGTCGAAACCGACAATGACGTGGTTGTGTCCCAAGATGCGCAGCAAGTTTACAAAGATTGCTTCACACTGTCGCTTGGCTGCAATCCCGAACTCTCCGCCAAGTCGTACAAACTGAGCAGCTCTTTCGAGACTTGATTTGGCCGAATGAACCAAGCCAAGGGCAATCTCAATGCTGAATAATGAGCGGATGCCCTCCATCTTTGATTTCATGATAGCTGCTTTGGCTGCAAGTTCTGTGGTAGGAACTTCCTCGACAGCTACCGGGGCGGGTGATGATATTGTCGAGAATCGATTTGAACTCTTGAGTGTCGCAGGGCTGTCGCTGCCTTCTGCATCTGGTTTCGGCCCTTCTGTAGGTTTTGCGCTCGAGAAACTAGGCAAGATATTGACGGGCATCATGATCACTTTCTTGAAAGAGGTAAGGAAATCCCGTTTGTCGGCCTGTCGGTTGATGTTCGACATCAATAAAGACTCAGTTGATGCTGCTTGTTCGGAGAGCTGCCGGTCCCATTCGGAGACTGTGGCCTCGCAATTCTTCTTGAAGTAGTCCAGCTCTTCTGCCAGATATAGATCAATATGCGGCTCGTAAATCTTGATCACAACATTATCAAGATATTCGTCAAACTTGGTTTCGGAGCTCTTCGTAGGAAGTAGAGCCTCGGAGAGGTTCATGCACTGAACAAATGTCATTGATATCGCGGTCAGGTAAGACTCAATACTGACACGGTGCAACTCGTCGAAGATGGCTGTTAGGAAGGGGAAAAGCACATCCTGTCCGACCTTTTCCATAAAAGTTGATGTCACATCCAACGATGGGGGAAAGACGCGGTTCATAATAGATATTTGCTCGTTGAAAGCGACACTGAGACGAGTGAAGAATGCCTGCGTGTGCTCCATTTTGATTTGGCCAGACAATGCATCGATGCAGTCAGCGACGCTTCCAAGCTCGGACTTTCGGGTAATCAAGTGATTATGATGGATGAAGAGGTCTACGGCAGATTGACCTCCGTTGAGTGTCCACAAGATATAAGCATATTTTCGCATATTCCCGTCGATATCGTCTGTTTCATATCCTTGGCGGAACTCATTCAAGGCGGCAGTCTCAAACATGGACATTGTACCCTGCAGACTTTCCAACCTTTCATCCCATCCATCTGTCATGTCACATTTAGAAAATGCTAGTAGTTGCGCGAGGATTTGCGCTTGAGCCTGAGGATCTTTATATTTCGTGAAAACCAGGTTGTCAGACGACGGCCCTGACCGTGCAATATCTTCATAGAAAGGCGACAATGCAGCATGAATCTTGCCGTATTCTTGACGAGCTTCGCCTCGAATTGACCTGACCTGCTTCAAGACTGTCAAGGTAGGATCATCCATCAGACCTTCCAGCATGTCGGTCTGCGATGTCGTATTTACCAGCTCAATCTTATCAAATCCGTCAGAAAGGTTGTTCATAGGATTGGCATCGTCTTCGATAATAATCGCAGGTATCGTTTCGTTCCCCTCGCCTTCTTCTTGCTGTTCGACGATTTGCTTGTTGGCGATAGTTCCAAACACATGCTCGGCATGTTTTCTAGCATCGGCTTCGTCCCAGCATCCGATTCGTTTGAGCTTATGTACCCAGCGGGTGTCATCATATGCCATCTCGTGCAAAAGCTTGCAGGACCGGGCTGCGCGTATCAAATCGACGGGACCGATGTGGTCAAGAATATCAGACACGATTTCTGTTTCCTTTGTTGTCAGCATTTGCATCGCCCATTCTATGTGACGGTTTCACGCACCTGCCGGGAGATCACCTCGGGAGATGTCTTCCATTGAGGCCATGCGCAGCGATGCCAGCACATCTCTGCGCGGCGGGCCTGCCACGGTTGGGCCTTTCTTTCCACCTGGGGGCATTTTGTGTTCTTGGTTCCTTCATCGGGAAACGAGCGTGGTCGTGGGGTGGCCCAGAGTCGGGGCCTAGGCTTCGGGCCAGCTATCCCGCGGGGTTGTTTTGAGACAATCGGTCCCGGTCAATAAACACACAGCTTCGGGAACTAATTCAGTGCGGAAGCTCAACAGCTCCGTGTCAAATAAATCGAATCTTCAATGAGGAACATTCCACAGCTGCATTGTCTCCGCCGTCAGGGTCCAATGCCGCCTCTCCGGGCAGAACATACACCGCCTCTCCATGGGATGGATGCGTTCAGTTGTCGTGCGTTTCCTACTTGAGTTGAGTTGAATTGTTGGGAAGAGGTTTTCAATCTGTGTATTCTTAAGTGTGGCAGCATAGCTTCAGTGGGGGAAAAAACAGGTCATGTTGTTAGCTTCAAAATATATATATTTTGACTACCAGTAAGGAAGTATAACGTTTCTGGTGAGACTAGATTATAGCGTGGGTTTGTACCCATTCTTTTATATAACTAGCTTAGACTAGAACACAACAATGTAAGCCACATGCCGAGCGCCTATCATATATGCAAAAGATGCTACATGGTGCAATTGCGTGTGCCTATGGAATATCCCGGAATAACACGAACATTCGAAGAACACGGAGTCGTAATACACCATACAATATGCTACAATAGACCAACCCATATTCCAGAGCCTCTAGTAGGTTCTTTGGCAGACAAACTAGCACATCTTCTAGTGTGCCAGTTCCTGTAACTTATAAGCTCAAATTCGTGGGTTCAACATCCTCCTCCAGCCTCCCGGTAGCACCCGAAGCACCAACTAATACAGAAACCACCAAGCAATTGAACAGAATATACTGGAACGAAAATGAGAATTAGAATTGACTCTTTTGCTCGACTAAATTCGAAGTATGAAAAAGTGTCAATTTCGATGTTCCGAGAGTCGGTTTTCTAGCGCCAGTCTGGACCAATCAGAGTGGCCGGGTAATCATCAAGTTCAAGTTTCTTCGACTTCGACCTCAACCTCCAAAGAGCACCTCTCTCCTGTTCATCCCCCCCCTCCCTCCCCACTCACCCCTCTCTCGCTTTGGCGATACAGCACCTATTCCCATCCATTCTCAATTGCTTGGAGGGTTAACTTTCGTCATGCTGGGACGTTCGATTCTGCGCGTGTCCAACCGGACTGCCGCACGCCAGTCCCTCGGGAAGACCACGGTACGACCTCACCAACCCATTGACCTTCCTGGAAGAGGACAATCGCTTCTTCGACGATGAAATGGTCCCTCGATGCATTCCGTTGCTAATATTCGACAGCGTGCCGCTTCCACTGTCGCCGGCGAGGCCGCCTCCCCCTTCTCCCTCACAGTCACTGCTTCCCTCGCAACTGCCGCGGCTGCCGGTTCCGCCGCATGGTACTTCCATCTCTATGGCCAGGAGGCCTTCGCCTCGACACCCGCTGAGGAGGGGTGAGTGATTCCATCCATCACGAGTATCGCAGTATTTGAGGTTCCGGCGCACCGAGCCGAGAATTGTGCGATCAGGCCGACAACAACAGTTGTAGCTAACGAGTGTTCTTTCCTAGTCTCCACGCCACTCAGTACCCTTGGGTGCACGAGCGCTTCAACAAGACTTTCGACCACGCCGCGTGAGTGACCTCTCCCTGTGTCATATCCTTGCTTTCCATCGCATCGCCATACTAACACCAATCAAAGTCTCCGCCGTGGTTTCCAGGTCTACCGTGAGGTTTGCGCCTCCTGCCACTCCCTCACCCGTGTCCCCTGGCGCTCTATGGTCGGTACAATGCACACCGTCGACGAGATGAAGGCCATGGCCGAAGACAACGAGTACGACACCGAGCCCAACAACGAGGGCGAGATCGAGAAGCGCCCCGGAAAGCTGTCTGACTACATCCCCGCCCCCTACCCCAACGAGGAGGCTGCCCGTGCTGCCAACGGTGGTGCTCTTCCTCCCGACCTCAGCTTGATCACCAAGGGCCGTCACGGTGGTTGCAACTACATCTTCTCCCTGCTCACCGGTTACCCCGATGAGGCTCCCGCTGGTGCTGCCGTCGCCGAGGGCATGAACTTCAACCCCTACTTCCCCGGTACCGGTATGTGATGAGTCCTGCACCTGTGTTTTGTCATTTCTAACGTAGAGTTCCACAGGTATTGCTATGGGCCGTGTCCTTTTCGATGGTGTTGTCGAGTACGAGGATGGCACCCCCGCCACCACCTCGCAGATGGCCAAGGACGTTGTCGAGTTCCTCAACTGGTCCGCCGAGCCCGAGATGGACGAGCGCAAGAAGATGGGTGTTAAGGCCGTCGCCCTCCTGACCGGTCTCTTCGCCATCAGCGTCTGGGTCAAGCGCTACAAGTGGGCCCCTCTTAAGACCAGAAAGGTCGTGTACAGCCCTCCCATCGGCCCCCGCCGCTAAATTTCGGACCTTTTTTGAGTGGGAAAATGTGAGAGGTTGACGAGGCGATGTACGACTTGGGGGATTACCATACCACAACCCCTTTGGTACGGGAGTCTCGGAGAGGCCTCTTGTTTTCTTCATATGTGTCTATCTATTGGTTGCTGTCTGTTTTGTTAGAACGCTCCCCGAACACCTGTATCTGTATCCTAGATATATTCTTTTTTTCATTTCCTTTCGAAAACTGTGTGCTTCGAGGAGTCATCTGAATTTAATTTCCTTTGTGATTATGATGGATGAATGACCTAAGATCATAGACTATCGTATTGTTGTGATATAGTATAGTCATTATTTTGGATTTTATCTACAAGATCTTTCTATGCAAATATCTGCCCCGACACACCCATCGGAGCTTTGTACTAAAAGCCCAATAAACCTCACCAAGCAGGAATATCATCTAGGGTCCGCTCACCATCCCCAAAGACCCTAGCAAGGAAGCAATCATAGCTCATCCACATCCCGGAAAAGATAGCGTTAGACAAGGCAACGAGCCATTTCGGACTGCGACCATCAGAGCCCGCAAAGATCTTCGACAAAACCATAGTCAAAAGAATCCACGGCACCCACAGTGCAAACACCATTCCCTTCCCAATCTTCTGCCGCGTAGTCGTAATCCGATACGATCGAATCTGAGCCAGATACTCACGCCACGCCTGCGGCAGATCATGCTCCTCAGCTCCGCTCTTAATCAACGCAAGATACCTCGCCGTAGGCTGCGCATAGTCAGGATCAGGTCGGAAATGCAGACACACCGTATACCACCACGATAACGTATGAGCATGAGATAGAAGCGAGGGATCTCCGCTCTTCAGCGACTGCATTTTCAATCGCGCATCATCGGCAGCAGGCGAAAGAAGCGTCCGGGCCTTGAATGGCGTTGTACTCGGTCGCTCGGGGACCGGGTCGGAGGGATTGTAGTCCTCAGGGAAAGGGTAGCAGTCGATGACGCCGTCGCGGTATCCGCGTCCACCACCCTCGGTAGCAATGATCTTCGCATAATCAGCCAGTGTGACCTCGTACACAACGCCCACGAGGGGTTTGTACCACCGCCGCTTGTGATATGGCTCGTCCTGAGCCTCGGTTTCCCGTGTTCGACCGATGAGTGCGTCTTTCTCGGATAAGGATTCATTGTCCGACAAGTCTGTCTCGTCATCGTCACAAGAGGAATTACCAGTTGGAGGTGCGGATGGGTCACGGTATTGCGTGCCTGCGAAGCAGGGTTCTACATATGGTAGACCCGGTAGATCGAACGTGAGTCGTAGCTCCGGTACAAAGACACCCATCTGTGACAGAGGCTTGATACCGCGAACACCACGGAAGGTCTTGGCTGCTAGATTTGAGCCGTAGGCTAGGTAGAGGACTGTTTCCTCCTTTGCAACTTCGTCTGGCAAGCCGACGCCATACTCGGCAATCTTCTCTGCAAGACCCTCATCTTGATCGAGGGAGGCCGCGATGCTGGATGCTCGGCGGCGCTCAATGGGTATACAGGGGACCGGAGACGCATTGATCTTGTAATCTGGATTCGTGGGTCCGGCGAGAGGTCCCGGGAGGAGGGCTCGTAGACGGGTCAAAGGTGCGATTGCGCTAAATCGGTAGCGTGAGGCGCGCGCCGCTTCTTCGTCGCCTTGACGTGGTTGGGCGTGTGTCATTGTGAAGAGATATATCGCGATATTGAGCCTGTAACTGGGCTGTATTTTTTACCCCAGCTGGTCACGGGCTAGCGCGGGAACCTGCATGGCTTATAAAGCTCCATCTTTCGTCCTTGGTTTTCATCCGAGTTGGTTCATCTCCGTGAGCCGGAAGCCGATGTGGCGATTACCAATCGCGGAGGACGGAGGAATTGAACGGATTCCGGAGTTTCGACCGTCCGACTTGATGTTTTGGGAGAATTGGGAGATTATACAGTAGATGCAGTGAAGATGATCTTTCTGGCTTCAAATCCGGGGAAGCTCCAAGTGGCTTGTGTCAGCCATTAATCTGATTTACAAGTCTTGGCGAGGGACGGAATCGCAAAGAAATAAAGCGGGCCACAAAATCAAGAGCCATAGAAGAAATGCATTGCTTCATGATACAAGTTATAAAAGCCCTGCAGTATACAAACAGGACAGTCAGCTTTGAAGTCGAATCATGTGATGGTACCAGAGTTAAGCTTCTCCTCATCCTGTCCAGGGCTCCCTTCATCAACATTGGTTAGTCTACGATGAATGCCATCAAGAACCCTATCCCAGTGGGTTCTGGCTTTATAGACTCGCGCCAAGAAGACATGGCTACTACAAGCCCGTCCGCTGTTGTATCCGAGCGCAGAGCCTTAGGAGGCCAGAAGGCGAAAGCGACTTCTCCCCACCCAGGATCAGTGGCCCCTCGATTGAAGCTTACCAAGCCAAGGAAGCCCAAGTCAGATTCTTTGGAGGTTGATTGGGAGGAAGACCTGCGTCCCACACCAATTGAGACCAAAGGCAATGAACAAGTCGCTGCTTCTGTCCCAGACCTTTCCAAAGGATCGAGTGTCACTAACAAGAAGTCAACGGCCAAGAGAGAGATGAAATCCAGAGAGCCAAAAATTTCACCCAAAAGAAGGAAAGCTAATCCCAAAAAGAGCGCCATTGCTAAGAAGAACAATGACAAGGTGTCTCAATTGCCATTGATCATTCTCAATACCGGCATTGCATCTGCGGCCAAGGACAATCCATCAATGGGCTTGGGCATATCAGATGGGAAAATCAAAAGCTCTGTCACAAAAAACAATGTCAACATGTCCGAGGCTTCTCATCGAAAGCTCCCACAGAGCAATGAGCCTGTCGGACATACGAATAAGGGCAAACAGCCCATTGTCATTGAGATACCCAGCGGTACATCAGTTTCACCTGGGATAACATCTGATTCCGATGATGAAGGCAAAGGACCATTTTGCGCAACTACCTCGAAAGTCAGTATCCTGGAATATAGGGCACAATCTCAAAGTCAAGAAAATCAAGGAAAATCCGTGTGTAAGCGACCAACCACTGCTGCGAGTTCGAGTTCAGACTGCGACATTCAGGGATCGTCCCGACCGAGTGCTTCGAAAGTTACAATTCTTCAGGCAAGAGCACAACCCAAAAGTCAAATCCACAAGGCCAAGGTTGCTCATGAAAAGAGGAAATTGGGTCGGCATGGCAGAGCAGAGTCTGTTGGCAGTAAATTGATGCTTGCACTTCAAGGAGCAGTGTTTTCTTCACAAGCTCAGTCAAATACCAAAGACAAAGCGTTTGCTGCTCGTCGTTCGGTTCTCCCAATCAAGCCAGTACAAACCAAGGAGCCAATACAAGAGCAACCAGCAGAGCAACCCCCTGCAAAGGAACCAACGAAGATACTGGAGATTGATCGGGCTCCAGATGAAACTGCGATTCATGAGAAACGCGAACATCAATCTGATCACGATCTCGATCCCCCAAATGAAGAATCCGTTGACCAGCCAAATCAAGCCACGACGGAAGAGTACCAGCATGCAGATTTGACGCAAGCCTGGGAAACTTCATCCAGCACACATGGTGACTCCTCTGATCTGGAAGTTGGAAGAGGCTTGGTGGGCGACCATCCCTCAATTCTCGACTACCATATGGAAATGGAGCATCTGCCCGGGTTTTCAGCGCTGGAACCCCTCCGATCTATGCTAAATACATCTTCTCAAGCCAGTAACCTTTACCCTAGCCAGAAAGATACGTCATCCGACGTCTCAAGTGCAGGTTTAGTCACACAAGCTCATTTAGTCACACAAGCTCAAGAGATCACAGCAGCGAGCGCCCAAGGACGCGAATTTACCCATACCCCCGAATCTCAGAAGCCCTTGTTAGCCAATGAAACTCTGATGGAGCTTGATTCGTCTCCAAAGCCCCCGAAATCAGTGCCAAAAGCCAGTATTGTTGACAGCAATGGTAGTCCCCGACTCATGCAGAGGCAGATCAAGGACGGGATTGTCTCTCAGCTTGACCTGGAAGACAACTCCAACCAGAAGAAAGACTTTAAGGCGACTGACACCAGTGCGAGTCAATACAGCCGAAGCTCCTGTGATCCGGCTACCGATGATACACATGAGAGTATCGTGTGGACCAAATTCCAGAGAGACATGTTCCTGGAGTACGGCATTGAAACCGACAAACTGAAGCAGACAAGACTCGACTCACGACCTAGGTCAGTCAATCACCCATCATCGCTCCCCCAAGAAGGCACTGCCGAGGCTATGAACGCATGCCGAGCATCGACTTCTTCCCAGAGAACAATTGACGACAAGCAGGTCAAGGCTACTGCATTGGAGGATCGTGGCCCAATGGATAGGACATGGTGTTACAAAGCCCCGGAATTGCATCGGGCAGATATTCAATCGCAGCCATGCAACTCAGCGCATGATCCGATGGAATGGATCACCGCCCTCGGGGTCGCACAGAAGAATGCGCACGACCTGCTGGAGGAAACAAACTTGGTAAGCTGGACATCGCCAGATATTGATAAGGATTCTAAATGGGCTGTACACGTAGCATCTCTCCAACCAGCTCGCTGCAGAAAAGGTGACGATCACTCGAGTCTTGGAGATCTACCGCCAGGGATGTGGTCAGATTCTCGATGACCTGTTCAAGGCGCAGGAAGCGCGCATGCAAATGTATCAACAGCAAATGCAATACGTCAAGGGTCAACATGCTATCATTTGTGACGACATGGTGCGCGGATTGCAGGAGCTGGATCGTCGGGTGCAAAGGGGACCGTGAAGATGCGGGGAGCCAGTTCGAGATGGGATTGCAGGGGGTATCCAGTCGCAATGTTACGAGTCGCATCAATAGGCACATCAGAGTTACAGGCCACATCCACAGCAATCCACAGCAGTCCACAGCAGTCCGCAATTCCACAATTTATCAATGGGCCCGCCGTGATTGGAAGTGCAACACCGGTCACCGAGGATCACGTGGACCGACATCGGTTCGGTATACTTCATCGCTTTGACTCATATATATTTTAGTCGCAATTCCATTCTTCTCTTCCTATTCTCCAATTGCTTCAAGTCATTTCAGTGCTTCAGTTATTGATCATAGTTGCCCTCCCCCACACTATGTCGGTGAGTCAACCCCTCATCAAATGCCCCTCCGCCCTCTGACGTCGACACAGTTCTTCATTGACAACCCTAATGTGGGTAACCACAGCCACTTGGAAGACTCGAGAAGTAAGCACAATGGAGCCCCCCTTCCACCCCCCGGGTTATGCAGGATTCTAATGTGCGTCTATAGTTCGCGGCTACAACCCTCTCACCCCTCCCAACCTTCTCCAACATGAAATCGCATTGACCGACAAGTCGCGGGAAACCGTCCTGAAGGGCCGTGATGAGGCCGTCGCCGTCGTGCACGGTACAGACACCGAGCGCCAACGTTTAATGGTTGTTATTGGACCCTGTTCGATTCACGACCCAGAGATGGCCCTCGAGTACTGCGATCGCCTGATGAAGATGAAAGAGAAGTACGCTGACGAGCTGCTGATCGTGATGCGCTCGTACCTCGAGAAACCCCGCACAACAGTCGGCTGGAAGGGCCTGATCAACGACCCGGATATCGACGACAGTTTCCAGATCAACAAGGGTCTCCGCATCTCGCGCAAGCTCTTCGTCGACTTGACAAACAAGGGCATGCCCATCGCTAGCGAAATGCTCGACACAATCTCTCCTCAGTTCTTGGCCGATTGTCTGTCCGTCGGTGCGGTCGGTGCCCGTACCACCGAGTCCCAGGTCCACCGTGAGCTGTCGTCCGGTCTGTCCTTCCCCGTCGGATTCAAGAACGGCACCGATGGCTCGCTCGATGTTGCAGTTGATGCCATTGGCTCCGTCAAGCACCCCCACCACTTCCTTTCCGTCACCAAGCCCGGTGTTGTCTCCATTGTCGGTACTGTCGGAAACCCCGACTGCTTCGTCATCCTGCGCGGAGGCAAGAAGGGGCCCAACTACGATGCCGCCAGCATTGCCGATGCTAAGACTAAGCTTATTGCCAAGGGCATGCGTCCCCGTCTTATGGTCGACTGCAGTCACGGTAACTCCGAGAAGAACCATAAGAACCAGCCCAAGGTGGCTGCTGTCCTTGCTGAACAGCTCGCCGCCGGCGAGGATGCTATTATGGGTGTCATGATTGAGAGTAACATTCACGAGGGTGAGTCCCCTCCAAAACCATTGTCAGTCGTCCATACTAACTTTTCACAGGCAACCAGAAGGTTCCTGCAGAGGGCAAGGCCGGTCTTAAGTACGGTGTCAGTATCACGGATGCTTGTATTAACTGGGAGGACACCGAAGATGTATTGGAAGTTCTGGCCCAAGGTGTTCGTGCCCGTCGCTCGAAGACCACCAAATAAATTGGGATGCAGTAAGATATCCGGTTTTATTTAAAAAGCGCATTTTATTAGCGTGTGATAATGATACAAAAGTTCTCTTTATTTTCTTTGTATTCCCTGCATCTGGACTGTCGTTCGAGTTCAGCCATTATTTGCATGATCTCTCGGGCATGGAAGTGGACAGAATATAAAGCTTCAAATATATATCCATGTTCTATACTATCGAATATATGCAACACAAAATTATCAAATCATCCACCCGATGCCAAAACAAGACAATATAGGATATCAAAACAAAAAGTCCACCTAGATCCCGAACTCAGGGATCTTGAAATCCAATATACAAGCCGCAAAAGAAGTACGACGAACCGACGAATCCTGCTGTATACCATGCACACCAGCAGCACAAGGCTTTACCAAGCCCAGTCCATCAACATTGATCGAATGCCGACCAGCACCATACCGACCAACAAACCCATCGCCCAAAACCTCAGCCTTCCTCTTCCGCAAAGACCCAAGTCCAACTCTCTCAACCACATCCAAACCCTCAACACTCCCATCAGCCCCAACTCTCAAAGCAGAAACAGGCACAGAACCACCTCCAGAGCCAGAACCAGAAACACCCGACGAAAACGTATCAACATCAAAAATCGTAGCCCGCCCATCCCCACCAAAAGCCCAGACTCGCGCACCCCCTTCAGAAGACTGCACAGAAAGCTCAACAAGCCCATCAACAGCCCCAATCTCCTTCCCAAAGACCTTGAACGGCCACATCAATCCAGCAGACCCGTAAGAGCCACCCGCGCGAAACTCCCAATCCCCATTCCGCTTCCGCGCCAGACTCTCCCGCGGCTTCGGCGCCTGGTCTGCGTCGATGTACCATTCTCGGGTGAGAGTGCTGTCGCCCAGGACGCCGTCGCTTTGGCGCTCGCGCTCTTTGCAGACGGCGTTGTAGACATCCAGGGGGATGGAGTAGAGCACGATGCGGTTGCCGTAGGCGGCGACTACGCGGAGACCCCAGCTTAGGTCGGCGCCGGAGGTGAAGGTTGTTGGGAGGGGGGGGTTCTTTTGCGGAGGGGGGCGTTGGGAATGGGAATGGGGGGATGCAGATGAAGGCGCGGGTGAGGCTTGTTGGGCCGCCGAGGGGGGTGGAGGAGCCGATGCAGAGGAGACTTGTTTGGGGCTCTATGAACATGAGGTGGAAGTTGTCATTTATGGGGACTGCGCCGTAGTGGTGGCAGTGGGTTGCGCGGACGAAGCTCCTGGATGGAGTGTGGGGAATTCGACGGCGGCTGAAGGATTGCACGTCTGCTAGGAAGTGGAATTGGTTCTTGGCTTGGGGGGTTGGAGAGAGGGATGGGGATTGGAGGGTCGATTGGAGAGTCGATGTTGGGGAGGAGGGACAGTTGCATTCGTGGAAGCCTGGTCCGGCTAGGGAGGAGATGAGGCGGAGTTCATTGGGGGCTTCGGGGGAGCTTGGGAGGAAGTGGAGGATCTCTGAGGGTTGGGGCATTGGGAAGTGTTTTCGTTGTTCCATTCGTCTTGGTTCGCTCATGCTGTGGATTTCTATGCCGGCTGCACAGCCGAAGCCCACGAGACGTCGACCGGGACATAGGGCTATTGTTCGTGGTGGGGAGTCGGGAGTACAGATATTGTAGAAGAAGTGGCGAGATGTCGGATCTGCTGTTGGCATTGAAGGGAGAACTGGTGTTGGATGTTCATCTGTGCCTTGCAAAGAGGAGGTGTTGTTGTTGACACGAGTCTTTGTGCTTGATTTGTGAGAGAAGCTCATATCCAAGTCATGAATCATGCCAACTCGATTGTCAAGGAGAGCGGCGACAGTAAAGCGAGATGTGCTGGTGTCGATGACAGCCGAAATAACCTCGAACGGACATGAAATCCGTGAAACAGGAGCCAACGTAACATCGGACAAGTTGTTTAGAGACGCTGAGTGTGATTTTCGACCCAAAAGATGATAGACATAGATCATGCAGCCATTGGTGACGAGCAGGTAATTGCTGCAACTGCTGATGCTGAACGTTGACAAAGCCTTGCTCTCTTTAAGCACAGGCTGGAGACGCCTGCCTCGAGTCTTGCGTGGCACATCATTCGAAAGACCGGAAAAGTCAACGGTGGCGGTTGACAGGAACCCTGACTTTTCAATATTGACTCTTCGCCCCGAGAGGAGACACTCGGTTGCAAATCGGCGACTCATTCTCCAGGCTTCACTCTCATCAGAGCGTGTTGAGAGACGCTTCTTTTGACAGTCTTGTAACCACGCATCCCACCACCCTGCTCTTCTGAGCATGGCTTCAAGCAGCTTGTGGTTGAGGCTGACTCGCATCCATTGCGAGCATGTCCGTCGGGCATTGTCAAAGTCTCGAGGTGCCAGCATAGAGAAGATGTCCAGCAAAATCTCAGCTGGTGCGATATTGGCCGCCGAACGTGCCGACTTGACTTTTAGACTGGACTTGAGTATAGGTTGATCTTGTGGAGGTGACATTCGCCCAGTTTCTCTCTCATCTAGGGTTGGATGAATTGATACTCTGGAGTTTCGCTTCTTGGGTGTCGTTGAATCATTCTGGTGCATATGACCGGCATAGCCATACCTTGATCTTAAAGCAGGCATATTGGAATTGCCCTTTCTCTCTCCTTTTTTCTCCGATCAGACCATGCCGTGGAACAGAAGTGCTACCCCAGGGGAACTGTGTATATAGCAATGCAATAAACCCGGACCCTTAATAAGCCCACCGACCTGCACCACTGGACCTCAAATTGCCTTGAAAGATCCAAAGTCGAACAAGAAATCCCCGAAGTTTTAAGCCAAGCCAGGATGGGACCCGTAAGTGCAAGGTTGTATTGTCTGAAAGCGGGTACGCATATAGTTTAAAAGCCGATTTGAGGAGGTAAGGGTCGACTCTAATTAAACGGAGGCGACCATTGAAATGAAAATGAACCGTTCTGACGACATGGAAGGGTGATCTGGGATCTATTATCTATTATTCCCCCTCTGACTCTTAACAGGTCGATTTCTGGTCTATTCAAGGCAGTGCACACCACGCGGAAATCCGAAGAGTGGAGCCCCGTCAAGCGATCATTTGCAAAAGTTAGGCTCTGCATGGAACATATGTCCATTCCCCAGATGGAATGGAGGCAACGGGCAACGGGCAACGAGTGAGACGAGTGACGAGTAACCAGTCGCAAAGGCTCTGGATTAGGCCTTGCTGATCCACGGTTGAGACCCCCTCCAAGCTTGACTTGATGCATCAAGTGGAGGACAGTAGTAGAGACAGTGTCACGATCGTATGCAACTCTGACATTCCAGAGAGGATCTCGGCACAGAAGAAAGAAGAAAGAAGAAAGAACAAAACAAGCGAGGAATGCCAGATGTGTCCGGATGCAGCATCTGAGCGCCTTGGCATTTCGATCCTCACTGCGTACATGCATCATGTCTCTGACGGATGAGAGTCGAAATTGAGCATGGCTATTTAGTTGAGGCGTCTTTCCAACATTCCTCGTCTGTCAAGGATGGCTTTGTTTTGTCTTTGGTCTTTGCTGGGTTTCAGCTCCTCACCGCATCAGAGACAACTGTGCCATCCCCCACTCCCTTGGAATGCTGACCATGTGGGCCATCGAGGGATTCCAGAAGCCGGGGCTGCCGTATGGGTGAAAGGTATGTCCGCGCTGGGGGGCTTTAGATGGGCCGTCGAATGCGAAAAAAGGGCGTGGGAGAGACGGTGTGTCACTTGGAGGGAGGTTGGTTTCAATAGATCGCAACCTTGAATATCCCTGGCTTCAATCCTGCCTCAGGCCACCCTTTCGTCCACCATACCTTGTAAATTGTTTGGTCTCGACAGGATCAGGCGGAAAAGTATACGCAATGTCTGACCCTTTGACCTTCCTCTTGAGACGGATTGACCGCGAGCTCGGACACTGCCACGTTTGCCATGAACTTACTTGGAAACGAGGAATGTGGGAGCAAAGGGTAAAACTACACGAGCCGACACTTCTAACCGACATATCTCGGACAAGAGATGCCGTGATCGGGTTATTTGACATGCGGAGGAACGCCTGACAGGCAGACAAATAAATCACATTGTAGGGCCGCGATAGAATTACAAATCAGCAGGATCAACAGGATCAACAGGATCAACAGTATCATGCAGTATCATACAGATTCTCATTGAATTTGGCATGTACAACAAAGTAAAAAACAAATTGATCATTCAAACAAGATTCACAAATGTACGAAGGGGAATAACAAGAGCGGAGCAACGCGACAAGAAAAAGAACAAAAGTGCCACACGGGGATATCATAACCATGAGAAAAGATTATACCAGGACATATGAGTGAAATGCAAACGAGCTGTCAGGGTCGTATATCGTGATAAGGTCTGAAAAATATGAAAAGAAAGAATGCGTCTAGGAAATCATGTTATGGCACAATGCTCCAACAGGGGAGTGACGTTCCAGGTTAGACATTGGGCGTCTGATGAGCCACGAAAGGCGAAGTCCCATTGCCTTGAGAGGCATGGTGGGCGCGGTGGGGAAGCCAGGCAGCATGCAGCGGCAAAATAAGACTCGGGTTGACATACTTCTTCAGTCGCAGCTCGAGATCCTGTCCACCAATGTGAATGGGCAGGCTGTCGCGGTCCAAGCCCGATGGCGGTGAGAAGGACGATGAAGGGGAGGGGGAGAGATCGCCACCACCCGGTTGGTCTCGATTGATGCTCTTGAGGGCAATAAACTTCATCAGAGGCTCGTAGGTTCTTCCGAACCAGTATGAAAACCAGACGGTGAAGCCGAGAAGTGGCACAAGGAGCAACGAACGAGTGATGGCTCGGCGCAGGGCTAAAACGCCAATCATGGCAAGTTGGTGGACCAAGAGGCCAACAAATACGCGATTGCAGATCATGGGCCATGCGCGGCCGGTAGAATGCTGCTGGTGGTCCATAGCGTACAAAAGCTGGTACTTGTAGATGAACTTGCCAACCGTAAAGTAGATCAAGCCGAACAGGCAGACCAACCATGAGCTCGGGAAGACACTATACACCACGCAGATGATGAGAACCAGGATGGTCTGCGGGATAGAGAAGCCGTAGCTGAACTTCGGAGGAGTGTTAAGCTCCGCATACTCTCGTGGTGTTCGGGCCGATAGGAAGTGGAGCGGATATAGCGCAACACTTCCAAACTCGAGAAGCCTAAAGGGGAAAAGACCAAGGCCTTGAAGGATCAAGAGGTTGATGTAGAATGGCGCAAGACCTTCGAGAGACTTTGCGAGAGCGAACGCAATTGTCGTCGAGTCCTTGAATGCATCCCGGAGATTTTCCCAAAATCCGTAGAAACCGCTAGCCGTTCCGAACACAGTGAACAGGAGGAAAAGGTTGAAGAACGAGAAGAAGAAATTCTTGGAGATAATCGATAGTTCGACATCACCGCGTGACACCATTCCTTGATTATTTGATAGCCCTGGGAGTATCATTAGCAATTTGAGCACAAAAAGAGCGCATCCTGGTTGAAAGCTTACACTCGTAGACGTAAGGGACAGCAACTGTCAACAGCGAGAAGGCGAGAGTTGGCAAACCAGTCTGAACCAAAGACTTAAGAATTGCGTGTTCTTGAAGGAACTCTGCAAGCTGGGGAACAATCTTATGCAGAGTCTCCAGTTCCAGCAAAGATGCGATAGGAACCAACAACACGGACCAGAAGACAGTCAAGAACCCAATGACAGCAGTGATAGACCACGACTGAACCATTCTTCGGGTCCGAGATAAATATGTATTCTTCCAAATAACATCTGCAGGCGCCGGAGCAAGTCGGGCGAACATTTGCATTGGGTGTGGATCGAGAATTGCCTGCACGAGCATTTGAGATGAAGCAATAGACTCCATAGTCACAAATGCGATTTCTGTAGCTGGGTATTCTTTCTCGCGGGCACTCTGAATATATTCATCGATTTTCCGCAGTTTCTCCTCGTAATAGTCGATCGCGTCGATCATTCGGAAGCGAAGCTTGAACGAACCATACCAGATGCGGACTTTGGGCCTCTCCTGGGAATAATTCGAAACATGGTCTCGTTCGGACTCCGATAGCAACCCAGACTGTTCGTTGTCATCGTCCCGCGCCTGTTGGTTGGTCAAAGGCAAAGTATTACCATCGCTTTTAGGTCGCTTATAGCCAAGGTGCTTCGTCCATGCCCGCTCAAGTTCTCGAACAACCTTCAGTCGCTCATCGATCAGTTCATCCAGTTCTCGCCACTTGCGGCAGATCGTGATACTCTCAACCTTGCCGACACGGAGACCTTCAATAAATTCTTTGATTTTTTCCTCGGTTTCCAGATCTTGCGGAACTCCCGACAAGCGAATGGTCCGATCAGTTGTACTGGTTTGGTTACCGAGATAGGTTTGCCGCGTGCGAATGATTTGTTTCGTTTCTTGAAGAAGCATGTAGAAAGCCAAGCCGCTGAAGACGTAAACGAACAAGACATATATCCATAGATATCCCGGGTCGGTGATAGGCTTGTCCTTCCCAAGATCATCGACGCGAGTTATCGTGCTGTTGTCAGGAACGTTGTCCCATCCTGGTAATCCATATTGACCGGTGTATTTGTAGTGAAGCGGGAGAATGATTGCGACAGCGAAGATAAAGATGGCTAGAAGGAACCGGATCGCAAACTTGAAGAAAGACAGGAACTATCCAGAATTAGGATTAGCAAATGGCAATCGCCACGGAATTCTCTATTGACAACATACCACGTAGGCATCCAACCCGGCGGACTGGAGCACTTCCTCTTCGGTGATTCCATGAAGGACAGGAATCCAACCAAAAAGAGTATTCGGAAGCTCAGGTAAGCGCGAAGCGGCGTTTCGTTGTCTTCGTCGGGCAGCGTACAGCTCGGTCCACTTTGGTCGCAAGATCTATAAATATGCAACTAGTCAGCGAAGAACATACATCCACAGTCACAGGCACTTACACAAAACGTCAAGAAAGCTCCCAAGCCCAGCGCAGAACTAATCACGAACTGCGTATACAGATCGCGCTGCTCTCTCAACTGATCTTCCCACCGCCTCTCGCCTCCGTGATCTGGCTTGTCGGCGAGCGCAGTTAGCAACGCAGTGGCCGCCGATGCTGTTAGAGACATGGCGCTGGGTTCAAAGGGGGATTCGCGCTCCGGGATTCCGTGCTGGAAAAGACGAGCGAGGGGCTGTCGGAGCTAGTATTTGATCAAGGGCATGCGGCAGGTTTCCGTTGATCGGTAGTTGGGTACAATCGACTGACGTCAGGCAGATCGGTGATCAAATCTCGGGTCCGACTCGATAGATGGTTATAATTCGATGCAATTGTTTGAGACGCCTCAGAACTGACTTGAAGGAATTGTGATCGGTAAGTTGCCCCCTTTGTTTTTCTGCTTTTCGCAAACCTTCAATGACGACTCCCGTCCCCTGCAGGTGGATGAGTCATCATGTACGTGGTCGATTTGCATGAACTAACTTAATGGTCATGTGGCATGACAGCATCTTGCTTATGTTGAGAGATATCATAACAAATCTAGGTAGAGCTCTATGTACGAAAGCAAATAAATAACATGCTGTGCAACCAGTTAGACCTGTTGATGCTAAACAAGAAATTCAAAGTATTATGTGGATCTCGCGTGCAATGTGCCCAAACAACCATAACTAATCTTAAATCGGATACCATAATGACAGAAAATAGATCTACGAATGCTTGGATGCATCATAATAGACATCCAGCAGACATCCAGCAGACCAGGATTGAGTGGGCGACTGTATTGTAAGTGGTGTTAGTATGCAATTGGGAACAGGATTATCAGAGCAAAGAAACTTACCGAGTCATCGCAATGCTCTCCACCCTTGTTGGACAACTCTGTCAAACCCCTCCAAGGACTCTCTCGCATAGCCTTCTTGCAACCATCAAGACGGCGAGTGACTTGTTGGAAGCATTCCGTTCGTTCCTCGGGTGTTTTTCGGCGGAGGAGATCGAAATGCAGCAAGGCACGCAGGTAATAACCACGTTGCCAGACCCATTCTGGCCCTTGGTGGTAGTTACGCCCCTTTGCAGTCGCGAAGTCAGTCGAATCATCGGAGTTGACATAGTATGGGCGATAGTTGAGATCGGATGGGTCCAGAGTGGCCATGCCCACAGGACCCACAATGGCGGAGTCGGCAATGGACAGAGCAACGAGAGCCTTGGTAGGCGTGAAGAGGTCTGGGGCAACCGACATGGCAATGGGGAAGTTGGCACGCAGTTGATAGTCTTCGTATGGCTTTCCGGACTTGTAGAGATCCTTGTAGATTCCACGGCGGTTGATGATCTTAGGGTCCACATCATACTGGCTGTCCTCACTGGGGTCGACGGGTACGAAATAGCATCGCTCAAAGTTGTCCTTGATTTTGCCGGCCCATTCAGCGAAAGTAATCTTCTTGCCATCAGCAATTTCCACGCCTTCGTGAGGGTAGACCTTGGATTTGTGAAGACGAGCTACCCACGCCAGGGCGCTATAGGCAAGACCAGTGATCTCGATAGCAGCGCCATCACGGGGTGTACCGGGAACACCCTTGTTGCCAGCCTTGGAGCTTTCACCCATCTTGTCTTGCCAGGTACCACAGTTGTCTTGGTTGCCACCGAAAATGATACCAGTATCCCAGTCAACCTTGATATCAATCTGGAAACCCTCAGGCTTCATTTGAACGTCCAAGTCCGAACCAGCGTTGTACTCTCTGAAGGACATACCGTGAGCATGTCTTTGGAACACTTCCTGAATGACTTCAATAACGGTTGGAGACTGAGAGTATGCCCGAGGGTCATCAAAGGGGAACCATGTGTCATCGTAAGGCAAGAAACGCCTCGGGACCTTCTCTTGCAAGATATCAATTCCGTTGGGTGCCATTTCAGTAAAGTCCTGAATTGCTTGCAAGAAGAACCAGACCGAGTCACGGGAGTTGTATCTTGGTAGCTTGCCACTGCTAAGCAGGTTAGGGATCATGCCATGCTTGAGAACACTGGCAAAAGCAATGATGTGCTGCTTAGCATCGTCGAAGCGACCGGTGACAAGGAAGAGGCCTCGGATAGAGATGAAGATATCACGACCCCAGCATCTCGCCCAGTCGACTGCAAAGTGAGGCAAGCCAGCGGCAAGACTAGGGACCTGCTTGGTGGGCCACAATGAAGCAGACTTGACGTAGCCCGTCTGCTGGATGCTGACCATTGCCAATTGGTGAATAAACTCCTGGCCGTGGCGCACATTATCGCCAAGCAGATGAATACCACGCTTCCAAGCAGCATTGTAAGCGACCTGGATAATGATGGCAAAGTATCTCGGGAAGAGGAAGTTTGGCAGCTCGCGAACAGCATCAAACTTTTCATGCAGCCATGAAGCCGGCTTCTGCAGAGCATTGTATCCTTCCTTGGAAGCTGCCTTTTCAAGACGCCCAATGATGTAATCTGAAGCCCACTGGCCCTGTCGCAGGTGGTCACAGAGTGAATGGCCGAGCTGATTGTATTTGATGATGTCTTCCAAAACACTCCACCAACCTTGAAGTCCAGCATATACAAGCGCTCCATGATTAGGGATACTGTATACGCCATCTTGGCCATCGCTTGAGTCTCTCTCTTCCGCATCGCAGCGATACAGCGCAAAGTTCAAATCGACCAAGCTGAGCTCAGAGAATGCTTCATCTGCGCCGTTGGTGAGATTGTTCTCAAATCCATCTGCGTGATCAGCACCAGGGATCGAGGTCTCAAATAGAGCAATAGAACCAGGAACAAGGGTATCGAGAACGGAGATAGTGACATCCTGGCCCTTCTGTTCGATCTTGGTACTTTCGATATCGCGTGTACGACTGGGAAGACCTGCCAAGAGCTTGTCATCGGCCAGGACCTTTGCCTTTGCTTCCTCTCCAGCATCGACCTCAAGTTGCCAGGAGCCAATGAATTTGGCGTTGGTGCCAGCGATATGAGTTGGGGGCAGGATTGCGCCGCTCTCGTTACCTGGGAAGGCAGTATGCGCGATCAAGAAGATACCCTTCCTGGTTTTGGGGTGGACTCTGTGAACCGTAATGAATTCACCGTCATGATGAATGTGGGTCTCATCATAGCCTTCTACTCCCATCATGGTGTGGAGTTCATTCAAGAGCTTCTTGACTCCACCGATCCCACCCTCTCCAGAACCAGTTGGTAGGCTCTGAATGTCCGAGGACTGCGATGCATATTGTCTAGTTTCGTGAACAAGATCAATCAGTTTAGGGTAGATCTCGTCGTAACCCATCACACTTCCTGTGGCCGACGCGCACATTGCGACCAATGCAGCGTTTGGCAGAGTATCTCTAGCATCGCGCTTCTGTGCAGGCACTTCATTGTCGTGGGTACAGTCCATGAAAAGGGCCGGAACAGGGCATGGCCGAATGTGCGTGATCTCTTCATCTGACTTGCCAGACTTGGCGGAAGCAATTGCGTGGCTACTGCCAGCCGAAGGGAGATTTACTTCGAAGCTGCCGATTGGACGACCACCGTGACGATGAACGAGACGACTCAACTCTTCGGTGCTCCAGGCTTGCATAGCTTCCCGAATCAAAGCATTGATACCCAGTCGCTTGACGAAGACATAGTCAGCATCTTCTGAGCCCGTGAAGAGCTCTGCAAAGACAGTAAGATCAGGTCGAACTTTGCGTGCTTCATCAAGCAGGTATTCTGCAACCGCAAGTGGGGTCGAATGACAGTTGTCAATCCGGAAGCCAGAGAAGTACTTGGCCATAAGGCGGGTGTATCGGGTCATGAAGTCCCAAAGGAAAGGGCTGTCTTCAGGGGAGGATCCATATCGAAGCTTCACACAGTCGCCCCATACGATCACCTCGCGGCGCAGGTATGCCCTAGAATCAGGGCCAGCGTTGTCTCGCATGGCATCGGCATTCCAAATCCAACCGTTGTTTACCAATGCAAGGGCCTTGGGGTTGTGCTTTTTCGTGACTTCGTTGACCGGAAGACGTGTGAAGTAGGTCTCGAATAGAGGGTTCTCTTTGGTGACGGGGCCCATCTTGGGACCGTGGTCCTCAACTCTGAGATACTTGACACGATTAAACAATTGATCCATAATCTCAGCGACGTCTCCATCATATTCTGCGTAGAGAGGCGCGTTGGCTTCATCAAGGAGCTTGGATAAGGTATCTTCGGCCTCAGAAAAGTTGGTGTTTGCTTCGTCGTAATCCCCGAAAAGCACAGTCAAAGCGACAGCGCCGAATTTGGGATCAATGGCACGACCGAACCGTCCAAGAACTTGTTTAACATCAGGTATACCGCATTCACGCGTGACGTTGGCTTGCTGCTTAAGAGACCAACCCTTAAACTGATGCATATCATGGCGTTCAAGGAGTGAATGATCAATCTTTCCGCGCTTCCATTCATCCAAAATACGCTTGGTATCATTCTTTACGTCGAGCACGTAGAATTCCCACAAGCGAATACCATCAATGACTTGCTTTCGCGCAACGTTCATGACTTTTACCAGATCATCCTCTGATTTAAAGTCTGTAGGAAGACCGAGTTCTTGGAGATCGTCTCCAAATTTCAACAGCGCAGTGTCCAACTCGAGGGCTGCTTCCAACCACGGTGCAGTCTCCACGCTGTATCCAGACTCTGGATGCTCCTCAAGCCACTTGCTGTTATTGGCAGTGTGATTCCAGACTACATCAGTCAGAGTGAGGAGTCCATACTCCTTCTCCATTTTCGCGACTAGTGCAGCGACATCATCCTCCCCGTTGGGGAAGAAAGCACTATCAAAGGCTAACTGATCGAAAATGCTGTACGGGGAATTCGAGGATCCGCGCTCCATTAGGGGTGTGAAATGAACCATGTTATAGTTCCGTTCACCAATGCCTCGAAGGTGTCTATCCCAGTCTGTAGGGTATTGACCCATAAACTTTGAGATCACTGAGAAGATGGACAGCGCGTTGAGCGGCAAATCCTTTCCTTGAAGAGTGAGTTTTGGCGACACATCAATGTAATGCACGGGAGTCTCAGTCGGCTCTGGACAAGGCACATCCTCCACAGAAAATTCCGGTAGCGGAGTGAATGTTGTGTAGAACGCGAATGCACCGGCAAAAGCCACAGGAATATCGATCTGGATGTTCTCATTGAAATTGGGTTGCAATCTATTCTTGGTTAGTAATTGCGACCTTGCATCTCACAAAAAGCGAGCGGGATAGAGATATTTACTTGAACTCCCGGAAAGAATAGCGCTCGAATGGCTTGCCCTCTTCAGGAATGTTCACCCAGAGGGTACCCTGTCGACAGATCGAGCTCGTACCCTCGATGATGAAACGGAGCACATATCCACCCTTTGGTGGAGGAGGCAGGTAGATGTACCCACCAGGCACATCTGGAGATCCATCGTCCTTCAAGGGAAGCAGGTAGACCTGACGTGAGGAGCTCATTGCAGCTGTTCGGCAACGATTTGATCAAGCTGGGAATTGCTCAATGGACTGTGAGAGTAGAGGAGAATCTAAAGCGATTCACCTTACTTTCACCTAGAAAGCGCAGAGAAATGGGGAGAGTAGAAAAGGAAAAAAAAGCGAAGAAAAAGCAGGGCACAGAGGGAGCCGAGCGTTCCCCTCAGTCCCGTGTTCCTGGAGAAAGCCCAGACCTGCGGGGAATGACATCATGCATTTGCTTGTCTTGGCACATGTTTTGAGCTCTATATATTCCACTTGCCTCTTTCACTAGGGCTCCATTGGATGCGCCACAAAGCCTGCTACGTAATAAGCTATGCAGCAAATCTCTCATGTACTTTGCGGGAGTTGGATCTCGACTTTCAGAAGAATGGCGTTGTGAATAAGAGCGCGGAAACGGAATGAGCCTCGCTTCCTGATTGCGTTATTTGATATTCCAGTCTAGAGTTTGCATCATTCAACCATCTATGGCATTTGATGCATCAAGTAGTATTTAAATTGGATCCGGATCACAAATAGATTCAACATGGACATGAAACAGAGGAAGCCAGCGCGCAACCTCTGGGCAACCCGTGTTGGAAATCTCCCGCTTCTTCGTATTACCTTAAGACCATGAGTCCGAAATTATCCGGTTTTGTATTATTTGTTCGAATTTACCAAACGCAATACAAAAGAAGGGGGTTACATTCCCATAGCTCCAATGTTGGTAGTTCAAAATCAAAGTTTTTTAGGGTTCGGTCTCGAAATCGGAACACGGTTCGCTTTTTGAAGTCTAAATTAACCTACTGAGGCATGGATTGTTCATAGTAGACATTGATCTGTTTTTGACTATTGAAAAAGGCGAATCTCTCATATCAGGAGGGCCACCGAGAGTGACAGCATTCGATGAGTAGACACCTACTTATACGTTCATAGATCGGAAGCAGAAAGAAGCCCCACCCTTTAAACAACTTAATGTTCAAGTAGCTCACGAATAAGGCAGCTTAAAAGAGCCAAGCTAAAGGGGAACTAGGCCGCAAAAATGGCTAGGCGGCCCAAGGCGGAAGTACTACCCATAAGGGCGCCAGCAGAGCCGGGGCGGAGCGCCAAGCCTGGCTTCGCTTGTTCGCATCTAGAAATCTTTATCTTGGACATGTTTCAACTACCCATCGAAAACATTTCCAATGCTCATGATGAAAGCTATCACTGGAGATATCCCCCGAGGGGGTGCATTTGGCAAGTCTTTTAACAGCCGTGACCAGAACGCCAAAACGGAACGACGCAGGCTGCAGAACAGACGAAATGCACGGGCTTGGAGTGAGTGATTTGGCCTCTTGGTTTCAAAGACTGACATGAGTCACTGATCTGATGGTTCATAGGACACCGCCAACGGATGATAAGAGACTCCGAAGAGTCAGCGCAAAGAGAGGGCTGGGAGAAAGCTCAACTCACAGCTGAGAAAGATTTCGTTGGATCAATACAAACTCCCACCCTGGATTTCACCGAATTAATCAAGATCTCCCGGGAGCAAAGTGAAAATAACGGAAAAGTATTTAGGCAATGTCACTTGTCTCACCCGGATCTCTATCATCTTTTGACGCTCTTCGAATCTGCAGCCTATCGAAGCTACTGTGGGAATCCCCAGGTCGATCACCGCTTAACGTTAGTCAGGCTCAACGTGTTTCGAGCCTTTGTGAGGAACATGACAGCCCTTGGATATACCCGAGAATGGATGACCGATGACTCTCCCTCGCGCTTTAGTGTCATGGGGCCCCATCCGGAGTTCCAGAATGCGGTGGCTATTCCAGCCAGTTTACAACCTACGATATTACAACGGAAGCAGCCTCACCATCCGTGGCTGGACTTCTTTCCCTTTGCGCGCCTCCGCGATAACCTAATACGGCATGCAGATCTCATGGACAATTCTCAACTTTGCCGAGACTTGATGGGATTTTGGACTATGCCGGACGAAGAAAATTGTATGATTGTCTGGGGCGATCCCTGGGATCCGATGAACTGGGAGATCACCGAGACATTTCTACACAGGTGGGGTTGGCTGGTGAAGGGTTGCCCGGAGATCATCTGGTCCACCAACTTTTGGCGCCGGGTCAGAGGAGAGAAGCGGTTGGCTTACAGAGTCTCCTTTGACGAGAAGTGTGGATCTGCTACCCAACCTTAGCGACTTTCTGAGGTAAATTAACGCCTCGCGAACGGTCTCGGTACAGTGAAAATTGCAAAGCCGAAGATCATCACTCCCTTTTCTTGATTGTATGATGAGTTGAATCTATTTTCGGCTACATCGGACATGGCTGCTTCTTCTCTCTACGGGGGTACCCTGGCCGACCAATTCAACCTTGCAAATCCATGCCAAGTGCACAGATCAGGCGGCTATATGTGGGTCTTCATCGGGTTCTCCACTTTCTGTCGGCCGACCTTAATTCCGTATAGTTCCGCATCGGATTTCGGCCCGGCTCATGGATTCATAACTTATGGGAAAGAGAAGGGCTAAATCTTGTTCCAGGTTTATTTCTAACGGTGATTATAAAGATGCACATGACGCACCTGGGCCCTGGAGGTTACGAGTATTTCAGTATCTCCGATAAAATGTTGCAAAAACAAGCTCCACCCGGCATTATCTCTATTGGGTATCCGCTTCAAGTATGCGGGAACTTCGGCCGATGGCACTGAAGGAATTGCAGTATTGGAAAGTATTTTAATCTAAAGTGATCAAGCTTCTCCTAAATTTTAGCATATTGCACCACAATTTTACGATGAAGCTTGTTTTCGGATCTATGAATATTGGCGAGCCAGGTAACTAGCAACCAAATTTTCACAACTGAGAGATGCATTGACTAACGATTACACAAGGCGATGGTCGAACTCGCGTCCATACCCTGGCAGAAGCCAAGGAGATGATCGATCTATTCAAAAGCTATGGCAATGTCGACATCGATACCGCTCGTCTCTACGGTGACGGATCCTCCGAAACATTCTTGGGCAACATAAGCCCAACGGGCGTGAACCTTGACACAAAGCTATTCCCCTCAGCCGCCAATCCAAAAATGGCCTTGATGGGAACCCCCTACCACCACAGCGCCAAGGATCTACGCCTCGGCTTGATGCGAAGTCTCGAAGCACTCAAAGTTCCCAAGGTGCATATCTGGTATCTCCACAGTCCGGACCGCACAGTCCCCTTCGAAGAAACTCTCTGCGAAGTGAACAAGCTCTACCAAGAAGGATACTTTGAGAAGCTGGGAATCAGTAACTACCAATCCTGGGAAGTTGCAAGGTTGTGTGAGATCTCCGAGAAAAATGGCTGGGTCAAGCCCAGCGTTTGTCAAGGAATCTACAATGCTTTTCATCGAGCGGTAGAGCCAGAGCTCTTGCGTTGCCTTCGACACTACGATATCGCATTCTACTGCTTCAACCCACTTGCCGCCGGTATGTTGACCAGTAGATACTCGCGTGAGAAGCCTGAGGCAGCGATCGGCGGGAGATTCGATCTGAACACTGGTCCTGGAGCTCTGGCTCGTCGGAGATACTACCAAGATGTGGACTTCGACGCGCTTGACATTCTACGGCCTGTTGCGCAGAAGCACGGTCTGACGGAGATCGAGTGTGCCCTTAGATGGTTATCTCATCACTCGCAATTAGTGGCCGAAAACGGTGATGGCGTGGTTATTGGATCCAGTAGCCTTCAACAGCTCAGAGAGAATATGGAGGCTATGAAGGGTGGTCCTCTTCCAGAGGAGGTTGTCGACGCCTTAAATAAGGGATGGGAAGTTATTCGCGGGAAAGAACTTCTGTACTGGCACTAACTATTTCCCCATTGAATGTATAATTGTATCTTCCTGTTTGCATAAATAAATATTAGAACAAGGGCTCAGGGCTTTGTGTCAAGTGTGGGATCTGCAGATTCTTCGTATACTAAGCTCAAAGAATTCTACACGTATGAGCTAGTCCGTTTGAAGGGCTTCTTCATTGCCAAAAAATGATTGGCAGTCTACCGCTTGATGTTCTTATTCCAATCCCAAGCATCTTTCACAAAGGTTCAGGTCATTTGGGGTTCAATACCTTTGCTCTCGAAAAGTTCCAGCATTTGATGTTAATAGATGTACTTGAGCTCAAGGGTACAAATATGATATATGCAACTTGGATTGAGATACGTGCATACAGTCTATGATGCCGGGTCTAATTATCAACTGCGAATAAATTGATCCCTGGTAGTGGCCTACAACGTGAGATAAGGTCTCTGGTAGGGCGTAGTATGCAGATGGAGGGGAATCGATGTCATATTTCATATGGGGTCAAATCCTCAGTATATTCCACATTTTAACCAATTCTCTAGCGTAAATCGATACATGAAGTTCATAAGTACAGGTCATGAGAGTCTATAATGTTCAAAGTCGATCCTGGCCCAAATTATAACCGTGCAGCGGTGAACCGAGCGCCGTCATCAGCATGCGAAGTTTGAGCAGAAGTCGAGGTACGGGCTTGAAGGGGGCTATCGGGGCAAATTGTTCAATTAACAACACAAACAAGAATGAAAGGCATGAAAAGGGATTTTACCGCTCAATGAAGTTGGGAATATCCTCAACCTTCATCTTTCCTTCCAAGATACCTGCGTATTGTTAGCTGAGTTCTAAAGAGCATAGAGCGGGGAAAGCTTACGGTAAACGGCAGTGAACAGAGGGAACTGCTCCTCCATGTCTTGGTTCTTGAGGAAGCTGTTGACCTCGTAAGCAGTCAGGGTACCCTGAAGCTTCTGGCCATTGAGCTCGGTCTTCTCAATCTCCTCGATGGGAAGGTTGCGCTCCACGCTGTGCATGGCACAGCGGAAGTTACGACCACCGCTGCAGCTAGTAATCAAATCAGCGACACCAGCACTTTCATCGGTGAAAGTGCGCTGTTCAATGGTGGCGCTGAAGAATTGATCACCGAACTTAACCATCTCCATCAGACCAACACGCATGACAGCAGCCTTGGCGTTGTCACCCCAGCCCATGCCGACAACCCAGCCAGCAGCCAGAGCAACGACGTTCTTGAGAGCGCCACTGATGGACACACCAGCAACATCGTTCACCACGCGGACGTGGAAGTATGGGCGGTGGAAAACAGCCTTGAGGACTGCATGGTCAATGGGTGGGTAGGCTGAGGGAAGAGCCTGCAGCTTGGTATCCGAAATCTTTCCAGAGACATCCTTGTGCTGGAACTCCACGAGGTTGGTCTGGGAGGAGGAAGGCGAACGCTGAGGAGTAGGAGCTTTGGAGTCCATGTGTGGGGGGTCATAGGCAACGCTGGTCTCGGACCACTTCTCCCGGGCAACCTCGTTGGCAATGTTGGCGCCGGAAAGAGCACCACAATAGATGCCAAGAGTCTTGCCAATTGTCTCAGAGAACAGGTTGATACCACTTTCGTTGACATCGACACCCTTGATACAAGAGATACCACGAGCATAAGGCAGGATCTTACCCTTGATCTGTTCGCATGTCTTGATGATGAACTGATGGGGCAGGTTGAAGATAAGAATAGTGGCGTCTTTGACAGCATCCTCCAGGGACGGGTTGGCGTGCAAGTTGACCGGCAACTGAACTCCTGCAAGGTACTTGATATTCTCATGGGTACGGTTAATCACCTCAGTCAACTTCTGGGGACCGGTGAATGAGGGGTCGTAGTTCTGCGAGTCCTTGGGGACCTCGACATTCTCCTCATACACCCACATCTCAACTTTCTCTTCGAAGAGATCCGAGTTGCTCGCGGCATTTTCGGCGACGATCTTGGCGATAGCGGTACCCCTGCACACAAACTACTGTTAGCACTTGTTGTGGGAGAAGATTTTTTTGTCCCTTACCAGTTACCAGAGCCCACCACGGCGAGCTTGTGCTTGCGCTGGAATTGAGCGATAGAACCCATGGTGTGTGTAGAAGTAACAAATGATCGACGGGTACAAGGTCCGGGGATGGTGGGTTTTAAAGGTAAAGGAGCCGGGGACAGACGGGGTGAAACGTATTGGGGAGATTGGGTAAATTGGGACCGGGTGGCTAGCGGCGACCTCGGTATAACAGTGGTACAGAAACGAGGAAAGGAAATCCGACGCAGGCTGGGACTGGAACGAATCTCCATACAAAGTTGCCCAATAAGTTCAGTCTTTCCCGGTTCGATAAGGCAAACTGATGTCAGAGGAAGTGCGTCGAAAAGTATGTGGATCGTCGGAAGGCGAGAAATCACGCAGGATAACAACGTCACAAACACCTTTTTCTCCTCGTGGTCTTACACTAGAGATGAGGTTGAGCCAAACAGCGTTGAGTTCCTGAAAAAAACGGTGGGGAGGGTGGAGCGGGCGGTGAGCTGATTTGGAGAAAGTCGGGCATTTCGCTTTTCCCGATTTTCGTCCGCAGATCTCACATGGCAAAATGGTAAGCTGCATGGGATTCCTCTGTTCCACTTCCCGGTTAATTCTCGTCCACAGGCTCCTATCCGCAAGTCCAACATGGCGAAGACCGCAAAGCCCATGAAGCCTTCGGGTGCGGGCAGAGTCTCATCTGCGTTCGGTGAAGATTTCCGGACCAACAAGCGGGATAAGCGGCAGATCAAACACGCCGCCCTTGTGTCGAAGATTGAGAAGGACTCTCAGAAGACCCCAAAGCGTCGACGGGCACACAAGAAATTGGTCGCCAACCTCGAATCTCTGGCCGATGCCCTGCCCGAAGCAGAGGTGGCCCAGGATGCTGCCAGTCAAGCCAATATCATCAAACAGAAGACTTTGCGACACAAGCCAGGTGCCATAAAGCGCCGAGAGAACATGGAGAAAACCGAGCGGGACCGTTTCAACAAGAACATGGCGGACATGTCTACCATCTCGTCAACTCCAGCTGCCGGAAGTGAGTCGACTGCCACGGCCGGGCGGTGGTCTGCCCTCCGAAGCTTCATTTCGCAGACAATGGAGCAGCAGCCCGTTTTCCAGACGAAGAAATGATCTGGACATATCTGAATTCTAACAACGGAATCCGGTCCACTGAGCACCAGAGGATACTTGGTCGTTCGCCGTGGAGCCCAGTCTACCGAGGCCGGCACTGGGCTGCGACAAATACACCAAGAATGCTTACGCAAGGAAATGAAACTTCAATTCTGAATGCACAGCGTTCATGAAGTGTCAACCAATACGACACAATTCACCTCCGGGCCTGAAAGCTGGCTGGCGAGAAGGATTGGCCCCCTCAAGACTTTGCGATTTAGCCCGTTTTATACTGCTGAACCCCGCTCCAAAATTGCCCGACACAAACTTGAAAAGCCTTAGGGCTGACGGACGCCACCAAGTCCAACTCGACAAATGTGCATACCAAATACCCCTCATTGAATCAAAAGCATACTTCGATATATTCCTATTTGACAATCTGGTCAATCGTAGATACTTGGGCCTTATTCCCAAACAATATGCATTTGCCTCTTCGATAAAGATTGTCGACTTATTTGATCAGGCACAATCCCACAGCATCCTAGTATTCACTACCTACTTCTTTGCGAGAAACAAAAAGCCCCTTTGGATCTTGATTCTGCTTGAGGCTATGCATTCGGGAATAATTGTCGCCCAAACGACATCCGGAGACCAGCCTCTTAAGGATGCGCTTCGTCAGGATAAGTACCTATCTGTCCTTACCCTCGACTGAACGAATTAGAGCGATTTCAGCCTCTGCGGCATTTTGATAATGACAAGCTGCTGGGGCATAAAGTTACAATATCCTTCATATCATTGATTAAGATCTGCAATGACTGAGGGGCAATTGAACGATCCAGGAAATCATGACTGGAATTCTTGATGGCCAGTTGTAGGTCGTGTGTACTTACAAACCGCACGGCCTTCTGAATCTATGAAGCAGTGTGTACCTTCGCAGAGTACAAAGAAATAGGACATTGAGCCACTCTAGCTCCCAATTCTCCCACTGCACGGCAATGGGCTGAGCAGCTCGTTAGGCTCTTGGTGTCTCTACATGCTGTCTGATCAAACTCTACTGCATGGCAAACAGATGCAGCAAACCTGACAGAAATGAGATTACTCTGCAAAGTGTAATTCAAGCGAGATCAATTTTCTCTTAGATGGCCAGCAGTATTCGCATGGTTGGCAGCGGCAATGGCCAGTGCTAGGCGTATCTATGGCTTTGTTAGTTGCAAAGAGAGAATATTGAAATGGTTTGATTATAGCGAGAACCAGCATTTACGATATTCCAAGGTCTATTCTTGCTTTCTCCTGCGTGGTTTTCACTGTCAATATGTACTTCGCATCTGGAGCGGTGTCCAATACGAGACTTGCCATACAGTAACGTTATTCAGGGTATGACATCATTGCCTCAAGTTTAGCGCGGTGAGTTGCAACTGAGCTGCAGGCTGGAGATACGAACACAAATTTCCAAACATAGCCTCCGGTAAAGCTTCAATAGGGACGATGGGACCAGAGAACCCACGTCGATACGATCATACGGTCAAAAAGGAGTTGATCCGAGATGTGGAAGTTCACCGGTCCGCTGACTCATCAGATAAGATCACCTGCGGGGAAAGTTATCTGATGCATCTCTCGGACTCGGGACTTCTGGCTTCTCCAACTTCCTTTGTGATTCCTCTATTGTCCATAGCCCATACTGACTGGCACCCAGCGATGCTGTGGAGGCCTCTACAACGCCGGATTCCGGCCGTGATACACCTCAGGATTGTCCGATGCCATCGCCTTCCTCATCCATACATTGAGTCAACACGCCAATTGTCCAGCTCAACCACTTTCCCAACCCGTTCAGAATTTCATCGCTCAGACTTCACGACTCAGCCTTTTACTGGTAGCTATGAGCCTGGGCTTCCAACGACCGGGCCGCTCGGATCAACACCGGCATTTGGCGCCCCGCGTATTACCCCAAAAGTGCTGAAGCAATATCTCGATCAATACGTGGTAGGCCAAGATCGCGCGAAGAAAGTTCTCAGCGTAGCGGTATATAATCATTATCAGCGCGTTCAAGAGCTATTGCGCCGCGAAGAAGAGGCAGCCGAGGCACGTGCTAAGCGACAGCGGCGGGAGGCACTTGAGAGCCATCCGTTAGAAGGTAATTGTCCAGCTCAACCAATGATAGTTTCGACTGCTTATAAACATCTCTGTTGCAGATGAGTTACCTGTCCCGCACAGAACTGGAGGGATACCACAGACCCCAAAGCCGCATCGCAGTACCCCCCTAGATCTCCCGGAACTCGCCGATACAGCGCCCTTGCAGCTAGAGAAGTCCAATATTCTGCTGTTGGGACCATCTGGTGTCGGAAAAACACTTATGGCAAAGACGCTTGCTCGGGTTCTGTCTGTCCCTTTCAGCATTTCAGACTGCACTGTGTTCACGCAAGCCGGCTACATCGGAGAGGACGCCGAGCAGTGTGTTCACCGACTTTTGGCAGCAGCAGATTACAATGTGGAACAGGCGGAGCGTGGGATCATTGTACTCGATGAGGTTGACAAGATCGCCGCAGCTAAAGTCAGCCATGGCAAAGATGTCGGCGGGGAAGGTGTCCAGCAGGCTCTCCTCAAGATCATCGAAGGTACAACTGTACAGGTTCAAGCCAAGCCCGAAAAGAATCCGCGCACAACCAGTCCTCCGAATAGCTATCCCTCTAATAGCCCACTGGGTAATTCGCCATTCCAATCTAACAGTTCAGGCAACCCAGCCGCGAAGGGTGAAATCTACAATGTGCGCACAGACAATATTTTATTCGTCTTTTCTGGAGCCTTTGTCGGACTTCACAAAGCGGTCATGGACCGGATATCTCGCGGGTCCATTGGCTTTGGTCAGCCCGTACGGGCAGCTTCGAGCACTGCGGACCGCCCAGGGTCATCGAACCTCCCTGCCGACCAGCCCCTTCAAATTATTCCAGGATCCGAAGAAGAAGCGCTATACAAAAAGCATCTCCCCTTCTTCAGCTCTGCAACTCCAGCTGGTCCTGGTGCCGAGCCAACCTACTTCAACCCCCTTGATCTTCTAACTCCAGCAGATTTGCAAAGCTATGGGTTTATCCCAGAGTTGATTGGGCGTATTCCTGTCACCGCCGCACTCTCAACTTTATCTCAATCTTTACTTCTACGCATCCTTACCGAGCCCCACAACTCTCTTTTAGCGCAATACACAACTCTATTTTCTCTTTCAGGCGTCGAACTGCGCTTCACTACCCCGGCATTGCATAAACTCGCTGCCAATGCCTTCACAATGGGTACGGGCGCACGCGCCCTTCGTACCGAGATGGAGACGATTCTCAGTGATGCAATGTTTGAAGCCCCCGGCTCGAGTGTGAAATTTGTTCTCGTGACTGAGGCTGTGGCGGAGCGCAAAGAAAAGCCTCTTTATCTTGCTCGGGGACAAGGTGGTCGGTTCCATGCGATGATCTCTGCCGAGGAAAGTAAATGGGAAGAGAAGACTGGCCGTGAAAAGAAAGATCGAGATATGAAGGCCAAAGCACAGGATGATGCCGGAGATAGCTCCTCTCATCCGTCGAGCTTCCAGGAGTATCGAGACCAAGCGATTGGTTAAAATATCGTGATATATCGATATCGGTTTCGATGATCATACCTTGATTGATCTTGTCATTTTCATATCCCATCTGCATCGGCAGCAACTAGCGTCCTTGGTAGCACAATCAATCTTTGAATTTTCAATTATGATGATGATCTTTCATTTCGGTCCTCACCAGACACCTATAGATCAGAAGCTGTGCTTTTCCGGACTGGCCTCGCATTCTCGATGGATATATCCGTACAACGCACGAGTCGTGAAGCCCTTGCAATGTTTCGTTATACTACCAGGATAGTTCAACGGGTTTGTTCATAAGCCACACTTGAAGCTGTCGAGATAAAGTATGGGGCTCCACCCATGTGGGCGCAGGAGGCCCCACCCGCTGTGCTCTTCTCAAATAAACGACGCCAAGAGCAAGATGAAACATTCGATATATTTGACACCGGACGTGACCCCTGATCGTTCATGAAACAACTGTTATGGAAAATCCTTACCATTTTCAGATTGGCGCTGGGCAGTTCAAACATGCTACTGAGATTTTAACCGACAAGCTGTCAAACCCACCTTATCTTGATATAACTTGCCTGGGTTATAAATACATAGTGGCCGTCCATGGCTCTTTTTCATCTCATCTTCTTTTACATATCTTGATCCTACCTTGACTTTCTGGGATTTTGGGTGGTCCGTTGTATCTACAGCAATGTATAGATCTATTCTACTGTCTGCTCTGGCAGCAGGCATGTCCAACGCATATACTGTCACTGTTTCAGAGCTACTGATGTTCAAGAATATCGACCCAATTGTCTTCCCGGGGCAGTACAACAGTCATATGCACAGTATCTTTGGATCAGATGCCCTCACAGTCAACACAACTAAGTCGTCCGAGCTTCAGAGAGGCTGCTCAACAACTGTGAACCCAAATGACTTCTCAGCCTACTGTAGGTTCCGCGAACCCCGAAAGAGCCACCATCAGAATATATAACTGACTCTGCAAAATATTAGGGGTCCCAACATTATACCTAGTCCAAGACGACAACACTCACACCCCAATCACACCAATGCGCTTCAGCGCATATTACGAAGGACTAGAGGTAGCCGAGATCGCCATCCCACAAGACTACAAAGAAGTTGCAGGCAACGCAACGGCGAAAGCCCAAGAAGATGTCGAGGAGGATGCCGGGATCAGCTGGTTCTGCGAAGGCGACGAAACAGAGGACAAAGATGCGGCTGCCTTCCCAACAAAGACATGCTCAACTCATCTGCAGACACTTCTCCTCTTCCACGACTGTGTCAACCCCAATACCCTAGAGTCTGCCTACTCAGGAAACCCCCGGATAAACGAAGGCTATGGGGAGAACTGGTGTCCCGCGGACATGTCACGCATGCCTCAGCTGCGCTTCTCCATCCGATATGACCTGCGCAAGTTGATTCCCGATGGCTGGTCTGGATCTCCACCCCTGGCACTTGCGTGTGGATCTTCTTATTGCTCGCATGGCGATTTCATCAATGGATGGTTACCCGAGGCTGCGCAGAACATGTTGCTGTCCCCTTCTAAGCAGGAGTATTATGCTGTGGATGGGCCGATGGGTGGTGCAAGTGACGGGTCTGTTTGTGGCGCTGAAAATGCGCGGGATAGCGATCCTACGCATGGTACGAGTGATTATGCAGAAAGTTTGAAGATGATGAGCAGCGGGAGCATGAAGATCAGAAGACACATGAGAAGACATCGCTGGGCTTAGTCAATGTGTGAAGACTGCCAGAGTTCTGTGCAATTTCTTCTCACATAACCTTACGATGACTGAAGATAATAAGCATGAATTGCTCAAATGCTGAAAAGAGCTTTTGGTGTCTTCTATGTCTAAGATGGGACGCCAATTTAAGAAGAACTATAGACGTGTATATAGGATGTTTTTCAAGGCAAAAGAGTGTTAGCTCCGAAATAGAGTGGGAATCCCGCAAACAGCCAATACATTTATTCTGCCCCAGCAACACATTGATTGGAAAGCCCTTACCGGAATTCTGTTATTAGCATTTGCTACCTTGCTCGCCATTCCATGACCCCGATTCGTTTGGTTTCAGTTTAACTCTACTTCAATTCCAATCGAACTTCTTATCTTAATACTGTGGTTCAGATTAAGTTAATGACTGGTGGTATATTGAACCTAGTCTGTCATATCACACGGTCACAATCTCCGAGACCATGGGATAGTAATAACGGAAGTATTAAACGTGTAATGTATGCTTTAGAAGTAAAATGCATTGTCTTCATTGTCTTCATAATGATTAAGATGAGATACTGTTACATATATTAATACCAAGGCATTCACGCAGCATGGCATGAGCAAGAAAGAGACCAAAAACTTGATCTCACGACTTCCTGTTACCAGCAGTGACCTCATCTCTGAAAAATTGCTGGTCAATATTACGGCCTTCATAGAAATTCGCAAATCCATAGTGAACGATAATATGCCCCAGGCTCTCCCATCGGTCCTTCAAACCCGGTGTCTTCGGACACTCGGATACGATAGCAATAACAGTCCCAAACCGGGCGAAATTTCATTTTCGCCTCACTAGCCAACATTTCGATCAGATAATCTGCGTCCCGCTCGGAGTCATCTGCAATGGCGCTGTTTTCGTCTGTGCGATCTTCAGTGTACGGAAGCTCTATTACCGTGCTTGTTTTGTTCTCAATGCATCGTAAAAAGTCTAAACTGGATGGGTCAAAAACTTGAGTTGGAGGGTAGTCGATGTTGTTCCTCATGATCAGACTTTCGATTACCCGTAAGCTGTGTTGAGCATGTTTGTTTAGTAATTGGTTCTGGATAGAGCCAACAAGAGATTGTACATACAGTCGATGGTCTTTTGCAAAACCTGTATCATTCAGCCTTTCTGTAATCCATTGTAGGATGCCTGGGAAAAACACGATTTTCCATTTCCTGGGCTTTTTCCTTTGACAGCGGAAGATCCAACGAAGAACAATGGCAACATCCATAAGTTTGCTCATTGCATCTTTGGTAATAAGCACCATGGCGGCGCCTGGTGTGAGAATTTGTTGTACGTGAGGTGAGGCTGCAATGAGACTGGTATCCGGAAATTCAAGCGGACGGGTAAGGCGGACAACCCAGAAGTTGAAAAACTTTTTGTTGACTTGGGCGATAGGTGGCCGCAACAATCCATAGCTTTGGAAGGACTCGTGGAACTGTCACGATGATTAGCTATCAATCATTCTATTGAAGTTATGGCGCGGGAAAATTACAATAACCACACCTTGCTGATTATCATTCACAAACGAGGCCCAATGATCTGGGCTTTGATTTGTGAGCGAAACGACCCCTTGTTCTGCATAAATCATTTCCATGATTTCAAGCTCGGCCAAGGCGTCCTCATCATCAAGGGAGCAGGCAAGATAAAATTTCTTTGCCTCTAATCGCTGTCCGTTCTCCTTAGTTATGGTAAGATCGGCTGAGTTTAGGCGTCCAGTAGTGAAGTGTTGACGCAAACCATTCAATTGGGCTGTAGTTAGAGGATCTGTGCCTGTAACAGGGGTGGAAAGATCCGAAGTACTCTCACTGGATTCTAGAGCCAACTTGCGGGAAGGGCTTGGAACTTGCTCCGTTTGGTGTGCCAAGAAAGGCTGCGCAGACTGTGTTTCGGTCTGAAGCTGTGGTCCAAGGGAAGAAAATGTGTTTTTTAACCCACTCTCGCGAATGGAGAAAGTATGATTCCGAGCACCAGGAATCCGTGGTTGGCACAACGAGAGATTTTCGCATGCTGTAAGAAGAATAGGAACTCCACTTGGCACATTGCTAATTTGATCATTATGAAGCCAATGGGTCCATTCAGAATTCCGGGAGAAGCGAGACGACACAACCCATGCCAGACGCTTCTTAGTCTCTGAAAAGAAGACAGCAACAAGGTCATTTGTGCGAAGAAATTCAGCCACTCGAAGCAGTGGTTTGTTAGTCTTATCGAAGCCTTCAATCCATCCGGTACGCAAGGAAACCTGGTTTTTAATTAGCCAGTGTCAATGAAAACGGAATAGCTTATGATGCAGTAAACTCAAAGCTCACCGTATGCTGATCTCGAAGATCCATGATTTCGTCAATCTTGCAAACAAAGTTGAAATGAATATCAAGTTGCAATTTTCCCGGTGACTTATTCTTGATCAGATCTCTACCTAGACCTAGTAAGCCACAAGCCCTTGTGTTTCCAACAAACCCTTCATCTATCCCAAAGGAAGTCATCATCAAAACCTCTCCGGGGCCGAACCAGTACCCTCCAGGGATCGTACGAGCATCAGATCCGGGAGTGCGTTTAGGCATTCGGGCGAGCTGCGATTTTTGGGAAAAATCCACAGGAGAAACAGGTCTAGGATTTACCCAGGTGTTCTTAGCAACAGCTGAAATGTTTGACGGCTTTGGGGAACGCAAAAAGTCAGCTGATCGAGACCGTGACCGACGCCTGGCGGGACTTTCCCGCCGAGCAAAGATATCAGAAGGTTTGTAATTGTTTTCTTCCAAAGAACGACGTCGCTTCGCCGTGGACTTCGACATATTAACCTTATCACGGAATGTCTGCTTCCGGGGGCCACTACAACCCGGCGAAGGCTGGGCAGGCGGCAAAGGCAATTGTCTGGAGTCCCCAGTATCCCGAGACAAGGGTGGATTGCTGGGGCGAATTGTAAAGGGCAAATTAGAGGCATCTGTATCGGGGCGGCCTGTCCTCTCCGGAAATTGAGAGGGTCGGATTATGTCCAGCTTTGTGATGTCTGGTGCTGGTTCTCCACGAAACCTTGGATGGGGCCCAGCTTTGGCTACCATTCCTCGTTCGCCAAAGGTCGACGCTGGTTTATTTGAGGTTGTAAATGTCAACGCAGGTGTCATCTCGTGTTTCCATTGGTGTGGATATGTGTACGAGGATGCGATATCGGGTAGGGGCGTGTATGGAGCTGCGTGAGTGGGTGCAGATTGTGGTGCCCGTTGAATTGGCAGCTGAGGTGGGCCAAGTCTCTGCCGCTTGTTACTGTCTGCAACGTCTGAGGCAGGCGGCTGCTTTCTGCACGTATGAGATTCCGGCAGCTGAAGCTCCGGCAAGATCTGGCTTACTCCCGAGTTTCTGGAGAACGATACCCGATTTTGCAAACCAGGTAAGGTTGATGAGTTGCCTTTATTTACTGACAATGGAGCTCGGGGCTCTTGCGTGAGGGTGTGGGATTCCACCAGATCTGCTGAAAGTTGTTCACTCGACATGCGCATTTCTCGTCTTTGTCGGCGCTCACGGCGGAGGTTACGATCTCGCTTGAGCTTTTCACAGTGTTCCTCCCAGGACCGAAGGTCGAAGGGCTCGTGGTGTCCTAACTTAATAGCTTTTTTTTTTCTGGATCCAATCCCTTAGGGTAGTGACTTCATCATCAAACATTTCAACTGGCTCCCATGTTGCTCTTTCAGCAGGATATCCTTCCCATTTGATAAGGTATTCGGTGTGGCCTTTAGAAACACGCTCAGCCCAAATGGTCTCGACAGCGTACGACTTGTCCTCATCTTGATTACTTGCAAGTGAGGATAAGTCCTCATCAGAGTCATTTGCCAAAAGAGCATTTCTTTTAGCACTGGAAGACATCACAGCATCGACAAGCGCATCGGCCACAATCACCGAGGGAAGCTGGACGATGAGCCTGTGAAGCCGATTACATGGATACCAAGCAATATCACATTTCCAGAGAGCCAAGGCTCAGATGCTAAAGACACAGTGTAGCTGAAGCTCGAAGGTGGGATTAGAGAAAGGGCCTTGGGTGAATGTCAACATCAATCAGCACGAAGCACCAGCAAGCAACCGAATCGACCATTCAGGTGATTCCAATATTATATTAGAATATTTAGGCCAAGGCCAGCTGCAAGAACAGAACGCTTTGTGACCAGGAGAGTGATGCCATGCGCCAAGTCCAAACGTGAAGCTTCACTTGCTATATTGCCGATAGCACAGACCGCCCGCGATAAAAACACCAGATCACATGATCCGCTAAGCCGGGCTCGGCATTAAGGAGAGGCCAAAGACATCACTCCCCTACTGATTCTCATTGCTTTCTGTGTGTGCTCCCCTTTATTTGCTTCTGCCTGCAGGCTTAGTGCTGACATATCTACTTCAACTCTCCAGTCCCTCTTTCCAGTCTTCACTTATTACCACCCCGCCACTCACTCTTCGATACCACCCCTCGAGCTTGAGCTCGATCACATTCAAAATGGCCAACGACGAATATGACGTGAGTCGACCCAGTTCATTATTCTCCCTTGTATCAATATACTGATGATGTTGCCATATAGTTCCTCTTCAAAGGTAACGTTGCCACCATCTGCTGATGTCTGCCTTCGCATTATTCCGCCTCCCCCCTTGTCCCAAAAATCGCGAGACTGATCGTGGACATATCATTATGGTGAATAGTGGTGCTTATCGGAGACTCTGGTGTTGGTAAATCCAATTTGCTCAGTCGTTTCACCCGCAACGAGTTCAACCTGGACTCGAAGTCAACGATCGGTGTGGAGTTCGCGACTCGCTCTATTCAAGTCGACTCGAAGACAATCAAGGCACAGATCTGGGATACCGCTGGCCAGGAGCGCTACCGTGCCATTACCTCTGCCTACTACCGCGGCGCTGTCGGTGCCCTCCTCGTCTACGATATCAGCAAACACCAGACCTACGAGAATGTCAACCGTTGGTTGAAGGAGCTGCGGGATCACGCTGACTCCAACATTGTTATCATGCTTGTTGGCAACAAGAGCGATTTGCGCCACCTGCGTGCGGTCCCCACTGAGGAGGCCAAGCAGTTCGCCAGTGTGTTCCTCCGATAACTTGAATTCTTGACTAGGTGGCGCTGACAACCAACAGGCGAGAACAATCTCTCATTCATCGAAACCTCCGCCCTTGATGCCAGCAACGTTGAGCTGGCCTTCCAAAACATCCTCACAGGTAGGTGATCACGTCTCCCAACCCTTGACTGAATGCTTACCCTTCCAGAAATCTACCGCATCGTCTCCAGCAAGGCCCTCGACTCCGGAGAGGGTGGCTCCAACCAGGTCGGTGACCGCCGCCCAGTCATCGACTTCACCCCGCAGGACACCGAGCAGAAGCAGGGCTGCTGCTAGTTTCACTCTTCGCGAGGACGACGCACCGACCGCCACGACTCTTCTTTTTGCGATGTGATATTGAGATGGTCTTGATCTGTGCTGGAGTCTGGAATTTGACGGCTACAAAGATGATACACAGGCGGGATCCGGTAGAGAAACTATTTGGGAAGACAGAGGTCTCCGAGAACCGATGTACCAGGCTGTTGGATTCCCTTCTCCCGCTTTTCTTTTTCTTTTGTTAACTTCTTTCTCGTCGTCAACGAAATTGATCCCCTTTTTTTCCTTTTCGCGCAACTGATGTGCTTGATTTGTTTCTACGTTGGGTTGCCGCACTTTGCTGGTACAATGAGCTCGGGCGTCTGCCGTTGCGGCTGTGTGTTTTTTTGTATGAAAGTTCCGAAAATCAGTATATTCTTTCTCGTACTTTGTTGGTACTGTCCGATGGAAACAAAGTGTCCCTAAAGCTGAAGATTGGGGCCCACAGGCTCCACATGGCAATTTACTTGTCCGGTCTGGCCTTTTATAGCGCAGTATTAATAATTAGCGCCTACACGGAGCAGGGCCTAGGAGAGTAGATCGTCATTTATGACAAGATCAACAGGGGCAGATCTCTTGTAAGGAACAAATCAGGTGTAGTTACGAACCCCTATACGACAATTTCCACGCTCGCTGGACTATCAATTGCCTCTCCGGTCGAGAAAAGAACACATATGGACCCACAGATAGAAAACTCCAGAACAAGACCAGTTCGCATAGTTCACACTAACCACATAACGTTATGTCTAATCAAGCACTATGCCCATGTCGCGATCAACAACGGCTGACCGTAACTCTCCGACATCCAGACCGCGCTCATTCATCACATATTCCAACGTATCACCAAATGTCTCACCGTTATCGCGGAACCAATCTCCCAGGGAGCATACATACTCCTCCACCTGCTCTTTCAAGAGAGCATGATCACGCAACCATAAGATCTGCCCAGGATCAAGCTTCATCATATCCTGGATGATGTAGTAGTGGGGGATCTCATCTCCCCAGCCCTCAGAGCCCGGGTCGTGAGATAGATCATTGCGAAACCGGGACCGATATTTGGCTGGGGAATCAGTGAAATTGCTCGGGTGGGCAACATGGAAATATTGCTGCAGTGAAGAACCCGGAGATTTTCCAAACGACAACTGAGTCTCCAACGAGAACGGATTTGATGGAGGAGGATAATTCAGATGGATGTTGAACGAGAGCTGATGATTACTTTCAGGATAGCGCTTGCGGAACTTGCGTTGAATAGTCCCGTTGCTGGGACAGATATGGTTCTGCACGACGTCACTCATGACAAGACGAAGGTCTTCAATCTCGGCCAGCTCTTGCGTTGACCAATTGTGGAGAAGCTGAGCCCGTTCTAGGACTACTTGGCGGATATTGCGAGAATGTCGGTCATAGGCACGAGAATGGAATGCGTTGTGGTATAACCATAGTCGATACACCGCACGGCGCACGCGCAATCGCTCTTGACAGGTGAGAGAGCGGCGGTTCTCATAGTCCGCTTTCCACTTTTTGAATGGAAAGACGGTCTCCCATTTCTGGGCCACCAGGCCTATCTGGATGACTTGTTTTAGGAGAGCATCCGACATGGGTGCATGCCGGATTTGATGGGCTGGCTGGCTGTCGTTTTGCGTTACCACTTGGATGATATCATTGAGGGGGCCAAATTGGGTCTCGGCCACATTGGCTATGATTTGTTGCTTGTTTGACGATTTGAAGATGCGGTTGAGTCGACGGGAGCTTGCTGATAAGTTGAAGACATCTGAGACAGAATTGCAAGATCGAAATATTTGAAGCACAAGCTCCGTTGCAAGATGTTCAACTGTCATGATGGTCTAATGTGATTCTGTAAACATAGATGCTCGTCAGAATGACTCATGCGATTTATCAACAATATACATTGTGGGTGGTTTACCGTTTGAAGGTTGTCTGGGTCAGGTCAATCAATTATGACAGAAAAAGTAGAAGATGAATTCCCAAGATCTAGGTTTAGATCAAGTTGGACAGTGCTGTTGCGAATTGATGCAACAACAGTCGCGCGTACGGTTGGGTTTATTAGAAATACACCCCGCCGTTGGGGCTGGCAAAAGAAACAGACATGGATTGGAATGCAGACATGTTAAGGTAGTGATCTTCTTGCAGCCAGGCAAAGCGGTTCAGAACACTGTATGCCATGATAGATGATGTCAAAGGGAGGTTACAATTGACGGGGTTGGGTTGCGGATCGCGACATTTATATGGAGCTTAGCTAATCTCGCCCCTTACATCCAATACTTCACAAGCTTGACGCTTGATGGGCGGAACGAGGGAAATGTACTGTGAAAAAGTATGGAAATAATCAACTTTTGAAATAAACCAGGATGAGACATTGCCCCGACGCCTTAACGGACCATGATGAGAGCGTCGCATCAAATATACACATATAGTCGAAACATCATCCCGAGGGATATCAAGTCTAGAAATAGCACGACGAAACAGAAACACAGACCCCCTATGCAAATAGCTTCCTTGTGTCCAAGGCATCCTGCTTGCGCTCGGAGTTGTCGGACAAACCCAGACCGGAGAGCTTGGCCACCCGGTCGGTCTGGTCATCTCGGCGCTGGGAGTAGCGGCCAGCCTTACCCATGCGAACTTCACGACGGACCTGGTTGGGGCTGACGTATTCCTTGTTCTCGTAGATAACGGGTCCACCGAAGCTGCCCTCCAGAATGACGATGGGGGTCAGGACGAAGCGGGGACCAATCTCAACCAGAGAAACCTCGGGCAGACCGTCCTTGCCCTTGGGCACGGGCTTGGCTTCCTGTTCGCCCTCCTTCTTCTTACCACCCTCAGACTCGCGGATCTCGTAAACGCGAATCCAGATCTTGCCATCCACACCGAAGATACCAATGATGCGATCGACGAAAGGCTTCATGCCTCTGACACCACGCTTGGGGACACAGAAGACTCCGCGCAACATCTCCCGGACAAGCGCACGGTATTCACTGCCAGCAACACCCATGTCGGGGCCCTGTTCGTCGAAGGACCGGTCGAACACGACCAGGCCGCGACCGCCCTTAAGGCAGTTTCCTGCGAATCCTGCGCCGAGCTCTCCCATTGTGTGCAAATTGTTAAGGTGGAACTTGATTGTGGGTCCGTTAGGGGGACGCGACAGCCAGAGGTAGAGATCCTGGCCGTTCTTCTTGGCCTCAAGGAAGAAGATGACATTGCATGAGTGCAGATCGGCGAGAGAGTTAAGAAGGAGGTTGTAGCCAGCGGTCTTCTTTTTCGTATCAAGCTTGGTCTCTTTGTGGGTGTGAGGAAGGAGGCCGCAGATATCTGACATCAAGTGACGATGGCTGAAAGCAATTGTCACAGGTCAGTAAAACTGTTCAGCATTCTTTTCAAAGCGCGATGTCCTTACCGGTATGAAGCACCTCTCGAAGTGAGAATGAGTACTCGGGTCTTAGGCATGAATCCAGAGGCAAGTTGCTTCTTGGCCTCCTCGACTCCCTCATCCTCTTCTTCCTCCTCGCTATCGGTGGTGTCGTCCTCCGCAGCGAGGAGCTCCTCCATCTGGATATCTTCGTCGTCCAGCTCCTCCATTGGCTGTTGAGCCTTCTTCTTTGAGACAGTCTTGTAAACAGCAGCCATGGTGACTGCTTTTTGTGTGAAAGTTGGATTGAAATAGTTCTTGCAAAACTAGCCCGAGATCGAAAAGTTGATGGCAGAATATTTTTTGTTCCCCACCGCTCTTGGAGATCAAAGGTCACGTGCAAAGATAGGAAGTTTTAGTTACCCATCTGCCTCCCGTGACCGCCTGCGGGTCTGCCATGGATCAAAAACATTCACTTACAATCTTACACACTCAAGTTTGGCTAACGTGAACGTTGAGTTAATCATCTGCAAATGTATTTAATTGTGTCTGATTCTTCTACCTCGGCCAGATACTTTAACCACTAAATCTTAGCAGTAGAAGTATTACATGAATAGTGTCAACATCAACTCCCGGAGAATAACTTATTGTATATTTCCAGACAAAATTACATATTCCATAATGGTTGAGCTGATTACGACTTTAGTCTGAGGTGTAGGTCTATACCTAGCTTTGGGCTGAAGAAGAATTATATAACGCTGCATGGAGGCCAGAGATATGGTCACCCAATAACGTTGAGTTATACATAATCGTCTAATGCCCTATGTAGAGATGAGAATCCCTCCTGTGTTACTTTCAGGCCAGCAAGGCGATTTGCAAAGTTGAGTCTTCTTTGGAAGTCCCACTCCTTGCTGCGGTAGATCAAACCGTATAAGATACCTGCGATGAAGGTATCTCCCGCCCCGATAGTACTATAGATTATTAGTATGACAGTTTTGAATATGATATGCTCAGACTTACTCAATAATGTCCATGTTTCCGTCATTGTGTGCCGGCACATCAATTATCTCACATGTCTGCCTTTCAAATGCGGCGGCACCGGCATCTCCCCATGTGCAAAAGAGTAAAGAGCTGTGGGAACGAGTGTTGTCAATCTGTGATCTTGAATAAATTGTTGCATATGAATCGTGACTAACGCTTGAGGTACTTTTACTGATTGTTCTCGCAGACATTCCTCGGCAGAGGAATATCCCTCATGCTGGGCATATGTTAGACATGCGATTCAGGATGGCACAGAGAATATGAATTTACCTGCGCCCACCCTTTTGAATAGAAAACAACGTCTGCTGTCTCTGCAAGCTCCTGCAAGCCGGGCCGCCCCGGCTTTTCAACCTCAACCGTTATCTGGGCTCCCGTGTAGTGAAGTCGGATGTATTCAATGCATTTGATTGTCACGGTTGGTATACGGCCCTTCGCAATTGTTAGCATCCAATGAGGCCGACTGAGATCAATGAAGAACACCCCGTCTAATTTGAACCTACTTCAAAGTGAAACCAGGACTTATTAGCAACTCCACGCATGCTCTCGACTGCCATCTTGAACTCCTCAAGGGTCATGTCAGGCAGCTCATTGTGATTAACAATTGTTCTGCTACCAGTCTTTTGGCTCTTAATGACATAGCTGGATGCCGGCTCGTTGAATTGTTCGCGGTAGATACAATTATCCAACTGTACTTGTTTGCCGAGACTCTTTTTCAACAATTGGGATGCTTCTGACGATCTAGAAGGGAGAACAGTGATCAAATTCAACGATAACTTTTCGTCGGATAGTCCGCGTTCCACTAATTGCCCCAGGACCTCGAGTGTGTTTGGACAATTTCCTCCCCGACGATGACTGATAGTTGAAGCTCGGAGCTTCTCATCTTCGCCAGGATAATAAGGCACTCTGATGTATGTTAGAAAATAGAGCATTTGTGTGGAGGTGGGGCAGGAACAGACGTTAAAATGGTATCAAAATAGCACGCTCCCAACGCAATAAGAGCCATGATTTGATTATGATTTTTGACCGGCTTTTGACTTGGTAGCAAGGCACTAGCAGGTTGTTGATAGAGTCCAAAGGATGCTTAGGGCAATAAGTATCGGAACACGTGACTGACTGCGATCACGTGTTATTATATGAGTGGGGGCCTTGCCACTATCAACGACTTTAACCACTCCATGCTAACAACCATATTCACATGATACAATCCCGATTGTCTGAGAGTCGGTACCTTTATATAGTGCCCACTTAGTTTTCTCGGTGGTGGGTCGATGGGTGAACACTTTTACCACCAACTACAAAAAAATATAAAATATGAAGGTGTCACCATGTCTGTATTACCAACCAAAATTCTCACTATGAAACCAGACATTCCTGCCCTTCTAGATCCAAATACCTATGGCATTTCTCAAATCACTTGTCATTAGTTCTGGCCCACAAACGACAACGGCACAGTGTTCATGAACGCCGTACCCTAAGAATTCATCCACAATTTCCTGCAAATCCGGCCGCCTCCGAATTTCTGGCGGTACTGTTGCATTTTGCTGGCGGTCCTTCTCAAGTATGTCTAGCTCAACGTCACCAAATTCACCCGGAAGACCTGTTGAGCTGCCGGCAGAGTCGGAATCGGCTTGCTCTCCAGTCACGAAAACCCGAATTCTATTGTCGTCTTTTGCTACGCGAGACCAGACGAGTTCATCAGTATTTCGCACTGCCCAAACAAGCTGAACTCGTGCCGCAGGATTTTCGGTTATGATATGCTCATATAGCGGCGTAATAAAAGTTGCCCCAACTCCACCGGCCACGAGGAGGACCTTGTCGAAGCCAGCTGCGAGGTCCGGAAAATACGTAGCCGCGCCGTATGGACCGTCGAGGTTGAGCGTGAGCTTGGTGTTAGGCCAGTGCACGCCAGCGAACCTCGCGAGAGTCTGGGTTGCTAGCCCATGCATACGGCGTGCGACGAATGTGAGATATCCCGTCTCCTCATTCGCGGAAACTACCGTGAAGGGATTTGATAATACTCCGGACGGTAGAAATGTAGCTTGTGGAACGCTCAAATATGCATGGGAGCCTGGATGTGCTGCGAAGCGACGTAGCCTCGCTGGGGGCACCTCCGTCATTACTTTGATAAGATCGGTACCAGGGACCATATCGACGGTGGCTGGACAGGCAACGGTGTAGAATTTCCGTGCAACCATATCAGCAATGAGGACCAAGAAAGCCTGCGCCATAAACAGACGACCGTGCGGTACGTGGAACCATATTGAAATTGGAAGGACTAAGGCCACGGCGAGATGAGTAATGAAAAACACCCGGTAGGAGTATTGTCTGACAACCTTGATCGTGGTTGCACTGAGACACGTCATTCCCAGCAGGCCAAGCATACCGAGGACAGGCACTGTACGAAAGAAGGCAGCACCTAGACCGCCGACTTGGATGTAGTAATTAATGTAGAAGCTGCCATGAAGGAAAATGAAGAAATAGCTGATCCAGCCCAGGACACGATGCCATCGATTGATGTTCTCATGTGAAGTTCGAAAGGCGATTGCGACTGGATTCAGACGTTTCAAGGACAGAAGGTATTGAATTGGAAGCTGTGAAGCGCCGAGGGCACCGAATTTCCGCGTGAGCAGGAAATAATCTACGCCAGATTAGTTCAGGGCGTGATAAACAAAGACATCCCCTAAAAAGGCGGCGTACCGTTTCTAGTCTGATTCAAACACAAAAACATCAGCCAGGCTGTCCACATTCCACCGAAGATGAGTTGGTCCACTCGGCTCCATCTCTGACCAGCAATTTCAATGTCGTTCTCTAACCACCAGAGCCAACGTCGCAGCTTTTGTGTGAGCGAGAATGCAATAGTCCGCTTAGGGGGTTTTGTAGATGGAGAGGTTGGGACAGCATCATAGGAAGGGTTCTTCCCAAGTGTCTTATTTAGTATCTTCCGTGTGAGCCTAAAGATGAGAACCAAGGTGATTGGAATAAATGCTGAGAGTTGACCATAGAGCCCGTATCGATCAAGTATAGCACGACGCTCCTGTCTACCGGCTTCGTCGAGGTGCAGAAACTGGTAGGGCCACTCCATAATATTGGCTAAGAGTGGCTCGCCTGTCAACTCAGAGATGATATGAGCGAAGGCGAACAATAGTCAATCCAACACGCAAGGTGTTAAGATTAGGACGGGATTCGCGGCTGGACGGTGATTTCAGAGTCCGAAGACATCATTCGCACGCTTTCACTTGATTTCTTGTCAGAGCCGAAGTCAAAACATTGTCAAATAGTAATACCGAAGTCTCGATGATCATTTCTGGATGTTCCTGCGTTCTTGTTACCATGCACATCGGTCCGAGTGTGTTCAAATGCCCGAACGGACGACTGAGCCTCCAGCCGTCAAGAGAACCATGACACAATCGTTCGGAAAATGTCGCTTTTCTTCGGTAGATGACATTGCGCTGCTAGTATGTGGTACAATAGTTATGCACGATTTCGATTTGAGAAGGTTACCCTTGTGCTCCGGTCCAAACGTGGATCCGCAGCCGAGGGCTCATCTCTCCTGCAAACTATTCGGAATTGAAGAAGCTGCCGTAGAGGCTCGGTTTAAGCTGCTCGGGTGTAATACTTCTGGCCAATGGTTCACGAGGAAATTGCTGAGTCCGAGAGGCTTCACCAGGGCTGTATGCCCTAAATATGGTTGCCCCCTCGGTGGTTGAAAATTTGTATAAAACAGTCATACGATACTTGACCACGCACTCTGGATATTGAAGTATAGTCTTGATATAAGTTTTGAAAAGCTTCAATTGCCATCAGGGAGTACTTCTTTCGACACCATGCGTTTCACCCAGGCTTTCTTTATGGCTATGGTGGCCACCTCGGCCATCGCCGCCGCCATTCCGGACATCCAGCCGTAAGTACTGTAAAGAGATGTTCGCCACTTTATGAGACTGATATTATTTCAATAGCATCGCTGTTCTCCCTCGTCATGAGGAGACCGTCATTCCCGACAAGCAGAAGTATGATCGTCGTGAGATCGACACTGTCATCCCAGACAAGCAGAAGTACGACCGCCGTGAGGTCGACACTGTCATCCCCGACAAGCAGAAGTATGACCGCCGTGAGGTCGACACTGTCATCCCCGACAAGCAGAAGTATGACCGTCGTGAGGTCGACACTGTCATCCCCGACAAGCAGAAGTACGACCGCCGTGAGGTCGACACTGTCATCCCCGACAAGCAGAAGTACGACCGCCGTGAGGTCGACACTGTCATCCCCGACAAGCAGAAGTATGACCGTCGTGAGGTCGACACTGTCATTCCCGACAAGCAGAAGTACGACTAATGGAGCAACACATGCCTCAATCTCGCTACTGCCTAGACAGATATGCGAGGTCTCGGCCTCGCGTTGTTGATTTAAATCCTCTGGGTGCGATCACATGTCGGAAGATTTTTCGGATATCGTGGGGCTCGAGGCTGGTAGCTAGCGGTCAATATATGATTATATGTCAAGGAAGAGGCAATGTGGAATATCCTTCAAGATAGGTAGTCTGATACTCGTTATATCTTTGCTTCACGCCTATATTGCAGGTAAAATAATGAGCTTCGATCCGCGTAAATAAATAGCAATAGAATGTAGGCTTCCTTAAATTGCACAACACGAAAAGTGGGTAGATTAATATTTGACAAAGCCTGTTACGCGGAGCAACATTAGTTGGAAAGCCATGCAGACTTGTTATGGAAGTATGTTCAAGCGAGAACCCTTTTCCACAATTGGCTTGACTAGTCAAATCATTCGAAAGGCTTGGTCTATGAATGTCCCAATGCTGCAAAAATAGTTTAACTTAATGCGAAATTGGTGCCAGAGATCCTTAGCTAGTACATACTTCCTTGTCAGTTTGTACGTATTCTTTGGACAATCTTACAGTTCATTACCCTGTACACTAATATTAGCAGTTATTTCTCTTGATTGATCAAGTGACCACCTCACTCCTACACGCACTGCCTAGACACTGAATGCTTGTCGTTGTAATTAGTGGGAGCCAATCTGTTGTTCAGCCCTGATCTGCGGCTCCTCGGACCGACCCGCTTTCGAATCCGCAGCTCGGCCCCACCCAGAATACCCGGTCGGATTTGGTGAATTCGTACACCTCCGAGAGCCAAAATCAGCCTCGGCTCTGTTCCACCTGATGTCATTTAGCGCTCGTGTTAGTGTGCTTTATCTGGTTGGTATACCTTTACCCAAACTCTGCGTCGAACCTGGTATTGTCATCTGGACCTGAGGCTGACCCGTTCGCCAACTTGTGCAATACAATGGCTCAACATAGCTCGAAAGAGAACCCCCGGGAGAATCTTCGCCAAAGCTCTGACGTTTCAGAGCACCGAAATCTCCTTGGCGCCTATGATCAGCTAGAAGACAAGAGCGAAGAGGAGTGGGTGGGAGATGAACGCCTCCCTCGGCGGACTAGGAAGGTGATTCCTCGACCGGCCACTGCCAAAGGATGGGTGCTTCTTGGCTTTCTCGTGACAACCGTGATGGGACTCGGTGCAGTTCTGGGCTTTTCCCTAAAGCGAGCTTCGACGTTGGAATGTGTCCGGATGAGTTCGAGTTACTGTGAGTTAGGGGACTTCTCCGGAATGTCATCCTGACGTTAGCCATGGGGTAACTAATATCTTGATCCTCTAGCACCTCTGTTGGAGTCGGTCGAGTATTACGATCTTGAGTTTCAAGCAGAATTAGGAGTACAAAATGAGTACAAGGGACATCCGCGTCCCGAGCTGGATGCGATGTGGAATCGAATCGGGAAAAGTGAGTTACGATCATGTATCTTCTGAATCTTAGTGTCTCAGCTGCTTATCCTGAATTTTAGTACATCCTATATCCATGCCACAGAAATATCTGGGTGTTCTCAACAAGACCGGATCAGGCATTTCGTATTCCGAGGAGCAAGGGGGTGGGATCATGGTAGAGATTGAAGTTTTCCACCAGCTTCATTGCCTAGTACGACCAGCCTCCAATCCACGTGTGATATCTATGTCATGAGCATTTCTGATTGCTTAAATCTAGAATTTCCTTCGAAAGGTCATCTACGCCGACTACTACACGCGGCCGGAGAACATGCCAGCGGAGTTCATGGTCGGTGATGACCTTTTCTACAACCACATTGGTAAGCCATAGGAAACGATAAACTGACAGCGCACTAAAGAATGGAACGACGAGCTGACCATTTTCAGACCACTGTATCGACTTCCTCCGCCAGGTGCTGATGTGTGCAGGAGACGTCACGCCGGTGACGTCCAACTGGGTTCTTACGCACCACAGCCCGCACCCGGACTTCAACACAATGCACAAGTGCCGCAATTTCGACAGGTTACTCGAGTTTGTAGAGGAGAACGACAATGGTGGCGTCCCAAAACAAACTCCGAACCCTAGCTGGCGGCCGCCACCGGGCCTGGACAAAACCATATTTGACTACGAGCCGAATTATCCTAGTATATACCATGGACCAGCGGTCAATGACTCGGATAGGTGGACTCATAACCATTAGGGTTGCTGTATTGAATCGTCTGGAGCTTAGATATACTCCCGATCTGTTGAGATAATATATTCACGAGTAATCTACACAATGTTCTCGAAATAGTGTAGTAAGACCGTCGGATGTACTCAGCTTCAGGGTTGTCCAAAGTAGGCCTAAAACTTCAATCTATATATGCCACGAGGCTGCATGTGATTGTATTTATAGTATTCATGACGAGTACATGAGTAGAATCAAAAGCCATATCCGAATGAGGCTTGATACCTTACAGGAGTCTCTCCTCCTTTCAATTTACGGGTTTGCCACTTCCATTGAAAAAAGGCCATAGCAAGAGCAGCTACGTGAGTTTTGAGCCAAGCCAACCGTCCAAAGAAGATAGTTGGGCATGTGGGCTAATGGACAGCAGGAGATTGCCAAAACTACCACGCTCAAGATAATGCAGTTGATTTCTCTCGGGTGATCTTCCTAATGCCTCGGAAATGTAAATGATTCGGCATACCGGAAGAGATCACTCAAATCACTGCAGAGGCCCCTTTTTGCGAACCCCCACAGCCTCGTCCCCAGAAGACTTCTGCGACCTGCGATTGGACTACCAGAACAATAGTTTGGAGAGCAATGAGGTCCGGAACCGTTACCGATGGGCATTACCGAGCACAGTCAGACCAATTCATGCAGCTCGGAGTCTCAATCCGAGTTACGGTGCGAAAACCGAGCGATTTCCATCTTTGCTTCGGCTAGTCGGACCTGTATTCACTATTACCCGGATTGATGATCAACGACTCAGTCGCACCATTCCATGTATAGCTTCCTTTATCTCGCCCAGCGCCTCACGTCCTGGGACGCTACGACGCGGTAAATCTCAGAATTATCCATCATCACCGACGCCCACCAACCCGCTTTGGTTGTGACTGTGCAAAGGCACATTCACTCACACCAGCATGTGGCCAGGAAAGATCAGCACCACGTATGACCGCCTACGGGGAGTCGACAGTCACTCCGGATCAGAGACCCAGCAGCCCTTCAGTGACCGGGAGGCGCTAAAACAAGAGGTCGAAAATGAGCTTAGCAGTGCACCCCGCCCACACCGGCTCCAACAGCTGCGCGAGGTCATTCTCATTCTCGCGGCTGCTATCTGCCTCTGGATTGTGCTCGTCACAGCCTGGCGCACGACCGTCCACCCGGCCTCGGTCACAGTCCGCTACGAGAAGAAGACGTTGCACTGTGGTAACTCAACAGCCGAGGCCGAGGCCGCCGGCTGCGCGTTCGATCTCCTTTCGCACAACTGGATGGCGCCGCAGTGCCTGGATCCACTCACAGAGGCCGAGTATCGCGCCTACGTCACTAGTCCGGAGCGCATGATGGGGCCCTATCCGTACTTTCTCGATGCTGAAGGCACGCGAAGGGTCGGTGATGAGCGGGCCTTTGCGCTTTTAGCTGACGGTCACCCAGTGCTGGCTGATCAGCATGTCTATACAACCCGTGAGGAGCACCTGGCGCATTGTAAGTTCCTGATGCGGAGAATGCACCGCGCTGTTGAGGGTAAGGTGCGTTTAAATGATGAAAACCTTGGCTTTTGGCATACGGCGCATTGTCTGGAGGAAATAAGCCATCCGGACAGAAAGCCATTGGGTGAACTGAATGAGGGCTTCTATGTGGGATATGCGCCTTGTACTATCGAAGTGCCTGTTTAGTAGATTCATGGATGTCTCAAGTTCTCTTGTTCATGGATCGTCTCCTGAACTATTTTCGAAAAATGAAACACAAGAACCAAGAATGGTCTGGTGTAGAAGAGAACTTTACTGCCATGGTTGTAGCCTAAATACGTAGCTGTGAAGGCATATTGACTGGGACGCGGTGGAGAGATAGACGTTGATACTTATAGAAAGTGGGAAATGCAATCTTAGGACCTCCCACTGACGGAGAAAACGTCCCTAAGGAAAATGTGCAACAACAGATAGGGCTCCTATCATGGCACCCAGACTCCTATGTCGAGTCAGAGCACGAATACAAAAAGTTCAGACCCTGCCTTCACGTTCAATCAGTTGCCATATCCTGCTGTCTCGCCTTGATATGTTGTTGTGCGATTCTCACGATCTCGGTGATTTCTTCGAGCGGGCCCTCGATATTTGCCAAAGCCATGCGGCCAAAAAAGCCGGCTGCCGTAGCCAAGTATGACAGATCAGTACGATGCCCAGCCAGAGGAGTCCTGATTGTGGCAGCAGCCAAGCTGCAGGTGGCAATGCACACCAGCCGGTACATGCTTCTGCACCAGAGTCAGTGCGCAGCCTTGATATCGCTCTTGACAGAGCATGGACCGGGAGAGTTTGAAGACTTACGGATCCAGCCGAACATCCGATTCTGTGAGTTGGCAACTGGCAGCTAGAATTCTCCGCACCGCCGCGGCGCTTTTCCGGCTAGTGTCCAGAGCCCACGGCTCAATTCCAGGGAATTCACTTGAGCATGATGAAGACGGGGGATGTTGAGACCGGCGACCAGTATGTAATGTCAGGAAGACTGCGTGGTATTGAAAAAACACAGTGAGTTTCTTTCTGCGCTCTTGCCAGTCGTTAAGAGATGGAAACTCCACCATCTGCTCGTCGATGGACTGGATCCCAGGGGGAAGCAATCGGAGCCAAGCGTTAAGCTGTGCCTCCAGGTTGTTGACTAGATTTTGGCCTTCAGCCTTCAGTGACTTCTGTCCATAAAAGCCCTTTAGAATGGCCGTGCAGAGACTTGCGTAGCAGCAGCGGATGAAAAGCCAGTCCACGGCTCCTGGTGACACTTCCAGCTGGGGAGGCCTGTAATCTACAAAGTCTTCGTCAAGAATCTAAATTGACTCTGATCAGCCCCAAAGTCATGGGCTATATGTTAGGTAGAGTATTGTCTTGGAAACCTACCGGACATATCTCAGCCCGTAAACAAAATTCCTTTTCGATGCAGTACAGAAACCAGAAAGCCCGTTTGGTGCGTTGCCGGTCAGCGACTGTATCGCATAGGCTATCTACTACATTGCCTCGACTCAATCGCATGAATTGCGTGTATTGGATGCAACTAGAAAGTAGATCCGGCGTTTCATCAGCTCCGGTCAGGACTGCAAAATACAACTTCATTGCTGTAATTAGACCGAGCAAGGGATCTGGGAGCTTCAATGAGGACCATACCATAACAGTAAGAGCCTATGGGAAGATTGCATTAGAGTCAGAGAAGCGATGGGCAAGTAATGAGTGACTGACTTGGCAGTTTCGGACAGAAAAACTCTTCAGAAGTCGCGATCTAAGCTTAAGAGCCTCGCAAAAGTGAGATCTGGGGTCGTATTCTACATGTCCGATCTTGTTATTATGGCCTTCGGCGAGAAGTATATGAGACCCGAGTGCGAAAATCATATGAGAAAGGGCACGCTCGGGCCGGGGCAATGGCGTCTGTTCGACGATTTCGAGTATCGAGCTCTCGAGAGAGGATCGATCTAGGAAAATCGAGATACTACAAGGCTGTGCACGTCAGTGGCTGGTCCATGAGACCATGGGTTCGGGGTTTCCAAACTTGCCCTTGCGGATCTTTCAAGCAGGCTTAACTTGTTCTATTGGCCATCATGTCTTTCTAATTTGCGTTTTAAAGAGTGGAATCTCACCATCGATACAATCAAGTGCAAGATCTCTGCTGGGACGAAGCATGCCCTCGCTTCTGGGTGATAGTCGTGGTGGGTAGATATTAACGCTGTCTTCGCTGATCAATGTCCTAAAGGCGCAAGCGGTTTCCTCACTCTGGGGGCCGCGTTGTCGCTTGCAGTATTCTTGGATTTCCCTCAGCAGAGCATCCTTGACCAAATCACTCTGATGGATTTTGTCTGAGAATAATGTCAGAACCACCTGCCTCGTGTCTCGCGGAGAGTTTGATCTTTGCATTACCGGCATATATGGTATCTGCATTTCTGCTGTCTCGACCATCCAGAGAGAAGAAATCAACCATACTGGATGGTCGAGTTCCGAGGCTGGAAGCCTTGCGATGGTATGGTTTGTTAGTGACAGTAGGAAAATGGGTGTTATCAGAAAGAGCCTGCGCATCCAATCGGCTGCTGGCACCAAAATCAAAATGCTCATTGATAATGTCAAAGTCGGGAAAGATGGATGTCTGCGGAGAAATGAAAGAATTGTCCAAATACTCCGTGTGCAAACTGCTCATGCTCTTTGGAAGTTCTGCTTCTTCGGATACTATGGTGACATTGTCTTGAACTTCTCCCTGGCATGGTGTAAGATATGGGTCGAAGTCATTCCCCAAAATAAAGGAGTCTACCCTCTGCAAGCCAGTTGGCCCTGAAAAACTTCGCATTGAGTTATCCTCGTTGGAGAGCGCCGGTTGTTCCATGGAAATGGGTGTCGGAGCGCCGGTGTCTTTCACGGAGGTTCGTCTCTGGTGGTTGGAAGGAGGATATCGGCATTCGAAACCAAGTCTCTGGGATCTCGGTTAGCGTTTCTGGTTCATATCAAGCGTCTATAACTCTAGGAGAATTGAAGTATTGACCTGGCATTGACTGCATAAAGGTTTGCCATCACCTAGCAAATTTCGAAATCAGTAAAGCTTTTGTGATGGTATCACGAGTAGACTTGGGAGGTGACGGAGTACAGACAGCGCACTTTGCGGGCTTGGCAACGTCGACAAGCCCCCCGTCGTCGCGTGATTGGCTTCGCACGTGCCTGGTCAGCCTCATAAGCGTTTTGAGTCCGTATGTCAGTGACTACACTCATTGCTGATTATTGCTGGATACGAGAAACGTGCAAGTGTGCCTATCTAGGGAGATATCAGACATCTGGTGCAGGGCCATGGATACGAGGCACATCTTTGTTAAAAGCCCTGGAGGGGGAAGAGTGTTGACTCAGCTCTAATTCCCTTTGCCCGCCACCAAGCAATATTAGGCGTTCCACATGCCCAATGTGGCTTCAACGGCCTCTTCACTGGCCGCTGGTTGGCTGACCAAAGTCCCAGGCCATGCTGTAATACAGGCAGCAATGGTGTGCTCAGGGTAAGGTCGTACGAAGCCGTGATCGAGGTGCAGTGGACTAAACAGGAATCTGGTCTACCGCATGGGGCAAGATAAGATAGCTACCCGCAGAATTAACCCTTGAACTCCAGACTTGGCGAGTTTAGTCAGTGGGGCGGAGGAGACTAGAAGCATATTGGCTACTGGATGTCGATCACATCTAAGCCACAGAGTCGTATCGAAGGATCATGGGAAACGTCCTCTTCTCCTCTTCCGGGGCGCCTTTACCATTGATATTATCTTCCGAGGAGATTCGAGTTCGGCACTGAAAGACAGCCTAACTTGGACTGCTCGTATTGGGTATCTGAGAAATCAAGGGCCGATGATCCGTGGGACCAGTACAAGCCATGGAAAGCATACGACTCAGGGGTGTTGGTCTAACTTATCGTTTTACAAAGCTTCGCCATAAGCCGAGATTCCCGGTGATTGACCGCTCAAGTGACGCGTGATCCCTTCACATCCGGGTTCTTCTAGTTTTCCTAAATATGGCAATGCAGTGAAAAGAGGTCACCCACCGTGCCCCTTGCTGCACCCACAGTAGCCGGAACTGACTTCACATTGCCCCGTCGGCAAAGCGGGATTCGGACCGGCCCGGAGTCCGCTGCCAAGTAGGTCTGCCGGATACAAGTTGTATAAGGCATCATAGGGCAAAGGAAACCTGGCTGGCAGCGTCAGTATTTCATAAGTTGGCGAGCTTCTCAAGTATTAGCTACCAGGGAACCAGCCTTGGGTCCTGCCGTCTGACGCCATGCTGTTCCCGCATTTCACCATTATCCTCTTGCTGTACCTCGGTCTGGCAGCGAGGTCCGATTTACTCAGTGGCCAAAACCCCGAGAGTGCAACCATCGGCAGGCAGGAAGCGCCTGCTTCACATATTCTCCATGAGAGACAGAATGCACATTGGTCAGAACGCTGGGCGAAGAGAGATAGGATTCATGCCCGGACATTGCTGCCCATGCGCATCGGTCTTGTGCAGAGAAACTTAGCAGTTGGAGCTGATCTTCTGCGAAAAATGTAAGTATACCACTGATTGATGTCTGGAAAGTTCTCATCGCATGAATTGATCTCATAATCAAGGGTTAATGTAGCTCCGACCCAACATCCGAAGACTACGGCAAGCACCTGTCGGCCGAAGAGGTGATTGACCTCTTCGCACCAACTGAAGCCACTATTGCACACATCAAAGAATGGCTCATGAGCTCAGGTATCCGTGATGAGATTATCTCACTCTCTGCAAACAAACAGTGGATCCAGTTTGACGCTCATGCCGGAGAGGTTGAAGATTTGCTGCTCACAAACTTCTTTGAGTACGAGCAGCTCGCCTCTGGCAGCCGCACCGTCGCCGTAGAGCAATATCATGTCCCCAGTCACTTGAGTGAACACATTGACTATATCACACCGGGAGTCAAGCTCAGAGCAGGTCGCAGCAACGTAAAGTCAATCCGGACTCGCCAAGCACAAGATGCCAATATAGTCAAGAAGCGCGGTATGAGAGCCACACATGCTGCTGATAGCGTCTTCACTGCCCAGGACGGTGCTACAGTTGGTCTACCGCCGCTCAATATGAGCTCGTGTGATGCCTATGTCACGATAGATTGCATCCGTGCCCAGTACAGCATTCCCAACAACACGTTCGCCTCTCCGGGAAACGAGCTCGGATTCTTCGAAGGTGTCAACGACCACTACAGCCGTGACGGCCTGGACACGTTCTTCTCCACGCTCTTTCCTTACATCCAAAATGGGACCTACCCGGAGGAACGACTCATCGACGGCGCCATCGGTGCGGTCGAGGATATTCAAGGATATAATCAATCCATGGACGGTGGCGAGTCTGATCTCGACATACAGGCGGCGTGGCCATTGATATGGCCGCAGAAGACAGTGCTTTTCCAAACAGATGACCAGTTCTACGAGATCAATTCTTCGTCGGTGAATACACCATATGTGGGATTTTGGAACACCTTCTATGATGCCATTGACGGGTCATACTGCTCGTACTCGGCGTACGGTGAAACAGGCGATTGCACAGCGGCGGACTGTCTCGACCCTGTGTACCCTGATCCGAACACTGGCGGGTATAAAGGCCAGCTGCAGTGTGGTGTTTACCGTCCCACCAATGTGATTTCAATTTCTTACAGCGGCGGCGAGGCAGACTTCCCCGCCTCTTACCTCAAGCGTCAGTGCAGCGAGATCATGAAACTCTCATTGCAAGGCGTCACGGTTGTCGAGTCCTCTGGAGACTATGGTGTCGGTTCATACCCGGGTGACGGCGGCTGGGAAACGGGCTGTGCTGGCCCTGACGGGGACGTCTTCTATCCTTCTGCAGACGTAACCTGCCCCTATGTTTTGTCTGTTGGGTCTACTCGCTTCAACCACGTGAGTGATCCCAACGACACAACCACGTACTATGAGACTGCTTCTGGGTACAGCGGCGGTGGGTTCTCGAACTACTTTGACGCGCCTGAGTGGCAGAAGAAGGCCATTGCCCAGTACTTTGACGAAGTGAAACTTGACTTTACCGGGTACAAAGAAGCCGGGAAGAACTTCAGCGATGTCGGGAGCGGCGTGTACAGGACGGGTGGCCGAGGGTATCCGGATGTGTCGTCGATTGGCGTGCATTATATGTCGTTTACCGAGGGCCGATGGGCGCGTGAGGGCGGCACATCACTTTCAGCGCCAATTTGGGCGGCGGTTATCACTCTGATCAATGAGAGGCGGCTGGCCGCAAATAAGAGCACAGTGGGATTTCTTCATCCTGTGCTAGTAAGTCTCCCCAGTCTGCATCATGACCAACGTGGGCGGGGTCTTTGTGAACGACCAATGCTGATTGATGTTCAAATAGTATGCTCATCCAGAGGTCTTTACTGACATTACGGTTGGAAATAATACTGCCTGCAACTCGACCGGCTTCCTGGCAGCAAAAGGATGGGATCCAGTCAGTGGTCTTGGGTATGTTTCAAAGCCCTAATTCCCGTATGCTGAGTAGTGTGATGTTGAAAGCTTTTTAGAACTCCCATATTTCCGAAGCTGGTCGATCTTTTTCTAGCCTTATGATTTTGGGCTGTGAAACGGCACAGGGGGAATTAAGAGGCACTGCGGTTTCACTTCAGCACCATGATCCTTTCATGTTTTAGCTGCAATTGCCGAATGGGCAGACTAGAATGTCAATGTATCAGCCATACATGGCTTAAGTAAAAACATTATATCCACTGATCAACTTGCCAGATTGAGGGATTGCTTCAAATGAACCTTTTCTCAGTACGAACTAAATGAAAGTGTCATGATTATACTATGCTCGAACTTCTAGACAACATATATTGTTGATATAGAAGCCTGAAGTTATGAAATTACTACTTGGCGTTCCTTCTTGGTCAAATGGTAAATTCATCTACTTCAAGCTATAGACGAGTGTGAAGTACCCGAAAGACCAGGATTCACGCCGAGTCAGTCCTCGACTTAGGCTCATAGATAAAGAAATACGTGCCATACTCCCCACTACCACCAAAAGCAGAATCATCCTGAACGATCTCCGCTATAAGCCGAAACCCCATCCGTTTGTACAATTCAGCACCCTCTCTCAAAGCCTGGACGAAGATATCCAACCCCAGCCTATCCGCCAGGTCCATTCCGCTCTTCACCAACGCCGTCCCGACTCCCTTGCGTTGGTTATCCGGATGCACAGCAAGATACTCCAGAGCTATGCAGTAGTTCGTTAGACCAGACATTCCCCAGCGTCGATGCCGACATGGAAACTTACTGATATACGGCGTCTTTGGCGTCACTTCCTTTTCAAGCGCGTTCACGCGATCCATCAGCTCGTCGGCGTCATCATTCGAATCCCAGACAACAGTCTCAGCGAGGCGCCGGATCTCGGCTTCCTTCTCGGGCTCGACGCTCGGGGTCTGCGCTTCGGGCCATATCAGCGTGCCATCATCTGGATTTGTCGTATGAGACGGCGGTAGGCACCATCTCGCGTAGCCAAGTATGTGGCCCGTTTCTGGATCCACTGCTTTCTGGTGTCGCAGGGCTTCTCGGTTGTTGAGAAGGTTGCGCGGGAAGCGCAGGGCTATCTGCGAAATGTGGTACTCGAGGGTCCGATGGCGCCAGGCCAGAACCCAGTGCGGGTCAGCCCAGAAAGCGGGGATGCTGTTGGCGGCCAGGGCGGTCCCATCGGCGACGCTGCATTGGGTGAGTTCAAAGGGGGCCATGGGAGGGATGGGGTGTTAGGATGTCTGAAGTCTGAGGTTGTCTACGATAGAATACTGTCTGCACCTCGGAGTATATTTGAGAGGAAGAGGCTATGGAATGTATTTCGGTTCCTGGGAGTCCGACGGGGGTTCGGTCCGATGTTCGGCAACTGACCAGTTGGGGATTTTGATAAACATTCGATGGACTGCGATGTTTGGGTGAATGGATTGTTTTACGAGTCTCCTGTTGTATGGGGAATCTTGATCACCGTTGGACGGATCAGCTTTAATCTTATTATCCAGGAGTATATTGTACCCAACATACTAATGCTTCTATCTTGCTTATGCAAACGATATTCTATTTTATTGAGAAGGATGATGAACTAGTATGAACCTCTGAATCATCCCTATTGCCTATTGATACTGAACATCATTCAGGAATAAGTCCAGGGGAAGTTATGGACGAAGTGTCTAGAAAATAGACGAAGAGCCCCATTTCCGATGTTAATTTCTCATCGGCAATGACCATTGCAGTGAGTGCTTAGCCCGGACTTCCAGACAAGGCAAGGCTGCCTACATCAGGCTCTCAGCTCTGTGTTTCAGCCGCGACTCGGCATTTCCTGGTCCAAGCAGACAGACATGGCAAGTTCTGTCTGTGGCAAATATCCACACGCACGAGGCGGGTGTTTCAGCTTTCAAGCCTCGCTTAGCGATGGCAACAACCAACGGCCTCGGCAAAAAAATGCTGTATTTTATATGGGTATCATATTCATGTTCGTGTTCGTGTTCGCGTTGAGCGAATCCCCTTGAACATTCATTCACCGATCAACCCCCCAAGCCGAAGTCGCCGGCTTGGAAGAGAAGAATGCATTCTGCATATCACGGAAATGCATTTCATCGCCGTGTCCCGGCAAACCCGGCGAGCCAATGGTAAATCCCGCATCGGGATCAACGGGCAGCCAATTCGAGGTGAAGCGTGTACTGCCGTCTGGCATTTCGAGTGGGGTCAAGGCGTCCTCTTCGTCCATTCTGTGTGTGGAGGTGGAAGTGGAGGTGGAGGTGGAGTATTCCGAGTATCGACGGGGCGCCGAATTCGTCTGACTCTGCACACTGCCTTGGCTCTGGGCTTGTCCATGTCCAAAAGTCCCAATATACAGCCCCCGCTCTGACTCCGACTCCGGCTCCCGATCCCCCTCGTCCCAGCCCGAATGGGAATGGGAAGAGTCAGGCGACAGAGGATCCGAAGTCGGGGACGTCGGGAATGGGAACGCCATGTTCGGCGTGGGAGTCATAAAGAGGGCACGTTCGGTTGCAAGCGCGTTGCGGAGTTGGATCGGCCCATTTTCGGGGCTCGGGATTGGTTGGATGCTGTTTGGGCTTGCATATGTTAGTTGCATGTTTGGCCTAGTTTTCTTTTTCCCTGGTCTGTTTTTTCTTGTTTTGCTCGGATTGTGCCTCGGCAGGTTTTTTCTTTTCCTCTTTCTCTTTCTCTTCTTCGTTGTGGCTTGCAGGGGTGCTGGTAATTACCTTGGTTCCATAGTGTCCTGTCTCACTAGTCCAGCTTCATACCATAGTTGCGGGTATGGCTGGAAGGAATTTGCCTTGGGCATATGTCCACATTCATTCCAGTTGAATTGCTCAGACCAGATTGGATCGAGGTCCTCTGGCAATCCAAATGAAAAGTCGCTGGCGATATGTGGGTGTGGACTTAGATCCTGAGATGCCATTGTCTGATCGAGGAGATTTTCCACCAACCATGGCATCTCGAAGTGAGTGGCTTCAGTCATGATATCGAAGGTCGTATTGTATTGTTTTTGCCGTCAGAATTAGGAGCAGGAACAGCTAGATGCTCACACGGCAAATAGAAGTAGAAGAAAAGCTTGGCAACGGTGAAGCTTGACTGTTGCGTAGTTTGTCCTGTGTGAATCTTCAGGGTTTAAGAAACACAGCAAAGAAAACAGCATTCCCCGCAAAGCCGGGGCCATGGCCTATATATTCGTATCCCCGAATATATTAAAAAAAGTGATGTGGAGAAGAGTTCTGGCGAAGCGAAGAAAGCCCATCTCGGCAAAATACCAAAGAGGCAAAAAAACACCGCATGATCAGGGGAGGTATTTAGCTTCAAAAGTCCACATTTAACCGATCTGGTTTTCCCCGGATTTTGGCTAGTCAGGCTGTGGTGTCGGTCCGAATCCTCACGCCAGCCAATCGGTATATTTGGCTGTCCCCCCGCCTGGGGTTCGGTTAATTCGGGGGTCGCTTCACCCACGAACTTTGTCTTCCGGGGAAATGGGGAAAGGGAATGACCCTGTTTCACGTGGCGAGGCTAATATGTAAAAATTACTTTGCAGGCGATATATCCTTGTCAGAGTGTCGAAGCGAGATGGGAGGATACGCGTCCTGGGACTTTGACCCGAACTCTAGAATGAATCGAAGGTAAAACATATTATATAATGATATTGAGTGACTGTATGCGCAAAAGCCATGATATATGGACACACAAATAGAAACACCATCCAGCCCGATCACTGAACGCCGGATGGAGAGAGCTATGTATAGACAAAATCGAAACAAGAGAACGGTGAAGATCCGGAGAAAGGCAAGCGGAGCTACTGAGAGTCAGGGGCCCCGCAGGAGCAGCAGAGTGCGTGCCACTGTAGCGGGAAGATCGACAGGAACCAAGACTTCGCCGCGGGGATTGCAGGTGCAGGGTTGCAACGGGCTACAGGGCCAATCCGGTTCCCTTGCGCGTCCAGCGGTACAGGGCTAGCACTGCTTTGCGGCGGTGCCGAATCTCGCTCGGGTTTACCGGGCGGCCTCGGGCCTGTGCCACTGCGCTGCGCATGACTTGCCGAAAACTGCGTTGGTACTCTGTGTTCAGGGTGACCACGCAGGATTCTGTGGCTCGGATCATTGTTTCGCAGGCGTTGAGGATTCCTTCACCGGCTTCTTTTTGGAGGCGCTCGACGATGAGCAGGAGGAGGAAGCTTCCTTGGAGAAGTTGAATACCGAAGAAGTAGGGCATGAAGCTGATGTCGGGGTCAAAGCGCAGAATTTGTTGCACTGAGTCAGCCGCTTCAAGTGCGTGAGAAATTGTGGAGGCAAAGGCCGGTGATGATGTCCAAAAGTCTTTGTCCTCAATAAGTGAGACAGGGTCCCACTTACCGACGAGTAGGATGTGGAGAACGTGGACGAGGTAGGATGAATAGGCGATCACGGTTTGAGTATGCCAAGAATAGGCCTGCGATGATTGCGCGTCGACTGGCTGGTCTGATTTATTGGGATAGCCGCTTGACAAAGAAGCTTCGGGGTCTGCCGTAGCAAAAGTGGTCAAGCTGGCCTTGTATATCTCTAGCTGTCGCAGGACTTCGGCGACATGCACATCCCATGCTTCTTTGCCTTGAAGCCGAACACCCAGCGTAGGATGGTTTCGGGCTTGGTTGAGATCGATCAATTCACCCGTGATCGTCATGAGAGGAAGGAAAAAGCCCAAAATAGAGTGATCATGGCAGACAAAGTTTGGAAAGACCCGCCGTTTGTTCTGATCACCAGATCGGAGGCATTGGGGGCCATCTGGGCGGGGACTGTTCGTGTGAATGACTCCAGCTTGCCAGGCATTTTCATCCAGTGGAAGCAGTAGGTCCTCACTTTCAGCATCAAGGAGGGCAAGGGGGCGATTGTAGCACAAGGCGAGATGGCGATCCATGATGTACAGTAACCACCATGTCCTGCGACGTTCTTCACGATGTTCTTCCGTGATGGGACTGCTGTGCGAATCAATAGTTCGATCGCAGACGCAATTCAAACTTGGCCGTGATGGATTTGAGTAGTCAAACCCCATGCCGCCGGGTGAGCCAGGCCACCCTCCTAACGGATAGCCAAAAGACGGACTGGAACCGTCAGTCAGACAGTCCACATTGGACAAAACTTCCATCTCCTGGTTCAATTTGAGTTCTCGAGCTAATGTAAAGGCCGCATGCCACCTAGTCTCAAATTAGTAACATGCACAGGGATGCAGGGGTTGAGAAGCAGGTACATACCATCTCATGCTTGCAGCCTTTTGTTCACTAGATGAGATAATAGAGGCAACATGAATATAGGTAATCACATCGTCCAGAGATCCAGCAGGGCCCACCAGTCCTTTATCATCACCGACTGCCTCGAATGGGTGATAGGCTGCGGCCGTTGAAAAGTCCTGATGAGCATTCACATTCTCCGGTGGAGATGCCTCCTGGTCTTTGAAAGCGACGTGAATCAAAGGTCGAAGTAATCGTATAATTAAAGCACACAAAAATTGACAGATCTTTCGCCGTTGTAAAGGCGATATAGACAACGAGAAAGCCCGATCGTCTACAGCAGCTACCCAGAGCATACTAGCCAACAAGGCCGGGCTGCTAGGTCTGGGACGGTCGACACTCAGAAAAGAGGCCTTCCTCAACACGAAGCAGTGGATATGATGGCATACAGGGTGCATATGGGTAGAGAAGGCGCTGGTAAAATATAGCTCGAGCAAATCGCAAACAAGTCGACGGGGCAGATTCCCCTCGAGGTAAGGCATCAGAGGCTCCAGCACAGGATACTTCAATGGCGACCGCGAAGTCGACGGTTGACTCTGCGAGTGATTCCCACCCGAGACAGACGGTATAGGCGGCGGTCGCTGGCTCACCCGATGACCAGCCAGATCAGCTGGATTCCAAAGATCCATAAGCCTCGGCAAAGACGGTTCCCCCACACCAGGAGGAGCACCCCCTAAGATATCATAGGACTCTGGGGAGAGATGCGCTGCGGACAGCCATTCCTCTGTAACATTCGCAGGCGGCGGCCGGTGCGGTCTCGCACCGTCAACCACAGAACGCCGCTCATCCACGCTGGGCGCAGACATGCCACTCATTTCATTCGACGCCGGCGACCGCTGGTGAAAGGTCGAGGTTGGCGAGCTATCATCTATCGGCGACATCGCCTGCTCCAGCATTTTGTCACCGTTTCCATTCGACTGCTTCGGTTCCGCGCGACTACGCGCAAGCTCGCTCGCCCCGCTGGTGGTAGGCATGTTTGCTTTAGATCGAGCTATGCGACCTCGTTTGCGTCGTTCGCGTGTAAATTCGCAATGGATCTCACTGCGCAAACAGCGCGAGCAGGGGAAGGCTCGGTCGCATCGCACTCGGCGGGTGTGGCAAGAGTCGCAGGCCACTCTATTTCGGCGCCATCGTCGCTTGCCGTTGGAGAGTTCGACCGGGGGGGCCGTGGACGGCTGATCCCCATCCATTTCAGGGCGTCATTGGCAAACAAGGCGAGTGTAGTTAGTAGTAAGGGTCAAGGTGAAAGGGTTCAAGAAAACGTTGCGGGGAAAACGACGCTAAATGTCTCACCCGCAATTCTCTCCAAATCGGCCAAAATTTCCATTTGGTTTCTTACTACAGTCAGAGTGCTTCGTTTAACTTCGTTTAAACACTTTAGTTGACATTCACGCTAACTAGGAGCAACTATTAGCTCTTCTGAAGAGCACTCTTGAACCGCTCCAACGCTCGATCGCGGCTTTTGGCGTGGTCCACAATCGGCCGGGGATACCCATTCTTCTGCGCGATAGCCTCAGCCCCGCGGGCATAAGGTTCGTGGATGGCTTTGTTAGACACGTCGCGCAGTTCTGGTACCCAATGGCGGATGTACTCGCCCTCGGCATCGAAACGCTCGCTCTGGCGCAGCGGGTTGAAGATGCGGAAATAGGGCTGCGGGTCCACCCCCGTGCTCGATCCGAATCCCCAGCCTCCGTGGTTGGAAGCAAAGTCTCCGTCAATTAGATTCTCCATGAAGTGACGTTCACCACGGCGCCAGTCCAGCATGAGGTCCTTGGTAAGGAACGACGAGACCACCATGCGAGTGCGGTTGTGCATCCAGGCCGAGTGACGAAGTTGTCGCATGGCCGCATCAACGATCGGGTATCCGGTCTTTCCGTCACACCAGGCTTGGAAGAGGTCTTGGTCGTATTCCCATTCGATGTTGGTATGCTCGGGCTTGAAACACTTGTTCATACTGGGAATGATTAGCGCTGCCGTCATCGGCGACACGTTGGCATTGATTACTTACCAGATAAATGGCCAGTTGACCAGAACGTGTTTGTAAAAGTCGCGCCAAGCCACTTCACTAATCCAAGTCATGTAGCCGGGATCATATCGGTCAAGGTGGTTTTTGTTGGCTCTTTTGGCTGTGGCAACAGCAGTTCTGGCACTCAGAGCGCCCGACGCGAAGTACGGACTGAGAACAGAAGTATGTTCGCCAGCCACGATACTCCGCATCTCTTCATATTTCTTGCCTTTCGCTTCCAGAAATTTGTCCAGGCGCTGAAGCGCTTCATGTTCGCCTGCGGGGTAGAGCTCCTCGAAGCGCTTTTTCTCGGCATCCGGTAACTCATGGGTTTTGGGGGCGGCTGGCACCTGGCAGTCGAACAGGTCCTTGAAGTCTTTGCGTGCATTGCCAGGGTTGGACCCAGGTTCCTCGGATGTTTCGAGGTAATCAGGGTTCTCCTTCAGGAATGCCAACCAGGAACGATACCACGGGGTGTACACGGCGTATTGCTTGCCCTGTTGACTCGCCAATGCACCGGGACTGACAACACAGGTGTCATGGGTCGGAGCGAAGCTAATATCGCTCTCGGCACATAAGCGAACCAACTTCGCCTCGCGGCGCAATTCATCCACTTCATACTCAATGTTCGCAGAGAGGTGCTTGGCACCCCAGTTCTGACACAATTCTACAATGCGACGAGGGATGACTTTTCGCTTCTCCTGGGTTTCCATGTGCAGTGGAATATCAAGCTCCGCGAGATCCTTTTGAAGCTGCTTCAGGATGCGCAGGGTAAAGTCCACACGGGCAGGACTTGTCAAATGAGCAGACCAGTCCTCGGGTGACGCGATATAGAGTGCAATCAACGGGATTCCGTGTTCCTTTGCAGTCTGATATGCCGCATGCAGGGCTCTATTGTCGTGAAGCCGCAGATCGCTCTTGAACCAATGGACAATCGCGCTGCCAGGTCCAATTGACCCGCGCTTATCTGCGGTTTCCCGACAAGCTTTCTGCAGAGTTTCAATGGGGCGTTCCAGCTCTCCATCTGTGTATGCTTGGCATCGCTCATTGCTCATCTCCGGTGGATAGAATTGGCGAAGAACAATGCCAAAGTCTTCGGTCTGCTTCGCGTTCGGATGCGGCTGGTGCAAGTCAGACTTGCTTTTCTTTGGAGGGTGTGAGCCATTTGGCTCAGTTGTGGAAGTCTTTCGCTTTGGTGGCATGGTAAGATAGCGCGTGAATTGAGGAACAAGACGATATGGACGATATGGTCGACAAGATAAGAACATGAAGCAATTCCAGGGGGTGAAATGAACAGGGAACTTGATCGCATCTCAGATCGAGATCGCGATCGAGTGACGTCAGGTGCGATCGCGGTCTGGACTTTCTGCCGATCTGACCTTCACCGGGTTGCATTCTTGCCAGTTCCCGGAATTTGGGTCTATCAATTGTGACCCGCGCATGAGATCAGGATTTCAGGATGTCTGTTTCTCTAACTACTTGCAGATGGAGATTCCGACCTTCCAATACACTTTACAAGAAGGGTCTGCCGATAAAGGTGTATCGGTGAAGCAACACTCCCCCAAATTCCGCTGGAATCAGCCGTAGGAACAAGCTGTGTAAGGAGACCCTGCAGCAACCTACATCAAGGGGGATCGTCAAGTCCACGGCAGAACTTCAGCCCACGGAAATATGGACCTCACTGTATGGGTCATCCACAATGGCACAACGGGCAGAGCAATAGGGGCGGGCATACAGTACGGAGTACTACTCCAGTTCCCGCGAACAAAGCGCGGATTGGCCAATCATCAACCTTTGCAAGAAAGAAGCAAGGTCCAAAAAAGTGTCAAAGATCTGCCAGTGTCTCCCCGCAAACTTCGGTGATCCACGGCGCGGATCCCCGTCTAGCGCCTCGCCCAATACCTTTGCTCACAGCATATGTGAACCAAAGATCTAGCCACCCGAGCAGCTGTCATGGATTGGTTTCCGTTCTTCTCCGGACATCAACTGCCGACCGCTTGATCCTCCGCAGTTGAAAGAAATAGTCTTTAGCTGAACCTTCTCCTTCCTCTCCACAGCCGCCGCAGAATTCTCAGAAGCCATTTGCCTTACATATTCCTCAATGAAAGCACTTTCCATTCCTCTGTCAACATTTTCTCCCTAATACCCTCTCTTTCCCCTCCTTGATACAATCGGGACCCAAGCAATGTCCCGCCACAACAGATGGCGAACACCTCGGCTTCAAACGTCGCATCATCCCTAATTCACGACCCAGGCTCCTCAAGCACGGTCCGAACTGGTGTATTTGCCGCCCTCGCTGCTGTCGCCTGGTACAACGCCATCGAATTAATAATTCTCTGCTTCGTCTCCTTCAAACGCTACAAAGGAACCTACTTCTGGAGTCTACTAGTCGCCTCCGCGTCCATCATCCCCCACTGTCTAGGGTTCATCCTCCTCTTCTGCGCGCCAAGCGTAACACCATGGCTCTCGGTCACCTTCGTGCTCGTCAGCTGGTGGGGGATGGTGACAGGCCAGTCGGTAGTGCTGTGGTCGCGACTGCATTTAGTCCTCCAAAACAATAAAGTCCTCTGGGGCGTCCTCTGGATGATATGTATCGACGCCGTCCTCCTCCACACACCAGTAACAGTCCTCCTCTACGGCTTAGTCGCACAACCTGAAGGTGTATTCGCACACGGATACAACGTCATGGAACGGATCCAGTTAGTCGGCTTCTTCATCCAAGAGTCGATCATCTCAGGCATCTACGTTTACGAAACGATCAAGCTCCTGCGCCTCAGACCGAGTGGCCGTCCTCAGGGTGTTCTTACCCAACTCCTAATCATCAATATCGTCATTTTATGTCTAGATATTGCCGTGCTTGTTATCGAATATGTCGGATATTATGCGGTTCAGGTGATGATTAAACCAGTTGTATACAGCATCAAGCTGAAACTTGAATACGCGATTTTGGGAAAACTCGTTATTATTGCGCGCGGCCCAATCGATTCTCAAGAATTACCATCCAGCACGCGCGAAATCAATGAGATCAGTTCGTTCCCATCGTCAACGGATCCGATCTCCCATGCTGAATCTGGGAGAAAGCACCGCTCACATAGTGCTCCTTGGTTCTGGGAGGTAAGGAGAGGGTCATCGCCAGTTTCCGCCGAGGTTTCACATTCTCCGGATGCTTTGTCGTATCCTTGACTCTCTCATAATCAACCTTCTCGGGGCGTCTTTCCTCCTCTCTGGTTCCCTTTTGGACTGACATAGAGATCTGTACCTTGTCCTATCACTTCTTCTATCTTTTACTGGGATATAGCGATACCAAGATTATTGGCGTTTTGATACCAAATACAAAAGTTATGACTAGCGCTTCCAATTGAAATCAATGATTATTCTCCCATATTCACCGAGTAAATGTTCAATAATACTCCGCCGCCGACGCTGATCCAGCCTGAAGAACAAGTGTACTCCCAAAGATCTTACTCTCGGGCTGCACCATCGCCGTCCCCAATGCACCAAGAGTCTGTCGCGTATCATTCCCAATGCCATCATCAGAAATAGCCAACTCAACATCGGAAGTACCACTCCGTCGCCCAACAATCACAATATTATTCGCCTTATTCGACGTCTGATCCAAGTCCTCCCGCACAGCAACAACAGCCATGCGAACAAGATCAGTAATCGATTCCTGGACCGCAGGCTGAGAAAAAACAACACGATCCTGCACTTCCTCAGGCAAAGAATCACGAACAGTCTCAAAGAAAGCAAGATCTGACTGCGACATCGACGCAGCAGACTCCATCGATCCCGAAGCGGATCCAACAGCAGTAGTCGTGGTAGTGCCCATCTTCCCAATGTCAGCACTCAACACCCCCATCTGGATAACAGTAGCAGTAACATGATCATTCCGCACAAGCTGCAGAAGCAACCTCAACGCAAACCGATCATCAACGCCCCCAAAGAAAGGTAACACAATATGATGCGACCGATTCCCCGTAGGCAATCTAGCCCACATGGAAGACTGAATACTCATCCCGCTAGTCGTGCGATCCAGCGTGGGCCGCTTCACAGTCGAAGGCAAGCCCCGCTCAATGAAGATGCCAACATGGCCGTGTACGCGGTTCAGGACATCAGACATGAAATTCGTGTAGACACCATTTGCGAAACGGTTCGTCGCGTCGACTTCGAGTCCGTTTTGGCGGTCGGCTAGTGTGCCTGTTTCGCTCCAGGGGAGCAAGAGGAGATCGGTTGTTTCGTTTGCTGCCATGTCGACTATACTGTCCGCGTAGGAATATTCCGGGATGATGGATACGCCGGCCATGAGGGAGAGATCGTGCCACTCGCCAAAGGCGCGGAAGGTGTTTACGACTGGGTCCCATAGTGCGTGTTCTTCTGCTGCGGCGACTTTCATTACGCTAGAGTGGCGGTCTGTTAGTTCGATCAGTCTGACGCCGTGGACGCGAAGCAAAGATTCGTCTGTCTCGGCTTCTGTTTCGGGGGTTTGGTCTTCGATTGTTTGGTCGGTTTGTTTGGGGGTTTTCGCCGGGTGCAGACGAGTTGGGGTGCTGCGGTTTGTGCTTAGGAGCGCTGCTAGGGTGCAGATTCCGGATAGACCGTCTAGGCGGAGATAGACGAGGAGTTTGCGCACGGGTGCTTTGTTCAGATGGTCTTTTGCTTGGGTTATGCTGTTGTTACGGGTGTCTGGCTGTATTGGGTTGCCTTCCCAGTCTATTTCGCCGCGTCGCCAGCGTTCGACTTTGACTTGGTACCAGTTTGGATAGAGCCATGTTGTAAGGGGCGTTGTGAGAAAGGTTGTTACTAGAGCCATCACGACGAAAATGGTGAAAGTGCGAGTGCTCAGGATCTTGGCTTGCAGGCCGATGTTCTGGAAATCGATTAGTTCATGTTTTCATCGGTATTTCTTCATATACTGACCAGCACGATCAACTCCACCAATCCTTTGCAACTCATAAGCACGCCAATTGAAAAGCTTTCACGCCACAATAGGCCACACCATCTGGATGCCAGGGCGCCACCAGCAACCTTTGCGATGAAGGCAATGGCGATGACTCCAACCACATATCCCCAAACAAGGCCAGAGTCAAGCAACCCGAGATTAGTACTCAGCCCAGAGAGCGTGAAATAAAGCGGTAAGAAGAGAGCAGCGACCAAATCCTCAATCTTCTCGGTCAGCTTGATAGCAAAACCACCCTCGTGAGGGCAGATCAGCCCAATGACAAAGCCGCCGAAGATAGCATGAACACCAATAACCTGCGTAAAGAAAGCAGATGCGAGAGCAATGAGCAAAGTCAGCGCAACAACCGACTGACTAGGCCCCTTTTGCAAACTTCCCGATCTCTCAAGGAAACGCAAGAACACTGGGCGGAAAGCATATGTCAAGAAGAGCATGTATCCCACGCAAACGAGTAAAACATATAGTGCGGTGATACCACTCCCCGCATTGACAAGCGCAACACAAAGAGCCAGTAGGACCCAGCCTACAACATCGTTGCCCACACCGGCTGACAGCACAATAACACCAACGCGAGTGGATAGCAGTTTCAACTCGGTAAGGATACGGCACAAAACAGGGAACGCCGTGATAGCCATGGCAATACCAATGAACAGCAAATATGTTCCAAATTCAATTGGTCTGGTGTTTCCATCATTATGGAACTCATGATAAAGACCATATGAAATGGCCGAACCAAGACCAAAAGGAAGGATCATACCGGCGGCAGAAACACTCAACGCAATGCGCCAGTTGCTCACGAGGAAGCGGAGGTCGGTTTCTAATCCGACAAGAAAGAGAAATAGCACCAGTCCCAGATTTGCGACAACATTCAGACTGGGAATACTAGCTGTTGGGAAGATCGTTTCTGTAAAGCCGGGGATACGGCCCATGACTGATGGCCCTAACACGATCCCGCCAATGACCTCTGCGATGACCCGCGGCTGGCGGATCTTGGAGAGAGGCCAGTGAATCAGACGGCAGAGGATGATAATTATGCCAGCCTAAGTGTGTCAGTCAACATTTACCCTGTGGTTGAGAGCTTCTTTCTTACTTGGATGATGAACAGCACTAGGGGATTCTTCGAGTCATACGTAGTCGGGTTTCCCCCTCGAGGATGCCACCCTGTGGGCTCACCCGCACAGTACTATTTCCTGTAGCCATCGCTGTAGTCGTTGTGGTCGCCATGCTGAAACCCCCAGCTCAGGCAAGGTAAAAAGCGCGACTGGAGGGGCTTTTGAAGGTAAAAGAAGGTGAAGCTGGAGGTCAGACGGGCCACGCCACCAAGCCCACTCACTGGGTGCTCCAATGAGAAGTCCACCTTCGGATCCTTTAGCGCTTGGCGATGTCGTTTCGCCTAGTCTATTCACGGATTGGCTGGTTTTTTCCATACTTTTGATTCTTTGTTGGAGAGTTGAGTTGCTTTGACAGTCTCAGAGCAGAAGTGAAGGGGGGGGGAGAAGTGCCCGCATGCGGTCGCAGTCAAATAGCCGCATTTACCCCGGATTTCTCCACGTATGTTGTGCTGGAATCGGAGGAATGACTGTCAGAGGGATTTGGGGGCCAATCTGAGCGATCCAATCTCCGCATTTGACTTTCCACGTGAATTTCACTCGCATCGTGACATGCCACATGGCTCTTGGCTGCAAAACGGGGTGCAAAATTACCGTACTGATTTATGCAAATACCATGTGATGCGTTTTTTGAGGTAACAGTTAACATATGAAATGAAACATATAACTGAAAAGGGACTAACCCTAACGCTCATCTTACACATCCACCAACTTATTAGATAGGGGTGTGATTTCAACATGACCCTATATCTATGAATACATGTCTATCACAAGTGAAACTAATTCACAGCAGGTCATATCGAGAAGATTTCTCTAAGCTAAATTGCTAACAATGCCAATGCGATCATGCAAAACTCTCTCTCTTACTTTCGCGGCGCAAAGCTAGATGGAGTGTTCAACGACACCAGTGACCTGATTTCGGGAGTCGCTTTAGGATTCTTTGTTAACCATGCTGAGCCGCAGAAGCTTTTAGATTCTGTCAAGCAAAGTTGCAGCTGACCTCTTCAAGAGCTCCAGGAGACACCATGAGCTGTCCATTCCCGATATTCTGATTTTGATAGTCGAAGATAGCCCCATTGCTCAACCCAGATGAATTCAGAACTCAGTACTATGGCACACGGTAGCGCATTCACCCTGGTGTAGGCCGAGTATAGTAAAAATTTTCAAAATTATTAGGAATATATGAAATCTATCAAGAAGGTACTTCAAGGGACATTATTCACCTACGATGAAAATACGGGGTAAGGCTAGCTCCTAGCTATCCGATCTAGCCCAACATATAACCTTCCCACATAAATGCATCGAATCACACCACATCCATTTTCAGGGACTAACTACTACACCCTTGCATAAAACTTTCAGGGTTCCCCGTCCCCAATCTCCATAGTTTATGCGATGTTTTCCCGACAAGCCTATAAAGCCTGAAGATCCCCGCAAACTAACCCCACAGTTTCAGAAATGTCGGGCATACCGGACTGTTGATCACCCGGCCATTTCAATGGCAAAGTAGACTCCACGATTCTCTCATTGCTGCTGGTCGGTATTCATTCTCCCGAAACATCGTGCCCCGCAAGATGCCCTTGGCCTTGCATAGTCCGCTATGCTAGATATGCCTTGCGTCAGAGAGTTACTCTCTGAGAAACTATAAGAGCGGGAATTTCGTCCTTCAAGATTGAGTCTGCAGAAAGAAATCTCCCGGAGATCCGAATCCGTTACCATGCACCTTGCTACTTTGTTTCTGACTCCAATATTGGCCGCTGCGTCATCGAAAGTCCCCTATGAGCAATATATCTTGGCTCCAAAGTCGCGCGACTTGATCCCACCCTCCGTTCAAAATATAACTGGCTCTGTAACTGGAGCCAATGCCCTCACAAAATCGTCTGGCAGTGGAGCCACCTTCCATGGCATCTCATCCGTGACCTACGACTTTGGCAAGAATGTAGCTGGCCTAGTCACTCTCGACGTGGGCGCATCCTCATCCTCGTCTGCCTTTTTGGGAGTCACATTCTCTGAATCAAATCTATACATCAGCAACCAAGCAAGCGATGCTACCGCAGATTCCGGCTTAGATACCCCTCTATGGTTCAATGTTGGCAAAGGTGCCGGGAAGTATACACCGGAGGAGAAGTATCTTCGAGGTGGATTCCGCTACCTGACAGTCGTCAGCAATACCACAGCAACCGTGCCGGTCAAAAGCCTCCGAGTAAAATTCACATCAGCGCCTGACCAGGACCTGCGCGCCTACACCGGGTACTTCCACTCCGATGACGAGCTCATTAACCAAATTTGGTATGCCGGCGCATACACTAACCAGCTGGCCACTATCAATCCCAAGCATGGAAATTCCCTGGTGCATCTTGGTCAGATCAGCTCGAGTGATGATATCCAGCTCCCTGAGACTGATTCCTGGTGGAACAACTATACTATCACCAACGGAACCAGCACAATCACTGACGGAGCCAAGCGTGACCGTCTTGTGTGGCCTGGTGATATGTCCATTGCTCTTGAGAGCATTGCTGTCAGTACTGGTGATCTATATAGTGTCCGCACGGCCTTGGAGTCTCTGTTCATCTTGCAAAAGCCCAATGGACAACTGCCCTATGCTGGAAAGCCGTTCCTTGACATGGTGAGCTACACGTATCACCTGCACAGTCTCATTGGCGCCTCGTACCTGTACCGATTCTCAGGTGATAAAGATTGGCTGTCCAGCCACTGGTCACAGTACAAACGGGGTCTTGAATGGGCACTGAACAGCGTCGACGACACCGGCCTCGCGAACATTACGGCGTCGGCCGACTGGCTTCGCTTCGGGATGGGAGCCCATGTAAGTACACAACTGTATACACCGTCCAAAAACCCCCATACTGACAGAAAATGTAGAACATCGAAGCAAACGCAATCCTCTACTTCGTCCTCCAAGACGCCCAATCGCTCGCGACAGAACTGAACGACAAGACCGCCCTAACAAACTGGAGCCAAATAGCCACCAAAATCAAAGCAGCCGCCAACCAAAAGCTCTGGGACGCCTCCAGTGGCCTCTACTTCGACAACGAAACAACAACAATGCACCCCCAAGACGGCAACGCCTGGGCCATAAAAGCAAACCTCACGCAATCAACCGCCCAATCCATCCAAGTCTCAAACGCCCTCAAGTCTCGCTGGGGCAAGTACGGCGCACCCGCGCCGGAAGCCGGGAAAACCGTCTCACCATTCATCGGCGGCTTCGAACTACAAGCTCACTACCTAGCCAACAAGCCCAACTCGGCACTCGATCTCATCCGTGTCCAGTGGGGATTCATGCTCAATGATCCGCGCATGACACAGTCTACTTTCATTGAAGGATACTCCACAGATGGATCTCTGCATTATGCGCCGTATTCTAATGATGCACGTGTTTCGCATGCGCATGGTTGGTCGACTGGCCCGACCTATGCGCTTACGGCTTATGCGGCTGGTATTCAGCTTACTGGGGCTGGGGGCTCGACTTGGGTCATTGCGCCGCAGGTTGGAAATCTGACGTCTGTTGATGCCGGGTTCGAGACTGTGAAGGGGAAGTTCTCGGTTTCCTATCGTGGTAGTGGTCGTGGGAATGCTGTGGGCAAGCTTGCTTTTGTTACGCCTGCTAATACTACTGGGGAGTTTTTGCTTGCTGGTGCTGAGGGTAGTCTTGTTTCTGAGAGCGGGCAGAGGGTGAGACTTGTTAATGGCAAGGCATCTGGGTTGAAGGGTGGTAGTTGGAAGTTGAGAAGTGAATGATTTTATGGTATTTAAGCGTGTTATTTTCAACGTGAATTCGGTCTTGTGCAGTCTGTATCTCTAAATATATTCCTTGTAGCATATCAAAGCCCTTGGATCCGTCGCCAATGATTATTTAAAATGAAATCATGAGATGCAAGCATCACAGTCGAACCATCACTATACCAATCTTGGAAATAACCAAACAGAAAATTACAAAGTAGGCCACTCCATCTGAATCCCCTCCAAGTCCCCAGGCCCCCTGAAATCCTCCAAAATATCCGCCTGTTCACTCAAAAGCACCCGATCAGCCTGCGAGTCCCCAATCTTAGCCAATTTCCTCCACCGCGCAAGATCCTCGGGATTCCGCTTATCACCATGGGCAGCCTCATTCTGCTCCCAGTGTCCCTTCGAAAAGCCGAGTAGGGTCGTGATCCGTTGGTTCGGGATATCAAACACCAGCGAGCAGATAGTCCCCGTCTCCTCTAGCCAATTACATTGCCATAGCTCTCCCGGGCGGATACACTGGTACGTTGCAGTTTGGAAGTTCTTTCGGCCTGCCATTGGACCTCCGTGGATGGCGTACACGATCCGATCTTCGTTGTAGAACCACATTTCGTAGCGCCATTTTTCGGGTTGGCCGTGTGTGTCTTTTGCGTCGTAGTCGTAGATCATATGGCGGTCGCGAATGTCCGCGTCAAAGGTTGAGCCTTGTAGAGTTGGTAGGACGGGCATTTTGTCGCTGTTTTGGTATAATTGTATAGGGTACAGTAGAACAAGATCTGCCGAATGTTGGTCGGTGGGGAAGGGGACTACATATACAGATCAACGGGCAGCCAGAGCCTTTAATAACCGGAATTTCGACCTTGTGCGTCCAACGCTGAACTCTGTTGGAAATCCGGAAATGGGTTGATGATGGTACGCAACCTGGAAATGGCCGTTCGGATACCTCGGGGTGGGTCGTCATCGTCATTCTCTTCAGAGTCCCTAAATCAACCAGATCTATTGTTCAAACAAATTTCCAAGATCAAAAGAGTGGTATTGAATTATATACATCTATGTAGAGAAGAGTATGCATGGTATCTAAAAGAGTAGAGTATAAAATGAGGAAAGAAAAGAGCCTTGACAAAAGGCGAAAGAACATGTTCAAGAAGGAAGAACACCAAAAGAAATGCAATCAAGCCTTCTTTACCTTGGCCTTCGAACCCCGCACCCGGAACAGGTAATAGAGCGAAATAGCAGCAAAGATATTGAAGATGAAGTAGCACCAGAAGATACCATAGTTTCTCCAGCGATCTCCCCAGTAAATCTCACGAGCAGCAAGATACTGATCAGCCGACGAGATCGAACAGTACTGGCAGTTCTCAGTGGCGTTGGGGTTCGAAAGTGATCCACCAGCCGCAGTGGCATATTCATTCAAGTACTGGAAGCAAGTCTGACCAGAAGGCGGGCTCAGAACACTCATCTCGGCAGCGTTACATTCGACCTTGCGGCCGTGCAGGGCTGTACTACCAATACCACTGATATAGTAGGTGAATGGTGAGACGCGGTACATGAAGATCCAGAAGCCGGGGAGGTCACTGGGTGGCTGCATGACACCGTTGAAGATGAATGAGAGACCGAACATGAGGGTGGCGAGCATACTAGCCAGCGCGGGTTCGGGAATGGCGCAGATAACAAGCTGGGCCATACTGGCGGCGTAGATAAAGAATTGAATGATGTAGAGGAGGATCAGGCCGCGGCGCTCGGCGTCTTGGTCGGCGCCGAAGACGGACCAGTAGAAGGAGGCCCAGGAGCAGATTCCTAGGATGACCTGGAAGGGAATTTCAACCAGCATCTGGGAGAGGATGAAGACCTTCCAGGAATAGATTCTGGATGGGCGTTCGCGGACTTCGTAGAGAGAGCGTTGGGCGACGAAGCGCGGCATGATTTGGTTGACGAGTGTGTTGAAGATGGTACAGAGAAGGAAAATACTGAAGAGAGCGTTTTGGAAGCCTTGCTGGGTGTTGTCGGCTTTCCAGAACGAAAAGCCGATGAAGAGGCCGGAGACGGTGCCCAGGACTAATTTGGAGAAGACGTATTCTGGCTGACGCCAGTATTGTTGGAAGACACGTTGGAGGACGTAGTAAAGTTGGCTGGTGAGAGGCATGGCGAACTCTGCATCATCATTGTCCAGGGATAGCTCGTGGACAGAGGGCTTGTGGCCGTTGTGAATTCTGTGAACTTCGGCTTGAACTTGTTCGTACTCAGGGCTCTTGTTCCAGGCATCGGACCAGTCAACGCCGGGGCAAGCGTCACCAGCGACCATTTCGAGAATGTATTCGGCGGGGTTCTCGAGCGGTTCACAGGTACGGGCGCCATGGCCTTCGAAGTAGTTTAAGAGGGTAGATGAGTCTTCGCCAATGTCACCAAAGTAGACAGTTTTGCCTCCTTTGGCAAGGAAGAGCAAGCGATCGAAGGTCTGGAAGAGCTGGGCACTGGGCTGGTGAATAGTGGCAAGGACAGCCTGGCCGTGGTCTGCGAGGCGACGAAGGAACTGGCAAATGGTCCATGAACTCTGGGAATCGAGACCACTGGTAGGCTCATCGAGGAAGATGAGCAAGGTCGGCTTCGCAGCAAGCTCAACACCAATACTGAGCAACTTGCGCTGCTCGACGTTGAGACCTTCTCCCAAGCTTCCCACAACCGCTTCGGCGAAATCTTCCATACCAAGTACCTTGATGACCTGTTCCACGTAGTCGAACTTCTCAGCCTTAGACACAGCCTTGGGCTGGCGAAGCATGGCACTGAAGCGCAAAGCCTCTCTCACGGTAGTCGAGTCAAGGTGAAGATCCTGCTGTTGGACGTAACCAGTGCGACGAGGGAAGTTGGCAGCGAGAGGGTTTCCATTGACGAAGATATCACCAGAGACCACACCGATCGAGACTCTCTGTGCGAGAACATCCAAAAGAGTTGTCTTTCCAGCTCCAGAAACACCCATGAGGGCAGTCAAACTGCCAGGTTTAACCCAGCCGTTGACGTTGTCCAAGAGTTTTCGGGTTCCTTCCTTCACAGGAATCTCATAGTTGAGGTTGTTCCAAGAAAGAATATCCTTTTGCTGGGGGAGGTGGATGGTGTCGCTGGTACGCTGCAACTCAAGCTTGTTGATTTCATCCAATCCATGTTCGATGGTAGTCTCTTGTTGGAGATACTTGGGAGCGTGGCCAGGGCGGAAGACCAAAGCCTCAGCCTTGGACTTGTCATCGCTGAGGTACTCACTAGCAACCAGATAGGTACAATTGAGGACAATAGCAAAAGCAACGAGAATACCGAAGTTGCGCCAGACGTGGGAGTATTGGTATTGGTAGTTCTCCATGATGAATCTATCACCAGAGACGGTTCTCTCACCGGCAACCGCACCGACAGTGGAGCAAATGAAGGATAAACCAGTTGGGTGGCTTGGGATGAAAGAGGTACAATCAAAGTTCTTGCCGTGGAACTCGTTCGCAACAAGTGATTCGAAGGTGTAGTAAATGGGGTTGATCCAGCGAATCCAAGAAAGCCATGGATGCATGTACGGTTGAGGCAGGGTGAATCCAGTGTAAACGACGATACACAAGACCAGAATACCAGCAAAAGACATGGCCTGTCCGATTGTCTTGGTCAATGCACCAATGGTGCGGAAAAGACCAGACATAGCCAAGACAGCAGTGAGCAGGAAGAGATAGAAGACGAAGAACGGTCCGGGTTCACGGCGAAGGTTGACCATGAAGTATAGTACAATCGTGAAGAAAGAGAGACGAACGAGTTTGATCGGTAGATCGACCACAATACTAGAAAGTGCTTCGGTGAACGGATGGACGAATGCATAGCCTGCTTGTTTTTCGACGACAGGACGTTGAGCATAAAGCTGCATGATTTCGTTCATCGTAAGAAGGGCGTTCATGAGTACAGCAAAGTACATCGCTCCTCCTTTTTGGAAGAAGTAACTGGGGGAGTCGGGGGTATTATAGAAGATGGAACCAATAATGAGAGACAGAATGATTTGGACAATGACTGGAGACATGACCGTCGGCAGATCTTGGAGCATTCGCTGGTAAGCTCTGGTCATGCAAAGGCGCACCTGCATGGGAACAGAAAGAAGGTAAGGGCTGCTGTCGCGGGTGTGGCGAGCTTGTTGAACTTTGTGGCTATCCTGAAGCCTCTTTGCGTCGCCGCCATTCGGTGGGTGTTCGCCTTCATAGATTTTGATTTCTTTCAACAAATCTTGATACTCTGGGCTGTTTTTCCAATGCTGGGCGAATTCCTTCGCAGTTCGGGGAACCTTGCCCTCAAATCCTGGAGATACGCGACGCTCAGCTGGGTTGGTGATAGCAGTCAGGTAGTCACCGCTGACTTGGCGCTCCGGTCTCTCGAAACCCATCTCTTGGAAGTAGGCCACTGCGCGGTCTCTAGGTCCGTAGTAGATTTGGTATCCCTCGTACAAAAGGGCAACCTTGTCGAAAAGGTCATACATGGACTGCGAGGCTTGGTAGGCAGCGATGGCGTGGCAGGATTTACCCATATCAGCGGAGAGACGCAACGACTTGACAAACTTCAAGGCCGAGGCGGCATCGAGACCACGAGTGCTGTTATCCCAGGCTCCAATGCGGCAGCGGGACAAGAACATCTCAGCAATACTGACCCTCTTTCGCTCACCTCCACTGACACCACGTACGAATTCATTGCCGACCTTGGTGTTGAAGGTATGAGATAGACCGAAGACTGACAGGACGACTTGGGTGAGAGTTTCGACGTATTCGTTGCGAGACATCTGTCCAGGACGCTCATGGGGAGCTCGCGCGTGGGCGGCGAATGTGAGGGTCTGACCAACAGTCAAATGAGGGAAATGGAGGTCGACTTCTTTGTTGTAGGCGACTTCTCCTCGGTGGTGTTTGATCATATGCTCGAAGTCGACACCTTCATAGTGAAGAGTGCTGCTGGGATCCAAGGACAGTCCTCCGAGATGACCAGTGATAGTCTTCAGGAACGTCGTACATCCACTGCCAGGGCGGCCCAGAACCAGGACAAGCTCTCCCCCCTGAAGGAGTCCATCGAAGTTGTGAAGGATCTCTCGAGGTGCTGCGGTGCGTCCAGTCAAACTTCGGACAGCAGCACGAAATGGAACTCGAAGACTGGAAGTGAGGGTCTCCTGATATTGCAACGCGGAGCCGGAACCGCTGACGGAGAGATTGGAAAAGACGACACCTTGGTGAGGAATATCAATGCCGGATTCATTGACTTGGTTCAGGACCATCTGCGCCCATCGCTGGTGATCGAAGTGTGGGCTGGTTGGATCGAGATGAGGTTGTAATGTCCTTTGACTAGCAGTAGTAGACAATTGCAAGCCGAGCTTACTAGAAGCGATCCGCGTCAGGGCCTCCTGTTCTTGTTCTTCTAGAACAGTGGGGACCTTCCCCGTAATAGGAGCGAACTCCGGCTCATCGTAGTCCTTCTCCATGATGAGAAGGTGTAGATGAGTACAAGTGAAAGCTTTGGGAGATAGCCTTAAAGGAGGGCCAGGCCTATTTTAATAAAGATCATCAGAATCTTCACAGCGGGGACGGACAACAAATAAACCGAGTGTAGATCGGAGTTTAGAAGCTTTTATGCATCGGGGCTGCCACTTTCCGGTCTATCACGGCGGAACGGACTCCGTTTCGCCGACTGTTCGCCACGTTCTCTCCTGAATTTTGCTCGTTTTGACGATTGTGATTGGCTGAGAATTTGCCGAGCATGCAAGCTTTTTTGAGGGGATTCCTTTTTTTGGTAATCGGCAGATGCATGGTGAGGTGCATACTGTACAGTATGCTGAGTTTGAGTTCTGATTTTCACGCCACGAGACAAGGATTAATTCCTGTAGCATGAAGTAAGCCTGTCGACTGCAAGCCCTAATCCATCAGGTGCTGATTGGTTGCATAACAGTACATAAGGACACTAATGATTGTGGTTGAGTCATTAGATCCACTCGGGCTTTGGAGCCCCGAGTCCGATCTTAACGATCACGGCGTTTAGGGGTAAACTCCATATTGAGTCTCTAGATCGGAATTCCGTGTGTCAGTTCTCCTGGTGCCTAGGGGTAAATAATATCCCCGCTGCGAAGTACGTAACCTAGGTAAATTTCGAAGATTCCTAATAATCTTGAAGTATTATAATTATACCGATTGACTTTCTGTTTTCAATCTTTTTCTATTTTCGCCAGATCGAAGACTTAAAATAGGGTTATCTTATGTTCACCCAGCCGAGATGTGCCACCTGCACTAGGCCTACTTACATCATCTAGGCGTAAATCCCAATCTTATAGACCCCACTGCCACAAACACAAAGCGACGACACTGTAATGTCAATGGCCACAGATATGGGACCGCTTTGTTTCAGGCGCTGTGCTTTATAATTGGTTTGTTTCGTTTGACGTAACGCATATATGAATTGTGTGGACCCTTGGAGGAAATATACAATTCGGTTATACACAAGTCAATGCTGGACTGTCCAAAGACAACGCATTCATCTACATGTATTAATATACAATGCGTCGGATCCAATCAAAATTCCCGCCCTTGTGTCATCGAAGGCGACCTGCAGGGTCAATATCCAATATATCAAACCCCGCAATTGTAGTCCTCTGTTGATCAATACTCATTGCTAACAACATCTCAGAGCTTTTACCAATTTTGGCAGACACCCCACTTACAGTACTCCGACTTGTTAACCTACAATAGCGGGGTAGTATGAATGCTCTCCATTGGTTCCCTACTACAGGCCGCACTGGGTTCCATTTAGGTAAGTGCAATATCTTGTAGTATGATATTCCATGGCGTGCAAGTTGGTAGTATTGAGAGTTATGGCCTTCAACTCTTAGCATGATTTGCTCTAGAACATCCACCACAGCTGAAACATGAGAGTAACAAAGTAGCACTTCGTGAACTTAGGGTTATCTCACCTCGTGACCTCATTCTAGCCCTGGAGATGTCGCCAGCTGACATCATTCGGTCTTCAATCCCGACCCTGGTCTATTCATATCCCTATAGTAAAGATCAACTGAAGAGTGTGGCTTTCATCGAAATTTTCTGGCTCTATGGCCACTCGGCAATATCTCTTATGGCATCATGTTGAGCTCAATTTGCCAGCGCTTGAATACTGGTTGAAACAGAACGGAGCCCACCTACCAAACTTCTACTGGTAAAGAACATACAATGCACCTTAGCCTAACTAACAAAAGTTGAATATACAAATCAACCTATTTGTTAGACAGCCACCTGAAACCCCACCAACATGGCAGTCATAATGCCCAGGCAAGCCTATCATCACTCAAACCCAATCCCAAACTAACATACCCAGCCCAATAACCTCAATAGGGTACAACCCCCACGAGACAGATTGCATGAAAGCAGCATGGTGGATGGGCACACACAACGTCGAAGTAGGAGTGGTCCCCAAACCAACAATAACAGATCCCCACGACGCAATAATCCAAATAAGCCACTGCACGATCTCCGGCAGCGACATCCAACTTTACGAAGGCGAGCTCAACGAAAGCATGGAAAAAGGCGACATCCTCGGCCAAGAAGCAATAGGCCTCGTGGAAGACGTAGGAGCAAAAGTGCAGACCCTCAAACCCGGCGACCGGGTCATCATCCTCCCAGTCATCTCCTGCGGCAGCTGCAACGACTGCCAGAAGAAGCAGTACTCTCTGTGCGGGAACACCAATCCATCCCGGGACATGGAAGCCGCGTATAGGCATCGCATTTCAGGGAGGCTGGGCTATAGTCGGTTCTGTGGTGGCTATCCCGGTGATCAGGCCGAGTATTGTCGAGTCCCGAATGCCGATTTGACGTGCATCCGTGCGCCGCGGGGAATCGATGCGCGGAAGTTGCTGGGATTGAGTAATGTCGCTACGACGGCTTGGCATGCACTGGAACTGGCTGAAGGGCGCGAAGGCGATGTTGTTGCTGTTTGGGGGTGTGGACCTGTTGGGCTTGCTGTGCAGCGGTTAGCAAAGCTGCGCGGAGCGAAGAAGGTTTATGCTATGGATCGTGATTCGCAGCGGTTGCGAATTGCTGAGGATTTCGGCATGATGCCGGTTGATGTTTCGCTTCATCAGGAGGTTGGGGCGTATCTTCTTTCTATTCAAGAGGACGGGCTTGATCGGGCTATTGAGGCGAGTGGGTTTCGCAGTGTGCAGAAGCCTAGACATGCTGCTATGCGGGCTATTTGGGTTGGAGCGGGATAGCGGGGATACGTTGGAGGATATCATTCGAGCTACGCGAAAGGGTGGACATGTCGCTTTGGTGGGGGATTCCTTTTTTACCACGCATGATTTTCCCATTGGGCCCATGATGCAAAAGGCATTGACGGTGCGTGGTGGTCAAGTTTGTCCCCAGAAGGTGAGATGAGCATAGCTCCCGTTTTCAGCCAGCTTCGCTGCTAAGTCGAGTTTAGTATTATCCTTTCCTGCTGGACTTGGTTGTCCAGGGGAAAATCGACCCCTCGTGAATGTTCACGTTCGAGGATGAATTCGAGAACATTGCCGAGGAATACCACCAGTTCGCGCGGCACGAGGTTCCTGGCGGGTTGAAAGTGTGCTTGGTGACATCCTTTGGACGCAGTGAGCAAAACCAAGACACCAGCGATATGAACGCCGCTCGCGAGTGTTAGCTGCCCAAGCAGTAGCCCTAAAACCCTACCTCTACCATAGCAGAGTAGTCAGCACCGACGTCGGAGCTCTCTATAAAAATAAGCATAAGCTGATCCCCGATCTCGACTCCACAAATCTCTCATTTCTCCAGTTTCTCCAGTTTCTCCACGATGCATCCCCCACCCATTGCCCTCGACTGGAACAACATCGGCTTCAAAGTCCGCGATGGTATTCCCCCCTCAATGAAATATATCCTATCCCCACTAAATAAAATCAAGGCAACGGCCACGTAGAATGCCACTTCTCCCACAGCGGCGGCGGCAAATGGAGTGCCCCGCAGTATATATCCTCGCCAAACCTGAGCATATCCGGCATGTCCCCGGCCCTCAACTACGGCCAACAGGTGTACGAAGGACTCAAAGCATTCCGACACCCGGACGACCAAAAAATAACCGTCTTCCGGCCCGACCGCAATGCCCGCCGGATGCAGTTCTCCGCCGAGGTAGTCTCCATGCCCCCCGTGCCGGAGTCCCTCTTCATCGAATGCGTGAAGCTAGCCGTGGGATTGAACGCTGAGTATGTCCCGCCTCACGAGTCCGGCGCCGCGATGTATATCCGACCTTTGCTGTTTGGGTCTTCTCCGCAGCTGGGCCTGAGTCCGCCGGATGGGTATACGTTTGCGGTGTTTGCGATGCCGACTGGTGTGTACCATGGAGCTAGTGCCGTTGATGCGTTGATCTTGGAGGATTTTGACCGGTGTGCGCCTTTTGGTACGGGGGCTGCCAAGGTCGGCGGCAATTATGCGCCTGTGTTGAGACATAGTGATCGGGCGAGACGGGACGGGTTTGGCATTACGCTGCACCTGGATAGTGCGACTAGGAGGGAGATTGATGAGTTTTCGACTAGTGCGTTTATTGGGGTGAAGAGGGATGCGGAGGGTTCGGTTACGGTTGTTCAGCCGGATAGTCGCAATGCGATTGATTCGGTCACTGCGGCTTCGGTGTTGGAGATTGCGAAGAAGTTGGGGTACTCGGTTGAGAAGCGACGGGTCTTGTATGAGGAATTGGATGAGTTTGAGGAGATTATTGCGGCGGGGACTGCTGCTGCTTTGGTTCCTGTTGGGAGTATCACTATGAAGTCGCGTCGGGATAGGTTAAGGTATAAGACTGGGGCTGAGAAGGAGGGTGGAGAGGTTTGTGTGCAGTTGTTGAAGATGCTTCGAGGTATTCAATCTGGGGTTGCGGAGGATTCTTTTGGTTGGAACTATGAGGTGCTGCCACCACCCAAGGGATGGGCCGATGAGAGCCACGAAAAAGCTGAAGAGAACGGTGCCAATGTTCCCTAACTGGATGACCGTCCTTGGCCTGGTGTCTCTTCTCATTCAATTGGCTTACTGATATTCTCGTGATTTAAGTGAAAAAAAAAGGCTCGATCATTCATCAACATTAACATAATTGTATTCGACATAGCGCAATGTACACGGGGTAACAAGTAACGACGGGTTATGCATGTAGTAAGCAGGATATCTTAACGACAAAATAAATGCAAGGGATGGTACAAGAATCACTTGGTGCGCTGAGACCAGGGCTTGCGCAGCTTTGAATGGGATCCGTCGGGTAGAATATCGCCCTCATCACTGTCCGACTTGTCGCTGTCGCTGTCGCTGTCGCTGTCGGAATCAGAGTCACTCGCGTCGTCACTCGAGCTAGGCACATCATACACATCCCCACGGACAGGCGGGGCGGGTTTGGGTTCGGGGCGAGGTTTGGCGGTCTTAGCAAGGATTTCTTGTTTCTGGCTGCTGAGAAGACCCTTGAGGGTAGGACGGGGTGTGCGTGTAACAGATTTCTTGGGGTTTGCATCTTGCTCCTGCTTCCTCTCTTCGCATTGTTTTAGTTGCCCTCGTAATTGGTCGAGCTTTTTACGCCAATCTAACATCCTCACTTTTCCCTGGCGCTTCTTATGCTCAAGCTTATCGAGGAGGTCCAGCATCTCCGTCGCAAGAATCAATACTTGAGGATCGGCATTTTGTGCATTGAGCTTGGCTTGCAGTTCATTTTTCTCGTTCGTGTCTCGCTCGATTTGCGCACCCATCTGGTTGATACTTTCGGCAGAGAATCCTGGTGGATAAACAATATTGCTCTGGCTGCTGGCTGGCGTTCCCTCGTTGGACTTCGAGGCCGGAGTCTTCCGAGCGGCTTTGGCTTTCACGGCATTCTGAGGGGTTCCATTGGCGACTTGCTGAGTTGCGGCAGAAGTCGGTGGGTTGTGAGATTCCTTTTCCTTTGGCGTCCCACGAGGTGTCGAGCCGGACTGCAGCCCTGAAGCAGTAATCTGGCTGGCCGCAGTGAGTGGCTTCGCGGACCGGGACGTAGTGGTCTGGCGAGGAGTCGAGGTTGAGGGTTGTGCGGGATCAGAGGTTAAAAACACATTGTCGCCCTCTTGGAAGGAGACAGATCGTCGCTCTCCTCGTTCTGAAGGGGAGTCTTTTCCACGGATCGCGGAGTGCAATTTCTTAGTTCTGTCAACCGCAGGTGTTTGCTTAGTTGGGGTCATGTCAACTGAATCAACGGCGGTGGGTACGCTGCTGGGGAACAGAGGACCACCAAATACAGGCTGAACAGGCTCAGAGATATGCATGTCCTCTGCAGGTTTGCTCATGGGTTGTTTACTGGGAGGGCTTTTTGTGATACCCAATCCGAGTCCAGTAAGGCGATTGGGTGATTTTTCCCGATCCATTGACATGCTGGCACGGCGACGGCCAGGGCTAGAGAATGAAGGAACACGCTCGCTTCTCCGGCGTGGGCTTTCCAACTGAGGTGGTAGTGGCACCTCAGTGGAGCCAATTGGTGACTTCGACTTTGATTGTGGGTTATCATTCTGAGTAGAGTTCACAAGGTCAAGCGTAGCATTAGGGGTTTTTGATTTGGCCTGCTGGCGAGTTGATGGGTGGGTTTGGTTAATACGAGTTTCCTTGACCGGCGCAGGCTCCTCTGAACTCTGCTTGCGCTTCCGAGAGAAAGTCTGACTCGAAGCGCCGTTCTCCCGAGGGGATATTTTGGCGTGGGAGCCTTCCATTTCCACATCTCCATCTTGATCAATTTCCTGAGCCTCATTGGTCAGCTGGGTTTCAGCAATTATGTCCTCCGCGTTTTCTTCGCTATCTTCAGACTCTGATGAGGATTCAGACTCGGATGAAGAGGAAGATGAAGAGTCCTCAGAGTTATCGCTATCAACGTTCTCCTTTGTGACCAGTTGGTCTTCGGGCTTCTCAACTTCGACCGGTTTTGGTGGGCTCTTCGCGGTTTCAGTTTCGATCTTGTTTTCCTCGTCGCTCTCGTTGTCACTGTCGTCGCTATCGTCTTCACTAGACTCGCTGTCTTCAGCACTTGAAATATCAATGGCCTGGCCAGCGACCCCATTTTGCGGCGACTTCGTGATGCTCTTGGCAAGCGCCGAAAGATGGCTTTCTGGTTTGATGCCAATGGAGGTGCGTTTGACTGCTGGCTGGGGTGGGGATGTGAACTTCTTGTCTTTTTCACCCTTAGATTCGTTTGCCTCATTGCTGCTCTCCCTAATTTGTTTCTCGGCGTTTTTCCCAGGAGCCGCGGGGGCATCAATTGAGGGCTCAGCAAGTTCCGCGTTGGATGTCTTGTTAGTGGTTCCAGAAGCTGGCAAACTGAGTTTTACAATCCTTTGAGGTTGAGTGTCCGATTTAGGAGAAGGTGCAGTCGCAGAACCAGGCGTAGACTTAGATCGTGTTTGAGAAGCTCGTTGTTCGGTAGGTGACGGTGACTCTCCAAGCTCCTCACTCTCGTCTCGTCGGGGAGGAGGCGTACCAGCAATTGTAGGCCCATTGGTAGTTGGACTGCGAACCTCAACAGAGGAAAGTGGCACATCCCGGCGACGACGTTGGTCCTCCATACCATTTCTCAAAGGACGCTTATTGCGCGTACCTGATCTATCATGGTGAGCCGGAACGGACCATGGCGATGCAGATGAGTGGCTCCGCCAGGAATGAACGCTTTGCGACTGAGATTTAGCATCTTCGTCCTCCTCCTCAATAGGCGAGAATTGCCGCTTCAGAGCCTCCTTCTTAATGTTCGCATCGCGCTGTCGCTCATACGCGACAATCGCAGCATCCCAATCCTGATCGACAGAGGGGAAGCGCTCCGGCGCAGCAGCCGCAGCAGGTTTCTGAACAACGCGCACAGTCCCACGCTGGTCGAGACCATCTGCGCGGGCTTTTCCATAATCAACCCAGACGTCGGCGACGGTCAAATCGGGGTACAGGTCGAGGTCTTCTTTCGTATCGTCCAAGATTTTCTTAATCGAGAGGGGTCTATGAGTCGCAAGAGTTAGACATTGACAGTTTTCTTCCCAGTGCATAATATCATAATTTAATACGGTCGCTGAGGGTAGATCACTTACTCAAGATCAGGGTGTAGCTTGGCCCAGTGGTCCTGGATCAGACCCGCCAATCCGCCGAGCGTAACGTCCTCCGGTTTCTCAAGCACCAGGAGGAAGATACCTGGCTTCTTGGATGTAATCGACGCTGCAGATCCCTGGCTGGAGTCATCGTTCACAGATTTGCGCGTGAAAGGTAATGATCGACCCCAGCTCGAGTTTGAGTGTGACGCCAGTTGATCCCGCGGGAAAACTTTGACCGATAGTCGAAGGAACACCATTGTGAGCTAGAGCGTACAGACAATGATAAGCACCTTGTGGCAGGGAGGGAGGATGTCGACAAAGGCGACAGGCACGAGGAAGAAGCAAGTCTTCAGAGTGTCACGATTGAAGCTCGAACGCGTTAGGTGGAAGAGTAAGGTTGGCGCGGCGACTTAGACAAACGCGCAAACATGAGATCAAGAAGCTCAAATGCACATGACTGGCCTGCAGGCTGGCATCTCAAACTCAGCAACGGAACTTGCAGAGGAAAAGTTGCGGAGCGGAAATTGGGGAGGTGCGGAAAGAATTTGGCGCGACGTCGCGATCCACTTATGGGTCTATCACATAACCACGTTCGATCTATCCAACGGCTTACTGATATTGGGCACTTTTTGGACATATCTTCAATGGGGACCATGTTCCATCATATATATATATGTGTATTGAATCTTATGAACGAATTGGACATTTTGACATGTTCGTCTCGGCCAACGGCAGAGTTGGCACATTAGATGCTGCGGAGCTCTGCAGCACACTATAGCTACAGTGCAGCTTACGATCGGAGTGAATTGACCATAAAATATGCAATAAAATTCAGTTGTAGATAGGGGCATGCAAGTGATAAATTTGAAAAATGACCAGAAATGTAATCTAAATGCGATGCAGTAAGAAAACCGCCTACTCAGGCGGTACAAAATACCGCTGGAACCGATCAATGCGAGTCAAATCCAACTCGACAATGACAGAATGACAGCTCATCAAGAGACTCGGGAAGCGAACAGTCCAAAAGTTGAGGTACCCCTCGGGCAAACCACCAATATGAGTCTTGAGATACTCAGGCATATCATTGTAGTGATTGCGCTTGTTACGAAGAGCACGAAGAAGGTCAAGCATGCGTGACCCGGTATACTTGCGTTGCTTACCGAGATTGTCTTTGAAGTCTCTCGGCAGTAAGCGCAAGAAGTCCATCTCTGAGCCCATGACCTGTCTGGCAACGGATTCCAGACAAAGAAGGGCATCCGAGGGTGGGTCGCGGGGCTCGAATTCGAAGTGATCGGAAACGTCGCAGAGGAAGCTGAGGCGATCGGAAGGGGGCCAGAAGAAGGGATGCATGAGGACAGCGCTGGCGTCGGGTCGGTGACGAGGGTCCAGGGACAACATGGAGCGAATGAGATCATCAGCTTCAAAGGCGTAATCACCCAGACGATTCAATTCCTCTAGATCAAACTGGCCCTTCACGATGTTCGCCTCACGCATGAACTTGCCATTCTTATCGAATGGGTGGCTACCACGAGTCAAGACGTAGTAAAAGACACAGCCCAAAGAGAAGATGTCGATGGCACGGGTCGCACGACGGTTCGTCTGTGGATCTACCACCGCAGGCTCCGAGGACTCAGTGTGTTGTGAAGCGAGCGACATTGGACCATCATCGTCTACCAGGAGCTCGGGGGCACGCCAGCCAGAGGTTCCCGCAGCATGGGCTGTGGTCGCCCGGAAAGAACTCTGATTGTCCTCCAATTTCTTACAAAGACCGAAATCAGAGATGAGTAGACGCAATGAGCGAGAGATGCTGCGACCACGAGGCATCGCCACGAGAATGTTCTGAGGCTTCAGATCACGGTGAACGATCTTGAGAGAATGTAGGTAACGAACGCCTTGAGTTATCTGGCGCAGTACATCTGGCAGATCCAGGCCGCTTTGAACAAGGTCTGGGTAAGAAGCAGGACGCTCAATGACATCCTGGAGAGATGCAGGACAAAGCTCAAGACCAATGTACAGGAAGCCAGTGGCTTGCTCACGACAGAAGTACCGGATCACGTTATGGTGATCATCACTCTCCTGCAACAAGCCCACTTCGTGGGATGCAATGTCATAGAACTCCATCAGCATACGTTTGACTGCCACATCACGTCCATCAAAAGAACCGCGGTAGACCACGGTTCCATGACTGCCAAAGCCGAGGATGACATCGGTGAAGACTTGGAGACGGCCAATGCGGATGACACCATCCATCTCCATGATCTCGTTCGAAACCTGACGGGTCAACTGTACATCAGGCTCAAGTCGAGACTGAGGACCCAAGGTACCAATTTGATCGATAACCTGCTCGGCAACTTCGGTGGTGTCGCCTTCACTCCCAGGCTTTCTGCGGCGACGGTGAGACTTTCCACCACGAGAGCCACGAGCGCGGCCTTTTTTCTTAGGCTTCTCATTCTCATCGCCCTCCTCATCGTCCGGGCCCCGGGATGGCTCACGTATCTTGACACGTGGTGTTGCGTCTGGGGATATATGCTCTGCAGAGGTAGCCTTCTCGGTCTCTCCGCTCTGGGCTGAGCCATCCATATCCAAATCAACAGTCACATTGGGGACTTGCTGAGTTGGAGTGGATGGGCGCTTAATGTCCGGAGATGCGCCAACGAGAGGAGTGGAGGGGGTGGATAGAGAGGCCTTGTCATTTGAGTTAATGATGTTCTTGATGTCGAGCTTCTGTTTGGCCAAGTCTCGAAGATGATGCGAGTTAAAATAGATAAAGGTGCAGATGAACAACAATATCAAAGTAACGACAATGTCCAATGCATTGTCCCAACTCTTGCGAATGATTGCACTGTTGCGAAGAGCCGGAGGCAGTGCCAGTTCAGAAGGGCTGCGTAAAGCCTCCCAAGGAGTGTCATTTGAAAGCTCAGAAGTGGACGACCCAGCGATTCTGGGCATGGGAGAACGGACTATACGAGGACCGCTGAGTGAATGAACACCCGCCAAAGCATTTCGCTGCTGGTGCGGAGTTAGACTCATCAGTGCCTGGCCCCTGCGGAAAAAGTCTTTCTCATAGCAAGAAGCCATTGGGGCGCGTCCTGTAGCGAGAGGATACGTTTCCTCGGAAAAGGCATACCAACCACCCGCTTCAGTACAATCGATGAACACACGCATGTCACGCTCATCATCAAGCGAACCATAATCTGGGTCTGGAGGCTGCAGAGGCTGCGACAAGAGAACCAGCGGAGTGGAATTGCCCGGTCTGTCCTTGTTGGAAGAACGAACCACATCAAACACACGAGCCACAGGCGAAGAGAACCGCTGAGTATAACGAGCTCGATTTGTCTGCGAATGATCGAATCCTAACACCACACCGTCATGCATGCTATAGATATGACTCTGATCCATTGTGCGATAATATTGGCTCTGGAGGTCCATGTCACGATTGTTTGGCGCCCACTCCGAGTACTTCAATGTGCAGATCGGATCGCCCGTCTCGGTGTTCTGGATAGCGACAGCATACTCAACGCGACCCAGCACCAAAGTACCCGAAGTCGACTCGCACTCCTCAGGGTCCACGTCTTGCCCATCGACCTTCCGACACTCCGGTCCAGAAGTAATAGGGCCACGAGAACTGAAAACCCTCAAAATGCTTCCAGTCCGAGCGTCAATGGTATAAAGCGTAGTTTCTTTGCGAGCAGTGTACGTCACGGCAGGATCAATACCAGAATAAGGGGTTTCATCGACAAGTTGCTTCACCGTCAAGCCGAGTTTCTGCAAGCCGGCGTCCGGGCCGGGAGAGTAAATATAGAGACTGCCATCCTGGCTAGGCTCAACAATCCACAAAAAATCGTCTTCGGGCTCGGTATCGTCAAAGTCGGAACGATTCGCACGGTGGTAGATGCTTTCAACAACAGGACTGGAAGGAACCTCGAGGGCCCAGCGCGCAGCCCCGGTCTTGCGATCACGGGCGTGAATAGTTCCGTCGACGGTCGCCAGTAGCACAAAATCCTCGACCTCCCAGTCCTGCAAGGACCGCGCGTGAAGCTGCGAAGCCAGGCCTGCAGCTGTGCTGCTGGCTTGGACAGGAGGGGCTCGAACGGCGCGGCCGGAGCCTGCCAGAGCCAGAGTAGCAAGGGCGCTCGCATCGTTGGATTTCACAATGGGAGGTGCAGCTACGGGTGCTGCATGTGTGGATGACTCTGGTGCTCGGGGCACAGAGAGACGGGAGATGGTGTCATGGTCTGGTTGCTGCTGCGGAGCGACCAGGGCAGGCAGGAGAAGGAGGGCGACACTAGCGGGGAGGGTCGAACGGGCGCCCGGCAGCCGCCACCGCATTGTAGAAACGTCAGCACAGAGAGGGATGAAGGTGATGGCGGAGTTGGAGGGTGGTTCCTCATGTGTCGAGTTTGGAAGAGGGAGAAGAGGTTCGGGTCGAATTAAGTGTGGATCGAGCTCGCGAATCCGGGTAGCGGATCATCCCCCACAGTGGATGATTCTCGAAAATGTTCACAGTGTGCTGAGGGAGGTGAGTCAATGGTGAGAAGTGCGAGGCGAGAGGAGGAGAGATGCAAGATGCAAAATGCAAGATGAAAGATGAAATAAAGGGAAGATGAAAGGGGAGAAGGCAGATAGATTGTGTGTAATACACGTGTACAGTACAGCTAGTGACCAGCCTCTCCCGCCTCCATTGCGTGTACCAGGAGGTAATCGTGACTGGTGGTAAGGGGTCTGGAACATGAAGATCTATAGAACACATCTACTATGCATATTCCATTCATGGCAGTTGACATTTATTCACGCTGTATCTCATGCATCATTGCCCCGAAATGTTCCAGAGCAGCAAATGTAGTCAACATGCACAAATTTATATCGTGTCACAAATCTAGCTTAATCACAAGCTGGCACTAGGAAGGATTTCCAAAATTACCGGGCGATATGCTTGAATCAAGTGTATTCTTGCATCATTCGGGCGCTAACTCAATCGATTTTTTTCACATCTTTTTTATCCATTTGAGATCAGCTGAATTCGTTAGATCATACAATGGCTTGTATGGAGTTGCCCTTTGACAGCACTCCGTTTGATAACCACTCTCAAAATTCTGTTCTACATGTATTGTACGGTATGAAGGCAACACAGATCACCCCAGCCGCCTCCACGGCGGATACACCCTGGAGCCGTCAGCCGTCAGGGGCCCGAAAGTGACAGAACACGCTAGAAACGGGGAATCAGAAAGTCCATTGTCGTCAAATCAGAAGTAGGTCAGGAATCCAACGCCACAACCCCATGAAGTACTCGGAAGGGCCGGAAAGGGAGAAAAGATTAAAGAAGGAAAGATAGATACAGGATGGTGAAAAAAAAGATGCCATCTGAGACGCGCATCGGAGGTGAAAAAAGAAACTATAGAACAACTGAAGGATCACGTATGGTCCCAAGAAAGGTAAGAAGCAGAAACAAACCGTCTAGCCACCCCGGATCATCCAGGTAACAGCAACAGCCCAGCCAGTAACAAAGATGACGGTCAAGACACCCGCACCGGCTTTGTCGCCAGTACCGATGGTGTTCAATACGGGCATCGCATTGTCCGATGAGTTGGTGCCGGCATTGGGGTTACTCTTGGAGGTACCACCCGACTCGGAACTGTAGGGCGCCTTATTTTTGAAGGGGATCAGGTTTGCGGATAGGACACCGAGCACGGCCATCTGTTGCTCCAACCCGCTGGACTTATCCCACGCGGCTTGTTTGGTCCAACGGATACCACACAGGTTACCAGAGGTACCACCGGAACATTGCAAGGCCGCGGCCTGGGCGGATGTCCGTAGCTGAGGGAAGATCAGGTCGTAGGTTCCGGGGACGATGGTGGTCAGCATGCCGAGCCAGTTGGAGAAGTAGGCCTTGAAAGTGATCTGGTTACGATCACAGTTTCCGAGCGGTTCACAGGTAATATCCGATAGAATCTGGTTATTGCTAGAAGCCGGGTAGAATTGCTGGGAGGTTTTGATCAGACCCTCGACACCCTCCTTCCACTTGGTCTCAGTGCCATTGGTCTAGCAAACAGTCAGCGTCAAACTTCATCATGGACAAGGTCACTATCACATACGTAGTTGTGCATGTACGCAGCACCGCTGATATAGGTAGCGTAGTTGTAGGTCCATTGGAAATCACCGTGATCCGTGCACTGCGTGCCGCAAGTGGTGGTGTCGGCAATATTCCAGTTCTTCTGCTTGAGCAACGGGGTGGTAGCACTCCAATCCCAAATTCGTTCAGCCCATTCGGCGTAGGTCTTGTTTCCGGTGTAAAGAGCAAGTCGAGCAGACAGCTGGAACAATCCTCCGTTTGAAATTGCGTTCTTAGTCAAGTATCCATCCTGGTACGGCCAAATCTGCCAGCGCATTCCACCGTGGCAGCTGCTAGTATCCCATCGGGGGTATTGCGTGTTGAACACACCCTGAGCGAGCGACACCCAGGATGGCTGTCCGTCGAGCTCGGGGTAGTTGAATTCCGCAGCTGTGATGGCGGCAAGACCCCAGAAAACTTGATCGTCGTTACCGAGGTATTGACTGTAATTGCTGGGGAAGAAGTTGTCGTCGCCCTTCTGCCAGTACATTCCTTCCTGGACGGTGGCGGTGAACTGATCGTCACCGGTCATGAACCAGTACAGAATGAGGGTCATGAACATGGAGCCACCCTCCCACCAGGTTCCGTCCATTTTACCGGGGATGTTCTTCGAATCACGGTCGGCATAGTAAGTCATCATGTCGGTCGCGACCGTCTTGGCCGCAGCTTTGAGGGAGCCTACAAGCGCGCACCTAGATTAGCCCGTGACTTCCGATGGGGAGGGAATACAGCGACATACTCTCATCGTCAATGTTTAAGGTGATCGCAAGGGCACCTTTAGCAGCTAGAGAGCCGCTCAGAAGAGTGGCCAGCCACTTGGAGAAAATCATGTGGAGTTGAGAGCCAAGGGCCAAGGGCAAGGAGGTGGTTGAGAGAGGAAAGTAAATGTCAAAGGGTCTCTCAGGGTCCGGTAACAGTACCGTTGCAGTCCCCCGGCACTGGTGGGGGCAAAGTGTTTGCGTCTAAGAATGTTCACTCTGAAACTTAGTTTTGATTAGTGCAAATGTCTTATTGAATGCTTTTGCCTAGTAGTTTACGTCGAGTAAGGCTTCAATATTTTAGGCGCCCCTGCCCACAGCTTCTTAACCCCTAAAATACGATGACGGTTAGACTCCCCTGGAACCTGCAGGTAATGAAACACCAAGCTTGGCGAAGCATCCCTTGGCCTCTCGGCTGGAATTGGCGAACTTTTCAACATGATATGGGATGTTATAAGGTGCCAATTCATCTTGCACGGGTCTACAGACGATCATCTGGAGAAACAATTCGACTCCTGTTCTGGACCCAGGCCCCACGGCATGGATCGTCGTTGTCAAAAGTCGATACGAACACGAGGGATGGACTGGTCTCAGATTGCTGACAATGGAGCATAAGACGGAGGTGAAAATGCCGACAATTCCGACCTGCAAGCTCAAATCTATTTTGCTGCCTGTCTTTGTTCTGTCAATGAGCTGGATCGCAGTCTTTGCCTCTTTCGGAATATGGCGGCAAGGGGGTTGGACGCCGGAGATCTAAGGCAGCAACTGTAACCCTAGTTAACTTAACTTAACTAGTTAACGTTAACTATGGAGGAATTCGCTGCCTGAACCCCATGGCATCACATAGTTAACGTTACGGTCCGTGACTAAAGCGACTTAGCCTAATGAACGTGGTGTACGTCTACAAATTTGGACAATGGGTGATCATGTACGTAGTTGAACTTCTATAGCACATTTTTGGTTCCTTCATAGAGAGGGTACAGAGAATTCATCCATGCCATCACAATCATGTCCATTACATTCGGTCACGTCGGCGAGGAGCCGAGCGGATGATGTTGTCCACTCGCAACAGAAGCTATAATCAATGTTAGTAAAGATCTTGAATATATATTGGGGGGAACATACCTCGGCAGCCTCTGAAGCAGAAGACACAACGGCCTTCTTCAGCTTGTAAGCCTCCACCACACCGAGTTCACGCATATCAGCAATACCACCACCGGGGGTCAACAGGTCAAGACCAGAGCTGGTCATGCCGTTGTTAATAGCCTGGCGCAGACGGGTGACCAGGTCGGAGGAGTCGAGACCGGCGTTGTCAGCCAGAATGGTAGGAAGCTGCTTAAGAGCCTGGGCGAAGGAGTCAACAGCAAGCTGTTTCTTGCCGGTTGTGTTCTGGGCAGCCTGCTCAACAGCCTTGGACATGACCATCTCGGCGGAACCACCACCGAGTGTGACGCGGGGGTCCTTGACGGTCTGAGACAGGACGGCGAGGGCATCGTGGAGCGAACGCTCGGCCTCGTCGAGAAGCTGCTCGGTGGCACCGCGCAGCACAATGGTGCAGGCCTGACCAGCGGCCACTCCAGAGAACTTGATCAGGGTGTCCTCACCGATGATCACTTCCTCGATCAAATCACAAGATCCGACCTTGACCTGCTCGGGGTGGTCGAAAGTAGAGGCGATCTCACCGCCAGTAACGAGTGCCAGACGCTCAATACCGTCGAAGTCGGCGTGCTCAATGGACATGATACCGGCCTCGGTGAACAACTGCTCGGGCCAGTTGTAGATCAGCTGACGGTTGACGAAGCAGTTAATACCGTGAGCCTTGATGCGCTCAACCTTGGCGCGCATCTTCTCACGCTCAGCCTTCTCCAACTCGGCGAGCTTGCCTGTGGATTCGACCTTGACCCGTGCACCGAAAATCTTGACCTTATCAGTGTCCATTGCCGTGTTGGCAACCAGGATCTTGGCATTCTCCAGACGCTTGGGCTGGTTGACACCAATCTTCTTGTCCAGGATGAAACCCTCATCCAGGTATGAGTCGCTGAGCTTGCCACCAGCCTTCTTAATGATCTGAATATGGGAAAGGTCTGTGGAGCCCTTGAGACGGAGGACGGCCTCGCAGGCCAACTGGGCGAACTGGTCACGGTCTTGTGCGAGCACCTTGGAGCTGAGTGTTGTGCGGGCGATAGCGTGCAAGTCCTTACGGAAAGCCTCGGGGTCTTGGCTGCGGTCAACGGCGGTAGCCTCGAGAGCGGCCAGGGCAGCCTTGCTGGCTATCCGGTATCCCTCGATGATGGTCTGGGGGTGAATCTTCTTGGCAACAAGCTGTTCGGCCTCGCGGAGGAGCTCGGCGGCGAGAACGGTAACCGATGTAGTTCCATCACCCACCTCGTCGTCCTGAACCTTGGAGATGTTGACCAATACCTTGGCCGCAGCGTTATCCAGAGCAATAGACTTCAAGATTGTAGCACCGTCGTTCGTCACAAGGATCTCTCCCGTTGAGCTGTAAAGACGATATCGTCAGCATTCCCACCACGGTATATTGATAATCAATAGCTCCCCCACGTACGCAGACTGTAGAATCTTATCCATGCCCTTAGGGCCGAGGGTGCTCTTGACGAGGTCTCCGACGGCGATAGCACCGACGAAAGCAGAGAGACGGGCATTCTCGCCCTTCTCCTCAATGACATCGTCGCCAAAGATCTGTGTGGGATTGCCGAAAGACGCCTATGAGAGTTAGTCAACGCTCATATTTTTTCACACATCAAGCAAACACAGGTGACTTACCATGATGACCAGCTGTATAAGGCAATCGACCAAAGATCAAATGTCTTGCTGGAAAGTGTTGAAGCAACTTCTCCTGTCAACAGTGGGGTGAGGGAAAGGAGAAAAGTTGCCGTCGGTCCAAGCTCCTGATTGGACGCAACTCGTCACCGCCCGCAATACCTCGCGACTTTCGCTTTCTATCAGTGTCTCCCTTGGATGAAAGGGTTTCAATTCTCTCAAAACTACAATGGCGGACTCCGGAAATGTTGCAGAATCTGCTGCGAATAAGCGCCCTCATGCCGATGTCGACGCTGAGAACAGTGAGTCCTCCGCACGCTGAAGATTGCCCGGACCGCTGCCTCGTACATAGATACTGACTGCATGCGATTGCTAGGCGATGACTCCTCTGACGATGATTTCGGCCCGGCACTGCCCTCAGAGGTGGCTCCTAAAAAGAAGCGCAGAAAGCTTCCCTTCGAGAAAGTCTACGTGAATGCGCTACCGGCCTCGGCGCGATACTCCAAGTCGCTGATGCACAAGGACCAATTGTCTTTTGTGACAGTTGCTCCCTACACGGACTTTGTGATTACCAGCTCTGTTGATGGAGTTGTTAAGTTTTGGAAGAAGATGGCTGAGGGTATCGAGTTTGTGAAGGAGTTCATTGCTCACCCAGGTGAGATCCGGAGCGTGACCGTCAGTGCCGACGGCCGCAGCTTTGCGACGGCCGGAGTGGACAAGACAGTCAAGATCTTCGACGTCATTACATTCGGTAGGTTTAATCCATTCTCCAGGTTGCAACGTGATACTGACCGTCACAGATCTCTTGGCGATGTATACTCTGGAGTTCATGCCTCGTTGTGTCTGCTGGGTGCATCAGAGAGGCGCATCCCTCCCTCTTCTTGCCGTGACAGACGAATCAAGCAACACGGTGCAAATATTTGATGGACGTGGCGAGAACCCTACGCCGTTGCACACCGTGAAATCCATCCACCGCAGCCCAGTAGTGTCAATGGCATTCAACAACAACTTTGACTGCGTGGTTTCGGCCGACGAATCAGGCATGATCGAGTACTGGCGTGCAGGCGATGCCTCCTTCGAGAAGCCCGACAATGTCTTCGAGCTCAAGTCCTCAACTAACCTCTTTGCCTTCAAAAAGGCCAAGTCAGTTCCAACAGCCATTACAATCTCCCCATCAGGCGACCACTTCGCAACTGTCTCTTTCCCAGACCGTCAAGTGCGAGTTTTCGACTTTGCGACCGGCAAGCTATACCGTACATATGACGAATCAATAACAACAATCACGGAAATGCAACAAGCCGGAACAGCACCATACCCCCTGGACGAGATCGAATTCGGCCGACGCCTTGGCGTCGAACGTGAGATCGAATCCGACGCAACACGCCATAAGGTCAACGTCTCCTTTGACGAATCAGGCCATTTCCTCCTTTACGGCTCGCTCTACGGAATCAAATGCATAAACACCTACACGAATCGCGTAGTCCGCGTCTACGGCCGAGATGAACCCTTCCGCTCCCTGAACCTGGCCCTATACCAAGGACAACCCCAACGAAAGGGCGTGGTAACAGTCTCAATGGCAGCAAGCAGCAACCCCCTCCTCCAAGAAGCAGAAGAACGTGACCCAATCCTAATTAGTACGGGCTTCGCCAAGGTGCGCTTCTACATGTTCACCGACGACACAGAGATCTCAAAGAGCACCCGGGACGTGCAAAATGAGAAACCAACTCAATCAGCCAGCGACACAGGTGCAGCCGTAACGAAGGCCGCAGAGACCGGCACAGCAGCAGTGTTGCACACAACCTTGGGCGACATTCACCTTCGTCTCTATCCCTCCGCTGCTCCAAAAGCAGTCGAGAACTTTGTCACTCACGCCCGCCAGGGCTACTACAACAATACCATCTTCCACCGTGTCATCCGTAAATTCATGATTCAGGGTGGAGACCCGCAGGGTGATGGTACAGGCGGCGAGTCGATCTGGGGTGGGGAGTTTGCAGACGAGTTCTCTGTGCTGAAGCATGACAAGCCTTATACATTGTCGATGGCCAATGCCGGGCCCAATACCAACGGTAGTCAGTTCTTTATTACTACGGAGAAGACGCCATGGTTGGATAATAAGCATACTGTCTTTGGGCGGGCTGTGCAGGGTCTAGATATTGTGCATAAGATTGAGAATACCAAGACGCACAAGGAGAAGCCTGAGGTTGATATCAAGATTGTCAGTATCAGTGTTTCTTGAGGCATCGTTGGCTTTATGGGCGAAGAACAGAGTATTTGGTGTATGTATATGGGATCATGAATTGGTATTTGAATTGCGTGTAGCTATGCTGCACACTTTGCACTAAACACCATAATCATTCCAGTAATCGACTGCTAGAGTCAAGGAAGAACATATAAAAAGTGACAGTTGTCACAAAACCAAGTATGGAAGACATTCCATTTCGCTCCTCGCAAATGAGAAGAAAGAGGAGAACAAAAGAGAAGGGAATCAAGTCCAAGCACATATAATAAGGCAAACCAGTAAAAAAAGAAACAACAAATCCCAGCCTATTCCAACACCAAACAAATGCAACATAAGTTAAAACACAAACCAAAAAAAATGCCACAAACCAATTACCCCATAGAACAAATCAGAAGTGCCAAAGAATCAACATCGAAATCAAACAAATCAAGAATCAAACCTGCCGAACCTCCACATCCCCAGGCCCCTGCGGAACATTGTTCAAACGCGACCGACTCCCCGAAACAGGCGTAGAGAGTTTAGGAGCAACGTTCGACAGCGAGCTCGACGCCAACGAAGACGAAGGCGCCATACCGCGTCCCTGGATCGGCATCGGTGCAGGGTCCCAAGCCGCATCCCTCGGACCAGATGGCGGGGAGGCAGTACTGAGGACGCCGCTGCTGCCACCGTGGTAGAGGTTCGGGCGTTTAGCGTCGTATCGGCGCTTGAACCAGACGCCCAACCATGCGATGATGCCGAAGCCGATTGCGAGGACTATCAGCATGATCACCCATTGGTAGTGGGTGCTCCACCTGTGATGCTTGTTAGTACTTTTGCACACGGTCTGGATGATATGCGCATGTCCCGCCACCACAGAGGGGTCACATACCATGATTTGTTCTCTTCAGTGTCTGAGGATGATGTACTCGAGTTGGCACTGCTGGCACCGGCGGTGGATGTCGCGGTAGAGCTCGCCGTGGAGGATGTAGTTGTGGCAGTGGAGGTATCTTTTCCACCGGAGTTACAGTAGTTGGTGTACCAGGTGGAAATCTTGGCTTGGTCCTCGGTGCTGCAGGAGGAGCAGATGGCGCCGGAAGTTTTCAGGTTGGGTATTAAAGAGGACTGGCAGAAGCAGGACACCCAGCTTGCGGAGTCGGCGGCCTGGGTGCAGGTGTCTTGGGCGGCATAGAGCTGGCTGCAGGTCAAACCACATGTTGGGAACGTGCTCGACGCTGCGGTTGGAATGAGGTTTTTGTCTGCGGCGAGTGTTGTTGTAAGGAGGGTGAGGAGAGCGAAGAGCGCCGGGAGGCGTGGTACGAATGGCATCATGGGGGTGGGAGGTCCTTTTTTTCTCGGGATTTGTTGTACGGCAGAAGGGGTCGGACTATGAGAGAAGCTCAGAGTTGGACCATATTGCAATTGGAGGGGGAAAAAGAGGAGAGGTTAAGGAAATGAGGGAGAGAAATTAGGGTCTAGTCCCGAGCCATGCCGGATTCAGGGTCTGGTCGAGTTTTTCCCCCTCCGTGGACTAACAGTACAATAGTACAATGGTATACTAGCATGCTCGTATAGTCATTTTACACTATTACTCATGGTGTCATTGAGGTCTCGCTCTGCATCTACGATCTAGTTCGCATGCGGCCCCCTTTTTCCGCAACCGGCATCTCTCGTGGACCAACATTCCCTTTCCCGACATTCTGACAGCTGCCAGATCTCTGGAATGCTGGAAGAGGCAGTCTATAATACCATGCTGAGCTTCCCAGAAATCCAAGGAATTCAAGCTCCGATCCGGAGTGCACATCAACTGAATGCAGTAAGGATAGTCCGTAAGGCTCAGCATCTCACAGGTGCATGGATTATTGGGTAGAGATTGAGGTCAGCTAGGCCCAGTATCTCATGCAAGGGGGAAAAGTCTAGAATTGTTTATTTTCATCTACACAGACAGACCGACAGACCGACAAACCGAATTCCAGGTGGGCTTCTAATATAAAAATCAGCATCTGTAACGACCTTCATCAAAGCCAAACAAAGTGGCCCACTACGATCGGCAGTTAAACATTGCGGAAGTGGATGATCTGGGCCTGGTCAGTTTACGTTAACAAAGCCATTACTGACGTTAGTTAACGTTAGATTAGTTATTGTTCTCATCAAAATCACGTATACTCGGCTACTTTGCTTTTTTTTCTTTCAGATTCCTTTGGTTTGCGTATACGACAATTTCCACCGATTGGCTCGGACCTTTTAGCTCAGTGCGCAGGAAGATAATTTCCCGTTCCACGTCTATTTCGGTCATTTTAGTGCTCACTACTGCAGGTAACGTCTTTGACTGCTTAGCCGAGCCAATCACTACCTCTGCTCCCCTGGCGCTAAGCAGCCAATGTCCATATTGCGGCCTTTCTACGCGGGGTTAAAGTTGCGCGATACTAGACATTGTAAGCCAGGCATGTCACTTATCTGGTGATTCGCTTGCAGTCAATGATATTCCGAGACATTTTCTATGGATTCAATCATTGGTGCAGATGTTAAAAGCCTTGAGCCGTAACGCTAAATCGGTTGTGGTGTCTGTGAGTGTTAATATATATTCTGGCGTCTGATTGCGTTCGCACATTCCCAAAATGTTAAATGATCGAGCGACGATTTCATGACAGAACATAATTCCAGATCCTCTTGCTTTTGGTACCATTAGTAGCCCAGTAAGCAGATCTACAGCTTTTTATACCGATATAAGCATGCTGGGCGGCCTCCACGACTCTTAATACAGAAGGGTGTATAGATTACACATCGTTTTCAAAGTCGAGAAACACCGCGTGATTGAATTGAAGAGACCTAAATTCGACAGAGCTTTAATTATAGGAGGAATATGATTCCTAAGATACCCGCGAATAGGCTGCTTTGAGATTTCCGTCTCCAGCATGATGAATTTGATAAAAATGAAGCCATCAAACCCAATGACCAAAGGTTCTCATTTGATTCCGGAGAAGGAAGAAATTAGCATCAATTGGCCTGTCAGGCTTTATTATACCATGACTTTAAAATCACTCATAAGTCGCTAAAAGATTCCGAGATCTTTGGAGCTCATCTCGGATAACTCTGGCATGCTGATCAGAGCGAGGAACACATTGGACAGGAAACTTCCTTGGTGCAACAATAATTCCATCAGTGAAAGCAGAACGTATGTCCATATCCAAACTTTCCAAGCCATCGTGTCGAAGGTCGAAGAGCCAAACCAACTTGGCCATATTGAGCATCTGCAGAAGAGATCAGTCTATCCTAAATTCACTTGGTCGATGTATTTCAAGCACGAACTTACCAGTGAGTTTTGAGCCAGTCTTTGGCCAGAACAGACCCGCCTCCCAGCACCAAATGAGTAGGTCGTCCTGCGATGGTCATCATCGATATCTAACGCCGACTTGCAACCAAACTTATTGTCAAGCCAGCGAGCGGGCTCGAACATTTCGGGTGAATCGTATTCGAGTTCGTCCATGTGGATGGCCCATGCATTATAGAAAACTATGGTTCCCTTTGGAAGGACGTAGCCCTCGTAGCTATCATCTTCTGTCAACATATGGGGGATGCCACCGGGTGCAATTGGACGCCATCGTAGAGTCTATACGAGTCAGTTCTTCCTTTCATTCGAAACAGGCCTTTGACACTTCCAGAACTTGCCTCTTGCATACAGCAGTGCACGTAGTTTAACTTTTCGATATCATCAAAATTCGGAGAACGGTCAGTGCCACAAAGACGGTCTACCTCTTCTTGTGCCTGTTTGAGAACCTCCGGGTGCTGAGCCATAGCAAGTACAAATACGAGTAACGTGGACGATGTGGTATCCGATCCAGCCTCCATCTGTATCAACAATTAGGCAATCAGTCATCATAAAAGAAATTTGACATTTTTAGTATACCATACCGTTATTCCTCCCAAGTAAGCCATCTGCTCGGGGGTAAATTGATTATTTTCCTGGTCTTCAATCACCTTCTGCATAAAACAAGGCGGCGAGATCTTCCTCTGAATACGATCCTTCGTTTCACTCAGCAGAGTATGATAAAGTGAACTCTGCTCCTTCCTAATCTCTCTCGCCTCAATCTTCCACGGACTGAGAAATTCCGGGATATACTTCAAAAACCCAAAGGCGTCTACCGGAGGAGTTGCACCCGGCTCGAGAATCACCGTAAACCGATCTTCAACGCGGTACAAAGCCTGAACCTTAGGTGACTGGAAGCTCGCACCTCGCTGCCCGAAAACAGAAGCAAGAATAACCGCAGTTGAGTAGCGCCGAATGTGATCGTAATAATTGGATGGCTCATCGAGCAGATCACACATTGTCTGCGTGGACTCGGCTAGCTGTAGGGGATGCAGTGCATCAACAGCCTTGACATTAAGGAATCCTTGTACAGCCTTGCGTAGAGCTCGCCACTTTGGACCGTAGGATGCGAAAAGGATGTGGATTTCATTTGGGCATAGTAGTTCCCCGTTGACGTAGCTTTCGGGTCGACTGGAATACTTGGCGCCACGCTTGTCGAAGAGTCTGGCTGATCAGAACTCATCAAGTGCTCAAAAATCTTTGCGGTTTGGGCTTGACTTACTCTTTTACGTGGGTGTAGCTGTTTAGAACGACGGCGTTCTTAGGACCCAGCTTGAAGCCGACGATGCTGCCATACTGCTTACTCCATTCCTGCCATCTGAATGTAATTAGTTACCCCTTGCTTGATAAGTTAGGCTTTAGTTGTTCAAAGAGATCAAACATACCGTAGATATGCTCTGCTAAGTGGAATTTGATGAAGATTTCCAATGATAGGAAGACATGGTGGACCTGGAGGAAAGTCCTTTGGTCGTTGGCTCGCGAGAGCATATCTGACGAGCGAGACTATGAAAAATACGACAGTCCCATACAGAGCCAGTCCAAGTGCATCCATGTCGAAAAGTGGATTATGCCAATAGTCTTGAATGCTGCAAAAAGTACACAGAAACCCAGACTAGTTATCCTAGAAATACGGACGGTGTTCATGTTATATATTCATTCAGTTCGCAGTTTTCCCCTCTTCTCCCGCCGCAGAATTGCGCTTTAACCGAGATTTGATGGGACAATGCATGTCTATTTAGCTGCATGATAGATCGGCCCAACGCATCCTGTCAGAGCATCATCATTAGTGACATCTCCACCATTACGTGGACGAGTGTTTCAAATGATAGGCCACTGCAAGAATTCAGCCAAAGGTACGGTAATGACTGCATCATTCTAGTTTGGTCACAGCCTCGCGAACCGAGTCGACTTGGAAGCCTAGTCAGTGGCCGAACAATTGAGCTTTGATAGATAACGTGCAAGGCTGCATAGCGCCAAGTATACCTGAAGGTAAACCCGTATCAAATAGTGTTAATAATTGAATCGCTAATTTCAAGTTGTAGCTAGGTTCAAGTTGAACTTTCTGTGACCTGTTATGTGCACAAAGTGCAAGTGATGTAAGGACTGGGTTCTATGTCTACACCTCGGTAGGTATGGGAAGCATCTATTAGACAATCCTTTAAGAAGAATGCTGCCCTTTATCTTGATGAAGATATTCTAAGCCAGTCACATGGAAATATGCAAACAAAAAAGAGCGTGAGGATTCTTTGCCAGTTGGCTCTCCATAGACAAAATAAACGAAGTAGTTAAGCAAGTAGTTAAGCCCGGTCTTTTGGCTCCCCGCATTCTTCCCACCTCCAACTTCCACACCAGCACCAACAACAGCAAAATGCCTCCCTTACCCTCCCGCCAGCTTCTCACGACACTTATAACCTCCCTCAGCAATACACGCTGGACTCTGATTCGCACCCTTCGAAGCGAGAACCCCCTCGACCTGAACGGCCAGCTACAGGGCAACGCATCCTTCACCCCTCAATCCCCCGCCAACTCCACCACCGACGAGCAAGACTGGCTCTACTGCGAAGACGGCGAGATCCCAAGCACAATAGGCATAGGCGCATCTCAACCCGGGCTACGCTGGACAAAGAAATACATCTGGCGCGTAAACCCCGAAACCGGGCGCGTGAGTGTCTGGTTCGTGAAAGTCGCGCCAGGCCCCGAAGAAGCAGACTACCTATTCCATGACTTCGAATTCGACTCAGAGAGCGGATTATTGGACTCCGCACACGTGAAGTCCGATGCGCAGAATGATCCCGGCGAGTTTGTTGCGCCGCCCGTTCCATCGGCTGTATTGGCTACAGGCTCCGGCAATGAGACTACTGTGTTGAATGCGCGTGGCAATCATCTTTGTATTAATGACATGTACCGCACTGCCTATGCATTCCGGATCGAGCCTGAGACTGGGGTTGTGGTTAGTTGGGCTAGTCGACATGTTGTTCGGGGCCCGAAGAAGGGGCAGGACATTGTTAATCAGTATGTAAGGGGTGTTTGAACAGCTTTGGAGATCTTCAAATGTGGATGGTATACGATGATTACAAGATAGATCACGTCGTTCAATTGAGTTCTCGACAGCTTCACTCCGACGCCGTCTTCAAAGGGTATATATAAAGTCTGGCCGCTGGTCTCCGAGCAACTCGATCTGATCCGGAGTCATACCTTCAATTGACTGATCCCGCTCACCGCGTCTGCGCTTGGCATTCTCGCGTCGCAGTAGGAAATACTGTACCACGGAGCCACCGAAGAGGAAGAGGACAAGGTAGCCGAGCACGACTCCGTGACCGGGATAGAATTCTGGCTTGTCGTTATCGCGGTAGATGTTGGATGAAACAATTCCATTCAGATTACCCCAGCCGATGATGAATCCGAGAGAGACGCCTCGTTTGTATACACCTAGAAGGGCACTTGGTGTCAGTTCCAGCGGATATCCACCACTTCAAGAGTTATCTCACCTTCGGTGTTGTTACTCGTCCACGAAATAGTGTTCGCAATGGCTGGGTAAATACCCATAGCGCCCAAGAATACTCCTGCATAGCGTCCGCCGGCGGACTTGCAGCCGAGGAGCATGGAGAAACCAGCCATACCAAGGAATGAGACGCAGATATTGCAGAGACCACGTTGGCGGGTTCGGTCTGCAATGAAACCAACAATCACAGTCAAGACTGCTGCTGCGGCGTACGGTGGAACACTGAGTAGCTGAGCATGAATCGAACTATAGCCTAAATGCGCGACAAGTTAGCATTCATTCCGACGTTTTCATGTCTGATTCGGGAGTATTTACCCTGCAAGACAAAGTTAGCAAAGGATCCCACAACCACAAAGACAAAACTCACAAGTTGACTGATGATAGTCGGCACAAAGAGCGAAAATGCATACAGCGATCCATCAGCCCCCATATAGATCACAGCTCCAGTATAAGTCTTCCAATCCTTAACACTGGCCCAAAAGTAATCCATCTTAAACTCCTCATGCTCAGCACTAGACTGCTGATCAAGCGCCAACCTCCTCAACACACGCTTCCGATCAACATCCGACAAGAACCTCGCCTGGTCCGGGAAATCATAGACACACCAAAAAGACGCAACACCAATCAGGAACGTCACCAGGCCTTCCAAGATGAAAATCCACGACCAACCAGCTTTACCGCCTATGCCGTCCATTTTGGCGATAGCCGCAGCGAGCAAGCCACCGAATGAGCCTGCCAACGCAGCTGCCGAGAAGAAAATTGCCATTCGCACACCGAACTCCGATCGCTTGTACCAGCATGAGAGGAAGTAGCCTACGCCGGGGAATAGACCTGCTTCTGATAGACCCAGGAACCAGCGGACGGCCATTAAGCCTGCATAGTTCTTTACCAAACCCATGCATGTCATACAGATTCCCTAACATGTGGATTTAGAACTTGATTCTTGGTATTCAGGGAGGAGGGGATCGACATACCCATGCCATCATGATAAGTGGGATAAAAATGCTTGGTCTCAGTCGCTTGAGAAGGACATTGGTCAAGGGCTCGAATACAGAGTATGAAACGAAGAAGATGGTGAGGGTCGCATTATATTGGGCGTTCGTCATCCCTAGATCAGTCTGGAGGCCGACGATTTTCGCATTTCCGATATTCGTTCTTTAGACAAGTCAAGTCAGTTCGAGACTCTTGCGCGAACGAGCCATAATCAACAATTGAGTCCGTACCGATCGAGGAATGAAACAAGGTACAGAAGACTGAGCCATGGCACTAGTCGGAGATCGAGCTTCCAAAGTAACTGGCGATCCTATAGTATTCGCGCAGATGTTAGTATCTCAATGGCGATTGGTGATGCAGCCCATGCATGCGTGCAGGGATCCCATAGATGGAATACAGGGATCACAAACAATTTTTGCCTTTTCATCTTCGCTAAGTCCCTCATCAGGGTCCTCAAAGCCGACCGCAATCTTCGAGTCGCAATGTCTCTCTAGGTCCGATACCCGAGAAGCCGTGTCGAGAGCTGGTTTTTCATCATTCACAATTGCCATGATTCAAGATGTCACCGATCGACAGGGCGGCTACTGAAGTGCGGCAATGTTACGTTCAGTCTGCCTGCAGTGTTGGGTAGAAGGTGGAAGATCTCCAGGGTGCAGATGTGCAGAATGAAGGGACTTAGATTTCGCTAAGCTAAAGAGGGGGAGGAATCAAGCCCAGCTTATAAATTAGCTGGCATGAATTGAACTTACATGCATCACCCTTGGGCCAATCATGGCTATAGTGTTGCATGTCCGGTGCAGGGGTTGCAATAGTTTGGATTCGATCAACGGGATGATCGGCGGAGGTTGGCATAGTTTGGGGTAGGATCAGCGCAAGGGAAGCTTGTGAATGGAAAGCGAGTACGAGCGGGGTGTGCTGATGAGGGTTTAGCCTTTTTTTGGGGTTTTGTCTGTTGGTCCACGTATAAATGGCTGGATATCGGACATATGGCCGATATACTGGGGTCCCATGCGCGGGGAAATGGAGTTAGGGCAAGTCGACCCCGGTCTTCCCCAACTTATCTTCACTCCGTATGTATTGGAATTGCGAAGTATGGCTGAGAAGCTACTCTTCCATTTTTGATACATACAATAACTCCGCTGGCCCGCTATATGAAGCTACACGACCATCGAGATCAAGAATGATTGGAACCACTCAACATAGAAAATAAGCAGTGAAAGAATAAGGGGTAGTCAGCGGTCATTGGTGACACCTGGTGAGCCAGTTCAAGCAGTCTTGGAAAAATATTTGGGAATTTGAACGCGATACGAAAGGGATTGAAAGAAAACCATTTGATGGAACTCGTCTCCATCTTCCCTGGAGCTGCATGATATTATTGATCTCTTATTACGGCCTGTCAATCTGCAGTTCGTCAGAATCTATTGGCTGGTCCCAGGAAGACCTGGCTCTCAACTCAACTTTATGGACCACTGTACAGCTCACTGCGCGCAAGGGTCAATACCGAAAGTAGGATTGCAACTTTCAAAAAAGGGGATTCTCAACAGCATGGCATGAACATCGATGGCGGCTGCGATGGAGACGAAACGAAATGAGACCTGATCAGCAGCATCATTTCTCCCGAAGGCCTCCAAGCGATCAATACGATTTTTCTGGCACAAGAATCGATGTATTTGCGCCTTGAGTCTCTGTTGAGATCCGCAGAGGACGAGTGTTCGACGTCGTCCTTTTTTATAGATCAGATCGTGAAGTGTGTTTGAGATTGGATAAGTTGGGGTCTTGATTTGGCTGAGATAGACTGTCTCAGAGGGAACGAAGAAACCCTGGCGGTTGACCCTGCCCAAGAAATTCTCGGCTCCCTGCTCCTCAAGAAAGATTATGATTGCAGTGTACGAGCCTATCAAAGCAACTGTGTTGTACATGGAAGCAGAAAGGACCACGCCGCCACGAACATAGGGCAAGATGTCTTTAACCTCTGTGTGGTGACGAAGCCCCTCGATCTTTACGGTCCGATAGATGTTTGACTCACCCAAGTCTTTGACGAGTCGGTTTTCGAGTTCACCGTCTGGGGGGACGTAGCGAAGTCCATACGTCATCATGGAAAGACCAGGAACAGTAACACGGTCAAAGGTAAAGCATTGCTTGCCTTTACCCTTCCGTTGCTTGAGGCCATCGAAACCATCGAAAATATCGTTAACACCGGGGGCCCATTCAATACGACAGTCCTTCTCTGCCTTGTCGTAAAGGGTTTCGAGGACTGCAATCCAGCTGAAGCTTTTCTTCGGATTTCTCTTCTGAGTGTCAGCAGCCATTTCGAGTTCGTTTCGCAGATGATAAGATCGAGGCTGAGAATTATCTTCTATTCGACTAGGGGTGGTGTCTCTTTGAAGCCTATCAGATCTTGAGTCAATCCGGCAATTGTGAGAAATTGAGAACTTGATTGTAACGCGTACCAAGGCAGCTTAAGCCAAGCGCTTTTGTAAATTGAAGTCCTTGCGGAGCAACCACAACGAACGTGTAAGAGAAGCTGCAGCAAGAAGGGTCCACGGATCTTAGAAAAAGAGAATGTAGCACCGCTAACCATGAGTTGCCTTAGGTTTTGAGGGAAAAGATTCACCAATTTTGGCGGTAGACTCAGAATGAGAGCGAATAAGGATCGCTTTTGCAGACAGCGGAGCCTCACTTCCTGGTAAACAAGTCACTTACCAGTGAGATTGTGGGTAAGACAAACTTTCGAAGGAGCGAGAGCTTAAGAACCCCACGATGAGAGGTGTATTAGAGGTGGGAGACATACATTACGTAGTAGGGGGAAAACGGAGGGTGATTTTGTACGGCCGAATAGAGACCGGCGTTGACTGGGGACGGTGAGGTGAAAAGCCTCCTGTACGCTGGAATTGGGCGTATTGCGCCCTCTTCAAGAAGACGAAATCTGAAGGGATGTTCGACCTGGTAAGAGAAGAATGGCAGAGAATGAAGATGATATTATGAGGAATTGTGAGAAGGGGAAGTGGTAGACTCAACTCTTTCTCACCCGATATGACCTTCCGAGAACCTGTTCTGCCAAATTTGTTGGCTGATCTAAACTTGCAGTCAATGTCTTCCTTCCGATCCTTGTTCAAGATGTTAGTAAAATGCTAATGCAAAGTAAGATATTTCTGAGCGAAGCTTTGAAGGGGAGAGAAGGAAGACTACACGATCCTCCGGTTCCTACCTAGCCATGCTAAAGTGAGATCATATACAGCCCTTGGAAGATACATGGCGTCAAGAATACCTCTACTACCAAGCTAATATGGAAATGACCGGGTTGCGTTCTGAAATTTGTAGTGATCTCGGGAAACTTAGAGCGCAGGAAAGCCAATGTAAGATCATTTTTGATGAGCAAAAGTATATATATGAAACGAACGTATTTTGACTACACGGATAGCTAAACTAGCCTAAAAATTGCCCTCCAGCCAGGGCGACCCACGGCAGTTTCCGCTCCCAACAGTGTTGCATCAATTGACGTGCATTTTGGATCTGTAAAAAGTTTAATTAGCACTCCTCATCGAGTAGAGCGGGAAACGGAAACATACCTGCTTCATGCCCGAGCTCTCGAGGACAAAGAATCGATCCAAGAGCTTTGAGCGCTGGGGCGCATCTCGGGATTCGCAGCCTGCAGTAAATAACGGGAACAAGGAACAGACTTCGGTAGCAGCACCGGGACGCATCCGCGACAGAGCATCGATAAGTTTACGCAGAACCTCTTTCACCGGAAAGGAATCTGGTGGAGACCCGAGGACACGCCGGTGGAGGTGCAAAAGCCCAGCGAATCGGAATGCTTCTTCGATGGCCATCATATCTGCTGATTCAATGCCATGATGGTGATCTAGGTCTGTGTGTGCATGCTCACTTAGTCCGTCGATCTCGCCTAGGACTGCTTGGGCTTCCAACACTACGTCAGCAGATGCATGCCAGTCATGCTGGAAGTGCCCCATTTCGTTGAAGCGTTGATTATCGCATTCTTGGACCAGACGAGCGAGACGGATAAGGAACACTCCAGTGCGAGGTGTGAACCCAGTGAAACAGTCAACGCTGAAATCATCATGGTCATCGGGTGAGCAAGCTGTCAAGATTGAGTTGTAAATCATCAATGGGGGACCAGCTTGGCGACAGGATAATGCTCCCATGGTATCTAGATATCCTAGCCAACGGGCGAAGAATGCTCCAATTCTGTTTCCTGGTTGTGCCATTCTCTCACTTCGTGCAAGGAATAGGTCACGGGCAAGCTTGAGATGACTTTTCCATGTGATGGGAACCTCGAATGTGCCTGGAGACACAATTTTCAGTGAGAGAAGCATGATAGCAGCAGCTAAATGACTATCGGTTATATCCTCGTTGGGAGATTCCAATGCCACGCGCAATGTTGGGAATACTTTGCTGACCCAGTGTGCAATCCGGTTAGCTGGTTCTGGATGTCCGAGGTATCGGGCACGATGACTGGCAGAATATGCTAAAAGCAGATTGAGTAGATTTAAATCGCCAATTGCCACTGACTGGTCAGTACCACAAAGAAGATGAAAAGAAATAAACACTTACTCGAAGGCAAAACCGATATGAAGGGATTGTTATCACAGCTGTGCGGAACCAGCATTCGCGCGGTGTGGTTGAGGAAGTGATGGAAATACATCAGGTTGATAGGGTTCTCCAACAACGAGGAGGGAAGGGGAGACAAATATCTCGGGATGTTGATCGGCACCGACGAAGCATAGTAACCACTACAGAACTGTGTCTGCGAATCGACCGTAGGTTGGGGTGGTGATGCTTTGTTAAATTCTTGGTCCTGCCACCTGGAGCTGATCAAATCTAAAGCGTAGTTGATATCGATGGCTGCGTGGTCGTTGTTGAACATCAAATCTTGATCAGGACGACCGGAGTCCAAGCCATAGTTATCGGTCACGCTATTGAGGTATGTCTGCCATTTGTTCTGCGCCATAGTCGTATCGCGGGATGCTTGCTCGTTCGCGTGGGCAGATTCAATCGTCTGATTATCACCACCGAGTTCATCGTGATAGTCGTGTGCCGATCCCGTTGTCATGGGAGCTTCACCGAGTCTTGGGGATGACGCCGCATTGCTTCCTGCGATTGCCACTTTGTGGGAATCAACTAGCAAAGAAGACAGTCCACCGTTTTCCCGCGGGCTATGTGAAGAGCCACCATGTTTATTGCCGGTAAGATTTGCATCGTGTTCATCGATTGACTCCTGGCCACCTTGGATAAGTTTCTCTTGATCATGATTGTGGAACATAAAAGTATCAGGCTGATGGTTAGACACATCCACAGAGTGGCGCAAGAAAGAAACTGGCTGCGAGACTGGGCTTGTGTGAAAAGCGAACGCCGAGAGAGATCTCAGTCCAGATCCATGATCTGCCGATGCTGGAAACGACAAACCATCGAAATTCTGCTGTCCAAATGGATATTGAGACAAAACCCCCGAGGCGGCTGATGTGCCCAATTGGGAAGAATGCTCTCCCCAACCAGAAGCAAATTGAATATCAAGTTGGTTCGGAGAAGTGACCCCTTCGGACTCCGATCCGGGCCTCGGGGACTCGAAAATTCCGGGCGCCGGTGTGGTGGGGGAAATGGCTCCCGGAGAGGTCAAGTCCATCGGATGAGAATTGATGAAACCGTCCCCAGAATTATTGCTAGTGGGCGCTGGGACCGAAGAGGGGGTTGAAACTGAACCTGGACTCATGTTGTTGATCGAGAACGAGTCGGAAATACCAAATACAACACCACCATACCCACTGGATTGAGAGTTTGGCGAGTCGATCGATGCTCGCTTCGTTCTTCCTCCCCAATTGAGCCGGACGCTATAATCACAAGATTCGCCTTGTCGCTGACAATTGAGACACGCTGGTTTCTCTTCACCGCTGCGTATGAAGCAGGAATGTTAGCTCAATATATAACATACATCACGAATCCAAGTTTACCACTTCACCTTGCGGGCTTTGCATGGCCTAGTAATAATCCGTTAGAACTACCGCGAATTTGGAATACGTGCTCGATAACTCACCAGCATCCTTTGCGACTTCGACGCTTCGGTTCTGGCGCACCAGGCCTTCTGGGACGCGGCATTGCAGATCAGGAGGTGTCTGGCCGAGAATCGATCTTCGTGCAGATACAGTGGGAATTCACTATATGCCCTCCAGCCCCTATACAGCTTGAACGGGTCAAGGCTGTAGTATAGGGCGGAACTCTTCACGAATGGATCACGTCTGAACTCTCGCGCTTTCTCCGTTTAGACCCTCTTTGACCCCAAGTTGCGACGAAACGATAATCGACCAGACACCCACACCTAGTATACAAGCACATCGAGGTGTGGGAGGGAGATGTGCCAGAAAGGATTCGAGATCTCACTGCCTCCGGGCGGCAATGGCTCAATTGGTCAAGAGTGTACTTCAGCAGTTGCCAACAGTCGTCCACGATCTTGCAGACCACAGACAAGGGAAGAATAAGAAAGAAAAAAGTGTCCAGAGCCACACAAACAATTTGCAATGCCAGGATGTCAAGAGAGATATGGAAAGTGTGGGGAAGAGATAAGACTGCTGACACATCCGGATCATTTCCCCCGGACCGGCATACCGCGGGATACCGGTTTCTCCCGACCGAGATGGTCCGAACTCACGTGCCCAGACGTCATCGCTTCCTGTTCCTGTTGCCCTAACGCTTGGATCGCTTGGATCGCTACGGTGACTTGCATTTTCTTGGACCTCGCGGGCTAAACCGAAAGTGTCACCTCGTAGCCTATATCGCTTTTGCAACATGGCAGGCTACCTCATTGGGAAGCACCCGCTGCAGCGGATGTCTAGTCCCTCTCGTGGCCTATCCGCCTTGGTCCATGTAAGTACTATCCACGACCCATGGTCCTTTTCACCGGTGATTTCGGGTTCACTAACTGGTGGTTCTTCAGTTGGCCGGTCTTTCCAGCTTTCTATGGTCTTTCAAATAGTATGGGTCCCTATCCGACTCCGAGATTTACCCGTGTAGGGTCACGCTGACATTCTGGGAAGCATGCATGAAAATCCTAATCAAGCGTAGGTTTTCGGCCTCATTTAATCTGATACAAGAGGATCTGCTAACTCGTTCCAGTAACCAGGCCTATGGGTGGCATTTCCAATATCTGACCGTGATTGGCCTTTCTGTGTCGACTGTTACGTTTGCTGTTGCCTTACTGGCGGATATCACCTTGTCTCGGCGACTGTTTCTCGTCAAGAATCTCCTGTCCGTGTGCTGTGCCCCACTCGAAGTCTTGATCAGTGTGCTGTACTGGGGCCTTCGCTTAGTTAGTTTGACCCCGGATTATCACATTCTCGTCTGACCTATTCTCCAGATCGATGAGCGTCTCGTGATCCCCGAGTGGGTAGTGATCCCCCTTCATGCCGGTATGTTCCAACCGAATGTTCGTTTTACGAAATTATGCTGACTTGTGCCATAGACATTAGTTTCCACGCAGTCCCTGCTGTGGTGTTACTGATTGATCTACTGCTACTGTCACCGCCATGGACCATCAGCATATTCCCCGCACTGGGACTTTCGGGTACCATCGCCTTTGGCTACTGGTTCTGGATTGAGCATTGCTTCTTCCACAATGGATGGTACGTGCATTCCCGAGCTCTCCCGATGTAACTGGCGTTATTGACTTGTCTAGGTACCCATACCCCATCTTCGAAGCTTTACCCCCGACTGGCCGCGTTGGTCTATTCACTTTGAGTGCTGTCGTGATGGCATCCAGCACCATCACTCTCAAATGGCTCTTTGGTCGTGTCAATGGATTTGGCAACCCTGCCAAACCAGAGTCCCGCCCTGGTGATATCAAGCGCAAGGAAAGTTTGTAGATGGTATCTAAACAAACAACGTCAATACGTTGTACCGAATCGGGCCTAAGCATTTCATTGACCATTGTAACATCACATGGGTGCTGTGAACATATTGAGATACATTGACCTCTTGTGCTGCATCATCAGCGTCTAGCCATAAATGGGGGTTTAAGTTGAGAATTTTCTTGTACATTTTTCAGAAATTGAACTGATTCTTTACAATATCTGGCCGTTTTGTAAAATTTGTGAGGGTATGCGATCACAAGTGCTAACTTAGAGCTTCCAAACATATAGTGGCCCACGTTTTTGTCAAGTCAAAACCGAAAAAACACGTGTGAATAGACTTGACTTTGGCTGCCATTCTAACTTCAGTGGTTATAAGAAACCAATTTCATTTTCATGTCCATCCATCCATCTACTAGTTAATTGAAGTTCTATTAAACTGAGGCAGCCTATGTACTGTAAGTTAACCTTGAACATTTGAAGCCCATTCCGCTGACATAATCCGTCTCCACCCCAATTCGCACTTCTCTCAAGCAAGACCAGACATCACCATCAAAAGTCAACAACCAATTTCCCCTCAAAAATGAATCCAACCCCCATCAGCATGTCGGTCCGCACAGCAATGACTCTGAGCCGCCTGAACTCCGGCGCGCCCTCGCTGGCCGGCGCCCTCCGTCCACTCAACCAACGTACCTCCGGCACAACCTCCAAGCAGCTCACACGTCTCAGCTCGACAACAGCTCGCCCCGCCACAGCGGCACCAATGACTCTGGACACTCGCCCCAAGAACCAGACCGTTTCCACCGGGCCCATTGGCCTGCGCGCACAGTCGACTGCTGCCGGTGACGCTACCGGTACCGGCAACGAGGAAGTCAAGCTCGACTGGAACTCCTTCTTCAAGCTCCGCGCTTCGCGTCGCCGCTATTCCCTTGCTTCGTCTATTGCGTCTGCGGCTGTGTCCACCACGGCTGGTGTGCAGATTCTTTCTGCTCAGGATTTGGAGTCCCTTGGCGCGCAGGTTATGGGTCTTGACCCGTTCGTTGTTCTTGGCCTGGCCACTGCTGGGTGTGGTGCTGTTGGATGGTTGCTTGGACCTATGGTTGGCAATGGTCTCTGGGGATTGGTATACAGGAAATACAAGCCTTCTGTTGCGACGGTGAGTACTTACGAGCCCAAGGCGATGGGATGAGACCGGATGGCTTTTTGGAGAGGTTGCTAATTCATTCGTTGTCATCTGCAGAAAGAGAAAGAGTTCTTTGATCGCATTCGTCGGTTCCGTGTTGACCCCTCGACCAACTCGATTGCTAACCCCGTCCCCGATTACTACGGCGAGAAGATTGGCAGTGTGCAGGGATATCGCCAGTGGTTGAAGGACCAGCGGGCTTACAACCGTAAGCGCCGTAACTTCATTGCCTGATTTCCTTTTAGTTCCTTTGTCATTTGAAGCATCTCCTTTTGTTCATGTTGATATAGTTGGATCCCACGAGGTCCAGTTCCGAGCCAAGCTGGCAACTTTCTTTCTTGTTCGGGTTGGTGTTTTTGTCATAATACCATTAGCGGTCTTGGTACCTGGAGCATTGCAATCTATCTGGGAATGACCTTTAACAGCGCCTTTGAATTTGGATTACTTTTGAACATTTTGAAATCGATGCCTCGCGTCTCTTGCATTAAACAATGGCTGGGAAAAAAAATCAACTTGAATTGCTTGTACTTTGACCATATCTGATATTGCCTTCAAGGGGAACGTAAGCAGACATGAAAGAAGTTCGATACCCCATCTAGAGCTTGGAGACCTTGGCCTTCGGATTCCGACCAGTGTCAACCTCAGTCCACCAAGGCACATTAGCTGGGGGATTCTCATCAAGATTAGTCCTGAAATTCGGCTTCCTCTTCTCAAAGAAAGCTGAAACACCTTCCTTCTGATCCCTTCATGAAAAGTCAGCAAAGTCAACCTGAAGAAACCTCTTCTAGAACAAGGACAACATACGGAGCAGCAAACATATGATAAATAACATGCGACTCAACAATATGAGCAGCCTCCGCAGACCCCGTATCACGCCACATAAGCGCTCGATTCAGGTACGACGCACTCGGACTGACATTCTCTGCGATCTCGGTGGCCAGCTCGATGGCACGAGGTAGAACTTTTGACGGATCGGGCAGAATCTCGTTGAACAGATCACCAAAGTGCTTGGATGTTGGTGGGAATACCCCACCTGTGCTCACTAGATAGCTTGCATTTGAGTGGCCTACTAACCGGGGGAGGAAGAACGACGAGCAGGACTCCATTGTTATTCCTCGGCGGGCGAAGACGAAGCCGTATTTGCCTTTCTCATATGCAATTCTGAAGGACGCGTTAATGGTGCACTGGTTTCTGTCAAGGGTGGTACTGTTTACCGAATAATGGCTGGCAGAGTCATTGTCATGCCGACTCCTACGGCTGAGCCTTGCATTGCTGCAATGGTTGGCTTGCGGCATCTATGGATAGCTAGTGCCACTCGTCCGCCACTGGAGCATTCAGTTAGCTATACTTGCTCATCGTTGACTTGGAAGATTGATCAGTACCCATCACGATGATCTGCGTATCTTTCTTTCTTCTTTTGACCGCCGCCAAATCCAATATCAAGATCGGCTCCGGCGCAGAATGTCTTTCCGGCACCTGTCAAAACAATCACCTTGACCCGCTCATCGACATCAAACATGGGGAAGAGCTTCTCAAAGTCTTGGACCATCTGCCCCGTGAAGGCATTCTGGTTAGCAGGGCGGTTAAGCGTGACAACAACTACAGGTGTAGCTGTCGCTGAGCCAGGCGGATGGTGTGAGACGACGACATGTCCAGTGGTTTGGACCTTCTCGTAAGAAGGGGGGAGCTCGATCTCGCTTGGGTCGAAAATCATGATGGGTTTGAAGTGAAAGAGTAAGCGAAGTCCCCCATTAAGTTATATGTTTTCGGTTGTACCGAGTATCAAAGAGCAGCCGCGGCTCGGCTTTGGCACTTGTGGGGAAGATCGACCCCGCTGCGGAGAGAACTGCAGGGTATAGATCGTTCATAGGGGAAAGGGGCAACACTCAAATAGCGTTGTATGGATGATATTGAAGCCTTGAGGGAGGAGACTTGCTAAAAAAGTTCGTCGACATTGGTGGGTTCGTAGGAGCATAATGCGCCTGGGTTACTGCGGCTTGCAGGTAGACTACGAATCCGATATACACGTCAATGGCCAATGAGCAACTGGTGCATGATAAATATGCCCAGTTATCTGAATTGAAGATCTTGGAAGGCGTTGATTCTTGTGTTCCACATGGCAGGACGTCCGAAGCTATGGGTAGAAAGGCAGCCATTTTAGCCCGGTCATTTTCGTCATCGATCCCACAGCCTCCTCATGTTCTACTTTTAATACGAACTTCTTCTGTACGTAAAAGAGGAATCCGGAATCATTCTTACTATGGCAAGCTACCTCACGTCTTATAGCGCGAAACCTTTGATATTCGAAACTTTTGATATAGTGTAAGAAAACTCGTAATGGAGGAGCTTGTTAGATATCCAAATGTTTCATCAAATTCCTCCGTATCTTGATGAAGCCACAATACCAGAAATGCAAGATGCTTGGAATTCCTGCGGAACAGTGTTGCTATATCATCTAATGATGAGTACTGCTATAGTGATCATCTGTCACATCATCTACATTCAAGGCAGACGAGACTTGCCCGCCTTTCTGCTCGATTCGAGGGCACCACCAAGACCAAACTGACTAGCAAGGCCATTGATACGATGAGTGGAGTTCAGGTTCTTGACGACTACCATCTGGTAGCAGGTGGCAAAGCCTTCACGGGATGCGATGACAGACCAGGCGAGGAACAATTCCCAGATCTGTCGAGTGTTAGAATAGATAACGACGAAAGAGTCGGACACGAGTAGAGACTTACTCTGTACCATCTCGGCCCAAACTTGGCCTTGATTGATTCAACATTGCCAACCCAGTTACGGTACCATCTCCAGAGAGTGCCAGAGTAGTGGACACCAACGGTATCAATTCTGTCCATCATTAGCTTCCCTTCGGTTCAATGATTCACAGAAACATAACTCACCCTTTGACTTCGAATCCAGCCTGCTCCAAACACTTGACATAGTACCACAGAGGGGTCGAGGCGTCCGCACCACGGAAGATGTACTTGTTCAAGTACAATCCCCAGATGAAGTCCTCGTACTGCCATGCCTGTCTCAATCCAGAGAGCTGAACATACATAGCTCCGTCATCGTTAAGCATATCATAGCACTGGCGGAAGAATGTCGTGAGTTTCCGGATACCAACATGCTCGCCCATTTCCAATTGCGTGATCTTGTCATATTTCTGGCGAGGGATATCGCGGTAGTCCATACAGACAATGCGACTCTGTTCATCCGAGATACCGGCGTTCCGCAGAGCGTCATTGCCCCAAGCGGTCTGGTTCTCCGCAATGGTAAGTCCGGTCACCTTGGCGCCATAGTTCAAACTAGCGAACCGGGCCAGGGTTCCCCAACCACAGCCAATGTCTAACATGGTCTCGCCTTCCTTCAAACCGATTTTCTCGCAAACAACAGCCATCTTGTTATCCTGCATTTCCTCCAGGGTTTCCTCCTTCTCCGTATCAGAGATAATGCCCGAGGTGTAGATCATGCGAGGACCGAGGAACCAGGCATAATGGTCGTTACCGCAATCGTAGTTGGGACGGATCTGCTCATCATCTTGAGCCTTGGTGTGGAAGATGACGTCGATGAAGAACGTGAAGACAATGAACTTGAACAGCTCCCAGGTGAACGCGAAGTTCGCCCAGTCGTGGCGGTATTCCATCACATCCAAGGTGTCGCCGTTGAAATCAACCAGGCCATCCAGATACATCTCCGCAAAGGTTTGCATCGGGATCTTCTTGCCATGCCATTTCGACTTGTCCTCTTCACGCTTGAAGGTCAGGTAATGTTCGATGGGTCGGCCGGGGAGTTTGACCTTCTCGTTGGTGCGTGGGCTGTAGGTGGAGACGTAGGTCCAGAAGGCCACCAGAACGGGAAGAGTGGACACAAGGGCGATGAAAATAAAGGTCTTCAGTCTCCCCCCCAGGAGGAAGGTCAGGAGGCCAGGAACGCCAATGAGGGCGCCAGCGAGAACATAGTTGGAGAAGCTCTCATTTCCCGCACCATCGGCAGGTAAGGGAGCATTGTGAATGGATGGGGACTGAGCACAGAGTTAGCATGTTCTTCGAGCTCGCAATGGCATCACAAGAGCTCACGTCGGTCAGGGCAATGCCGCAGTCCTTTCCAGTTTTAAACTCCGAGGGCTTAGCCGGAGGAGTCTGGATGAAGTCAATGTCGCTTGTCAGCTCGGTGGGCTTTTTCACACTCATTGCGGCTAAAGTGATCACCGCGTGTGCCAGGAACAGGGATGAGAAAGAAGAAGGGCCAAACAAGGGATCTCAGGCTACCATGGCTGATAGCGATCTGCATCCCACTATCCCAGTTAGTCCACACACTAGGCCCAAAGAGGATCGGCGATGTGGCTGGACCCACTTCCTCACCGACGTCAGCTCTGGCACGTGACTGCCTGTGGCCGTCGATATTCTGGTCAGTAGAGAGTCGTGTTTCGAGTGAAGAGTGCAGGATCTGATGCGTTTAATAGTTTTTCGGAATCGTAGCATCGCTGTATATTCCACAGTGCCCGATCCCGGTATCCTTCAATCCAAACGAAAGCTCAATTAGAATACCTAGGTATTGCCTTCGGAGGCCAAAACTATTACTAAGTTAATGAACAAGCTAGCAAGCTCATACAAATTGGATCAAAAATCGAGTCCGACCAGGGATTTTGGGAATCAAAAGACGGCGATGTTTCATGATCTGCAAATCGAAGCTGCGTATGGCGGACTCGCAGCGGGCCACGTGCGGAGAGAGAGGCCGCGTAGGGAGTGATGGGGCCATGTTGGTGATTTCTCTCCCTGAGATGATACAAAAAAATACAGATTCTACTAGGAGACTTTGTGCTATTGAGGGCTTAGAAAATGGCCTGGAGTGCAAAACATCGCATGGGGCTGTCGTGCTAGCCATCTGCTCTAAATCAAGAGGGAAGACATTATCGCGAACACCCAAAACTGCAGTCTCTAGGGGATGTGGATATAGGATCCACAGGACAATGATGAGCTCTCTAATCAAGTGAACTCTCTTTTTTGCTTAAATAGAGTCGGGGTTGTATGCAGGTACGACGCTCAATCTTCCTCCCATTTCGTGAACATTGTCCAGACTGTCAGACTCCTCGCCTTCTTATCTCATCACTTCTTATATCAAGAAAACACACCAGTACCCGGAAGTCAATAGCTTCTGCTCTTCAACTCATTGACCTCTTCCAGACACCGGTGGAAGTGGAATTGTATCCGACCAGCTACAGTGTCTACCTTCAATATCCCGCACCAACCCGTGAAGTGAACAGCTTCACAGAATACGACCCCGAACCAAGCTATACGGGAACGAAGGAAGTTCCAAACCATACCTGCAAGGGACTCCATATAACTCCGGCTTGGAAGATCTTGTCGGAGAAAAACAGAGCCAACTCTCCCTTGCGTCGAACATCAATCGCATCAAGTATTAATTGACTCCTGGTTGACATTCACAACCACAACCACAATCAACATGCAATATTTGACCATCCTCATATCTGCGCTGTCAGTTGGCGCCAGTGCCACGGTCATCCCCCCAGCCCGGAGCCAGGCCATCTTATCAGCAACGCCTACATCGTCACCAACATCTACTTCGCCCACAGCTTACGCCAACCCTTGGCCAACTGGCGACATTCATGACCCAAACTCTTACACCAAATACGCCAAAATTGAAAAGGATGCCCGCCCTGGTATCATGGAATGCTATGCCTCCATCCAATTGAACGACACCCAGTGTGAAGATAGCCGATCCACTCGAATCGGCCGATATGATCCTCAGCTAGAGACCTGTGAACGTGAGTTTGAACTCGAAATGATACAAGACAGAATATCAAGCTAACTTGCTTTTCAGCCGACTCACCGAGCTGGACAACTGCGCAAGAAAAGCCCCAGGTCGGCATGGTGTGCGACAACTATCATTTGAGTTATTACTTCTACCCACACATTTGGAATGGATTAGAATCTGAAAGCGGTCAACTCGTGTTAACCAAGCATGGCGAGGATATCAACCAGGGCCAGTCTATGCCTGTTGGTCTTAAGCCTGGCTGCTGGGCTGGGTTCCAGGATGGTGCTTGGTATGGAAATTGTGACGCTGATTTTGTTGTCGAAGATTGGACTATGCAAGAAGTCAAGAAGTGAGACAGTGTTTCTTTCTGGTGACCTAACTCTCTGTAATGATATGGTATGTCTTGTCGTTTGGCTCGCTGAATCTTGTTCATATGGTGGACGTACCCCCTTCAGGCGTTGTATAATAATTTTGTATGTATAACAATGCCCTCGCAGTTGCTAAAAATCTGTATATGAGATTTGAATTCCCATAGGAATCAGTTGGGGCTTATAAGCCCCGAACATACTCTCATGTTCATTAGAAGGTTTCCCATGTAGATGCTTGGCGCTAGATTCAGTTAGTCTCATTCCACGAACGCATGCGGGGATTATTGGATTCGATAGTGTCCGAATGCATGGTTTGATAGCCTCATAGCCTCATGGCCTCAAATTCGAAAGACAATGTGAAGCCCAAGATTGGACAAAGATCAAAGAAGAGCCCGGGGAGAAAAAGTCTGTCGTCATTTCTGGGCGCGGATTTCTCCCCACAGCTCTCTCGCTCTCTCTCTCTCTCTCTTCCACTCCACCACTCTTCGCTTTCTTAACAATGTCAGGCCGACAAATCTCCTATGGCCGCGGAGGCGCAGGTGAGTCCATGGCAATGCGCTCCAATCCAGCCCAGAGTTTCATCCCACCACATCCACATCCCACCACACCACTTCACGGGCCCTCCTCAGTCACATCCCACCAACCCATAACTAACGATACACAGGCAACATAACCCGCCAACAAAGCGCACCCTCGCCACGAGATCTCTTCACTCCAACCATCAAGCAAGAAGTCTTTACAACCGGGCGCGGCGGCTCAGGAAATATGATGCACAACGATCCCGACCGGCCCGAGATTGCGCGCGAAAGCCAAGACGTCGAGTCGCCGCCGTTGCGAGCGCAGCAACTTCCCCACCACACTGGACGAGGTATGATTATGCCAATTTGAAATGATAGAGTGCCTCGTCGCGCACATCGTCACGCCATGACCCAGAGAAGGGCCGGCTCTTTTTGGCCCCCATGCTAACATGTACTGTCTTCAATCAACAGGCGGCGCTGCGAATGCCTACATCCCCACGCCCGAGGAAGAGGAGCACGAGAAGAAGATCCATGAGCAGGAAACTGAGCTCATGCGTGTGCGCACCCAGTCCAAGGATCGTGTTCGGGAGCTTGAGCATGAGAGGCAGGATCTGCGGAAGAAGTCGCAGTCGCCTTCTTCTGGAGCTGGATCTGCTGTTTAAGCTTTGATCGGATCGGTCGACTTTGTCTGTCGGGGTCAGCTATCGTCTCGGTTAGCGTCATATCGCGCTAGCTCTGGCTTGGTTCTGGTCCTGCTATGCGGGGTTGAGACTTTTGAGGAGTTTGTATCTCATGTCGGCTTGTGTGCTGTGGGTTAACATTCTTATGGTTACGATGCTGAAGAGAAAAGGGTTCTGGAAAAATGAGCTCTGTCAACTGCGGAGACTATTTTCAGGACTTTTGCTCTTATCGGTCAAGGCGAGGGTTGCGTGTTTGCTTTTTCTTTTCTATTTCTTATCTTTGCCCCTTGTCCTATCAGATGCTTCACTATACCCTTGGACCGGGGGAACGGCGTCTTCATGGGTCGAGGCTTGATTTTCCTTTTTTTTTAATGTGCACTTTTGATTTCGAAATGATATTCTCCATTCAATTCACCGAACTAGAGGTGTATCCAAATGTCTATACTAATCATACGCTTCTCATGTCTCATTAGAAATGCAATGCAAACCCTGACAGGTCACGCCAAAATAAACAGAGAATGAACAATAGTCATCCCACACTCACTCCGGGATGAAACACCCCGTGGCATCAATAGGCCAGCTAATAAGCTCGCGCCACTCCGGCTCCAACAAGTCCCCAATTTCCTTCAGAATCCTAGTTCCCCAATCACCCATCCACCACATATCCCGCAGGTGATGCAAGATGACAGCATAATGAGCGAGCACAACCAGCGCAAAAGGTTGGTGCGAAGCCATCAGATCTAAGAACGGTCCTGGAACACGGAAACTCCAACAAAATGCGAAAATCCGCGGCTCGCCGCCTGTCATCAGTTTTTCGAGGGAGTTGCTTAGATGCTCAATGGCGGAGTCATAGATCTCCTTCTCGTGTGTTGGATCACGCTCGGCTTCCATGATATTCTGTCGTCGAAGCGAGAGGGTCACTAACCGTGACATATCGGGCATGGTTGGGCGGGCATCATCCGGTGTAATTAGTGGTCCGAGCTCTGTCAGTGAGATTCGGTCGTTGAGGCTTATCATTATGCTCACCAGCCACCGGGTTAGCTGGAAGACTTCGAAGAACTCATCCAGTGCGTCTGGCTGGTCTTCGTCTGGTTCGTCGTTTTCTATTTCGTGGTTGCAGTAGCCGAAGGCGAAGACGAGCATGATGCAGCTGAGGGCGAAGGTTGCGTTGCATTCGGAGTCGGTGAGGTCCTGGCTGTCTTGCCGGAGTCCGTTCAGGGCTTGGGCTTGGTGGGCACGGGCTGTTTCGAGGTATCGCCATCTTCTGGACGGCCCGGTGCTTGATGAGGCTAGGTTTAGGGCTGATAGGGCGAGGATGCCGTGGCGCAGGGCTGGGTATCGAAGAGAGATGTTAGGTACGATTGTTTGCCATATCTTCTCGGATGGGGGGTCCCGGGCCAGTGCTTTGTAGGTTGTTGTGCACCAGTGCATCATGAGTTCGAGGTCTTGGAGGTGGAAGGTTTCTTCCAAATGATCTGGGAGGCAGGTATGTTGGAGGGCATGTTGTGAATCGGATGCTGCCTGGGTTCGAGTTTCTGTCATTGTTGATGGTAGTGGTGAAGTCATGGATGTCGAAAAAGACGAGGTACTCGACGAAGACAACGATCGATATTTACTGTCTATTCGGGTCAATCGGGGTCGAGGTGGATATTGGCTGAGCATATTGCGGCCAGCGCAATGTAAACACGTCGGGTTGGAGCCCGGGCTTTGCTTGTACTAGAAAGCCGTTAGATATGGATAAGTCTGCGGGAATGATCCCGCTGCAGGCAGGAACTAGTGCTCCAAATGGGACCATAAACAAAAAGCCTCCTAGCTTTCTTGCACATATGGTCTAAGCGGAAGTGGAGGTGTCATACCTTGATCCGTCGGCGACTTTGCACGCTTCTCTGGCGTCGCTTATTCGACCAAGTCACGGGTTCGCGTGATTCCATGGCAGAGGAGTAAGACTCCCGCACGAGACCTTGGATTTTACCTTAAAGTTCTTGGGGGGGATGGGCAATTTGAACCTCTGCCAAGTTGATCATACAGGATCGGCGACCCCAGCTCTCACCCGAAAGAGTATGAGGACGGAAATCCCCCTATGAAAAAAAGTCATAGCGGTGGATCGACGATGGATCACTCTTAGACTCTATCGTCCTCAGTGCAATGCACCGAAACAGTGGATAGATGCGAGAGAGGAGAGAGGCCTTATGTCCCAAATCGGCAAATGCAGCACGGGTGGCTCGTGCCCATGACATAAGCGGTCCACTTGCAAAGGTTGTTCTTCAATCACTTCGACCCAACCCTAAACACGATTTCGCTTGGATGACTCGTATTTTCAAGCACAACTCCGAGACTCCATCCGTATCGAGAAAGTGCTTACACAATAACGCTAGGAACTTTATCCAAGAACGGGATAAGCGCGGGAATTGCCTTACCCTGCAGATCAATCGAACATTCCAAATGGCAAACAAGAACCGAGTTCAGCTGCACATTATACACCCCCACACCCCCTTGGGGCGTTGGGGGCCAGAAGTTATGAAAGCTAAACATGCACAACACCCAAAGCGGACTAGATGGGTGGGGCTAGTCTGCAATGGTTCCATCCTTCTTTTCCCCAATCGGGATTAGCCCGTGCAACAGTTGACCGATGTCCTCTCGTGACTATCCCATACCCTAACCTTGTTCCCGATTGACATGCTGCAGTAGTGTCAACGCCCAGGTAACAGCCCCCTGTTCGCTGGTCCTGATTTGGACAAAGCTACAATCACGGCATATATAACCTGAGATCGATCACCCGTTAGACCCATGTCCATTTTCTAGAACAAGTCTGAACGAGAAGCTTTGGCCCCCGCCTCTGCCAAGGCCCCTGAACACGTCAATCGCGTGGCTTTTTCTAACCCGACAAGGCTCGGATTGCGGTGAGGCGTCCATTGATTTACCACATTGAGTCAAAGTAGGGCTTCGGCGGGCGAAATCCGTTCAACTTCCGGAGCTGGCTGCCCTCGGGAATGCCGGTGCGTTTTTATAGTTTGCTTTTCGTGGCGTCGCCCCCTCGTGTGGTTCTTGGGGTCCGATCTGATGTAGACAGTTAGAGATTGTATACGAGCACCGAACTTCTCCGCATATACGAAACCGCATATGGTATCGCATCCTGCGTATGACAGATCCTGCGGCTCCACTACGGGTGCACGGATACTATGACGGTGTAAGATCTTGTTGGTTTCGGACATATCTTCGGGAATAAAATATATCCGAAAGATAGATAGGAATGTCGGATTAATGAGCTTGGCAACGATGCGTCGTGATCTTTGGAAAAATACGTGATGAGGTGGTTGGAATGCATTTGGTAATGATTTCATTCCGACTGCGATTCATAATATTACCTTGAAGCTCAACAACATTCTTTCGTGCTTCATAGCCCAGGCTTAGCCCGACTTGAATACAAGACGAAAATGACCAGCACCAAATTAGATTCGACTGAGGCTATTCAGACACTACTAATGACCAAGCAAAGCATCCCATGTTTGATGGCTGTTACTACAGATTCAATTTCACAAAGGGAACCAACTTCACCTCTCCGACAAGCCCATTGTCACTGCGCGGGGGAGGTGTGGGGGAAAGCTCATTCAACATAGGCGCAGCATCAGAATTCTTAATCTCACCAAAGATACTTCGAATATAATTCCACATGGTCGTAGGCACAATGATAGTGATCTTGTTTTGGCCGACACGAAGATACGACGTAATATCAGCCTTGGGAGCAGCGATATCAAGAGGCGGCACCTGATGCCCATTCAAGTAGAGCCTTGCTGCGTGTTTTATAGGTGGAAGAACGAGGTAAGCACCGTCGGCATTTCCGGTGCTTTTGGATGGAGGCCAGGAGAAGCTATTACTGTAGTAGCCTAGACCCGATGAGTTATTGAGACCTTCGATCTGTGTCCAAGAGACAAGGGAGCGTAGAGAATGAGTTGTGTTATGTTTAGCGGCGATGATTGCTGCGTCCGACATGTTTTGCGGTGCTTCCCAGTGCTCTGCTATTAGGGTCCAGTTTGACAATTTGGTAGCGCTGGCAACGCCACTGGGAACTTCGACATGCTTGCCATTCGAGAGACCCAAAGCTTTGGACTTTTGGCTGGCTGAGATGTGCAACACTGTACCTCCATTGGACTTGGAGTCACCGCCGAGCACCGCGGAAGAGGTCTCAGTGACATGGACTTTATGACCACTATCAGTCTTGAAGCCAATAATCACAGTTTGGTTTCCAGCAAGCTCGAGAGGAATGATCACTGTGTCATCTTTGCGCTGGTAGCTCAGAAGAGGCTTTTCGTCTCCTGTCCAAGGATCAAGTAAGAAGGGTGTCTTGGTGCTGAGTATGGTGACGCTTCCAATTGATGCATTCGTGTCGCAGAACACATATGCGTGGTCCATTCCGTGCACTGAATCCTCCCTCCAGGTCGTATACCAAGTACCGTTAGTCTGCACACCGACCCGTGGAGACAAACCAAGAGACTGGAGCTTCTTGGTAACCTGTCCACTAGCTACACTGTACACATTCTTTGACAGCTTGAGCGTAGTGATAGCTTTCTTGACAGAGGCTTTGTCACTGTTGTCACGAGTCGCGTATACACCGGGGTCGCCCCCACTGAGGATCACTGGGAATCCTGCTCGGGCATATTTCCGAAGATACTGTGCTCCTTCGAGGGTGAGATTACTGTTCGCAGTCACAATGATGGCTTTGTATTGAGGACCCTTGGGACCGAATTTCCCGTTCTTGATGGTCGCTTCAGGGAGTGCAAAGTTATCTGGAGACAAGTAGGTGTAGGAATAGCCTGAAAGAGAATTAGCTCAATATTGGACTCTTCACTCACTGGCCACTTACCGGATTGAATCAAATCATCAGAGGAATACAAGGTTGGGAAATTCGGGTTTGTGGCAGAAACCTTGTTATAGATAGCAACGTCCGTTCTGGGAATTCCGGACTGTTGCAAGTATTGAACGCGCGCAATGTAGTTCAGCACATCACCAAACCCATGGTCCCAGGAAGGCTGCTTGTTGGAATATGAATCTGAGAATAGATAGCTAAAGGCAGTATAGCCTGGCCAAGTAGTTCCATAGTAGTTGCCCGTATATGATTGGCCGTGGAGCACTACCTGGTTGACACCTCCTACCACAGCCCTGTTGACGGAGAAGAGCAACTCTGAGTGGGGGAAGTTATATGACTCGTACATCACCGCGCCCATCTCATTGGAGATGACACGTTTTCCCGAAAGATGTGCTGGGCCTGCGAACTGTCGGTAGCCGTCGATGTTATTCCCAAATTGAAGACTTTCACACTCTGGTGCATTGACAAATGGAATGTTAGCTTCCATGTCCATTGGAAGATTATATGACACCTGTGCCGACATTTGAAGCTCGAGCTTCGAGGTAATCCATTTTGTAAGTTCCTTCAGATAGTTTCGGTATCCTTCAACCAGGGCACCTCGGAAGTCGTTGATATAGCCAAGTCCTTGTTCCGGGGTATTGAGCTGACATTGGATATAACCTGGCGTTGAGCTTTGGGTGTTGATATTGTTGTCGCCGTACATTATCAGGGGAAGGAAAGGCTTCAGATCATATCCGTATTTAGATTTGAAGACAGTTGGGAGTGAGGGTGTCCAAGAAATGGTCGATAGAATCTCAATACTATCCTCCCATCCTGTCAAAAATAGTCAGATATGCACAGACAGCACTAGAAATTCCAACCTTACCATAGTTTCCAACTTCTTTGAGAAGTTCTGTCGTCTCACTGTCCAGAAGGTGTGTTTCCCAAAATTTGGTAATTGTCTGAGCCCCACGAGCACTGTAGTGATCCACGATAAATGAGCCGTTGGCAGTAATATCTTTGGTGGAAGAATCTGTGTATTCCAAGTTCTTGCTGTATGTCTGGAGTTGATAGAAGGCAAATAGCCTATTGGAATTTGCCGTAGGAAGGTTCAGAGACACATGTCCAGTTGAAGATACCCTTTCTGTCCACTCCATGAGGCTGCCACTCTTAAGCGTCAACTCCAAGTACCATGTCTGGGCTGTTCCAAATAGGGAGACACCACTTGATGCAAGAGTGTGGTTCTTCGATGTCAGGACTTCAGCCGAGATTAATGCAACCAGCTCGCCTGTGCCCCATCCCGGAATCACTCCATCGAAACGTCCACTTGATGGAACAACGACAGATGATGATTGCTTTCGAGAGGTTAGCTCTATAATCTTGGAAAGATTTCCCTAGTGTTTTATCATACCAAGTCCCACAATAGGCCCTCATCATCTGGATCGGCCGGGACACCCTGCCCTTGATTCGGGCCCATGGGGAAATCCATGGCAAGCCCGGCCTCTTTGTGTGCCTTAAGTGCAGCCACAAACAGCTTCTTATATGGCTCAGTACCAAATCCATACTTTGACCAGTCTGCATCAGCCGGTTCGCCGCCAACGGCACCACCATAATTATAAAAGGGAAGGAATTCCACCCCTCCACCACCAATTTCACCGGTAGACTTTATATTTTCTTGAACAATATCGGCGTCCACACTGGCATCTGGGAGCCAGTAACGAAATCTAGGACGGAGACGTGCAGCTGGATTTTTGAAAGATCCACGATCAACTGGTGCATTGGTTTGATCGTTTGTATCGGCAATCGCAGGCTGTACGAAGAGCAGAGCCCCCAGAAAGGGAACTAGTGGCATCCACATGGCTAGGATGTCTTGAAGTGACCCAGTGTCTATGACCACAGCATATGATTGTGATTACCGACGGTGTTCAGTAATGGTCACTCAAGTTCTGTTCTTGAAATATATAGTTTATGCCGAACAACATGTAGTAATTGTAGCATTTATATATCTGACGAGTGCACCACATACCACTACTGAATATGCATACCCCACAAAATTGCATCTGCAAGATCTAGTATTTAAGTTTTCGGGCCCTTCTACCCCGAAAAGTCTTGCTACCAAGAACGGAGTATAATACGAGTTACGAGTGGTTGGTCAAAAAATGCAGAGTAACACTTGACTAGCAAGTAATTCTCCCCACCCTTCGGACAGCACGCAGATACGAATACGGCATTCTTGCTATTATAATCTCGGCCTATACCTATTCTATAAAAGTCCACTATCAAGTTCGGGATGATCTTCGCCGACATGTTCATATTCAGTTCTTCTCGGGTGTCCACTTTGCGGGGAACCCGGTTAGCGTTGTAAACTAATCAATCCCCGCATTGTCAAGGTAATCAAGGATGCAGGTCGGGTAAGCCTAAGAATTTTTTTTGAATTGGAACTATCAAAGGGAGGCTTGACATGTGTGCAATTTCTACCTCGGATGTGAAGAAGCTGCCGTCTTTACCCGCAGAGCGAGAAGAACTCACAACTTACTCTGCGTTTTTCAATCGACCGAAGTTCAATTAACCTAGTACAGCCTACCTGGTATCGCAATGGATATGCAGGTGCTTCAATCTAGGCAAAGTAAGAGCTCGTCCGAACGCCTGATCTTGTCTATATAGAAGAAAATGAGCTGGTCCACGAAAGGAGAGGAAGGGTACTAGCTCATTATACAAACCAAGGCCGCAGCTAGGGTATAATAGAACCCTCGTACCGGGGGCAGCAAGCTATAAAAGAGCGCGTAGACGCACAGTGTACCATTTAACTATCCTCACTCCCTTATTCCTAACTTCTATATCGAACCTTTCTCTACCTCGATTCCCTAGCTAAATCCTACTACGGCATGATCAAATCCCGTTCTTTACTCTCACTTTAGCCTTCATTGTTATTGAATATTATTCCTAGTCTAAAAGCTTTACACCAATTAGTAACCCATATAATTGAATAGCGAATTAAGGTTCCTTCTACCCTTAATCGGGAGTGCAATGCGCATCAAACGCATTTACCTGTAGATCAACACCGAAGACGTTACTTTCGATAAGCCCTTGTATTAATATAGTGTTTTTCTACTCGGTTAATCCACCAAGCGTCTAGCAGGCTAGGTAGTGCTCTCGCGCTTCCACTGCTTCTTCCAGCGATACTAACTGCGTTCCTGAACCACATGCTTCGCTATTGACTGCTGCAAGCCACACACTCAGTTCATCCGCTCCGGACCCCTCGTCGCACCTCCTGTCTCTTGCGCCGCGCACTTTGCACTGCTATCAGCAACTTATGCTCTGTTATTATTCATCAAGATATAACCCTTGGGAAGATCATCTGAGTACGACGTAGTTTTACACCCCTCTTGAAACGCCCACAGAGAACCAGTACAACGGTGGACGCTTACTTGGATCTGTAATTTGAGTAGCCAATGAGACTCGCGAGGAAGTTGCAGACAACATCGACTGAGAGCTTAGTGCCATTGGGGTTCGCCGGATATGCAGAAGTAATGTCAGTCATTGTGCTGTTTCCATCGATAATTTAGAAAGTCAGGGATTCTGGCCCATCTGAGGCGCTGCTACCCCGACAGCGATCTACTCCTGTCATCACTAGCGAAGCCCCTGCGATAGGTTCTAGTAGCCTTGGCCCTGGACGTCAAAACTCATATAACCTCCATCTGAGAAGCTTGTCTTTGATTTTAAAATTATTTTCCTTTCCGCTCTCTTGAAGACCAAGTAATACCCACAATGGGTGCACCTGATACGATTCTGCCGCCTGCCTTGAGCGCAGAAACTATCACCTCGTTGATCTTATCCTTGGATCTACCTGCGCCAAGCTCTATTGAGGCATTGCAGGTTCAAGCTACCTTTCATTCTATCTATCTCATTCATTTCAATTCGGCACAATATATTCCAGTACACAAGGATGGCCCCGCTACGCTTGTACTACGCTTCTCTGGACGGCATCTTCCTGGAATCAAGACACGCAACGAGGTGGGGATTATGACGTGGATACACAAGCATACTTCTATTCCCGTGCCGGCAATCATCCGCTATGATGCGACTGAGAATAATGTGATCAGACATGAGTTTACCCTACTCGAGAAAGCGTCTGGCATCAGCGTCGATCAGATTTATGCAACGCTATCCGATGAGATCAAAACACAAATGGTTCACCAATCGACGGATTATCTCATCGAACTACACACACCTAGACAGCCCTGGCGTGACGGATACGTGGGCGGACTGACCCTGAAACCGACGGGCGAAATTACTCTCGGGCCACCTATCGAGGAAAACCTTTGGCAGACGTCCGACTTGGATAAGTTCTGGTCTACCTCGGCCGGAGTCAAGAGTACACAGACACTCGAAAGTCTCAATGTCATACCAGCCGAGGGATTCTCGAGCTATACCGCGTATACGACCGGCTCTCTTGAACGGTACATCCACGTGATCGAGATCATCACTCTCTAGAGTCATACCGCGACTTAATCCCTCGGATCCGCGATTTTACAAGGCACCTTCATCGGAAAGAGAGCGAGATTAATGAAGTTGCTTATATCATGGCACACAAAGACATGCATTTTGCTAATATTATGTGTGACCCAGATCAGTCAGGATGTCCAATCACCGCAGTCTTAGACTGGGAGTTTAGCGGAGTGGTTCCTGGTCCAAGGTGGAACTCACCGCGAGCATTTCTATGGAACATGAAATGGGACCCTGATGATAAGGCAGAGCAGACCCGTATGGAGCAATTGTTTGAGCAAGTTTGTCGCGAAAAGGGGGCAGGATTTATATTAGAACAAACTCAGCTCAATACAGCGCAGGAGAGGATGCAAGCGGCAGTCAATCACATTAGAGCTATTATCCAAGTATGTCCACGAGGCCAGGCACAGGACCGCGTAGCCCACTGGCGCGCGGTGGTGGAAGCCTCCATGGAAGAATTTCAGGCGTGATGTGTGTGTCTGGGGAATACCATAATCAGTGGATACTGTTTTACACGGTGTTCTCGATCTATATCGTCTTTCTCTACTGTAATATATTTTATTACAGACTTACATGGATTCAAATCCGACACAGAGGTCATCGTATAATGGGTTGAAGTGTATCATGCGGTGCACACATTTGTTTCAATAATACATAGTGAAATGGGATAGCGCGATGGCAGTCTGGTCAAAGCAGACGGGTCGACAATAGCAGTAGGAGCATAGGCAAACCCAACAAGAGGTAGGGCTATAGGAAAGGAGAGCACATAGGGATGGTCTGAAGAGAAGAATGTGTCTGTCTTGTTCTACGTAGAGTAGAGAGGTCTTAAATACATCATGAGTGCTGAATCATCCATAGACCGCTACTTCATGCAGTAAGCAATTCCCCCACTACAATAGGCTATATCTGAGGAATTTCCCTTAGCTTACAGTCATTTAGCTATCAAAGCTCCAGATTCAAAGCCAATTTCCGGAGAACAGTGATTTACCCCTGCCTTGAGGTTGTCTTCCTAATTCTCAGCGTCATATCAGTTGGATGTGACTAGAAAACATGCCTCATTCACTATACTCTTTATCGGCAAGTCGTGCATTCCTGACTCGTAACACAGTTTTTGAGAATATTGATCTGAGCATCTCCTGTAGCCACTGTGGTAATGCTCTTAGCACCCCAGCGGTCCACATGCTCTGAGGTAAGAACACTTGATCGCTCAATTTGAACAGTATCTGTTCTACAACGGCTTCGGCAACAACCTCCGGTTTCATAACAGGTTGAGCAAACTGCGATTGATATTGCATGAAGCCATCAATCATAGGGGTCTGAACCCAATGTGGATGTATAATGCTAGATATAGAACGTCAATAGATTTCTGGTTCAGGAATACAGTCTTCGCTTACCTGGTTTTGATGTTCGGAGCGTTGTACCAGTATTTCAACTCCTGTCTGATCCCCTCATGGAAGGCCAGCGCGCTAGATTTGGAGCAACAGTAGTCTACCATTTCAGCGACTGTCACAAAGCTTGCGGTGCTGGCGATTGTGAGAATATGACCTCGATTCTGTTTGATCATAGACGGGAGAAATTCCTTCAGGAGGAGAAAGTGTGAAATAGTGTTTACTTCGAACGTTTCACGGATCTCCCGCTCACTCTTTTCAAGTATTGAACCACAGTGAAATACACCTGCGGCATTCACAAGAGCTGTCGGATCTCCGTACGAGTGACGAATAGACGAAGCGACTCTGAAAATATCGTTTGTTGATGTGATGTCCGTATGGTAGAATGTGACGCCGCTGGAAAGCTGGAACTCGGGCTTCTTGACATCGAGGATCAAAACCCGAGCCTTTTTTTGTATCAAATGGTCGATGATATGCTTTCCTATGCCACCACTGCCACCGGTGACGACGACTAATTCATCAACGAGATTATGAGTCTCACTGGACATCATTCTTCGCCTATTCCACTTCGCGTACCTAGCAAAGGAGTAATAAAGTGTCAGGCAGCCGATCACAACACCGGCAAGAGACTTCCCAAAAATGCTGTTGCATAGCTGCTAATAGAAAAGATCATATTGACGAAAGGCATTGGACCTGGCTTCTTAGGCGGACGATGAGCAAAAAGTCTAAAAATGTCGTGAGGGGACGAAGGGGACGTGCAACACTATATACCTTTTCTTTCAGCTCGAACTTAGCGGCTTAGCTGTCGGCTATGTTTTCCGGATTCTTATGCGTGATTGGAAGTTATCTGACTATCGGCTATTCTAGCACAATCGCTCGTGGAACCATCACTAGATTATACCAATGAGAATCTGTGACATTTGGGAATATCTAAACCGGCCGATTTGGCCAAATATGCAGTCAAGCCCGAAAGGGGCCATTGTGACCTCAGTCTTTTGTCCTAATTGGTTTTGGTCTTTAAATTGATCTTCATCCGAGCTTGATTTTCGCACGAACTATTTGAAATAATTAGAATCAATCAGAGTCCATCTATATCAAGCATTCATAATAGATTCATGGGATAACCTGATATGTAACCCTGTTTGAAGGAAGTACCCCCCCTCCTCCCCCTTATCGTATTTCGTATCACCTACTAAGCGCCAGAGCCTCCCTACGCTCTCTGTTTCTCTTGGTATTTGGCGTTACTACTCACTATCTTTCGAATTATTGAATACAGAGAACATATTATATCTATTTATTATGAGTACAAAACAAATGATATACTTGGCAGGATTCAACTGCTAACTTATAATGTAAGTTACATCGGGCTAAGTTATCTCTGCCCTGGGAGTGGATACATGCGCGGAAACGCGCATTCGGGTTCGGGCCGCCTCGCGTTGGCCCACTACGTACGAGTCTTTGCCATACGCTGCAAAAGGCCTGTGCACAACAATGGCCGCTTCCTATGCCTATACATTCAGAAATGGCCGACAGCACGTAGAGGCCTGATTACTAGGGCGTTGGATAGATCACGGGCCCTTAAAGTTGGATTTGCGCTTCGTTTGATTTCGTCATTGTGCTTTAACGAAGGTTGATCTCCTATTCACCTTCGGATGACCAGCTCATCGTTCTTACCCTGACTGCATAACTTTGCAAGTCACAAGAAATGCCGACAATATGTTGAGGAAATCCCAACATAACGCTTGTGAAGCCGCATTGAGATGCACGGCGCGCATCTAGGACACTTGTCCGACCGATAATTCTAAGTGGATTGAAGCCACTGAATTTCTCATGCTCAGCGTGAGTGCTATGACGTCGAAGTAGCTAGAAACACCTTGTCATTTTACTTCTTTAAGCCCATCGAGAAAGATACCATGCCCGTACAATATCCCGTCTATCACCTTCAGCAAGAAACAAAATTAAGCAAATTGCTCAAGGAAGACGAGGTAACCCAGATTGGAGTGCAGTGCAGACAGGTAGCGAGTTCATGGATCATCATCATTCTAATTTCAGCACATCAATACTCTGAACTACCCCCTCGTAAAATTCCATCGTCAAGTTTGTATCTGTTTCTGTGAAGTCTCCCGAAAGACATTTGACAACTGCATCATGGTACGCAGGCCCCATGTGGTGCGGAAGCTTTCGATTCGCAATGTCAATATAGAGATTTCGGATCCCCCGAGGATTCATGATGGCACCATTTCTCAAGCGTGCCGTTGCATTCCGATAGATATCAGAGGCTGTCACCCATAACCCGATTTCCAAGAGAACCACTCCAAGACTGTATATGTCATGGTGTTTCTGAAAGCTGATAGTTGGAGTCCCTTGACGGTCAGGGTGCCGGTAGAGATTTCTCTCCAATACATCGTCAAACGTGTGCTGTGTTTCAGCACTCTCCGGCCGTGCAAACTCGAAGTCGACAAGATAACAATCTGTGGAGAGGCGTGCTGATGGCTCTCTCACGTCGTGGAAAAAGACAATAGACTGGCTGCTGATAGCCTTGTGGACCCATCCGTCTACATGGAAGGCAGACAATGCCGTGGCCACATACCGCGCAACCTGGAATCTTTGCGGTAGCGTCAGTCGTGACCTGCGACCGGGAGATTCGATGAGTGTCCACAAAGAAATGGGGTCACAATCATGAGCCCCGACGGGGAAATCGAACAGGAATGCGTATCGGCTTTGAGCCGGCTGGTAAATCAAGCCCCGAAGACTGAGTGTATGTAGCCCATCATGACCTGCGGACGATAAGAGACATGCGAGTTGATTTACTCGCTCTTTTGTGACGGGATCGGGAGCTGCTTCCACTGTATCTGTCTCTCCAGTGTACGTTTTAAATTCAACCAAGACCCTCTCTGAGTCCGGCTGTGGGCCCAGCGCAGCTTTGTCGATGTCAAGTAGTGTCGCTACACTTACACACGGTGACTCCACAGGTGCATATAAGAATAAATTGTGAAGTAAAAAGTCGCGTGTATCTGCGGTGGGACTGATCGTCAGGCGTCGAAGACGTGCATGCGGAGCCATGCCCACTCGATAGGAATGTTCGTTGGCAACCAGATTTTCTAGTATCAAAGAATTGTTATATCGAGGATGCAATGCTAGTATCAATGGAATTAACTCCTTTATTTTCTGTGTACCGGCCCGGAACTCGCAGAGAAACCGTTCGAATTTCCGTCGTTCGAACAGCGCCCACATCCAAGAGTCCCAGTTGGCCGTTGGCCGCGACGACAAGAGCCACCCGAAGCCATATTTGCGCCGCTCTCTTCCGGGAGGAGTTCGACTGGTCATATTAGGATTTAGATCGAGAGCAAATTCAATGACTTTGGAATTTGCTATAGAGGAATGAAGATACGGAGAATACGTCCTGTATTCGTCGTCCTGCACGGCAGCGACTTTGGCATAATCGCTGCATTTCAATCGCAGTTTCTCCAATATAGAATGAACTCTTTGTAACCATGCCTATCTCAAATGAAAAACAAACGAGTTGTCAGTAGTCAAATCCTCATAAGAACGGTTATTCTGGCGAACCGAGTTCAGGTTTCCATTCATGAGCAGTCCATCATTCATGATTATTATCTGCCCAAAACTTTGCAGATAAAGCAGCTCATGTAAAAAATCTTCTTCCAGATTTTCTCGCTCTGTCTTGCTATGCTTGACGGAGGAAAAGGTCCGATGAATAAATTTCGAGATCAGGTAAAGCTCTTTGAATGTTGTGAGGACCGATAGCCCTAGGCTCACCGCATCCATGCTGCTGCTTTCCTTGAGCAGGGAAGAATAAATCGACCCAGCTCTCAAGAAAGAGGAGAAAAGTAGCAACCATGCCTCGTTCCTCACGTGGCACACTATGATTGGCATCGAGCAGTTGCGGCGCATAAGCAGATACCGAAGCGGGGTACCACGCAATTGCCAGGATTCCATAGTTGGAATTGTCAGATATGTCATGCAGTGGTTTTACCTTGAGAGACTCCCCGGTACACCTCGCAAACTCTGGAATAAGTCTATAAGATGGACTGTGGTAGTCAGCCGGATATCACCAGTACCCGACAGCCCCAAGCCTTCTCCAGTCTGAGCCGTCTCTTCAGCCAGCCTAGTACTCTAGAGAGAGTTGCTCAAGATAGTCAAGGGTACACCGGTATCAGCAGATTAGAAGAATTCGCAGCATTCTCTGATCCCATCCTTGTCCTGAGTAATTTGATGGACACGTTGCGAGAACATCGCATTCCCGGACCACGGTTGCTGCGGTTGAAGAGAGAATTCAATGTTCCATTAGGACATGGTGCACAGTCGGAAATCTTCGGGTTTGACTGTTCCGTTTTAACAGTCTCCGGGCTGGATGCTTGGGATGGACGGCTTCCTACAGTAATCCGCAAGCTAAATACTATCGCCGTAAAGCGCTCGCGAGTTGTAGTATCAGGGAAGAAAGGGATCACTAACAACACTTCGACGAGTTCGGAAGAGTTCGTTTTTCAATGCGCCGCGGCCCATCGAGAAATCGACGTCTTGTGTCATCAACCCCTCCGCAAGCACCCAAATATAGTTCGCTTGGTCGCCTGGGGTTTGTGTCTGGATAGCCTTGAAGATAGTGATGATGAAGTCCCCCGAGTTCCTCTACTCATTCTCGAAAGAGCTTCCTGTAGTTTGGCAGCCTTTCTCGGGAATAAGTTCATGTACAGACGCTACTTCGACTTTTATGATGTCTGTGAACTCTTGCTAGATATTGGACATGGTCTGGAAGCAATTCATCAACATGGATTTGCTCATGGAGATCTAAAACCGGACAATATTCTTCTATTCGAGAAGTACGGTGAATGGTCTGCCAAACTATGTGACTTTGGCCTCTCCACTAGCGATGCATCTTACTCCAATGGAAAAATGGAGTATCGAGGCACACCTGGGTGGCGCGCACCAGAATTCCACCGTCAGAGCTGGGCACCGCTGGATTTACGTGGCCACCAACGATGTGATGTTTTTGCATTTGGACTTGTGGTGTGGAGTACATTCACACATGGGCGCGCACCTCTTCAACCGCACATGGAGAGTATTGGAGACGCACTTCAGCAAGCGACAATAGATCTCACGGCCCACCGTGGACTTTCAATTCAACAATGTGATAGAATTGTTGTTACGCTCCAAAGTGCCCTAATGAAAGATCCGGAAGCACGACAGAACCGCCCCTGGAGGTACTTGGATGCAATAGCCTACAAGCGAGTTGGAAAACAGGTCAGATTATGGCGATCACTTGTCAAGAAGACTCGAAAAATGCGTTATGCTGTGCGGGATTACCAAATTCCGTCCATAAATCTGCTTCGCTCGTCTTTGAAGCCGCTGAACTGGCAGCAATACGGTATCTTCTGGGGCAGTCTATGGAAAGGCAAAGAGATCGAAGAGGACAGACTTCTCCCGCCAGAAATTAATTCTCAGTTAAGCACATTGTTTGAAAGGTTAGGGTTGTCATTTATGGACAGCACCGACCCGGAAGCTGTTTCTCAGATGAAGCACAGCCGTCAGCCGTGTATGAGTTTATCCAAGCTATGTATGATCTATGATGGCCTTCTTGAGTGTATTCAAACGCGAGACGAGGTGCGGCTATACGCCTTCGCAAGGCTTCGGAGTCGCCTTCCCGTGTGCTGTTGGCGACAACTAGTGATGCCAGTCAATGTCATCGATCGCTACATTCAGGGTCCTCATCAATTTGTCACCCTTGCTTGGCTATGCCGCGGGGAAGTCGGGGCTTGTGAGCTCAATGATCCAGAATACACAGAGAGTATAATTCGCTGTGTTCTACAACCACCGCAGAACTTCAGTTATTTTGCTGTTCGTCGTGATCAACTATCAACACAGCAGCGTTCAAACCATTTCATGGTTCTTCTAGAGCACGGCATCAGAATTGAACATGTCGGAAAGCCGGATGGATTGACAGCTTTCCTCCGATATCTACAACTCTCAAATCAGTTCTCGCGGAGTGGCTATGGCAACCTATCCGTCATTGACATTTGCATCAACTTCAAACGTATAGCACAAAAGCAATGCATCCAGGCCAGTACGAGATTCTACATGACAGGAGCATTGCCTGATAGGGAAGAAAGCACGACTGGATACTCCAATACGGCACTTCATGATAGTGTAATTGCAGGCAACTATTTAGCTGTGGAAACTCTGGTTCGATCTGGTTTCGTCGTCAATGCATTGAATGGCGAGAGCAAAACTGCGCTGTATCTCGCGCTTCAGCAGCAAAAGAACCAGCAAGAGCAAAAGATGTTGAGTCGGACTTCTGAGCAGCCAGATTCCACAGCTCTGTTTCGGATAATTGCCCTACTGCGCCAGAATAGCGGCTATGAGATTGAAATGACGACCCTTGCCTGGAAAGGCAAAGATATGCCCTTGGGGTGGCAAAGGCTGCCTTTAGTGCCCTTAGTGCCTAACAGCTCAGTCGGGTCAATCGATGTTTATCACGACATCTTGTCTGAATCATTCACTTTCCATCTTCCAAAGTTCTCCATATTTGAGGATCGACGCTTGGCACTCGGTATGCGACGTTTCTCAACTTATGGACAAACATACTACCTGGATCTCTTTCGCTTCATCTCTCCATCTCACGCCGAGCTTGTGACCGAGAATTTGATTTCGGAAATAGAGATCTATGATGATGTATGGTTCCAAAGTGAGCCATCTTTAGCCGGCGTGGCCTTTTCGTTAGAGCCAAGGACATCATTGACGAAAAGGAATCTCGCATCCGTGAGGCGAAAACGCCAACAGATCCATAGAAGAAAATTCTCTCTGCGGTGGATTATTGATTATTTGAAGCTTTCATAGTCGCCCCATCAGACCCCGATAGTCAAGATTACTCACCCAGCACAACTTCTGCAAGCCTCACGCCTCGACTGGAAGGGCGGTTAATTGCGGACTCCTGAGCTGTGGTCTATGCTGTACGTAGTCCATGTACAACCTCTGCGTATCAAATGCCGTTTCAGGCCTTTCACCCACGATCATAAAATATACTTAGAGCTAATAACTTAGAATGTGCTTATGTCCATCTAGATGGTCGGAATGATCCATAGCGAGTTTATTCTGCTATGCATTAATGAATGATCTCTCCACACCTGTGCGGCAGACTGATTGGGGTTAAATCCTCCCTCCTTGACCTTGAGCCTGACTTATCCGCTCTTCTCGCAGTGCGGCCCTGTCCAACATCTGCTCTGCCTCCACCAGGTAACCTTGTTTGCGATAGACCTCCCCGAGATGCTTGACGCTAAGCAGAGTCGATGCGTGGTTGTTGCCCAGGACCCTTTCCCTCCCCTCAACTGCTCTGCGGTACATCTGTAGTGCGTAATCAAGTTTTCCTTGTGCGCAATACAAGTCCCCCATATTGTGGACAGCAAGCAGCGTGGAGGTGTGATATGCTCCTAAGGCTGTCTCGTACCCTCTCAGCGTGCGCAAATACATCTTTTCCGCTTCTTCTAATTTGCCCTGGTCCAAATACACGTTCCCAAGGTTGTTGACAGTCAACAGGGTGGACACATGATCTGCCTCTCCAGCCTTCTCAGCCCCGACGAGCACTCGCATGTACATTCTCTCAGCGTCGTCGAGTTTGCCTTGAGAACGGTAGAGAATACCGATGTTATGAACAGTGAGAAGGGTCAAGGGGTGGTCGACCCCCAAGGATTCCTCAGATCCAGCCAGTGCCAAGTTATACATATTCTCTGCATCATCTAGCCTGTCCTGCTCGCGGTAGACATCGCCAAGGTTATGCGCGGTGTCGAGCGTGGATGGATGCTTTTTGCCTAGGGTTTTCTCCTTCCTCGCCAGCGCCCGGAGATGCATCTTTTCTGAATCACTAAACCTGCACTGGTCCAGATAAAGATTTCCAAAGTCATTCATTACTCGTAGAGTAGAGGCATGGTCTGACCCGTGAGCTTCTTCGCAACCCGCCAATACTCGCACGTACATCTGCTCCGCAGCAGCAAGTTGCATTTGATCTTTGAGGAGCTGCGCGAGACGCTGGGCGATCTCCAATCGATTGAGGGACATTGCTGAAAGCAGATCACTCCGGAGGAATCGAGGATGGACCAGCCGGGATGCATGCACAGCCAGCCGCGAGTAGGAAACGTTGCCCAGGAAATCCTCCCCTACCTGAGTCATGGATCTGTCCACACAATCAAAGACATACCAGTAGTTCCGGGAATTGATGTTCTTGTTCAATGTTGCTAACGTCCAGTCATGGACACAGTTGTGCATACTCCATGATTGTAACAGGGGGTGGACTTCTAGGAAATAGTATTCGGTCAGGGTTCTCATGACCCCGTCAAATGTGATGTCACTTTCGATTATCTCATAAATCCAGTCAGGGGTGGAAGAAACACCGGCTGCGCCGGTATGTAGGAGTCCATACCATAGGGTTCTGTTTCCAAAGTAGGCTAATAGTCCAAGAAGTTTTGCTGCTTCTGGGTCGTTCTTCTCTAATAGAACGTACGACAAGTCCCAGGTTGTATACAGGGTGAGCTTTTCGTATTCTCGAAGCTGCGTGGGCCGCCGAGGGTCAATATTCCATCTTTCTTCGTACTCTTGGAGATATCGTTCAAACGTGAAGATACTCCGTTGCAGATAGGTTCCGGCAGTGGCCAGGGCGAGCGGAAGACCGGCGAGTCTCTCAGCAAGGCGCTTGGCACAAGGATCTGACCACAAGAACGTCAGTGAATTAATTTCCATAGTCAAAAAAATTAGGGTAATTACCGGACAGAGTGTCCTGCCGCTTAGATCGGCTCTGGAGGATAGCGAGGCTGTCCTCTATATTTTGAAACGGTCCGACCTCAATACTACTCCCAGTGAGCAGATCGCGCCTCCTGGTGGTGATGATTATCTCCCCATGTGACGCAGGAGGAAAATATGGGTCAATCTTGAATTGATCTGGGTCATTATAGTTGTCAAAGATCAAGAGCCATCCGGTATTCCGGGCATCGGATAGCCACTGATGAACTCGCGACACGATATCCTTGTCTTTGAGGGCTTCCGGCTCCTGTATGTCAAAAATAAGATTTGCGATCAATAGAAAGCTATTCTTCATTGCGGCTTCGGACGCAACGTCGAACCAAAAGACCGAGGTGTACGAGGGTTGATGAGGAGATTCGGCGTATGCGAGCGCAAGCTGCGTTTTGCCAATACCGCCGATGCCACTGAGCAGCAGACGCCGCTGAGCTAAATTTTGACTCGAATCTGTATGGAAGGCTTTCTCTATCTCGGCAAGCTCTGATTCGCGGCCAAAAAAGAGGTTAGACGCGAGATGGGGCGCTTGACCAAGGCAAACGCCAGCGGGTTTTTGGAAGCTGAAATCGGCCTTCTGTCTAAGGGTCACTGCGGAAGCAATTTCAGTTAGCTACAGTCGCCTACGAGATGAAAGGTTACAAGATAAAATCAAGGTAGAAATAAATGAAAAGCCTCATCATAACGTGAGCATGTGTCTGGGGAATACGTGGACACGGCATGCACCATGGCCAAGCCACTGACCCCCGGAATGATGAATGACAGGAGTATCATTGTCGGCAGAAAAAGGCTAGGGATCAAGGCGTACCAGAATTGAAGTATTGAGCCCCAACCTCCGCGTTATTATTGATCTGCTGCCCACTGCCCTTGTTGACGTTGTTTGTCTGCGATCCTCCACCGCTGTTGAAAACCAGCGCGGAGTTTCGTTCGTCATGCGGTGTTGAACTTTGAAGTAATTTCATTTCCTCGATCAAAGTTGCCAGTTGAGAATATTTCTCACGTCTCTCCGAAGTGGAGCTGATCGCACAGCTGTTGAGAATGAGCTGAACGTCTTTCGTGAGGGCAATCATCAGATCTTCGACCTTATTTTCCTGGCCAAGGCGTCGGATTACTTTTGCATATCGCTTCTGCCAAGTTTCACCATCACCCGGAAGGACCTTTTCAAAAATCTGCCGCAGGTTTTGGGCTTTCTCATCGCAGGCGTCGATAATCTTCTCCAAAGCGTCACTGGCGTCCGAGGACATCGAATCCCGCTCAGGTTCGATTTCATTCTTACACCTTCGGAGGATGTCTAAAATGATGGGAAGCTGACGTCGAGATGCCAGGAATGTCTCTGGGAGTCGTGTGTCATTTTGGGCACCGTCGTAGATCTTGATCAAGACATCTAGAATGGTAATGATGGCAGATATTCCACCAATAACTTCCAAGCCCAACATTGTGAGCTAAAAGAAAGACTGGCAGTTGAAATGGAGAATGTCAGATATTAGAACGGATGATAACCTCCGCCTCTAGGACGCAGTATGATCAGGGGACAGAAGAGTGGCTGAGGCGGAGGCTGAGGTGTTTAAATGCACACTTCATAGATACCTGGGCACTACCAGGCTCCTAGCGCACGTGTGCCCAAACGTGTACCTATCAGAGTCCCTTACTTCATAGGTCACTAGACACTTCTTACCCCGCGCTCAGAGAAAGGTGGTAAGCGCTCAGCCTCGCAGGAATTAAGAGAAATGACTCATCAACAGTTTCCTAACGAATACGCCCAAGGCCACGTGAGCTGCCGCTCTCTGAATGCTTCCATCCACATCATTGATGCTCTAAGTTACCAGATACGACTTGGCGTAAGCAACAAACTGCCACAGTGGATTCCCGGGATCGACGGCGGGGAACGCCTCATACTCCACTCGGCATAGGCCTCCACTGCGTCCCGGTATCATTGGACAAGTTGTCCATCCTCTGGATCGAGAATTAAGCGATATCACCCGGATATCTGCGTGGTATGTTGCATCAGTCGTAGCATAGCCATCTCATGTGTACCCTGTCTAGTTTTGTATCCGTTCCGTTGGGATTGATCAATCGTGAGTTAGGAATGGATTGGATTTCGATACAAAAGGGGATATTATTTTACTGGCATTCAACTAATTTCTATCGGCTTTCAGATGGAGCGCGCTTTGGAGCATAGCAACCTATACTCGCCCCTTAAATTTAGGCTAAATAGTGAGAGATCTAGTCAAAATTGTATATTGAGAAACCAAACGATCCACTATGTTGCTTGAGGGTTTAGTATGACCCAAAGAATTGGTGTTCAGTAAGAGTTACTACTCAAAAAATAATGGGATTGGCAAAGAATTTCAAAATTACGCAAGATGAGCTATCTCCGGTAGCAAAATCATCCGCAAACTGGGTTCGGGTGAAGCACCCCACCCGGAGCGAAGGAGAAAGAATGGCTGGCTTGGGCTTTATCATGGATAAAGTCTTGTCATTTCTGCCTTTCGTCCTTAACCACCTATTTTTTGAAGACGTCGAAGCTTACTCGAGTTTTGATTTTGCTCTGCGGATATTTTCCCCACGAATGGTATCTCCGGGAGGCAATCAATCATCATGCTGGGTGTGGGCGCACGCATGGCGACAGTAAGCTGTGGAATGAGTAGGGAAGAATGGTGGCTTGTATGAGCCAGCAGATGATTTTATGAGTCCCGGTAAATATTGTCAAGATAGGACCACTATAATTAGACTCATTTGCTTTTATGGTCCGACATTTCCTTACTTTGGACACACAAATTGAAGAGAAGATTTCACTGCTAGTAATAACACTGCATTTCAAGGTAATCCAGAAGAGTATTTTAGGAGTCCGAGCACCGGCCCCGGGACGATATAGACCCTAGTCGAACCAAAACTATAGCAGGCAAATATACAGACTATATGACAAGATATCATCGAGCACAAAACCGATTACTTTGCCGCCACATATTTATTCAGGAACTCAGTCACATCCTCCTGCGGCAGTCCAAGCTTCTCATTCCAAAGTCCCTTGGTGGAAGAATACTGCGCCAGATGCCCTTTGCCATAGACGGCTCCCGCAATCATGTCCAACACTCCTAGGGCTTGCCCTTCCTTCACCTTTGCTGCTCCGCCGTTCCACAGCTCGTCGACAGTTCCCTCAGACGTTGTGAACTTTTCGCCGGTGACTTGTTCAAGAGTTTTGAGAACCTCGTTTTGAGTGGTAGTGAAGCTATTGACATAGACATATTGGTTCTGAGTGAGCTTCGGGTATACCAAGCACTTTGCCAGCGCCTTTCCGACCTGATCGATGTTTGTGGCTTCAAAAGAAATATTACCACCATCAAAAATGGTCGCCGTGCGAGCGGGAATATTCCAACCTGCGAAGCCGGGGATATTCAAGCCCCAGTCGAACATGCAGCCAGTGATAACGGCTGTCCAGGAGATCTTGTCCTCCTGGGATTTCAGGTAGTCGAGAGTGTCGATTTTGTCCACTAGGAACGGGATGTACGTCGATGCAGAGGGATCTGAGCTATCGATGCCGAATTCGGAGGGACAAAAGACTTTCACTCCAGCTGCAATGGCCGCATCAATGAGGGACTTTTGAGATGATAGCGCACCTCCGGGTGCAACGCTAGACATGGTGCTGATGACAGCGTCTTGGCCTTTGAAAGCCTCAACTAGCGAGGCCTCGGAGTAATCGGATTTGACGTGCTTTACACCCTCCGGGAAGTCAGCCTTGGATGACTCCCGAGTCATGCCAGTGACCTGGAAGTTTTCCTCCAGCAAAGCCTTGATGGCTGCTCTACCGATATTGCCACTGGCGCCAATGACCAGAACATGCTTGATTTCAGCCATGAGAAAGTTGTGTGCAAGGATTGCTCCGAAGTGAGACTTGAGGAGGGGATTGGTGGCACTGGAATATCTGCTGGGTTGAGCTCTTTTATATTCGAGTTCGGAATCACTTATCGTGAAGATTAGGAAGCTGCTTCCTAGGTTCTGTGGATGATTAATGCCTGTTAAAGTCCGAGAAATGCTGACAATTAAAGCCATCTGGTTTTCTGATGAGAAGACTCCTAATGTTGGCGGGAATTATTGATGAGAGATCGGCTATTACTGATTACTGAACACCAGACTAGAGATCTGGTGACGAATCACGGGAAGCCGACAACCCTGGAACTACCTACCATTATTCCGGTTATATGCTACCTCATGAAAACATTCATAACCTTGGAATGTTATGATCAGTAATTCAAATTCAACCCGGTTAAGTATTTAAACAAATTCCATGCCTCTCGACCCCACGGCATTATGAATGCCAGACGAGGGATAAAACTCCGCACAGTACGACAGACACCGATCTTACATCCCATTCAACCAACCTACCATGGCAAGCAGCTTAGATCTTCAAGTGGATGTATACGTGGCCCCTCCTATTCCGACGACTTCAGGATCTGATGACCCAACCAAACAATGGTGGTCACCAATCTCCTGTACGTTAATCCATGGGCCCACGTCTGCAGTTCTAGTGGACACTCCTATTTCCATTAAGCAGACCGAAGCGCTGGCAGCCTGGATCAAGCAGACCGCCCCTGGAAAACAGTTGAAATACATTTACACGACACACGCGCACGGGGATCATTACTTCGGCAATCCGGTCATCCTAAAGCACTTCCCGGAGGCTACCAGCGTCACGACATCTCTGGTAGCCACAGGTATCAGAGATACATTGGCTTCAGCAATTCCGAGATGGAAAGGGTGGTTCCCTAACGGGCAGATCCTCTCAGAAGGGCACATCATTCCTGACTCTCTTCCAGAAACTGGAGAGTTTTCGATCGACGGACATAGCCTTTTTGGTATCAACGTCGCTCACTCCGACACCGACGCCTCATCCTTTCTGCATGTGCCTGACCTGAAGCTCGTCGTCGCCGGTGACATTGTCTACGGGGACTGCTTCCAGTTCCTTGCCGAGGCCAAGACGGCGGACAAGAGGAAAGATTGGCTAGATGCGCTCGATCAGATAGCTGCTCTGGAGCCTAATATCGTCGTCCCGGGACATAAGCGGGCGACACAGGTCGATGGGCCCTATCTGATCGAGGCGACCAAGGGGTATATTGTTGCATTTGAAGAGGAGCTGGAGCGGCTGGGAGATGTCGATAAAGTCGAACAGGCCATGACGAAGCGTTATCCACAGAGATGGAATCGGTTTATCCTGGAGATGAGCTGCAAGAGTTCGGTCGCTGCTCTCAAACTTTAGATTTTCGTGTACATTAATTCCGTGATTAATGACTTGAAAATTTTGATTGGTATTTTACTCAGTGCTGTAGAAACTGACAGTATGTAGAAAGAAGATCGGCAGTTATGGGGGAACACGGATCACGGGGCCCCGAGGACCGAGACCGAGCATTAAGATTAGAAAACACATTCCAGCCGCTATCCTCGTATGGGGCGATTCGGAAGTGGATTGCCAAGTCGCTCATCGAGATCGACACAGCCAGACTGACTGTCCTGACCGCAATGTCAGAATTGACCAAGGTGCCGAAGCAGACCTGTGGTAAGATTAATGATTACTGAACACGAGCCGAGGTGGAAACGATCCCCATTCGGGAGCCAATGAAGCACGTCAGTGGCTAGTCTAGTGCCTCTTGATCTCCAACTTCCTTATTCTTTCTTTTCAATTTACAGTTCAACAACCATCACGCAAAGTTATCGTTATCTTCCAATATGCCCTCCCAGAAAAAGCGTGGTCGACCACGAAAAGACAACGATGATCCAGCAGAGCCGCAAGAAGAGGTACATGTTCTTTTCGCGGACCCAAATTGAAGCCTGTGAGCTCATTGATTTGAATACAGCGGCGTCGGAAACAGATCCGCCTAGCACAGCGTGCGTACCGGGAGCGGGAAAAAGGTGTCCTTTCACAGCATGAGATACGAATTGCGCAGTTGGAGACGTCAATCAAGCAAATGAACAGGGCCATTTCATCGTTCGGCGAGCAGTTGGCAAAGAGCCGAGTCCTGGCATCCCACACCAACCTCCAAGATCAGCTGCTCAAGACCGTCGCGACATGCAAGTCCATTATTGAACACAGTGGGCTAGCAACAGAAGAGGGACAGCTCACTCCGTCCACGGAAAATGATGAATCCCCCCTGTCGCAAGCAGAGCTGGGGAGAATCTCTAATCCAAGCCCATCAGTTCAACTTCAGGGGCGACAGAGATACCCGTCACTTATTTCATCCCCCTTGGTTGACATCTCCCTTCAGGATTTCTCGTCGCCCCTGGGCCACGGATCGTCTCTCTTGTTCGATAATGTGACTACCACAACGATGCCCACTGTAGATCTATCGCTATTCATCCGCCAGCTACGTATTGCAAGTATGTACCACGCGTTCTTCTCGCTGCGCGATTCCTCTCAAAAGCTGGACGATCTACGAAAGAAGTTCCGATTCCTGTTTAGCATACTGAGTCGCGAAGATCTGACTTCATACTTTGAGGCCGGGCTAGTTGCTAAGATCCACCCAGAACGCATGCTAGAGTGGGAAGAGCTTCCTTTTTTCCATGTAGGCGGTGCAGGATCGCATTTTCTCCAGTCGTCGCGCTCTCTATACGAAAACAAATACCCGGTCAGAGAAGATCCGCTCTCCGAGTTTCCTTCGGATATTCAAGACGAAATGGATGGGAGGTGGTACGATATTAAGGACCTCGAAGGGTTTATCCAAGAGCGTGGGGTTCAGCTGCTGGCAGACTCACCCACGGTGTCGAGACAGGGTTTAACGAATCCAACCGCCGTCAGTGCCTCTGGTCTGATCAAAGGTATTTTTCCTTCGTTTATACGTGGTTTCAAGAGTGATTTCTGACCTCTGGCAGCTCTGGTGAGAAGTTGTATCTGTCTCGGTCGGTCACCTGGGTGGCGACCACTTGATGTTGAAATGGCACTTCAAATGTCTCGACTGGAGACTTGAGGAGAATTACAGCTTCATAATTCTTCAGTAGTGTATATGGGTGACTAGCTATGCAGTACTATAAAAGGTGGTCTCCACCAGGTTGAACGGTGAAGTCCAGGCACCTCTCTTTTTGGTCTACAAAGACTAATTTGAAATTACCAAACAGAGCAAGAAAACTATAGTGACTCACTTGCCACGGCTCATTTGACCGGTACTCAAAGCTTGTGCCTCTTCTTACCCAAGGCAAACTTCTCGCACTGAGCCTGTGGAACCTGCTCTGCCAACCTTCTCAGCCCACCAAGAAACTCTTTTGCTGTCTGATCATCAAACTCCCGATTACCAGGCTCTCGAATAAGCTTCTTACTCTCCAAGATGCTCGAGCCGACCAGGTAATCACCAACACAAGACTCCAACTCAGCAAGCACCAGCTGTGGAATCCCTTTCCATCATCTTGTTCACAAGCCCAGTATACAGCAACTCCACGGTGGTGATTCTGCAGCTGAACAGCAAGGCCTCTTTTGCCTTGCTAATTTCTAACCACTGCACAAAGGCAACACTAGCACCGCCCTCTGTCACTAATGCAAGAGCCAAGAACAGTGTCTTTTCACTCATTTACTCTATTTGATCTACCAATAAACTAGAAATATTCTATTTTAGCACCAAATGAGAGTGAAGGTCGTGAAGACAAGTCCCAACGGAATGTATTTCATGAATATCTTGACTCTATTGCACAAAAACCACATGATTTGAGCGCAAGCACAAGAACCAGAACATCTCACGAGTCCCAGATATTAGCACCTCCCAACGCAGCCAGCGCAAAATGACTCCCAAGGGTCGGCCTTGCACGGAAAGAATATGAATCACCAGCAACATACTGCCCACTATTCGTCACCCAGTAACGATCTGAAAAGGGCGCTGAATTCAAACCGTTGGACACATAAGCATGCAAATCCTTGATAAATATCTCCCGCGTCGATCCAGTCACAGTCGCAGCAACAAACGACTGCCAATTCGTTTGGCCCCAGCCGATCGCGCCATCAAGCGGTACGCCCGCTCCTTGCCGGACGGTTGGGTAGAAAGCCGCGGTGGCGTTGTAGGCTTCCGTTGGGAAAATGTTTAGATTGAAGAGGAGGTCAGGATAGTGGTTGTAGACGAGGAACCAGGGTGCGATGCCGTACTGAATTAAGAATCGGGTTCCGGCGGCGTCTGTACCCAGGTGATCTGTCCAGATTTTGTCGGCGAATGTTTTGCCTGCTGTTGTGTAATTTGCTTGGTCAGTTAATGCGCCGTAGATTGCGAGGCCTACGGCTGCTTTGACGGCGAGGTTGGTCTGGTTGGCTAGTTCGCCTAGGGCGTCGTTCAGCGACAGTTGAGCGCTCGGGTAGAGACCATTTTTGTAAAGGTATTCTGCGTATTGGGAGAGTTGAGACGCGTAGGTTGTTGCTAGGTCTGTTTTCCCAGTTGCTAGTTGGTAGGCGTAGGTCAGGATTATTATGTTGCCACTTTCTTCGATGGGCATTTCTTCGCCGTCTGCTGGATGGCCTGTTGCGTTTGGGTAGCTGGCGCCTATCTCGTGGACTGCGTAATCTTTGGTGTAGGCGTTGCTCCCGGTGTATTGGAGGATGGGGTCGAGGAGAAGCTTCAGGTAGTCTGGGCTGAGGATATAGAAGATTGGGAAGGTTGCGAAGATCACGTCTACGGTGTTGATATTGCCATCGCTGGAGATCTCTTTGATAAACGCACGCGTTGTATCTGTATCGAGGGATTCGTTCGGGATTGTGATTTCAATCCCACCGTAGACCTGGCGAGTGGACAGTGCCAGGATATCCGAGTAGTTCGATCCATAACTCGAGACTCCTGTCGACTGAACCAACTTGTCAAATGTGACTGATTCCTCATTCGCATCAGGGTAGTCATCGAGGAAGTAAGAGACTGCGTCCACAGTATTCGCGTGAGTTGCGCGGTAGTAACCCGTCTGGGCATCACCCAGGAAATTAATCGACTCCTCGCGTACATGGCCGACGGCAAAGGTCACAGCCACTTCCTTGGCTGTTTTCCCAAGATCATGAGCGAAACCGACCACCCCGTTGGCAGTCCACTCAGCGTGTGTGCCGGACAGAGTTCCATTCGAGATGAAACTTTGGCGTACCACGGCAGACGGCCCCGAAGCCGTGGAGAGAGAAGCCCCGCTTGCAGGGCGGGTGGCGTAGACGGCACTTCCCCACAACGCTTGGCCATTGCTGTTCTCCGAGTATGTGGACGCATCTGCGCCTTGGATTTGGAATACGCCAGTCGTGCTCTTAGTCGAATAGCTCCAACTCACATCGCTGGATTGACCAGCCCAGCTGTGATCAAGATCAGAATAAATTTGAACTGAGCTGGAGCCACCCGCAGCGACCGTCACAGTCAAATACGAGAAAGGCAGTGATTGACGCAGATAGTTCTTAGGCGAAACTGGAGAGAAAAAGTCCAGTGTAAACGTTCGAGATCCAGCTTGCACCGTAAAGGTGGAATGCGTCGAGGTGTAAGTTGCCTCGGTGACAGTACCGGATTTGGTTCCGCTCAGTGGTACCTGAACCCCAAACAAATTGTACGCGACGCCATCCACACGCGCCGTGACCGACCAGATCAGATCATTACCTGCCCAAAACTGCGCTCTGCTGGATGGAAGTGATGCGACTGAGTTTCCGGGGATCCATGCTGCCGATCATGTCAATGAGATTCCGGGGATGATCAACGATCAGGACGCACCAGATAGATAAGGGCTCCGCACAGCCAGCGGGTACGATGGAGGCTTAATCGGGGAATATGTGATGGCCTCACTGGATGGTAGCGAGGATAGCACGACAAAGACTGCCGTCAGGGCGGACTGGGGGTTGAACCAGCGCATCTTGTGTCAACCAGGTACACACGCGCTTTCGACACTTTCGTAGCAGACCGAAGATCGAGACTCGAAGAAAGGGATGGATTTTCCTTGCCCTTGTGCGGGCAAGGGTGTCAAATACCCCCGAGAATGCATCTCGCGTGGCATCACAACATGTCCAGTATGCCTTGCGTGAGCGCCCTAATGCACACCACTTCCCGCCTTTTCATCATCTGAAGTGCGGAGACTGCATCGCAGTTCAGACTTGGTCTACAGGCACGCCATCTGGTAATATGATGAGGATCTGCTCTCCAATCAGGTGCTTTGCATAGTCGATAGGCGAGAGCCGACTTCGGTATGGGGTCATGGGGCTTATGGATTGCACCCTGGAGCTAACCTCAAGTACAACGTCAAAGCGCAGCTTAAATTTGAGTGATTTGACGACTTCCAAATCAGCATGTAGCTCATGCGATTGCTTGCTGAGTCTATGCCATGTATTGGTGCTCCGCAACCCTGAATCTAGAACAGTAGCATGCTGAGAAAATGGGGGCGGACCCACGTTACCCAATGTGAAAAAAGAAAAATCGTCTTTCTTACAACTAAACTCTGCTGACTTCGTGTTTCTACTCCCATTTTTTCAACCTCTCTTCTTTCTCGTCATAATTATCAAAAATTCATAATTGAAGCGAAAGTCCATTCCGGCCCTCCTTTAGAGCGACTCATGAAAAGCACACATCAGACCACCCTTTAGGGCGTATATTAAACCCCCTTGGGTTCTATAGACATACAATCTTATATGACATATTTCTGCCTCTTAGGACGTATCTGCTAACCCGTGTTAGACACGGTTGTATTTTGGCATCTTTCCTTCAAGCTACGTCATGTTCACCTAGGCTGTATGAGGTAGAATCAAGAAGAGCATTCCAGTTTACATGCGGTTTGATCGTATTTTATCTTGGACACTCAAGATACGTAATTAACTAAGGAATCCATAGGACCCTCGGGTACCCTGGGTACGTTTCACCCTACACCCTTGACAAAAATTAACTTCTCTATGGGCTGCTAGGCGAGAATTGATGAATGATCCGATTCATTGAAACGCTAAAAGTTCGACATATTTGGTTAGGTGAAAAAAGAGGTGAAAAAAGTGGTGAAATATAATACCAAAAATACGCTGATTCTAACGCTAATGTTGTTGGAACCACTACCAACTAGGGCTGTTAAGGACCTAATAACGAAGATACAAACATATATTGAAATGGGATAGCGCGATGGCAGTCTGGTCAAAACAGACGGGTCGACAATAGCAGTAGGAGCATAGGCAAACCTAACAAGAGGTAGAGCTATAGGAAAGGAGAGCACATAGGGATGGTCTGAAGAGAAGAATGTGTCTGTCTTGTTCTACGTAGAGTAGAGAGGTCTTAAATAACGTGATTCACTACCGAGCTGCGCACACAACCGAGCTGCGCAGCCCGGAACACATAGTAAATGCAATAAATTACAACTTGATATCTCAACAACATTAGTTCATAGCAATCTTTCCTTATGCAATATATATTCTCAATATAGTAATCAACACTTTCAGCCTAGTATTAGGATTTTCTAATGCTTGATTCTCAGGATATATGCATATTACGCTTTTGTGTACGTAATTTTCGATATTTTTTGTAATCATCACCACCCGGCTTGTTAACATCCTCAAAATGTTAAAATAGTATTAGTGACTCTTATCGGTAGCTATCGGTAAGTGATGAGGTAGAACAGATATATGGTTATGAAAATCTAGGTGTTGATACATGTTAAAAGGTTACGATGCAAGTTGGAATGATGACCGGTACGACCGTACAATATAGATAATCTAACAATAGATTACCGAGGTGTTTAAGTCTGGAGATTCTCATTTGTGTGAGAATCTCCTTATATACCAAAAAACTCTGCCTTCAGCTAGTCCTAATTAGATTTCCCAGGTGATGAATCACTACGGTTGCCATCATGGCTCATTCATGGCATAAACCATGGCCGGCCACCATAAATCTCAACAATTGAGATATAAGCCTGATATAGCGTATATAATAAGAACAATATATATTGTTAAAAGGATAGTCTAAAGGCTAGTTCTACGAATCAGCGTGGGCTTGCTATTTACAATCTATGTTCATATGATGTCGTCATCTTCGTAAATAACATTATATATCCGACCGTCGATAGGGTTACTTTCTAGATCGACAAAGAGGAAATTATCACAATCAAAGCCAAGAGAGGCATCCTATTTGCTATTGCTAAGTGATATAAGGTCTACGTGTTAGACGCTAGCGGGGTCGCTATCTTCCTTAGACAATATGCCTTTACCGGGAAGGTCTCTTCGCTGGAATACGGACGGTTAGGAGTCATAGGGCCGGTATTTCTGGCTCGCGATCGGGACTGGATTGACGCACCAGGACTATCGAGGCCAACCATAGGCGTTACCGTACATGCTTATCAACACCGTCTTGTCAGCTATACTTTGAATACGTAATGAGGTTGGAAGAGGCATACATACGGATCATCGTCGAGAACGCGAAAGCCATGGTCAAATGCGGCTCGAATGAACCAGGGATGGATATAATATAAAACTAGTAGACATGGAGACCTAGGGGTAGCTGAGAAGAAAAGGTAGTCTGCATTGCTAGACTAGGGCCGAGATTCCTTATATACATAAGGTGGCTTAGTTACACTGCTATCTGCGCAGCACAGTAGGTGTGCCTAAGCAGTTATAAAGTTCATATGTCGTTGTCACAATTGGATTTACAGGGAGGATAGAGGTCAATCAATTTCACCACCTATTCACCTAATACGTGCCCAAGATAATACAAGTATATTAAGCAAGCAGTTGTCAACGTGGTACTGCGTGCACATAGCATGGAATGAAATTACTCTCCAAAACTCCAAGTTCCCAACAAGACTAGTAAGCCTTGAATTTTTATTTAACCACTGGTATCATGAAGTTCCTCCACCTTCGTGACATCTTTAACGAACGTAGCGCCGTACTCTTTCATGATTTGTATCTTCTCATCCATATTCATCGCGAACCTTATTCTCCCAAAATCTTTTGGACGTTGCCTGTCACTCTTAAATCTCAACACCCACACACCCACGCCATCCGTTGGCCAACCAAACACCAGCACCGTTTCTTCCTCCTCTGTCAAAAACCTTGTACCCGACTGCGCCTCCAGCATATCCTCCTTACTTAGCCACCAAGTAGGACCAGTCCGTCGCAATAGATTACAGAATCTGTCTTCTTCATCGGCACTGGGTGAGCGCTGTGATGCATAAGAACGGGGGAGTGATAAGAAGAGCAGGTCGAGAAGGTCAGCTTCTTTAATGAGAACCCCGCCAGAGGACGGGTAGCCGTAGACCATACATACTCCGACGCCAAACTCGGTCCGATCAGTCGTTGATAGAGGAGGGAGCCTGGAGCACGAGGTCCAGTTGTCTGGTACGACCCAGTCGTCAGGTATGTCGCCCATGGCTGTTCGTCGATTGAAATAATTCGAGATAAGATTGGTATTGATGGGGAATAAGCGGCCAATGGTCTGATGGCAGAGAGTCGATAGAAAGGCTGAGACAATGGTGACGAACATGATACTGATGCTAAGCCTCATGTTTCAGTCAGGTTACAAGCAGGGAAAGGCCGTAGCTCATAAGTGCGCTCTTTCCACCAGTTGACTACTTAAAGGATATATAGGAATCGGGAGAAAATCCCCGCCTTCGACTTGAACTGATTAAGCAGGGGCCTTGGCATGTGCAGGAGCAGGTGTCGTTCTGCCGAGGATTACCGCTAAACGGTCATGATGCCCTCGGCGTTCGTTACCGTAATGTGTACATGCAATGGAGTCACAAATCTTGAAAAGTATTTGACCTAGAGTACTTAGCAAAGGGCCCACTTTTAATTTACTACCAGAGCAGAATCATTAGTCATCAAATAGTCAGTTTGTCACCATTGACATTTGATGACATGAAATACGCCACGAGTAGATAAATCTGTCCCGGAGAGGGCTTCATATCTATCACTTCTAGTGTGGTAAGAGCCTATATACTGAGTATTTGATATCATATAGCTGATAAACGTACATGTTGTAATGGGAGAATTGCCTACTGCATAAAGTAGCGGTCTACGGACGACTCAGGCCTGTGTGATATATTGAGACCTCTCTACGCATAGTGAGCAAGATAGACACATTCTTGTCTTCAGATGTTACCTATCTGTTCTCTTTTCCTACAGTCCTACCGGAGATCTTGTTGGGTTTTGCCCATGCTCACATTACTAGTATCGACCTGTTTGCTTGACCAGACTGCGGCGTCCCCATTCCAATGGATAACTGCGGATGTAGTCGAATGAGGACCAATATAGATTCATTTTGCCAGTATCTGGAAGCTCCTACCAAGCATATAGGACTGTTAATGGTTGTGACCTCGGATAATTATTATGAAACTAGAGTTTTACGAGATCAAAAGTGGGCTTAGATAGTCATTGAAGAAGCTAAAGAATAGAGAAACTAAAAAATAAGAAGCATTGTCATTCATGCCAATCAGTAACGCTCAAATTGAGACTACATAGGTCTCTAAGGCCTGAAGGACTTTCTTTATCCGACTGATCTCCTTCTTCGAAGCATCCCCCCCGATCTTGGCTAACAATGTCTTATTAGGAAGCTTTCCATATTTAATATGGATTGACTTTCTCATATATAGAAACTTGATGCCGTGTACACGGTTGCAGAGTAGACGTAGAGCTACCCGTAGGTATTTCTCGTCGGATGGGTCTATCAGTGACCACACTTTTCTAGCAGGAAGAGTTACAAGCGCTATTCTATACCTAGTAATATCGTTAGGCTACTCCTCCTCGGCAAACTCTTCTACCCAAGTCAACTCCTTTTCAATTACCTACTAAATCTTAAGGGTCACCTAATATATTATATCAATATTAGGCAAAACAAGAAACAAAACAAGATTCAATAAAAGAATAAGAATATAGAGAAACATATAAAGAGAACTTGAAATAAGAAAAAGAGACGTAACTGAAGTTATAAACACAAGTAAAACACGGTATAAGAACTCTAACACAAGTTTGAATAGAAAAACAATACATGAAAACACCATACATAAGAATTCTATGAAGACTCTAAAACAAATAAACATATAAAAAGGAATAAGATAACAGAAATTATAGAACATTAAAGAATTCCTCCGAAGAGCAAAGAAATACAGAAAAACATGGAAAAATTACGAACACAGGAAAATGCATGACAACCGCATTCAGGAAAACTGTATCTAGGAATCCAAGAAAACCTCAAAATACAACAATAAGAATACAACCTTCGGGTTCCTACGAATACAGCAATATAAGCCAAATATAACAAATAAGCCGAATTCATCAAAAAAGAAGAACAGAGAGATTTAACTTAAATTGAGCAGGATTATCCAGCAAAAGATAATATTAATCTAATCATTGAAATGGGAGATGCTCGATGGCAGTCTGGTCAAAACAGACGGGTCGACAAATGGTGGCAAGAAAACCCAACAACAAGTCAGGTCTGTGAGCTCTACACAGATGACGCCAATCAGGGATAATCAGATGCTATATCAAGGAGCATGATGATCATAAATCTTGAATCAGGAAATGAGTGGCATTATTGTATCTGTCTATCATTCGCTACAGTTGTAGATTGCCCATATTCCTTCCTCGAGGATATCAGTGTCTGAGGCACTAGTTGCATCGCAGACTTTCCTACCTGCCGAGCATTGCGGAACTACTCATGAGTATTTGGTGATACTCGACGCACCACGTTCACTAAGAACTTGGATATAGTCTAGATCACTGTTAGTCACTAATATGAATGAATCTATATAGTGAGATACTTACTCGACACGCTGTACCAGCCAGCTGAGATTCTTGCGGCCGACTCCGCCTACTGAAAGTGATTAATACCCGATCGCAGGCTTCGTGAAGATACGGACCATGTCGGAACGCTCCTGATTACCGAGCTGGGAGTCAAAGACGCACGTGTTAATTAGAAAGAGCTGGAGCACGATTTCGATCATCTAAGCGTAAATAGGAGTCGACTCTCCCACTAACAGCTTCTGGTGGGATTTCCCCTTTTTGTTCAAGGGTTCGATGATATTTGCTAGTATGATTTGATGTATGATCAAGCACAATGTTGGAGAGCCCTGCACAAGGTATTCGATCAACTGCTGTGCAGTCCTCGGGCGGGGATTAGCATCCTCCCCGCGAACGAGCTGGTAGAACGCGTATCTAGAGAACCCATCGTCTCTCCATTTTTGGAGCTGCTTAACATTTGTATTCTGCTCCATAGAGAGCATAGCCCTGTGCAATCGAGCTAACTTGGTGGAAAAGCACGCGACTGAGAGGTTTCGCAATGGTATAGCCGATCCAATAAAATCCCTTTTCTGCAGCTCGACTGTTGTTGCTGTGCCCTGTTAAAAGTTATGATGAAGTAGGGAATGATGACGGATACGAAGGTATAATATAGATAATCTTTTGATAGATTACCGAGTTCTCTAAGTCTAAAGATTCCCTTTTATAAGAATCTCCTGATATACTAGAAAACTCTGCCTTAAGCTAGTCCTAATTAGATTTCCTAGGTGATGAATTAATCCGGTTACCGTCATAGCTCATTTATGGCATAAACCATGCCGGCTACCATGAACCTTAACATCTTGGTTCTCTCTCAGTTCTCTCTCAGTTCTCTCTCAGTTCTCTCTCAGTTCTCTCTCAGTTCTCTCTCAGCCACTATCTTGACTTTGGAAGACCATTCCGAGAAATCATTCCTAAAGTTGCTAGGGCTGCAAGGGACTGCTTTTCGTCCAATATCGAGGGATGAGCTACATCAGGTTCAGCGACGTCATCTTGGACGAAATGCACAAGCTCAGGTAACAATGTAAGCTCCGGGTATTGTTCCCTAGAAGTCTCGTCCCACACGTTGAACTGAACTGTTAGAAGAAACTGGGAATAGATCGGGTTCCGCAATTCTTCGAGTATTGTACTCCAACTCTCGACATTTAGATTGAGATCCACTTGATTCTTATCTCCCTTTCTAGTCAGCTTCATGAGAGCTACTGTAAATCGTAGCGGAGGGCATGGAAAAATATCCATAAGCATTTGCGTGAGTTGATCTTTGTAACTGAATAGCCTCGGATCGTGAGTTGGTCTTGATCGGTTTAAGCTAGGCATATCCTCCACCTTCAGCTTTCTCAGCTCTGAAATCAATTGGTCTGTACCCTCAGTGGGTAGCTCCTGGTCCCACGTAATCCTCATTTCCAGGGGAGGTAGTTTTGGCTGTTTAGCCGGTCGTTCCAGCACGTGATCAGCAAGCTGATCTTGAGTAACTGGCCCACTTTTGACTACTCTCATAAATGAGGGAATCATCCCCTCCAAAATATCCATCTTATGCGCAATGACAGCCATAATAGCAAATGGGGAAACCCAGCAGGATTTCCCCACTTGGTTTCCCTCAGTACTTTTGTTAGACCGGCGTTTTGGCTTGCCAGTTTTTTGAATATTATTCAAAAAGTGTCGGAGTAACTGGAAGCATCGATTGAGTACCTCCATTCTGGTTTTATTCTCATATGGACCCAGCAGCGGGAGAACGCGTGGAAAGATCACCACTTCCTCGAGGACGGCCTTCCCGAAAACAGTATGAAACTTGGTGGTAGCTCGGTGAAATTCCAATAGGTTTTGCTCTTTCTTATGAGTACCCATCTTCAATATGTTATGTTCTAGCTCTAGAGTGCTCTAGAAACAGTGCGCATATTTGCCATCTTTTTCACCTCAGGAGAGTATTGGTCATCGTCAGCCTCGTGGATTTGCTCGCCTGCCTGATAACCCCACCCGCACCAAAGCAAATATTCTTCACTCTGTAGCCAGAAGAAGACTAGCAATACAAGTAGCTATAAGTCCTCTACGAAGAAAATATAAGGATTGAAGTATTCATATACGCTAATAGCGTATCTCGACGCTATAACCCCTAACCCGGAGGGATCAGAGGGCGTTAGGGTAACTTTTTTAGGATTTCTCGCGACATAACAGTAGTTTCGGATAGTGGTCGGAAGATATTATAGAGCCTATTTTCTCCTTTACTAAAGGTTGATTTACCCTTTTCCGTACTCGGGAGGTTCCCTATAGTACACATCTCGAGCCGCATCATGCGGATCTACGTGGACTTGAGCGGGCGTTACAAATGTAGCATGGCCTGCCTGATCAACGTAGCTTCGACCCCTATGGTACTGCTCACGGATATATAATGTTGTCGTATAAGCAAATAATCGAATCGTTGCTATCCAGGCTAACTGCAGAACCTACTGGATCAGAATGTCTGGGTCCCTTGGTTGGCCAAAAATGGCTGGATGCAGAGTGTTGGCAAGGTACAAAAACCGGCAACGGTGACTAGTAAGAGTCAACTCGATCTTCGGTGTTATGATCCCGTTGACCAAGGTTGTGAAGGTAATGACGAGGTGAGATTCGACAATTGGTTGCCCCGATACAGCAGGGTCTCTGTTGAATATGTGTTGAATGAGTTAAGGTAGAGAACTAGCAACCGATGCTAGTCGACGTTCGAGACAATCATGGTTAATGAACAACTGAACACATCTTCTTGACACTGGCCTCTTTATTCAACAAATCGGGCTGTCAATAGGGCTTCGCTATTCACACCACCGCCAATTTTCAATACATTTTTTTGTTCATGAGATGAGATTGAATTGAATCAAATATCAAAATAATATAAAAGAAGTCCAAAGATATTAAGTATTACACGTTCTGCATGACACCCGGACAAACACTCTCCAGGATCGCCGACAACTCTCCCCACAACCGTTCCCGAGCCTGGCGTCCCTCATCACTTCGCACAAAGGGCGAAAGCGCTGTGTTCTCCACATACCCATCACTCATATAAGCACCATGGCTTTCCAGTCCAGCAGCAGCTCCAGCCACAAGGGTTCGTGAGCCAACCTCAGTGCTCCGAGCCAGAACCATCTTCATCAACATGAGGCGCATTCCAGCATCCCGTCCAAGCTGTGAGTGACAGAGACCAGGATTGATCATATTGATTGTAACCTCTGATCCACGAACCCGACCGGCGAGTTCTTGCACGAGCAGCACCTCGAGCAGCTTCGATAAGGGGTAACGCTCGTTCATTTTCGCCTTTGTTTCGTCACTGACTTCTTTCATCGGCGCATCCTCCTTCCATTCAGGGAAGTCGACCCAGGCATGAACTTCACTGACTACGAATGTCAAGCGGGGTGTGCGAGTCGGGATCAGCTTCCGGGTAGCCTTGAGTTTGGGTAGAAGGAGAAGGCCGAGGAGAAGGGTACTGATTACGTTGACGGTGACGGACCGCTCATAGCCTTCGGCGATGGAGAACTCCGCTGTTGCAATGGCAGCATTCAAGATGGCGACATCCAAGCAGGGAAGTTTCGAGATACGCTCGCTGAATGCGATAACGGATGCGTAGGAGGATAGGTCTATCTCCCAGACTTCAACCACACCTGTGCGTCCTGTAAATTTTTCGATATCTTCCTTAGCAGCTGTGCCTGCCTCCACGTTGCGCACACCGAGGATGACTCGTGCGGCGCCCAAACGCGTGATATGGCGTGCAGCTTCAAACCCTAAGCCGACATTTGCCCCGGTGACTAGGACTGTCTGGCCCTCGAAGGACTGGGCGGGGTAGGGAGGAGTAACGAATAATTGTGAGTATAAGAATCCCATGATGAACACGTGCAGAGAGAAATGATCAAACGAGGGAGTGAATTGTTTCTTAAATATGAATGACTCTGCCAAACGTCATGATGGTGCGGAGATTATTGGCATAACTCCGTCCGGCCGTCGATCCACTGTAAAGCCGTCAAAAGCCGTGTTGAAGTCCGAAATCGTTTAATTCCGCACAGAAACGACGAGTTTCGGCTTCTATTGGACGCATTTGGTCCACATCTGGACTATCAAGGGATGCAGATTGGCATACCTGGGGCTGCAGGCAGTGAGTTATACGCGTTGGCCCCACTTTAACAGGGGCCTCGGAGGGAAACATATACTTTTCTTTGCGCGAATCGACCTTCTACAATTTCAGCGTATTCAGGCTACTCACGGCCATCAAAATAATAGCAGATTCTATTGGACTCTTTCTTCCCGAATTCTTCCATCGCATAAGTCGTCCTGTCGTCATTCCCCCACAGACATCGTAAATTTTAATCTTAATTACGAATACTACAATAGCAAGGAAACATAACTTGTTGCCAGTATAATTAACAACCATTTTCAGCGTGGTGTGGCCTTTTATCACTTGGGAGTGGCTGTTTAGTACTGTACTAAACTTCTGAGGCTCAAGTGCACGCCCCACCACTTCCCTGTTACTTTCCTCTCCTTCCACCCACAGCCAGTAATTTTCGACTTTCTTCGTCCTATCTCATCAGGTTTCCTCGGTTTTCAGTTCTCAAAGCAGCTTTTTGTTCTTTGCTAGGCAACTACATATCTCGAATTGGCTTGGTGAGATGGGACTGAACGTTCCTTCAAGGAGCTTCGCAGCCTGCGCAGTGTCTCACACTCCAAACCGATCGTATCTTCACCTGTTACTCAGTGCTTTTCTCTTCCATCTTTCTTTGTGTCAAAGTCGGAGCAAGGGCAAGAATTTCCTACTGCTTTGGTCCTCAGTGTAGTCGCAGACGGTCTGAAAAGGAGTCGAGCTATCTGATAATAGCTTTAAGTCTATACTCATACTGTCCTTTTATTCTGCAAAATCATTATTATGTATAGGGAACTGAATGAAAAGATTTTGCCAAATTTGTATGTTGTTGACTAACCGATATGTGAGGCTGTGTTAGTTAATGATCCTGGCGTGATCTATCAATCATCATCTCGGCATTTTCAAATAGGTTACCAAATGTGAAGATTTTTAGTTTCTGATAGCATTAATACCAATATTATAGTACCATTACTAAGAATTTGTCCAGTTAGACTACTCAAAAGAACCCGCAGTGACTCGCATACCCGAAGTTCCCGCTATAAATAACATTGTTGCGCATGGTAAATGAAACATAACCTCGTGCCAAAATTTTGACACTATATCAGAAATATTCAACGTACAGTAGATTGTCTAGCAGCCACCACCACCTCCGCTATCTCCTCCACCACTGCTACCTCCAGAGTCTCCTCCACTGCTACCACCACTGCTACCCCCAGAGTCTCCGCCGCCTGAATAACCTCCAGAATCCCCGCCCCCTGAGTAGCCGCCATAACTCGAGTGACCGCCATGACTCGAGTAAGAGCTGCTGCCGCCCGTATCACAGCTGTTATGATGGTGACCACTCCAATCACCATTAGCGGTGCTGCAGTCACCACTTACAACTCCTGCTGCCAACGCACTATTTGTACCGAAGGCATCGGGGTTGTAGCGCGTGTTACTGTACTGCGCGGCTTTGTAGTGTGAAGAATTGTAATCCGGGGATCTCCAAACCGGGGCGCCAGTGTAGTAGTCTATGAAGGGTGGATGTCGTTTTGGGGTACGCTTCTCTTTCTTTTCAACCTTGACCTTTGGCTCTGGCGCAGGTTCGTCATTGGGCTTCTTTGTCTTGAATGGATTTCGGAAGAACATATTTGAATGTCGCTACCAACATTATGTTAGAGAGCTTGAGTGGATTAAAGGTCTGGGATCTTTATCTTTACCTTATAGCTCTTGATTATGGATCTTGACTTGCTGTTTCGTGATCCCGAGTCGTGGGTTTAGTTCATAGACACGGATTTCTTTCGGCTGGTAGTTCACAGAGTAGGATTTGGATGAGAGTGAGAACGGAAAATTAGCCAAAGCAAACCCTTAAATATGTCCCCTCACCTATACCTCACTTCCAATGTTCCGAGATTCGTATTCCGCACTGGCAGCGCTATCGGGCAACAGACAACACAGCCCCTTTAGACCTTGTCTCCACACTCCGGACCTTGGCATCGCTCGTCGCTGGGTTTGATTGGTGTGAGATTAAATTGAATTGTGCTAAGTTGATTTCTAGTTCCTGTTCTCGCAAAATTAAGCCACATCCGGCCTTCGTGCCTTTCGCGCCCCGGCATTTTGATGGGGTGTGGTACTTCCGCCAGCCTTGCCCGGGTAAGGCTTGCAGAGACTCGATCAGGGCGCAATATTCTGCCTTGTCAGTCGTTTACCCGGGGTAAACCGTTTGAATGGTCCTCTAACATTCTATTGATAGTTTAATTTAGCCTAAGTGAAGAGTATTGGCAGGACATGAACACCTCTATGCAGATTGAAATACTAAGACCTAAACTCTCTCATCATATTTGACAAGCGGGTTTAGTAGCACACCCTTATTGGATGCAGCATATCCAATTTACCACAGATCGCTCGTGTCGCTCCGCCTCAGAAAACAGTGGTAAGATGTACACGATCACAATCCACCAATTCCACAGTTGAAATGTCCGTTTATCCCCAGGAACATTACGCACTGCTAGAACGCGCACCGCTACAGAACACGCCAGCCCGCAGCTTACCAAGTACCAAATTGAAGAAACACTCCAGAATCGAGGACAAGTTATCCCCCATACAACCAAGGGCAAGGCAATTGTCCACCTTGCCAAATTATCTCCCCACAAAACAGGGGCTGTACAACGACCGCGCTGTGCATCGCCGAGCTGGTCTGACATATCCTGCAAATGAACCGTAGAAAAAATAACAACACTGATAACCAGATGCCATCGTACCAACACTCCTTCTGGGTGAAGGGGTAGAGCAGAGCCGCCAAGGAATACCTCCATTGCCCCGAATACAAAGCAGACATAGCCCAGCGCATTGATAATGTTCCGTACAATCGGGCCATTGTCTGCACCACCCCAATTGTTGTACCACGATCCAAGGATGATCAATACGGCAGAGTGTCGACTGCCTCCACTGAAACTAGTGCTATAGACGCATGCGAAAATGTAAAGTGCGAACATGGCTCGTGTTCCCTGTTTGTGGGAAATACGATCACTTGGAAAAGGCCGCCAGGGCTTGTTCAGGAGATCTTCCGCAATTGCCCGTTCCCCGCGCTGGTTGTTGATGGCGAATGGAATGAAGTTTACCAGGACCCATGACAGGACCATCATGGCTCTGCCAATCAGATGTAGGAAGTCCATGACATTTTCCGGGTTTGCAAGTGTGCTGGGTACTTGCAGTCCGTATTTTGGGGCGGCCCAACCATTTGCGATTCCGAATATGGTACTTGGTGCGATGATGGTTTTCAAATCGCTGAAGATGAGTAGCCAGAGTGTATAGAGATGGTATTTGGTTGTTTCGCAGTAGCTGGTCAGTTGGTTGGATCGTTCCATGCTTACGATATGTTCCAGTGTGCCGCAAAAGGAGAAGTTCAATCTTTCCGTTGTTTTTTTTTTCTCAACCAGAGCAGCTCGAAAGTTTGGTTTGACTTCAAGTTGGCGACTTTGGTCATTATAGAAACCAAGAGCGACGAATCGAATAAGATCATATTTAAAGTTTCCAGAGTCTTTGAGAGATTGAACACAAGCCCGCCTTAAGGGTAGATGCCTGACACCTTGACATTAGGGTTAAAAACGGTAAACTTATTACATATCCCCCGACTGGTGATCATGACGACTTCTGTATGACATTAATTGCAGCGCTAGACAATCTGTCATTTGGAATCTATAGCCTTCTTCAAATCGACATAAGAGCGAAAGTGATTGTCAACTAACAAACCCGTCAAATCTCGCTCTATTCCGATCATGTTAGCACCCGAGGGAATCGCTGTCGTAGTGGGTTTATTAGCTCACCAGCTGATTTTCATAAATGGCGAGTGGCATCTGCGAGGGCCAAGTGTGGTTGTCTTTCATATAATCTTTGGAATCATCCTATACTCCGCCGTCCTTTTCCTTCGTCCCGACAGCCGCAAGAGCAATGTCAATCGAGTCACACTCTCTATACTAATTTACCACATCTCCCTGTTCAGCAGTATTACGATCTACCGAATATTCTTCCACCGCTTACGAAGATTTCCCGGCCCACGACTGGCAGCATGTACCAAACTCTGGCATGTCTGGAAATGCCGTGACTCGCGAGGCCACCTCGTTCTTCAGGCGTGGTATGAAGAATACGGACCATTCGTGCGAACAGGTCCCAGCGAAACTACAATCTTTCACCCTGAAGCATACGAAGCAATGGACGGGGCTCACAATCGAAATACTCGATCCGACTGGTATGATCTACTATACCCGCGAATTTCATCAATCTTCACCCGCGACAAGAAACTTCATAATGAACGACGGAAAATGTGGGAACAAGCTCTTAGTACCCAATGTGAGAATCAAAATATTCATGCAAGACAGATGGCACTGATCTGACGTACTAGCCCTACAACAATACCACCGCAGAGTCATAGAAAAGGTCCACACCCTGGAGAATCTCATCGCAGCGGAAGTATCAACTCCAGTCCTGGTAAATGACCTGATGTACTTCTTCGCATTCGACTCAATGGGGGATTTTGCCTTCAGCGAAGACTTCGGCATGATGCGCACCAAGCAATGGCACTCATCTATTGCGATGCTGCGATCGGCGCTCACCTTGCTGGGACCATTTAGTCCGGCTATCTGGATTCCGAGGCTCGGATTTGCTTTTATACCCGGGTTATGGAAAGTCAGGCATTGGTTTTACATGCTTCAATTCTGTGATGAGTGTATCGCGAGACGGGTGAAGGTATGATTGAACAAGTCAAGGCGAATGTTGGGAGCTAACCAACAGCGATATAGAAAGTGCTTCCCGATCGGGACATCGCGTCTTGGTTTATCGAAGATCATGAGAAGCATGGATCAGATCCTACACGCGCACAGTGGTTGAGTGGTGATACTGCTACACTTGTTGTTGCTGGAAGGTGTGTATGAATTTCTCTAGGCGGCCATCGTTCTAATAGGAATTGAAGCGATACAACAGCCCCCAGCCTAACACTTCTGATATACTTCCTCGCGCGATTCCCTAACCATGCGGAACGAGTAAATAACGAGCTTCAAGATATAAACATCGAAGACCCAGTCATTCTATCTACCCTCCCTCATCTAAACGGCACAATAAACGAAGCAATGCGACTGCTGCCCGCCGTACCAACATTCAGCTCTCGAGTAACACCACCGGAAGGTCTGGTAATCGATGGGAAATTCATACCAGGAGGGACGAAAATTTGTGCTCCTCGGTACACAATTGGTCGACGTGCGGATTTCATCCCATTTTATCACATTGTACAAAGAGAAGCTGACAGGCCACCAGTAACATCAGCCTTTATCAACCCCCACTCGTTCATCCCAGAGCGGTGGTACAGTCGACCGGAGCTGATACGAGACAAAAGGGCTTTTGCACCATTTGGTATAGGTAAGATGCTACCCAAGGTGTTTGATGACAGCGAAGGACATATGCATCGGCCTTTCTGTGTATCATCATTATTGAGTCATACGCGGAAATTGAAGACATCAAATTCTAACAATTTGCGCTGATTAGGGCGTACAAGTTGTGTTGGGCGTCATTTGGCACTCGCACAGATTCGACTTGTTGCCGCTGCTTTGGTGTCAAAATATCAAATCAAATTTGCGCCAGGGGCAGGCTTGGGGGAGGCTGTTGAGAGGGATATGAGAGATCAACTTACTGCGCAGCCTGGGGCTTGTTGGGTTGTTTTTCATCCGAGGTGAGGATTGTATGGTTGGTTCGATTCTCATGGTGTTGTTGACACGAAAGAGAAAATATGAATGTATTAAATTAGGCGTGTTAATCATGACATATTGATAGCAAAGCTGGAACCAGGCTTTTAATCAATAAAAATTAATGACTGACCACTCAGACTGGACGAAAACCCCAAGCAACGTGGATGTCAAATGTTACATAGCATCCCGACTCAATATCCGCATACGCCTTCCGCTCAAGCTGTTCCAGTTGCAGCATAGACAAAGACCCTTCATCACCCCTAGCGGATGCAAGCCTCGCCCAAGCAAAGATAGCCACCATCCCATTGGCAGTCAGACGCGAACGAGTCGCATAAACCCGGTCAGCAGCAACAACCTCCGTATGAACGTCTTGCAAACCAGCACCCCGCATCCCTTCCATCAGTGTATTCCACCCACTCTGAAAATGATGCATCATCCCAGCAAGAAAGCGCTGACCCATGTAGGACGCAGTGTTGATAGTGGCAGTTGGCGATCCGGGTAGATGCCGCACAGCTGTGAAATCACATTCCTCCCACTGCATCGCACCTCCCGGTTTCAACATGCGGGTCAGGTTTTGAACTATTGCTGGCCACTCGTTTGGCTTGAGACCTGCCGAGATGAGCCGTACATGTACTAGATCGTATTTGTGCCATATCGTTAACGGGACGGGCTGACGCGCGTCTAGGAGGCGTAGTGTGACATTCTGGGGTAGAGTGAGCGGAGGTGGAAACAAGGAGGTTGAAATATCATAGCCGTGTAGCTCTGCTCTGGGATAGTAATGGGTGAGACTGCGTAGGAAGGCTGCAGTGCCTGTGCCCACGTCAGCGACTAGGGCGTTGGGAGGCAGCTTGGCTTGGACGGCCGGGTGCACGAGGTAGCCGATGTTTCTGTCTCGGTCAGTTTGGATTGAACCTGTAAGCTGGTGCCACCGAGACTTACTCGGTGATCAATTCAAACTGTTCGTCAAGTCTGGCGTGGCGTTAGTGTTTGTGTTTTCGGGCTTGGGGGTTGGGATTGGCTGGTGGACTTTTGTTACCTTTGCGCCTCGGTGGAATTGCGTCCCATATTCTCCGCGTATGTATCTCGTCTGTGGGCCATTTTGTGTAGTGGCGAGCAAGGAGAATGGAAGAGGAGGTGGGGATGGGTATTTGCTCTGGTACGTCCGACTGGAAGGTATCAACTGCAGGGTCACAAGCTGAAACGAGCGATTTCAGCTGAAGAGAAAAGGCAAGAGAGGTTGTACGAGTCTGCAGTGCTCGAGAATCCCTACTTGAACATACCCCATTGAGAGATGTTGTGTCCCAATTTGGCCCGGGCTACTTGAAGAGAGGCTCAACTACTGAATCCCTTGGTCTTTCTTACTCCCATCCTACTATACAGCTATAGGGCTACTTTCCCGGACCATGGTACGCTTGAATCCACGCGCTCCAGCACTGATTGCTTGGAGTTTGATATTGCTCTTCATTGCTGCTGGTGCGGTGGTTTTGAGGGTAATCTCGACACGAATACGGCATCGGCAATTCAAATGCCATGATTATCTCGTATTCTTCTCACTGGTCAGTCTGAGTTGATCTGAAACGCTCAGAACACTAACAAAAATTCAGATGGCCTTGACGGGATATGTAATCGACGTTTTGACGGGTGAGTCGAGGGGGTGTCTTTCGTATGCGCATCGGCTTACCTTACTCTGCTTCAGGAGCGATCATTGGCGGTTATGGCGGACATACTTCGATCATGGCGGCTCGCCATCCAGAACAGTTGATAAGTGCCTTGAAGGTGTGTTGGTGTGTCGGTGAAGTGCTCGACGCTGATTTGATCAGACATTCTGGGCGTCCGAGTGGTTTTGGGCGACAGCGACAGCCTCTTTCCGCCTCGCCATTCTCTTACTCTATATTGAAATCTTCCCGAACAACCCGGTGTTCTTCTGGACAGCGACAGGAGTGGCTGGCCTGGTCTTCCTATACTGGGTGGCCTCCATTTTGACAATTGCCCTTCTATGTCGGCCGGTCGCATACAACTGGGATCGCACTATTCCAGGTGTTTGCGGCGACGTGATCAAGACCGAATATGCCTCGGCGGGATTCAACATGGGCATTGACCTGGGTGTCGTGCTATTGCCCCTACCCATCGTATGGAGGCTTCATATGTCAAGCCGCAAGAAAACCGGTGTGACGGCATCCTTCGCATTGGGAGTCCTGTAAGTCATGCATGGCCAATTCATCTTCAGGGGCTAATGGTTGGCAGCACGGCTGGTATCAATTTGGGCCGCATTATTCAGACCAAACTCTGTCCAACGGACGATATCATTTACTGCGCAAGGGACAGTTCTATCTTTGTGATTGCCGAGATGACTGCAGGGATCCTAGTGGCTTGTGTTCCAACTCTGGGCCCTTTGATCTTTCGTGGGCGCCATGTGCCTTCACCTAGACCGCACGACTTACCGACAATTGGGTCTGCTCGAACTCGTCCACGTCGTTATATGGCCAAGTTTGACTCTCTTCTTTCCACGCTCGACCGTAGCCATGTGGAAGAGGAGAGACACAAGACGTGGAATGAGCTAGGGGATGCTAGTGCGCCGACCGCACATGCAATGGTTGGGCCTGGCCAAAAGGGAACAGACGGGGGAATCCTGGTGACTCGCGACTTGGACGTGCATAGTCTGAATCCACATGCCCCCCACGGTGAAGCCGTTTGATTGTCTCAGTCTTTGTTTGCCCGGGGGATTTCTATACTGACAATCTGGAACTGAGTTGAAACGCCATGCTGGGGTGGGATGCATGTCAGACTTGTGACATTTTGGAATAGCAGCACTATCAAATAATCAAATCGATATAATAATTCAAAGCGAATAAAGACAACGCCGGACGAAATTAGAGTCAGCGTGGCATTGAAAGGCCGGCGTCAGCCTTACATGCGGGGATGTTCCCCTCTCATCTGTAGTTCCAACTTCCTCTCTGCAACTTCCATCATGGTTTCTCAGCCTTTTGTCGTGGTGCTCAGCCATGGCTCTTACCATACACCCGCTCCATATCAGCCATTTGTAGATGCTTTGATTGAGCAAGGCATCGAAACATATTGTCCCCAGCGACCTACCTGCGACCTCAGCCAGCTGAATGTCGGGGACGTTAACAATCCCAATTTCGATCGTAAGGCTCCCCCAGGAGGATACCCACTCCCTGCAGATGATGCGGCAGAGATTGGTCGCCTGGTTGACAGCCTGATTGCGGATGGAAAGTCGGTTCTGCTTGCTGGACATTCTTCTGGTGGTTGGGTGGCTGCCGAAGCAGCAACATCTGTCCGACAAGCCTCCGTGCGCGCAAAGGAGGGCAAGACCGGCGGCATCATCGGGCTATTCTTCATTGGAGCATTTATTATCCCCGAGGGTCAATCTGTCCACAGTTTCTTCCAGCCTGCCGATGGCAACATCATTACACCTCCATTCATGCGATTCCACGTGAGTTTTCTACATTTCAGTCCTGGCGGACATATACTGACAGGCGATAGAAATTTGGTGTCGACGGCCTTGGAACTATGGTCGAGCCTGAGAAATTCTTGTTCAATGATCTCGACCAGGCGACCGCTGAAAAGTGGGCGGCTACCTTGACTGCAGCTCCCGTCATGAACAGTCCTCTGACCCATAACCCCTATGCTGATCTACCATGTGCGTACCTGGTATTGGAAAACGACTGTACTTTGCCAAAGGAGTATCAAGAAGGCATGGCCGCAAGTCAGGAGAAGCCCTTCACAATGTACCATGCGCCTTGCGGACACTCTCCCCATCTGAGCTGGACAACTGGTCTTGTCAAGACGATCCAGGGGTTCGCTCACCAGATCATAGCTTGAGATTCCGTCGAATGTTCTGTCAGTCATATCCTGTGTCGAGATTAGATAAACCAAGCAACATATTCCAATTATCTTCGCTATCCAAAGCCGTAGTGCAAAGTGTAACCTGCAAGGATGGGAGGGTTCTTGAAGCTCTGTGAAACGAGGAGCTGCCCCACGAACTCGCACCTTCTTTCACTTCTCTTCCTGATTTTTATTTCTTCCAACCTCCATCTCTTCTCTATCTTCAAACATGGATGCCCCTCAATACGTATGCGGTACCCAGGGCTTTGGCACCACCTGGTTCAGTGGTAATATTGACCTGCTCATCGAGACTCTCGAGAGTGCGGGCATCAACCGTTTCGACACTGCTGCCCTCTACCCGGCTACCAATCCTGGTGTTTCAGAGGAACTCCTCGGCGAGAAGAAGCGTGTGAATGCCGTCATCGACACGAAAGTCCTGTTCATTGGAGATGGCTCCCTGTCCAAGACGAACATTGGCAAATCCATCTTTGACAGCCTCGACAGACTCAAGATCAAAAAGGTACTCGCTCGCATTGGACTCTCGAATTACGAAGACAATAGCTCACTTTATTTCTTAGATTCACACCCTTTTCGCTCACGCCCCAGACCGTACAATCCCGATTGCCGAGCAAGCTGCCTACTTCGGCCACTACTACAAATTAGGTCTTTTCGAAAAGCTCGGCTTGTCGAACTACACCCCAGCCATGATTCGTGTGTGGATGGAAGTTTCAATTGATCAAGGATTCGTGAGGCCCTCCGTCTACCAGGGACAATACAACGTCGTCTGCCGCGGCTACGAAGACGACCTCTTCCCCGTTCTCCGTGAATTCGACATTGCCTTTGAAGCGACCTCCCCTTTAGCTGGTGGCTTCCTCACTGGCAAGCTATCCTACCATCCCACTTTGCAGAGCTTGGAGGGAACCCGTTTCGAGGTTGGAGAGGGTAACATGGTTGGAGCGCTGTACCGCATGTGGTATGATCAGCCTGCATTCCATGATGCGATGCGCCAGCTGGATGCTATGGCTAAGGAGCATGAGACTACTGGGGCCCAGTTTGCTTTACGCTGGCTGCTGTTTCACTCGAAGTTGAATAGTACTGATGAGATTGTCATTGGCCCGAGCCGCTTCGACCAGCTGAAGAGTTATCTTGATGCGCGTGAGGCTGGTCCGTTGCCTCAAGACAAGGTTGAGAGACTCAATGGGCTTTTCTCAGCTTTGCGAGGATTGTCCAAGACTATCATCGAGAAGGGATGGTGGGCTCTGTGAAGGAGATGCTCCACCTTTATGGGCAGATTTACATTTCACTCGTCATGTCATTCTGACGAATCTCCGTGAATACTCAACAGTCTTATGCTCAGCATGAAATAAGAAAAATAGGGATCCAATATCAATCAATTCTATGCCACTCAACCACCATTTATAACAATTCGCATTTTGCATACGAAAAATATATTCTCACGGACGGCGAGATCGGCACAGACGCATATCTTCACTAACTTCCCACTCCTCACTCCCAACAGCCTTGAGCGCGTAGAAAATAGAGCTTGGATCATATTTCCTTTTGATTTCCAACAATCTGGCATACTTATCCCCATAAAAGATATCTTGCCAGTCAATCTGATTGGGATCAGCCTCATTCAAATAGGCACCACTATCAGGCGTAAGAATCTCTAGTGAGGGAAGTAGAACATCAGTAATAGTCTGCTGTCCCACAGCATTTGCTTCCCAGTCAATGTAATCAAAAGACCTACAGTCCCAATCTCAGTCAGCAATCAACAATGCAGTACAAACAAACAAAGAAGGTAGACTGACTGCCCTATCAAAAAATTAATGATCGCATTCCTCCACGCAGGATTAACTCCATTATCTGGATATGCCACGCGCGACGCATTCACTGTTATACCTGAGATCAGGAAACCGACGTCCTTCTCAACAATTGTGCGGAATGAGGAGACGAGTGCTGTGAGGTTTTGCTCGAGCGTATTTCGAGGAATGAGCCTGCCACCGAGGAGTTCGTCGGTTATATTTTCCTTTGGATTCATCTTCTCATAGGCGTTGTAGAATGTTGGGAAGTCTTCGACGTGATATGCTGCGGATGAAGTGTTGGTCATTGGAATTTGAGATTGGGATATCATACGCACTATACTGCATGTTGTTTTCTTTCATGAATCCCAGCAAAGGATCAAACAAGGAATTAAACAGTGATACCCTCGCACCAGGAATCGTAGTGGGTGTGGTGGACATTGTATTGTTGGTTAGCCACCAAACACTTGCCCCGCCTGCATCTCCTATCGAAGGCAAGATCGATGTGAACATTTCGACGGCCTTGAAAAATGTTGTTCTAGAGACACCAGTATCTGAGAATGTGAGGTTCCCGGACACAGTCTGTAACTCAGGATAGGCTTTACTTGTCATTGAGATGACAATGCCATATGTACCTCCACCTCCACCAGAAAGCGCCCAGTAGAGGTCAGGATGTTGAGTTGGAGAAGCAACCACAAGTCTCCCATCCGCGAGAAGAACCTCCCACCCGAGGACTTGATCGGCCGCAAGTCCGAATTGGGAAACCAGCTGCCCGTGTCCGCCACCTTGTGAATAACCGCCTGTAAGGCCGACGGTTGGGCAGTTGCCATTGACGACAACTAGGCCGACCTTTGAAGCAGCGGCGCTGGCCTCGAACGACTGGACACCGGCCCCCATTTTCATCGCCTTGCCTGTATAGTATGCTGATTCATAATCCAGAATGGAGATATTCTTCATATGGTGCATCCATACACCAAGTGCACCAGCGCCAGTTGACTTTCCGAGAAGGTCATGGCCCGTATTTCGAATCACGAGTCTGATATTATGGCGCGTAGCAAATTGAATGGAGCGCTCAACATCTCTGGCGTCAGTCGCGTTGACTGCGTATTGGATGTAGTTTCCACTTGTGCATGGTGCATCCTTTGGTGAAAATGGGTTGCAGCTGTTGTATGTGAAGGTTGATGCCATGATCGATGATGAGGTTTTGTAATGTGTTTCTGGGAACCCCCAATCGGAGCGGAGCTGAGCGCATTGTGTTTCATTATATGGAGCGAACGGATTGATATGGCAAGGGCTGGCAATAGGGGTTGCTGAAATCAATCTACCGTCAATAGACTTGTTGAACTGGTCCCATTTGCTGTCACTTGGCCAACATGGATCTTGTGGCATGCAGCGACATAAGGGTGGACTTGGACGGCTTTCGGCTGAGAGACCATTTGAAATGCCAAGGAGTGAAACAAAGATGCAACACCAGCGCATCCACGCAATTTGGACACTCATTGTAGCAATGATCGAACGTGAGACGGCAGCCTTCACTGGCACGCAGAAGTTATATATGAGATCAAATAAACGTAGAGCACAGCCCACGCAACTGGCTGGTTAGATTTTGAATCATGAAACATGGCCCTGAAGACCATGTGTAATAGGCATAGTTGCATAGTGAAGTTTGATATAACCCCTTGATTCGCTAAGTCCAGTTGCGAGTGCAGTCATCTGTAGCTGACTACCCAATTCTGACTCAGACCACCGGCGCGTGGGGGTCGAGATCCAATTTTTTTGAAAATACAATGCCTGTTCTGAAAGTTTTGACATCAGGCGGCGAGCTGGATGATCTTTTTCAGCCTTGTTGGCTGGTGCCTTGTATAACACGATTGCAGGGCGATAAATTGATGAAGGTTCCCAGGGGTCGGGTAAGCAATTTACTGCTGGGTAAAAATAGACTGCATAGCATTGGTTGATTTGCAGGGTAGATGTAGGTGCCAGCTGGCCTCGGAATAGATTTGGTTTGGTTTGTTCGGCCCCATGTCTATGGGGGTTATAGTCGTTGAGATATTGTCAGGAAGACTGAATGAAACGCCCTATACACATCCAAAAAGGTAAAGTACTAGTGACTATCCAGGTAGTTTATGCGCAATAAAAGTAAATGCCGAACCTCTGAACGAACAGAGGCAAAAAAATCCTCGCTGGGCGTTTACGTGGTTCCGTGACTTGAGCGGACCTCAGCAGCCAAAAGGATCCTACAACAACTAGAATCAATCACACCACTTCATAATAGAATACTCAAATTGGGGCAGGAATGACAAGCTTCAAAGTTGTTGATGAACAACCTTGCGCCTTTTGGTACTTCCTAATTGGGAATCAGAGATCCACTTTATTTCCTTTTCAGGCAGGTGACGCAGTCACGTGTGATGACATATAGCCAGGTGACTAACGTTATACTCGAACTTTGGAACACAAACCGACGCTAGCCAAATCAGGGATGGTCGACAAGCGAGTACGAACCGACATGAACATGAGAGGGTTGGTTGCATCATGCAAGCAATGCTATACAGATAATTGATGAACAGCCTGATTCGATATAAGCATGCTTCCCGCTCAATGTTAAACTTGATTATTGCAACTGTTATCACGCAATCACCATGCATCCTATTCCAGCAACGACCCCCACATTTATTTTAGTCTCCGTCCTAGTTTACCTTGCAGATGCAATCAGATCACCGAGACTGCTCGCCCCAGGGACGAGCTGCGTGCCATATGGCCCGCTTGTGCCTCGTCCAACTAATCTTAGAAATGCCAAGATTGTCCAGGATGCAACGGCAAGCTTGAGTCAGAACCTTGATGACGCTTTATCAGGAAAGATCAAGGCTGGCTTTGACGTGGACCAGTCATCATTTTCAATTGGTCTTATATCCTCCCAGAAAAGGAGCGCATCTCTTACGGACGGTGGTCATGTTTGGTCCTATCATCATCTTGGGAAAAATAATGTCAACGGCACCAAGATCGCTGATGAGAATTCGCAGTATCTGATCGGATCAATATCCATGCTATTCACGGATGTTCTGCTACTAAAATCCAATATCGACTTGAATAGTCCCATCACAAAATACTTACCGACTCTACAGGGATCTCAGTCATTGATCCAATGGGACAATATCACGCTGTCCGCGCTATCAAATCATCTTTCGGGAATACCTTCAAATCTACGTATGTGAATTGAGATAATTGAAGCAATCCTGATTGACTCGGTGGCAGCTTCGTCTTTCGATTCTTATTCCTTGCATTCGATGTACGAGCGTCTTGGGTTCCCTGTTTTCACCAATGCGAGCTACCCAGAATGCGGAGTAACAGGTCTCAACCGAGGATGCAACCAAACACGTATGGAATCTATGTGACAGACAAGTTCCGTATTGACTGACACGCAATAAGAGATAATCGAGATGATGAGTAGCGCACTGCCTGTGGAGCCACCCTACAGCCAGCCCATATACTCCTCAGTTGCCTATACATTGCTTGGTATGGCATTGGAAGCCGAGACAGGAAAGACATACCGTCAACTTTTACACGACCTAATTGTAGGTCCGTTTGGTTTAACGAACACTGGCATTTCCCCGGGAGTCTATAACCGGGCGGTCATTCCCCCTCTCCCTATTGCAGAACAGAGATGGGGAGCAGATTATGGAGCCAATAATCCGTATGGTTATTATTTCTACTTGACTTCATTTCACTTGCTAACACATACTCAGAGGTGCAGGTCTATATTCTTCTCTGCGCGATCTTTCAGTTTTCACGACAAGAATCCTAAATTATTCGATATTCGATAACCCGGACCAAGTTAGACAATGGCTGAAGCCTCATTCTATGACATCTTCAGTCAGTGATCTCGTTGGCCAGTCATGGGAGGTGCACCGAGTTGAGAACCTGGTACCTGAAAATCCACACACAGTGGACATCTTTGCGAAAAGTGGTGGTGCACAGGGCTATGCATCCCACTTTTCAGTGGTCGATCAGTATGGAATTGGGTTTGTCATTTTGACAGCAGGTCCAAGAAAGGCGTACACGGCGTCAATTCTAAACGATGCCGTAATCTCAGCACTTATACCTGCCGTTGATTCGGAAGCCCGACGACAAGCAGAGAAGTATACGGGAACATTCACTCCCATGTTTTCCATCAGCACAGAAACAGCCGACCCAGACTTCTCTCCTAAACTGGTCCTATCCATGGATAATGGAACAGGCATCAAGATAGAATCCCTCACAAGAAGTGGATCTGATATACTGAACAGTATCCAGATGATCTGGGCCTCAGCTTTTCCCCAATTTGGAATTTTAAATCCGGACATGCGCATCTATCCAACTGAAATTGAACGGCCAGTTGAAAATCAAGATAGTGTGATCTACCAAGACTGGCGAATCAGCTTTGACATAATACCTTCTGACAACGCTGCTATTTCCGATCTACCGGGACAGGGTACACTGTTGAATGTTTGTTCCTCTTGGAAGACTGTTGATTGGCTTTACTATGGCGGTAAAGCACTGGATCGCATTGTCTTCAAAGTCAATCAAACAGATGGAACTGTAATTGGGGTCGATATTCCATTTTTGCGAAGTGGTTTACTTGGGAAAACGTGATTTATGAGTGCAAATACTTTCTCACAGCTATCTACTGGCTCTTAATCAGTTACTCCTTGTCTTTACCATTTAATGAACTGCACATACTCTTCATTTATCTCATACGCTTCGATCTGTACAGGCGAGCAGTCGTAGGCTCTAGCTAGCCGAAATATGCGAAAGTGTATGGCTTTGTTCCAATCGAGGCTACAAGCCTATTTTTCTATTGTTTATTTGTCCCTAAAAAGAGTGTAAATTGGATTACAATGAAGAGTGATAGGGCGAAATGCGAACAACTTCACTGGACAGATTCTCCAAATGAAAAGTTAGAATCACAAAATAGGATTTGTGTAAATCTCAATACAAGCCTTATCGACAAAGTTGGTCCATCCAGGATATTTTGCCAGAGGAATTATTGCAACCCGATCACCAGCTTGAAGGCCCCTGAGCCACTGTAGATCTTGATCATCTCGATAAATAATCTCATGATGCTTCGTGTCTTTCGACGCATGGATATTCGTCATGAGACGAAGGTCCTCTCCTTGGCAGAGATCATGTCTGCCATCTGGCCTCTGAATCCCAAGCTCGAACCACGTCCAAGAGTTTCGGTAGCTACCATAATCTTCACGGTAGCTACTCCATCCCTGGTCATGACTCCAGATATCGATTCTAATCTCTCGGACTGGAAACCGGTCACCCTGGATACGTCTGGATGTTAAGTATGAGGGTCGTTCCTTGCAGTCAAATTCTGTAAAGGCTAGTTTGTCGTTTCTGTACACTTTAGAGCGAATCCAGTATTGGGCGTGTTCCAGGACTTCTAAGACAAGTTCAGACGGTAGCCGTTGCCGCAGAATGTTGAGAGCGGCAACTGCATCTTCTGCATGTCTTGGATAGTATGTCTCGTCCTGATCAGCTGATGCTGAAGTGACCTCATTCACGGACTTGACTGATTGAGGTGTGGAGTTTGATGCACCCATTGCGAGGGGGCTTCGGTGGTGGGTTCGTATGGAGTACTGGTGGGGCCAGACTGCAAGTAATGAGATAAGGCTTTAGTTCCGTTATATCGGGGAAAATATAGGGTAAGCTGCACTAATAGTTTAGGCTCTTCAAGGAGTGAGGTGTTCACTTGTGTTCGCTCAACGTGAAGCTCATGCCCCACCTTTGGGGCTTGGCATGGTAGCCTGGATTTGATGGCACCCACCTGCATTGGATCGCGATCCAGTCAAACCTGATATACAGACTAAGGGTAATTCACTCTGAATTAGTATCTTAAGTGGCCGCATGTGAATTGTTTATATCGATCTTATGCGCTCGACACGTCCATCGGGGATCAACTCAAGTCCATGTTATTTGTTTTGCTCTACTAGTGTCCAGAACAAAACAACTGAGCATCGACGTTTTGAGACATCTGACTACAATATTAACGCAGTGATTTAACCAGTCTACCTATGAATTTGCAGAAAACAAGAACGAGGTCAGTGTTCGCTGTTTTTGACCATATTGAGTCTAGCGCGGACCTTGTCTAAAGCTTCGCTTTTGACGACTACGTGATATTGTAGTCGAATATAATACAGTGACCACCACCTTTGGATTTTCTCTCTCGGTCCAGCTTTGTCGCAATAAAAGCAGCTTGACTTCTACATTTTCCCAACTGCCACATTGTCGCGATGTCAGAAAGTACCAGCCAAGGGCTTTCCTACGAGCTCGTGTCCAAAGGAAAGCTCCAGGAGTACTGCATAACAACGCCTGAGCCTCAGAAGATCCCGGTCTACTTTATTGAAACCCACGAAACTCTCTCAAAACACAAATTCGACCTCATCCTCCATCAAGGGGACCCCAAGACGGGAGAGATCCTAGGTGTGGCCAAGATGCACCGTCGCGGCTTCACTATCGGAGTTGGTGATCCAGCCGAAGAAATAGAGGGCAAGCAACTGACTTGGGAGAGATTGGAACGACCAGAGAGATACAGTCACAAAGTGTATCACTTCGATTTCGGAACCGGAGCCACGAGAAAGACATATACATGGCGGAAGTCGTATCGCTCACTTGGGAGGCTGAAGGGCATGGAACTTCGCGCGGGAGGAATCGAAGAAGAGAAAGGGCAGCTCCTGGCAACGTGGCTAGGAAGTAACTCTTGGAAGATGAAATATGGCCGCTTGTATATCACACAAGTGGCGGATGACGGACAAAACCGCGAATTACCAAGTGAGGAGCAGACCAAGAAGTGGGGTTTGATGGTTTGTTTGACTACATTTGCGATTATTGAGAGTCAGGTCAGGAGGAGTAAGGGTTAACGTTAAGTGGGCCAAGTGTACTTAAGAGTTTTTCTGATATAGCTAAAAATGAGACTGCTATCTCGGGGCAGATCATTCCCTAGCGGTTAAATATTAAGCCTCTAGGGCTACCATATATGGATTATCTACTCGGTTTTCTTTCATTACCAGTTGTGGTTTCTTCTTCGCCCTTTAACGTTGCTGGGCGCCATAGTGCTAAATCAACGCCAACCCATTTTTTCTCCAGTTTCACGGCAATATTCACCTTTTTCGTACAATGGTATGATGGAGCCCCTCTTCAATGGCGATCTTTACCTCGTTCGGTTACTTCACTTGTCATTTTCTGCGCAGTCGCTTAATTTTTTGGGGCATATTAAACACAAGCGTCAAATGCGAAGCAATGAGGACGCCTTACGGGAGGATCCGACACTAAACCAGCCTCCAGTGCAGCACACATTGCAGCGCAATCCATCAAATTCCAAGGCGATATCAGTCTAGACCAGATAAAGTGGACCTTATTCCGTCGACACATCCACAATGCTTATCTCCGCGGAAGAAAAATTACTTTGCTCCGCTCGTGGGGGCCACGGACCAAATGTTATCGGGAGATCTGCTATAAAACATCCCTTCTTCCCGTGGTAAGAGGGCCATTGACAACTTCGACTTTTGGACATTCTCATCATGTCGATCGTGGAACGTGGGACACCGGGTCCTCAAGATGAGACGAAAAAGTCCGAGACTGTCATTAATGGGAGAGATGTCGAGGAAGTTACGACTCACTCGTACCGACCTACCAGATTGCAGAGCAATATAACTATCATCAGTTGCGTAAGTCATGGGATGAAACGTGTGGATGATGTCCGGTTGCTAAGTTTTCTAGTACATTGCCAACTTCAGCGATGGATTCCAAAACACCCTCGCTAATCCTACCAATGTCATCTTCTCCCACGTCCTTGGCTCTGATAATTACTCTTCTGAAATGAAGACGCGAATCAGCAATTCGTTGCTTGTTGGTGCTATTCTTGGTGTTGTGGCTCTCGGATATACGTCTGATATGTTCTCGCGACGGGCGGGATTACTGTTCACTTCCTCTCTTGTTGCCATTGGCACATTGATGTCGGCACTGGCTCTTCACGTGCATCCCTCCAGCAATATGTTGTGGTTTTTTGTCGTTGTTCGTGGTATTGCCGGATTCGGTGTCGGAGGTGAATACCCTCCTAGTGCGGCGGCCGGTATTGAAGAAACGGATGATGTGAGCCCTCTCAGTTTGGAACACTTTTACGCTGGCTGATATTCTTAGATCATGCGCAAATACCGTGGGCCCATGTTTGTTTCATTCACGACGTTGATGGCTACCACCGCTGGTCCAATCCTGATGATCATCTACTTAATCACACTAATCGCCACCGACAACAACCTCGTCGTCGCTTTCCATGCGATTTATTCCATCGCAACTCTTCTCCCAGTTGCCATCATCGTCCTTCGACTTTTCATGGTCGACTCATCGCTCTTCCACTATTCCAACCTGACCCGCCAGCCCAAATCCCTTCGCCTGTACATGCTTCTGGCCAAGCGATACTGGTGGAGACTATTGACAACATCGCTGGCATTCTTCCTATACGATTTTGTCAACTTCCCGAACAGCATCATGTCCAGCACAATCATCTCCTCGCTTGTCAAAGACCACAATGTGCGAACCACAGCCATCTGGCAGGTTATTCTCGCCGTGCTTCCAGTTCCCGGCGTGATAGTTGGAGCTTGGCTCACAAATGCCATTGGACGGCGTTGGACCGGTATCGCAGGATTCGCAGGATACGTGGTTCTTGGCTTTATCATTGGCGGAACATACACCAAGCTTTCTCAAAACATTGCTGCATTCGTGGTTCTGTACGGCTTGTTGCAAGCATTCGGTCATATGGGACCAGGTGCTACTATTGGGCTTATCTCTACTGAGGCTTTCCCTACTGCGATGCGCTCAATGGGATACAGTGTTGCGACAGCTTTTGGTAGAACTGGCGCTGCAGTGGGAACGCAGTGTTTCTCCCCCCTGCAAGACCGTGCTGGTAACAGCTCCACCTTCTACCTGGCTGGAGCAATTTCTATCCTTGGAATGGGAGTGTATTACTTGCTTCCTGAGAGTGGAGAGTTGGATTTGGAAAAGGAAGACAGGGATCTCAAAGAGTATTTGATGCAGCACGGCTTTGACACTGATGTGAAGGAGTAGAGGACTATGAAAACTCAAAATAAACACGCATATATAGAACTTAGACGATAGATACCCAGGGGACATTTCGACGTGAACGAATATCATGATGATGCACAGTAGATAATCGATCACCGATTTCAATTATCAATCCAACTCTTGCACAACTTGCGCCCAGTCACCAAAGCTCTAGCCCCCCGGCACACTATGTTCATCAAACGAACCGGCCATAACAACTCGATCGGAGGGTAGAAAAGGTAGTATAAGAAAGATATATTAAGAAGGTTACGATGATCGTCTACTAGGTTTAATCTAGTGTGTAAATATATAGGAAAAGCTTTACTATTTTAGATTGTAAAACTTCCAATTTGAACGGTATAACATGATACTAGTTAATTTAAAAAAATGTTAAGTAGTATTAATCACGTATAGCGTTAATCAATTTCCTTTCTGACGTTTTTTAGGTTATCAGGGTCGAGATCATCAAAGGGAATCTTGTCAGGATCAACCTCAGGTGGGGCTGTCGAAGCCTCCGTGCCTAACAAACAAAACGACTATTGAGTCCTTATACTTCATTACAGGCACTGGATCATAGTGGGGGAACTTACTGCTAAAATATGGAGTGACAAGGACCCAGCCGGTTAGCATTGTTTACCAAACAATTGGACCCCTTACAACCATTGCGGGTTGAACCTCGAAAACATAGTATCGCAATAGTTTTTGAAATCAAGCCACCCCATTTGCGGGTTGATTTATTGGCTTGGTTTTGCGGCTATTGGCTAACTCTACTCTCTATTATTCAAACTTGAGACTTGACACCATTATTTGGACAAAGATTGGGTGGGAGATATCGATTTCATTCTAGCTAATATCGAACAAAGTCGCAATTCTTACAATTTGGCCCCACCAGAAGTCTACGATATTGGGTAAATGGCCGAAGTTGGCCATGAAACACTCGCCCGTCATGGCCTAGGCGCTCATCCCACTGATCTCAAAATGGTCAAAGCCTTGATCGAGGCAGAGACTTGACTCCCCGCGCAAGTCTATGGTGACTCTCTGAGAAAGTGTTGTTCGCAAGAGCGGCGGCTGTGCTGATGTCCAATGCAAGGGCGAACGACGCAATCAGCCCCGCCAACTGCTGTTTCTTGCCAGATCCGACACAATCCAACAATTTCAGGCACTCCCTTTGGGATTCATATCCTGTGCCTCCTCCAACGACCCCCACTGGCAATGAAGGGCAATATAATGATATTTTGAGATCTTTTGTTGCGTGGTCGTACTCAGGAACAAGGTGAGTCCAACTTGCCTCGGCAATACTTCCAGCGTCCTGGCCAGTGGCAACAAACATTGCTGCGATAATATTTGCGGTATTGATATTATCTCCAAATTGTCCGTTTCGAATGCCCCCCTCCTTCAGCGTTTTGCACAGAATGTACAATCCGTGTGAAGTGCACCCGAGGACGCTTTCACAAACTTCGTTCGAGAGACAACCCCACACAAGTACTTCGACTCCCCTGCGACCTTTCACGTTGCCCCAGCTTGCTTTTTTATCCGACGCCAGTTGACCTTCAATCATAGTATGCTTCACTTGGTGCTTTCCTCCTCGCAAAGACTCCACCAGCTCATCACAAGCTTTCTGTGTTGCAATAGTGACCATATTTTGACCAGTAGCATCGCCGCAATGATAACTGATGAACAAGTGCACAGTTGAGCCGATGATATGCGGAGTCATTTTCTGAAGACGTAGATGCCGGCTTGTCGACTCGGCTACTTTGGCGAACTGTTCCTGGATGTCAGGAACAGACCTTGCAAAAGCGATAGCCTCCTTCGGAGACTCAAAACCTAATACAGGAGCGCGAGACATGCCGTCACCGAGAATATCAAACTGGAGACCACCACAAAGGTTAAATGCTTTACATCCCCGGGAGCAACTTGCTACCAGGGCAGCCTCGGTGGTTGCCAGAGGAGCGAAAACAAGCCCAAGCTGACGGTCAGGTCCGGTAACTTGCAATGGACCAGCAATCCCTAGCGGTACCTTCACAAATCCAACACAATTCTCAACCCGTACGTGCGAGGTATCCTTGGGGTCTCCCGCTATAGAATTGAGGTCGGAAGGGAAGGACTGAGATAATTTGTCTTGCAGACGATCCATTGCGACTGAAGTACTGTTTATTCTTTTGAAGGCAACACTAAAATGGATCAGTTATAGTTGAAACAGTAGTAAAAGCTTTGGGGAACAGTAAATACGTACGAGTTCGTCTGTCTCCGGTTTGAAGCACGGTACTTAAGTATATTGTAGATGGAGTGAGATTGTTATCTTTGTCGTATCAGAATTATTCCTGATTTTCCAATGTTCTTATGTATTGAAATTTTGGTTAAGACAACGCAAATCGGTCCACCCGAGAACTCCCAGGAGCCACTTTGCTGACCGCCTCATGTTACTCAAGGGGCCACTTTGCTAACCGCCTCATGTTACTCAAGGGGCCAGTTGATGTAAGGTGTCGTAGGAATGCTGCCCCTCCTTTTACTCAGCTAACTCAAATGATGTCAAAATATGCTTATTATAAAAGCAATCCAGCTATGTACTCATAGAAAAGTGCCTAAGTATACAATACGGATATTGTTAGTTCCCTGTTCATAATGGCGCTTCAAGTTCTTTCGCCCATACTGTGCATGTTTGCCCAATATGGGTTCGCAACCATATTGATGGCAACAACAGCAAGATCTCCATCAAATACGGTATTTGCTCTCTTGATATTGGTCTTTCTTTTGCACATCGAAATGTCCACACTACCAGCTCTTTATGGCAACCAGCTCTTGGAAGGACCCCATGCTTTTTTCTCGCTTGTACGGACGGTGCATATCATCTATTTAATGTGCTTCCTTGAAGTCGACAAACATACCCTTGCGAAAATGAGCGCAGGTGATTCCAGCAAATTCCTTCAAACAGCGCGTCTTGCGCTCCGAATTTCCACAACTTTGCGTGGAATAGGAACAATCTGGGAAGTGAAGAGAGACTTCCCCCCATTTCCATCTTGGATTTTAGCCAAAAATGGTCAGATCATCCGGGCTCGCTTTTTACTTCGCCAGATCGCTATAGTGTTATGGCAGTATCTGTTCCTTGACCTTCTCTACTACGGCTTTTTCGCAAAGTTCCACGAGCTTCCAATCTATAAGGACGCCCCCGGAACAGAATTCGTGGTATACAGAGATCCTACATTCACGCAGATCGCAACCCGTCTGATTATAACACTTGCGCTCGCCACGATATTGAGAACTTGGTTGGATATTACGTACAGATGCTTTTCTGTCGTTTCTGTCGCGGCTAGCTTGACATCGCCTGAAGAATGGCCACCGTTATTTGGAAGGTTCTCGGATGCATACACATTCCGGAGGTTTTGGGGGTAGGTTACAAAATTCCTACATTGTTTTTCTTTAGCCCGTTAACCACTCTACAAAGGAAACTATGGCATCAGCTTCTCCGTTGGCCAATTCAGCATATGTCCAGATTCATCAACCATGATATCCTCGGCTTTGCACCCAAAACTTCAGCCGCAGCATACTCAGAATTGGTGCTTATCTTCACTCTCTCTGCTGCGCTTCATGGTACTGTCGGTGTGTGGATTAACGCGCCGGGTATGGTTGGTCTAGCCGCTCTTCTCGGTATAACACCTTTGGTAATAATATGTGAATACTGGGTAATGGAGTATATGCGGAATACAGAGAACAAGGTATTGCTTCAGCTCAAGCGGTACAGTATGTTATGTCAAGTCATAGGGCACCTTTGGGTCTTGTTTTGGCTGTATTTAACTGGGCCCTGGTTTGCATATCCTCTCGTGGGATTGCCTATCCATGCTGTTCCTGTGATCCCATACAGTATCGTGGGGAATTTTGGGCTGGGCGCGGCTACCTTGAATGCCGGGGCCTCAGGTTTGTTACTGCATTCTATTTTCAAGTTGGACCTATAAGAAATTTGAACTTGCACGATCGAACATAAACTAAGGAGAACTTCATTCTATGGATATTTCCTAACCCATCCACGTAAATATAACTGTGAAAGCTATCGGATTCCTAAGATACCGTACAGCTTACCTCACTGTCTCATTACGAAGTAGTCAGCCAACCTAAGCTACTTCGGCTCGGCAGGAAATTAACAATCTCCCATTGGTGATTACAAGACAAAGAGAAGACAAATTCCCACAGTAATGGTGCGGGGTGGCTTACATAGGAATGGTGATTAGTCGTGTCGAGCATGCGCACGACGGATAATGAGACTAAGAGTGTGGGTTTGGAGATAGAGTATGTACAAACAAAGAGGGAGATACACAAAACGAGTCTATGCAGCACTCCCAGGCAAACACGGACCAATGTGCGTGTGGACCAGCCAGAGAGACCGTACAGCACTTCATATTCTGATGTCCAAGATTGATGGCACACCGGACGGAACTTCTGCAATGTATCAACACTCACCGAGGAGACACATTACTATATAGTGTAGTGGGGAAATCACGAGATTTGTATGAATACTGCCTTAGGAAGTGATGTCCTCGAGGGAAGGATACAGGCAATCTACGACTGTAGAGAATGATAGACAATTATAGTAATGCCACTTATTTCTTGATTTAAGATTTAAGATTATTATGCTCCTTGATATAGCATCTGCCTATCCCTGATAGGCGTTATCTATCTAGAGCGTATAGACCTGACTTGTTGTTGGTTTTTTTTGCCACCATTTGTCGACTCGTCTGTTTTGACTAGACTGCCATCGAGCATATCCCATTTCAATAGATTATTGATGACCTGTATAGTAGATCAGATAGAGTTACCCTTTCGGGTTAACCGCCAGGGATTAATAGATAGTGTGTATACACGGACAAAAAGTGATATTTGGAATAATCATCTCGAGGATTTGCAACTGAGTCACTTAACGAAATCGTAAACAAACCGCCCACAGATATATTTGACTTCTGCCCCCGAGACAGCCACCCTGCGCGTAAAGTATCGATGTCCATGTATCATCTCAAACCCCCAGACCTATTATAATCAGTTGACGTCCACAAATTTTGAATAACAAATGTCATATGAAGCTGATTGATGGCTAACCTGCTCTGCTGTCCAGCCCAACTCTACACTCCTCTCAAACGAATGCACCCACAATCCCCCACTCTGCGACTGAGCCTGGTCACTCTCTGGTTCCTCGACAAGGAATCCTCCAGAAGAAGGAACGACTTTACTTTCATCGGGAATTGTCTTTCCTCTCAAAAATCTCTCAACATCCGTACCCGATGACTTTGTCTGTACTTCAAACACCGGCCCCAAGCTGCTAACATCCTCCGTGCCAGAAGATCCTCGTACAAAGACACTCCGGAACAGTACGGCCCCAAAAAGGTAATCTGAGTGGTGCCTCGTCTCTCCGTCTAGCGTGCGCTTTTCAATAGTTGAAGCCAACTTGCCCATTGATGGGGTCTGCAAGAACTCAATCGTAGCGGTGGGCTCTAGTCCTGTGGAATAGGATGTGGAGATTCTCAGGCAGATGTCTGTGAGGGCCAAGGCCTTGCGGAATATCCAACTGACATTTTGCTATGTTCATTTAGCTTTTTGTCTTGAGTACATCTTCGGTAGGCTCTTCTCGGGGGTTGGGGGGATTTGTACTATTAGTACGAGACACGTACTAGCTTCAGAACGGGATCTATCTCACTTGACAGGGCTTTGTTCTAACCATGCATTAGTCAATTGTTTGGTGATAAAATTTAAAAGACAAAATATCCATACCAAGATCCAATTCCCATTGAGGGTATCAATAGTAATATTGCGGGGAGTAGCCATGTTGGAGTCTTTGATAAAAAAGCGAAAAGCGATAATTACTTGTATAACCTGCCGGTGACGCAGGTGGTTGGCGATCGAGAGATAAATTACAGAGAAACATGAGAGGGGAAAAATCTAGAAACTTGGAAAAAAGAACAGTCAGCATCGTGACACAAGCATAGCATCAGCCTGCCGATAATCTTCGAATATGTATCACAGCATTGTCTAGTTTAGTTAGGAATTTTCATAATGGAAAATGCTGCCCCCTTGCTATCTACAAAATTCAAGTTGTGAGACCCTCAACAAAGAACATGTAATACAACATGACAATGCTAGATATAACGTTAGTTCTTTTAATGCATGATCTTCAGTCTTCAAGTTATAATGTGGAAGAGTAAGAGGAAACCAATTGTCAGTTGTTCCGTAGATTGGCCGTCATATTAGTGCTGCTGTATCGCTGTGAGAACAACTTCATGGGGTGATGTATGTGACGGTAAGATGTTGCAGTAACCTTGGGATAAAATTCACCCCATTGAGTGCATTCCGCAGTGGATAAGGCTGTAAGGGGGAGAGCATTTCGTCAAGATTGCAAAGACTAAATTTATTATACGCAACTTTATCCCAACATCTTGGATACATGCAATTCTATTGTCATGTTCCAAGGCCATGGCCACCGATGGGAACCTTAACCATCAAGCCGGTACGATGGTGGAGGAATGCGCAACCCATTTCCCCCCTTACGTCTACTTAGTATTATATTGTTTTGGTTGCATATCTTCATTGATCGTAGAAACCCTGCACAACCACAAACACCGGCAGTCTGAGGTTCTGTCGGTATGTAAGAACTATCATTTCTGTAGATCCATGTCTCTCTATTATCGGCTCCTATAATTTTTTTCTTTCTTTCTTCTGCCGGTGTTTCTGCGACACAAAATCCAGATTTTCCACGCCAGCCTTGAGTTGACCATATATTTACCCGATTTCGCACCTACTGTGTGACAATGTCCTCGTCGCCCAATACAACATGCCTTGCAGGAGGTAAGGGAAGCCCTTTGTCGTCAACGGTAACCTGTCTTGATGGATTCTATTGCCCATCCAATAGCTTGGAGAACCCCCCGGAGATATGCCCTCCCACTTCCGAATGCCGCATGGTGCGTCTTCAAGAGTATCACAACACCTGCGAGCACGCACAGGGCACCTATGAACCAATCGTCTGCCAACCAGGATATTACTGTTCCTTGGGAGGACAGACCAAGACTCTATGCCCCAAAGGGCACTATTGTCCACTGGGAACAGTAGAGCCGTGGAAGTGTGCCAGGCTTTCGGCTTGCCCAGAAGGGAGTGAAAAGGAGATTCCCATTGCTGGGCTCTTCTGTAGCTTTTTGCTGGACATTGTGGTGGTTCTTGTGGTTGCGCGACCATTTCTCTCGGGTTGGATATCCTACCTTCGGCGTGGGAAGTTGAATATTGGAGCGAGATCTCGGGGGCAGCTTGAGCCAGACTCGGAGAAGGCAACAAAATGCAGAGGAAAGAATACACCTGCGGTCCACATCGATACAAACCTTGATATCAGTCGGTTCTTCAACCCAACCGGTTCTCGTTCCGCATTTACTGGCAATGAGGTGGTCTTCCGCGGCCTCAGTATGCGTCCGACTGGGTCTGATATCGAGACATTGTGCCCCCAGGATGGCGTTATCCCCGCTGGCTGCTTCTTGGGAGTGATGGGGCCGTCGGGGTCTGGTAAATGTCAGTTTAGTGTCGAACACCGGGAACTGTTTCGTTTCTAACCCACACTTATAGCAACCCTCGTTAACATACTAACCGGTAGGGTCAAACCGACTACCGGATCAATTCTCATTGATGGCCATGCGACCCAAGCAGCTGAGTATCTCCCCCCAGAGTCTAATAGACCTGGCAGTTCTAATCCCAAATGCAGATTACGCGATGTCCTGGCACTCGTCCCACAAGACGATATCATCCTCCCCGATATGACTGTTCGAGAAAATATCCTACACTCATCCCGGCTCCGAATCGGGGGATCCTGGAAAGACAGTGAGATCCAAGAATTTATCGACCACCTGATATCAAGGCTGGGGCTCGATCATGTATGTGATCGACTCGTGGGCGAAGTGGGCGAAAAGGGAATCTCCGGGGGGGAGCGGAAGCGCGTCAACATTGCCCTAGAGCTGGCTGCCGCGCCCAGTATCATTGTCTGTGATGAGCCAACATCTGGCTTGGACGCAAAAAGCGCATTCTCACTGATAAATCTGCTCAAGTCCTTGAAAGAGTACAGTGTCACTGTGATTTGCGTGCTTCATCAACCAAGACCCGAAATATTTGCGTCTCTTGACAATCTACTGCTATTGGACTACGGACGACAAATTTATTTTGGCGCGGCCGCCGCCGCGCAGCAGTGCTTTGAGGATGCAGGGCATCATTTCCCTACATCAGTCAATCCAGCCGATGCGATCATAGACATCATATCATCCCATGATAAGATTAACAAAATTCAAGCCTCAAAAAGCGTTTCTGAGTCGGCACAACATAATTCGCCCTCCTCATTACAATCCATCAAGCTAAGACGTGCGCCATGGTATCGTCAGGTGCTCTTGACCTTGTTGCGAGGCCTGAAACAACAAACAAGACAGTATCCCAGCTTCATTCTCGAAATTTTGACCGGAGCAGGTACAGGCCTTTTGATAGGGATGTCCAATTATGAATTCAATGGACACCTGTTCCAGGGCTTGTTCCATCCCCCATTTCAACCCTTATCAAGTCCTGTGAGCTACCGCCTTCTGACAGAGCAGGGTATGCTACTCTGCCTAACCATTGGTACGAGCCCTCTTCATTACACGATGGCATTCACTAACTATCAACTTCAGGGTGTGCGGCTGGTCCAGCAGGTGTCAGAACTTTCGGCGACGAGAGTGCGTACTAGCCTCGAGCATTATGTGCGGAAGACTAACATCATTCTCCCAGAACTGATATTCACTAGAGAATCTTCGTCTGGTCATTCTAAGAGTGCCTACTTCCTCGGCAAGATTCTCTCAACCCTGATTCGCATGTTTCTATCGGCACTACACTTTACAGCCTTTTACTTGATACTTACGACGCCCCTTGTGTCGTTCCAAACTCAACTTATTGTGAATCTGCTATACTTTTATTGTACGTCTCCTTCTTAAGTATCTACGCCTGATGATTCTTACTAGGAGATCAGGTATATACGGCGCAGCCACCATAGTGTCTGCAGTAACTTCGCCGAAAAACGGACCATTGATTGCCATGCTGACTAGCGTCTTTTTCTGTGCATTTTCGGGTTGTGCGCCCCGCCTTGCTACAGTGAAGGGTTGGAATCTTGCATGGCTGTGGTACATCTGCCCTGGTGTATGTTTTCTCTTCCTTTTTTTCTTTGACTTGGAATTGATCAAAACCTCCATTAGATTTGGTTATCGGAGGCCAACTTTAATGAGTATACAAGTCCCCTGGATTACCTATACGATGTTGGACCGGCGGCAGAGGTAACGGGATTTACTAGAGGGAGGACTGGGTTTGATTTATGGTACGTTTCCTCGAACTAATTGATCTCTTCGGACTTTTATTTGTTACCATTGTCGCTAACTGTGGGGCCAGGATACTATTCGTACTCGGAACGAGTTATCATTTGGTGGCCTTCTTTCTGTTTATGGTTTTCTTACGACGGCGTTCTGATTAAAGATACACTTTTGTCCTTACTTTCTATTGCGTTCACGCTGTATAGTGCCAATAACGGCTGTATGGACTACAATCTCGTGGAGCCGTTGGCCAGGCCGCTTTCGGAGTTTTGGTGGTCATGTCTCTCGTACGGTTTGCCATATATATGGCTTACGCGGTCACTAACAGGGCACGCACACCGAGCTATAGTATATTCAACGAGGTGGTTCCAAGTGCCTCCATAGTAGGGCTGTGACAAAAATTTCGGCCGGGATCATGAATATAGACATTTGCGAAATTGGATGATGATTTTCGAAAAATGAGGGAGGGAGGAGGAGTCTAAAAAAGTTAGAGAGTTGCGACGGATAGGCATGCAAAGAAAATGACTTTACTGCTGATTTGCCGAGAGAATCTACCATCTTAATATTCTGATTAGAATCACAGCATGTTCGTTGTTTGATCTGACCAGGACTAGCTGGCCGATCGTGAGCGATGTTAAAGCAACATTCTGAGTGGCTTGATGTAATAGACAGGTGATAGTTGACGATGTGTTCTGCTTGAATATTTATCTACCTTCGTAATCGCAAAGACTTCATAAGCCGACTCTAGAAATATTTGAGCTATCCAGAAATCACTTAGCCCGAGGAATCATATATACTCCGTAGACTCTCCATTCCCACTACTATCAGAAACCCAGTCACGTTCCTGTTGAAAGATCTATCAGCCACGGCAATACACGCCTTGGCCCCCGGAATTATTTTTTCTTAGGGGGCTTTAGTTTGGGTTTTGAGAGCACACAGGCAGCTTCCAGGAGCCACAGAGGCCCCGGGAAATCCGACGTTGCTTCTGGGGCTTAGTGCACCCACCTCGGGGAACCAAATTCCATCTGCTTGTTGAAAGTGGTATTAACTCCTGAAACCTCAAGCTAGGGCTATAGCTGGCTTTTGCAGGGGTGTTTAAATAATAACGCAGATTTGTGCGCCGGTCTAGTAAAAGTGGATTGTGAGGGATTTCCGCGACGAACCTACATCAGTGGAATGGCCGGCTACAACTTTAGGTAGTATATAGTCGGCAAGGCTGCGAGTTACCTATAGAAGCTTCGATATACCTGTTAGGCTCTTATTCGCTTCAAGAGACTATAAGCTCTTAAAAAGTATGGTGGTACGTATATCAGTACTCCACGTATCGCGTATGCTTTATATACAATCATATGAAATGCCAACAGAGCTATTGGGAATTACTAACCTCTTTTGAGAAATACGACTGGAAAGTTTAGTAGCTAACTAAATCTAGATCGGAATTTCTTGCTTAGGTACGTAATAGGAACCTGGCGAGATACATTGCCTGGCTATATACTCTCAAAGTCATTTATATATTATATTATACACTTCCTATATAATCGTACGTACCCCCTCAATGATATATCCCTTCATTGATAGACAATGCCATATTTAGGCTTCTTGCGAGCTTCCTTCTGCATCTCGATATATTTTGTGGTGAGCTAGCCGCACTTAAACGCAGTATGCTTTGTACCCTGCCCAAAAACTGTTTACTTTTTGCTGCTCGCTTCGATCGATAAGTATAAGTATTGGGGCTAGATAGTACAAGTTGTTGATAAGCCACTCATGCTTGAACCAGATATTTAATTGGATGCATGCTACAGACAAACTACGGCCAGGATAGATATCAAATTAGGAGGCACGTGCAATACCGGGTTTCTCTCGTACAAACGGCGAGAGGAAGAAGGTTATAGTAGAGATTTGTGCCTCAGTGGATACAGTTCGTGGTTGGCAAACCTGCCGTACCTGCCAAGTGAATCTTTCCCCCAATTCAACGCTACCCTCTTTGTTCTGAGGGGCAGTTCGTGCTGGTGTTGAGCGAGCTTTCAAAGCCAATAATCAGATCGGAATACAGTGCATCCAATGTTTTACGAACTGACTTGGTAATCAGCTGTGGGTGTTCCATGACTCGGCCTTCTCGTAGTCCTTCTCTAGTTTGTATTCCGACTTGGTGATATCTTCCGGCTCTCCACTCCTGATACCAAGAGTTGAAGACGTGGTCATCTGTATTTCCAGGATATGTCGATATCATCGAGTCAAATGCGACCATGAACACCCGCACTGTCGCTGCTGCCACCGGTGTATATGCTGCGGAATATGGGTCAAAGATGGAACTGAATCGGCTACTAATATTTCATCCAACTCAGGAACAGAGCTACAGAGTCAAGCAATGGTTTCATGAGCAAATGTTGATAACAGAAGAATCATACAACCGAGAGGGATCACCGCCAAGACCCGGAGTCGGCTATATGGCAACCCCAGACGGGGTATATCTTGCATCCGAATGCTCCAACTATTTCGCACATCAACCACAATTGCAATGTATCGCTCACAATGTCAACGGGCTCTGCGGTCGCAGAGACTTGCATCCTTAAGAATCACATGCCGGACTTCCCCTTCTCCTCAAGCGCGTGCCTTCTCCACCTCGGAGCGGCGCGACATCATGAGTATGACCGGCTTTACAGAGGAACAGCTCACAGTCCGTGAAGCCATTTCAAACATTTGCGCTAAATTCCCAAACACATACTGGCAGGAGCATGACCAGCAAGAAAAAGATCCCAAGGACTTCCATGCTGCTTTGGCGAAGGATGGCTGGCTCGGCATCGCTTTACCCGAACACCTCGGCGGTGCAGGTCTCGGTAAATACGGATTTGGAACAAATTGATTTAGAAACATTACTTATATTGAACTAGGTATCTCCGAGGCTACAATGATGATGCAGACTATCACACAATCTGGCGCTGGTATTGCTGGCGCCCAGGCTATCCACGCAAATGTGTATGCCACACAGCCATTGGCCAAGTTCGGCACCAAGGAGCAGCTGGAAACTACCATCCCAAATATCATTAATGGAACATGGCGGACATGCTTCGGTGTGACCGAGCCAAACACCGGCCTTGAGACCCTCAAGTTGAAAACTCTCGCCAAAAAGACCGAGAATGGCTACTCTGTCACCGGCCAAAAGATTTGGATTACTTGTGCGCAGGTCGCATCGAAGATGATACTTTTGGCCCGGACTACGCCCCTCGAAGAAGTCAAAAAGACAACTGAAGGTCTCTCCATGTTTTGCATCGACATCGACAAGGAGAACTCCGGTCTAGATCTGCGCAAAATTAAGAAGATGGGTGGCTGTGCCGTGGATGCCAACGAGGTTTTCTTCGACGACTATAAGGTTCCTGCCAACACCCTGATTGGCGGCGAAAATGATGGATTCAAAATCATTCTTCACGGCATGAACGCCGAGCGCTGTCTTCTCGCAGGTGAGGCTCTCGGATTAGGCTATGCTGCCCTGGAGAAGGCTTCGCAATATGCGAAGGATCGCGTGGTATTTGGAAGACCGATCGGCCAGAACCAAGGTGTCGCCCATCCTTTAGCGGACGCATACATGAAGTTGGAGGCTGCAAAACTAGCTACCTACCACGCTGCCAGGCTTTATGATACCAACGACGGATCGGTTCCTTTCCAGGAAATTGGTGTGGCATGCAATAGTGCCAAGTACTTGGCTGCTGAAGCCGCTTTCACGGCGTGTGAGCGCGCAGTGTTGGCCCATGGCGGAATGGGTTATGCTGCTGAGTATGACGTCGAGCGCTATATGCGTGAATGCTTTGTGCCTCGCATTGCACCGGTCAGTCGCGAGATGATTTTGAACTTTGTCAGTGAAAAGGTGCTTGACCTGCCGAGGAGCTATTGAAATTGTGTTTAGTAGAGGACATATACAGCTGTAAATACTTCACCTGTGCAAGAATATAAGCTCGGAAGGCATGCTATATTCCGTCAGCCCTGTCTACTTAGCCCATTTCGTGTTATCATATCAATTCAAATTTAACAATTGCCTTTCCAACATCTCTATGTTAATTAAATCCGGTAATACTATATCCAGACTGAACCTCAGTTGTGCTTGTTATGCAGCTGACAACGAGCCGCATACAATTGGCCGCCCCGGGCGGTGGGGCGGGGAGAAGGACTCGAACTCCGACCTTCCTGAGCTCCCGCCTTTTATTTCTTGCTCCCCCTCCCTTCTCCAGATTTTGACTCAATTGATCGTATCTGGTACAGTCTTGTCTCTGGATCTGATCTTTATATCCATCACAATGCTGCCTCAGACTCGGGCGCGCATGCCCGCCGCTCTCCGGAGCTTGACCCGGTCCACCGCGACTGCGTGAGTCCAGTCAATTGGGTCAATTGCGTCAACTGCTTGCTAACTTATGCTTTGCTCTTCAGTCGGACTCTCTCGACTACTATCCCCCGTTTCCAAAATGACAAGGCCCTCAACAAGGTCTCGCGGAACATCACCCAGCCCAAGTCTCAGGGTGCGTCCCAAGCCATGCTGTACGCCGTTGGTCTCACGGAGAAGGACATGGACAAGGCCCAGGTCGGAATTTCGTCCGTGTGGTTCAACGGTAACCCTTGCAACATGCACTTGCTCGATCTGAACAACAAGGTTCGCCAGGGTGTGCAGGACCAGGACTTGATCGGCTTCCAGTTCAACACCGTCGGTGTCAGTGATGCTATCAGTATGGGTACCACCGGTATGCGGTACTCTCTGCAGAGTCGTGACTTGATTGCCGATTCTGTTGAGACTGTCATGGGTGGACAGTGGTACGATGCCAACATCAGTATTCCCGGTTGTGACAAGAACATGCCCGGTGTCCTGATGGCCATGGGACGTGTTAACCGCCCCAGTCTGATGGTCTACGGTGGTACTATCAAGCCCGGTTGCGCCGCTACCCAGAACAACGCCGATATTGATATCGTGTCCGCTTTCCAGGCCTACGGTCAATTCATCACCAAGGAGATCACCGAGCCCCAGCGTTTCGACGTCATCCGTCACGCCTGCCCTGGTGAGGGTGCCTGTGGTGGTATGTACACTGCCAACACCATGGCTTCCGCCATTGAGACCATGGGTATGACCCTTCCCGGATCCTCCTCCAACCCTGCCAACTCCCAGGCCAAGTACCTTGAGTGTCTCGCTGCTGGTGGTGCTATCAAGAGACTGCTCGCCGAGGACATCCGCCCCCGCGACATCCTGACTCGCCAGGCCTTCGAGAACGCCATGGTTGTTGTCAACATTACTGGTGGATCCACCAACGCTGTCCTGCACTTGATCGCCATTGCCGACTCCGTTGGCATCAAGCTCACCATCGACGACTTCCAGGCCGTGTCTGACCGCATTCCTTTCCTTGCTGACCTCAAGCCCTCCGGAAAGTACGTCATGGCTGACCTGCACGCCATCGGTGGTACCCCCGCTCTCTTGAAGATGCTCCTGAAGGAGGGTCTCATTGATGGCTCCGGTATGACTGTTACCGGTGAGACCATGGCCCAGAATCTCGAGAAGCTGCCCGGCTTCCCCGAGGACCAGAAGATCATCCGTCCCTTCTCCAACCCCATCAAGGAGACTGGTCACATCCAGATTCTCCGTGGATCTCTCGCCCCCGGCGGTAGTGTCGGAAAGATCACCGGTAAGGAGGGTATGTCCTTCACCGGAAAGGCCCGCGTCTTCGACAGCGAGAACGACTTCATCGACGCTCTCGAGCGCGAGGAGATCAAGAAGGACGAGAAGACCGTTGTTGTCATCCGCTACTGCGGCCCCAAGGGTGGCCCTGGCATGCCTGGTACGTGAACTTCCATCATTTATCTGTTATGAAACCACTAACAACAATTTTAGAAATGCTCAAGCCCTCTTCCGCTCTCATGGGAGCCGGCCTCGGTAACTCCGCCGCTCTTATCACCGATGGTCGCTTCTCCGGTGGTTCCCACGGTTTCCTCATCGGTCACATCGTGCCCGAGGCCGCCGTCGGTGGACCCATCGGCCTGGTCAACGACGGTGATATTATCACTATTGATGCCGACAAGCGTATCCTCGACATCGAGGTCCCTGAGACCGAGCTCGCTGAGCGCCGTGAGAAGTGGGAAGCCCGCAAGGCTGCTGGCGACCTCCCCGAGACTGGTCTCACCATGCGCGGTACCCTTGGCAAGTACGCTAGGTAAGTTCGCTCGTTATTTTCTCTCTTATTGAGACGTTTACTAACTATATCTTTCAGAGTCGTCCGTGATGCCAGCCAGGGTTGTATCACCGATGCTGTTGATGTAGAGTAAACTTTTCCTTGATTTTTGGTTTCGGGCCTCGTTGGAACATAAAAGCGATTTACCCTTTGGAGCCTGTGTTATATGATATCAATTTTGAATAATACTTTCTATCTTTTCAACTTGGCTTCTTAAAGTGACATTCTAGGTTTGCTGCCCTCATTGTGGCTTGGAATGGACATGTCACCAACGTAAGCTGCATTTTTGTCTCGTACGTTCCTACTGGATGATTGGCATCCATTTCCTGAATCAGTCAAAATCAATCAAGTTCTGTGTTACTTCCTGTTCATGGCTCTGGCTAAGTGCATACAGATAGGTGTATCATTGTTACCATGAATAAAACAAGATTTTTTAGTAACGAGGGATGCTAATGAGAGCTGGATCGGGAAACGACGGACCACTCTTTCCTGAGTCCTCATCGACAAGACCTCTGGAAGGGAAAAAAAAGGCAAATGTAGAGGCAGTCTTCTCTCTCAGGGGACAAGCAAGGAACCGAATGAGCCAGAGCAGCTTATCCATTCGCTGTGACATTCTTCCATGACATGGTTCTTCGCTGCAGGGAGAAATTCCAAACGAGGTCATATGGTAGGATCTGTCTCAGTTGCGTAAGAGAGCCGCGTCGGAACGGCTGTTGCTTCATATAAGTGGGATAGACAACGGTAGACAGACTAGCATTTCGAGTGATTTATCGCAGTTGAAAGAGGATTCAACATGGACAGCAGAGTCTGTGCAGATAGAATCGTGATCATTGTATCGTTTATGCTGGTCACCTGCTTCCTGCATCGGACCGGATTTCGCGCCCAGATTCATCATATAGACCGTGAAGAGTGCAAGACCGAACAGGAATATCTGACATAATGGACTGTCATGGAGATACTTGATATCCACCGATGAACGTGACGACTGAGAAAAGAGACAGTCTCAGTTAATTGAATATACAATCGTCGACAGAATAGATGCTGGTAATGTCGACGGATTATCCAACAGTAACCGCTTTAGAAGAGATCGTCGCGAATGGGGTTTTGTCCTGCCGCAGCACAAGTAAACCAGAAGATCCGAGGGGGAAATTGAGCATTTGTTGTCGAAACAAGCGTGATACTCGGGCGCTAATGATACATGTCTTGATGTCACATGAATTTCTGGCAGCACCTATCTTGACAGGTAACACCGACGGTGGTTTTGGGTTGAGAAGCTGAATTGCCCCGTATAGCGAGCACCATTGCAAACAAGTACTGGTTCGAAGGAGGTTCGACGAACGCACCCTCTTGGACCTATCAACTTAGCTTCACATCCCTGGTAACCTTTTATCATAGGAAGATACTTACATGCACTGCTTCCAATCGGGATTGTTGAATAGATATCATCACTCTAGTTCTAGCACGTCCCGTAAGATAGTTTGCTGTGGTGACTAATAAGAGTCGATATGGTATATAAGAGTTGGTGTGAATGAATATATAGACTGTGTGGGAATGGTTGTCAGGAAGAAGTTGACAGAGGGGTGTCTGTTGCATGATATAGGGAGAAGGGTCTGACTACCAACGGCAAACAAACATACTCAGACAAAGAGAACGACACTTGATTGCTCGTTTGTGAGCAATCGACAGGTGATTTTTCACTAACGGGGGTTGATCGTATGCTATTTGCGTGCAACATTCACAGTAAAAATGTTCATAAGAATTACGCACGTTTGTAACATCAATATCCATGACACAAGTTCTATACTTGAATTATATCACTAAACGTTAAGTTTGCATGTCCTTTTCATTTCAATCGAGGGATCCAACACGACCCTGACCCTTTCTCTCAGCTGCAAAGCGGTAAATAATTGTCTCTACGCGTTCCAAGCACTGGATATCATGCGACGTAGACCAAGATTGGCGTAAATAAATAATTTATAGCAGTTTGCATATCAGCCACCGCCGCCTAAGCAGGAGGGGTGACATAATGCACAGCAGGAGGCAAAATAGGCTCATCCAAAAACATAACTCAAGTGAAGTCTCGCCTACATCACGCATTTCACCGAAGTGGGTTTCAAAGCCCTAGTCTAACGAGTGAACGAAGCTTTATAGTACCATATAAGATCAGATTGCCGATAGCAGATCTTAACTTATTGCTCTCTATACCTACTACCTCGCCTTGATTTTGGATTCTTTCTGCTCTCTCCATTCAACTTCGAACTATCTATTACATCAGACTACGATTGCGCCGTTACCAGTTGGGAATATGATTCTAGTACAAAACCTAACTCATCCAATCAATACAGGAATCAAATTCCCGCCATTTATCCCAGCCGAATGATCCGCTCCCCAGTATGCCATCACGGCATTCTTCGCACCTTCCACAACTTTCATATTATGAATCAAGGAGCACTGTGAGAAAATATGCAGAATGACTGTGCGATCACTCGAAGACCTGGCCAGCTTGCCAACAACATACAAGGGCCAAACCGAGGTCGCCATCGTGGTCGATAACACACCAACTCGGAGCAAGCTTCCAAACGCGCTTTGGTACAGATCCTGCTCGAGGTCAATTCCAGATGACATTTCATTGTCATCTGTCGCAGCCGCATCCAAATTCATCATGCGCAAGGCAAGTAGCCCGCAATATTTGTATGCGTTTGCGATCTGCACTAGGGTTTCGAAATAGGCTTCGGTTATGCCGGTAGACTCGATTGACCACGTCTGTAAGCTATGTTTCAGTGCTTTTGCCGGCACTGTCATGTCTTGCCCTGTCTGAGAGCGACTGATTATGTGTGCTAGATTGTGCATCAGTGGCCATAAAGTCCCTGCACACCCAAATATAGGATCAAATTGCTCGGTGAAGTCTGGTTCGTTGATGGTATTGAGCTCTAGGGGTGGTCGTCCCATTGACATGGCGAACATGACGTTGAAGTACCGGAACAACTTCACGAAAAATGCTATATAGGGTGTTCGTGTGGTTGCTGCGCTGTATTCAAGTAGGGACTTTGCTCCTTGCAGATGACACCAAGCATTAGTAGCAGAGTTCCCCAACACGATCTGCAAATAATCAGCAAAAATAACTTAAATTGCATTTTAGTCGAGAAGATGAACAAACCTCGTAGTATATAAGCAGTATACATCCTGCGACGCTATTCTGTCGTGAGATATCGTCTAGGTTGGGGCGGGCCACTTGTGAAGACAACAATTTGAGAGATTGAGAATGTAATCTCGTTGCAAGATGGTCCGATTCAACCCCAAGAAGATGTAGGTGGGCCGCTGCAACGGCTTCAACGGCGCGTAAAACCTCCACCGAGGATGACGCGAGGGGAAGAAGGTAGAGAAGAAATGGATTCGTTCCCCCTGGTTGAGATAATGAGAAAGAAATCAGGCCTGAGATGATCGTCGCAAAATGATGGACTAATCTTGTTTGATGACTACTTGGTTGCGTGTATAGCAGGATGGGTCGAAGAGAGACAGCTCCTAGATCGTCCTGTCGATTCTGAATGATTCGCTGACGAGTACGAGCATACTTCACTGTACTCCAACTTGGATATATGCAGTCAAGTCCTTTGTCCGTGCATAATACACAGCTGGGTTGACCTTCATCGCATTTCTTGCGTCGCTTGCGACTGTTTCCCCTCGTCAGTCCTCTGCTTTCTGTGGTGTGCGGGGCAGGGAATGATACCAATTCATGCAGCCCCATCGTGATCGTTTCTCAGTTGGATTTCTTGACATATTCGAGGTCCTCTCGTGTGGATCTAAATATAAGAAAGCGTTCTTGGGTAATTTCCCATCAAAGTCAAGAAATACGGGGAAGTCTGGGGAGATGACCCGCACATCAGGTGACTGGCGAAGTATAAAACGCAGTTTATCATTTGGAACACAATAGACAGAACATTACTGGTATCACTATATAACACAGCAGCTTGATAAAATCACAAAATCAAATCGAGCGAATGAAATCCGCACCATCCAACACCAAAACACCCCAACACCACATGAATCAATTACGCTCGCACTGACCCCCAACCTAGTCCCCTCAACTGTTCAAGTCCGCGATCTCAAAATCGATTGTCACGCGGAACCCGACTATTATCCGGAGCCTCATAGATCATAGAATGACCCTCCAGCTCCGTCGGCACAACATGCGTGTGAGGCACAGGCGGCGGCTCATTCCAACTCCAGTGACCCTGTTGCGTCGACGGAGATCCATGCGAAGACATATGCTCCGTGCCCGGCGAGAAAGTACGAACATTCGGATCCGGGCTGGAAACAGCACTGATATCAATGTGACCGGGCTTCGAGGTACTGCTGGACATCTCGCTTTTCCGGTTACTGTTGCTCTGAACATCCGAGTGGAATAATGCCCATCGGGCCGTTCGCTCGGTGCGCCCGTCTTGAGATGACATCCATTGTGAGTAGACGCGGTTGCGACCGAGGACGAAGAATAGTGCCACGAGGATAATCAGGAAGGCGACTCCTGCGACGACGATGCCGGCGATTGCTCCGGCTGATAGACCGTGTTTGGAGGATGAGCTACTGTGTGTTGCGCTTTCTGTGGCGCTTGGATTTGTATTGGTTGTTGTTGACCCGCTGCCTTCTGCAGGATATGGTTCACCGGGGGTTAACATGAGTGTAGCTTTGAGGGCTGCGTTGTATTGCGAGGTGAAGGTCTGATTCGCGCTCTGTAGGAGCTTGTAAGTATGAATTGAGTACGTGAGAAACCGAGGATCCTACGGGATTGATAACCCCAACCATGCCATTCTTCAAACAAGAGTCGATTGCGGTACAATAGAAAAAGGTTGGCTAGAGACAGGGAAGTTAGCGTGCGATCTTGGATCTAGTAGAGGCACATCGGTCTCATACACACCTTTGTGTCATTCACTCGTAAGGAATAAGTCGGTGGCTTCGCTGATAGTTAGCATCCTTCGACAATATCCTTCCACTACAGAATCAATAGTGCGGTCGGGTATCCCAACTCACATCTCCGTCTAGCAGCCCATCCGGGAGCATGTTTGGCGAGTAGAAGAGGTTCTTATCAGAGTACACACATGGCGCAAGATAGTCTGCTCTCACAACCGAGTGGTTCGTGGGATAAAATTCGAAGACAATGGTGTCACCGACGTTGGCCGTGATACTACTGGGTACATATTGGTGCGGGTTGGTTTTAGGTCCAACTAGCACAGTATGAGTCGCAATGCCAACTGAAGTTGAGGTTGGTGTCGCCGAGGAAGATATCAAGTCTGACGTCAAAGATGGAAGGGCTTCAACGGAGCCGTAGCTTTGAGCTGTTGCCATAGTTGCCAGCACTAGCGCTGCAAGCAGTGGCCGAACCTGGTGCACGAACTGCATTCTGAAGCAATGTTGGACGCACCAGTAATCAATATTTAGTCTGCTGTTATGTGGATATTTGAAACTATCAAGGTTGGGAGGAGGGGAATGGCGAAAGAAAAGGAACTGGGCCAGGGGACAAAGAGAGCCATCTCCTGCTCAGGGATTTGGAAATTGGTTTCCATTGGGCTGAAGTGACTCGAACATAATCCATTGATAATCATCAGGTACCTCTATGGACGGGATTATGCGATCGGCAATGAGAGACGGTGGAATATACGGGTTGCGCTCACTTAGGGCTTATTGCCACCCGGCAGTTCAGTTCTACGCGGCTCTGCGGACAAACGATAGTCTAGTTTCTACAGTATCTCGACTACAGTTCTCCTACTGAATCAAAGCAGTTTCAGCTCACTTCCCCGTCAATTAACTTAGAAGCCATTGACAAGTCACCAGCCTAGTCTGTGCGTCGCAAATGGAAATATTCTGGCCCCCCGCCACAGCTGATCCCGTTGTCCTCTGCAGTCAGCAGCGCCTTGCATAAGGCCCTCCAGGGTCATCCTTTGTTCCAATTAAAGGTGAGTTTTGGCAGCACCAGATGCAGTTCCATGGTTTTGGTGGAGGGTCAAAGATTTGAGACTTGAAATTTATTTTAACTCGATTCGAGTCCTGAGTCAAAGGATCTGAAACACTTACACTTATTAAAACATTAACCAAACACAGTCACCAACTCTATGTAGACAGCTTCTAAGATGCACGCGTCTTTCGCAGCTCCAGTACACAAAAAGAGCCACACTTTGGTAAATTTCTATGCCGCCCCTCCGTGAGACATTCGGTGTAAGCCTAGACGTGTTGGCCTCGACCCTCTCTTTGCGGGGCTGGTGGCCATCGTTGAGGCTGAGAAACAGCCGCATGGGACTCCTCGTATAAGTCCAGTCTCTAGCCACAGCTGCCGCATTTCATTTCTCGTGTTGCCGGCTTAGCCCCGTTGAAGTCCACCCTGTTGAATGGATAAGACATAATTCTCCAGTGAGAACGGGGGTTGTTCTTTGGGTACTTTCATTCCCTCTGGACCAAAAGACCGCGCGAAAGACTTTTCTGAATGTTCCTCGGCCCACTTCCGATACGCACTCCAATAAACGACCGGAGACCCCTCGCACAACTCGCTCCAGCTCATATTGGAAATTGACAAGTTAATATGGATGCTCTCAACCTCTTCCATATCTCCCCTGTAATGCCCGTATCCCGTGGAAATATGACCATAGCCATGATTCATATCATCGGAAAACCAAACATCGCCAGCCTCAAACGAAGCAACAATGATAGCCTCCAATTCATCCCGCTCATCGAGCGGTTCCATCGCATCGGACAATGTCTGACGATCAACGGCGAGGAAATGGTGCGGAGGCCTGTGGTGCGCAAACTCCTCGGACTCGAAGTATGCTACCAGCCCTTGCATATCCGGTGAAACCAGTCGATCTGACACATCAACCCACATGAACATCTCGTCGGAATTATAGCGGTCGAAAATCTCCCATTGAATCGTGCGGAGCTCGGTTTCTGTCATCTTTTCTAATACGAAGATGACGCTTGAGCTGAGACTGCGGGCGATGTCATCGGGGTTGACGATTTCGTCGCCGCCGAAGTCATTTAGGTCCCACATTGCTGGATTGTACTTGAATGGTCCGTTCGGCAGGCTGGGTGGAATATGACTTTCTGGATACCAGGCTGCGTTCCAACACTGTGCCACTTTGTCACTTTGAAGAACGGTAAGTTCAAGCCGGCTATTATATGTGTGCGGCGCATTTGGAAAGTTGGATTCGTTTGCTCTCACGATCTGGTAGCCTCCTGGGAATTCTGGGGTCTCATCGAATTTGGGGAATTCATTGATGAACAGTGCAAAGGCCTCGTAGTTGTCCGGGTGAGAGATCTTGAGAGCCTGAAACATTCGGAAGAGCTCAGCACGAGAACATGGTTCTTGGCCTTCTGGCCAGTTGTGAATGATTGCTGGACAACCGATCATTGACTGTAGATTCTCTAGTTCTGTTTCTGGGAGGTACACGAGAGATATCAGGGTCGGGATTGATGGCTCCAGGCGAACTCCAGAGAGGTGTGACGGAAGCACCCTGTTCATGTTCTGGTATTTACTTCAGCATTATTGGACAAGACAACCTTGTTCTCTTGACGAACTCACGGGTGGGATTGGTTGCTCTTCCGGCACCGGATGCATGCGAGTATAACTAACTGGTAGTTCTCCTTGAGCAGCAACTCCCAGCAGCATATTGGCCCGGCCAATTGGCACGCGAGTAGCTTCAGGGGTGGAGTCTTTAGAACTTTTCCAGGCAATTATGGCCGTATGATCGATCCTGGACTGATCGTCGATGTATATCAGTGGTTCCTCTTTCATGATGGAGAAGCAGACCGATGTCGGCGGCGTCCAGTCCATCAACCAAGGAATCTCAACCAAACGCCGCATCGCAGTCTGGGGACCGTCAAGCCAGTCCTCGTCGACGGTGTTGAGTTTGGTCATTATTTCAGTTCGCTCTTCGTCTTCCATGGGACAGAGGAATACCACCTGCCACGTTGGTGGTATGCGATCCCCCAGTCTGGATTGTGCAAAGATTTCTGGGAACATCCATGATCGCGGGGTCGGAACTGCCATGTTGTGTGAATGGTGAAATTATCTCAGATTGAGGAGTTCGCGACGCGGCTCTGGGAGATCCACCATGGATGGGGGCCATTTTCGCTTCGCCAGTTGACTGATATTGCTGCCTCAGGCTTACCAGCATGGACTAGATTCAATAGAATGGTCAGGGTTCAGGTTGATTCTACTGTTTGTAGTATGTACTTTCGTGTTTCATTAGTCTCGTTCTGAGCTCACTCTTCGTAAACTAGATTTTGGTTGAGTTGCCAGCAGCTATTACATCCCTAATCCGTCTCAATCTTAATCATATCTTCATCTGGCATCGGTTTCCGCGCCCACACTCGTTTTCTGGGGAAATATTAGTTAAAATATCAGGACATAGACAGGCATTCACTCACACTGTATGATAAAGATGGAACCGGGGATCCACCAACTCCTTTCTCACCCGGGCCAAATGAACCTGGACCTCCTCCTTCGACCAGACAGTCGGACTGCCATATCTCGTGAACAAATACATCGCATAGCCTTCCATTCCGGCTAGCCAGTGGCCTAGATTGACAGATCCTGCTTCCTTGAGTTGCTTATCTCGGGGCCATGGCCCAACTGGCCACTTGGCTTCTTCCACGTGTATATCCACGAAGCCTGTCTGTTTGATCAGGCTTGGGAAACGGTGATAGAGATCTAACGGTCTTCTCGACTTTGCGGCGGCGCTCGTCATGAGACTTTCCCAGTCTTTGATGTGGCAATTTTCTGGCCAGCTGTTATCTTCGCTGTGGAACTTGTGTGATATTTCAAACTGCTCAATCCAGCCACCAGGGCGCAAATTACTATTTCACTGTCAGTCATTATCTATCAAGGTCTGGATCGAGTCCTTACTCGAAACATTGTTGATATAATTGTGCATTCTCTTGCGGCGTAAATGCGGCGTCCATATTTCGCATGTGGATCAGGTCAAAGGGCTGCTGCCATGTCCAGGGCTGTAATATGTCGTCCACCTCAAGAACACAATTAGGTGGCATCCAGTTTATTGGCGGGGGGAACAAATCCACGCCTCGCACCGTTGCTATTCAAGTCAGTCTCTAGTTCACAACACTGTATTTTGGATACGTAGGCTTACCTTTCGGAAATAAGTCTGCAACATCGCTTTCAAGATGTTAGTCCACATCTAGTTGCACGGGGGCTTTTGCCGCTTACACTGCCCATGACCCTTTCCCGGTTCCGATATCCAGGACATGCTGGATATCCTTTTTGACTGGTGATCGGAACAGTGGATTTTCTCGATTTGAGTCCATATTTAATGCTGTGAGATGTCTATATGGATGTTAGTGCGAATCTCAGGAGAATCCCGAAGATGCGTGATCATACCCGGCTTCATATGCGTCGAATTGCTGATCGTCGGAGGGAACACTACTGTCTCGTTAGACTGACTAATGATATTCGGAGCGCGGAAGATACTTACTATGATTGCTCCCGTAATGTCTGATATCTGAGCGCCAGTTAGTTTGATTTTGAAGGGTCCGCGCAGGAGAGAAGCCGCGCACCTCCGTCCATTTTCATAATAGCCTCGATATAGCGAGGAAGCAATCGAGGTTGTTTCTCTGCGATGACCTATTAGCCTTGGACTGTCACCCGACAAGCGCGAACCCACGATTGCCAATCGTCCGGTGCAAAGCTTTCTGTCACGGCATATATGTCCGGATCCTGTGGAAATTAGCGTCTGAACCGGGGCGTCAGTGGCAAAAGACGGGAGGCAAACGCACAGCGGCAATGGCATTCCCTCTCATGTTACAAATCGAGTTCCCAAGCAACAAGAACCGGTCGCACAGGCAGATGTCAACGGGTGAAGGGGACCAAAATCAATCCAAAAACCCGTTGTCATTCCATAGGCAAATCTGAAAACGGGCCGCGCCCCGCTTCCCATTATACGCTCCAATGGAGTTCCTGTCGCTAGTTCTGCGTCCAGTCCAAGCGGGGGCTGACGGTTAGTTTCTTCAAAACTTCCCGGATTTCGACCCGTTTTGCCTTCAGCTCATATTTAGGATCTCATATGTCGCTCACCGTTCCTTGATTCCAACCCGAATTCCCCCCCTATGCAGAGAAATGCAAATATCTTATGATCGCTGCAGTCCTGCACCTCCCTCCTCCCGCTCCTCCTCCCACTGTATCGTGGTGACTCCAAAATCAAGAAGCCGATGACATCGGATCACCTCCCTACCCGGACTAGCGGAGTTTACTATCTCCTAAATCGGCCCAACCACATGGTGAAATCTCCATCTTCAACGGGCGTGCATCAAGTCGATCCACTAGTCAAAAATCAGAGAACAGCTATACAATGCCACGTGGAATTTCTCTGCCTTAACCAATAATCGTCCTTGCTTCACTCTGCTGTTGGTAATTCCCATCATGCGACACGGTTGGGTTGACCAATCTCGATGCAGACAGCAATAATCGCAACTGGGGGTGACACAGTCATGATTAAGTAGGCCGTATAATCACCTCTGATCGAGTTCACAGCTATCCATGGAGGTTGGTAGTGGTCATGGAAATGAGTATGGCTGTTGGACCCCACCGGTCCGGTTTAGGAAGGTTGTTTATGATCCAAAGTGGGCAGGAAATACTCTGTTTCTAGAATTCTTGGGGAAGGAAGAGGCGACTGTCGCCGGTCATCGCGGCTAACTCCCAGAGGCTTGCAACTTGTCCCCACCAACCGCGGTGGACAGAGGACACTGCTGCAGAGATGACGCCCGGCGGGGATGGCATGGATTCCCACTGCCCCTGGAATCTAGATAAAGACTATTCTGCCGGTTCCTTGCTACAAACAGGTATTCTGTATTTCTGGTTGTCCCGGCCAAAAGAATAGAAACTTGTATACTAAGCCAGGCAAGCCCAGGTGTGTGAGTCTTTCTTTATACGTAGGCATAGTGCCTCAGGGGGTTCGCTTGTACCCAGCTAACAGATAGTGAATGTTCGTAAATAGAGCCTTGACGCGAAGGGACGACAAGAATATACAATCCATCATGCCATTCGAGTTTGATTATAGTGGTAGAGAGAGACTAAGAGGGCAAGATTAACAAAAAGACAAAAACAAAAAAAAAAACAAAAAACGAATGGACCAGGGCGGGCTTGAACCACCAACCTTCATGATAATTTCCACCGAAATGGAGTATTACATAAGCATGATGCGCTCACCAATTGCGCCACAGGTCCCGTCGGATGCTCCATAATTCACTATTGAACTTCTTGTGTCTGCCAGCCCAAGGCCTATATGAGAAGTCCAGCCAGATCCACTTGTTTGCAAGGGTTGTCTTCAGCGTGACATGGAGGTCGATAGCGCACCAATACTGCCATTTTTAAATAGCAGGAGTGACCGGGTTCTACTTGCCCATATCGGTGAGCAATAGACTGAAAGGGGAACCATTTTGTGAGAGAGTTGAAAAAGAAAAAAAAGTCTGGGTGGAATTTTACGGTCTGGGAATTTAGACAGGACGGTGGACAAACAGTGCAAACATTTGCCCCCGTCAACTATTGGCGTCTGGCAATGGTGAGGTATACTGTGAGTTATAAGTTACTGGTTTTGGACCATTCCCCGAGTGCCTATCCCGGTTTGCGTCCTAACAACTCTCTTCGCTATTTTCACTAGCAGAACATTGACAGTTAAGCGAAATGAAATTTAACCCAAAGTTCGTATATGTCTCTGCAAGGATTTCGAGCTTTATAAAACATTGAAACCTTTGATCTCGATTCCACTAAATATACTATTTAATCCGTAAGCCTCCCATCCAACCACTGTGTCATCGACATAGCAAATAAGCACGTGTCGTCTTCATCTCCGAGTCTCGCGTCGACCTTGATGGTCCATGTACCGCTCCTCAAAAACATTGGAATAAACTGGAAGTCTAGCACGATGGTACTACTAGAGCTGCTAGGCAAGTAGTCTACCTGATCTCCACGGGCGTTGCGAATGCTAAGGTAGGCTAGATTATTAAAGGGCGTAGTCTTCAGCGGAAATGTACCGGATGTTTCGTCGTCGTGAGTACCATCCGCGTAGACAACAGAACCGCTGAATTTAAGAGTCGCATTGACGAGGCCCTCGTCGGGAAGTGCTAGCTCGTTTTTCTTAGGGTCGGGAAGATAACCGCTCAGGAGGGCGAAGAGGACACGGTTGCTTTATTAGAATATGAAAACGTTACTATGAATCTGAACTCTAAGGAGAAGAAATATCTTACGTGTCGATAGGCGTCGGGGCAATCTCGAGGAACTCGATGCTGTATAGCTGGTCTTCTTTGGGCATGACGTCGTACACGGCATCGTTGTGGCCGTAAACCTTGGTTTGTTGGACCATCACGTCCTTGTCGACGAGCAGTTCTTGTTGTTCGGGGAAACTCTTGCCAAGAACAGACAGTGCAGCGGTGCAAAGAGGCAAGACTTGCAAGACAATCGTTTTCATCGAGTAGTTGATGGATGAGGTGTTCAGACGGCTTACGGGGACTGAGCAATGACGAGCGTTAGGAGGAATGGAATGTCTGCCTACTAGTTCGGTTGCTTCATGAAAGCATTTGATTGGCCTGAGTTATGTCATATGTAGACCCTTTCTAAGATAGCGTATTATAAAACATATACAAGTCGCATATAACTTACAGTACAAGGCCTGTCTGTACGTGGGGGTTCGTTCTTTCTGAATCTGCCGCATGTAAAGGAGCACAACGCTGTTTAGCAACTGTAACTTGATAATTCAATAATTATCAACTAAGTTGCCATACGTCCCTATCCGTCTAGCGACACGTATACAATCATAGAGACCTTTTGTCTTTATCTGCAATGAGTGCGATCACCGGAGGTAGTTTAGCCTATATTCCTTCCCAGATGTCTCTTATAGATGTCCTCTTTCCCAGCTTCGGTGCAGTCTCTGCATCTACATAGCAGCCATTTGCCGGTAACCTAGTCAGCTAAACTCGACTCCTCTATACCTTAGGAATGATTTTCCTCTTCACTCGCTATGCAGTGTGCTACATTAGGGAGCTTATAAGAAGCTATTTAATTCGTATCTGTTCTCTAATAGTAAGATGAGTCTGATACTGTAGCAGGCAGTATTGGCAAGTTGCCAGGTTTCCTCTCATATTCTTGTTGTAATTATGAGATTAGGAGGTGAAGCATTTGTCGTTTGAGATCAAGTCTAAACGCAAAAAATGTGGGTTTGAATATGGGGACCAAGCATCACAACTTATGTGTCGGCTCTTGATTCATGCAGACTATATTCATGCGAACTATTTACACTTCACGGATACAATATAGTTAAATCCAGCTCATATTAGTCAGACGGTTCGAACCAGCGTCTCCAGATATTCTTGTGCTTTCTGCACATCACCGAGGGATACAACAGTACCGATGTATCCATCAGGGCGGACAACAGCCACAGCACCAGCGGCAGGATCAACACCATAAGTTCCGTAAACGTCATCAAGCTCATATCCGCTGTAGAATGACATCTCAGAGTGCTTCTTGATCTCGCGAGGAAGGTCATTCCACATGAAATCGCCCGACAAACGGGGGTGGACGACAACCTGCTCCACTACATATTTGGGGAAGCGCGAGATGACACCACTCAGATCGGCAAGTGCCTTTGCTGAAGCGCCCTTCGGATCCAAGAGATCGGTGGAGGTGAAGCACAGCAGACGGAAACGGCCAATGGAAGTGAAATCTATATCCAGATTAGCAATGGACGACTAATAATGCTTTCGATCCTGCTTACCATCCTGCAAATCGCGGTGATACCCATCGGCGTGTCGCACCAAGCGTGTGTTTAACAGTCTGCGTCCAGGTCGGAGAATTCCAGATATATAATCTGTGCCTGTTATAGGGTTGGCAGCGCCTTGCAGACTTCGGTTGACTGTCAGGTTCTCGGGATATTCGACACCACAGCCACTGGTGAAACCATTGCCACGATTGAACACCTCAATGAATTCATCATGAGTGAGTCCGCCAGCTTCAGCGCCGATCTTGCCTGAGAACATTGACGAGAATGCTTTGTCGAAGTCAATGAGCTGGTGTGCGATAGTATGTCTTTCCTGGTGGTATGTGTCCAGGAGTGTATCCTTGCCGTTGGCAGGGGGGTGAGTCCATTGACGGAATAGGCAAGCTTCCAGGCTAGGTTGTATGAGTCCATCATTGACACGTTCATTCCTTGACCGGCCTTAGGGCTATGAGTATGGCAGGCTGTTGAATTTGGTCAGTGAAATGCTCTTTGTAGGGACCATGAGGCCTGCGACTTACCATCTCCGACAATGAAGACTCGATTGACACCTTTACTATCCTTAACAGCGAATTCATCTGTGACACGCTGGCCAATCTGATAAGCCGCCCACCAGTCAACAGCGCCATCTTTCTTCGGGCGAATATAATACGGCTTGAACGCAGCCGCCGCGTATTCGAAAATGCTCTCCTCAGTAACCTTGCTCCGACGCTCCCGTGCATCCGATTTGGGGGGTGTCCCAGTGCCGTTTGCCGGCTGCTGATCATCCTCGGGAGTGACATCGCCAGGAATCTGCACATACAAACGTGTCAAATAGTCTCCGGTGGCAATCCGCTCACGTGGAATGACCATGACCGATGTAGCTGGTGAGTGGATTGCGCATCGCTTCCTGATGTCGGGGAAATCAGTATCAACGACCAAGTCGACGACACCCCAGATGTGATCGCTTGATTCGCCTTCCAGTTTTAGTCCCATGTTACGGCGGACTTGAGAGTGTGCCCCGTCTGCGCCGACCAGGTGCTTTGTTCGCACGCTACGTCTCTGACCATCTGTTTCAATCTCGGCGATGACTGGGAACTCGGCATCGCCTTCTTCGTCGATCTTGACGTCGAGAAGCTTGGTGTTTCGCTGGACACCTCGCTGGGAATAGCGTAGCAGATCTGTTTCGAGGATACGCTCAATGCGTCCCTGGTGAATGGTCACCTCGTGGGGGTACCGTGCTGGAACAGCAACATCGGGCACGAGAGATGTTCGCTCAATGACTTTTTCTTTGTCTTCGGATGGGTTCCAGAATGCGACCTGTGCTCATGTTAGTTTCGGTTTGACATGCTGATTCGGGGGGAACCCTACCTGCCACATCTGACAACCTTCTGTGAGGATCTCATCTGCCAGGCCGAGGGACTTCAATGTCTCCAATGTCCGAGGCTGCAGGCCGTCCGCCTGTCCCGATTTCAAGGTCGAGGCTTTCGAGTCCACGCAGAGTAGGGACTCATCGCTTAATCCATAGCGAGCCAGAAGAAGGTTCAGCATCAATCCTGCAGGACCGGCTCCTACAATGACGACTTCATATTTTTCTGTTTGTGCCGGTACGAGTGGTGACGTGAGGCGTGGCAGTGGTGGGGCGAAGGAAGGAAGGACGCGGAGCTCGCGTGACGCAGCAGCGTATTCAGTGAAGACGGGCATCGCTATCCTGAGATGAATTCAATTGAAAATGCAAACAAGAAGAATGCCATGGTATCGACTATATAGTATTCAAAGGCAATATTACCATAGTTGGAGTAGCTTTCACCGCGGGGGGAGATTTGAGGGGGAAAGCCGAGAGTGTGGAGTGAAATGCACCACTCACATCCAAGACAGTTCCCAAGGGTTGGATTGGTGAGATTCAGGTAATCAACAGTCACGCGTTCCAGTCATCTGACTTATTTCCGAGGGCCAATTAAGGTTGGGCTTATGTCCGTATATCCGGAGATCTGCTCTTTTCCAAGGTTGGCCCTGTTGTTCATCCGCAGATTAATGATCAGTCCTGTGGTTGGTGGAAGGGTTCCTCTTAAGTACTGGAGACAGATGAGAAATATCTTGGCATGATGTAGTAAATATTGATAGTGATTGTAGGTCTCAATTGAGCAAATGTTGACACTTGCAAGTAGGCTATAGTGCGCTAGAAACAGGTAGGCTTTCGTTGCCTCGCATGTGTGCACCAGTGGCGGCCTCTGGGGCAGGTCATATTTTCCAAGAGATCACGCCCACAGTCCAAGACTACCAAGCTCTTGTTTAATCATAGATTACTTGCACTACATTTGTGGTTAGCTACCGGATTTCACGTGAAACCCAACTCCCAGGGTAAAGAAATGGCAGACATACCACATTGCCTGAGCAGCTACCCTGGCCTGGACAGCACAGGAAAGTACCGCCATTACAGTATTGGCCCTTTTGGGAGCATCCAGCTCTGGCTTCCAGGTTTGGACCAGCTTCGGCTGCAGCAAACGCAGCTAAGGCGAGCAAAGCAATGAAGAACTTCATTCTGTAGGTTATTGGAAGGAATGCGACGACTGAGGATTGAGTTGTGAGATGGAGAGAAACAATGCTTCCTTGAAGTATGGACTGTTGAGGTGGCAGCTTGGGCCGGGGGTGACTGATCTTATATAGCATCAATGATTGAGGGCCAAGACAGGCAGTAACCCAAATTCGCAGACATGGACGCCTCACATCCTGCGAAAATATCCCCACTTGGTTGATTGGCTATGAGGCTGAGGTTACATTGCAATACAATTAATCAGTTGGCACTGCAAGGCCCCCAAGTTGAAGTTGAAGGCAGCTTATAGAAATATGATACATTTGGCCCAAATAGCATATTCCCCTCGCAGATCATTCTTGGCGTTTCTTGGACCACGAATCAACATCTTTTGTTACCATTCCTACAACGTTCAACTATATGCACATAAGACTGCACGAGTTATGGGGGCACAATCCTCGGCACGGCGGCTTCTTCACGGTCAGTGTGTCAGTGTGGTAGGCAGGCATTCAGTAGATAGATAACTGCGGCATATAAATTGGGGAATATCCAATTTGAGTGAAAGTTCACAATCAATCTTTCCTCCTAGAATCTTCAGGTCCCTAACAATATCGCCTCGCGGAGCATTTCAGTATGCGTTTTTCCATGATTACCATTGTGACCTTTATCGGCCTGGCACTTGCCTCGCCTGTCGAAGTTGAAAAGAGAGTGGTATGTTATGGCCTTCAATATGACACTGCTGTAGGCTTATGAACCTGACTGGACTCGCAGCCAACCAACAATTGTTTCACACTCTGCAGAATCGACGGTGGAGTATGTATCCTTTTTGTTTACCTTGGCTTCCTACTAATCAAATTAACAGAGTGGAGATTACTGTCTCAAGAAGTGCTCTGGAAATTAAAGCTCAGCTCTACCCCCGCGAATAGAAGCCGTGGCAGATTTAAAATCGAGAGGTTTTTGTCGCATAGGCACGTTTATATGTCGGGACCCTTAGCTGAAACCTACGACTGATAGTCAATTTACATCTGATAGTTGTTTGAGATACTCGCAGTAAAGCTCAGCTGTAACAGAAATGTAGTCTAGATAGTTTGGTTTGGCCACTAGCGAATTTATGTTCTTGGTCCCTTGATGCCTGAACCCACGCAGTTTCACAACATTGCTCAAATGTGTTCCAATTCTTCCAGTCGTTCTCATATGTCGTTGTCATACGTTAGTTGCAGGACGTTCAACCAAGTAGTACGTAAATGACAAATGACAAGTGAGGTTACATACATTGCTCGGCCCTCGCTTGTGGCGGGAATACGGGAGATCAACGCATCCGTCTGTATGACTGGGCATTTACTCTAGCTCAGAAATGCAGGGAAACAATTGCAGGCTTCTTGGCATATACGTGAACCTACAGTATTTAATGCTGCATTTTTATGCAAGTTTGTTTCAGCTTCTGAAAACGGAAGTATGCGCCGCTACGAACAATTGGATTTTATTTTTCGGTTTAATCCTGGGCTGGCCCTGTTCTTCTTCTTTCTGTCTATGGATCAGTGTGTTGATGCGGGATACATATCTTGGAGCTTCTGGTTGAACTTTTACTGTTCTTCTGAGTCTTTTAGTGAGGAGATAAATTCCTGCTCTATGTTGCCCCTCAATTGACGCTGCATGGCTGAGCGCTAGCAAAAAAACATGCATTCTCGGGCTTGAAACCTCGGACTTTCGACTGATCCCGTTCCAGTCAAGGAGGACTCTGATCAGGCCACCTACCCTAACCGCCAAGCAAAACCCGAGACGCACTTCGCCAAGTCAAGGTTTGTAGCTCCCGGCGCCTCAATTCTTGTACTTTGCGCCTTGGATAAAGTTTGACGTGTGATCTATTGGTATCAGATTGACACCTCAAAGCATGTGATATTACGGAAAAGTTCAACCACATACAACCTCTTTGTTATATCAAGAGTTACAGATTTGACCATTGTACATAATCTCAACATTATTTTCTTGTATATTGACGCATGAGTGGCTCTGGGAGGCTGATTATTGGCGAATTCTAACCTATTTCAAAGCTGTGCATCTCGATGATCGACAAGCCGCAAGGGGTAAACCACAAGGGATTATCACCTCCACGCCAACAGCGCATGGTTCACAATGCCTATTTTGTACAACCTGCGTACCTCATTAGTCAACTTTCAACAATCCTTGATTCGGGACCAGTGAAAAAGAGATTTCAATGAGTGAACCACCACAAGCAAGCCAGATTGAGACCAAATTTGGAGCGTTCAGTGTCGATCAGGCGTCCCGCGGCCAGTAACGTTATATCCTACTTGTCTACATGATGACTGCGCCGGCATGGAGAAACCAGGACTCGTGGTACAACCTTGGGGCCAAAAACAACCCTGGAAGGCCGGGTGATGGATGGTCTTGATACAGTCGCATGAGTACTGTAGAAGATGAATATATAAATAAAGCATGCTATCCAGCTGTAAGAAGGCATCTCTCATCAGAATACATTTACCACATTCAAAAATCCACTTTGAAAGCTCTCACGCAATCATGAAGTTCATCTCCGTCTCAGTCGCTATTGTCCTCTCTATCGTTTCTTTTGCAGCAGCATCTCCTGCTCCGATCCCTGCTCCAATCCCTGCTCCCGCTGAGATTGTCAAGAGATGTTCTGTTTTCCACTGCCGTGAGGCGAACCCGTCCTCTTGCTGTTCCGACAAGTATGGATACTGCAACAAAGATACTGGTGAATGCCACTGTGGAAAGGATTGCTTTTAAGCATTGAAAGTGAGTCATCACAATTTTTACGCATGAAGAACCCTTCAATTGACCAGAAATATGGCAGTGCCACCGCTATTCTACTGGAAAAGAATGAACCGGCTCGATACAGACCTCAAGAAGCAAAACTTTGAAATTGAATGACTTGCCATGAATCTATGCTATATTTTTCGCGAGACCTCGGAAGCTACTATGTAGTTGGATCAATAACAAAGGGTTTCTGAGATCAAAATTGCTCCAAGGATTATCATCGGACTTGCATGTCTAGCGTATTGCTCCCCTATTCGGTAAATCCTCAGTAGAATTCACCCCTCCGTAGATATGGTCATGAGATGCTATGAAACGTATTCGGTAAGTAGAAGGCCGTAGAAGCTTGGTATCGCAAGAGTTGCAAGGGTGTGTTTAGTGACTATTTGATATATATATTTTTAGAAGACGGCGGTTAGGTTGACTGGACTTTTCCATGTCATAAATCTTCCTGGTATCTACCCTTCTGAAAAAAATTATTCCCATCTACTTCCTGTTAAATGTACCACCTTTTCTGTGACTTGGAGATCTTGATAGTTATTGTGCTTCAATCGTACGATGAATAGACCTGAATCAACAAAGCTCAATGGCCATTATAAAGTCAATAGTAATCGTAAAATTGATAATACAATTGATGGTAAGCTTATTAGTCAAAGCTAGGTAATACATTCAATATACCTCGGTTGATAACAAGCACGAAAGCAAGGATTGAATACGAGTCATAGACCCATAATCTAACTTACTAGGTGAAGCTCACACGCCAAGAATCACTATCTTATAGTGTATTATAACGGTAATATTACTCACAGCGGAATGGAGCGCATCATCCATTGATTTAACTGCCGTAGTTATGAGCCAAACCTACCCCTCTCCCCATATTCTCGAATATCCGGGGAACCTCCAATGGAATTGAGATTCGGCACAATATGATTCTCAATACGAGGCGATCCCCTATACTTAAATCCGGAGTCTCAGCCAAAGCCTGGAAACTGCGGAGACCCCACTGCCGCTTTCCCCAAGTGGGTATCGACTTTGGGGGATTTCCGGTCCCCTAACATCCACTGCCTTCCATTCACGCATCCACCTATGGGTCGGCGAGCAACTCACTTGGAGGTAGAAGCGTAATCTATATCCGACGCTAGATAAAGATGTACATGTAGCGGGGTTAGAAGGTCAATAGGCGAGGTGGTTTAGTGCGGCAGAGCAGTCTCCACCACATGGGGCCGTTTCAACAACATTGGCGCTTGAATTGCGCTAAGGAAATGGTGAGAAGACCAGCAGCGGGGTTTGGCTACAAGTACAAAGGGGCGGCTTAGCTGCCAATGTACAAAATTAGAGAGAAAAAGCCCCTCGACAATTTTTGTATCCGAGGCAAGCTTCCGGTCAACGCCTCGTCTGTTCTTGCTTTTTGTTCTCTTTTTATACACTTATTCTGCAGCATGTTCAGGCGGCTTTCAAACATCTTTGGTGCGGACTCCAAGCCCATTCCCCAGACATCACAGGAACCATCACAGACGACTAGTCAAGCCCCAGAATGGGTAGTGCAAAACCGGTCTATCGATGAAGCTCGTCCGCTGAGGGTAGTTGTAATTGGAGCTGGTATCTCGGGGATTATCGCATGCATTAGGTTCACCCAAAGGATCCCAAACCTGGAGCTCTGCGTATATGAGAAGAATGCAGACATTGGAGGGACATGGTTCGAGAATCGATATCCGGGATGTGCCTGTGGTGAGTATCTTGGACACGACACTCCACGCAGAGAATCCCGCAAGTGAAAACCTCGTATTGATGATGTGTGATTCCAGATATTCCAGCACATACCTACCAAGCAACCTTCGAACCAAATAAGGAATGGTCTACCTTTTATGCCAGAGCTCCCGAAATCCATCAATACTGGAAGCGAGTTGTTGACAAGTATGGGTGCATGAGATACATCAAGTTGAAGCAGCAAATCTCCGAGGCTGAATGGGATGAGCAGAATTCAAAATGGAAGCTGCAGGTAATTCGATTGTCTCTCGATGATGATCTAAATGTTGATTTGATCTCTAGATTCAAGATCTCGATAGCTCAGCCATATATCAAGACCACTGCGATATTTTGATCCAGGCAACAGGTGCATTGAATGCCTGGAAGTGGCCTAGTATCCCTGGTCTTCATGACTTCAAGGGCAAATTGATGCACAGTGCCACTTGGGACGAGAACTATGATTACAAGGTGCGTATGTGTCGCACTAGGTTGCACAAAGCTCTGCTAAAAGTTCGGTAGGGTAAACGTGTCGCAGTTGTCGGTAATGGATCCAGTGGTATCCAGATTGTTCCTGCATTGTTGCCTGATGTACCTCACATTGACCATTATGTGCGGAGTCGAACATGGCTAGCGCCAACATTTGCACGAGAAGAGATTGACAAGCGAGGCGAGGCCCTGGAGAATTGTAAGACCGACTAAATGGCTATCGTATGTTAGTTCTGACAAGAGACAGTTTCCTTCACCCCCGAAGAGATTGCAACATTCAAGAAGGATCATCAAGTGTACCAGACCTTCCGTAAAGGTACGCACATTTTCGGAGAAGTGAAGTGGATGTGAAGAACTAACACCCGAGCAAGCCGTTGAGCTAGAACTGCAATCCATTCATGGAGCCACACTCACCGGCAATCCGATGCAGCTCGGCGCGCACGAGATGTTCGTGCAGAACATGAAGCAGCGTTTGGGCAATAAGCCCGAGCTCGCTGACGAGCTCATCCCTGATTTCCCGCCAGCATGTCGGCGTCTCACCCCAGGACCAGGATATTTGGAAGCACTGACAGATGATAAGGTCGAAATTGTCACCTCAGATATTACGAAAGTAGACGAGACTGGGATAATCACAGCGGATGGACAACATCGACCAATTGATATGCTTGTCTGTGCAACAGGATTCGATACCTCCTGCACTCCTCGATTCACAATCAAAGGTCGCGGAGGTATTACTCTGTCGCAGCGGTGGAAGGAAACACCGGAGAACTACCTGTCGGTCGCGACCGATGGTTTCCCGAATTATTTCATTTCTCTTGGCCCTAATGCAGGCTTGGGAGAAGGAAACCTCCTAGTCCTGATTGAGAAATCGGTGGACTACTTCACCGAATGCGTTCTCAAGATGCAGAGAGACAATATTCGAGCCATGAGTGTTCGCCCAGAGGCAGTCCAGCGGTTCACCAAGTACTGTGATCAGTATTTTTCGGGCACTGTTTTCAGTAGCAAGTGCCGCAGCTGGTATAAAGGCGGCACTGAGGATGGTCGGATCACTGCTCTCTGGCCAGGTACGTGCTCTGCAGCCACCTTGGCTGGATGTGGCTAACTCATAGCAGGCTCATCGCTGCATTCAATCAAAACGTTCAAAAATCCTCGATGGGAAGATTTTGAATATGAGTACGTCGACGACAATGCTTCTGGATGGCTTGGAGATGGCTGGACTGAGAACGAGAAGAATGAGGTAATAAATGTAGATTACCTGGACGATGAACAGATCGACTTTCCCCTTCCGGCGGGGGTCTGCTCCTAGTTTGGGGGGTGGGGGGCGATGAATAAGGAATGTTATGAGATACGACGTATTGATCGAAGCCAACTGCAATACACTGAATGAAGCTTCAAATCTCAATAAAACACCCAATCATAGATCAGACGTGGGTAACGATGAGGTGAAGCCGAGGCCTCGAGTCGAAAGTGATGGCGGAGTGGTGATGACGGTAGTAATCATACAATACCATACCACTTTCGTTATATTACCAAGTAGTCTTTAGCTCTATTAGCCGGCAGAAGGATACTTTTACCCCAAGACCATTACAATACACATACTCAACTTCTCACCTCACCCCAGACTTCGACCTCTTGCTACCCCGGACTGTGCCCGATGGCCCATCATGAAGCCGACAGACAAGCACTTTCGCTGCAATATCTGTCAGCGGGGCTTTACTAGGATTGATCACCTGAAACGGCATCATTTACGCCGTATGTGCCCCGCACTGCAGCTCAGTCTACCTGTACTGATCCCTAACAGATTCCGGACAGAAGCCGTACTCTTGTATCTTCTGTAATGACTCGTTCGCACGTTGGTTAGTCCGATTGCCAGGGAATGGAGAGCAGGTTCACTAATTGCAACATTCCAGTGATAATCTTCGCGACCATTACACGGATTGCGCCAGACGCGGGGACCAGCAGATCCCCGAGACGGGCCAGAGGGGTAGACGGAGGCATGCCTGTCAATCTGTAGGTTGGCAATCAGATCGCGCCTATTCCTATAAACTGACCTGTCTGTTTCCATAAGTGTACTTCGATGAAATTGCGATGTGACGGACAAAGCCCCTGCGGATCGTGTCAAAAGCGAAACCTCGAGTGCAACAATGAACGGACTGCTGGACCGAGTATTCCTGAGTACGGGGAAGGTACACCTGCTGCGCCAATTGGGGTACAACAGGGCACAATTCCGATCCATGCAGGGCCACCGGTAAAGCCACAGAGCTATGAACCACCATCATCGGACCGCGGGTCGATCAAGTTCCTACTCAATGGTGGCACGGACAGCTTCACAGAGAACTTTCGACTTCCCCCGCGAAGCGATCGGGCCCGCAGCCTTAATTATCACCACCGCGTCGATATGGAAGAGGCGCAAAGAAGCGGATTCTCTTATATCAAAGGTCAGCGACCGGAGTATTCTTCTAGCTTCGTTGGCGCGGACCCTGCTGCACCACTCGCCGCCCCAGATACCTTTTTGGATTTCTTGAACGTACCTTTCGCGAATGGAATGAGACCAGCGCATGATTCGTACAATGCCGATGGAATCAATTTGGAAGGCGCCGTCTATCCACCCTCAGGTTCTGGTCTGCATGACGATCATTCAATCTTCGAACCGGAAAGACCCTTTGCGATGGCATTGACACAAGCGATATTAGCACGAGCATGGCAGGTTCCACTCGATGCTAAGGCGCAAGCAGAAGTCACCGCAGATTTCAACTTTTTCTTGACGACGGCACGCATTCGAAAATGCATATTTCTTTACTTCAAATACTGGCAGCCCAGCTGTGCTTACGTCCACTCTTCGTTTGATCCGGAGACAGCACCTCTACCCTTGCTAGCCGCGATAGTGTTTATGGGTGCTATGTATAGTGGGGACGAGAGGGAATGCTTCATTGCAAAAAGAATCCTGGACTTCGTGGAGCTTTTTGTTTTCTCAAATGACGTCTTCTCGGCAGATAGTGAAGTGAGCACAATATTCTCTGGCAATCGGTGCCACATTGGGGAAAAAGATGACTGGACCAAGTTTCAAAACTTCCAGGCTGGGTTCATCATTCTTACCGTCCAGTATTGGTCGGGACATCGGGTGTCACGATATCGCGCATTGGAAACCCGTTTTACCGAACTTGTCAAAGTTGCGCGTCGAATGGAGTTGACAAAGATCAGACATGATGCGGCCGACCACGTCACAGAAGATCTATGGATTCAGAAAGAGTGTCGAATACGGTTCGTATCCATGCCTTCCAGGTCTACAGAGGCTATACGCTTTGATTTGCTAACATACCCAAGGACTATCTGCATAGTCGCACTTCTAGACTCCGCCTTTTTCTTCTACCAGAATTATCCTTGTCGTGTCACGCACACCGAGTTAGAATGTGACTTACCATGTCAAGAACCTTTCTTCCGCTCTGAGCATCCGTTCACGGAGCCAGGATTCTGTTTTTCACGTGAAGTCACCCTTCTGGGTTCTTTTCAAAGCTTGTTTCAAGGAACAAGTTATGGGACATCTCACCAGAGCATGTCATCTCGAGAGGCATCGCAAGATCAATTACAATCTCAATCGCGCCAGTCAAATTCCCTTGACCTAACTGTTTTTGACATGTTCTTATTAATACATAGTAAGTCATTATTGCCATTAACTCTATTTGACCATGCAAATACTAACTCTCTTATAGTACTCTTCTCCTTCATCAACACCCACATGACCCTCTTGGGACCATTCATAGGAATGGGTATTGTCAAGAAACCTACGCAGGATTCGAACATGAGTTCTCGTGAAACCAGTCCAATTCCGGAAGATTCCATTCTCACTGCCATCCGGGCTGCTTTAGGCCGGTGGCATGAACACTGGGGCGTACTTACGAACCGAATTTCGTCAGAGGAATGGGCTTCGATGGGCTTCTACAAAAACGGGTACAACTTTTGGTTGGTATCACAAATGCTGATTACTAAAAAGGATGCCGTGGATGTTGTTATGCGAATGGAAGTCAACTGTGAGGATAAGTTGGATAAGCTGAAAGTCTTGCTGCGCGACGACCAAGACGAAGTATAGTGGTAGTGGGTTGTTTTACAAGAAATTTATACATTATAGATAGGGATATACAGGTTGGGGCGTTCTTTTGTTGGTCTAATGACAATGGCGGATTGGACTGGGTTGGGTTGGACAAGTTGTTTAGACATCCTTGGGCGTTCTTACTTGGTTCAAGTTATTATCTTTTGGGCGGTTGTTTCGCAAGAGGCTTGTCTATATAAGTTTGGAATTACAAGCCTTGGAGGCTTCATGAATAACAACATCTGTTTTTATTTCTAAGTATTAATCCCCGTCAACGACTATCTCATGCGTACCCTAGACTAGAAAACATAGCAATATTCTTCCCAGTATCCTCATCCACATACGCCGGTGGCTCCGCAAAAGTAACATGTTCGCCATGTAATTCAGCCACCTGGCCCGTCAGTGATGGGTCAGCTACAAACTGCGCAACGCCTTTCGTGACCGTCGACATTGGTGTCAAGATCATGGAATCAAACAAGGCACTACTTGGTGCAATGTTCGTCTCTGCTGGGCTGTCAATACGTTTCACCGTCTTCATTCTTTTCTCTTGTATAACTTACGAATCACAGCAGGTGCCAGCGCGTTGATCTGAATTCTCTCCACTGCCAGCGATGGTGCAAGAGATCTGACAAGCCCGATGACACCGGCTTTTGTTGCTGCGTACATCGGCGCCATTGCGAATGGATATAAGCCAGCATTTGAAGCTGTACAGACGATCAACCCCTTGGATGTGCTTGCCGTGTCGGAGGTGTAGGACATATAATGTGTCGCGAGCTTGATTGCTGTTGGCTATTGTTAGCAGCAACATCGTGAATCTCGAGACGTTGAGTAAGGGTTTGCGCACAATATACAACACCGACGAGATTCACATTCAAAGTAGAGAGATCTGGCTTCACGGGGTCTTTGGTTTTGTCTCCATCTTTCTCCGGTAGTAATGTTCCCTTCTCTGTTATACCAGCATTGGCGAAGACAATATCTATCCGGCCTTGTTGATCGACAACCCTGTTGAAAACCTCCGCTTGGCTCTCCCAGGAGGAGACATCGCACTGCTCAAATGAAACACTTGCCAATGGGAACTCCGCGTGTAGTCTCTCGAGTGTCTGCGTGCCAGCTGCGGAACTTATATCCAGAATCGTTATGTGTGTCTCTGGCTCTGTGATGAAGTGCTGGGTTATACCAAGGCCAATTCCCGAGGCACCGCCTTAGAGCTGGATCAGGGAGGATTCATTGTTGTTATGGGCTACTGTGCTACTCACCTGTAATAATGATGCTTCTTTTTGGTGCCATTTTGTGCGAAAGTGATATCCAAACTTGAGTTCTAGAAGTTTACTCTCGGAATTGGGAGAGGATTACCCCTCAAAACAGACTCCCCACGCATTTCCCGCATCTTTCACTGTATATACCGGAATTAAGCCGCAGTTTTGCTTTTGCTGTAAAACCTTGGCGTTCGCGGGGGAGCTTGGATTCACCGTGTAATCAAATGCGGCAAGGATGAGCCCTAACAGGGAAATAGAAAGGCATTTCGTGGTCTGACATCTGCCGCCTCAGTGGGGAACTGGGGGATTTCCGGGCATAGATCATCCTTTGAGATCCTCGTGTTGATCTTTCTACTGATGGCCACCCTCGGACAGACTTTTTGCTTTGCTGTCTCACTCCCACAGGCCAAGACTGCGGAATTAGATACCCAGCATACTCGGTGCGCGGAATACAAGTAGCTTCTAGTGTGTGGTTCGTATTCGATTGCAGATATATCTATGGGAAGCAGACTCGAAACTAGGCCATGGACGTAGGATCGCAGATAGGTTATGAGAAAGACATTGGTATTTGCAACATGCTGAGCGCTGCTCTTGTGGAACTTAGGTGCATATTCCTATGTTCTCCAGATATATATTCTTGGCCTATACTGTGATCACTAGTTTGGTCCCTAATGTGAAACATTTTGCGAAAGGTCCAAAGATTAGACTTGGGATTATGGTAACAATATATTTAAGCACAGTTCACATCCAGCAAGCTGTCATCAACCTAACGTAGAAATCAAATTGTCAGCAAGCCTTCCTGTGTATTGAGAAATTGAGAGACGTACATTCGTGCATGTAAACTTATCATCACCATCGGGACTCGTAACATCGATGTTGGTGGCCTTGATATCCGAGCAAACCTGAAAGAAGGTTAGACGCTGTATTATAGATCCATTTGTTACAGGTACTCACATCCGGACTAGAGCAAACAATTGTTCCCACATTAGGGTCATATTTACCCGATGTCACGCCGTTGAAGTTGGTGAAGAGGATATCTTCGATAACGAGGCTACTCTGTATGGCGCAAAAATTTGTCAGTCGGCTCGGCGTGTCTGGGTAGTGCATGATAAGCTAGGAAATACGTACGGGGAATTCGTTGCAAAGAGTCAGGTTCTTCTGACCATAGCATTGAGTCACCTCAATCGCATAGTCGACGTTGTCAATGGTCATTCCATCGTAAGTGACGTTCTTCACAATACCGGATCCACCGCCACCTTGGAGATCAGTTGAGAGAGCAGAGGCAGTTCCAGGCCAGACTTTGATACGAGCACCATCCTATACGATGAGATTAGCCATGTCCAATTTCATCTGGTTATGGTTCCGTACCGAAGCGTTGAACATGGAGATGTTGTAAATGAGCAAGTTTTCCACAATATCAACCTCGCCTTCGTATTGACCCAGAGACCCTACAGATATGCCGTGAGAACCGTTGCAGTGAACGTTCTGAACCAGGATCTCGGTAGTGTTGGGCTTGAAAGAAACACAGTCTTTGAAATAGTTAGTTTACGCTGCAAATAACTAACGAGAAAGGAAGTCATACCATCTCCGTTGTTAATGACAGAATTCTGAATGACAATGTTCGACGACCGGTAAAGATCCCTATCAAAAGCCATTAGTATAGACCCAAGGACCAAAGTGCTGAAATGAACATACCATCCGTCAGTATTCTTGGCCACGTTCTTGCTGCTACTAAACCCAGAGATATCAATCCCATCAAACAACACATCAGTCGAGTTGGCCACGAAGTGGTACCACTGAGGCGAATAGCGAAGCTTGAGAGGACCAATGGTACCACCATTCAATCCAATAACGCCAACAAGGATGGGGCGCAAGATGAGAGCATTCTCTGCATACAGATCATACCAGACCTGACCATTTCCATCAAGGGTACCGTCACCATACATGTTGACATCCTCGCCGCCGAGTTGGAAAAATGTGGTAGCGTTCTGGTAGATTTGTTTGAAGGCATTTGCCTGCCAGTAATCTGTGTCGTTGGTGAATTGGACATGGCCCTGGATTTCTATTTGTTCATTGTTAGTCCCAGCTTATCTAAATAGGCCCGCGGTAATACGTACCCAAATCAACGTGCTTGAGGAATGTCATGTCAAGTGCTTTTCCAATGGTATAAGTCTTCTCAGCATCGAAAATGACCTTTCCGCCATTGTTGCACTTGTGCAATGCAGACAGGACATTTGCCGAATCGTCTTTGCCGTTGCCATGGTTGGCTACATGGCAAGTCTTTGTTCTGGCATTGGAGGCAGGAAGAGGCTTAAATGGGTGTTTAGGGTGGCATGCATCAGTTCGAGAATGGCCAGGGCTCTTTGCATCGACTATGGCACCGAGAGAGCTGAGCACCCCAATGGCATGCACCAAGGCATTTGTGACCTTCATCTTGATGGTATGAAAACCGGGTGGAGTATTTATGGACAGGCGTGTCAATTGCGTATCAGGAGCTACCACGAGGTTTCGGTGAATATTAATACTGCCTCAGCTAACAGGATATCTCCTGAACTCCTCTGCCCTAGCTTTGCTGGCTTAACGCTAAGCAACGCCGCAAGGGGCATTGCGGTGGGGTAACGTCATATCGGATGCTTTAGTCCGGGGAAACAAGACAGCGAATTGATGATATGTGGGGGAGACGGAGCTTGAGATTAGCATGTGTGGTCAGTTGGCGTCTCAACAATGGAGTAGTTGGGCATTATGTGACTGTGCATTGCGTGGATGCAGCGACTATGCCGATCTGATAGGAGGAACATTTGGCCCTATTTCCCCGATTGGGAGGAAAATCCCGGGCAAATACTGGGGTCCCCAGGTCCGAGGTGGATAGTATAGGTTTAGCTTGATGCTATTCATCTTGCAGACTAGATCATAGTGTTTCACATTGACAGAGCAAGTGACTACTTCGAAATGGGCTTCTCGTAACTTCCCGTTCAACAGTCAGAACCAATCACCTTTAAATGCTTTATATATACAATTGGCTGCAAGAGAGAAACGAGAGACCAGGTATCGGTCCTGGGGAAAGCGAAGGTCATCCTAACCGAGCGAGCTCGATCATAGGATGCGCTCAAAGCTTCCTTAGGCGGGCCAAAGAATCTCTATAGCTACCGATCTAAGTGCAATCAGGCGCACCTCCTCAAACTATCATACCACGCGAAAATATCCGCTTCGTACTTAGGTGGACTTCTCAACCTTGTCGGCAACCTTCTGAACAGCACCCTCAGCCTGGTCGGCGACAGCCTTGACGGAGCCAACGGCCTCCTGTTCGAGCTCCTTGGCGGCAGCGGCGGAAGATCCATCTTGGCTGCGCTGCCACATGAAGATACGGGAAACCTGGACGGCACCAACACATCCGAGGAAGAAGTTGACAGCGGCAAGCCTGTAGGTTATGTTAGGGGTTGTACCGGGCAATTTCGTTGTCGGAGTAAACATACAGAACGTTACGGGGCTTGATGATCAAGCACCAGCGAGTCCAGATAGCACCGGTACCCATGAGGGCGGCATTCTGAGTGAGGGAGAGCTTCTCGGCGGGACGGGCGAAGTCGGAGATACCGGCGATGACGAGGCACCACTATTCGAGAAGTCAGTGACGGGGATCGATAACCATGGCAAAAGGCTCAAGGTCGCGGGTGATGATTATTCGATGATATCGCATTTGTGGACGGTATTAAGGGTATGAGAGGAGATGGCGGCATATCAGATAGCAAAGCAAGTCATCGTACCTTCATAACGGGAGCCCTGCGATAACAATGTTAGCACTTATTCACAGTCCAAGACATAGCCCAAGATATCCCCAGCACTTTCTACTCACCAGAAGTGGACGGTCTTCACACCGACAGGGCTGTTCCACATGCGCTGGAAGGTGCTCTGCTGCTCTGCGGCACCGGCTTCGGAGCTGGAGAAGCGGAAGCCCTGGGCACCCGACCGGCGGAATGGGGCGGAGGCATTGCGGAAGGCAAAGCGAGTGTTGTTGAGGAATCGGAGGCCCACGCGAGAAGACATGGTGATATGTGTGATGTGATCCGGGTTGTGAGAGGAAGAAGGATGGATGTCCGTGATCGGTGGAAGGGGGAGTTTTCCGTCGGAGATCGCAGATGGGCAAATCACCACCACAAAATTAGCAGGATATATAAGATAGTAGCCGGAATGTACAAAGCTATTCCCAAGCAATTGACCGAGAACAATTAATGATCTCTTCTTTACTGCTGCGATGACGCCGAGAGAGGTCCAGCTTATGTAACCAGATGCCACTAGCCCAATGCAGACTAGCGGAAGTTGTCTCTGCGCAGCGAATCACCGCCGTCGTGAATAATGCACCGCATCAGTTCCTCCCTCACCTCGCTATACCCTCGACCTCCACATCTGCTTGACTACCCACCATGTCTGGCAAGTACGTCTTCACCCAGGGCCTGAAGGAGCTCCGTTTCCTCTTCTGCCAGACCTCCGAGGCCAGCGCTGCCACCAGGTGCGTACCATCCGAAGCCAATGCCTCAACTCCATTGATTGACCCCAATATCAACAGAACTTTCCTCAACCGCGCCTACCCTACCATGAAGAAGCACAACCCTAACACTCCTATTATGATGCGCGAAGCCGCAGGCACCCAGCCTCGTGTCTTTGCCCGTTACGGTATGTCGAACCTACGCCGCGCTGTAGGCATTGAAACACGAATGAATTATGCTAATTGTATTCTTTCTTCGTCGCAGCCTTCGGATTGGAAAAGCAAGAAGCACTGTCCGGTACGTACCGAGTCCCGCCAAACATAGCAATATCAGACCCGGGACGGACCCGACCCAGAACCAGAACAAATACTGACAAGTGTCCCACAGGTCTCTCGGACGCGCAGATTGAAGATCGCATCACGCAATTGGTGAAGCAATCATCATAAATTTATTACCATACCGATTTATCTTATGCCCCTACCGCGTTCCTACCGTTTTACACCCATCTCTGTACCTATAGATGAAATCGAACACCTTGATATTCAAAACCAGTCAATTCTTTCAGGCAAAGAATATCTCACATTCCATTCAATTCCACTCACTTCCATGCACTTTCAAACAGAGCTTTACTATAACGAACTAGCCTTCTCAATTGTCCCAAACCGATACTGCGCCCAACTCATACTACCCTCCGGATAAGTCCACAGTCTCTTTCCACGGTCCTCACCGGCAGCACCAGCCCCAATATGAATAGGAAGCAAATGCTCGAATGAGGGATGAGCCTGGCGCGCATCAGGACGCTTCAACAGCTCAGCCATAGCCTTCTGCCTCTCAGCAGGTGCGGTAGTCACAGCATCCTTGAGCGCCTCGTCAAAGCTAACAGCGTACGGCATTGGCTTCGGGTTCCTGAATGTATACCGCAGATCGCGAAGATTGTGCACTGCCATTCCCGATACAATAATCAGGATGTTATCTTCGCGGAGGCGGGATACTGCCTGTCCTAGGCGGTAGTGCTGGTCTGGGTCTTCTGTTTCGAAGAGGGAGACTTGCACAATTGGGACGTTGAGAGGGTTTGTGTCTGGCTCGAAGGCTGTGTTGATATCCTGGTTAACTTGGCTGGTCTTACTAATATCGGTGGTATACATCTGGGCGTCCATGGATGGCAGGATAAGGTGATGGAATGAACACATACCACATTTGAAACTAGCCCAAACACCGTGATCAAGACCGCGTTTCACGCCCTCCGCCTTGATACCGGCCTCCTTGAGTGAATCGAGAACTTGATTCGCGACTTGCTTGCTGCCAACATTCGGGTACTTCTCCTTGTAGTAATGGCTGGGGAATCCGTAGAAACTAAACACCACCCAGATCAGCAACTTGTTCCGGTCTCAATGCGGGTTTACATACTCATAGATCAAGTCCGTACTCTCAGCAGTATTAACATGGATAGTATCCCTCGCCGCCTGCCAATGCGCCGAGAAAACAACCACGGCACGGGGCTGAACCTTGGTGGTAATTTCTCGGCCGATTTGAGCTAGCTTTTTGTAGGCTGGGTGTTCGACTTCGTACATGACGTTTGGCTGTTTGTTTTGTTAGCATTTATACTCAATTTCTGACGAACGTTTGAATATGAATTCAAAATTGGGTCATATACTCACCCCGCCATGGCTAAGGAAATAAATTGGAGTCTTGGATGAAGACATTGTATCAGATGATGGTTCCTTTGCGATCGCCGCGGTGGCTACAGAGGCTGATGCTGATGCTGATGCTGCAGTAGAGATAGGACCTGCGGAACGTGTTGAAGCAGAGAAGAATCGTCTGAGGCCGAACACGTTGGCGGTGTCTCCCCAGAATAAGGAGGCGAGTATAGCAGCAAATATAGTTAGTAGAGAAATCAGGGCAAGTTTTCTTCCACTGATTGGGGTTAATGTATCTCGATTCGCAGTTGGCGGATTGGTAGATTCGGAAGACATGTACCAAACTGGTCGCGACTTTAAATCTCTAGAAGGTTGAAATGGGCGTGAGTGAATACAGAAATAATCTAAACCGGCGCGATTGGAATAGAATAGAATTATTGCTTAGATATATCGGACTTGCATAGTGCCGATGGGATGAGCCGGTCCGATTTCAGTGTGTCAGCGCGGAATCGAAGCCGCTTCGGATATGCGCGGAATAACGGATGTAGTCGTTTGATCAATTGTTCATCTATGAATTTGTACAAATGCTGTTTTTCAACAGATATTGACTCTTTTGCATGAATTTCTCACATGCACATCCAATTCATGAACCAATATAGTAGGGGAGAGGAGAAAAGATCTACATGGGATAAGAGTGCTTCTCGTCCATGTCCAAGAGAAGAAAAGAAAAGAACCTGCAGAATGAAAAGGGGTAATGCATCAAGCGCCAGTGATCATGAGTATCATACATGTATGCAAGCAAGCCATGTGAGAGTATAGGAAGGGAATTAGACAAAAAGAAGAGACCAAAAATATCACATTACATGACGATGCAATCGCCATCACTCTGCTTGTTAACCGCAGAGCGAGAAAGACGGGTCTTTTGCATCCTGCTTCCGCCCTTCTTGAGATCCTCAAGTCGTTCACGTGCCTTGGGGAATCCTTGGGCTAAAAGGTAAACAGTCAGTGAGTGTAGAGATGGGAAATGGGAAAGATATCAACTTACCAGCTGCACGCCAGTACCACCGTTTCGCATCGTCCAAATTCGCAGCAGAGCCGATTCCAACCTCGGTGAAGTAACCCATGGCATACTCTGCCTTGGCAAGACCGGCAGTAGCGGCTTTGCGAGCCCATAGATAGGCTTCGGTATCATTTTGTGATAGAATGCCTTCCGATCCAGTGAGATACCAACCACTTAGGGCAAGCTCACTTTGGTGTTCACCTTGGGCTGCGGCGCGGGTGTACCAAATAATACTTGTGCGGTTATCAACAGGGCAACCCATCAGTCCATACTCGTAGGCATTGCCAAGACAGAACTGTGAAAACTTGTAACCTAACTCAGCAGCTTGGTGGAAGAGCTGGCTGGCGTATTGTTCATCGCGAACGATGATGTCATTTCCGCCCGCGTTCTGATACATCAGAGCGAGCTCGTGCAAGGCGTGAGGGTTCTCCTCGTCTGCACGGTCTGCTGCGCGCTTGAGCCAGGAGACGCCCTCCCGGGGGTTGCGCGCTTGACCGAGCAATCCCTTGAGGTTGATCATGCCCATTTTATACATGGCGGGTGTGTCACCAAGAGCAGCGGCGCGCTTGTACCATTGGACGGCCTTGAAAGGGTCGCGCTTGGTACCACCGCCTTCTTCCTGGCCAATTTCGCAGCAGACTGCTACACGGTATGCAGACTGGGCGTGGCCTTGCTTGGCGGCAGAGTGGTAGAGAGAAAAGGCTTCTTTGGGATCAACTTCCAGGCCAAGGAGACCCTCGCCGTAGCAATCAGCCAAGAAGAATTGTGCTTCAGAGTACCCGGCTGTGACAAGTTTTTTCACCACCTTGTGAGCATCAAGGATATACTTCTCTTTAGCCTTGACCTTGGTTTTCGGATCGAGCCGACTGTTATTCTCAACAAGAACGGTGGCTGCTTCAACCAGCTTTTTGGCCAGAAGAAGCTGCGTTTTTTGGTCCGAGGGGTTTCCCCGCACCTGCTGTTGCAGTCGCTGCAACTCTTCTAGTGTGACTGGTGCCGGGGCATTGGCAGCTGGCACAATCGGCTGTGGCATAGACTGTGGTGTAACCTGTGGGGGGGCAGCTTCAGGAGTGGTGTACTGGCGAACCGGCGCAGGTTTGGGGGCCGTATCGTGGCCCAGGCGGAACGGGGCTGGGTGATGAGGCAATGCATCCGAGTTTTGCTGGGGTTCTACCATATCAGGCTGCTCTGGGTGATAAGCCGGTTGGTTCATTCGAACCGGTGCAGAACCGTGGGAGTAGCCGTCATAGTTGCCATAGCCGTTTGATCCATAGCCGTTTGGTCCATAGCCAGGGTCTTGATGGTCCATGGAATGAGGATCTTCTCCTGGAATATCAAACTGAAACCCTGCATTATCGAACTGGTTCACCTCGGCCTGTCGCAAATTTGGGTGAGATTGGGAGCGCTGAGCGTCTGCGGTTGGAGAGTATGAAGTATAGTCGCCAATAGGGGAAGAATTAGGAGCAGGGCCGGGTCTCCGCATTGGGGTGGGCGTGTCCAATCCCATCTCGTCAATCGGACCATGCTGCTTTGTGTCCGGAATGGCATCAAAGTTGGGCATGTCGGGTTCGTCGCCGCCACCACCACCAGAAGTCTCGTAGTAACTATCCAGGAATTCCTTGGGCGCGTATGAAACGCGATTGGTGGGTTCCGGGGGAATCATCAATCCAGGGTCTATATCGTTGGGGGCACGAGATTGCGGAGGTCGCATACTTCCAGCAGTATTGGGGCGCATGGGAGGTTCGAAAATGGGACTGGCTGGATAATCCGATTCTTGATAGGTCGACTGCCCTGGGTACAAGGGAGCACTTGGAGGACCCATTGGAGATATCGGTGTCATCGGCATTGTTGCGCTTCGCCCTGGCGGAGGCATAGGGCCACCAATGGGATCGATATAAGGGCGGTCTGGTCTACCTGAGCTGGCAGCTCGCACTGGGCCCATTGGGTATCCACCTCGGCCTCTGCCTGGCGGAGGCCCGCGTGGAGGCGGTCCTCTCATGTCTGGGCGTCTTCCATTTGAATTTGAAGTATGTGGCCGGGGAGGAGGGCCTCTGCCGTTGATATCCATAGCAGCCATGCCATTTTCAAGACTTCCAGGTGGACCGCGACGGTCTCTAGGGTCCCTAGGGTCTCTAGGGTCTCTGGGAGCTCTTCGGTCTCGTGGATCTCGTGGACCTCGTGGGTCTCGCGGGTCTCGCGGGTCTCGTCTGGGATCACCCCTTGGATCACCTGGTGGAAAGGAAGGGAAAGGATTGTCAAAGGTAGCGCCTGGAGGTGGGCGTCCGCCGGCTGAGGAATTGTTAATCGCGATTTGAGGCACATTTTCTCTGGGTCACGTACGTGTTCTTGATCGTTTTTGCGGTGGAGGTCTTCCTCCAGGACCAGGAGGATAACCTCGCCGGTCATCGGGGCCAGGTGGTCGTCCGTATCCAGGTCCTGGAGGGCCCGGTGGGCGCATCGAGCGTGGCTGCGACTGCGGGGGTGCATATGGCCCGGAGCCTGCCGAGTTGGACCTATAGCTATAGGCCGCATCGTCGTAGCCCGGGTCCGCAGTGTGATGATCCGAGCTGCTCATGCCGCTATCGCTGTAACCTGCATAAGAGCCATCCTGCGAGTGTCCTCCTGGCGATGTCACCGAGGGCGTAGGGGCGTTGTTGTACTGTCGCAGCGGCGGCGGCCTCTGCGCGGGAAGTTGTTGAGGGTACGACATGGCGCCCAGAGACCAATAAGCGTGCTATACAATGGATCGAGGTTCAGATGGTCGCCGAGGGTCGTGGTGAGGTCTGAGTTGATCGCATGCAAGGAGGGGTGCGCTGCGACTTTTCGGTTAGCCTGTTTCATTCCATACTTCCAAAGGCGCCTAACAGCGCATTATTCATACCTAGACCGCAATGACACTCAGCACACAAGGCAGTCAAGCAGTTAAGCACCTGGGTGAATCAGGAGCCACAGGGACTTGAGGAATATCCAAGTCACGAATGGGCAGAATGATTTAGGGGCGGTGGCAGGTGACTTTTAAGTCCAATGACCCACTTCCGGGATTCCAATCTCTTCAGCGGTTAACTTCATACTTTAAACCCTTGCGATTCGGATTTCTGGGTTTGGGGGTTGTTTGGTTTCTACTGGTTCCTGGGGCTTCCGGCTTTTCACCGGTCTACTGTATTTCATAGATACAACAGCACGATATCGGGGAACTCTATGATTCGAGTCAGAGTATACTGTACTGTACCTGACGATCGAGGGGGACCTGCAGACTCGTCACGTTCTACCGGTATTTCGCACTTCACATTGCAGGGACTATTGGCCTCGGACATTTGACTGTGGCTACTGTACTGTACAGTACCTGGGAAAGCGAATCCACTTGGGCACTGTGACAACATCTGGTCCACTGTTCCCTAGGGCAAATGGGGCACTTGAAACGAAATTACCTTGCTGATCCAATCAAACTGAGATCCACCAGGGCGAGGACCAAATAACCGGTCAAAGACCGTTGCAAGACAGTGTAGGATAAGAATAGCGATAGGGTCCTGGTCCACGTTGTCTCGGACATTAAACCAGCATTCCACACTTGAATGTGGGGAGACAAAGGGAGAAAATGGAGACAAGAGAGAGCAGACCTCGGAAGTGCATTTGGTGTCGAATTCCCCAAAGGGGACTAGCGTAGACTATGCGCCACACTTCCCAGCCTCAGTCTGAGCTGCGCCACGATGCTCGGCAACAAATGAGATCCGCCATGATGTTGATGATCTTGATGATGTTGATCTCGGCATCTCACACCTTCCACTCCGAAAGTGAACCCCCAACTGTCCACCTTTCCAATTACCCACAATGTCTCGCGCAGTGTTATGGACCAAGGTTGTAGCCGGGTAAGTGAGACCCTGCGTCACAGAAACGTGTGCCCAGCGATTCGCGATTTGCGACTTGCCACTTGCGCTAACATCTCGCTCAATGCAGTGGCCTGCTCATGGTTGTCGGAGGCCCCGCTTTCGTTGAATACATCCGACCCTCCGACGAAGAACTCAGGAAGCGATACAATCCGGACTTGCAGAAGCGCAGTGCTGAACAGGGAGAACGCCGCGCCCAGGAATTTGACGACTACGTGACCAAGTTGAAGCACTGGTCCAAGTCTGATAAGTCCAGTATGTGATATCCCCGACGCTGTTGCCCTCAAAATGCTTTGGCTTACACATATCTTCAAATCTAGTCTGGTACGCCGCGCAAGAAGAATTAGACAACAAGCGGGCAGCTATTGAGGCTCAACGAGCACAGGCAAAGGAGGAAACAAGGACACAACGGGAGGAGATGCGTAAGGAGATGCTGGGCGACAAATGATTGCCGGTACCCCGCGAGTGCTCTGCGACATTGCCTGTCTCAGTCGTGCTGAAATATTGATCCTTGATACCAACCCTCCGCCACTCCTGCCGTGATCCGAATGCCGATGATTCCGCTGTCTCCGTTGCCCTGCTTGGGGCGATGGTTCGAACCTCCCGTGTTATGCGATACGCAGCCTCGGATAGGTCTGCTGTATTCCATAAGTTATTATTGTGTGTACGATACGTTTTTTGCCTCTTCTCTCATCTTTGCACTACCTCGTAACTGGGCCATATCTGTACAATTACCGACGTTTACGCTGTCTCAATATTATAATCAAAAGCGAATCTTGCTCTATCTATTCAAATTCGAATTTATCCTGTATCTATATGGACTTGATGTCCGATCATATTCCCTGTCCCTAACAATGAATTCGCTGCTCTTTAAGCGTACTCATTGTTCGCACAGGCTTTTAGAAGAAAGTGAAATATAGTCCACGATATATATTACTCTAAGCCCGATGCCGTACTCTCCTGATTTCAACCCAGTTACGGGGAAATGTAAAAACATTGGGGTGACAATGATGCTCACAGCCCTAGTTCCTGGATATATTTCTCGCAAAATCAGTGCTTGACCCAAAATATATACAACCATTCTTCAATGAATAAATAAATCGTTAACAAATCTTATGACCACAAGACAATAAAAACAGCACTCCCAATGGGCAGTAAAACAGCCAATGCAGCAACAATACCAGCACCAGCTTTATCACCAGTCGTAATCTCCCTCGTTCGGATATCCTCCTTCTCCCCAGATCCAGAGCCAGATCCAGTATCCTTCCCACTTCCAGGATTCCCTTTACTAGTCCCGCCAGTTTTCGCCGTAACAGGTACCTTAACAGTATGTACCAAATTCGCCTTGAATATCTCCAACGCAGCCATCTGCTCACCAATACCAGTAGATCCGTCATACTTGGTACCCTTGGTCCACCTCAACCCACAAGCATTATCAGGCCCATTACATTGCTCTGCGGCAGCTTGGGCAGATCCTTGGATCTTATCCCACAGTGTCTCATTGGCGAACGGGGCTAGTGGGATAGTTGCAGCCATAAACCGTGCCAGGTAGGATTTGAACGATCTCGAATTGAGATCGCATTGGTCTTTTTCGCATGGTTCAACCATCACATCTTGTCCACTCGGGAAGAAAGTCGTCAGTCCGTGGATGATCCCTTCAATGCGTTTTTTCCAGATTGTCGCGCCGTTGGTCTAAATATATCATACCCCGTTAGCAAGGAAACTGCCTGTCAGTATTTGGGGGAGGGGGACTCACAATGTTATACATATTCGCCGCCCCATGCAAATAGACTGCAGGCAAATAAGCATGCTGCACAGCATTAACCTTGGAGCAATTCCCAGTACTATCCGTCCCGTCATAAATGAGATAATCTTCGCTGATCAACCCCAAAGCCTCACTCCAATCCCAGACTTTATTCGCCCACTCTTCGAATGTCTGATTCCCCGTATAACGTGCCAACCGCGCAGCTACATTAAAGAAACCCCCATTCGAAATGGTATTCTTATATGAATACCCACCATTATACTCAAAAATTTGCCAATGCAACCCACCTCCACAAGTGGTCATGTCCCAGCGTGTAGCTTGCGAGTTGAAGGTATTCTCCGCAAGTTCCAGCCACTGCGGTTGATCAGCCGGTGGATCGGGGTATTTCAGCTCGGCAGCCGACATGGCAGCAAAGCCCCAGAATATTTGATCGTCGTTGCCGAGGGAGAGGGTTTGGTTCTGAGGCATGAAGTTGTTGTTGTCGCCTACTTGCCAGAGCAGGGCTTGTGTTGTTATTTCGTTCCAAGTTGTGTCGCCAGTGTAGTACCAGTATTCTACCATTGCACCGAACATAGCCCCTGCTTCCCACCAGTAATACGGACCTGGGATGTTGCCTGGCACATCGCCTGGCTGATTGCCTGTGTAGTATTTTAGCATGCCGGCTGCGGCAGTTTTGGCGGCGGCTTTTATGGAGACTTGGTCGGTGGAGTTAGCTACTGGTTATACTTTGTAGACTGAGTGTTTTGTTTGATATACCTTCATCGTTGAGATCGAAGGAGATTGATGCCTGCGTAATTTGCGGTCCCAGTGCCGAGAGAAGAAAGTATACAGAGCCGCATGGTAGATACCTCATAGCGATAGCGAATATTAGGGTATACTAAGAATGAGCCCATGAACCACCAAGTAGATTAAAAAGGTATCCAAGTGCGAATGAGAAGTTGAAATGATTGCATTTTGAAAGCTGGGCTGTAAATCACCGAGAGCCACGAGAAAATGGGGCCAAATAGGGCTCTTGGGAACATATTGAATAACCGTGGACCAAATGGGAATCGTGCATTCTATTTGCGGGGGCCATCTTTGACACCAGGCCCCATGTGAGCTACCGAGTCATAGAGATTGAAAAAAAAGATGAAACGAAGCGCTCTTTAGCCTTGATCTTGGACTTGGCATCGGTTTTCTCCAAAGTGTACGCAGGCCTCAGCCTTGTCGGCGATCTGGAGACCCTGGGTTTCAGGAACACCCATAATTACCACCATGGGCTCATTATTGGCCAGCTCAATCCAGGTAAGAATCGCAATGATAGCTCTAGCAAGTCAAGACCCTATCATGAGAATTGTTTACTCTGTATGTACTCTACCGGGAAGGAATCATTTCTACTGTACAATTTCGCAAGTGGTACTGTTTATAGACATCAGGGTCCGAGGCAGTCATTGGTCTGAGCGAATGAATATGGCTAGCACCAAGTTTGTACAGTACACTAGCGACTGTGGAATTGTGGGACTGGGAGGCTGTACAGGAGGGGCCACGTTCATTGATCGATCTCTCCCTCCATAGACGGATCGGCATATAGGCTACTGTAATGATAATTTGGGGGCCATTTGGGTCGCAGGTTGCCATGAGCCTGCGGCTCCTTAGAAGTATTTTAACCGAAAGTCTTCAATTTTTAACTCCAGCCCTATCTTGAGACCCGAGGATACATAGGTTTTGAGGTTGATAGCTAACCATACAAAGCATCTAATTCTGCAAGATATACACTGTAAAGGCAAAGAACAGGCACTCACAATAGAGAATCCATCAACGCTACATATCGTCAACGCTATCGCAACTTTCTACGCGGACCAAGGTCTATTACTAGACGCCGTGGTGCTGCCTCAGAGGCAGGCTAACAGCATATAAATCAGAGCAGAGATCAACACTCGACACAGTCCACAATCTTGAAATTCTCTACAAGAAACAAGGTCGATTCCGAAAAGCAGAGGCGATGTACAAATGGGCACTGAAAGGCACTCGAGACTGTCTGTAAGCTCGGAAACCTTCATGTGAAGCAAGGTCGGCATCTCAATGCAGAGGCGATGACGAATGAGCGCTAAAGTGCAAAGAGAAAAGATTAAGACTAGGGCATATATCAACCTTGGAAACGGCTGAGAACCTCAAAGCCCTTTACAAGGAGTAAAGCTGGCTTCCGGAGATAGACAAGCTATACGAACGAGTACTGAAGGCAACAGGCGGGCCTTATGTCCCTGAATTGCAAAGCATCTATCCCTGCCTCTTGGTCATGATTGAAACTTAGATCTTGTAAAGTTAAAGCTGAGAAAGGGATGCCCTGGATTTCCAGTATACGTTCGTTATACTTCGTACAACTTACCTTGGTGACTGTAAATTGCGCAAAAGCGTTGAGCGTGTTCATTCTGGTTTAGCGCCTACCGGCGCATTTGCGTATTTCTATAAAGTTACCTTTATCACCGCTTCAACATCCAACTGTTTTCCGCCCTTCTACCCTATCTTTCTCTCCGTACTTTATATAAGTCTTACGAGTGAGGCATGCTTGCCGTCGATCCGGATCACCGACTCCCACTAACCCTTATGTAACCAGCGCAAACGGCCGTCAGCTCTATAAAGCCTTTCGAGCTTTCTACTGCAGCCTATGCCTTAGAAAGGAGAGACATTGGTTAAAATGTTTACTGTCATGATCTGACTCGTACATTCCATACATAAGCGAAACCAGAGGCTTTCTAGTAAGCTCTCTAAAGGCCAAGCTATCGGCCTCAAGCAACCATACCTTACAATTTAATTTAAGATATAACACACATAGATTGTATCTGAGGCATCCGCTGCACTAATCAGGATACATACCCTGGAGCTGACTCAGATGCGTGGATGCGTCGCCAATTTTGATGCATTGGCTCATGCAAACGGCGCGCCACGTTGGACCGTTTTGTTCTTCAGTTTCGAAATATACTAATACTAATTCATTCCATCACTTGAGGTAAAACTGGTCAAAGAATATCTAGACATTGAAAGGGTCGGAACATCTTGCCCGATTGAGCCATTCTAAAAATAGCTCGGTTCCTCGAGCAACTGGAGTCTGGAAGGGAATCAATAGGCAACCGGATAACCAATATACGAGAGACTCTTGGAAGGCACCTGCTTTTAAGAAGTGAAATATTGATAGGTTAGAGAGGGACTGGGTATAAACAGTGAAGTGACTCTCAATGATACATCAATTCATTTCCCCTACTCATTGACGAGAAACCACAACTAAATTATGGAATCAAGTTGAGCATTTCAGAGCTATAAAGAGAATAGAATAGAGAAGAAAGACGACATCACCGTAATAGTGGCTGATGTCAAGGTAGAATAATTCCCCCGGAAAGCCGACGCTCTGAGAGACGCCACGCCACGTGACTCTGGGCATTGGAGCGGCAACTCTCATCTCCAGGTCAGCATCATTCCAGCCTCTACTTCCACCCCTCGTCGTTTCACTACATCTCAATCTCTATCAATTTTTAGGAGCATTTATCTGCTACCACTCAAATACACCTCTGCCAGTGCTCTAGACATCGGCTGCTTCGCCCGCTTGTCGATCAAAACAACCCCTGCTCCTTCCGACAGGTCGTCTGAACATCTCGACCTCGCGCGTACCCGAGCCTTTCCCACACTTCGCTACAACTCTCACCATGGCTCCTACCGAACAACCATATGATCCTTATATCCCCGCCGGCTCTGCCGGAGCGGATGATCTATCGAGGGGCCCCAAACCGAACAACAATATCGACAAGATCTCGAAAGTGAGTCCATTCTGAACACCCCTCGACTGATTGCGACATAAGAGCCTTGATGTCATCGCATGTGGTCTGTTCATCGTGGCGCATATGTGCTGTTTTGGCCAAAATGCGAAGGTTAGGTCAATGGATTACCAGATTGAAACTGACAATGTTTGGCTATAGGAAATTCAAGACACCGTAGGTGTGATGAAGGACAACATTGACAAGGTCTCCCAGCGTGGAGAGAACCTGAGCTCGCTTCAGGACAAGACCGACAACTTGGCCGTTTCAGCCCAAGGCTTCCGCCGAGGCGCCAACCGCGTGCGCAAGGATATGTGGTGGAAGGACATGAAGATGCGTGTTTGCCTGATCATTTGTGTGATTGTGCTCCTCGTGGTCATTATCGTGCCATCCGGTAAGTGCCCACTGACGATGACGGGTAAACTTGACGCTAACTTGCTTCGCAGTGGTTGCTACGAAACACCACTAAGCCATGCAATACGCGCTCCTGACGATTTCTCTTTGGACATGGGATCTTGATTTTACTGGGTTTATGTTGCTAAGGCTGTAAGGTCTTTTCGTTTTCACAGCCGCTAATACCTCCTGCTGTTTTTCTTCTATTTTCTGGGCGTGTTTTGAGAGACTCCATCCTCTTTGACTTTCTCCGTGCTATGACGCTGCTGATCCGATGGGTCAGTGTTGCGACTGGGTCAACGGGTGAATATGTAAATGATACTTGATGCCGTGTTTAAGTATGTTTTTATCACATTGCAATTCCGCTGTTTTCTAGCTGCAATGAATCACCGTCGTGATATTTCGAGAAAAGCCAGTTGTAGAATAGTAGGGTGTCAGTTGCTGGGACCATGGAGTTAGATGAGAGCCCTGGAGATCTCCGAGTGTGGAGAAGATCAGACTCTCTCGCACCAGCTTCAGGGTTTTCCACGTGGGCTCCGATTTTCCCAATCTTCATGCAGGGGCACCGATACCCCGTTCGGCGTGTATCAAAAGGTCTACGTCGACTATTCTACAGAATGCACAAAATATTTTCTACGCTGATGTCTGTTAGACCAATGCTCAACAGCTCGTCCTCTTCGGAAAGCCTCCAGCCGGCGTTGGGTAAAAAGAATCAGATAATACGACTGCAGACCTTGGCATGAGACATGAGTGTCCACCTTTCCTCAACGAAGACCACTGAGGGCCAGCCTTGTCACTGTGCCGGTCGGAAGAAAGCGTAGACAAGAGAGACTAGAGCCAGACAGAGTGGAGGCAGTGGATAGCATGGCTCAACACAACGAGTGAGAAGAAGGGACCGGATCAGATAAGTTAGACTAACCCGAAGCCGGATGACGTTTCACGATCGCAGTTGGGTCAAGTGGGCTTTTTTTTCTCCCGGAGACTCGCTTGTGAAGAGAATTGATATAAGAAATTGCCGTGAGGTTTGAATTTTCGCGTCGGCTATAGCGCCACACCCTACCGGAGCAGATGTAGGCAGTCGGTCTAGATTATGTATGCGCCTTTAATGTGATTAGTGTAATATTTCACGCAGAAAAAACCACGTAAGAGCGTGAGAAATCGAAGCAGATAAATCACTCGCTAGTCCTGCTAGTCCTGCGAAAGTTGGGTCATATTGGCCCACCGCCTTCCGTCCTATCTCGCTCCGAGGCCCGGCCGATCTTCGAAAATCTCTCTTGACTCAACTCAACTCACTTACCACCTCTCTACTCTGTCATTGTAATTTGGGGCCTCACCCAGGGACCGACTGTGAGACCATTGAGGCTGCCGCATGTGGGTTGCTCCAAGATGATGTCCCTTCGCTCCGCTGTGCGGAGAGCTTCTACTAAGCCCCTCCGTTCCCTCTCCGCATCGACTGCCTCTCCCCTCCGAGCTGGCATCACTGGTGTCAAGGCTACCACTCGCCAAACTCGCCACTACTCCCGCGCAACTGATCCTCACCTGACTTCCACCCGCAGCACTGTCGTCCAGCTGCTGAGCAACATTGGCTCCAAGCGTGAGGTCCAGCAGTACCTGTCCCACTTCACTTCAGTGTCCTCGCAGCAATTCGCCGTGATCAAGGTCGGTGGTGCCATTATTACCGAGCACCTCCAGACTCTGTCCTCCGCTCTCGCTTTCTTGAACCATGTCGGTCTCTACCCGATCGTCGTCCACGGCGCCGGCCCCCAGCTTAACCGTATGCTGGAGGCTGCCGGTGTTGAGCCCCAGTTCGAGGATGGTATCCGAGTGACGGATGGCAAGACTCTGGCCCTGGCCCGCAAGCTCTTCCTGGAGGAGAACATGAAGTTGGTTGAGGAGCTTGAGCGCATTGGCATTCGTGCTCGTCCGATCACGGCGGGCGTTTTCTCCGCCGATTACCTCGACAAGCCTAAGTACAACCTGGTTGGTAAGATCAATGGCGTGGACAAGAAGCCAATTGAGTCTGCTATTGCCGCTGGCTGCCTGCCTATTCTCACCTCCATGGCTGAGACCCCCGATGGCCAAGTGCTGAACGTCAACGCGGATGTGGCTGCCGGTGAGCTTGCCCGCTCTTTGCAGCCCCTCAAGATCGTCTACCTCGCTGAGAAGGGCGGTCTCTTTAACGGTGACACCGGTGAGAAGATCTCCGCCATCAACCTCGATGAGGAGTACGACCACCTGATGAACCAGTGGTGGGTGCGCCACGGCACTCGTCTGAAGATCAAGGAGATGAAGGATCTTCTTAACGATCTGCCTCGCTCTTCCAGCGTTGCCATTATCCACCCCGCCGACCTCCAGAAGGAGCTCTTCACCGATTCCGGTGCCGGTACCCTGATCCGTCGCGGTAACAAGATCCATGTCAAGACCTCTCTGTCCGAGTTTGAGGACTTGCAGGCTCTCAAGGATGTGCTGGTCCGTGATCGCGAGGGTCTTGATGCCCGCGCTGTCGTTGACCGCTACGTTGAGGGTATGCAGGAGAAGGACTTCAAGATTTACTCCGACGAGCCCATGGAGGCTCTCGGTGTTGTCCTCCCCCTCAGCCTGGCTCCCAGTTGGCCCACCTTGCCACTTTCACCATCACCAAATCCGGCTGGTTGACCAATGTTGCTGACAACGTCTTCGCCAGCATCAAGAAGGACTTCCCCAAGCTGGCCTGGACTGTCAAGGAGGATGATGAGAACCTCACCTGGTTCTTTGACAAGGCTGATGGCAGCCTGAGCCGCGATGGCCAGGTCCTGTTCTGGTACGGTGCCGAGAACGGCGAGGAGGTTAAGCACCTCGTCCAGGAATTCAACCAGCACGGTCGCCAGATGTTCGGTGACATCAACCTCGAGTCGCGCCTCCACCGCGCTGCTGAGGCTGCTACCCACATTGGCAAGGGCTTCGGAGCTAGCGGTGCTTCTGTTGAGCAGAAGCGCGGTTTCTCCACTGCCACCAACGCTCTGCGCATGTCTCGCGCTAAGCGTCCGGCTGTTGCTGCCAGCGCTGTCCGCACTTTCGCCACTACGAACCCCAACCCTCCCCTTGGAGAGAAGAACATCTCCAACACCCAACCTGCGAGGGTTGCTCTTATTGGTGCCCGTGGTTATACCGGCCAGGCTCTTATCAACCTGCTGAATGCCCACCCCAACATGGATCTTCGTCATGTCTCTTCTCGCGAGCTTGCTGGCAAGAAGCTTCAGGGCTACGAGAAGCGTGAGATCATCTACGAGAACCTGAGCCCTGATGATGTCCGTAAGATGTCCGCCAACGGCGACATCGACTGCTGGGTCATGGCTCTTCCCAACGGTATCTGCAAGCCTTTCGTCGACGCCGTCGATGAGGGCTCCGAGAAGGGCAACGTCATTGTTGACCTGAGCGCTGACTACCGTTTCGATCCCAAGTGGACCTACGGTCTTCCTGAGCTGGTTGAGCGATCCAAGATCGCCCGTGCCACCCGTATTGCCAACCCTGGCTGCTACGCCACTGCCGCTCAGCTTGGTATTGCTCCTCTCGTTCCGTTCCTTGGCGGCCAGCCCACCACCTTCGGTGTGTCTGGTTACTCCGGTGCTGGCACTAAGCCCAGCCCCAAGAACGACGTGCAATACCTGACCAACAACCTCATTCCCTACAGTCTGACTGACCACATTCACGAGCGTGAGATCAGCTCGCAGCTGGGTACCAGCATTGCGTTCATCCCCCACGTTGCTGTGTGGTTCCAGGGTATCTCTGTAAGACAACATCGGCTTCTCATTTAAGACAGCAATGGCTAACCTCTTTCACAGCATTCCATCAGCATCCCATTGAAGCAGAAGATGACCTCCCGTGACATCCGCAACCTCTACCAGGACCGCTACGCCGGAGAGAAGCTCGTCAAGATCGTTGGCGAAGCCCCTCTTGTCAAGGACATCGCTGGCCGTCACGGAGTCGAGATCGGTGGATTTGCCGTCCACTCCAGCGGCGAGCGCGTTGTTGTCTGTGCCACCATTGACAACCTGCTGAAGGGTGCCGCCACCCAGTGCTTGCGTATGTTCCCATCTCATCCATTCTCATCGAACACATCACTAACTTTCCTTAGAAAACATGAACCTAGCTCTTGGCTACTCCGAGTACGAGGGCATTCCTCTCGACTAACTCCTTCAAAATTTAGTTTCTTGTTAGCTACCACTGTTGTTTAAGTGCTGTCCTTGTTTTTTGTCTCATACCCTGCGTACATCTCATATCTCGCTCTGGGTTGGACAATTCTGGATGCTTCCTATTTATCTTCGAATCTATTTCATAGTGGATTTTGTTCCGTTTATACTTGCGCTGAAAGAGTTTTGTTCCTTCTTGCCCTATCTTCCACCGTCTCTCTCTCTAGATTGTCCTGCCTCCCTTGATGGATGGTCTCCTTTTGCGTTGCGCTTGAAGATGGATTCTGCGCATGAAAAAAAAAAGTAAAGCGTTTTGTGTCCTGTTTCGTTGCTCGGTTCTCTGTGGGTGCTTTTACGTGCCCTATCCTACCTCTCCCTGTCAGGCTATGGATATAGAAGCTGTCGATTAATGTGTGGATTGGGAAATACAAATCGACGAGCAGTCTTATCAGATTGCTGTTCATCTAATGCGAGAAACGTTGGCTCCTGTAAAATAGTCTCGAAAATTCGTAAAGTATAGTGATGTTCGCTGCCTCCTTCGTGTCTGTCCCTCAGAATTGTGTCCTCTCATCCCATATTTCCCCATCCAGTCCCCCCGATCCTCGTAGCCCAACTTCTTTTTCTTTTACGGATTCTTACACGACTATGCTCACATTGAAGCTCTTCTTTGCTGCAACTTGACATCATCGTCCAATCTCTGACTCGCAGATTCGACGAAGCCAAGCTGCTCAACCGATACCACGAACTTCGATTTGAGCTTTACAGACAGAAGCATACACCCTACAGTAGAAACCTTCCCCAGCATTCTTTCAGGTCAACCGCTTATGCTGGACGCACTCAGAGTCGACCACCGTCAATTCTTCCGACTCCGAGCTGCTTCGCAATCATGTTTTACAGCCACGAAAGTAAGTTACGAACACTCCTTCAACATTCCATCATCAAGGAGTGTGGTGATGAAACCGAATCACTCACAAGGCATCTTTTCTAGTCCTCACATCGTCCGAACATGGCGTCGCCACAATTTGGTATGTGATCAAGACTTGTCCCGAGCTCACACAAGGTTACGACCAAGACTGACGAGGTCTATTATCAGGCTGGTTGCGACTCTAGGAACACGTTCCTTGTCCAGAAGACTCAACCGGAAGACTATTCTTGAGGTGGACGTCCCAAATGCCTGCAAGGTCATCACAAATCCGGATGCACCGATGGCACTGCGACTGCAGGGAAGCTTGCTGTGAGGCCATCTGCCCTATGCCGAGTCAGAGCTCTCAGTGTGGTATCAGTGGGCTAACGGGTGCAATTCCCAGATACGGCGTCTCCCGAGTCTACAGCCAACAATGCGGTTACATTCTCCTTGACACACAAACGATGCACGATAACATGATCGCCAAGCTGAAGATCATAGCTGGAAGTGGCCTTGACCCTACAGCTGGGCAGACAAAGTACCTAAACTCTGTTGAAATATCCCCAGCAGGCATGAGATACTAACAAAATACAAGACCAAGCAACCTCATTCTACCTTACGATCCAGCCTTCCTTCCCGAGACAGGTTTACCCGGTCTAGACATCGACCTGTCTGTCTTGAATGGCACATTCGAAGATACTTCAACGCAGCTGAGTGGTCTGTGGCTCAAATCGCCCAACGATGGCTCCTGGGGTGTTTCGCCTGTGGGCAGTTTGCAGATAGAATTGCCATCTGATGATATGCTCGAAGAGGAAATTATTCTGGCCCTTAATGATGCTCAAGGTTCTACACAGAAGAAGGGCGTGTTTGACATTATTGATGGTCTGGAACTAGGAAATGATGAAGGAGGTCTTCTTCAGGCTGATTTCGAGTTTGATGAAGAAGGAAATCTTGTAGAGCTTGGTTCGAGGGGAGGCTCACTCAAGCCACAGCCGAAGCCGAATGTCGGACACCCTGCTCGTGAGGGCCCAGGTATGAGTCTGGAATGGGATGAAGATCAGGTGTGTATGAGATCTTTGACTTCGACATGTTTGGCATGATATGTTAACTCAGTGTTCCCAGATGCAGTTCGATACCAAGATTCCTGTATTAGCTGGTGATGAGAACATGATGGAGCTGGATACTGAGATCCGCGCAGAGAACAACTTCGAAGGAGTGGAAGGCCATGATCAGACAAAAGAGACGGTTGAAATCCCAGCCGTGGGAGCCAGACGAGTTTGGCGCCAAAAGAATATCGCTATCGATGAAAACACGGCGCTTCGGAATGCGACAATGGCAGAGTGGAATAACGAGTACATTGCAAAGATGGCTCGAGCCACGGAGCAAAAGATGCGGAACAAGCTGCCAACCATTTCGAAGAAAAATGCCGCGTTCTGGGTCTTCGGCCAGGGAATCGGATCTGTGGGTGTGCAGCTGGGCAGGTGGAATAAACTACATCCCCTCAATCTGTACTCGGGCGAAGAGCTCTTCGACACAATCAGCGGATATCCAAAACAAAACAGAAGAAAGCGTGCTAACGACGACGAAGACGACGAGCAGGGACGACGAGTCCGCAACAAGACAGATGAAGAAGCGGAATACCTCAGCCGTGAGAACCTCGACCGTCTCAACAGAGAGGTTGAAATGGGTCGTGATGCACCATCCAGTCTATTCGACGACCATTCATCCCAGATGCCATGGAACATCACAGCCTCCATCCAGAGCTCCCGCCACGGACACCGATACGGCAGTGCCAGCGAGCTATCATCTCGAGCTTGCAATGGCTCCCTCGGCCCAAGAGCTAGAGGACAAAACCGTCTCACAAGCGCCAGTCCCCTAGCCAGCCATGGCTATCGCGCCGGCCAGGAAGTGCTCAGCAGCATGGATCTACTCGGTGATTTCGGTGATGATCTCGATCTCACCCGGTATCTCGAAGCTGAGCTTGCAACAGATCGCGAGACTATCGGCACTATTTCCTCCCGTCGGAATACTAAATTGAAGCGTGCTACATTGAATCTCGATCGCGAAAGCTTGAATTTCTTTGAGTTCATCAAGAGTAAGCTAGAGATCAAACTTGATGATGAGGATGAACAAAGTATCGGGGGAAGTCCTGGTATTTCCTTTTCTGGCACTCCGCCGACCAAGACTGGTCAGACTACATTTTCATCTCTTCTTCCGGTTGCGAATACCACGCGCGCTGTCGCAACTCAGGGATTGATGAATGTCCTCACGCTTGCTACAAAGGGTGTGCTTCGTGTTCACCAGTGCCCTTATATTGATATCAGCACTGATGGTCTGGGAGTGTGCTATCGTTACGGAGAGATTCTCCTGCGTCTCTCTGGAATGTGAGCCAGGCGGTGCACTGGGGACTTGACAGCTGGGTATCATGACGAACGACTATTACGAAGACGAGAACGTGAATGAGAACGATCGACGAAACATGAAACAAGCATATTTACCAAATTTCAAGGACATCATGGTGGCGGTTTTTATTTTACACCAGGTTTTTTATCATAACACCCGACGAGGCGACTCGGCGCCGATCTGTCATTGACACTGACGCGATCATGAAGACATTACATCACTGCTATATCGGAATGCGAGGTATATTATTATCAGGGGCTTGCTGGGGCAATAGAAATGGAGGTCATTGATATTATCACGTAAACTCAGAATGCAACATCCCATACTTCTGAATGTTACCAGGAACATCTATACAGGTGTGGTGTATCGCGTACTGGATACTGGATACGCGCTATACAGAGTACGGAGTACTGCCGTACCCTCAGTGACAGTAATTACTCAACCCTGGAACTGAACAGGACAAAACAGATACAGAAGTATAGATCTTGGTGTCTATTTTGACCATCATATCAGTATTCCTATATTTTTCATCTCCTTCATGTGCGAGATTAGTCCCGGGTTTCTCATTCCCTAATCCAATCACAGCTCTTTAATAACCGAGTGTGTCTCGTATGTCCTGAATTCTCCGACTGGGCGTAGATAGGCTGACCGCGGATGCTGTAGAAGTACACTAGGAAATATTAGACGAATGTTGGGATTTGAAGCCTGGAGAAGTTGCCTTGGATATTGAGATTCAATTAGTTGCCTGCCAGGTCGCTTATTTATATATTAACCTGTCTGTTTCTGGGCTGTTCCGACCGCGTGTGCGTATCCACCACTCTGACAGTGAAGAGGCGTTAGATCTGAAAGGAAAATGGGAGGATAGCGAACCGTTGAAACATTTGACAAGTTAATATCTGAGAAATAATGTCAGGTTACTGTGCGAATCTCTTACAGCCAGATCGCATACACAAACGCGCCAAATACCAGCATTTCGAGAAATACCCTAAACCAACTTTTGCGTCACTCTGGGTTTAGGAATAGACATGAGACTTATAAATTCAATCTCAGCCTGACTGCTATTCTCAATACTTAATACCCAACACCTGAATAGAAAACCCGAGTGAATAGGCCAACGGTATAAAGCGACGGTATTACCCGTAAGCAGTGCTCCAAATTACGCAGGGCGCGTAACCCTCGTATTCTCCCCGTCTTCGTCTCTTTCTTTTTCTTTCCTTCAACCCCTCCAACTTTACCCTCGTACGCGACCTTACGCCCTCCCCTTTCGTCTCATATCGCCTTGATTGTGTGTTTCCAGTGAATCTGGAGACCCTTACTCCCCTCATCATGGGTCGCACCGTCGATCAGGAGGTGCACGCCGCGTTTGTCGAGTTTCGCGCCAAGGAAGATGATAAGGTGTGTATTTCGTAATATTTCAACACCAGTCACTAACATACGAAAACCCGTTTTGGGTGTTTTTCTGTATAGTGTCTCTCCGTGCAGTGTATCTACTGCCAGCAAATTCGCGCAAAGAACACCTCGCGCCAGAAACAACATCTCCTCGAGTGTCCTGGCCTGCGCGGTCACCCTAACGCGCCCCAACCGTCCCAGCCCGCCCAGCCAGCCCCTAATGGAATCGGCCCTACCAATGGCTACCCCGGCACCCCCAATGGCGCATCGGCCACAGCAGCTGGTTCAGCTGGCCCTGGTGCCATTCCCACTCCCAACGGCAGTCTGATGACCAACGGCGTCAACCCCCATGCTACTCCGCTTCAGACCCCGCTGCAGACCCCTCTGCAGACCTTGCAGAATCGCACCGCGATGCCAACACCAGGTCCCCCGCCTGGTCCTCCCTCTGCTCCGTCCAGTGCTGCGCCTTCGCGTCCAACACCCAAGCCCAAATCCAAGAGCTCGACATCCGCTCTGCCTGCGCCGCCGCTGGACGATGTACACGCCGCCTTTGTGGAGTTTCGCGCCAAGGAAGAAGACAAGGTAGGAAGCTTGGCAAAGACGCGACTCTCGACTGATGCTAACTACTCGTAGTGTCTTTCCGTGCAATGCATTTACTGCCAGCAGGTCCGCGCAAAGAACACCAGCCGTCAACGCCAACATCTGCTTGAATGCCCGACCTATCTTAGTGTTATGAAGGACTCAATTCCTGCCAACAACCTGCTGCACACATTCCCCGAAGGCGATGTCGCCCGGTCATTGCAGATCCCCGCACCGACGCTGGAGCTGGACTTCCGCATGAGCATCAAGATGAACCCCAAGGTGTCTGTCGGCCCGGGCGTCTGGGGTCAGAGAGAGTGGGTCTCGTTTATCGGTGGTCAATGGGCCGGCCGATGGGGCAAGGGAATTGTTCTGGTAAGTTTTCACGATCCTATCCGCGGTCTATCTATATTTCAGATATCTAACCATTCGATACAGCCCGGCGGCCAAGATACCCAGCTCGTTACTAAGGACTCGACTACCAACCTGCGCGCCAGTTACATTCTTCAGACCGTCGATGAGCCACCAGCATTCATCATTGTCCGCACAGAAGGATGGTTGACAGGTGCTAAGGATGTTCTTGAGAAGGTCATTGATTCGAACATGGCAGATGGCGTCAACCCCGGAAGCTACAAATATCGCGTCAACCTTTCCATGGAAACTGGCGATGAGCGGTACACGTTCCTGAACACTTTGATGTGGATCGGAAGCGGTTGCCGCAGAGGTCACGAAGGTGTGTATTTCTCTCGATACCATATGAAGCAGTTCATTCTAACCTATCTCGCAGTCATCTTCGACTCGTTCCGCGTCAACTAAACGCTCGATGGAAACTTTCGTCAAACGATGTCTTGTCCGTACTTCAGCGATTTATTTCACCTTGATGGGAAAATGGTGTTTCTTTTCTTCCGTTCTTGACCTGCGGCGCAACTCTTCTTTCTTTGTCTTTTTTTTATATCTTCCAGCTGTTCATTTCTCTGCTTATGACCCCAACCGACAGCTCGAACCTATATTGACACTGTGGTGCTTTGACTCTGCTTTCTGTTGATTTTATTTTTTTGTTCGGCCTCTTTCTGATGTAATTTCTTGATGCGTCGATATTCTCGACCCTGTAGGGTACTGTTGCGGTCTGCACTGTTTTATCTTTATCTCGTCTGTGTAACTTGCCCTTGGTGCGTTTCCTACATTGTTTCGTTCAAGCGTGCCGTCCGATGTCCGATGTCCGATTTTACGACCAAGTTACGTTTCGAGTGCCATTGATACTGTCCAGCTATAAGAATGTTCAGATTATATGTTACTTTCGTGGCAATGTATCGTACATCGTATATCATTGAAACCATGGTATGACGAGTATTTTGATTGAGAAGTATAAAAGCCGTTCCTGGTGTATGGTAACTCGTAACTCTGTTGACGGGTATGGTTACCGTACCGCTTCGGGATGGTTCCCCGGAGTTTGGGGTATGCTTATTTCTACCCGCTAACGTATAAGTTACTTCTGATCTTCGCCTATTTCGCCTACAGTATTCATAATGTAGGGTCGTGGGGGTCTGAAATATTACTAAATACAGTCCGATAGATGATACAATTTGACACTCAGCTCGTGAATTTCGGCAAACCAATGCCCTTTATAGGGATGCCTTACACAGGCTCCAGTTAGAAAACAGAACTGAATACAGTACCTAACTTTATAATCTCGGTATCTATCCTTCACGTTCACTTCGGGTATAGCCAAAAGCTCATCTTCTCCATTTTCGCCGCAATTCTCTACTCAGGGATGCTCTTCTTTTCCCGAGAATTCCCTCTATCAAAAAGAGCGAACGATACAGCGGATAGAACCAAGCAGGCGATAGCTACATAACGTACGTGTTAGCAGAAATGAACGACAGGAATCCCAGTCTCGAGACCTACCCAGGATCACATTCGTGTAAAGGTATCCAATTGATTGCGACAGGAATCCAGTAATCAATGGCCCGATCATGAACCCAGTATTGATTCCCACCGAGTTCATGGCAAACGCTTTCGACCGTCCGCCTAGAGGGCCAAAGATAGTTGGCGTTCTTGCTTCCACGTCTTGCAACACCGCTAATATTAGACCTTTGTAAGCATCCTGGCATGTAGCAAGTTCACGTATGGATCCTCTTACTGAGTGTATGCAGAAACCCAGCGCCCTGAACCAAAGGTAACACAATGCCAATAGCAGCCATACACGAGATGAATATCGGTTTCCCGTTGTTCGAAGCACTAGCCCATGGGAAATGGGTATCTCCAGGGAAGCCTAATAGGCACACGAACGGAGCCAAGAGAGCCCAGCCAATCGTGGTTGGATATCGTAGTCCGACGTGGTCGCGCAGCCAGCCTGAAAGTGGCCCAAGGAAGATTGTTGGGAGTTGAAGGAGGAAGAGGACCATTCCCAGTGGGAGTGAGCCCCAGTTGAACACTTCGCGAAGGTGGATTGGTAAAGTCGCGTTAAATCCTGAGAGGAGTATAGGGTATGTAATTGAGCTTGCGAGACTGGCCCAAATACGACTGTCACGGAGCATTACTTTATAGAAGTGAGATGAGGATGTTGCTTGAGTGTGGCAAGCTTTTGGGGTTGTCGCGGATTGTAGGAGGGGTGATGTCTCTGTGCGAGTAGCGTTATTGGGAGATTCTTCGTTTTGAGTGAACCTCTCTGACGAGTCTTTATGCTCGGGATCGATCATAATCAGCCGCGCGATGATGTTGAAGAAAAGCACCACCAGCGGTATAGACCAGGCAGCCCAGTATCCCTGCAGTTCCAGTACTGCTCCTGCAATCATTGGCCCGCCGACTGTTCCCACCATCACAAACGACATACTTAGTCCCATCATCTTTCCTATGTTCCCCTCGCCAGCATTTTCGGTCAATATTGCTAGACAGACGATCCAAGCTGCTGACCCTGCTATTGCCTGGAGGACTCGGCCTGCATATAGAGCTCCCACTATGCGACCGGTCAGAATGGATCTTTGCAAACGAAGAATCATGAGCGAGGCATACAGTTCACCGTGGACGCAACCAAGATGGTTCCCGTTAGACAGCTGACCAGCGAAAGAAGAAGCGGGATCTTCCTGTTTGCTGTCTTGTCGGTGAAAGAAGCAATCACAGGCGCCGAAACAAGAGTCACAAACCCATGGATGCTGAGTAGCCCAGTCATCGAGTTCTGGGTTTGTGCTGGATCTTGACCTAGGCGGACCTCGAGCATATGAGGCAGGATAGGGACCACAAAGCCATAGAGCAGGGTTTCTAGATAGATATGTCAAAATTTGATACTATCAAGCAGTCTAAATCATAGAACGAAAATACCAGTCAACAAGGCGACGCAGGCTGTTGCAAGGGTGAAAACCCTGGACGAGCGCCACCCGTATCCGTACGAACGCTGCATCACGGCGGTCGAAGTGCAAGAAGAGACCTGCGTCAGAAACTGTTTAAATACAGATAGCTGACAAATCAGGATCTCTCTGACTCACAGAAGATGAGAACTTGGAGGGTTTAAATCAGAATCCTGAGGCCCAAGCACCTCGGATGCAGAGCAAAATGTGAGCTTAGCCCCTTTTGGAGAGGCTACGTCCCCAGTGATTTCCGTCGTATAGCAACAAGGAGCCAATCGAGATTTAACGTTATTGCGCCAGAAGACAGCAGACATTTTGAAACGTTTTCATTGCCGGTAACCCGTCAGTGTTCAGGCAAGGGGAAGGTGGGGGATATCCACGCAGAAAAAGCAAGCATATCTACATCTGTACGTTACATATGTTATGATTAAAGGATTTAGTTTCGCTCCTGGAGATCTCCGTCAACGGATAATTATAATGCTTCTGTGTATATATATTTTCACGTAATATGTCTTGAGTTTTGGAATAATTGACCGTACAAATATGCCTGGATGCATGATCGTTAAGTTATCTCGTATTGACTTGCAGCAAAACTCACTTGGCTCTGTTCTTCCACCTGTACAACTATCATGCTTGCATATGGGGGTGAAGTATCTATCTGTATGGGTAGCGGCTACACATCAGAAGAGTCTAGATAAGAATTAATGTGGTATTGCCTGACTATGATCCTTTAGCCACTAAGATAGTACTCCCTGGAGTAGTCACATTTCCAGGGCGACAGCGAATAGACGTCACTCGGGCACCGACCTGAGCATCCGTGACATATACATTGATCTCCATCTTCATAGCTTCCAGGATCACCACAACTTGACCCTTTTCAAGAATGTCCCCAACCTGGACTTGCACCTTCCAGACATTGGCATCAACAGGCGACTCAACTCGAACCATATTTGGCGAGTCAACATCCTCCTGGGGTTCGCTGGCGCTGGCGACAGCCTTGGCTGCAGTCCACTCGTCGAAGAGTCTCTGTTCAAGTTCGCCCATCTCCACCGAAGCAACGGCTTGGCGACTTCGCCAATTTCGCCAGTCAGGATCCCGGCTAGCGAAATCGAATTTGTCAATATAGTGGTCCATATCGAGCGTCGAATCCGTGATCTGGAACCTGTATCTTCCGGCAAGGAAGTCTCTCTCGGCTTTGTCAAATTCTGCCTCCGTGACCTCATGGAATTTCACAATATCGAAGTAGCTGAAAAGCCACGGTCTCGACGGCATGAAGCCAGGTCGGGTACCTGCAGAGTCCCACGCACTCAGTGTGCGAGCCATGAGCTGATATCCGCCCGGAGATGCTATGGGGTATAGTGCCAGCAAAGACCCACCAAGACCTACAGACCCGCTGGGCGTGTATGATCGATTTGGATTGTACTTCTGCCCAGTGTAGAGATAGCGTGGGTCGAGGGGGAACATGATCGGCGTGCCAACAAAGAAACCCACTGCGACTGTGAGCCACGGAGTCTTCAGCAGAGAATCGAAGACATCCTGTCTAGACTGCAATGCGTTGGCTTTCCGTACGTAGTCGACGTTATCAGGGAGATAGGCTGCAGTTGGTCGGATGCTTTCCATGTAACGCTGGGTGGCTTCTTGAATACTTGGGTGGTCGAGACATAGTGGTAGGTGGATTTCTCGGACTGGAAGCTGAACTCCGGATATATCACCAATGTTGGAATGGAGCTCATCAAGAATGTCAAGCAGGTCGTTTTGAGGCAGCTGAAATGGATTGTAATGGACGGTCAAGGTAGCAAGATTCGGCTCATAGCGAACCCGATTTAGGTTTCGCTTGTCGAGTTGTTCACTTAGAATCTTGACAGAAGCGGTGTTTCGTAGATCTGCAATTTGCTCCCCAAACTCCACGATTATGCTCGTATCACCGCCTTGTCGGAATGTGACTCGAGGATTTAGAGCAGAAGATGGCTTTGTTTTCAGAATAGAAGATGTAGCCTCGGGACCCAGTTCGATGTGAGGAGAAGGGATTCGAATATTTTCACCCTTGGCGTGCAGGTGAAGTGTATCTAGCCAGGCTTCCTTGGCTTGTGCAATCATCATCGCATTAACAAAAGTAGTTACGCGGAATCGAAATGACCCTCCAGGTTTTAGCTGACCAACTTTCCACATCTCGCCGGAACAAACCGTGATAGCACAAGCAAACCCGCCAAGATCGGGACGATCCCGTGCAAAGATTATAGGATACTCTCCTGTCCAGTTAACACCGCCATTGGGATAGCCATAGTCGAAGACGTTGGATGGATGGGATCCGCCGCCGCCACCGCTCTTACGAGCCCATTTGAGGCGTGGACCCTCTAGTCTGACACCACTCCGGCCACTATTAGGGCCGACGGTCCATGTGGATGAATTGATTGTATCTCGTCCTTCTTGAGTCAGAATATCGTCCGAGCCGAAGGGCCCCTGAAGACAGTAGATCTCCGAGACGTTATAGTCAGGGATGGCTTCATGTGGTAGTGACATGGGCTCAATTGTGGCCGCCCACTCACTTGACTGAGGAGAGAGCTCAAGAATGTCATTCGACTGGAGGCGGCGTCCCTGAAGACCACCAAGTTGCAGCTCCGGTGAGGTAGACTTTGAGCCAAGATAGTAAGGGACTTGAGGGAAACCGCCCTTGAAAGCAATGTAGGCTCTGATTCCATTGCCAACCACAGCACCGACTTTAAGCGTCTGGGCCTTCTTGACAATCAATCTGGACCACATGGGCTGGTCGATACCATCGATCGTAATCGGCATTTCAGCGCCACATACAGCGATCACGGCTGACTCGTGGAATAGGATTTCAGGACCGGTCATGGTCAACTCCAAGACTTCAACTCCAACCTCATTACCAACCAACACGTTGGCCGCTCTGCTACTCAGGTCATCCATTGGACCACTTGGCGGAACTCCATGACCGACCATGGGGCGACCAGGATAGTCCTGAACTGTCGTGTAGAGGCCCGGTTCCAGGACTTGAACGGCATTTGTGTGAAATTCAAATGTAGAGAGAAAGTTTGTCAACGTAAACCCAGTGGTGAACTCAGTCGACTGAAGTACTTTGGACAGATATTGGAGATTTGTCTGGGTACCCTGAAGCGATGTGTCGGCCAGAGCAGCAAGCATCTTTTCCTGAGCAGCCAGTCTACCGTCAACGCTATGTGCCATCACCTTCCCGATGAGAGGGTCGTAGAGGGCGCTGATACGTTGGCCACTCTTGACCCAAGTGTCGACTCGGATTCCATCATCCTCTGGCCAACGAACATATTGAAGAACACCTGGGCTGGGGGCAAAGTCGCGCAATGGTACCTCGGCATAAATACGGGCCTCAATGGCCCAACCCAAAGGTTGAGCCCTTCCGAGACTCTTTAATGTGTCAGAAGGGATACCTTTCTGGCCTCCATTCTCGTAGTCTGCTTGACGAAGCATCAGATGAACTAAATCGACTCCGTAGCATAACTCAGAGATCCCGTGCTCCACTTGCAGGCGAGTGTTCATTTCAAGGAAGAAGAAGTCCGCTGTCTCGTCATCAACAAGGAACTCGACCGTCCCAACACTTTTATAATTGAGTTGCGAGGCATATCGAACCGCCGCCTGCAGCATCCTTTCGCGCAATCCAGGTGTGCGCTCCACAAATGAACTTGGACACTCTTCAATAACTTTCTGGTGTCGTCGTTGGAGAGAGCACTCGCGCTCACCGAAAGTGACAATATCAGTCCCATTGCCAGCAACTTGGACTTCAATATGCCGAGACCGAGGGTAATACTTCTCCAGAAATGTTCCACTGTTACCAAACAGGGCACCAGACCGACTTTCCACCAGCAGAAACGCCTGCTCAACATCTTCTTCACTGTGACATATTTGTTGACCCATTCCACCACCTCCTCCGGTAGCCTTCATCATAACTGGGAAGCCAATCTGCCGAGCACTATCGACTGCATGCTTTGCAGAAGACAGAAGAGAGGTCCCAGCAATGGTCGGAACGTGCGCCGCTTCCGCAATTCTTTTGGCCTCATGCTTGAGACCCATAGACTGAATCGATGCAGAGGATGGGCCGACAAATGTTATTCCCGCCCTCGCCACTGCTTCGGCAAATTCGACATTCTCGCTGAGAAATCCGTACCCGGGAATGATAGCATCGGCACCGCAGTTTGCGCAGATCTCCAGAATAGCATCCCTGTTCAGCTCATGAGAAGTTAGTAATTGCCATTCCAGAGTTTCATAAATCATGCGCTATTAGATTGACTGACCCATCGGTATAAGCTGTGCTTTCGCTTCCAGGGAGAGTATACACCTCATCGGCCAATTCGGCATGTAAAGAGCTTGCATCGGCTGCGGTGATGATTGCGACGCTCTGGATGCCCAGCTCACGACATGCTTTGATACAGCGAACGGCTATTTCGCCTCTGTTAGCTACCAAAACCTTGCGAATATGGTGAAGCTGTCCGGAATCCACAGTAGTGGTGAGGACAGTGGTTGTGCTCATATTTCAAAGTGGAAAATGAAATTTCCTAGAAGCGCCAGAAGGCAGCCTGAGACTATAAGTACAGTATGAGTTATTGACATCATACTCTCCTCGGCTTGTGATAGTAATTACTCGTAGCGACTGGTATTTCCATGTCGACCGCGCGGGGTATACTCTGTCTGACCCCAAGAGAGATAAGACTTGGAGTATGCTTTGGACCCACGAAATATGCAGAGGAACCGAGGTTGGACTTTCTCCGGTCAAATGGGGACTCACTTTCAGGACAGTCGGTTCAACGGAGACTGAAGTTTAAGTATTTATTGGAATTTTTATCACTTTAGTCAGTTCAATAATGGTTGCTAGTGATGATGATCTAGTAATCAAGCGTGACTCAAAATTTCATTAAAACTGAAAAAGCTACTATAGGACTTATGATCGCTGATCCTTTGACTGCCCGGGGAAGCGATGGCAGTTGGCCTCGTCAACAGCCTGGCGAGCTCCCTTCACATTCTCAAGAACGGTTGGGTGATCTGAATGAATGCAAATACTGAAAGGCTTTCCATCAAACCCAAAGCAAATTTTCTCGCCGTCAACATCTTTGCCATGATCTGTCATTGTCGCAGAGAGGGCTCGCTCATAACAAAGCTCAGGAGTTGCAGGCTTCGAATGAGCGACAGGAATCAGTTTCACCTCTGGCGAATAATCAATATCGACGTATACCTCCCCCTGGAAGGGAATCCCAAGTTCTTTGCACATGGCCTCCTGCATCTCATTCTGGCAGGCGTATACTGGAACTTTGAATGTTGCGCAAGCCTCTAGCACCGCTCTCATGATGCCTGCGTCTCTCTGCATATAGAAGTAGAGCTCTCCGTGTGGTTTGATGTGGGAGAGAGCGACGCCCTCGGCATCCAGCATGGCTTTGAGCGCTCCGACTTGGTATAGAACCAGAGCATACATGTCTCTCGGACCCACCTCGATTTTTCTGCGCCCGAATCCAAACAGATCTTGTTGTCCGGGATGAGCACCTGCTCTAACACCGTGTTGTTTGCAAAGACGAATGGTTTTGAGCATTATGCTAGGATCACCGGCGTGGAATCCGCATGCGATATTTGCAGCGTCGATGAATGGCATCAGCTCCTCGTCTGGTCCCTATAGCGAGTGGCCGGTCGTTAGTTCAGACCAGTCATAGATCATTGAGTTCTCTCACCATCTTCCAGCGGCCGAAGCCCTCGCCCATATCGGCGTTGATTTCATACTTAGTCGCTAAGCCCTGAGTCATCTAGTCAAATGGAATGTCGTGTGCTGTCTTGAGAATGAGAAATGAAGAGATGCATGGAAGGATCATGAGCAGATCTATCTGGGTTCTCCAAATTCACGTCATGCTGGTAATGTGGGGTATGAGGAGATAGGCAATTTGGGGTAACTGGTGCATTCCCCACTTGTCTCAATTTTGGGCATTCAACGCCTTCACATTATCAGGCAGGTTCTCCAAATGTTGGAGTACGAAGAGAGTGGAAGGGGAAGCTATAGGCAATGGGACTATAGTTGCATATTACCTGGTTGCGGTACTCTCCCTAGACCTAAATTGCCCAATGAAATGGCTTCGAAATAATATCATTACCACTTTCGCCAATCAATTTTAAAAGTTGATACCTATTACCTTACTATAGTATACAGAAATTTAATTACCACTGAATATGTTGGAACTTCTTATCAGATCGCAATGTGGTTGAGATAGAGTTCACTTGTATAAAACGAGTACAGTTACGTCCAGGACGGTACATACAAGTACATACCGCAACTTCAAAAATATGTAACGTCAAATAGCCAAAAGATCTGCAACTTTTGATACAATATTGCTTATACATTGCTGATACGCAAAAGCTTCTCATATAACGCGTCACACTATTCAAAAGTCCGAGCCCCCGTAGGGCAGAAAAAAGTCACTTTCTGACATGCCCAGCATGTCAGTATAACTTTCTCCTGCAGTGAACATATAAGGGTTGAAGACCGGGTCACTGGTTCCCCATGGTAGCGAAAATGGACTGCCAACGGGGAAAGCCACAGGGTTATCCGCTGGACGATCTGGGCGAGTATTCTGCAGTGCGGTACGGTCTTCGCCGAAAAACTCTTGTGAAAGACCAAGGAATTTCTGGAATAGATTGCGTAGTTGCACAAGGGGATAACTGATTCCGCTTTGTGTGAGACAGTCCGCGATAGCTTTCATCAGATTGAAATCGCCGATGTCCGATGTTGCGACCACATTGCAGAAAAGAACTAGGTACGCTGTTGCTGGGTAGAGGAGGATCGTCCTATGGAATCAATTAGATTGGAGCTTTTGCGTTAAAAAATCATTGTATGATGAACGCACCAGTTTAAAAAGCTGACTGCGGCTTGTTTCTCTGCTGTGTAGCACATCGATACGAGTGCTAACAGTTCCTGACGGGCAGAGTGAAGATAGCTTTCTGATGAACGAAGAGGCAGACCGTGATCCGCTTGCACAAGGTAAAGAATTGCGGTCATTATTGATTGATAGGCGAATTTGAGGGCTGACATTTCGGTTTGACAGTCCAATCCTCTCCAATTTGGGGATGATGAAGCCATCTGTATGGGACTTTAGTATATGAGATCGAATTATGGGACTGGAGGGGAAATTTTACCAGGTGCATTCGTGCTTGTATTGATTGCATTGTCCGAAGCATGCTCTCTCCTGTGAGAAGAGGGTTGATAGGTTGACTCACAGTCAATGAACGATTTGGATATGACACAACTGCGTCCTGCACCCTAGCAAGATCCAAGTAGACCAACAGGAGTTCGGAGATGAGGGGGTAATGTGAATATAACTCGTAGAAATTGGACGGCAGCCGCAGGTCGAGGAGACATCGGGAACTTCGTACTTTGAATGCGTGATTCCTATCCAAGGTGTAGCACCATAAGAAACAGAAGAGTTCTTCTTCTGTAGCTTCTCCTTTCAAGGCGGTAGTGTGTAGATCCAAGTCAATGCATGTTTTGCAGGCAGCTTTGGTCAGATTGCCGCTTGTATTGACATCTCCAGACCCTTGATGAAGAAATACCTGTATTCAGGTTAGCTATGGATTGCATTGGATTGGAAAAATAAGTTGAGGCATACACCACAGAGAATTGCCTGAAGAAGACTGAGCGAGGGTGATATCAATAGAGGAATCTGCTTCAATGCAGCTTGGGCTGCTGATCGATACTCCTCAGCATTTCTCCTTAGCTCAAAGGCAAGGTCGGTGTCAGTTTCAAGATTGATTGTGGTAGTGAGAAATTTATAAGCCGCAGCATTGACACAAATCGTGTAAATGATGGTATCAAGAGGCGATGATTCGCCGCGAAGAAGTGATAGTCCCATCTGCTTCAGTTTTGGGAGTGATAGATGTCGGAAATAATCCGTGACAAACGGTCCAAATCTATCAGAATGGATGTCTGAAGATGCGTGGTCAGTTAATCGTTCAAAAAGAATAAGCAAATTTCAAATTTAGCAAACCTTTTAACATCCAAGTTAGAAACTCGAGAGATGGATATTTTGATGTACTCTCAACATTGGCAATGCTTTGGGTGCCTTGGACCAGGTCTCTGGAGTTTCCAGACAGTAGGCCTATGACATTCAAGGCTGACTCAAGGACCCTGCGTCTATCCAAAGTAAGATTTTGAAGATGTCTCAGTTGACGCTGTATAGTTAGCTGAGCATCATGAATTGGGTCATACGTGACGCCAGCCACAGGACTGTGAATTTCTGCTGTATCAGCGCAGGAAATGGAGCAGGCGACCGAAGGCATTTCAGCCTGACTCTGATTTTCCGATGTTGTGAGTTCTGCTTCAAATACTTCATCCGGGATGGCCTGAAGTCGAGACACAGGGGTTTTGCGTCTTTGACGGCGAGTAGTCGTATGTTGACGTTTCACATCTCGACCACGGCAACACGAGACTCCTGCATCCTGGCAATTCCCACATGGATCTTGTCTATCGCACCGGACCTTATATTTGATCAGAATCACTGCATTTCAAGGTGATGGCTCTTTCTTACCTTGCGAGAATGGCACAGGTCACACTGCAAACACTATTAATACCGGGGTGTTACAATACTGTAAGGGCAACATACAACCGAGAGAGTGTGCTGTCTTGCTTCACGGGATTGCTCGGATGGCATATTCAGAGGTGACTCTGGAATCAGCGAACCCCGATCTATAGAAATGGAGGCTGAGATGGAGAAGAGCAAGGAAGGTGGGGACTGAGCCCTAAAAATAAAATTTCACGATTCTGAAAATTTCGTGTCTGCCAAGAAACCAAACTAATAGGCAGTGCTAGTTACCCTAGACAGCGTCTTTTTATACTTCTTGGCATTCAGGTTGCCCCATAAGTTAGAGTAATTATTTGTTTCCATAGTCTTGAGGCGGTGCTCTGTAGTTTCGGTTGCCCTTCAGGGCGTTGTAAAGACGTCATACCGGCCGACGGTTCATACAGCACTCTATACTTAGCTTTGCCACAGCCTTCATGAATTGACCCAATACAGAACGGTTCATGCACAGAATGAGATTGAAATAGGTGTTGTGCTATGCCTCCTGTTGAATGTTATTCGGTTCGTTAGCCTAGTGAACTTACTTTCTACATTACTAAAGAATTCCACGCTGGATGTCTGCTTCCTCGAGCTTGATCCTAGGTTGTACTCTACTATGGGATCTAACAACACATGATAAACTGATCAATTACTCTCTTCTACCCGTGTAGTAATTCTCATTCAACATTAAGGTTAATTTCTCAATTATTTGTGAGTTCGAAACTCAAAAGAGTCATACGAGCCTTTAATGAACACCGTCTCTAGCATAACTGTAACCACCTAGGTATTTCGCATGAACTCAAAGCCCCACTTCATAGATATGAATAGCTTATAACGTTCTATTCATGCATAGCTGCTCCGCATATACTACCTGGCAGTTTCAAATTTGTCTGCGGCGCGGAGTACTCGGCTCCCGCGGAACCCGCGGGGCCCACTTCCATCATACACGAGGGTCCCCCCTGGGGTATTTGCAGACACTGGCGAGTCCGCAGCAAGTAGTATTTTACAAAGAGAGGCTATGTTCTTTAATGATGAACAAAAACCACTCATCTGCCAGGAAGCACTAACGATTCCAGGTTACGAACAAGCTCTGCCGATTTACACCGCATTCACATGATATTGTGTATTATAAAACCACCTTCGCAGGACCGCTGATGAGAATCATCCACACCACCAGCGCACGAGTATCCAAATACTCTTTTCGTTGTTCTTTCACCATGATTGACCCGCAAGATAGATTTTTCTCAGAGGGCCAGGGCTATTTTGGCGCGAGAGAAAACCCTGCAACCGAAACTCACTGCAACGTCTGGGACTGGGATCAGCTGCGATTGGTCAAAGTCAAAGGAACTGCAAAGCTTTTCCCACCCGGAGAAGACGTTGAGACCTCTATTCTTGCGCAATTTGCCGATTATCTTTCCCCAGAGGTTCGTGCAATCACGGTCGACGATGACGGGCTTCTCACTGGGGTTTCGACAGACCCGAACGAAGATGATACATTCTTTGTTGGATATCTTCCCTTATCACTCTGTCAATCACTCACAGATTGCCCTACTATCCACTTCTCTCAACTTCGAGAGCTTGATCGCCTTGGACCGGGTGTCGATCTTATGTCATATACTGATCAGATGGTCGCATTCAAATTCAACCCTTTAGGCATGCCTCGCAGACTACAAATGTCCTGGAAGGAGATGAATCTGCTTAGCAAACTGCCGCCACACCCTAATATTATACCGTTTGACCGCATTGTTCTCGAGGACGTGGAATCTCGAGTGGTTGGATTCACAACAAAGTACATCCCAGGTGAAACGCTAGCTGATACTGATCCAAAAAGGCCTTTCCGATTTGAATGGCTAAAACAGCTTACTCAACTGGTGGATTTCCTGAACCTAGAATTAGGGATCATGCATCAAGACATTGCACCACGGAATTTGCTTATCGACCCCGAAACAGACAAGATTATTCTCTTCGATTTCGATTGGGCCACCAATGGGAAGGAAGGTCTACTGGATAGTCGAGACGATGTGTCTGGTGTTGTCTTCACACTATACGAGATCATTACGAACGATACGCATCCCACGAGCATTCCTCACTGGGACCGAATTATAGACATGGTACAGAATACTGAATGGACTTGTCGCCGCAAACTAGACTCTGATGTATCAAGGTTCCGCAAGTTTCTGAATGAATGGATAGTGTCGAGAACGGAGAAAGCCAGAGAACAATATTTCAATGCACCCAAGCGGCTTACATGGCCCAATCTCCCAACCCCTCCAGACTACAGTGTGCCCTTTGAGCTGGGTTGGACAGAGGAAGGGGAAACTGTTTGGCAAACGGGCGAGCGTTCAAGACGCATTGCATTAGGGAAGGGGCAATACTGCTTTCGGTGGCAAAGACCACCACAAAGCAGGTTGTTAAAAAAAGCTGAAAATAGCATGTAATAGCTGATGACTTCAAGATTGCTCAGGTAATTATCCTGTCTACGTTCCTTTTTTTGGCCCTTTGGATATTATTTTCTACTTCAAAGCAACTTAAACAAACACAAAATCGATTATTGAGAAGCAGTTGTCTGGCTACACCTAGACTGAAAACCCAATGAGGTGAAACCTGGCTTGAACAAACCATCTAAACCAAACACCCATCGGTAAAAAGATAAGCCCTTTTGAATCAATGCCTGTTGAAACAACTCAAGACGCCAGTTTTAGCTAGAAAATAAAGAGACCCAAAGAAACGAAAAATAGAAAGACCGGAAGTACCCCACAAAATTACTTTGAAATACCACGCCGTCCGGATTGTAGATGCGTTCTAGGCTTCTGTCAGTGAGTTCCAGCTGATCATCGATTGATATAAACATACCGTCAGACAGAGTCTATCAATGCTCGAATTGTTGATACAAAGTGCTAGCAATCCATTACTGAAAGTCCACAGGAGAACCAAGTTAGTTCGGAAAGCTTTATAGGAATCATCCAGGGCGATGCCCTCATCATCGCTTGGTTCCTGCCATGGCGTCAAAGCTCGCTTGACAGTGGTCGCAAATTGTTCGTCAATGTCGATCTGGGGCTTTTCAAGTTCCTCGACGAAAGCTGTTTCTTCTTCGGTCTTTGTTTGCGCCGATGGGAGTTTCTCCGGAGCGTCAGATCCCTTCGTTCCCCACGAGACGTCGTGCCAATTGCAGAACGCGTAAACCATGAGCACATTGATTGATGAGGGCATTCCAAGAAAATACGCCCACGAGGAGGTCAGCATGTGCCAAGGGTCTGCGTAGAGAATGCTAGCAAGGAAGTAAATCCCGTATGTTGAGACCAAAGCAACGAGAACAATGCCACCTGTTGACCCGATGAAGCCTGCTATCAGTCCTGAAAATCCGTGATCCAAGTCAAAAACTAGATTCTCAGGAGTCAAAGCCTGCGCAACGAGGTAGAATGATAACACAAGTAAGTAGGCCTGTATTACTGAAAAGTAGACAAAGGAGAGAGTATATAAAAACTTCGATCTGATATATTATATTTTAGCATGAGACCGACATTACAACGATGAATGTTCGATACATACCCCTTAGGTCGATTTCCAAGAGCCAAAATAAATTGAAGCATGAGAAATGTTAAGTATCCGATCTTTAACATGTTGTTGACGATCGGAGTTACATCGTTACCGAATGGCCAGCCCTTGAATTTGTTCGTCGAGCTCGGTGTTCCCACAATATCGAGAATTACGGAACTAGTCAGCCAGTATGAGGCTAACAAAAAGTCAGGTCAGCCGCTTTATAAAGCTATTGCAGCTATCACAGAGGCTTGTAGGCTTACCAAGTGACATCCATGTCATTATCAGCTGACAAATGTTATACACCAATTGAACATGAAGCACGAAGAGGCGGAGTAGTCCATGTCCGCTTTTATAAATGCGATTGAAGTGCATGATCGAGTAGAGCGATGCTGCAAAAGAGCCGTTCAGCCATCGACGACGTTGACTCAGGAACTCTGCTGGTCGTTCGGGAACATCTGTCTCTCCTTTCGATGATTTGACGTAGGTAAGGCGCCACTGGCTTCCCGCCTTCGCGACTAGCTCAAAGCAAAGAATACGATCCTCTGCAAGGAACATATTCTTTTTGAAGATATTCATTCCGTCAATGCCTTTTTTTCCAAGTCGTTGAGCAAGTGTATGATCACCATGGAAGTATTGTTCGAGTGGCCGACCCATGATAGCCCTATATCGATAGGCCGAAAACGCGCCAGGTAGGACACTCACGTAGCCAAAGCTACTCTCCAAAGGCTTATCGAGAATGTTAGAGATCTTATACTCGAAATTTTGGGCTGCGACCAATGGATTCACGAGCTTTTTCCATCGGTGGCCAAGAAGAGCGTGGATTTCACCACAGGCTCCACCAAGATTCTTGTCGTTGTAAAATGCCTGCCAAAGAGCAAGTAACGATCGAGCTCCGGGTTTAGTGCCCGCGTCGATTAAAATGCAAATTTCAGGGTTTAAAATGCGACCGAAAGCATTAAATAACCAGCGATGCGAGTTAATCTTTTTGGAGTTCTTCTTCTTGAGACAAAAGATCATTTGAACTGGTGGCAGATTCATAGGGTTATCTTTGTAAGGGCGAATGAGGTCTTGTTTTGGAGTAATTGATAGCTGGGTGGTATATTCAAACTGCTAGTGATTAGTAGGGCTTAGGCTAAATACACTCGAAGGGCAATTCAAGGGCACTCGAAGGATGTATAACTCACAATGTGCGCGACCGTTTCTCGCCCATCAACGTCTTGTTTCATGACCCCGTCTTGGAAAACTCCAATGGTCGCTAAAACATCGAGTGTATTCTTGTCGCATGGGTCCATCCCGTCGAACACGAGGCATACGACGATCTTCTGCCAGGCGGGGCCTCCCCTATTCCAGAATTCTGTCTTTTTTAAATTCACAATGTCGCGAACATTCTGCATTACTCCATGCAAGGTTCTAGCGGTGAGAACTTTGTCCTCATTGTAATAAGTGATCGCGATCAGGAGTTCTGTGTGTCTGTTGTACATCGAGGGGCGGAGATTATAGCCATTGCGCAGCGTAAATTCGTCAGGATCACATGTTGCAGCCGTATCTGTTGGTAAAGAGAATTCAACAGTTAGCATACAGAGGTTCAAGTCAAAATCCCCAGAGACTCACATCTCATCTGCGTAAATTCTTCAGAAAGGTCACCCTCTGCATCCCGATACTCTGGCTGGATGGCATTTCGAATAGGGCTCGGAACAGGGTAATTAATGCTCAATACTGAGCCTTGAACAAGCTTAATTCGCCTTGTGGGGTATCGGCGAATCGTACTTGTCTTATAACGATGCCCCGAGTCTCTTGAAGAGGCCACTGCAGAGCCCTTGTTGGACAAATTTTGTAACTTAAAGTGATCAGGTAGCTCTTGCAACTCTGTAGAATCTCTATCAGGGCTCATTGTGCCTATATCCCACGTATAGGGCTCTCGAGTCGGTTCGCTCATGGGAGTTGGGTCTGCAAACGGGCTGAGGGACAAAGTGGAGGGCTGCTGATGAAGTAGGGATATGCTTTGTTCATTTGACTGCTGAGATTCCTGAAAGTACCAGCATTGTTAGTTCGGCTTGCCGCATATTTGAGATAAGGTAATTTCCGCTTCAACTACACCTACCCGAGGAGTATAGCTATCATTCATGTTGAGGACATCATCACTGTACCGCCCATGGTGGAATGAAAAAGGTCGATGAGGCCCAGGGTCCATGATGTATCGACTGTAGCCAACGGTGGAACAAGTCTTGCATATGAAAGCGTGTGAGCTGAGACTTCGAGGCACAATCCTTGATGCCAAGCCACTTCAGATGAATGGAGGTATGGCAAGCTGTGCTTACAAGCAGTATTTGGGAAGTACATTGTGATGTGCTGTTAAAAGAACACAAAGCCATTCATCCTCTCAATACTGGCATCAACTTTACCAAGACCCGGTCCTCATAGTTCTTTGATAGTTTGAAGCTGCCAGAGCCGGCTATTTTAAGCCGGGCCCCCACATCGACAAGGCTGTTTCCATCAACCAATCACAATGCGGCAGCCACTTTTAGCGTGCGGCTAAAACCCCTTTAATTCTCCTCGTCCAATCAGCATCGTTTAATGCTTTTAGGCTTCATCAAATTGACCGGATCGAAGCAACCCTGTTAGTGCGTTGAGAAACCGGCCAAAAATACTCTGTCCGATGGTAGTTTCTATGGGAGACAGAATTTTGATTGTGCCGAGAACTGGAGGCATGGGTGAGACATTCCCACTGACCTATGTCCGTGTTCATGTTGGGTGAAAAAGCTGAAGGTTTTAAAAGTTTCAAATACAGGGTTCAACTTGTTTAAAACTGTACATCGGCTCTCGCCATCCCATACATATCCCACATTCAAGCTACTGTCCCAATATGGATATGCTCAGACTATCATCGACACCGCTCGACATTGATCTTAGGTTGGACGGAGAACAGCCAGTCTATTCGCATCAAGATACCGTCTCAGGCAAAGTTCTGTTGCAGACCGGTTCTCCTGCCGATATATCTTCAATTTCTCTAAACCTATCAGCCGTAGCAATCTCACGGCTCAAAGATGGCAGGAAGACAGAAACACATCAGGTATGTTCTGAATTGGCATGCTTGCCAACTAAGTTCTGACTACAAGCGGTTGCTGATAACTATTTTGCAGCTTTTCAACAAGTCCCAGCGAATATTTCCGCCAGAGACTGTGATGAAGTATTCAAAAACATCCAGCGTGACTATCCGGCAAGGAAGTCATTCACACAGTTTTGCCATTACTGTTGGTGCTCATTTCTCAATACTGCCCCGAGTTATGAGCTCAGCTGACATTCATTAGATTCCCAAAGCCACTGAGTGCTACAAGACCGATCATTGGTCAAACAAATCACAAAGCTGTTGCGGGAATCTTTGGTGGCGCCGCCATCAAAAGGCCCACTTATTGAGAAAATCACCCCCTTCAACAGGCGACTCACATTCGGCAGCTGAAGTCAGCTATTACTTGACTGTCATTGTAACGGGTAAGCATAGTGCCAGAAAGGTCAGAAATCGTCTTCCCAACTCAACAATATCTGTGTTCTGTATGCTGATTATCTGGAAGACTCGCAAAATTGATGTATACTCTACATATGATGTTATATCTTCCCAAAAGCATCAGAAGCAAGAATCATCATTTAATATCGACCCAGTCTTGGTTGGCTCTGATACAGCGTCTTTCTGCAAGATTGATGTTGGGCTTCTGGATGGAAATTGCTTAACGTTGGATAGCCCGATACCATTGAGTATTCAGATCACAAAGTGCCCAGGCTTGTATCATGATATACAACTCAGTGAATTTCAAACTATGCTCGTTGAGACCACAGAGGTACGAGCACAAGGAGACACGCAGAAGTGTGTCAGACCCTTTATTGTTGACAGCAGGGCACGAATCAATCACTTGATCAGGTTTGATGAAACAACAGTCGATTTAGTTTCGAGTATGAGAGACCATCCATGCTTTCAGAAACGTCTTCCTGCTGAGCTCTCATCGAGTTTTGAGGTTTGCAACATCAAACGCACATACAGGCTTGATCTACGATTGGGACTTTTGCTTGGCAACTCGAAAGTAAGTACATCTCAGCGAGGGTAAAATAGAATTACACTAACCTATCTTCATTGCAAAGTCCATAATTCGCGAGTTTCAATTTCCGGTATATATCACGGGCCCCGTTTCTTCTTTCTCGACCAGGGAGCCCCCAGAGTACTATAGCGAGACACGAAAGTGAAAATCACCAGACAATCACTATTTTGTATAATCTTCTAGCGAATCAAGTACCAGAAAACTCCAATCCATAACATGCGCTAGAAACATGACCAAATGAACGACGGGCTTGCCTTCGGTTACTTGAACCTAAATCCAACAATTCGGTACTCGC